ATCCTTATAGTCTAGGTATAAGAGCTAATAAATAGTTAAGTCTACTAAGCTCTATCTTTAATCTTATTATAATCTATATTAATAAAGATTATAGTATAAATTAGTATGATTCTGAAGTAGGTATTTAGATCATACTAGACTATCTTAGTCTTCCTTACTAGGTAATTAATAATCTATCTATGATATTTAGATCTCTAGCCTATAAATTAGTTAAATATGATACTTATTCTTTTAAGTTATATATAGAGTCTTATCCTAAAGTATTTAAGAGGGATACTAATCCCTTAGGCTTAGCTCCTAATCTAATTATAATCTATATTAAAATAGAGATAGATAAGTATAATTTAGATATTAATACTAAGATTATAACCTTATCCTAATTCTAGGTGATTATTAAGAGATCCCCTTTTATAGCCTATATAGAGATTAGTTAGAGTATAAAAGTTAATTTTTATAATTTAGAGGCCTATAAGAAAGTAATACTTACTTAAATAATTAAGTAATAAAGACTCTTTTAGACTTACTATAACTTAGCTCTAGTTATAATATTATAAAGGATATAAAGGGTATAAAATACTAAATAAGTAAATTCTAGATGATAGGTGATTATTACTTCCTTATATTAATTCTTATAGAATCTAAGGAGATTATATATACTAAGACTCTAGTAATTAATAAGATTATTATTTATAGGAAAGGTATATTATAATCCTTATAAATACTAAAATATATATCCTTACCTAAAGTCTTCCCTTTTAAGCTAAGATGATTAAAGTAGCTATATTATATGATTTAAGACTTATTATTATATCTATTTATTATTAGTAATCCTCTTACCTAAATAGTTTTATATATAGTTTTTTTTTAGGTATATAGTCTCTTAGGAGCTTATTTTAATTACTTATGGTATAAGTTAGAAAAATACTATCTAATTACTAAATCTAAAGTAAGTTATTAGGGAGATCAGTATCTTATATTACTAATTACTAATATATCCTAGTTATATAACTTTAATATATGATTTATATAATCTATTAATAACTTATATTTTAATATAGCCTAAAATAAAAGATTACTTATTAGTAGAGCTTAGAAAGCTTACTTAATAGCCCCTACCTGAAAAGATTAAGTAGTTTGGTTATAAGTCATAACTAGTTAGGTAGAGTAGTTATATAGCCTATTAATCATATAACTTATTTAATATATTTATTTTATTAATCCTATAATATGATAAATGAATCCCTTTGGAGTATCCTAGTTATTATTTTATATTCTTTATAGCTCTCTAGTATATTATTATACCTATAGAGGTGTTACTTGGTTATATAGAGAGTATTAAATTATACTCTTTATAGTATATTTAGCTATATTTATTATTTAGTAATTCTATCTAGATATAAAGAGCCTAATAATCTTAAGTAATATAGATAACCCTTAGTAAGTAATAGTATTACTAAGAAGAAAGATTAAATTATTTTACTTAATAAACTAGTAGATCTGGTCTCTTATAAGTCTTATTTTAATAAAATTCTAGGGTAAGGCTCTATTTTATTAATAATAAGAAAGAGACTAAGTATTATCCTAAAATATCCTAGGTATTTATAGTAATATACTAAAGTATTAAATATCTACTCCTTTATAAAGGATATTAAATAAAGCTTTAAGATTAAAGAATAAATTTTAGAAATATTAGGGGTATATCTTAGGGTAATATAATATATTAGGCTAAAGTTATATAATTAGCTAATATTAATTTAAATCCTATAGATATATTAGTATCTTAGAGGAATCTTATAGATTACTCTTCTAAGAAGTTAGTAATAGTAATTTATAGGCTTATATTAACTAATATAATAATAATATTAATCTATCTCTTTAATTAAAGTAATATCTTTAGGTAGTAGAAGCTATCTATTATATTTACTAAAAAGGTATTATTTATTCTGATCTATAACTAGAGAATTTTTTATTATATTCTAACTCTAAAAGTAAACTTAATCTTCTATTTTATAATTTTAGAGGATTAATAAGTAGTAATATTAATAGTGGATATCTTCTTGATTTAGGTTTTTTTAATCTATATAGGTTATAGGTCTTAATAAAGGAAGTAGATATATTTAGTCTTAGGTTAATTTTCTATATGATTATAATTAGATATTAGCCCTATAAAATATCTAGGTTATTTAGATCTATAGTAGAGAAGAGTAATTATATAGAAATAGTAGATAAACTTTTTATATCTTAAAAATACTTTTTAATTAATTATCTATTTAGTAGTATTATAATATAAAGATATTAGATAGAATAATATTATAATATATAAGTATTTCTCTATAATAAAGCTTTTCTTTTAATAATAAGAAGGGCTCTAATAATAGTTAGGTAACCTAGTCTTATAATTATCTAGTCTTAAATTTAATTTATATAATATCTCTTATCCTTCCTTCTCTAAGTATTTTTAATATCTCTAGGTATTATTAATATTTCTAAATCTTATTAATATAAAAGTAGTCTTATTAAATTAGGGGTTTCTATAATTATAGCTTTTATATTTTCCTTTTACTTAGCTTAAACCTAAGAGGTTTTCCTTATAATTAGGGTAAATAGGAGTATTAATATTAGGATAAGTCTTAAACTTAATATCTTCTATAATCTTATTACTATACTTATAAATTTTTATTAAGATATTAATAGTATATATACTAAAATAAGTTTAAGTAAGTTATTAATAATAAGTTTATGGTTAGATATACTTGATTTTAAAGTTATTCCCTTTATAAATAGTAAGTTATATTAAGTTTAGTAGAATAATTTAGATGCTTTTTATTTTAAAGTAAAAAAACTATTATAGATTTAAGATAGGTAATACTTATTAGGCTAACTATTATATACCTAGGCCTATATATAATAAAGTAGAGAAGCTATAGTTAGTATATTTAGAAGCTTATAATTATATTATTAAGGTAAATTTTTATAACTAATTTATAGTTCCTCTTATTTATAAAACCTAATTATTCCCTAAAAAATTAAGTTTATTACTTAATTAGTAGTATTAATTATTACTATATTAATAAGTAACTAAAACTAGAATAGTATCTTAAGCTAAAAGCCTTTTAAGTAATTCTTTATTAGATTCTATCCTAAGATACTTTTATAGAATGATTTAGGCTATATAGTAGTGAAATATATATTAATAATAGGATTTATAAATGATTATAGGTAGTTATGTTTTAAAGATTTAGGGGCTAGTATTAGAACCTTAGAGAAGGTATCTAATTAGGAATATAGTAAGGCTAAGGTAAGCCTAAGAAAGCAGGAGGGGCAAAAGAAATTTATATAGAGGTAATAATAAGTTATACAGGGCAAAGGGGTGGCGGAGCTTAGGAGCTTAGGAGCTTAGTACTCCGGATTAATAGCAAAAATACCTTATACGGAGGAGAAAAATAACAGGTTAGAGAACAAGGGATGCTGGGCTTGGGGGAACTGGGGACTATATACCACCACGCACAGAGAGGCGTAAGGACACTTGACGCTAAACCAAAAACAATGAGGCTAAACCTAACGGAGTAATTCGTTGTCCCCCTCCGATATGGTGTAGTGGCTAACATCGTCGTCTCTCACACGACAGCCGGGGGTTCGATTCCCCCTATCGGAGTTTCTTTTTGATTTCCTTTTTCTCTTCTCTCCAAATGATTTCAATTGGAGGCATTACGTTTTTATTGATTGATAAATGGAGTTTTCGCCGAAGTCGAGTTCCTCGGAGCCGAGAAGATTGAAACAATGTTAGTCAACCTGGACACGACAAGGAAAATGGACATGAAAAAAAAAAGCATTCAATCTTGGAGATTCTATTCTCTTTGAATGTCACAAGAGATCAAGGCGTGCTATTCAAGCAATTTTAAAATTACTTCCTGGGTTATATAGATAATCTCTCAGCTTGGCTGCTTATCATGAAACGGCTAACGCACGGGACTAATGACATGAGGCTCTCTCGGCCCTCTCAACCCGAGCTGTATCCGAGGTGCAATCTATTTCCAATGGACATCTGGAATTTGAGTTTGTCCCTGTGGGGACCAAGTCAGCTGGCAATGATCTGGAAGTTCCAAGGTTACAATCTTTTTTTAAAAATCAATCAAAAATTGTGTGTGAATTAATCTACATGAAAACCTCCGGACCGATCAAATTGGGTCAATGCTCCGGCCGAGAACCAGGGGAGCGCAGACTAGTTTCAGGTCAGTGCATCGGCATTCCAGAGCATTGTGGTAAAATCTGGCGAGGGTTCAGTGCGGAGTCTCAACCTTGACAGGTCATTGCGCGATCGATATAATCGCTAACACCGGCATTGTTCTCCACACTAGTTTCTTTGTGGCTGATAGGGCACTTTGCTCCTTCACTAGCCGCGGCCATGTTCCCCTCTAGGAACTTCGCTTAGGACGAAACCGCCTAGAACTTCCACAACTCGTGGGAAAAGAATGGGAATTAATATACAAAAGTACAAAAGTACGGGTAGTGACGCGGCAGTTGAAACGGGGGAAAGGAAGAGAGACAGGGTTAAGAATCTTAAGATTCCGGGACGAGATCTCTCAACCAGAGGAAGAAAACTGGAAAAAGAGGAAAATATAACGGAGTAAACGTGGTAGAATATAGTAAGGAAAGGTGGGAAGAAAAGTGGGAAACAGAAAAAAAAGAAGAAAAAAAAAAGAGCAACATTTTTAATGGAAAACCCGGCAATTCCATTTGGATTGGCCCGATACTCTGGTTCGCAGCGTAGGCGACTCCGGATCCACTCGATCTCGATCTATAGGTGACCAACCGCCACCCAAGCCTTTTGATCCTGTGGATTGCCCCTCTCCAACTTGAAAATGTTCCCTTTGCGGATGTTGGACGCGATCCGAGACGAACCGGCTTTTGGGGCCTTTTCGGTCTTGGCTTATATATGCAAGGCACCCTCAGAAAAACCATCTGGATCTCTCTGATCTTTTGCCCTGATACAATACACAATGGGTCTCTCAGAACGTTACCCTGCATATGGAGGCCGCGGGCCCGACGATTTGCGTTTGGGACTTGGTCTCGGCGCTGTCGCCACCATTTTTATGGCCATGCGTGTCTATGTGCGACTTCGAGTCAATAAGTTCGGTACTACGGCTTTGATCTGGTCTCTCGTGGCTTGGGTATGAATTCCATTACATTCAATTGCATTCAATCAATTGGTGTCTATCATTTATTGAAATGTTGCCGATCATCATGCTAACCCACTTAATTTTTAAATCTAGTTCCTTACAACAATCACACAAACCTTTGGTGTCATCTCCATTCTTCATGGACTCGGAAATAGAATCGCAATCGTTGAGGAAACGGGCCAATTGGGCAACTACCTTCTTTTCACATGGATCACCGTCTTCTTTTTCAACATGGCCATCCCCATTGGAAAAGTGGCTGTGGCGGCATTTTTGATTGAGATGAATTCACAAGGCAGTACGTCACCCTTTCCCCACATCCCAATGGATCTTTCAATTTATACCGTCAATCACAAGAAACAATGAGTACTGACAATATTTTCTCTCTCCAGATCGCAGAATCCGCCAAAGTCTGGTCTTCGTCGCCGTCCTCAACATCGTCATCAACATCCCCCAGGTCCTCCTCGCCTGGTTCCAATGCAGTCCACCAAAAGCCCTCTGGGACCCCGACCGCCAGGATCTATGTGACCACAGAACAAGTGTGCACTACACTTACTTTGTCGGTGCAGTAGCCGCAGTCTCCGATATCTACCTTGCCGTCATCCCCGCCACAATGCTGGCCCCACTCCGCATCGACCGCAAACTCAAATGGGGTTTGAGTTTCCTCATGGGCTGCGGTGTCTTCGCCGGAGCCGCCGCCATCGTCCGAACTTGGGCCGCCAAATTCATCATGAGCGATGACCCTTCATGTGAGTTCCCTTAAACCCAACCCAAACCCCAATCCCATCTACTCCTGCTAATTCAATCCAAAAACAGACGGTGTCGGCACTCTTTTCCGCTGGGGTGAAGTCGAGGAATGGGTCGTCCTCATCTCCATGTCCATTCCGCCCGTGTGGCCTCTCTTCCGACCCTTCACGAGCCGCTTCATCAACTCGACCGGACACTCGCGTACCCCGCGCCAGAACTACATGTATAACCAGTACGACTCCAAGCGAGCGGAGCTCAACTCGCACGCTGAACCGCCCATCATTACAACTACCATTTCGATCTCGTCTACCAAGGGCGTTACGGCTGCTGCTGAGCCCGTGGCTGCGTCGTCGTCCAGTGGCTCGATTTCTAGGTTTGAGGAGGATGAGCCCGAGACGCCGCATACTGTTCTCAGTCGGAATGGTGATCCAGAGGGCTGGGTGGAGATGTCCCATTATAAGAATCGTCATGCTCAGTGAGAGCGTGATTGATGCACATTCTTTTTTATTATTTTTCCTTTCTTTCTCAAAACTATATAATCCTGTGTAAATAAATAGAAGTCGAGCGCAAGCTCTTATAGAGAATGATTTTTTCTGACCTATATCTACATCTCATAAGCATACTAGTATTCAGGTTATGATCTAAAGAAAATTATAGCTTGGCACTGGAAGCTTGATTACTACCCTTTCCATGGGAGGTTGAGTCTTTCAGGGGCCGTTACCAGTTGACTCAAGTATTAAATGCATGTGGTCAACTAGAAACGCCAAACCTTACTTGAGGTGTGTCAGTTCATATGCCGTAATGATACGCCCATCTCTCACTGGCCGCGCGTTCTATCTGAACCATCCGCTGAATGGGCCGGAGGAACCTAGGGCGCCGCGAAACAATCAGAAAGCCTCAAGGTAATATTCAGCTCGATTTCAGCTGATGTCTAGACCTTATATATACCAGTTGACATGTATATACTATATGTAGTACACATTAGTAAACCTCGGAATCAAATTGCAGTCAGTACGACCTAAATGGCATAGTTATAGAGCTGAAGGAATTACATCAGCAGGTAGTATTCCAAGATTATTCTTTTCGCAACCACACATGCAGAGTTTTCAATATTCAAGTGGCTCCAGATGTCATGTTGGAATGATCAAAACTTGGAATACTCGGTGTGGTTGATTCTCGGTTGTTGCACATGTGGACATGTGGACCTTGAATGTCTGAGATCTCGGGATGATACCGAGAACGTCAATTTTCAAGATCAGTTGATTAATAACATAAATGTATACTGAGACATCATTTGAAGCGTTTCAGGGCGCTTGGAAGTACATATGTATTCAAATGGCATACGTGTGGGCCTTCATATGTGCATGAGCTCATGACCTCCGGGGCCGATAACCCTGGAGCTGAGCGATTCAATCGATACCTACATCTTCAAGGCGTGTGCGAGCACTTGAGTACTCTTGAGTAGAGTGGACTTCCAAGGTTGACTGGCTGTTTAAAATTTGAACTGTTCAATTTTTCTTTAGTGGTGCACAGTCCTCAAGTGGAGGGTAATGTGTAAATGCTAACACACATGCAAGTTTCAACATGTATGTGCATGTAACCAGCCTCCCGAGGGACCCTGGACGGACTACGGTGCTGTTGTGCATTCAGGTTGATCTAATCTGATCCACAGATCACATGCACATGTGCACATGGAGCCAAAAAAGATTTAAGTCAGAGTTACTAGTAAGGTTGGCATTTACGGCCCCCCCTGGGAAAAATCTCGATGCAGCTGACAGCCGACACCTAGATCTACAGATGTTGACGGTCGAGCCGACTTTGAATATATGTAGTCACAGAAAGTTGATGGCTCGGAGCTCCAAATTTGGAAGTACCCTTGGACCCTCAACTAAGATGAATTTCGACAGGGCAACGAAAGCTGAAATTTTGGACTATCTGAATACATGTATGAGGGATTATTGTTTTTGGGGATTTTTCTGAAACGTCGGCTGGCATCCTTCAGGATACTATTGACGCCCGACGAAGTCTCAAATTTGGTCTTCGACTTGTACACAGGGAGGATACAGGGAGGCAAAGTTGGATGTTGCGTGTGCTTGGGCAGCTATATGGGAATCTACATGGATACTGTTAGGCACGAAGTCATTTCTGCGCGGGGTAGAGGGGGTACATATGGATATTCATTCTGTACATGTGATATGAACTCGAAGGAGCCGATGCTCTGGCAGATCCACATGCATGGATGCACATAGAGAGGCTGCCAAGTTAGACCTGGGCAAAGCACAGACAGTGCTTTGACAATTTACATATCAAATACTACAAATCTTACGCTACGACACAGAGTGAACGTTTTAACGTGTTTAGTCAGACATGCTCTTTATTTCCAGGAGACCGCGAGAGAAAACGGGATCAGAGACACCGTAGGGTTGTTCGGGTCAAAGATGCGAGGGAGATCAAAAATATGTGGAAAGGAAATAGAAACTCCCGTCTGTCTGGCCATGCGTATGATAACGCATAACCAAGAGCAAGAACGGAAAGCTGGAATCACCCTGTCTCGTCCTCGTTCTCTCTCGCTCAATGCTCTCAGGAATTGTCCTCCTCATGCATAAAACACCCGTCTTCTCTCCGCTAGCCCCGTCTGGTCGTCATGATAAAAAAGGTTGGAAAGTGTGTGTGGATGTGGAAAAATAACAGAAAGGAAACGTAAACAAGAATCGCCGGGACCAAGCTCCGATTTTTTTGATGTCATCTCATTTTTGCCCTGCTAAGCATTTAAGCAAACTCAAGTACGACCCCCGAAACACATTAAGCCCTGGGTGACATGTTTACTCCTCATCAGACTCCTCCTCGTCAACGGTGGTCTTGGCGATACGGTCAAGATCACGCTGGCCGGACTGAGTGATGCGACGGCCACCCTTGTCCTCATCGTGCTCAAGGACACCGATCTTCTCGAGGGCCTGGAGAGCCTTGCGGTCAACGGAACCGGAGGCGTCAACGTGGTGGCCGGGGCGGGAGCCGCGGTTCTTGGTGGAACCGTGGACCTTGCGGAGACGGCCGACACCGACGGTCTTGCGCATGTAGATGTGACGGGCGACAGCGGCGGCGCGGACGTAGAACCTTCAAAAAAAAATCATGTTAATTTCACTGAACGTAGAGGGGGGGTTTTTTTTCGCTGGGAGTAAAAGGTAGGTCGGTCGTACCAATCAGCGTCCTGGGGGGGAAGCTCGTTGGAGGCGGAGGTCTTGACAGTGTCGACCCAGCCGGGGATGGGGAGCTTTCCCTGACGCTTCAGGAAAGCGGAGTAGGCAGCAATGAACTTCTGCGCCTGTAGATGAGAAAGAAAACAATATGTTAGCGTCGTGGATTCATTCGAGTGTGGTCTGGTCTTGGCGAAAAGGGCGCATAAGTGCATATATGTGGTGGGTTCGTTTCCATCGGCAGGTTGTTCAAGGTCCATCTCTTGTCGCTGAAGCATAGGTTGTCTCATGCTTGAATGGCCATTGCATTCAAATGTATCTGTGTCGTAAAACGCGAATGCTGATCTTTGTGATCAACATTCGAATTACGCCACACACACACACACTTGAATCTTCAATGCCACCCCTTCTGCCCAGAAGCAGATTATCCTCCCGTTTCCATTCCGATATTTCCAGACGATAGGCCTGCTGTCGCTGCAAATGACCTCCTTTTGACGAACCGAGACCTCCGGAAACGAACTTTGACACATATATGCATGGCGAAGACCTGGTGGACGAGGGGCTGATCTGAGTGATCAGGGAGGACACTTACGTCCACATCGCGAACGGTAACACCACCCATTTTGGCGACTTGTTGAGGGCGTAGGGGTTGAGAGAGTCGTAGGGCGGGAAGTCGAGGTGGGCAGGGTCGAAGTCGAAGAGTCCAAAATTTCGAGACACACAAACTCTTGCCCCGGTTGGGTTGCGCTGGCGTCTGTGTGGTTCGCTTAGCCTATTTGGGTTTAGCCGTACCCTAAGTGTGTGTGTGCCTCAGGCGATGGTCACCTGATACAAAAGTCACATGACTGTGTAACGCTGATTTGGAAATGAGGCACCAAGGCAGCAGGTATATTCAATCTAGTTAGTTGATTATCATTGTTACTCATTTTTATTACGCTGTTCATGATCTGTTTCCATCTAGGACCCATTTCATCACTTTACTTAGTAAAATGCAACGGAAATTTATAAAATAAAAGTTTATCAAAATGTTCATTAATCATCCATATCCTAATCACACAAATCTGCTGGTTCGTTTCTCATAAAAAAAGGTAATCCGTAGAATAACAAAACACAAAAACGCGGGAAACCTTCGCCATATGCCTCTGAACCTCTGAACTTGTCTTGTTCTCCGGTCCTATTCTAATCATAACGCCATGAAACCGAAAATAAAAAATTCTTTACAAAATTACAGGGTGGGAACCCTCTTGATTCCCGCGTACCGAGCATGGAGTTCGTCAATGAAGTGATCATGGCGAATACCAGGAGGTCGGCACTGATTGAACTCGGCGACCGCGTCTTTGACAGGGTAGTCCAGTTGCTCAATCAAGTAGCACACGATGAGGAAGCCGGTTCGGTTGTATCCATAATGACAGTGCACGCCGACCAGTGGGCGTGGGATGGATGGATCCTCACGCTTTTCCATTTGGTCGTCAATCTCCTTCTGCAAGCGTTCGACCAGGGCAATGAAGTCTCGAACCTCGTCGGGAGTCGGAGGAAGCTTTGAGACGGTCGGATGCTTGCAGTAATGGATACCGCCCTTTTCCATCTGTGCCGGACTGTAGACTGGGCTTTCGTGGCTGATGTCGATGACAGCATAAATCTTGTCGCGGTATTCCGCAGAGAACTTGACTGGGTTGTGATGTTCATCTACCTCTCGTAGCATCTTCATTGCCCGGAAAGTATTCGCAATTGGCGCTGAGACTGGTGCAACCTTTTGCCACTTGGCGAGGTTCTTCACGTCCCACTTGCCCGAAGTATTCAGGTGTTGTAATTGCCATCCCAGCCCAAGTCGCTTGTCAATGTTTGAAGCCAAGAATCCTTGAATGATGCCAGCCAGAGTACGGTAGGTCGCTCGATCGTACAGAAGAGCATGCGATGCGGGAGCTGGGAGGATGGCCGACTTCACCAGTCTCTTGCGCTCGTTGGCAGAGTTGGACTTTGTCAGCTTTTCATTGTCAATCACCACCTGGACAACAGACTTTTCTTGGCCTGTAGCGTTGTTGGGAGATGCCGAAACTTGGTCATGAACTCTTGAAGCATCCGGGATAATGCTGCTTCCAGTGGTGTCGATGGTGGTATGAGCTGAAGCATTGCCAAAAAACTTCAGAAGGTTTTGGATTTCAACCGGTTTCGTCACTGCATCTGCTTCTCCTGCCACCAGCAGAATTGGCATGTGAACACCGGCCCAAACCTTCTCTCCTGGCATACCTCCAATGGCTTCGTCACCTTTGTAGGTCGGGAGCGATCCCCAGGCCATGCGACGCCAAACGGGAGTCCGGCTTTGCTTGTTGAAGCGGACCTGGAGGTCTCGTGTCTGTGCATCGGCATCGCTGCCTACCATTCTCTTAACGCTAGCGCTTTGCTCACCGCCGCGTCGGTCCCACAAACGCCACAGATCAAAGATAGGGCCTGGAATGTGAAGTAGGCGGCGAGCGATAGCGGTCTCGTGAGGCGAAGGAGGCGATGCTCGGGGACAGACTGCGATTAACCCAACGATATGGTCTCTGAGGGGGGTTGCGATGGGCGAGGTAGTCGAAGCGAGGAGAGCAGACAATGAGCATCCCAGGCTATGGCCCACTAGAATCACATCTTGGTCGGGGTCCCTTTGTTGCTCAATAGCGACTGCCAGCAACTCAGCTAGAGCCTCCACGGTGTATGCGTCCCAGTTGCTGGGCTCAAACTTGGAGAGACCGCAACCAGGTAGATCAATACCAAAGCAAGACCCGACATTTGACAGACTAGTGAGAAGATGATGGAACTGTGCGAGCGATCCACCGAGTCCGTGTACAAACACAAGTAGAGGAAGCGGCGATGGCTTGGTGGGCAGGCGGTCCAGGTGTGGGTGTCGACAGAAAAAGGTTCGAATTTCGGGATAAGTTGCCACGGAGGTGGTGTACTTTTGATAGGAGGTAAACTTCTTCAGAATTCCAGGGTCGGTTTTGAAAGCTGGGTTCCAGTTAGGTATGATCTTGGTGGCGGTGACGGCTGCGTGAAGAGATTTTGACTTACCATCGGATGTCTTTTTCTCAGGTTGAGAGTACTCTTCGACTGGGCGAGATGGAAGGGTAGCATGTCGCAAAGACCCATTGCTATCATAGTCTTCATCTTCGTAGTCATCGTCCGACGAGGTGAGTGTCTTCGAAGACGACTTGGTCAAAGTTTTGCGAATGCTGGAGCGCTGCGAGCGAGATTTTTTCGCTGGCGAGCGGCGCCGGAGAGAAGAAAATATACCACAGCCAGCCATGGTTATCACACAGGTCATGAGAAACACAACTTGGCCCCAGTTTACTTTGTCATTGCGATAGAGGTTGCGAAGGTGGTTTGCGACAGAAGTGAGAGAGGCCTGTTGGGCCGCTGCACGTGCCGAATTGTAGTAGAGTTGTAAAAATGCCGCAAGGCCCGAGCGATTGGTGGACTGGGCAGACAAGGATTCGTAGAGGGAGGACAAAATGTTGGGCGATTCATTGTTCCCCATGACGCCTGGTCGGGTTTATACGTATCAGAAAATCCCAGCAAGGAGTCTTTGATCTCTACTTCCCCAAGGTTCTGGACCCTCGGGGATCTCACAAGCAAACCACGCGAGGACACGACAGATCCTCCTTGGATACGGAAGCTTCGGAAGCCAGAATCCCGCAATGCGACACCAATGAAAATGGTTTGATCGACAACGTTGAACAAGTGGAAGTGAAGGAGGGAAAAAAAGCATTTAGGCTCGGCCAGTCAAAAGGCGGAATGCAGCCCGTGGGGGAAACAACGTGACTCAGAAGGCCCACTTGGTGGTGAATGACGCGGTGGCGGTGAGCGATAGCACAAATAGGAACAAATAGGGGCGCATTACGCCTATTACTCTCGATAACTTGGGTTCTTCTAGAAAAATAGAACAAATAGATCCATGGGAATTATGGAGTCTCTCCGGGAAACTATAAAAAACAAAGAACCAAACTAATGCGAAATATCCAGCCACGATGGAGGTTGATTGGATTATATGCTAATATGGGGGAGATTCTGGATCTGGATCTACACAGAGAACTTGTTTACTTGACTAAGATCGGGTTATCTCTACTAACGTACGTATCCGTACTCAAGGGGGGAGGATCCACACGGCATGGTTTCCCATGTCGTACCTCCGTACCTCCGTACCTCCTGACTCCTATACTTGTTGTGACATGTCGAAATACACACGTCCACGTTAAACTTGCGGTGTACTATGTACTGCACATTGTGATATGTTGCACCTTGCTTGACCCTTGTGGACCTATCTATCAATGAGTATGTACGGAGTAGTGTATAAGCCAATATTGCCACATTTTTCGTAGGTATTCCATTCAACACAACTTATTCCATCCCGTGGAAGACTTTAGCAAGGGCGACCTTGAAACAAAAGCTTGATGCAACCAGAACAGGCTTGCTTGGCCAAAGCTGGGCATTTCCCCCTAGTCTACTCGCCGATCCGTTCTTTATCCTACCGTGTTTTCGTAATCCTTTGAATCAAATCAAAACAACCACAAACAAGGCCCGTTCTCTTGTAGCTACCTCATAACAGGCCATGGATCTCTTGCTCCACCGGATTATCGGCTAGGGGGGAGGGACCAACCACTAGCCCGCGTCTGACGAATCCAATCCCTCGTGCTTGAGCAAAGGTACTTTATTCCCGGAGAGCTTGGTCGTGGCCGTCATGGATCGGTGGCAAGAAAATTATGAATAACCAAAAGTACATTTCTTTCCCGTGTCAACCTTGACGATTAATTTCGGTCACCTACAGTAGTGAGGCGGAAGGGGCATGTGAGGCTTGTGGGTCACCCAAATCATCGGTTGATTTGAAGATCTGGGCCCCAAGTCCAGCTTGGCCAATCGGAAGACCAAGATTCTCTTCATGCGTACGGAGTTGTTGTCCACTCGTGGGCTAAGTAAGACGCAGCTCCGACGGCCAGGTAAGCGGGATAAGATAGCATATTGTTGCGACGTGGACAAATCAGCAAACAACTTTTGATATTCAGAATCTCAATTTCTTTATATTTTATAAGCAAAAAAAAAAACAACCTAGAATAGATCTGTCATGGCGCCATGAGAAGCGTCGCCCACCAGGCGTGCATATTTGGCCAACACACCCCGAGTAATCTGGGGCACGGGTGGAGTCCACTGCCGACGGCGCTCCTGAAGCTCCTCGTCAGATACAGCCATTGACAACTCATTAGTGTCCGCATCGATAGTAATAACATCTCCGTCTTTGACAAGGCCAATGGGACCGCCAACGGCAGCCTCGGGTGTAATGTGACCAACAATGAATCCGTGGCTCGCACCAGAGTAACGTCCATCCGTGATAAGTGCAATGTTGTTCAATTTAGCGCCCATGAGTGCGGCACTGGCCTTCAGCTGCTCCGGCATGCCAGGTCCACCCTTGGGACCTTCATAGCGAACAATCAAAACCAGATTCTCACCGCGGGGAATACGGCCTTCGTCCAGGGCCTCATTAAGCTCATGCTCCTTGTTGAAAACGCGAGCCTTTCCTGTGAACCGGAGACCCTCTTTACCAGTAATCTTGGCGACCGCACCGCCAGGTGCGAGATTGCCACGCAGAATCTGAAGATGACCCGTCGCCTTGATAGGATTCGACAACGGACGAATGAGAGTCTGTTCCTGGGGAAGTGAGGGCCAAGATGCCACATTTTCGGCTAGAGTCTTGCCAGTCACGGTGGGGATATCGCCATCCAATAGACCCGCTGCGATCAGCAGCTTCTGCACGGACGGAATGCCGCCGATCTCGTAAAGGTCCGCCATATAGTACTTGCCACTGGGCGACAGATCGGCAATAAAGGGGATCTTGTTGCTGACACGCTGGATATCGTCCAAAGTCAAGTCAATTTCCGCTGTGCGGGCCATGGCCAGGAAATGTAGGACACCGTTGGTGCTACCACCCAGAGCCATGGTCATCACCAGAGCATTGTCGAAAGCTCGCTTGGTGAGCAAATCGCGTGGCCGAATGTTCTTCTCCATGCAGACCTTGATAGCATCGGCAACACGCACACACTCGCGCATCTTTGTGGGGGATGAAGCGGGGGTAGACGATGATCCGGGCAAAGACAGACCCATAGACTCGATGGCGGTGGCCATGGTGTTTGCGGTGAACATACCGCCACATGCACCGGCGGTAGGACAAGCGTGCCTCTCGAGGTCATCCATGATCTCATCCTTGGTCTTGCTAGTGTCGCCGCCGTCGTCGGGCTGCTTGAGGCTATCGTATGCATATGCACCAGCCGCCTCAAAGCAGGTTGAGACGTTGATAGGTTTTCGGAGGGTCTTTGAGTATCCGATATTTATGGTACCACCGTAGATCATGATTGATGGGCGGTTATGACGCGCCATGGCCATGACCACACCGGGCATGTTTTTATCGCAGCCGGGAATAGCGATACAGGCATCGTGAGCCTGAGCACAGGTGACAGTCTCCACGCTATCCGCGATAACTTCTCGAGTTTGGAGGGAGAATCTCATGCCTTAAGAAGTTTATTTTGTCAGTAAAACAATCATTATCTCTAGATATAACTCCACCTTATGGTAGCTCTTGTGCAATCATATAATGACTTACCATCGTTGCCCATGGTAATTGCATCTGAGACACCAATGGTGTTATACTGCCACCCGAGCATGCCCTTCTCCACCACAGCTTTCTTCACAGTTTTTCCCAAATCCATCAAATGCATATTGCATGGATTACCCTCCCACCAAACGGACGCAATTCCCACATGCGGGGCCTTGGCCATCGCTTCCTTGTCTGGGACACCAGCCGCGAAAAGCATAGCCTATATACTATGTCAGCATTGTACAAAAGAGTAATTGATCTATAGACAGACTCTTGCGCCCGGGAAATCATGACCCTTTGTGATGGCCGATGACCACCGGTTCAGTGCGGGGGAACCATCTGGGTGTTTGGCGTCCGGAGGTAGACAAGGGAAATTGATATATTTTGGCTCCGACACGGTCGGTTCTGAGGAATCCATGGTGATTTCAATGTTTTGAATGACCAGCACTTAAGACAAATCCAAGAAAGTTTGGAGAACTGGAGAAATAATTATTGTCACCGCCAGTTGTGTTGCTGTTCTGTTGAATCTGTCATTATATGTGGGGTTCGCACTTCAGTCCGATCCGGTGGACCCCGCGTTGGCTGGGAGTTGACCACTCATTGCTGACGGATTTCAGATCTCGGAGTTGCGCCTATTACCTCGCTCCCGCTCGGTTCATGATCCGTTGCGGGGACTGTCGATTACAGTAAGCTTATCATTGTTGGCTGTGCCATCAATAGATGAGAGAGAGATCTGAATCTTGGAATTATAATATTTAGGAGCTGCACAGGTGGATGGATACTTTAAAACGTTGTGAACATTGGCTTGAGTATTAAGCACAGTGCTTCCACATGCAATGTTGGTAGTCAATGCACAGCCTAAATATATGTATATCTGCTTGGTATGTACAATGTTGAAACAAAAATTCGAACATTGAATAGAATACACATCAATCAACTGATGCTCAGCACCAGTTTTGCAACAAGAGAATAAATACTAAGTACACATGTGCTGATAGACATCTGGAATGTAGCAGTGCATTCAAGGACTTTCGTATTTTCGAGGAGAATGCCCGGAAGTACCACTCTATTGACGCTGACAAACGTCATCGACAATCAAACTCCAAATCGGATACGATCCATGACATTTCAAGCTTTGCGACTGGAGTTTCCATTTAATCCCCTAAATTCCTTAAACCGAACTATACAGCCACACAGAATAAGAAACTTACTGGACAAAGCCTCTTGTTGACACCCAGAAATCAAAATGAGCACAGATATCCTAGTGGCTCAGATGATCGGCACGCTCGGCTGCGGCGTTGCAGCAGGTGAATCCGCCCACTGGGAATCTACAGTTGAAAAACTAACAAGAACTTGCATCTGAATTACAGGTGGTATGATGACGCTCTCTGTTTTGAGCATCCCCAACCTCACCCTACCACCGCGTCAGCCGTCCTCAGTCACCATACTTTCGCAGCAAGGACCGGGCACCCCGATTCCACACCTCGCGCACCAATGGCTAGATATCTACGAGCGGGGGAAAAGAACCTTGCCTGTAATCGCGCTGGGTGCTTCGGTTGCGAACGGATATCTTGCTTGGGTCTTGAGAGACACAGTGGCACCGGACTCAGGTATTATGGGTGGCAGTTGGACCGGATGCTATGTGACGGCGATTACTGCGACAATGGGGATCGTTGTCTGGACATCGACGGTAATGAAGAGCACGAATGATCGATTGACGGCGATTGCAACGCGGGATGATGTGTCGGTGGCGAAGGGGACGGTCGTGGGTGACCAGGAGAAGGCGAGACGCGCCAAAGAAGATGCCGAGGTTCCTGAGCTGTTGAAGAGGTGGACAAATTTGAATCTATATCGAGCGCTGTTTCCGTTGACTGGGGCTGTTATTGGGTTGTATGGGGTCGCAAAAATGAAGTATGAGTAAAGTAGCAATGGTCTTAATGGTTACAGAAATTGGGTATGATGCATCTGATTTACACCTCAGGCATTACTAATGCATGATTGACTCGCAGCTTATTATTGGTTTAACTTTATATAACCAAGGATTTGACTTTCCTGCATCAATTGGTTCCATAGCTCAGTTGGTTAGAGCGTCGTGCTAATAACGCGAATGTCGAGGGTTCGACCCCCTCTGGGACCATTCTTTTTGACAATATTTTTTTACAGCCTGAAATCCTAACTGCCAAGAGATCTCGTGATTCCGCTCCGCTATCTTGGCACGCCAGTCTTATAAGCCATGGTTAAAAACTGTGGGGGAGCCAATCAGACCCCCTGCTTTGACATCGTGCTTTGTGTGACGAGCGTTTGATCACTACATGTATATACTCCGTAACTTCAATATCATGAATCCGGGGAGTACAAGGAGTATTTTTGTCCCCCGACCCATCTCCGTAATTGTAATAGTAAATACTGTTGTAATCCCGAGCCTGAGACCTTGAAGTTTCTTTTTCCAAAGTATTGATACAGGTATCAGGCCTCTCTGACACGTGCGCTGTGAATATTGTGCTCCGTGACAGAGTTGTTTACTTCACTCTTCCTTTCCTTCTCTTTTTGACTTTGAATACTAACTCTCTTTTTCTCTTTCTCCTCCTCCTCTTCTCTTCACTTCTACTAACAACATTCGTTCAAACAAAACTAGCTCCTCGCAATGATGAAATTCTCTCTCTTGATATTTTTGCTGGCCGCTGCCACTCTGGCTCTCGCTGGTGTGGCAACCGTCTCGGAGCCTGACAAGTCTGATATCTTGAAGGCTCAGGCGACCACCCTGCCCGAGGTCTCCACTTCTAATGTCAAGGGTCTTGTTTTTGATCGCTTCTACCAGGTGTGGTTGGAGAATATCGTAAGTGTCAATTTGGATCCCTCAAAGAATGAGCATAACTGATACCTCACTCCAGGATTGGGAGGACTCCTTAGTAGATGAGAACCAAGAGTTCTTCGCCAAACAGGGTATTCTGCTGTCAGTGAAAATCTCTATTTTCTCTTTCTTGTTTTGTTTTCATTACTGAGTGTTGTGTCCAGTACCAACTTCTATGCTGTTGCTCACCCCTCGGAGCCCAACTACTGTGCTTCAGCTGGTGGTGACACCTTTGGCATGGACAATGACGATTTCCACCAAGTTCCGGCCAATGTCTCCACCGTTGCTGATCTGCTTGACACCAAGTCTATCTCTTGGGCTGAGTACCAGGCAAGCAAAAATAAACCGCTCTCCTACCCTGCTTCACTACTAACAAGAGTTTTTCAGGAGCACCTGCCCTACCCTGGATACCAGGGATACAACTACTCAAACCAGCAGACCTACAACCCGGACTATGTTCGCAAGCACAACCCCCTGGTTCTCTACAACTCTATCACTTCGAACGATACCCGTACCCGCCAAATCAAGAACTTCACCAACTTTGAAGATGATTTGAAGAACAAGAAGCTTCCCCAGTGGGCCTTCATCACACCCAACATGACAAATGATGCGCACGATACCAATGTTACTTTTGGTGCAACTTGGGAGCGAATGTGGATGGAGCGCCTGCTGTTGGACAAGTACTTCAGCGATAACACTGTCGTCCTCTTGACCTACGACGAGGACCACACTTACACCAAGCGCAACCGCATCTTCAGTGTTCTGGTTGGTGGTGGTATTCCCGACGAACTCAGGGGCACCAAGGATGACACCTTCTACACCCACTACTCCACCATTGCTACAGTTTCTGCCAACTGGGGTCTTCCATCTCTGGGTCGCTGGGACTGTGGAGCCAATATCTTCAAGCTGGTGGCCGACAAGACTGGTTATGTGAACTACGATGTGGAGATTGAACGCCTGCGTCTCAACAACACAAACCCTGGCCCTTTCTCGGACAACACATACTCCAAGTTCTCAGCTGATTGGCCTAACCCTGCGACTGAGGGTGATTGCTCTGCTGGTCATGGTATCTTGGACATTGTCAAGAAGAACTTCAATGGTACCAAGCCTAGCCACAACTACACCTTCCCTTTCCCATGGGATGAGAAGGCCGAATACAACGTCAATGTCACTGCCACTCGCAAGGTGGATGGTAAGAAGGTAGATATCACCTCCTCGAGCACCAGCACTGCGGCCAAGGCCAGTGGCTCCAAGGGTGCTGCCACTGTCGTTCTACCCGGCTCGGCTTCTCTGACTGGGGCCTTCGTGGCCGCCCTTGCCTACTTCCTGTAGGCTATTTCGCTTTTATCAGTTTTCATGGGTAATATTTTGCCCAGCAAATATGGATGGTTATTGTTGCTTTCTGCATATCTATCAGTGTTTCGTGGCTGGTTTATCCGAGGTATTTTGTTATTTTTTATGGGCTGATCTTCCTTCGTGTGGTGTGACGCAAGGTGCTAGTAGCTACGACTCAAAATGAAATCATGAGATTATGAAATTACGAATTGACAAAAATAATTGTAGCGCTGCATTCCCGAAAATGAATATAATATTATGACCAAATACATCATCAAGTCGATTTGATGACAATCGTCTTCGTCTGGAGGAAGTTCTCAATGCTGTACAAAAGACCCTCCCTTCCACTTCCACTCATCTTGTAGCCGCCAAAAGCAGCATCCTTCGCACCAGTCGGAGCAGTGCAGTTAACTCCAACAGTACCCGCCTGCAAAGCCTTGGACAAACGAATCGCCCGATCAAGATCCTTCGTAAAGACCGACGCATACAGCCCAAACTCCGTATCATTAGCCTTCTTGACAACCTCCTCCTCCGTCTTGAAAGTCTGAATAGCCACAACAGGCCCAAAGATCTCCTCTTTCATCACTCGCGAATCCTCCGAGAGATCCTCAAAAACAGTCGGATTCACAAAGAACCCATCTTTCGCATCCCCACCCATCGTCAACTTACCCTCCTTCTCGCCAAGACCAAGATACTCTTTGATGCGGTTGTACTGCAGATAATCGATCTGCGGGCCGTGCTGCGTCGTAGGATCAAGCGGATCGCCCATCTTGACACTGGCAAACATGGCCTTGAAACTCTCCGTGAACTTCTCCTTGATGGACTCGTGCACGTAGATCCGCGAGTTGGCGGTACAGACCTGTCCGCTGTTGAACTGGATGCCGAACATGGTTTGCCCGGCGGCGGATTGCAGGTCTGCGTCTTCGAAGACGATGGCGGGCGATTTTCCGCCCAGCTCGGTGTGGACTGACTTCATGTTGCTCTTTGCTGCGGCCGCGTGGATCTTTTGGCCTGTGAGCGAGGAGCCGGTGAAGCTGATGGCCCGGACTTTCATGTGCTCGGTCAGGGCTGAGCCGGCTGGGGCGCCGTGTCCTGAGATAATATTGATGACTCCTGGAGGGAACCCGGCTTCTTGGATCAATTTGGCCATGTAAAGCGACTAGAAAGAAGCAGAAAACGAGATTAGAGATTTCGAGAGCCAAGTTGTTTTGATATGTACGGCGTGAGATATACTCACAGTCAACGGAGCCTTCTCACTGCTCTTCAGCACAACGGTATTACCAGCAGCGATAGCAGGCGCTACCTTCCCAGCGAAGTTCACCAACGGGAAGTTCCAGGGGATAATCAGTCCCACCACGCCAAACGGCTCCTTGACCGTCATCTTGAAGGTTCCGGGGGTATTAGTACTGGCCGTGCCCTGCACGGTCCAGGCATAGTCGGCATAGTATCTGAAATAATCTGCGGCTAATTCTGCATCTGGGAAAATGGAGACTGGGCGACCGATGCTCAGGGTCTCAAGTTTGCCTAGTTTGGGGATAGCTTCGCGGATGAGATCGGAGAGCTTGCGTAGATGCTCGCCGCGTCCCTGCACTCCTAGATCTCTCCAGGCGGGGAAGGCCGCTTCGGCAGCATCTACGGCGTCGTTGACATCCTGGACGTCTGCTTCATGGACTGTGTGGTTTCATGCTGTTAGTTTGATGATGTTTGATAGCTTTTAAGGTAAGTTGGGAGAAGTATGAACATACCCTTTGCAACAAGATCTTGGGTGTAGGAGTAGATGATGTCGAATGTCTTGCCGGTTGAAGATTCACGGAGCTGGTGGGGTTATCAGTCCAAGATACAGATGCTTGGGGCCAAAATGTGGCCGCTTTCCTGGGTGGAACTGTGGAGGACAAACTTACCTCGCCGTTAATGAACAGCCGAGTCTCGATCGGCTGCAATTCTTTAATAGTTTCAGCCATGGTTGAATTACGAGGAGAAAGTAGGATAAAAAATGAAGCAGAAAAGGCTAGAGGGGACAAATAAGCTACTTGTAAGCCAAGTTGCGGGGTAGGGAATTAGTCGTGTTTGAGATCCTGTCGGTGATCCTGCCCGGATTTTATACTGGACGGATCAACTGGGACGGATGCAAGCGGATAAGAAAGGGACTTACAGACTTAGAATCTGCATATATGATCAATCAGTTCGAACACAAACTACAGTATCTTCGTCATAGCGGATATGCGATGGGAGGCCCTGCTTGGTGGCGGCGCCGCGAAAAATAGTAGACCGCCACCAGACAAAGTGGGGGGCCTTATTCTTCTGAGACATTTGGACTTCAGGACGACATTCGATACGAACTTGATCTTCATCATCCTTTGACCACCAATGATATCCATGAACAGATTTGGAGAATGCAAATGTTGATAAAAAGATGGCTATTACCTACATCAGCTTATGTGCCCGAAAGCCAAGAATCAACACCGGCCCATCATGTTACCCACTATTTGGTCATCCGGGGAGAAAGCAACAGAAGAGACAGCTTCGTGGTGATACCCCACAGCCTAATAATTGGTATTTATCTTGTAAGTACTCGTAGTGGTTGACTAATAGTGGAATGCTAGGATCCAGCGGTCCGTCCCGGAAAGCGACCCGCACTGCAACTTGTAATCTAATCAACTGAGAAGTTCATCACTTAAATTATAAGAAGAAAACAGGCTATTTTGAGAACTTAGGCCAGGTTTCACTTTCGACGTGAAGTTTCCCAGAAATTTTCCTATGTTAGAAAATTGAAATGCTGGAGACTATAACAGTAAGTGACAATGTTTTTTTAAGTGCTACTAAGCTTTTCCTGAACATGAATTCTTAAGGATGATAATTGATCTTTGTCAATTCACTTAAAATTGAGAAGCGCAAGAAACTGACTGAAAGTATTGGTAGCATTATTATACATAACGGATTTCAAACACTTGTATACATTTTACAGTACAATGCGACTCTATTCAATGTTCAGGGCTTCACTTCGAGATTCCACGCTGCTTCATATCCTGCAGGTTCAGTGCATTCTGATCTCCTGGTCGGTTCTCAGAGTCGATCTTGACGTTATCTTCGGGGCCACCAGATCCATTGAATTGACCAGCTTCGGGAAGTCTAGAAAGAGGAACGGCTATGTTAACACCCGAACGGCTGATAGGTAAAGGTTGTCTCGGGATTTCTTACCTTCCCCGGTCATCGCGAGTACCACCCTCATCCTCAGGAACCTTACGGTGGTCACTGCCGGAGGCGGTTGCACCAGGGCCATACTTTAGACTAGCTCCGGCGTCGGCAAAGCGTTTGTTGGCCATTTCATCGACTCCAGACTCAAGAGCTGAATTTGTTAACGTTGAACACCAGGACTTAAAATTTTGCCTGTCATAAAGCCACGGGTATTGAGCTTACTGGAATCACTCTTTTTTCCAAGACCCTGCTTGGCTTGGTAGGAGTTGAGATCCTTCTCGGCGTCGAACGCGGCCTTGCGCAAATCTTCAACATTGGGTGCCATTTTGGAAATTATTTATTGGTTTTGCAAGTAGAAAATCAAAAACGGTTGAAAGTAGCTTTTGGAGAAATCTTCGAGAGGCGAATGCTTGGAGAAAAGAAGTGTACTGAAGAATGGATTGAAATTGAAGTACGGTTTCTCTTAGGCTATTTATACTTGAAGATAGTATATTTGAAATTTGGTTGCATCATGGAGATATCATCATAGGTATGTCATCTGGTTATAGAAGAAAAACATGCTGTGAAGAATCAATCGCTGAACGCAGTGAACAACGGGGAGCTGGTTGTAAAAAAAAATTCGAAAAACAAGATATACAGCTATGATATCGACTAGACCCTTAGTGACTTCATATAGTCTCCACTATAAAACCATAAGTTGGCGGCTCCCATTCCGGACATAGGGTTCTAACCTAGGGCTTCCTCCAGTCCGGGAAATCTAAACTCCGAGCTCCGGGGCCCGCTGAGGGGGACGCGCGCGGGCAAGCTTAATTGTAAAAGAACGTGAACTCGAAAGTCAACAGGGCATTTCCAAGTCATCCAGTGAATTTATACATGGAAAGCCCCTGAATATTCAAACGTTCGTCATCTTCAGCTACTTTTGCGGTGCCCCTTAGCCAGTTTTGATCCCTCCGACCAACCTTGACTCGATCAAAAAAGCTTCATGTCTCAGCTGATAGAGGTGCCGGGCGAGGCAAGCCCATTGAGCTACCAGAATGTAGTCAATACTTTGGTAATGGCATCTAGCTCAACTCAACAACAAGTTAAGACAGGTACCGAGCAGTTGCAGAACTGGCAGAGACAGGGATCATACCATTCAATGCTTCAGGTATCTCCAACCTTCAGATTGATCTTAGGGTTTACAGAAAAGCTAAAAATAGCATACATAGGATGTATTTTGCGATCATTCACTGCCGACCGAAGTCCGATACCTTGCCATTATTCAGTTGAAAAACGGAATCGATAAATACTGGCGAAAGACTGCGCCCAAGTGTGTTCCCCGACGGCCCACCCAACGCATGATCCGAATAAAACCTACTGACACCCATGGAAGTGCTCTCTTGAAGGACGAAAAGGAAAAAATTAAGGCAACTGCTATGCAGGCGGGTATCGCCGAACCTTCCCGCCCACTGGCCCTCCAAAATGCTTTGATGATCGCCAAGATTCTCCGCTACGAATTTCCTCAGGATTGGTATGCCCCTCCCCAACTCGATAGATTATCATGATCTAACCGCGACAGGCCCGACGCTATGGCGACAATTATTGACTTCCTGCGATCATCCATCCAACCTGGCGCCGACCCGATCCAACTTCCCCGTACCCTCTTAATCCTTCTCCAAACCATAAAAGAACTGTCCACCGCGCGCCTACAAAGAACCCGAACCCAGCTCCAGTCCGTTTCTCCCGAACTATTCCATGTGCTGGGGAATATTTACGTGGAGAAAGTCAACACATGGGTATCCATTTTGGAGCACGGGGGTGGTGACGAGGCGTCGCTACTGGATGCGATCGAACAAAGTTTAGTCTCATTGAAGGTTCTCCGACGCCTGATTATTGCCGGGTTCGAGCACCCTGGTCGCGATCAAGAGGTTCAGAAATTTTGGACATTGACTCACAACCAATTCGTGAAGTTTCTTTCTTTCGTGAATGAGTCTGGCAAGCTGCCGGAGCTCGTCGAAATAGCCATTCGGAAGCATGTGCTCCAACTCTCTAAGCTCCACGTTGAAATGGCCAAGACCCACGCAGCATCCTTTGCACTCTTCACACACAGCATTGAACTTGTCAAGACCTACTGGAGTTTGCTTCAGAATCTCAGCGAGGTGTATGTTAGCCTTGGTGCGGACGCTGAGACCGAAGGCCAATCCCTTCCTGAGAAGACAGGCCTACGAGCCTTGCTTTTGATCAGAGCGTGCGCGAAGATGGCTTTCAACCCAGTACATACGTTCAAATATCAGACCCCGGCAGACAAGGAGGAGAGGAAACAAGCTGTCGAGCGGATCAAGACAGAACTATTCACCGACAAATTCGTCTTGGACACTATGGAATTGCTTGTTACGCAATTCTTTAGGTTCCGGAACATTGATTTCGAGGAATGGGAAGCGGAACCTGAGCAGTGGGAAAAGCGGGAGGAAACTAGCAGTGAGGCTTGGGAGTTCTCCATCCGCTCGTGCTCCGAGAAATTGTTCCTTGACCTCGTCATCCACTTCAAGAGCTTACTGGTTGGTCGATTGCTTGACGTGTTCCATTCTTTTGCTCGTAAGTATCATTCCACGAAGTCTTGGGAGTAATAGCATGCTAACTGCATCTCTAGGCACCGATAACCGCAATGTGATTCTGAAAGACTCATTGTATTCCGCCGTCGGCTTAGCTGCGGCCAGTCTTGAGCAGTGTCTGGACTTCAATACCTTCCTTGAAGGGACTGTTGTTCCTGAAGTCCAGATTCAAGATCCTGAGTACAGACTTCTGAGAAGACGAATCCCCATGGTACTTGGCCAATGGGTGCCCATTCAGTACGAGAAACTGAATATCGATGCCATCTACCAAGTCTTCCAGCATTTGCTGAACAAGGATGATCCATTAAATGATTTGGTGGTCCGCATTACTGCCGGTCGACAGTTCCGCAATATCGTCGAACCCTTCGAGTTCACCTCAGCGGGCTTCATCCCATATGCACCAGCCATTCTAGGAAGTCTTATGTCACTTGTCCAGGAAGCTGAAGTTTCTGAAACCAAGATGGGTCTGTTGGAGACAGTACGAGTAGTCGTGGTGAACATGGAAAGCAACGTAAGTCTCCCATTCACCCTTGATACTATCACGAGACTAACAAGGACCATAGATTGCTCCCTTCTCAGACGCAATCATCTCGCTACTACCGCCGTTGTGGGAAGAATCCGGAGATGAACATTTAATGAAGCAAGCTATTCTTACCCTCCTCTCCTCTTTGATCCATTCCCTCAAGCAAGAATCTTCACGATACCACTCGCTTATTCTCCCGTTAATTCAGGGATCCGTCAATCCTGAATCTGTAAGTCTGTCCCGGAATCTCTCAGATTCAACAGCCATTTCTCACATATGCCAATATTTAGGAAACATTCATGTACCTCTTAGATGAGGCACTAGAGCTATGGGCTGCCATCATTATGCAAACTCCTTCACCTGCCTCCCCTGAGATTATTGCTTTAATGCCCTCCATATTCCCCCTCATCGAGCAAGGAACAGACAGTGCCGCCCAGGCCCTCGGCATCATCGAAAACTACATCCTCCTCGCTCCTCAGGAGGTCCTCCGTGATGGTATCCGAGACCCGCTCTTGATCGCCCTGAAAGAAACTCTTTCCTACACAACAAAGATGCGCACCGGAGTGGTTCCCCGCCTCGTCGAAATGATCATTCGCGGAGCCGAAGCGGTCGACGGCGGCAGCGAGTCCACATACAGCATCATCTCACGCTCTCTTCTCGAAACCTCATTCCTCCCATCCCTTCTCGAGGGTCTATACACCGCCTACGAGGCTAGCCAAACCTCCGGCCCGAACCGAAAAGCAACAGAAGTAGTCGGCGTCATCGAAACAGATTACCTGGCTGTCCTCGCCCGACTCGCGCTGGGAAACCCTACCATCTTCGCCTCTGCCGTCGCAGCCGCTACAAACTCCACCGAGGAGCAGAGCTTGAACTGGATTCTCGAGGAATGGTTCTCGCACTACGATAACATGGGCAGTGCGAACCAGAAGAAGGTGCATGCTCTCGCTCTGACCCAGCTCCTTGCTCTCCAGGACCAATCTGCCAACCCTTCTTCTGGCCCTGCGCCACCTCCCCCATACATCCTGAAACATCTCCAGTCCTACCTGACTATTTGGACCGACCTCATCACCGAGTTATCGGAGGGTGGCTCGGATCCGAACTCCGATTACCTTGTGTACTGGAGCGCGCCCAAGGGCTCTGAGACTGCGAACCCGGAGAACTCGGAGGAGTTCCAGACACCTGAGAATCTTCGCCGTAACGAGTGGGAATTAGCTGATGCCGTCCACCGGTTCCCGATCCGCGACTTTGTGCGCCAGCGTCTAGAGCAGGTCATTCTTGCTTGTGGCGGCGCTCAGCGTTTCCAGGAGGAGTGGCTGGTTAATGTTGATGGAGAGGTTGTGTCTGCGTTCGGGGCTTTGGGACTGATTTGATCCCAATGCTTTTATCACAGGCTCTTCCCCCTATGCTTACTTTGCATTACAATATTGCATATTCTATTTACAAGTTTCGAACTGCATTGAAGCCGATGTTCTCTGAGTTTCTTATGACCATACCCAATCTACAAAAATCAAAGAATTTACTAGCTTTATTAACGCCTCAAATTTCAAGGTTGTAAAAAAAGTCAATGAACTTGTAAAGTTGTTATAACAGAAAGGAGAGTATTTAATTCCTTGAAAAAGACCAAAAGACCGGCCAATCCGGTTGGATTTTAACATACACCAAAACGCCCATAGGCTGATCAGCTTGCACCATGCAAGCTCCCAAAGTCCAGCAGCCAATTCAAAGTAAAAAAAGAAAGCCCAAAAATGAAAAATGAAGGGAAAAGAAAAGAAAACCAAAGCAACAAGATAAACTCCCAAGCTTAACGTAATCAAAAAGGAACAAGTCCTGGATCAAACAAATGCTTCACCACTAGCACTGAGTAGGGAACTGGCGGCTGGTAACAGGGTTGGGGAAGACACCTCCAGCAATCTGCTGCTGCATGTCCCACTCGGGGGCACCCTCAGTCTTCCAGGTCCAGTAGAGCCAGCCGGATCCCTTCTCGAAGGCATCGAGCTGGGCTTCGATGAACTGGCGGAGGTTGTCACGGTCGCTCTGTGCAAGGCCTTCCACGGTTCCGGTGGACTTGCCATCACACTCACCGATCTTGGTGCTACCGTCGTAGCTTCCGTCGTAGCGGGCGCCAACACCCTTACCGTTCAGGTACTTGGCACAATCAGTCATGGCACCAGTCCATTCACCGACGATGGTCCACTTGTCGGAGTGCAAGACGTGCTGGTCAACGAAGTTGCAGACATTGCTGGCGTGAGCCTTGACGTCCATGGCGAGCAGGCTGCTGTCGAAGACTTCGTAGTGGTGGGTGTCCATCATGACGTACCAGACACCGGTCGACTCGCTCATGAATCCGTTCCAGGATTCTGTGGGCATGAAACCGTCGTGGAGAACAACGGTGGTGTCTTGGCTGACCTCGCGAGCAACACCCCAAGCGTCGTAGTAGTATTGCTTGAGTTGGTCCTCGTCGACACCACCGGGAATGCTGGGCTCGTTAAGAGCCTCGATGGCGGAGACAACGTCGGTATCACCGGCATAACGCTTAGCCAAGGCTCTCAGAGCAGACTTGGTGTTGTCGATGTTGCCAGGGGTCTGTTGCCATCCAATAGAGCCTCGCTTTCCACTGTTGTCAAATCCGTTCTGGGATCCAGGGGCTTTGGTTGATGTCAGTATCCAAATTCTGTAATGGGGTTCCGGTTAACTTACCTCCGTGTAGATCAACCATGACCTTGAGGCCGGCAGCGCGAGCCCAGGTGATTGCCCGGTCAAGGTATTCCAGCTGACCATCGACATATGGGTCACCGTCCAAGCGTTCCAGAGCCCAGTAGCCAACAGGAATTCGGACGTGGTTCATGCCGGTAGCTGCGATCTCGTTGAAATCATCCTGGTTGATGAAGGTGCTCCAGTGCTGTGCCAAAACACTTCGGCACTGATCCGAGCCGAGGACCGTGCAGAGAGACCATTCGTCGACGGCAGCATCGCCGGCACCATCGAAGATTGAAGGAGTAATCCAGGGCTCCAGGACCAACCAACCGCCGAGGTTGACACCACGGACCTTTTCACTAGTACCATAGCCGAAAAGGGGGCTCCTACAAGAATCGATTAGCCACAGACGATCACAATACTAACACATGATTGACTTGAACTTAATCATCACTCACACTTCCATAGCCTCCTGGGTCATTCTGGTGGCGTGGCCTAGTTTGGATGCATGGCCAAGTGCAGCCAAAGAGGCGATCACGAGGGTCTTCTTCGATACAGACATTCTGAGCTTCCTTTGACAAAGTTAATGCAAAATTTCAGGAGGCTGGGCTTCAGGAATGAAATGAAATAAGAATGATGTCCAAGGGCGTGGTTATCGGCTGCTATAAGTAAATTCCATGTCGATAATTGTGCATGGTGGAGGCCGGATGCAGCCCCATGGCCTGGAAACGGAAAGGATGAAGGCTTTGGAAGAGAGACACCACGTACATTTGAGAGTTTGTTTGTAGATCTTTGCTTGACGCAGCTCCTGTCAGAATGTTGACAGTCTCCTGACAGCTTCCGGGATAGGTAGGGTCTGGCCGAAAGCAGACAGCAGCGGGTCCAGGGATTGCGGGGGTCTGGGGTTGATAAATGGGACAATGGCCTTCAAATTGTGCTTGGGTGACAGCGGCCTAGCTCACTCCGGTCATTTGTTAGCTTCGCCAGTGGAGATTTCAAAATCTGATATGCGTGTTCATCTCACAGAGTTGGATCTTGGTAGAGAGCTCAGGTGCAGTCGGCAACGAAATGGGGCAGGGTCACAGCAGAAACTGGGGGAAACAAAATGTGGAACTGGAGAAAGACATTGTTCAGGCCAAGTTCCAAGGTTCTGATGTTTGTTTTTTTTTGTGTCGCTGTTGCGTTCATTCGGGCAGGAGCTCCCCACTGAGTGGTTCTCAAACTCGGAACCTGCTTTGGATCACATACGAATAGTCTCTTCATAAGTGCTACAGTTGAAATACCACTCTGTTTTGCGCAATAATTGGATTGTTTGTAAATATCAAGACCCTGCAATTTAGCCACTCATTGAACCTGTCAATCTCATCAAGTCCAACCCGTGGTGGTGTGAAATCGTGGAGGATCAAGCAAGCGCTGCCGTTTGCGGCAAAGGGAAAAAAAAGCAGGCCTTACCTCAACGAAGATCAGCCGCCACGTGTAGCCGATCTTCTGAGGAATGTGCAGAAATCATCAAATCTCATCTTGACAGGGTCTCATTGGACAGTTTGCTTGAGGATTTGTTGTACTGCCTTGTATTTCGGTAATCCGAGCTATGGTTGTACAGTGCTCCTTTTTTGTAGTAGTTGTCCAACATAAGATATTCTCGAGCTGCAGGTCTTCAAGTTTGACACTCGAGACTTGGCATTTCCACGGTTGACAAAAGATCTCTGCCCCAGATCATAGCGTACAAGCCCATTGTACGCAGGCCAGATCCATGGGTGACTGGCTCGGATACTTCCGCGCTGAACGCCGGACCCGCTCCCTTGTAAGTAGCAATCCCGTTCCCGGCGAACCTGCGCCTTGTGATCTGTTGTGATGGGTGGGGGGCGTCAGTTTCTGATCTTGTTTTTTCGATGATCAAAATCCTGTCTGTCATAAACCTGTCGGTTTGCATTTCCGACCTCGGGCAAACCGGGCAAGACTCCACGGAGACTGCAGAGTAGGAATTATCAGGATCTTGTCTGTAACGCAAAGATCGCAAGGAATGTGGGCTGGGAATGCAGGTGAAGAATGCACGTGTCCTACATTACTCCACCTGTGATCAGGAACTGGGCTTGATTGGTACTGCGAATGCCAGAATTTTTAGGGAGAATCGCATCTCGGACGATGCAAGGGGCAAGAGATCGCAAGACATCTTTCAAGTGTAATTTCGTGGTCACTGTTCAGCTTGTACCATTTGCGTGAACTGGGAGATATTGTTGGACCTGGCCGATGACAGAGTCAGTGCTGACATTCAATTTCCCCTCGGTTATTCCATGTTGCCCCAACTGCTGTTGGACAATCCGCTGCCAAGTCTCGTAGAGATGGTTGATCATCTGCTCATCCGGCATCGGCTCCTCCTATATGTAGTGTCCTGTAGGCTGTCTCACTCGACGATGGAAGAAGGCTCTTTGGGTTGGCGTAGCTGGTAGGTCTGGATAAGTTAGGGGATTCTCGTCGTCGCCGTGATTCTACTGAGCGAAGATCTCTCAGTCAGCGCCAAGAGTTGCGGGCTCTGGCCAAGTAGTGGGTTCAGAGGCATGAAGGCATAAGAATAAGGCAAATTTGGGTGGACCTGGATCCAAACAGGCCAAGGTGCACGAGTAGCCAGGGGGGAACAGAAACGAAGAGCCGCAACACGCGTCGGGTTCGAGGTGCAGGTAAACAGGGGGGTAAATACTACTACAGCTTATGTGTACGAGTATGTACTTTAGTAGATTACAACTTCTTCTCCAAGCGATCGGACAAGCCGACACAGTTGATGAAAAAGGGAGTTCGCGTCGATCGAGGGTAGTGTAAGCCCGATGACACTGTGCAATCAACATGCGCAAGCACAGAGGTTGATCGCGAGATCCAAAAATGGGAATAATCAATGTGTTTCCCGTAGGAAACTTTCAGAGATTAAACTGAAAAGAACAGATACTACACTTGATCTAAGCCAATTGGCAAAGAGAGCTGGAAAAGAAAAAAGAAAAGAGGAAATGGGGGAGAGCGGAACAAAGTATTTATACCCAAAAGTGAGGGGGTCTGTGCGCGTTTGTCGCGTATGTCACCTGATCAAACAATGCAAACAACGCAAGGGCGCTATGACTCATTGGTTCCATGGGTTTCCATGGAATACTGCAACTTCATTGGTCCACTGTCCCTGTAAGTATCCACCTACATGAGATTTCACTTGTTGACCATCGTCATTGGCATTGATATGGATCAGTGTTCATTGTGATATTTCACGCTTAAAGCTATGACAAAGAAGCCTCAAAGGCTAGATACATCGGGTCCGTTCATTCGTACATAGTATGTAGTACATCAACATTGAATTCAAAGATGAATCCAACTTTGTAATCATTCCCGAGGTCGCTTCAAATGTTCAAATGTTCCAGAGTTGCATATATATACTTCAATGTTTGGTGCATGTGTGTCCAGATATACAGGTCCAACATTGCACATGTGGTTGACATTCTGATTAATTTGAAATCTTGATGTCCAGATTTCGGGAACCAAGCATTTCTAAAAAATTCTGGAGATTTAAAATTTCTGTATTCCAACTTCCAGGGCTTCTGGGAAAATTTGAAGGCTGCAGCCCTGCCCAGGTGGAGGCTCGAATCAATTTTTCATTCTTGGTACTAGTTGCAACTGAGTTTTGCCATACCCTGGGCTGCCTGTCATCCTCCCAAATCAAATAACTTGGCTGCCAGCCTGTCAAGCCACTCGTGGACCTGGGCACTGTGACGGACAGAATGCACAGGAAACCTTAAGGTCATTGTTGTTTCAATGTTGTTGTTTTTTACATCAATGTGAGGTTGAGTATACAAAAGCCGACCCTTATTTTTATTACCTTTCGGAAAGATCTATTGGTTTTTTTTCATTTTGAGATTCATAAATTGCCTCCTAGTTTGGATCAATTGATCTGTTCCTACGGAGTATAGTAAAACTCATCACGCTAGCGCTTGAGCTCAGTCTCAGTGCAAAAGTTCGAATAAACCTGGGTTTACCGCCCTTTTAGACCGCTTCAAAAGAATCAGCAACTAGCCTCACCGCCTGCAGTACACGAACGCTTTGATTTATTGTTAGTCGTTTTGGTGGCAGAAAATCAGATGGCAGCAAAGTAATCAACCCCCTTTTTGTTTTCCTCCTTTCTTTTTGATTTTTCTAGAAAAGTCCCTCTTGTCTCCTCAAGTGCTTAATTTTGTGATACACTGTGATTCTGGAGGTCTATTCCATTGCAAAAACTACCCATATAAGATGTAAGTGAAGAAGGCTACAATTTCTGGGAAATCCAGTGAAAAATGAAATTATTGTATCATGCATTAGAATCGTTAATTGCAATAAAACCAAGCCCGGGGTGTACCCGGTTCTGCCATGTGAACCATCGCTCCAGCTACATACACAAATAAGACACAGAAAGTTCTAAAATAAATCAGCACCTTCAGGCAACAAACTCTCCTGGTATAATGGGAAAAAAAACTGCATATGACTAATTTGGCGATCACTGACGACGGTGTCAAGCAGCGTATTTGGCAGCTACAATGTTGGCCTGTACCGAGTTTTCGGTAGCATCTGATGGGTAACCCGAAGTCATAACACCTTCATAGAAAGTGCCCTGGGCACTCTTGCTGTTATCACCACCAATACCCAGAATAATGGCGCCTTCTTTCTTCATTGGGCTGTAACCAGTTGGGTAGACTCCACTCCAGTATGTTCCAAGTGAGCCAGAGACAGCATTGCCACCACGGATTGAAAACTGATTTGGCTCCCCCTTAACGATAGCAGTGACAAAACGCGAGGTAATCGTCGGGTTGGTTGATGTCACAGCAAAATTGTCTCCGGCAGATAGACCATTCTCAAGGTCCGCCAAAATCCAGGGACCGCTCCCGGTTCCAGTGCCGAATCCAGTACCGAGTCCAAAGTAGATAGCCTCCATATGGGCATCGCCATTGTCGTCATTGTTCGTTTCGGCATTGCCGTAGTCGAAGCAGCATCCACTGTTGTAATCCGTTCCGTCAAGAACAGCATACATCCCCTCTGCTGCGTTGCCGGTGGCTGTGCCCACAGCCGTATCGCAGCGGTATCCCATCCCAGGCTGGATCTTGACACCGTACGCCTTCTTGCCGTTGAGCGTGACGGGCGCGCCAGTTGCGCTGGCTAGGTTGTCGGGCCCAGATGCTGCGCCTCCTCCCGGAGCTTGCGTAAGGTGATTGGCATGGCCGGTCTGGTCGTAAATTATAGTAATGCTGCAAGTTGTGCCTGAGCAGAATTTGTCTTGGGCTGCGGCGTTGGCTACTGAGCCCGCGGACACGGGTGCAATATCGGCTGTGGTGCCGTCGGAAGCCCGCGACACTTGGTATAGTGGGCCGCTGTAAGCATTATATAGAGCGCGGGTGGTGCTGTGGCCTGCGACGCAGGGCGTATTGCCAGAGGCGTAGATGTCACATGGGCCGGCTGCGACTAGGGAGCCCATAGCACAGAGACATATAGCAAGCCGGAAAGAAGGCATGACAGGCATCATGGATGATTTGCAAAGGGACTCGCTTGGAAGGGATGAATGGGAATGGTCCGAAATTGTCTGGATGTCATCTGGATTCGTGGTGAGGCGATGCCCGGGTTTTATAGACCCGATTCTGCGGGGTAGCGAGCCTTCCCCGATCGATCAATTAACATTGTCTTAAATATTTTGGCCCCTTGAAATCAAATACTTGATTTTTACAGCCTTGCGGGGTAGCATTCCCAAGAGTTTAGAGCGGCCCATTCGCGGGTGTTGTGGAGCCACATCATGCCTGCATGGCTTATGATAGACTTGGATTTTAGGGCGGACCTGCATAGATACTTGTCATTAAAGTGTTGGATGTCCACGTCAACTAGCAGTTGGGCATATAGTGAGACGGGATAAAATAACATCCCGTTACATGTATTTCCAAGGTTCCAAATCAGAAAGAGAATATAATCAAATCAGTAGGAAAACAAAGGAGCAAAAGAATGACAGGTATATTCGAAATTGTCTAACAATTTTTTACACAAAGGAACTATCATCAATATTGACGTCAAGGCTATAGCAAGGTGTATCCAGCTAGACTTTATTGGGCTAGATTAGGGATCGAAAATTCAGCCACTGACTCCACAAGCGGTCCAGTGCGCTAAAATAAGCCCTGGGGAGATTCCACCCGGGTAGGAACGTATGTCTGTATAAACTATAGAATCTTAGAAGCCAGCTTGAAATAAACTGCAACATTGAAGTAAACAGTCCGCCTACGATAACCTTGGAAGAGTTGGTGTCTCTAGATACCAACGCTCAAAATCTGCGGCCTTTTTTCTTGCCTCGTTAGGGATGTGCACAATATTTGTTATACATCCAGATTTCAACTCCTAGCGTTCTCCGTTCAATAATGTAGTTTTAGCCGAAGTTACATCGTTTTTGGAAACATGATTGGGCCGTGTATGCTCTCAGCCACCTCACAAACTTTAACGTAGTGCACTAGGAAGTAGAGATGAATATATTGAACCTTGAGGGATGTGTAAATTCCGGCACCACATGGCAGGGGAAAAAGGGCATCCGAGCGTACCTTGTTTTGATCAGGCGGTCAAGGTTACTGCGGGGTAAACATTTGAAGCGTACTAGTATCTAAGATTCGGAACTTCCCTGATTTACCGAGTTAATCGTAGTACAAGAATCGTTGCCAAGTTTAATCTAGTTTGATTTCTGCTTTGGTTTTCCAATCATTTTAGATCGCAATAAGCCCATCACGCATTAAATACGCCACCCGTGGACGGTAACATCACATTAAAATACCGGACAAATTACTCAGGATTCAGGCATTCCCGTGCAGATCGCTCGGCTTTTAACTGCATAGTCTGCAAGTATGGACGAGAACAGTATCACCCGAGGAGGATGGTAGTGGTCAGGAGATCTGTGAGATCATTATCATGGGATCATATGTATCAGTTCGGCGTGCTGATCATCGCGGGATCTAAGTGTGGGATCTAATATTGAAGTGTATTGGTCGGTACTGTTGGCCGATCAACTCAGATCAGGTGGGGCCGTACTCAATATTTGGATTTTGGATTTTGAATCCTACTGATGGAGCTTTTTGCAAACGAATAATTTATGTTTGAGCTACATCTCGTGCTTTTATTTCGCCGTTTTGGCCTAGAAGAGCCGGGCACTGAGATTCGCCATATTATGGTCAAGAGCACGCACTTTGTCCTGACCGAGAAACTCAGACTCGTTTAACCTGTCCAGTAAATTTCATTTTTTGTGCACTTCTGATCGGGCTGAATAAGGCGGCTAGGTAACTAGGCACCACGTACCTTACAGTGACTGTTCTATGTTTCTGTGTTCTTGATTCAAGCCATCCCGACTTTTGACTAAGAAACAACAACATGGACTCCTTAAGTATCAACCCCCCCAACCTTGAAACTCTCCACCTGGAGTACAACCCCCGATTCCACTCCACCCGTCATCTTTCTTCACCGACACTCAACGCGGGGAAACAATATAGAAAATCGTACGGAGTCTGACTCAAACACCTGCACAATCCCAAAAAGGAAATTAAGCGGGTGCCAGCGGAGCTGCGGAAGCCACACCGCAACACCACCCAACCGGACGCGACCGATCGACACGCCAAGTGCAAAATGAGGGGGCAAAATTCGCCAGACTTCGTATTCTTATATTTGGTGCTCGGCCTCTCGCAGCACGATGGTACCTCGAGGTGCGACATGCATGGCGCGCTCTCAATCATTCCTCGACTTGGGTAGAAATTCCCGCGTCTTCGGCGCGGGCTCAAGGGGGTCCGGTCAGGGACTCAGGGTCAATATGATCCGTGCGGCTGCAAGGGACTCGACGCGCGATCCATCAGGCATAAATGCCGAGCATTTCGAGCATTGTGCTCGGCTATTTGCCGGTCCTGGCTCCTGAGTGGCTGCTTTATTGGGATTTACTCTACATGCCCAGTTGTTCCTGGCCATTGTAGCATCGGATCCGGAGGGAAATGTGCACGCTTGACTGCGTGCTCCACAGCGAAACCGTGAGCTCCGATAATTCTCCTTGAGAGCGAGCACGCGGCGAGAGCTGGAGAGGTGCCATGCGGCGAGATCAGGATTTGGGGACGGTCTTGTGTCCGCTGCGCGAGCAAGACTTGTTATTCGGTCGGTGTTTCTGGCTCCGACATTTGGCTCTGAGACTGCTGTCGGCCGTCTATGATCATGATCCACTTGGTCTGGGATCGATGAAACCCTTAACTCGATCAAAACAAAATCCGAGCTGCTTTTTTCCCCCCAGGAGAAGCCATGGCTGATGTGCGTAGCTGCTCACTGTAAAATCTTCGGGAATCCCAGGTGCTCGTCAACTTACAATCGCTAACGATTGCCTCGTGTTCTGGGCCTATCAGCCACGCCAAGCGGCGCCGTCAAGGAGATTCTCCCTGCCATCGGACCAACCCCAGAGTATCAAGGCTGCGCTTTGCCAGGACCGGAATCCCATGCCCCCTGGCGGGATTTTCCGACTCAATGTGGGGATGAAATTGCGACGAGACTGGGCGGCCCTCATGAAAGATACCAGTCAGAGCCGATTTGCATATGGCAAGGGCTCCGGGGTCCAATTTTTTGACCTTTCGCCAGATTGCAGTAAACATGCCCAGATAGCTCGGCGTTTTCGGACCTTCCAGCGTCCGTCATGTATGTAGTGTGCATAAAAGCAAGGCTGCTCGCCGGCCATTGAGTCCACGTTCCACTCCAGATCAGATCAGAATTGTCTGGAACAATGCGTCTTCTGCAGGGTGTTGTGTTGTCTTTGTTGGCGGGCACTGGTTTTGCCCAGCCAGGTAAATATGGTAGCAGTCCACCGGCTAAGCAGGCCCGCGCTGCTGGGTATGTTCTCAAGGAGCCGCCGTTGACGACGCCCTGGACGGATAAAGTGGGTGTTAACCCTTGGCCTGAGTATCCGCGGCCACAGATGCAGCGTTCTCAGTGGCGGAATTTAAATGGGGTTTGGCAGTACCAGAATGCGTCGAGTCTGGCGGCTGTGAGGAATCCGCCTTTTGGTCAGGATCTTGCGCAGGATGTACTTGTTCCCTCTTGTTTGGAGAGTGGGTTGTCGGGTGAGTTTTTTTTTTCTGTCAAACGGCGTTGATGATAGATCTTGGTGTGGCGCAGAACTAACAATCCCTGCAGGAATCCAGGGAGAGTATATGATATACTCGTGGTTCTCAACCTCGTTTAAAGTGCCATCTGATTGGAATGGTCAGAGTATCATGCTTAATTTTGGAGCTGTGGATTATGAAGCAACAGTTTTTGTGAACGGAAAGAAAGCTGGCTTTCACCGTGGCGGATATTTCCGCTTTTCTTTGGATGTTACTGAGTTTTTGAAGCCTGGCCAAGAAAATGAGCTGTGAGTTCTCTCAAATTCTGTTTCTATCGGAACGAAGCTAACTTTGGCATAGACTTGTTTTTGTCCATGACCCCACGGATGACGGTGACTATGTCATTCCCATCGGAAAACAGACTCACAGACCAAGTCATATATTCTACACCCCTTGCAGTGGAATCTGGCAAAGCGTGTGGATTGAGGCTGCGCCACGGAGCCATATTTCGGCACTGGACGTCGATGGAAATATGCACGGTCAAGGTAAGCCACACACATCACATTTGAGACATATGCCATCGCTAACACGATTTAGTCAATATGACCGTGCACACTTCATCCGTCAATACCACCACCAGCGTTATCGTGACCGTGCATGACGGAGACCATGTCGTTGCAACTCACAGAGGACCCTCAAACCAGCCCTTCCAATTCAATGTCGAATCACCAAAGCTGTGGTCTCCGGCCTCACCCAATCTGTATAACATCACAGTCAAATTGGGCAAAGACCAGGTCCAAAGCTACACGGGATTCCGCACCATTTCCAAGGGCACGGTCAACGGCGTTGTTCGACCAATGTTGAATGGCGAATTCATCTTCATGTTCGGCACTCTCGATCAAGGATTCTGGCCTGATGGAATATACACAGCACCCACCACGGACGCCATGGTTTACGATCTCCAAATGCTGAAAAACCTTGGCTTCAACATGGTCCGCAAGCATGTAAGTTTTTTTCCAATGATAAACCCGCTCTAAGGTGCAAGATGTTGACAAATCATAGATCAAAGTGGAGCCTGAGCTCTTCTATCGCGCCTGTGACGAGCTCGGTCTGCTTGTTATCCAGGACATGCCTGCTCTGCGTCCCCTCCAAAACATATTGCCTAATGCAGCACAGCAGGTTGAGTTCTCACGCCAATTGGAGATACTGGTCAACCAGCACAAGAGCTTCCCGAGCATTGCAACATGGGTATGTCCGAATGGAAAAGGGGGACGATTTGGAATTTGGAATTCAGTGCTGATAGGCGATCGCCGATAGGTCATCTACAACGAAGGCTGGGGACAGCTGACCGACTACTACCCCGAATTTGAGTTGACCGATCGGGTCCGGCAGTTGGATCCAACGCGGCTGGTGGATTCGACTACCGGTTGGTTCGACCATGGTGCAGGAGACTTTAGCGTAAGTCCAACCCTCCCGCATCGAGCTCGAAGTACCGAGGATTAACCGCTCACTCCGATAGGATAATCATCACTACGCCAATCCGCAATGTGGAACGCCCTTCTACTCCATCGACTCCAGTCCTTACGACGACACTCGAATCGGATTCCAGGGAGAGTTTGGTGGAATCGGCAACAATGTCTCTATTGAACAGTGAGTTGTGTTCTGTTATCCCGCCAAGATCTAACTAGTGGACTGGAAAACCCCCCCCCCTTTTGCGTTTTGCCTAACGATTCAATCTGACTGTGTTACTCTGTAGTCTCTGGAACAACCAGAACGCTATCAACACCATCAATCAGACGTATGAGATCGATCTCACGTTGGATGCTTGGAACTATCGTAGTCATCTGCTCCTGAGCGAATTGAAGGATCAGGTGCGCCTTTTCTCGTGCAGCGGTGGCGTCTGGACTCAGACTACTGATGTCGAGGGTGAAGTCAATGGACTCATGACCTATGACCGGCGTTTGTCTCGAGTGAACGAGGCACAGTGGAAGGCCGATATCCAGGGTCTGTATGATGCGGCCGCAGGACGTAGCAACGGCACTATACCTGCTTGAGTAAATGCAGCCAATTATAGGTTTTTTGCCGAGCGAAGAGGAAATTACATCTTAGCTAACAAATTACCAATCGAAGTTTAACATTTTCCATTGGTTTTCCATTTTTTCTTCTTTTTTCCCCTTCATTTTTCTCCTTTGTTTCCATTTTTCCATTTTCCATTTTTTTTTTTTTCTCTGACCGCCACAATGCCGCATTTCCCATGTGGACCATTTCAGTTACATTAGTCTCCTACCTAGATTGGACTCTTAATTCTCAGATCCATGGGCTTGGTAATCCAACATTGAATGTTAGTTAACTAAGAGCACACACTTCCCGCCATGTGGAAAGTTAATAATCCATAGAGAAAAAGCCACGGGCGCATGGGTGCAGCTGTCATATTCTTCACAAAAACTCAAATATAGTAAATATAGTACTTGGCACGGCTCAAGCTCAATCCAAGCGCGGGCTGTGTGTCAGGAAATTTCCCAGAACGCGGGGTGGGAAAGATGAAACACGTTTGGCAGCCAGCACAGGCGTCTAGACCGTGGGTTTTCTGCAAACTGATCATCGCAGGCATTGCTGATCGTCGCGCGGCTGTTTAGAATTTTAGAATTTGGCAGTTAGCGCGTCTCAGGTTAATTGTCAGGGGCATAAAATGACATCAACTGGGAAACAAGATTCGATCTATCGACTCGGGTTGTCAACATTTGAACCATGGGAAAGAAAATAAACAAAGAAAAAGAGAAAAATCAGGGCTATGCTGTATCGAGTATGTCGGGTCGACTCTGGATCGGAATCACAAAATGAGAGCCCCCTTTTTTTTATTTTGCCCCTTTTTTTGGTATTTTGTTGGGGGAGTTTTTTTTTCTCTTTGTTCAGATTTTTTTCTATACGCGTTCAATGGTCCAACCGGAAGGCATCCATTTGATCAGGCAATTTAACGATTTGGAATCCACTTCATCTTCAATGTTGGATCAGGCCACGCCATCACATGGTCAAAATAGATCGATTCCGCACTCTATTAGCTTATGAATCGTAGAATTAAGTAATGTAAATTGCCTTTCACTATAAACATTTATCCCTGCTATGATCGTGTTTATGCAATTTTTTTTCAATTTTTTTTTTTTCAAATATGCAGGACCCACTCGACGAACGGTTCTTCTGGAAGCCACATTCAATAATTTTCCTTTGCTTCTATGGTTTCCCTGGGGTCCAAGCGGGAAAGGCGTTTTTTTTTCTTTGATGTCATCGGAAAAAGTTTCTAACCGAGTTTCAAGTATTCTTTGTTTGATCAACACTGGTGGCTGCCTCCAATTTCCTTTTTTTCTTCTTCTCTGTAATCACTTGGACGTAGACATCTGGACTTCTTACGGTATCCGTAAAAGGCAACAGCAAAAAGCCAAGTCGCGTGCCGAACCGTCGGCTCCGAGCATGAAGTGGAACACATCGGTTGGAAGCCGTTGGGACCACAGCGGAGCTCCGGCTTCGTCCTCACGTTAGACTTGCAAAGCCTGTTTTAGCCTACATCGGGATCTGCGGCATAAGATTTGACTTTTGGGTTTTTCGTATTGCTCTTCACTAGCTGCATGTTTAGTGGCACGTTTTCCGAGTAAGAGCACTTAGTATAGGCTCGCCACCAACGACCCTGAGACCTGAAGAACTTTACTAAACCACTAGACAGGTAGAGGTAGTATTAACCGACTTGAATCTGTCAGGGGGCTCAAAGGGCGGACTTTGCGGACACCATGTTTGCTGGTTCTCCGCGTTTCCCACGTGGAGGGCTTTGTTTCAAGTTCGACCATGACAGGACGGTCCATAGTTTCTGCGCCGTGACGCCTGTGGATGGGGATGGGGCATGGAGTCGGAGGAGATTGCAGGGATCAGGCCATCCTTGCCGATACCTTGTTCGGTGTCTGAATTTTACCACATCTTTTTTGATTTCTTTTATTTTCTCCTTGGTCTGATTCGACCATTCATGCATTGATGTGATCTCCATCATCTCCATTGGAGATGAGCTGTCGTCTGTAATCGGGTCTTTTCGCTCTTCTAGGTAATAGGGCCGCTCCACTTTTTTTTTTGGGTTGGATGGGGTGTCCCCCCCCCCCCCTTTTGGGATCTTGTACATACATCTTGAATGTGTGATGGGTGATGGGGGGTCTGATCGGATGGTTTGTCTGTTGGGTATAAAAGATCTGAGTATCCTGGTTATGCGGATTGCCACGAGGAGACCCAGTTTTTTTTTTCTTTTCCAAGGTTCTTGCATTCGACTTCTTTCTGGAAAAGAAGTTAAACTTTTTGTTTTTACTTTCAATATTCTCCGATTTTAATCACATATCAATTGATATTCGCAATGCCTTGCGACTATGGATTCAGAGATGGCTTTGAGCCGGAACACGTTGACCGCAAGGGTCTATATGTCAGCTTGGAAGAGCGCATCAAGTACCTGCACAGCTTCCTTGAGTGGACTTCCGGTATGTTTACTTCCTATATGCCTTCAATGTTTCAAATGACGCCCGTCTTCAAGATCCACAAAGACTAATTTGACTTCTCCAGCCGATGTCGAGGCCCTCCAGGATGGATCCAAGTACCTCAAGCAACTTATTCCCGCCGTCGTCAACCTGGTCTATAAGAAGCTCCTCAAATATGACATCACTTCGCGTGCCTTCCACACCCGCACCACCGCCTCGGAGGAAGAGCCAGAGGACGAGTACCTCACCGAAGAGACGCCCCAAATCCAACGGCGCAAGATGTTCCTACGCTGGTACCTGATCAAGCTATGCCAAGATCCCACCAGCATGGATTTCTGGCGATACCTGAACAAAGTCGGGTGAGTCTAAACTGAAAACATACATACCATGCTATATACAGGAGCACGTCACTGACATACGCCCTCAACCAACAGCCAAATGCACTCCGGCCAATTCCGCCTCGCCCCCCTCAACATCGAATACATCCACCTGGGCGTCTGCCTCGGCTACGTCCAAGATATCTTCACCGAAGCGATCCTATGCCACCCGCAACTCAGCATGCGCCGCAAAATAGCCCTCCTCCGCGCAATCAACAAGATCATCTGGATCCAAAACGACCTCTTCGCCAAATGGCACCTGCGCGACGGTGAGGAATTCGCCGACGAAATCTCCATCTACAGCTTCGGCTCCGGGAATAACGAGGGCTATCTGAGCGGACAGCGCATTCTGGGCTCTAGTTCCGGTAGCTCCATGGATGATGACCGGGCCAGTATTGCGGATAGCTTGGCGCCCTCTATGAACAGTGCGGCGCCGTCGACGCATACTACGGCGTCTTCGAGGACGCCGGAGGGAGCGACGAAGATGTCGGCTTGTCCTTTTGCGGATTTTGCGAGGAATAATTCGACTGAGACTAAGATTTGGGCCAATTGAGAATATATTTGGAACTTGGGGTGGTTGTGAGGGGTTTTGGTTGGGACTGTTTGGGCATTTTCTTGGTGCGGGATTGGGAACTTTTGGGGCGTTGCGACGCCTCTTGCATTGGCGGTGTTTTGTTTTATTTTTTACTACCTTTCTTTCTTCTTCTTCTTTTTGCTTTTGCCTTTGATCATAACTTGAAATCCAATTTCTTCTCTACTATTGTTTCTTTTCAAAGTGTTCATTTCTCATAAGTGGTTTCCGCGCGGAAATCTTCCGACTTGCCCTTACTCAGCGGCTACCAACCTCGTCCACTTTTTTCCGCGTTTCTTTGTGACTCGCGCATTTCGGGTCTTGTCCCCCACTCGGCTCATTCAAGAGCCAATTGCAATACCGAACCTTGATTCTAACGGATCCAGAAACATATATCCGGCCTTAATCGGACATCGACAAGACATCTGGAAGACATCTGGAGACAATCGAAAGATTCAAACGGAGATAAATCTCGATTTCCGAGCTATCGATTTCCGAGAGCTATCGATTCCTAAGCTGCTTTCTGCTCCACATCACCCCTCCCCCTCCACACTCAATCCGGCAAGATCAGCCTGCCGAGAACGCGTGAACCACCGCTAAACCACAAACCTCCATTTACTTTTAAACTCGATTGCCCCAGGACCGGAAAAAGGGGGACTTTCTTGCTCGTATTCCTCAAATTAAATCCATTCCCTCTTTATCTCTCCCCGCGTTTTTGTTCCGTCCCGTTTCATCATGTCTGATATCAGTCCCAAGTCCGTGACGCCACTCATCATCAACGGTGAGTCGGTCGTCACCGACATCAAGTTCGAGGTCCATGCGCCTGCTACCGGCGCCTTGTCTGGCTACTGTGCTGGCGTCTCCGTTGAAGATGCGCAGCGCGCTGTTGATACCGCACAGGCTGCTTTCCCTGCCTGGTCCAAGACCCAGGCGTATGATCGACGCGATATCTTGCTTCGCGCTGCGGATATCATGGCTTCCCGTAAGGAGGAACTGATTGCGTACCAGCAGGAGGAGACCGGTGCGGGCCGGCCCTTCTCCGAACACACCTTTAACATGGGTGTTAGCTTTATTAAGGACTTTGCCGCTCGCATCTCCACTATCGAGGGCATTGTGCCTAACGTTACTCGGCCGGGTGAGGGTGCCATGGTCTATAAGGAGCCATATGGTGTGATCCTGTCTATTGCGCCCTGGTAAGATTGGATTATCTCTTCTATCCCCCCCTCACCTTTTTTCCTGCCTTTCCTTTCTCCCAGAATTTCCAACTTGATCTGGATTCGTTTGAGTTGAGTCCAGCTGGTCTGGTCTGGTCTGGTCTGGCTTGATTTGGTCGTTGGTTGATATGCCAATTTCTATCTGCCACGTTCCGTTGTGTGACATAACGCTAATCAGGACCCCGTTCGTCATTACAGGAACGCACCTTTTATTCTCGGTACTCGCGCCGTGGCTCTGCCCCTCGCAGCTGGAAACACCGTCGTCCTCAAGGGTTCCGAGCTTTCACCCAAGTGTTTCTGGGCTATCGGTGATATCTTCCGCCAGGCCGGTCTCCCCGCGGGATGTCTGAACGTCATCTACCACCAGGTTGCCGATGCCGCGGCCGTGACAAATGCGTTGATTGCTCACCCCGCTGTGCGCAAGGTCAACTTCACCGGTAGCACCATGGTCGGATCAATCATTGCTTCCACTGCGGGCAAATACATCAAGCCCGTGCTGCTTGAGCTAGGTGGCAAGGCATCTGCCATTGTATTGGATGATGCGGATCTGGACAAGGCCGCGATGAAGTGCGCCATTGGATCGTTTATGCACGTATGTTGAAATTCTTTCTGCTATGCGAAGCTCCGTCTTTCTTCTTCTTTCTATCTCTTTCTTGGAAAAGCATAACCAGGACCATCACTCACGAATCGCAGTCCGGCCAAATCTGCATGTCAACCGAGCGTATCGTCGTCCAACGCAGCATCGCCGACGAATTCAAGACCAAGCTCGCCGCAACAGCCGAGAAGATCTTCGGCAAGGAAGCGCCCGCCCTGGGCCTCGTCAACGCTGCAGCCGTCGCAAAGAACAAGCGCCTCGTCTCGGATGCCGTCGCTCGCGGCGCAAACATTCTCTTCGGCGACGCCAGCGCCAATGAGAGCAGCGCTACCAGCATGCGTCCCATTATCGTCGCGGACGTCAAGAAGGAAATGGACATGTACGCGACCGAGTCATTCGGTCCGACCGTGTCGTTGATGGTCGTCGACACCGAGGACGAGGCCATTGCCCAGGCCAACGACACCGAGTACGGACTGACATCTGCCGTCTTCACCAACAACCTGTTCCGCGGACTGCGCGTCGCGAAGCAGATCGAGTCTGGGTGAGTTTTGATTTTGATTTTGATTTTTTTGTTTTGATTGCTTCTGCATTCTTGCATCCGAGCACTTCCGTGAATATCCCCGCTCACATGATCTTGTTTCGTATCTAGTGCCGTTCACATCAATTCCCTGACCGTCCACGACGAGCCCGTGTTGCCGCATGGCGGCTGGAAGAGCAGTGGCTTTGGTCGCTTTGGTGGTGTTGCGGGTTATGACGAGTTCCTGCAGACCAAGACCGTTACTTGGACGGAGTAAGCGGGGTTGATTTGGTGTCTTGGGTGGATGGGTTCTGATTTAGATACGAGATATGATGCATCGCTGTTATTTTGGGTGGCGACGGTTTGATTTGGTGGGCGGGTGCTGAGCTGGCTTGGCCCCCGTCTTTTTTCTTTTGGAAAGTGGACTGGTCTGGTCTGGTCACTTGCTGATGCGATGCGCTGATGCTGATGCTGCGTAGTGACGGGGAGGCATGGATACCCAATTGGATTTTTCGCAATAGTGGAAATATTATATATGATTGTTCAAGTTTCTACACAAAGTATGTACTGTGCTGGCCTGATGTGAGCAGTGATCATGTAGGTACTAGGATGTATGCATGGATGTAGGACAGGGGTAGGGGTGATACGGATTCTGACGCGCTCCCAACACTCGCGTGATGTGATGGGGTAGGGTGGACATCATGTACAATGTGGCCCGGACCCTGATTTTTGGGGCTTTTTGTTTTTGCGAGCCTTGCAATCCAATCCTGTTGAAAGGTGGGAACATTTGGATCGGCTTAATTCTCTCAGGGTCTGGTCTGGTCTGGTCGAGTCTGTTCTATCGGATGAAGGCCGAGAACCCTGAAAGGATCAGACGAAAAGTTTGGGTTTGGGGGCCCTTTTTCGTGGCTTTCAAATGCCAACACATCACAAGTCAATGTCTATCCAGGATCGGATCCGTGAGGCTGAGTTTTGTCACAGTACCCCGTACTGAGTGAGGACCAAGATCCAGCATTCCGATCCAGAGCCATGGCGTTTTGTGCATGTCGAATTCTCGATACCCCCGATTTTGAGATTCTGATACGAGAGATACGGGCTTTAAGGCGCCCGTCATCTGCAGGTGGCATTTCGGCAACACCGCTCGAGGAGGCCTCGGCCAAGGCTACAGTAGCGCTAATTCCAGGTTTCCATGCCCATTAGGTTGTATCCGCTAGTTACGTTACTTGGCTTCCAATGTCCGGAGTCAGCCGTATACATTACGGAGTATATACCTAGTAAGGTACATAGGAGAGAAGAACAAGTCATGCACGCCACTCACAGTTGGATGTAGGCAGGATTTCCCGATCGGGTGAAGCTTCCGGACATCCGAGGCCCCGTTGGACCCTACAATCTCGTCTAAGATTAGCAATCCCCATAATGTGCAAATCCGAGTACGAGGTACGACAAGGATAAGACGGCACAGGGGAATCAGGGGGGAGAGAAATATCAAGACAGACACAGAGACAGAGACACAGACCTGAAGTGATTCATGGTATTTCGAGAAGTCCGGATTGATACCCACGGGCATCATGACCGCAAGTGTACATCGGTTAGTAGTTCCAATGCAAGTCAAAGTTCAAAGTTCAGGAGAAGCCAAACAAATCACGGCTCCACCGCATTTTCAGGAACAGGAATTAGCCACAAGGCAGCAGCGAATCAGCGTCGGGGATGCAAGTGAGACAATCCAAATTTCCCAAGGTTTTTCTTGGCTCATTGGTGGCTGTACAGATGTTGTACTCAGTATACTGAGTACCATACCGTCATCTGTGCTCGGTTTTCTCGCCTGTAAACCCCCTCACCCCTGATCAACGGCTGATCTCTTCCCGTGGGTTTTGAAGGGCCCCGATGAACCGGTGGGATCGGCGATTTGAGACTTTCTCATGGGTTCGTGGGTTTCTGCGTTTTGTGGGGTTGTTTGTTGTCTGTGCAGATGGGAAATTATCATCTTCGTTGTGCTTGATGGTTTTGTCTCGGTATCTTTTCAGGGTCAATTGGTAAATCGTCTGGGTAATCTGAGGGTCTTTTGGCGTCCGGGTTGAGGGGTATACAGAGGGATGTTATTGGTGGAAGGAGAAGTGGCGTGGGAAGTGGAGATTTGTTCCTGCATTGGGGGATTCTGCGGTTATTCTCCGGGAAATGTTCTGTGTTTGTTGATGCATTCTCTGCATAGCACCATCTTTATGATTGGACTCGCAATCAATGCAGTGTGAAGGGTTTTCTTGAGAACCCTCTTCCTTTTTTTTTCTTCTGTCTTTTATTTTTTTTTAAACCTGTCTTATTTTATCTTTCTAAACTTTCCATTGGGGGGAACTTACTCGACAGATCCCTGGTACTCTGTGTTAGCGTCGCGCCGTCGCTAATTAGTCTCGGATTTATTATTGTCATTTTACATTCCAATTTTCAGGGTCTCTAGAAGGAATGGTACGGATGTCTTTGTTGTTATTATGGAAGAAAACATAAACAAAACCAGATTCTAAAAGTAAAATGAGTAAAATAAAGGGAAAAACAGAAATCAGCGACAGCCTTACAGGTACCGGTAACACGAGTTTAGCCCACGAGCCACCCGCATAAAGTGCCCCACGAGGGAACTTACCGTCTTTCCCATGGTCTTTGAAATCGCTTTACCACGGTTATTGCCAAAGATTATTCCACATAAGATTATTTAATTACTGTATGAGAGAGGTCGGATCTACTCTGAATAGAATAGCTAGAGTTTTTGAATCATTTTAATCTATAATTATCTACGACTGCGCCCCAAATACCTTTTCTAGTACACTTTAATACCACTTAGTACGGTTTGTTTTTAGTACGACTTGGATTTAAAAAAGTAGAAAAAAAAAAAACAAAAAAACAAAAAAAACACCTTCGCTTGCAAACGATTTGTTGTTCTCCACTATGACCGCAGGACTGGGGTCCTGGTTGGCTCCGCATGCTTGGCTTTGGGCCCTGATGGGGCTCTGAAATGTCCCCTTCTCCACTTCGCTCAGGGACGCTTTGGCCGGCCATCTCTACTTCCAGAAAATGTAAGAGTAAGCTCCCCTTCCCTTTTTTCCTTTTCTTCTTCTTCTTTCCCTCAAACCATCACTCTCATTCATTATTTATTCTTTCCCTTTTACCCAAAGTCACTCGTTAGAACTTTGCGGCCCACAGTCATTCTTAATATTCCAACTCAGTCATTCTTTTCATACTGAAATCTATCAAAATGCGTTTCTCCACCGCCACCGTTATCTCTTCCCTCGCGGCCTTTGCTGCTGCCTACACTCAGCCCGACTACAGCGAGGACCCTACCGGTAACCCCATTACCTACCCCGGTCTGCAGCAGCAGGTCCCCGAGGGCAAGCCCTTCGAGATTACCTGGAAGCCCACCGTCGGTGACTACATCTCCCTGGTCCTCCTCCAGGGCCCCAGCACCGACGTCCAGCCCATCCAGACCATTGTCGAGAACATCAAGAACAGCGGTTCTTACTGGTGGACCCCCAGCACCACCCTGACCCCCCAGACCACCCACTACGGTCTCCTGCTTGTTGTCGAGGGCACCGGTACCTACCAGTACTCCACCCAGTTCGGTCTGACTGCCGCCGCTGGCTCCAGCTCCGTCTCTTCCTCCGCCAGCACCGCCGCGGCCACCATCGTCACCGTCATCGACGACAAGACCACCACCATCTGCCCCGAGACTGAGACCCAGACCACCGCTGCCCCCACCACTACCCCGGAGTCCATCGTCACCGTTATCGACAACGAGACCACCACCATCTGCCCCGAGACCGAGACCCAGGCCACCGGCACCGCCTCCGCCGCCCAGGTCACCTCCTGGTCCACCTCTATCCCCTCCACTGAGCTCACCACTACCATCTGCCCCGAGACCGAGACCGGTGCCGCCACCACTGCTCCCTCCGTGCCCACCGGCTCTCTGACTCGCCGCCCCATCAAGCCCTCTACCTCCGGCTCTGCCAGCACCGTTGCTGTCTCCGCCACCGGTACCGCTTCTCCTTCCGCCTCTGCCACCCCCGCCTACAACGGTGCTGGCCAGAAGACCGTCAGCTTCGGCGCTGTCGTCGCTGCCCTGTTCGCCGTCATGGCCTTCTAAATGTTCTTGATACCCCCGGGTTATGTGTAGGATATCTCATTGGGCCTTCATCTTGACTTGTTCTTTTTTCCTTCTTCTCAATTACCCTTCTAAGCTTTCATTGGGAAAGTGATTGCTTGATCTTATCGATATCTTGATATGAACCTTTTTCTTCTTCTCCGACTTAATTTTCTCTCAGCTGTGCTTGTCTCTTTTGTGTTTCCATACCATGTCTTTGCTTTGATGTATCTGCATGGGAATTCAAGTCGGCTATGCTTGTAATGTCGAGTTTCACGTCCGTTTGTGGCCTGCTCCTGGGTTGAATCTGGGTGGGCTTGCACTGTAAATGAATTGGATTGGTTTTGTTTATACTGAAAATTGTTTTGCAGTTTACTTGATACAAACTTTCCGGCAGATTACCACCTAAAAGTTAATGGTGTACTAGTAGGTGATCAAGAATTAAAAGTAGATCTAAAATAGATTAATCAATTGACGGTGGGGTCGAGTATATTGATAGAAACTGACATGTACAGCATCTTGTCACCAGATCTCTGCCTCAGGCCTAAAATCATCTTGTCTTATTTGTTCATGACGTATTTCGTACTTGGCTCCTCACAACTCATTTCAGACACCCCAATTCCACTCTGTTGATCAATCCCACATCATGACCATCATGAAAAGTCTGTCGCTATTAAACCGCTGCACCTTCCTATAATTTGCCAATACATAGACCATGCCTAGTGCATTTTGAAGCCAGCGGAAGTTCCACCTTTGGTATATGCGTTGGTCTCGATGTCTTTGAAATCAATTCCCCGACAGCTCTAGATTATCTCAGATCGTCAAGATGAGGTATGAAGGGGAAGGGGGATGAGGCTGTAAAGACAAGGCGGATTTCACTATGAAACAGATGGGACATCCACGGACTATATCTCCGTCTAGAAGAAAGCGCCCACATGTGCAAAGCAGCACTATATTGAGACACACCGACCGACAGCCTCTTATTCCTCGGCTACGTATAGATCACTGTGAGAATTAAACTCTGATCGAGTTTCACAAGCCAAATTTGAAAATTTTTGGTGTTTTGCAGGTTGCTCTGCAAGGGCATCCCCCTTAACAGCGAATGCGCCCTCTCTGCGCATGTTTCTTGCACCTAGGAGGTCCAACTCGCATATATTTGAGAGTACGCTTCAGTATCCCTCTAAGGGCTGACCATGCCACTGGGCCAGGGCTTACTTCCCTACTTACCTCAAATTTTCGACTCGGGACGTCCGATCGGCGGAATATGGATAGGCGGCCCCTTGCTTCCAAGGATGCGAATTCCTGCACAGTACGTCATTTGAAAGGAAATTGCAAGCATATCTCAAACACAGGAAGATATCCTTCGATTAGATTCTATGTACGCTTCCTTCTCCCGCAATTCCACCGTGCCAAATGCCCGACCTGCCTGATCTCGATCCTGACCTAGCTCGTAAGACCCATAAGACGGTAAAGACACAGATACAGTTTTGGCACAATTGGACGTAGAAGTATTAGTAGTAGTAGTCGCAATGGACAAGCCGCGAAGTCGCCCTTTCAACGAAATAGCCACCAAAATCAACTTGCTGAATGTATGCCATTGGCCACAGAAAGCAAAGTTGCTCCCGGGATACCCGATGCTAGCGCCGACACAGCTGTATGAGGAGATGACCTCGAAAATCACGTTGAAGGTGGAGAACTCCACGGGCTGCGATTTGAAGTGGTCGGATTCGGCAATTGTGATGAGGAGGATGGCGAATGAGAGCCACCAGATGTCGTGGCTGAATTGGGAGCGGAGTTGTTGATATAGGAAGCGGCTGCGGCCTAGTCTTGAGGGAGACGGAGTTGAGATAGGGGCTGACGATGGGTAGGTTGAGTCTGTGGTGTCTTTTGGCATTTCTGATGTAGCTATGCTTCTGGGTTGGTGTTAGAATGGGCTTTTATGTACACATGTGCTATGCATGGAGGGAGCTGGTATCATACCCAATTGCGGCTGAGACTGGGAAGGCAGATAGGTACTATGGTCGAGGTTAGATTTTCTTCTTCTTCCTTATTACTCTCTTCGATTTGAATCGTCTTCTTACCATCATAAAGCCTGGAGTTTATTAGCAAGGTTTCTCCTCATGGGATTTCAGAGTGTTATACAGGCAGGCTCACCATATAGCATCAGCAGTCCTTGCGGCAGTGCGTCAAATTCCACAATAGAGAATCCGCCACCACGAATTGCTAAAACAGAGAAACTTGTCAGCAAAAATAGTCTGCAGGTTAATGGTTTGTAAAGACGCACACATAGACTGAAACAAGCCGTCTAAAGCCCGGTACTTGGCAGGCAAAGCCCGGATCTCCATATCCCGGATTGCAGCAAGCTCGAAACCTCCCCACATGATAGCGTTGAGCATCAAAACTGTACCAAACAAGAACCATGTATGCCAAGTAGGAAAAAGAGAAGAGCACAGCTATGCACACCATTAGTATTGGTATTCAATTCGAGGATTTGGTTTGCAAAGGATAGGAAAAAACTCACGCTTTGGGACTGCACGAGAGCATAATCCAAAGTTTGTCGCCAGGTTTGCCAGGTCGGTCTATCGGGGAGCATCTTCCTCATGGTCCATATAGATAGTCGCAGTAAACAGGGGAACATCGTATTACCAGCAAGAATTAAAGTGCCACAGATAAGAAGGGGAGCAGCCCTGTCCAGGTCCGTCAGCATTCTCACTATGCTTTCGTGAAGGTAGAGTGGAGCTCACTGTCTCTGGAACGGAATCATATTGGTATCGATGAGTGACATGCCGTTATTGGAAAATGAGGATGTAGCGAGAAAGGCGCCCGTCCAGAAAGGGGATATACCGTCAGTAAGTGAAACTTCTGGACTGTAGATTTGTATCCAGAGGCCGACGGTCAAGATTCCAAACGATAGGCAGGCGAGGATGTAGAAGGTAATAAAGGCAGATAGAAACATGAGTGCTCTATATTCGACTTCTTCTAGATCACTGCGGCGATTGACTGAGGCGTTACGCTTCAAATGTTTCTGCGTGTACTGCATCGCGCTCGTGAATCGGGCAAGGATGCGTGAGATGCATTGCTTGGTGCTCAACACATTGGCTTTTTCAGTGACGGGGACAAAGCTTTGGATCGGTACTGGATGTGTTAGGTCGGTGACAATGATACAGGTACCAGCCCTGTATGGAGCATCCGACTTGGGCGATAAAATATCCGTAGGCGTGTCCAACTCAGCAACTTTCACTTCTGGTAAAACTTTGCTCTTCCCCGAGAGATCATCTTGTTTTTCTGGGATTGTAGTTTCCGGTAAATCCACAGCAGTAATATAAGCGTCACTTTTTTCACCCCTTCCATCGCTCTGTGTTTTCAGGGAAGAACATAGCGTCCAAGCGCGTGTAAAAGAGAGGAACGCGAGGATAGGAATCGCATGGCCCAAAATAAAGAGTGTAAATAAGGTAGCTTGTTGCACGGTGTTCATCAACGACAGATCGATCTGTATACAGATTAGCAATCACTTTAGGCGATTGATCGGCAGTGTATACGTACAACAGTCAACCCAGTACCAGTCATGGCATTGAAGCTCATGAATGCCGCGTCAGCATATTGAAAACCCGGGATCCGCGCGGAAGTATAGAGTATGACACTGCCGATCACGGACGTGATGATAAAATAGGCATAGTGCGCGGTAAGAGAGTCCCAGTGCAAGAAAGCAGATACGTTAGGCATATCCGCACTGTGAAGGGACTCGGAGTGAATGTCGCTGTCGCTGTCGTGAACGTGAGCAACTCCGCCAGCCCAGGACTGGGATTTCCACCGGCCATATAATAATCATGGCACAACAAGGATTTTCCATAGAGCGAGAACGCCCTCCTTTGGCTCGGCATTATTGTCTATCATCTTCTAATTACCACATGGAACCCTTTTCTTCAGGAAAGGAATGCTGGTGTGGTATTCTCCCACCCTGGTTATCGCTCTTGGGGGGTCTGGATCCAGGTTTCCTGTCGTGCTATCTAGACACACTGATACTTGAGAAGCGCGAGACCGCTTATCAGAAATTCAGCTTTGTGCATGTGAATGCAGACCTTGGCGCATATCAAGGGATCGGAGCGACCGGCTGGATTGTGTAGATGCAAGGCTGCATGTGAAGTATGTGGAGCCGATGCAACAATGTTGAGAATTCCCCGGTCTTAAGAGTCTAGGCAATCAATCAATTGATCTGCTTTTCGAGGCCATCTGATCATATTAAACCAGTAAAATGGTCAAATGATTGTTTCAAGCTAGTGGAAAACGATGGGAAGCTCGAAATCTTTTTTTTTTCTTTTTCTTTCTTTATTTTTGATTTCTATTGCCCTAGGCTGGTAGAGTGGCCTTTATTGTAAAAACAGGCAGATCCTTGTTGACCATTACTTACTTCACTAGCTTTGTCGACTCATAATCAAAAGCGAGAAAAGATATCCAGTTTTTACAGTTCTCAATGAGTTGCTCAGTGGAGATCACCCTCGAGTTGAAACTTCACAGAATTGGGAATGCCACCGGGCCAATAATTATTCGGTTTGACTGGATGAAAGTCCAAGCCCGGTGAGATGGTCATGTTGATTGGGAGGGTGGGGGAATCCTGCTATGTTGCGAGAACTCGGTTGATGCTGCGACGGAAAAAGGTTCCAAGGTTTGACTTCATAATCTCCGCAGTGGGAGCAACATTTGAAGGGTCTGTCTTCGAACACGAGGGGTGGAGACGCGGACGGTCCGGAGCACTTGAGAGTAGGATCTGCATTTAACCAGGGGAACTGTGGGACTCAAGAACGCCAAGAATAACGCGGAGTGGTGCCACATGTGAGAAGGGTCTTTGAGGCATCAATTTAAGCCATTTATTTGCAAGGACCCGAAAGGGCTGTTAAGGCTGAATCACGCATGATCAATGGAGCCCGCGTATGTGCAAAATGCATCAACATCACATGAGTTTCTGGATATTGTTTAACAGAGCTACTGTAGGCTATACAAAGTTTCAAGCTAAGCTTGAAAACGAGAGGAAACGAAGCTAGGAGAAACATGGCTGTATATATGCTGATTAAAGAGGCACAGTATCTAGGAAAACAAAATTCAGCACTTAGTTGTCGCCGACCAGGTATCTGAACAAGGCGCGGACAAAGTCCAGAGTATCCTGGGCACTGTCGGTTGGGATGGCTTGGGCAGCTATAACACTGCTAGGAGTAGTCGCGACGGTGCTGGGCTTCGAGGACTGACGAGACTGAGTCGCGAAGGTAGTCACAGCCTGCACTGCCTGCGTAGCGACAGTAGAAGCAGTAGTCTCAGCGGAAGCGATGGTAGTAATGGCGGCGACAGTGGTCTCTGCAGCAGCGCTAGTCTCGGCTACAGCAGCAACATCAGTAGTTTTAATACCAGCACTGCTGGCAGTGGAAGAAGTCTCCACAGCAGCAGCAGTTGTTGTAATCTCAGCAACAGCAGTAGAAGTAGTTTCAATAGCAGCACTGCTGGCGGTGGAAGAAGTTTCCACAGCGGCGGCAGTACTCGTAATCTCAGCAGCAGCTGTAGTCTCGGCGACAGCAGCAGCGGACGTAGTTTCAACAGCAGCACTGCTGATAGCGGAAGAAGCTTCCACAGCGGCGGCAGTAGTCGTGGTCTCGGCAGAAGTGGTGGTATTAGTGGTCACTTCAGTGCCCATGCAAGCGAAAGACATCTTCTGAGTAGTGGAAGAAGTACTGTCATACCCAACAGCCTGCGACAGATCCCACTCCATGCTGACATACGGCCAGCAAATACGACCGTCTGACATAGTGACCATGTCGCCTGCAATATAGACATCGGTACTTGTGAAAGCATTACCAACCTTGCTACCATCCGAGCTCACCTCCTGGAAGTAAGTGCCCGCAAACTGTCCCCGACAACCCATCGCGATGTAGTCACAGATCGGGTCCGAGATTTCCTCCCAGGTGATCAGGGCCGAGGTGTTGCCAAAGGTTGCAGCGTGGGCATTGGAGCAGTCATTCGATCCTTGGGTCACCCAGTTGACCTGACTGTCTCCATCCTCAGTGCCAACCACCGAGGTGGCCTGGTCGCCAACCTTGGTGTACTTGTCCGTGAATAGGGAGATGGCAACGTTGCGGCCGTTGGTGCGGTTGTTAACATGAGTGTACCCGTCGCCCATCCAGGTGTTTTCGGTCACATCAATGGCACCGCGAGAAACCCAGGCGAAGATGTACTTTGTCGAGTCGGCAAAGCGAGCCAGCGCGCTGTAACTACCCGACATACCACCCATAGGCTCACCAGAGCCACCGTTGGTGGTGTTCTCGTTGGAGATCTTGACTCCAGTATTCATCATGCCTTGTCCCTCGGTGTTTAGCCAGATAGCGCCCTGGTCCTCAGCGCAGATACTGGCGAAGGGAGCTTGGTCGGCAGCCTCGAACGCAATACCGGTGTTGTGGCTGCATCCCCAGGAGCTTGATGCACCGGTGATTGTGTCCAGGTCTCCAGCCTTGGTCACGTACTGAATGCTGTCGCCGTAGTGACCGGAGGCGTCACCAGTGTAATCAGTGACAACGAAGTATGCACCGTAGAGTTCTTCGCTTTCGGAGTAGACGAGGTCACCATTCATATCCGGGGAGGAGGAGAGGCCATCAGAGGCATGGACTCCAGGTCCACCCAGCCAGGTCTTCCAAGTCTGACTTCCATCGGTGTAGCGGTACAAGACAGGAACGGGGGTATCACTGGGCGGCGCATTGGTGGTACCCGAGGGCATCGCTTCGTTGACCAGAACAGCGAAACCATCGTTGTGAGCGACGAGACCTCCGGCTAGTTATATGGATTTTCTAATTAGTCACAATGGTCTCGGATATTTCAAACAGATCAGATAGTTGGCCTATCACACCTTCTTTTCCACCAGAGACGGTCACCGTAGTGCCCGTAGCCTCGAAAGTCGTAGGGTCCAACTTCTGAATGTGAACATCGGTCTCGCTAGAATCCAGATAAGCAATGTAGGCAGAATTTCCATCGGGAGACACCGCGAAAGGAGTGCGACGGTGGTGTGGATAGCCAGTCCAGTAGGCTTCCTTGACGGGGTTGAAAGCACTGTCGAGTGCCAGCACATCGACGTGAGTTTTCAGGTTAGAAGTGGTCAGACCAGCAGAGGCAACCAGTGCCGCAGAGAGCAGAGAAAGAATGAAAGTCCCACGCATATTGGGGGATAAAAGTCGGTGCTACTGCTTTTTGGTCTGACTTGGACCGTGTAGATCGTCCGGGATCTACACCCTTTTTAAACCCTGTTCCAGCGAACGATGCTAAACGGCTGAAAACGCCTATATGGCCTCCAGGGCTGACACGAACAATTAATCCGATACGTTATTGAGCATATAACATTGAAGGGTTAGTTTGGCGTTTCATGTGCTGCCAAGAAACCCTTAATGTAGACTATTTAGTTCTTCGAGTTTATTAAAACGACCCTTGATTTGATGAAAGGGTCCGCGCTAAGCTAATTTAGCCTAAGCGTGGTAATTATTGCAATCTATACCGAGGGATATACTATGTGACACTATTGAGAACATAGAGACCTACTTGATTGCAATACTCTATAGGCCACGCTAAACTAATAGATAATGAAGGAGTGATACTGCATGTCTCTGAATTATATAAGAAAATAGAGATCTGGTTCAGATAGAAATAATTACAGTCCGAATTACAGTTACGGCGCTTACACTAAAGAAGTTTAGCGTTCGTCAATTTAGGGTACTTTTAGCAATTCCCACTTCACTGTACATTAAGTAGCCGCTACCAGAATAGGTGCGGAACCCGGCCCTTGTGAAACATTGTTTCACTGTAATTTATGCGGAACCCCGAGATTTTTCCAGGTAGTTCATTAACTTTGCTTTCCAATTGCTTACTACTAGTAACTAATCAATCAAGTCATTAAGATCAACCACACCACAGGCCACCCAGTTGCACGAGGAATCGGATACCATGTTGCCTCCATTACCAATAAACAACCGATTTACACCGGCATCGTTGATGACCCGCAAAGATCGCGAATACGACGACCACTGGTCTACATCGACCATCTTCCAGTTACTCTCATCTGCCGAATCATCATTCACAAATAATTCGGAGCGGGAATTTCCATTCATGATGATCATGCCGGACCCATCTGTACTATCCGGGCGCGGAGTCCAGATCACATATGGAGATCCCACTGGCTGTGTCTGAGAACTGTCATTTGACGCAATGGGAAGTCCATCCACCGCGTCAAACGTCAACGGTGACGAGGAAACCTTGTAGTATGCTTGGCAATTACCCGAGCCACAATACTCATAAGTCAGGATATACTGGTCGGTTGACTCGATGTGGGCCACGACGGCCATGCCAGGTCGATCGGTATACTCGGGGTAAGCCACAACGTTGGAGGTAGTGGACCAGGTCAAGAGATTAGACGTGGTCACAGCGACGAGCTTTTGTGCATGATCCGGATCCCGCTGGTCGGAGAAAAAACATATGAAATTATCCTCGTATTCAACGAAGAAGGGCTCCCAGATGGCCTCGTTGCCATTGGTGACGGTTTCGGGTCCCGAGCCGTATGCGATATGGCTGACGAACTGCCATGTCTGGGCCGAGTCGGTACTTGCGTACAGGTCGATATATGCCGTGCTGAGGTTGGACGGGGTTGACACCCCTGCTGCGAGGATGGTTCCGGCCGCGTACGAGCCCCAGGAGCCTTCAAGCTGGTAGAGGAAAGGTTGATAGCGCATGCCCCATCCATTCTCTGTGTCGTGTACGCGGGAGTATTCGGACCAGGTCGCGCCGCCATCAGTGGATCGGTAGATGGGAAAGTAAACTAGGGGCGGCTCGGGAGGGTAGTCTTCCCATGTCATTAGGAGGGAATCATCCGGGAGCTGCAGGGAGCGCCCGTATATCGTTTTCCAGCTCGTATAGTTTCCATCGGGGATGAAAACAGTATTGTCGGTGAAGAGGCTGTTTGCTGCTGGCGTTGCTGGGGGAGTCACACATGCACTCGCAGAGAGCAGGGACAAAGGCAGCAAAGAAGCTACCAGAGCGAGGGCCTGAAACATTCTCTGCGAGTAGCAATTTTGAGCAGAATGTACTTATCGGGGACCTTTCCAAGGTTGTTTGCCGACTCGGAGGTAAGGGGGCGGGAACATTTTTTATTTATAAACATAACTTCTTTCAATTCCACCTTGAAGTTGAGATAACTATTCAAGTTGTTATTAAATAAGGCAATTTCCCGGCGGTAATACTCCGGGCTTAAGTACACTTTCATGCTGTTGTTTTCTGAGATGTGGGGAACAGTTTAGGCAATCCCGAGAGCGGGAATTCGACCAACGGTTGATGATGGATTCCGCTAATTTAAAGTTATTGCGGAGAAGAACACATGATGTGAGAAAGATCGGTTTACCCATGATATACTGCATTAGCTATACTATTTAGGATACATGAGAGACATAACAGTAAACTTTTGATTGAAAGCTAAGCTACGGGAGAGAGCTATACCCCACATTCGGACTGAAGGATAATTCCGTAACATCCTCAAAAATGGTTAAACGTTCTTGCTGCGAACATATTCCAATTTGGCCTGAGCTGAAATAATTTCGAGATCAACTGCCGCACAAGGCGGGTCGCTGGTCTTGTTATCAAGTGGCAATGCGTATTCGAAAAGGAATCGGACCATCCAACGATCTAAACGATGTGTATGAGAATGTGAGAGCAGAAGACACGTATTCTGAAAGTTCATAAGACGATTAATCTGCTCTGTACGTTAGTGAAAATATTCACCTAAATTAATACTTGGGAAAAGGAGTGGTAATACCATTATCTCTACGCAAGGCCAATATTGCGCAAGATCTAGTAGCGCCTCGAAGTTGGTTTGTAGGCAGTGACGAGACTGCACCAATTCATCTTCGGCCCCAAAAAGGAGAGTATGTAGGAGGACAGATGATGATACGATTGTCATCTGGCCGACAGTAGGATATACCGCTTCGCATCTGGCTTGTTGTCGCCCGCGGGCGAGCAACGAGCTGTAACTTCGCGCATGGTATTTGCAACGAGCTGCAAATAAAAGACTTTGAGCTGTTGGAACAAACTGAGTGTCTAGATATTGATAATATAGCAACGTTGCATAGTGATGGAAGCCCAGATGGAGCGCGAGAAAAGGCCCACCCGTGCCCCAGCCCGCGTGGCTAAGTAAATTGATTTCACTCATACAAGCATGAGCCGGAAGTCTCTCTTGCCACTCCTCCAGCTGTTGAGCTAACCGGCTCGTATCCTGCTCAATTTGGGACTGCTGCAGGTCCTTATCCTGAACTATCCGGCGATTGAGTTCCTGAATCGGGGCGAAAAACTCCACAAGCGTTAGCATGTGCGCCCATAAGCCCGGATTGCCGCATGATTCCAGGACAGAAGGCGGCTGATGAGGGGTTAGCGCGCAGAAAGCTCTTTCATCCAGGGGTAAGCGGGCTGGTCTGGGGAAGTCTTTCATTTGACGGGGAAGGCCGAGACTCGAGCAACACCAGTTATCTGCCATGAATAGAGTCCACCAGACGCGAATCTTGATCTCCTGGGTGATAGCGCTGTCTTCACGATCTTCCGCAGCGATGTTCATAAATTGGATCATGCTTATTGCCATTTCTATTCATAAAAGGATTTAGCATTGCGGCAATTTTTCAATTCCATCAACTCCAGGCAAACATACGAAAAAAGAGAAATTCGGAAGATGGATTGGAATGCGCTGCGCAGAGATTTGCCACTAATATGCATGTTTGGACGTTTTCCAAGCTTATGTTCTCCACGTCCTCCCTGAAGAGTCTCTTGCACTCGGAAGTGAGAAGTGGCTCCAGTGAGCGTGCGGTCGGCCGACTGGACAGGTGGGCGCCCATAGCGCATATGGCCAATAGCAAGGGCCGATGTATGCGCCCATCACGAATGTCTCTCAAAAGCGTGTTGACATGGAAAATGCTGTGGGGGCGGTCGTGGATCTTGGTCAAATAATGTTGCACCATTTCCGCAACAGCCTCAGAATCGGCAAGAAAGTCATTCACAGAGTCGTCTGCAGGGGAGGCACATGAAGATTCATCTAACGGAGAAGATGATCCGGAGAGTGGCCTGGCTACAAGGGCCCGCTTTTGATCTCTCAACTTGCTTTTGGAATTGGTGCAAAGGAGCCCATGACGCAGACAGCGAATGCATGAGACCAACAGACCGGCTTTCTGCTGAACGCACTTTCGTTTGGCTTGACGGCATTCTAGGCAGGCTTTCATATTATCAAAGATGAACGGTTGGAATCTCTTATTTTCCGTTTTTCTTCTCCACGAGATCAATATTGCAATATTGCATTTTCAAATTCCAGATAATGCGGGGAAAAGCGGGGGGTTTAAAGTTGCGGGAATCGTGCCTTCTAATTGGCTCAAAATCCGCCAGCACTCCTGTCTCTTTATCGCTCATGAATCGCAGTTGCCCAGGCAGTAATAGGCTTCTCACGAGCCAGCTAGACACATTGAAATCTGCGGTCTCAGGTACCAAGCTCTCATGAAAATTAGATTTCTGTCCACCGGAATATTACCTCGAGTGAATCTGAACTGATCGGATGGCATCCTGGATCGAAGTGCATTCACTGTTGGGCAGTCCTACCTACTGTGGATTCGATGTGTTCTGACTGGTCAGTTTTCCGCACCCGATTCCAAGGTTCCGCCACAAAACTTGGGGAACATGGTAACTCGTGACATTTTTGGATTTTGCTGGAATTCCTGTCGCTCTCTTGAGCCCATATGGTATGGTGGCGTACGCCAGGTGGGTTTTCCCTCTTTCGAGCTGCCTCAAATCGCGTTCTTTCATTCTCAGTACGCCATCTCCAGATATATAACCATGGCTTTCCCTCATAAGGATCGCTGGATTCAATGTGCATATCAAAGGTCAAAGGTCAACATTGAATCGATAGCCTCTGGGTGTCTATGATTGTTTCGGCCTACCTAGACACCAGTAACTATCATGCACTCCACCGATGAGAAAGCGAATCCTAAAGAGGTGGATATCCTCCAAATTGAGAAGGTGGAGCTTCATGTTCCACACGTTCAATGGTGGAAGCAGCCTGCGCTAAGGCGTCTTTACATGGGAATGCCCATTCTCATGCTTGCCGCGACAATCAATGGTTACGATGGAAGTTTACTGAATGGACTTCAGACAATGACGGCCTGGCAGAGCTGTAAGTATGAGTCTGAGGATTTCTTGGACGAACACTGACCGTATCTACTAGATTTCGACAATCCTAGTGGCTCAAGGCTGGGACTTTTCACTGCAATCATGAATTTAGGAGGCTTTTGTGCGCTTTTTTTTGGTACGCATCTTAAAACTGAAGCAATAGAGCATCCATATTAACAAAATATTTTCGAAGCGCCGTACATTGCTGATTTCTTCGGACGGAGATTTGGAACCGCACTGGGCCTTGTTATCATGATAATAGGGGTTATTATACAAGGTAAGAATTGGAAACTGACTAGAAAAATGACACTTTAACATGAAAACATTTTCAAGTCGTACCCGACGTCAATTCAAATATGTTCATTGGCGGGCGATTCCTCGTGGGCTTCGGGTAAGAGAAACCGGTGCTTGAGTCTCCTGACGATTATTTTACTCAAATATCGCTTAGCTCGAATATCTCCATTGGCGCCGCACCGTTGTTAATCATGGAGCTTGCATATCCACAGCATCGAGGAAAATTGGCTACCTTGTACAATACCATGTGGTATGTGGGCTCGATCATTGCTGCATGGACTGTCTATGGGACCATAAATTATTCTGGCAACGTCGCCTGGAGAGTTCCTGTGGCTCTACAGGCTCTTATGCCATTTATTCAGCTGGTTGGGGTTTTCTTTCTCCCAGAGAGTCCTCGCTGGCTGTGCTCCAAGGGTCGAGACGAAGAAGCCATGGCAATCTTAGTGAAGGTATATCTGATAAACACCGTCCTTTCTTTTCCCAACGAATGTGTTAACAATGGCATCAATAGTACCATGCTGAAGGTGACACTCAAAGTGACTTTGTTCGCGGCGAGTTTGCTGAGATCCAAGAAACTCTCCGCTTGGAAAGGGAGTCTTCGAAACAAGGATGGCTCATCTTCCTCAAGACTTCTGGCAACCGACGACGCCTACTCCTCATTGTCTTGACCTCATTTTTCAGCCAGTGCTCTGGCAACGGCCTGGTATCATACTACTTGCACGACATCCTCAGTTCCGTGGGCATCACGAACCCGACGGACCAATCTCTCTTTAACGGCGGTCTTCAGATCTGGTCGTGGTTGGTGTCCATTGCCTTTTCTGTTTCTCTGGTAGACAAACTCGGCAGAAAGACACTCTTCCTAATTGCAGGAATTGGTATGCTTCTTGCTTTTAGTGCTTGGACCGGGTATGTCACTTCGAAAATGAATGACTCCGTGCTACTCAAAAACTTTGGACTAACATCAGTCGTAGTTGCTCTGCAGTATATGCGGAATCTGGCAACACTGGGGCCGGGTCCGCCGTACTCGCCATGATATTTCTCTTTTACGGCGTTGCCGGATTTGCCTGGCCCGGACTGACCGTCGCATATTCGTCTGAAATTCTACCTTACAGCATCCGTGCCAAGGGTCTCTCGCTTTGCCTTGGTGTCACTGCCCTCTCCGGGGTATTGAATCAATATGTCAATCCAATCGGACTCGCCCATTTGGCATGGAAGTTCTATTTCGTATACATTGTTATCCTCGTTATCGAGGTGGTCTGCATCTGGTTCCTTTTCGTGGAGACAAAGGGTCCTACCCTGGAGGAGATTGCACCATTGTTCGATGGTGATACTGCCCAAGTCGCTGGCAGTGACCAGATCCTAGGCCCCAAGAAAGTGTGATACTGCCCAAGTCGCTGGCAGTGACCAGATCCTAGGCCCCAAGAAAGTGAGCGTGTGAGACAACGCAAACAAAGCTTCCAATCCAGCTGAATCTGCTAGGAATAAAGTAAAGTACCTGGTGGAAAATGGGAACAGCAGGCAGAGTAGAAAGCAATAAGAAGAGAACATTGGGAGAATAAGAAAAAAAAATAAAACAATTCCTTCCATATTGAAGCCCCCGAACTGCATCATACGCTTAAATCATGCAATTCCTTCTATATTGAATATTTAAACTCTAGGATAATACCCCTGCCGTAGGCAGGGACTTGGGGGTCTGGGGGGAACCCCCAGAAAAAAGAAGTTCTGAATATATTATTATAATCAAAATAGGAGTTTAAAAATATAAGATTTAATCGCTCCGTTCAAGCGGTTATCGGCAGGTTTATTCTAAAAAATAAACTAAGCCAACACCTGGTATATTATTTTAATTATCAGGGGTAAAAAGGACGGAGAAAGCTATCACTTTCAGGATGATCTGGTCAAACTTCCCTATCTTCTCATGTATAGAGGCAAAGTGACGGAGAGTCGTTCGCGTATGGTTTTCTTCGGCTATAGAAAGTCAGAAATTAAAGACAGACCCCACAAAATAGACGACGACATCTAGTCTGTCAATCCAGAAGTAACTCACTATCCGATGAATTGGCCCTGTGACAGTCGTGGGATGTGCACGGATCTTGCGTGGTCTCGGGAGAAATACCAGCCTCTGGTTTTTGTGCCCGTCATTTGCATATTAGCCCGCTCATAAAAGGCTCAGATGTACGTTGACTGTAATCACCTAAAAAGTGGGTCTCATACTGTAAAGGTGGTTATGACAGCGACAAACCATGCCGTTATTATGACTGGGTCTAAAACTTTTGTCGATGATTTCAAGTTGTCGGGTAGATTGATAGAACGGAGAATCCGGAAATCATCAACGGCAAGGCCAACAATAATTAGAAAGAGGCAAGGTGGACGTCCATGCATCTCCAAGCTTGATGGACTTAGCTAGAATTTGTTCGCCATTTCTGGCTCTAGTGATATATGACGTCATGTTTGAAATCCCGGTGTGGCTGAGTTTCCCACCTTTATTTCAAAAAGAATGCCCGTTAGCGACGTCCAACCACGAGTCAAAAAGAAACATTGAATGAAAATATTCCAGCACGCACGCAATGGCTGATGCTCGAGGCCTAGACAACCCTCGCAAGGAGGAGGAGGAAGCAGAAGTCATCTCGAGGCATCTGGACCCTCGATTTACCGGGGCTCCTGACGGCGTCGTTGATGCGGGGGCCGGGTCAACTGCAGATGACGATGACAACCAACAATCTTCTCTCAAACTGCTAGGAGGTGATATTCATCGTGACCTCTATCGCATTGAAGCTCGCTCGAAACGCGCCGGATTGGATCAGCGTGCAGCCACATTTTCGCACCCCCCAAGGCTGGAAACAGACAACGACATCGATGTCGATGTTCCTATCCACAATGAACCGGGAGCTTTCCGCCGGCAGTTTATATGGCGGAATAAGCGTGCCTTCGGTAACGGATTTGCGCCGAGTAGTTTCGTGAAGTATTTGGAATTATACGGCAGCTTCGCTGGTGAGGACCTGAACGAGTCGGAAGAGGAGACAGATGCTGAAAGTGATGGAATGCCGGGGCGTGAAGTAGACCCGGAAAGAAGACCATTGCTTGCCGCGCGTAAAAGCACTCCAGCTCCAGGGGATGCCTCGGACTTGAAAACTTTCTTCACACTCCTCAAAGCCTTCATAGGAACAGGCATTGTTTTCCTCCCAAAGGCATTCCGCAACGGTGGCATACTCTTTTCACCCATCGCTCTTCTCACGGTTTCAATCATGGCGTCCATTTCTTTCCACTTGCTGCTGGAATGTCGGCGACGGTATGGCGGTGGGTACGGCGATATTGGAGAATCCATTGGCGGGCGCCATCTCCGCACAGTTATTCGCGTTTCGGTCGTAACTACGCAGCTTGGATTCGTGTGCGCTGGTATTGCTTTTACTGCGGAGAACATGCGTTCATTTGTGAAGGGCGTGGCGGCCTATCATATATCGCCGTCCATTTACGCAATCGTCGCCCTGCAGTTAGTGATTCTTGTGCCTCTTTCGTTAATCCGCAAAATCTCTCGACTCGGGCTAGTAGCATTAGCTGCGGATGTCTTCATCTTTTTCGCCATTGGATACATTTACTACTACGATATTTCGACGATTTCCGGCCGTGGTTTCGAGCCCACGGTCACCCTTTTCGACACCAATACATATACCCTGACGATTGGGTCGGCTATATTCATGTTTGAGGGAATAGGCCTGATCCTTCCCATACAATCTTCCATGGCAGAACCCGATCATTTTGATCGCCTCCTCTACAGTGTCATGGCCCTTATAACCTTGCTTTTTGCTTCCGTCGGGATTTTGTCATACGGGGCATTTGGCACTCAGACAATGATCAATATCATGGACAACTTCCCTCAGTCGGATGTCTTGGTCAACTTTGTCCGGTTGTCATTCTCCCTAGCCGTGCTTGTCGGCACCCCTGTGCAGCTTTTTCCTGCTTTGCGGATCATGGAGGAAAATATATTCGACCGCGCCTCTGGTCGGCGAAGCCGCCTCACAAAGTGGAAGAAGAATATTTTCAGAACAGGCATTGTTTTTATCTGTGGCTTAGTAGCAGCACTAGGCGCCCAGAACTTGGATCAGTTCGTGGCTTTGGTTGGGTCCGTTTTATGTGTTCCGTTGATCTTTGTTTATCCGGCGTATCTGCATTGGAAAGGTATCGCGAGGTCACGGTGGGCAAAAGGAGGGGATGGTTTGATATTCATCATGGGGGTCGTCTGCATGGTATATACGACTATGGTGACCTTGTCTGTACAGTTTAGGTGATGCATGTATCCGTTGTTGACGTGCAAGCAGAGGCATTTGGAATCTTTTATTTAGATAAGCAAAAGATCAAGATCGCGAAGTTTGATTCAATTCGCTGAATAAAAAGCTACAAACCTGGGACAACACGCGGGGCTTCAAATTCTCAACAACTGTTTTTATTAGAACAGTATTTCCTGTATGATCTTTGCGCCCAGCCGATGAAATGTGAAGCGTAAGGGGGTTTGAACCAATGATGGGCTTTGAGGCATACTATGGCTGGAAAAACGACGCTCATTTGTCTTGCCATAATCTCATCAGCTTATCAACGGTTTCGCATTACTGTTCAGGTTCTTGTGACAGTTATGATTTGTTGTATCAACACTCCTTGAAAATTGATTGAACGCAGGCAAAAAATTTTTAGATGCGTTTCTTATTAATTTTTTCTATATAAAATTAACTTCAACCGTACAAGGGCTTGAATAAGTCTAAATCTTGTGATTTTGCGGGAAAAATGAGGAGTGGATAAAGACTTTTGGCACGGGTTGTACGCCAGCCCGCGAGGATGAAGACTTTGGCCGATTTTTCGGACTACTTCAGCAAACACTCTCACCTCGCCCACCTAGAACGCATACAGAGTCCGGAAAGGAGCTGCCCTAACGTGGAATTGCTTCTTATACAGTCATGCCCTAGGGGCGCAGTCAATCTGCTTGATCTTCCAGAACTGTTCCACCCGTTTGATGATATAATGGGTTGGGATTACTGGAAAACGTTTGCTGATGATAATGACCAAGCTTTTAATGGATACAGTATCGATAAGGAGGGCTTGGGATGTCTCGTACTGTGTCGGCCGGATCAGCACGTTGCATGGATAGGCAGTATGGAGGACATGGCTGGTTTGGATCAATATTTCTCAAGGCTGTTCCCGTCGAGAGAGAAAAAGTAAGAATGAATGGAGGAATTGGGGCTTTTGGATAGCAGTACTACTCGAAGCTATGCGTGACTTATTGTTTAGAGCATTATTGAAAAAGGTTAGACTAGATCCATAATGTAGACTCCCGACTGGATCGGAAGGGTCGGGTCGACGGGAACAGGTACTAACTTGTTCATCACTTCTGGACATGAAATGCCAATATTTTCATCGAGTCAATATCCCCCAATTAAATTCACATATCAGTCAGTATTCACGTCACGTCGACACAGTATGACACAAACAGTATAATAATAGGATGTGAGATAAATCAAGAATTCCAACATTTGAAGTCATGACGTTTCCAGGCTACTCTGGATACCACCTAAGCACACCATGAGCATTCAACAATTGATAGCAGGCTATATGGGCTTGATAAATTCCACATTTTCCACCATAATTCCAGTAGCGACCGTATTCAGTTAATATCATATTTCAGCGAGTTGTTCCAGCAGCAATATACTTTACCTTGGTTAGTTTTCGGTCACATCGACTCACATGATGGGTGAAGCGAACATGAACACCCCTTGCCTCAACATAGCTCTGGTCGCCGAGGAAAAGTCGACCTATCTACAGCTCGGCTATTCGGAAGAGCAGTGCGCGGCGCTTCCACACGAAGGTGAAATTGATGCTGTATTGGCTACACTCCAAAGTCTGGGCTACCATGTCACGCGGGTGTCTGGCATACAATCCCTGGTCCAGCTACTAGCGGCGGGAAAGCATAAGAGCTGGGATCTGGTTTTCAATATGTCACAAGGCGTCTATGGATCTGCAAGAGAGGCACAGGTCCCAGCGATCTTGGAAGCGTATCAAATTCCTTATACATTCAGTGACGCCGCGACAATGTCATCATGCCAGAACAAAGCTGTCACAAAGGTACCATGACAGAACCAAAAACACACTCCGTGCAGTCTAACTAAAATATGACAATAGACTATCCTAGACCGTTACAAAGTTCCTAACGCGCCTTTTGCCTTGATTCCTATGCTGGAGGGGAAGGCGAACATTTCTGAATCTTGCGCGGCACTGCCAGCTTATCCACTGTTTATCAAGCCGGTCAGCGAAGGATCCTCGAAAGGAATTGATAGCTTCAACAAAGTGAATGATTCAGCGGAGCTGGACCTAGCATTACAAGAACTAGGTTCCAAATTCCCCGACCAAGATGCTCTTGTGGAATCATTCTTGTCGGGCAGGGAATTCACAGTGAGCATGTTGGGAACCGGAGCACATAGCCGGGTTATTGGAATCAGAGAACATATCTGGCAAACGTCCCACAACCACAGCAACGACAATGCTCACCGCTCAAATCCGTCGCTGGACTTCGCTTGCGTACACAGCAAGTCCAGTACGGCAGGTAGGATGTTAGTATACAATGACTCGCATGACATGAACGCACCTCAAATCAAAGCTGCCTGTCAGGTTGCTTTAGACACTTGGAAAGTCTTTAAATGCCGGGATAGTGGGCGTGTCGACATTCGCTTCAGTTCAGACAAACAAGATTCCATTCCGAATGTGTTGGAGGTGAGTACTACAATAACTCTCATCATATCGAAAATGCAAAATGGCTCATGATTACCTTCAGGTGAATCCTATTGCTGGCCTTCTTCCAGGCCATTCACCATTGCCAGCATCGGCGAAGGTAAACGCGCTTTCCTTCGAGGAACTCTTGTCTGGAATTGTTGAAAGCACCCTTAAACGAGCACATCATCCATCTTCTCATGCCGATCGCAGGCAATGCCCCATTCACCTAAAAGCGGATCGCGAAGGTATCTTCAAGTGCGAGGGAAGTCAGCTTAAAAGCTATGTACCATGCGAGATCTGAACTGAATTCCAGAGTCATTGACGCATATCTTGTTAGGAGATTGTGAACCATGTGATGTCACATGGTCTGCTCCTAGATGCTCCAGCGCATGGGTTGGTTTTGTGTGCGAGAGGGTTAGGGTTGTAGTTAGTTTAGGGAAGTGAGAGCTTCTCTCTCATTCCTTCCTTCCTTCCTCCTTTCCTCTCCATCCCGCTCAGTAGAAGAATACCATTATTATTGATTCTTCTCCGTCTCTTTCTCTCCCTCATTACCATTCGTTTCTCCCAGATCCTTGTGGATCTGACATATCTCTTCGTTGATATTGGATATAGCTGCTATGAGCAGCCCCAGGAAGTAAATTTAATTACGTTACGTTAATTGGTAGAGAATACAACATTGAAGTATTAGGTGGAAATGAGATTTTATGGGGTATGACGAGTTAATACTTTTGTGATGGTAATTTAAATTTTCAATTCTGCCAGTTTGATTATGTCATATTTTCAAATTTTCTCGATGGCGGTAAAGCTAGAAATGCAAATTGGGTTATGGCAGAGGGGTGGCGGGTATCGGCCGCCGTAGCATGGGAAAACCCATGGAATCAAGACCGCCAATGCCAACGTCCGGGGTCTTTCTTATCGGGCTAGATAAGATGCCTCACATTGAAAAGGGACATTCACGAACCAACATTCGCTTCACTCGTTGCTTCACTCTGTTATATCATTGGCCTTAGGTCTTTGGCAACATACATGGCTTCGCTCTGGAGAAGTTCGTCCAGAGCTATACACGCCGCCACTGCGGGTGGATCTAGCTTTCTCCGCGCGTTTGGCACATCCGTGACCAGTCGTGCCAACGACGCGTCCCGTAAGCTCTTGAACTTGCCGATCAAGAATCCCAAGATCTTTCTTGACTAACAACGCATTGAATAGCAGCCACAAACAGCAAAATCGTCGTCATTTCCGGCCCATCGGGAGTCGGCAAGGGCACCCTGATCCAAAAGCTCTTCGACGCGCACCCAAACACCTTCGCATTCACCGTATCCCATACAACGCGTGGGCCCCGACCTGGCGAAATCGATGGCAAGAATTACTTCTTTGTTAAACGCCCCGAATTCGCCGATCTCATTGCCCAAGGCGCCTTTGTTGAACACGCCACGTTCGGCGGGAATCAATATGGCACAAGCCAACAGACAATATCGGACCAAATAGCCAAAGGACGGATTGTGCTCTTGGATATTGAAATGCACGGCGTGAAACAGATGAAAGCCAATCCCAGAATTGATGCTCGCTATATCTTTATCAGCCCGCCAAATTTTGAGGCTCTTGCGAAACGCCTCAGAGGGCGTGGGACTGAGCAGGATGAGGCTATTCAGAAGAGACTTGCTCAGGCGAAGGCGGAGCTTGATTATGCCCACTCGGGCGCTCATGACATGATCATTGTTAATGATGACCTGGAAGTGGCATGCAAGGAGCTAGAGGATTTCATATTTCCAACCAGCAACTGATTTCATGGGCCTAGGACATGTGCTTTCAGCCCAGGTACCATGTTGTGAGCATCCCTCCATCCCTCCATCGATCGGGAATGCAAGAAATATTTCTTTTCTATTCCTGCTCTTAATCCTGGATTGCAGATAGCAATCTTTTTTGGCTTGTGGACCCTGTTCTCACGAGCGAGGCTCCCGATCCTTCTAACTGTTCAGGCCAGCCGCTTCCTCAGGAACGGTCGACAGGGCAGCTGACTCCAATAAGCGTTGATGTTCGAATCAAATGGTCGCATAAATGCAGCCTGTCGCTAGCGCCATACGCGGCTCGTTATTGATTTGTAATGAATTAATTAATTTGGCAGGCAATACTGAATTGTCGGTGCTGACGGGCTGTGCATTTGTCAGCGTCGATTTCTACTACGGAGGTTGTAGATAGTAAGCCTTACAAAGGGCTTTCTTTCTCACAGCGAGAGCCGGTCTTATGCACTTTCAATTATTCAAAATTTCACCCGATTATTCCGAAAGACTACAAATCCTGGAACCGAACTATCACAATGGTTTCCCGACCGACTGTTTTTCTCATCGGAGCTGGATATATCGGCCTGAATGTTCTCGATGAGCTTCTTACCGCGGAGTACCCAGTAACAGTCTTGACCCGGCATCCCGAGCAGGCCTCAGTCCTTGCGGAGCGTAACGTCAAACCCGTTTTAGGCTCTTTGAGTGATGTGGAACTTCTCACAGATCAAACTGCAAAACATACCATCACCATCAACACGGCATCCTGCGATGACTTACCAAGTGTGCAAGCAATTCTAGCTGGCATACGGCAAAGAGTTGCTGCAGGTACACCGGCTATCTATATCCACACCAGCGGAGGAGGAGTACTCGAAGATGGCGCATTGGGCATGAATAAAAGTGAGAAGATATACCACGACAACCAGCCAGAGGAGATTGAATCCCTCCCGTCTACCTCTATGCACCGACACGTCGACATTCCTATAGCCCAGGCCGCACGTGAATTCGGAGATCGAGCAAAGATTGCCGTGATTCTCCCGCCACTTGTGTACGGATTAAACCCTGTCCATAAGCGCCATTCGATTGCCCTGCCTGCGTTGGTCCGCTTTGCTTTGAAACGCGGCTTTGCTGGGTACGTGGGTGCGGGCCATAATGTGTGGAGCTTGGTGCATGTCAGAGATCTTGGCCGTGCATATTTGACACTGCTTGGTTTCGTCGAAAGCTCGTCGCCAGCAGTCATTTTAGAGAACCCTTATTTCTTCGCTGAGAATGGATCTGAGTCTTCTCTTCTTGAGCTTGCAAGCCATGTAAGTCAGGTCCTATACGAAGCAGGCAAATTGGAGAGCCCCGTGGCTCATACCTTTGCGGAATCTGATTATGATGACGTTTTTGGCCCTATGACTGGAAGAGGCTTTGGTTGCAACTCGAGAAGTCGCTCTGTCAGACTGCAAGCTTTGGGTTGGAAACCGACGGAAAGGGATATTTGGACAAGTCTCAAAGAAGAGGAGATTCCAGCTTTGTTGTTGGGTTAAGGTAGAAATTTTCAATGGCTGACAATACTTTTTTTATCTAAATTGAGGAAATAACCTAGTATTCGGATTCCATGTAATCAAACACCAGTCAAAAGGACATCTTTCAGTACTAGTAGCCATCTCTTGCAAGAACCCATTCCGACATTATCTTTCGAGTAATGATGATGTGTTGCGGGCCGCGAGCGGATAGTTTCGCCTGCATTAATTCCTTGCCTCTTTCAAACATCGATCACAAGTCTTGCGGTGAGGTCGAGTTTGCAGGCTATACAAACTTTTGCGCCTCCTTTCTCGGGGTTCAACCACCACTTTGCATCATTCTCAAGTCTGGAAAGGCTTTGGGAGCTTCCCATTTCCACCACCAGCGTAGGTCTCTTCCAAGGGAAACCCGGGGTTGGCCGGATTAGCCAAAATTCTGCATCAGGGATTCGGACCTCGCTATCACCATCTATAGTAGGGACCTCGGATCCGAGATAATTGCACACCACTTTTCAAGACCCATATCATCAACCCACTTTGTAATTTGGTGGTTGAGGATGCCCGTTGCCACTCCGTGCGACTTTGACGGTGCCATTGCGAGAAGTTCGTTGTGGTAGGATCGGATCAATTCGCTCAAGATCCTGCTTGGAGTTTTCAAGGTAAGAGAACAGGTCGACTTTGCTGTGAAAAGAGGGCGAGCGGAATGTGTGTATTGATTGCTGCATGGAAGAAAGAAGAAGAAAAAGAAGAAGAAAAAGAAGAAGAGAAAGAAGAAGAAGTATCTCAAGTGAGATAAGGTGAGAGTACAGAGATCACATGTGATGTGATCAAACACAAGGATCTCGATCTCTTGAAAGCTGTGTAGACTACTTAAATCCTATGTTTCATCTTCATGGTAGGTAAACAGAGCAGAGAGCAAGCATATTCCACGGCCAGATCGCTGGCCTCAAACCCTTTGTGCTAAAGTTAGGTGGCTTGACGGCCCTAGTAAGGACCTATACGAGCACCACATCTCAGTCATAAGCAACACTCGGATCAGGATCCTTCACCTCCAGGGAAAGTGTCAGCGCGGAAGGAATGCAACCGCTGCTCAGGGAAAGGAAAGAACGGAGAGAGAAAAGCAACTGGATTGGCTATGAACAAACTCTCTCGGGGGGATGGAGAGAAGGGAAAAGGAAGGAAGGAAGGAAGGAAGCAAGCACTGGATCTAGATATACCCAGAGGGGGTCACCTGACCCCTCTCTAACAGAAAGCACCTGTACCGTATTGATACGCACGCCAAGAAAGTGGAATTTCTGATATTCATTTGATTGTTGATAAGTATCACCCACACCAACCGAGGCATGATTATGTTGATTACTCTGCAATACCTCGGTCGCGCATCTTTACTGGCGATAGGTCATCCCAATGGCATGTCCCATCTACTCTCGACTTTATGAACATGATTTTACCATGATATTCAGCAAAGGATGACAGACGTGCTCCTTGGAAATTTACATTATCTCACAAGATGGCTCTCTTCTCTCAAGGTATCAAAACGGGAGGAAGGTTTACATGTGCGATGCCCTCCGATCGTGTTTATGTTCTTGTCTTTGAATCTGGACCAGAAAACCATTTGACACCTGAGTTTGTCGAAGCTTTCTGCTCCTCATTATCCAGGATTGAAGCCTTTCCACATGGCGTCGTGATCACTGCAAGTAAAATCCCTGGATTTTACAGCAAAGGTATTAGTCCGCACACATCACAAGATGGCTTTGAAGGACAAGAGCATATATGGCCACTTCTACAACAACTTCTAAGGTATGATCCTTCATATTTTGTAAATTCCAGCACGTTGATATTGGCCCTCATAAGGCCTTCGTTCCTAATTTTCTAACATAATGTATCATTGACAGATATCCTATGCCAACAATCACCCTCATAAGCGGACAAGCCGCTGGTCTTGGCGTTACTTTAGCTCTATGCCATGATTTCAGACTTCAACAACCCCGGGGTTCCTCTCTCTCTATTCATGAGGACCGGTCTGCTACGCCATTGATGTCCAAGTGGATGCTAGATTTCGTGAAGACGAGACTGCCTACATCATATACTACCCGCTCAATGCGAGAGGGGGGATCTCTTCGTGCACGAGATTCTGTCAGATCTGGCCTGGTCGATGAGACGGGGTTTTTTGAAGATGCTCTGCGACTTATCGAGAGGAAAGGACTACTAGATCTTGGCACAGACAAGTCATACTGTAAAACGAAAGAGTTACAAAATAGGAGGGCTATCACTCTGCTAAATACCAGAAATAGAAGCAAGATCAATGTAAATCGACTTTGAAATTGGTGCAGTGACAAAACAAAGCCCTCGCTGGAACAAGAGTGTTCACCGGCGGTCATTTTCGATAATTAAATACCTCAGTGCTCGCCACTACTAGCTTGCAGTATATCCAAAAAGACGTGTATTTCAAATGCTGTTCCAAATTCGAGGTGCGGGTATTACTAACAAAAACAAGCAGTTCGAGAGATGGGCATAATCATTAAATGATGAGGATATCACGGTCAAGTTTGCCTCGGCTTCCCGAACCCGAAGAACATTGAATCTTTATTTGGTTCATTTTTATGCTATCACTTTTTCTTTTGCATAAATCACCATCACGACGGCATTCTTTTCCTATTTTTCTTTTCAATACATTTCTACTGACTCAATGCACACACATCAATTGATACTCCAGGACCACTGCACTGCATTTGCGCCTGAAGCCGTTTTCTGCTCTAATACGTCAATTTCGCTCTGTACCCTGAGAATTGATCAACATTCGCCAGAATGCTTGAATTGCTATGGAGTTTATTTTCGACCATCAGTCTCTGGCAATTTCTCCTGGCAATCTTCCTTGTGGTCAATTTCAAAAATTTACCACTAGTGTTCCACGTAAGAATTCCTTAAAAGGCGAACGATAAGCCTATCTTTCAGTGCTCTCTCTCCAAGCCCCTGCAAGTTCTGATCTGACTCTCCTGAAGTATCGAATTTTCCGCCCCATGGTTCAAAGCTTCTTCACAAAGACAAGAAGTCATCGCGTATCAGTTCGGCACAAAGACAAAGACCTGCCAGTGGTCTTTCTTCCCTGTGTAACAACAACCTACACACCACTCCTTGAAGCCGACTACAACCTCCACAAGTCAAACAGTACATATTTCACGGATCTTGACGCAAGCCGCTCTCATCTTCTGTCATACCTTTGCCTTGGTGGAGTTTCTGTTGTCGATCGAGAGCTCGTCGCTGATGGCAAGCGGGGGATAATGGCCGCCATAATAGGATCCGTTACCACAAGCTTCAAGAAGGAAATTCGGATCTTTCAGCAGTACGAAGTATGGTCTCGGATCCTTACATGGGACCAAAAATGGCTCTATATCGTGACGCATTTTGTCCAGAAAGGAAGCGTCAAACAAGTTGATCTGGTCACTCATACATCATCTACCAAAAAGTCTTCTGCAACATGTGCCGGGCATGGAAGCGAGAATGGTGGGCACAAAGTAGGACGCCCTGTTGTGTTTGCAACTTCGGTTTCGAAGTACGTTTTCAAGAAAGGAAGGTTGACCGTGGCACCGGAACGACTTCTGAGAGCTTCCTGTCTACTAGATGAAAGTAAAAAGACTGTGGGAAATGTCGAGACCGGTCAAGTTATCGAGAAAGAAAGGCTCAGAGGGATGAAATATGCCAACGCCTGGGCTGAATTGGACTCCCTCCATGAGGAGCTAGCCGGAGAAAACGATAAAAGTGACCTTGTTCCTACCATCGGCCACTTCGCTGACATTGCAGGATTCGGCATCTCTTATCGCTAAGGCTCTTGTTCCAGATGTCCGTGGGACTTCACATGTGAGAGTATTCAAGAAATTCAACTTGATACTATGTCTTTGAAAATTAAAATGATGTATAGTAGATTACATTAAACGGCCGGACGGTCTGGAACATATACTTTGAATTGAATTTCAACAAGTTTATCGATTTCAAACTAACATTGAAGCATTTGAGGATATTCAATTTAGAGCAGAAAAAAAAAAAATAACATTTGAACCTTGCGCCTTGAAATTTCACGAAGCCCGCCCATTAAGAAAATAAGAAAATCATGCCTTCTGACGTCTCTGGACTTTGCAAGGCCATCCATAAGGAACAGCCAGGAAGCGAGTGCCAAATTTCCATTGCTTGGTTGGATCGACCATTTCAACATCGTAGTCGCGCAGTATCGTGCTGAGGACTTTGTTCAGCTCAAACTGGGCCAGGTTACGTCCCGGGCATTGGCTGTATCCGGTTCCCCACTGTATACCATGTTAGTTTGAATCGGAATGTTGGAGGTCTGTATACGTACGTGAATCAAAAATGAATCCATTTTCTTAGTGTCACCTTGGAGCCATCGATCGGGGTCATAGATTTCGCTGTCCTCGCCGAAGATGTCTGTGTTGCGGTGGATGACCCAAGGATTAACACTCAGAATAACCTGGAGGAATATGTCAGAATCAGAATACAACAGATAAAGCTCGGGAGATTCTTACTCCTTCGGGGAAATATCTTCCAGCAATAGTCATTCCTCCTTTGGGCACCACTCGTGGAAGGTTGTGGGCAACGCCAGGGTGGATTCTATATGATTCTTTCAACTATTGTCACAGTTAGCATACTAGGCTGATTTTCATGGCATGTGGTAGTGCTCTTACACAAGCCTGGAAGAAAGGGAGCTTCGCCGCCTCGCTATTTTGAATGATAGCAGAAAGTTCCCCGCGGGCCTGCGCAGCATCGATTTCTTCTCGTGCTCGCTTCAGAAATTGGGGGTTACGAAGTAAGTAGTAGATGAAAGCTTGCGCAGTCGCACTGATTGTCTCTGCACCGGCACCAATGTTCGCGACCGCCGCTGCGAAGATATCTCTTTCGGACAGACGGTCAGGGTGGGTGGCGCGAACATCGAGCCAGCGCTGCATCATGTCATGGCGGATCTCAGGATTTTTCTTGCGGTCGTCGACAGCAAGAAGGCATGTATCGAATATGTGAGAGTTGGGTTGCAGGCCGAGCCGACTGAAGAGGGGGTTCCCTAGTGTCAGGTGGTGGAACCAGACATAATTGCCTATCACGGAGATGTAGTAGACCAATGAGCCAGTGTTGGCGATTGCATTCCGGATGTCGGTGCCGGACTCGACAAAGCCGAACGACTTGGAGAATGTCACTTCGCCGAGCACATCGAATGCGAAGAAGCTGAACCAGTCTTGGAACTGGACGGTGCTGCCGGTGTCGCTTAGCTCATCGAAGCGGGTCTTGAAGAGCTTGAGCACAGAGTCAATGTATGGCTCTGTCTTTGTGATGTTGGTGAGTGAGAACCCGGCTGAAAGGCTGCGAGTCTTCTGGATGTGACGCGCTGGGTCTAACTCGGACATTTGGTTGACATAGTGATAGTCTGGAAGACTAAACATGGAGTAGAATTTGCCCTGTCAAAACATAGAATGAGTTATTTGTTCCGATATAGATGAGAAATTCGATCTATCCACGTACTTTGGCAATATTGGCCTGCAGAACCTGTTTAACAGCGTCCGGGTGAGACACGCTCACTTCATTTTCGGCAATGCGAACGAAATGACCTGGAATATCTCAATTAGAATATAGCTCTCTGTAATTTTCCCCGAAGGAACATTGAATGGCATCATACCGTGCTTCTTGTGGAGTCTGAGAATCTCCTCCTCACTATGTCCCTCCCAAAGATAGTAGACGCGCCAGAGACTGGAAAATGAGGCCACAAATGGACCAGGAACGTCCTTGATCGACGTTGCAAATTTCCTAGAAATCGCACATATCACAAGCGCCACCAGTGCCACGGCGAAGAATGATAATGCATGATACCTGTCCAAAGATGTTATCAAGGCAGGCAGTACAATAATGCCCAATTCATTCGACGATGACCCCATTATGCCTGCAGGTCAATTTCAAGGGGTTCAACAAAAGTTCAAACAAGAAGCAGGGAAAAAACAAAGACAACGGGGTTGTCTAAGGAATCAGTCAAGAAGTGATCATAGCGGCCCCCCATTCGGCCCCTCCCGTGCTAACGGTGTGGAGTTGACGGAAATCCGTGAGAGTCTAAACATGGAGCTAAGCTGTAAGTATAAGAGGCGTTTTTTTGGGTGAAACGTCCGAGGGAGGGATCGACTACGACTAAGTGGGGCTCCGCGGCATGACAGCCCACTTAGCTGCCCGTTAATTCTAAAAGTTGACAAGACAGAAAGCATGTTTGACAGGCCCATTATCCCGTGATGAGACTTTATTCCGTCCCCAGGTACTCCGCACTTCAGTTTCATATGTCCAACTTGATAGAAGACTAGGATAGAAACAGGTCTTACAGGGTTGGAAGCTAGGCTTCATGTGCCATTGAAGGATTCCTAGCGGGTTGACTAGTGTCAATACCGACATGGTTAGTGCAACCGAACAAAATACCACAAACAAGTTCTATCTAAGCGAACTGGCTCTAGGCCGTCTAGAACATGCGCTATTTCAAGCCTACTGCATCCTGCGACCAGGTATCACGGTCTTTTGTTATTAACTTATTAACACGTGCTTTGAGAGTTGACATGTTCGATTTTGTTTATCGCGCCCTCAAATACCCTTCTCTCTGAACAATTCCTTGCTGATAAACATTAATGTCACATGAAGTTACGTGAAATCATGGTTTGCAAGGGAAAAAGTCCAAGCTGTAGGCTGTGGCTCTTTAGAAAACAAAGTCTGATCACAATTACCATTCGCTCGCAAAAATGGGGTCGGGCTTAATATTTTCAAACGAGAAACAAATCTTAATGATTTTAAGAGTTAGTGGATCAATCAGGGGTACGCCATAACGGTAAATCTTGGAATATGTCCTACGGAGCTTCCCCGGCCAGTATCCATTCTCAGTAATCAGACCCTCGTCAGTGGGGCAAGGTGTCCACGACTACTCACTACCGGGAGACAAGGGGAAAATTCCGCGCACGAGGCCTACTGGCTAAGCTCCTTTGACGTTTGAACTAGTTTCGCAGCCTTACCGTAATAGGAAAAGGTGACAGGTGAAGGCGTTTAAGGACGCAGAAGGGAGCCGGTCTTTTTATAATTGACTTTACCTTATTCTCGACTCTTTATTTCTTCACAAAGCCCCCCTTCCGAGGTTGGCCAGTTCTAGCGCACCTTAAATCTTGGGGAAAACATCCCAATATATAGCACAGTGATGGCTTCAACAACATACTCCGCTGCCTATTTGGCAGAGGATCGCAGGAAACCTGCGATGATTGGAATCACATTCGTCACTGCCCTTTCATTTGTGGTGGTTATGGTCCGACTTTATGCGCGACGATTCTTGATCCATGAACTGGGCTGGGATGACCTTTTTATTACACTTGCTCAGGTACGCTACTGTTGTATTCACTCGACCATTTGCCTATTAGGCACACAGCTAACAAATCCAAAGTTAACTAGTTGGGCTACCATGTCCCTATGCATGATGATTTTACGATATGGCTCAGGGCGACACTTAGCAGCACTGATCGATTATCCGGAAGAGCTTGTCAAAATGTACAAGTGGCTAGTTGCAACACAGATGGTCTATATGTTCAATTTGTGGCTTTGTCGTGTATCTGGGCTGGCTTTCTACGCCCGTCTGAACCCAATGCCGCGCTTCATTCTATACCTTCGACTTTCCTTCGGTTTTGTGACTGCAGTTTATATTGCACAGACCCTTATTATTGCCTTGCAATGCATCCCTCTTGCCGCACTTTGGGGAGCCGCGGAGGGCAAATGCATGGGCTCTGCTATAACCTTCATCTCGACGGGTGCTCTTACAATCGCCTGTGATACATTGATTCTTATTCTTCCGATTAAAATCGTTCTCGGCCTACAGGCCAAGATGGCAAGAAAGCTTGCACTACTGGGTATTCTTTGTTTTGGAATTTTGTGAGTATTTTGACCCAATAATGGCTTTGGCATTGATACTTTTTTGCTAACCTGAGGTTATCTAGTGCTGTTGCGTGAGTACATACTAGTACTGCTTTCAAGTTTTTCTCCCAAGTATACAAGCTAATCTTGATTCAATACAGGACATCCGTGCTTCGAATGATCTCAATGATTGTATCAGTTCAGCATGAGACAGATGCAACATGGTACTTCTCCCCAGTCATTGCTTGGACCTGTGCAGAAGTCAGTGTGGCCATTATTGCGCTCTCCTTACCAGCACTCCGCGCCATTTTTGGATTTATCAAGGAGCAGCGCTCTACAAAAGATCAAAGTTATTCCAATGGCTCTGAAGGCATTGGTCTTGAATCAGTGCCTCGCTCGCTCAAGCCACGACTTTTTCGAGGGTCAGACACGTATGAAAACACGGTCGAGGTTGATTGTGCAAGAAGTCCAAGCCGTGAAGCTCTCTGGGACGGAAGAGTTGATCAGAAAATCAGGATAACAGACACTGTAGATATAAATGTGCGTGAATAACTTTCGAACAATAACAATACTTACAAATTCCATATTTATATGCGTGAAGTTGATACAAAAATCAGGACTTTGTAGAAAGAAACGGCAAGGCGTAAAAAATTCAAGGAAATCCCACAAGGCAACTGGGTACCTCCTTCTACTGCGTACTCAAGTTACGCTGATTCAATGCATGTGGGTTATCAGATCAGAACTTAGGATTCGTGTTTTTATTCCCCTCAACCTTGGTTGTTTTGTCGGTCTTCACATCACTCACCACAACCATATCATCAATTGATCATTTACCACCCTCATCACTACTATTACTCAATGTTCTTAGAAACATACAAGTACGCCGAGACCGAGCTGCTTGACTCGCTCTTGGCAGAGGCGAAAAGGCTTGGCTGAAGAAAAGCCGGAATCGACCCGCGCCTATTCGAGCGAGACAGGCGGCTCACCTTGTCTGATATCCTGACGCTTGCCCGCTTTCTCGGAGAGCACCTTCGACCTATCCCAGAAAGCACCTTAATCCTTTTCGAGAGCGTCATCAATTGCAGGAAATCGACCAATCGTGACTTCCGACGGTCCTCTAGCAGAAGTATCGATCCCTCTGTTTGGGGGCATAATTTTTCCCATCAAGTGTGGATTGACGGTCTGGTAGAGGCCTTTAATATGCTCGGAGGAAAAGAATGGCGGGATAGGAAGAATGGTTCATCCAAGATATCAAAGGGCGCCTGTCAGACCCCTTCAAGCAACAGGTTCGCGGCTCTGAGTCTGGATGAATCACCACAACGGCCGAAAGGTAAAAATTCGGGAGAAACGGTTATCGGCAAGCAAGCCATTGATCCTGACCAAGGTGACCAAGGAGGAGAATGGAACCGTGTGTGCAGGAAACGGATCAACAAAAGACGATGATAGCCACCAAGTACACCCTGCCCTCGAGCTCCAGGCTAGAGGTTCCAGCATACACTCTTGAGCTGCCCATGATCTTCATCTGCCTATGATCTTGATCTTTACTGGTCGCCTCCATAGCCAGAGGGGGCTTTTGTCTTCTGGCTCTTGTCGTCTTATGTTTATCCGTTTTCTGTTCACGAGGTTCCATCCTCCTCCTGGGTTAGGATCAATGGGGAGCTTGCTTATGGCTGTTTCTCTCGCGTTTTCAACTTTGGGCCCTTGTGGTGGATCGTCCATACCCAGAGCCGCGAACCTGGAGCCCGAGCACTTGAAAACAGGGTGTACTTTGTCTCTCATCATGTTTGCCTCCGACTGTATGTCCCTCTCATAGTGAGATACACCGGAGACCGTCGGTTGGATAACACTCCACTGTAAGTCTTGCCTTACAACCATACTTCCTGGTCATCATGAAAGCCAAACGTTAACCACTTACTTTCTATTTCTAGTCCCGAGACAGTCGCCAATCAACAAGCGTTTGCCCGATTCAGAACACACCAGAAGCCGGAGGGGACATAAGAGGTTGAATGACAATTGTCTTCAATTTGCGCAGAGCTATCGTGGATTTGACCGCACTCATTTCATATTATGCCTGGCTTCCGAAAGTGCCTAATACTTTCATGCCTCATCAAAGCCCTGGTCTTTTGGACGTCTTCCCACAAACTGGAAGCCACCGAGCAGAGCAGAGGAATACCGAGTATCGATCGTGGATACCGGAAAGTTCAAATGAATATTCTATGTGCTCTATACGCTGCCTGGGCACTATTCAACAATAACGAAACCCGAAATTCCTGGAATGGGCTGTGCGAGAGGCTGCTTAGATTTCGGCGAGTGACTATCATCAATGTCGAATATCAGATACAGACACTGACAAGACCCACGAGTTATTTAGTTTCATACAATAATTGATCAGCAATACCCGATGGCGAAGATCGGGAATCCGCCCTTCATATTGCTTGTTCAGACATGGCAGCTTACATGACCTCGTCTGGCTATCTGCAACTACAAAGCAGTAAAGCGACAACAAGAAAACGAAACACCTGCAACGATGATCCCCGACGGCAGTCCCAAATGGAAACCCAATCACTTCCATTCACCATCGAGGATCCAGTGGGATTCATTCACCGCAATGGAAGTGTAAAGACAAAGTACACGATTCAATGAAGTTCATTCAACGAAGTTAATTCACCTACGGAAGAGACCGGCAAACAATTTTTGACTACTTATATGCCGAAAGCCCGTTGGGAAAAAAACAGCAACTGGGTTGACAATCTGGACCTGGATACCTGCATGAAGCCTTGCATCTGGCATTCCTCTTTGTTTCAATTTTCTTCTTCATTTTGTCATCAACTCTGCCTAATTGAAAGCTCTACTGGGCTGAAGGTCCTGTTCCCAATCTGAAGAAAATAATATTTTGGCCAATTACTGATACCTCTTGTACTGCTTGTGAGTCCACCTGGCTTTAAGCCCCTGATCAATAACAGATATATTTACTCACTAATCTCTGACTTAGAGTACGCTTATGTTGGATATTCATCTTTTTATGGAGCACCAAAGGACTGACGGCCCTCTCTGATATTTCTGTTTGCTACTGATTAATGTTAGGGCTTATTGTCTAGCCCTGGCCACACACGGATATCAAAGCCCTTCTCTGGCCATTCTCTTGTTCATTCTCCCGTCGCTCCAGCTTTACTCCTCTGCCACTCTTCCTACTTTTATCACTCTTCTCACTCTCATTGATCTCGTCACTCTTATTGATCTTCTTACTCTTATTGATATTCTTCCTTCTATCACTCTCTCTCTACTTCTGCCTGTGGCATTAATTGAATTGAATTCAGTCGAAATCCGAACACGGCTGTATGCGACATTGAATTCCGAAGACAGATTCACTCTCGCCGCAGAATTCGTGTTTCCATCCACATTACCTGACGTCTTTTCATTTCCATGGAATCCTTTCTCAAATCATTCCGATTCAATATCTGTTCACAATACACAGGTCGGCCATGCTTAACAAGGGAGCCTTGGCAACATGTGAGCCTGCCACACGTTTGAGGGCCGAGCACAGACAATCGAACTTATCTCCCCCTAGGGCCAGCAATCTTGATCTCGTATTTCACTCACTTTACATACGACATGGGTATTTTTACCCTTATACCAACATGAGATTCTGGGATATAATTGGATATTATTCCATCGGGGCGCAGGACTCTGCTTACTACAATCTTACTCCAGGTCGAATGAACTGGCGCTATGGGTGAGTTTGAACCGGACAATAGCCTCTTGATTGATAGCATGCTGATCTTATAAACCTCTAGAATGATTATACAGAAACAAATATGCCGAGATCGAGCTGCTTGATTGGCTCTCGGCAATCATCATCCGCCAGATGCTAGAGATATATAATTATACGGGGCTTAGGGTTCATCTCTTCTATCCCCCTCAGCCTTGGTCATTTTATCAGTACTCATGTCACTCACCACGCCCACCACCACCAATACTACTACGAAATGTTAGAAACATATCAACTTTATTGCTCTCAACCTTGGTTATTTTATCAGTACTCATGTCACTCATCACGCCCATCACCACTGTCAACTGGTATTATTATCCACTCCCACCGCCACCACTACTACTACGAAATGTTAGAAACATATCAACTTTATTGCTCTCAACCTTGGTTGTTTTGTCACATCACTCACCACACCCATATCATCAATTGATCATTTACCACCCCCATCACAACAATCACTCAATGTTCTTGAAAACATACAAGTACGCCGAGACCGAGCTGCTTGACTCGGCTCTTGGCAGAGGCGAAAAGGCTTGGCTAGAGAAAAGCCGGAATCGACCCGCGCCTATTCGAGCGAGACAGGCGGCTCACCTTGTGTGATATCCAGACGCTTTCTTATGCATGAAACGCTATTTCAGTAAACCACAGAGAAGCCCAAACACCTTGAAGTCAACGCAGGGGTTAGAAAGCCCCCTTAGGGACTCTTAAAGCCCCTTTGGGGCGGACGCCGCTATTGCCTTCGTCCCGGTGGACGGGTCCTTGTCACACATCGTGGTAGTCATGAGTTGACAGTCTCGCTTAAGGGTTACCTTGAGGGGTTTCTCCTTAAGATTTTCACGAGAGTTCTCTTTGTTCGGTTGAGAAGGTTAGGGTTGAGTTTTAGGTTTAGTTCCGGTCGCCAACCTTGTTGGAACTGCAAAAGAGTCAACCTCTAATTTTCACTGCAACGGGACAGGTGAAGAGCCCGAACACATCGCTTAGCAAGCCTCCAACCAAGCGGGGGAAAACCGCGACAATGAATGGAGGCAAGGGAGCTCGATCAGTTGTCTCACGCATGGTTGATCTGCATGATTCAATCGCCGGTGTGAAAACGCGGCAGCAAAATTCTGAACGCCGCAAAATCTGCCAGACCCGTGGGGCAAACAGATTATTTGGTGACCAGAATTCAGGAGCTGGAACATTCATTGATCTCTCTCTCACAGGTTTACTTTTCACAGAAGAAAGAGATTGAAACTCTTACCCACGATGTGGAAAGGCTCGAAACTCGTCTTGACAACAAGGAATCTGCTGAACTTAACAACAGTGAATCTGAGGGGAATGATGAGAGTCGTTCTGAACTCTCCGACAAACCTGACACAGAGGATTCGGGTTAGTTCATGATAATCACCAAATCTGTCGGCGGACAGATTTCCACGACTCGGGCCACTGTGGAGACTGTTGTTGGTTTTTACGAAATGTGGACAAATTGCTGTGATATGAGTAAGAACGGAAAGGAACAAGGTAGAATAGGAACTCGGAGACTGGGATGAAAGTTGTTACAGTATCATTATTACGTGGTTGATTGTTTTCTGCGGGTTCCGATTACAAGTTTGTACGTTATTATGTAATGTAGTTTTTAGGTGAGAAGAGAGGAGTTGGAACTTTTCCTTCCTCTTTCCTCTCGCAATTTCATTGTTTTCATCCCACCATTGATTACGATCAAGCCTTACTTGCTGTGTAATATATTACATTATGGGTACGGGGGCCGATAACCGCCACCCTTAAAGTCTCGAACTCAATCAACGCCAATTACATCTACAGCGATCAATAGAACGATTAAACACCAACCTCAATTACCCTTCCAATCCGGTGATTAAATCCGCCGTCTGCTGAAATTCATTTCCCGAACACATTCCAATACGGCAAAAGTACACTCTAATGCTTTCTAAACTTCCAACAGAGCTTCTGTTCTGGATTTGCGGGGCTCTACAGAATAAGCACATTCTGATGCTACATGCCCAACAAGCCGAAAGTACTAGTATTCATTCATCCACCTACGTAAAACATTAGAGATGATGCGGTCTCGCATGTGTGCAGCCTGTCTAACATTAGGGGCTATTGGGGACACCTGGGGTTTTTGACTTCCTTGCCGATGATTGGTCCGAAATTCTGCGCTTAACTCCATAGCAGCAAACATGGTTATTGGAACATTGGAAGTTGCAAGGCTCCTGGCATTATAGAACAAGAGCTCACGACCCAGATCAGCATTGGTGGCCAGGATAAATTCCGGCCGCCTAATTATTTGCTCTATGTGGCCTTTACGCAGCATCGGAATCCCACCTGGAGGCTGGGCACCAGGGCCCCTTTGGCGAATGTCCAAAAGAGGGCAGTAACCAGGCTACGTACTACCTAGTATGTTCATGTACTCTCATGGCATATGGCTCGTCTAACGTTTGGTGTGATCATATATTTCGAATCTTCTCGTATTCAGGCAAAGCCCATTTAACCATCCATTCAGATTCGAGAATCTGTTTCGCGGTAGAGCGGTCCTCAGGCCTGAAATTAAGCATCGGCTTCAGCATTTTAAAGATAGCATCCCTCTCGACCGATCCAATGAGCGCCATCCCTTTCTTTTGTCGAGGCTCCTGCATATGTTGTTCGAACCTGTCCTCCCACGACCGGTAATCGTCGAGATTGATCCGCTTGCCATCTTCCGTGAATCTACTATGACGGCCCTCCCATTTTAACCACCATTCTGGAGGTAGCATACCAAGTGCATCAAGTTGCTCACAAGTAATGCTATCTTCAGTCACAAGTATGCCGTCAAAAAGTGAGCTCTGACCTATGATGCTCCACAGAGAGCATCCGAGTGACCAGATGTCAGATGGGAAGGAGAGAGGCTTATGCGGTTCGAAACGGGCTTCTGGTGGTCGGCCTACAAGCGGGGTGTGGGATTCAAATCTCTGTTGCTTGCTAGGGAGGAAGGCTTCACCAAAATCGCTTAAGAGGATTTTAGCTTCTGGTAGTGTGAGTTTTTCACTTGCTTCGCCAAGCCAGATTGGTAGAACGGCCTGCGGTGGGATATTTGGCGGAAGCGGCTGCCCATCAAAACGTCTGATTTCTTCGAATTCCGGTTCTCCATACTTTTTATACAATCCTTCTACGGAGAGTTGGCTTAGGTTGAATAGTAGCTAAAGGAGAACATTTCTATAATAAAGATCACCATGAACGAATCCCTGAGAATGGACGTACTTAACTATAAGGGCCAGCTATACCGCCAAAACCCGAGTAACATCTAATTGGAAAAGGCGGTTGTAAGAGGCATCCTTTGCATCAGAGAGACTCATTCTCACCGGGGTTGTCACATAGCAATAGTGCGTACCGTTCGGGCCTTAAACCTCGAATTTATCCAGTACTAAGGGTGTCATTGTCTTTCCTAAGCTAGTGCTAGGGCTTTGTTGCGAGTTGGAGAGCTCCGAAAGGACGCTAAATTCAAGCGGGTCCGATTCCGCGGTACATACTTTAATGGCGATATATTTACTATTAGTTTGATCTTGGGCCAGCCAAATCGATAAATAAGTACCGTGGCCAAGTTTCTGAACCACTTAATAGCGATTATGAAGATAATTACCGATTGATATGATGTGATAGCCTCCCACGCGATAGTTTTCTAATCTTTCTACTCCTTCGATGGGCTTATAAAGATGACGTAAAGAGTCGTCACAATGAGGAGGGTAAGATATGATAGCAGCAGTGTGGAAAGAACTGCGGATCTGGTTATGTTGATGCCGAATTTGTTGGACTTTAATAGAAGTAGAATAAAGATGAGAAAGAAATAAACCTGTCTGGAGAGGCCGATATAATGACGATATACAATTCTTCATAATACAGCTAGCTGAAAGGCTAGGCATCACTTATATAAAAAGAACCATTGTAAGGTTCCAAGGTTGGGGGACACAATCCTGTGTTCAGCTGCCCCTCGGTGTGTAAATGAAAGGATCATGTTCGAAGTTGCTTAAAGCTATATAATAAGGGGGTTACCGGAATAACCATCTGCCGGGAACTGGGTGTTAAGTAAAACACAGACTGTGTACAGACTCTAGACTATTATAGCCTAAGTCACATAATATTCACCTAAGTCGGATATTTCAGGTAATTTAAACTAGTAAGCATATCACATTTTGTACAAGATAAGGATCATTTACCGGATCTTCATTTCTCCAGGTGGTATTTCCTCTATCCAAGATGATAGAGCTCCTATTTAAGCTCTCTGTCCGGCCGTTCTTGTTACACCACACAGAGTTACTCACTTTTCAAATTTCTGATATGCAACTGAAAACACCGATACTCTATTATTCAACATAAGTGAAACAAATGATCAACAAACCACCCTTCATTCATTGTGCAGTCGCACAGTTACCCGAGTCGGCGACAATCGAGTCGTAAAATCGGGCAATATCCGCTCCCACGAAGCCCCAACGCTTCAGTTCATTGCAACAAACACGACAATCCCTATACCAAAAGTCCATGACATTCACTGAGAAGATGATAAAGTCGTGGCTATTGTGATGGACTACATGCCTGGTAAGCGGCTCGATGAAGCATGGGATACTTTAGACTCCGATCAGAAGCACGCCATCTCCTCCGAGCTTCACTCCTACATAAATCAACTTCGCGACCTGAAGGGTGACTATATTAGAGCTATCGATCGTGGCAAAGTCATGATGGGACAGATCGCTTCAATTGAAGGCGGTCCGTTTGATTCCGAGAAGCAGTTTAACGAATTTATATTGGGAGACATTGTCAAGTCGGCACCAGATCTACTGCGGCATTATGCCAAATTTGCGCTTATGGAGGACCATGAGATTGTTTTCACTCATGCCGATTTGTCACCGCGTAATATCCTCGTCGAAGGAGGCCGGGTCACGGCTATTCTTGACTGGGAATATGCAGGCTGGTATCCGGAATACTGGGAATATATTCAGGCACTTCGGCAGCTGCAGCCGATGCCTGACTGGCCGGAATATCTATCACGTATTCTTCCACCGCGTTATGAGAGAGAATACATAAGAATGACTTTCTTAGCTCGTCTTTTACGCCATTAGCGGGCATGACTAGTACTACATGTATAGATTTCAATGTTCATACAGACATTCAGGATAATGATCAATCAAGCACACAAATCTAGAAGAATACCTATATAGAATGATCCGCATCGCTAGATTAACAAAAAACATTACCTTCTCTCCATTCCACCTTCAAATGTTAGTACTACTAGTAACCATGCACCGATCCATACCCTATACTTATATTAGAGCCCCACTCCACTACTCTGATTGGCCACTTCCCAACTCAGCCAGACCCACCACGTGACCGCGATAAGTTCGATAAGGATTTTTCTCCGTAGCAACCACACCTGCAAATCTCCCCTCCCAACTTCAACCCCGATTTATCAACCAACTTTGTACTGCTGGCAGTGCTTTTTCCTACCAAAACCCCTCACAAATTACCCACACACACCCTCCACCATGGCTCAAGGCTCATTGAAGAAGAAGCAGCCCTCATCCGCGACGGCAAAGCGGTAAGTGATTGATCGATCCCCGCCCGGAAAAAAACGACGGGAGAAAAAAAAAAAATAACAAGATATCATATGAAATCTGGACTTCAAAGTAACTGATCGATATCCTTGTCTAGGTCCTCGCTCCTCGCGTCCAGAACTAAGCCTGGTCCCAGACAGGTTGCGCCGAAGAAGGCTTTGCTGGTGAAGGCTGCTAAGTTGAACAAGGTAGGCTTTGAAGCTCCGGGTACGGTACGGGCCTCGTGGAGCGGTGTTAACGGTTTTGTAGAAACTTTGCTCTGGTCTTGTTGGAAAGACGGAGCGCAGTCTTGCGACTAAGGCTGGTCACTTGGAGTTGTTGGCTGGTGGAAAGAAGGACAGACTTGTTAAGGAGCGGGAGAAGGCCAAGAACAAGAATGTGCACGGAAAGAAATAAGGGTATTTATTGGACGAGAAAAGTTTTTTCCGGTGCCTGCTGTTATTTTTAATCTACGTCGCCCGTTTTCGATGGCGATGATTCATGAAAGAAATCGATACCCTGTTCGTGGCTTTATAGACAAGAGGAGACTTTGAAGTTCATGTGCATGGAAATAGTAAATTCTAACCACTCAAGCTCGAGATTCATGAGAGGAATATATGTAGGTATTATGTAACAAGAAGCCTGAATTTCATGTGCAGAACCAAAAGGAATATGGCCGTAGATGTTGATATCAACATGTTTTTTTGAGGTTAGGGAGGCGTTCGTCAATCGTCAACCTGGAGATATGAAGCAATATGCAATCATGATCCCTTCCGGCGTAAGTAAATCAAACATTGAAGCAGAAAGCCAAGCCAAAGAAATCGGTAGAAATAAAAAGATATAAAGAAAAAATCGGGTCAAGTAATAAACAACAAAGAAAAGGAAGAAAGGGTATCTATAATGTCCAACTCCAGTCCCGCGACACCGTGCCAAGTCACGCAGCCTCCCATTAATGCTTGGAGACCTTGCTGGGAACGCCGGATTGCTCAATCAAGTCGACGCCATGGGCCATCCAGTTCAGGAAGCCCTGGTCAGTTGAGTCGGATGGGAAGTCGTCCCACACTGCGCACTCGGAGTCTGCGTACGAGGACCAAATGCCCTTGGGCACATCGGCTGTAGACCACGAGGGCAACTTCGCCAGAACGCAGGTGTAGTAGACATACAAGATTCGGCAAAGCAATTCGACACGGTCGACATAGTGTTGCTGGCTAGGATCGGGGCTTTGGCCACCATCACCCAGTCGCTTCCACCAAGCGCAACGCCAACGGAGGGTCAGGAGGATGTGACCTAATTCGCCCAGGAAGCGGATGTGGGTTTCGTGGGAAATTTGCTTCCATTTGATGTTGTAGAAGTCACGTTCCAGCTTGCGGAAGCCTTCGACTTCAAGCATGCGGCATACGATGCGGGATAGCTGTGCAGCCAGGAGAATGTCTCGTCGATCGTCGGGGTTGTTGATATCCATGTCCCGTTCTTGGCCGTTGTCATCGAGCGGAACGATTGTGTATTTCGCACGACTAGGCATGTTGTTCCATTGGGAAAGCAAATTCTGTGGGGAGGGAGAAAGTAGAGGTTAGCTTAGACCATAAAAACTGGTAAATGAGACCTTGGAACTCACGTAGGCTTGATTGATTGGGTCACATTCCTTGACGCAGGACAGCCAGTTTTTAGATTTGTCTTTCGACTCGACGATCCGGCGGTCGATGAACTCAAGGAAGGTTGACTTCGAGTTCCCGTTATACTCGCTCAGACCTTTGAGGAATCTGTATGTCTCTCCGAGATCAAGAACATACAGAGAACCCCAAGCCTGACTGGCGCGGATGTTGAACCGCCCCTGGCGCTCACCCAGGAATGACAAAAGCTGGCTCATGTCAAACTCGGATGGAATTTCCATGCGGACTCGGCCACTTCCATCCAAGGCAGGATGATTGATAGCTCGTTGGGAGATATAATTGCAAGTTCCAAATTCAACAATGCTGGAGAAACACGCACGAGCACACGGCTGTTCATGCAGCGTGGGACGGCAGGCGTCGCAAGGGGCGCTTCCGTCACACTTGCGCTTGTTTAACCGACATTGAACACAAGTATCCTTGTTCTTGCGGCGTAGACCAGCATTTGCTCTGCCAACCATGCTCAGGGGGCCCTTGCGACGAGCACCCCTCGGGGGAGAAACGAAATCTGCAGATGCGATAGAGCCACCTTGTCCATCTTCCTGGACAATCTGAAGTGGCTTGGCCGGGCCATGGTCAATGGAGCCCTGAGCACTTCGGTTCTTGCGCTTGCGAACCGTAGCTACAGATTGCATGGCGAGAGGCATAGCCCGGCCAGCAGAGCGCTGACCCCCGGTCGAGGAGTTCCTCGATCGCGAAGGGATGGCACCCATCAGTTCTGATGGACACTCACTGACCATGAAAGCCGTCGTCTTGCCGCCAGACTGCGAGTTCTCGGGAGAACCGGTGTCTGGCGTAGCAATCTTCCACTGAGCAGAATCATCAATCTGGTGCTCCACAAAATTCGGTGGGTCTTCACTCGTCACAGAGTACGAGCACTCGTAGATTCCAGACATATCGCCCGAGACAGACGAACTCTCAGACTTGTAGTGGAACCCATCATGTCCAATCTGGCCGCGTTTCTGCGATGCCATCAAGGATGGAGGGGTCATCTGAGAGACCGGTAACTGTGACTCCAAGTTGTTGAGCCAGCGTGACTCGAGCGATCGGATCGAAGGCTGCTGGAACTCGCGAAGTGATTGATGATCTTTGCCATTGTTCTGGTTATCAATCGACAGCGGGATCGTTCCTTGGCCAGGAATATTCTCCATGGAGATCCCATGGGGAATCTCCCACTGTTCTGGAATTATGGGGAAAGATTGCGGCATCTGCTGGAACATCATGGCCTCAGCCGGCGTATCCGGAAATCCCTGTCCTTGGGGCATTTCACCCATATCCTCCACAATCACAGCGGCATTTGACGGGGTCGGGGCTTTGCCGTATGGGTACATGATAGGCGTCTCGAGCGGCATCCCAGCCGCGACCGAGTTGAAAAGCTGGAAGTGAGGCCACGTCTCTTCGGCGTGATAGTTGTCATCGGTCGAGGAGGGCATCGTCCGAGGACTCACCGTGCCACTCCCGGTGCCCTCGCCGGCACCATCGTAGTTGAAGTTCCCAGTGGTCACATCTCGCTTTCTAGAAAAGAGAAAAAAAGAGATGGCATCATCGTCAGTCTACAATTGTCTCTCCTGGCGGTCGAGCCGGGGGGAAGAGATGGTACGAACCGGGTATCCGGACGTTGACGATCACCTGAGCGATCTAGCAACGAGCCTGTCAGCGGATCATGGAAGGTCCCTAGGTCCGCGACGTCGCACTGGCTGGAATCCTGACTGGTATCCCACTCGGGAGGTTGTTCGTAACCCAGATGTTCCCACGACGCGACAGAAAATGCCCCGTCGGTTTGCCAATTATCGAGAATTTTGGGGTCTATCCCCGCAGCCGTTCCAGCGCTTCCACAGTCCATACAGGATCAACGAGATGGAAGATCGGTGGTGTCGGAGCCGACTAGTCCGAAGAGCAAAAGTCCCAAAAAGAGGCTTTTTGAGACTCTTGCTGAAGCAGTTGAGTAGGCTATGAGAGTGAGGGTCGGTCGCGAAAAGCAACAGACCAATATGCGCGCAATGAGTCGAGATTTGGGTGGGCGATGAAGATGGATGTAGTCGAGGGGAAGGAAGAAGGGCTGACGGGGTTTCCCCACCTAGAAAGTTTTGCGTCTCTGCGATCGTCTCTAGCGTGTATCAGCACAGACCGCCCGTTGTTGGTCTGCAGGTTTTTTCTTAGGTTCTTTTTTTAATTCTAGGATGATTATTCTATTTTATTTGGCTTATCTGTATTTGAAATCAAATTAAATTTTCATATCAAAATTAATCATATTTCAAGAATACCATAACTTTCTATTTAGACTGGTTTAATAGGAAAAATTCCGTACGATCCCACAAGGTGGACTGATACGCGAAATCTACTCCCGTGGGCCCTGGACCTGACTGGCGGAAATGGTGGAACAAAAGGCACCATTACATCAGTCCCACTATTACCGAGAGTACGATGCAGCACTGAGAATGGTACCTTTTGAGTGTTTGTTTCGTTTGTTTCGTTTGTTTCTTTTGTCTTTCCTCCCTTATTGATAATTGAACCCTTTTTATTCTGCACAATTAAACATTAAGTATTTTAGCATTTTAGCATGTCCATCCTTACATCACGATCTATATACTTCCGGAAAATCTCTCCCAAGTCAACTCGATATCTAAGAATGAGTCAAAAAAGAAAACATAAAATCCCACCAAAATCTTACAATTCTAAATACAATCAAATAACCTGAATCATCACATTAAATCTGCCAAGTATAAATCTCTGCACCTGAATTTTGCTCACCGCAGACTCTATCCGGCCAACCTTTACCAATGCCGCAACCCCGCCACCTGAACAGCTTCACCGCGACCGGTCCCGGTGACCAGTCCGGTAAATGCCTACAATGGCTCAACGCTTACCCAGTACATTCGTTATAAGTTCGGGGTACCCCAGCTACGCGGGGATGAGCATCTAGAATTCTTCTTTGATATACATTGTCGTACAAAGGCCTCGAGGAGAAATCAAATTACATCTCAAAAAAAAAAAGTTTCGAGGCCAAAAAAAAAGATATCTTACTTGCTCCACTTGCCCCCGGCAGAAAAAAAAAAGTCACGATGCATATCCTGGTAAGTTCCAAAAGGATTGACAACAACTCACCTTTCTTTTCTTTTTTGCCTTCTCGGTTCTGCCTCGCCTTGAGAAGTCATAGGATCTCTCAAGGTTAGTATAGAAAAACCACTGCGAGAAAAAAAAAGAAAAAAGAAAAGAAAAGGAAAAAAATACGAGATCTCCCCTCCAAATCCCTCCCCCGCAGATCTAGTCCACCCACTAGTCACCGAGCATGCCTACTATTTGCCTTTCATCCATGCGTGCCCCAATGCCAACCAATTAATGAATCCATCTCACCGATAATCCCAATCCCAATTTCATTTCCCAAAACAAAACAAAAAAAAACAAACACCCCCCACTCATATCCATCCCCAATCGAATAGGTAGTCAACGACGATGGCCCCCCAAACTCCCGCCTATCACCCTACGTCAGACCCCTCGTGAACGCCCTCCAATCAACCGGCCACCTCGTCTCAGTCGCCATCCCAGCATCCTCCCGCTCCTGGATCGGCAAAGCCCACATAATCGAAGCCTCCCTAACCGCCAGCTACGTGCACCCAGACTCCTTCAACACAGACGGCACCTGGAACCAAACCCCCACCCCCGAGTCCGACGCCGACTGGGTCGTCATCCAAAACGGCACCCCGGCCAGCTGCGCCCAGCTAGGCCTCTACAACCTGTTCCCCGACCGCCCGCCCGTCGACCTGGTCATCTCGGGCCCGAACCACGGCCGCAATGCCTCCACCATCTACAATTTGTCCTCGGGCACCGTCGGCGGGGCGCTGGAGGCTGTTTTCTGCGGCAAGCGCGCTATCGCTATTTCCTTTGGTAGTAAGGATCCGCAGGCCGATGAGGTGATTGCTGCTGCGGCGCGGCTGGCGGTGCGCCTTGTCGATCATCTTTGTGCGGTTTGGGATGAGCGGGTGGAGCTGTATAATATCAATATCCCCATGCGGGAGGATGTCGAGGAGAGACCGGTGCTGTATACGCGCACTTTGCCGTATTATTGGTCGCGGGGCTGTCTTTATGCTGAGGAGGGGGTCGAGAAGAAGAAGTTGGCCAATGGGTTGACTAATGGGTTCACTAATGGTGATCATGGTGATCGGGGTCTTTCGAATGGGCTTAATGGGCATGCTGAGACGCAGCCTAGACAGCGCCATTTTAAGTGGTCGGCTGATTTGTCGGATATGAAGAAGAGGTTACAGGAGAGTGAGGAGGGCACTGATGCGCATACTGTGTTGAATGGCTCTACTAGGTATGATGGCCTCGAATCCTTGTGGTTTTCTTTTCCGGACTTGCTTATACTGACTTGTGACAGTGTAACGGCTCTGCGTGCCAATTTCTGGCATGTCCCCGGTCTGGAAGGGCCTTTGAACTTGGACTGAGAAGTCTGATACTGGTCCGGCCAGCCCGGTAATGCATAATGCATGTAATGATTCATTGTTAGCGTTTCGTCTACCTCGGGCGCAGTGCCTTTCAATTGCATTTGAGTGCTTGACTAGTGCTGATGACTTCGAGGCACTATAAAGCAAATACATACCCCCTAGGCGTCATTGTACATAGCCAACATATACTCCATACATCAAGAATGAAGTGTAAAACCTTACACCGTGGGAAACATCATTGATATTGAACTATGATTGTAGTCTAAGCAAACGCAGGGATGTGCTGAGAAAACTTCAATGCTGGGAATAAACTAACAGAAGGGGACGGGGTGTATCATAAAACGGCTCGTGGGAATAGCGCACAGGATTAAACCAATCCTAGATTGCGCGAGCGGCTTCACCAGCGCCGCTCTCGACGGTAGATGCCAGTTCCGCGCGCATCTTGCCCTTTCCAGCGCCACCCTCACCAACGCCCATGCGGCGAGCCACGTAACGCTGTGCAACAACGCCCGCCGCCAGCGAAAGAGTCTCCTCGATCCACTCCGCGACCCACTCGCGAGGATCGACACCGCCACTCTCAATAATCTCAACGATAGCTTCGGGCACCTCAGCATGGGCCACGTAAGCACCATCGCCCTCGAAGTTCTCGGCCGCGGGCGCGGGCGCATCAAGCCACTCAACCCACTTGGCAGGCACAGACTGGGAGATGGTGTGGAAAGCAATGCCATGCACGGGGTCATGGAGATAGAGCGCAAAGGAGATCTCCTCATCGGCCTCCGGAACTTCAACAGCACCAGACTCGGTCTCCTTCTCACCTGAAGCACCGGCCTGGAACAGATCTTCCGGCACCGACTGACGGATAGCCTGAATAGCGAGGAAAATATCACTGCTACGCACAGGGTTTGATTCGCTCAGAATCTCACTCGCCTGTTTGGCCGCCCCCTCGATTCCACCTCGGGTCGAGAAGTACTCTGTAGCATAGCCTTCGGCGCTAGCGCGAGCCAGCTTGGACGCCTCAACAGTGCCAGGAACAGCGTTGATTGTGCGTGGGTTGCCCGGTGTCACGGTGCGCCACCAGGGTCCGTCACCCCAGCCCGCAGTCGAAATGTAGCCACCAACGTCAAGACCGCGCTTCGGGGCGAACTCTTGACCTCGCTGGATGACGAGGAGATCGCCACCCTCGACTTGAGACATGACTCGTGAGAACACGGCGTAGACGAGGGGGTCGACGCCCGGGTATCCAGAGAAGTCGTGAGTCACATGGATCTGGAGACGTTCGTGCGATGAGATGGGAGGGGCGAGGGTATGAATGAGGTTTGTGAAGGTGGGGATAGCCATGTTGCGAATTTCGCCGCCTGTGTTGAGGAAAGAATCGAAAATTAGTAGTGAATAAGCATAGAGACATGAAACCCGAGACATTTCACCTACCGAAGTCACGGAGAGCTCCAACGTTGCCCTTTACTTGCTGGGCCCAGCGCTGTGCTTCCTCATTGTTTTGAATTTCCTTCACGGCTGCTTCAGCCTGCTTCATAGCCGCACTGGCTGTTGCAAAGATACCTCCCCACCATCCACCACCTTGCTCCTGCTGCTGCTGCTGCTGCTGTTGTTCATGTTGGGGTTGTTGCTGTGTGATGTTTTCCTCTGCCTTTGGCTCCTGCTTTACTCCAGCACGGGACGACCGACCATCTTCTGACACCCGAGGGGCCTTCTCTTCAGTTCGATCAAAGGTTGCACTAGGGCGTGGCGACCGTGTTGAGGAGCGTGGCTTATCTGCAGAGAGACGTGGGGTGCCTGGTCCACTACTTGGTCGCTGGACAGAGAGGTTGTCGAGCTCAGCGAGGAAGTCTTCCTGTGACTTTGCATTGTCGGTCGGGATTGTAGACTTGGAGGACTTGGGTTGATCGACACCAAGGTTGTCAAGATCGAACTGAGCTAACAGCTCATCATTGGTGGGCTTTGCACCTTTTGGAGGCATGTTGTCTGTTTGGCCCAAGAGTGTTTGTTCAGGAGAGGTGACGACACTGGTGGGAGCTCCCGAAACGTGTGGAGTAGCCGTGGCACGTGCCAAGACCACTCGCCTTCCGCTTTTACTGACATGGCAAAGTCAACAAGACTTCCATGTGCTTGACAACAAGATGATTGAAGCATTGTTTTTCTGGTATACATCCTTATCTCAGGAATGAAAGTTTGGCATTTTTTTTTTCGTATATTCCCTGGACTTGTGGTGGCTATGCATATGTTGAAGCTTTCAGCAGTATATAGTAGAAGCTTCTAGTTCTGGTATGTATCATGGTACCCAACAGCAAGGTGTCATGGCTGCATAATGGTCAGTTCTGGATGTTTGGGTCTTCAAAGTTTGTGTGACTCAACGACTAGGATCCCCCCTTGTCATTTGAGGATTCTCGAAGCCACAAGTGTACAAGTCGAAGTCTCGTGATCTCCGATCGGGTGGCATACCAGCCAATGACAGTGTGGCGGTGTAGATGATGTTAGTGGCGCGAGTCAGTTACATCCATACTAGTCCCCACTTCGTAGGAAATGTACGGCTTCACAACCCACCAAAGGATGATGGGAATCCCTTCATTTTGACCCGACAGTTTGGGTGCAATCTTTAAATGACGATCATCTCTTCTTTTTGTCTTCAGAAAAAGCTTTTTCTAGCCCTAGACTTGCTTAAGGCAATCAATCAGGTTTGGAACAAGAAACAGATATTGTAGATCCCGCCAATCACAAGCTTGGATGGGTAACCCGAAACCCAGGGGAGTGAAATTAAAGATTTTTGAGCTAGACGACCTTCTAGTTGATTCCGCATGCATTCCATGAACAAAAACCTAGATCGATAGGGCATCCGTGGTAACGGGTGCGACCGGAAAGCTGGGGAAAACCGAATTTGCGCAAGTTTTATGCGAGATTACATAGTTGGCGCCGAGGCTTAAACCTAACATCAACCCACTTATGACCCTGTATGACATTCAACGTAGATCAATTAATAAGGATTATGCACCGAGAATAGGATGGCAAAAAAAAGAAAAAAAAACAGCTCAGATCCTTTCACTGTTTCTAAAAAAAAAAAAAAGATAATGACTTCTTCTTCTCCCTTGCATATGCCACATATCATACAACTCTCTTCATTTGACTCAACACAGAGATCTGCAAGCCAAAGCATCACCAAAATGTATAGTATGTTTCAATTGGACATTTTTAACAGAGGATCTATGACTTTCCGTGATGTTCCTGAAGATGGGAGAAAGATCCCACGGATCTCACTCGATCGTATCCTCGTTATTGAGGCACCAATGGCCCCACCTGCACTCCACCAAATGACGGCCTGTGATTGGTGGCAGCAGATGCCGAAGTTTGACAGGGCCACACTGGGAATTCTATATATGTTCAATAAGGTCAACAACCTCGTAGTTTGTTTTAGTTTCAATAATTCACTCATGATTCCCTCTCGGTCATGACTGGAAATAACGCCAATTCATTCAACCCGGATGGGTTAAACACTCAGAATAATGAGCCCGGCGATCAGCCGGAGCGACATAGTGCCCCTGCAACCCTCAAACGCCCCACTGGTCTTTTGGATGCTGGAAAATCAACAAGGGGATCCAGGTCAACTCCGACATTGACAAAATCGGGGTCCTCTCAAGCTAGTTCAAAGGTGGCAATTCCTCGTCAGAGTAATGGTTATACCCCTCGGTACAACCGGAGAGTCCCGCGAGCTTGTGAGTCGTGTAGACAACGCAAAACAAAGTGCAGTGGTGATACTCCAGTATGTCGACAATGTCGTGAACTGAGAGCTCCCTGTCAATACCCTGTGGGATGGAGAGATAAAATGAAAAAGTGTGAAAGGCCTTACCCCCCTTCAGGTCATCGTTGGGAAACCATAGAGGATTTCCTAGACAATGGAACTAATTTAAGATTATAGGGAAATCGAGAGACTTTCTGCACAGCTGCAGGATTATGAAAACTTTTTGGATGATTTACGAGCGAGTGCCGACTCTCGAACAGCCGATTGGGTTATCAGCTTAATGGAAAAAGTGCGTTTCATCTCTTAGCGAATGGTTTATTCTCTTTCTTTAGATTTTAGCACTATGCTAACATTGATATCGTTTTTTTTTCACAGTATGGCTTGAAAGGAGATCATCGAGAAGACAATAGATTCTTGATGCCTACCCCTCAGAATGAGATGGAACCCGACGAACCATCTCCGCTTTCATCCATTGGGTCTCTGGAGGCCATCGATCGAGTAGATGAGGACCCCAATCGGTCGGAAGACACGCGAGCCACCGGGGTAATGGGCAAGAGCTCAGAAATCTCATGGATGCAACGAGTTCAAAAAGAGGCAGAGCAACGGGCTCAAGGAAACCCAGGCACCTTGGAATCCAATCGAGCCGATGACGAAAAGGAAGCATTTTCCCTTCACGCCTTGAATTATCACCTTGACGACCTTGATATTTCAGTCCCCGAACCCGTTCAGTTATACGACTTACCACCTCGACAACTGGCCGACCAACTTCTCGAAGATTATTTTCAAAAGACACACCCCTTCTTCCCCATTATCAGCAAACCACTATTCCGTGGACAATATCAAGCCTCCCTCGATGCCTCTTCTCGACCCAACCCTGCTCGACCTGGCGATAAATGGCTCGCCGTGCTGAACCTCATATTTGCGATTGGCGCCAAACATGCACATCTAACTAACGCCGTCTGGCGGGGAGAAGATAACGATCACTTGGTATATCTTACTCGAGCTAGGCTGCTCAGTATGAACAGCGATGTTTTGTTCAGTCACCCTGACCTACAACAAGTCCAAGTCGAAGGACTCATTGCATTCTACCTACTGGCATCCGACCAAATTAACAGGTTTGTGTTCCCTTATAGCAGGTTACTAGCAAAACGACTCATATTGATTAATACAATCCGTATAGAGCTTGGAGAATTTCTGCTTTGGCCATACGGTCGGCAATTACCCTCGGCATCAATCTCAAAATCACCAGCCCCAAAACACCCAGCATTACGAAGGAGGCCCGTTACCGGGTATGGTGGTGCTTGTATAGCTTCGAGCATATGCTAGGCATTATGACTGGCCGGTCCATCTACAGCCTAGACGGAGGATACGCTACTCCGCTACCGCTCCCATTCGAAGAAGAACAACTACAAGAAAACCCCGCAGCTGCCGAAGTTCTCAATAACCCGATCCTGCGAGATGCCTTGGTTGGCAACGTAATGGCGAGCTCATGGATCCGACCGACCGGCGGCAAAGACGATCTACACAAGACCCGATTACGCGATCAGAGCTGGCTCAAAAACTTGCCCGTCAATTTCGGCCTCTGTTACCTATACTACAGCGATCTGACCGTCGTCACGCAAGAGATCCTCAACAAAGTCTACACAACAACTGCAGTCCTACTTCCATGGTCGGAGATCGAAAGCCGCCTCGACGACCTACGATTCCGCATCGATCTATGGAAATCCAGCCTCCCCGTCTCGCTCGACTTCACACAAGAAGAAACAAACGATAGCCCCGATCACCTCCGCTGCAAATTGTTCCTGGCCTTCCACTACTACAGCGCCAGAATCACACTGGGTCGACCCTGTCTCTGTCGGCGCGACGCCCGTCAAAACAACTCCCCACAAACATTCAGCCACACAATGGCCCTCATTGCCCTCGAATCCGCCAACGGAATGCTAGACTTGATCCCCGACAAGCCGGACGTCGTCCAGCTGTACCAGGTCTGTCCCTGGTGGTGCGTCCTCCGCTACCTCATGCAATCCGCAACTGTATTTCTCCTCGAACTCTCGTTCGGCTGCATCCACAGCCCAGAAGAGGAACAAAAGTACGTCTCCCTGACCAAAAAGTCCATCCGCTGGTTCTTCGCCATGTCCGAGCACAGTATCGGGAGCCGGCGAGCCTGGCAAATCTGCGACTCGAGCTTCCGCAACCTGGCTTCCGGCATGAAATACAGTACCGATGATCTCCCGGGCCAATCGGACCAGGAGCGCACGGCGGCGGCTGAAGCCGCGTCCTCATTCCCCTCTGACTCAAGTCACAATAATGTTCCTTCTGGCGACTTTTTCGCTTCGCTCCCGACAACAGATGATCTGCACCTGTTTGGCTCGCACGCTTTCCCTGATGGAGGCTTCAATTTTCCGGCGCCGGATCTCATGTCTTCGCTACATGGGCATGCTGATATGACTGATGATTCGTACTTTCCTTATGATCCGCTCAGCGGAGAGTTTATTAGATCTTTTTTTCCCTCGTCCGAGGAAGAAACTAAAAACTGAGACTTACATGAGGGGCAAAAGCTTTGATATCCCTCCCTCTTTTCATGGCGTTTTATTTTATTTTATTTTTCGTTTCAGCATGGCCGGTCCCGATAGAAACATGAAATCGTGGTCAATTACGCCGCTTAGCGTGTCAGCATTTAAGGATAAGAAGGGATTGCATCTAACTATAAAAAGGAGTCTTGGGAAGAGCAGTGAGAAGAAAAAGGTTTGAATACTTTTTTTTTGGTTCGGACAAGTTGATTAATACAGATCATTGAGTCTCATTTCCAAAATCGAAGTTCCTGATGTAAACAAGATCCATAAACTATTTCATTTTTCATAAACATCAAATGCAATACAACATGAGTTTTTTTTTTTTTTGCTTTTGCTTTTGCCGGGCTTTGATTCCCATATCACAATCCAACCAAAAACAACTTGTATGGTCAAGTCTCAACTGAATTTGTCCTGACACATGAGTTATGTGCTGCCTGTTCAGAGAGAGCTTGAGCCAAACCAGGAGGTGGAAGTGGAAGTATCGAGAAGCGGGAGTCGAGAAGCTGGATGGTCAAGTCTCAATGAATTTGTCCTGACACATGAGTTATGTGCTGCCTGTTCAGAGAGAGCTTGAGCCAAACCAGGAGGTGGAAGTGGAAGTATCGAGAAGCGGGAGTCGAGAAGCTGGATGGTCAAGTCTCAATGAATTTGTCCTGACACATGAGTTATGTGCTGCCTGTTCAGAGAGAGCTTGAGCCAAGCCAGGAGGTGAAAGTGGAAGCATCGAGAAGCGGCAGTCGAGAAGCTGGATGGTCAAGTCTCAACTGAATTTGTCCTGACACATGAGTTATGTGCTGCCTGTTCAGAGAGAGCTTGAGCTAAGCCAGGAGGTGGAAGTGGAAGCATTGAGAAGCGGCAGTCGAGAAGCTGGATGGTCAAGTCTCAATGAATTTGTCCTGACACATTGTTTGTGCTGCCTGTTCAGAGAGAGCTTGAGCCAAACCAGAAGGTTGAAGTGGAAGCATCGAGCAGTCGAATGGCCAAGCCCAAGTTCTAACTGAATTTGTCCTGACACATACTAACATATGTGCTGCCTGTTCAGAGAGAACCTGAGCTGAACCAGGAGTGGAAGACGAAATATTGAAGGAGCGAGTGACGAGTTCAAGAACCGCGGCGTTCCCATGCCTGTTGGAGTTTTTGATGTAGTTTTCTTTTGTGTTTTTGTGTTTTTGTGTTTTGTTTGTTTTTGCTGTTTTCTTTTTTTTCTTTTTGTTTTTGTGTTTGTGTTTGTTTTCTTTTTGGTTGGTTGGCTGGGAACGCCGGTTGACTGAAGGCTTCGAGAGGGAAGAGGGGGCTTTGGAGCAAATTCAGGCCTCGATTGATGTGGAAGCAAGTAATGGATGATCATCTGAAAGGATGAGAGATTGCAGTCTAGAAATCAATGTCAGGAAAGGTCAGAAAATGATCAATAATACAAAAAAAACCTTGAAGCTCGTCCAAGCAAGTTGTAAAATGGTTTGTTGATCAAAGTATTTGATAGTAGTCTCAAGGTCAAGTTGGAAGATTGACATGATATATGAATACCAAAGGTAACTGGATGCATGGATGCATGATTGACGTTCGAGGAGAGAACTCAGAAGAGGTTGAAGCTCGAAGGTCAAAGTAGGATGTGAGGACTGAGCAAGTGTTGGATGGATGGACCAAGTAATGGATGGACCAAGTGATGTATGAATCAAGTGTTGGATGGATGAATCAAGTGTTGGATGGATGAATCAAGTGTTGGATGGATGAACCAAGTGTTGGATGGATGAACCAAGTGTTGGATGGATGAACCAAGTGATGGATGGATGGACCAAGTGATGGATGAGATAAAACTTTGATGAAAGTATAAAGAAGAGATTTGAGAGTGATGAGACTTGGAGAAGGGGAAAAAAGAAAAGAAGGAGAGGAGAGGGGGGAAACGGGGTATTTATACCCCAGGTCTGACCCTGGACGCGTCCCCCAGATCAACCACCTCGCCTAGGATCGACCAATCGCGCGTCAGGATCAAAACGATCCCAAGATTATATTAGAACAGGCCAACGGCACGCGAGGATCAGAATCACGACGCGAGGATCAAGAACGCGCTCGCTTGATCTCGCTTAAGGACCTATAGGCTCGCAGGATCAAGATCAGCCTCGCTTGAGGTCGCTTAGAGGCCTATTAACTCGCAGGATCACAAATACCCTCGCTAATCTCGTTAACCAATTCCACGAAAGCAATTGACCACATGATCAGATCAACACATTGCGAGTCGCACTCAATGCACGTCAAGAAATTGGCCTACGAGGCTAGAGTGTCCTATCACCCCACTCGAGCTTAGTAGCATTGCGTGGGATCGACTTGGAGGATAACAGTAGATCACGCTGTACGAAACCAGTCTTCCTGTTCGAGATCTACCTGGAGATGCTGGCTAGAACAGTCTCATACGTATTTTCACAAGCAGTTTTTGATAAGGTATACTTCGGGTCTTCAAGGGAAGCTCCAGTACGGATTCCCCACCCATGCGCTTCCCCACTGTTGCTCCCCCAGAAAATTGCAATTGCAATGGGCGACTCAATTGTAAGTCTCTAGACCAATCAATAAACCTTGATCATACTCTAGGCGAGTTTATTTTCCGAATAACAAAATTCTATCAATGTCAGAAATCACCATTTTACCAGCGTCCAAGAAGTGAATGGAGGCTGAGCTGTATAGATCGAAGTGGGGACCTCGGGTAATAAGCTGATGACTAATGGATCTACTTGCCCCTCGATCTCCAACCTTAACTATTAGGTGACGCACTCCAAGGCAAGACATAATCATCTTCTAAAACTTTTGTCAAATTTATTGCAAATAAAACTAGGCCGTGGACTATTATGTCCGGCATCGGAATTGAGTCTGTCTTCCCTTGAGGTATATATTTTCACGACCAAAAGTCGCTCGACCCCACATACACCATCAATGATACACGTACACCATGCTGATGCTGCATGCAATAATGGGTTATCGGGCTACTCGTGCGCTATTCAGACTGCTGATCTTATTTCACAACATAGTATCATCGTTTCAAGGCACTTCCAAATATATCAACTGCAATTCGAAACAACCTCAAATCAGCAATCTACTCAATGTGACAAGTGCAGATGTGGACACGGGAGCGGAATGCAGCCATGCATCCGCAGCACGACTTATCGGGCCCGATCCCGCAGCGGGACCACGCGGGGTCGATAACAATCAAGCATAAATAGGCGCCATTTTGCCTTGCACACGATATACGCAAACAATTGAATCTTGGAAATTTATTCCTAAATCCAAGAATACATTTTCGCCTCGACCACATTACTCATCATTACCATCGAGTGTCTGCACGTGAGTTCCGTCATCTGTTTGTCTACGACCCCACCATGCCCAGGTACCCGATTCCGATGGTTTACAATTCTAACCACTTTCAATTTTTGGGCAGAATCGGATCCATCTCAAACAACCATATTCACTTTCAATCTCACAAGCTTCTCGCCTACATATCTATTCATCATGCGCCTCCCCTACGTTGCAGACCCCCCACCCACCGAGACTCCCGACGAAGCTAGAATCTTGGCCAGTGTCCAAGCCCGCCGAGCTCCAAACCCCCTCTTACCACTCGATCTTGCACTCCTACATTCCTTCCCAATAACGGATGGTTGGAATTCATTCCTTGGTGCCATCCGCACCCGAACAAGTCTATCAACGGTGGTACGAGAACTGGCCATCTGCCGAGTTGCGGTAGTCAACGGTGCATTGTTTGAATGGGAGCAACATTCGCCTTTGCTGCAACAAGGTGGCTTGGGTGAGGATGCTTTGAAGCTGGTTGGGGATATCCAGGTGGATTTCTCAGAGGAGAGTTCGTTAAGCACCTTGAGTGTGGAGGAAAGGGCAGTTTTGAGATACACGGATGCTATGACAAGGACTGTCACTGTACCAGATGTTGTCTTTGCTGAGTTAAAGGGATGTTTTAATGATCAGGAGGTTGTGGAGATTACGGCGACTGTTGCGGCTTATAATTGTGTCAGTCGGTTCTTGGTTGCGTTGGACGTTGGGGAGAAGAATTGAATGTATATATTAGGTACACATCCGTACATATATGTTGGGCTTAAATACCTCTCGATTCTCGGGTACTGAATATGTACCAGGTTTGATTTCCAACTTTGAAGGTGATGACTTCTATTTAGACTGGAAACTTGAGTTACAAATTACAATCCAGACATCTTGGAATGGGCTATTTAAATTGGATTGTGAATATTAAATATTGAATCAATTTGAAAGTGGTTGTGAATGTGATGTGTTAAAATCACCAAAAGCGGAAATTCCATATTGGCGGTCCGTGCTGATGAGACACGCGACGATCGGGTTAAGGGGCTAAAAACAAAGGGATCTGGACAAACGGGTATGAAATCAAGAACAAGTTGCTCTACCATGTTTTATTTTCTGCTTATATTTTACATCTATACCCCGGGATATGTCTCACTTGTTAACAGACTCCTTTTCATGGTGAGAGCTGTACAGTGTTGGTTAGAAACCCTTGCAGGAGTTAGTACTAGTAGGCACCACGCCAGAACACGAAATCCTGTGAAGCAAAATTCTCGTTGATGATACTATGAAGAAAGCACTTTTTCTAGATAAAATGAAATGCTAAATAGACCCCACTAATCTCTCAAGTCTCTAAGAGCAGAATCGACGTACACAAAGGTACTTATACGGAGTAGTGGAGAAAAAAAAATCTCTATTTTTTTCTGGCCCGTTATAGGATTAATAGGTGGTAATATTGAAGAAAGGTCTCTTGATTTTGGGTATGACCGGCGGTTAAATTTTTTTTTCCCCCAGAAGTAACGAGACGTGTTTTATGATTGCAAGCTATGTAGACCACATATATTATTCAGTTCATATCTGACGTCGCGGCTTGCAGTAGAATGGCCTAGTAGATAACTGGGCGGTGATTGGTTGTTGAGAGCAGGTGGATACGGTTGTAATGGTCACTACAAACTAAACCACGACTCAATCTCTTTTCCTTGCCCTTCTACACGGTTTCCATATCCCATACTTGACTTCGTACTGCGACGTTAACCCTTAAAAGAAACGAGTCAGCGTCTCGATCTTTTGTAAACTTTCCTTGTCTCTGGTTATCTTGGAGTTCACTTTGCCCCCTTCCTCTCCCCACGGAGAATCTTTTTTTTTTCATCTTTTTTTACTACCACCTGGATCTGCATTCAACCACTGCGCATCTCTGCATTGCTTGCTTTCAATATCTAGATCCCCCTTTGCTTTTCTGCTCAAACTGACCATTCTACTACTTTCCCTAATCTCTCGGGGTTTGTGGCCGTGGAGGGTGAATAGCCTTGGTTATCCGCCCAGCCTTTTCCAAGTACACATCCCTGGCAGCCGCTCTCACCAAGCGCCATCTGCCACCGCCGACTCTCGTCCGATCAATTCCATTTGGATCGAGATCAAGGAAGTCACTTACACTTTATTTGATTTAACTTTCTACTCTATGGTATGTTGTTGTCGAGCGCGCGCGTGCTTTTGCTTTTTTTTTTCCCTTTTTTTTCCCTTGTATCTGGCAAATACACTTCCGGGTCAGATCCTGATCCACACAATTTGCCGCGACCGTGTCTACCATCTACTCCTAACCCTCATTTCTTCGGTCTGAACATGTTCGGATGTCTATGATATTGCTATGAAATGTTTTTGTCTACCTTTGATCCTGTTTTCTTGACGCGACTTACCTATTTTCCCCCCGTTACGCGATACATCCCCTGATGGGGTTCCCGCATTGCGCTGCGATTACTCTATGCAAGGCTTGGCATCCACACAAGCGAAAACCCCGACTAACCCAACTATACAGATCCCTGCGCCGTACATTCTTCCATCTTCACGGCAGAATCCCGTGTCTAATTTGTTTGGCACATACCTGTTTTTCTTGAATTTGCGCGTCTGATCTTTTTTTCTCTTTCTTCTGCTATCTGCCCCAAATGGCCCCCATCCCGCGGGCCGATTTTGATATGGATAACCCGTCATCTGATGTGGGCGATAGCCTTGATCAAGATTCCCCCATGCGCCGTCAATTCTCTGAACCAATGCGCCCGCAATCTACTTCCACCCAGATCTCTCAGTCCCCTGAGCCGCTGGGCAAGCAAATTAAATGCGACTGGTGTGGGAAACTATTAGAACTTCCCGTTGATAAGTCCATCTCTGCGGAAGACCTGCTCAATTTTCACATTTCTTCGGACCATCCAGACTCTCAGTCATTTGATTATGAGGAGGGTGAAGATGGTGCTGATGAGCTTGAACTAGAAGATGAAGAGGTCTTGAATGACGCGTCTCAGTTTGAAGAAAATGAAGAAACATACCAAGCTGAAGAGGGTGATGATTTGGAGGAACTTAATGACGATGGAGACGGGGAAGAAATTGAAGATGCTGAAGACGCGGAAGAAGTCGAAGATCCTGAATTCGCTGATCAGGCCGAACTAGCCGAAGCCGAAGAAGTGGAGGCTGGCGAGGAGCAAGAACAAGAAGAACAAGGAACTCCCGTCGCATCTGCCGTCAACGGCGAGCACAGCGAGCTCGACACTTCCAAAACTTCTAGTGTCAACATTCAAGTTGCGCCTCAAGCTCCAGGAAAACTGGATATGATTGAATGGCTTTCAAATCCCCGAAACTCATTCCCCGATGACTTTCGCCGACGTTTAGCTACATGGCAAGAGGCGGATATCAAGGACCGCCTACCTAAAGTTTGGACCGTTCACAAGGCCTCGAATTTTTCAGAGAACTATGACCAGAACATTGCCAAAGTTGAGGCTTCCTGGCAACATGCCTTCGGTGACAAGCCCAAGAAAAAGGATGGCTCGGAGCCAATGGCAGCGCCAACTCCCTACAAAACATCCAAAGTCTCCAAGGGCGAGTTCCTTGAGACTGGCAATTTTGAGGAGCTGATAGAAATGCTCCGGAAGCCGGAGTCTCTTACGCCCGATGAACTTTACGCAGCCACTGAAGCCGCTGCAGCTGCGATGAAGACCTGGCAGGATGAATACATTGCTCTCGATAAACTGTACACTCGAACGCACCGACACATCCGGCTCCAAATCTCAGTGGATGCAAAGCGGGAACAGAGCATCGGTCAGAAAAAGCGAACGGGGCACCCACTCGCCCGGGTCCCTGAGGATGAACGTGACTTTGAGGACAGGAAGGAATCGATGCTGTACGGTTACAAGCACACCTTCTTTGGCACAAATATAAACGAGGTGGTCAGCTGGACACCCCAGAACCCGTTTAGCCAAGGTGGTTTCATCCCTACCGCTGCACAGGCACGGAAGATGGCGTCCAAGGTTGCTCCCGAAGATCGCAACCCTGATGGTTGGACACCTGTCGTGCGGGATGGCATGGAGTTCGTTCCTGTTTTGTTCGAGAAACGTCTAGATGCGGTGCCGAAGGTGACACGCAAGCGCAAAGCTGCAGAGGAACAGCAACAGCTGCAGCTGCAGCAGTCTACCAAGGTTGAAGAAGTCGCTGAAGATACTCAAAATGAGTCTGACGCTGCGGAGGAGAGTGAAGAGGAAACTCGCCCAGTTAAGCGACGCGCTCGTGGTCGTGGTGGTCGTCGTACCACACTCGACACCTACCAACCCGCAGAGCCTCCAACATCAGCCCCCCGTGGTCGTGGTGGGACTCGAGCCCGTGGTAGAGGCCGGGGTCGAGGCGCTGGCCGGACCACATCGTCTCGTGCATCTCTTGAAGCTCCCCAAGCTGGCAATTTTGCCTCTCCAACCTCATACCGTGGCCGCGGGCGTCGGGGTGCGAGCATTGTCAGCTCCACCACGCAACCTTACCCGGCGGAGGAGACTCCTGCATCTTTGCCTGCTGATTCTCCCATGCCAGAAACATCTCCCCCGCCAAAGGCAAACTTGGCTGTGAAGCGGGATGCCACAGCTGAGGAGATGGAGGAAGCCCGTCGACTGAAGATTGCCAACTCCAAGAACCCCAAGCGAACCAAAGCCATGCTGGACCATTGGGAGCGGTTCAATCGCGAGGGTCGGATTCGCAATCCAAAACGTTCAAAGGCACAAATCGAATCAGACCGACAGGACGATCCTATCAAGCCCGATGTCTTACCTCGTCCTCCTGACCGCCGCCGCAAATCTACGTCGTTGGTCCCCATTCCTAACGGGAATCTTGCTCCGAAGGCCCCAGTTGTGGCGCCCATGGCTGGTCACATGGGACCTGGACATACATTGCCGCCGATTGGAATGGCCCAGTACGCCCCTCCCAACCCTTACGCCCAACCGCCGCCGCCGCCGCCAAACGTACCGATAGGGCAGCAATTGCCAGCTCAATATGCTCCATTTCCATACGTCCCTTACGGCATGAGTCACATGCAGGTTCCTCACGCAGGCCCTCATCCGGGCCAACACCCAGGACCGCACCCAGGTCAACATCCTGGACAGCATCCCGGCCAGCACCCTGGTCAGCACCCTGGTCAACACCCCGGACAACATCCAGGCCAGCATCCAGGTCAGCATCCTGGCCAGCATATGGGCCAACATCCAGGAGGGCATCCAGGCCCACATCCAGGTGGTCATCCCGGTGGCCATCTAGGCCAACATCAAGGCCCTCCTCATCCGAGTGTACATGATCATCACCATCGCCGCTGATTGTGAGAGATAAGATACATATTAAAGTGGAACTTGCAACCAAACTAAAGAGGTGAAGAGAACAAACGAGAAACATACTTGGTGGTAGCTCTCTACTCGTGTCTATCTGCTCGGCGACGTTCCATGTCGAAGTCCCAACTTCAACACCTCGTCACTTTGGTTGTCCTTTGACAATTAAATGACTTGATACACTGGTGTTTGAAAGCATAACGCCTCATTTCTTGGTGCGATTGACCCTGTCTTCATCTTTAATTTTATTTCAATTGTTTAGTACTGCTGGGAAGTTTTGCGGGTTGGCGTTCTGGAAGGGGGTTTCAGGGAGTCAGTTGGGGATTTAAGCAAACAAAAGGACCTGTACATTTTAATGAGCTTGTTTGAGATCTGGTCTGGTCTCAGCAGCTAGCAAGGCGTGTATTCTATTTGAGTTTATGTATATGTATGATAGGGCATTGAGCATATTGACAATATTATCGCCTAAGGCATCAAAAAGAGTACTTGTAAATCTTCTCAACCAGACCGCCTAATGGCAGTTTGCTTGACGTTGCTTGACTTCATATCTTTACCAATATCAACAACCCCCCACATCTTCCATTGTCTCTATTTCTGCATCACGCCGGTTTTCTCTGTTGAAGCTCTTACCCTCGCCAGTCAAATCATCACAATGGGAAAGAAGAGACGCGGTCCCTCCTTGGACGAGCTTCTGGCTCGACCTTGGTGCTACTACTGTGAGCGTGACTTTGACGACCTGAAGATTCTGACCTTGCATCAAAAAGCCAAGCACTTTAAGTGTGATCGATGTGGCCGCCGATTGAATACCGCCGGAGGTAAGCTTACACCACCAGATGTATCACTATGCGAATGCGACATTGACAGAACGTGATCTAGGATTGTCGGTGCACATGAGTCAAGTCCACAAGGAACAACTTACAGAAATCGAGAATGCGCTGCCCAATCGCGCAAGTCTCGATTACGAAATTTTCGGCATGGAGGGAATTCCGGAAGACGTTCTACAGGCTCACCAACAGCGTGTGGCTACTCAGTTCCAACAAGCTGAGGTTGATCGACAAGTAGCCACAGGTAACCCTCCCTCAGGAGCTAGCGGAGGTGGCCCTGCAGCCAAGAAGCCTAAGTTGGAAGCTGTGTCAGATCTCAAGAAGCGATTGGCAGAACATCGCGCCAAGCGCGCCGATGGAGCTACTGGTGGTACCAGCAGTGGAGATGCAACCCCTGTGGGTACCCCATCTGCTTCAACGCCGGTTGCCTACGTAAGTTTCGCTTTCCTGGACTATATTGATTTTATAACTAATATAAATTCCCAGGTACAATCTCCCACTGCCCCCACACCGGCTGCCGCAGTAGCAACAGCATCAGCACCTACCATGCCTACCCAGATTCCTGTACCCCACTACTCCTACCCTCCTGCTGCTCCCTATCATCAAATCGCCAGTCCAGGATTCCCACCCTTCTCACCATCCAACGTACAGCCAGGCCCTGTGCCTATGGGCTATAGCCCGACTGGTTACATCCCTCAACCATTCCCTGGCACCCCTGGTTATGGTGCGCCTCCTGCTGCTTACCTCTCACAACAATCGACACCGACCGAATCAACCCCTCCTCCTCGTTCTGGCAGCTTGCCAATTCCCTCCGGTCTGCCACAACGCCCGAGCTTCGCTGCCCCACCAGTCAACGCACAGCAGATGCACCAGATGCACATGGGCCACCCAATTCCTCAACCACCAGTTCCCGGTTACTCACAAGTTGATGCTACTCTGGCAACTCCGCCAGTCCCGTCGATGAACGATATTGCGGGTGTGGCGAACAACGCAACAGAAAAGCCGATTGATGCCCCGGAGAAACCCAGTAAGAAGGACAAATCGAAACCCACACGCTTGATCTATTCAGACCAAACGACTAGCCCCGAAGAGAAGATGGCTCAGATTCCTCGTTATGCATTCACGCGCGGTCATTTCACGCAGGAAACAGTACTGGGCGAGATCCCCGATGCGACGGTTACGGGAACGATTCGCGACGAGGACACAGTGGTCGACCCGGCTCATTAACCGTTCTCAATATCGATCCCCGCGATGAGACATGATGTTCGAGGGACGGATAACGGACTCCAGCTAAGTTCGACACATACTTCTGGCGACACATGAGCATTTTCTATTTTGGCTGGCTTTCTTCTGTTACCTGCCCTGATCCATCAGTAGTTCTGGCGAACAAGCCTTTTCCTAAACTGCCAAAACCAACAAGATTGTCCTCTCCACGCGATATGCTCGATGATTCTGCTCGTGAGTCCTGTCGCTTCATAGGCCTTTCCCGCTAATCAGGGTCGGTGCTAGCGGGGTTGGCTATGAAGGATTTGACGCGTACGTCCCTGCCCTGACTGTTTCTCTCCCTCCCCTTGTCCTCTTCCTCCCAGCCGTACACGCTTATGAGGGATCGACTGTTTTTTTCTTTCTACATCGGCCTTACAGCTTGACAATGTCATCTCGGAAGTAAGTTATATTTTCTATAAATTAGCGTTTCAGGTAGGGAATGAACCAATTTCACAATTTCGTAACCGTTTCCCAAATCTACAAACACTAAAAAATCTTTAACAAGCCTTCAATTGTTCTCATCTAGCGGCTAGCCATTGCCAGCTAGACTAAAACCCTAATGCTCAATTGACAGAGTGGAGTATCCTCGCTAGAAAACAGAACAAAAGTAACAGCAATCACATCACACCAGAGCAGAGCAGAGCAGAGCACAAACCCAGTGTACGTAGTAAAATCCTACCACCAACCCCAGCACATAGCAAGCAGAGAAGTACACTACAGCGGACCCCAACAGACCCACACGATCTCCGCAATCCCGCAGAAACCGCCCAAGCAGCGCACCGCCTACACTCTACTGTAGTCTAGGACGCAAGCCAGCCTAAGCCCTCTTCTCCTTAGTCGCAAGCCCAAAAATAACAACACCGTACGTAGCCAGCAAAGAAAGACCAACGGGAACAGCCTTGCCGCCCGTCTTAATCGCACGCGGGATCGAGCTTCCGCCCAGCACGGCCGAAGCAAGAAGACCGAGCTCCTCGCCGTAGGACTCGCCCGCGCGCAGGCGTGTGAAGGCGACGGCGTAGATCGCGCCGACGGTGAGGCCTGCGGCGATTGAGGGGATGGAGCCTGTGCGGGCGTAGCCGATTGCGCCGCCGAGGGAGGTTAGGAGGGAGAGGGCTAGGGCCGAGGTTGTGGGGGGTGTTTGGGACTAGGTTGGGCTTGGGTTAGTTTGGAGTTGGAGTTGGAGGGGTTTGGGGTGGGTTTGGGTACCATTTTGAGGGCTTGTGAGGTCTGGGGGTTTTTGAGAGAGGTTGGAAAGAGGTTGAGGGTTGTCGTATAGGTAGTAGGGGTGGTGTGATGCTGTAGATCGGTGAGTTGATGGAGCTGGGGTGGGATTAGTCAGATGACGTGAGATGGGGATAGGTTAGCTAACTATGGGCCGATCTTTTGAAGTATAGACTGGTGTATACTACTTGCTCCTTCTTATCCCCACATTCATTAATTGTTTATACTAGTATGTACTTGACCAGACTCTCGAAATCAATTGATTTTATAGGCTTATCAAGTGTATGAATAAGTATAATTATTTTGTATAGATCTTGTCTCGACTCAAAAAGCAAAGCTATCATTCATGCATTCATATCATTCTTTTGTGCAGTCTGTATACATTAACATTCTATCATGACTTGGTAGACTCACCTAGAGCTGCCCTTGTCTGGTGGGCTTTTCTTCGTGTCCAATTTCCAATCCTTTTACCCAAAGCTTGCGTATCTTCATGGGAAACGCATCTCAATCTGTAACCGCATTCAGCATACTCATCACCTAGTGCGTTCAACGAGTCGATCTTCAATCGCTCCTAGCAACCTTCGCAACCCCATCACTCGACACAACCAATGACCCATAACCACCAGCAGAAACCTCCACTTGCGCCTGCGCATGCTCCTGCTCCTCAGCAACCACCTCTACCGCGTCCCGGTGCGGACCCTCCTGCTCCACGATCCAAAAAGCAGGAACAACACTCCACAGCGCCAAAGCACTCAACAGCCACCACGGAATAATCATATACCCCCTCTTCACACCATACGAAAACGCAGTCCCGATAAGCGCCGGACCCGCCGCGCGTCCCAAGGCACTCACGCTCGTTCCGACTCCATTCAACGTCCCAAGCACCGTCATGCTCGAAGCAGAGTTCGTAAGCAAGATCGTGCAACACGGGATACCGAAGACCGTGGTGCCGAGCTTGAGCAGCATGATTAGCAGCACGGCTGGGAGTCTGAAGGGCTCGGGGACGATGGCCGTGAAAGGCGTCAGGAAGAAGATGATTGGCATGGAGATGGCGGCGGCTTTGAAGCAGCGGAGGATACCGAGGCGCTGGGCGATCGGCGGGAAGGCGAGGAACTGGATTACCATACCCACGACGCCGATGACTGTGTAGTAGATGCCGATTGTTTGGGAATCTTTAGGAGCTTGGTTAGTATGGTGGTAGGTATTAAGGCGTGGAGAGTGTTTCCCTTGGGACTTTTCATCTACTCACCGACGCCGAAGCCACCTGCAAACTTGAATGGAAGCTGGACATCCGGGTTATTCTCGTATTCCTGCACAGGGTAGTTGAGGAAGACGGGGAATACGGCATCGAAGGCCATGCCGAGTCCGGAGATCAAGGTGTACGAGGTCAGGATTAGACAGGACTGCGGCGTGAAGATCTGCGACCAGCTAACCCGGGCAATGGGCTTTGCCTCCTCCTTCTTTTTCCTCGGAAGCAACGTAGCTCGTTCTGCGTCCTCGCTCGAATCCTTACTCTCTGCCCCGCGCTTATTCCTCGAAGTGCACGGCCGAGTCAGAGCCTTTCCAAGCTCAAGTCCATAATCGCGCTGATCCTTCTTAGTAGCCAGCGTTTCCTGCACGAACACAAACATTCAGCCAAAGTCCAAAGCCCACAACTTCAAACCCTGAAGTTCCTGCTTCGAGACTGTAGTTCTCCTGGAGAACAATAACTCACCCGTAGAAACAAAATGCCATTCAAAATCCCCACAACAAAGAAACAAGCCGCCGCAATATTCGGCAACGCAAACGGATACTTTTTCAAAAACGCAGAGCCCCCAAAGAGCCCGGGATGCTTGTCTGCCGGCCGCGCTAGCGCTCCTCCGAACGCTGGGCCGAAAATACTACCGATAGTCCATACCAGCGGCATGATACTGAAGGCCCGGGGCTGCAGTTCGCGCTCCGGCACAATTTCCGCAACCATTGTGCGGATGATGCCGACGTTTCCGTTCATGAGCCCGATTAGGGCGCGCGTTACGAGGACCATCGTTAGGGAAGATGACATGCCCAGCACTATTGAGAGGATCATGGTGCAGAAGAGGCCGCTGATTATTACTGGTTTGCGACCTATGTAGTCTGACAAGGCGCCCCAGGGCACGGCCATGATGGCTTGACTCACGGATGCGACCGCTGAGGCGATGCCGGCCCATTTGGCGACCTCGGGCTTGGGGACGCCGACATGTTGGATTAGTTCTGGCTGGGTGGGTATTAGCGCTAGTTTTTGAACTTGGGTTTGGGGCCAGGCGAGTCTTTTGGTGGGCGAGGCTCGACTTTGTATGTTCCAGTGCGCTGGTGGACCAGGCGCACGTTCTGGATCAACTTGAACTTACAAGGTATGGAAGAATAGATGTGAAGACGACTAGTTCACGGATAGTTATTGGTAAGTATGTTTTCTCACAAGAGACATACTATCTACTAGCTCCGATGAGCTGTCGGACAGTAGTAGGATGTAAAAAAGAGCACGCTGCACGATCACATACTGGGCTCAGCAAATCGACATATCGCTAGATGAGAACAGCTTGATGTTAGTGACAAATCACTATTGCCGAGATCCGGGGCAGAGAGCAAAAAAAAAAAAACAACAATAACAATAACATACCCAGAATCAAAAGCTGCTTTACCGGCAGACGGGGTTTCTGCATGCTGTTCTATGCACTCGGTATCGACACCGAAAGACAAACCAAAAAGTCTCTATCCCCCAAAATATGACACGAAAGAAAAATAAAAGAAGAGAGGAGAAAAAGAAGAAGCGATTGAGCCGAGCTTTCGGATCGAGAAGATCGGCACCGACTGCGACTGTAGCCCAAATCTCCACTGCAGAGGTCCGAGCCGCTAAGGGCCCCGCTACCGGACTTGTGGCCGCGGTGGGTTGTCCAATCGAGGTAGTTTGCGTCGGTCAGACGCCGCAGTGCGGCCGCATCACGAGTACAGGAGGTGTTTTTCAGGGTGGATGAGCTTGCATTTTGTAGATCTGGGGCCGTCTGTTATGCAGTTCGTATCACTTTGGGTTATCCGGTTAGCTCGGCATTTGGTCTGACAATATTCTTGTAGTATGTACTTGGTCTGACTTGGGTTTCGAGTCTGTGACCTCGGAATTTCATGCATTTGCTATGGACTATGACAAAATGTAAAGATGTAACACACAAGTGTTGTGGGCTCACTTTTCTCATGGTGAGAGAATCGATATTGCCCTCCCCAAAAAAGAAAATACCAGTTTAGGCATAGGTATCAAAAAAGAAAAAAAACGAATAACCAATAAATAATCGCTGAAATGAACTCGGAAAAAGGGAAAGAATCCAATAGAAACCAAATAAAAACAACACAAGTCAGCTTCGACTCTCTCTCTCAGCTCTAGTACACTTCTTCTTCGGCAGGATCAAAGGGCACGTGATCGTTCGCCTGGGGGTTGAGCTTTTCTCCAATCTCGATACTATCTCTCATGATTTCACGCGCAATGCTAGCCGCAACGCCCATATCTTGCTTGATGAGCCGCGTGGCGAGCTCAGGGACGATGACCGATTGTGCATATCCGGCTATGCCCACCTTGGCAACAAGAGAATCGTTTTTGGCCAGTCGGCGTAACCTCACCGCGAAGCGGTCCATAACCACGTACAACCTGAGAAATTCTGGTTAGATACTTGCATGGATCAAAACAGTAACATGCTAATGGGGACTTCAACTTACATTTTCTGGGCGCCTTTTGATCCATAGTATCCACAAGAGATAGTCTCGATACCATCGCCGTCGAGGGTAAGACGCAGGCTTTTTCCAGCCTTGTGGGCGCTGTCAAGGATGTTGCGATAATACGATGGCTCTTCCGGGTTCAAAAACCTTTCCAGATCGGGGAAATGTCCATCCAGGCGTTGCTCAAAGGTATCCCATTCGATATCGGGGTACCCCCGTGCCTCCCATTCCTTCGTAGCGGATTCTTGACTATGCGAAGTGCAGAATCGTTCCTGATCGCGGAGCCGCTGATTTGGCTGTTCCCTAAACTGCCGTAGTAGCTCTGGATCCACCTCAGCCTTGCACATGGGACATAGTGCTTTGCGTGGTGGTGATGGCGATCTTGAAGGAGATGGGCAGCTGATGGAGGTGGCGGGGGATAGAGCGGAGTCAGATGAGAAACCGGCGTCGAGCTGGTTGGGATTGGAAGCGCCAAATGAAGAGGTATAGAAAATGTCGTCTAGTGGTATTGTGGGAGGCAGTTTGAATCTTGGCGATGGGCTCCTCCTCACCTCGGGGCTGGGGCTTGGGGCGGGTGTCTCGACTGGTGTGGCATCTTTGATGGCGACGACCTCCGGCTCTGAGTCAGACGAATGTACTTTCAAAATAGCTTTGCCCTTCTTGCTTGCACCCTTCTTGCTTTCGCCCTTCTTTGATTTGCCCTTCTTGGCTAGTGGTTGTGTGGGAGCGCTGGCCTTGGGTTTCGGTGAATCATTCCCTTGCGCTTCAACTGAACGTGCGCTGGAGAGGGGGGCAGTGGACGAGAACGACTTTGTTCTTCCGAAAGTTGTCTGTTTTTTTCGCTTGGTGTTGCGTTGCGATGAATTGAAGACGTACTCATTGTCGTCAACATCCTCCGCAAAGGACCTCTTTGCTGTTAAAGGTACATTGTTGGTGTTATTTGAGAGTTTTTCATCCAGTCGTTGAAATGACCTCTTCTCCTTCCTGGGTCGCTGGGGCGAGGTATCAGAGCCAATTGATATCACATCGTCCTCGTCGCTACTTTTAGGGTCTGCGTCTATGTCTGTTGAATATTCGCGGGTTTTGCGTGGCGTCTCGAGTGCCTCCTTTTTAGACAGATTGGGCTTGGTATTTCGCGATCCAGCAACATTATCCGATTCTTTATTGAATTTTGTGTGCAGGTGGCCCGTTAGCCTCCTTGTTAATTGGACCATTATGTCTCAAGGGATGGAGGCGGAGGTGCGGAGGTGCGGAGGGAGAAGCGGGATTCCGTAACTTATGCTCCGATTAGGGCCAAGGCGCAATCTAGATACTTGATTGTGATTGTCGGTGAAGAGAGCCAAAAAGCAAACAAAAAAGGCTAGAAAGAACAAAAGCAGTTTCGCATGGATGACTCGGGGTGTTAATGGAGGATAAGGAATTGGAGAACAAAGAAAACGCGTGACGCGACTGAAAGTGGAGTGGACCCCACTTTGATTCGAAACGTTCTATACATGACATGACAACCTTAGGCTGAAAACTATACACTTGCGCCCGTATATAGACAAAAATATGCTCTAATAGCAACCAAAAAAAAGAAGCTCTTAAGCTATGAATGGAATCGTGACTTCAATATGATAAAGGGAAAATGTGAGAAGCAATCATTACTCAAATGTCATGGAGAATCCCCCGTCATGGTCGTCGGCCCAGGCATTATGCTCCAACGCCATCGCCCCAACCGCACTGCCATTAACATTGTTGTTGGGCAAACTGGCGGTAGATCGCAATTCTGGGCGCGTGAGGTTATTGAAGGAGTACTGTGGTGGTGGTGGTTCATGATACGAGGTATCAAAGGTCATTTCAAGCTCATCTTCCTTGTACGGCTCAGATTCATGAGTGGCGTGAGGCATTGTATTTAGTCGAGGCTCCGATGCTGTTCGAGTAACAGGGGGTGCCTCATACGTTTCGGCCTTAGATTCTTCCTCTTTGGGTGTCACGGGCGGAGGGGGCTGAGGCTGGGGATTCAAATCGAGCTTCATTGGAGGTAAGGTGGATTCCAACTGCTTGACTTCGATGGCCTCGGATGCTAGTTCAGACCGGATAGCTTCGATATCAAAAAGGACCGTGCCCGGGGCGCTGCCAGGGTCGGTTGCGCCACGGAGTGGTGAGTTACGGTCAACATCATAAGTCTCCCAAGCCTTCTTCTCCGCCATCTTGCCTCGTTTGAAGAGACCGAAGCGCTTCTTCTCTGGCTTCTGCTCGGCTTCTCGACGAGCTTCGTCAATCTCGCGGATCAACTCTCTCTGTCGCTCAGCGTGGCTGTCAGGGTCAGGGTCTTCGATCTCAGCGAATTCATCCTCCAAAACCTCCCAGCCAACCTCTCGCAGAAGACGAGGCATGGCGGCTCGATAGTCCATGTGGCCATTCACAAGCTCGGTCAGATCGAAGCTTTCAATTCCGGGAACACCTTCAATGGGCGCGAGACCGGATACGCGCATGATGCCACCACTGGTGGCCCGGAAGAGGTACCCAAGAATCCAGTCATTTTTAGAGTATCCATTTACAAATCGACCAGACACGACACTGCGGGCTTTCAGATAATCATCCTTACTGGCCACGATTGGAGATCCAAAGAGATAGACGTTCTGAATGAGTCCATGGGCCCCCTTGTCCGAAAGCTCCTTGAGACAAGAGAAGATGACCCTTGCACCCAATGAGAAACCGAGTAACGTAATGGGTCGGCTTCCAAGGTTCCGGTCCTGCAAAGAATCCGCCATAATCAAACCAGCAAAATGAGCCCGAGATAGGGACACATTCCAAGGATTATCAATTAGATAGGCGAGTTTGGTAAGAACAAGTGGCAGTTGTAAAGAGGCCATCAGAGCCATCAGAACAGTGCTACCAAGTACTTGTTGGAGACCAGTGGCCAGTGCCTGGCATTGTCAAAATCGTCAGCTTTGATTAAGAAATTTACGGAAGGGTACACAGTAAGTTTCAGATCAAACTCACCTCTGTCGCAAGAATGTTAATTGTGTCACCCATGCTGCGAAGCATCTCAGGTTCCCAGAGAACGGAATAAATATCACCCATGATCGGGTCAACGGTACTGTATGGGAGTCGGACGTCATCGACCTTGCCGGTCATCCAACCGGAGACGGTCACAATAAGATTAAGCTTCTTATTATTGTGAAGAGGGCGGTATTCAAAGGTCTGAACCGCTCCTGTGCGCCGATGTGAAGCCTTTAGGCCGATGACACTTCCACCCACACTAGCACCGGAGGCAATCAAGGCAGTGCCACCCACACCTCCCAAGAACGCACTGGTGCCGGAAATGCCCACGGTTGTCAAACCTGCAGCAAGACCGGCTCCGATCACAGGAGCTAGCAGTCCAGCGGAGAGGCCAATGACCAGTCCACCACCGACGGTCGCCAAGCCCATGAGCATATATTTGCGCTTTTGAGACATCTGCCGACGTTTCTCCATGTGCTCTGTTTCATCCCAGTTCTCTTTATCTGCTTGTTCTTGCATTTCAAGGGCATCCGTCACTCGCTTCTCAAATCGAGAGATTTGTAACCACGTCACGTCCATGGATGCCCCAACTCTTTCTAGCAAAGTTCGTGATCGGGCATCGTAAGCGGAGTCGGCAATGAGCACGAGGAACAAATCACATAGAACTGTCCAGCGAAGATCAATGTCGATTCGATCAGATGTCGGCATTTGAGATGGTGTTTGGACTTCGGGGACGATCCCCTCGCCTTCGTGGGCCTCATATGGAGGTGGGGAGCCTGGTGCAGATGAGCTTGCAGTTTCAGAAGAGAATCTGTTTCGTGGATCTGATTTGGATGTAGGAGTCGAGACCGAAGAAGCTGACGGTCGGCCATCACTCTCGGCCATGGGGTTCTTGACTCGCGCGTTTTGCATAAGGGGCCGAATAAGATCCTCGGGTTGGACACCATGCCCAGCGAGTTGTTCAATCATGATCTGCTCGGCGGTGTTGATATCCATATGAGCATATAACCGTCCCATCATTGCCTGTCCCCACTTCCTCATGTTATCGCGGGCTATCTGCAGCGCCTTGCGTGTACCCTTGGTGGTTGGCATCTCAGCCAGTTCCATATTCATTTTATGTATCGCCAGCCTGACCACACCGACGTATGCGATTTTTTGTGTCTCGTTGAGGAAATCCTTGGTGGCCTGTAGCTGGCCTATAGTATCACGAAGTTCTTCACCTTCAAGGCCAGCCTGGTTGCCCCCAGTCTCTCGAAAGAGGTAACTTGTGTCCTCATCCATACTCGTGGCAGACTGGGCATCTTCATCCAGCTGAACTCGAGTGTAGCCTTTCCCAGCGCCACCTAGCCCTTGGTATACAGCTTCGTCGTCCTCCTCCTGAGCACCACGAGCGATCAATCTTCCATAGTCGTCATAATAGTCGAATTCTCCAAGGGCAGGCATTGCTTGCCAATCTTCAGGTTCCTCTTCTTCATCGCTCTCGTCATTCGCCTCCACGGGTTGAGCCAAACGCATGTGTGACCATTCTGAGATCTCGCCCTTCCTGGGTTTGGACAATGAGGTTCGAGGTAGCGCAGATTCAGCCAAAGCTCCTTCGGCAGGCTTCTCTACCTGCGGAATGTCATCTTGGGATCCTGCCTTGGTGTCCGACGGTGCTGGTTCTTCTGCCACACCGATAGTTCCAGTCTCAGCTCCAGCTTTAGGTTCCGGAGTCGCCTCGGCTACCTTTTCCTCCACTGTTTCTTGTTTCGGCTGTGTTTCGGAGTTTATATTTGGTGCACCGGCTGGGGGCTGGAATTCTTGGGCTTCGGGGCGTTCGTCGGCATTCTCGGAGGAGCCGTTAGGCAGCTGTTCAGGTTTCGAGCGTATTCGAATGGGGAGGCCAAAATCGTCAAAGGCTTGTATCTCTTTCGAAACCTGAGCATTTTCTTCCTTATTCTCTTTCACATCTCTCTGTAACTTTGTGTTTTCCTCTGCCTCGGTGGCTGTGGTATCGGGGGCGTCCGTAACGGGTTGCGGTGGATTGGACGGAGTTGCAGGGGGTGTAGACTGAGCATCGGTGCCGCTGACGGTGACACCTGCAGCGGGCATTATTTCATAAAGACCAGAGAGGTCCTTGTATGCTTGGAATTTAGTTTTGGGGGGACACAGGCTCTTTATGAGCCTGATTTGTGCTGCTTCCTCGCACGTTCAACCTTGTACGAACTCGAGCGGTCACCCATTCGGACCACAGCTCGAAGTTCTGTAACTCTCAGATATTATCTTGAGTTCCCGATGTTGGACCCAGTGGTGGTCATCGGACTGGAGAATCTCCGCAGATGACGATCGGTGGCCACGCGGGAAAAAAAGGAGGTCGCGAGGGGCGGAGAGCATGCGGCGGGGAATGACACCACTGACGTACACCTTGAGAACTGCAATTGCAATGATTGAGGTTGAGAGCTCAATGATGCTTCTTTTTTCAATTATCCCACAACCAGCAAAGCAAATGCAAAATGGGGAGGTTTTTTTTTTAGAAATAAAATCAAAAGGTTTAGTCAAGCTCAAAGTTAGGGAATTACCTAAGTATACGGAAACGGAAGTGTTCAGCTTTCCAAGGTTGTGGAATCTCTGGATTGTGGAATGCTACAAACCCATAGAACCAGCCTGAATGAAAACAGCAAACGGACACTAAGACATCATCTTCTTTCTTTTCATCAGTCTCGATGAAAATCAATCAGACTTGAAATATTGTTTTTATCTTTCCAATATACTATTTCCCACTGTACAGGACAAGATTCAATATTAGCGATTATAGTCTCTAGGAAGAGTCCGAAGAGATTCGCTTGTTGGGTACTCGTACATTCAATGTTTGAATATTCCAGCCTCATTATTGCACGAGACTTGCTAACAGATCATTCATAGGCCCAAATGCCGATTTATAGCTCTTTCCCCAAGTCGAAGCTTGGTTATAGTGCTTTCTTGCATGTGCCAAACAGCTATAAATCTTTCGCCCTGGCCTGGGCATCGTTTCTCGTTTTCATAATATCCCCATATATCCAGATGACTGGTCACACCCTATAACCCAAGCCTTGGAAGCGCAATTTACCTTTGGTGCCTTATCTATACATCGTATATGATATGAATGTATCGGGCAGATGAACTCTACCATCGGAACTGGAGTACCGACAGCAAATGCCCGGGTGATCAAATCGTCCAATAGTGAAAACCAACAAACCCTAACATATCGGCCCGACAACGTGTACTTCTTTTGCAATTGATTTTTATGCAAACAATATCCGGAGTTCAGATCTGAGGCTCATGCCGAATACGACGACGTAATAGGTGAACACTGAAGGCGTCCCGCGAGGCGGTGCATCTTATTATTCTTGGCCTTTTCCAAGGTTTTTGCCCGGGCACTCTTTGTTCAGTTGGACATTTTCCCCCGCTCTGAATGACTGAATCTACTTCAAACCGGCTACTTTGGCCCTTTTCGGAACATTAGACTTTCATGAGGGCGGAGCCTCGTCTTGCTGACCAGTCACTTGATATGGAGCTTGCGGCTCATCCCCCCATAGGAGATTAGAATTAGGTATAGTCTGTAGACCCAAGTGAGTGCGGAAATGCATATCATCTTCGGCTGTGGCAACTGGATCTGAAATAACCCACCCCTCGCGCTCGATTCTTCACTCTTCAAACCTCCATTCTCCCACGCTCCACCGTCCTGTCATCTTTTGCTTTGCCTTCACCTCATTTGACCATTATCCCTGATCTGAGACACAAGAATAATCTTATTCCTACTACCCTTTCAACCATTACACCTATTATCACTGCCTTTCACTGCCTTTCATCATGACCATGATTCAAGGTACCATATAGCACCCTCACCTTACGCCTTTCTTCAACCTTGCGAGCTTGCTAACACAGGAACTGATGATAGGCGCCGAAGCATCCATGACCAAGGTCACTAGTGCCGGGCTTCGCCTGTCCTTACTCCTCAACGCTGCAGCATGTCAACTTGCACAGTCAAGGATTGAGATCCACAGTATTGCAAAAGGAATCACACTGTTTGCATCTACTCTGAAAGATGCGGGGAAGGCGTTGGATGCTACGAAAGTAGTAGATCTATCCCCCAGAGTGACGGAGAAGGTCTGGGAGATCGCCAACCAGGGCCAAGTGATGTTTATTGAGATCGAACACATGCTCGACAAATTGCAAGGGACCGACTCCAATGATGATCTGAGGAGACTTCCGATGCTGGAACGACTGAAATGGTGCTTCAGAAAACAACACGTCATTTACCTTTTGGCGTGCTTTGAATCGTTGAAGCTCAGTCTCATAGTCATCATGCGGGTTATTCAGCTAGCCCGTATTCTAGAATCGAACATCGATCTTCCCAGCTCGGCTTCTCCTACGGCGGACGATGTTATCGCTCAAGAGAAAGTAGAGACTCAGAATATGATTATCGTTCGATATTGGTCTACCAAACGCCTAGATCGCATGTGGGAGGCAGTGGAACAAGAATCCATGGAAGCTGCAAGTGACCCGACGAGTCAAAAGATCAATATTGACTACTACTTCTCCACCGCTACAGCTACAGTGAAGCCCAGCACCGTGGAGACAGCATTTTCTGGCATCACCAAGCTTCCCGTGGTTGCCTTTGGAGACATTGACGTTGGTCTAAGTGATATTGAACGCTCTCCAAAGGACATGGTCCACCTATCAGAGAGGGCAATGAACGGACTTCTATCACTTTGGGCTCCATCATTGAGCCCCAAGCAGCAACTCCCCAGCCCAATCACCCGCGGCTTCGAGTCCTGCCGACCGCAAGTCTATATCTCCTCCGACAACAGCGACGAAGATATAGAAGATCGCCAATTCGATACGTCCGAAGTTCGCGGCTATTACCTGGAAGGCAATACGACAGATTGGCGAAAACCTCAGTCCCAACAAGCCCGACACGAAGCTGCTCGTTTACGCAGTCAATACTCCGGGCTCCAGGCGCACGTGGAAAGCGAACCCGAGACTGACGACAGCTTACGGCGCAAAGACAAAATTCCCAAGTCCAAAACCGCTCCTTCAAGTGAAGACGGCGAGCGATCATTCTCTCCACGCCAGTCATCCGACCCCGGGGCTACGAAGGGGGCCCGCATCCACTCCAACAGCTTCACATCCGGATATGCACCCCATGTCCCTCACATCCCAGAACCGAAACATGTCGCCTTTGCCAGCACCAGCCTTCCACCCCCAGACCCAGGCATTCACCGCTCCAGATCATCATCGACATCATACCACCAGCAGCCTGTTTCATCCAAGCCCCCAGGATACCCCCAACAAGGCGTACAACAGGGCTCGCACAGATACGCCTCCAGTCAACAAGAGTACTGCAGAACCGCCCCACGCTCTATCCCAGTACCCCCGAACAACCGTCTCAATCCACCGCCTTCCATGCCCGGTCACTCGCCCCGAGGTACACCCCCCAGCCCATCCGAGCCTCACTGGCCCAGGTCGGACTCGCAGAGATACAGTAGCGCCAGCATGCCAAAGTCTAGGCACCACCAGCCTGCGTATAATCCCTCGTCCTCCTCCCCGGAGTCCAGCTTCCACCAGCCGCCTCCCCGTTCTTCGGGCCAGAGGTCGCCGTCTCGGTCTCGTCGATCCTCACGAGAGGAGAACAAGGACCGGAATAATGGTCTGAGGCGCAGTGCTACGAGGGGTCTTGCGGGGATCGGCGCTATTGCTGGATTTATGGATGCGCTGGAGGCGTTTCAGATCCTTTGAGTTGCGCCGTCCACTTTATTGTTAATGTCATTATTATTACCGATTTACCATTACTATCTAGTATCTAGTATCTACTACTCTCTTTTCAGATATGAAGAGCGTGTCTGTTTTCATTCGCTTCAAATGTTAACACTCAGGTCACGATATCTACAGAGACTATCTAGGTCAATCTATTCCCGGTATTATTATTTATTTATTTTCCAGTTTTGTCTGTCGGGATTAAGAAAAAATCCATGGAAGTATACAGGTCGGACTGCATGTTCGGTCCGATCTACCGCTTTAAGACCGGAACTTCTGTTCCCACCGAAATCCCGGCCGTGCTACGCGGCACGCCCGTGTTGCTTTGGGGGTCTGGAAAATGTTTCAATGTCTATTCAAATAGTGGGTGGCTCGCATTTTATTGAACTTCCGGGTCAACTTTCAACCTTGGAAGGCTGTGACTATTTTTTTCTTATATTCAGAGGGGTTCGCTGTAGGGACTGACCACCTAAATTTCTTTCTTTTCCAAGATTGTTTTTGTTTTTGTCTATTTTTTTTCTCCTTCGGCTATACAAATGCCTTCTCTGCCGGCTGCTGTACGTGAATCGCCTACTGGTACTTGAGCATCCATCAATCTACTTGCACCCGTGGATGAGAACTATGCTGCCTTCTAAGCCCTGGTTGTATTGATGCCTGTATCGTATTCATGTTTTGCTAATTATGTGCTGAGCAGAGACTATTTACCTACAAATGTCTATTATATACCGTATATACCTATGACACTCGACAGAACGCAGATCCATCAATCAAACTCATATCCGACAACCCAAAAAAAAGAGTTCCTTCACTTTATTAAAGCCTGGTGCACATGCTTCATGTTTTCTCTATATCCCAGATCAAAATTCAGGCAGAGGTGGCATGCCAAAAATGCTTCCATCGGGAAGCCACCCATCCAGCTCCATGCTTGCCCCAGCCATATCCTGGTGAGGAAGTCTGTGCGGATCAAACGCAAATTGCGGCGCAAGTGAAGTCGGCTGTTGCGAATACCCACCAGGGAGAGACTGGAAGAACTGGCTTTGATGGCTGCCATCCATGGGCCACATGCCCGCACCGCTCATGGCGACGTATCCATTATCGATACCTGGTGCCATATGCGATACACTGGGAGCCACGGGATATGCAGAGTCCATTCGCACAGCCGGATCGTGTGGGCCCATTTGTGTCGCGGCCATGTGCTCAGTGGGGGTTGCCGAGTTTGAGGTCGCCATCCTTACTCTGTCTGATGCGTATCGCTCCTCTAGGCGTTCATACCAGTCCCGACTCTTCACTGCTATGACATGGTACCACCGTGTGGGAATCTTGTATTTGCCACCGCCGCTCGCCTCGCCCAGTTTGTTGGCCATCGCGTCGAGGTAGTAGATGACATTCACGGTTTCTGGCGTGATGATCTCACTGAGTGCACCGGTGCGCACTGAGAAATGGATCTTCAGTAGCGAGGTTACTGCCATTGTGAATCGCGTGTACATCAGGTTTGGGAATCGGCGCATCGTTTCTGCGCTGCATGTCAAAAGAGCGTCCAATAGCTCGTGCGCTGCGTTCATCCATTTCACGGTGATATCGATGCGGGTGACGCTCATCGGGATGGCCTTTTGGGTGTTTCCGTCTTCATCTAAGTTTGGGAGGGTAAAGTCTCGTCGTTTTACGGCGTCGGGGTCTCGGTAGCCTTCTCCTACGCTGAGCTCGTACATGGCGAGGATGGCAGATCGATACTCGAGGATCATGGGCACTGTGGACGTTAAGAATGAGCAATCTTTCTAGTCGTGAAACAGGCCTCGGGGGATAGTCGTCTCACCTGTGAGCATTTTATTGGGAGTATTGTTTCTCCAAACTTCCATTTGCTTTTCGAACCACCGCAACACGGCTTGCACGCGTGATTCAGTTAATGTCGACAATGAGCTAGTGTCATCAAGGCCAAATGAGGCCATGGATTCATCAGTAATTCGCTGCAGTTTGAACCATACGGCGAGCCGTTGATCTGTTAGATGCGGCGATCGTTCCAGCTGAGCCACGCACTCCGCCATCCAGTCGTTAAATTGCAGTAAGTTCGGGCGTCGAGTCTTCATTGCAACACTTTTTTTCTCTAAAATCAGCTATGTATAGGAGGAGCGATAGGTTAAGGTGTGAATCACTGACGTTGATGATAAATGGTAGCATCCAAGAACAGCTCTGGCCTGTTCCGCCATGAGCTCATCATGGGGCTCTGAATTTTTGCGATCGGGCTTCTTTTGGGAAATACGCCGTTTAGTCGCGAGCCCGATTTCCAGCGCCATCGTCGACGCGATGTGCGCATATTGATAAAATTGCAGTTTCAAGGGCGAGTCCGGCGGGAAGTAAAAAATCATCATCAACAATAGTGCCTGCACCAGCTCAAGCGATTTTTCGCCCTCAATGAAGAACCGGTCCGCATACAAACGGACCATTTCGCGGTTCAGCACAGCTGCTAGATCTACATCGATGGAGATTGCCGCTGCAGAGATCACAGAAAGGAAGAGAACCGGCGCTGTCTGTCGCAGCTGTGCTGCGGTGGTGGTTGGTTCAAGTTTGACTAACGGGAAAACGTTGGACAGTTCATGAATGAAAAAAACAACCAATTGCTCTGCATCTTCGAGAGAGATGATGCCACGATCGACAACATCCTCAGCGTGGGGCCTACTAGACGCAGAGATAAAATTGGCATGCAATCCAGACAGAGTTGGAGGTGCTGAGAGAGATCCACTTCCATGCATTCCGGAGTGGGATGTGTTGTTGAATTCAGGAGAGTAGTCCATGAATCGGGCAGACTGGGAGGCGCCCCCGACGGACTCCGGAATGGAGCCCAAGGCACCCTGATAATCCATATCACCAGACTCGTTGTCTTGAGAAGTGATGCTGTCATCGGAATATTCCGGCTCGCTTTCTTCTCGAATTCTGTCTTTAAGTAGAGTGCGCATCACGCGCATCTCTTTTTCCAATTGGGCCACTCGGGAGTCGGTCCGTTTACGGGGCCGCCGCCTTTGCGGTGCTACAAAGGTGCAAGCCTTCTTGCCTTTGGCACATCGTTGACATTGGTTTGGCGTGGTTGGGTTGGGAAGACAGCGAACTTTGAGATTTCTGCACGACTCACAGGATCGGTTGAGTGGCTGCTGCGGTGCGGATAGAACCGGGCTTGTTTCACCATGAGGAGTAGTTGGGGACTCGGACATATTCACATAATAGACCGTGGGGGAAGAGAGGGAGATCGAAGTATGAGGGTGCTGGGAGTGGATTGAAGAGGCCAGCAGAGACGAAGATTTTCAAACCTCAGCGACGAAGGTTAAAGAATCAAGTTTCCAGCCTGTGTTATTCGGTCGGAGGATTTCGACTCATCGTATCGAATGCAGATGGAGAATTTATCGAAAGAGGCAAGCATGTGTATGTACACCACACAAACTCCCACGTCCAGCAATAAAAAAGAATGCAGAAATAATTGGCGATCGACAAGAATCTTCACAAGGAATCATATATTGTACTGATCTCGACAGCAAGGGCCTCATTCGCGTAGAATATGAGCGGATTAACGAGAACAAAGCAGGGTCCAGCCGGGCTTGGCCACACAGACATGTGCAGATTCGCCAATTGTGTCCAGGGGCCGAAGCTTAATGTGCAAAATGTTAGGTAAATCAACGATATGTGTGGTGAAGGTTGACTGGAACAGCTGCCTGTTTCCACTTTTTTGATGCGATCCACCTGAACACTCTTTGGGCTGTGTGGTGGCTCTGAGAGGCTCTGTACGGGGTAGCGAGGTCTTGGGTGGCAATATCGCAACTTAAATTTTCAGGGTCCAACGGGGATCCCGTTGCTAGATTAGGGAGGAACAGGCACCAACCGAAGCTGTCAATCTATCGAGATGGACAAGGTCCATGGAGTTGCGAATGAGAAGTTGTCCTCTGCGGAGTAGAACCCTAATGACAAACCTGACGAATCAGGCTTGGCTATCTCCACTTTCCCCCACTGACTGGCAAGATTTGATTGGTTGGAAGATCTCCAGGCTTGACGGCTCCGGCCGATTGCCCCATTCGTTTCTTAGTCAACTTCTCGCTGTAGATTGCCTTATCTGAGAACAAGCTACATACCGAGGACCATTCTCGGGATATTCAGCTTATGCGGGATATTCTCTAAATGACTACTATTAGTATCGGATCTGGGGTTTGATACCACAGACATCACAATGAGAATGACTGGCTTGATAGAAAAACTCAATACTATGGCCGAAAGTTGAAACACTACCAACATTGGAAAAGCCCGTCAACTATTGCAAGCATGTGACAAACTCAGGAATAAAGTTGAGACAACTTTTGACTTGGCAGCTCGTCTCGTGCTCTCGGTAAGCTGTGTGGGCCCACAGGTGGGAAAAAGTACAGAGACTTAATAGGTGCAAGTAGGGTCATCAAGCAATAGCCTTGAGGCTAGGGGTCGATCTCAAATTGATCAATGCGATAGCCACTAAGGTCGATCGGTAAAATGAATCAGTCAAAATCGATGAGCTTGCTAAAGAGACAGGCGAGGAGCCACTGCTGGTTGGTAAGTGCCGCTCATCAAACAATGCCCACCAGGCTAAGCTGATAAGCACTACAGGACGCATAATGCGATTCCTGGCTGCCATGTGCGTAGTCAAGGAAGTAGTTCCAGGCTCGTATACTTCAATAACATTGATAGTCTATTATAGTGGATAGATGGGTGGAAACTCATAAGAAAAATATGACATATGTGACAACCTAGTATATATACTCTAATCTATACTATTAAGTTATCATTGCCAGAGGGTTTTACCTAATTCGTGTGTTCAAATGTTTACGGTCTATCCGTGACGGATCACCATGGCCTACGCCCGTTTCCATCGAATTGACCCAACGTTCAAGAATCTATGAAGCCCACGTTCTATGACCAAGATGGGCCCCCAGTTTTATGAGAATAGTCAAGGGGGAGGGGGGGGGGGGGGGGGGGGGGGGGGGGGGCTGGGGGGCTTTTCTATATGTAATATTGTCTTAAAAAACGATGTTTCGGCCCTAAAACTTTACCAAGACAGCCCCGAAACAAAAATCTTCAGGGATCACGAAGATCCGTCTGGTTATCCCTTATTTCGCTGCTGCTCGCCATGGTAGCTTTGATGCAATCCGTGCGATGCTTAAAATCTACTTGGCGGATCCAACGTATACTGAGCCACTTAAGAAGTTTCTGGAACTTATTTCTTTCTTTCAAATAAATGTGGCATGTGCCGGTGTATAGTGGGAGCTTTTCTTGTGGGGATTGAATAGGCAGGTGACTAAAAGGATATCTCAGGACATACAACATTTGAATGAGAGATAGAGTGGTCAGGGTCAAGATTAGAACATTGAAGAGTAAGTATTATATTTAGCTAGGTAACAGACGATGATGCTAATCAGGTATGACGCGTGCGAACATGGTAATAAAGCAGAACCTTCAAATGTTCAACTCCAAACAATACATTCTGGGTAGAGCTCCTTGATCAATTTTTGCTGGGCCCGCTCACAAGGTGCCTTCAAAAGCAGATCTCGATCTTTCAAATAGGCCTTGTACATTGGTTTCGGGACTTTCTTGCTTTCATCCTCCCATACCTGATATTCCAATGCTCCCCAGATTTCAAGTTGCCGCTGCATATTCTCCCGCGGCCAGACCTTCTGCTTGGTCCGAACATACTTCAACACATCTTGCCACGGCAACTTAAGCTTGCGCATCAAATAAGCGATGATAATCGTCGGTGAACGTGACACTCCGGCATAGCAATGAACTAGTATCGCCTCTGGCTCAACCTTTTGTTTTTGATGATGCAAGCGCACTCGGAGGGCGCCCCGTGATGACCAGTGAATGCGACCAGCTGTTTTTGTTGTGGGTTTTTTACTTGTATTTTTGGCAGCAACATCATTCTCGGCTTCAGTTGGGAGAGCGGAAAGAGCAGCAAGAGCAGGCGAGGCCATGCGGTCGATAAAGTTGCAGATTGTAGTCATTTCGGCTAGGAAATCTTGCGTTGCAGAGTCATGACACTCGACCCATCGGTGTCGGCTCTCTGGGATGCCGGCCTCTCTAGTGCGGGTGGACCACCAACTCCAGGAGTCGTTGCACAAAGAGAGGATTGCGTTAGTTCGGTTAGTTTGGAGCATTTCGGGTGTGCATGTTGCTAGGACATTTCCGAGAAATAGACCAGGGACGATTTGCCTCATCCGAGGTATCGATGTCATCTGACGCATTTCAAACACGTTGATATGCTGGTCTCTTGGGTTTTTATCCATGACGCGGGTTTTGTTTTTTCCCCTTCCTTTCATGTAGATGATCGAGAGTGGACGATATAGTTGTGAGGTTATTTAAGACGTAAATGCTTGTGTAGGCTGAGTTGGAAAACCGCAGAAGTGCCAGCTCAAGTAGAGACTTCCGCGCACGTATGTGGTATATGGAAAGTTACTTTACCCTTTTAGGCCCCCGCTATGGTGTCCGCAGCCATTCTGGGAGCTCCGAGTCAGATCTGCGACCATGTCGTTTTTTCCATCTACAGCCCTTCTCATTCCTATGAGTCAGAGATTACTCATATATTTGTTGGTTTCTATGTGAAAGTGAAATGCCATGTTTCTGGTTTTGCGGGCTAGGCAGTGGAACTGGTAGCAATTAAGTGATAGAAAATATACCGAGGTAAGAAGTACCTACTAGATACTAAGTGACAGGGTAAGTACTTAGGGATTGGTGAGGTACCGGTAAGTAACTGGAAAATTCCACATACCTAGTACTATCTGCTGGTCACTTAAGTGTTCCAAGGTTCAAGCCATTATCCGAGCATAGAGTAAATGATAGCTATTGCATGCGATTTCGGCGACAGCGGTGACAAACCCTCATTCGACAGTTCCTGCACATAAAGATATACTCACGATAGCACATCTCGCACTCTAGACTTTCTTGATTATGCCAAGCCCATTGGGCGCTTCTGTGGTGCTCACAACCAACCTCTTCATGTTGACGAAGGCTCTGAACAATGTGACGAATTTTGGGAGCCGCATTCGGGTGGACCTCCTCGATTTGCCATGTTCAGAAGGGAACAGTTGCAGTGCTTCCATTCCGCGTCACATATGAAGCAAAATTATTTGCAACAGCTGCCAGCACAAAGCTATTAGTTTCCACAGGCGCGAACCTTGTTGTTCGATCCACAGTATGTATGGCTGCCCTTGACTACCACGGATCGAGGAAGAGAAAAGGCACAAAGAATCAACAGTAATGATATTCTTCAGGCAAGCGGCATGGAGAGGAGAAAAGGAAGGAGAAAGGAAGGAGAAAGGAAAGGCGAGAGAAGCTCTCACTTACCCCAGGCCTGACTCTATCTAACTATCTACCCGATCCAGACTAGTCGCACGCTGATAACTGAGGCATGTCCTGTGACCAGGATGTGGGGTAATGTACCTCGCACCCTGGGAAACCACATATCCTAACACTTGTTTAGGCATACTTTACTTGCCGACATGTTGTATGGTTGCAACCACGAACAAGTTTTACCAACGCTCGGCAGTGGAAGCATCGCTTCCAGTTCTTATCTGCCGCCAATTCTAACACACCTTGAAGCGTCTGGTCTATTGGACATTCCAAACCGGGGTGTGCAATTGCCCGGCAGGTCAGGTGGGTCTATTGGTTGCACTTGAGACAATTTCCAATCTCGTTTTCAATGGCAGATTGGGGAATAATCGCGTAGCTCGTCATAATTGAGGATACTCAAAGCAAATCCGGGAGGAACCACCTCTCCACAGCAACGAGGGGGGTACAGTTCTTCATCTTTAATTGCCCCAAGAAATAATTACCTAGAACAGTCGAGGCAAAATTCATGACCGCAGGCGCCCGTGAACACAGAATAATGGAGCTTATCAAAGCATGAGGCACATTCCTTTGCCTTTCCTGACTCTGAAGAGCCTTTTTCATTGTCCGGTCCATCACTCATGGCCTTCCGACTCATCAAGTCGCACTCGCCCATAACAGCAGAAACGGCATTGTCATCAGCAGCTGCTAAGCTCTCGGGTCTTGTTGGTATATTTCGTGCGGTTATTCTTCTCACTGATCGGATTGAGCTTAGCATAACTGAAAATAGCATTCGAGAAATAATCCAAGCACTCACTGAGAATTAGGTAAAGCTGATTTTGATCTGCTCAGGTGCCCTATATCCAGGTCCTAACTTATGTATATTCTCAAGTACTTACGGAGCCCATCCCATGACTGTGAAATCAAGCTTGCCCGAGTACTTTCGTGCCTAAAGGTGGAATAGCCCTAGCGATGCCTTTGATAGCCTTTTCCAATTTGCCACATGCATCGACTCACCCCATTATTTTGAATTCTTGAGCCGTAACCCATACTACCAGCAAGCTTTCAACACCACCATGGGAATGTCATTTCGTCGCCGCGGCAAAGGCTGGTTCGATATTTTCCCGGTCGCGGATCGATTGCGCGTACCCAGTGACGTTGATCCACTGCTTGTGGATATTGGCGGCAGCCAAGGCGGGAACCTTTTGAAATTCAAAGCTCAGTTCCCCACCCTAAAGGGAAGCTCATCCTGCAAGATCTGCCCACAGTGGTAAAAGGAGTTTCCAACCCTCCTGCGGCCCTGCGGGTATTGAAGTTTAGAGTCATGATTTCTTCCAGGGACAGCCAGTGAAGAATGCCAAGACCTATTTTATGCGAACTGGTCTCCACGACTGGCCTGATAAACTGGCAGCCCAGATTCTAGGCCGTGTGCGCGATTCGATGGGTCCTGGCTCGGTATTACTGGTCCACGAGATCATGCTACCCGAGTCCGGGGTGCTGTTGTCGTCTGTTCTGTCTGATATGTAGACGATGGGCTTTTTTTTGCGTCACTGGAGCGTACAGAGGCGCAATGGCGGTTCTCGCTGTTTAAACAAGCGGGATTGGTATCAGCTCAGACGTGGCTACCGGACGGATGTGATAGTAGTGCTGAGTCGTTAGCGGAGCAGCCCGCTCTTTTTGAGACTCGAAAGGGGGGTAAACAGTTCAAATGATGACTGCCAAGGTTGCTGGGGACGCCACACGCGATGTGATTGTATAGATAGATCTTATCAGGCGTTTTCAAAGTCTTGGCGAACGGGCACTAAGACAAGATGGCGCGCTTTGAAGCTAAAATGTTGAATTCAAAAAACGGTTAGGAGGCCGCGTATGCACTTGCCATGTTTAAATCTTCAGGTAAAGGTTAATCAGGCCAGATTGCAACATTGAATAACATTGAAGGTGGACATGGGAGGTTTGTTGAAATTTTGCCTAGAAGGATTAGAAGATTGAAATGTGTGCATATACACATAGTACTATGTATGTTAGACATACCCAGGCATGAATCAAAAACCAGCTTGGAAATAACAAAACAAAGCGTTTAAATGTACGAAAATTCTATATATATCGTATTTCCAAGACAGACCCATCGTACACGTTGCCATAATGGGGTGACAAGCCTTCTCTAACTGGAGCGATGTGGGGGCTAAGCAATGTGGCGGACCAATGCAGATTCTGCTTTTGCTACCACGGAAACGCCGGCTTTACCGCCACCATTGGCATTGACCCTAAGAGCGAATACGAATCCAGTATCTCATCTCCGTCCTCGTCATCGTCTCAGATGATTTCTTTCCGCTCAAATATATTGCTGGACTGTTTTCTCCGCACGGAATATGGAATGCGTGTCGTATGGAGAAATTAGTAGTTCACCTTAAACGGGCTCCGTACGTTCCGTAGAAATGACCCCGTTCGGACCCATCAATGATTGTAAAAAAATTTTTAAAAAAAAGATAAAAAAATTCCGAGCGGGCTTGCGGGCTTTTCCCGAACGCGCAAGCCAATACAACCTCGTACATCTGATACATGGAAAAAACGGAAAAAGTCGATCGATTAACCACTTCTCCACAGCGCTTGAATGGGTAACTAGCCACACGAGATTGTTACAGGCCCGCTTCCTTCTTTTGCCCACTCCGCCCTTGGCTCTTTGGGCTCCACGCTTTCTCTCCTGACCTTCACTCCTTCTCCCCTGTACATATTCGCTCATTGTGGTTGTGGTGTATATACCCTCATTCGACCTTTCCGTATCCTTATCGGTTATCGTTAACCGCCCCCCCTTTTAAATACGCGCTGGACTCCCGCACATCCCGCTCTCACCGAAACATCCGAGCCTTGCACCACGTCGGGGGTTGTTGTATATACCGGGGCATGAAGTGGGAGATTGTGGGGGACATATAATCCATCGATACCCGAGTGATGCGATTCTCATTACCGAGCCTGTTGGGGCTCTATGGAGTTCTGTCGGCTACCGCCGTCACCGTGGTCCATGGAGAAGGCGAAGCAGACATTCCAGGAGGAGACATTGGAGAAAGCCAAGGCTTGGAGACCCAGGAGGCCCAGAACCAGCTACCCAATTTTATGAGCGTACGGCCGGACCTTGCCAAGGCTTATGACGGTGAACTCCATATCCCGAAAGCGAAATATTTCAGTAGGTTCAATCCCATCGCGCAGCCGCATTGATCATCAGGCCCTTTGACCAATCAATTGCGACTATGGTCCAATCATGGAATTTTTTTGACTGACTCAACTTGTTTATAGCGGAATCAAGGTATGCTTCAGGATGAAAAGGTTAAACTGAAATTCAATCTAATATATACTAACCGTTTCTGTTATTGTCAGCTTTCATCATCACTATGACGGCAGGTGTGTACTACAAACTCTTTTTTACTACCTCTCCTTGCATGCGCTAACGCCGAACCCAGATATGCCAACGAAACATTACCGGACGAAAAAGTCATCCCATATTTATCAAACCTGATCCAAACCTATCTTGAGACCATGAACTCAATTGGCGCCGAGACATGGATTATGCATGGAACCCTCCTCTCATGGTGGTGGAACCAAAAGGTATGCGACATCTGGGGGCGGAATGTGGTACCAACTAGCTACATTTGCTAACGATCTCCAGATCTTCCCTTGGGACAATGATCTAGATGTTCAAATTTCCGAACCGACAATACACTTCCTAGCTGAATATTATAACTTCACCGACCACCATTTCGAGATCCCTGGCGTCGAGGGTGGCCGCACCTACCTTCTCGAAATCAACCCCAACTACATCGTTAAAAGCACCAAGGACCGACTGAACGTTATCGATGGGCGATGGATTGATAAGTCTTCCGGGCTTTTCATCGATATTACAGCCGTGCGCCCCGATGACGAGAAGCGAAAGCGTGGCTACCCCGAGGCCTTGATGTGCAAGGATAGACACCACTATGATGAAAGCGATATATTCCCACTCCGAGTCAGCTATTACGAGGATGTCGCCGTCAAGATTCCCTACGCCTATGCCGCGCTACTTGCTGAAGAGTATGGTGCCTCGTCGATGACCAAAACCGACTTCCAAGGACATCATTTCAGTGACTCGAGCAAGATGTGGGAAAAGTACTCAAGAAAAGTCAAGCGTTTTCTTCGACGAGGCTGGCGCGGTGATGATACACCTAAGCGGTCGGGTACCGAACCTCTTATTCGTATGGATGCTATTTAAGTCTCCATTTTCACTGCATCTTCGTTTGGTCCCTGGTGTGATCATTTGAGCCATTTCCTGTTTTCTATTTCTCTCTCTCTTATTTTTCCCGCATCTACCTGGCGTTGACAATATCCGTTTGGACTTGAACATATTCTGTTTGGCATTTTTTTGTACTGATATCGACTTGCATGTATACATATCATTGCTTGAGCATCAGTTGCATGTGTATTTAACAGTCATGGATGGGCTTTGGAAATGAAATCTACATTTATGAAGTTTCAGGCACGTATCATACCAATTTTGGTCATTGACCTTGCTAAGGTTATTCACGGAGTTGGAAGTTTTCGGAGTCCCAAAAGGGCAATAAAGAGCCTAGAACTCCGGGCTGACTCACCAGTCACATGGAGCTTGCGCCCCCAAAGTAACTTAAACTTATTTGCTGAGCTTACAAAACATTCGGCACTGCTAGAAATTCTTCTTATCTGATGGAAGAATGTCGTAGGCAAGCTTCGACTGCCTTGCATCATGTCGTTCCACTCAGCTTTCCCCGAAGGGGGAAACCACTCCTCCAGCGATAATTCTCCGACCGGTGTACCATCCACAGTCCCCGCCACCGCCCCGCGCCCGTCACTCGACTCCGCCAGCTCACGCAGCTGTGTAACCTGCAGACGCCGCAAAGTTCGCTGCAACAAGCGGTCGCCTTGTTCCAATTGTGTGAAGGCCAACATCGAATGTATCTTTCCTCCGCCCGGCCGTGCTCCCCGCAAATCCAAGCGCCCGCCTGATGCAGAGCTTATATCCCGCTTGCGACGCCTGGAAGGTGTCATTCAGCATCTGAGTGATAAGAACGGCGAGGCTGGCTCAGTTTCGAGTGTTTCACCAATACAGACAAATTCCTCTACTCTTCCCTCCGCTTTTACCAATACTACTGCCAATACGTCGCCATCTGCAGTTGCAAATCCTATAACCACCGCCGACGCTAATGCTCAAAACGGGATTTGTCCATTTGAGGATAACGACCCCAAAAAGCTTGCGCCTCGCAAATTCGAGAATGAGTTTGGGCGGTTGGTTATTGATGAAGGTCGGAGCCGATATGTCAGTAATCGGTTGTGGGCTAGTCTTGGAGATGAGGTTGAGGAACTTCAAGATATTCTCGACCATTCTTCATCCGAGGAGGAGGATGTTTCATCCCCCGATTCATCTCCTGCGGGCTCTCAGGATGGATTCCTTTTTGGTTACTATTCTCTAGCTCACTCCCTTCGCGAATTTCATCCTCCGCTTCCTAAGGTATCGAAATTTTGGGAGATTTACAAGGAGAATGTTGCCCCCTTAATCACCATTCTGCACAAACCCACTGTCAGAAATCTCTTGATTGAAGCAGCGCAGCATCCCGAATCTTTGGACAAGAACTCGGAGGCTTTGGTGTTTTCTATTTATCTGTCCGCTATTGTCAGCTCAAAGCCCGAGGATTGCTTGGCACAGCTTGGAGAAGATCGAAAGACAGCTGTCAAACGCTATAGATTTGCAGTTGAACAAGCCTTGGCAAAGGCCGGCTTCCTTAACACACAGAGCTTGATGCTTTTACAGGCGGCAGTTCTGTTCTTGATATGCATTCGTCGAGAGGATGACTCCAAGTTCGTCTGGTCTATGGATGCCATCATCCTTCGATTGTCCCAAGGCTTGGGCCTTCACCGCGATGGAACTAATTTTGCACTGAAGCCATTTGAGACAGAAATGCGCCGTCGCCTGTGGTGGCATATATGTCTCATGGATGTCCGGTCCTCTGAGGACCATGGAACTGATCCGCTTATTCATGAGAGCATGTATGACACTCGAGTACCGTTGAATATCAACGATGATGATTTATACCCAGAAATGACAGAGGCACCCGTGGAGCGAGATTGCTGCACCGATATGACATTTTGTCTCATCCGCTGTGAAATCACAAGTGCCCTGCGACGGGTAAACTACACATGCCCTGGTAGCCGATTCCGTATGGGCGACACTGCTCCATCGACTGATCGTTGCGAACGGATGATTCAAATAATTAACAACCGAATCGAGGAACGTTATATCAAACACTGTGACATGAATATTCCTATTCATTGGGCATCTGCAACAGTGGCACGACTCATTCTCGCGAAGTTGTGGTTAATTGTCCACCACCCTATGACCCGGAAGGATCGTTCCACCAACGTATCTCAAACAACTCGCGAGAGCTTGTTCATCACTGCGATCGAGGTCCTCGAGTTTGGGCGTCTCCTCGAGACTGACCCCAAAACAGCCAAGTGGGGATGGCTATTCCGAACCAACATGCAATGGCACGGAGTCGCATTCGTCTTATCTGAAATATGCGTGCGACCCATTTGTCCTGTCACAGATCGAGCCTGGAATGCCATTCATGCGCTTTATGCTAATTGGACTATGCATGGTACACACAAGAAGGGCATGCTCTGGCGCCCATTGGATGCTTTGATGAAACGCGCCGTCGCAACTCGAGCCAAAAAGCAGGAGGAGCTGCGATCTCAGTTTGGACCAAATCCCCAACCACCGTTCGACTCAACTATTGATTTTGCCGCTACACATCATCACACTCTTCCACAATTGCCCATATCTTTGGATTCGCCCTCTATTTCCCCTGGCACATCAAGAAATCTTTCGATAGCCGAAGATCCTGGACATATCAATCTCAGCGCTGGGCCATGGGACACTTTGCAAACCATCTTCCCCAACACCAACATTCTGGCTCCCGTTACTCTTGATAACTCAACAATGGCAGACTCGGTTCCTGTGAATATCTTACCGAGTGGACTTTCATTCAATTCTCCCATGGGAATGAGCAACGCGTTCATGACTCAGGACAACAATATGTCCGAGTCGGTTCCACTAAACTGGGAAGATTGGGACAATGTCATGCGTGAATTCCAGATGGATGTTGAGAATGATAATACAGCCGCTGGGAATGTATCCAGCGTCACTGGATGGTTCGCATAAAGCCAGTAAATCCGGAGTTGGACTCTCTTTTTTCCTTGCCCCATGCTTGACTCGGCCTTGGCGATGTGCTTTGATACAACATGCATCTTTTTATCACACCCTCGGTGTATTTATGACGATTTGACGATTATGGTGCTTTATGGCGTATGTCGGTTTGGACCACTATTGATTCTCTCCTCAAATGTATGATACGATACCACTCTTCTCTCTTGACGGGGCGCCAACCCGATACCTATCTTGGCACAATATACTAAAAACCCAACCATCCACTTTATCAATTGTAATTTATTGAGTATGATGTTCCAATCTATGAATTAAAATTAGTCCATGGGGTCCACAGCATCCAAGTCGCACAAAGCGAATCTTCTTCAAGCCCGCCCTCTGGTCAGTGAGCAATTGAAAGCCTTGAGCACTTTGGGGTGAAGCGCCCGGAGGCTCCTACATGTAGGTATTAGGAACCTTATGCACGCGAGTCATGACTTGGCAGCAAAATATTTTCTGGGGACTCCTTATCGCGGCGGTCTCAGAGCTGCGTACCTCACACAGGCAAGTCATGTCTCTGGGCTCTGCCATAGCAGCATCAGAATATGATCTCGCTTGGGAAGGGCGGCTATTTCAAAACGATTTGATTGGTCTAATAAATGCAGCGGCTGCATCTATGTGCGGGGAACCGGGAACTGGGAACATCCTGCGGTGCTATGCATGCGGCACTGTCGTGTCAAATTTGGTCCTCTCTCTGGGTATATGGGAGACAGGCATGGTAATCAGACCATGGAGCCTCCCCAATATTCCATCTCCAAGATACGAGGAGGCTACCCATTATCACGCCGCGTATCTTGCTAGTCTCATAATACCGGCAGGGATTGAGACAATCAAAACAAGATGGGAAGTGCTGTTGTGTTGGCAGTGAGGCTGAACATACCAGGATCAGCACCAATCGTTTTGCATGCACTGCAGGATTTGGCGGCCACAGTTAAGTACGAGTCATGTGGTCGCATGATGGCGCTGATGTCTTCATATGAATCGATCAATTTCTTCAGAGAGAGAAGAAAGGCTGGCTCTGCATCGCCACGAAAGCAAAAGCCACTCTTCTCTTCTCAAGGCTAACTGGGAACTCGCTTCATTTACCTGAGCCTATGGCAATAAGCCCAGGGTGTTGATTGGGTCACGGTGGCTTGAGAAATGGGTAATGGCAGGCAAATGGCATGAAAGATGAATACCTTTGTGCTGTTTCCCGTGAATTTGCCTGCGTTTGCTATCTTGCATAGCCCCTTTCAAATGTCTTCATGGCTTGCTACACTATTCCGGCAAGGGCATATATCCCATTAGCTGATATTTTAAGGCTATCTCCGGGCATATATAGCCCTTCTTGAATCCATGAGTGTTTCCAAGGTTCTCCCTGCCGTTCCAACAGCTATCGAATCAACCACCCATGACGCTGTCGATATTGGTGGGAGTTTTTCTCAAGTAGCCTTTTGAACAAGAGGTATCTATTCCGCTTCAGAAATGCCTTCGCTGATTCTCGACTGACACAAGATAATCAAAAGTCGGAAAGAACCAAGAAGATGCATTTTTTGATCTATTTAATTTCCGCCATTATTGGTCTCTTCTTGTTATATACGCATTGGCATCGATTTAAAGCATTCAACTTCTACCAAGGCCGGCACAAAATCGTGATATGCCTATCCAAAAAGCGCTGTAATCAACTAACGCCACTTCAATCAAGAGCCATTTCGAATCAAAGACTTCGTCTCGCCTTTGGAATTGACAATGCATTCACCAGCCATGAAGAGGCTCGTGTGAATCAATTTGTTGCCCAAGCGAAAGGCCTTATCAACCTGACCCCAATCGCTTGGAACCGCCTTTCAGAAATCGCCCACAAGGCTGTGCAAACTAGCATCGAAAATGAAACGGCAAACGGCCATGGAGAGATAAGAATTCGTGTCATGGATTTGATCCAAGCATTGACACTACGGATAGTTCTCCACGTTCTATTTTCGATGGAGGAAGAAACCCTCAACGACCTCCATGATAGTCGCTTAATCAAGCTAGCCACCGAAATAAACACCACTTGGATAGCTTCAAAGATGGAGACAACCCTAACTCCATTCGAAAATAACACCCGCCTCCAGGAGGCTCTCCTGGACATATTTACCTTCACACACGACCTAAGCCCGCAGAACAACCCTCAGAACCTGATTCTGCCAGGCTTTGAAACCATGTGGCGCATTGTTCTGTGTATGTTCATCGAAACGGGATACAAGACCGGCCTCCGGCACCCAGAGTGGCGATCACAGATCGCCGCATTCGCTTGTACGCCAAGCAAGGCCGTGTTCACGGAGAGGGTCGGCATAGACAAGGTCTCGGTGGAACACCTTGTGAATGAGGCACTCCGGCTTTACCCGCCGACAAAAAGAATCTATCGTGCATTTCAGTTTGATGGGTCCATTGTGTCGAAGGGCGAGGCCACAGATATTGAGGGATCTCATACATCGCCGATTATTTGGGGGTCAGAGGCTATGTCCTTTGAGCCAAGACGGTGGGAAACGTTGACGAGGACGCAAAGGCATGCCTTTATGCCCTTTGGCATTAAGCCGTTTATTTGCCCTGCACAGAGTGTTTTTGGGCCGAGGATTATTGGGCTGATAGTGGGCGCCTTGTTTGGAGAATTGGGAGAGGGTTGGACATTGAGGTCGATTGGGAGTGATGGCAACGAGTTGTGCTCAGAGGTGACGCTGAGCAACGGGCGGGACTCATTTGATTCCTTATACCTGATATATGGGGGCGGCTCCCCTTTATTTTAAGACAGGACAACTCCTCGGCTCTGGAGATTGTGTGGTGATTGAATACGTCCACTTGTATAAATTGAACTATAGTGAGAAAGAAGTGGGTCCCACATGTGCACCTTGGAATGCCTAGTGTTCAACCTCGAGAGGAAGATCATATGAGAAGAAAGTGGTGGACATGATTTTGATCCATCCTCACTTTAGAAGTCTAAGCATGACTGTTTATATGGATAGTGTCTACTAGTATAGCACTACCTAGTAGTGTTTCTAGTGAACATTGATTGATTCGCGTAATGTGTACTTACTGCGAGTCCACTGTGGGCCCAGTCCGTGTATGTGTAGTAGTGTACAGTATTCCCGCGACAAATCCGACATTTAAGTGAGAAATATTTCTACTCCTCAATCAACACAAATTTCACCTCATAGAGTGCAACTGAGATTTAACTACCAAGTTCCTGAGTTATCAAATATATAACAACATTTCAAGTGTGAAGGACTGACCAAAAAACCCCAACTACTACATACTACTTTGTACTGTGTATACTCCTGGGTGGGCCTATCATCCACGTGACCGTCGATAACGAAGCTCCAAGCTGGCATCATTGATATCCAATTGATCTTCCACCCCCCACGCAATTATTTCTCCCAAGAACTTCAATTTCCCCATAATTAAAGCTATACCGTGTGCTTTTATCATAGGGTCTACTCCAACCACCAACCCGACCTACCCAATCCAACAATCCTTAAAATCCGTCCACGATGCCTGCCAAACGACACGCGGCCTCAACGGCCTCCGCACCAGCACCAGCACCCTCTACAACCCCAACCCTCTCCTCGGGCCCTGCAACCCTGAAAACCAATTCCTCCGTCCTCGACATCACCGCCCATGTCTGGCAGCAGTACCTCGCCAATACCGCGCAGCGCACATTGCTCTTGGACGCCTTCATGGCCTTCTTAGTTCTCGTCGGCGGACTCCAGTTCGTGTACTGCGTGCTGGCTGGAAATTATGTACGTCGCTCGCTCAAGAATGCCCAGGCTTTTGTATTATTATGGTCTAGGACCAGTCTATACTATTCGCGATTCACTCTCATGACCTACCTGCCTGTTCCTTCATGACACATTCCAAGACAAATGACCTTCAATGATCCCATGCTAATATTCATGGATGTTATTTAGCCCTTCAATGCCTTCTTGAGTGGATTCAGCGCCGCAGTCGGCCAATTCGTCCTTACAGCCTCCCTCCGTATGCAGACCAGTGACTCTGGCTCGGCGTCAGTCTCCAAGCCTAGTTCGAAGGGGAAGAATGCTCGTTTCGCGGATGAGGATACCGAGGAAGTGGAGAGTGGTACTTCGCATGAGCGCGCGTTCGCCGATTATATTTTTGGATCGCTCATTCTACACTTCTTCTGCATTAACTTCATTAACTGAGCGGGCAATTTGCTGAAGTCGTGGGTGAGGTGCTTTTGGGCTGGGCTGGTTGCTCCTTGATGGAGATTGGCTGGCTTGATAAAACTATGGACTGAGGCATATGTTCTTTGTTTTCGTTGGAAGACAGAGGATGTTGTCATTGTTCCATTGTGTCATGTCTATTGACTTGATATTTGGTTGAATTGCATGTTTCTTTGTATAAAATATCAATACAGCGGGTTATGTTTGAAGTTCCTGGGTTTGTTTTTATTGATGCATATAATTAGGGCGTAGAAACATTTGAAGGAGGTAGATAACAACGTATGCTCCTGATCCATACTGTTTATCTTGGGTATCTTGTTCAATTGATTTTGGATGTTGATATCGACAAAGCTTTAGACTGCTTCGATCTTATACAAAGGACGAGGCTGCGATATTTCGATATTCAGCAGGGTATTAAAATGTCCGCCCTGGTCGCCTGGGGATCTGAGGCTTCTTCACAACACTACCCCCACCAGAGCTTCCGCTGTTAGCGCCAGGCCTTGATGATGAAGATGATGACGAGGTAAGGCCTCCGATCTTTCCAGGCTTCTTGACGAGCGGACGTCGTACGGCTGATTTTCCACCGACTTCAATCTCTCCCCTGCGTCGGCTGGGATCGTTCCGTTCTTCCTCTTTCTTCTTTTGAGCCGCAGCACGTTCACGGTCCTTGGCCATTTGTTCTTCGATTTCCATGCGCTTGTTGAATTCTATTTCTGTGACACGTCGGTCACGTTGAGAGTAGCCCTTTTCTTTGACGGAGTAGAAGACACCACCGAGTTCCGCGAGCCACTAGTTTCAAGTCAGTCATTTTGCACTCAAATGGCAAGTGAGGAAAGTAGGGATATTCAAAACTTACGTGTGGATCTACAGCTGTCACGGTGGACATGTACTCCTTGGCAGTCAAGATCAACTCGTGGTAAACAACGTATTCCGGCACATAACCAAGACCGTATAGGGCACTCGTCGGGTGCAATGCCATGGTCACGCTTGTACGAAGGTTGATGAACTCGCCAATGCCCTTAACGCGCGCGGCTTGGTGGTAAAAGCCTGAACAGATACATTTGCGGATCACATCCCAATCTGTACCACAGCTGACCAAGGTCATCTTTTGTTGGTTCATGATATCGAATAATTGGTCTCGAACTTCCTTTGCACGCCGGAGTGTTTTCCCATGAAGGAAGTGTCTAGTGCACCACCCGTCAGAAAAGCCATTGGACTTCCACTGTGTGTAGACGTGAAGTAGAGTCAGATGGTCGGACTCAGGAACGAAGAACTTCTCGCGGGCCGAGTCGGACTCCTCTTGTCGCTCCTTTGGACGGTAGAAGACATTTGGGACCGAAAGCATAGACACAATGGTCAGCATCTCCTCGCTGCAGCCGTACTCTTCCGAGGACATAATGAGAAGCTTGGCAAGAGGGGGGTCCATGGGGAATGGTGTCATGCGGCGACCTAAATGAGTCAAATCGCCCAAGTTGTCCAGGGCACCAAGAGACCATAACTCGAAGAGCGAAGTTGAAATTGTCTCTTGTGGTGGAGGGTCCATGAAATCAAAATCTAGGAGGTCCTTGACTCCCAGTGATTTCAATAACAGCACAGTGTTGGAAAGACTTGTGCGTTGAATTTCAGGAATTGTTGCAATGTACAGCTCATTCTTGTAAGCTGTTTCGGTATACAGGCGATAGGCCTTTCCCGGGCCTGTCCGTCCAGCTCGTCCAGATCGCTGGTTGGAATTGGCTTGGGAGATTGGTGTAATTTGCAAGGTGTCCATACCCATGCGTGGATTGTACACCTTGAGCTTCGAGTATCCCGAGTCCACCACAAACATGATACCGTCAACTGTCAAACTGGTTTCCGCAATGTTTGTGGCAACAATCACTTTACGAACTCCCGCCTCGGCTCTTTCGAAGATCCTTGCCTGTTGCTCCGCTGGCATCTGACTGTATATGGGCAGAATACTGAGCGGCGCAGGATCGTTTAGTAATTTCAAACGCTCTTCGACCAGCTCGCATGTTGCTTCAATATCCTCCTGGCCTGTCATGAATACCAAAATATCACCTTGGCCCTGGGAGACATGGATGGCCAAGACCTGCTTGACTGCAGCATCCACATAATCCTCACAAGGTGTGCGTGAGAAGTGAGTATCCACTGGGAAAGTTCGACCAGGAATAATAAATTCAGGTGCTCCACCGTAGAAGCGCGAGAACCTCTCTGCGTTCATGGTGGCAGATGTAACAATCAGCTTCAGATCCCTGCGCCGAACTAGAACCTTTTTCAAGAGTCCCATCAAGACATCGGTATTCAACGCACGCTCGTGCGCTTCATCCATGATAATACAAGAGTATTTGTCAAGGTCTGACTGGGTCAGAGACTCTCGTAAGAGTACACCGTCCGTCATATCTATTGAATGTTAGAAGTATGCCTCAAACAGAAGTAATGGTCCGGGGATGCTCACATTTAATTTTTGTTTCGTCACTGGTGCAATCTTCGAACCGAATGGCATATCCAACAAGTCCACCAAGATCCACTTCCATTTCCTCACTGACACGCTTTGCGACACTCATAGCCGCCACACGGCGAGGCTGCGTGCATCCAATCATGCCAAACTTTGAATAACCATCCTCGTGAAGGAACTGGGTCAATTGTGTGGTCTTTCCGGATCCAGTTTCTCCAACCACAATCACAACTTGATTGTCGCGAATGACGCGCAGAAGATCCTCGCGCACCGCAAATGCGGGAAGGTACTCCCGTTGTTCGCGCAGAGTCTTACTCCTGCTGAACGAGCTAGCGCCTCCCTCCTCTTTCTTCATATGCTTCGCAAATTTGTTTCCTCCACTCTTGTAGACATCCTCCACAGGCATGGCAACAGCGCTGTCGCCCTCATCTTCCTTGACGCCCATCAAGTTTCCAAGAGCTGTGCCAGCCATATTTGTAGCTTCCTGAGCCTGCTTTTGCCGCTCGCGCTGCTGTCGACGGTCCCGGACCACCTTACTTCCCTTCCGGCTAAACACTGCCATGTCGCTCTGTGGGTCTCGAATGGCGGAGATTGGCTCCAGTTGCTGGGTGAAAATGGTACGGCCATCGAGGAACGGTGGTCGGAGGTCGTGAACTAGCAAATGAACTCGAGTTGCCTCTTCGTCATCGGGCATAAAGTCGCTTTCCATATTCCGTCTCTGCGCGATGCCCGAAGTGAGCATTCGGTTCGTCTCCCAGTCGTCATTTTCCTTGCGCCTAGCATCTCGTATCTGGTGTGGGAGGTGGGAGTCATTTTTTTGCCTTTTAGCAGGCGGGCCCACATCGTCGCGAGCCATTGCAAGGTGAGGTACCCGATTGCCGGGTCGAAACAAGCTTCGAGGTGGACTAAGAGGGTGTCGCGAGAGAAAGGAACTCGCTCATGATGAATCTCGGGGATGGAATATCAGACAAACAGTGCAAACCGTTATCAACCACGTGACCTTCTTGCTTTGTGATTCAAAATCGCATGAGCATCTAGGCGTTATAGTGGTGATTTTAATAATAAATATGTGAAATGAATACTCCTTGTGAAACTCAGAGAGATTTGTCTCGATACAGCCTAGTTTTAGCTCAGTGGTGTTGTTGAATCAAAGAGGCAGTCGTTTTATCTTCCTGAAGCCCACCAGATATCACAACGCGGCCCCGCATCGTCATCTCGACTTTTGAGCTCCCTGCGCCGCACTGCCTGAAATTACCACATCGCCACCATGTCGAGCCAACAGCAGATTGACCCTAAGAAACAGCAGGGTGAGAGGATTTCTGACGCTTGTCTCGCTGGAGCTATGAGCTAACCTAATTATGGCACCACAAGAGCTGCAGGGCCAGTACACCAATTTCAAGAACACCCTCCAACAATTGGCGCAGAAGATCGGCGACATTGAGCAAGAGGCTGAAGAGCATAAGTGAGTTTCTATGTGACACATTCACATATTCAATCTCCCGGCGCTGCAATCATATTTTGCGACAAGGGGCCGTGGTCCGGTCCAGAGCCAGCACCGGCGTTCTGATATAACAGATGCTAATTCGACATTTTCCCACCATAGACTCGTGATTGAGACCCTGAGCCCTCTCCCCCAAGAACGCAAATGCTTTCGTATGGTGAATGGAGTGCTAGTCGAACGCACAGTTGAAGAGGTTCTCCCGACACTCAAGACCAACAACGAAGGATTGCACCAGGTTCTGGAGGATATGCTGAAGCAGTATAAGTCCAAGCAGACAGAGCTTGACAGCTGGAAGGTGAGCTTATCATTTTACATCGCCTCCAAGGATCATCGATACTGACCCTTGATTGTTCCAAACTGCAGAAAAAGAACAACATTCAGGTTGTGCAGCCTTAAATGGTGCTTGCTCATGTATGATTTGATTGCCGGATTTCTCTAGGCTGGACCAACCACCCACTAACCTGTGTGATAGCAGGAGAAATTGGCGTTAATGAGAATGACACAAATTAGAATCTAGCATGGTTTCTTTTGATCATGACTGAATGAAAATACAAAATTGTGACACAGTCTCGATGGCATGGATTCGGACAACGATTACTTAGGACTGGAATCAGGCGAAACTAAACTTCGGGAATAGACCCGCTTCTTACAGTCAACTGGTACTAGTTGCTACCGATGTACTTGGAATGGGCTGGTGGTTTGTTTTAGAATGTATTATGCCTTGAGAAGAGAGGGGGGGCAGTCTATATAAGGTTATCTAATTCTTTGCCTACTAGTATGTACTAGATAATTTCCCTCCAGCACTTGAAGGCTGCATAGTAGATTTCAATCTTGGGATGCAGGTGAGAGCCTTAAGAATGCGATAATGTTCCCTTCAAGAAAACCGCACTTAGCGCGATATACGTAGATAAATGATAGTTATAACTTCCAATAATCGCCGTTTTATTGTCTAGACGAGCGCAGGACATTGGATTATGTCAACAAAATTCATCGATTAATACAAAGTAACACCGTCCAGATCCAGAGCAACATCATGACTGCCATCTGCCAGAGCTTGACACACATCCATTATACATTATTGGTCGGGTATTCATCTCATAATTGCAAAGGCAAAAAGTCTAGAGAAGAGGAAATCTATCGTAGGCAAGTAGTGCTGTTGGGTGAACCAATTCCATGGCATGGGTCATAGTCGGATGGTTGATCGCAGTAGTTGGTCATGTTCAAGAAGTACCAGTCATGATCAGGGAGGTTCGTGATGTTGAAGGGTGTACCAGCATTGCCCGCCGTGCTGTTGATTCCCTGAACGAAATGCACATCTGTTGTGTTGGGCAATTGACCAGATGGTAGGTCGATCCAGAATTCGGGGGAAGGATTGAACCAGCTACTATTACGCGGGATTCTGGGAAACGGATCCGCAGCATGGGTGGCTCGGTAAGTGCTGGGGGTTTGTGTAGTGATGTAATTGGCGAGCGCGTAGTTGCCAATCTTGGGGCTTCCGTATGTCCACTAAGATTTGATGGTCAGCAAGGTGTCATTGGGGTCAGACATGTATTAACATGTGAGCACACTACTCACGATATCCAGAGTGAAGTTCTTGCTTCGCAGATCGGTTCCAGCGAGGGCCGCAAGACCACCACCAAGACTCCATCCCGCCACTTTCGTCGTGTAGTTAGGATACTGGTGAACAGTTGTGTTCAGCAGTTGGGTGACATTCTTGGACACCGATTGCCAGTAGCTCCAGAACCCTTTGTGGGCTGTGCAACCGTCGCAAATGTCGGAAACATTTACGCTTTGAGTGTCATAGTCGGTCCGCCAGTCATTTCGGGATACCGATCCACGGAATACCAGGAGGATCTGGTGGAGATCGTGATTCAAGGCGACGTAGCCGGTTGGGCCTGTAGTGTTGTGGAAAGAGCTGAGGATCGTAGTACTGTTCGAAGAAACGAGATCACAGTTGTCATTATCGCAAGTTACGGATTTTCCAGCTGCACTGCTGTTGATGTTCTGGTCGCATGATGCAAGAGCAGAGTATTGAGAGAACAAGTAGAATCTCTCCAACAAGCTTTGAGTGATGTTTGATCCATCTAAAGCACAGGATTTGAAAACGTTAGACGGAATTCATGTTTCATCTTCAAGATTCCATGTTGAGCAATGACTTACCCCGACGTGCAAATCGATGCGTGTGAGTAGAAGGCTGAGCCGCAAGAGCAGTCAGTCCCATTGAAAGGAGCAGTGCTCCATACATCTTTAATCCAAGCATGGTGAATATGAGGGCCGTGTACACGCGCTCGAGCTTTCTGTATGTTATGGGGTGAAAGCGAATAACCCTCGGGACAGGGTTGAGCAGGGAAACCGTCAGATTTATACCATATACCCATCCATTGATGTAATATCTTCCATGCAAAATTGTGCACAGCAGATATCAATGACCCACATTCAATATACTACTTATGAACGACGTCAGCCAACATCCATATTTATCCTACAGCCAGCCATTAGACAGAAACCCGTGCCATCTTGATAATTTCGTAAGCGTCATTCATATCTAATGTGTGTATCATGCACTGCCTTCGCCCAGAAAACTGGTTCTGAGAGCTGGGATCCACATTTTTCCTTGTCATGGAGAATCGGGGTGCATTTAGAAGTCTAGAAGTCTAGACTAGACGTCTATAAGCAAGCAAGCGGTCCGCTGCGGTTCGGCCCCACCGAACTTGGAAGCCTGGGGGGCAAATCTCCGAAGGATGTATGCATGCAGAATTAGTGTTTCTGAATAGACTCAGAATTGATACTGATATTTTCCTGGTCTTGGCTTGAGTCTGCGCGTTGCACATGGACCTGTGGAGCTGCAAGACCTTGCTTTACTAGTAGTAGTATCGCACTTACCGTAACTTACAAATAGCTACAAAATAAAGCGAAGATGATTAAAACGATAAATTTGGCGTAAAATAAAGCTCTCCCTTGCATTCCTTAATTTTTTTTTTTGAAATTTTGAGGCTGATGAGTGACGACCCGTGGTTGAGTGGCATTTAAGCTCCGTAAGATTGGATCTCGATGATGCATGATTTCATTCCCGAAACCCTAAATAGTCCATGATTTCATACATTCGAATCTCGATCCCATCATTCCAATTTTTCATTTAATTCTATATAGTAGCAAACTCATCTTAAGAGGATCTGATTTCAATGCTTCAATAGATAAGGTGGCAAAAGTAGAAAAACAAGAATGGAAGTGGTGAGAAGACGGGAAAAAAGGCCGAACCCCCCGCCGTTTGATCTCCCAGCCATGCTACCTACTAGTAGAACTCACGCCACCAAGGCTACTGTTGCATACCTTGAACATTTGAAGTGGACACTGGTAAGTATTCTACATGATTAGCTCTTAAGTCTCACTGTCATACCCTTCGATGGCCTTGTAGAATTAACATTCTCTTTTCATCAAAACTCATTCACATGATATCGAGGTAACTTGGCCGATGTGGAAGATTTCAAGTCCAAAGACTTGATTCTTGCTCTAGGCTCTGATCAAATTAAGCAAATATGGATACGTAGGTACTTACTTGTTTTGAAACATCGAATATTCCCGATACCTGAAAATGAAGGTAGAACCTTCAGATGTGCGAGCAGCGAAGCCCCTTTGCTACGACATCATTGCAAACCTGTTCATCGTATCGCGATCCGACTGTACAACTGGATATCTAGGTAGAATGTTGCGTAAGGGGTGGCATTAGTCGAGCCCCTATTTGTAAGACAATCGATCTCTTCCAAAATCCTCCCTTTTCCCTTCTCGCCACGTTTGCTGGCCTTACCGCCCTCCCTACCCCGTGCTCACACGGAGTCACACCCGTGCGGCCGTGCCGCCAACCCCGCCCTAATACTTCTGTATATCGTTGGCTAAACTCTACACGGCTACGACTACAATTACATGTGTTTTGATTCGCCATGAGCTTCCACTATGCTGATGCTCTCGAGGAACATGACTGGGTTGGCGGAGGACTCGACGCTTATATCTACCGCGTCACTCCAACTATTGTGGTGAGAATTGTTCTTCGCGACCGAATCCCTGAAGAAAAGGCAGCGGAGCATCCTTTCCTCAAGGAGATCTCGTTTTTCAAACGTCTTAATGGGTGCCGTGATCGATGTCCGAATATTATTGAATGTTTTCTCATGCTCCCGGACTACCTTTTCCTATCATATTGCACGCATCAGGCAATCGCCCCTCGCTTCTATGAACGCCAGGAGCGAGAGACAGGAACAAATGGCTTTCATGGGCGTCTTATCAGGGTCAATGAATACGAGGATCCTGCTCTCATCGCTCGGTGGATACAACAACTCACTTCTGCTCTTGAGTATGTGGAGAAAGTGGGCTTTTGTCACAATGATCTGCATGCGAGCAACTGTCTTCTTGACAGAAACTTCAACTTGAAGCTGACTGATTCTGGTCGTGCCACCACCATTGGACAGCCACTTGAAGGTACCTTACCTCCACGAGCCAGACCAATACTTGCTGGACCATTGAAAGGCACATACGGGCTCTGTTCCGCCAGAACTGAACAGTTTGCGGTTGGGACACTTCTATACTTTATGGTATATGGCCATGAACCCTATGACGACATTATCCTCAGCGCCGAAGAATGGGATCGCCGATTTTGGGAAATGGAGTTTCCAGAACTTAACCGCAATGAAGTTTTTGATGGTCTTATTTCTGCTTGTTGGCACAATGTCTATCCTACAATGGCCTTGCTAGCGTACGACTTCAAGCGCAAGACAAAGAATATGATCTCGAATGCAGAGTACATCTTCGTTGATTCTGCAAAGGAGACAAAGACCTGTGAAGCATTGGTTCGCAAAGGCTTGCTGGGACCTGAGTTGGCTCTCCGCTTTCAGCCTGCCTGGCGAAGATACCTACATGCTATTGTGCAGAGAGGCATGTTTATTTGGCAATGCTTTCTACAGAAAAGATTCTGGATCTGGTCTTGATGATCGGTTGGGGCTTGTACCACTTGACAACCTGAGGTGTTTAGAGTCTAGACCCACTGTCTTAACCCGAAAAAGACATGTTATCGTACGGTGGCTGTTCCATTCAACTTCCCGATTGTCAAACCAGAGGTGCTCTTGTCTCAATATCAATCTTACTATTCAATGTTCCCCTTGTTTACTTGAGAAGCAGTCTTACCAGGATATTAGGACTTAATTGCCTTCTGAAGCATCTCAATGGGGTCGCAGTTTCAAACCGCCAAATAACCGTGTCCAATCAGCGTCCGGAGAACTTCAAGTTCTCCACTAACCTGTCACTGAGGGGCCTTCCAAATTTTAATATTCACCTAGTTTACTAATGGTCTCCTCAGGATTTGATGGCTTACCTGTCTTCGACACAAAGCTTGGGTAGTGACAGAATCGCCACGTTATCAACTCGAACTATGCTAACTCTTTTGTCCTAACATTTGAACATTTTTGAAACATCGGAAGTCCCCATCACTCAAGCTTCTCAAGTGCTTGCAATCACATATACGTCTGGATCTCGGGATTTTTGAGCATGTGGATAAGACATCTGGATGTCTCAACAATCAATTGATGTTCAAATGTTAGCCGTGGATCTATCCTACAATATATTTAGTCTCTATGGCTGAAGCTGACCGGAACTTGGGCTTTGGACTTTCAAAGACCCAAAAAGTTCTCCTAGCGCCCACTATGCGGCACCGTCTTGTATGTGTCTATAATGCGGCATGCCCAAGTCTTTAACATCTATGTGATATAGGCCTCTGCCCATGTGTATTGATTGAACAAAGGGCGATAATGAGGCTAGTATTGAGGCTTATAAACTCAGAAAACTGCATTTGAAACAAGGCGCTAATATTTGTAAGGGAGTTGCCAGTGCCGGCAAATTTAGCGTGGCAATAGACCACCCGATTCCGTACCTATATGGAGTGAGTCAACCTTACGGCTATGATAGCTCCAGGGCTACATAGCCCCAGTTTAGAACCTCGGAATGACGTGTGGGCATGCACTTGGGGCAAATATACTACGAGTGTGATAGGGAAAAGCCACCCGGGCATCCCTTAACCCCGGATGGATGTTGAGGCATGCGGCATGCCTTAGTAGCATGTGCTTTTATTTTCTGGATTTCATTTAAACAGCAGACTTCCAAATTGCTTTATCAAAGCTGTCCAGGTGATTTCATGTGTTCTAGGTCCGGATACGACTGAGGCAGTATAGTCATAGAGTTTAGAAATCCTTTACTCCTGCAGGGCCATGGGCCATGGCCAATGCAAGGCTGGCTGCCTGAATGCCTGACTCCGGTCGGGCCTTGAAGGAACCTAACCCAAGCAAAGGATTCAGTCATGCTAGGTCATAGTATCACAAACCTTGAGGTGTTGAATAGCAGGAAGATTTTGTAATTCATGCTCCGGCGTTAAGAGTCTATAGTAGCTTTGAAAATCGGTCTTTTGCTGCCTTGAAGACAGGAAGTGTATTGTTATTACTGTAATTTAACAATTTAGCAATTGTTAGTAAGAGTCTCGGTTATATCGGTGATATCACTCGGTAAATTACCGTAAGTACATAACTCCGGCCATTCGGAAGAGACAGCGACCGTATTTGGAAGCTCCCCTCTTCCTAATCTTTCTACCTTCACTCACCTGGAAGAAAGAATTCGTCGACTTATTTGTGCATCACGTTAAGCATTTGATTCTATCTTGTCTCCTGCAGTAACTGTGGTGGCCGATGATTTGACCTAAAGCTTGCATTTACTTTGGTAAGTACGGAGTAGCCAACCCGAAGGCGCCTTTCGATCAGGGAGTTCTGGTTCGCCAATTGATCTCAGGCTGGACGGGGACCCTCTTCCACATCTCATTCGCGCGCTCTGACCTTAAAACCACAACCCCAGACGAATCGGAACAAATCAGATCAGAAATCCAGTCCTTTGGATCTTCTCTGTTCCCGAACAAGGTAGCTTCCGCCCCCCTTCCCCCCGTCTTAGCCCCCCTTGCGCAACGTGCGACTGTCGGTTAGTTGGGCTGCTCCCCCCCCCCCCCCCAATCTGACCCACTCTCGACGCTTCCCGTGTTGCATCCTGCGTCACAATTCACCAGACTTTCGCGAGGCGCGCATAATTGTTATTTGTACTGCAGTCGGTACAACGCGCTCTGTTCGACAGCTCGAACCCTTTTGTCTCCTAATATATTCCTTTTTCGGCACGCGAAGCTAATCTCGGGTGCCATTGCGCGCGTCGTCACTATAGAAAGCCACCGCGTATTATTGTCAAAATCCCCCGCTTGGCTGACGCTCTTTGCTGTGAAGCGGTTCGTACCCAGCCAATACCCACTCTCCTTCTTTCGATCTTGCGATTATTGTTGGGCTGTCCACATCGGCACCGGTCGCGCACCAGGCACTCGGATCTGACGTGTTTTTGCCAACAGAGCGAAACAAACCCCGGTCTTTGTCGCCCAAAGCTAGGACCCACACATTTCCATACCACTCATAATCATGTCGTCGGCCTCGCCATCGAAGGAACCGGATGTTGACCCCGAGGTTCAATCGGGTGAAGAGCAGGACCATATGGACAAAGATCAACACGATCCCTCAATGCAGGGACAAGGCGAATTCGAAGTGAAAGAGCAAGATCGGTGGCTTCCGATTGCAAATGGTTAGTTGCGTCTGCGTGCAGCTTTTTCTGTTGTTTTGATTTGCGCGTACCTTACTGTTGGCCAGTGCTGCCCGGTTACTACTGGTCTTCCCCTCCCCACCTTCTATTCTACCGTCCCACCAACCCGATCTTTAGGACTGGTGTGGTTGCTCTTGTCTGAACAGAGATTGCGTCTCTTCTACTTGTTACACCGGATATTACTAATTACCATGATATTTGCTCCTATCATGTTGCTTCCCTCTTTTTTTTGGATTATGGATATGATATCGAGATAAGCATGGTTATTGTTGATTCTGACTTGATACTACTCTAGTTGCCCGAATCATGAAATTGGCTTTGCCAGAGAACGCAAAGATTGCCAAGGAAGCTAAGGAATGCATGCAAGAGTGTGTGAGCGAATTCATTTCGTTCATCACCAGCGAAGGTGAGGGTTTATTCCTATGCCCGCGCTCATTTTTGCTTTGACGAGATATTAATCTTTTGAATAGCATCCGAGAAATGCCAGCAGGAGAAGCGCAAGACTGTTAACGGCGAAGATATTTTGTTCGCCATGACTTCTCTTGGATTTGAGAACTACGCTGAGGCACTGAAGATTTACCTTTCCAAGTATCGCGAGGTCAGTCTTTCCCCCCAATCCCCGTTTGACATGCACATATTGATTTATTCACTAGACTCAATCCGCACGTGGTGAAAACCAGGGTCGACCCACTAGCAGCGGTTATGGTGCTGGTGGTGCCGCCCAAGGTCGTCCTGCTGGGTTCCCCGAAGCTGCAGAGGGTGGTAACAGTATTCTTAACCCTGGATTAGATCCTTCAGAGGAGGCTGCTGCGTATGGATACCCTCCCATGGTGGGCCAGCCTCACAATGGTGCTGGCGGCGACTCATACTGACGGAATCAATATATGCCTTCGATCCATGTTGTCCTCATGGATCCAAGAAGCGATAGCGTTTTGGGTGAGCAGGCGTCCTTGAATATTATTTCCTAGGTCTATTGGCCACCTTCAATTTGTCTCTCGGTTATATAAGGTCCCTTGATGAAGCGTTTCTAAAGACATTAGCCAAACTTCTAATGTGATCGAATGATATAACCTTGGTATAGGTTGAGGGACTTTGAATCGGTATATTTTGTGGTGTATTTATTTTGTTTTGTTTTTTATTTATTGATGATTATTTTTTCTCCGCTGCGATTTTCTGTAGCGAGATGAAAGACCTTCCAGTGGAGTACCTCTCGCCTGATCAATCTTTCCTTTTTGGAGTTCTGTTGAGTGTCTACTATGGACGGAGATATTAAGTGGACTACTTGTACCTATAATTTCTTCTTCCAGGCACGCCCCTTAGATCCGAATGCATAAACCCTGCAATCACTCTCCTCAATTAGTTTTGAAGTGCGTTCATAGATGATTGCATACAGCGAAATGTTAGCTAGTATGTGTGTTGGATGCAGTATGTCTACCATTCACCATTGCCCATCATATCTAGATGTCGTCTGGAAGCGGCCCACCTATCGTCTAGTTCCACGCTAATGTACTGCACTTCAATCACCTTCAAGCCCCATGTTTTCCCTGACCCCATATAATGGAAACCAGTTGACGCCTAATTCTTCAACATTTTTATCTCGTCTAGGGTTTCTCCAATTTTTTTTTGGCCTAACTGTTACATAATCCGGTGTCCACACAAATGTACTCCGCATCCACGTGAGCTCCACCGGACCCGATCCCGCAGTCCTCTCTTTCCCGAACTTTTTCGCTTTCTCTGTCGCATAGATTGTGCCCTTACCCTCGGCAATCGGCTTTCCTCCTCATGATGCCCTGAGACCGTCGACGTTGGCTTTTTTTCTCTAGAGAAGAATGCGGAGTTGTGGCCGATCTGCACCTGGGATGATGCCGATGGTCCTTCTACCATGTCCTCCGTCCACGATAACGCCTCTTCACCCGGGAGCGGCGATGGGGTGAGCAAGCGCAAACAGGGTAAGGACCTCGTGACCCCTTGATTAGCCTGCAGGACACCACCCAATGCACTCAAACCCTCTCTCCTGGGTTTTTCAGCTGCTTTATTGTTTCGAAATTGGGCCTCGGGTATTGAACTAGACCATGAATTCGCTGACCTGTGACTCAAAATGCATTTAGGGTCGGCGGCGTGTGTCCACTGTCACCGGCGCAAAGTCCGTTGTGATGCTCGAGTCGTCGGAACCCCCTGTACCAACTGTCGCACCTCTGGCAAGTCCGACTGCCGCATCCACGAGAAGAAAAAGCGTCTTGCTGTGCGCTCGATTCTCGATCCCGTTCCGATCCGATCTCGGCCTCTACCGACGTCTGATCATGCCGCCAATCCTACAAATCCAGCCTGCACACCGCTGCCGCCAAGCTTTCCAACTGCATTTGGGAGTGGCTCCGCGCTTGCAGGTAATTCTCCGCAGCAAACCTTCTTATCCAATGCCGCAGAGCCATTTCGTCAAGGCCCGGATCTGTCACACGCCCAGGAGGCGCACACAGAGATGGAGCAACGCCTTGTGAAACTGATCGACGAGGAAGATTCCGGTCGAAGAGAAATCCAGCGAGGCGTGCGCGCTTTCTACGTCGGCCATGAACATTCTAATATGTCATTTCTCATTCGGCAACAAAGAGACCAGGATGACGATGTATACCATTTTGCCAGCAATGAAATTCCTCGGCGACAGATGAAGACTGGGCATGATCAGCTCCTTATGGATGCCCTAACACTCCCGGAACCTGCTCTAGCGGATGAGTTGGTGCAATCATATTTCAACTTCGTCAATCCGGGGTATCCAATCGTCGATGAGGACCTGTTCATGACACAGTACCGAAATCGAGACCCTGCAGACCCTCCTCCAATTCTGCTACTCCAAGCTATTTTGTTAGTTGGAGCCCATGTCACCCGCGCAAAGGCAGAGCGTGATACATTGAAGGAGATCTTTTTTCGCCGCACGAAATATCTCTTTGATAATCGCATTGAGCGAAATCGAGATATTTTGGTTCAAACGGCGCTGCTATTAACTTGGCATTCTGATAGTGCTGATGATGATGTCGCTGCAGATGCCCATTTCTGGGTCGGTGTAGCTGCTCGGATTGCCACTGGCCTGGGAATGCACCGTAATCCGGTCTCAAGTCGATTTGTGACTCGCGACAGGCGAATGTGGAGACGAGTCTGGTATATCCTAGTACAGTTCGATGTGATGGTTTCTCTTTCTTATGGTCGGCCGCAGGCTATAAACTTGGATGATTCTGATGTGTCGCCTTTGACTCCTGCCGACTTTGAAAACTGTGGACCTCGTGTACAAGCCGACTTTGTCATACATTTTACAGCGCTTTGCACTATGATTTCATATCTTATACGGGATCGGTTCGGTCTCCGGGCTAGCGATGAGCGACGAAAGGCCGTTTTGCAAGAGGCAGACGAATCATTGGCGAATTGGTCCTTGAAGCTGCCTGACAATCTGCGTCTCCGAGCGTCTGATATGGACCCTTGGTCAGCTATGTTGCATCTTACCTATAACAATTTCCTCATTCTCCTTCACCGGCCACATCCAAGAGCATCGGCGTATTCCGACGACTATGGGCCCCACGACGCAGAAATCTGTAGCGCCGCCGCTGGAGTCATTGCTTCCATCTTCGAGGAGCTCCGACTTAACGATCGATTGAAATTCCTTTGGTACACTGGTGTCCACACTTTGTTCACAGCCATGATTCAAGTCCGTGTGGAACTTCGGTTCTCCAATCCAGTCCTGGCAATCAATGCATTGCGCCGCTTCGACTCCGCATCTTATTCGTTGCGTGAATTGGCTCAGTACTGGGTTCATGCAGGCACAATTCTGCGGCTCTTTGAAGATTCTAAGCGGCTCCAGGAAGATTTGCGCATGGCCACCACCGACCGATCCAAGTCGTTCAACGCTGTTCCACCTAGTATCAACAAGATCCCCATCACTGTATCTGAGGCTGCAGCAGCCATGCAAACTGTGCATACCCCACGGCCCCTCTCCTTTGGTGTGCCGACACCAGAGTCCTCCCACACCCCGATGCAAGGTACACTGTCACCACAACCAATTCCCAATTACGATAATTGGATCACCGCTCCTCTTCGACTTAATGTTGGCCCTCTGGACAGAAGTGATACCTATCCGGCCAACATGCAGGTAGACCAAATGGATCAAACCCGCGATTACCCAGACTGGAGACAATTGTTCTCTTTTACCGACTCTGATCTCGCAATGCCCATGGCCGGCGAGGGACTTCTTGAATTAGAAGATGAATGGAGGCAGATCTACTGGCAGGATACACCCATGGCAGATCTCATCCAGGATGGCAGTTGGCTTCCTGGATAGTATCCCGCGCTTCCTGTGATATCTACAAGACTCTGCCACTATAGAAGAATCTCGATACGCCCAGCTTCATCGTTCCCCCGCCATGACCTTCACCGAGCCTTCTAAGAGCTCTCATCCTCCTCCTCCCCCTATCTACCTTCCCTCCCACTTTTCCTCAGCCCTCCCACCACAACTCCGTGACCTGATGACGAGATGAGATACGCAAGGCACGAGTGAGCGCAAACATTCGCAAAAGCTTCAGCACGATACCATGTCGTAAATGATTACGTACATCTTTTTTTTCGATAGATTTATACACAATTTTTTCAAATGTCACTTAATTGGAAGAACTTATCACTGCCCACACCCACACCCATGTGTTCTGTTTACATTTCATTTCTAATAGGTTCAAGAAGATTGCCAAGCTGGTATATAGGGACGACCTTGTGAATCATATGATATACATCAAATTGACTGATATATACTAGTAGGTAATATGTACATAATTCTCTAACCATGTCCAAAATTCATAAGACGAAACGTACATCTCAGCCAAATACAAATCGCTTCCAATTATCCGCGAGTTGCTTTACACCCTCCCGCAACTCCCAACCTCGAATTTGACAAATCTGCCGCGCCACCTGCTCCAATAAATCATCCATCTGCGGGCCAGCAGTATGAAGATCACTCTCAACCAAGATCCGATCTTCCGGTACCATCTTAATAACATCAACAACCTTCCCAGCCCCGGGCCCAGAAAAATTAATCAAAAACGAGAACGAAAAGTATACATCAGACGGATTGGCCTTATTCAAGAACTGCCTCAACGGCTCCACGGGCCCAGAGTAAGAATGCATACAAATGCGCGGCGGAAACGGCAGCAACGTAGACGGAGCACCACTTCTTGAATCAGACAGATCCGGTCCATCGTCATCATCAGAAAGCGCCCCTTCCACATCCCTTCGCTTCGTTCTATCCCGCCGTGACATCCGCACCTTCTCATGCCCAGCCCACAATCCCTTCAGCGTATCGAAAACCGCCCCGTGCGCCTGGACACTATGCACAGAGACCGCCCGCTGCATCTCGCCCGCAAGCCGGAGCTGCGCTTCCAGGATCGTCTTCTGATGCTCCATTTTCACCTTGTACGGCGACAAGCGGCGGTTCTCGCGTGAACCGGGCGTAATCTTGTCATCGCGGGCGTCATGTTCTTGCCTTGTCCAGGCACCGGGTAAACGGAATGCTTTGTCCAGTCCTATTTCTCCGACGAGGGCATTGGGGAAGCGCTCCAGGCGCTCTTTTGTTTCGGTGATGAGCTCGGAAAGAGGTTTGGGATTGGGTAGGGATTTTAAGAAATCTGGGTCTGAGGTTGGTGATGGGGTTAGGACGGTGGTGTAGTGTGTGTTTGCGTTTGTGCTTTGTTGTGGAGAGATATCTTGCGTGGTGGGGTTTGTTGATGGGGCCGTGTCGTCTTGGATTTGGTGCGAGAACCACGGGTGCCATCCGAAACAGGGGATTATACGGTTTGAGGTGTCGTTGGTATTGGTAGAGTGGGTTATTTGTTGTACGAGGTCTTGGTCTTCTCCTCGTGTGGCCATGACGGTTAGTGAGTGGGCTTTCATGTGGGGGATGCTGGCGATGGAGGCCATTGTGTCGGTAGGGTGACAGTGGGCATCGTGAATGCCGATATCCCAAGGGAAATCATTGTCGGTGGACATGGTGTATGGGGAAGAAGATATAGAGAAGGTCTATATAGTACTTGAATAACGTTAATTCTAAAATCAAATCAGGATCGAGATGATGTAAGTGAAGTGGGGGTCACATGGGGATTTCTCCGCATTTTCCAAATTCAACATTGATGCGGAGGGAAAAAAGGGCATTGGTAGTTGGAAAGGAAGGTGACAGTAGAACTAGTACTAGTATCTCATGTACCAAGGAGGTGTGTACTATTCATCTCGAGTACTGAGTTTACAGTATCTACCCTTAGTATTGGACCTCGGTTATAGTACGTAGTAAACCAGTTGACGCATAGGAAAATAACCCCACTTTAATATGTCTCCAAGTTCCAAGTCGTAACTTGTGCAGATGTCTAGACTCTAACTTGTATATTCACATGCATTTATGGCTTGGAAACTTATAAAGCCAAAATATAACCTTCAAAGGAACTCATGATTCGTACATTCTGTCCCCGCATTTTCCCTCCGGGGAAACCTCTATACATGCCATGTCCAGCTCCCTCACATCCCTCCTGGCATTACCGCTCCTGTGTCTCATATCAATCCCCCTCATCTTCTCTGCATGGCTGACCCTCTCGGTCGCCCTATTTACCCTCCTCCTACGAGCATCCGTCGTCTACCTCGAAGTAGGCTACGCCCTAGTCATTAACTTCTTCACCCTCCCCACTTCAACCTCTACATCCTCATTCTTACCCTTTGCGCCCTCCGAACCACCAACCCCAGCAGCGGGTAATTCCCGCCGGAACTCAGCCTCGGCACAAGCACAAAGTCTCATTCAACCTCGCCGAACAAATACCACTCTCTCCTCCTGGACATTCAGTGCACCCCAGGATAATCGTAACCGTGATCATGACCGCGATCACGAGACCGACCGCTCAAGGCGCAAGAGCAAGAAAACGTACGCGCAGAGCATGATCCGAGCCCACGATCTGCCCACCGCGCCCTTGCCCGTGAATTTCACCGGCCTCCCCGTCAGCGGCGACAAGAGGCGCGACTTCGAAGGCGTGGGCGGCTGGCGCTCGTACCCGGATGCTTTATCTCGCGTCTCCAAGCCCCGCAGTACCCAGCAGGAAAAGCCGTTGAGCTCTTCTTCCTCGTCTACGCATAGCCTTGTCGCTGATGTCGGCGTGGGCGCCGGCGCCGGCGTAAATATCGACGCTGATATCGATGCCGACGAGCGTGCATGGCTATCTCTGAATCATCGCCTGGAATTGCCGTCCCGGGTCGTGTTGCTCGGAACCGGCTCGACGGCTCCCTCGAACGTCCCGAGCCCAGCACTCGCGCACGGGGAGGCCGCGGCCAATGTCTTCGTGCCTGCATTTCCGTCAGATGTCTACACCCAGCCGGGACGAGATCGTGATCAAAGTGCGCGTAGACATCATCATCGTTCGCATACAACGTCCACGCTGACAACGGCTGATCTGCGCACGGGCGGCGGTCTGGCTATATCGCTGTCGACGAGACCGGATCAATCTAGTCGGCCTGTTTCTCCTTCGTCTGTCCGACATGCGCCTTTCATGACTCCACAGCCGTATTCGGTTGTGCAGACTCGGTCGATGCGCCCGCTGACGACTAGTAATGAGCCACATACCACGGGCCACGGGCTGGGAGGTGGTGGGCTTAGTTCTGGGGGTTACTTTGCGCTGCCGCGGCCTGGTGGGTTGCCGGTGCCGTCGTTCTCGGCGGTGGTTAGTCCTAGCTCGAGTGGGCAAACGACGCCTGGGGCGGAGGATCATGGTTCTCCGTCGCAGTTGACGCGCTTTATTGCACATTATCCTACTGGTGTGAGACATCGGAGACGGAGTATCTCTGGTCCTCATGCGAGGCGCGTCTCTATTGGCGAACGGCTAGCGTGATGGTTTGAGCTGTGACGCTGGAACGAAGTATATACTTGCATGTAATGAATTTAGGATAACGAATGAGATCAAGGTACACAATTTGTATGTAAGAATTTCCTTTCAGGTCTATGTCTAGAGAGAAGATGTACAACACCGAGATAGGGAAAGAAGCCACTAAATTAACAAAAACCCCACGCCAAATCATAAACTCCAGATGTCCAGGCTTGAATCCTAGTGGGATCCAAGCTCACGCTCCAAGTCCTGGTATTTATTGAGCATCATTAACTGGAGCTTCACGGCAAACAAGCCTTGTTGTCAAAGATTGACACCAAAGGCTCACGAAGATGCCCTCTCCCGCTTATTAACATCTTCCATCTCGCCCAACACGACACGGTTAAACTCCTCCCATCCATCCAAGTACAGATGATGACCGGCCTTGTTAATGACAACGACCTTGGCGGATCCTTGGTCGTTCTTTCGCTCTTCTGGCGTGGCATTCGCCAGAACGCGACGCTTCTCTTCTTCTAGACGAGCCACAGCGGCGTGACCGCCCGATACATCCATCCAGTCGTGATCACCATACATCAAGACAACGGGAAGTCCATTCTCGCGTCGTGGGGCGGGAATTTCAGCGGGAGCACTTGAAGCAGGGACGGGGTGAGTGATCGGCGCATCAGCAGGGGTAGATGCTTTAGCTGCGGATTTGGAGAAGATAGAGCAAGAAGAAGAGTCGGCAGGGGGAATGGGTAGTGAGTTGCCAGAGCTAATCATTTGGCGGCCCACGCCCTGGATCCGGTGAATAAGAGGGCTGCGCGCGAATGCGCCTGGCGCTAAAATATATGCTAGGGCATACTCGCCGCTTCCCCGAAGACTGAAAATAGAGTAGGAATAGTCGTGCAGTGCCTTGGATTCTTCGGCGGGGAGATGCGAAAAGCGGCGAGAAGTCCAACCGGACACGATTCGTGGGCCGAAAGGACCTGTCCAGCGTACAATGCTGAATGGTGAGATGTTGGCTTCCCACAGGTAAGCAAACCACTTTGGCATGGTACGACGGGGTGGTTGGTTCGCGGACGTTGATTGCGTCTGAGGACGACTCGAAATAAAGCTGCCATCACTGGTCTTTGGCACAGACGCGGTAATGTCTCGTTGGTCCTGGGTGACTTCGTTCGGGAGTGTAGATTCCGAAGGCTCAGCTACGTCTGCTGTGACCGCGTAGGGGTCCTCGGGGATGCCCACAGGGGACGCGAGGATCAACTTATTGAGATGGCCCGGGTACTTGAGCGCGTATGCGACAGCCATATAACCACCCAAACTGTGGCCTAGCAATGTGAAGCGATCAATTTTGCGCTTAATACGCCATTCCTCGAGCGCGTCAACAAACCAGGCCTCAGCTTCGCGGATGGCCTCTTCGCGCTCCTTAGCCTTGATCTTGAAAGGTGGGCGCGTGCTCCGGCCCATGCCCAGCATGTCCAGCGCATGAAGCTGCCATCCCTTCAGCCGGCTGAGCGGTTCGAAATTCTTGTAGAAGAAGCCAAGACCGGCGCCATATCCGTGCAGCATTACCAGGTGCTGGTCAGCCTCTTCCCCAACCCTTTCTACCGAGAACTCGTTGAGAGCCCGGTCTTTCCCGCTAAGCTCCACCATGCTGGAGCTCCACCGGCGGGGCCCGTAGGGGTCATCTTTAGATTGTGTTGAAATCTCGCCCTGCTGGTTGTGGTCTGCTGATTGCAGGCTGGTCGAGGTGCTTCCATCGGGGAAGTCTGAGGTGTTACCAGTTTGGAGGTGGGTTGGGGGTTGGTGATGTAGATAAGGGAGGTAGGATAGGACCTTATGTTCGGCGGCGGCAGCAGGTAGACGAGCCCACTAGAAAATTGTCAATAAACCCGCTTTAAGGAATGCAATGCTTTGGAAGGAATGGTAGATTCACCCATTGGCTGAAGCCTTCCCGGTATCCCAATGGGAAGAAAGCTGGACTTGGGGCATTTGGTCCAGCAGCAGCACCAGCAGCATGTGGGGTACGCTCGCGACTCTGTGAAGACGAGAGACGACTACCATGGCCTTCCGTCTCTGACGATTTGAGGGATTCCGACGCCATTGTGGAGGACTTGCGACGCCCTAACGAGTACGTGGCAAAAAGTGGAGGGCGTGTAGTATAGAGCCTCTGGGTTAAGAGGAATCGAATCAAGTTGGCTGTACGAGTGCCAGGTCGACAGGTGATTTCCGTCGGGATTATTGGAGTCAGGGTGCGCATGGGCATAAGTTAAAGAGAAGTTACGAAATCAAGAAATGAAGGCGTAAAAGTAACTTTGGAACCGGAGACAAATCGTTCTTTCGCCGCTTAACCCCGACAAGGCAACAAAGTCACCTACGCAAGCAAAAGGAAAAGAGAAAAACCGGGTTTCGGGCCCGAGACAAAAAAAAATGGAGGAAACAAAGCTGGTTAATGCAAGATCAAAAATATGAAGTCTCTCAATCTATACATTTGTGGAGTATATACCAAGGAGGAAAGGCGGAAAGAGGGAAACAGGGCAATGATGTCGTGCGATCTGCACATTCCCAAGATTCCCTTTCCACCTCCCGCTTTCCTTCCCCCCAAAAAACCTTGAGATGACGACCGTATTGGGCCGCATCGGCCGTTGAATCTAGTGATTTCACAGAATCCTGTGGCATCATTTTGCAACATGACAACATCCTTGGATCAGCTGGTCAAGGGTGCTTCACTACCCGGAGCTCGCGCCCCAACACCAGAGCCATTGATGTCTACACACGCTTCGTCCCCGCCACGACCCTCAACCCCAGATCCACTAGCCTCCCTCCCTTCTTCGCCACCCCAGATCTATCTAAACCTCTTGATTCTTGAAGCATCGCTACGTGCACAATACCTGGCCTTGCGCGAACGTCGTCGCCAAAACACTTTCTTCCTGTTGCTTCTAGCGGCGTGGATCGCTTACTTCTCATATGCATTATTCCTTCGTCCACGAGAGGATGGCCGCGGACTTGGTGGCTCTGTATATTGGGTAGTGGAAATGGGAGAAAAGGTAGCACTCCTTGGTGGGGTGGTGACGGCTTTGCTAGTATGGGGAACGGGGCAATGGGAACGTGGAATTCGCTGGCCACGGCGATGGCTCGCTGTCGCCAACCGCGGTCTACGCAATATGAACACGAAGATTATCGTGATACGGGGGCCTTGGTGGCAAGAGCTACTCTCCTATATCTCATTCCTGTTTCCTTTTTCTGCGCCGTTCTTCCCCTCGCCCACTGGGAACTTCCATTTCGTTGAACGTCACCCCTCCGAAAAGCGCGGTAGTCGGCAGCACTACCAGCAGTATTACAACGGCGGTGACAGCGAGTCTGGCTTGGTGGAGGAAGACCTTAGCTCTGGTGGTGACTATATTCGTCTTTTGCTGTTGCCTAAATCCTTCTCCCCAGAGTTCCGTGAGAATTGGGACGACTACCGCACCGATTTCTGGGATAAAGAAAATGAGCGCCGAACTCAGCTGCGTCATAAGCTGCGCGAGAGGGAGCGCCAGCTTGCCCAGTCCGAGGGCGGATGGCTTTGGCGAATTGGTCTAGGCTGGCGAGCTTCCCAGCGCCGCCGTCTGGTCGCAGCCACTATACACCGATCTCTCGAGGCAGAAACCAAACCGCGACACCAGCATCAATCGTCCGTCTCTTCCCGACTCAACCAGGACCATCGCCCGACTTCTCGCCGCCCTGAATCAACCCATTCCCGTACCTCTTCTTGCAGCCCCACTCCCGATGATCGACCACCATCCCGCTCTGGGTCTGGTCGTCCCCGCCGCGGAAGCACCACTCCATCTATATCCGGCGCTGAACAAACTCCCCAGCAACGGAAGCGAAAGGGCTCCAAGACATCACGACGTGGTCCATCGCCTCTAACACAGGCACAGGCCCGAGAAGGTGTGCGGGTCCCGTCGTTCTCGTCCGACGATTCGGGGATCACGCCTATGGCTGAGGTCGATAAAGAGACTATACCCACTTCTGTACCTTAATTGAATCATGCTGTCTAGATTATGAGAAGCCGACTTTGATATTGTTTATAATACTTTGAATTTGCTACTTACCGTGTTCCCTTCGCTCTCGAGCACCAAGTCTTCGACATCCTAATGTCTCTGATGATTATTAGATACCGAGGTTTCTTTCTTGCTCAGTCTTTCCACCCGATATCCTTTGTGAAAAGAACTTTGGTTTTACTCCCCTTGCTTCATCAAATAAAGAATTCGAACAAAGTGAAAGGAAGAGGATCTTTGGCAACAAATCTTCCAAAGGCGTGGTCATTGGTCTAATGCACGATAACACTCTAGATATAGCAGTCAAAGATCAAAAACAAAGAACTTATCCTCCGACTTGAAACGCTCATGGATATGATATACCCTATGAGATTTCCTTGCGAACACAGGATGTCCTCCTACTTTGATCTTTACATACATGTATTCATCCAAACTACCGAGACCAGGCTCCAACCCTTACTCACAAGATTCCTCATCATGTCTAACATTGACTGGGTCCAATTAGCCCAATATCCATTTTTCGACAATCGCAAGTCCCCATCCGCCACCCAGTGCGATGACATCGCTGAGTCAATAACCGGCGCCACAAAGATCGTCCCGGTTGACAGTCTGAGCAAGATGTCCTATTCCGTCATCTGCAACAACTGTTCCTCCCTACCATTGACTCGGATCGTGGTCTTTCGAGAAGAGAACTCCAGAGCCACCCCTCTTGACAATATAGTGGACCTTGCAGAAAAGACCTTTGGTCCCCTGGCACCTAAACCAACATATTACAAGAATTTGGATGGTGCAGATCCACCACTTAGTATCTTCACAATGCCATGTCAGCCCGGTATATCACTTCTCAGTACCCTACGCTGCCAGTCCGAGCTATCACGGCAACAAAGGACAAAACAGGCCTGTTTCATCCGAGATCTTGCACGGTACGCTAGACTCAGTCTCATTCATATCATTTGGACAGAACGCTTCATTGGAATGGCTTGTGGGTTGCTAACTAGACCGACTGACTTTCTAGCTACTTTGCTCTCGCCTGGTCAAACAAACAACCCATGAATCCCCCCGAACTGCTCTATATCCGTCAAGCAGGCATCCGCCATCAACTCCGGCAGTTCAAACAGCAAGCACCCTCGATCCTCCCCGCACACAAGATCGATGAACTCATCCAGATTCTGCCCACCCTCTTCAGCACCGACTACCCCTCCGTCCTAACAAACGGCAACCTTTCTCTAACAAATATCCGTGTCGACGAAGCAACCTACGGAATAACAAATATCGTCGACTGGTCCCTAGCGAAGGTCCTCCCGTTCGGGATGGACTTGGATATTCTCTTCCTTGTGACGGGGTATATGGGGCTGAGGAGGTGGAGAGATTACAAGTGCAAGCAATTTATGCTGGATTGCTTCTGGGATGAGTTCTGGGCGAGTGTGGATCCTCGTGGGGACCGGGAGAGTGGGAGGGTTCTTGCGGAAAAAGCAGCGAGGGTTGGGGCGCTGTTGCGATATGGGTTTACGAGACGGGAGGACGGGGCTTCGGACAGTGTGGTTTCGGTCTCTGAGCGAGATGTTGGGATGTTGAGGGCGTGGTTTGGAGTTGTTGCATAAGTAGTACTATACACCAGTATGTACATGACACTCAAACAGGCTTGCTTCCACCTGCAGTACATATTACAAGATTGAATCGATATACGAAGGAGAGGATCAAGGATGTGCTTGTACTAAACATTGAAATGCATATATTCTTCAATAAAGTGACTTGTGAACCCCTAAGTCTGTCGACTCCAATACTCCATACAGAAAGAACTATGATATCACCCCAATGCAACGACTAGAAAACATGCTCGTAAAAGGGTCACATAGCCCATTGATATATCCATCAAAGGCTCTAAATTCGGTAAACTCTGTCATCGTCCTCGAGGTACCTATCAAAGAATGTCAGTTGGCAGTTTTGGTATATATCAGTAGAATAAAAAACTCACATCAGCAGGTTATCCTCGTTCATCTTCGTTAGCGCCTGGATAGCTTCGGGTCGTGAGAAAACATGCGCAGTGCCGTAGTTAGGCGATGCGCTAATGGCTGCGTTGACTTCCTTGATCATCTCACCAAGGTCGCAATCTTCTGCGTCGGCGAAGACACGAGAGCCATTGATAGAGCCCAGGATCTGGCGGAAGACTCCGTAGCGCGCAGGTGTGATGGGGTGGGCTGAGGAGGTAGACTGGGAGTTGTCGGTCTGCGACTCCACGAGCTGTGAGGCGGGTTGAGACGATGCCATAGACATCTGCGACTCGGTCTGTTGGGTGGTGCGCGTGCGAGTGGCACGAGGACTAGCCGTTTGCGGGGTCTGGTCCTCGTCCATGCCTGCAGTGCTAGCTTCGCCACGAGACCGGGTAGTAGTTCGGCCAGTGGATGTCTGGGCACGAGAAGGCGTCTCATCATCGTCATCATCAGAGTCGCTGTCTTCGTCGGAATTTTCATCAAAGGTTTGCACCTTGCGGCGCTTACGGCGACCATCATCCTGCAACTCCTTGAACATGGCAAAGCGGAGGATAGCCTCGGCATGCTTAGCATCCTTCTCGTCGACTCTGTTCGACAGACGGGCCTTGGCGTGGGCGGTCGACAGTCGAATCAAAGTCTCAAGAGTACGGGGGGTGATGGGTGATGTACGGCGCTGGTTGTTGGAGAGATCGTCGTTTCGGAGGGCAGAGTATACGGCGATGATGTGATCGGCAGCGCCCTTGGACAGGACAGGCTTGACTCGAGATTTGGCGTACTGAATATACTTCTTGATGAAGGGAATGCTGACAATTTCCACATTCTTGTTGCGGCTGCGGCCAGTTGGGACCATGCCGCCGTGAAGCATGACATTGAACTTCTCGTAAACCTCTGTGGGCTGATTGGCATCTTGGCGATCTTCAATCCCAACACCCAAAGTCTGGTGTTGCTGCTCGCGAACAGGAGCACCTTCTTCAGTTCCAGGCTGGCGATATCTGTGCATGCGGAGAACGTGCTCTGAAATAGTGCGGTCCTTGGAATCTTCAATGTCATCTGTCACAATGAACAGCAAATCGAAACGAGAAAGAAGAGAGTCGGGCAAGGCAATGTTCTTGTGAGGGTCCTTGTGGACGTCATACTGGCCATAGACCGGGTTGGCAGCAGCCAGAACACTGCATCGAGCGTTCAGACTTGTGTGAATACCGGCCTTGGCGATGGTGACGGTCTGCTGCTCCATAACTTCGTGAATAGCCACGCGGTCGACATCGCTCATCTTGTCAAACTCATCGATACAAACCACACCACGATCACCCAGAACCATGGCACCAGCCTCCAGTCGGCGCTCTCCAGTCTCCTTGTCAGAGGTGACGGCTGCAGTCAAACCGACACCGGATGAACCACGACCAGTCGTGGCGATAGCCAACGGAGCAGTATTGAGCACAAAGCGAAGGAGCTGAGACTTGGCTGTGGAGGGATCACCAACCATAAGAATATTGATGTCACCACGCAAGTGAGTTCCATTTTCCAAGTTCTTTTCCATACCACCAAGCAGCATGAGCAAAATAGCTTTCTTGATGTAATCGTGTCCATGAATACTAGGTGCCAGAGACTTCGCTAGCAACTCAAAGACATTCTTCTTCTTAGCAATCTTGTTGATGTTGCGAATGTCGGTGTCGGTGATGGTAGCCTGGGCGATACCTCCACCTGACTTGGATGAAAGCTGAATGATATTGTTTGCCATCACAATGGTACGGAATGTTGAAGAGCCGGAGCTAGCATTGCGGTTTCCAAGAGACCGGTAAGTTCCCACTAGCTGGATTCTGTCTCCTGGCTTGGCCTTGTCGACTAGGTCATCATCCAGAATAACGTCAACACTGCGGGGAAGCTGTCCTGCCGGAGCCCGCTCAGGCATTTCTTGGATCGAGATCGACTGGTGATCCATGTAGGTCGAATAACCGTATTCTGTGATAAGCTAGAAAAAAAGAAAAAAGTGTTAGACCGAGTATACTGTGTGTTTGGACATGAGAAATGCACTCACAGGGTTCTTGTCTTCGTCCTCTTGGGGGTAGACATTCAAGCTCGTGGCACCGCTAGCGGTCATAGTCTGATCCCGATACTTTCTAGCCAGGAAACGATCCTTCTTCTCGCTGTAGTGAACACTCTGAATAACCTTGGGTCGGACCAAGGAGCATTTCGTCACAATTCCTTCTAGGGACACCATGCGGTTCAAGTGCCCAGATCCCAGTGTGCGCGGGTTGCAGGAAAATTCTCCGAACGCACCAACGTATGCGCAGTAGTAGTTCTATTAGAATTTTAGATTAGAATAAAGATTCTATGCTGGTAACGCAAACACGTACCACTTCGTCTGAAGTTTCCCTGGCGGGTCTGCCGGGCAAAGTCTTCACAACTTCTTTCAAGGCCCGGTCAAAAGCCTCTGAATATTCAAAAGGGGAGGTGAGGAGCCTATCGAAAAAAGGTATGTTAGTCAAATATCTTTATTATGTTGCGCGAGGTCGTTAGTCGTACCCATCAGCCAGCTCCCGGTTGTGCGCTCGAAGCTCGTCAATGCTAACCTGCAGGACTCATCAGTATCATATCGCTCCATTCCAGGGAGAAAACCAACATACTGTCAGACGGCGTATTCCTCGATTCAGCATCACCACAATATCCGCTCGGTAGCTGATTAAGACGGTTAGAACTGTCGGAATGCATTCTGATCTCGATTTACGAACCTGCGCGCCCGTGCATCGCCTAAAGAAAAAAAACACATGGTAAGTTTCAACGTCCAGACAGATCGGGTTTTTTTATTGGCACTTACTGGGATCGAGAAACTCAATGGCAGCACGCACGCGATCCTGCGCAGCCTCATCTCGTAGTTGAACGCCTTCCATGGTGTCAGGGGGTATCTGGTATGGTTGTTGGAAGCACCCGAGTCGAGGAGGTTGGAAGGGAAAGACGGGATGTGCGTGGGATCCCGATCGGGTAAAATTGAAACGCGTGAACAACACTGGCACGCGTTCGCGTTTGCTTATGTCATCGACGCGGGGCTGTCTCGCCAGTTGGATGTTTTCACTAGCAGGAATAGTTGTTGATTAGTATAGTTAAATGTTTCGTCAAGTCTGTGATGCAAATATTGGTGTGTTTATCAAATCAATACATGTATGACAAAGAAAATCTAACATGGAAGAATGTACAATTGTCAGTAGATAGTATTTATTTGATATGCAGAAATGGGCTGTTATACATTGGATCTAATAATCTATACAGATGCTTTACTATACAGGAACAGGCTCAAAAGTGAGAAATATATGTACATGTGCATGAGAGAAGGAACCGCCAGTGGTCCTTTTCGAGTTTTCAGACCGCTCAAAAGGACAGTGGAGGCTGTCTCGAGGTCTCCAGCCGTCAGGGTTCCGTTTTTACCCACAGATTCAGTGGTTTGTCATGAGTTCGTACCCTTTTAGCTGGCTTTTTTGGCTTGCTTCCTTTGGAAACTTCGCCCCCCTCGGCCGAATTGGAACTAAGATGGCAATCTTGAATTTGCAAATCCAGTAAATCTTCAGGAGAGAGAAGATTTTTCCACCCGGTATTGGCGAAAGCCGCCTGCTCAAGGAAGGGTTCGACAATGTTTGTCTTGCCTCCAGGCTTGCCTGGTGTCTCCTTGGGCGATTGCTCGTTAACAACCATATCGAACTCGCCAGCCCATTCAATTATTTCGACGTCTTCTGCCTCGTCGCGGTAGATGATCGTTCCGCACTCAGAACGAGACTCGACCCCTAGAATACCACCAGGCGCATAATCCAATGGGACAGGCGATCGTTTCTTGTCCAGCTCTGGTCGCTCGTCGACCTGTCGAATGAGAACACCCTGATGTTTGTCATGCAACCAGGGCATTTTGGTGATCGCCTTCAGCGTCATGGGCGCCTTTTTCATCAGCTGATCGAGTTGATGACTGCCTCCTTCAATCGTTGCTTCACGAACACGGCCCAAAGCAGCGGCTAGGGTAACAATGGTGACGTATGTGGGCTGCATATACTCTGGAGATAGGTGTCTCCAGAACTTGGAGGCCTCCTTTCCAAGGTAATTCTTAGAGTGTGCAGGTGCGCGCCTGTCTTCAATCAAGGAAAGACTCCTAGGAACATCGGAAGGTTTCACTTGTTGGCCTCGAATAAGCCGTTTCCATCCAGGCCAGTTGGGCATGAAGTATCGCTCAAACTCGGAGAACGCCTTCGATACGTGAGCAAAGCTGTGGGAGGCCGCAAGGACCTGCACTATAGTAGACCGATTGAACGTTGACAATTCAAACCCATCTGCTTCGACCTGAGCTATTACTTCAAACATTCTTTCGTATTCGTTCTGTTCGGCCAATGACCGGATGTAAAGGGAAAGGGGTCGAGAAAGGATAAAGCGGCGTGATCGAAGAATTTGTTTCTTCTGCTTATCAGGTGAATCTGCTGGAATGAATTCTCTTTGTGTATGCGCGGAAGGATCAGATGAAGCAGCTGGGGCCGATGCCGAAGCTTTAAACACATCAACAACGTTCACTCGACTGGCTTCTCTCACGGCATTTGAAAATACAAGCTGCCAACAGGTGTCAACTTCTTTGTATTGTTCGGCTTTTAGATGCGCTTCCATCATAACACTGACAGGGCGAAATGAAGGAGAAACAGCGGCGGAGTCTTGTGCATTCGCAGTTTCCGTGCTAGACAGTTCACGTTGAAACAGTTTGTTTGCCATCGAGATGGCACCACTTGCCCCATGTTCCTTGACGAGGTATTTAAAATGCCAGGTATCAAAAGTCTTTGTCAGGGACTCCTTGCGAGCTTCTGATGGATCAAGAGTGTTCGCCAGCATTGAAATATCACGCTGGGATATTGAATCGATGAGTAGGATTTCGAGAGTCTTGATGCGCAAACTAGCATCCGGAGAGTCTTCTATGTTGAAAACCTTCGTCCAAAAATCGGAGGGCATTTGTGCTTGCAGGTTCAAAACGCTAGACTCCAGTCCAGAATCAGGAAAACGCTTCATCATCTCACGGAATATGATCTTCACCATCGTATAATGTCGAATTTTGAGATATCCAAGTATCACAATAGCGTATTGGAGCTCCGTCGCCTGAAGAATTCCTCGCCTATGAAGACGCCTGAGAGTCATACGCGCTTGATCAGCTTCGCCGATCAAAGCCAGACGGAGTAGGTCAGCCACGTGCGTTGTCTCGTCTGGCTCGAGCCCGGCTTCTTTCATTAGAGCACATACACGGTAAAAACCGCGGTGGTCAATCCTGAATGCATGGTGCATTAGAAGCGTGTTCCACATCCGCATCGGAGAACCTTCAATTGTGAGACTCAAACAGGCTACGGCAAGCTTTTCAGCTAAATCAAATCGCCCGTTGGCAATGTACGCCTGAGAAATTGTGCCTATCATCGCCATCGTGATAGTAACCCGCTGTTTTTCTGCCTCGCGGAGCAGCTCGCGGACACCCTCAATGTCTCCTTTATTTGCACAAACTGCCATCATGATGCCGAATGTATGGGAATCAGGGTGTGTTTTAGCCTGGATCATCTCAGAAAACTTAGAAAAGGCTCCATCCGAGTCGCTTTTATTCGCATAGGCAGTGAGAAGAATGTTCCAACATGTTGTGTTTGGGCTTAGTTTGAATTCCTCTGACAGCCTTCGAAACTGTCGAAGGGTCCCTGGAACGTCACCTGAAGCTGCATAGACATTCAGAAGTGGGGTCAGCAGTCTGCGGCTCTTTGGTCTGCCATAATCTGCGAGAATCCTGTTAAACACAAGATTGACTTGTGACGAATTTCCAACACGACCGAAATAAGCCAAAACTTGCTTATAGGTCTCCAAGGTTGGTTTCTTGTGAAAGTGAGTGAACTCGTCGAGGAAAAACTGGATGTTGTCGGTCATCTCGAATTTGACAAGAAGGTCCAGTTGGCGCTCCCAGAGCTTTTGGTCGGGCAATCGAGGTTTCGAGGCACGATCAAGGAAGGCGCGCATATTTTGATAAAAGATTATTGAGCGGACAAAATCAAGACGCCTCATGGATGATTGTATGGATTCCATGATGTTTACATGATGTTGTAAAGTCATGATTTTCAAAGCATTCGATATCTCCATGAGAGGAGCCAGAACATCCATAGAGGTACTTGTCAGCATCCCGAGGGATGATGAGATGCGCGTGAGAAGGAGCTGTGCAATGTGACGGAAAGATTGTTGAGTAGCTTGATCGCTGGCATTGCTTTGAAGGTAGATCACCAACGCAAGTGTGTCCTCGGGCAGTGTCGAGTCATGATAAGGGGGTGGGCAAATCTTCGACTTCCGTTTTCTCTTCGCGTTAAAATGAGAATGGAGGACCCATATGTGCTCAGTCCTAACCCAGTCGCGGCACTTCAAATAGTACGAAAATGCCAATGCAAAACAAAAACCGCCTGTGCCCCTTGCCACAGCCAACTCACAAATTGTCAACAAATTGTCGGAACTTTCGCACCGAAGCTGGGAATGGATGATATTGTAAAAATGGTGATGAGTGCATTGATCTGATGGAATCAGATTAAAAACTTCCCACGCGCGCTGCGCATCGATGGATCTCTCTGACTGGCTCAAAACGGCGAGAAGTTGGGAACGAACTGATGGCGGGCATCCAGCTGCGATATAGAGCTCCCAAGTTGTCTCAGGTAGGTATTCTTCCGACGAATTCAAAAATTCCTCAATCTGAGCAGTCAGCCTTTCTGTTGAAATAATTCCATCCGTCCTATCCCGATGTGAGGGTGGGTCGCGTATTCTGTGGTCGCCTTGGGAGGGTTGCTGAACATTTGAATCTGCCGGTTTTGCCTGTGGGGTCGTTGTAGGTTCTATGGTCGTGTGCGTCACATCCTGATGTAAAGAAGACCGTGTTTTGGCCTCATATTGAGGATGATGTTGAAGGCTTGATGCTTCTGAAGCATACGTCCTCCGGAGGCTGGCAAGTGTCCTTTTCTTCCGACGCAATCCCGGCCTCCTTGATAAGCGAGATGCTCGAAGAGCCGCAAAGTTCTGTGTTTTTTCGGGGTAAAGGAAGTCAAGGAATGGTGAGTTGGCCTCGCTTGCGCTTGAACTTCGGTGTGGAGGATTGGACAAGGTGGACAAGTGTTGACCCAGTGGCTGAGTGAGGTCTAGAAACCATTGGGTGGCGTCTCCTCCAGAGATACTGTGCTTCCAAAAGTTATGGCACAAATATCTTCTTGTCCGTATTGCGCCATTGGAATCTCGAAGGAAACGCCGACCCGCGGTCTCAAAGCAGCCGGTGGCAGCACGTTCGAGCATTACCCCCGATCGTCGCTGCGTCGAACACTGAAATCACCGGAATTGATAGACAGTCTGCATCATATTGTGCCCGAGTATCCTATTTGGTCCAAGGCGAAATTAGTCGCTAGTTCTGCGGTGCATTATCTTTTAAAGAAAAAAAACCCCGAGAGTTCAAACAAGCTGTTTGGAACGCATCTTGACTTACCCGGGGGGGGGAAAAGAAAACGCGATCCACTCAAGGAGAATCTCAAGTCGGAGTTCGCGTCTAATATTCGATTGTAGTACCGTATAGAGACAAGTAAGATGTCAATTACCAGTCCGCCAGTGAAGGGTCTGGAAAAAGCCGTGAGGTTCAAGCTTCCGCAACAAAAGATTTGGGGTTGGAAAAAGCCGGGCACGAATTGGCCCATATTGCTCGTTTGCCCACCGCCTTCGTCGCAACCCACCAATCTGTCTTCCATTTGGTAGCTGAGTATATCCCCAAACCAGGTTGCCACAACAAGACAAAATGGAGATTACCGACTACATCTTCAATGAGCGAGAGGAAGTGCTCCTTGTTGGGGACTACAATGCTTACCGGGCCCATGCCACTCGGAAGTTGCACAAACTCCGCAAGAAGCTGGGTCAGGCCACTGCCAAAGGCCGCAAATACACCACTAAACCAGCCGTAACGGCTGAGAACGTCGGAGACAATGTGGCGTATGATTTCTTGTCCCCTCTTGCTCAAAAACTGTAGTGCTGACCTCTTTCCCTCCAAATAGATACGTGCATCTTTTGCTTCTTGGATCCGAACGGGCATGGGCGCATGCCATGCATATGAAATCCACACACTCTGCGGACCCATCTGCCAAAGGCATTTCCGGTGCTGCTCGTCGTCATATTATTTCACGATTAGATAAGGCGACTCGTTATGCACAGCAGCTTGTTTCTGTGCTCCATGAGCAATCGGTCTCTGGTGCGAGTGATATTGACATTCTTGAGGCTCGGGCTTATCTTGCCACAATCTCCGGTGCTTTATGTCTGGAGAAGCGTAAATGGGAACAATGTCTTCGTGACTACGCCATTGCCAGAGTCGTTTACACTGCGCTTGGCCAAAGAGTCAAGAAGGATGCCTTCCGAGACCTTCTTACTGGAACCGTTGACCCGAGCTTGCGTTACGCCGCCTATCAGATGAAACTCCCCCGCTCCAAGCCCACATCCTCCTTAGCAATTGAGTTCTTCCCGTCGGACTCAAAGATTCGATCCGAAGTGGAGAACTTTGACCCCACCTGCCTGGCCGAGGAGGCCGCGGGAACACGGAGAACCGCCGAAGGTGATGTGCAGAAATTGCCCGAGTCTGTGACCTGGAGATCTCGCACTGTTCCTTTGGATGATGCTTCGATCTCCCAGTCATTGGCTGCAGCCTCTGCTGCGGAGGCTTTGCTTGCCACTTGGCTGTCCGAGGCTGGACGATCTGCCACGGCCAAGGATCAGGCCGCGGCATACGACAATGTTATCATTGCCAGTCAGGATGCGGTTGATGCAGCCAAGACCGCCATTGATGATCTAGTTAATGAAGGTGTGGATGCTGGAGATAAGAGAATGCAGGCGTTGCAAATTACTCGCACTTCGGTCAATTACAATCTGATCGGATGGCGAGTTGGCCGTAATCGGGTGCTATGCGGTGAAAAGGATGGCCTGGCATTTGAGGATGAACAGGCCTCTGTTAACACTAAGGGCTTGAAGCAGAATGGCGGTAATGGCAAGAAGCTGAACCGACTCCGCGAACGAGCGGTGCTGTATGATTCGACTCTGCAAAGTTTGGATTTCATCCTTGAGTTGCCCGGTGTCGCCGCCGATGCGGCTTTTGTTCAGGAGCTTGAAGCCAAGCGAAGCTACTTCCGTGCTCTCAGGTATGGCTCAATATCTCTGGCTTGAATTTTTCTGTTCCTTTTTTGGCTAACGTGCTTTCTAACTAGATGCTTGACATTGGGACGCTCCCACGCTGTTTTGGGCAAGCCCACCGAAGCATTGGCACTCTTTGCGCATGCCTTTACTCTGCTTCAATCCGATATCTCACCAGCCTCTGTTGAGTCTGAGGGTCCCCCAAGACTAGACGTTTCCCGGTCACAAGTGAGTGCCTTGGCGACCATTCTGCAGGGACTTGTTGCCCAGTACCGTGGTCTTGTGACGTTGGAGAAGTTCGATGCCGACTCTAGTGTCTCGGAACAACGGCCTCTGGTTGAGCGGCTGCACCAATTTACAGCAGGAACAGACCTGAAAAACCTGGTGCCATACCCTCCTCAGATGAAGCCTGTTCCTGTGAAGCCCCTCTTCTTGGATGTGGCCTGGAACTACATCGATTACCCACACATGACAAATGCAGCTGCGACCAGCAACACGACCGCGCAAGCAGAGGCTCCTGCAGCCGAAGAGAAGACGAGCCGAAGCTGGTTTGGCTTTGGCCGGTCATAAGGTCATAATTGTTACTTAAAAACCATAAATATTACTTACATTCTGTTCCCCTCAAGCTCGCTTTATACGGATTCCAATTATACATAATCGTAACCTACATATACTACTGCAAAATATAAAGCCCTGGACTGGAAGTTCGATTATCACCTGGAACAATCGACTCCTTATCGTGCACGTGCCATCGGAGCCCTTACTTGGCTGTGAACCAATCAGCGAATACGGAATTTATCTAGCCGAGTCACGCTATGGGAGATTCTGATGACCAGGGTCCAGTGTATGGAGTAATTCAAATTAAATCGCAGGTATTTCTAAAAGACTTGTTCTTTCAAGTGTTGTCGTAACGCTCTTTTTCATGAGTTGACGCAGTAAGAAGGTTGATTCTTTTGAGTTTTCCTGCCAGGGGAACAAAGATGTGATAGGATCGTGATAGGATCTACCCCGTATTCATAGGTATAAAAAAAATATCAAAAAAATCTGCATAAACAAAGTCAACACTGAATACTTTGTAAAGTCAGAGAAATCAAGTAGAAAAGATAGTAAAACTAAGAAAGTAATAACTGAATGGATAAGCGAATCAGATCAGAAAGGTGATTTCACCAGTGCCAATAGATTAATCAATAACCATGCCATAGCAACCAAGAGGCGTAGTGGGACAGCCCGCGCATCCGGCTTCCCCGAGTGGAAATTGGCGCCGGCATTATTGGTAGTACCCGCCCCTGACCAATTTCAATTTCGAATTTCTTCCCCTCCCCCATTCCTTCTGTCGTTCGCGGGATTCCCCTTTTCTTCTTCTTTGGTCTCAAAGAAAATCCTCCCAAAAGGACAAGAGAAGGTCTCTTTCCTCTGACCTTGCGCAATCATGGTCAACATCACTGGGAGTTTTATCTCGCCGTCCGCGGACGCGACGGTCTCCCCCAAGTTCATCGCGTCGGTAGGACTCTTGAACACCATGCTGGAGGGCCTCACAATCTGGAAGCTGTTGGGAACTTTGTTCATTGCCGCCGTCCTTTACGATCAATGTGAGTGCGCTGACTCTTAAGAGGCTTTTGGAAGTCTCGAATTTTTTCTCTCTTCTGGTTGAATCCCGCTAACAACCCCTTTTCAAGTCATGTACCACTACTACAAGGGCTCAATCATCGGTCCAGCATACAAAATCCCTTTCATGGGCCCATTCTTGGAATCTGTCAACCCCAAGTTCACTGAATACAAGGCCAAATGGGACAGTGGTGAACTGAGCTGTGTTTCCGTCTTCCACAAGTGAGCAGCCCTTCGACAGATTATATACACCTATCTTCAAACATGCGACAGCCGGGTTACTCGCAAAGCATTTGGGAGATACTTTCGCCGGAATCAAAAACACTGACATTTTCCCCTTAGGTTCGTCGTTATCGCATCGACTCGTGACATGTCCCGGAAGATCTTCAACTCGCCCGCATACGTGAAGCCCTGTGTCGTGGATGCCGCACACAAGCTTCTCGGAAAGACCAACTGGGTCTTCTTGGATGGTAAGGCGCATGTCGACTACCGCAAGGGTCTCAACGGTCTGTTCACTCGCCAGGCTCTGAGCATGTACCTCCCCCGCGTTGAGGAGGTCCTCAATGTCAGCTTTAAGCGTTTCCAGGAAAAGTCCGCCGCCCTGAACCACGAGCCCACTCCTTGGATGCCTGACTTCCGTGAGCTCATGACTGCTCTTTCTTGCCGTACCTTCGTTGGTTACTACATGTCCGACGAGGTCGTCCAAAAGGTCGCCGACGACTACTACCTCATTACCGCCGCTCTCGAGCTGGTCAACTTCCCTATTATTCTGCCCTACACCAAGACTTGGTACGGCAAACGCGCTGCTGACATGGTTATGGTTGAGTTCGCCAAGTGCTCCGCTAAGAGCCGTGCTCGCATGGCTGCTGGTGGTGAGATTTTGTGCATCATGGACGCTTGGGTCAAGGCCCAGCAGGATTCTGCCGCATACCGTGAGAAGATTGCCAAGGGTATCCAGGTTGACGACTCCGAGAAGCCTCCCCAGGTTCTGCGTGACTTCAGCGACTACGAGATCGCCCAGACCATGTTTACCTTCCTTTTCGCCTCCCAGGATGCTACCAGCGCCGCCGCTACTTGGTTGTTCCAGCTCATGGCTGACCGTCCCGAAGTCTTGGACAAGGTCCGTGAGGAGAACCTCCGTGTCCGCAACGGTGACCGCAATGTTCCCATCTCCATGGAGATCCTGGATGAGATGCCCTACACTCGTGCCGTTGTCAAGGAGACCCTGCGCTACCGTCCTCCCGTTATCATGGTTCCCTACCTCGTCAAGAAGGATTTCCCCATCACCGACAAGATCACTGTCTCCAAGGGCTCCATGATCATCCCGTCAGTCTGGCCGGCCACTCACGATGAGGAGGCCTACCCCAACGCCGACTCGTTCGACCCGGACCGCTGGATCACCGGTGATGCCGAGGCGCAAACAAAGAACTGGCTGGTCTTTGGCACAGGTCCCCACTACTGCCTGGGTCAGACCTATGCCCAGCTCTCGCTCATGGCCATGATCGGTAAGGCCAGTATCGAGATGGACTGGGAGCACACCCCTACTCCTCTCTCTGAGGACATCAAGGTTTTTGCCACCATCTTCCCTAAGGTATGTTTTTTTTTACTCAATTCTTCCGCTATTCAAATTTCCTCTCGGTTTCTAACAAGCATTTATTAGGATGACTGCTTCCTCACCTTCCGTCCCCGCGCTTAAATTTCAAACCTTTTTTAATGCCAAAACCAAAAAGCTCTGAAGCTGGAACCTCGCCCCCAACGTCCGGATAGAAGGGCTAGGTCATCCAGCTTGACCTTTCTATCCTGGAGATAGAGTGGTCATTTCACTTCACCCTTTCAATTCTCAATCTCGATTTGGCAGGTTTGGTAGCATAATGGGTGGAAGAAAAGAAAATCCCCCATGATTTGTTCATACTCATTTGCCAGTTGAGCGGGCGCCTGGGATCCTGATACCCTGACCTTGTACCATGCGCATTCTTGGGCATTTCCGTTTCTTATACCCTAAGAGCGGAGTAACCCAATTCTCACATCACATAGACTAATATTAATTCACTTCTATCCTTATTTGATTTCCAATGCAAATGTCCTTCCATGACTTCAAGATACCTTCCACATGATCGATTGTCGCGTGACTTGTACTTAAACTTATATATACTATCTAGTACCTAGTCATAGGTAAGCACGGATGAATCTCGAGGGCACTTTGAAAGACTTTAATGCCCATTCCCTTTATCACTGCAAGTGATAGAAAAGGTGGTCGCTCTTTCCTAAGCAGGTACTACTACTACCCCATACATATACTTTGCGAGACACACCCCAACCAAGCAGGCGGTGACAGCCGGCACTGACATCATCTTATCTCCATCGCCGACACTCCATATCCGCAATTCCGCCGACTGTCCTGCATATACAAAAACCACAATGTCAGGATTACCATCTACCATGCGGCGCTCGGTCGCTAGCCTCACCTCAACGGTTCTAAAAGCTCCTACCCGCCAATCCCTCTCCCCAGCTTTCAAAAGAGGCTCCCTCTCCGCAACAACCCGAGGATTCACTTCCCTACCCTCAAGACGCGGCAGCATCGCGCTCACAAATGGATTAAGCCGCAAGATCCAAAGTCAGGACCCACGCCGTCTTCCCGGCCAAGTCCGATGGAGCAGTGATGAGCCCCTGAACTTGCGGCAGTGGGGTTTTGAAGATGTATGTTGCCAGTCCAAGCTATCACTAAGTCGCTGAGGGTTCGAACTTCACATGTATACACGCCGACGTGTAGATGAATCTTCGCTCAGGATTTCATTCCAAGAGAGCATCCATTGTTCTAATACATTCATTTAGATTACCGCCGCTCTGCCTAGTACAAATGTCTCCTCGCCAACACACTCGCCCATCTTCATTGATGTCCGCGAACCCGCCGAACTAAACGCTACCGGCATCATTCCCTCGGCTATCTGTATCCCGCTCGCTTCCCAGCCTGATGCGCTCTACCTTACCCCCGATGAATTCGAGACCCGTTTTGGCTTCCCTAAGCCGTTTGCCGATAAGGATCAACAGATTGTGTTTTATTGCAAGGCTGGTGTGAGGGCCAGGGCTGCGGCGCAGTTGGCTGTTCAGGCGGGATATAATCCGGAGTCTCTTGGTGTTTATGATGGTAGTTGGTTGGATTGGCAGAAGAAGGGTGGAAAGGTTGAGAAGTGGGAAGGTGATGATTTTTGATTTAGTGAATACTATCTAGTTCCAAGGTTAGGACTATCTATGGATGGATTGATGCTATGAAGTCGGAACTTCAACTTGGGAGGTGTACATAATACGTCTAGAAATTGATCCACGCGAAAGAAAAGACTACGGTTATCATTAGTAATTGTGGAAATAGACGAAAGCTTGAATCTAAACAAATTTCAGTAAAAAAAGCAAATTTAAAGCATAAAGAAATCTGCGTAAGACAAGATTTCTTATTTTTCCCATGTCAATCATGTACAGGCGACTTTTTCTTTTTTGCCTAGTCGTGGTCGTTCCATGATAGTATGTCCATCACAATCAAAAACCCAAGAACTTTTTTTCGCTTTTTGGTTGGTCATAGTCATATTCGGCACTTAATACCTGTGCCAACAATCTCATAAGACATACCACATCAGGTCCAACAATCCATTCAAACAGAGGCGGGGGGGAATCAGGAGGTAACCAAGGTTCACGCGAGAAAAGGCCAGCCAAGAAGACGAGATGAAAACCTAAATTGATATCTGATGATGGCGTGTTATCTCATCACCTGTGAAAGCTGGAAGCTGGAAAGCCTCACGCTCAAGGAATGTCGAAAACGGGCTTGAGCTTCTTGACAAGACCCCACTCTTCCATGGTAACCTCAGCACGGTAGAATTCCTTCAGGGTATCGATACTGGCACGCGAGATAACAGAGTACAGTTGGTCCTTCTCCTCAAGCTGGCGGCCGTACATGGGCTGGTTAGGTCCCTCGATCTTGACGGCGACTGAAGGCTGACCCTTCTTGCAGACAGGGATGGCCTTGTGGTCACGCTCAATGGATGTCCTGTGTTAAAAGGCTCCGTTAGCATGCGAATAGGATAGTCATTGTTGGAGGGTTATAAACTTACACTCTACCGATGTTGATAATCTCCTTCTTACCCTCCGCGTTGGTCCGCACAGCGGCAAGTGGGGTGTGCATGCGCAAACTACCCTCAAGAACATCGATACCAATGACAATGGGATCCTTCTTGTTGAAGATAGCAACGGGAGCAATCACACAGGGGAAGACAGCAAGCAACTTGCTCTCCTCCTTACGCTGTTCAGTGAGCTCTGCCATGTGCTTGGTGAAGTCGTCGAACAGGTGGTAGATAATGTCGGCAGTGAAGATCTTGACGCCGACCTCAGCAGCGTAGGCAGCGGCATCCTTGTCAACCTTGACATCGAAGCAGAGCATGACTGCGAACTCCTTGGCCTTTTCCACCATAGTTCCAGCCATCATGACATCGCGCTTGAAGACAGGTCCAATAGAGATGTTGGCCACGGGAATCTTGGAGACCTTCAAGAACTCCAAAAGAGCCTCAAGGGAACCCAGAGTGGAGGCTTGCACAGTGACACCACGCTGATCAGTGGAGACACGGCTGAGGAGGTTCTCAAGATCAGACATGATCTCGTCCTCCAGGTCCTCTTCATCATCATTGGGACCGACAACCAAGAGACGGGAACCGGCAATGGCGTTCTCCAGATCGTTGGCAGCAATCTTAACACCCAACGCGGCCTTGACCTCCTTGTTGTGCACATATTGAGACTTCAGACGGAGTTCCTTAAGCGGTGCCGGTGTTAACAGTGCTCGAATATTGGTTGTAATAGCACCATTCAAACCACACAAAACAATTCGGTCACCCTCACGCAGGATACCGTTGGACAGAATAACATCAATGGTGGTACCAAGACCCTCAATGACCTTGACTTCCAGAACGGTACACTCAACCTCAGACAAGTACATGAGAGAGTTGGTCATACGCTCCTGGGACAGAGAGGTGAGAAGCTTCAGCATGTCAGGGATACCTTCACCGGTGTGGGCGGAGGTGGGGACCAAGGACACGTTCTTGGCCAAGGACTTGTTCTCGAAGAAAAGCTCAGAGTTGAAACCCTGCTCGGCGAAAGCGAGCTTGGTAGCCTCGAGACGTGTGCGGAACTCATTCTGAACACCCTTGTTTTGCATCGACAGACTGTCCTCGAAACCGTTGTTATCGATCTTCTTCCAGCCGTAAAGACGATCGATCTTGTTCAGGGCCACAATGAAAGGAGTCCTACGGTCACGCAGCAAACGCATGGATTCCAGAGTCTGGGGCTCCAGACCGTGCATGATATCGACAACCAAAATAGCAATGTTGCAAAGGGAAGAACCTCTTGAACGCAAGTTGGAGAAAGACTCGTGACCGGGGGTATCGATGATCAACAGACCGGGGACCTTGAACTCAAACTTGCCATCCTTGTTGACAACGGCGGTCTTCTGCTTCAGGGCATCGACGGGGAAGTAAGTAGCACCAATCTGTTGCGTAATACCACCAGCTTCACCCTCCTGCACGTTGGTTTGACGAATCTTATCCAACAGCTTGGTCTTACCAGTATCGACGTGACCAAGAATACAGCAAATGGGAGAGCGCAGGTTGTCCTTGGAACGAGCCGCAAGGGCCTCCTCGTGCAGCTTCTGTCTGCGTTCAGCAGCCTCGGCCTTCCTTAGAGCAATAGCTCTTTGGTTAGCAGACTGTTCTTCGTCCTCAGAGGAAGAATCATCATCGGAATCGTCTTCAGAATCTTCCTCCTCCTCCTCGTCTTCTTCCTCCTTGGCAGCACCGTTAGCAGCGGGCTTCTCCTCCTCCTTCTCATCATCAGTAGCGGCATCCCAGCTGTCCTTCACATCGTCATCATCCTCAGCAGCAGCAGCCTCCCAGTCATCGACGGCATCTTCCTCATCGACGGCGGCAGGACCCTTGGCAGCCGCGGCTTCGGCCTTAGCCTTCTCCTCAGCCTCCTTCTTACGGCGTGCATCCTCAGCTTCACGCTGAAGACGGGCACGCTCGGCAGCGGCTTCAAGATCGACCTCCTCTTGCTTCTTGCCGCCCTTCTTCTTGCGGTTCTCGTAGACAGGACGCTTCTTGTCGGTAGCACCCTCTTCGAGACCAGCAACCTTGCCTACACCAGCTGCAAGCATCTGCTGCATGCGCCTCTCATTGCGCTCCTTGGCCTCCTTCTGGGCCTTGGTAAGAAGCTTGCCCTCCTTGCGCAGCTGCTCCTTCTTCTCACGCTCACGCTCCTTCTTCAAGGCACGGGCAGCCTCGCGCTTAGCTTCGGCCTCGGCCTCCAAGCGCTCCTGCTCCTCAGCAGCCTTCTTCTCCTCCGCGGCGAGGCGCTCTTCCTCCTCACGCTGCTGACGAAGCAGCTCCTGTTGCTTTTGAAGAGCAGCAAGGTGGGGCGGAAGCTTCTTCTTCTTGCCACCAGTCTCTACAGCAGGAGCCGCAGCAGCAGCTTCCACTTTCTTGGCTTCGGCGACAGCCTGAGCGGCCTCGGCCTTTTCCTGAGCGGGGGTGCTCTTCTTCTTCAAAGCAGCCTATAGGAAAGAGAAAAAAAAGCAGAGCGTTAGCGGATTTCCAATAATCTGTTGACCAGTATACTGCAGTCAAAAGACATACCTGTTCCTTCTTTCTTTGCTTCTCGCGCTCCTTCTTCTCCTTCTCCTTCTCCTTCTTAGACTTAACACGGAACTCTCCCTCTTCGGGCTCTGCAGCTGGAGCTGGGGCGACTTCCTTAATGGCCTTCTTAGGCTTGCCGGCAAACACATCGTCGTCATCAAAGTTACCCTCTTCGGGTTGCTTGCTAGCAAGATCGGCGGCAAGATCGGCGGCAGGCTCAGTGGCATCTTCACCCTCAACGAAGTCGTTGGTCTGCTTGTTCTTCTTCTTCTTCTTCTCCTTGTTCTTGCGCAGAGCAGCCATCAAACCACCGGCGGCAGGGGCCTCATCCTCGGCACCATCCTCGGTCTGGTCGTTGGTGGGGGCATCAACGGTAGGGGCCGACTCGCCGAGCTCATTCTCCCAGTCCTCGTCCTGGCGCTTGTTTCCCTTCTTCTTGGGAGCCATCGTACCGGTTTAAAGGTAGATTTGTGGGTTTTATCTTTTTTTGGTCGGGTTCCGGATCGGAGGGCGATCGGAGGGACGCAGTGGGCGCACAAACGGAGCTAACCGTTCACTTGCGGAATGTAGCCGGTGAATCTGGCTTCGCGACCACGTAATATCAGAACGGAACTGTGGGAAAACTGTTCCAGTTCCTTGAAAACTCAAATCCCCAGAAAAGAAAGGCGGATTTGGTGGATTGAGGGGAGAGAGTTGGGGAGAAAAAGAATTTCGGGAAGAATGACTTTTGGTGGGGAAACAATGCAATCTGCCTTCAAGTCTTTTTAAGTCTTAACGTCGCCACTCCACTGTTGTACACCCAAGTATAGAACTGCTTTTCTTCCCTTTATTGCTACAGAACTGGTACAACTTTGCGACGAAACATGAAGCTTGCCCATTTCTAAATAAAACAGTCTATTCACTTACTTTCCCATGTTTCTAATAAGTGAATTATTCTTGTCATATTCTTATTGACCAGTTGGTATTCACTGCTGTGCTCGTCATTACTACCGCAAGTCTGAGTCTTGACCTAAACATTTTCTAGGTTTCTTTATACACACTCGCCACTATTTTCTGGATGATAATGCTTTTATAGGTGTGGGTTTTCTGTCATTTCGTTAGAAGTAACTAAATTCGCAAATTATGTACAAATATACTCTCTAAAGATACTCTCTCTATCAATAGTCTCCTCCCGAGGTCAGCTCAGATAGTTATATCAAGCATTTTCCGCAGCCAAATAAGAACTGCTTCCACGGACAACTGCCCGACAACCTGTAGAGCAAGCTGGTTGAAAAGCTCCTCTGCTGAATTTGATCTGGGGCTAGAAGAACCTAGCGATGTAATCATAGCCTCAAGAAAGTCCGGGCCACGCTGTGACAGACGGTAAAGAATATCCCCGTCAATGTGATATCCAGTCAAATCATGGGGATCTCTTCGTCGCATCTTTCTACTAGCAGATGGGGCAAGCACTCGGTCCCTGTAGCATATATTCTGTAAGAATGACAACAACTGGAGCTCATCTGCCTTGGGCAAAAGGAATCGGCAGATGGAACCGGAAACGTTAAACCCGTACAGAACGTTGCCACCGTTCCTGTCAGAAACAAATCGCAATACCGACTCATCGAGTGTTGCCTCAGGGACTGCACTGGGTAGTGTGAGATTAGGGTGGACAAGGTAGGTTTTGCTGGGGATGGCACCAAAGATCTTTCCACCAAGGAAGCTCACGAAGATCTTGTCGCCGTTCTCATGGCAGGCAACGTGAGTCAAACCATCTCGACGGGTGTGGTCCCAGGAGCGGAGAACCAGGACAGAGCTCTCATTCGTTTCGGATTTACGAATGATTTCGAATACCAGCCACGAGTGTCGTGCAGTCAACACAAATACGAATTGTCCGTGGACGGAGATGGAAACCACCGTAGAGGGGAGTTTTTCTTCTGTGCCTTTGTGCCACGTTGTAGATCCTGTCTTGGATGGAACAGGGATCAGACGGTTCCCCGCTCCGATTATCAGACCATCTTTGTAGGCGGCCATTGCATTTATTGGTCCATCCAGAATCCGGGTGTACCGAATGAGACAGTTTATGCTTTCTGGTGCGGATGAGTCTCGTCGAGGCACCATTAAAATAAGTCTTCCTTGCCGAGGGCCGCAGCTTTCCAAGATTGGCATGGAAGTGCCAATGGCAACCATATGATAGATCTCTCCATCCCTCTCAAATTCCCAGTCCAGGATACAGGTGATTGTTTCTCCACGGGACGACTCAGTTTGCCAGGGCTGCATGGTGGACCCATGGACCAAAGACTTTTGGGTATCTGGATCCACAAATTCGATGTAAGACTTAACGGTCTTGTTAAGAGGAAGATCGGGGTTCTCAAAACAAGGGACACTGTAGGCTAAAATCAAAGTCTGGAGAATTTTCGAGTACACCATTTTCTGGGGCTTCCCAGGCAGACCAATGCGTCGCGGAACCACCTTAGCTTCTTGGTTCAAAGAGCATATTAGAAGCTGTCGATCTGCAAAGCAGAACAGATTTCCCGATGAAGCCTCTAACTCTGAATCCCGTAGGCCGATAACGTCGAATCCAGAGATGGAAAGCGGGAAGTATGCGGGCTGTAATATGAATACATTAGATATTGATTCATTTCCGACTTCAGATTGGACTCACATTGCTCTGGTCTGTGATCCAGACTTGTCGAATAAAATATTCCGACGGCATACAATCGAAGCTGTAAGATACGTACCACAGCTCATCTCCACATGTCAGCAGGGCGAAAGTGTTCTGCCCTTTCAGCCGGATGGAGGTTGTTCCGATGCGGTTGGCTTGTTTTTGTTGCAGTTCTGTATACATTTCATGTGAGTAATGCATCAATACCGATGTTGTATGGGAATTCAAATGAAAGCAAGAACATACCGATCAATGTACTTGAATCGAAATCGACTTTGAAGGAGACGAGCATCCCGCTTCGCAATCCACAAAGTAAAAATGCATGCAAGGCGCCATCCGAGGAGTTGGTTCGGATGGTCGCAAAGCTTTCAACAACAGTGGACAAATCGGAATATTCTTCATCAAGCGCGATAGAAGTTTCAAATACGAAGACAATGGTGTCGTCTTCAATGACGAAAACGTCAATCGTGCCATCGGGATTGCCCAAGAAGATAAATGGTTTACCCCCAAAGGTTTGCAGACAAAGGCAAACAGGCTCTTTGGCAATATTGACAGGCTCGCTAACATTCAAGTGCACTTGTTCACCATCGTCAACTATTTTGCTTAGATAGAGGCATATCTGGTCTCTATCCCGCATAGCGGTAACCACGGTTGAGCCTGGCCCATCAATAGCTACTGCAAGGATAGCTATGCCACCTTTATGCGACACGCTCTTGTTCAAAGAAAGGTTGTGAAGGGCAAAGAAGTGAGTAGCGTCCTCAGTAATCTGAATAAGCACACCACTAGGGGTGCATCCAGCAGCCAAGGTTTGTCTATCGTCTAGTCCTGTCTGTTCCTCGTCGAGGGCGCTGATTGGCTCCTCCGATGCCGGATCCAAGTGGAGAACTAAGGTTGAAAGATGATCAGAGAGCAGGATGTAAACACTATCGTTTATAATGTCGGGCATGATCCACATGTCTCGGACATGGGAAAAGTCATCAAGAGGTACGTTAAAGCCCTGTTGAGCCTCGATGCCCCATCGAAACTCATGAAGCGCGCCACCATTGGCTGTTGAGTCGGAGCAAGCAAAAAGGCGATTGCTAGCAATGCCTCCATGGGCGTTGGCTTGGGTCACTGGATATACCATGGTTGCATCCCGGACTGGGGCCCAATTGGCAAATCGTTGCACACACCTCGGACCAGCTCGAGCTTCTTGTATAAAAAGCCCGCCATCACCAGTGCTACCAGATGCAAGGATAAAATCACCACCTTGTGACCCCATGTCAAGGACATCAAATGCCATATCAACATCACATTGAATCTGACCCAGGGAAGTTTGAGTTTCTAGATCTCCCTCATTGCCGAACTCCAGCAGATAGATCCAGCCGTCTTCACGGCAAAGGTAAATCCCATCGTGGCTTTGACTGTATAACCAGTTACGGGCAGGTCTTGCCCAGCGAGTCCACATCGAAGCTCCACTGATGTCTGGATTCGGGGCAAGATATGGGTACCTAGTGGGAGGATGACTGCCATCGGAAGGATAGACTGCCATGGAGGTGGTGGTGAGGACCAAGAAGGACGATTCTTTGGTCAATGGAACAATCATGGTCGGTAATCTGTGCTGCTTGCGGAGCTTAAACTTTGTTAACTCTGGGGCAAGAGCACTGAGCTCTTTGCCCTCTTGCCACGAATACCTCTCGGCATAGGTGACACCCTCTCGTTGCAGAATCAAAAGCAGCATTATGTTTTTATCATCCGCGGATTTTGGATAAAGGAATTCCATAAACATGATTATGCCATCGGTCTGGAAGTATTTCTCCTACGTGACATATGTCAGTAGCTGATCTACTAAGAATCGATGAGTGCGTACAGTACCTCTTGGATGGGATTCAGGACTCCGTGAAGCATTTCATTCTGGATTTCATGGGGAGGTTTTAGTCGCATGATGCCGAAGAAGTTTTTGGCCGCACAAACTGCGACCGCGCGAGACCTAACCCATAATTAGCTTGCCGTAGGTAGTATGGCCAAAAAAGAAAAACATATTCTCACTTTGGATCAACAGCAATCTGCTTGCCAAATCGTATTTCCAAGCTCACATTGATAGGAAACGGAACACGAAATGTCACAAACTGCTTAGGCTTTAGTGGAGAACAGTAGAGGAAAAACAACTCCTTCATGCCGACAACAAGGACAAGAATCTGTGCTGGACCATCATGCGTAGCCTCAGAGCGAATCTGTGATTCAAGTGGTAGTTCTGTGATCACATTGAGAACTTTTGCTGCATCGATTGAGCCTGAGAAGTCTGTCTTCTCGGCTACGTCCTGGAGGTAGCTAGTCCCCGTTGCTTCCTTAATCTGGACGCGATTATGGCTCACGAAAACAACGTCGTTGAGGTTCTGGTTTCGAAGACGGGCAGGTAAAATCCATTTGATCACCGGGCTGGCAAGGATCGTTTGAGTGACGAGGCCATACCTTTCCTCCTCATCGAGGGAGGGGGCAAGATGGGATGCGTCAGGCATGTTTCGAGATGTCAAATATCAAATAGATGACGCTTTCGTATTTGAACCGTGAGGAACGAGATTCAAAAAAAAGCTCAAGAATAGATGAGGAAAGGTGAATGGAAAAAAGGAATAGGAAAGGGCGAGTGAAGATGATAGGAGAAGGGGTGGAAGATTATAAAGAAAGACAGAATCGCAAGACAAAAGAACAGTGAAGAAATGTTTAAGACGCTAGGCTCTTTTTATAGGAAGTAAAAAGCAGAAACCTTGGGCTGTCGCCTGAAAATTTGGGCAGTGAGACAATGTTCCTTAGTGAGTGCAAGCACCAGATGGTTCAAATGTTGGCTGTGCTTTTCATTCGTTAACGGTGAATGGACAAGGCATTGGTCTGTTCAATAATTGGCAGCTCACACAATTAGGAACTAAACTTGAGGAATAGTAATATAAACCTTAAGTGCCTCTCCTTTGTTCAAAGAGTCTTAGGCAAAATAAGATTTATGCTTCTTATGATGCACTGGTTGTTGCGAATGACGATTGATGATAGTTCATATGCCAGAGACAAATCAGACAGCTTCCATAGAGCGTAAACTCATGAATATCATGTGATTCTACCAGACATGTAGAGACCTATGTAGAAATGAGTATGTATAAGGACCTGGGGCGGATGGGAGGTCTCACGGGACATACAGCTGGATGCTTCCAGATGGAGAATCGATGTGATGCAGCAAGTAGAAGGCAGAATCAAAACAATATCAACCCAATCTAGACCACTCATATGGCAGCACTCTTTAGCCTAGCAAAGCTTAAGGTATACGGGAGCTCTAGATCATTAAGAGCTAGTACTTGCTCCTGCCGGCGGGGTGATTTTCCGGTCACTGCAGGACCTAAAGGTCAAGGCAGCTTGGAACTGATTTGATCCTTGGAGATCCTATGGTGGTTTTTCCACTACCGTTTTTGGTCACCTTTATCGCCGAATCACTAGGAGTTGGGATCAAAAGTGGATGTTTTCTTAAGATCCCAAAGTGCAAGTGGAGGAATCACGTTGGCACTTATGCCTCAGGCAGCTAAGCGGGATCGGTCCACCTGATATGCATATCAGCACTCCTGTCCTTTCTTCAATGTTCATTCAGGCTTACCATCAATTCGCAACAGCTATAACATTAATTGATTATTTGGAAAATATTTGGTCTTAATATCGGCACATTCTTCACTCTTCCTTGTGCTGTGAAGCCGTTAACTGCGAACCATATTCCAGACAGCTCCCGGGAATTAAAACCTGCAGGATAAATGCCTATCGGGCCAGTCCAGATAGTGTGAACGCAGTTTGCCATAACTCAATCGCACTCTCTGCTTTTTTTCCAAGCCTGTTTCTCATATCCTGAACAAAAACTCCCGCTTTCAGGCTGCGCGTGCGGCAAATATTTTAATAATGGCTTCTCCTGGTATTGAGCAGCACAATGAGAGCTCGGTGGAGGTTTCCTCCCTTGATGAATCGAAGCTCTCCCAATCTTCAAGTGATTTGGATGAAAAATCGCCGGAGGAGCAAATGAAGGAAAAAGCCCGATCAGAGAAAGTTGAAGCGATTTGTCAGGCATGCAATTCTCGTGACATGGAGAGATTAGTCGCCTATGCTGTGAGCGAAGGTGGACTTTTGGAGGACGAGCTCCGACAAAAAGCGTGTAAGATTCAAGATTCAATAGACACGTCAAACTCGGCTGCGGAGCAACCGCTTACCTTTTCTGGCAGGGCCTATTCTTCTACAATCCGACAGAGGTTCACAAAACGATAGCCTGGTACCGTCAGATGAACTCCCACCGCATACCGATGAGGAACAAGTTCAGTTGGACGTTAATAGGTCATTTGTCTACTATCCAACTAATCTTCCTGAAGAGGATATTGCCAAGAAGAAGGAGCAGTTGTCAGCCTTGATCACCCAGGTCCTTCGGAATTACCCTATGCTCTGTTATTTTCAGGGGTATCATGATATTGTGCAAGTATTTTTCTTGGTCCTGGGGAATCAACGAGCCGTATCAGCCATGGCCCATATCTCCCTTTTCCGCATCAGAGATTATATGCTTCAAACACTATCCCCGGCTATCAAACATCTGCAACTCATACCTGCAATCATCGAAACGGCTGATCCCGCTTTGCGAAAACATCTTGCTCATATCCAGCCATTCTTTGCTCTTGCTGCCACACTTACCCTTTATGCACATGATATTCAGGAATACAACGACATTGCCCGGCTGTACGACTATTTGTTAGCAAGGGAGCCGGTAGTGTCAATCTACTTGTTTGCGGCAATCATTCTGTCCCGAAAGAAAGAGCTCTTGGATATTCCTCTGGATGAGCCTGAGATGCTCCATTTCACTCTTTCCAAGCTTCCGCAGCCACTGGATCTAGATGGTCATATTCTACGTGCAGAGCAGCTCTTCAGGGATCATCCTCCCGAGACTTTGCCCTGTGGAATGTGGAAAAGTATCTCAAGATACAGTGTACTCAAGACTTCGAGGGGCTCATCTCCTATCTATACTGTTGAGGAGGCAATGAGGCTATTTGAAAAGCAAAACCGGCAAATTCGCAATGAGGAGCTTCGAAAGCAAGCCGTTGATTTTGCATGGAAACATCGACGGACAGCTGGATCCGTTGCGCTGGCTATCTTGGTCGGTGCGGCATCCTTTTATCTCCGCAGAAAGGGGCTGGATACTTCGATATGGTCCTTTATTTGTCGAGTTCAAACTTTTTTTGTTTGAATTCTTGACGTGTATTAATGTTATGATTCTTAATAAATTTAATCGATGTCCTGTGCTTGAATGTTGGAGCCTTCTTGAAACCTTCCAAGATTGGAAATTGGAACGTGCTTCATGGCCCTTGGACTAGGGTCCGGTATCACCTCAATTGATATCTGGAATGTTGGAACATTTGAAGGTGACTTGATTAAGGTGTGCATGACAGCAAAAAAAAACACATACTGCCTTAGAATTCTGTACTGAATGACAAAAGTTAGGATGACAACAAAAAAACCGCGCACTGCCTTAGAATTCTATATAGAATGGCAAAAGTCAGGATGAAAGCAAAAAAAACTGCGCACTGCCTTAGAATTCTATATAGAATGGCAAAAGTTAGGATGATAACAAGAAAACTGCGCACTGCCTTAGAATTCTGTACAGAACCCATACATATATGTAGATTTATATTGTTAGCCATTTCCACACTTGAGGCCCTTCAAAGTTCTTCAAAGACTCATAAAATCGACTATTAATTATTAGAGGAACCCTTCATTTATAAAAGAAACAGAAGAAGTGGCAGAGAATGGATAGATATCCACTTGCGCATATACTAGTACTACTACATACATTAGACCACAACCACGTGTGGCTGAAAGTGTGGCGCGGTCCCGGGGAAAGCTGATGTGTACACTTCACATCTCCCCGATAACAATCACCTCCACCAGCTTAAAACATCCACCATGGCGAACAGAGGCTACGATGTCGTAGTTGATGTGGACGCAGAGGTAAGCTTAACTTCAGTTTACGCCAAATGACCGTCTTCTCACAAATATCACAGGGCGACCTCGGCCACACCGACCTGCAAGAGGATCTTGAATTCCATTCCTCAAGTGAGTTTCAAATCGACCTCAAGATGCGATCAAAAGAGCTCTAACAATTACCTTTCTCCAACTAGACTTCGAGAATGACCAACGTACCGCTAAAGCCCAAACCGACTCCGCACCTTTCCTAGGCGGCTCCTCCTCCCGCGGTCGCGACCGATCCCCTGGCGGGACTCCTACCAAGCACAGCTGGTGGTCAATCCACTACTACGAGCGATTCTTCGACGTCGATACAAATGAGGTCTTCAAACGCTGCATGGCGACGCTGTACCCGCGCTCAAACTTCCTCGATGTCCTCGAAGGAAACGCGGATCTCTACGGCCCAATCTGGATCGCGACGACCGTTGTCGTGATTTTGTTCCTCACTGGCACAATCTCTCAGTGGTTGTCCAACAATGACGATAAGCACTTCGAGTACGACTTTACGTTGCTGTCGGGTGCCGCGGGCCTTATCTACGGGTACACCGGTATCTTGCCAATTGCGCTGTGGGGAGCTCTGCGCTGGTTCGGGAGCTCCACGGCTGATCTGATTGAGTGCTGGTCTCTGTACGGGTACTCGAATCTGGTCTGGATTGCTGTGGCGCTGGTCAGCTGGAGCCCGCTTACTGCGCTGAACTGGGCGCTTGTGGGTGTTGGCTTTGCGTGGACGGCTTTCTTCTTGCTGCGCAATCTTTACCCGGTGCTGAATGCTACCGATGCTAAAGCGAGCAAGATTCTGCTGGTATTGGTTGTCTTGATGCATGCTGGCTTGGCTATTGCGATCAAGATTCTCTTCTTTGCGTGGGTTTCCCTCCTGTCTTCCTGAATTTTCCATTTTCTATCTGCTAACACTCTTAATAGGCATGCAAGCCCCGTCTCTAAGAAAAACAAGGACACAGGCAGTGACGAAAGTAATGAGAGTACGCTACGCATGATGTTCTGAGCCTATAAACGGGTGATGCAATTTCCGGGCGAGATTAGTACTTCGCGTACTTATATTGTTTCTACTTTTCTTGCGTGGCACAGAAATGAAATGTATTTCTAAATCGCATGGGCCGTTTTGGCCCTGATACCTACAATCCAACTGGGAGTGAGGATTTTCTTCTTTCCCTTGAGAAATTAGCTTGGAGCTACAATGGCCAGATGGTAATATGCCCAACATTGGAGGCGTTAGGTATATCAAGGTTGAACAAATGTAATTTTGGCGTGAATTGGATAGCTGCCAGTAAGTATTATGATCGATGTGGGTTGGGCAGGCCGCTCCAAGAAATATCCAAACCGCGCCAAAAGTTCGCGTCAAATCCCACTTTGGCAAAGACCGACCTCGATACATCCATATGCCAGGTGTCCACTTGTTCAACCATTGGGACCCCTAAGGGTCGGAAAGCTCAATAATTTCGAACATCTGCATTGTTTGAGTGAGATAAAGTAATCGAATTATATCCACATTAGACTACTTACTAGTAGCCGAAGCCCAAGAGAGCTCGGTCCTCACCTTGATCTGACCGTATATTATCATTGATACATCCGAATACCTAGAAGAAAGCCTCAGCGCTCAACGTATGACGAAGCATAGGGATTTTGCCTTGGGATCGTCATTGATAAAAATAGCTCCCAACCTTTAGGACTGGTCCCACCAGAATCTTGAGTTGAGGTCCACAATTGGTCATTTGAGTATCCAGACAATATCAAGTCACTAAGCCATAAAGAGCCACTTGAGTAGTATGAAGACTAGACTTGCAAAGACCTTATCGCGATGACCTCAAACGAGCCCCGCACTATCGCTAATTTAATCGATCTAATCGATATCGAAGCATATTTTGGCCTGCAAAAATTTGAATATTTGAACTTTTACTTCAATTCATGGATTGCGACTTGGACCTCGAGAGGAGCCAACTAACAAAAGTAGTATCGTGGCTGTGATTGTTTCATCATTTCTAACGCCATGTAAAAACCTCTCCGTGTCGCATCCCAGCCAAAACCCAGACCTGGAATCGGCACCACAGCACCCCGAGCACAAGACCGATCGATAAGCGAGTCGACTACTTGAGCTTCTTCTTGGGGCGGAGCTGGTTGGTGTGTCCGCACTTCTTCTTGCGGCAGTTGGTGGCACGAGGAGGGAGACGAGCCTATAATTTGTAGGTTAGTGTCTGGTTCTGATTGGTCTTTTGATCCGTCGGTTGAATCGATTGTTGCTTTGGCCGATGGGATGATCGCGTAATGCAATATTCCAAATCGGTGTATGGCATCGGGTAATTTCAGGTTGGTTGGAATTTTAACGTACGTAGCACTTGCGGCAGATGGACTTCTCGCAGTTGTACTTGGAGGCAAGGGCCTTGAGGGAAGGCTCAATGATACCACCACGCAGACGGAGGACAAGGTGAAGAGTGGACTCCTAAAGATTGAAGTCAAGTCAGTCACGGTTCCGGACTTTGTCGCACAAGTCATTTCGCAAATCGTATCGAATATCGGTCGGTATTCCTTCTCTTTCGTGCTCATCAAATATTGTGTCGTAGTTCCACATGAAATTGTCGGTCGGAATTGAATTCCATTATGTATAGCGCCCCCACCATAAGCCGGCCGATATCGATACGATATGAATAGGACTTGTCGATGCGGATCACGAATTTCATCATACCTTCTGGATGTTGTAGTCGCTCAGGGTGCGGCCATCCTCGAGCTGCTTGCCAGCGAAGATCAGACGCTGCTGGTCTGGGGGAATGCCCTCCTTGTCCTGGATCTTGGTCTTGACATTGTCGATGGTGTCGCTCGACTCGACGTCGAGGGTAATGGTCTTACCCGTCAGGGTCTTGACGAAACTATTTCCACCCGTATTAGTGGCATGTTCTCAGCGGTGTGCGGGTGCTTGCTTCTTCGTTGTTGGGTTCGTTGAAGGGTTGCGGGATCGCGGGCTCTCGTGGAAGTTCAGGAATACCTACATCTGCACTAAAAGCAGGGAGAAAAGGATATGTTAGCTCATCGTGCTCAGAGGAACGTCGGGAACGCGTATTAGCGGGTATCATGGCACGTACTGGTTGCGAGTTTTCGTGGTTGTCGGCGGTCGGTCGCTGTGTTCGAGGCGGAGGAGGCGATTACAATTTGAGGATATCTCGCTTATGGGAGGTGGGCCAACCGGACTTACCCTAAGCCCTAACATTACCACCCGCATCTTGCCGCTTTGAGACATCTCACGTGATTGATCAGCACCTTCCCTGTTTGGGATGTCCTTTGCGTCATTTTCATTGGATGAAGTATACGAGTTCTTATACTTCATGCGTTTTCCGGACGTGCAAGCCCAATGCAACTCTGGTAGTTATAGGCTTTCCTCTGCCAGAGTCAATTCAAATCCCAAAGTGAGAGATATCTACACTAGCAGCTGGGTTATATGGGTTATATCATAAAACCAGAAAAGTCATGCCTTTATTAATTTGTGCAGCGTGCTATGCATCTCCAACATCCAACCCCCATAGCTGCTCATCTAGTTCATCAATCTCGTCCGCACCCTTCCCATGTAGCCCTTCCTGTTCATCATTATCTGAGTCATCTTCAGTATTTGATTCAATTTCCATTTCATAATCCATAACATCCGTGCGTCGCTGGTGATCTTGCCAGTGCGCTATTCGCGACTCGGCAGCCGTAACAGCCCGGACGAGTGTATGCAAAGACACACCTGCCAATTTGGCCGCTATCTCGTGAAACTTGCGTGGTGCTTCGGGGAGAGTTGACTCCCATCGGTATCGACGGTACCAAATGCCCGGTCTAGCAGCCACCTCTCCCTCCTGGTCTGGAACAATTGGCACTGGGAGTATACCCTCCATAACTTTCTGTAACATGGCGTCAAGTGCTTCTTCACCGTCATCAATAGTGAGAGAGGGATCTGAAATGGGAGGGTCATGACTTGATGAAGGATTTATTCCTGTATCACTCAAAGGGGTGAACAAGTCGGCGACCACATTGGGTTGCCTTGAGTCATCTAGCCAGTTCGTTTCGTACCAGTCCATGTACTGATCCAACTGATAGGATTCCATTCCCAAGACATCCGAGTCGGTTATTTGGATGGCCTTTTCTTTTCCAATTTTCCCCTCGGTACGCTTCTGGGGTTCAAACTGCTTCTGAGCTCGCATCCATTCCTGCCAGTCGATACCCTGAGCAGCGGGTTCTAAGGCTGTAGCTGGATGCCTTGATATATTGTCAAAGGGAAAGAACAATTTGGTGGCGATGACAATCAAGACCACCATCTGGATCTCAGGGAGTTGGATAGCATCTATGCGTTTTTCATCGCTGAGCTTATCTGGATATTCGAATGTGAAGTTGAGGAGCCGTTGTAACGTCTTAATGATCTCGTATACATCAACTAATTTTACGTTAGTTTGATCGATATGGAAATTGAGCCATACTTGCATACCTGGGACTGCCAGTCTTTTGATGTGCCGATATAAGATGATAGGAGAATTCATGGCAGGCAGAACTATTCCAAAGTCGCGCTGGTAGAGAAGCGCCATATCCCTCAGCGCTCGATGCAAAACTTCCAGCTTCGGTACTTTCTTTTGATAAATTAGTTTAACTATAGCCAAAACCGCGTATGATTTCAAATGATGGCTTACCTTGACAGTAAGAATCTTAGTAAACTCCGGAGGAAGCTGCCTCTTGATCTCTTGAGGTACCACCCTCAATACTCGGAGATAAGGAATGTCTTGGCGCATTACCAATCTGTTGGTGAAAACCACATCTTTAGCATCAGCCAATTGAATAAAGCTTGGGCGAGAGGCAGAGCCTCCATATTCACAAGTGCTCTCATATTCGGGCAACCTAAGGGCATTCGACATACCTGTGAAGATCATAGACACATATTGGAAGCCGCATTAAGATAGCTCCAAGATAACAAAGAGCCACGGTTTCAGGCATGCGAGGCCAAATATGGTATACTGGCCTGATCTGTAAGCCTGGTTTATCGTCGTCTTCTTTCTGCGATTTCTGCGTGGGCTGTGAGCTAAAGAGTTCTGGCTCAGTTTCAATATCTTCGTCTTCTGTAGATTCGTTGATCCTCAAAGTATAGGCCTGAAGCCTGTAAGCCCAGAGGTCACGTACGACGCCCTATTGGATTTATCAGCTTGTTCATTCGAAGGATAACCATGTGTTTATGAATGATTTACCTCGAGTTGTTCTGGAAACCCATGGTCATGGATCAGAGCATGACATTGTTTCCACAAGATCAATTGGTAAGCCTGCAAGAAAAGGGTCTGTGCCTTCCGACCACGCGCAGCTATATTGCATGGTTATTAAAGCTTCGGTTTTATTCTGCCGGCATAGGGATACATACTCCTTCGCGATTTCTCTTCCCTCTCTTTCTTCACACGGTTGATTTTACCTAGGTTTCCGTAATCATCTGGATCTTCTTCAATTTGTTGGCCCTAAATGAAATTATTTAGTTCCGGATATTCCTTCGCGCTCATGTGTATGCTGTGGTTGAGTATGACAAAGTTTGTGCATACCTCCTGCAAATGGCCGCGACGACAAAACCAGAGGCCATTATCGAGATAGTACTTTCTCTCACGGCATGACTCTTGGCCACAGACCCCTCGGGTGACATAGTCCATGCCGAGGAAATAAGGTCATGCTGGTTGGGGGATGTTAGGTTTGACGGTTCGGAACATATTTTTTTTTCTGCCTTTCCCAGCGACCGCCGGTTCTGCATTCTCTGACATGCAGCGATTTTCGTGCTTCAGTATTTCAGTGTACATAGCATAACAGAAGATATCAATACTTCTACAAGGTATCAGTGAATTTTTTTTCAAAAGATATTCAAAAATGGCTATGTTCAACTGATATCTACGAATAATACCTTTGAATGAACAAACTGGTTCAAGTACATAGTAGCATCCATTGAAAACTCATGTAAAATTCAGTCGCAGCCAAGTGCTTCAGTGCATAGTACATCTACCAGTTGACACAGGTAAATTTTGGCGTATTTTTTTTGGATCTAAAAGATTGGATTTTGAATGATGCCCATGGATGTTCATCATGTATTTACATCTTCAAATTCTATGCTGAAAATATTGATGGAACAATTACAAGGGAGTTGCGTTTTATGAAGTTTACTAAATGTATTCGCTTGTCACACTAGCATGAGATGCTGAGAGCCAACCAAAGCAATTCTTCTTGTCGGCGAAGCCTACATTCCAAGGCTTGTATGGAGAAAAGCAATGTGGAGAGCGAAAGAGACAAGAATTGGGTCATTAGCCAACGAATCGCATGTTTTATCGAACCGTTGGAGATGAAATTTTGACATAGAGGGATGAGGTGGGGGGATAGTGCCCAAATTTTTTTTTAACGTAAAGGTTGACATGACATGTGGAAAAATTCCAGATTAATGCATTTATTTGGGAGCCTCCTTGGCGTCAATGGCAGCCTCCTCACCCATGGCAGTCTGGATGATGACGTCTGTAGATAGATTGTTAGTGTTCTTGACTCTCAACCGAATATGACAATTAGATGAAACATCGCATGATGTGGGTGTACTTACTGACGTCCTTGCCCTCGTCCTTGAACATGGCAATGATACGCTTGCCAATCTCGTTGTCGGGGACCTTGACATCATCCTTGGTGTCACCGTCCTCCTTCAGCAGGGAAAGGAAGTCATCGTCGGTGATGTCCAGCTAGATAAGAACGATTAGAAAATTTCACAAGACAGTAGATGGCTTGTTGGTAGACTTACGAGCTGGTACTCGCGGCGGAGAACGTTGGGGACATCCATGTTGTGGGTGGAGGGAGACAGATCCTCGAGCTTCTTGCCGGTGAAGATGTCAATGGCGACCATGTGGACCTTGGCGTGACCGTGCTTGCCAGTCTTGGAGGTAGACATGTCAACAATCTTGCAAGGGCGACCCTTAATGACGACGTGACCGTTCTTGCGCAGAGCGGAACACTGCATGGGGTAGGTGGTCGAGGCACCGGCATCAGCCGACTCGAAGGTAACGTCGTGCTATATCGTCATGTTAGTTATGGGCGTGCCTTGCAAAGGGTGTGATTTCCGCGCCAGGCTCGAGGTAGGGATTGAGGTGCGCCCGTAAAAAAGAGGGGAGAGAGAGCCTCTAGATGCGGGGCTCTCACGCACTTCGAGCGAGTGGCTTGGAAGGTTGCAGGGTTGGATAAAATAAGGGAGAAAAGAGGCGGGGAGCAGTTCGTACCTCTTCAGCGGACATGGTGAATGAGTGAGAGTTAAGTGAGGTGTATAAAAAAAAAGGGATGTGAGGTTGAGGAAGTAGAGGGAAGAGGAGATTTCTTCGAGCAGAAAAGACACAAAAAGGCTTTGTGGTGGGGGGCTTGGTCGCTACCCCGTTTTAGGCTTAGCGCCTCCGGGGCACTATTCAGCGTCACGATTACTGGTTATACGCCGTACCGCAATACTTGGACTGTTTACCATTTCCCATTCAACTCCATTCACCCCCCATTCACCCCATTCGCGCATTAACTTATGACTGCAGAGTCTAGGTGAAGCCAACCTATTCTCTTGGTCCGTCTCTACAGGCCCCCTACAATGTGGCGCGACCGCATTTCAGGCCAATCGACTCCCTCCGGAGGTACTCGTAATCCCTCCTTACCTCGACGTTCTTCATCTCAACTCTCCCGGGGCCCATACAACGCCCGTCCCGGCAATACCTCCAGAACCTCCTCAACCCCATTGCTTGTATCCCCAAATGACTCCACCGCCTCACTTCCGGGAACGCCCCGACCGCCTAATGGCACAGGATTAAGGCAGTCCAGTGCTCAGCGACCGCGTCCAGCTGTGGTTCCTGACCCGCTCGAGGTCTTGAATGAGATTATTCGGAAACAGAACCAAGACAAAGACACTTCGCAATCATCCCTCAAACACAATGCACGACCTCAAGAATTGGTAGAAACGATCGACTTTGAAGGGTTGAGTCTGGAGGAATTTGTGGAGAAAGCAGCCTCGAAGCCGGCCAGAAAGTCCCCCGGCAGTGATGTCAATGCGCAAACAGTTCAACAATTCGAGCAGGAACGAGATAAATTCCAGGACCTTCATACGGCCATCAGCGGTTGTGATGATGTCTCCAAGTCAGTGGAGCTGTACTTGAGCGACTTCCAGAATGAGTTAGGAGCCGTGTCTGCGGAGATTGAAACATTGCAAACCAGATCAACACAGCTAAATGCCATGCTCGAGAACCGGAGAAACGTGGAGCGACTGCTTGGACCAGCGGTGGAGGAAATCAGCATTTCGCCAAAGGCCGTTCGTGCGATTGTCGAAGGTCCTATGGATGAGAACTGGGTACGCGCTCTGAATGAGATTGACGCTCGGACTACAGGCATCGAAGCCAAGGCGTCTTTCTCGGCTGGCTTCAAATCAATTGAGGATGTGCGACCACTTCTCATCGATGTGAAAAACAAGGTAATCAACACCTCTATGATCTATGCCAACCAAAGACCTTTCATTAACACCAACACAGGCAATCGAAAGAATCCGAGACTACCTGGTCTCGCAAATTCGGGCGATGCGATCGCCAAATATTAATGCACAACTCATCCAACAGCAGCGAATGGTGAAATTCAAGGACCTATATACCTACTTGGCGAAAGTTCACCCAACCCTTAGTGGAGAAATTTGTCAAGCGTATATCAACACTATGCGCTGGTACTACACATCCAATTTTACGCGATATCTTCAAGCCCTCGAGAAGATCAAGGTCTACCCCAGTGATCGCAATGAGGTGCTTGGAGGCGAGTCCTCTACAAACAGGACAGGTAAGCCATCAATCTACTTACCTCTTTTGAACAATACTAATGATGTATAGGAGGTATACTCCAGGGCGGCCGAGCTGGCTCTGCCGCACATGACCCATTTTCTCTAGGCCGACGAATCGATGTCCTTCGAAACGGGAATCAACCTGCTATCTCATCCTATATTGCGGAGGAGGATCAATCCTATCATGGGATCGAATTACCATTCAGGAACTTCAATGTTGCCCTGGTGGACAATGTATCTGCCGAGTACTCGTTTCTCACTGAGTTTTTCTCCCCTTTGACATTCCATGAAATATCACGCAAGGCTGGAGAGATATTCGAACCGGTGTTTACCCTTGGCCGAAACCTGACGAAGAAGCTGATTGAAAATACCAATGATTCGCTGGGTGTTTTAATGTGTGTTCGTCTGAACCAACAGTCGGCCTTTGAATTCCAGCGGCGAAAAGTTCCCGTTGCCGATTCATACGTGAATGGTATCAACATGCAGCTATGGCCTCGATTCCAGGTTATCATGGATCTTCATGGCGAGTCACTCAAGCGAGTTGGATCTAATACTGGACGTAGTGCAATGTCCGCTCTTTCCATCGCAGGTGGAGACGATTTGAAACAGTCGTCTGCACCCCACTTTCTGACCCAGCGATTTGGCCAGCTCCTTCATGGAATATTGGTGCTCAGCAGTGATGCTGGGGACGACGAGCCTGTGTCGAACAGCTTGGCTCGTTTACGCTCCGAATTTGACTCCCTCCTGGCGAAGCTAAGTCGAAACGGCACTGACGCAAAGCGCAGGGAGCGGTTTCTCTTCAACAATTATTCATTGATCTTAACCATTATTAGTGTAAACTTTTCTCACCACCCTCTTTTTCGACCAAATGCTGATCAACTCTTAGGATACCCAAGGCAAACTAGCGACCGATCAAAGACTGGTGAGTTTTTCTTTTCTTTTCTTACCCCCACTGTTTTATCGGAGGAGCTTGACTAACGACACTCCAGCATTTGGACGAGATGCTTAAAAGCTGCAACAAGCGTTGATTGCATAGCGGCTCGCATTCGGCATTTAGATTCCCACTAGTTTCACATGAGCGTTTTTATGTAACTGAATATAAGCATTTAATTCCCTTCCTCACTTTCGGTCTCTTTCCGAAGTCGAAGTTTGTACCACATAAAAATGTAGTCTATGGCGTGATAAAGTGCTAAACTTGCACGGGTGGGACTCTTGAGCGCTGATCGGCGCGATCTCCGCTCCGCGGGGCCCTTCGTTCCCCCTACTTATCTTCAATTGCCGGCCAATTGTCGCAACCCACCAAAACCTTTTCTCTCACAAAAATGCTGGCGCGTGGAATTGCGAAGCGCAGTCCGACGCTACGGCGCTTGTTCTCTAGCGGAAAGGCTTGTCGAGCCGACTTTACTCATGCAGTAAGTCTTGTCCAGCTATCCTTCGCGAATCGCGGCGCAATGGCACTCACCAATGACGGCCGAACAGCTTTCAAGACCCCTCAATTAACTCAGTATAGGTAATCGGTGCCGGCGTCGTTGGACTTGCAATTGCCCGCCAGCTAGCAGCACACGAGGGCACTTCGACAATTCTCTTAGAGCGACATGACACGCCGGGAACGGAGACAAGCAGTCGTAACTCCGAGGTGAGTACCTGCAGAGCTTCAATTCCAAGAAAATGAACAATAGAGCACATTACCCTCCCTTATTAGACAATGCAACTGACAAGCAATGATCGCGAATACAGGTTATCCATGCTGGCCTTTACTACCCCGCCGATTCCCTGAAAACGAAGCTCTGCATCCAAGGTCGCAATATGCTGTACGACCTGTGCTCAAAACACGATATCCCACACCGCAACACGAAGAAATGGATCGTCGCCCAAACAGAAGAACAATGGGAATCCTGTCTCCGCGTCCACAAGCACGCCCAGTCCCTAACCGATGCGCCGACACGGCTCATCGGCGCCGAAGAAGCGGCCCGTCGCGAACCAGACGTCAAAGCCGATGCGGGCATCGTCGAGAGCCCCACAACCGGTATTGTGGACAGCCATGCCCTGATGACCTATTTACACGGCGACTTCGAAAACAACGGCGGTGACTGCGCCTTCAAGACTCGCGTGAAAGATGTCGAGTACATTCCTGGCGAGGGATACAAAATCACCGCTGTCTCAGATGAGGATGGATCCATCACTTCCATCACCGCAGAGACACTTATAAACAGTGCTGGACACGGCGCATGCGCCATTAACAATATTCTCCTCCCAGAGGAGCGACACCGCACCGCATGCTACGCAAAGGGCACCTATTTCTCCTACGCCTCCTCTCGCCCGCGCACATCGGTCCTAGTTTACCCCGCTACGGTACCCGGGCACGGTGGCCTAGGCACGCATCTTACACTGGATATGGGTGGGCGGATTCGTTTCGGACCAGATGTGGAGTGGGTGGATGATCCGAATGATCTCAAGCCCAGCCCAGCACGCTTGGAACAGGCTATCCCGGAGATTCTGGCTTACATGCCGGGCGTTGACCCGTCGGCTATTGCGTTGGACTACTGTGGGATTCGACCAAAATTGAGTCGTGGAGGCGGAGTGAATATTGGAAAGTCATTCCAGGATTTCGTGATCCAGGAAGAGGAGGGGTTCCCTGGTTTTGTTAACCTGTTGGGTATTGAGAGTCCTGGGCTAACGAGCTCGTTGGCTATTGGAGAGATGGTCAACGGGATCCTTTACCGGTAAAAATATATCATATCGTGCATTGTACATATTGTAAAGGGAAACGCAGCGTCGGCATACCATATTAACAGGAAAGATATTGTGACTGTAAGCCTAACTTAAAGCTAGCATTGAAAAAGAAAGTCAGTATGGTCCAAATTTTAGAACAAACTGGGTGGGTACATAAATACAACTATATGACCATATCATGCTCACAGTGAGGTTTTAGAAGAACCGGGCTTGTGGAGCGACTGAATTCCTATCGCTGATAAATACTCTAAGTACAGTTCCATTCCGGGACCATAGAAGAAAATTCTGCGAGGATCTCTGTAGCCTCTCGGCTGTAGTCGATCACCACAGAGCTTGATATGGACGATGGGAATAATCCCAGTATAGCATAGACAGTGTCCTGTGGAAGTGAACAGCTGACTCGTTGGGCAAGCAGATTCAGCTCCCGGACAATGTCATCACTGAAGCGCTCTGCAACCCCCGGTGTCGCCTCCAATTTCCTCCATGTAGTTATGAATGCCAAGAGGTCCACACTAGGCTTCATTTCTTTCCAGGCCTCTCCAGACATGATCACAGGAGACAAAATCTCGCACAAAGCTTGCAGAGTAGATATATCAAAGGTCGAGTCTCCCCAATGCACCTTCGATGCCATAGGACTAACTGCCAGCTCCTGGATAATCCACAATCGCGACCAATATTTTTTCCGGAACAACATCGTCAGCTCCACACAGACTGAATCTGATAAATGCAATCTAGCAAGCCCATAATCATCGTCATCGTCGGAATCTGTCCAGTGAAATTGGTCAAATATCAAGACATCGATATCCCTCACGACTGCCATGATCTGTTCGTCTTCTGTCTCGTTCGTTCCCCAGTCACGATCTCTCATTCCAAGAAGCTCTTCCAGAGTCTGCCGACCAAATAGGTTCATTACTTTGTCGCAGAGAAGAATACTCTCTCCAGGTTCGTGAAAACCACGGTAATCTCCGCTTTCATTGACCCAAGAAGTAACAGAGAAAGCCTGGCCAAATATATCCTTCACGCGTAGGACATGTTCGTTTCGGTCATCGAGATCGGCTTGATTGATGCAAAGAGCGTCGACCCAGACTCTCATGCCAAGCTCGCACTCGACGCTTGATTTCAGGGCTCGCAGAGCTGCTTCCAGATGCTTGCTCACGGCTGTTGCGACGCCGTCCAAAAATATCGTAGCCTGGTCCCCATCGCAATCACCCCATGTGTAGCTCAAGCAGATATAGTCACCCCAAGTAAACCTCGAGATAATGTTGTACAGCTCACGATGGGGCATGTCAAGGGTGAATTTGACGTGTTCGCTCCAGGCTTCGGAGAGCCGTGAGCTCTCTTGCGATGTATTCTGGTCGCGAAAGGTGACATATTCGGGTCTCCAATCGTTCAGGGTGACGTATTGTAGATTGAGCCGTACTGGGGTATCTTTCGTAGTAGTCTCGAAGGAGAGTAGGCGGATCTCGTTCGTGGAAGTATCGAGAGAACGATATTTCTCCACTGTCGTCGTAGGTTGCTCGTCAGCGACGGACATCGTGTGACTGAGATCAGGTTGGCAAGTTTGAATCTGATGATAAGTTGGGCTATGCGTCAAAATGGGTCTTCGGCTCCTTCATGAAAGATGGATACAATGAGGTAGACATATCGCAAGAAGAGGGGAGATTTCCGGCTGCTGATGTGTCACTTGGTCACTGGATGGAGGTTTGTTATTACATGACATGCTTGCTGACGACGCTCCATGAATTTCAATCTCGACTGACGCGACTCATGAGCCCAATTGTACTTGACGATACCTCATGATAGAATTTAAGCGAGCTTGACTTGAATAAGTGACAAAACTTTGGAAGGGGATAGAATAGGAAATTATGAACTTGATTAATCGCCCAGTAAATATGATTAAACAGACAATGGGTTATCATTATCATGATAAGTATTTACGACAGCATGACATGGCTATAGACTTGAGAGCCCTAACATTCACCAACTTGAGCTACATGCACTTGAAACTCTTCACACCAACAAATGGCCACCAAACACAACAAGTTGTGAGGTGTTCCCAACTTCGACCTGGAAAGCATACTCCCAGAGGAGGCCCGGCTCCCATGTCTAGGGTAGCAAATGTGCCATTGATAGCTAAATCCAGAGAACCCCCTCCAGAGAACTAGGGAGGGTAGCACCGAAAGAAGTCATCTAGATGACCAGAAGAGATCAAGGAGTAAGCAGAAGAATTGATAAAAAAAAAGAAGCAACAAAAAGCACAATTTCAACAGTGACACAAAGCCGAAAACGACCACCACTCAATAAATCCTTGAACCAAAGTTCACAGAAGCCAACTAAAAACACTGTCTTTTTGTCTTGCAGTCTCTTCTCTTTCTATTCCCCTCTCTCATTTTCGATTTCCCATTTCCTGCCCCGAGCCTTTCTTGCCTGCGTATACGTATACGTTCGTGTGTGCGTGCGTTGTTGTTTTTTTCGTGCGTTTTTTTTTTTTTTTTTTTTTTTTTTTCATGAATCATGATTTTCCATTTTCTATTTCCTGCCCCGAGCCTTTCTTGCCTTCGTATGCGTGCGTGTGTGGATGGAGTTGAAGTAGTTGTTGTTGTTGTTGTTGTTGTTGTTTTTTTTTTGTTTTTTTTTTTTTTTTCATTGATCATGCATCAGAGACTTGAAGCAGGAGTATATGTTATGAAGGCCCCTTTGTGGGAGACGAGATGGTGATAGTAGTTTTTTCTTTCTTTTTGTTTGGATGCCTCGGCAGGGTGGACAGGCCTTGCAAAAGGCGTTGTTTGGCGAGGAAGCAAGTTGTGAGGGGGTTCCAGGGGAATGTTCGGAAAGACTTGCATGATATCGAATGTCAAGAAAGAACCGAGTATTCAGTGGTTGTTGGAAAACATACCTTGAACTTATTTCCTGACACGGTGACCAATGTGTGATTGATTCATGAATCATGAGAAACACTGAGGAGCCCAAGAGGATATCAGTATATGAAAAATATTGGACAATGGAAGATAGAGAAAGATCAACCTGCAAATCAGGTCTCAATAGCAAGAGTGGCATGCCATAAATGATTGATGGATGTCATGATCAACTTGGAAGGCTGGATGAACCAAGTGTTAGATGGATTAATCAAGATGGATTGATCAAGTAGTTGGATGGACGAACCAAGTGTTGGATGGATGGACCAAGTGATTGATGGATATCATGATCAACTTAAAGTGTTTGATGGACCAAGTGTTGGATGGATGCATCAAGTGTTGGATGGTAGGTGGATAGAGGTAGGAGATGCATGAGATGTATGAGAAGGAAGTCTTGAGAGGAAGTTTGATCAAAGTATGAAGAAGAGACTTGAGAGGGAAGAAACTGGGGGAAGGGGAAAAAAGGAAAGAGGAAGAGGAGGGGGGGGAACGAAGTATTTATGCCCCAGGGAAGACCCTGAACGCGTCCCCCAGATCAACCAGGTCGTTTAAGATCGACCAATGACGCGTGAAGATCAGTTCAATATGGGAGTCACTCAAGTGATGTTATAGGGGATCTCCCAGCTTTGAAGTCATGATGAAAGTCTTGTTTTCTGATCCTGGCCTTCCCATGAAGGTATTTGATTTTATAAAAAGCCTACATATAGAGCAAATGAAGATGGTTGATTGTATAAATTTTCATTATTCCAGAAGTTTAGGGGAAGGAGGGATTAGAAGTTGAAGGGGAACAGGTTACAAAAGTTTTGGGAATAGAACAGATTCGTCTACTGTGATGGCTGGGGTTATGATAAATCACAGGTATTGGGGGTTGCCTGGTACTCCAGGCATTTTCTGGCATTTCTCTGCTATCTTCACTACTACTACTACTGACTACTGGTATGCCATACTAGTAGCATTGATACTAAGCTCTGTTCTATACGCACTTCGCCTGAGCAGTGAATCATCCCCTTTGTCTAGTCCTCATGCTGACCAGTTTCTCATAAAAGGGCTCAATATCAATGTTGCATTGCTTGAACAAGATGACCATACACATTGCTTAATATGTGCTCTGTAATGTTATCCAAAAGAAACTGGAAGAAGATAATTGAATAATTGATGGCAGAAAATACTCATTCATTCATAGTGTTAAAACATACACATCGCTATATCATATGTCCAATGTTGAAGGGAAACAAGTAATATACAGAGAATGCCACAGCACCAGACGGTTAGCCATGCAAGACAAAACTAAGGACAGTCTATTCCACATCCATCAAAACGTCACTCATAATATGAAGCACATATGAAAACTTCTTCACACTCCATTTACCCGAGTCCTTAAGAAGGCTGGCATAATCGAGCAGAATCCTCCGGGCTGATTGATACCCACCTTGTAAAGGCACACCACGAAGGTAAATCGTGGCACCATTGCGAATGAAATTCACAACAGGATCATCCGTTGGCGAGAATGATTGGCTTCCTCTTGGTTCCATGAAGCTGGTGAACCCTTCTGTTTCGACTTGTTGCCAGTCCACATCGTCCATCAAATCAATGCTTCCAACACTAGATGCCGCGTTCGAGGAGCTGGGGACCATGAAAGTGTACAGACCCAGTACAAGGGCAGCGGAGAACACAGCAAAGACGGAATGGAAGGTTGGGTGGTCAGATGCTTTGCGGTTGATCATGGCTTTATAAATATGTGCTGCATGCAAGCAAGCTCGTCTAGCAGCGGGGGTCTGTGACCACTCGGCAATATCATCGAGGGCCTTCCTTGCTGGAGCAGCACCACAACGACCGGCCGCGAACTCGAAGATCTGAATATCGGCGGTCAGGGTCATGCACATGTGGTGCCACATGACAAGGGCGTTGGGGCTGAATTGGAGAAGGGATTCCCCATATTGATTTGTTATTTGTGATTGGAGGGATGGAAGAGATCGGGCCCGGCCGTCCATGGCGTAGGTATGACAGGGTGCGAAGGGGTAGCTGGCACGGTTGGAGAGAAGGCGGTGGTACGCTTCTGATTGACGAAGCTGGACCATTGCCAGCACCGCTTGGATGCTGAATTCATCCATTGGGCCTTCTAGGGTTGGGATATTGATGTTTTCAGACGGCGCCAGCACCGTTGACATGAGGATTCGTTTGCCACCGCGGATGAGTTGAGTCCAGCGCATTGATGAATGCGCACGGAACAGAGCTTCGGAACAGGGCATGATGATTTGTATTGACTCGGGGGCAACAATCGGACTTGTTGAAAGCAGTGAGGAGTACCAAGAATCTAGAAGAAGAAGGCCAATGATAACCCTTTTCAACAGGTTAGAAGAACTCATGTAGGAAAGGAAAAGAAAGCTTACCTTTTCGTAGATTCCACTTTGCTCCAGGCTTTCCATCGCATGTCAATGTCAGGAACACCTTCAAAAAGACTCATATCAAGTATTTGGCCTTCGCTTGCAGCAAAGAGTCCATGCCGTTGGGTGATCTGGAAAGAAGAACGTCAGTAAGAGAAAAGAATTTCGGATGCGACCTGTACATACCGACATGAGGTTGACATATAGCATTTGGCACTGTTCCAAATGAGATTTCTCCTACAGATAATTAGCGACGGTTGAAAGTCGAGATAAAGTAAGGGCAACCCACTCCTGTCAAAACGGCCAGATTCAAAAATAGAAAGGTAGTGGCAAAGATGGACATGGTATTGGCCGGGCTCTCCACCCCCATAGTGCATTTGGCCAGCTCAGCGGTGATCTTCTCAAGCACATGCTGAAAAGGGAGTCAGTAAATTTCAAACTAAGGTTTGATCATATGGACTTACCGTGAAGTTTTTCAGGACAAACGCGGCCGTGCCTTGTGTTCCCAGAAGCATCATTCCGAGGAGACACATTACATAGAGGAGTGGTAGTCGGGTTTTCTTTGCAGAAAATGTTGGGATATGAACAAAGGGAACAAGAGGGTGAAATGTGCGAAAGAAAAGGTCTAACGCCATATCCAAAACCTCCGCTGGGGGGAAATGAGAAAATTGGTTCGAAGTGGAACCCGACAAAGCAGGAGAAGGCACATTAGTTCCCGGCGACTGCATATGTGGAAAGGAATATGGCGTTTGGGAAAAGGCAGCCTGCAGCGAACGTCTGCATTCGTCATCAATTCCATATCGTGACCCCTGAAGTAAATTTGTGTCATTGAGAAGCGTCGAAGATCTGTTGGAAAAGACGTTGTCGACGTTGGTGTACACAATATCTCGCCATAGGCTATTCATTAGCCGACCAGTAAGATTAGGCGGCGCTAGCCAGCATCGCTGGACCTTGGCAAATCTTTCGTTGGGAATATTATCAGACCCAGATCTGCCACTGTCAACGGAATGCCGATTTTGATCCGGTGTCATCGACATCTTCTCTCCCATCAACGGGAAGTGGCCCAAATCCAGGGATCCGTGATTGGATCCTCCATCGGTACGAGGCTCAAGCCATAATTGCAGCATGTCGCTTGGTACATCCTCAAATCCCGCGCCAATCTGCTGCATTGATTGATCTGCAGGAGTCACCTCGTTCCAGCCGAAGTAAGGCTGCTGTTCATCTAGCAACATGGGATGGAGATTGGAATCAGCCCGACCATGTTGAGCCGATATGTTTGCAAGAAAGTCTAATGGGGAATGGGGCATAGCAGGGGTCGAAAGCGACATATCACGCGGCATTGGCACATTGGGGAGTTGATGCCCGTCCGCACCAATGGTGGGTAATAGATGTGTTCCATTCTCTATGCCGGAGCCAGCTGCCATCGGCGACGCCCCGGATATAGAGCCGGGTTGTTGGTTGGGTTTCTGATTTGCTGTCGAATCTTTCGGCTTGGTTCCAGCGGTCGCGCCGGGTTGATTATGGCCTTTCGCATGGCGACTCAGGACATCGCTGTTTAGATGTGTCAAATTACCGTCATATGACAAATTTTGGATTTTTTACAGCAAGGCTTTGGGGTCGGACAGGATCTTACCTTCGAGAGAAACTTTTGTGACAGACATTGCATTCGTAGGGACGTTCTTTGGTGTCTAGAATGACGCGTTAGATTAGAAGTAATTTTCATGCGGTCCGGGGAAACTGACGTGACCGCTCGTGGCGTTTGAAATGCTCTGTCTTCTTGAACCGGCGATCACAGATAGTGCACTTTCGAAGGACCATGACGGATCTTGTCTATCAAGGATACATTACAGAGGCATTTGTTCTTCTTTTTTTCTTATTGTGCAAGGGTGAGCAAAATAAGAAACTTAGCTCTTCCCCCACAAAATTGGGATTGACGGAAGAGGGGGAACCTTAGTCAGCTCTTAGGGGTTAAGCCGATCGCAAGCTTCGGAGCTCAAAAGCGAGAATTTATCTTTTACGTTCTATTGGCTTAGGGGGCTGCAGGAGAGTTCTACCGAAGATGTCCCGCAAAATACATCCAATCAACAGACGGTGGCATAAACTCAGGGTGTGGCATGGGCCCCTAGCGCCCCAGCCTGTTGGGGATACCCCGTGGGGTGAGATGGGACGCTTCTCCGAGCCCTAATGATGCTAGTCAACCGGCTAAGTAGATCGTTGTTCGGCTTCTAGAATGGGAAATGGGTTCGAGGGAGGGTTAGAGAAATATTTTCTTGTGGAAATAGTGCTTTTGGTCAAGCATTCTTGCCAACTCCGATAGAAAGTCTGCATTTTCGTGAATTCAAAAGGCTGAATCAGTGGGTTCCTCACCATCTCATTGGCCGCTGAGAGTATAGTTCGGCATTTGACAATGGTCCCCAAGTACCGGTTTCATGACACCAAGAGGCTAAAGTTGACTAAAGTTTACCAATCAATAAGCCTTTTACTGAAAAAATAGCTCCATTGTTCGCACAGTCAATGGCCAAGCACTAATGGTAGTTACGCTCTACTAGTTATACACCAGTTATACACATTCATTAATCGCTTCCGCCAGTCGATCGTCATCAAATAAGATCTCCAACTGCTGCTTTCGAGCTTTCTTATCCTGTTTAACCCGCTTGAGTATCTTTCCAATATTGGGGTACGAAGAGAATTTATCCTGCAAAAAGAAAAATTTAATCAAAAGGTCTGCACGGGTGAAATCACCAAAACTTACCGGCAAAGCGTCCCACACCTTTGGGTCGGTACCTTGATCTTTGAAGGTGCCGCAGCCAGTTCGCGCATATTCTGTGAACAAGAACGCCCGGCTACTCTCTACCATGATGGTCATTTGATCTGGGGTCATTAGTATCACAGGTAATTACAAAAAGGAAAAAAGGGAGATACTTACCCTCCAAAATCTTTCGAGGCTCGTTCACCTGGTTCCTCATCTCATACACATAGGCTTCATTGAAATTTCCATGGGGCGTGTGGCTAATCTCGACACTGCCTCCGCCAGGGAGAAAATCATCTGAGCGACCCAGTCCATTTCCATACAAAGAAGCCAAAAACTCTGTGGCTGAGTTACGATGAAAGTATGGTAGGCGGAATGTATTGGAGGCAACATCCCAACGTGGGCCAAACCACAAGAAATCTGCCAACGGAGTGACAGGGTCGCGAGATGCAGCTGTCAAAACACAATTGACGGATGGATCGGTATGATCGATGGATGTTGCATTTTGCGATGAGAACTTTGTAAGGTCGTACTGCGATGATTCATCAGTGTTAGTTTGGTTTCAGGATCTCGGGACTGAGTCTGCAACTCACCTTATAGGGGACAACATTTCCATGCCAGGCGACCAGATCAAATGGACTGTGGTCCTGGGCAATGGCATTGTACAGTCCATTTGCCTTGTTCACAATCGTCCAGTCCTCATGAAGATTTTCATCGATGTGGGCCACAGGGTGCAAGAAGTCCCGTGGATTGGCCAGACCGTGTCCTCCTAACGGCCCCAGGTCTGGCAGTTCCCATCTTGAGCCCCATATCTCTGTGATGTAGCCACGAGCAACCTTGTGATCAGGACCTAATCGTACTGCAAACCGAATACCGCGAGGAATCACACAGATTTCACCAGGCTGCAAGAATAAGTGCCCCAGCTCTGTCTGGACGTCCAAGTTGCCCAGCTGGGCGACGATAAGGAAGTCACCATCTGTGTTGCAAAAGGCGCGGTGGTCCATATCTGTGTTGATCATGAAGACATAGAGGGCGATTCCCTCACGCAAGTTTGGATCTCCGCTTCCACCCAGTGTGTGTAGACCGTCCACGAAATCGATTTTCTCATCATCCTTGGGCAACGGAAATGGTGCCCACTCTCCTTGTTCTGCCAGTGTTGCCACCTTGGGGTTAAGGGTTAAAAAGCAGTTCTCGATGTCCGATTTGTGGGGGATGTTGGCCGTGTAGCCATCTGATTATATATATTAGCATCTGTGAAGCACTTTTTCATGACTCGAAAACATACTATGAGCTGCAGCTGGCCGCACTCGGTACATGTATGTACTGAAGTTGGCATGTCGAGGCGCTGCGAAGGCCGAGTAGGTAATGCCTTCCGTATATAAACCAAATCGAACTTCCTGGGGGTTGTTTTGCCCTGCAGGTAGGGTCCCTGGGATCACTTCAGATTGGTGACGATTTCCAAAACCGGCCATGTATTCGTATGGGTCGTTGTCCCTTGTGGGCTTGCGAGACATGGTGTCTGTATAGTGGAAGACTTTCTGCAAGTCCTTGACAGGCTTTCTCTCCTGGAAGGGTGGAGATGTCATTGTGTGGATATATAACACTGAAAGACTGGGGAATTATCCAAGGTAAAAGGAAGCAATGAATAACACAAGAAGAATGAAGCAGATTAAATCACAGGCAGAGAATGACACCTCAGTTCACTGTTTTAATGTTCGAAAGGGGTGCAGTTCAGCTCTGCGAGACCCATATGGAGTGTACTCCATAGACCTCCCACATATTGAAGGACCCACATCGACCCCATGCACCTATCGACATCTCGGGCCAAATTTGGGGCTTGGTCAAAGCTGTTGTTTGCTGGGTGCTTTGCGGGGCTATGTGGATGTGGAGAATTTAATCATCAAGGTACTTTCGAAATTGATGCAGTAGTAGCATGAAAATAACGTGGCTTCATAATGAAAGTAATAGATGAAGCTACAAGTGTTCGCAAGTTTTATTTCATTTGCTCATGCTTAGCAAATGCTTGTTGTTGCTACATAGGGTGTAATAAAATTCATAATTCCATCAAGCCGGGCTAGCTCAATCGGTAGAGCGTAAGACTCTTAATCTTAAGGTTGCGGGTTCGACCCCCGCGTTCGGTTCTTTTTCAAGGTCCCTTGGGACAGCGGTTACTCCGTTCGGTTTTGATCCGAAAGATCGCCGGTTCGACCCCGGCAGGGACCTTCATCTTTTTGCTGGTTTTTTTTTTCTTCAACATAAACAAACCAATATTTGTAAAGTGCGGGACTCTGTTTGCATTGGGTCTATACTACACGTGAAACAATATGCTCATCGTCTAAAGTGTTCATATGCTTCTAATTGACTGCCAAGACATCATCTACCATACGTGATGAAGCACCCAAGTAATTTACCGGGTCGCAAAGCTCGCTCAAGCGCTGCTCATTCATCTTCGCAGTAACTTCCTCCTTCTCCAATAGGCATTCGAGCAACGTCCGTTCCTTCTCAATGCTTTCCCGGCACGCCTCGTACACAATATCATGCGCCCGTTGGCGACCAACATATGGCGCCATGCCCATCATCACAGCCTCAGCCACGATCAATCCCTTAGTGGAGTGAAGATTCTCCAACATCTGCTTGGTATTAACCGAGAGACCAGAGAGCGCGAAATGGGTTTGAGACAAGGCTCCAACGGCGAGAACAAAGCTTTCTGGCACAGCAACCCACTCCAAGTGCCAAGGACCAGATGCGCGTTCAAAGTCAGCCACCATACCATCAAGAACGAGGCCAGCATTTGACCTGAGGATTTTGGACGCAGCTAGGATGACCTCGCTGGATATCGGGTTACGCTTTTGAGGCATGGTTGACGATGCTCCCCGGTGTGGCACGAAGGGCTCAGCTACCTCGCTCAGCTCGTTCGAGGACATGATGATGATATCCAGTGCTACCTTTCCCATCGAGCCACCAACCAGAGCAAGGAAATTCGCAATCTCAGCTACTCCGTCGCGTGCAACGTGCCAAGTAATGGACGGATCGGTAAGACCGAGTTCTTTCGCCAACGCCTTGCGCACGCGAAGGCCGTCGTCGCCATTTCCCAGAGATGCAAGCGAGCCTGCTGCACCGCCAAATTGCACCATCAAAGTCCGGTCGCGAAGCTGCTCCAGTCGCTCCAAATGTCGCTGGAAACCAGATAGCCACACAGCACATTTGTATCCGAACGTCACGGGCAACGCATGCTGTAAATGGGTTCGCCCAGCCATGGGAGTGTCCTTGTATTTCTCAGACAGTTCCCGCAGGGATTTAATCACGTCCCTCAGAAGTCCCTCGACGATACTCAGACCCTCCTTCATCTGTAGCACGCTGGCGATATCCATGATATCCTGCGTCGTGGCACCCCAGTGCACATACCTGCCAGCTTCCTCGCCACAAATATCCGACAGTTGACGTACGAGCGGTAGGATTGGGTAACCGACGATTTCCGTTTCGTGGCGCAGTCGCTCGAAATCCAGGTTTGATTCTTGTACCCGTTGTGTCACCAAGGTTCCGATTTCAGATGGGATCACGTCGCACTGTGACTGCGCTCGAGCCAACGCGGCTTCAGCATCCACGCAGCGGCGTATGTATGCTTCATCGTCGAAGACCTGTTACGTGGTGACTAGATTAGCTTTGGCGATGGGCAAGAATGAAATTTGGGGTCCATTGGCCTACTTTCCGGATTTCTTCGGTGCCGAATAAAGTACGGAAGATGCTTGAATCAATTGCACTAACGGAGCCAATTGACCTCCGCCCAGCGGTAGCAGTGACGGAAACGATGGGCCGAGCCGCCACCCGCGATAAAGGACGAACGAGACGTATGAAAATCGACATGGTGTCAATGGCTTTAGTCCAGCTGATAATTCGTGAGAGCTGTGAATTAGGAATTTCTCCTAGTAGTATGACCAGCTTTGTCAAGATAACATCCCCCAATCTGCCAGATGATCCACTTGGCCTTGGGAATGGGGGGCTTCGCAACGGGGAAGCTCCAAGTTCTGCCCCACATATTGTACTTCAGAAGTGTAGTGTGGTCCAGTGGATGTGGGGTCGCGGCCGACGGGGTAAAAATTAGCTATCAATATCTGTGCAAAAATTTGAATTCAAGCTCATGAAAATAAAGCGAATAACAGGACTTAAGTACGGCGGCCGATACCCGCCACCCCTCTGCCATAAACCAATTTGGTTTTCTAGCTTTACCGCCCCAGGATGCCTGTTTCTTGCCTGTATTGTATTTATTATGTATAGGAATATCTTAAGGAATTTGATCTAAATATGGGTTACTTTTAGAATAGACTTGAGAAGAGACTTGATCTGGAAGAGACTTTAAGAAGAAACTTGAGAAGAGACCTGAGAAGAGACTTGAGAATAGACTTAAGAGTAGACTTGAGAAGTGGAAAGTTGAAATTGGGTTATGGCAGAGGGGTGGCGGGTATCGGCCGCCGCAACTGAAGAGCCGTTTCTCGTTTGGAAAGAGCCGGGTTCGAATCCGGGCTACATTGGTTTCCCTATGTACTGGATTTCCACTCCCAACTCTTGACTTTCCACTGTTCCGGTCATGTAAATTGGCGTGGTGCATTGAGATATCGTTCCATATCCCCGTCAGATCTTCGTGTTGCTACAAACAAACAAACAATTCATTAACGCCCGGCGGCTGAGCCGAGGTCTGAACATAACAATATCAAAAGAATATTTTTGAAATAAGAGGTCAGCCTTAGCCTCTTAGCTACCTCCCTTATCAACATTCAGAGTGACAGCCTTAAGGAAGGAAAAGTCCGATGACCCCTCCATAACAGGCCGCCTGGTCTCCTGATCCACCCATTCAAAACCAAATTTCAAGAAAATCCCTACCAGCCGTGCAACCTCAACATGTTCTATAGGTACCTGAGGCCCAGCTGCGGCGGCAAACGCTTCCCAAAAGCCCCGGCGAAGCATAGCCGAGTTGCCCACCCAGCGCCAGCCTGTTGTGGTGCGCTCCCCAAGCATACTCTCGACCCCCCACAGCGACGTGCCAAACGGGCTCACAGTGGTGTCATGCCAGTCGCAAATTCCTGTGATGCGGCCCGTCGAGGAGTCAACATGGATATTGTTCTCCAGCAGGTCGGTGTGGTTGGGCACCATGGGCCAGTCGCTAGCGAACAGGAGCGGAAGACCCTGCAGTAGGTTGTCGAGCATTATGTGCCACTGTGAGGAAAGGCCCTCCCGCAGCTGCTTGAGATCCGCCTCATAGCTGGCATATAACTGGGAGCGGCTGGGACTAGACACCGAGGTTGGCCTGTTATGCCATGGGGAAGCGAAGAACCTAAACGTTCTTGTTAGCATACAAAAACGGCTCGAGGGGCAGAAACTAGACGCTTGATACCGTGCGAAATCCGTGAGAGTGACTCTCAAGAGGCGGCCATCATTGGCGCGCAGCTGGTCTCGCGCGAGATAGACACTGACACCGCCGACGTTGTCCATGATATATGCCTTGAGGCCGGCCAGACAGCCACCATCACGAGGGCATGGCACGAACTGATACCCATAGGCTTCTTGGGCGCTCTGGATCAGAGTGATATCTAAGGCCTCGTCAGGGGAACGAAACTGCACAACTCCTTTTCCAGCTTGAACGGCTTCGACAGTATAGCTGGTGGCACCTTGGACAGTTGAAGCACGGACAGGGCCACCGAGAGCCGATGCTGCCCATTGATCGCAGGCGGCCTGCGTCACGTTAGGTCTTTCGCTGAAGAATTGATTGATTTGCATAATCGAAAGATTTGCTATGAGCCGGTGTATTTCTTCTGAGGACATGTGAGGCCGTTGATACGATCATAGGAGGGCGAGATGGAGTCCTGGCCGAGAGTTGTACAGATCAGAGAACGAACCCCATTGGTCGATAAAATACGCCCATTTGCGTGATTAGAGAACCCGCTAAAGTAACCAACCCCGCATCGCACGAACATCATTAGGACGCCTATGTCCTCGAGTGATGAATGGAATGACAAAATGCAGTACAAAGTCAGTTTATTTATCGATTCCTGATATCACACCTTCTAATAGTCGCAGGCCGCTATCGAGCTTCTTAATTCCAGACGTGCTAGTGCGCAGCCGACTCTGGAACAAATGAGAGGTTTGGATGACATGACAAAATGGTTGGGATTACTCGGTTATTCTGTATGACAAGGCCAGATATCACCAAGAAGTGCAGCTACTAACGTCACACCAGCAAGCCCACCTGGGGACTTTAAACGTCATACATATAGCCGGCACCAGTGGGAAAGGAAGCACCTGCGCATATACCTCGTCCATACTCCAGAGCTCCGGGTACAAGGTCGGACTCTATACTTCGCCACATCTTCTTAGCATCCGGGAGAGGATTCGTATCAATGGCAAGCCAATAGAGGAAGAAGCCTTTGCGAGTGCTTTTTCCGAAATATGGGATAAACTGCCACATGAGGCTAGTGCCGACATAGACATTCCCCGATACCTCCAGCTTTTGACCCTTCTCTCTTTTCATGTCTTTCTCAAGGAAAAGGTTGACATTGCAGTCTATGAGACACATATGGGTGGCGAGTCAGATGCGACAAATGTCGTAACATCACCCGTCGTGACAGCGGTGACTCGAATCGCAGAAGACCATGTCAAATTCCTCGGGCCCACTATTGAAAACATCGCTAGGCACAAAGCGGGGATCTTCAAGCCTGGTTGTCCTGCTATCTCGTCACCCCAAGATGTAAATGTTGCTAAGGTGCTTGAGCAATGTGCAAACAAGAAAGATGTTACGCTGGTATTTGTTGAGCCTGATTTATCACTGCAAGTGACAAAATACCAGAAGGAAAACTGCTCACTTGCCAAAGCAGTGACCCAGACATGGATATCACTCAGGGAGCCCGATAGATTGACGAACCTGACTAAATTTATCGACCTTGGCATTGAAAATTTTGATTGGCCAGGCCGTTACCAGCAGATAGAAGAAGGCAATCTCAAATGGTTTCTTGACGGTGCTCACAATAAATCAACGCTGCCCACTGCGGTATCATGGTTTGCCGAGATGAGCGAATCACAAAGGTAGGTGTAATCACCCACAGATTTTCCGCGGTAGCATGATGCTCATCTTGATAGTTTCAACATCCACCCCTTGAGGATGATCATCTTCAGCCATTTTTCAGATCGTGATGGCGTCGAACTTTTACACGTTATCAAGGAATCCCTCGATAGGGAAGGTCTTGAAATAGAGCACATGATATTGACTACGTACACTGAAAGACAGGACAGGCAGGCAAGGATCGGTATGTATGTCCAAAACAATAGAGAATTATTTAGACACTGTGTTGATCTTATCATAGACAGAAATCTCAAGGCTCGATCTTCCGCAGACAAGTTAACAGAGTACGCCCGTGCTTGGGGAGCATACAACCCCAGTAGTACGGTAGATGTTGAAGAGACAATTGAAGGTGCCCTGGAGAGGGCTCGTATACTTGGTGGGACTTCTATATTGGCAAATGTTTTGATAACAGGAAGCTTGCATTTAGTGAGCGGGGCACTGGGAATTCTTGAGACCAAAGACCACTAATGATAGCCCGGATTATAACTAGAAACACACATAGAAGCACTCAAGTGCTGGAAGAAATCTCTTCGAAAATAAATGTTTGATTGATTGATCTAAGATGCCAGGGCAGAAGTGAAAACATTGAACATTGACATGTACATGTAATGTTAATTTCACTAAAAAAACATCGTTTACGTGCACCTGGTGGTCAACGTCGAGTCCACATCTCGAACCTTCAATGTTCAAGCACAGTGCTTGAGGAATATACATATCCATGGATTGATAGGTGTATATACTTGTAACTGTGTTCAAAGGTGATTTTCGTGCACATGTGCATGTGCACACTATTTTAGTAGCCCTGCATGTATATACTAGGTATCCATATTTCTAAGTAGTAGGATTCATGGATCTCCAGCACTCAAGTGCTTGAGGGCTGCAAGTTCCCTTCAATGTTGAGCTGTGAGGCTCAAGGTTCTAAATGGATATTTATTGCCCATGATCTTCTCTTAATTTCAAGTGTGGGCTGACTTCTACTGTATTCAAATATCCATGGATCCATATGGATCTGCGGACAATTCTCACGTGCGCCTGTGAACCCTGGCCTATTCGCGAATGAAGAGGGATGCAACTCCCATGCCGGTACTGACAGTCATTGTTAGAAGAGATGGACGGATTACACGTTAAATAGGCTCAAAAAAGGCTTACCTGGCACACATGCTCACAATTCCCATCTCCTTATCTTGCCGTTGAAGCTCCGAGAGAAGTGTAGCAACCTGTCTGGCACCCGTCGCGCCAACAGGGTGTCCAAGAGCAATGGCACCACCGTTCGGGTTAACCTTGCTCATGTCGAGACCGAGCTCGCGGATGCAGTGGATCGACTGGCTTGCAAATGCTTCATTCATCTCCACGATATCAATATCTTTGTTTTCGATCCCAAGATACTTGTAAAGATTTTGAATCGCGAAAATTGGCCCGATGCCCATTTCGTCAGGTGCACAACCAGCAACTTGGGTACCAGCAAATCGCGCAATGGGCTTCAAGCCTCGAGCATCTGCCCAGGACCGGCGAGCGAGTATGGTGCTTGACGCGCCATCGGAAATTTGAGACCTGAAAATATGCTTGTTAGAAGGCGATTGATCGCGGGGGGAAACGGAGATATATGCAACTTACGAGTTCCCAGCAGTGCTGAATCCATTCTCTATCACAGGACTCAGCGTCGCCAATTTCTGTGCAGTCACGTTTGTGCGGACGCCCTCATCCCGCTCAACAACCGCAATCGTCACCTCATCGATACCCGCACTAATCGATCGCACCTGAATTGGGACTATCTCGTTCAAAAATCTGCCAGATCGCTGCGCCTCAGTCGCACGCCGCTGACTCTCCGCCGCGAACTCGTCCTGCTCCCGTCGACCAATTCCATACCGCGACGCAACGTTCTCGGACGTCTGCAGCATGGGCAGTAAACAATCCGGAGCATCTTTCCTCGGCGACTCCCTCAGCTCGGGCGACACATCCACAGGAATTCCCCGCGTTGTATAATTCCGCGACATACTCTCCACACCACCGCCAAGCCCGACGTTGATCTGCCCAGCCAAAATTGCATGTGAGATATGCGTGATCGCTTGCAAACTGCTCGAACACTGCCGGTTAACGGTGTGGAAAGTCGTGGAGTTCGGGAACCCCGCAGCATTCAGAGCCATGCGGCCGGTCTTCGCGAAACCCAGCTCCGCAAGGACATTGCCGATAAGTGCGTCTTCGACCTGGCCAGGCTCAATTTTCGCTCGCCTGACGGCGGCTTGCATAACCTGGAAATGACACAGTCAGTTACCAAAAGAGAAAGAAAATAACAAGCAAACGGAATGCTTACAGGCATCAAGATCTCTTCAGGGTACGCATCCTTGAAACCGCCCTTGAATGCCCGTGCGATGGGACTCCGCACTGCGGAGAGCACGACCACATCGTTCGGGCTTTTCTTCAAAACCTCTCCTGCTGTCCTTCGAAGCATACTTGTTTTCTGTACAAAAAAACTGTGTTGTGGGCATGCGACTATCTTAAACAGAAACCGGGGAAATGCAGGAGTGTGGATTGTGGATCTGGGGCAGCTCCAAAAGTGGTGGGGCGCTCCCACCTCTATGATCGTCGACGATCATTGTCGTTTTCATACCTCGCGTTACATGAAATTCCGTGCGGGGTGACTTTGTGTCCTGTTTTCTCTGCTAATACATTGTTTTCGCTAAACGACGTTGAAATTTACCGCTGCTGCCGCTGCTGAGTCCTTGTCTGTTATATGAGATCTGCGCAAAATTGGAGATTTGACGTCGATGACGTTGCAAGGGATGGAGAAATTCTCCGTCCTTAGTAACCCCTTCTAATACTTTTTTTTGCTAGTCTGTCCATCTATTAATTTACAGCTAAACACTGTAACTTCTATATCCAGTTTGATTCATCATCTCCAAATCCTCTCTTTCCTCAACATCAGGCGACTTTGACAGAATATTGCTCGGATGGAATGCGTTGAACAACAGACAACAAATCACCATCAAAGTCGCATCGCAGATGTAAACAAATACCTCTTTGCTCTGCAGGTACCCAGTACTGCCTTGAATGTATTCGGCCACTCGGTAAATCGATCGAATTAAAATAAGCGCGCTCGCAGCATACAAAACCATCATATAACGCGTCCAAGGAATTTGAGTCTTGACCATATAATGCAGCGGAGTAGCGAGCATACGGCGATGAAAGATTATTGAAATGATGATGAAGAATCCGAAGGAAACGACCTGGACGAAAAGGCCTCCCACGATTATATTTTCTCCTAGGTTCATGCTGGATGTTGATTTGGCAGTTGCGAGCATGCCACCTCCTACAAGACGTATGCTCTCACAAATCAGTTTATTTCCTGGGTATGCTGGAAGATATTCGGAGAAAGTGGATTGGGAGTCATACCGCTGCTTTGCATGAGAAACGACAAGACATCTCCGGTCACAAATATCTTCGTGAGCCAATTTGGTCGAATAAGGGAGTTTGAATCGGCGTTTAAAAGGCGGATAATTCGGCCAAGAATCATGTAAATAGATGCGGCGAAAAAGGAAGGAGCCAACAAAAGAAAGAGCTCTTGAATCACGTAAGACATGGTTGTCCAGTCCGGTGTTTGTTCTGCACTATAATGTCTTGCTGCATAGCCAACAGTCTCGACTGTAGCAGATACGAAAGTGGTGAGCTACTTGAGGAGGTAGGTTTTGTTCATTAAACGTCAGTAGGAAGGGGAGGAAACCTACAAATTCCACCAATAACAAATGGTATAAAGAACCAGCTTCGTTTTTGAATCACCTGCCAGATGTGAAATGCTGCTGAGAGGCCAAAGAAGACTGCAAAGGCGATAGCAGCACTAGGTGACGGATCGTAGTTGTAGAGCTCGTAAGTCATTGTAAAAAAGAAAACCGGAGTGATTCAGGAAGTAGTGAATTGCCCAAGTAGCATGCGATGGAAATCTAAAGACTGCGCAAATTGATGAACTGATAGTAGTATAGTTGAAGAGGCACATGGGAGTCTTATCTGTTACATAGTACTTCAATGTTTGCCGCGTCAAAGACAAAATCTCAACGAGTTCTGCCCAGGCAACACTGAATAGTTGGAATTGATGAGCTAGTGTAAATGATAAATCCAAATAAAGAAAAAAACACGAGATCTGCATAAGCCAAACACCTTTTAGGACAATCATACGAAAAAGGTGGCACCAACAGAAGAATTTTCTACTATGAACCATTGAGCTAGGGATACTAACTATGGCTAAAGTTACGAGTAAACGAGATTTTGGCTTCTGTGATTGGTCGAGAACTCGATCTCCACATGGGTACTTCCTAATTGGGATCGAAACACGAGTAAACGAGCATTGAGGTATCCATAATATTAACGACATCTATAATTTAGCAGTCTCTTTACGCGTACCCCTGAGGAAGGCGGCAAATATTGTCTATATAATTGGTCTTTCTCTCGTCGCAGGGTCCAGGTATCCACGAGTTTCATTCCACCAGCATACGTACATCTTTCTTTCTTTCTATACCTGTTTTCTACTTTTATACCTGCTAGCGGATTTTTTGGCTACTGAAGTCACCCAATCTCAACAGAATGAACTTCACATTCTACTACTATGACCCATCGGCTGCTGCTGCGGCTATCTTTCTGGTGTTATTTGGGTTAAGCACCCTGTTGCATTATTATCAACTCCTACGAACAAGAACATGGTTCATGATTCCATTTTTGATTGGAGGAATCCGTAAGTCTTGAGATTTTGGTCGTCTCCCAGAATTATTATCAAGCTAATGCATTGTTATTCAACCCCCATAGTTGAGACCATTGGTTACGTCGGCCGCTTGCTATCCTCACGCCAGTCACCCAATTTCACCAAAGGCCCCTATGTCATTCAAAGCGCCTTGCTATTGATCGCACCTGCATTCCTTGCGGCGAGCATATATATGACTCTCGGTCGGATCATCGCCATGACAGATAGCGAAAAGTGCTCGGTAATCAAGCTTAGATGGTTGACCAAGATCTTCGTGACTGGAGATGTTTTGTCTTTCTTGATGCAAGCCTCAGGTAGGGCCCTTCTCTAAACCTACACCATTCACTCTGATAGATGGTTATTTCTGGATAAAAATGCTAACAAACCAATAGGAGCGGGTCTCATGGTTGCGAATTCCAGCAGTCCCAGTACGGGCGAGCATATTATCATTGGCGGTCTCTTCGTGCAGATCATCTTCTTTGGCTTCTTCACAATAACGGCGGTGGTGTGGCAGGCTCGCGTTGCCAAGACCCCATCTACTCGCTCCCTCGAGCTGGAAAATATCTGGCCTAGGCATATGAATGCCCTCTACATTGCCAGTATCCTCATTCTTATCCGGTCGGTGGTTCGTGTGGTCGAGTACATCCAGGGTTATAGTGGGTATTTGATGAAGCATGAGGTTTTTATCTACGTTTTTGACGCTCTGCTCATGTTTTGTGTGATGATGGTTCTTCAGTACTCGCACCCGAGTGAAATTAACTGCTTGCTGGGTCGTGGCAAAAGGTACTCGGAGAAGATGGTCAGGACGCGCAAGTTTGTCCCTGGCTCGGCATTTGAGCTTGGTGAAGGCCGGGTTTAGGGGCGTGGTTTATCCTCAGCCAGTCTGTATGTCGTTATGAATAATAATTTTTGTAAAATTTGGTTTGAGTGGCTCAATTTAAGCAATCATTGCAAGAACCATGTATTCATTCTTTCTATTCTGTCTCGGAGGGGGAGTCTCAGAAACTTTACAACTGAGTATCCGGGTATATAGCTAATAGGTAGTACAGAAGGAAATAGCACTTCAAAGCAGACAAAAAACCGTGGTAGCGTTCGTGGGGACCCGTGTAAAAGTCTTATGTTTCTTGGTCATGATGCAGTTTTTCTTCATCCAAGGGGAGAATATTTCGAGCTGCCCATTCAATATGAGGATACCAATTGGGCTTCAGTACTTGGGTGATATCTTTAAAGACTTTATAACCCCAATAGCCTATCGCCCAGTTGTCCCGAGCCATATGTATGAACACGCAGTAATGAGCCAGCACTACCAAAGCGATAGGCTTCTGGGCTGTGAGGTCGTCGAGATACTTTTGCGCAGCTCGTATAGCCCATCCACCAGCCAGTGTCATTGAAGTAGGCTCGGCAAAAGTAAAAGCAGCAAGACTTCGCAAATGGCTGATAGTTTCCGTGTATGCCGCGGAATCCATATCGGCATCTTTTTGTTTACATTTGACTTGCAATTGCTCAAGACGATCCAGTGCATCAAGAACATGTTCGGGGATTTGAACATCGGGGGCTGTGATATCGAAGAGTGGTGCAAAGTCGGTTTGATGTAAGAATTCACCCTGCACTTCCAGCAGCGCCCGAACTCCTCGAGCCAATACAAAGACCTCTGTGAGCGCATTCAAGCCCGGCCCGTCATCTTTTGTTCCCATATTGACAGCACTAGCTAAGCTAAACGTAAACGCCAAGCCAGCGAAAACCATCATTGCTTTCGCATTTGATTGGTGGATATCACGCAATTGATCTGAGAACATTGCTAGGGCAACACTTTTATGCGATATGGCAACGTCTAGCCACTTGACACGTGTTTGAGCTTCATCTTGACGTAAATGTGAAAGATGCAAGGCGGAGAGTGCCAAGATCCCGTGCATAAGAAATGGTGCTTTCAAAGCTTCTTCGAGTACTGGTTTCTCCCATACTTGTCTTGTCTGTTCGCTCCGCGACAATAATTTGTGTGTATAATTGATCCATTGCAGCACAAGTTCTAGCTGGGTCATGTCCAATGAAGACAAGTTCCCAGAACTTTCACTTGGTCTGTCAAGTGAAGTCTTCATCCAACATGCTAGCTTGATTATTCCAACGTTTGAGCTCAGCTGTGATTGATCTTGTGATGGTAAATTGTCTTTCATCTGAGATCTTCGGGTGTCCTCAGCGAAAAAGTGAGGACCCAATCCAGGGTAGACACATCTTTCATCCCGCTGGGAGCAATTACTGCAGATTGGCCTTTTCTCATCGCACTATAGAGACTGTTAATACTGCAAAGTCGAGGAGCTACCCCTTGATTCGATATTCGGGGAAGGAATTATCTCCGACCTTAACGCGCCTGGTCTTGCAAATCGTGCAGCCATGACGGGATTTTACATGTCCTCGGCGATGAAACATGACGATTGACCCTGTGCAACTGCAATTAGGTTGATTAGCAGTGAGCTTCAAAAGCTGTGCTGGTTCTGTTCATATTTCTGGTGCCTATGGTGCAGGAGGCAACATCGCCAATGATCAGATCCATGTCTCGGCATTGAAGCCGAGATCCAACACGAATACGAGATCGCAGTTCATGCGATGACGCGGTTGGCTGACATACTCTAAATATGGGACACGCTAGTATCCCTTCGGCTAGACCGCCGTCCAAAAGAAGAAAAGTTTCATCTATTGGAGAGTCGCCAAGCATTATATCTAGGCAACGTCGAATAAGTCCAGGGTCCAAGAACTTCTATTACTCAGGTCATCGAAGACTTTGGATATGTCGCCCAACATCCCCATTTGATCCAGTACCATTGTGACTTGGCTCATGATACATAACGCGGCGCCAAAAGGTGATGCAATTTCATCATGAGCCTCGAGCACAAGAAAGTCAATGTTCCTGCGACTGCGAGAGATGGATTTGGCCAAAGCCAAAGCCAGCAATGGAAGCTCCGACTATGATAACTCCGAGGAGAGAATCGTGAGAAAAACATGCGTTTAGTTGCGTGCGTACAAGTAGTAGACTCCGACTACTGAGTGTCTTCTCTTAAATGCTAGCATCCCATCGCGTTCAGCCCGAATGAGTCTAGTTCAATCAAAGGTGCATCATATTTTATAATACTGCGTTCAGGAGAAGTTAGACGGCATTCTAGTAGCTCTTCAGTAATTCTGGTGTGACTTACCAGCTACAGGAGGGATCTCATACATTCAAGCGAGAGAGATTGAAGCGATAGATGGGCTTTTCATGGCAATGGATCTTACAGTACAGTGCATGGTTCTGTGTGCAACCTTCCTAGTTATTTACTTGACATTGGTGGAATTTTTCCAAAAAACTTAGGCATACAGAGATTACATCATCCATAATGGAACAATAGCAAGTAAGGTAGTCAGAAAAGAAAGTTCTTTGAGTTTTCATATGTGATTCGAAATCTACTAGCAGGTAGTAAAACCCCTACATAGTATTGGCATTGACGAATCAGATGCATTAACAGATCCAAGGGTATTCAATCTGCCCTTGATGCACAAGGTCACAAGACCAATGCAGTACGAGCGGGGAAATGAGGGGAGACTTCCCACAGATCTTCACTACCCTTAAAAATCGGGGATGGAACATGACGAGGGTTTAAAATTTAAAAACTTTAAAAATTTCCATCGCCATCTTACCCCGGTTCAACATCCACATTCTCAGGATGTGTTAAGTGCCGACAGAACCATCAATGTGTCGGGAAGACCAGGAACGGCATTGCCCAAGGGAGCGAGATCCCGACAATTGCAATTTTGCTGCCGAAGGCGAGTCCCGGGTGTAAAATACGTGTTATATTACAATAATTTACAATAATTACATGGGAATATTTCACATTCCATTTCGTGGTTGGAACTTGGAACCAAAGGAAGATTTTTCAATCCCACACAACAATGATTTTTCACAGGAAACAATCTGATAAAGAATGTGTAGTAGGTTTCAATCTAACATGGAGATCGTGTGACATCTCCAACCTCCACAACTTGATCACCCCGCAAAGATGCAGAGGTCTTTGTGTTTGCCCCCTTTTTTTCTGACTAAGATTCGGGAAGTGATGTGGGGTCGGCTTCCGATGGCGGCAAAGGGCTTAGGGGCCATCCGTCATTAACAACGCGAAGCACTCCGATATGTGGGGTGAGAAGGCGGTGGCCACCCCCGGGCGTGCCCGGGTAAGCGTTTTTTCGGCTTCTCTGGATCAGTGTCTAGCCGAAAAATTGCGGGTTGGGGCACTGGGGTAGATAGCTTCGCGATGCTCCATTTCTTCTTCTTTCCTTTCTCTCTTCTTTCTGCTGGATCAGAAATACCTTCTCCCAGACATTCCAAGGTAGTCGAGACATCATGTCGCGGCCTCTCGCCCCTGTGATGTCGGTGTTCCGCCCCATCTGGCGGCGGAACTTCTCTGCGTCCACCACTATGAGCGCTATTAACAAGCTGTGCGGCTCCGCTAAGGAGGCCGTCAAGGATATGAAGGGTGACACAACCGTCCTCGTCGGTGGATTCGGTTTCTCTGGTGTCCCCATCTCTCTCATCAACGCCGTCCGGGACCGCCCGGAGGTTAAGGGCCTGACCGTTGTCTCCAACAACGCTGGCATGCCCGGTGTTGGTCTTGGTAAGTGCCAATTGCATCCGCAATTGACTCCGCTAGGTCTGTGACTAACCGCGTCTGTGTTCCTTTAGGTCAATTGCTCGAGTCGAAGCAGATCAGCAAGATGATCGCTTCTTTCATTGGCGAGAACAAGTTGTTCGAAAAGATGTACCTTGGTGGCGATTTGGCTCTGGAGCTCACTCCCCAGGGTACCATCGCTGAAAAGTGCGCCGCAGCTGCTGCTGGCGTGCCTGCTTTCTACACTCCCGCGGCTTTCGGCACTATCGGTGAGTCCCCCCGTGTTCAATTGCACTAGTTCAACTTGCCTGGCGAATATAGCAAGACTGACTTAATTGGAATAGTGCAAACTGGTGAACTCCCCGTTCGTTACAACAAGGATGGCTCTGTGGCTGAAATGTCCAAGCCTAAGGAGACTCGTGTTTTCAACGGCAAGGAATTCCTTTTGGAAGAATCGATCTATGGTGACTACGCTCTGATTAAGGTCCACAAGGCCGACCGTCTCGGCAACTGTGTTTTCCGCAAGTCTATGAACAACTTCAACGAGGCCATGGCCAAGAACGCTAAGGTTACCATCGTTGAGGCTGACCACATCGTCGAGGTTGGTGAGATTGACGCCGAGAGTGTCCACCTCCAGGGTATCTACGTCGATGCTGTTGTCCAGAGCACCGAGGAGAAGCAATTCGATAAGATCACTTACGCCAAGGACCCCAGCGAGATGATCGCTGGTGGTGACGGTGAGGCTACCGCCCGCCGTGAGCGTATCGTCAAGCGTGCCGCCAAGGAATTCAAGGACGGCATGTACGTTAACCTCGGTATTGGTATTCCTCTCATTGCTCCCTCCTACCTGCCCAAGGGTGTCGAGGTTATCCTCCAGGCTGAGAACGGTATTCTCGGTCTCGGTGGCTACCCCAAGCCCGGCCAGGAGGACCCTGACCTCATCAACCCCGGCAAGGAGACCGTCACTCTGGACCCCGGTGCTTCCCTCTTCGGTTCCCACGAGTCTTTCGGTATGATCCGCGCTGGTAAGATCGATCTCACCATGCTGGGTGCCCTCCAGGTCAGCCAGTACGGTGATCTCGCCAACTTCATGCTTCCCGGAAAGGTTAAGGGTATTGGTGGTGCCATGGACTTGGTCGCCAACCCCGAGAAGACCAAGGTCGTCGTCACCATGGAGCACACTGACAAGAAGGGTAACCCCAAGATTCTTGCTGGTAAGTTTTATTCATTCCACTCTTGGGATTAAAAGCACCTAACTAACCATTTCGTTTTCTTCCAGACTGCACTTTCCCCCTTACCGGTCCTCGCTGCGTTTCCACCATCATCACCGACCTCGCTGTCTTCGACTGCAGCCCCACTGAGGGTCTGACCCTGATCGAGCACGCCGAGGGCGTCACTGTTGAGGAGATCAAGAGCAAGACCTCTGCTCCCTTCAAGGTCGCTGCCGACCTGAAGCCCATGCAGCTGTAAAATTGCATTTGAATACATACATTAGAATTGGGTCTGGAACCGGTGTCTTGTTTTATTTGCGAATGTCAATACTGCAAGTCGTAGATTGAAAATTGAGTTTTGTTTTCTAAAATGATTGATTCTTCCTTCTAATTTTAACTGTAAACTCAACTGTAGTTTTCGACGAGTTCGATTGATGCCATTGATCATGCATGCCTTCAAATTATCTCAGTCACTATAGAGAGTACGGAGTAGTTGACCCGGCTTCTACCGGTGCTAGAACCGCCCCTTGGAACGCTGGCTACAAACATTTAAATAATAGTCTTAATAGTCCCGTCGATAGCGCCTCCGTGAACAAGCCACGAACGCCTTAGCCCGTGCCCACCCCATGCCCCTTGCCGCGTGAGCTCATGTGGGGTCGAACCCACCTGCAGATCAAGCAGTGGGGCCTCCCCACGAGCATCTTGCCATGAAAGTGGTGCTATTTTGATAATTTAGTATTGTAGTTCTTGTGCAGCTGGTAAACCATGGGGATCGCATTGTGAATGTTGAAGTAACTGTAGAAACAATGTTCTCCTGTTCATTAGCACGCACGGCTGCTCTGAGGGCAGCTCCGTTGCTTGCCCGCCCAAACTCACGATGCCTCCTTCGTCGAATCGCTACGGGGACTCAAGCAGCCGATACTAGGAAGCTACCACTTGCAGGCGTGCGAGTGTTGGATATGAGCCGGGTGCTTGCAGGGGTATGTATCAATGCCGGATAACATGCCTGGAGGCAAGAATATTAGCTCACGCGTTGGACAGCCTTACTGTACACAGATTCTGGGTGATTTGGGGTACGGATCATCTCAAACCACAAATTAAGGAAACGAAGATACTGATGAATTTCTCCCTCCATGCAGAGCAGAGATCATCAAAATTGAACACCCCATCCGAGGTGACGATACCCGTGCCTGGGGCCCACCCTTTGCAGCTTATACGGACGGTCGAGCTGGCAATGGTGAAAGTGCATATTACCTTTCGGTATGTATCTAGTCAATCCGTTAGCTCGGAACAGCAGAATTCAGAGCAGCCAACTGAGCTTCGTCAGGTCAACCGCAACAAAAAGTCCCTCGGTCTTTCTTTCGCACACCCCGAAGGTGTCGAAATCCTTCATCAACTCGCACGAGACTGCGACGTGGTAGTGGAAAACTACCTCCCAGGTTCTCTGAAGAAGTATAACCTCGACTATGAGTCTTTGCGCCAGATTAATCCTCGCCTCATCTATACCAGTATCACGGGGTATGGGCAGACAGGTCCTTACAGTAACCGACCCGGTTTCGATGTGATGGTCGAGGCCGAATTTGGCTTGATGCACCTGACCGGTACTCGAGATGGGCCACCTGTGAAGGTTGGGGTAGCTGTTACCGATTTGACAACGGGGCTGTATGCGTGTAATTCCATCATGGCGGCCTTGATTGCACGGGCGACTAACGGCGAAGGACAGCACCTGGATGTCTGTTTGAGTGATTGCCAGGTGGCGACGCTTGCTAATATGGGAGAGTCGGTGCTTATTAGCGGGAAGAAAGACTCTGGGAGATGGGGAACTGCACACCGTAAGTCATTCTGTTCTTGTCTTATGTTGCTATTAGTTTTGGTGTTCTCAAGGCAACTGATACTCCCATTCGTTAGCTTCTGTGGTTCCATATCAAGCATTCAAGACTTCTGACACCGATATCTTTGTCGGGGGCGCCAATGACCGGTTATTCGGGATCCTGTGTGATAAGCTTGGAAAGCCGGAGTGGAAGACTGATTCTCGATTCGCTACCAACAGTGATCGCGTCAACAATCGAGAAGATCTCGAGCCGCTGATTGAAGGCGAGTTGATGAAGGAAACAACAGGGGTATGGCAGAATAGGTTCGAAGGAAGCGGGCTGCCCTTTGCGGTTGTCAATGACATTCAGGGAACTATGAACCATGAGCATGGTAAGTTTCTCGACACGAAGCTTTTAGGCTATGCTGACGATTGTTCGAATAGTGATTGCGCGTGGAATGGTTCAATCTATTGATCATCCGGCCTGTGGGTCGATCAAGGTCATTAGCCCTCCCGTTAAATACTCGAATGCTGAGCCTAGTATTCGAAGCCCGCCCCCACTTCTTGGAGAACATACCGAGGAGCTGTTGAAAGATATTGGACTTGATACCGTGCGGATTGAGGAGTTGAAAAAGAAGGGTGTAGTTGCATAGCTGTCATTTGTACAACCACATAGAACATATCGGCACAAGTATAGACAAAAGATGAGCTTTGGCATGTCAATATAACCTGTAATGGAAAAGAGTGACTGTCTTCATTTCAACCAAGCTGAATTGTATGGTAGAAGGAGTTCAGCCTGTCTTCGCATGAAATTTGTTCAATGGAGATGAGCTTCCCGTCTGTTAGTTAATATTGGCTATCAAGTTTCTCTCCCGGAGCTTGAGGTGTACTTGTGTTTTGCAAAGAGGAGGCACGCATGGGCAGTACTAGTAGTCATGGAGGTGTCTACCAAATCTTGAAGGAATTCATGCCATCTCAGCAAACACATCTTGTTCCCTGACTTTTGGTAACCAGTCTCCCTTCCCATCTTGATCTTCCTTGCCCCGAACATTGTGTAAAAAGGGAAATCAAGGTACTGGATAAGCTGGTACTTGTCCATACCTAGAGCTTTGAACCGATCTCTCAGACCCATGAGAAAGTAAAGATCAGAGAACGGGCTCGATTCTGGGACTTATAAAAGGGTCACATGCCATCTCAGTAGACACTGTCTCCCAAAGATTTTGTAACTGCTTCATCTTCTATCCCTAGTCTTACCTACCCCAGACTTTTCATGAATCATAAATTCGAGTTAACCAACGACCTGCTCTGGATCTATATAGCATGCTTTTTTGAAAACTTTCTAGACCCATAGGAAAGAAAATACCAGAGAAAGACCTTCATCTGAGGACTTAAAAGCTCGAAGTACTGTATACAGTCTAGGTGAGTCTTATAGTAAACTCAAGCTACTCTATATTGAACTGATCCTCGCGCGTGATTGGTTCATCCTAAGCGACCTGGTTGATCTTGGGGACGCGTTCAGGGTCTTTCCTGGGGCATAAATACTTCTTTCTTCTCTCCATTCGCCTTCCTTTCCTTCATCCATCTCACACATATCTGCTTCATCCATCTCACACATACTTGCTTCATCCATCTCACGTACTTGCTTCATCCATCCGAGTCTCATACATAATTGGTCTGTCTATCTATGGTGTCTTTCTTCTACTACCTTTTTGGGTTTGAACTTGTATACTTCTATTTTCTTTTTTCCTTTTCTCTTTTCCCTTTCTCCCATCAATACTAACCTCTCTTCAAGAACTTCGAATACTCATCACCGTTTACACCTTGGTCCTCTTGACTAGCGGCCTAGCACTCATGCTGCCTTGATCAACAAATTTTCACCAACTTATCTCAGCGACTTCCCAGCACCTCCAGTGAACGGTATGTCTAGAAATCCCGTTTCTGACATTTCCTTTCTAACACTTACCACTCTATATTAGGTTCTCCTTCTGAGTCCTGGGTGCTCTCTCCAGTTCTTTGCTATCGATATCTTTCAAGATGACTCCTGACTTGAACACCATGCAAAACCAACAAGAACAACAAGAACAAACTCGTCATCATCATCCAGCTCTTCGACTGCTTCTTCAGTTTCATCTTCAATCTTATCATCAGCTTTGTGAAGTTCACCCTGGTCGTGAGCTTATTCAACTTTATCTTGAATTTCTTCTTCCTCTTCATCTTCATCTTTATCACTATCTTCATCAACAACATCAACATCAACCTCATCATCAACGTGATCTTCATCTTCAATTTCAATTTCATCTTCAACTTCTTTTTCAACATCATCAACAACTTCTTCAACGCGCACACGATGAAGCATCGATTTTATGATATTTGCTTATGGTTCCTCTCCTGATGGTTACACTGCTGTTTTTCATGGGTGCTTGACTACTTTCGGGGGGTTTTGGGTTTTCGATTTTGTTATGGCTCTTAGGTTCCTTGGGTTTCTTGTTCTTCTATTTCTTGTTATCTTTAGTATGCGGCTCACATGGCTCTTATCAATCTTTTCGCTTACCCCTTGATCTCTTCTGGTCATCCGGATGACCTCTTCTGGTGTTACCCTCCCCAGTTCTCTGGAGATAGGGGGTTCTCTGGATCTGGTTGTCAATGGCACATTTGCCCCTCTAAATATGAGTGCCGGACTTCCTCTAGGAGTATGGTTCTCAGGTCGAAGTTGGGAAACACCTCACACCTTGTTGTGTTTGGTGGCCATTTGTTGGTGTGAAGGGTCTTGGGTATATATGATTCTGGCGGCTCAATTCATCAGTTCATAGATAATTGTGCTTTTTGTTGCTTCTTAATTTTGTTAAGAAGTCCTGCTTAGCTTGTTTCTTTGATCATTTGATTAGTTTCTTCTGGTCATCCGGATGACTTCTCCTGGTGTTACCCTCCCCAGTTCTCTGGAGATAGGGGGTTCTCTGGATTTGGTTGTCAATGGCATATTTTCCCCTCTAGGCATGGGAGCCGGACCTCCTCCGGGAGTATGGTTTCCAGGTCTAAGTTGGGCATTTTTTCCCTCTGTCAACTCGGGATCGAAGGTGACTTTTAGGGAGTTTTTGACCATGCGGATAATCCGACCTCGATTGGAGGATCTTGGAAAGTTCCCACATGAAGAGACTTCAGAGGCTGTAGCCAATGATATCATCCAGGCTGATGCCACCTTCATGGCATGGCTTTCTGAAGTCGGAAACAAGAACCGCCCAGACAAGGGTTTGCTGGGGATTTTCGCGTTGGTGAAACAGGGTATGCTAATGGTGACAGCGCGCGATTCGGTCGAGCCGCCCTTTGAATCGGCCCGACTGCGCCCTCGATCTTCTGCGCCTGTGGAACAACCTCATTTGCCGGCGGAAGGTAGCTCTATGGACGTAGAGCGTGCGACAAGTACTTCGGAAAATGTGGTCACGAGGGTTACGCCCGCAGAAGAGAATTTGTGGGCGCCATTCCCCAAAACCGCTGCTGAAGAGGAGATAAACTACTTTCTGCTCAACCTCCTGAATGCCTACACGCTGAGTCTCAATGCTGGTGTCCGCTGCGAATGGATTGCTCACCAAAACCCATTCCTAACTGTCTCATTTGGTCAAGTGGAGCTGACCGCATATGTCGATGGTTATTTGAGGCATATTGGTGGGCATGAGTGCCGGACCTCCTTTAGGAGTATGGTTTTCAGGTCAAAGTTGGGAAACACCTCACAACTTGTTGTGCTTGGTGGCCATTTGTTGGTGTGAAGATCATTTCTGATGTGAAGAATCTTGAGTATATGCCGTTCAGATTCTACTCGATGAAACAGAGTTGCGTTTACTGGCATGAGTCGCATAACATAGTCAGACTTGGCAGTCTTATCAAAACATTTCTGAAGCTCCTTTTCAATTTGACAAATTGCTTCAACACAACTGCTGAAAAGCCATTCTTCCATCTTGTATCATTCAAATGTAGTTGTGTTTAGTATTTAGTAGTGTTCTTGGTCTTCGGATCCGGTCTCCGGGTCCGTCCTCGGATCCGACGCATGACATGATTTCATGAAGTATAAAGGCCGAACAAATGCATGATCATTGCATTCAGAAGCGCCTTTTTACTTTTCCAGTAACTCCAAGGTTCTATCCAGTTGTCTCCATTTTTGGAACAATCTCCGCCCAAGATGAAAGTTCTTGTTATTGGCGCAAGTGGTCGTACAGGCAAGCTGGTTCTCGACGAACTCCGAACCCGAGGTACAATTTCACCATCCAGACTCCAGAGCAGGACCAAATCCCAGAAATACGCTAACTAATTGTGGTAGGGCATCAGACCAGTGCACTGGTTCGTGATCCAGGAATACTGGAAGGGCATAATGTTGACATCGTCAAAGGTATGAAAACCAGCTTGCCTACTAGGTACCGCCGATTGATTGACCGAGCGACTCATTCTATACTAGGTACACCAAGTAACATGTCCGACATGAGAAAAGCCTTCAAGAAAAACAACCCAGAGGTCGTTATTGTAACTCTGAGCGCACCCCGAGCCAGCGACAGTCCCTTTGCCGCACCGATCTCCCCTCCACGCTTGATGGCCGATTGCAACGCCAATGTAGTGAGAGCCATGAAGGAATTTGGCGTCTCCAAATTGGTAATTCTTCAGGCATTCGGGGTTGGCGCATCGTGGTCGAGCATGCCCTGGGTATTGCAATTGCTGATGGGCAAGTCCAACATGAGATACCAGTACGAGGACCACAACCATACCGACCGTGAAGTCCGTGCGAGCGGGGTGACTTTTGTTCTCGTACGACCATCCCGACTGGTGGAAAGCGATGTGTTACAAGTGCGTGAATGGCCGGAGGATGGTAAAGGTGTCTCACTGATGGCAAGTGCCAGTCGAAAGAGCGTTGCTCATTTCTTGGTGAACGCGGCGACCGAGTCCAAGTGGGATAACACGGCGCCCGTCATCACGAATTAGATGTGTAGACCGGGAAAGAGTTCTCATCGGCATGAATTCTCAATTTGTATGTAGCCTAAGAAATCAATTTGTTTTAGCCACTCAATTCCAAACACGCAAAAATCACGAGATCAACTCTCGAGTCACGACTCACATCCAAGAATCCAAGATTCCAAGTTGATCCAACCTGGGGCGGGAAGTCGGGAGTCGGGACGGGATGCTTGGCGCTGCTTATACTCTTTGACCCTTTGGCCTTGTCAGCTTTGCTTCAATCCCTCAATGTCTGTCATCTCCAGCAATGAGCTCTGAATCTCGCAAAAGACCCCGGCCCGTTGTATCGTGTCTGCGATGCCGAGAGAAGAAGCTGAAGTGCGACCGCGTCGCGCCATGTCAGAATTGTGTAAAAGGGGGGTTTGGCGCCCAATGCACATATCACCAACAACAACAACCACATGCCGATCCTGCCGACCATCAGTACTCACACCTACAAGGGCCAGGCCCACAACCGAAACGAACCCAAATACCCGAAGCGGATGAATCAGACCCACCAACAGGTCTAACACAGCCAGTGACGGGCCTGAGTGTCGGCATCATCGAAGATCTGCAGCAGCGGGTACTGAAGCTAGAGTCCCTCCACGCGGTTAGACCCCAGTCACCCCACGCTAGGACTTTTGATCCGATTAGAGATGCATTGGTCCAGAACTCTTGGTATGACAGAACCCTCCAACCTTGAGATCCCTTCCACTGATATGACGGAGTAGGCCCCGACCTGACATTTCCCGAACAAGCTCACCACACCTGGGCACTTTGGTGGTCAAAGGATCTCGATCGAGGTATCATGGTCAAAATGATAGAATCACTCTTCTCAATCAGGTTTGTATATGGCTACAATACAAAACCATACATGAACTGACATCTTCCAGTTTCCCGAGGCTAAGGTCTTCATCAACCAATCCTTGAACAACCCTAGTCTCGTAGGGCTAGCCAAGGAGGTTCAATTCCTGCAAAACAAGTCCCAGACAACAAGTGACTCTCCAGCGTCATTATCGGGTTTGGAAAATTTCCCCGAGCTGCAAAATCTTACCGGTTCATTACCGGGGAAAGTTGTTTGTGACCAACTTCTTTTCGTTTATACCAAGAACCTAGAGAAGACACTTCGAGTTCTGCATACTCCCTCTTTCCTGGCGCACTACAACACTTTTTGGGCCACCTCAGATCATGACATGTCCTTCCTTTCAATGTTTATTCCCCTCCTTACCGCAGTGTTATCGATCTCAGTCATCTTCGATCCCACACCCCCTTCATCGGAGTATTACTCCTCTTGGAACTACCTGAAGCAACATGCAGTGGGCACAATTCAGTCTTGGCTGCGAAAACTCCCACGAAAGCCACGGACTGAGCTTGCAACGTTACAGGTTGAGACCCTTCTCTTTATGGCCTGCCAACTACGGCAGGTCTCCGCCGAACAACTATGGAAAGAAAGTGGCTCGCTCGTACGCTCTGCTATGGTTATGGGGCTCCATGTCAACACATCACAATCAAAGACTCCTTCTCCTTATCAAGCAGAATGTCGGCGTCGGTTATGGGTGACAATCGTGGAGCTGGATTTACAGACATCCATTGCTGCAGGAATGCCTGTTATGACACCAGCTCTGGATTTCTCCCCTCTTATACCCTCAAACCTGAACGATACAGACTTTGATGAATCAACCACTGAACTTCCGACACCAAGATCCATGGAGGTGGAGACAGACACACTGGCACAAATCATTCTGGCCCAGTCCCTTGCGCGGCGTATACAAACCATGAACTTGGTCCAGCATACCAAGCCTCGCGAAAACATCGAAGAACGCATCAAACAAGGCCAAGTGATTGAAGAATATCTGCAGAAAATTCCGATACCTCTAAAATTGAGCTACGATGGTGAAAATTCCGACCCCGCCTTCCGTCTGGGACGCGTTCTTCTAGATGTTTACATCCGCCGTCCACTTCTTTCACTCTACAGACCTGTCCTCGCCAACCACACCCACGATGGTCCACCTCTCTTAGAGATACAACGCGCGTCTCTTGAGTCATCCATCATCGTTCTTTCATATCAAGACCTTTTTGATCCAATTATCGCGGATCTTGATCTGCCAAATTCTAATACATACTGGAACATCTTCCAAACCTTCTGCCAAAACGATATCCTTTGGGCGGCTCTGAGTGTTTGTGAACACTTGAAGTTCATTAATCAACAAACATCTGTCCAATCCCCCTCCAATAACTTTGCTGTTGATAGCAACAACAACAACAACAACAACACCATCAAAAACCATAACAATCCCACCAAGCCCCACCCTCCCAACAACAACCACACCACACACTCTCTGACCAGCAGCAAAGCTAGCTTGACGCGTTTGATTGAAAACACAATCGACAGCTTAACTCGCCGAATCGGCGAGAAGGGAACCAACGTGAAGGACGTTCTTCTTTTGTCTGTTGTCCTCCAATCTGTCCGCGCCCGTGGCCCATCAGAGCAAAAAGAACGCCATATGTCTCAGGGAGCAAAGAAAGCTTTATCTGCGTGTCGACAAAACTTGTTGACTGCAGCCAACGAAAACAACTTCCCTTTTCAGCTCAATGGCTCAGCCCCGCCATCAAACTACGAGGTATGTTCACTGACTGCGCCATATATCTACCCCCGCATGCTGACTTTGATTAGTCTACGGATTCAATCTTACCCCCTGGCGTTTCTGGTCAATTGGGCCAATCCTCCCCTTCCATGGCTGATCTTCAGCAACAATCTGCTGCACTCGCTGCTGAATTCGATTCCTTCCAAACCGATCTTTTCAACTTTGATGATGAATCGTTCATGTGGAATATCTGATCGGCAACTGATTTCCCTCCAAATGCCATTTGACACGAAGATGGATGAAAAGAACGTCAACCCACTCCAAAAAACACACACACACACACACACACACACACACACACACACAAGAAAACGATACTATTTACCATGAAGGGAGCTTCAATATTTTGATGATATCTGGTTAATGGCAAAGAACGACATACAGCGTGGGGGCACAATCTGCAGGGCCATTGACTCAGCGATGAAGAAGCATCGAGTACCTGATACAAATTTGCCAGCCGCGCTGAGCATCGGTGATGGACAAGAATATCCTGGAGGGCATGTTTGTTTTGCGATTGAGAATGTTTACAACGAATTGAATCGAATCGACATGCAGCGTGGAGGCACAATCTGCAGAAACAAGGCACACAGAGATGAGGAAGCATCTTTCAAGAGGTGGAGTACAACGGATGATGATATTCAAAAGGGTTGAATCACTTAAATTTGTGTCTCTAATCTACCATTTTCACTATTTTGTTGAAACCAAGCCATCAGGATCCATTTGACTGAAAACAGTCATCCAAATGCTCTATTTATCTACATATGCGCCGTCGAGTCTTATTTCGAGTAGTACTGCGTCATATCATGGCGGAGCATGTCCAATCCCTATTTCCGATGTGAGCAAACGATTCGAAATAGAAACATTGAGAAAGCAGAATGAACTCACCAAAACGATACTCTTCCCAATTTCTTCATCAGTCTCTCCCTTGACGCAAAGCTGGAAGAACTCATCGTTCTCACGAGCCTTGGTCGGATCCTGGTCGTACAGCCGCTTGAAATTCTCACGAGACATCGGGTCGATAATGTCAGCCCAGATGCGTTTGCGGATCTCACTGTATTTATCAAGAATAGTCTCATCCGCCAGACCCCTGTGAATGCCCATAAACGAATCAAATAGACTGCCAACATCGGCAATGCCGCCTGTGAGACCTAGTCCGCCACTGCAAGCTCAGTTAGTATAGAGTGATAGTGATTCACCATCTTGGGGTGGTTCGGTAGTAGATTGCTCACAATGGGTTACAGAGATGCGCAGCATCAGCCGCAAGGAGGATTCTTCCGACTCGGAAACTCGGCGCGCATCGTTGTTGCAGCTTGTAGGGGCTGATGTTGGTAATTTTGTATTGGTCGGGCTTGGGATTCCCCGGTAAGAGTGTCTCGTAGCGCTCGGGCTGTCGGGCAATGTATTCCTCCCTGCTTAGACCGGGCGTATCGCCGTATGTGACGCGCCAGAGACCGTCGTTGGTCACACGGGCTGCCATGTACCAATGGTCAGGATGGACGACGAAATTGCTGTCCCAATAGCCGAATTTTTCGAAGTCATAGTAGACCTGGATGTTCAGTTGTGGTTAGTGAATGGATTCTGGTCGATTCAGGCAAGTAAAACAATCTTACGTTTGTTGCTATGATCTGCGCATTCAGAGTCTCTCCTGGGTACTCAGGCCCAAATAATTCTCGGCGCACAGTACTACTGGCTCCATCACATCCGATAACATAGTCCGCCTCAGACCGCTGAGGACCAGTGGGCGTTTCGGATTCAACCCAAGCGCGTCCCTCGTCTTGACCAATGCGCACTACACGGTGAGACCATTTGACCTGGGCTGTTGGCTGTCGTTGAATATGCTCGAAGAGCAACTCTCCCAACTGATCAAGTGGAAGAACGACCATCTTGGTTGGGTAGTCATCGGGAAGTACGGCATGGCTCATGCCAGCGATAAAAGTGCCATCGAATTGCCGCCATGCGAATCCAGCTGGTTGGAATCCCCGTGCCTTGATGTCTTCCAGAACTCCAGCTCTCCCAAGCTCATATACAGCCGGGCTTGCATAGTGAGCTGCTCGTGGCTGGTCATCAATCTGCGAGCCAGCGTCGAGCAACTCAACCTCAATGCCTTGTTTTGCGAGCAAGAGGCCAAGAATAAGACCTGATGGTCCAGCTCCGACTATAATCACCTAGGTATGAATTAGCTACGATTGCATGTGCTCGGGAACTGCAACCAACAATACCTTTTGGATAGCCATCACTTTAAATTTTTGCGGAAATGGAAAGGGTTTAGAAATGTTTTTTTCTGGGATGAACGCAGCTCTTATTCAAGGACTTCAGCCGGGTCAAATAAGACCCCTCTCCCTAAACCCCGCCGTGGGGCCATTTCTTGGAACATTGTCATGTCGTCCCGTTGAAATGAGGATGAGCTGCCACTATAACTCTAAGTGGCCCGGTAAGTTTGCGGGGGGAAGACGGAGTGGGGGTCTATGCAGGGGGAATCCCGAGATTCCCTTGGATCCCCAACGAGGACCCTTAGTGTCATTTCAACAATATGTATCATCATCACCAAAGGAATTGCTGTTGAAAATTCGCTGGAGGTGCGCCGTCCCAAGAGCTGTTATTCATAACCGGGGGTGTGTCCTCGCCACGGTCAGGCTCACTGTCTTCGAATGGTTCTTCACTTTGGTGTAGTCCCCAGTGAGGGATGCTAGAAGATCGAGGGTATTCCTCCCGATGGCCCCTGAGCCCAGACGGGACCGAAGATTGTCGGTGTTGTCTGCCAGAGATAGTTCTGGGGCTATGAGTCATTCTGTGCTCTGTGTGATCGAGTTCTCTCCTTGTGGCCCCATAGTGTTTTGTATCACTAGAAGAAGGAGCACCTTCACTAGGACTTCGATTCTCGGTAGCATCGCTTTTCAAGCCTGTACATGCCTGTTGCCATTTCCGAATGTTCATTGCTGTGTCCAGGGGATATTTAGCCCAGTGATCGATGCCTTTCTTCTGTATTCTCGCCAAAGGTGTGTATGATGTTGTAGCATTTCTTCCGGGGCTAACATCGTCGGGGAAAACTGTCTTGAGCTGGCTATCTGAAACATCAGACAGCAGTTTGAAAAGCGCGCTCTCGGTAATTTGGAGGCGATGCTCTAATATCTCGACATAACCTTTTGCGGGACCTCTTATCCCCAAATTAGCATGTATCTTTTTGTAGCTTTCAATAGTCACTGTTACCGTTTCAAATGCTCGGGCCAATTACATGGCCTGTTATATTCAAGGCACTGCCCACATACCGGTCTATTCTCTGATGTTAGCTCACAGCCTTGGAATCTCAGTTCCTTCTTACTTTTCGCCACTACACTAGATTGAGTTAGCTCTCTGTCGACTGTTGTGGGGGTTCTTGAAAGGCATACCTTCTGTTTCTTTGACCGACACGCTGCGCAAGCTGTAGTCGCCCTTGAGGGTCCTTTCTGAGTCTTTGGCATTTTACTTGTTGGTGTTCTGGTGAAGAGTTGTGGGATGATGGTTGGGGGCGGGGAATTCTATCGCCTGAAAGTTCTGCCGAGCGGCAATCGTCACAGTAAAGAGTCCAAGGTATAACTATAGACCGTCATATAAGACTTTGAACTATTCTATTTATTTAAAACAACTTTCTTCCCCAAATTAAATCTCAACTCTCTTTTAATTGTGACTTAAAAATATATTTCTACCGATATCTTCTCATTTCTCTCATAATGGCTGCCTCTTACCAAATCGCATCCATTCCCGGTGACGGCATCGGCCCCGAGGTCGTCAGTGCCACAATTCAAGTTGTTGAGAAACTGGCCAAAGCACTTGGAACTTTTCAGATCAACTTCACTCATATTCCATGGGGTACCAACTACTACAAGGAGCATGGCCGATACCTTTCCGAGCATGCCTTGAGTACCTTGAAGCAATATGATGCCGGTCTATTTGGTGCCGTGGGAGATCCAGGTATGGAATAGAAGAAAAACAACACCTCCACACGCGGAGAATATTAATTTCCAACTTATTCTAGATGTTCCGGATCACATTTCCCTTTGGGGCCTGTTACTTGCTATTCGAGGCCCTCTGCAGCTCTATGCCAATGTGCGACCAGTACGAACATTCCCAGGAACTAAATGTCCGCTCAGCACCGCAACGGGAGGTATCGACTGGATGTTGGTGCGAGAGAACTCAGAAGGTGAATACTCAGGTCAGGGAGGACGTTCACACGTCGGACAACCGTGGGAAGCTGCTACGGAGGTAGCGATATTCACCCGGGTCGGAATCGAGCGTATCATTCGTTTTGCCTTTGAAACCGCGCAGTCGCGTCCCCGAAAGCATCTGACGGTCGTTACAAAAAGCAACTCTATGCGCAACGGCATGGTGCTTTGGGATGAAATTGCGGCATCTGTTGCGAAGGACTTCCCCGATGTGACTTGGGATAAAATGCTCGTTGATGCCATGACGGTGCGAATGGTTTGGAAGCCGGAGTCTATTGATACAATCGTCGGCACGAATCTGCACATGGATATTCTCTCGGACTTGGCTGCTGCTCTGGCCGGGTCCATTGGAATTGCCCCATCTAGTAATCTGGATCCAACTCGCAAAAATCCGTCTTTGTTTGAGCCAGTTCATGGGAGTGCCTTTGATATAATTGGAAAGGGAATTGCCAATCCTGTTGGGACATTCTGGTCAGCTGCAGAAATGCTCACATGGCTGGGGGAGAAGGATGCCTCCGCTAAATTGATGCAATGTGTTGAGAATGTATGCGCTGCAGGTATCCTGACCCCTGATCTAGGTGGGACGTCGAGTACCCAGGATGTGGTTGATGCTGTTTGTGCTGAGATTGAGAAGTTGGAGACTTGAGTCGCAATCTAAGAGATTCGCCATTGCTTGATTGAAGGCGAGGTTTCCCGGTGATTCTCCAGATGTCAAGGCCAGAACAAGATTGGTCTGACATTACATCAATGAAATCAGATTCTGAGAATGGAAAAAACCGATTAGAAAGTACATAAGCCATTGCTTCAATTCCTCCTTTGCTAATCGGGTACTTGCACAAAGTCCCGTCACATGATTCCCTCAGTTGGTAGACTGTGGTAGCTGAAAAGTAAGATGTCTAGATATAACACCTTTCTCAAGTAGTGACAACTTATAAGTACTGAGTACGTTGTATGTACAAAGCTTGAATATCCTCGGGGCTACTAGGTAGCTACCTACCTAGGGACACTCATAATAAAGTAAGGACAATTCAGTAAAGAAGTGAAGCGGGGGGCGATAGTAAAGGTGTAATCGAATTTTCAAATGTTGTCTGCTGAATTGCTAGTGTAAGCTCGGGGTGATGTTGATGTCAAGAGTCAAGACTGTGACTCGTGAGTCGTGACTCGTGAGTAAATGTTGCTTAGTAATCCCTTCTCCAACGACCCCATTTTCTCCCATGACGCAAAACTCTATATACGCTAATCATTCAGATATCTTTGATATCGCGATGTTCAGCTCGGGATGGAGCCTCCTGAATATGCACCCGGTACTTCGGAGATTGGCTCCCTGACGGCCCACTCGAATGAAGACAGCCAATTTGTCGGCAGTTCTAGCGGCGTTTACTTCATCAACACTGTCAAACGAGCATTTTCAAATGGACATGACGAATCAGAGTCCAAAGAAGCTGGGTTTCCCACTGCAGAAGACACCCTGGTCGGCGTGGATGATTCACCACGGCATAAACGTCGGCGCACAAAGCCCGCGGATGAACCAGCCTCGTTTGGAGGCGAACCTTCTACATCATGGAAATATGATCAAGGTCTCGCCTCTTCCTTAGGCTCTGCACCACCTCCAGACCAGGCAAAGGAGTTCATGATGTCGTACTTCAAAGTGTGGCATCCTCTGTTTCCATTTCTCCATGGTCCTACCTTCCTGCAGGCCATGGAGAAGTTATATTCTGACAATCCCTCACCAGAACACCCAGTTGATGACTCCACTTCGCATCATAGAACGACCTGCTGGACAGTAATTCTGCAAAGTGTATTCAATCTAGGAAGTCTCTTGCATCCTGACCTTCAGCTTCCGGCTGGATCCAAGATTCAGTCGCCCAGCAGCATGACACCTCTACTCTCGACGTTGGCATCGCGACATGACATCGTCTCTTTACAAGCATTGCTTGCCATCCAAGTCTATCTCGTCGCGACTATGTCTCTGCGACTTGCTTCCACATTCGGAGGTTGTGTCCTGCGCTCGATGCTCCATGCAGGGCTGCACCGCTGTCCATTTCGGTACAGCCAGCTCTCCTCGCATGACCGACAGCTGAGGAAGCGCATTTTCTGGTGTGCGTATGCAATCGATCGGTATCTCAGCCAGGCGCTTGGCTTGCCACTTGGAATCCAAGACTCCGATGTCGATGTGTGTTTGCCGGCAGCTCCTGAAATGCATTCTCCGCGTCTGATCAGGAACCTGAGTATGTATTCTGCGAATGCAGATCGTCGTGCAGCGGATTCTGCTCGATCACCTCTTTTTATGGAGAGCCCTGCACAAAGTTCGTTGCCAGATTATCGGAAGAAAGAGAGCGTCATAGCTAGCTATGTTGATTCTGGCACTCTCACCGGCCGTGCACTTGAATTGTTTCATAAATCTATCTTGGTCCGATCTGTACATCGCAGCTCTGTGCTGTTCTTGGTCACTGATGTTCATAAGTGGTGGAATAGCTTGCCACTCGAGTTACAAGGAAAGGGACCAGCCCATTCAAAGGAAGTGGAGGCAGCAGAGGGCACTGATGGGCCCTTTGACTTTGGTCCCTTTTTCACCGTGCTATATCAGCACCTGATCTTGATTATTCACCGACCGTCTCTATCCTTGGATCCATCCACTGCAGAGTTCTGCTCCGGCTTACAGACATGCATTGGGGCCGCGCGTGGAATTCTAGCTGCGCTGAAAATCCAATTGGATAGTCGACAAGCTCTATTCTGGCCTGGCTTCTTATCTGCCGCCTGGATGTCGGGTCTGGTCCTCGCGTTTGCTTGCCAGCTGAAGCAGTATGTTCTTAAGAAAGGTCTTCAGTGAGTCACAATAACTGCTCTTGGTCCAAGTGCAAATACTAACAATTCCTCTTAGTGAAATCGATTGTTGTTTGGAGTTTCTTCGTCGCATGTCTAGTCAGTGGGAAACTGCTAGACAGTGCCACCGTGCTTTGTCTCTGCTTTCTACGAAGATCAAGCAGATGGGTGAGACTCAGCAAAATGCAGCCAACCCTCATGCGTATGCTATGAGAACGCCTGACAGAAATGCAAGCTCTATTAATTCCATTGATAATCGAGAATTGCAAGGGCTTCAACGAGAGGAAATAATCAATTCCACTGGAGGTCAGGATACGACGGCTGGACATGCAATCCTGAGTCCCGAGCCACGACCCGAAATCAATCCAATGCCTTCCAGATATAATCAACTGGGAGATGACCCTGTCCTGACCGGGGATTTGGGCTTCCAGAGTGAAAATGCTGGATACTTGGCTGGGGGATCCAGCTTTGACTTGAACATGGTTGACTTACTAGACGGAGCGGATTTCGAGTCCCTATTTGATCTAATCGGTCAACAATATCCTAGTTTTTAAAACATTTGAATGCATCTTAATGTAGATTATTCGATTATTCCAAATGGAATGGGTATCACTACATACTGAAGTTTTGAACCCCAAACCATACTTTAGGTAACGCCGGTTTGGTATTGGGAGCAGTTTGGGTCTGTAAAGTCCATTTGGTGCTGCACGCCGTGCCCAAAACTGGTAGGAAGTTTGGATACTTCGAGGGCGTAGCTACGGGCATCGTTCCGCTGATCCCCTACAAGCGAAATTAGATGTGCATGTTAAGCTAGAGTGCCGACGGATGTAACGCGCAAACACTTGAATTGACTAGCGAAGCATTGAAGCAAAGTGGGCTCATGGCCATCTCATTTGTATCAAAGCTCGTACCCTCGAACCCAGGCACAGCATGTAGAGACAGCATAACAGACCCATCCGCGAGGAAGGCATACTCTATGTTACATGCGTAGGGGGAAAGAAGATACGAAACGAACAGATAGAACATAAAAGCAGATTGGGGGATAAGAAGAGAAAAACGTCACAACTCCCTCCCAAAAACAAAGGAAAGGAAAAGAATCCAACGTAAAAGAATCCAACATCCAGCGCCTAGGATAACTTTTACCGACCCCCCAAGACAGTAACTGATGCCTCTGTACGTGCTTATCATCCCAGATATCCAGGTAAGGATCGGAAGTGTGTACTAGGTAAATAAAGAAAGCGAATGAAAGAGAGAACCGACATCATGCCGCATTCATAGACACCAGTAGGTGCGCTGCCTAGCACAAAAAAAAATGATAAAACTTTTCAAACCGGGATATCAGGGTCGAAAGACAGGGGGAAAGAGCCAGAAAGGGATGTTAAAAGTAAAATGAAAAAAAAAAGAAACAAGAAAGAAAAAATAGGTCATCAAAACGTGCATTCAAGTTTCCGAGAGGCGGTACGTGACCTGGACATCCAATCACGACCGTCATTGATGCGCTCGACCGTTAAGAGAGAAGTCGCTTAGGACTTGTTCTCCTCAGAAGCGACCTCCTTGGCGGCCTCCTGAGGCTTGGTCTCTCCAGCCTGCTCACCCTCGGTGCCCTTGTTCTTCATGTACTCATCATAGACATTAATAGCCTCGTCGACCTTGGCGCGGAGGGCATCCTCCTCGTCGAGCCTGGATAAAAAATAATTAGTACATGGTGAATAATGATTGAAAGGGAAGGGGGTATAGACTCACAGTCCAAGAAGCTCGTTGTTGTCCATCTCCAAAAGCATACCAGTGATCTTACCAGCGAGCTCGGGCTGCTGGGCTTGGATCTTAGGGTAAAGAGCTTCACCAAGCATCTGCTTCTGCTGTGGGGGAGGAGCGGCAGCGAAAGTCTGGTGGTTGATACCGCTGGAAGTAGCGGCCTCCTGAGCGGGCTGACCGGCAGGAGCGGGCTGGCCACGGCCACGACCCATCTGAGGACCGCCACGGCCAAAGCCAGGACCACCACGCATGTTACCCATGGGCATTCCGGGGACCTGGCCACGACCACCAGCACCACGACCGAACTGACCCTGCATGGGGTAACCCATACCGTTGGGAACACCACCGGGAACCTGCATACCCATGGGCATGCCCTGGAAGTTAGGTGGGATCTGTTGGTTGGGGGGCATACCGCGGCCACCCTGCTGACCGGGGAAACCAGCGGGGTACTGGGGGCGTCCACCGGGGATTCCCATGACCATACCACCCTGGGGAGGGAAAGGCATGCCACCACGCTGAGCACCAGGGATGAAGCCCTGCTGGCCGGGGCCGTAGTAAACGGCGGCGGGCTGCATGTAAGGCTGGGGCATACCAGCGGCAGCGGCGGCTTGCTGCTGACGGATGGTGTTACGGGCCTGGATGCTGGCCTCGAGCTGGCTGCGACGGACATCCTTGCGCTGGGCAAGAGCGACGTAGAGGGGCTTGCCGTTGACCATGCGCTGGTTCATCTCGGTGACGGCCTTGGAGGCCTCATCGGGGCTGCTGAAGCAGACGAAACCGAAGCCCTTGCTCTTGCCAAGCAGCTTCTTCTCGCCCTTCTCGCCCTCCTCCTCGGCATCCTCGGACTGCTCCTCAGTCTTCTCCTCGGCCTTCTCCTCGGTCTTCTCCTCGGTCTTCTCCTCGGTCTTCTCCTCAGCCTTCTCCTCGACCTTCTCCTCGGCCTTCTCCTCGGTAGCCTCAGTCTCCTCAGAAGCCTCCTTCTCCTCAGAGTCGGGGCTGGAAGAGCCGTCGGTCAGGCTGTCGCGCATGACCTTGGCGGAGGTGATGGTTCCGTAGGAGACGAAGAGCTCACGGAGCTTCTCGTCATCAACGTCGTCGGTAAGGTTCTTGACGTAAAGGTTGACACCCTGGTACTTGGAGGCCTTCTCGAGACGGGCAGCCTCGTACTGCTTGCGGAGCTCCTCCTCGCGCTCGTGCTTCTTCTGGGCACGACCAACGTAGAGCTTCTGGGTCTTGATGTCCTTCTCGTTCATCTCATCGACGGCGGCCTGCGCAGCCTCGTGGGTGGAGTAGTTGACAAATCCGAAACCACGGCTCTTGCCATCCTGGTCGTGGCTGAGAGTGGCGGAGGTGATTTCACCAAACTGCTCGAACATGATGCGGAACTCCTCATCGGGGATCTCGGTATCAAGGTTCTTAACGTAGATGTTGGTGAAGTTCGCCTTCATCTCCTCGAACTTGCTTTGACGGTCCTTCTTGGAGATGTGGTGACCGACAAAGACCTTCTTGTCGTTCAAAAGCATGCCGTTCACGTGCTTGATGGCGTTGTTAGCAGCCTCGGCAGTCTCGTAGTGAACGAAACCGTAACCCTTGGAGTTGGCGAACTCGTCCTGGGCAACCTTGCAGGACAGAATGTTACCGAAGGCGGCAAAGGTGTCGTGAAGAGCCTTGTTGTCAATGGCGTTGTCCAAGTTCTTGATGAAAACGTTACCCTGGCCAGTCTTGCGCAGAGCGGGGTCACGCTGGGACCACATGATACGGCAGGGCTTGCCCTTGATGAGGGTGTAGTTCAGGTCCTCGAGAGCACGCTCACCATCGGCTGTATTGTTGTAGTTGACGTAGGCGTAACCGAGCGAACGGCGGGTGACAGCGTCACGGCAGACACGGATAGAAGCAACCTGACCGATGGAGGAGAACAGCTCGTAGAGCATGGCCTCAGTGACGGAGGGGTCAAGCTCACCAACGTAGAGGGAAGCAGAGTGGGGCTGGGCATTGGCACCCTCGCCGGCGGTCTCGGCGGCGGCGGCAGCGGCAGGAGCACCGTTGGCCTCGGGGGCGACGTTGACACTGCTCTCAGCGACAACGGGGGTGGTGGCGGTTTCAGCAGACATGATGACTGATTTTCTTTTTTTTTAGTACTGATAGCAAGTCAGCGCACATTCACGAGGCTTTCGGATGTGGATGGAAGTGAAAGTGGGTTCTCAACGTTACACGGCATTCCCCAATCGATTCGAGGAATACACGTGTGGTCGAGATGAAAGAGTGAACGAAGAATCCTGAATGGGAAGTTGCCGTACAAGCCGCACTGTGCTCACATAACAAAGAACTGTGTTTTTGGGCTGCTCTGAAAGGATGGAATCACAATGGTAATGGGAGGGAGATGGGAGAAGATGGTAGGAAATGATTTATATCCAAAAAGAACACAAGTCCCGGTCCGGGGCATTCAAGAACAGTCTGGAAAGTGGGTAGGAGAGTGAATGTTTCGAGGGGCGCGACCAACCTGGAAGAACGGGTGAAAGAAGTTCAACACACCGCACAATGGAGGGGAAGATAAGATAGGGATATGATTTTTTCGAAAGTTTTCTGGGTTTTTTTTGAGATTTTTTAAAAGCTTTCGATAAGAGGTTCGAAAGGAAAAAAAGAGTTTCCCTAAGAGAGAGAGGAGGGGGATTGACAGAGACGAGGGATGGAAAAGAAGAAAAATTAATGTGATGGCGGTTTTTTTCCAGAAAACTCAGTCCGCAGTCCCAGTGCCCCCACTTGGCCCATTGGGGCAGGCGGTAGGCCGTTATTCACTGTAAACTTTGTTCTTTTCACTTTGTGTTGCGCGTCAGGTGATCTGCCACATGACATTAGGATACTCTACAACAACGACAATACAAGTGATTTATTTGTTTTTTTCTATTGTTCCCTCATTCCTTCTCATACCACGGGGAATGTATTGAAATTACTGGAATCGGAAAGAAAGACAACCAAAAAAACAAGGCTTGGAATCTAGCAGCAGAACAATCCGAGAGATACGGAAGATAGAAAGGGATAATGTGTGTGTCCACAAGTCGCATTCCTTACCCTCGGCAGATCCTCTATCCGCAGTACGTACCCAATAAGCTACCCGATATTATTCGCTCGACGCCAGTGCTATGCATACATGATGCACAATGAGGAACAGTAGAACGGACCAACAAAATTGTAGAATAAAAGAAAAATGGGATAACGAAAAGGTATAAAGGAAAATGAAACACGATTCAATGAGAATCAAACCCAGGGTAATCAACATCAACCCTAACTCAAATCAAATCCGGCTCCTGAGCTCACTGCGTACAACAGCTTGGTTCGGAGTGTTTCGGCATTCGAGTACCGCGGCAGCTTTAACAAGTTCACACAAGTACTTGTGCTGGGCAATCGTGTTTGATCCTCGCTTGAGTCTCGGATACTGAATCGCGGATGGAGATGACTGAATCCAAGCAGTGGAGCCCGCGGAGTCGACGTCACAAACCGCAAGACTTTCTGCCGTTCCTCCGTGGTCATCTGGTGCAACACTTTCCAGAAGATCTTGATGGTCGGGTGCTCCTGATTATCGTCACCGATCACATATACTCCGCCATACTGCGTGTTACGTCGCAAATCTTCCACATCGATGTCACCCGTCTCTCCACTCACTAGAGTCTGCAATTCAGATTGGTTGAACATGGACAACCAAGATGGTTGGATGATTTGTCCCAGTCCTTGAAGGAAGGCGTTGGTTTGCTGTATCGGTTGTGCCTGCAGGCGGTATCGTGCAATGTAAGAAATATAAACCAACCGATTTTGGTTTGTGACAGGAATATTCGAGCCATCGGGTCTCAATTCCTTTGTGACCATACGATTATTTGATCCAGAAACCGGAATGGTATCAGTCACCGTGAAGTCGAGCGCAAAATCTTCAACTTCGCCAGGGTAGTTCTTCAGTTTCAACAAACCCTGGTATAAACCTGCATCAAGGTCCTTTAAGTCGTTAAGATTGGCTCGGTACGAGGACTCTTTCAAAGCAGATCCACTACCGCCAGTCAACGCCCATTTCAGAAGGAAGAACGGCGCAAAGTTGACGTCAACTAAGATTCCTTCGTAGAGGCATTTTCCGATAATGCGTCCGAGAAACTCATATCGCCGAAGCAGCTCTCGAATATTCCCTGTCCAATCCGTGCTCTGCTCCATCACATGAATCTCTCGCATCTGTTCCTTGCACTGTTCAACAGCGGTGGGGTTGGGATATAACAAATGCTGATCATTCTCTGAAAACATGTTGAACCCATCCTCGGTCTTGAATGCTTCACTGGTAATGCTCGTCAAGAACTCCTTGGTGACACCGCCGCCATCAATACCTGCTTCCATGCTCCCAAATCGGTCAATGAAACTGATTTGAATAGGTTCTTTCAGGCCATCTCCCAGTTGATAGAATTGACCCAAGGCATCATCAAAGACGTGCTCACGCCGGATCTCAGCCTGGTGCCGACCAAGAACATCCTGCACGACTGGATGGCCATTGACCACCTGTCCCATTGTGGCCTGTGCGATAGATGCGCGCCAAGCGTCAGGTTCCACAAACCCATGTCGACGGCGGTGCTGATCATGGTAGATGAACTCCCGGAATATTTGAACTCTGGTCGTGAAGGGAATGAAAAACGGCATGTTTCGGAGAATCTCTAGTCTGGGTGCAATAGCCGCCAAAATGCGCCCACGTACAGTTCGTTGTTGGTGGCGTCTCAATGCCTCAAAGCGAATGGTCTGTTGAGCGTGACCGGTCCCTGCTAGCCCGGATGGCTCGTTGATTCGATCGGTGTCTTCGTTCACCAAATCGATGTGATCAGGATCGTCGGCCTGGGCTTGGAATTCGTATCTCTTCTCTTCTTCCGCGACAACGGAGGATATGAAACCTTCCATGTCGAAGCGACTGGTCATAAGCCAGTGGTCTTTGGGAAGGAACTTCCGACGAGAACTGTAAAAACAAAGCCACGGTTAATGTCACGGTGATTGTCAAGGTGAATTACAAGTTTCACTTACTCTCTCTCATGTAGCATTCGAAGTAACCCTGTCACTAGCCCTTTGAAGTACTCTAGGGGTATTCCAGTAACACCTGGGAGGTAGTTGGTTTGGCTTTTTACCTCCAACTCCTTTGTGATTGGCAGGGTAGAATCGGCAGTGGAACCAGTGTTGCTGAAATAACTGCTCAGGCTAACCGCAGTGGGTCGAAGCTCCGGCTCACTCAAATCAACGGCATTCCAGTAAAGAGTAAATGCCAGGTTTTTGAGGAAAATCGTCATATCCTTGACATCTCCTAGAGGCAATGCACTCTCTCTTGTCCATGAAACTTTATCGTCCGGAGATGTGAAGGATGATGTACTAGAGAAGAATTCGTCATCGTCCATGACCTTCAAAACAAATGTATAAAGCTCTAGGAAAAGCAGTATGGTGGTCCACTCTTGATCTCGTTGGTTCTGAGATATCTGGGAAGGTTCTTTGGAGTCTCCGTGTGCTTGCAATAACGGGAGCACTTTAGTTGAGTCACTGCTGATTAACTCAAATATGCGACTTGATTTAGATGCTTGCCAGAAATATTTTATTGCTGGTACCTTTGCATCTGGCTGGCCTGAGATGTGCTCTCCAGACGGAGCTGATCCCAAGTAAAGCCACATCCTGATGTCATCTCCACGGCGAGGGAATATTCTGAGTAGGTTCAATGCATATGTAGCAAGAACCCGGGCTTCCTTTGATGCGTCAGACTCGCTTCTTGTGGGGTCCGTTTGTGCCTGGTGAGACGATCGAATAGGAGAAAGAAGTCCAGTGACGCTACTTTGGTTGACAAGACTGGTGAGCTGTTCCTTGATAAATGGGTGCAAGGGCTGTGCGCCTGTTGAGGAGTCCAGATCACTTGGATCTTCCGCCTCTAGGCCTTGCATAAGATGAGTCGCCGTAGATGTGAGGAGATCGGAGACTACGCTCACGAATTCGAGCTCTGGTGATCGAACATTCGCTTCACTACCCAGGGCATATCGGTGGAAGAAAACCAAGTAAGAAAACAACCAAATCCGAGCCTGCATGGCATCTAGGGTGCGAGAGCCCTTGCCAGTTGAGCTGAGACGAGACGACACAGCCAAGGCAAGCATGCGGTAATTTATATGGTTGGCCAAATCATCAAGCTTGCCAAGGTATGTCCCAAGGTCGGGGATGGTCAGATATAAGGCTGCGAAGGATTCATATGCCGACATGGTTTCCGAGGTGATGGGCCGCAGAAGAGCAAGGACAGAGTTTTTAAGACTTTGCGGGCTGGGCGTGAACTCTCTTGTGCTGGAAGATTGCACACTTGACAAGTTCATGGTCAGGAAACCCATGGCATCATAATAGGTATCAGCGATTAGGGCCATTTGCTTGGGGATTAGTTCGACTAGAAAGACTACCCCCCGGAGTAAAGGCTCAACGTCAACAGAAGGAACGCAGGATATGGGTGCGGACTTCAGCGCACGCAGCACGGCGAGAGCCAGCCGTTTGAGGAGCTTGGTCCATTCGCCTTCAGTAGCGATCGTAGGCAGACTTCGCAAGGTCTGTTCAAATGCATTCACAAAGTAAATAAGCCGCAGAATGTCATCTCGCTTCCGTGCTGAGACGAACTGGACTAAAAGCCGAAGCTGGTCCAGACATTGGTCTGCAGTGGCATACGGAGCAGGCAGGCGTGAGAGGAATGCCATATTCCCCGCGCCAAGTTCGGCTCCGCCAGCGAGATCCATAGCATCTGACCTAGCCCGCTCTTTGGCATCCCACTCTGATCTCCACGCGTTATATGTAGTCCTCCTACTGCTATCGCCCCGCCACACTCGCTGGATGACCCGAACCGCATTGTGTTTCTCTCTGTCCCGCTGTCTCTGCATCCGTTCCTGCTGTGCAATGGCAACAGCGCTCTGTGGGTTCGAGGCATGCGGAGCCGGTCGGCCTGGGGAGCTTCCGGGGAATGCAGCGAAGGGATTATTGTTGCGGCCACTTAGGTTCACTTGCCGCGGACGACGTGAGTTCCCGGTAAAGGATTGGAACATCCTGGGAGCCTGGTAGCCCAGAGGTAAGGCGAGGGTTGCGGGGAGTGTGGGTCTATTCAAATCAAGTCGCTCTGGATGCAATAAAAAAAGACGAGATGCAAGCCCATCTCGCAACAGTGGGCAATGAAAGCGAATGTGAAGAACTATGACATACGCGGGCTACGATACGTGTGTTGCTTATCGGCGATATGCACACGGCACACGCACCAATTTAGGCGGTGGGCTTTATAATGCCACATTAACTCCACACTAAAGGCCAAGTTCTTTTACAGTCCCATTCCAATAGGCTATTCTATGAAGGCAATACGGCAAGGCAGATGGCTTAGAGCAAGCATGAACCTAACATAGGAATTCGAATCATTTTGCAGGTATATTCTATAAAATTGGTCCAGAATGCTCAACGTTTGCATTCAAGCCCTTCGTCCCAAAGGCCGGGTGACCGGGGCATGCATAAAATCAACATCCACGGACGCTGGATGCCGAAAGGGTTGATCAAGACCCGTATTCATTCAGGTATGCTGTACATATAATACAAAGGTGGTGCGATCGGCCAGCGAGTAGTAGAGGAGTGGATCGAGGAAGTAGGCCGTCGGGGGTGATTGATGGGCGACAAGCTGTGTTTTTTTGTCTAGGGAGCCCCTGCATAAGATTGTTAAACGACTGTTGTGGGTATATATGTGGAAAGGTACATGTACTAACAGTCGGTGGGTATAATGGTATGCTTCGGAGGCGCTTATTGACTGGGTCGAGATGGGTCCTCTTTGCTCTGTTCTTCGGCAGCCTCGCGAGCGACAACCTCTTCGGCATTCTTGTCACCCCAGATGTTAATGTAATCTTGGCCCTTCAGGCTGTCAACCACTGTCACTGTGCGGCCATTCCGGGTGATCTGCTTGACATATTGATCACGCTTGGGTTGCACTTTCTTCGAGACGAAAGGGGTGAGCTGTCTTCGGGTTAGCATTCGATTTAAAATGAGATGAAGTTAATTGCACGAACATCGAATTCATTTAGATCCTCAGGAACCACATAGGTACGGACTTTCTGGTAGTCAATCACGTAGTTGCCCTTCTTGTCAAAGTGACCCATCGATCCTGTCCGGGTACCCTTGTAGTAACCGCCATTGACCGATTTCGTTGTGAAGCGCAGGCGCGCCATCATAGTAGGTGAAGCTTTAAACATATTGACGAGCGTTGTAAACGGTGGGCTAAACAAGTCAGGGCGACAATGTAAAGCAGTCGAGGTTGAGAAATCCTAAGTCCGGGCGGTCAGACGCGCCAATCTCCACGCCGAGAACTTTTTTTTCGCAGCCAAAAAAAAAAAGAAAAGTTGAACGGACCACTCAAACTAAACCCTTTCCCAACCAACACGGGAACTTGGTCTTTTTTGTACATTCTTTGTGAAAACTGAGGGTCCTGAGTTTTTCCTTTTGCGCTTTCCTCCGATAAATCGCAACCATGCCTCGCCAGCAAACCAACTTGCGGGGTCCGAAAGACCGGGAAGGCTCAAAAGGCAGACCAGCACCGAAGCGCAAGAGCACCCGTGCGATTAATGCGCTCTCTATCGCCGAGAAACAAATTACCACCAAGCTTGGTGTGCGCCGGAATCGATTAGGTTTTTACGACGACGGTACAGAACGCAAATTCAACAACCGCGGTGATGACGAAGACGGTGAAGACGAAGATGGAGAGGTCCCAAACTACAAGCGCCGGAGATTCAACAACGCTACCGAAGACGGCAGCCTCAACGGTGGCAGTGACAGCGAGGGTCACGAGTGGAAATTGGGACAGGTGGACAGTGATGACGATGAGTCTCTGGACAGTGACGAAGCTCTTGGAGAGAGTGACGAAGAAAGATTCGAAGGCTTTACATTCCGTGGAAGCTCTAAGCCCAGATCCGCACCGAAGAAACCTACAAAGAAACGTGCAGAGATCAGTCTATCCGAGGACGTCGATGCATCTGAGGAGTCTGAGGATGAGGATGAAGAAGATGATGAGCTCGGCGAAGATGCCGTGGACCTTCTGACTGCTTGGGATATGAACACCGCTGAGGAAGAGGCCGAAGCCAAAAAAGCTGCCGCAAAATCAAAAAAAGCAGCGGCTGATGACAGTGAAGAGGACTCAGGCTCGGAGGCAGACAGCGAAGAGGACCTGAGTGACGACACTGGGCTGTCTCTTTCTGACGATGAGGAGTTCGATGGCAAGAATGACGGCTTGAGTAAGCTCCAAGACTTCGTTAACTCCATGGAGACCGGGCGTCGCACCAAATCCACCCAAAAATCACAAGAACAGAGCAAGCCTACTGAGTATGGCTTAACTTCTTCTAAAAAATTGACTGTCGCCGATCTTCTGCCCTCAATCACAGATTCGCGTCTCAAGAGCTCTTTGAAGCATGTCGAGGCTACTGCTGCTCAAACATCCAAGTCTGGGATTCCGGGCAAGCTGGATGCTCCCTTGGCAAAACGCCAACAAGATAAGATTGACCGCGCTGCGGCTTACGAGAAGAGTAAAGAAACATTGGATCGTTGGATCGACACTGTCAAACACAACCGCAGAGCCGACCATCTTATGTTCCCTCTTCCCGATCCAGATAACCAGCAAGTCCACCGCTTGGACGTGGTAAAGCCGACGAACGACCTGGAAAGCACTATTCAGAGCATTCTTGTTGAGAGTGGATTGGCAGAAACTCACGGCAAGTCAGCTGAGGAGCAAGTCGCAGGCTTTGAGGATATTCAAGCTCGTACATTGCCTCTTGAAGAGATTCAGGCCCGTCGTGCTGAGCTCCGGAAGCGACGTGATCTGCTCTTCCGCGAGGAGGTTCGTGCTAAGCGAATTAAGAAGATCAAGAGTAAATCATACCGTCGTGTGCACCGCAAGGAGCGTGAGCGTCTTGAGCAGCAAGAGCAACAGGCGCTTATGGAGGCCGGTGTGGACATGGATGAGATGGACATTGAAAAGAATGAGCGAATGCGAGCTGAAGCCCGTATGGGCTCCAAGCACCGCGACAGCAAGTGGGCCAAGAGCTTGAAAGAGACCGGCCGTACTGCCTGGGATGCAGATGCCCGTAACGATGCGGCCGACTTGGCTCTTCGCGAAGAGGAGCTCCGGAGACGAGTTGAAGGAAAGAGTGTTTCTCGCGGTGATGACACCTATCTGGAATCATCCAGCTCAGAGTCCGAAGATGACGATCCCTGGGCTTCGGATGCTTCAGATGTGGAGAAGCGCAAGATAGAAAAGAAGCTGCGTGCTTTGGATAATGAATCGACCGAAGCGATCCCCAAGGGCCGGCATTCCGACCTTTTCGAAATGAAGTTTATGCAAAATGCGGATGCTGCTCGCAAGCAGGCGAATGATGCTGAACTCAGACGCCTAAACCGTGAGCTCAATGGCGAAGATCCAGAGTCCGAGGCTGAGTCGGAAGTCGGTCGACGCAAGTTTGGCCAGTCAAAGCCTGAAGTTCAGACGAAGCCATTGCCAAGGAACGAGTTCGAGGAGAAGCCAGGCTCAGATGACGAGGATATCGACATTGTAGTTGATCGTCCTGTGAAGTCGAAGTCTGTCGCTTCTGATCCGAAGACTACCGCCAAGCCCTCTACCAAGATGTTCAGCCAACCGCCAAAGGAGAACGTTGAAGAAGAAAACCCATGGCTGGTTCAAACCGAGCGCACCAACCGTCGCCGGACTGGTACCGATGCTCAAGATTCTATGGATATCTCAGTTATCGATGATCAGCCACAGCCCACGCAAGCACCTGCTCCACCCAAGAAGAGCAAATCAGCCAAGGCAGCTTCTTCCAAGAAGCGTCCTCATGATGAAAACGATAGCGATGATGAAGATAATGTGCCTGTCCTGCTGAAGAACCATGATCTTGTCAAGAGAGCTTTCGCCGGTGACGAGGTTGTCGAAGACTTCGAGCAAGAAAAGATGGACACAGTTGCAGACGAAGGCGACAAGGTCGTTGACAACACTCTCGACGGATGGGGCAGCTGGGCCGGTGACGGTGTCAGCAAGAAGGCACAGAAGAACAAGAAGCGCTTCTTAACCACAGAGAAGGGTGTCAACCCCGAGAAACGCAAGGATGCCAAGCTCGCTCGTGTCATTATAAACGAGAAGCGAGTAAAGAAGGTATGTTTTCTCTTTTCAGAAATGGTTCCTTATCAATTACTGACTTCTTTTTCTTCTCCCAGAATATCAAATACATGGCAAGCCAACTGCCTCACCAATACGAGACGAAGGCACAGTATGAACGCTCGCTGCGTATGCCTCTGGGTCCGGAATGGTCTACGAAGGAAACTTTCCAGAGTGGAACCAAGCCTCGTGTCATTGTCAAGCAGGGCATCATCAAGCCCATGGAGAAGCCCATGAAGTGATGATCTCTGCAACGATTGACAAAGCGCCTGACACGTTTGGCTTTATGTACATTTTTTCTCTGGCGTGTCTTCCATGGCTTGGAATGACATTTTGCATTGTTATCTTTTCAGTCACCTAAAATACCACATAGATTGTGCCGATTTTACAAAAAGTTTTTTGAAGACTTGGAAGCATCAATGTTGACATCCACATATGCATGAGTAATACACTGTAGAGCTGAAGTCAGGCTCGTCCTAACCTTGAAAGTACATTATAGATATGTCCAGTTGACTATCAGTTGACTATCAGTTGACCTGCCTGTTGACTGCAGTTTCCTAGTAGCCCCGGGACCTCTAACATTTGAACAAATATTCAATTGTTCCAAGGTTCCACTTTCTGGAGGCTCCTATGTAACTTTTCTACATATATCACATGCATGTGCACATGATGTGTGTTTTGAACTGATGTCTCTGCCCGCACGGGCAGGTGGGTACATCCTTAGTACCTAGTAGACATAGTACATATATGTTTGTGTAGTCTCCACTTCTTCCGGCACCTGAGTGTTCAACTTCAAACATTGGTTCCACCTAGGAAAGTTTTTTCTGGGGTGTAGGTAAGTGTAGTATTTTGTAGGAATGTTTAAGAAGTTCTAGCTATGCCTATATATGTAATTCATATCTCATTAATTCATTGCACAACCAGTGCGCCAAAACAAAACTCCAAATAAAAGAAAAGCAGACAAAGATGAACCTCAGGTCGGGACCATGAACCACTTATTCCTACTTCGTCTCATTCGGAGCCTTGTCTTGTGCCTGCTTCCCAGACTGATCTTCAGTATCTGCCAAGGGGAGATCCAAGTCAACAACCCAGGGTGCATTGTCTGGCTGATAAGAGAGAGTACAAATGCTAGCATTCACGAAAAGGGTCTCTTTTCCGAACTCAAGCGGCTTCTCGCCACTTTCGGAGCTCATATCGTAAAATGCGCCCTGCTTTTCTAGCATCTCTTCTTTACTTTTCACGATACGCGTCTGTTTGACGCCACCATCGGCAAAGGAATTCCACTCGCCGCGTACGGCGCCCCAGGCTTCATGGATATGTCCGAAGAGGTAGATGCGGGGACGGGCACGTTCAGCAGCACGAAGAAGATGTGTACAGCCCACATGACTTTCTCTCGAGGCACCAAGGCGATCAACAGTTGTCCCTTGGCCCACCAGATCGAGGATCCCAGCTGGTGGACCGTGTGTGAGCATTACATCGATGTTGGGGTGGTCAGGGACCGGGTTGGCAGGTGGGGCTGCGCTGCTGCCTGGGAAGGGAGGATTGTAGCGGTCTTCGGAGCGGGGGTATCCAAAAGCCCAGCGACAGAACTCTGGTTGATACGGCGAGGCATAGACGGTGAGCTTTGCGCCATTGGATAGAGTGAAGGAGTGTACGCCTTCTTCGAGGTAGCGGATTCCGGCATCACGGGCCGACTGGTTGGTCCAAAGGTCCTTGACGCTGCGGACGTAGGCTTTCATGTCTTCGAGGGCAGGAATGGCGCCAGTGCGATTCGTTTGCATGATGGACTCTCCGTCATCGCCTAGGACTGGTGGTTGGACTGGTGGTTGGACACCGAGGCGAATGGGCTTACGATGCCGTCTGTAGCCGAATGTCGTGAAGTATTCCTCGTCGAGGGTGAGGTCGTGATTGCCGGCGATGACAAGTTTCAGTTCGGCGTTGGCAGCTTTGAGCATCGAGATCGTCTGCTCGTACTCGACCTTGTAGCCTACTTTGGTAAGATCGCCGGCATGGAGAAGGACGTCTGATTTTGGAAGCGGGTCTCGGAACGCATGGTCCTTGTTGATGGCGGGGAGAGGGACATTCGTGTGGGTATCGGAGATCATGCAGATGCGGGTTTTAACCCGCGCAGACAAGGTCATGGTGGGTAAAGGGTGTATTTCGAATGGATCGGATAGAGGATATGTGAGAGATTAGATTACAAGGGGAAGAAGAAGAAGTGTTGAGAACTGGGATCAAAATGTCTCCGACACCTTAGATGGTTCGCGGGGGTAGGACGTCAGGTCTCCGCTTCACAGCCCGCCCTTGGCCCCATCAGATATGAGATACAGTTTGAAAATACTACGAGGAGAGAATTTGAGAGAAATTGACTACTAGGAGAAGCAAGATGAAGAAGAAAAAAAATAACGTAAACAGGAAATCATTCCTATAGAATGGACGGCTCAGAGCTCTACAGACATCACATCCGTGGATGCCCAGATCATGAAAGTTTTCTGGTAAACATAGCTCAAACTCCGAAAACCACCCGTGCAACGACAACCCATGCGGCGCCCAACCGTATGGTTTTCCCTTTTGTTTTTTCGTTTACTTGCGGATAGCCTTCTGGTAGAAAGCCAACTCGTCACCCTCCAGGATGTAACCGTCGACACGGCCAGACTGGCCGGGGCGGGAGGCCACAACAGCGTACAGGCGACCGGACTCGAACTGGCGCTCAATGGCACCCTCAACCTTGCCCTGGTCGGCGTAACGAGCAGCCTGCTTCTTGGTAACAGACTTGCTCTTCTTCTCCTCCTCGGCGCCCTCGGTCTTAACCTGGCGGCGACGGCCGATACCCTGGCCGTAGTGGGCCTCGTACCATTGACGGAAAGGAGCAGCGTCAATCTGGACAACAGCGGACTTGGTCAAGGTGTTGGTGCGGACCAACTCGTTGTTGGAGGGGTGGAAAGAGACACCGATGACACGGGTCTTGCGGGCAACACCCTCGGAACCCCAAGAGAAGTTACCGGACTCGATACGGAGGGCACGGAACTTCTGGTTACCACCACGGGTACGGACCAGGTGGATGCGCTTGGTACCGATACGAGTGTTAGCGGGCTGGCGACCCTTCTCGAAGGCTCTGTTGGAAAGATATCAAGTCAGAATTCGATGTTTCAAAAGAAAAAATTGTTGTGTGCTCCAGGGTGTTCGTGTGTATTCCTCAATGTCACAAGGGGACAGTCCTCTAATGCACCACAGCCATTCTCGATTTCCATCCCCGCACAACACATAGGAAGGGAAAATATCCAACTGAATTTGACAAGAGCACCGTACCTCTTCTTGCGGTAGTATGCGCGCTTGGCACCAGTGGCGCTGCGCTTGTGGCGAGAATCACGAGAGATACCCATATTTGCGGTTGATGAGGGGGTCTGTTGATCACAATAGAAAAATTAGAACTCGGGTCCTTTGATATGTGTGCTTCCTGAAATTCCTTTTCTCCAACGCTTCTGATTCGTCACGAGTGATAATGCAAGATCCAAATTGAAAAAGTAGAAACGGTGCGGCGATGTGTTGAAAGGTTGTCAAGGACGAGTGGAAGGCGATCTCGAAATCGAATAATTCCCGGATGATGGATTTTTCTCGAATGGTACTTGATTGTCGACCCGGACGAAGCAGAAGGGGAGATAAAAGGGAAAGCGATGCGATCGGGAGGGAAACTCACCTCTAGTTCTGCAGCCCTTCACCAAAAGCAGAACGGTTGTCGATGGGGTGTCGTTGGAAGATGCGGTCGTGGAGTCCGTCGAATTTCGCAGGGCGCACTGTGTCGCTCGCTTGTGCGGTTGCCCTAACTGACACTAGTCCGCAAGTGGACTAGCCGATCGTTACCTAAGCAGATGACCTTGGGTCCCGTGACAGGATGGGGCGATGTTGCTGACTCATCGTATCTCTTTGGTCCCGCTTTTCCATTCCTACTTGTCCCCATAGTCTGGGCAGCTTCAGCTAATACAATAATTTGAGCCATGGCCAATCTTAAAAAGATTTGTTTTATTTTATACCGATTTCTGTTCTAGTATATTCTTATTTTTATCTTCTTCAAAGATTCAAATCATGCTTGCTTTATTGGCTCTTCTCGCCTTTCTTCGCCCGCTCCTCTTTCACAAATTCCGCAATTCGCTGGAAACACCCGAAGCCTTCCACAAAGCACGAAGCCACCCATTTGCACCACAGCCCGGACAAAAACGGAACCCCATGGGGCTTCAACTTGAGGATAGCCAAAAGAGCCGATTCAAAGATATGAATAGCCAACACAACTGGGAACAGTAGCGGCTGGATGTTGTAGACAAAGTGCGCAAAGTCGGGCACGTATTTGTATCCAAGGTTCTCGTAGACGAAGGAACCCGGTAGCAGATTGCTGCGCTTGAAGCAGCTCACATAGGTGAAGAGGCACAATGCAAAGACCACATTTTGAACAACTCCCTGGGGAGCTCGGTACTCCGTCAACATGATGTCGGAGCGGCCAAGGCGCTGCAGACTGTCCTTGTGCAGTGCGACCAAGCGGCTGCGGGATTCGCTGAAGTCTTTCATGGCGGGATCAATAGGGACATTGTAGCGTGTTCCATTGGCGCGGAGCACAAGGTTTGAGAGGGTCAGGTCTTCGATTTGGGCACCGTGGGCTTCGCGTGCGCTGATTTTGTTGAATGCTTGTAGGTAGAGCTGGAGGGAGTCGCCGTGATCGGCGTTCATGTGCTTGATAATAAAGTCTTTGGACATGGTTGCAGATGGCCCTGGGGCTTGTTATCGCGGAGCAGATTGAAGAAGAGCTTTTATTTGTATTGAAAGGCAGGAAGTGAGTTACTTCAGAGGTACATGAAAAAGAGAACTTCAACGTTTGAATGGTCACAACGTATGTCGACGGACTCGATCCCGCGCCAAGCCCGAGCAACCCTCGGCCCCATCACGCTATATATTATACTAGTGCTGCCTTTTCTCCAAACATGTGCGATCGTGCATTTTCAAATAGCTACAACAGCACAATTCTACAACCTTGGAAGCATGCAGGTGGGAAACAAATTCTACACGAAGGAATGTTTATTATTTGTCGAATATCGCCCACTGTGCAAACACTACCTGGGCAGATAAAATGAATTTACTACTTACCTGTAACATTCGTCTGCAAATGTGGATGCATACTTCAAGCTTACAGACCAGATTCAAATATGAAGCAGGTTCAAAACGAGCCCTCGCATTTGTTGAGAATATACGCAGATTCTTCCATCATAGTGAAGTGCTTACAACGACCACACACTAAGTCAAGAAGAGACTATGGTCACATTCAATGTTAAGGATATGCGCAGTTTCATTCCAAAAAGGTTATGTTTATGGTCAACTGGTAGCTCGGTCATGGTGTCTACAGCCTATGGGTCTCGTATGGCCCGCTATATGTACTGCATAGTAAGCGTAGGTATATTGAGTATCACGTTTTAAATTGCTTGAGGACGGAGAGAGAATATATACATTTGGTAGTTACAGGGTTCGTTTGTATTGAAAACCTGTGCCACGACCATAGACCATGAGATCCAAGAAAGTCAAAAATAGAACAGGGATTAGATGACCAAGTCGGGGTTCTATGAAATGAAGATGAAAGAAGAAGAAAAAGGAAAAGCTCCAGAAATAAGGACGAAATATCGATCGTGACAATCATGAGTATCCAGGCGTAGCGAAATATTTCAAAGTAAAGCAGCATACACTCTTGAGGGAATTGAAACCCGTGTCAAGAGTATGGGAATCGTGCCGTTTATGCACTGTGGCAAATGAGATCAACTCCTAATCTCGGTTGAGCGTAGTTCATTGTAGAGGGAAGGGAAGGGAAAGGGTCCAAGTAGCACAACTTACATCAGAGCCAGGGTCAAGTCACCATGGATACGGGCCTTGAGCTCCACTTCAATCTCCAGATTCAATTCAATCTTCAACTTCATACCTTCCTCTTCATCGATGCTCTTTGCCTTTTCGTCAATCACGTTAAAGTCACCCTCCGGAATCATGTCACTAGTGCGTTGACTGTAGGGTTGCATGGCCCTCCTGGGCTGCATAACTTCTTCATCGTCGGAATATTCATCATCATATTCGTCCGAGTAGTCATCTTCGTCCGAATATTCGTCGAGCTCATCTTGCTGCTTGGCCTTTTGTTGTTGCTGCTGTGGCCGACGGCGACGTTGTAGCTGATTGTTTTGAGCGGGAGGGTTCTGGTCATCTTCGTCCGTGTAATCGTCGGCGCTATCATAGTCCTCACCAGACTCCTCGTCAGGGACTTGGAACTGCTTCTGCTTCTGTTGGGTCTTTTCGGCGGTGGCCATAGTGAAGATGATGACTTTGGTATTCGATGAACAAAGAAGATGCGACTCGAATGGATATAATCAAGGATGGGGGATTGGACACCGCAGATGAAAGCTTGAAAGCAGAATGGAGGAAAGGATTAAAGACGAGGAAATGGCAGGCGGTGATATGAATTGAATGGATATGAGAATAATGGGAAGTAAATCAACTCAACAGGGACAATGACGTTAGCGGCTGTACACCTCACTCTCACAGATACCACAATGATGCTCCGTCATAGATGATTTGGTTTTATTTTACTTCCAAGAGAAAAAAAAAACAATTAAAAAAAAAAAAACCACCCGCGTCATGCAAGATACGTTGTCCCACTTCAAGGTTCCCAGGGCGTGTCCATAGGAATCGACCCCGGCCGAGACACTCAAGAGATCAGCAGCAAAATAACCCATACGGCCACTGGATCTATAATTACCACAACTTAAGAATTCTCCCCCTGGACCCACGACTTTTTCTCGTGGTCAGAACCAATAACCAGCCCTTGGGCTGAACATGACAGCCGGTACAACTGTGGCTGAACACGTATTTTCCAATGTTCTACAGTGGTACAGCATCAAAAATCAGGGTTGGACCGTCAGTGGCGTCATCTGCCAACTTCCCTTTAATTTGCCGCGCTCATTGGAAAACCTGCAACGGTCTTACGTCTACTTAATATATAAAAGTGGAGACAACCGAGGGGGCTGCCAGTGCCAGAATTGTCCGAATTCAATCCCCATTGGCCCATCCCATCCGAGTGGAGTCCTGATTTCTTTTCCTAGGCTTTTTTCAGTTCAACGGACCCTCGTTTATACTCCGTCCACACCGAAAGAAGGCGATTGATGCACCTTAGTTATTTCCGATCTTGGAGCTGATAATCTTGCCCAAAACACTATATTCTCACTGCCCAGGTGCCCCCCGGTCCGCTATATGGTAACTCGCTCCATACGGAGGCGTTCCAGGTCCTGATCCATGTCAGCCCCAACGTCATAATCCCCCCCTCCCCACATTACCGCAATTATCAACCCGTCTTTCCATGGACCTGGTATCAAACAATTGGAGCGTCGTACCTCGTCCGTACAGGTCATAACCCAGACACTTACATCCCTGACGTCGGAGGCGGCAAGAAACACGCCCATCGACGCCGGTTTTGTGCACTTTAGGGTATAAATGACAAGCGTACAAGCGTCGTCCCGTGCTGTCTTCCACATACATCATACATCATACCAGGTCAATCTATCCTAGTTGCTTTACATTCCTGCAGCGTATACATTTCCCTCGCACCAGTGACGCTTTGTCCCCCATACAGTCATAACCCACACCTTCCGCGACTGATCACTTCATATTCGCCCCTCATCCCCCTCTTCTTTATCTCTTTCCTTTTTTTCCACCATGGCCGATCAAGATCCTCAATCCCCAAACCCGGAGACAGCATCTACTCCCACCAAGCAAAAGCGTGCCCCTCCCAAGCTAGGCAAGAAGTCACCAGGCAAGCAAGAACAAACTCCGCCTGCATCAGAGCAAGAACAGGACCACGAGGAAAAGAAAGAACCCAAAGAAGAAGAAGCCACCGAGAACCAGGAAGAGCAGAAGAAAGAGCCTGAACCTGAACCCGAGCCTCACAGGCAAGAACCCGCTTCAGACGAAGAAGACAACGCCAACGGCGAGCAAGAAGAAGAAGATAAGCCTGCCGAGTCTGAACCAGAACCAGAGCCAGAACCCGCTCCAGCTCCCAAGCCAGAACGTCGTCGTAGACGTCCCCGCCCCACAGAATCAGACGTCGAGTCCGTCCCACGTAACGACATGGACGCCCAACAACAACCACAGCAGCGCCAGCGCACCCGTCGCACACGCCAGCCCCAACAAAGGCAGCAACAGCAGCAAGGGCAAGATGGCGGCCCACTCGGTGGCCTAGGAGGCGTCGACCAAGCCGGCCAGCTCGTCCAGAACACAGCCGGCAATGCCTTGAACGGCGTGACAGGACAAGCAGGCAAGGCCGTCGGCGGTGTCCTCGGCGGAGGCCAGAAAGAGGAGAAGGGAGGAGATGGCAAAGACGAGCAGCTGCGTCTGCGATTGGATCTCAATCTGGACATTGAGATCCAGCTTAAGGCGAAGATCCACGGTGATTTAACGATCGGATTATTGTCAGTATTCCCCTCCTTTATATACCATACTACCTACCCTCTCCTCCTATTGTTTTCTTTTGCCCCCTCTTTTTCTTCCCATTTTTGTGCGGTTCACGGGTTCGCTCCTGTGCTGCCGTCGTCATTGTCTCGAGATACCACTCAAATTACTCTTTTTCTTTTCCAGTTCTTTCACTGACTAACGTCTTAGGAATTGATTTGTCTCGACTATAGCTCCTAGAGAAGCATCCCATCTGCTCCCTGCTGCTCGGGCATCCAAATTATATTTTCCTATCCGAATTCGATTTATTTCTGCGACGAAACGACTCTTACGCTTCTTTTTGGTGACGCGTGACGCAAGGTGCAGGGTTTGCATGACTTGACCTGGCTTGTTCTGTGCTTTTTATTTCCATCTTTTCTCTATATTTCTTATTTTACTTTTCTTCTGACGGCCTTTGTATTTTCGGGGGTTTTCCATTCCCTAGATCTGGTCTGTGTGCCTCATGTTGAATGTACAGTATAATTATTCTTCCCAAGTATAGTGACTGGATTCGGCGAATGGGATAATGAAGACTCTATACAGTCCATTTTTGGTTTTTGGTCTTGGTCATGCGTTTAGTAGTCTGCCATCTGTGAAACGAGTTTTTGAGCCTCGTGTAACTGGCCAATCTATTAGTGGCACCTGAGGAGCTTGATCAGCCAAATATGTACATTCCTAGCTTGGTTGTAATACCCGGCCTTCAAATGTTGTGATAGGTACTGCCGTTCTTTCTACCGTGAAATAAGTAATATTGAAAATTTGTCAAACTTGGACTCGGCGTATTCTTTACAAAGTACTATCTCACGGCAATCTATTGAATTCATACCAAACAAAACCCACTATATCCCCGATGTCCTTAATAAAACACCCATCGACAGATTCGACTCCGTTCTCCCCTTAAGCCTTCACTCAGATGATCGATATTTATGCTGCATCTTCAACAGAGAAAAAAGAGAAAATTATTTCAAAAGAAAAGTCTACGGCAATCTTGCCCAGCTCATACCAACACCAAACAAAATTGAATGAATGAGAAACCCTCCTCTAACTCAAACCACTTACAACCCAGCAACAACCATCAGTCCATATCCAAGGGTCACAATAACCACGAAGGACATCAGACTTGATGGAACACCGCGCGAGAGGAAGTGGCGGACCTGGAGATAACGCTGGCCAGTTTGCGGCACTTCGGTCATAATCGCAGCTAGTGAGGGATGTCAGTATTGTTGTTTCTTTTCTTTTTGTATTAGAGGGAATAGGAGGGTCATACTCATATTAGGGAATCCACTTGTGGGTAATCCCATCGCAACAGAGCACATCAGAGCACTCGCCATGACAAGCAGGTTCGGGTGAGGATCCTCCATGCTGACACCAATTTGACGAACGAGAGGCAAAATGATCAATGCGGCAACAGTATGTGAAATGAATGTGGCGATGACCAAAATGAGTGCGCAGAAGACAAGCAGTACGCTGTACAAACTGAGGTGCTCTACCCGAGCCGTGATACCGGAGGCGATGGTGTGCAATAGGCCGGATGATGTGACCGCCTTTCCGAGGCAGAGACCTCCTGCGGCCAAGATGATGATGGTCCAAAGGAAGTTGTTAAAGTCTTCCTTGTTAAGGATACCGGTTCCGAAGAACAGGACAAGGGGGATAATTGCAATGACACCCATATCACCAAAGATGTGCTCTAACTGGTGGCTTACACACCAAAGTGCAATGGTGCCAAGGGTCACTGCACAGATGAAGTACTGGATGCCGGTGAAACGATCCTTCACAGGGCGCATGGGGATGACAGTTTGGTTGCGACCAGGGTGGAAAGTCACCAGCAGGAGGCCCCAGATCAACAAAATGGAGATGATGCACACTGGAAGCGCGATGAAGAACCAGGTACCCCAGCTGATGCTAGGGTACATGTTCTGCAGAGCGATAATATTCTGTGGAGATGCAATGGGTGAAGCAGCTCCACCAACATTAGCTGCCAATGCAATTCCCAGGACGAGAGACTTGGCAAAGTTCGACTCTGGTGACAAGTTGCGCAGAAGAGGTTGAATGATCGAGTAACATAGCACGGGAGCTGCGACATTGCTAATCCACATACTCAAGAACATACTCACGAACATGTTGGTTAACAAGACGACATGCGGCTTTGAGCCGGCCTTGCTGAGCACAAACATAGCCATGCGTCGAGCAATGTCGTATTTAGACAAAGCTGCCGCGATAGTGAACCCACCTAGAAGAAGCATGATCACCGGGGTCCACATTGCCCCAAAAACTACGCTAGTAGCCTCCTTCGGGCCCAATCGCTTGTGGGGCTTGTCTTCTGACCGCATGATGCCAAGAACCACAACCAAGAACGGAATCAACAAAGATGTAACAAACAGGGGGATGGCCTAGGAGAATGGTAATAATCAGCAATCAAAAAAACAACAAAATTTGAAAACGGGAGAAAGGGGAAACACCGACCTCCGTGGACCATAAAATGCTAACGAGTACTAGCATCGCTAGGCAGTTTTGTTGTTCGGGCGTCTCCATTACTTTCACCGAAAGCAGGGCACCAAAAACAGCAAAGCTGAGAACCAATGTTCCGAAACTCAGGCTGCAGAACCACAAGGGGAAATGAATCCGCCCGAGTGGGGTAGAGACCTCTGTGGTAAGAATTTCTTGCTTGTCACCTTGTCGTCGCGCCGTTTCGGGGTCTTCATCAGCTCCAAGCAGGGTTTGACGAATACCAACATTCAGGGCCTGACCACGACGTTCGATGCCAATCATCTCACGCCAGACAGTGTTTCGCTCCCATACCACATGCTCACGCAGATGCAGGCGCAGCTCGCGGCTAGCCAGGGAGCGATTTCCCCTGGTGACTATCTCAGCGTAGACACCTTCAACCTTGTCGATATGAGAGTCCACAGTAGCCATGGTGCTTTCGGTGAAAGGCAACGCGGGGGACACGACAGAGGCCAGGTAGTCTCGACGCAGATTGCGGAACAAAGTTTTGTCGTATTTCTTCAGAGCTTTCGAGAAACCGGTCTTGTTCAGCTCGATGAAGGATCTGAGCTCACAGAGGGAAACATAGACTTCGACGAGACGTTTCTTCAGGCCCACTCCATTATTATAGAGCTCGAGGAAAGCCTGATCACCAATCTCTGAACCAGTGAGTCCCCTGCTGCTCGTCCGCCCGAAGAACGCAGAATCTGCCATGTCGCCTGGTTGTACATCAGTCGCAGACTCCCCATCTGTCGATTGGGGTCTGTGCCGCAGCCCTAATGAAGCAGACTGAGCATCATCGCTGTCTGCATCCTCATCGCTGATTGCACTCGAATGGCGCCTCGGACCAAGGCCATTGCGAGTGGAACCGCTTCTATTGCGGCGAGAACTGGCCTTGATGACAGTCTCGCTAACAGGGTCCATGTTGACTCCGTCTGTGTCGCTCAAGTAGACGGTGGCATCCCGCATTAATTGATCGGTGAGTTTAAAGATCTCGTCCTGCTTCTCCTCATAAAATGTACCGATCTTTTCCATCTCCGCATCAAGGGCCCGCTTGAATATTCCGTCTGGGTTGGTAATCTGGGGACCCAGTAGGGGAGCGGACTCAACGTCTGGACCGCCTGCACCATCGGGTCGGTTGACTTGCTTTTCGAGGGTATAGATTCTGCATGGAAATTTGTCAAATTAGCATTGCACTTCTAATTTTCAAGCCACATGCATCGGATCATGCATTAATCCAGACCATGTGCAATGTGACACCCACACAGAATGAGCACGCGACACCAAGAGGCAGGGTTGACTCCACTCTGGTTGAGAACTTCCAATGCAAAAGACCGGCTTCGCAACTTACAGTTTTTTAAGGTTGCTGTATGCAATGTAATGGGAACTCCAGTCAGGAACCGCATTGAACTGAATGCTATGGGAGAACTTCATCTTGGCTGCAGTCTCCGGATCAAGAGCAGCGCTGCTCTGGCTTGATATATATGCCCGACGGCGAAGGGCCTCCGACCAGAACCTTAGTGGGGTTGAACGGATACCGCTAAGGTGCTTTTCTGACAACGGTGTATTTTCCCATGCACTGTCCTGTCCAATCCCAACCCCCGCTAGCGACCGTGGGTTTGTGGTAGGCTCAGATGGCCGCGAGGCAAGCGGGACTGATCGAGTGACTGCGGACGCAGAATCCCGAACTTCGTCTCCAGAATGACGAGTGACGTTATAATCGACAAGCTCAAAAGATTCGTGACTCGCGGGGGAAGCCACTGTCGCAGCGGCTATTGGGAATATACTCGGCTAAGGGCAATTGCGCGACAAGAGGGGCCCGCTTGAATGAAATGGGGAGGTATTGCGGGGCGCCAGGCAAATCGAGGTGTTGGTCAGCCGGGGCCGCTTGCGTGGGTTGCACTGGTGGTCAGGCTGGCAATAAGTGGTGTACTGCAGTGGGGATCTAGGATGAAAGCTAGGTGTGTTATCCTCCGAGACACACAGACTTGACTGGGATGCTGTTGCCCACGTTCAGATATGATCGAGGGAGCTTTGAGGCGCTTCGCGGTGATCTCAGGAACCGTTGCATGCTTAATCGGGAATGGCCTGTCATGCGCTGAGGTAAGCGGTAGATAGCCTATCAGCCGGCGGATAAAACAAGCAGGGTCAAAGAGGGTCCAAGTGTAAGATTACTACTACAGAAAGAAACCATGCGTGGATCATAGGAAAGGAAGACTACTACTATAGCGGAGAGACTCTTTCAGGGTAGAAATTGATATATTTGACTTGTTAGGAAAGAGCCAGCTACATATCGGACGTGGTGGTGTCAAAAAAATCATCCAAAATACTATGGATCATGTCAAATCAATGCGGGCAAAACTAGATATACTACATGTACAGATGCTGAAAAGAAAGAGTCGACAACATGGAAAACCTTCCGCCAACCCCATTAGACGAAACAAGAAGAGAAAAGGTGACAGGTGATGACCTGTTCCCAAAAATTGTTTAACGGCGGCGAGAACCAAGACCCAAGTTTGCACGACCTGAAATACCAAGCTTGTGCTGTCCGTCTCTCCGCTCCCACACGCCACTGCGACCCTCGGCCACAGACACCAGCTCATTGGCAACACGGTGAGCTAACTGAGCATCACGTCGCTTATCCGACGCATCAATAATCCACTTGATAGCGGCACGACGACGCTGGCGTAGGGTCAGCGGGTGTGGGACCTGCAAGGCTGCACCACCACCTGCAATACCCTTCAGTTGACGAATTCGGAAGAGAGGGGCAACTGAGTCAACGATCAAAGTGAGGTAGAGGACAGGGTCGAGAGGAAGCTGAGAACCAGGAGGGCCACCAAGTAGGGGGTGGCGGGGGTTGATGTTAGGAGGAGGTGCGGTGCGGAGGTGATCAAGAATGATGGACATGTTCTAACGGATGCAATGTCAGTCTTCGGGATTGCGACATGCAAATTATGTTAAACTCGATTATCAATTAAGTACCTTTTGTGCCCGAGCCAACTTGCCATCCTGCATCAACATTTTCGTGAACTGGTCCTGCATCGAGTCGTAGCGCTTTCGGAAGTTGAAGGTCTTATTCTTAGTCGGAGCTTCGGGCTCCTCGAAGATCAAGCCGGGAGTCCGCTCCGCGGCTTGCGCGTTGACCTGATCAATCATGCTGGCGAGCATAGCAACCGACGCATCATTGCCGGTTTCAAAGCCTTGAGTCTCCGGCGCGCGGGCGCGAGCAGATGTCGAAAACGAACGAGAGCCACCTGCTTTCTTCAATTTGTCTTGCATGACCTTCGGCATGTGCTTCCGGGCCTTCTCATCACGCGAGAGAATCTGCTCAACGGGGCTTCCTTGCTGTAACTCCGGGCTCGAGGGTGTACCGTCACAGCTCTTTTCCTTCTCCATAATCCTTGAGGTCTCATTGGCCTCTTCAGTGACAGAAGGCAGGGGATCCTGGGTTGGGAACTTCTGCTCATCGGGCTGGATGTTCTTGGAGCCATCCTTCGATGAGTTCCATCTTTTCTGCACGGGTGCGGACTGTTCAGCCCGGAATCGGAGGGATAAAACGGTAGTGCGAGGCGCAACGGAGGACACGGTTGACTGGCGGAGGGCAGTAGCAGCCCTGTGGGCGGCAAAGAGGTTCAATCGAGGAGGCATTATGTGTAATTGAGTCCTTATATCAAGGCAACGGGGTGACCGAGGTGGATGATGAAATCTTGGCCGAATTCAAAGCGGTCTGCAATTCTGCAATTTACTACGTGATTAGTCACCCTCGCCGCGCACACGCGATTGAGTTGAACTATGTGTAAGACTCACACTTTAGTTTGAACAGGATAAAGTTTCTTTGAAAATAGATCCTCGACCTAGAATTTTGTTCAAGTCACTTGTGCTTTGTGATATAAATACACAAGTGCGGCGCACTAGGCGCATTTAGCTGGCCAGGTGAAGCGGCAACCCTAAAGAAAGGTGGAAATCCTGTTATGCACCTGCAATATCAATTGATGTCATTGAAATCATTGCAGCTCTTTGATTCGAAGATGGAGTCTGAGTGAATAGCTGTGGATATTGATACCCAACCAGGAAATATTGGTTTTTGACGAATTTCTGTCATCATGCTCTCCGAATTGCCTTCGGAGATTGTCGTTCATATCACAATATATCTTCGCACTATCAGTGACTTGGCAAATCTCGCACAAACATGTCGGAGACTCCATAAAATCGTCAACACAGAAGAATCCGCGATATTTCGAGCGTTCGTTCAAAACCAGTTTCCATCAGTTCATACTCCATCATTTTGGAAGGACGCAGCTCGTGTTCTCACTGCTCGGTCACGGGCTTTGGACAGACTTGGGGTATTTGGCCGGTTCGTCACTCCGCCAGCTACCACCATCCGAATTGGACTGAGTGACCCAACACGTCTTGACAACCCCACGCTTGGATACAGACCTGCCATCGATTCCTATGAAATATGGAATGGCGAAAGATGGGCTGATCGAAGGGAAGTGCTGGCTTGGGGCGCTGGCCACCAATTGGTCATGCGAACCAAACAGTCCGGATCTCGCCAAAAAGAGCAATGGATCTCGTTCAGCGACGTGGAAGAAACCAGTAGCTACGATGATATCTGCGGATTACATCTTCTGCAGCCGGAACTTGACAAAGGCACCGATGTCGAACATTTGATTTTTGGCCGAATGCGAGGCGATATCGTGCATGTTGCCCTTTCTATCGCCACGGCAACCCACGAGTATAAACGAAATTTCGCTACCAGTGGGGAGTTACTCGATAAAACGGACTTGGTTGATCATACAATGGCTGCTCATTTCGACAATGGCTCTGTTGCTTTGTACGACCTCGAGAATGAGCACAAAAAAGTGGAGCCGTTTGCATGGGCCACAGTGGGATGTGAAGTAGAACGGTCAAAGCGAAGCCGGTATTCGAAGTTGTTATCATCATCAAAGCTCGCAGTAGCTACAGCAGCAGCTACTGGCGGAACTAAAAATTCTCTATCAATCAACACGATATCCCCCGATGGGGTGTGCCTCGATCGAGAAATTGTCGTGAAGTCTCTGGATGATGACGATCAGGTCGGGAGATCTGTACAGGCCTCTGCTACTACTATTGCTCCCCTCAATATGCATTCATTTTCTCGTTCACCGGGCGATGTATTCCTAGCAGCTTGGGGAGACCGCACGATAAGGTATGTTGGCAACAGACAGACAGAAGATGCGAATATTGACAAACTTCTCTTTCAGACTTCACGATCTTCGCTCGCCGAATTCACACGAAGTCGAATACCAAGATACAACGGACACCAACCTCATTTACAGCGTACAGCCATTCGGCCATGATCGCTTTCTGGCCGGAGCCGCTGGCAACGCAATTCTTAAAATATTTGACCTTCGCATGAGCAATGCCTACAGCTACTTGGACACGCACATTCCACAAACCCTAAAGTCGCGCAATCCGGCGCAAACGAGCCGCGCCCATTGCCCTCATAAAGATTTTTCGATGTTCATTTCCTCGCATGTTCCTTTCAGTACACCGCGAAACTCACGACAAAATAAACGCCGACCCTACCGTGGTCCGATCTATGCACTCTCTACACCATCCCCATCTTCACCGACTGTGTATACAGGAATCGTGGATGCTGTTGTTCGACTGGATTTTGCTTCGACCGATGACCTGACAGGACCGGCACGTGAATGGTACACCTATAATTTGGATCTTGGGGTAGAGACCGGCCAGACGTCGGTTCCCGTTGAAGGGGACAGTGTGTTTAGAATGGCAGGTTATGAGCGTCCGGACGCAGATGATTCTACCACAACCTCTAAATTGAGGAATCAGCATGGTACTTGGTATCCGGAGCAGAAGTATATCAACAACGAGGCAGGAACTGGTTGGGACAGGCGGTGGGAGCCGCTTGAAAGATCTGGTGCTTGGAGAAGGCGGGACTAGAAGTAGTATTGACCTGCGAACTCCTTAGTATTCACAAACCCCTTTGGCCAAGGTACTTGCGGAAAAATTCATAACATCATCCCCAGCCGGTAGTTGAAAAGGATTGCAACTGCTAGTGCTAAATTGATAGTGCCCATTCCAAGTATTGAGTATGTACTATACCATGCCCTGCACACGTACTGCTATGGTACCTCCTATGATCTTCCTATTTGAATCTCCAGTGTATATCAGTCCCAGCCAAGAAAGAACATTGAAGTCTAAGCTGTCTGAAAGTAAGCACGTGGTCCCCACGGCTAATTCTTGTTCATGAGGAACATTCATGGGTTGATCCATTGAGACTTGCGTATGGGCGGCGCTCTAAGCCTATCTCGTAGGACTTGGGTAAAAGGCAAAGTGAACATGTAAACTTTTGTGGTATTTTGAAAGAGCAAATATTGAAGCAAATGATAATTACAGTGGAACCGCCAAAGCTCCGTATGCGCCATGCTGGTGAAATGGGTAAGATGAAGGGGATAATCGATATCAATGAACCATCGGCAGGAGGAGCAAAAGAGAATAATCGTCCAAGTCACGTAGCTCCGAGTCCCTTTAGACCAAAAACAAAAGCTCTACCCCCAAAAGAGGCAAGTAAGTTGAACAGTTCTTATGTAGACTCAAAAAGTTGAGATCGTCTAGACAATAAGAGCAAAACGTGCCATTCCGAGAAAAAAACAAGTACGAGTGATGAAGAGAACCATCTAATCGTCAAACTTGTAGGACTTGCCGCCACCAATGTCGATGGGGCCACCACGGTAGGAACCGCGCTTCTTCTTGTTCTTCTCCTTGGTGAAGCCCTTTCCACGAGTGACAGACAAATCCGCGAAGGCGCGATCAGCGTAGGCATAAGACATGTATTCGTTCTTAGGACCGTCGAAAGGAAGGGCGCTCAGAGCAGCAAGTGGGGTGGGACGAGCTCCTGTGTGCTTCTTTGCCGAACCATTTCCGGGGACCGGACTGGCACTCGAAGAAGAGTTGCGTACATTGTCAAGGGTCTTGTTCTCAGCGGCAGAAGAATCAGGAGAGGCAGAGACGGTAGCACTAGAAGCAGAGGAGGTAGAGACGGAGACACCGCCAGTCTTCTCGTCATCAGAGCTATCGTCGGATGAGGAGCTGGATGAGCTCGAGTCAGAAGACTCAGGGAGGGGGGTCTTCTTCGCTTGCTTCAGAGCCTTAGCATCTTGCTTCTTGGCAGGCTTCTTCTCAGACTCAGACTCAGAGTCGGAGTCGGAGTCGGAGGACTCACTCGAGTCAGAGCTAGAATCAGAGGACGAGTCAGAGCTAGAATCAGAGGACGAGTCAGACGAGTCAGACGAGTCAGACTCGGATTCGGAAGAAGATTCTTCCTTCGTAGCGGTCTTAGCCTTCTTGGCCTTGGGGGCATCGCTCTCAGAATCCGAATCAGAGCTGGAGTCAGAGGATGAGTCGTCGCTGGATTCGGCCTTTCGCTTGACACCTGTGGTCTTCTTGACAACAGGGGCGGGAGTGGGAGCGGCCTCCTCCTCCTCCTCATCATCGGCGTCACTCTCAGAGCTAGAGGACGAGGAAGAAGATGGAGACGGGGAGCGAGCCTTTTGGTCCTTCACAACCTTGGGCGCATCCTCCATGTCAACGTCAGAGTCGCTGGAATCGCTGTCAGAGTCAGAGCTGGAGTCAGAGCTGGAGTCGGAACTGCTATCGCTGTCGCTTTCGGGGCTAGAGTTGGAAGTGTCCTTCTTCTCCCAAGCCTGGAAGATCTCCAACAAAGACGGGGCGTTCTTCGCGTCAGCCTTGCTTGAGGTCTTCTTCAGCTCCTTCTCGAAGGCGGTGTTGGTAGCGGAAAAGCCATTGCTTGACAGGAAAGAGGCGATAGACGCAAGAAGTTGCGTGGGGATGTGGGTATTTTTCGAGGCATCAGCCTGCTAATCGAAAAATTATTGTCAGCGCGGTTCTGCCAGTAAGTGAAACTCTGAGAGGCATTGCAAGTTTACCTTCTTGACAGGAGTCTTCTTCTGCTCAGTCTTCTTAGCCATGGTTACAGTATTTGTGAGTTTCAATATCTTCACTCGCAATTACTAGTGTGATCAACAGGCAAGAAGGCCAGGAAGTGGGAAATGGCAACTGTATACAGAGATCGGCATCCAGGAACAGAAAAAAAAAAGGCAGGAAGTATATTAAAGGCGGTGTACAAAAAAAGGGTCTGATTGGACAAAATAAAGAGGCAAATTCGGGACCACAAATCTGAAATCTGTTCGCCATTCACGTGACCAAGAAACCAATCTTTCTAGGCCGCCGCAGGTAGGGCCTGGTTCTGAGTTACACATTCACGTGGGTTAACTGCCCATTTTCAGGCAGATTCAGGCAGCCAGCATTCCAGATGTCTGCTCCAATGAGTATAATAATACAGATTAGCAATACTGAATAGAAAAGTGATTACCTATTGTAGAGAGAACTTTCGTCCAAGCTAAAGGAAATACCTCCGAAGTTTTGAGATTTTCATGATCTAGTAGATTTGTCTTGCTGGACTCTGGAGATATACTGTAACTAGTCGTTGCTTTCGGATCAACTCAATACTCCGCTCCCACGAGCTCTCTCCGCCTTACCCGCAACCCCAAACAGACCGATGAGCTAATGCATTCTGAATGCCAACGGGCCATTTGGCAATACCACGAATTACTTTGCTATCGGTCGTAATTTCTCTTTTCGATCTGTGGTGCCTGCCTCTCCTTGAGCTCCTAACAGCCGTCACTTTTGTATCTAGAGCGCGGACTCGTGTGGGACCCCCGTCCTCATCTAGTCCACCCCAACACATCGGCATCCTAACCATGATCCCTTGATTTCGCCGAATCTATCCAGTGATTTCGGTGTCGCATGAACGACGCGATGATGAATGGTCGAGAACGCCCACGTCCTCCACCCCCCACCGATCCTCGGCGCGGGGGCGACACCCGCAATGGCTCCGGAGATGGCGCCTTGAACAGAGCAGAGAAATTCGAGGACGAGAAGAAGCGGATTATTCAAAGTTGTTACTCAAAAAAAGACGCTGATGGAGCTTGTGTGTAAACCTTCCAATTGCTACTTTGCTTCTTGTCAGGAAATCCCTAGTTTGTCCCGCATTTAGGGGATGGCAACCTGAAGTGGACGAGCATAATCCGCTACCCCTTCCGCTGTCCCTTCACGGAGATAAACAGAGAGCTCTTTACCTTTTCTTTTAAATTTTCCAAAAGAAGATGCTGACTGAGTGCTGTTTAATGTAGTGGTCGAGTCTTATATCACGCATGTCCGAATCACCGAAGATGGAACGCATCCTTCTTCCCCTTCCCCACCTAGCGCCGCACCGGAGAACAAGAAACCTCGTGTCATAATCGTTTCGGTACGGAGATCAGGCAGAGTCCGAATGCACAAGGCTCGCGAAAATAGCGACGGCACGTTTTCAATCGGTAAAACATGGATGCTTGACGACTTATCTGCGATCCAATCCTATGAAGCCTTGGTACCCAAAACACCCATCGAGCAACAACATAAGGAGTGGGCATCAAATGTTGGATTCGTGGTGACCGTGGGAAAGCCCTACTACTGGCATGCTCGCAGCGCCAAAGAAAAAGAGTTCTTTATTGGCAGTTTGGTGAAGATCTACAAAAAATATACGGGAGGCAAGATACCCAATCTGGTTGGGTTTGAAGAGAAGCAACGGCAAGCGCTCACAGGAGGAGCTACACCAGGACCAGCGGGTCCTTCCGCACCACCTTCACGAGGTGCCGGTCTGCCGCCTCCAGAGCTAGGAGCACCTCAATCCGCACCCTCGTACGGAAGTCGTGAACCAAGTCGTGATGGAGTTCAGGAACCAAGGCGAAAGCCATCCGAAGACCCGATGCTTCGGTCTCAAAGGAGCCGTGAACAAATTTCCCGTCCGTCAACTGGAAATAAGCCAGCTCCATCTCCTTTCGGTCCCCCTTCTAACCCACCACCTGCCGTTCCCCCACAGCGAAAAGAGCCAGAAAACAGAGAGCCACCTGTGAAATTTCCCTTGCAAGATGATTCCCGGCCATCTTCGTCTCGTGGAGAAGGCCGTGCCCCGAAGACTCCAACATCCGAACTTGCAGCCCAATCCTCTGACACTCTGTCGCTGAAGACAAAACTAAGTGTAGATGGACTGCGACCTAGTACCGCAGGATCCTATGCCAGCGAAACTCGAGGGATACCCCCAAGCCCTGTCGGTGGCCCAGCACCTGGTCAGTACTTACCATATCGGCAACCCGAAAAGACACCGGCTCCGGCTTTTGAACCGCTGCCACAGCCTGTTCAGGAAAAGATTGTATCCGGGGAACCCCAGCCCGTAGCACCAGCCGAAGAACCTCCTGCCAAAGATGAAACGCCTTCTTCGCCACTGGCTTTGGACCCTGCAGTCGCGGCAGCTGTGGTCCAGTTCTCTGAATCACCCCAAGATAATGCACAAGAGCAGCAGCCTTCAACCCTTCTAGAGCCAACTGAAGAAGACAACGAGGCACATCGCCCTGGCCTGGGTCCTATGGTGAAAAAGAAGGGGCCTAAAGAGCTTGCAGGTGTTCTTCGGAAGGCAGCAACCGCGTATGGAGCTTTCAAGCCGCGGCCTGGAGGCGCTGGTGAGCGTCTGTTGGCAGCAGCGAAGAAACAGCAAGCAGAACAGGAGGCGGATGGTATCACAGGTGTCTTCCCGGCCCCATCCCTTACTAAGTCTGCAAGTGAGGCCCCCAGGAGTCCGGTAGATGACGTGGTAGAGAGAGAGCTCACGGTGACGGCATCGGCCCCTGAACTTCCGACTGTGACTACACCTACCGTTGAAATCACGCAACCCGAAGTTGAGGTCGCGTCGGCTCCACCTGATTCTGTTCTTCCGATTCCCGAGAAGAGCCAAGATTCACTCGTTGATATTGTCAATGTTGATGAACGTTCAAGATCGCCATCCCCAGCCGCCCGGGGTCGCCGCCGCAGACGGGAAGATCATACTGTCAAATACTGTCAGGCTCTCGGGATCGACCCAACCGTGCTCGATGGGCGTGGAATTGACTTTGATGATATCTTGACTGATCTTGGTTGGAATGGCCGCCTCAACGACGAGCAGAAGATTGAGGACCTGGAAGCAGATGTTCGTCGCGAAATTGGCCGTGTTGAAGCTACCAGCTGGCTTGGTAATCTTGAACAGCAGGAAGGGAAGGTGGAGCAGCTGGCTGTCCTTATTGACAGGACAATTGAAGAGTGTGAAGAGCTGGAAGGTCTCCTGACCCTGTACTCGCACGAATTGAACGTAAGTTATCTCATACCGCGAATTTATAATTGTTCCCGGTTGGTTACTGACTAGGCGACCAGACCCTCCACGACGACGTGTCGTACATCGAAGCTCAATCACAAGGTCTGCAAGTACAAACGGCAAACCAGAAGCTTTTGCAAAACGAGCTCCAGAACCTTCTCAAGACACTATCAATCTCCACATCTGAGCTTCGGCCGCTGAAGGAAGCCTCTTTAAGCAACCCCGATGGATTGAAGGATACCGAAAACTCTCTTTCCATACTCTACAAAGCGATGCTCATGATCGATGCTGAAATTGGGCAGAACAGAAAGCGCCTTGTCGATGCCAGCGTCGGAGTTTACGCTAACACAGAGATCGGCCAAATGCGTGCCATTAAGGAGAAGAAGGAAGAGTATCACACCGCCGCCGTGACATTCTTGCAACAACGCCTCAAGCAGTTCATGGCTGTGGCCTTGAAGACGGCGGAACAAAAACGTACAGATGTGGTGGCTGCCACTACCACCGATCCCATGAAGTTGGACAGTGCCGCGCGACAGCACTTCCGAACTGAAGTGTGGAGATACAATCCCTTGATGCTTTTCACCAAGGAAGTGAGCATGACTGAATGGCATTCTCTCGTCAATCTTTATGAGCAACAATCCAAACCATCATACCAAAGCGAATTCCGTGAAAATAATGCGACATGGAAGAAGACAGCTCGAAAGACCACCGGAGAAGAGCAAGAACTTCTCTTTACCCACCAAGAAAAAGAGAAAGAAGCCGAGGGCATCACAATGGCAGCTCGCAAACTTACTGTGCGACGAGGCAAGACCGTGCGAGCTGCGGCTGGCCTTCGATTGGCATCTGGTGATAAAGCAGGGAAGAAGCAGGGCAGAGTTGAGCCATGCGAAGCATTTGCGGGGACACTGCGTGAAACACTTAATACCATCACCGACGAACAGAATTTCGTGGTTGAATTCTTCCACCTGAATTCCTTGGCCAACGTTGATTTCTCCGACTTGATCGCTGCCGCTCAGCCAGAAGGCCGATTATGCCCCGACTTTTCAGCCAAGCAGTCGCATGACCCGGATCGTGATATGGCCAAGCGCGTCGAGCACATCATGGATGAAATTTACTCATTCTGGCCGAATGACATGCAAAGCATGGTGGACTGGGCCATCAATGCGGACCCACTGCAAGGCATTGGTATTATCCTTGCTTTGGAAACGGCCATGACTGATCTTGATGATACAAACCAAGAATTTATAATCCATGCACTCCAGAAACTCCACTCTCGATTGATGGGACTCTACAATCGATTCGTGGATGAACAGATTCGAGCTATTGAGGACACCAAAGTGAAGATCAACAAGCGCAAGGGTGTAATCTCCTTTATGCGAGTTTTCCCCAACTTCTCCAATGCTGTCGAGACCTTGCTCTCCCATCCCGGCGGAGAATTTTGCGACATTCGTGTCAGTGTCAATGATGCCTATGACCGCATCAACCGGGCGATGTGGGAGTCACTGAAATTCATTGCCAAAGAGGCCCCGGGCCAACCTCCTGGTGTGTCGGCCACTGCCGGAGACCCCGAGGACAAAGAAGTGCTGAATTATCACATTCTGCTTATTGAAAACATGAACCACTATGTCGAGGAGGTTGATGTACACACCTTGCCGGTGCTCGAACGCTGGATGAATCGAGCGCACCAAGACTTTGACGAGCACATGAAGCTTTATTTGGACGCGGTGATCCACCGACCCCTGGGCAAGCTGCTTGATTTCATCCAATCCCTGGAGACCCTGCAGGCAGCCGGTAACAGCTCCGACATTGCGACCCGGGCCAGTCACTCCCGCATGGTTGCGAAGAAGGTTTTGTCTTCCTATGACGCCAAGGAAGTCAAACGTGGCGTTGAATTGCTCAAGAAGCGCGTAGAGAAACACTTTGGTGACGCGGATGACCCTGGTCTCAGCCGTAGCCTGGTGCTGAAGGTGCTACGGGAATGTGAGCAGCGTTATGAGGAAGCATACGATCGGACCCGGCAGATCATTGATACCATTTATGAAGGACAATTGGACCTGGAATGGCGTAAGGAGGATGTGGTAGCCATGTTCCGGAAATGAGCGAATGTCAATTTATTATTTTATTTTAACACTTTTCTTGACTTTTCCAATTTTTTTTCTTAATCTTTCTTGTGTTTTCCCCCTAAATATTTGCTACCATGACAAGCATCAGGGTTTACGGTGTCATATGTAAGTAGTCACATTTTCTTCATACTACTACGTATAGAGAATCTGGCTTGTTCTAATATTGAGTCCCCTTGGATTCTATTACAAAATATTGATTCTATCATGGTTCGACCTTGATTGGACGAGAGACCCTGACCCACTGGTTCGAGGCCGATGTTCATTTTAACACTTTTAGTAACATTGAAACTCAGGGGCACGCTCTGGTCTGTGCTGGCTCGATCGAGGATCGCACGTTCAATGTTGGATCTTTTCCTTTTCAATTTTTTTTTATTTAACTATGGAGACTTGAAGAGTGGATTGGTCATTCTAGAATTCATGCTTATCTTCTTAGTTTTGCACATTTTTTGTTTTTCATTCCATCTTAGAGCTCCAATGGAATTGGGGTTAATTATGGGTTCTTTTGCTCGTCAGTGGCTTATGCTTTAACCACGGAATCATACAGCTGTGTATGTCCTTCTACTTCTTCTACTTCTTCTCCCTTTTATTTTTTATTTTTTATTTTTTATTTTCTGAGGAAAGATATTTAGATGAAAAAAAGAAAACATGATTGGTTTCATAATAAATCTCCCATGTAGCTATCCCTTCAGCTGAAACTCGATATACTCCGTAGTGAATTAATTGACTTTGCGATCTCAGCGGTGTGGGGAGCGAAAAAGACCTTTAGATTTACTTTCTCGCTCTTTGATCGTCTCCCCTTTGATTCCTCTTCTTATTTTCTCCCCATCCTTTAATCTTCTGTTTTGGTCCTTACTTCTTAACTGTCTTTTCTAATCAATCCTTTTCTCTCTTTTTTTTCTGTAACGGTGAGTTTGCCCCCTGTTTCCCCACTGTTCTCGCCGAAATGGACTCCACCACGCGAAAGCTCCTCGCAAGGGGGAGGGGGGAGGGGCCCAATCGCGCGACTGTGTCGCGACTTCCCAAACTGGCGCTTGCATCATGCATACACAGAGTTTGTGGTTGGGTCCCTGCCTCGCTAGTTTCAGAATGAAGAATCTTTGGCCCCCCCGAGTACCGCCAAGCCATTATTATGCAGACTCTCCTGATGTAGCATCTCCCTAATCTTGAATCTTGAAACCGTTTTAGCAATCGCATTCTTCCCCCCCCCACGCGCATTCCTCTCTCCTTTCCCGCAGATCCGAACACTTGAAACGCCTTACCGCATGTCGTGTGCCATTGAGATACCCGAACATTCCTCGTGATCTCGAATCCCGACATTCCTAGCCCCGGAATTCTTTGGATCGGATCGCCGAACCATACCGTGCGGGGGGCAACCTGTCCCGATTAAACTTCAGATCAGCGCGTCTGCTGAACTCATATCGTTGAAGCTATGCCCTGGCGGCCGCTGCCTCGCATTGCCTTTGCGGTAGCCATATACCCCTTTCATCCTTCCTCCCCAGCGGACCTACCACTCGAATTGGGCGATGAATTGTACATTATTGAACAGGGAGGATTAGATGGAGAATGGTGTCGAGGATATCTAGTTGCGCCTCCGTCATTGTTGGCAGGATTAACGAGCACCAGGGGTCAGACTCTGGAGGCCCGTGTATTCTCCGGCATCTTTCCACGGAACTGTGTCGAGATCCGCGAAGTGCTGGGTGATGGCGAAGGATACAAGGCTCTTCTCAATGGACAAGGCGATCGCAAGAGTGTCGATAGACTGACACTACCAGGACTGGATCTAGAGGGTCAATCGCGGAGCAGTCTGGCCTATTCAATGAACGAATACCAACCGGGCGATGTGTCAGATGTCGTGTTCGCGAAGAAGGGTAAGCCCGCACAGATTACCATTCATAAGACCGACGAGGTCGACTCGGCCAGTCCGCGATCCATTCACACATACGGAATCGGTTCAATTCCCCATACACCGGTGACTTTTGCGCCTCGAGATCCCGATGCGCCCAAGCCCGCAGCACCTGTGCCTATGCTTAAAATTGGTGACGAAACACCCACATCCTCGACAGAACCCTTGGTTGACGAAATCGCCTCCTGCCTTCGCGAATGGCATTCTACAAACCTGCATGAGCTTCTACTGGCGCAGCAATATGACGTGTTGGATGAGATGTCCACAATTGTGCAAGAGCTGGATTTCGCAAGACGCCAATTACTTCACAATGTCTTGACCGGCCAAGAGAAGGAGTCTTTGCGGGATGAAACTGTTTGGAAACTCGTCAAGGCAAACAAAATGCTCAGCGGAGATATTATTGTTCGCGATCCTGACCAGAGAGGCCGATTATTGACCGGCGAGGACTCTGCCATTCAACTAGCCAAGTTACAATCCGAAATGAGTATGTTGGAAACTCGACCCACCACCGCCTCGGACACCACTTCTTTGCATCATATGCTGCTGGAAATTAATGCTGTATCCGGAAACATTCCTGGCCCAGTGTCCCTCGCCGTTCAGCTGTACTCCCGTTCAGACTCTGGAGTATTCACCCCACTTTCTGAGACGTTCACCTTGGACATTCCATCACCCGAAAAGTTTGTTAGTTTAACCCAGAGCAATAAGCTAAAGACTCTATTCACCGAGCTGGCGGCCACGGATATTGGAGACGGTTCTGCAAATGGACGTCAACTTTACCTTGCTACATCGGTTCGTGCTGCAGAAACACGCTCCACAGCGGAGAGTATTCCTGCCTCACGCCCATCCATGTCAAGAGAGAACCCTTCAGCCCCCAAATCAAATGCTGCTGCGGGAATTCAGCCGTCAACCAAAGGAAGCTTGCGAACGCGGCGCAGCATGATGTGGTCTCCCAAACCCCGGGGTTCTAGCGATGGCGTAACACCGGCTATCACTCAGGTGGTCCCACGATCGTCGAGTAGCTCATCAAACGTGAAGGAACCATCTGCACCTCAGCCCACATCGACGAAAGAATCATCGGTCATCCGCACTATCGGCGTTGGTATCCTGGAGATTTCACCCATTCTTCGACAAGAACGAGATGCCGAGCAAGTGATCAATATATGGTCGCCTTCCCGAGAGGGTGATGAGGGAGAAGGAAATGCCGATGGATTTGATAAACTCCTCCATGTTCTTCTGCCTAGTCACACTGGTCGCTATGTGCGGTCTGACTACGCCGCCCGCTTGCACGTTCACCTCCATCCCTTCGCCAGCACGGACCCGGAAACTCTCGTCCGTGAAAATCCCACAATCCTACATGATGTCGTCCAGACAAGGCGCATTGGGTTCTCTAAGGCTCCTACCAAGCCACGATCCGACATTTACATCACTCTCTCGCAGGCTGTATTCCCAACGGATGCCCTCCTGTCTCACCCTACCGCCGGTCAAATTCCTGTACAGACACATACCGGCCTGAACAATCTTCAGTTGACCTTAGAAGTACGCGACATCAATGGAGCTCGTGTCGATCGATGTGTGTTCCCATCTTCCGCGAATACATCACACACAGCCTGGCGAACCACCATTGCAGCACGGGGCTCGCCTTGGAACCAGACAATTCGTCTGAAGATCCCTACAGAAAGAATCCCCGGATCACATATTATTATGAGTGTTGCAGATGCACCAGAGTTCCCATTTGCCCTTTCCTGGATGCCTCTCTGGGACCAACATGCCTTTATCCGGGATGGACATCATTCATTGTTGCTTCATGCCTATGACAAGCAAACCTCAAGCATGGAGAATGGAAAGGGCGCTTACTTGAGTCTTCCCTGGAGTGCTCTCGACAAGAATGAATCAGCCAAGGATGAAGCGCTCACAGGACCACTGGCGACTTTGCGCCTTGAGACACACCTGTGCAGTACGGAATACTCTCAAGATCAAGTCATACTGAGCCTGCTGAACTGGAAGGAACGACCAGTGGATGAGGTGCTGGATACATTAAAGCGATTACTTTTTGTACCCGAAATCGAGATCGTTAAGCAACTGCGTGGTGTATTCAATGCATTGTTTGGGATCTTGGTGGAGAATGCCGGAAATGAGGAGTACGAAGATTTGATTTTCCACAACCTTGTAACAGTGCTCGGCATTGTTCATGATCGACGGTTCAATCTGGGACCTCTAGTGGACCAGTATGCGGATGAACAATTCGACTTCCCTTTCGCCACACCATGCCTTATTCGGAGCTACCTGCGACTTTTGAATGCTCCCACTGACCCCAAGCAGTCCCGCAACCTTCGTGCTGCCTTCAAGGTTGGCCGTCATTTGCTCAAGTTCATTATTAATGCTCGTGAACAACAAAAGGCCAAAGAAGAGGGGATTGGTATAACTTCGGTGCAGTCGACATTTAACAGAGACTTGCACACAATCTTCAAGTCAATGGAAAATTTGATGAAGAATTCCAATCCGGCATTGGTCGGCAGCAAGACACTGATTGTCCAGCACTTCCACACTTGGTTGCCTGAGCTTTCCAAGGTCTTTGGCCGTGACGAAATGATTATGATTGCTTTGAGCTTTATGGATTCATGCAGAGACGTGACGGGTATGCTTGTGCTGTACAAATTGGTGCTTATTCAGAGTTATACCCAGTTTGAAATTTTCGCATCTGGCGATGAGAGGCAAACCTTGATCTCCAGCTGTGTCGGCTGGTTGAAGCCGTACTGGGGCTCAGGTGCGAGCGTCTCTGACCAATACCGGGATCAAGTTCGGCTGAGCAGTGCCATTGTTGCCCAACTTCTCACTCAGCCCGATGCACAATTGTACGATTTTATGCCGAGTATCGTTGCTTCTTATTGTGCTATAGCCACGGAGGGGGTGGATGATACCGAATATTTGTCTCTCCTCTTCAGCAAGTCCTTCCCCTTCCAAGTCAAGACATCTACGACTCCTCAGCGCTTCGATGAATCTTTGGTAGAGCTTTCGGCCATCATGGCCGCACTGGCCAAGATCGTGTCGCCTAAGACTCCCCGTCTGAAAGAATTGGAGCTTGCAACCTTCATAGGCCAAGCTTTTGAGGCTCACAACTCCATCATCGACTGTGAGGCATACCCGGAAAGTTGGTTCAGTATCCACGTTTACAACCACCGTGCCGCTATCAAGGGTCTTGAACATCTAGCTCTCCTCTTGATTGAAAAATTCCTTCCTGCTCCCGACGATGCGGATACTTTTGATACAAAGCTTTGGGAGTCATTCTTCACTACATTGCTAAAGGTCATCTCTAGCGATGCTCTTGCTCTCGAGACTTTCCCTGAGCAGAAACGAAGAGCTGTTTGGAAGATTGCCGGTGATGTTCGTGAGCAGGGCGCTGATTTGTTGCACTCAACTTGGGAAGCCATCGGCTGGGAAACTACTGATGATGAGAGGGAACGCTATAATCTGAAGCGGATGGGTGGCTACCAGGTCCAGTATGTCCCCAACCTGGTGCCTCCGATCATTGGGCTATGTCTTAGTGTGCACGAGGGTCTGCGCCACGTTGCTGTTCATATTCTTCGAACAATGATCTTGAGCGAATGGGACCTGAACCAGGACATTTCCATTATCGAAACTGAAATTATTTCGAGCTTGGATTCCCTCTTCAAGTCCAAGCACATGAGTGAGAGTGTCAGCCAAAAGATATTCATTGGCGAACTGCTCGATCTCTTTGAGGCCGATGCCGCATCCGACGAGGACTTGTTTAACGCCGTCAAGGGCCTCATCTCAACCGTGGATGAGCTTCTTGATCTTTTGGTCGCTTCTCAGGGCAGCGCTGCAATCCAAAGTTTGCATGCACTGAAACTTATGGAGTACATGAAAGACATGGGCCGTGAGGATATCTTCATTCGTTACGTGCATGAACTGGCTGATGGTCAAGCCGCTGCTGGCAATCTCACTGAAGCTGGGCTGGCGCTTCAATTCCACGCCGATCTTTACGAATGGGATGCTGTGAAGCTCCTGCCGGAGACAATGACACCTGCTTTCCCAGCTCAAACCGCATTTGAACGAAAGGAAACTTTGTACTTTGCAATTATTCAGCACTTTGAAAATGCTATGGCCTGGGCACCTGCTTTGGCTTGCTACAAAGAACTCTCTGCCCAGTACGAAGCGACGACTATGGACTTTGCCAAGCTCTCTCGGGCGCAAAGCTCAATGGCTCGGATTTATGATCTTGTCGCTAAAGGCACGAAACAATTTCCGCGATACTTCCGTGTTGTCTACAAGGGCCTTGGTTTCCCGCCCGGACTGCGTGATAAGGAGTTTATCTTTGAGGGATCGCCAACAGAGCGCATGGCGTCGTTTGTCGACCGCATGCAGCGTGAACATCCCACTGCACAGATCATGTCCTCGGGTGAGATCCCTGATTACGAAGGCCAATTCCTTCAGATTAGTGGTGTCACCGCCCACCGTGAAGTTGCCCACCCCATTTACCAGCGTTCGAAGATTCCTCTCTCTGTCAGGGATCATCTTTTGATCTCTAACCCGGTCCGATTCGCTGCTACTTCAAGGAGGCACACCGGCAGCTCAGATGTCAAGGAACAATATGTCGAGAAGATACTCTTTACAACCTCAGACCCATTCCCCAATATTCTTCGGCGAAGTGAGATCGCATCAGCTCAAGAGATTGCCCTGTCTCCCCTGCAGACTGCTATTGAGCGCACATGTCGCAAGACCCAGGAGCTCCATCTCTTAGAACGACGTGCTGCTTCAGGCGAAGATCACGGCTTATCAAGTCTCACTGAAGCGTTGGAGCAGTTGCTGGACTCACGATCGGCATCGTCTAATTGCGTCGCTTCATACCGTGCCTTCCTTAAGGGTGCACAAGGCGCGAAGGACAAGCTCGACGAGGCAGATGAAGATGGCTTAGGTGATCAGGAGGATGAAGAAGAAGAACTTCCAGAGACTATAGATCCAATGGAGAATGCACTATCCATTGCATTGGTTGACCATGCACTTGCTATTAAGCATGCCTTGTCTCTCTACCAACGGCCTGCTCAACAAGCAACCCAGGCAGAACTTCTCCGACGCTTCGAGAATGTCTTTGAGCCCGAACTGGATTCTCTCATTTCATCACCGCCAGACATGAATAGCCCAACTCCTACTCAGACAGCTCGTCAGTCTCTCAACTCAGGAAGCCGCAGGAACCAGACTGGGCGGAGATCTATTAGTCCCGAACAGGAGCAGATTCGAGCTTCCCGCGCCAATGGCCACACTCACAAGCGATCCGAGCGTCAATCAGTCAGCCATCGTATTAGTGTCATGAATCCGTTCAAGCGTCATGGTGCTTCGAACTCCATCTTCACTCTCCAGCAACCAGAGCCCAAAGCTCGGAATGCCCAAGCAGAACAGGATGAAGTTGATGATGACGCAGCAACAATCCACAGTCGTACAACAACACATTCGCGTGGCGGAAAGAGTGACGCACGCCGAAGTTGGTTTGGAGGCGACAAGAAGCATGGCTCTTCTCCTTCAATTAGTGGGGTCGTTGACGAAAATGGCACGGCCTTGAAGAGCAGACCATCACGCAGCGCCTCCCGTGATACAGCCGCCCCATCCCATGATGGGCGTAGTCGTGCAGGCTCACAACATCGTGGCCCCACTTCCAGCGGTACTACTGGCACAACATCTGATCGGCCTGCACCTGCTGCGAGCGGCGGCTGGTCCACACTACCCTCTACACGCGATTACTCCCGTCCCGTGACGCGCGATAGTACTCACGGTCCACGCGAGTTGTCCGTGGTGAATACTAACAACACCCACGGCAGCAGCAATGGCGCCGGAACAAGCACTCGCGTCTCATCCACCCCTGCTGGGCCCAATGCAGGTGTACGTGACTCTGTCTTCCGACGATTCAGTCTTCTCAAGGGCGTTGGTCGCAAGACCAGCCGTTTGGAATTCAAAACCAACGGTACACTACAGGAGGAGTGATTGTCATTCCTTTTACGCATTCATTGATTTTAATCATTTTCTTTCCACCTTTCTTACACCATGTCTACTTTTCTTGATATTATTGACTACCCACTGGTTTATTACTTACTTACCCTCTGATCTACCTTCATTCTTTCTCTTACCCTTTTCATTCTTATTTCCATTATTCATCACCTGTGGACCGGGGAAATCTCTTTGTCAGTTTTTGGTGTTATGAGATAGATACCACTTGTTTAAGTCTCATCTCCGCATAGTCTACACAGCTTTCAAGTTTGATTTTTGTACAATACCAGCAGCCTTCGAATACCAAAATTCTTTTTTTTTTCTGATTCTCATTATGTATCCCTTGTGGCTGATGGATAACCTTGGAACCTGGGAACCTTGGAAGAGTAGCGATTTTCTCCTCTTCTCCAGGGCTTTCGGGACCATTTTCCCGGTGACCTTGGCACTTGGTGAGTGAGTGCTTATTGGCTTATCCACCAACCCCACCATGCTCCCCAGATCCATCCCCGCAAATTGCAATATCTCTCGCTTGACCATGACGCGCCCCGGATGGATACTTTACGGATACGAGTTCCTAGAAATTCCAATACCAGAACCAATATCAGTGGGTTTTAGCCATGGGGTCGACAAAGGGCCAAAACAAGCGCAAATATGTTACGATTGCTTGCGACACCTGCAGGGAGAGCAAAGTCAAGGTCGGAACCCATTTTCCATTCCGTGATGATACCTGGATGAACAAAACGATTAATACCAAACATTTGAAACACCATGAGATTCTGACTGCGAAGTACAGTGTGATGGTCTTCGACCTTCTTGCTCAAATTGCCGACATAAAATGAGGCCTTGCAACTATCAGGCTGCAGATAAACGAAAGTAGGCTTTTCGATCTCTAACTTACTTTCATATCGTTAACACGTCGATAGGATATCTTGGAAATCCGTGGTAGATCTCCTTACTAGCCGAGTAGATGAGCTCGTTCGGTTCATAATTGATCAAGGCCTGGCACCACCGTCAATGATTGATGACAACGAGCAAGCATTGAAAAATGCATTGGACGCCCTCGGACTTGATCATATCCAGAAAGCATTGGAGGGAGCCGGAACAAAGCAGAAATCCGCTTCTCTAAGCACGAAAAATGATGAATCAGAGCCCCTAGTTCTGCATGAAGAGGTTGTCGACAATGACCTAGAGATTGGGGAGCTGGAATCAGACATAAATTTGCTCATGGACCCGTTCATGATACTGGAAAACCAAACCCAGTACAATGCCCACTGTGAAGTGGTACCTTCACTAAATCATCCATCTGATGATTTATTTGAGCCATTTCGTGATAGCGACGCGGTCGTATTAGGCGTGGGAAAAAACAAGAACCACGATTACCCACCGCAACCTCATTTGGATGCTGCTCCCGCCAGCCAAAACCACTTTAACAAGAAAGAGAGCCCAGCAACCGACATCTATGATAACGATGGCACAGAAGATATTGTTGACCGGCTATCAGACCGTATGGGCAGTCTTCAAATTGGCACAGATGGTCAGATTCGATACTACGGACCCACATCTCACTTTAATCTCCTACGAATGCCCACTCCGGACAATTTGACCATTCACCGTACCATTCGTAAGGACGGGCAAGATCATCTCCGCCGGATGGGACTTGACAAAGAAGTTCCGCAGAGTATGGAGGAGCACTTAATCAACCAGTACTTCACTTGGCACAGTCCATCGGTCGATGTGGTGAATCGAGAGATGTACGAAACGGCAAAGCAGCAGTGGCAGGATCATATGGAAGAAACAACATATTACTCCGAGGCTCTAACAAACGCCATGTAAGTACAATGGAATCTGTAGAGGTCTTTTTTGTTTGCTTGCTTGGTTCTGATCACCCACCCCCAGTTGTTGCCTTGGTGCTGCATTCGAGCCTAGATACCACCCGAATTTTGTTACCTATCCAAGATCTGTATCCGACTTCTTTGCAGACCGAGCCAAAACTCTTCTTGATATTGAGCTTGACTCTCCCACTGTTGCGACTGTGCAGGCGATGGTAGTCTTAAGTGGGCATGATATTGGCTGCAAGCGAGATGCTCGGGGATGGCTATACAGTGGTAGGTAAAATTGCCGAATGATGTCGCTCTTTGTTGCTAACTATGCTTTAAATCTAGGAATGGCAATGCGCCTGGCATTTGATCTAGGGTTACATATTGACATGTCGTCTTATGTCGCGAATGGATCTATCAGCGAAGCTGAGGCTGAGGTGCGACGCATGGTATTCTGGGGTGCCTATACGCTAGACCAGTGAGTACCCAACCACTACAGTACTTGTGAAAAAGAATGATTTGATTGACTAGACATCTTACTACAGTCACTGGGGGTACTTTCTTGGCCGACCATTCCGAATGAACCTTGAAGATGTCACGGTCCAGAAACCCGGTTTGGAATCGAAACCGAATCACGTCCAGCGATGGTATCCGTATGGACTACCACATCCCACTAAATTCCCTCCTGGTTTATCGATAGCCAACTTTTCTTCATCACTGAGCCTGTATCGAATTGCACTTTGTGAAATCATGACACCGCTGGGTCATGTTCTATACGGATCTTCGAAGATCTCAAAAGAGGCTCTTCAAAAGCTAAATGCAGAAACCACCGACAGGCTCCTGCACTGGAAAGCCAATTTACCAAAGATCCTACTCATAGACACCGACGAATACGCCTCACCTCCTCTACCGCATGTGCTGATGCTACAGTATGCTTTCTGCCCCTGTACTTACTCCCCAAAACAACCACAATCTAACCTATCATCCATCTAGTCTATACTACCACCAAGCAATCATCCACGCCCACCGCCCATGGATGTCAAAGAGCTCAATCCAGCCCTTGCCACAGCAAGGCGCCGGTCACGCCCACGCCAGGAAGATGTGCGTCGAGTCTGGCACCGCAATAGCCAAACTGCTCCACCTCTACGAGCAATTCTACACATTCCGCCGCATGAACATTCAAGTAGTAGCGATCACTTGCTCAGCAGCCCTGATGCTTATTTTCGCCAAAGCCCTCCACCGCACGACGCAAGACGACGAAGCGACCGTGGCAGATCTGAACGTCTGCTTCCGCGCCCTGGAGGATTCCAGTTCGGCGTGGGAAAGTGCGAAGCGCGCTCAAAGCTTTCTTCTTCATATGCAGGGACTGTGGGATATACAGATTCGACCTTATCGGGCTGGTAAACGCGTGGGACCTCAGGGAGATTTCTTGAGGCCGAAACGTTCGCGCACTTCGGCTATGCCGTTGCCGAGTTTGGGGTCTGGGTCTGGGCGTGATGGAGGTGTGGAGGGTGGAGATGGGGATGTAGAGCGGGTTGAGTCTGAGTCTGAGGAGCTTGAATGGTTGTGGGCTGCTACTATGGGGGCTGTACCTGCTTCGCAATCAATGAATATTGCGTGAAGTGGTTCTTGTATTCCAGCAGACAAAGAAAATCAGCATGTGGTTTGAAGGGTCGCGTTCTCGCATTCTCGTTTGCTCGTTTTCTTCGCATTCTCGCATTCTCGTATTCTCGGTTTTCGCCGGTTTCTCGGTTTCCCGTATACATAATACTACCAAGACCTTCAACTTTCAATGCAAAGCTCCAAATTTAAACTCAATGGCTGTGAAAATATAATATCTGCCTAGCAACGACTTATAAGCTGGCCGATTGGCTCCAAAATCTTGAATATAATTGTTCATTATCACTTTCGCTACTCTAAACACGTTCTCAACCGCCTAACATGTCTGCTACCACTAGTGATGGCGGAATCGATTTCGCTCTTTATCGGTACACGCCGTCTTTACCAGCAGCAGTTGTATTTGCTGTGATTTTTCTCCTTCTTTCTATTTTCCATCTGATTCGACTGTTCAAAAATCGCACCTACCTCTTCATCCCGTTTATCGTGGGGCTATTATGTGAGACCCCCATACTTTGACACACCTGCCTTATACAAAGTCTCTCTCTGACGGGTATGACTTCATAGTCGAATGCGCCGGTTATATTGCTCGCATATTTTCGCATTTTGATACTCTGGCACTTGGGCCATACATCGTTCAGACAATGCTCATCTTGGTCGCCCCTCCGCTGTTCGCCGCCTCTATATACATGACTCTCGGCCGGATTATCGTCCGGCTCGGCGCCGAAGACAAATCCATCGTCCCGATTCGCTTTCTCACGAAAATATTTGTCGTTGGAGATGTGATATCATTCTTTATGCAGTGTGGAGGTACGTGAACAGCAACGCCTTTTTATCCTTATTGATGCCACTGCGTCAAAATATTGATTGTCAACAGGGGGCGGTTATATGGCCGCTGGAACAATCTCCGCTATGAAAATCGGTGCTGATGTTGTGGTCGGAGGCCTGGTGGTCCAACTTCTATTCTTCGGATTCTTCGTGATTGTCTCCGCCGTTTTTCATTGGCGTGTCAAGAAGCAGAAACGCACGTACATGCAAGTCTCAAGCAGTCAGTCGCAAGGCCCCGAAACTCGTATGACATGGGAAGCTGTGATGTGGGCGCTCTACGGCGCATGTCTTCTCATTCTGGTGCGATCTGTTTTTCGAGTTGTCGAATTCATCGAGGGGAACGATGGATTCATCATGCGAAGGGAGTATCTCTTGTACATTTTTGATGCGTGCCTAATGTCGCTGACGGGGATATTGTTCCTCATCGTTTACCCTGGCTCTTTCCTCCCCAAGGGTGGTAAGAGGGATAGCGAGCTTCAACTCATGTCTTCATAGCGACTGCCACATACTGAGAACAAGCTCAAGGTTTGGGATTATCAGTTGTGTTACATTATAGAGCAATGATTCGTCAATATGTATAAACAATGAACATTGCGATTGCGTCCCCTTATTTAATTTGAATAAATTGATTTCCATCAAGATCATAGAATTCTTCAGTAAATGTGATGTCCCTTGAGCTGATTTAATTAATACTCAAGTTAATGTAATTCAAATTGATTTCAAATGTTAGCAAAGGATTTTTTGGATATGTGTTATGTTAGGGTGGTTTAATAGAGTTCGTGGCAGAATTTCCTTTGGAGCCGCACTCTCCATCTACATTACCTCACCTTGACTTGCTGGAACCCTCAATTCCATTGAAAAAAACTGATTAACGCATTATGCATTGATCAAATATCTTGTGCGCAACCAGAAATTGATCGTGCTTGAACGCTTTTCTCAAAAACACCAAGCCCCCTTGCCATCCATGTCGAATCTGCCGACGCGCCCGAAGCGTCGGATCAGACACACCAAATCACGGAATGGTTGTTTTCCCTGCAAGAACCGGCGAGTAAAGGTATTGGGTCCTTACCAGTGCTATAAACGGCAAGGACTGATTGCGATAGTGCGACGAAGAACGTCCCATCTGCGGTGCCTGCTTCGTTAGAAATGATGAATGCACTTTTCCACCCCAGCAGGAGACACGTGATCGGACACGAAGACAAACACATTCTCGTCGTCATCCAACAAGACATGATGGGGCTGAGACGGACAATCCACCTGAAGCCATCTTTTATCCGTTAGATTTCAACATCCCTGACCCCAGGCCAGCAAATCCCGAGCTCAGCTCCAGTGATTTGAATATGCAGGACTTGAACCTCCTTCAACATTATATCTTGCATACTTCGAAAAATATCAGTTTAAATCCTCGCAAAACTCTTATCTGGGAGCGAGTGATCCCGGAAATGGCCGCTAATGACACCTTCCTGATGCATTTGCTTCTAGCGCTAGCTGGTCTGGATATTCTGACGGCCAAGAAGCCAGGCCAGCACGTTCCTATGAGTTCCGACTCAATCACGCTTCGAGCCCTAGTTGAGCATCATCAAAAGGGTCTGCGAGGTCTTCAAGAGAAATTTCATTCTATCGAGACGAGCGGTGAAGCGCTGTTTGCCGGGTCGATGCTAATTGTTGGCTTTGCATTCGGCTCACTTCGAGATGGAAATTTGAACGTTTCTACACGGCTACTTCAAGAAAGTTCTACAGAATACAACTCACCGGGTCCATTGATCTGCCCTGGTAAGCCTGGCATAGAATGGCTGCGACTTGTGCGTGGTGTCACCTCCCTGGCGGCGCATTCCTGGAAGACTCTCAAATTAAGCCGATTGAGACCTTTGTTGATATTCAACAACGCCAACGAGGATTGGAAGCTACTTGACCCAGATCATGTACCCACAACTGTCCCACCGGGACTCATGCGCTCGGCTAGTTTATCGGAATTTTCCCGCGGTGCGCCTCAGGCCATTTCGGAATTGAGAGGATTTTTGAGTGCCCTCAAAGCAACGATGCTTGGAGTTGACAATGACCTTCATCCATCGCCAATATCTGGTACTAGCTCTGCATTCGATGAAACTTCCCAGTTGCGTGACCTCTTTGAGGCACAGAGCCAGGCGATTGATGTGATCGAGAAAATGTATTTGCGGATCAAATACGTGCTCCAGCTTCAACAGATTGAGGCATGTCCAACGTATCGCGAAGTTCAGGCTGAGATTGAAGACGCGGCTATTGCATCATGGCCAACCCTTGTGCCCGAAATATTTATTTCATCACTGGATTCGTCAGATGATAGACCAGACATACCCGTTGGCTTTTCATTCGTTGTTCTTACGCATTTGTACTTGCTTCTTACATTATTGGATGATTTGTGGTATCTTGGGGAAAACTTTGGCGCCGAGATCAAAAAGATTAATAGTTTAGTTACCGATATTGGGAATCCTGAGCTTTCTAAATTGATGGAGTGGCCGATGGATGTCGTGAGACTCCAGGCTGAATGAAGGCCATACATGAATGACAATTCGATGTTGAATTCTCTTCAACCCTTCAAACACGCTCAACTTGCTCCTCTGTAGGATCATTCTCTTTCTTAATGTCATGCAACTCGAATTCGAACTGGCTGGTATCTGTTTTCGCAAAGTCCCGAGCTGGAACCTGATGCTCAAAGAGGAGATCGATCTCTGCAAATGATCTTCCGGCAGTCTCTGTTTTTTCTTTATTAGATGGGGCCATTTGCAAATTCCGAAAGAATATGAAGTAACTTACCAGGGAGACGGAAATATGTCCAAGTAATCAAAATCAAACAAGATCCAGCCCAAAAGAAGCCTGACTTTGCACCCCAATTCCACGCCTCAGCACTGATCATCTTGGGGACCAGGATATTGGTGATGATAAAGAACTAGCTCGCAGATAAAAGTCAGTAACTTGAAAGAATTCATTGGTCAAGTGATGGGATCTTACCAAGTTGTAAGCGTTTCGCGCAAGTCCCATAGACATGATCTTCAGGCGAGTAGAAGGGATCTCTGAGACGATGGCGAAGCAAACTGGGCCAACTGTAATATCATATATGAAGGCCAGCACAAGGAGGAGGCATCCAATGGCCCAGCTAACACCAGTTCCTTGATTTACAGTTCCCAAGGCACCAATCACGACCAAACAAGCGAACATTCCTGCAAGTCCAGCGAGGTAGAGAGTGCGACGTCCGATCCAGTCCAAGAAGAACCAAGAACCTAGAAAATAACTGATTAGCTTGTAGCTTGAAACAATGTCATCTAAATATCCAAAATAGCAGTTTCACGTACCAACTGTACCAATCCAACCAAGACCGAAAATACCAATATTGAAAGAGAAGCTATCAGTTTGACTGATGCCTGCACGCTCCAAGAAGACTACAGCGTACGCCACGAGACCAAAACCAGAAATAGTCTGGATAATCCAGGCCATGATCACGATTTCAGTTCGACGAATGTTGACTCCCTTAAAGCAATCTACCAAACTTCCGGCATTATTTGACAGAATTATTTCCTGTTCATTAGTGGCCTGAATGATTGAGATTTCTCGATCAATGTCAATTGGAATGCCACAGTTGGGAGATGTCAATCGACGGATTGATCTCTTTGCATCTTCCACACGCCCACGGCGTACCAACCACCATGGTGATTCGGGTGCGAAAATCGTGAAAATAATGATAGGTAGAGGCCATGCCCATTGAAGGCCTAATGGCAGCCGGTAGGACCATTGGTCAGTTCGAGTGGAAAATGCCCGGATAACGCCAGCTGCGATTAACTGGCCCGTTACGAGACAGAGATTGATGCTGGTCGTCATGTAGCCGCGGAGAGAGATGGGGATGACTTCGGCGATATAGGTAAGTGGAAGAGTTTGAAATACGCCCCTGTTTAATTTAATAGAAGTTTGTTAGTCTGGTATGAATAAGAAAGAGCTTGTTGAAGTGGAGGTAAACAAACCAAGGAATTCCGATGAGAACCGCACCCGCTGCGATAGTTTCGATATTTTGCGCAAAGAATGTCACGCAAATAAAGGCACACATCAATACCAAAGATCCAATGAGGGTGTTTTTATAACCAAGTCGCTCGGCAAGCATGCTGTTAAGTGTGAGACCGATTATACAACCAGCCTGTCATCATATCAATATTGGTTCATAGCCAAATGATATGAAGGTAAAAAAAATAAACTGGACACTTACCAAGCCTCCACAACTTATACCGGATTGCCATGCCGCCGTGATCACTTTCGTGCCACCTATACCAGGGCTTCCATATCTATTGCTTCATTGTTAGATAGATAAAGCCAAAGTTGAAGAGCTTCAACGCACTTGTCTGCAAATTCACCCAGCCCAAAGAAGCTTCCAAGTAAAATAACATCGTAGCCCTCCATGATAGGGCCTAGGGATATAGCAAGAGACCAGAGAATGGCCTTCTTGTATAACTTGACAGCATCCTTCACAGGGATGTTGATCGAGTCATAAGTCCCGTCCGGAGACCCTGCCGGCGCACCCACCGGCGCACCGTCCATCCCAGAGGCATTGGTCATCTTGAAAGGCAAGAGACGGTGGAGGATTACCTCTTCTCGCGAATATAAGAAATGATAGACGAGAGATTTTAATTTGATGGAGATGGAAGAGCCCGAGGATGGAACCAGTCCATGTTGATATAGAAAATGACCGCCATAGTTCGAAATGGCCCGAGAACAATGAACACGAGCTTGGGCGCCATCCTCGCGTATTTTGCCCCATATTTACTTATACTTTCCCCGCATTTCTCTAGCTTCGTCCATGTGGCCGTGTTTCTCCACCATCTTTAGCTTCATCCGCATTGAATCTGTTCTGTATGTAGTGTGATCCGCGGACATATCAACAAAACATGTGCCGAGAGCGAGATGCGGGACCTGTCGGGAGCGGGGGTGGGGAATCGAGAGACGAATCAGATCTGCCAGAATCAAACATCAACTTCATTCTCTCCGATGCACGGATCACCTACCCCGTACTCGGTCTTCCGGTGTCCAGGAAGACTCGGAGCTTCCAAGTTCCGGCTAAACTTCGGGAATCGTGGATTTAAGATGTGAATTCTCCTGATGTCCATGCTTACTTCCGAACGAATCCGGACTTTCAAACCTAACCCATATAACAATTTGACAAGCCCCGGTTATTTATTAATTCAAATAACTCCTTTTTGGATTCCCAAATACCCACGACGCACATATCTTCAAGAGTCAAGAGTCAAGAGTCAATCTCCAAATCCATAATCTTCACTGCATTTGCGAGAATGAACTCTGCCACAGATGGAGAGGCTCAGGCCCTCTACCGTGATAGCTCCAAGTCAATCGATGACCGAGTCGCAGATCTGCTGAGCCGCATGACTCTAGCCGAAAAGGCCGGCCAACTATTCCACAACATGCTGTTGTCCGGCCCCGAGGGCACCCTTGCGCCAGCAACGCCTGCTTTCGGACTGGAAGGCACCGAGCAGCTTTTATCCGAAAAATTCATGAGCCATTTCAATCTCCTGGGCCAAATCCATAATCCAGCGAATACCGCCAAATGGCAAAATGCCCTCCAAGAACATGCCATCAAGCACACCCGCTTAGGAATCCCCATCACCATCTCCACAGATCCGCGCAACCATTTTACCCACAACATCGGCACTGCGTTCAACGCCGGCTCCATGAGCTTATGGCCCGAGACGCTCGGCTTTGCAGCCCTCCGTGACGTGGGTCTCGTTGAGCGATTTGCCGATATCGCCAGACAAGAATACGTTGCCATGGGCTTGCGCGTCTCGCTCCACCCGCAGGTCGATCTGGCAACGGAGTACCGCTGGGCGCGTATCGCTAACACCTTTGGTGAAGATGCGGATTTGTCAGGCGAAATGGTCCAGGCTTATATTCGCGGTTTCCAGGGGGGCAAGGATATTGGTTCGGGTAGTGTCTCTACTATGACGAAGCATTTCCCCGGCGGGGGGCCGCAGATGAATGGAGAGGATCCTCATTTTGCCTATGGGCGCGAACAAGTTTACCCCGGAGATAATATCGAGTATCACCTCAAGCCCTTCCGGAAGGCTATCGAGGCCGGCACACGCTTTATGATGCCTTATTACGGCATGCCGGTAGGCACTGAGTGGGAGGAAGTGGGGTTTGCGTTCAACAAAGCTGTTATATCGGGTCTCTTGCGGGAGAAGCTTGGCTTTGACGGTATCATCTGTACGGACTGGGGTCTTATCACAGACGCTAAGATTCTTGGTCAGGATATGCCGGCCCGAGCTTGGGGCTGTGAGGGGTTGACTGAGCTTGAGCGGGCGAAGAAGATTCTCGATGCGGGCTGCGATCAATTTGGTGGAGAGTCGCGCACCGATTTAATAATTCAACTGGTCGAGGAAAATCTGATTTCCGAATCTCGCATTGATCAGTCGGTCGCTCGCATTTTGCGCGAGAAATTCCTACTCGGTCTTTTCGAGAATCCGTTCGTTGATGTTGAGCGGGCTGGGGAAATTGTTGGACAGCCTGGATGGAAGAAAGAAGGAGAGTCGGCCCAAAGACGTGCCTTTACACTCCTTCAAAATTCAGGAGGCATTCTTCCCCTGAGGAAGGAATACAAGAAGGTTTATGTGGAAGGTATCAGCGAGGAAGCTTTCAAGGAGCGGGGGCTTGAATCGGTTCCCCTGGAGGAAGCCGAGGTTGCTTTCTTGCGTCTACAGTGCCCTTACGAGCCTCGTCCTGGTGGATTCGAGGCGCATTTCCATGCCGGATCATTGGCTTTCTCTGAGGAAGAACAAGCTCGACTGGCGAAGATATTTTCCCAGGTCCCTGTATCTATTGTTGATGTCTATCTCGATCGCCCAGCGGTAATTCCCGAGATCGCAGACCAAGCAACTGCCTTGCTGGTAAGCTATGGTAGCAGTGAGAGTGCTTTCCTCGATGTCATCTTTGGAGACGCTCATCCGGAAGGCAAGCTTCCGTTTGATCTTCCTAGCAGCATGGAGGCAGTTGAGAAAAGCAAGGAAGACCTTCCTTTTGACACAGAACGCCCTCTTTTCAAGTTTGGTCATGGCTTGAGATATTAAGATAGAGACTCGCTTTGATTTTTTTTTGGTGTCAACCAGCATTAGCGGCGACCGATTCAGATAAGAAGGGATATTTTAATAGACCATGCGATCCAATATATAAGCCTGGGAATAAAAAACATGAATCACCAGTACATACGAAAAAGCAGCTTCCGTCCCCAATAAAATGGATGCCTAGCCTCCCTTTGGCAGAAAAAGAGGTCATGTGAGTTTTTAGTAAGAAGAAGGGACTTGAGGATGGACTTGAGGATGGACTTGAGATGGGACTTGAGATGGGACTTGATATGGGACTTGAGATGGGACTTGAGATGGCACTTGAGATGGGATTATAGCTGAACGAAGTGAAGCTATCTATGGGATTCGTGAACGTGATTTAGCAGCTAGGTGTGTGTACTTACTATTCAGCGAGTCAGCGACCGACGGCGGAAAAAAGGTCTGGACATGTGGACCTCAAGAGACAAGAGTTTACACTTGAGAGCCAGAGGAACATGTGGATAGCGTAGAATACAAGGCGAAGACGGATGCTTGGAATGGTGATGCATGTGGGAAGTCAGTTCGACTAGAGTTGACGGGCGCACCGTCCATCCCAGAGGCATTGGTCATCTTGAAAGGCAGCGGTCGGTCTTGGCCAAAATAAGGCCCTCGCCTGGCCCAGCAAGAAGAGCAAAAAGGAAGCAATTGAAAAAGGGGCTTCACTTCAACAGCTTCAACAGTCGGGCGGGCTATTCTCATTGGCAAATATATCCGCGGACTTTTGGGGGGATGCAGGCCTTGCCTTTCCCCGAACTGCCAAACTTTCATGCCGGCTTGGGTGCCTATCCAGGGACTGTTTCTTTATCCCAAACGGTATGAGGTTTTCGACTGACTTGACTATCTTGGATGGTGATGGTGTTTTTTCTTATTGAAAGAAAAAGTTTTCATCGTACTTCAACTCCTTCATTGGGGAAGGGGGATTAGATGGTACGGTCACAGAATCTCTATCATCCTCCTCCTCGCTGTCCTCATCATCATCAGCCTCTTGCATTGCAGCAATGCGAGAAAGATGCCATTGGAATTCTAACAACTCCATTGAGGGTATGGGTCGAAGCTGGGGGTCGTCCGTCGTGATGGTGAAAATGTGACCAGATTTGATCATAGTCATAGTTTCAACATCCCACAAATGGTGGTTTTTACTGGGACTTCCATCAGTATCCCTTCAAATGTTAGGAATTCAGGATATGGGTGGCTTGATGTTTGTAGAAGACGTCTTGAAATAACTGCAGATGGCGCCAATGGCAGCCAATGAAACCCGATCTTGAGTTCTGTGCGCTCTTTGTTTACCTCAATGGGTCTCAATGCGAAAACACAGTTATCCCAATATGTATAGGCAAGCGAGTTCATTGTAAGCAGGTTGTATACATTCTCTGTGCTGAAAATGTTTTTGCTAGCCATTATCTTTCGCTCCCACTCCTTCACCTTTTGGGGACCCCAAAATAGTTCTAGCAGACGCCAAGCATCCTCCCGGCTAGTCTTATTACTGCCGTTTATTTTGAATGGCATAATGTGGGCCACATCGATACCAGGCGCATCGTGTTTGGTTAATACACATTTTCCATGATCGCGTCTGAGTGCCATAGCTCTGGCTGTCTCAAGTCGTCTTGTTGGGCTGGTACTGGTGTTCTCGGATGAGGGTATTGGGATCAATGAACCGGGTTTCTTTTGGGGAGAGCTTGGGCGAGCTCTTTTCAGGGTATGGGATGTTGATGAGGTACTGGTTGGTATGGTTGAAGGCGGAGTCTTGGTCATATGAACTTCATCAATAGATGAAGTATATATAATAAATACAATATGGGCAAGAAACAGTACGGTGAAGTTAGAAATTGAAATTGGGTTATGGCAGTAAGGTGGCGGTTATCGGCCCCTGTACTTCAGTTCCAAGGTTTCTGCCATAACACAGCACAGAGACCGAGCACGACTGCGACCCCGGTCAACAAAATAGGCATTTTTCCACTCGAATTATCGCCTTTAGCCACATCTGTGTCTCGTGCAGGCAACGGCAGATAGTGCAGCCACGGACCACCTTGTGAGAAGCTGGCATAGAGCATGGCTTTCAGTTTATCACTGACCCATGGGACAATGTTTTGGGCTGCGAATTTCAAAATCCAGCTATCTTCCGCTTCGTATCGTGTGATCTGACCGGAAATATCGACGACGGTCTTTGCTCGAGGCATTTGACCAGCAATATATTGGTTGAAGACCTCGGTCAACTGTTCCGCTGATGGGATGGGGCTCTCTTTCAATAGAGGTACGAGGCCATTCGTGAGACGAGCAATACCTTCGTATGCCAGGTTGCCACCTAGCCCGGGGTTGATTGTGGCCTGTTGAGAGTAGTGGTGTTAGTTATGCGCGGTCGTTGGACCTCAAGGTCAACTATGACTGGAATCCGAACCTTGTGAACCGAGTCTCCCATCAAAACCACACGGTTGTGGCTCCACTGTTTAATCACGCCTTCTTCCAACGGGACCATTGTTGATTTTACGCGGGCATCCCAGAGGTCTTTCACGGTGTATGTCGGACCGAGTGTAGAGCTGCCATACTTTTGGATATATGCCTCTGCATCCGCATCTGTGAACCGTGTACAGTTGGGGGTCTTCGTGGCTTTCGAGTTCTTGACGAATAGGAACCAAAAAACGAGCCCGGGCACGCCAGCTGCTGCAATCGCAGAGTATTCCTTGTAGTACACATTGTGAACCATTCCATCAGGCAAGAACTGGTTCTCAGGATCGTTCCTGGAAACAGCAAAGATGCAGTTATACTCGCTGGTGAAGGCTGTATTCCACAGATGCTTCTGTTAGACACATATTCATGGTATGTTGGAAGCGAAAACGGGAAACGAGGGAGACAGACCCTCGTTGATTTCTCGGGCTAGAGATTGATCCTTCACGCTGATTTTCTCGGCCATCAACTTCCTGACTTTGCTGTGGATGCCGTCCGCGCCGATGAGGATGTGCCCAGAGTGCTGCTCGCCATCCTCCGTTGTCACAATGACCCCGTCGGCGGTTTCTTCGTATCCAATGACGGCAGTCTGAGCATGCAGCTTCGATTTATCTTTAACGTGGCTATGGAGGATTTCTAAGGCTTTGCATCGTTCCATGAAAATGATGGGACGCTGCAGACTAAACGGTACCGGACAAATGATCAGATTAGCGAATTCCCGCCATTCAGGATACTTTTCATCCACCTTCAAGAGGGTTGAAAAATATCAGTTATTTTTGACAACCACCTACATTTCATTGATCTCAACTAGAACTTGAGACTTCTCGAAGCACCGACCATTGTTGTCGTAATGTTCTCGGTTCTGCAAGGGTACGACTTGTTTTTCAATATCTCCCCACACTCCTAACTGCTCTAGAATCCGAATAGAATGCGGATGAAGTCCGATCGAGGCTCCCAATTGCGGTGCAAAGTTTCCCTTTTCAAAAAGCTCGTAATCGATCCCAGCGCGCTCGAACGCTAGAGCCAAGCCGAGACCCACGAGACTCCCGCCGGCAATGAGCACCTTGAATTGACTCGGATCCTGGTTTGACGCCATGACTCCAATGGAAGCGGACGAGTTTCTAGAAAGATTTTTGAAACGATACCCCCGTACCCTGTACGCCGTGCAGGTTGGTGAAACGATTTATTTGTTTATGCTAGAATTTCATCATGCTATGTATGTCACGAGCCCCTATTAATACAGACACATGCTGCCCGGGTATCTTGTGTTTTTTTTTATGAAAATTTTATGAAAGTTTTTGAATTTTCCCCCCTTCTCCATACTACTTTCACTAATGCGGTATAGCTTGAGCTGTCTAGGATAAAAAAGAAATCGAGAAGACGCGGCATCTGCGATAGGCGGTGTGAACTACTCAGTCTCTGATTTAAGAATCATCTCAGCTTTTCTTTTATACAACGTCAATTGATGGTCAAGATCCGAGCTTTCTATTTGACTGGGTAAATACTACGGTCAACGGAGCACGCCCACATTCTTGATACTCCATGAAAATGCCTTCAAATGTTTGGCTGTGGATTTCTCTGGGATGAAACGGATTCTACACGGGGTCCACTTATTTTGACACTCCACATTGAAGACGAAAGGAGGAATAGGAGGCTAGAGACCCGCTATATGTCGGACACGGGCCGGTTCAGCCCGACCTTTGAATGTCAAAACCGTTGCCGGAGATTGTCCTTGTGCTATTCGAAGGTTTGGATCTATGCTCAACTTAGCTATTCCAGGAGTAAAAGTTCATTTTATGTTTCATGGTGTCCAAGATTATACCACAGTATACGAGTTCAACCCGTCAGGTCCACCTCAATGTCAATACAAGATTCAATGTTAGCATGAAATGTACTCCGTAGTCCGTACGGAGAACTGTAGCTCTTAATTTTGTTTCAAATATTGGGAAGTCACAACACATGGTTTCCGGGAGGTAATTGTGGACTTTGGGGAATGCGAAGTACTTATGCATAATATGCTGTGGAGTCCGGCATTCACACTTTATGTAACTCTATACACTAATGCAAGATTACTAGTCAACTTTCAAGGGGCAAATTTGATGGGGTTGATAGCCCACGGCTTTTACCGAACCTGGTTAACTTGCTATACTGAACATGGAATAGTCAACTTGGTCTATTTCAGAAACAATGGCCAGACTACGATAGATCTAACAATGACCCCACATGCGTAAATCAGGATTCGTCAAAAGAAGCTGAAATGACTGGTAGCTTTTTTAGCATTTTGGTTGAAGGATCGACCCGAGAAAACTTTTTTTGGGCAGATGTAGTCCGTGGAAAAGAGAAGAGTGGGAGTTTTAGGGGGGGTTGAGCTATTTGCAATCGTTCAATTCTTATTCTCCCTTTCCTGATTTCATCTCGCGCGTCCCTCCACCCCCACACTGTGCGGCCCCGAATTGCTTGAATCAACCAGCATGCAGTGAGAATTTGGCCTCTGCAGCTGTGATGACGAGTCTCACGCCAGCCGAGCAGTACGTACAGTCGCTCACGTATGGACTGATTATTGGTACCGGAATTCTCTCCATCCTTGTTTGCAGCCTGAGAGTAAGTTCTACCCAGATCCCCAGGAGCTCGAGAAGACCTTGCCGTCTGTGAGCAACTGGCTAATTCCCCCAACAGCTGTACGCAAGAGCCTTCGTTATCAAGATTTGGGGTTTGGATGACACGGCCGTTTGCATCGCATTGGTATGTTTAAATCATTCAACTTTTCCTCTTCATTGAACACCAAGGACCTGCAATTAACAATTGGAGGTTTCAGGTCATCACACAAATATTTAATGGATTGGGAGTTGCGGTCGTTTATTATGGCGAGGGGCAGCACTATGAAAATGTCTCTGTGGAGAATCGAGCAACTTGGCTGAAGGTATGATGAAATGTCTACTCTTTCATACAAATTTCTAACATCAACCTTGTAGCTCTATTATGCGGCAATGTGTGTATATCTCTATGCCTCATTATCAGTGAAAATCAGCTTGTTACTATTTCTTCAGCGCATCTTCGTTAAAGGTCAGTTGTTTCTCGAAAAATGGAATACTACAATGAACTGCGGAAACTGACTGAAATCTTTCCTATGTCCAGTCTGGATGTATTGGCTCACTATAGGATTGATGATCTTCCAAGTTTGCTTCTCTGTCTCTGGCTCGTTCGTTCTAGCTTTCCAATGCAACCCAGCAAGGTACAAAGCTCTTGTCCCGGATCAATCCAGTCTATTTATACTGACTGACTTCAAATAGGGGTGCTTTTGACACATCCGTCACGGATGCTAAATGTTATTCTCAGTTCAAATTATACCAAATCACTTTATACCAAGCGGTGCTTATCTTCGTCGCGGATGTCGTCATCCTGATTGCCCCAATGGCGATTCTGAGCAGGTTGAACATGCCAACGAGGAAAATCGTCGCTTTGATGGCAATCTTCGGAACAGGTGACCAACCCCAGTCCCCATTGAAAAAGTCTCATTCCTACTAACTAATTTCTTGTAGGTATCATAGCCTGTATCGCGCCAATTGTGCGCTTCAGTACACTAGACTATCTACGTTACGGCACGACAGATCTCACTTGTAAGACTACCTATGCTATAAATCAAAGCACGACTCTTTCCTTTCAAGGCGGGTTCATACTAACTCTCTCCCATAGACAAATCGGCACCATCCCTATACTGGATGGCTATTGAATTCAACATGGGTCTTGTCGCCGGCTCTCTTTCCTCTCTGCGCCCCTTGCCGTTCTTTCGCCGCTTTGGCTCGAGTGCAAACTCTCGCAACAAAACCTCGTCGGCTGGCATATCCCACGAACTCTACGATAGGAAGAGTAGTAACCTCAGGGGCAGTGCGAAGAAGGACAGCTTCGGCATGACCACGACAATCTTGGCGGACACTGTGAACGAGAGCCAAGAACGAATTGTCAACATGTCGAGGGGGGATTCCTCCTCCTCGCACCAGCATGTTTAGTCTCGGACTCTTTGAAATTATACGATATAGGGAACGGAGTTCCTTTAATAGGAGGAGATACTCGTACAGCAAAGAAGAACGGGCAATGACTTGTATGACTCAACTGTAGAAAGAGGATGTCAGCTACCCCGCGGCTGGACCTACCGAACACTCGGATGCCTATGCCGACACTACAACCTTTAAATTAAGCAACCTTCGATATCGCCCATTCCTGCAATTCCATTCTTACTCAAATTTGCTTTACACATTCACGTAAATACTGAAAATACCCATATGCACAAAATTACCTTCAAGATGGCAACAGACTCAGAAAAGACAGTCGCGTTCATTGGATGCGGTAGGTGATCGCTGATCCCCTCGGGCCTCATTCCTTTCCCCTCCACGATAGAATTCATAGACTGACGAACACTAGGAAATATGGGAGGCGCAATTCTCAAAGGAGTCCTCGATGCCGCATTCAAATCGTCCCCTGAGTCCACGACGCAATCACGACCAATTTCCAAGTTTATCGCCTGCACCAAAACTGCGGGGTCGGCTGAGCGTCTTCAGGCCGATCTGCCAGAGGAACATCAATCTCGAGTTAAGGTTGTTTCCGGAGCAATTGTCGAGAGTATGAACGAAGCCGATGTCATTGTTCTCGGATTCAAACCATTTATGGCCAACGATGTTCTCAGTATGAAGGGCGTGAAGAGAGCGCTTTCTAACAAGCTGGTCATCAGCCTACTAGCCGGCCAGACGCCCAAAAACCTTGTCGAAATTATTCAGGGCTCAGAAGAAAGTTCAACTGCGCCTCCGGTGGTGGTCCAAGTGATCCCGAATATGGGTGCAGAGTTCCGCCAGTCAATGACCATCATCCGGACCCCCGAAACTCCTCTACCTGTTGAGATGAAGGATATTTTGGAATGGATCTTTAACCAAGTTGGCTGGATCAAATATCTTCCAGATAATCAGATGGACGTCGGCTCTGTCCTTGTCGGTGCAGCTTTGGCTACGCTGACAGTGCCAATTGAGGGAATCTTGGATGGATGCGTGGCTGAGGGTATTAAGCGTCCCGATGCAATGGAGATGGTCTTGCGCGGTATCCGAGGGTTGTCTGCTGCCCTAGAGGCGGGGATACACCCTGCTGTTCTGCGTGAAAGCATTTCTTCACCACGTGGATGTACGATCCAGGCACTTTTGGCCCTTGAGAGAGCGGGGAGCAGGGCAGACTATGCAGATGCGATTATTAAGGGAACTCAGCATTTGAAGAAATAAGTTGGAAGGAGAAGAAAATCAGGTGAATAGTTAAAAGTCGACAAATTTAGAGACTTGAATAGATCAAAGAGATACAGCCAGTGTATATAAATGACAAATGCCCCCAGGGCCAATGAAATAAAATAAAGATGCAGTTCTCCACGCAACTAGCGGAAACCGTTGATTTGATAATCTAACTGAAAAGGCTAAGCCCAAATGTCACGTTCATCTTGGACCAAGTCATCTTCATTCAAGGCACGAAGGCTGGTGCCTTTCTCTTCACGCTTCCTTTGGCGCCTAGTCACTGTTCGTCCTGGAGTAAAAGGGGTCACAGGGGTAAAAGGCATGTAAGGACTATAAGGCGTAGGCATGCCAGTGATAGGTCCGTTCTTCTTGGCGGGCCGCTCCAGGAAAGTTGTCTTCGTCGCCGGTGCACTCTGCTGGGGATAGGCCTGGCGGAATGGCAACGATGAAGATGGAGAAGGGTCTTGTGTAGGGGTAGTCAGACTAAGCGGAGCAGGAACACGTCCGCGAGTCGGAGGAGCCATGACTGGTCTGATTGCCGGTCCTGCCCGGGGTGCACTCGGAGGGGGGCCAGGAGTGTAAAATCTCGGGGACATGGGCGGATGTTCCTGGTTGAAGGACTGGCTTGCCTGGACATTTGGCGAGGCCAAAGGAGATGAGATGCCCAGCTTTCGAATAGGGAACTTTGGAGACTTGAGCTTTCCTGCGTCAAGATTGGAAGGGGTTGCTGATTTCGAGCTGAATAACTTGGACAGTCGGTTGGAATGTCTTGGGGATTCCGGGGGCACCGTTGGTGCCGATACCGAGACTTGCGAGGCTGCACGGTCGGTGAAGGGATTGGTGTATTGGCTGTCCGGTGAATGGGTCAGCGAGTCCGAGTCCCTCGTGGGCGCAACATTGACGCCAGCAGCCTTCTGGGCATCATGCTCCATGACCGCTGCATATAATCTTTCCATCTCATCCTCGGCCCTCTGCCGATCGGAAGCAACAACGGATTCATCCACGGTAACCATACTGCCGTTGATAGAGGTCTGTGAAGGTCGACCTCCTCTGGGAATGCTGCCCCAAGAGGCAAAGGCACTTGACCGGGTAGTGGGGCTAGGGAGGTTGTGTGTAACGGGAGTAATGGGGCTTGGATCGATGCTGTCTGGAGGTCTCAGAGGCTTCAGCATTTCCATATGAAGCGAGTATTGAGATGACTGAACTGTCCGACGCAGTCGTCGCCCAACGAACAAGACCAGTGCTAGCAGGAAGGCAACAAAGATCACGTAGGATGCAACGATGCTCCCCACCTGGATGACAAGTAGAGGCTTATCCAGAGCAGGACGTGATTCCGCACTTCTTGACCCCAGGCGATATTTTCCTACCGCAGCAGACACTGGACTCATATGCAGGATGAAGAGGGAAAACACAGAGGAAAACGAGGCAACCGGAGGAGTCATCGCCAGTTCCTGTGACAGGGTAGTGCAGCGGGGAAGAGTGAAATGAGCTCAATTTTTAAGTGCAAGCACAGTCACTTTTGTCTGATCGGCATGCCGCCGCGTGGGAATAGCGAATCTGGAGTGAGAGAGGATCACATAGTGTTCCAGGAAGTGATGACACGGCAGGGGAGGGGGGGTATTTCGTATTAAAACGTGAGCCATCAAGTGTGATGGGATGAAGAGCAGTTTTGGGGCTGCAGGTGAAAATGCGATGGGATACAGTCTCGTCTGGCCCTGTCGTTGGTCGTCAATACGCGCCGTCATGCACGATAATCACTCGGCGGGGAGCCAATCAACGGTCGTAGATGGATGTGATGAAGAACTTCTGCACTTACCCAACGTGGACGAATGTGGATCCTCAGGTGTCCACTGCCACCAATCAGCAGATGCATGTATACTACATCCCTGTAGTAGCTTACAAGCACTGCTTCTAATATTTATACCAGTGCTAACTACTATCTTAAAGTATCTTGAGATGTTGGGAATGTTTGGAATGACAGCCTCATGTAGTAGAAGCTAACACTGTAGCATCGCTCCTTCCTATACCAGTAGATGCCAATGTAGCTCCGTTCCTTCCTGTTACGCAAAAGTGGTGATGTCCAACTCAATATTGGAGAAAACAGTGCATCTATTCTCGCTCTCTCTTCTACTCCACATCCATTCACGTCTATCTACATCTATCCACATTTTATCTTCATTCTTGTCCCTGACTTTATCCTCATGGGAAATAACGTCTCATCAGTCACAGGGGTCAAATCACCCAATTTCTACGAACAAGGCAACGGAATCAACGAGATCTGGGTCAAAGACCTCGAAGTGGTGTCCAGGTTGCCCTTCGGAGATTCAGATCTGGGTCAGGCCGGCTGGCCTGTTGGAGGTTGGCCCAAAATCCCCTGGCATCAATTCATCATTCCGTTGAAGCGTGATCTTGCGGGAAACATCCAAAACAACTTTAACGAAACGATGGAATACGCAGAGATGGACTACTGCATACCACAGGACAACGCCTGTCACTGCCTGCCGAAATTTACTGAGGTCGGATATATGGGAATGTACCACAACTGGGATATCAAACACGCTGCGTGGTTCTCAACAATTTTGATGCTCGCGGGGCATGTGACTTTGTATTTGCTTCAAAATTCGATGCAGTGGAATGTTGTTTGCTTGAAACTTCATGCGCTTTACCCAAGTCCTGCTGAATATAGCACATACTTGGACTGCCTTCGTACAGGTCGACTCGATCCCCCTACAGGTCGACTCGATCCCCCCAATCGCATTCCAAGGTGGCGTCACCTGAAATCGTGGCTTTGGCGGTTTTGCTTGCGCAAGTTCCTCATGCTTGTCTTTGGCACAATCTGCGTGGTATTCGCCATCCCAGGTTTAGCATTTGCCTTTAAAGCGTATACAGGCCCTCAGGTGCTCGTGATCATCCTCGTATATGTTGCATGTATGTTGGGGCAACTGGCTGTGATGGTATTCGGCAGACTGATGGCAGAATTCTACTGGCATTTTCGCTTTGAAAAGTGGACTGACAGTGTTGACCCGGAGGTCGAAGGCGCAGTAGCCGTGGAAAGCTCCCAACATCCTACCGTGACTCCTTTGGTGGTCCTTGTCGACAACAATACCCTGCCCACCAACACCAACACTCAAGAGGCGAAAGCGGAGCTATGAGATCCTCCGTACATCAGCATGCCTTGCTCATCCGAGGGAGGCTATGATTTTTTGAAGTCGTCCATCGATACAGGAATTCGATTCGATTGCATTTTTACAGCAGCCTGGATGAGGCAATTTTTGTTGGGTATATTCGGCGATGCCCATAATTTGAAATCGGACGCAGGTCATGTATACTATTCTTAATTCATCCCAGTCCTTGAAAGCTTTGATGCTATGCTATAATTGAAATCGCGATGTTTCAACCACTTCAGTCCCGGGTATGTTTGTACGTTTACTATATTCTAGCAGCGTTACTTGTTAGAAAACATATCCCGCCACATTTCCTTCCAGCCGTATGCTTTGCTTTTGTCCTCTTCAGACACACGTACCGACGGTCCAGAACCAAGAGACCCAAAGGCACTGGCTGAGGCCCCAATCGGCGAGCTTGAGCCACGGGCGCGTTCTGTTGCTCGTCGCCGTATTTCTTCAGCAAGCCCAGGCGCAACATCTGCAAAGCAGGACTTCAACTCTCGCTCGAGATTGGTATAAGGTTTTTGTGCAGAGCGAGGGGCTTGGAGATTATAGGACCGTGTGATGGCATTCAGCTGTTTCACGGCAAGCTCGTGGTAAGACCGCTCGATCTCCATGTATTGCGGATCTCGTAGCGGAGGCAGATGAGGTAGTTCCTCCGTCTTTTCACCTATTGTGGATTCAGCTTCAACCTTGGACACAATTCGGCCATCGGTTGTTATCTCTGAGACCACAGCCTCGTCAGATTTGCCGGCATCTTTGTCGCGCAATGCTGCGTCCAGCTTTGCTTTTTCCGACAAACGCAGCTCGGCGGCGGCATAAGCCCTCGCTCGCTGCATCTGGGCATCCAAGGACCCGCCTTGGCTAGCGATTAGTCTAGAGGCGTGTCTCCTCCATTCGGTACGTATGCGCTGGCGGAATCGGCGAAGCTCCATGGCTAGTTCTTGCTGCTTTTCAATCCACGGCGGAACAATGTCTTGCTTTTGGATGATTTTGTTCATGAAGTATTCCGTTGTATCGATAAATGCACTGTTGGCATTGTGATCCGTCTCAGTATTGACCCCTTTACCGCGACGGATTTTCTCAAACTGTCCTCGCCGTATCGCATCTTCAATTCGTTCATTCGCCAGCGATGAAAGACCCTGAATAGATATGGGCATAGCTGTCGCGCCGGGCGTCAACTTCTCGCGCATCTCGCTGCGGATCACTTCCCGTTCTTCTTCAGTCAACCCAGGACCTTGACTCAAGGCATAGTTCGATGTGCGCTCCTTTGCTCGGGCGATTCGGACACCGGGTGAGAGCTTCGGCTTCGGGGCTGGTTGGAGATTGACCGGTCGAGGGATTTGGTAGGGGGTTCGGATCGGTTTGCTCGCGTCGTCAAGCATTCGTAGAGCTGAGTCTTGTAAGCTCTCGTTTCCTGTCCATACAGGAGCTGCTGCGTTGTCCCGTGTGCCTTGGCCTGCGCTAGCCTAGAGTGCAAACATGCAAGTTAGTCGCCGCGCACAAAGCGGTGGGTCAGGTTGAGGCCATACGGGCATGTCGAGTATGGAGTGGGCAGCAGGATGTTCACTCTTGAAAGATGCTGCCTTCACTCGCTCTTCCAGTTGTCGCTTTAGATCCTCCGAGAACCCCGCCTGCTCGATGTTGCGGCGCGCTGAGCTCCCACCCTCGAGCAAAGCGTCCTCTGCCATCTGGGACAGGCGACGTGCCATAGCCCCCTCTTCCTTGTTCCCATCCTTTGTGTTGCTCTTATCATCGTCGTCTGTCGATTTCCCCGAAGAAGAATTTGTGTTGTGTCTGTATAGCTGCGCCGCTGGAAACCGTCTGATTGCGGGAGCTGCCGTAGTTCGCGATGCACGTAGTAGGGACGCTCCGGTCTGGGACGTCAAAACCTGCTTGCCAGACATTATCGCTGCACACGAGGACGTAGAATATGCCACTCCAGGCTCAATCACAAAACAAAAAGAAAGATTTTATTTCAAGTTTGTATGTGCCTCAGTACTTACTCCGGTGGGACGAGACCAAAGTTGACGGCAGATCCGCTTATGTCATCAACTTCCGCGGAGTCGAAACTTCCTGGGATTTTGCTGCTGCTCCGTCGCCGGCGTCAGCTTTCCGATTGTTGTCCACGAAGTCGTCCCTCGCGACATCTCAATCCCTGGAATCACGCGCGTCTCTGCCGTATCCTTCACCATGGCCCCCAAGAGCGTCACCACCCGGCTCAACCCCCTTCGCCTGAACACCATCAACCACCTCCGTGTCCGCCGACCGAACCAGAATGAGCAGAACACTTGCGTGACTGTCATGTCCTCAATGCTGAGTACGTTGAGCCAATCCATACATTGCACACAATCACTCGTCTGCGTTTTGAATCTCCGCCATCGCCCATTGCATATGGATGCGATCAATCCCGTCGCTCCCTCTATACCTTGAAACGAATCCGTCAGCTAACAAACCACCCACAGACTGCTGGGCTTCACAGGGATACGGCGTCGACGGCTGTGCCGCTCTCGAGGCTCAATTGCGCAAGTGCATGGACCAACCGGTACGATTCATCCACCAACCTTACCCTACTCCTCAAATCCAGATCGGAATGCTTGCTTCCCTAAACAATCGGAACATCCCTACTAACTATCCACTCCTCAATAGAAATCGCAAGAAAAGAAGAAGAACACCGTCAACTACCACTTGATGAGAATGTACCCCAAGGTCGTCGGACCCCGCAAGAAGGACGGTGTCCTGGGCTAGATTGTTGCGACAACCGTTCAATGGAGTTTGGGATGTTTTTGCGATGAAACCTGCCAGGGCAGGGACTTTTATGTGCACACTGCACGTGCTACATGTCTGGACTTGGACTCCTGGATATTGCATGGGAGTTGGTTCGTTTTTTTAATCGCACATTTGTACAGTATATACCTACGTCTAGTATGGCATAGCTTTTTGAAAATTGATTGTATCATTACTCTGGAATTTTTACCGACCTGCATTGTATACTATCATCGATTAAGTCCAATTCAGCTAGACAATCATATCAAACTGCCTGGAACTTGAGGACTAGCTTCTCGGCCTTCGGGTGCACAGTATACGCATCTATAGCGTCAATGTCTGTATCATCCACGATGGTGGTGCGGAAGTTCGAGAAGATAGCCGCTGCAACCAGTTTCGTTTCTAATATACTCATTAGCTTTTTTTTTCAACGGGCTATGTCATTGCGGACCTCGGCCACTAGTAGGGTATTTATTACCTTGCAAGGCGAGATTGCTCCCGACACACATCCGTCCTCCACTTCCGAATGCCCAAAACCAGCGGCGCCGTTCCTCGAGATCGGCCACCGAGTTCTCTTCCTTCAGCCAGCGTTTCGGCTCCCAAGACTCTGGCTCGGGGAAGACCTCCGGATTGCGATGCAAGGAGTATGCCTGTGCATTGACTCGCGTGTTTGCCGGGATGTTGTCGTAACCGGCCAGCGTGCAAGACGGCGCGGGCGTTACGCGAGGCTGGATACCTGGGATCGGGGCATGAAGACGTAATGTCTCGGTAACAATTGCGTCTAGAAGGGGCAGGGCATCGATCGATTTTGCGGAGGGCAGCTCGTTAGATTTGGGGAAAGAGATCGGTGGATCGAGGGTTAGTAGTTCTTCACGAAGTCTCTCTTGGATCTCCGGGTGTCTTGATAACTGCCAGAACAGGTATGTCAAGCCGACGGCACTTGTCTCGAAGCCTGCTGTGAGCTGATCGTACATTTCGCAGGCGATGTCGTTCTTCTGCTTGTTGGGATCTGGGTTGGAAATGCCCGCTTTCAAGTCTTGCTTGTCGAGGCCCTGTTTCAGCTGCTTGTATACAATTGGTTCGGATGCTGGATCTGTCGAGTCGAGTGAGTCACCGGCTCTGGCGCAGAGATCCAATGCCCAGGTATCGAGCATTGCGTTGGCAGTGTCGCAGTACTTGGGGATAATTCGTATACCGAGGCATTTCATCCATGGCGCAAAGTTAGGGGCTTCTTGGTGGTAGAACTCGAATGGCTTGCGGCATAGGTACATGTGCAGCCAGTGCTTGCGAAATTTATGGTCTTGTAAATGGTTTGTGCCATTTCGTAGACCGAAGAGGTATCCCGAGACGAAATCGAGAGTAAGTCCCATGTTCAGGTCATGAACATCAATGCTTTGATCTGCATCCACGGACTCCTTGATGATAGGCAGGAGACGATCGAATATCACTGCATCAGAGACTACCTTAAGGTGAGGCGAAGTCTGGAGTGTGGATTTGGAGTAGATGTTGGACAACATTCTCTTACGAATGGAGTGAGTCTTCGTTCCGACCATTGTGAACATGCTCACGGTGCTGTAGTCGATTGTCAGTCAATTCGCACAAACTAAATGCCATCTAACGTAACCCACTCAAGCGACCCAAAGACACGAGGATACCACTCATGCTTCTCATATCCGCCAGTATACACGGACTTGATGCCTCCATCAACACAGTTGACGGAGAGCTCCGATGGCCCAAGCCGGACAATCGGGCCAAGTCTTTCGTGAGCAGACTGGATAGTCCGGTTATTCTGCATCCGGTAACGTTTCCAAAGCATCCATACTGGCGAAATAGGGACACTCCAATGCGCATTTGGGATCTTGGCCAGTGGCGACACAAAGGCAGGGTAGATAATTCCTTTATATAGTACGACCGCTGCGACAAGCACGGCCACGAGTGAGGTGACCGACATGGCTATTGCAATTGGGATGAGAGCATCCGTATCGGGTATGGAAGACGGTACGGGTTTCACCCTAACTTTGTGCGATCTTTATTTTTTGTGTTTTCTTGAGGTGGGAACCGACCACTTATATGAGGTCAGTTTCCTGCGGGATGCGGGTTGCTTCTTTTAGGTAATTGAATCCTAGACCCCGCGCAAGGATAAGGTCTTTTGCCGGATAAGGCCCGGATTGGTGCAGTAGACGATACTCTTGCCGATGTGGTGGAACTGTTATTGCTGTAATTGATCTGGGGTTAAATTTGGTCCAACCAGATTGCGGATATTACTTTCGCTCCCCGAGAGGCTGATAAAGGTGCGGCAGTGCGGGCGATAAGGATGCAAATGACATAATGGACAATTAACTCCCCTTATCCATTGCCGAGGCCACATTTGAATCCATCGTGGCCCTGAATTATCATGTCTTTGAATTATGGTTGAAAAGGAAAGAGATGTGGTTAGAAATCATGCTAGGAAATGTTCAGATTCGCTTTAGATACAAGAAAGCGTAGGTTTTGTGAATAAGGAAAGACCAAAGGGTAGGTAGAAGCAAAATACAATGAAAGGAAAAACTGTTTCGCTGAATAGTAATGAGAAGATCACATCTCAAATCGCCCACTGACCAGCAGAGGGTTGCTTTGGCGATCAAGAGAGTGATACCTCAAGTAGAGCACCAGAGCATCATCACATTATCAATGTGTTTAAGCTTAGTTCCAAAGGTTGGCCAGCATAGCGGGGGTATCGGAAACATCGTCAGGGTAGACGTAGAATGCAAGGGCCAAAATGGTGTACCTGAGAACCATGTTAGTAAAAAGAAATACAGTAGAGAAAATTTGAAATCAACGTACATTCCTAAGCACATGACACCCTCGAGGTAGTTTGACTTTCCATCCTGAATCAGCAAGGTAACCACCAGGCCAGAGATGAAGAAAGCGACAGTCTCGAAGGTCTGGAAGTGCAGTGTCATCTCAATGCCCATGATCCAGCCAAGGATGACCAAGAAAGGTGTGACAAAGAGGGCGATTTGCAAGCTGCTGCCGATGGCAACACCGATGGCAAGATCCATCTTATCCTTGTAGGCAACCACAACAGCGGTGACGTGCTCTGCGGCATTACCAACGATGGGGATGAGGACCAGACCAATGAAAGTCTTGCTAATGCCAGTCTTCTGCACGATGCTGTCAATGCTGCCGACCAGGTAGTCTGCACAGATCGCAACAAGGATAGTGACAGCAATGAGGGCAACAGTCGCGGCCCAGGGGCTGAGAATACGCTCCTCCTCCTCCTCCTCTTCCCCATTCTCACCACCAGCATTCTCAGTATCACTACCGTTTGTCTCTTCGAAGAGGTGAGCGTGGGATCGCAGTTGGAAGAACAAGTACATCACATAGATGATGAGGAGAATAATGGCAGTGCCGTGAGACAAGATGAGAATGTTATCTTGGGCGTCGTGTGTGGACTTATCCAACGCGGCATAAAGAGTGGCTGGAATGATCAGCGAGGCGGATGCGACGGCCATCAAAGAAGACATGGTGGAGGCCACGGTGCTGTTAAATGATTGCTCGGGAAATCGAAGGCCACCGACGAAGAAACAACATCCCAAGACCAGCAGGATGTTAGAAAGGATACTTCCCAGCATACTGGCTTGCACGACTCGAATTTGGTTATCCTTAAGCGCGATGATGCTGACCTATTCAACCAATTGGAGTCATTTCATTAGTACTTTTTCCCATTAAACAGCAGATGGTCAAGGCGGGCAGTGGTTCACTCACAATCAACTCGACCGCATTTCCAAAGGTAGCGTTCATGAGACCACCAAGGGCCTGTCCCATAGTCGCTGCCAGCTCCTCAGTAGCAAAGCTCAGAAGGGAAGCAAGAGGGATGATAGCGAGGAAATTGAAGACGAAAATGGCCGTGGAGTCCCATTTGAGAGCTCCAGCAATGATACCCAGCGGCACAAAGATGAGAAGCACATTGACATAATCACGGACCAAGGTCAACCAGGTCAAGCGTACAACATGCAATGGCCAGCTCACCCAGGCGCGAGTGTCCTTGGGGTGGTGATGATGGCTCCCGTGGTCTTCATGCTCGTGATGAGATAAGCCGGAGAGAGAGCGACGACCGAGGAGCGAGGTCTGCTCGCCGGGCTGCAGAGAAGCATTACCGGAGCTCATTCTTCTACCAGGTCCGAAGCTATGGCTTCGAAACTCCTTGCGAAATTGAACGGAAGCTGGGGGCCGTCAGTTCAAAGGTAGACGACGTTGGAATGGCAGCCGGGATCGAGCGGAAACGAGCAGCGGAAAGTTGGAAGGCATCACGTACACATATTGGATTACGATTCAAAGCCAAGCTTTAGGAAAGTGAAAATGCGAAATTAAGGCGGGGTCTTCCAGCCACAGGATCCGTGGTTGAAACGACGTAATCAGTAATTAGCGGAGAGGACCCGTGATGCGAATGGAGGAGAAAGGAAAACCAAGGGAACTGTGGACAAAGCACAGCCTCGATGGTTGACCAAGCTGTAACGACACGAGACCTTGGCAGGGAGCTTGGGCGCTGATCTTACATCTGGGACTCCACCGCCTTTGCCTCTTGATTCGCTCCGTTCCAGGGCCAAGACTTTGCACTGCCACAACACCATTTGCCGAACATTTTCTGATTGAACACAAAACTGGAACTTGCTAGAGGTGAGATCAGAAGCTTTGAATATATTGTTTTCCCCGTTTTTTTTTTTTCTGGTACTTTTGTTTTGAAACTCCTCACATCTGCATTAAGCTATCCCGATTCATCAGAAGTGGAGCATCTCAGATCTTCTATACAGCATGTACACGTTGACGTTGTACGAGTTACAACGGTCGGCCTACACATAGACGCTTAATACGAGTACGATTGAAGCTGCCTGCTGAGGTAAGGCTGCGCACCAAGTACACCCCGCTACTCCGCACCCAAGACAAGGGCTGTGAAGTAGTATGTACATACACACTGCATACCACTTCACACCTGTGTGGCGTCTATATTAGCACGAGACTGGGGACACCATGCGGCATGCCACGTATACTCTCCATCGCCAAATTCGAATTGCGCCACTCATACATTAGTACTACTACATTGTAAATGCACCCCACTATCTAGGTTGCACAACCCGTCAACTCTAGTCGAACTGACTTCCCACATGCATCACCATTCCAAGCATCCGCCTTCGCCTTATACTCTACGCTATCCACATGTTCCAGTAGTAAGTACACACACCTAGGCATCTATTATAGTGGGGGCGGAAGCTGCTTTTTCAATGTATGTACTTGTGATTGATTCACGATTTATTCACAGGCTTATATATTGGATCGCATGGTCTATTAAAATATCGCTTCTTCAAAGTCTGAATCAGTTGCCGCTGATGCTGGTTGACACCAAAAAAAATCCTAATTTGCAGTATTCTGCGCTAGGGTAGCCAAAGCAAGCAATGACGGTATATAGCGCCGACCTTACCAGAAGCGACGGTGTCGTTTCATCTTGGCGATTAGTTCTTGGTTAGAACCTTTCGTCTTTGCTTTAGCATGTAGGAATACATCATCACCGACCCTATGTATCGCAGATTAGACACTGCCGCGGAAGCCACCTGGGGAAACGAGTTGGAATGCTTACCGGGTACGTAAAGTCCCAAGAAAAAGTAGAAAATGCCGAGTACAGCCCAGTTGCTAGCAATAGTGGTAGCTTTGTACATCAACCACCATTCGCTACTGATTCCGACGGGATACAGAGCCAGGAATAGCGAGTATCTAGGCCGGACACCAACCACGTTAGCGCAACGCGGAATTTTTGATGAAGAGGTATGGGGATAAAGCGAAAAGAATTATGGGATTACCTAGACCACTTCAACAGCGCAGGAACTGGATATCCAGCTTGCATGATTGCAAAGTATAGATAGCGGATCGTGTCTGCCGACGACCAAGCCAAGAGCATGGCTGTGTACGCCACTGAGGGGGCAGTCGCGCTGGGGAACGCATAATTGATAGCCCAGACTTGCACAGAGCGAGCAAAGACTTGCGTAAATGTAGTGAAGACCGGAGAGCGAGTAATTTCTGACGTTCTCGATTAGTACTTGAGCGACCGAGGTTGAAATGCTGGGGACAAAGGGGTAGGTACGGAGCGCGGCATGGAGAATCTCAACCACTGCGAGGGTCTGGGTATATCTCGTCAATGGCTCTGCGGATTTGTATACTGCCGTGATGTCTGGCGACTGGATCCAAGTTTTCGCTGTGGTGACCAAAATCGATAGCCAAAGGGCGGCACAGGTGGCATTGTACAGCACAAGATAGGTGCGGCCGATTGAGGACTGAGGTTGAATTGGGTCCTTTGAGGCCATTGCAATTGATTTTTCAATGCTTCTGCAGAGCCAATATTAATATTCAGGGAGATATCAGAAGGATTGATTTTTTTTTTGATGTTCGAGGTTTTGACATGTGAAGATGCTCAGCAAATTTGACATCTTGAGGTTAACCCAATCAGGAAATATTGGACCCACAATGAGAGCATGCAGGATAAGCCGGAGAAATGATTGGCAACAGGTCTCAGCCTCTCAGGTATCGGGTGCATAGATGAACTTGGTGCACTCTCAAGTGCTTGAGATTTTCTTTTGGATTTGTCGATTTTGACGACCCTTTTAAGGGTATCTGGAGTCCCGGACCCCCAGCTGAATTGGCCGGTTGCAAAATCTTTTCAAAAACTTCCCCTCCACAGAGTCGTCACCCTCACCCTCACATTACACAGGTGACAGGATTTAGTACTTATATACTGTACACCATAGCACAATACACTACTGTTGGATCGCACAATCCTCTTGAACCTCTTCTTGCCACATCAGCATACCATCGGCCGAATCACCATATTAAGGGCTATCAGAGAGCTTGTTTCAATTGAATTGTCGGACATAGAAAATTTATGGTCCCAATATTTTGTAATATCTGCCTCTTTGGAAAGTACTTCGAATGGTTGGTAGATCTATAAATCATCTCAAGGCTATAGCCCTGTCTTGTGGGATTTCCACATACATGTGCACACTCAATTGCCTCGTTCGCTCAAGGGGTCTTTGATAGGTAGAGGTAGCATGAAAGATGCCTTTGGCAACTTTGATGGAAACCAATTCACCCTGCTTTGGCGAGCGATATTCCAATATGCAGCACTTGATTATGACGAGGGCAAAAAGTGGTCGATGGCGCAGAGCCTATTCTAGTTGTTAACCATCTTGACACTGTTGCAAAATAAAAAAGAAAGTCCGACTGCATTGATGTGCATGTATGATGTACACCGTGACCTGAACGGGGTAATTTGAATACTCACCTCAATAGATGGTTACTAGGGTGCTTTACGCCCAGTTCCTGCCAACGACACCGGATCCTCGTCATCCATCAATTTCATGTCACTTTGCGAGTCAGACATTAATTTGGCTTGGCTTCTATGTGACATGAATGCCCAGATTCCTTGGATGATGAGAGTCAAGACGCCAGTAGCAGCCACGTATATCCAGATCCACCGTGAAGCTTTTGGGCTGTCATCGAGGAAGTTGAAGAATGTCATGGAAAAGAACGTCTGCCCACGCGCGTAAGGACTTGAGGATGTAAAAAATCTTGTATCGATCACTTACAGCGGTGAATGTTGCAGGGAGAAACAGAACTGTAACGACGGCCAGTACTCTCATCGAAGCGCTGTCCCGGGCAGTAGAAAGTGCAACGGAGCGTGAATCTCGTGCAATCTCAATCATAAGTTTGGCGTCATGGCGGCTCAGTTCCCCAAGATTGAGCATTGCTTGGTTGTCCTTTCGACTGAGTTGAGCCATTTCATTCGAGGCTCGAGCTATTTCGGTACTTATAATGCTATTTTGAGATGCTAGGAGAGAGTAAACCTAATTTACTTAGTACTAAACTTCAGACCTCCGAGTCACTTTGAGCGGTCTTGGTTGACCTCTTAGGTCGCAATCATGCATCCTCAGGGTAATTGAGCCTTAGATTGAAGAGAAGAACATACCGTTTCGGTCTGTGCGGACGTTCGTCGCACCAAATAATTACATGCTGCCACAATTCCATTATACCACCCTCGGGCATTTTCAAGGTCAATGAAAAGTCTATGTTGGTCATCAATTGCGGATCCATGTTTTCCATGTCTGGTAGTCAGTGTTTCTGCATGCTGGTGCATTCGCTGGATCAAGTATAATGCGCTTTCGGCTTGCATCTTCAAGAAAGAAAGTCTACTCAGTAAACTGCTCATTTCACCAGTAATTGGAACCATGTCTAGTTGTTTCCAGTCTTGAGCGGGTTGTTGAACGTCCTGGGGAATGATTGATTTTCTCATTCCGGTTGTATCTTCGATGGCGCGAATGTGATGCCTTAGGCTGTTGATTGTTCCAGTGAACCACTGTGCTTGTAGCTCGAGGATTCCTGTTGGAATAGAGACTGCCACTTTTCCAAGAGAAAGATCGGCAGACTCTAGATAGCTAAACAGCTGGGATAAGGACCATGCCTGAGCTCCAAAGATCAGGATTCTTATTTTACCCGTATCAGTCACTGTCAGTCCCATGGAAAAATAAGAATGCGATCGAGGTTGTTGAATGATGAGCTCTGAACTCTGTTAGCCGCTTGTACTACAAAAATCTGATTGAGAGGAGATATTACGCTCGCCTTGCTGTACTAATCCTCTACTTTGAACGCCCGGTGAAACAGAAAAGAAGGCAAAGCCCGTATGATACACGTTCAGGAAAGCTGGCGAGGTTTCCAGAGCCCCCGAAACCCGGTCGTATAGATTAGGAGACATAGGTAGCGGATATTTTTTGTTTTCTGTTAATGGGGATTTCGTAAATGCCCTGCGAGTTCTTAGCTCAAATCGTGCCCAGGTGGACTTCGAGTGCTTCCAAGGCTGTGGTTTCATGGCTTGACAATGAACACACGCAAGGGAGACACTTACATCACAACGATATCGAGAACATCCTATCCAATTATTAGCTCGGGCAACATTAAACATTACTGGACCGTGAAAGATCTACCAAATCAGTCTCATCGAGGTAGGACTTTATCTCTGGCTCCGATTGCATCTGGCGGCGTTGAATGTTTCGCAGAGGGAGTGTAGAAATGGAAGGGCTGGAATCGGGCTCAAGTTGCAGTCCATCCCTGATGTGAGTCTTTGGAATTTATGTATGAGAAACTGCCCTGGGCTTTTTCTGTGTAAATTTCAAACTTTTTCTTCAAGGCTAGGCTCACTGGAATTTGGGCACAAAAAGTGTGGCACTCATGTAGCTCACTAAACGAGTCGGGGTTTTCGCGGCGTGATAATGACAGCCATTCTTGCGTACAAGCCATCATGGGAGAGGGGCGAGGATTGCTCTGGTCCTTCTGGATAGAAAAAACGAACTTGGAGGAGATGAAAACTGGAAGCTTGGAGCCCCGCCAATTATGAGAATGGATATACTGATGATTCGTGACGGGTACCCTCGGCCCTGAGTGCCGAAGCGAATTCGGACGTCTGTGAGACCTTTAAATTCGGACGAGAATGTAATCATTTTCTTGGTATTGCGGCGGGGATACAAGAAAGGTAGGGACGGGCTGCCTTGCTCGACGTGTCGCGGAACAATTGGCTGCGTTCCTTTGGGGCTGTACAGTCTGTTTGCCTACGCATGTGCATATAGCCTGATGTACATGCATGCATGGAGGCGCCTGCCTAGGTGCGCAGGCGCGAACACGCGTACAGACCCTGCCAATCGGACTACCGATGCGGCCAAGAAAATGTGTATGTGGCGGTCGAAGTATCAGATTGAGATCAGTACATTCATCATCATTAACTCTTACCTGGAAAACGCACCTGCAAGGCATACACTTGAGTGTTGCGGAGGAGAGTGGGATTAAAGGGCCGGTGGGGCAGTGTTACCGTATGTAGAGCCCCGAATGGAGCAGTGTTTGTGCCGCGGGGCTCCACAGGGATCTGCACGGAACCTGCCCTCTTGAGTCTTGCCAATCGGCGCCTAGTCCAGCCACCACTGAGAAAACAATCCAACAAAATGGGCGTTTCACCAATGTACTATAGTCTATGGTGCAGACGCTCCAGCCTCGGAGCCTTCCAAGGTTGCAGTCCGCATGCGTCAGCGCTAAGAAAGATGCTGCGCCGATCACAGATTCATAAGTCAGCAGGAGTTATCGGATCCTCGGAATGAACTGTTTGGGCAAACAGTTGGTCATAGCGGCCCTCCATCGCCTTGATATTACATACTAGGCCGCATTTTTCGCCCCAAAGGATTTGAAGTGGATGATTGCCAGATTGGTCAGATCTCATTGCGCCCCCTCCACAAACAAACAGACAAAGCAAATAACACAGATAACGCACATCGTTTCCTTGCACGTGCCAGGCAGGATGGATGTTCTTTCTTAACCCCGCAGGAGACCTGGAAAAAATATCCAGCTATATTTTACTTGATCCTCTCTCATTCTTACTTCGCTGGGCAAGCTATAGTTGCTAGTTGTGGAAAACCAAGCTCAATATGAATCCCCCGAAGTCAGGCAAGTCAGAAGGTGAAAGGTTTAATCTAAAAGTTCTTGTGGAGCCTAGAGATGAGACAGACATGTTTGAGTATGGCACATGTTTGTATTTTGATTCACTGAAGCTGAATTTTATTTAGCATAGTTGCTGTTCATGGTATGGCAGCCAATCCAAATGAAACCTGGGTTCACAAGGACACCAATGTCGACTGGCTACAAGATGAAAACATGCTCCCGAGTCTTTTCCCGAACGCTCGCATCATGCGATTTGACTACAAATCCAGTTGGTTTTCTGAATCCGGAGATCCACTCAGCGAGACACGTGTGTCCGATGTGAGTGATCAACTACAAATGTCTCTTCAAAGCTTTCGAAAGGTGAGCGTTACTACATTCCTTGGACAACAACGTTCTCATGGATATCAACTACAGGACTCCACTCGGCCTTTGGTTTTCATCGCCCACAGCTATGGAGGCTTTCCTGTGATGCATGCCCTCTATAAATCTGCGAAAGAACCTTCCGACCGGGATAGTCTGTTTCAGTCCACTGCAGGGATCGCCTTTTTTGGTGTCCCTCTCAGAGGAAGGCAAGGAATCAAACTCGAGAAGATGGTTGAAAAGATTCACAAATGTTACGAAGAAGTTGAAACCTTTCAAATGCGAGAGAAAAGTATGACGGCGTCTGTTGCCGAAAGTCAATATCTTACAGAGTCAGTCACACATTTTCTCAAGTTACGAATTGACCATCCTGTTCCAATCACCTGCTTCTTTGAGCTCCTGGAGAGTCGTGTTTCCAAACATTGGAAGGAGTATGACAAAAAAGTGGTAGGTCCTCTTGAAACATTTTCAAACTCCGTTCTTGATACTAAGCACGATTTACCTAGATAAATGAGTTCGTGGTTCCTGAATATTCGGCCTGCATTGACTTCTCAGAAGGGATCGACCGCGGTGGGATAGCCCGTAGCCATTACCATTTGCAGAAGTTCAAGGGCCCTGAGGATAGTCAATGGAATTATATGGTCGTGCCACGTTTGAAAAGCCTGGAACAGAAGGCCCGCGCATTCTTCAAACCGCCTGCAAAATTGAGCAGTGCCCAGATGTTCGTCTTTGAACATCTACGGTCTGTGGAAGACGCTGCATTCAACTCCCATGCAAACGAGGAAGTTACACCATGCGATGGGCACACACGTAGGGAGCTGCTTGAGGACATTAGCCAATGGACTGACAGCCCAATAATTCGTGAGCATATCTACTGGCTGCAAGGAAAGGCTGGCACAGGCAAATCAACAATCGCGCGTACAGTGGCCGGTCGACTTAACCAGGAGGGACTTCTTGCGGCCAGCTTTTTCTTCAGGAGGGACGAAGCCGACCGCCGTAGTGCCAAGCGCTTTTTTACAACAATTACTATCCACCTGGTTCACAGAATACCTGCCTTGGCGGAGTATGTGCGGCGCGCAATCGAAGCCAACCCTAGCATTGGTACAACAGCGCTGAGAGAGCAATTTGAGCAGCTTATCCTGCTGCCAATGAAGGCCATCTCGCGTGACGTTCCCAAAACCATGACCGTCGTGATCGATGCGCTGGATGAATGCGAGAGGGATAGGGACACTGAAGAGATCATCAAGATCCTGCTGCAGACTGATATTTCGGTGGTAATCCCATTGAAGTTCTTTGTCACTAGCAGGTTCGAGCCTCCAATTCGCCTATGGCTCCGGGATGTTCAAGGGAAAGTCAAAGAAGTTCCGCTTCACGATATCCCGCAAGATTTAGTAAAGCGGGACTTGGAAATATTTTTGAAGATCCGATTGGACGAGATTCAGCGCAGTTCCAGAATCAAGTCTGGCTGGCCGGGGTCCACTAAGCTCCAAAAACTCCTGGAGAGATCCACTCCATTGTTCATCTTCGCGGCTACCGCCTGCCGCTTCATCGGGGATATCAGACTCAATGGTGGACCGGATCATCGGCTTGAACTGATACTCCAAAATGAGTCCCGTGGGGATGTCGACGAAACATACCGATTCATCCTTCAACAAATAATAAACGGGCTTAAGGGTGTCCATCGTCGGCATGTACTTAATGACTTCAGGCAAATTGTGGGTTCGATAGTCACCCTCGAAAATCCTCTTGGAGCCGCGCCACTGGCAAGACTTCTGGGCATTCCCATTGAACACGTCAACAATAGATTGGAGCTACTTCACTCCGTACTGGTCATCCCTGACAATGATAATACTCCTGTGAGAATATTTCACGACTCTTTCCGAGAATTCCTTGTCCACATGGACCCTGAGGACCCTCACGAGTTCTGGATTGATGTGAAGATTACTCAAAGGGCGCTTGCGGACAGATGTCTTCAGCTGCTCTCCCAAGGTGGCTACCTAAAACAGGATATCTGTGGACTCGGATCCCCCGGAAAATCTCGTCGTTCCCTTGACCAGCAAAAATTGCACCAATGCCTGCCGTCGGAGGTTCAATATGCGTGTCTTTACTGGGTGCATCACTTGAAGGGTAGTGGAGACATGCTTTCGAATGGGCATCGAGCGCTTCAATTCCTCGAGAGCCACTTTCTTCATTGGCTTGAAGCTTTGAGCCTTATGGGATCGATAACAGAGAGCATCAGGCTGATAGGCAAGTTACAAGACCTTGTCAATGTGAGTGACCATATATGAGTATACTAGGATATTCGTGTACTGATAGATATAGGCCGACTGCAGCTCTTCAGTATCTGACTTTCTGCATGATGCGAACCGATTTGTCCTCAAAAATCACCAGGTCGCCAATGATACGCCTCTCCAACTGTACTCGTCAGGGCTGATATTTGCACCACGAACCTCAATGGTGCGCAAGCAGGCTGATCCTCCTGGTTGGATATGCCAATTTCCACAGGTTGAGGATACTTGGAGTCCAGAGCTGCAAACACTCGAGGGTCACTTAGGCTTGATCAACTCAGTTGCCTTCTCACCCAATGGCGCACTACTGGCATCCGGCTCTGATGACAAAACCGTGCGCCTGTGGGACACGACAACAGGTGCGCTAGATCGGATACTGGGGGTGCATTCAGGTCCGGTTCGCTTAGTTGCTTTCTCACCCAATGGCGCGGTGCTCGCGTCTTGTTCGAAGAATACTGTGTACCTCTGGGACACGGCGACAGGCGAAGGGCAGGAACCCCTGAAGGGCCATTCAGATCCAATTCGGTCATTTTCCTTCTCGGCCGATGGTGCGCTATTGGTAACTGGCTCTAAAAATACGGTGTGCCTCCAAGATGTGGCGACAGGCAAGCTACTACAGACCTTCAAGGGCCATTTGATATGCCCCTTGTCATGTGATAATATATCTCTTGAATCTACCGATGCTATATACCTCTGGGATGTGGCAAAGGGTATTCTGAGACAGATATCTGAGGGAGACTTGAATGTACGCTTGGAGAACATAATGGCTTTCTCGCCCGACGGTGCACTACTAGTAGTATTTGACTCCCCGAATGCCTTTTATCTCAGGAAGATAGCGGCAAATACGGCACATCAACTGCTAGCGCGTGACCCACATGGTCTGACACATCTTACGGCCTTCTCAGACAATAACGCGCTACTAGCATTCAGCTCTGATGAAAAGATTTACCTCTTCGATACGGCAACAGCTACGCTGCTGCATACTCTGAAGAACCCTTCAGTCGTTTCTTCAATTACCTTCTCCCCCAACGGCGCGCTCGTAGTGTCTGGTGTTGATGCTACGATCCACCTCTGGGACACAAGAACGGGTACGCTACAGCAGACCCTTAAGAATCATTCAGTTGCAGGGATGGTCCGTTCAGTTACCTTCTCGCCCAGCGGGACGCTGCTCGCAGGCTCTAGTGATAACACTGTATGTCTCTGGGATACGGGAACAGGTGCACTAGAAGCAAGGGATGGTCATTCGGAGGGAGTTGAGTCGGTCGCCTTCTCACCTGACGGCAGCCTACCAGCATCATCCTCCACCTGCACCGATCCTACCGTACGCCTCTGGAATACGAAGACAGGTGCATTGGATCGGATCCTGCTTGATGTGGCACCCTATTTAGGCCCACCTCCGTCCCTTTCCTTTTCACCTAATGGCAAAGTACTGGCATCTAGCTCTAAGGACTGCATTCATCTCTGGGATATGGAAAAATACAGCCATCGGGCTCTAGAAAAACATACAGGCCACATGCAGTTTCTTTCAGTTGTCTTCTCGCCTGATAGCACCCTACTGGCATCTAGTACTTGCGATACTATTTACCTCTGGGACGTGGCAAGACGTGGGCTACATTCAATTCTCAAGAGCCATCGAAGTCTGGATTATTCACTTGTCTTCTCATCGAATGGCGCGCTTCTAGCATCCAGTTCGGATAACAGTATCTTCATCTGGGACACGGCGTCAGGCGCGTTAAACCAGACTCTGCAGGTCCGGAAGGGCCCGTTTCATTCACTTTCCTTTTCCCCCAACGGTGCACTACTGGCATCTAGCTCTGACAATGGAGTTTTTCTCTGGGACAGGGCGACAGGCAAGCTACAGCAGTCGCTCAGAGCCAATAGAGCATTCGATCATATCGAACTCAGTCATAATGGATCGGATCTAATTACTAATCGAGGCTACTTGGCTTTCTATGAATCTCCAAGTCATGGAACTGGTTTAGAACGTTCGGGTCCGAGAATCTTCATCGACCCAAAGTGGATCAAGATGAACGACAGAAACATTCTTTGGCTTCCCCCAGCTTCTCGACCTAGTTGCTCTGCGGTCCGTGGCAACCTATTTGCCCTAGGACATGCATCGGGGCTCGTCTCATTTATTAGATTTCAAGTCTAGCAGCTCTCAAGAATCTACAAAGAATGCAATCGTAACTTTTAAGGTTGTTTTTTTATGTTCTTCTATAAACTCGGGAGCAATTAATTTATGGCATCTAAATCTATCTTCTTTATGTCTATCTTCTACAATTACAACAAAACTCGGAAAGAACGATCAAGGCTGGTATCCAACTGCAGGAAGTCTGCCAGGCGACCCAGGTGGTCAATTCCCCAAAAACCTTCCTGTTTACCTTCTGAGTTGACACATTCGAACCACGGCAACCCAAAAGCCCCGGAATCAAAGGCTTGCTGTGTATTCTCCAGCAAGATGGTCTTCGCATCCGACGTTGTTGACTAGCCAACATTAGTATCAGTACCTGCAAAATTTCAAAGACAAATAACATTTGAAATCCACCTACTTTGTTCCGAATTTTTAATGCAACCTCTTCTCCTAGTTCGTTTTCGAGGACGGCGAAGAATCTTTCGGGCGTGGCAATCTTGGTATCCGCCTCGGACCAGAAAATACGGTAGAACGTCTCGATGATCAAGATCAACTTCTCAGGCGCCTCTCTAGCAACAAGACATAACGCGGTCTGGATATCGATCGTCGAGGTTGGGAATCCTTCAGGCACGGCATCGGTTATCGGGACCCCGAATCTGTGACCCCAGTACAGGCGCTCGCCTTGGATCCACTGAAGCTTGTCTTCGCATATGGGTCAGTACACCGATCGATCCCAATATCCATGGAAAGCTTACTCTTCACTGCGATTGGGGGTGTGTTATTGCATTTTTGAAACAAGTCTCGAAGAAGAACTGGCACGTAGTCGATTTGACATTTGGAGAAGACAGGGGAGTTCTATCAAGGGGGTTAGATGGTCCAATCAATCATCCACTTCTCTGTAGACAACTTTACCCTGAGAATATGGAATCCAATCTGACTGAATGGACTTCCAATGTCAAAGTAGAGGGTGATGCGAGGAGACATCATGTTGAATTGACTGTTTAATTTCCAAACTCCAATGTTCACTGCAGATTCGTCTATATAGTGATGAGAGCATTTTCCGATTATGCATCAGTATTTTTTGATTATGCATCAGTATCAACTTGACTCATGAGATTTCCCAACCATCCGAATTTCGGAGTTATACCGCGGGAAGTTTGTTGAGTGAAGGAGTCTCCACCACATCCATTGGGCCGTTTGAACTTCGGCCTGTTCCGAGCCCTTGAATCCTCACCATTTTAGAAAGATCTCAATTGACGTCATTTTGAGCCTCAGATCGGATTCAAACTACATCTGATCAAACGTTTCAGTAACACTTTTTGATTTTCAATACGTTCATTGAAATTCATTCCTTAAACACCTACTAGGTACATATGGATGTGTTGCAAGGACGCGTCGCACTTGAGCCGAAATCAAGGCAACTTTTGCAACAACTTACTATTCCAAACCCTCACGCCCCTCAAACTTACTCAGGTCCCTTAGCTTCTTCCCGCCCATGAAGAATATCCAAGGCACGGGCAAAAGCGCAATCGCGATAAACCCAAGCAAGCTCGAGGCCCACGCAATGTCGAGTTTTGTGAACACTAGTGGGGCAATCAGTCGTCTGGTCTCGTCGTTTTCAAACGCGTACGTACTTTGAATTGTGAACAGTGGGAATACTCCTGCAAGTCCATATCTAGCCAAACTGTTTGCACTCATCGCGCTGGCTATCGTGATACCGCGATACGTGTCAACGAGATACTGTGTTGTGCCAATGAAGACACACAAGTTGCCCCATGCGAAGACCATAACCGCCACGGCTGGGCTGGCCCACGAAATATCGACCCTGGATGTCCAGCCAAACCAGAACAGACCAATGGGCAACCCAAAGCTCCCAATCATGGCTGGGTATAGGCGCAACTCCGGAGGCGCTTGGTTTGGTGGGTGCTTTGCCGACTTTGGACGGTAGAAGAATATATCGCATAGCAACACTGTGAAAGCACCGAGCAAACATCCAACAACTATGGATAGGAATATCAAGCCTGATTTTTCGAGGTCGAATCTATATACGCTTTCAAATACGAGCGGGACCGCCGCAAAGAACGAGAAAAGTGTGGCAAATTCACAAGCCACATATAGGCAGATGAAAGCTACGATAGGCTCGGTGAAAAGCATCTGCACCGGTCGAATGAGCGCTATCGTCATGAAAAGGTGAATTCTTGAAGACAGCGGCTGTGATGGCGGTACTGGCAACCCGAGTTTCTTAGCACGACGACGCTTGATAATTGGATGAAAAGTCTCCTGGGCAGTGAGGAGTGTGAACATGGTGAATATCGCGAAAAATAAAAGCGTCCATTGTGTCCAACGCCAACCCTTTCGGGCAACAATGAAGCTACCAATAACTGGTCTGTGATAAAGTCAGCAAGTTTCTTGAGACTATTGGCAATCTTGATAAAATACGAACGCTATACCAGGGCCCAAAAATGGTGTCAAAATGAATATTATCGAAGGAATCGCTCGCTTGGCAGGTCTCCACGTTTCATTGATTGTCCCCGCAGCGATTGCCAATACTGGCGCAAAGCAAAATCCCGCGAGGAATCGCAGTATACAGACGGACGCTATCGTGTTGCTGAACCCGATACCAATAGTGAACAGGCTGCCGAAGACTACGGCACCGATGTACACGGGATATCGGCCGATGGTTTCTGATAGAGGGCCTCCTACCACTGGTCCCAGAGCCAAGGCAAATACATAAAGCGATAGGGGCAGGATGGCAACCGTACTGCCGACATTAAACTCCTCCATGAACGCTGTGTGTGCTGGTGTCAAGATTGATGTCCCAAGGGAGCTGTAAAATGGCAATAGTCAATTTCAGATCCTCATTCATCAACATGGGGATTTAACTCACGTTGTGAATGCCGCACATGAGATCATTAGGGCTTGTCGAAACTTCATATTTGTTGGCCAGTTATATGGGTTTTCGGGATCATCTTCCCAGTCCCATGTAGGCTGATCTATGAAGGCATCTTTGTGCTCGTTCAATCGTCCTTCAAGATCAGGGGTTTCCGTACCGGTCGAGAAATCGCCAGAGCCAGGATCGACCTCTTTTGTGACTGTAGTGTCCGACATACTAGAAGCCCGCTCTGACCTTCCTACCTAGATCCTTTTTTTTGATATCCCCCGAATCGGAAATTCGGGTTGATAGCCAGATGTTCCTCCAAAAATCAACCTCGAAATGTTGAAAAATATATGCGCATCGAATCACCCCAGGTGGGTTTTAAACAAATTCTATACGAGCAATTGCGGGCAAGGCTGAACGTGGGGCTTTGAACCCTGAGATCTTTGATGATTTCTGAATCACAATCACTAGTTTTAGTCGACCCACGACAGTGACGCCACCTGCATTAGCTGCATGCATACCCATGTGCTTTGTGTTACGCTCGGATGGCTTTCGGAGAAAATATAACACAATTTATAGCTTGTCGACCACATCAAGAGATGACGAATTTGCGCTCGCTTTCTCATGAAAATAAGGCCGAAATGCGAAATCTCCATTGAAGCAGCCGTATAACCGTCGCGTGTTGAATAATCGACGTGATAACTATACAAAGTGAGTTCATCGTCTCGAATATATGATTTGTCAACAAAAAAGGTAGCCGACGTTCTGATTGGCTCACATTGCTCCACCGGCTAAAAACCCCCGATCACTAACCATTGATTACTCAACACTTTAGTTAGGATCGCTTGCATTTTTGCTTTGTTTCGGGGAGGCTATTGAAGGTGATTAGCGATTTTTAAATAAGAACCGAGGTTCTCCGAAGCGAGATCTTCCAGTTATATGGAATACTTTGCGGCTGAAAGGCCTGAATTGACTCGCTCTTCCAAGGTCAAGAGTCAAGGAGAAGCGAAGCTGCCCGAAGAAAAAACAATACTTTGACTGCGCACTTACTGACAAAAACTTCTCTTCGTCTCGTCTACCCAGGTAGTACAGCTAATGCGACTTACAGGGGCTCAGACTCATGTGCCAACGATCCACCACCACCCACTTCCTCTTCTGTCTCCCCTTCACTTTCAACAGCATCATCATTGGACGCGATGAGGACTCAAATCGAAGTGCTACTTCATCCGCGACAACACCACCTAGCAACTGTCAGCTGCGATGTCGGTCGATGACTACAGATAAAAGATCCCTGGTCGCGCACGATGGGATCTTCAAAGACTTGATTACATTGGCCCACCCATACAATAAACGCTTGACCACGGAAGAAACATCGCAATTGGATAGATTGTTGGAATCTAGGTAATGTGTATAAAACGACGCACCCCCGAAAACGACTAGAAAAAAAATCAAAAAAAATCGTGAACAATCGTGAACGCGTGCAAAGCATTCATTAACTCCGTCGGTGCCATAGCGGAAATCCCCGACCTCAATCTTACAACGGAGCAACCAATATTTGACAGATACCTATATCAAAACATCCTATCGGATATTGTGTTCGCCGTGAACTCTGCCTAAGTGTTCCGTCATATTATCCCTTCGACTAAAGACCCTTTCACATCGGAGGCACCGAACAGACCGCGGAGTGACATGTATGGTGCCAACATGTCGAAGCAACGATCGTTTGCACCGAAACGTGCCATCGTACGAACAATTATTCCAGCCACAGCGGAAAGGGCCAACCCTGGTAAAAATGGGTGCGTTAGCAGCGAGAAACTTAGGATTCTCAGTGCTTAATCGCTCACTCTTGTCTCCTGCAATACCCCCCGTGTTGGCAGGGAGTTCTTCCACTGTTGTCAGTTATGTTGGTGGCCCTCGGTGTGATGGTGGATACCGAGGGAGGAATGCGACTCATGCTGTTCTCGATTGTGGAACCATTTGCCCCTGCAGCCTCGGAAGGGTTCCATTCAGCCATGAGATCTCTTCCGCTCAAGTCGTAACTAAACAGGGCCTCGATCGGATCACGAGTCGTGGGGACGGATGGTTGATGGAGACCTTGTATGCGCTGGTTGTAGGCGTGGTGGGCGTGGTTGGCGCGGTGGGCTGCAGGAACTCGGGTTGTAGGTGGCTCCGTGGTCTCCAATGGAGATGGTCGGTGCATGTAGATACCAGGATTCAGGCTCAAATCGACATTGTGCCAACGGCGTCTCTCAGGCACAGTCCTATCGGCCTCGGGGACCCAAAACTGGTCCATCTCGCAAGTATCTCCTTGGAAGGAAGGTCTTAATCAACCAATAGGTAGAAGCAAAGAAATGTAGATTGCGAAGGTCAACGTTTTTCTAGATTCTTCTTCTAAGGTTAGAAGGAAACACAGCTAGATGCAACAAATAGTACTAGGTACTTACTAGTAAAGCTTGAGATGCCGACGTGACGCTAGAGACATCTGGAGGTGAAGGCTAGGACTTTGAGGTTTCAGGTTGAAAACTCACGCATCCCCCCAGTGCCCAGACGCATCAGCTTCTAACCTTTTCAGAATGGGGATGTGCCATGGTTCATATATACTAGTACATAAGTACAGATTCCCGAGGCCTTTTCCAGGCAAACTGTGGCGCAGCGAGGTTGAAGCAGATCGGTAAGAGCCCAGGAACTTCTAAGGCGTCAAGGTAGACGTAGAGAGACAACATTGGGTACAGACATCTTCGACAGCACCTTGTTACCTAGTAACCCAGGAGCAAAGGTTCATGGTCAAACTTCTTCCGAGGGTCAATGTGGATAGCTCGAGGTCTAGGTTCTGATCGTACTAGCGTGCACTCCGCGTCGAGAATCAACTGAAGGGGGTTTGGTGGGGGGGGAAGCCACAGTCCGTTAAACCTAGTAATCATCAAGAGGAAGTAAAAATTTCACAAAACATTATGTCTTGTACCAAAGGATCGCTGGCCGACCTGGCGAGTTGATAGTACATATCACGACGTAGGTGGGATGGTAAGGGGGCGCAGAGTACTTGAAGACTCCGCCCTGTAAGCTTCTTCTTCAATAACAGCTCGAATATTGATTAGAAGGAGGCAGTTGGTTTTGTAATATGTGAGAAAAACATTCAACACATGTTTTGTTTGGAAGAAAAATTGATCTCCGGAGTGAGGTCTTCCGGTTTAAGCCATGAAGGAGGGGCTGAATGCAGCAGGGATGCGCCGCTGTCAAAAAAAGTCGATCTATGCTTTTGGATACCTTATTTGATGTGTTAATCTTCCACAGACCTTCTATGGTAACTCGATTCAAATACTTTTTTTCAAGTTGCTGGAAGGCTGATTCCTAGTGCAACCGTCTTTGCTGATCAACCCCGCTCCCCGCCCTAAAAGACGCGGCTGTCGTCATCGTCGGAGAAATCAATTTGGTCTCGTTCGGAGCGGACTCGTTTAAACTGGAGCATCTCCACGCTTGCGCCCGACAACCCCTTGGCGAGACCAGGCACCAGACCTTGTGGGTAAAAAAAATCCTCACAACTGAGTCTAAGTGGACTGAGAGAATACGCAGTATGTTTCACTTATCTTGGCAAGTGTGCGCGGCCGGGTGGCGGCTTTGTTGACGGAGATAACAGATCAACCAAATATATGACTCTTCGTCCTCCTCTCTCTCTTCGCTTTTCTCAACCTAACCCCTACCCTCGTTGATCCGACAAGCCGCCCCATATGCCCCTTACAATCCTCTCCCGATCGAACCTCCACGAGCTCCTGCAGTCTCTCACCGGTGACGAGATTCGCACCCTCCAAAGTCACCTTTCCGAGGCGCTACGTGAATATTCTACTGGTTCCCAGGATAAAGGTTGTTCGGCTACCTACCAACCACAGCGAACAGCCATCACACGCCAAAATGGGTGCACCACTTTATTCATGCCCGCCACCACCGGCAAAACCTTGGGCATCAAGATGATATCCCTCCAGGACGGAGATAAGGCGGGCTGTGCAGTGGAGCGAAGTGGCTATGAAGGCAACGAAAGCGACACCGGCTCCAGCACCCGACGAAGGGCCTCCGCACGAAACTCCGTGGCCTCACTTTCCTCCGAAATGAGCGATCTGTCCGTTGGCTCCTCGCTAGAAGATGGTGGTTCTGTGAGCCCCACGGCCACCAAAGATAGCGGGGGCGATAGCACCGATAGCTCGACTCTTCTCACGGGCTGCGTAAATCAGCAGTCCGTCATCTCCAACACTCTTGGCGCTTGGCCCGGAGCGGGGACCCGCGACACCTCGCCGCGGGGCAGTGTAACCCTCCTCGACGGGGAAAGTCTCCCATTCGCCCTAATCAACGCGCACGAACTCACAGCCTTCCGCACCGCGCTGGCCTCGCTGATGATCTTTAACAAGCGCAAGAAGGTGCGCACGATTTTGGTCTTTGGCGCCGGTACGCAGGCTTACTGGCATATTCGGCTGGCATTGACTCTGCGCGGCGACGAGATTCGTCGCGTTTATATCGTGAACAGATCTTTTGATCGTGCCGCCAAGCTCCTGCGGGATATCTATTTGCCCGAGAACTCGGACTGGCGCCGTGATGTGAAATTCTCCGCTGTCAGCAGCGACTTTGGTGACTATCACCGGATTTTGAAAGAGCATGTACGCAAGGCGGATGTCATCTTCTGCTGCACGCCCTCTCTCACTCCTCTCTTTCCGGCTGAATACCTCACTTCGCGTGAAGGTCGCCAGAAGGGCAGGCTTATTGTAGCTGTTGGGTCGTACAAGGCTCACATGGCGGAGATTCACCCCGATATCCTTCGAGATGAAGTAAATGTGACTCCGCCTCACCGCCATTACCACAAGCACACCCGCCGCAGTGGCGTTGTTGTTGTTGACAGTCTCGATGCGGCTATCAAGGAGGCTGGTGAGATCGTCCAAGCAGGCATCAAGCCACAGCAGTTGGTCGAGTTAGGCGAGCTGTTGATGGTGCGCCATGCCACTCTCCAGGAAGACGGTCAAAGTGAGGATAAGGGTTTAGTTGAATGGGTGGAGAAGGGCAACGTCATCTTTAAAAGCGTTGGACTAGGCTTAATGGATTTGGTTACAGGCGGTGATCTAGTTGCTTTGGCACGGGAGCGCAACTTGGGGACTACAGTGGACGACTTTTAAGACTTTGCATTCAAGTTTGATCATGATGTGATTTGGGCACTGTATCATATACCCTTTGTTTCTTCAAGTTTCTTTTTGCTTTCTTATTACTATATTCAATTAATACTATTTGAACTTCTGAAGACCTCCATACCCCTACTAGAAGACTGATATCCGAGCACCATTCTTCTTCCCCGCGTTTAAGTCGGCAATCCTCGGTCTTTGACCCCAAGTATAGAAAACCCCCAACCCAGCATCAACACTTGGCCTTACAATAATAAATACCTTCACATATACACATGCACACATAACATCCATACAACGCCAAAATGTCCCCCGCCGCCACAATCCTCACAAACATCACCCGCAGAACAACAGGAACAATAGCCCACCTAACAATCTCCCGCCCAGCCAAACTAAATGCCCTCAACACGCCGCTCCTCGACCAAATCCCCAAAACCCTCCAATCGCTCACATCCCAAAACCAAGACCTCCTCGCCATCGTTCTCACGGGCGCAGGCCCAAAATCCTTCATCGGCGGCGCCGACATAGCCGAGATGGCACGACTAGACTCCCCTCCGGCCGCAGAGGCTTTCATCTCAAGGGTCCACGCAGTATGTGCTAGTCTACGCAACTGTCCTGTCCCGGTCATCGGACGTATAAACGGGTACGCGCTCGGTGCCGGACTGGAAGTTGCGGCGTCCTGCGATCTGAGGGTTGCGAGCTCGAATGCGGTTTTTGGGATGCCGGAAGTAAGTACATACTACTAGTAGTATATATTCTTCCATCTTGCAGTATTCGCGTAGAACCACAGCACAAGCTATGTGTATTTATGTATAGTCATTTGTTTGTTTGTTTTTGGCTTGGCTTGGCTTGACTTGTGTCCTTGCTGATTCATTCCAGGTTCGAATCGGCATTCCCAGTGTCGTTGAGGCGGCACTTTTGCCTGGTCTTATTGGATGGGGTCGGACAAGACAGCTTCTTTTGCTGGGGGAGAATATTGATGCTGCGGAAGCGTTTCGGTGGGGGCTTGTTGAGAAGGTTGTTGAGCTGGGCGAATTGGATGAGGCTGTTGAGGGTTGGTTGTGCTCTTTGGAGAAGAATGGGCCACTTGCTGTGCGGAGGCAGAAGGCGTTGATGCGAACTTGGGAGAATGTTTCGATGGATCGCGCGATCCAAGCTGGTGTTGCTGCGTTTAGTGAGGCTTTTGTTGCGGGGGAGGGAGAAGTCACGGAGCCGGCGAGAATGATGGAGGCCTTTTTCCAGGCTAAAGATGAAGTAACCTACTAGCCCGGAATAATGATGGAATGATGGAATCAAATCAATCATTAGGTAAGTATGGCATTTGCTTTTAGGTATGTCTATCCCATCGAACTCATATCTAAATTTTCTTTCGAAAGAAAGTCAATGATACAATCAGACTCCGATCCACCGAGCACCCAGATTCTGTAATGTACAAAACAAAAACAAAGCATATGACGAGACCTCTTTATCAAAACATCAATCAACCCTCATCCTCGTTCTCATTATTGGCTTTACAGCTTCAGACGCAGCAGGTTGGAGATCATCTCCCGACCAGTGATGCGAGTAGTCGCCCACAGGGTAGGGAAGTCCAGGGTGCTGGAGAAGGTATCGGCGTAGCCGAAGAAAAGCATGGGAGGGATCCAGCCACGAGCGTACTCGAGAGCAAAGCAGGACGAATCCATCTTGTACTGCTTGACCTGGCCGCGCTGCAGGTGGTGCACGGTACCGGCGGGGTAGGACTCGGCCTCGAAGGAGCCAGGGACATAGGCCAATTGAGTGCCGGAGAGAATGTTGAAGTAGTCGTCAGCGGTGTGGCGACCGGTGTGGCCCTCGGTACCGATGGCGGTGCCGAAGATGATCAGGTACTCAGTGATACCTAAGAGAAAAGGACAAGACAGATTAGCCAAAGGCCTCAATGGCGGGAGCAGAACAAGAAAGCGCCAGTCGGGGACTGGAAATCAAATCACGTACTGGCATGGATGATGTACATGGCGCCCATGGCACCACCGGCGTTGTTGAACACCCATTCCTCCTCGGTGCTCAGGTAGTTAGGTCCGACCTTCTCCTCCAGCTCGGAGACGATGAAGTTGACGATAGAACGGGTGTCCTCGCCATGGGTCTTGATGGCGCGCTGCGAAAGATCGTGCAGGTGCTCCGGGTCGAAGATGTAGAACTGCTCCAGGCGCGCATCGAGGTAGCTGTAGACGGCGGTGAACAGAGCCAAGAAAATGGCCAGGAAGCTCAGGCTCTTGATGGAGAAGCAGCGGCAACCGCAGCCGGAGCTGGTAGCCTTCTTGCTGGAAGATTTGGAAGGCATTTGGAGGGATTGGGGTGGAAGGCGAAGAGCACAGGGTAGGAGATGCGGAAAGTGGAAAAAAAGCCGAAAATTAAATGGTGAGGTTATCAGCCCCTGGCGAACCCCGGAGTTCCACTGTGGAGCCGGCACATAACAATAAACACGAACAGGGATAAATGCAGATTGATGCGCAAGGGTAATGGGATTGAAATTGAAATTGAAGACTGCCCTGAATACCTATCTATTTAAGTCGGTATTGGGTGTTTATGTGATTTCAATGCCATGTTGAACCCTCACAGTATGAATTGATAAATTGATGTTACTGAGAATGTGAGACCCGACCCCGAATCATCCACACGCCATATCGGATCGCCCCAATCCGATTCATGTTGCGCTGATTGGTCATGTTTGATATAAACAACTATGTAATTCGTTACTTGGAGTTAACCAGGAGGCTTAAAATTTAATATTCAACATCAATTGATCATTGCGGATATTTCTAGGGAAGAAGGGCAAGAAATCGGCAAATCCTTGGACATTTTTACAGTACTGAAGCGTCTCCAATAGGATCCTGGATAGGCATTTATCTACATATAGTGTTGAATTGATATGACGCGGTGCTGATGATCATCACCCACTCCAAAACGGCCCTCTCTCCGAAGCAGACAATACTTGGAAATACTTGCATATAGCCTAAATCACCCCAAGTCTTCACAAAAGCCAGGCTAACAGTGAAACTAAGGGTGACGAATGCGGGGTGCATATAAAAGGACTCTTCATGAAATTGTGGCTTGAAAACTCGTCATAAGATCCAAGTCTCGGGTAAAAAAAAAATAAGAAATAGACAAAAAGTCACCGAAATTTCCATCAAGGAATAATTGATGCTTGCACATGTGAAGTTCCAACCATACATCAGGAATCAGAATACGGAGGCCAGTGCTCCTATTCTGGTTTTTTCTTCTCTTTTTCTGTCACTTGAAAAGCGATGCCCATGTGCCGGGAAAGGGGCACACCAAATGGGTCTATGGACCCTTAGAGCCCCTGATTTTTAAGCTCTCAATGTATTCTAAACATCGCCTAGAATGTTCGAGATATGTATATAGCATTTCTTCCACAAATTCCTTCTAAACCCACTCGGAGGAACCTCGGGATATCAACAATGGACCCGTTTTGACCGTGTTCCTCCACTTAAGGACCTCAGGCGGGCCGGCGCCGTCGTCTCAGATTCCAAGTCAACAGTCGGAGATCTTCCAAGAAACGGAAAAGTACGCCAAACTCAAAATCACCCAAGCCCAGAAACAAAAAGACCCCAGTCGTGGAAAATCTTCACGGACCACGTTCCCCGAGGCTTGGTTCTGGTTGTTGCAGAGTAGTATGAAGCACCCTTCAAAGGAGAAAGAAAAAAAAAATGCCCGGTGGAGCTCCGTAGATGACAACCTGAGACAGGACTCCTCCGTGCTCTATGCGGAACACCATCCACCACGGATGAATGTCCAAATCACCAATGTCCCCGAAGGAGGTCATTTGAGCGTAAGTATATATGATCGCCGGGTCTGGTCTGGAAAAAGACTTTGACTCCAAGGTTGTCTCTCCCATCATCAGCATCTCTTATCTTTCTCTCTTGATTACTCTTCACCATGAAGTCTTTCGCGCCATTGTCGGTCTTGTCTCTTGTCCTCGCCGGCTTGAGCAATGCCGCGACCATCCCCACCAAGTCCCTGAGCAAGCGTTCCACCACCACCTGCGATCAGTGGGGAACTATCACCACAGGCAGTTACATCGTCTACAATGACCTTTGGGGTGAAGCCGAGGCCACCAGCGGATCGCAGTGCGTCACCGTGAGCTCGTTGAGCGGCTCCACCATCGCCTGGTCCACCGAGTGGACATGGGCCGGTGGTTCCTCGGACGTGAAGAGCTATGCCAGTGCGGCGCTTCAGTTCACGGCCAAGACGCTGAAGAGCATCACCAGCATCAAGACCACATGGGACTGGAGGTAAGACGAAACATGACAAAACAAAACGGATGACCCTCGTGCGATGCTAACATCGATATGTACCAATAGCTACTCCACCACCAATATCGTCGCTGATGTCTCGTACGACATGTTCTTGGCCTCCACCGCGAGCGGCTCCGACGAGTACGAGATCATGGTCTGGCTTGCAGCGCTGGGCGGTGCTGGTCCCATCTCTTCGACTGGATCGGCCATCGCAACCACTACCATCGGCGGTGTCTCGTTCAAGCTGTACTCTGGTCCCAACGGAGATACCACCGTGTACAGCTTCGTTGCCACCGAGACCACCACTAGCTTCTCGGGTGATTTGTTGGAGTTCTATACCTACCTTATTGATGAGGAAGGCTTGAGCTCGAGCTTGTACTTGGTTGATGTGCAGGCTGGTACTGAGCCCTTCACTGGCAGTGCCACCCTCACTACTTCTTCGTACTCTGTCGCAGTTGTTTAAGTCAGATAGGAGAACTGGTGGTGAGCGAGAATATTTGGAAATATAAGGGACTTGAGCCTGGAGCTTGAAGCCTTTTTTTTTTTTTTTTTTTTTTGAATAGGCTCATCTGAATGACAAATTCACTTTGCTTTCCCTCTGCTTTTCTGTCGTAACCCGAGGTGATGTCGCTGGAATCACTTAGCATGATGATGCATGCAAAGTAGACAGGCACGCCTACCATTGACCCCCGAATTTCAGGTGGACACTTGGCCTGAGAGTACATGTAGTAGATAGTGACGAGGTCAGACCGTGGGCAGTAGTCCGCAGGACGGCCTGCAGTCTTTTAACACTGATATTCGGAGCAATCGTCTTTCCAACTAGTCGGTCAAAACCCATGACTGAAATCAGTGTCCTGATAGGCTATTCTGTCCAGGTGCTTGGCCAGGGCCGCTATATTAGTTGAAGGGGAAATGCTTACAAGTACTAGTATCAATCATAGAAGAATTGAGAGGCTATCTATTTCCCAGGTTTGGATCTGGTTTTACTGCCACACCATTTCCCAATATTACCACACTGTTTCTAAAACATTTGGCAGGTTGCGCGCGCTCAGTCACGTTCAGGCGAATCAATCTCCGCCTATTTACGCGTCCCCTAAATATCACGCGTGGAATTAATGCGTGACGGGTCTATTGAGCCGAAAATAATTTCCTGGTCAAACTAGTATCTAAACCAATAGTTACCCAGTCTCTCGGATTCCAAGATTCATTGCAAATGATCCCATATATCCAGTCATCAGGTTAGAAGTGGTTTGTCTTCAGCGCGGACGAAAAGCTGTCCCCTGTTCACAAAGCACTGAGTGCTGGGGAAGAGTATTTCGTAGCTGTCCAATAGGTCAGTTATCACCTGGACAAGGGCTCCACAATAGACTACAGCATCATTTGAAACGGTTTGTCCTGCTTATACTTCGAAAGCAAGTAGACTTCACGACTTGCAGTAAAACGCTGCACCCTCCCGATAGAGTGGAGCCAGAAAGCTTCATAACTCTACGTTAGCCCGTGTCTTTCGTGAAGTCCAGGCAGACTTTCAATATAACACTCTCTTGCAAGCCCTGGTGGCGGCCAAGGCTTTCATCGCGAACAAAGTTGACATCAAACAGCGAAACCATCCGCAACACTCTAGCAAAGATCTTTATAATGTGTTCAACATCCGGAATCTGCCGGGAAAGATATTCTCGGTGAGCCTACTCGTGAAGGAGTGAACGCCGATGGGAAGTAATCCATGACCACCTCCTGGGAAGCGCCAATTTGATACTTGATGGAGGGATCATATTCCACCATGACTAGGTGCTCATTATTGACTTCTCATCTAGCGAGCTAAACCTGGCTCTTGAATTGCATGAAGTTCAGTCAGCATGGCCGTTTCCTGGTCTCTCTGCTGTTTGCTGGTAATGAGGCTAAGCACGGTCTTACATCAGGCTTGTTGTCGGGCAACGAGGGATTCGCTGCTCTTTTTGTTCATAAGCCAGAGTTGGCAGGTAATTCGTCTGAGAGCGTCGATGCAATTCATGATCATTAGGCCCTCCGAATGAAGGCTCCTTCCATATGGTGGTGTTTGCTTGTTTCAGTAGGTCTTTTTTTTGCCCGTCAAATAGCCGAACCATCACTTTTAGTCGCCTTTGGTGTTCTGCTGGCAATGGGTCACGAATGGAAATGCTTTGGGGCTAGCGTTCCTTGTTGATTGATGTTAGCACTAGGGACATTTGGGGCGCTCTCAGAAGCCGTAAGCAAAAGAAGGCGCTCAACCAGAAGGGCGATCAGATGATGCATGAGCCAGGTGACGCGGGGGCAAGCGGCACGAGTATGGGATGGTCACTGAAGAAGACGTGTGCACCGTTGTACTTCTTCTGCGACAAGGCCCAACTCCTGATCCCGAGCACTGAAAGGGGGAAGGAACGTCAAGAAGAAGTCATAGATGTAGGAAGATCAGAAAGCACCTGTTGAACAATTGGCCATGATTATCGCATACTTTTGAAACATGAACCCACGAGAATTGCATGTCAAACTGTATGGAGTTGAGTTTGATGTTCTTGTCTATTTGGGTGTGACGCCATTGGCCACGGTATAGACTCGGGACATGCATTTACATTGGTCGTTTCAGCCCCCCGGTCGCAACCAGTGGATGTTGATTGTTTAGCGCTGAAACTTGACACTGTGGTTCCTGAAACCCAGCTCCAGGTCGCTCTGAAACAGACTTCCGTTTCACCATTGGGTTAAATTCAAGTAATCCAAGTAGTTCACCACCGTTCGCATAGTGGATTTCTTCGGCACAGCCCCCCGATTCTCAACAATGAAGCCATCTAGAGCGTAAGAGCGAGAGGCCGTCGCCCCCAAGTTCCAAACTTCCAAGCTTCATCTTCAATCGATCGCACATTCTCACCCATACACTGTAATCTTCCCCTCATTCATGCGACGTCAAATGTAGCATCCAGAATGATAGCGGGAACGCAGTCGGGGTCTACCCGAGCGCGTATGCATCCTAATAATAAACCATGAACCCGCTTCTATCAATAGATTTAGCGTAGCGGTACTTCAGACAGGGCTGATATAATTAGGATCAATGACGTTGGGGTTGTGAATGGAACCCAGTAACCAGGAACCGACAGTGGAGAAGAGGTTCCCTAAGCGCTCGCGGGGGAAGGACGGGCGCTTATATAGATAGCACCGACGACAGGCCCCAAGGAACCCTCTGCAACCCCAAAATAACCAGACTGGATTATTTTCTTTTTTTAGACCAAGTCCCGAGGTCCCCTTCTCCATCCATACTAGTTCGAGAAACTTGCAGGGCTCCGAATTGTCGGGCTATTGCATGCATTGACGGAGCATGCAGAGAAGTGACGAATCTGGAAATTCGGAAATCGAGATGCCATCGAATTCTAAAATCGATAGATCGAGGAAACCAAGTCCATGCGTTGTGAATGTACTTTGGAGAAAAGAAAAAAAAAAGCCCAACCACCTTGTCCCCCTCCCCGCTGCCCTACTCTCTCCCCCTCCTCCTCCCCATCCCAGCCCCTAGTCATGGGAGGTGGGACAAGGGAATTGATTGAGTGCCCTCATAACGCGAGGTGAAGCAACTATTGTGGCTTGTAGCACTGAAAACAAGTCAGGACAAACCACGGGTCGCGTTAAGTCAGTTATCCCATGATTGGATCAGTCATTTGGCATGTTGGAACCACTGGAAACACGCTGTCGACCCACAACCCGTGGCGCCGTGTTGACAGGGGTCACTTGGGAAAAACCTCCGCACGGACATGGGATTGGATGATCCCCAACGCGCCAAATTGAAACACGACTTGCCACATTGTTCCTGCTGGCGCTGATATGCTACACTAGCTTAGGCTTCAGCTGCGGTAGAAAAATAAAAAAAGATGTCACCCAAAAGGGGAAGAAAGGGAAGGAGGGAGAGACTCGAGAGAGAGAGATCCTTTGGCCCCTAGGCTTCATTATGTACCTTGATTCGAATTAATCGGACTTCCAATGGTAAAATAATAAAAAAGGCTCTGTCCCGGATTTTGGGTTCAAGGTTGACAAAGTCCCTGGGGATCGATCATCGGCCCCTCATTCTCTAGGGACGTGTCAGAGGGAGAAATCCGACCTGTGGTATTTTAGACGAATTTAGTTTGCCCTTTTTTCCCCCGCGTCTTAGAGGAGTTAACTTGAGACGGTCATGAGTTTCAAAACGCATAACGAATGAGAAGGCTGGACCTTGAACTTGGATGGGCTGGATGAGACTCCATTTGGCGTGCTTTCCCTTTGGCCATTTGGTACCTTTGGATTTGGAGTGGATTTATGGTGGGTCTCGGGTTGATCCCCTCGCAGGATGTGGAGTTTGGAGTTTACAGCTGGGTTGGCGATCGCCCCTCAATCCTCTAATTTGTATTTTTAATTTATTTTTTTTTGCCAATTTTTTCTTTTCTTTTTTAGTGTTGGAACACAGCGCCTGGAGAGATCAGAGATTACTATTCTGGGAAGTTGCTTAGAGACCTTAGGATGGAGTTATGAGAGATTCATAGTCTAGGGAGAGGTAATAGAGGCAATAGAGGTAATAGTTACTAGAATCAAGAATCATGGATCTAGGGATGGAAATTGGAGCACAGACTTAACCAGAAATCCGTCAAATGTAATGCATTCAAGCCCATTCCATGAGTCTCAGCCAAGGTTCATCTCAGATCCAACTATGCATCCCCTGTACACGCTGACTGGCTATGGGTCCTTGCAGCTTAACCAGCCGCCAGAGGTTTATTCTTTTCCTTATTCCTTATTCCCTTTTTTCTATGGCGCATACCGGAGCTATATCTACTCCCAGATTCCCACTTGGATTCTTCACGAGATTCATCCACATGCTCAACGTCGTCACCCTCCTTTCAACCTCCACTCTTTATTAATCACTTTAATTGCATTTTATAATTTGCCCTTCCCTCATTTCAGAACAGTCTGCACCTCATCTCAAGCTATTGATCTGATCAACTCATAAGTGGGCTTTGTCTCTCCGATAAAAATTTCCGCCGCAGGTCTCACTTTTGCTCCCTAAGGAACTTCCAAATCTTCCAGTTAGGGCTATCGATAAGCGTTGACACGACAACTCCATCCTTACTGCATTCTTTTAAAAACCTCGCCGAACTACCATATTTGTCTCCTGCTGGTCAGGAATTTTGGCTGTTCCATTACCAATCCCAGTTTTCTAATCTGAACTGGCCTTTTTGTTGCTTGTTTTCTTTCCCCCCATTCAAACTTCAACCACAAAGCTCTTTTGTTTAGCTCGAGGAAACCCAAGACTTTCTTTCAGGTCATTCAAGGTCATTCACAACTGAAAGCCTTCCTTGACTACGCCTTTGTTTTCATTGTTTTCAACCGGTGCTTTCATTAGACCCTCCCAAAAATATCCAAGCTATTTAATAGCTTCGAATATCTCCATCCACCATGCAGAACAACACCTCAACAACCATGACACTCAACCGAGCTGCCCTCGATGAATTCGTTACGCAGCGTGTCACTCGCGACATGGTTAGCTATCTGGCCCAACAAGCGTCACATGTTATCCGGTGCGAAGCCCATGTGACCAACACGGTCAGCCAACACGGCCAACCTACTCCCCCCGCCACACCTCCTATGGACCCAGAAGATCCCTCCCTGCCACCATTGCCATCTACCGAAGTCTTCATCGCCTCGCTCGTTGCTCGGTCGCAGGTGCAAGTCCCCACTCTCATGAGCGCCCTCGTGTACCTCGGTCGTCTGCGTGCTCGTCTGCCACCTGTCGCCAAGGGCATGCGCTGTACTGTCCACCGGATCTTCCTCGCCTCACTGATCCTCGCCGCCAAGAACCTCAATGACTCAAGCCCCAAGAACAAGCACTGGGCCAGGTACACAGCTGTGAAGGGATACGAAGGGTTCGGCTTCTCTCTCCCTGAGGTCAACTTGATGGAACGTCAGCTGCTCTTCTTGCTCGACTGGGATACCCGGGTCAACGAGGAGGATCTGTTCACATACTTGGAACCCTTCCTCGCTCCCATTCGTCAGCGCCACGAGATCCAACTCCGCGAACAAAAGGCTCAGGAGGAACTTCAGCGCAAGCAACAGCAGCACCGTGAATGGTATGCCCCCGTGCTCACCACCATCCAGGATATCTCTACTCACACTCGTTCCAGGCGCCGTCTGCACGTTTCGGCGGATCTGCTGGCCAGCCGCCTTCGTCGTCAAAAGCTGGAGGCCAGAGTCGATGGTCGTCGCGTTGCCGATCACTCTCTTCGTCGTCTACCGAGCCATGTCTCTTGCCCCAGCATCAACACTACCCAATCTCCGCAGTTCGCTGCCGAGTCCGATCGCTACAACCCCTACCACCGTCAACGCGCATCACCTCACCGACCCACTCGATCTATCTCCCCGCCTTCCATCCGCGATGTGCCCCCTCTCTCTCACGCCGACACCTTCAACTCCCTCTGCTCTCGTTCATCCAGCGTTGCCCCCAGCTCCCGCGGCACCCCAGGAAGTATCAGCACTATTTCATCCCACGGCAATGACGACTTTACCATCTCCGACACAAGCAACAGCCCCACCGCGTCCTTGGCCTACAGCTATGTCAATGTCGGCGCCATCGACGCAAAGCTTCCCTTCGAGCCAGTTCGCCAATCTAGCAAGAAGATGAAGACCCACGGTCACTCTGGTGGCTTTGTCGCTCGCTTCCTTGCTTCTGCAACTGGATCCTACGGCCGTATTGGTCGGCCCCACGCTTAAACCGAGCTGGTCTCGAATTCTGCTCTCCACATCTTTAATACCATACCATCCCCGCCATCTTTCAATGCATCTGGATGCTACTTCCCTCACATGCAACATTTTCTTTGTGTCATTTTCCTTTTTATTTGTCTCAGTATCTCCATCCCTCCACCTACATCTTTTATTACTGCTTGACTTCAAAAAGCATTCCCCAACCCGTTGATACGCCCTTGACAATACCCTCTTTTATCCCAAGCCCGAATTTGTCACCCCCTTGCCGTCTTTTAGATATGCACTTTTCCTTTCACTCCTGTCACTCGCTATACTGCATCCTGGCATCGGCGTTTTGGTTTTGGTTTTGGTCTCGAATCGGTTATTGGTCTGTTCGGTCTCCGGTGTTTTCATCTTCTTTTTTTCATTTCTTGAATCATCTTCTTGATCCGGTTGGGATGATGGTATCTATGCCCATTAGACGTTTGTGTGATGTATCTACCGGATGTACTTATCCTGTCTATTTCAAATTTCCCATCCTGTCTCTGCGTTGGACGAACATCCAGCCTAAGAGCAACGTACACCTCATAATGAAAGGAATTTGTGAATTTCAAAAACAATCTGAGCTCTGAATCTGAAATCTGAATCTGAATCTAAAACATCGCCCCGCCTCCCGGCGGCAAGTACCTAACCTAAGCATACTAGTTGCATCGTTCATGTACATGTACAATGTATGTACATTCCTTGCCTCCCCCGTTCTCTTATTCCCGGCCCGTACTTAAATCTCTCCGCAACTCAATGCTGCATCTGCACTTGCAGAGCTCGAGGCAACTGGTCCTGTTTCAACGGTGCTGCAAGGGTGCACAAGCACAAAAGCAGCCCCACATACCTCGTTACCGTCCGGCTCACCGGTCCGGAGGCGAAATCGCCCACTAAATTACTCATTCATTGATTATCTAGGGATGAGGAGACTAGTGGCACGATATCCAAGACAAGGATGGACCTTTATTACATATTCCATATGCATGTACTCGGTGCTTATTTGTTTTCCTGGGAGACTTGCATCGATGGATGTAAAAAAGGAAAGTCAGGTCTTTATTCGGGGAAGTCGGGCTAATCTTTTGTGTAGATACAGTAAAACATATGGGACGCCACGCCACAATCCCCCTAGCACCAGGGTATAGAGCTGCATCTGGCGGTGTGATAGATGTGAGCAAAATGAGCACCTTGCTTTGCCTTTGCCTTTGCCTTGTCGCGTAGAATGCTTACTTACCGATAACAATGGATCGACGCTGGTGGTTCTGAGGACGGTGGTTATCCACTGAGTGATAGGTGAGGCGGAGTGGAGGTGCATGATTGGGGACAAATTGTTTGTGGAATGTATGTAGTGGAGCTGATGTGCGGCTGCGATGTATGTCTAGCTCGTATCCAAGTCTCTAAAGTTGGACTCGATCAAATACGGTACAGAAGGCTGGATAGAATATAATCATATTATAGGATAGGGTACAGACGCGATCGGCCTGAATCTAGGGAAATCAACAAAATATAACAAAAATCAGACCACAGTCGCACCCGATTCTTAACTGCACTCGAGGCTGACCCGATCCATAACACTAGCTATTGACCGGAGCACGTAGCTCAAATCGGAAATCCCAGAAGCAACCGTAGCCCGTTTCAGCAATCGGAATAAGACTCGCGTCAGACTGGTTTCCTGAAAAGGAAGAGTCCTAGTGATCTAATGTTCCGGGATCAATATCGGTACTGGGGAAATGGGGCCGGGAAGTAAATCCGAATGGAAGAGAATAGAATGGAAGGATGAAATAGATCGAATACGATGCCTTTCTCCCGATCACACTGTTTGGCGCTGATCGGACTCCGAGGGAGGGATCTTGATCCTCCAATCCTCACGGTCAGTGGTAAGACGCAATATCGGGATCGGAGCTGATTTTGTTGGTTGATTTTGTTGGTTCCGATTCATTAATGTTTGTCCATTCGAAAATTGCGAGGGGTTGTAATGTTTGTTTGCAAGGATGGTGGGGCCATTTTGGGGATGTAGGGTCGGAATTATGACATCAATAATTGAAGATTATGAATCTAGGACACCCAATAGTCGCAGCATCACGCATTCAAGTGTTTCAAGGCTCGGAGCGTTTCTGTATCGAAGGATGTCGGTGTATTTCCAGCCTTGGAGCTACTGACTACCTACTAGTACTAAATCAGTAGTTGAGTGTCAGTCTACCCTTGTTCGGCGAGTAACGTTATCTGAGCCGAACCCCTAGGGAGAGTTTCCAATTATCAGCAAAGGTATATCTATACTATTCAGTCCTGAGTTTGAAAAAGATGACTTTAATCTCAAATCCGAGGCTATTTCTATTAGAAGATTAAAGATCTATAAAACATGAGGTTAATCACGATGAACCACGGATCTGCCTGGGATTCCTGGCCCAATATGGTAGCTACTACTACGTCATAGTGGATCCAATCTTCCACTTATTTCAACCAATAGAAACGTGTTTCATATAAGCGATTTTGCTGTAGAAACCCCCCGCAGCGGGGACCTCAGCATGATTCAACACATCCATATATCCAGATGTCTCTTCCAATCATACATTCATGCCATATCCAACTTCATTTTAGCGTAAAACTCCATCCGCACAGATCATTACCCCCTCATTGTAAATATCCTGAGAAATATGAAACCTTCAATCTATCTCTACTGTACATACCTTCATCATTATCTCACATAACAAGTCTTCCAGTATGGCTATCATCAAGATCGCAATAATAACAGGCGGCAGTAAGAACCTTCTCACCAACCACAACAAAAAAAAAGAGCTTCATACTAAGTCCATCCTCCGAACAAAGCGAGCGGCATTGGCCTCGACGTCGCCCAAAGACTCGACAGCACCGGCAACTGGAAGATCCACATAATCGGCAGCAACAAGCAACGCGGCGAAGACGCCGCATCGCCACTGAAAAACACAACCTTCCACCAAGCAGACGTATCCAGCTACCAAGCGCAAGCCGTCGTCTTCGACAAGATCTTCGCCGAGTCCGGGCGTCTGGACTTGGTCTTCGCAAATGCCGGCATTGCACACCCCGCCGCCCCATTTTACGCCAAGCAAGACGAAACCAGTATCCCGCCGCAGCCTGATGTTGATGGCGTTCTCGGCATCAATTTGGATGGTGCCATTTACACGAGTTATTTGGCGATGCATTATTTCCGTAGATGCCCGCCATCCGAGAACGGGAGTAGACATCTTATTTTGACGTCGAGTATTGGGGGTTTATATCCCTGTATGAATGCGCCGATTTACGTGGCAACGAAGCGTAAGTTGTTGAGGGTCCATTTTGGATGTTTTCGATGGACATTCCAATACCCTATGTATCTTTCCAAGATCTCCCGGAGCTGACGTTGTCTCAGATGCATTGGTTGGGTTTACACGCTCTATGGGTAAGAAACTTCGGGAGGAAGGGGTCAAGATGAATGCAATTTGCCCGGGCGTGGTCGAGACTCCCTTGGTGACACCTGAGATCAAAGCGTTTTTTGATGAGAGAATCGTCATTCCCATGTCTGAAGTGACTGATGTAGTGATGGAGATGATGGCTGGAAAAGCCATGGTCGACTCTCAAGGCACGACTATTCCTGGGGAGGAGTTGTATCAGCGGGCGATCTTGATCTCTGGGAAGAATCATTACTTTGTTGAGATGCCGGAGATCTACGATGAGGAGACGCGTATCACTTGGAACGGAATGATGAATTAATGATGGATGTACTAGTAACCACGTTATATTGTTTGCTATTTGATTTTGACAATTCCAAGGGCTCATGTGGATTCCCAAGGTTGAGCGACACGATATACTGAAACTCAATAGTGTGAAGTGCGAGATTTCAACCGGCATTTCAACCCATGCTGTTTCGCAAACCAGAATGTCTCGACTCGCCATTCCGGTTCTTCAGATGCCCATTCAATCTCGAAATTGCGAATAAGCTGTGGAACCAGTTTCCCCATTTCCATAATAGAGATGTTCTTTCCAACACACGTTCGAGAGCCATATCCAAACTGAGAAGATGTCAGCATAACAGACCATTTATCAGGCCGAGAAAATAAGATATTTGGTGCAAACTTACTGTCATCAGGTTTCTATCCATGATTTTGACTTCCTCCTCACTAGACTCCGTCCACCTTTCTGGTCGGAAAATGGCGGCATCTTCTCCATATATAGACTTGTCATGGTGTACAACCGCCGCGTTCATCCCGACAATAGTCCCTGCATCTAGATGGACTCCACAGAGATCGATTCCACCTTGAGGAACGATACGCTCAAGGGGAAATGATACTCCGGGGTTGCACCGCATTGCTTCTTTCATGACGACTTGTCTATTTCTTATCAGCTTTGCATAGATATCCACCTCATTGACAAAACTCACAGATAAGGAAGCTCTAGGCACTCGGCATAAGTGATGTCTTCAGACAGTCTTCCCGCTTTATCAGCCTCGTCGATCTCCTTCTGTAATTTTCTGTAAACTGCCTTGTTCTGCACAAGGTAGTAGACAATAGCGCGAAGAGAGATTGCCGTGGTATCGCTCCCAGCAAGCCTATAAGCAAAAGTCAGACATAAGCAATCTGTATGGCCACTCAAGGCCTCTCTTCAAACTCACAGGTTATTGCTCAGATGATTCATAATATCACGATTAGGCATCGGTTTACCCTTTGCCTCCTCGCCTCTAAGCCAAGCAAGAAAATCCGGCCGATCCCCATGTTCCTCGACGGAACGCTGATCATAGTCATCGATACACTCTTGAGTGAACTACAATTAAACCCATCAGATCAAAGAATTTTTATCAAAATCAAAATCCAAGAAGAGAGGTCAACATACCTGGACCATCGTCCGAAAAGGATCAGGAGCATCGAAAAATGGCTGAGCAGCCAAGAATTTCCCCACCCAAATATTTCCCATCATCCACCGATGAAGAAAGGGGACCTGGCTCACAATACCTGCATAGTGCAGGCCTGCATCCAGCGCACCTATCATACCGCGTACATCCTGTCGCTTCTCCATGAATCCGAACCGACTTTGGAAAGTGATGGCTCCGATCACGTCGAACGCGTACCACTGTAGCCAAACACCAAGATCAACTTGTTGTCCTTCCAGATCTCTCATTGCGTCGATGAAGATCTTGTTGCATTCGTCTGCGAATGGCTCAAGCGATTTGATAGAGGACATGGAGAACTTTTGAGCAACCGGTCTCCGAAGTGCCTGGTGGGCGACTGGATCGCGGACAGAGAACATGCTAGGCATGACTATGTCCTCATAGAATGGACTGAAGGCATCGTAGAAAGCGGACTAGTTATTTTCAATGTCAGTGGGGTCTCTGTCTTGAGTTGTATTTCTCATATACTTGATCCGTACCTTAAGGAACTTGCTACCTATCCCGTATATCACGGGCAGGGCATCAGGGTCGGAGATGTCAACGGTATTCGGTCCTGTCCGGACAATCCGGCCATATTTCTCATGCAAGTTGCGGTAAAAAACGGGTGCGTCTCCTTTGGATATCTTCCATGCACGGTAAAAGGGTGAGAATCTGGCGAATTTTGGTCCGGGGAGAGTCCGCAGTCCTGATCTTAATAAATTTGAAGTGAACTTTGCGGTAATGAAAATAATCGGTACTAATAACACCAACCAGGGCTTTTCCTGCAAGTGGTGTTGAATTTCAGATAGAAGTCCCATGACGTAGAGGATTTGGCTTTGGGAGTACTACTTTAATAACTCCTTGGCTTTGGAAGATAATAGCTTATGGATCCAATTTAACATGTTGGGTTGATATCGATTATTTATGCCTATGTACAAGCTTGACACTCGTTTCATTAGAGCTATGCGGACGCCATCCCCCGCATTTCATCAGCTAAAACATGGGGAAGATCCCGCCTCCAACCTTGGTTGATCGACATCCGCTTTATATTTGTGGGATCTATGTATCTAACCTTGGAACACGGTGAGAATGATGAGGGGTTGGGCTTTGGAATAGATGCTAATAATAGGATAAGTGTTAAATAGACGGTACTTTTATAATAAATGACATTGCCGGGTGGTAACTATTCCAGGCCCCGAGGGCACATGAGTTGATCGATCATATCCCACTCGGTGCCGGAGACTTAAGCATCCGGCCGGAGTTTGGAGATGAACTCCTCCGCGTTTTTAAACAAGACTCTCTGCGCTACTTCAACCCCAAAATTCTCTTCTAGACCCTCATCCAACTTCTGGGCCAAAGCCCCAGCGACAGGCGCCGGGGTGTATGGATAGTCACTTCCATACAAGAGTCTCGATGTATCAACAACACGAAGCATACCATGGATCTGATCCGGGAACGGCACACCAGCAAGATCAATATAGAACCGCGTCTGCAATATATTCTTGATCTCCTCCTGTGACACAGACTCCCCGCCCGTAGACAAGAACCTCGAGAACTCCGCGATCCGCGCGAGAATAGGCGGGAAAGTGGCTCCACAGTGACACACGAGGAAAGTAATACCGGGACACCTACTCACCGTGCCAGAGGTGATGAGACTCGCGATGGAGCGGGTGGTGTCGAACATGAACTCCATCAGGGGGCTCGGGACGCCCGGGTTCGGGGTTACGCGAATCACGGATGCGGTCTCCGGGTGCTGCATGTGGCAGCTTGTTGGGTGGAAGAAGACGGTTGCCTTTCTTTCGCTGAGTTTGTCGAAGACTTGGACGAAGCGTGGGTCGCCGGCGTAGATGCCGTGTGAGTTGGTTAGTATTTGGAAGCCCACGGCGCCGAGGTGGTCGAGTGCGTAGTCGATTTCGGCTAGAGAGCCTTCGACGTCTGGGAGCGGGAGAGATGCGAAGAAGAGGAAGTGGTCTGGGTGCTCGATGCAGGTCTTTGACATGTCCTCGTTGGCTCGGCGGGTCACGATTCGGGCTTCTTGGTCATTGCCTGGGGTCAGATGTGTGCCTGGTGAAGACATGCTGAGAACGGATTTTTTGATGTTGAGTTTCTTCATCAACTCGATGTGAGATAGCGCATCCCAGTCCTGACAAGGTCAGTTTTGTTGCTCATTGTTTTCTCTCTCTCTCTCTCTCTCTCTCTCTCTCTCTCTCGTTGTTTACAAGGTTCTGGGTGGGTTGGTAGCTTACGGGTATGGCTGGCATTCCATCGGGATGGCCTCTTCCTGCAAAGTCATTCTGAAGACAGTACTCGCGGTAAGACGCAGGTACGCAATGGGCGTGCAAATCAATTTTCTCCATCTTGAATGATTTAACAAATTACATGAGTTAAATAATTCCGATTGGGTGAGGTGGGTTTTTTGTATGAAGGCTTAATATGAGGGGCCAATGATAGTCCCCGCAAATGGTATGCCGTCCCTTCCGTTGTAACTTGTGGGCGACGGGGCTTATTAACATCATCTATGTAACTACATTAAAACCACTGGACTTTCTTGATAGTTCAATATTTTCTACTGATAAATATGGTCGCTATCTCAATTCTCCAGGTATCTTGACAACACATCGGTTAAGACTCTGGAGAACCGAGATCTTCTCAAATCAATTTATTGGGTTTTTTGCCCTCGATATTTGACCAGTAGATCAGTACTGAGTATATGGCAAGTACAATACCTACTAGTATTTTGTAACTGCTACCATTGCCAACTGGAGAAATCATGTGACGAAAGTTTGCTCAACTTGCAAGAAGCCGAAGTAGGAAGGGGGAAGGGGGACAGGGGACTACTTTAGAAAGAAAAAGAAAACAAAAACCGACAGGTAACAATTCTCCTTCGTATATGCAGTCCAGATCTACATATCACGCAGCTGAATGAATGGCTCAAAGAACTGACTTTAACCCTCTCAACCACAATTCGTTTCCCAATACGACGTGGGCTCCATACTCTGCGTTCATTGGCGATTGCTCCTCATCTACTACTAGTCTACAGGCGAGGACTTCCAAGTTGAGCACCTGGCACGCCCCGAACCTTCTTTAGCGGACTTTGTGCCGCCAACGCGTATAACAAAGAATCATGACGAGCTCTGGTCGGCTAGAGCTAGCCATTAACGTTGGAAGTTACGAGACTAACGAGCTAGATAAGCGGGGGTGGAGACTCGAACAGAGTGGAGGAGACCAAATAACGCCAAGCCGGCCTGTTTCACGGCACCTGATTCGATCGATTACTATCGCTTTTCTTTGTTCGGGCCCACACCCTTGTTGATTGACCCAGTCACCCAGATAACAACCTCGGTGGCCAAACAACTCCGCTCGTCCCTTTCCTTGCGTCGAGTACACTTAAATGAAGCGCCCAGGGCAGACGTGTGCGTGCCGCTGGTCTCCAGAAAACCAAAACCAAAACCAAAATCTTTTGGTTTGTTGCACTTCTTTGCCCCCAGATTGATTGATCCCCGTTATGGTGAACGAGCAGGATCGAGATGAGTCCTTCTGGGCACCTGGAACGGTCGCTCTAGAAGATAGTAAGTTACAGCTGTGCGAGTCTATCCTGAGTTCCAAACTCTAACTTAGTCAGTCAGTCGCTCCAGTGATCAACTAGTTCTGTTCCCGACCCCTTCGGACGATCCCAATGATCCTCTTAACTGGTCGACAGCTCGCAAAGCCTTGAACTTCACACTAGTCAGCTTCTTCGTGCTATGGACTTTCGTACAACTTGATATTGGTTTCACCGCGTGGGGGCCAATGCAGACGGAATTGGGCTTCTCTATTGGCGTTTTGAACGCCGGTGCAGCTGTCAACTATGGCGGTCTTGCCATTGGATGTGTGTTCTTCATCCCTTTGGTCCATAAATATGGCCGCCGTCCGATCTATATTTTTAGCGTCGCCCTTCAACTTGCATCCTGCGTGTGGCAAGGAGAGATGACCACAGTAGGCGGATTTATTGGTTCCAACCTCATCTCCGGGTTGGGAGGTGCGATTAGCGAGATCGTGGTACAGATCACCGTTGCAGATCTCTTTTTCGTCCACCAACATGCCACCATGAACGGGTTGTTCGTTATCTTTCAGTCCGCAGGAGCCTTCCTTGGCCCTGTTGCTTCTGGATATATCGTTGATTCCCAGGGATGGCGATGGATGTGGTGGTGGTGTGTGATCTTTTTCGGAGTGACGCTGTTCTGCGTTGTTTTCCTCTTTGAGGAGTCGAAATTTGTCCCCGTTATCCACGGTCAATCTGTTATCCAGGAGCCCCAGACGAGTCAGGCGGATTTGGACAAGTGTCAAAAGGATACCAAGCAGGCCAACGACGATGCTGTCGAGTCTAATCCGGGCTTACTCACTCGCCCACCGACAATCAATCGCAACATCAGCATGAAGTCATACAAGGAGCGTATGGCCTGGATTACAGTTACACCCGAGTCGATGTGGCCCCATCTATATCAGCCGATCGTGACATTGTTTACTTTCCCAGCAGTGGCATACGCTGCCATCACATATGGCTCCACATTAGCCTGGTTTGCGATTATGACTTCGCTCCAGGCCTCGTATATGATCTTGCCTCCCTGGAACTTTGATGCGATTGGCATCGGTCTGATGAACCTGGCACCCTTCGTTGGCGCTATGCTGGGTTTCCCAGTAGGTGGCTGGCTGAGCGATAAGCACATTCTCTGGCTATCTAAGAGAAATGGTGGTATCTACGAACCGGAGATGCGGCTCTGGCTTGCATTGCCTGTTGCTATCCTCATTCCTGGATCTATATTAATGTTTGGCCTGGGTCTTGCCTATGTTTGTTACACCCTTTTTCGTTTATCTCTTGAGTTTGCAGCGTGCTAATGAGTTTTAGGGAGTACAATGGTCTCTACTGGCAGTTGGATTTGGAGTCTTCGGCTTTGCATTTTCTGCTATTAGCGGTATTGCGCTGTCCTACCTTATGGATTGCTATCAGGATGTGAGTGCCCCATGGATACGAATAATGTTCTTTTCCTTAGTGATTTGAGTCTAATTATGTCGGCGCAGATCATCGGTAATGCTCTTGTGGGAGTGATCTTCATGCGCAACATCATTTCCGTTATCGTACTATTCGTCTTGACCCCATGGGTCAACGGTATGGGCATGCAAAATCTCCACATTCTTTGCGCCTTTGTGGCTTTTGCCATTTATCTCATCCCCGTTCCTCTTCTGATCTGGGGCAAGCAAGCACGACTATGGACCGCGGCATCTTACAGAAAGATGGCAGAGAAGCAAGTTACCCACCGTGCGTTATAGCGTATTGTCCAAACATTTCATTGTTACAATATAGCAGGTGTTATTATATCATACAACACTTTCTTTCCATATCATTTGCCAGTAGATGCGTTGTGCAACAGGTATTTGCTGATTTCGAACCAATGAAACCGCTCTCCCAGATCCCTAGCCTTCCAGACTGATGTCAAGGAATTTGTGAACTTTATCTGTGCTTGCTTTGAGAATGTGATTATTTTCAAGCTTCGTGTCAGTGCATGTTTTCTGGGCTCTTCGCCCTGAATCTCAAAGCATGACGTCAGATAGGGGAGCGAAGTACAAGGTACAGATCGCCCGGTTAGCTCAATAACATGATCAAATTGATCAAGGATAGCCTGAGACAGGCCTTGTGCCACACTGTCATGTCTGCCAAATGGGAACCGCAACCGATGGATGATCAGCAAAGCAGCCAATTGCAATATCTTGGCCTGCGCAAACAATGCCACGACCTCAGCGTGCGTAAACCTTTCCAGAAGGTCTGTAGGTGACGAGGGTTTCCATCGAGTCACTTCGGCATGGGTCTTGTCTAGCCTTTTCATGATATCGGGTCTGCTGTCCTTCGCGTCGCGCCGAAGACTATTGCCGATTTCACATATATCAAAAAGGTGACAGAACAAAGGGTAGCTCAAGCCAAGATAACGATCCACAGTTCTTCCACGACCTCTTGTATCGAGTCTCCATGTTGGAACTTTGCATTTCAACAAGCATTCAAACGTCTCCGTGCAGACAAGGCACATCAACAGGTCCATCAGAGGCGATGCATAATCAAGCAAACCCTGAGCTTGCGACTTGATCAGACTTAACGTGTAATGCGCGATCAGATAATGCTGTCCATCCTCAACGTGCATCGCAAAGGTAATCATCGCCACGCTGAGAACCAGTATCGTTGTCAAGTCCCGTTCGTCGCGCAATTGAAAAGAACGGAGGGAAGATACAGCCATTGCCGCACGTTTATGACCGATGTCAATGACCGTTTCTGCTCGCTCGGAGAACTGGTCTCCAAAAAGGACGGCGGCACACGCCACCGAAGCATTTTTCAGCTCTGGTGTTGGTTGGATCAGGTTTTGGACGAAGGAGATGTGGTGGCTGGCGTGGAAACTTGGGCCCACTAAGAATTTATCAAGTGGGGAGGACATGGCGGTGTCCTCTTTCATGAGGTTCAAAAAGTGTCTTTCCCATTGATCGAGGTCGGAGAAGATAACAGGGTTGCTGCCTAGCCCGGCGTTGTATGGAGTCGGATACTGGGATGAAGGGTCGGAATCGATGGCGATAGTGGATTGTGGTAGGGTGTATGATAGTTTTCGAGTGCCTCGTGGCTTCCGGCCTGCCTTTGCTGTGCTTCGTGCTGTTTGACAGGTCTGGCCAAGTCGGGAACATCTTTGGCAGGATGCGGTGATACTGGCCCGTCGACACTTTTCCTTGACCATGTGGCATTGGTCGCATGCACGTTTTGTTGAACCGCTAGATGACATGATGTGTTTGTTTCAGGTATTACCTGGGGTGATAGGTCTTCGCGGGGCTCTTGAGAAACATGACAAGCAGGTGCACATGATAAGCCTTTCGGTAGTTAAAGGTTTAGATGCCGTGGCCCAGATTGCAGTGATAATGCGGAGTAGATAAGCTCAATCAGTTAAGGCTCGGGAGGACTTGCCATTTGTGGTTAGACCCCATATCTCATTCGCGGGGGAGTCAACAATGGACATTCAACATGTTAGCGCACTTGAAAGTCAAGAGGTGAACTAATCCAAAAAAGGTCAATATCTGGTTAACTGACTACTAGTAGTTAGTTAGTTAGTTCGAAAGCTTGACTAACCCGGTAAATTTTCTAAGGTCAACTAAGAGACACCAGTTGACTCAACTCACTTGGTGCTCGCCTCAGGAACCAAACCCGTCCATTTGCGTATGACATCATTTTCACATTCCGGAGCAGCCATACTTGTACGGAAAATATGGCAAGAAATTCATCTATATCACATGAATCGCACCATCCAAATTGAAATTATGGACTGTTCCATTCTCTCGACAGAATCTCTGTATTGAACGTAGTACAGTTTTTTGTGGAGATCTGCTGTGATTGGGTTTTTGGGAAGGATACCTGTGCTATTTTGGTATTCAGGATAAGGATTTTTGAAATTGGGTCCTGATTGGGTATTGTCTGGGTTCAAAATCAGGTTGGTCCATTTCATCATACAATTCCAAGGTTTTAATTCATCTCATTAAGTATGTGGTGTGTATACTTGAAGATTGAATAAGCCCAGTCCAATCAGGTACCTACATTAGGTAGAGAAATGCGTGGGAATTGAACTGCACGCCGCGCTCTTAACTGGTTTCTCATCATATCACATCGTAGTGGATGTGCCTGATTCGTGGGTGGGGAACCTAGACTCAAACTTTGAAGGAATACATACTCTGGTCCCCATTCATGAATGGTGGTCTCATTCAAGAAATCGGTGAAACATGAGAGGTCACTCTCACTCCTGCAATGACCATGGGTGGAGAGTCGAGACAGATGTTTCAACCGTCGAACTTCCACGGGTGGGTCCGTCCAATGCATACATAGTACATACATATTCTCACTTCCGCGAACCGCCAGCCAGCATACAAGACACGAAAGGAGTTAAGATCTCCCACCCTCGCGAACTTTCCGCTTCCAAGGCCCAAGGGTATCCAGAGATCCGACGGAACCGACCAAATCGCCTGGCGATCAGGCCAAGCTCTTGTGGGCTTTGACCTGTTTTTCAATTTTCTTCAAGATAAGCGAAGACAAGTTTGTCAGGATGATGCATGAAGCGGTGTGAACGCAACAAGTCGGTGATAATGTTCTCTTTCCTTGTCAAATGAACTCCCCACGTGGATGTATTGATGCATTCAAGCAGTTCCTGCCAAGTCAAGATCCCTGGAATAGATCTGTAGCAGATCTGCGATCCCTTTTTAATCAATTGATCAGGTTACATGATCCTGTATCACCTTGCACAAATGGGGGGGGCGAAGATTTTATCTTGGAGGGGACTTGGTTCCGGCAATGAAATTCAAGGACAATTGCCACGATCAAGATGGCCTGCACAAAGACAATCAATTGCCCTTTTTGCAGATATCACCGCTGTCATCGATTGCACCGGTGAATATGAATGGTTCATGGATCTAGGTGGTTCCCTGCTAGCTTGGTCACACAACATGAAGTTTCCCCTCACCTTTAGCTGCAGAATTCCTGCATCCAACCACTTTCGGGTGTCGAGGCTCGAAAAAGCTGCATCTCCGCTATAATTCCTACTTGCATTTCGACGTTTTTGGGGCAACGCTTGCACCTTCACAGGGTATTTATTTCTTGGTTTGACCCACTGGAAAGCGTCTATCAACATGGGCCCCCCTTTCAAACAGACTTCCAAGGTTCGTCCCTCGCGTCCCTAGGAAATCCCAACCTTCGAAGAAAGAGTTGGGTCTTTCAGCCATTCAAAATGGTATGGGAGTATTATAACGGCAAGATCCTGTTCGTCACTGGCGGGACTGGAGTCATCGGCACTGCACTCCTATACCGCCTCTTGACTCAATCCACGCCAAAGCAGGTGTATGTGCTTAGCCGTGGCGGTTATTCGTGAGTGATAGGCACTCAATAACAGCGGTCGATGATGACAAAATGCTGATAAGACACAAGTAAGGCAAAGGCAAAATGGTCCACTATGCTACCAGCTCATATTGCGAAAGTTCTATATGAAAGCAAATGCATGACTATCATGGATGGCGAACTAGGCGACACTGCGACAATGGATTTATCTGATGACGAATTGCAAATGTTGAAAAGAACTGTGCACGTTATCATCCATGCCGGGGCAACAATGGAGTTCACGAACTCACTCCGCGAGCTCTCATACAAGATCATCGCGCCCACGGTATGCTTGACTCAATACGCTCTGAAATTTGCCAACCTGGAACGGTTCGTGTTTCTTTCAACAGCCTATGTGAACGCCCATCTGTGGAATACCAGTAAGTCCACAGACGTCCGTGTCGAAGAAAGGGTATATCCCCTCGGAGACGAAACCGAAAAAGCCCCCTACGCCACAGCGCCAGAGACATGGAAACACGTCCAGAAGGCAGGCACATCAAACGAGTACGACGCGCATGATTTCCCATGGCCATACGCCTACGCCAAGCATCTCGCTGAGCGCCTAGTCCTCGAAAAGGCAGCTCAGAAAAACGCCCTGGACAAGGTTCTCATAATTCGCCCTTCAGTCGTCGGACCAGCCGATCAACTCCCCTACCCAGGCTTCACGGCCTCGCACACAGCCCCGTCTACTGCCTGCGCAGCCGCGTACGCATTACACCCAGGTCGGAAAATCATTCTTTCAACGCGCTGCGAGGACCCAGATCGAGACGTTACCATCGACGAAGTCCCCGTGGACGTTGTTGTGGATCGGCTCCTCGTGCATGTGGCTCTAGGCTCGAGCGGGTGCGTCCACGCCGTCAGCGGGGAGAAAGGCAGACTGCGGATTGGGGATTGGTGGCATGCGTTCAAGAGTGAACGTCGGCTTCCCTGGAAGGTGAAGCCTGTTTGGACATCTGAGGACTGGCACTCTGCGAATCTGCATCATATGGCGCGGGATTTCAAGATTATTGGGACCTCATTTGCGTTTTCTGATGAGAAGACTGATGCGCTCGGGAAAGTGATTAGTGCGGAGGATATGGAGAAACTTATTCTTTATGCGGATCGGTCGAAGCCGTATCATCATTCTATGGTTCATCGGCGACATCATATTCATGGTGCGGCGAGGGCGCAGGCGAAGAAAAGCGGATGGCCGGTGTGTTCGGTTCGGTTGCTGTGTCGGAAGGGGACTCCTCCTGTATTAATGAACAAGCTGAACGAGAAGGTTGCCGGTTGAAGAGTTGATGAGGAAATTCTGATGAAAAAAAGAGACAGTTGAACAAGGTCATACTAACATTGTTCAATGCTCAGAGCTCTTAATTATTTCAAGTTTTTTGCCCAGCAAAAACATTTGAACCTTCTTTCTGATGTTCATATTCATATTCGGTTGGAAAAAACTTCTTTCTCTTTTTTTCAGTCTTCAAGTATATAAAAGTCAAAGCCTTGTTCCTCCTTCAAAACTACTAGTAACAGTATAAAGAAAAAATATACGGCTGTAATCGAGATACTCCAGTTGGCCGCGGATCGGTCCCACCGCGGGGAAAACAAATTCTTTTTTTGCCCCTCACAATTTCTTGGAACTTCTTGAATCTCGATTCACTTATATTCTACAACCCTCAAAACCCACCAAACCCTCGCCATGCCACCAACAACATGCCAGAACTGCCAGGAGTCGCGCGCAGTGATCATCCGACCGAAAAACCGCCACAAGCTCTGCCGCGAATGCTTCATCCAGATCTTCGAGCTCGAAGTCCACGAGACAATCACAAGCGCAAACCTATTCTTCCGCGGCGAGCGCATCGCAATCGGAGCCAGCGGCGGTAAAGATAGTACCGTCCTAGCCGCTGTGCTGAAAACCCTCAACGAGCGATACGACTACGGACTCGACCTTTGCTTACTCTCGATCGATGAGGGAATCCGCGGCTACCGCGACGATAGTCTGGAGACCGTGAAGCGGAATGCGGTGCAGTACCAGATGGCGCTTGAGATCGTCGGATACGGCGAGCTATATGGGTGGACGATGGATCAGGTGGTGGAGCAAGTGGGCAAGAAGGGAAACTGCACTTACTGCGGCGTGTTTCGGCGACAGGCGCTTGATCGGGGAGCGGCGCGGTTGGGCATCAACCATGTTGTTACGGGGCATAATGCGGATGATGTTGCGGAGACGGTTATGATGAATTTGCTGCGTGGTGATCTGCCTAGATTGTCGCGTGGAACGAGTATCGTCACTGCGTCTGGGGCTTCGGATATCAAGCGCAGCAAGCCGTTAAAGTACGCATATGAGAAAGAGATCGTTCTCTACGCCCATCACCGACAGCTGGATTATTTCAGTACCGAGTGCATTTATTCACCTGAGGCTTTCCGGGGCAGTGCACGCACCTTGATTAAAGATCTGGAGAAGATCCGGCCCAGTTCCATTCTGGATATTGTTAAGAGTGGCGAGGATATGGCTGTTCTGGTGCCGGGGCAAGGGAATGCACCCGGAAAGAGCTGCAAGTCTTCTTCTTCTGCTCCCATTGCTGCCGGTGCTGATGATGAGGCTGCTGGTGGCTGTGGAAGTCAGAATGGACGGTCCAGTGGTGGGGAGATGGCTGCTATGGAGCACCAACTCGCTGCTAATGAGACTGCAGAGTCTCGCGAGACTGAGATTAGGCTCCCAAGGAAAGGAGCTGACCAGAAGAAGATCAAGACTCAAACTTTACAGCATTGTGTGCAGTGTGGTTATATCTCGAGTCAGCGCATCTGTAAGGCGTGCAACCTTTTGGATGGACTGAACCGTAATCGGCCCAAGACTGCGATTGAAGTCGGCTTGGAAGATGAGGAGGGCAGTTCGACATTGGCGAGACAGATGGAGCGCGCTCAGTTGACCAACAGCTGATTGAAATTTAAGACATGCTATATACTACGCCCGCCATATATCCCTCAAGTGCTGGCATCCTCTACACTATCTGTTGAGGCTCTCCTCCACTGATATCGGCCAAGCCGATTCACTCCGGAACGCTCGGCCAGACTGCGGCATATTCTGCGAGTCCTTGGAAGAAGCGACACTTGAAGACTTCTACTACTTCCAAACTCTGATGCTTTTGAGCTGTCTGCAGTGATGCTCAGCAGGCCCACACCGCAACCATTTCTGGTCTTGAGCAGTCCAGTGGGCATGCATCCATGAGCTGCATAATCAGTCTTCACGAGCTATGCCCACCTTAAATACACATGTGCAGGACACGATACCGACTATTTTTAGTGAGAACATGTTCAGATAAAAATAAATATCCATGTTACAAATTCTCTATATTTTGTACAGGTGATCATGAAGTAGTAGTATACAAATCTTGCCAATCAAGGCATCTCACACCCAAGAGTGATCACAATAATTTCACCCAGGGATTGCAAGCCCGAGATTCCCCATTCCACCTTGCATTTGTATCCTCGGGTGCTGACCCGAGCCGATTCCATGGTAGTCGATTCGAGAAACAGGTGGCTCCTTGGCCCCATGAACCCAAAGCGAATAGCGAAGTGCAGTGGGTGCAGCGCAGTGCAGAACAAGCAGGGGAAATATCCAAATATCCAATCAATCGAGGCCATTTCCCGAATCCATCGCCAATTCGCCCGAGGTCCCAAAGTCGCAAATAGAATGAATAGATCCGGCCAGACTCAAGCTCGGATAATCAAATTACTCAGAGTCCTTCTTTCCACCTCCCTCAGTCTCGGCATCATATAGCTCGGGGACATTAAGTCCGACCCGTCTAGCCGTAAGTCTAACCCTCTCCTGCTCATCCATACCCGCGCCAGGGTTATATCTCTCCAGCAACTCGACATAAGTACGCTGTGCCCTCAAGTACTTAGCCAACTGCTCAGCTTCCTGGAAGCGCAGAGTGGCCTCTTCAGCGGTTTTGGGCAGTGAGAATGGGAGTGGCGGGGATGAGGAGGAGCTTTCTGTGGAGGTGGCGGAGTTGGGGATTGTGACTGGGTCTGGACTGCCGGTTGTGGAGGGTGTTTGTTCTTGGGAGCGGAAGAGCTGGCGGAGGCGTTGGTGGAGGGGGAAGAGGCGTTGAGGGAGCGGCTTGTTGAGGGGATTTCGCGCAGAAGAGCGCGGTAGGCGGACCGCATTTGGAGGGCGTTTGATGTCATCTTTGTGGTGTTTTTGGGGTGTGTTTTGGGTGTTGGGTTGTGAAATATGAGATCTTATCTGCGGTTTTTGGCGGATCGCGATGGGCGGTGGTATGCACGTGACGTGGTTCCGGGGGTTTTGGATGACCAATCATCAATTTAGCATGCGTTGTCAGTGGTCCACTGTTCTCACTTGTCAACCCCGCGTGCATATAGTAAGCAGTCAATTATCGAATAACACCTGTACTTAGCTTCTCAGTCCTGGTCTTTATTTTCTCTAGTCGTTATACACGAATGAACTATCTCTCTTTGCAACCATTTTTGGACCTTTTTTGTGCCTCCTGAAAGCTCACCACGTGGTTTGTTCCTCGTCCCTGCCTGACCAGCAGCTACGAGACCATGTCACAAACTGCAGGAGATGCGTCAGCATTAGCATCATCCGAGCCTATCCTCCTCGACTATGGGCGCTCGGACTGGCAAATCAGTAGCCAAAGAGCCGCAGATCTTTACAGCTCCGGTATCAAGCTTTGGACGAGAGAGAATCTCAAAGACATAGAGCAACAATTGGGCGAATCCTATACAAGAGACAAATTCTCAGTCCGTCGAATTGATGGAAGGATAGTCCAAAGTTCCAACCCCATGTTTCAAGTACAGAATCCTATCTGGTATGTGGGCATGGTCATGGTATTCTGACCTAATTCCAGCCTACAATCTAAGTTTGTCTTAGGAAACCCTTGATCAAGTACCAAGAATATTGGCAACTTGTGCAAAAAAAGCCCGACGGCTCAGCTGAGACTTACCTATGCTCTTACCTTGTGGATTGGATGAATCAAAGTGAACGAAACTTTCGAGAGTTTATACCACAGCCTCTGCAAGTCTTCGACGAGAAACAGCTGCTTTGGCAAAACAGTACGACCTGCAAGCAATTAACAGCCTTAGTCCAGGATTTACTCGGTACAAAAACCGTTAAGAAAGTTGTATGCTTTGGGCTTGGTGACTTTTGTCGTACCGCCCCCCAATGGCTAAAAGAGCAGGACGGCTCTTGGAACGAGAACTCAGAAGTGGACGGCGTGATGAGCAGCATGATCCAGCATTCGATGGCTCTCACTATCGCCCAACTTTGTCATGGTAATGAAACAGTACCAGTACTTACTCAAGATCCAGATTATACAAAGGCCACCGAAGAGATCGTGGCCAAGAAGGGATTCCAAATTATTGGGCCTCATGGTGCGGGAGGGTTCGCGGAAATCGACGATGAATCGATCGTGATATCGGCATTTGTTGCCGCGCCAGTCAAGCAGATCATCGCCGATCTGGCACGGCCTGCACTTATCATTTCTACCGGCCTTAATACCTTCAATAGCCACAAGTAAGTACATAAGTTCGCTTATATCGATTCTCAAATTTAGCTGATACTTCACAGACAACCGTTTGCGGATGCTGAATCTCCGAGAACAAGGGAAATGTGGCTTGAATATGATACACATACCCTCCCAGGCCATCCTGATGATGTGAAAATTAGCCGCGCATTGAACGGATTGCATTTGTATCGTAGGCGTTAGCAGCGTCTGGATTTTCAAGCTTTCATTAATTGTGTGCGGTGCACGTGGAAAGAATGTCGGATTATTCAAATGTTTAGTAAACCAGGTTTTTGAAAAATCTACCACAGGTAGAGATTGTCATCCGCATCGCGGCTGTTGATCATCACTACATAGCACATCAACGTACTCCTATGTACAAAGTGTCGTGGCGAAACCTTTCCATTGAATGGCCGCCTGAAGCGTCATAATTCATGCCATGGAACAATCCAGCAAAGCATGCAAGCCAAAAAAGGTACAGAATAGGATGAAACCAAAGCAAAAAGTAGGCAATATATATCAATCATAGAAGCGTAGCAACGTGAGGAGGGTATGGCGGACAGACATCAGAATAAGATACGTGAGCAAGATAGGAGTAGAAAGCCAGGGGGAATAGTGGCATGATTGGGGCTTTGAAGGTTTGGAGGGTTGGGGTTTTCGGCGTTTAGGCACGTAGCCAGCCAAACTTTTTTCGTGCGGGCTCGCCGCTGGTGGATGGTTCGATTTGCAAGCTGCGAGCGTACAGATCCTGGTCTTGTTAGTCTATCTGTGATAAGAAGGGGTGGCGAAAGTAGCAGGCTTACCTCTTCATCACCAGAAAGCTTGCAGTCGAGTATAAGTCGTTCAATGTCCTCGAACTTTTGAGCTTGGGGATGAGGTGTCTTTTGACTTCTTTGAATGCCGAGAACAGCCTCCCCCATCACCTCGAATTTTTTCCAATTGATTCGAGATTTGTTTTCGCCGACAAAAGTCTTATTTCCTTCTTCTGCGGAAACCAGATCGCGACGGTGCAATGGTAAGAATGGAATTCTCTCAGAGAACGAGTTCTCCCATGCTAACCGGTAGGCGAAGTGGCTGCGCTGGGTGCTCATTAGGATAACGAGACGCATGAAATCTTTTTGTGTAGCGACTGGGATCAACTCCCGAGTCTGTGACAATCGGTGGACGGGTGTTCCATTGATGGCAGCAATGACAGCGCCAAGAGCGTTGTAATTATTTTGGCGGCGGAGTTTCTGCTCATATGTTAGCTCCTGGAATCATTTATCCATAGAGTAAGTACATGGTAAACTTACCACTGCAATGCTCATGAACTTTTCAAGGCACTTTGCTCGATGCTTGGGCTTATCACGAAGGATGATCATGCTTGCTACAAAGAAAGCCAGATGATTGAACTGCTTAATCATCCGGTTGACATTATGCAAGCTTTTGACCTTGTCCTTGTCGACACCCGAGATGCTCACATGGCGCACAAGATCGCGGGGTCGAAATGAGTTGTACATGACCCAATCGATACGTGTAAGCTGTCGGGCAAATTCTTCGTCGGGTGTTTCCATGAAAAACCGCCATTGAATCTTGGTTAGTGGATTTCGAGGATGTAGTTCCAGGCGCAGCGCTTCCCTCTGCGCAGCTTCCAGGGTCAAAACAGTGAAAGATTGATTGAGGGTGCTGGAGGGTTTGTCGGTGTTGGATGAGATAGAAAGGGTTCCTGAGAGGCGAGAGGTTGAGTCATGTGGTCCATCGCTGAGATCCAAAGCGCTCATGCTGTAAATGGGGTCTTCTTCCTCATCTTCGTCATCATCATAAGTACTAGTCAGGAATGGTACTGGCGAGCTTCGACCAGAGTTATCAAAGAAAGTCTCCGAGAGACTCGAGTCATCCACGTCTCCATCTCGGAATGCCCAGCCAATATCGTCGTCTTCGGCATTGGCGTCGAGGAAGGATCCGATCTCTTTGGCCGCGAACATGTAAAAATGGCTCTTTTCAAGTGTAATGACAAAGTCGTTGACCCGTTTGCGGGTTTTGGGGTAGGCAAAGTCACCGGGGTAATCTGACGCCCATAGGGCAATGATGTTCAATAATCGCAACTGGTCAGCCATGCGTGCCAATTGATCTGCATTGCTGGCCTCATTCTTGTCAAATCTGGTGACCAAGGCGTTGAGGAGGGTTGCGGGAGCTGCAAATTTCCGGTAGAGGCAGAGAAAAACGGTGGCAAACTTGCCGTCCTGTTTCGACATAGGCTGGGCAACGAGGCGGTCGACCAACTCATCAAAGGACAAACCCGCCTCTGTGCTGGAATTGCTTTCGCTACTGGGCTTCGGGCGCACGACGCTAGTCGGACTCAATGGGGCTTCCCCCATCTCTTCCTCCATATTTAAAAAGCTGTTAAAGGCGTCTGGGCCTCCACTCAACCGCCAAGCGGATTGCATGCGTTGTGAGAAGCTGGGCTGTTCTTCTTGTTGTATAGGAATATCCCCTTGTGCTGATGGTCGTCGAGCATTCAGGCGCGCTTCGGGAGATTGCGGTCGCACCGGTTGGGAGTTACTTCGGGCATTTCGAGCAAGACTTGGAGCATTCTGTTGCGCCAGATTGGAGCGCGGGGCCTGGTCGGTAGGCGGGCAATCACAATTCCCAATGGCAGCTGTTGGGGTTGAAACCGACTGTGTTGAGCCGCCAGCGGCTCCCGTTAACACGGCGGTTGGTGCTTCGGAATTGGCTCGAGTATGGTGCCAATCGAGGGGTGGAGTGGGTTGGAAGGACTTGGTCGTTGTTCGCGGCGGGGGGACGGAAGGCGCAGGATTATTATTAGGGTGGTCAGACGAAGCGAGGTCTGAGCAAAGTGGGAAAAAATGGCAGAACTGAATTAGCTCAAGTGTACCAAAGAGCGGACAACGCCACAAATAATCTCTCCAAAGTCTCTTCTTGGGGATTCCCTCCTTTGGGGCTCCTCTGTCGATCGGTGGACTCTTGACAGAGAGAGAAAAAAGGGTAGCGAAATGCTAGTGCCGTGACCCACTTGGTTCCATTCACCCATGGGGAGGGGGGGGGAAGGTCATGGCTCACTAACAATCCTTTTGATCCATTGTTGCCGACCAGACAAAGGGAGAAAGAGAACAAATAACCGAAATAGAAAAAAGAAAAAATATAAGAAAAGAACTCACCTGCTCGAATGGAAATTACTGCTCGGAGAACAAGAGCAATACACATCTGCTGGGATCGGGGTGACTCGGGCGATGTCCGGTAGATCTCGTGTCGCTCATGGATAGAACCCAGTCCACTGTCCTCCGGGCGCAAATCGCACTTGCAGGCAACCAACAGGAATGGGAGTGGAGATGCATCCAAAGAGTCTAAACATACCCCAAATTGGTCAACTCAAGCCTCCACAGCAAATCAGAAATGTGGCAAGGTCCATGCTTTCCCCAGGATTTACTGGGGTGTGCATGGGGGGTTAGCTTGCCAGGGATAGGAGGGGCAATATATCGGGGAATCTCGTTGCGCAGAAGCCATAAAACTTACCTACGAGTTCAATTGTTTCGGCGAATTTGTCCGGTTGAGTTGCATCATGCAGCACCAACACCCCATCAATGGTCGGAGGTGAAGAATCATTTCCTTGCCGTGGCCAGAGGATGTTCCTCTCATGATCAAACTGAATATTCTGCAAATCAATCTCCAACAATCGGACGATGTAGACGGAGCCATCTAGTGACATTTTCTTTCTGGTCAAGACGGAAGAGGGCGTGCTTTTCATGTCCAGTGCGCATTTTATAAAGTTCGTCTTGCCAGCATTGTCCGAGCCAACAACAGCAATAGTCACTTCGGCGAGACTAGCCTTGGATTCCTACAGGCGATCAACTCTTCCGTTAGTAATCAATTCAAACTATCCCTTGGTTGCAGTTGAAATTCTGCATGATTCGTCCAACTCGACAACAACACACCTCTTCACCATGCCGAGAACGAGACCGCTTGGGCATATCATTGCTTGGCACCTCCTCTTCCTCCAATGTCTGACCTAATTTTCCAGTCCCCCATCTCCGATCTGAATCCAATCTGTGTAGTCCTCCTGTTGGGGCCGAGGTTGTACGACCCATGCTGGGGCGTTGTGAAGCTGACATGAGCGTGGGTTGTGCTCTGTCGCTGGAGGCGGCCCGCTCATGGCGGGTCTGTTGGGAAGTCATGGTAATGGATCAATGGCGGATCTACCGGGTAGGCGAGGAGAAAAGACCAATTCCAAAATCGCAAGGGACCTTTATTGTATTTGTTCGAGGAGCCCGCACTGCAGCGCATCCATTATTGCCGTGGGACAGATCAGATTCGGTCGCGGGGCAAGGCACCCATTTGGCGGATATGAGGCAATGGTGGAGCAGTGACCTCGCACTTGTTCTTTGTCAAAGATTTCGAACTGTTCAAGAGCTAGTTAGGCCTAATTGAACGTTGCTGGTGGATATAAGAGGGGGGGAGGGAGCTAAACTCACCGGAAATAGTGAATTGACAACGAAATCGAACCGTGGAACGGATCACAGCTCAACGGTTTTAAGGGGAAAAGAAGACAAAAGTAGCCAAACGGCCAAATGGTCTCTTTTATAAAAAACAAGGAACTCAACAGTTACTCCCTACTCCGTACAGGATGGACAGATCACAGTTTGGAGGATTTACAAATGGTTTTTTTTTTCTCGGGAACCGAATTCTCCTTTCTCATTGGAAAACGGCAAAGTGCCGTGGCCCGTTCTCCAGATCCCAGAAGCCCACAGTTCAGTTCCCATCGGAACCTCGAGTCATCCAAGCAATTCCATTCGTGGATTGAAATTTTGAGCTGAGCTGAAACCCCCCATACCCATTATTCCACAGCTACTATATGGAGCATGAGCTGCTAGGATCGACGTCAAACTGTCCTTGTTGGTGGCGCCGCCACTGAATATGAACATGAAGAAGGCGAAAAAAAAGGGAATCGAAAAATAAAATAAAAAATCAGCTACAGATGTCACGGGTCTATCGCTTATAGAGGCACCAAGACAGTAAACCAAAAAAAGACTGGCATCACGTCCTACGGTTCCAGATATTGAAGTTTCTACTGGGGGGAGGAGCGAGCCCGAGTCCAATGACGCTGCAGAATGAGTGATGCGTAGTGGGATTCGCTCAATTTGACAGCTAATCGACAAGCTGCAGGCCCCGGGCCTACGCTTCTCTAGCCTCTCACCGTGCATGACAGGGCCATCAGCAGTTTTCTGCATAACTCGACCCTCCTGTTCGGCAGACTGCAAATTTTCTCCAAGGCTGACGAGGACGAGACGCACGGGGGAGGAGTAGACATGTCGACTTTTGACTACGCTCCATGCGCGATGCCCGAAATTACCGGATACACCCCCCCTTCGAATTCTGTTTTCGTCCTTGCTGACTTCTTTCCCCCCCCCCCAATTGTGCTGGTCTGCTAAGGTCTGGCCGCAACGCGGGCTCCGCTCTAGAGGGGGCAAGGCTTGGCTAGGTCCCCGCTAAGGATGCGCTATAATGGCGCTTGTTCAACCCACCGGGTCCCGGGGACTTGGGTTGAGCGACTGGGTTTGGCTCAAGCATCCGCCCGTATGTCTTTGGGTGTTAATTCCGGGTGGCACGTACTATAAGCTAGCACTTGAGCACATGTGAAATACATATTAAGAGTTTGGGGCTTTAATTAACGAGGCTCTACTGTCACAAAAGAGAGAAAGATTTGATTGGAAATCGAGTTCTTGGTGGGTCATTTGTCTTGTATTTCATTGTCCCGCAATGATGCGCTATAGATATCACTAAAAAAAAAAGTACGCTTCCGAGGTCCATATTTACAAGCCGTTGAGGTGCTGGCACTACAATTATGCCGAATTCGACATCTGAGTGCTCGGACTATTATTATTGACCAGGGTCAAAAATTGCATAAACGCCTCCGCAGTCACACCTGTTTCTGTGCCTTCTTCGCAATCATGTCTTAACTTCCGTACCTTACCGAGAGCACGGTTGAAGCCTTTCTCCGCGGTCCATGGTCCCCGACTGCGGCGAGTTGGGTCCTCCTCTGCCTCGGCCATAGGGACGTCCTCTAGTTGGTGGGTGGTACCACTCAACCCATTCGTCCTCCTGTGCCGCTTGGTATATTTCGTGCAACTGCGTGCGTAGCTGTGGGTAGCGATCAAGAAGATCCTGGAGCTCCGGGGGTACGGCGCCAGTTGCAGTAGGTGACTTGTGCTGGCCTTGGACATTTCCAGTATCTTGGGCGGTTTCACCGTTAACCGGGGGTTGGGTGTTCGTGGCTGATGTCTCGGTCGGTTCCTCGATCGATGTTTGAGGCTTCGGAGCGCAATAGATCTTATGAGATTGGGTACATGCAAGCGAGCAGCTGTCTCGGAACGAATTAGCCAAATCGATCGAAAGAGGGTGCATTCAATAACGGAGCAGCTGTGATGTGGATGTACCTCATGAGTCCGCATGCTGGACAACGGTATTTGGAGGGTTCCGAAGAACACACCTCGCAGGGACCAGGCATTTTTATTCGGCAAACCAGGATTCTGTGTCAGACACGGTGCCCATCATACTTGACACGTCGACGCGCCTAGATTCAGGGTTTGTGAAAGGGAAGGGTTCTTGAAGCAAACATCTCAAAAAATAAATCACGATAAGAAAAATTGAGATAGAGCTCCGATCGCTGCCTTAGGCGACTATCCCGCTCCCCTTTCCATCTGCGGAGCGTCTTCACGGGATTATGTTGCTATCGGCTCTTGTGAAGCTTAGTGCCAAATCTTCTACTCCTAGCCGCTAAACATGGAGACTCGGAGCCGATGCGTCAACACTTCAGGAACAGGGATCATCTCCCCCGACGGCCCGATTTGAAGTCATATTCACCTGCAAAAACCAAAATGATTATGTTTTCCAAAAGTTGCAATATACGCCATTGACTGGATTTTCAAGGCAGCTTGTATGATCCCTCTAGGCAGGCTCTGGTGCCCAATCTACAGAGCATCCAATCCCGACCCCTGTATAGTGCGATGAGACTAAGCAAGAGTGCATACGGTGCCTGGAAGAGACGGCCACGTCTATAACAGACGTGAAAGCTACTAGTACGTTGTTTTTATTAAAAAGTCAACTGGATTAAAGGCCCTGACTTTCTGGCCTTGGAGCCAAGCTCAAAAGAACTGGGTGTCTAAACAACACCGACATGATATGGCAGATACTTGGTCGAAGTGGGTCTCGATGATCCTGTCTTCAATGTGAACGTGGAAGTGCAAATGCAGTTCTGCGCAAAATACTGTGGACAGTTCTGAGCTACTTCCACTTCTCTGCGATGGAAGAAATCCGGGGTAGGCACTGCAGGAAACTCCATCAATCTTCATGGGGAGAAGTTCGGTCCTTGGTAAAGCAGTGACGGCGCTGGACTTTTACTCTCCGGGTAAGCAAAGCATGAATTAGCAATTCTTCCAAGGCTTTTGTGCAGCGTTGTCTAAATGGAAAAGCTGCTACAATCCTGCGTTAAAGGATTCAGACCGGACACAAGTGTGGTCTGGGGTCCTGATTTGCTCTTGTGTGAGGTATGGGCTCTGGTGGCGAGACATGACTGGAAAGTATTGACATAAACCCTCAGGAGCTGTATACTATTTTTAACCCCCATCCATACTATGTACCTATTAGTTAGAGCTTTCTACTATTAACTATCGAGTCCAATCAGTGTCGGATGTAATGTCCACATCATTCCGTTCCCCATCATCCCCGTACTTCCCGCGGACCTGAATAATACCGTTGCCCACATCGAGGATGAACCGGCCATGTCCATTTCCAATCTTATCAGACAGGTTACAGTCGCGCTGGTGATAGTTGCCCTCGTTGTCTTGCAACGAAGCTCTCAAAATCGGATATCCTTCCCAGTATACAAGTGTTGGATTCTGAGCAGATTGATTGATATTTTGGCCTCCCCACTGGAAGTTGCCTGTACATAAGCAAATTAATATGCGATGATGATCAACTTTGAATCAATATACCCGTCATATATAACTCACCATCGTTGTTACCAAGGAAATCACCTAGAGATAGGACTCTTTCAACCCACACGTCATCCAGTCGTCGCAAGCTTGCACACAGCTTCCACCCGTCCAGCTTGATATTTTTGGAGGACTCGTGAAAATGATACGGGTTAGCATCCATCCAGCAAGACATATTGATTGGATGAATGACTATTTATCTAGACTTGAGAAATAATAAGAACACAAAGGGGCTGGAGGGGTTATTTATACACTACTGAGGGAATGATTACATTTGCTCGCTTAAAATCACTAAAATACTGACTTCCAGCTGAAGCCTTGTACTAAACTCTATAAATAGCTGCACATATTCGCATATTCTTTTATGAAGGGAAATCAGGCCGAGGAGAGGAAAATATAAACATTGAAGGCAGAAAGAAATAAAAAGAGCCAGAATAAGCATACTTCGCTCGCAGGGCATCATACACTGGAAATTCAAGTTCCACCCTGGCCTACTCATCTCGACAAAATCTGCCCAGGTGTTGTTGTCTGGACGAACGGCCATATTGATTAAAACTGAGGCAAAAATTGAAATATCCCATCGTCGCAATTACCTCCTGCGATACCCAATGAAGTATCATGATCTGCACTTTGACCATTCAGACCAATGGCGCGAATGAGTAGCTCAGCAGTACCCTTATGGCCCAGTTTTGATGCTTCAAATATTGTTGTATGACGGTCTTCATCCATTACATTGATATTAGCGCCTCTATCAAGCAAAAATCTGATAGCATTTTCGTTCCCTGTGCGTGATCCAGCATGTAGAGGAGTTCCATTACCTCCCGGGCATTGTCAACTTATATCCCCATCATTTTTGAGGATCATTTTAACAACATTTATCAGACCATTGGCTGCTGCTGCATGTAATAGCCATCTGGAGATAATACTGACCCGCTTTTGTAGTCCCCGACCTTGAAGTACTTGTAGCAGCCGTGACACGAAGGTTCATCTCCAAGGTCTTCTCTATGCATCATTTCTGCGACGCACGGGGTTAAACCGCGACTAGAACTGGTCAAGGTTTGTTGTAGTGCAATTCCCCTTTCAAATGCCATTTGGGAAGATCTCAAGATTGATATGTCGCAAAAGAGACAATATGTCATGTGTAAGTCGAACTGCGAGCTTGGTCCCCGAAAGGATTCAAATGATTCAAGATCGAAGATTTCGGGCTTCAGATGCTCAAGGAATTCTTCCTGGCTTTCAAAGCGCTTTCCGCACCCAATATCGTTTGGACATGGATATGATAACGAGGAGTTCTGAGTTTTGTCCTTTGTTCCAGAGAATTAGTGACTTAGTCAGTTAACATGTATGTAGGATTTGATGCAAACCTCTTTCATGGGCCTTGCCTTTGGGGTTTCGTCTTGGATATGACGTAGGGCTTTTGGTATCAATGGCTTCCTTTGCCTTGGGTTGCTAGAAAGTATTTAGATTAGCCGAAGGAAGTAGTTGAGAATACACAAATACGTACCGAAGTTTGAATACCGCATTCTCAGGAAATGTCGCTGACGCCCATAGAGGTAATGGAGTCTGGAGCCTCACCTCAGTTTCACCAAGTGTATCAAGAAGCGTGTCTGAGATAAGCCCTTTACCTGTCCGACTTCCATTAAATACCGACATGCTAAGGTGCATTCCAGGATAGAGGCTTGAAGTCCAATCGTCGGTCGTGATCAAGACCCACGCCTTTGTTTCACCCACAACGGGGCTAAAAAGCCATATAGATTGCTCCCCCACGGCCTTCGAGACTGGATCATCCTTGAATGCATGCTTTAGAAAATCCAAAAATCCCTGTTAATTGCAAAACATATTTAATTATTAGTACATGGCTAAAGTATGTAGATAGTTCACTGGAATAAAGAAATGACTCAAACGCTACCTCAAATGTTCCGCAAATTTCCAGAGGCACAGGGTATCGTCTCCCAATTGCATCTTGAAATCGAATTGGCTTTTGATCCCAAGGCTCCTGAAATGTGTTGTCCACGTGCAACTTGAGTTGTTTTGTGCCGTTCTGCATCTCTTGGTGGAGGCTCTGCATGGCTTGACTGCCATTTGGGATAAATATTAGAATGTGGCACAAAAGTACCGAAGTCAAAATGGAACTTTCTTCTGCGCGTAGTTACCTGTTAATTGTATGCATGATCAGCGTTAAAACTGCTGAATAGCCTCGCATAGCCTCCCTAAACTGTTGGATCGGCTTTTTCCCATACAAAGTCCATGAAATTCGTCTCTTCAAGGTTATGGATCTCTTTATCTTATCTTTGGCCGGGTTTGAAAGGACCTTGAATTTCTCCATGTGGTTGTTAAAGTCGTTTGTAAGTCGCTCAATTTGAGCGAGCACTTCCCTTGTTTGATTAACCTGATCTGGGGGAAGCGCTGTGTCATGCACCACCGCTTGTTGAAAATGAACAAAAACCGCTTGGAAGGCAGCTAACTCGAGTCGCAACTCGCGATATAATTTTGAGTCCTCTGATGCATCGCTGAGAGCTTGTGAAATCTGCCAGACCAAGGTCGCAACCGCTACAAAGTCGCCAACACCAAAGCCAAATGCGGGGGTCATGCTGTCGTAGTAGGTGAAGCAGATAAGTCCAGAGGATACTAGACGAGTTGACACGAGAGAACTTTGAAAACGATTTCAGCAAAGTCTCAGGGTTTTCCTTGAAGAAAAAAAATGAAGTATTGAATCATGCCGGTCCTCGACGGTCGTTTTCTCTCATCACTGCACAGCCTCGGTGGTAAATTGAGCACTTGAGAGTCAGCCTAGACACACATGTCACATGTGCATGTAAGCAGCGCTCTGTATAGTTTGAGGCCCAAGGTGGCCCTAACTTGAATTGGCTTTTCTTGTGCCTCTATCCACTATGCTTAAATCGATCGGTGAACATTTTCCTTTGGAGTGTTATTTTAGATTTTAAAAAGCTGCACATGTGTATGACTACTAGCGTTCATCAAGTTGGATATCCCGCATCGAAAAAGTCAGAAGGCAACTAGGCAAGTAGTTGCTACATATTTTGGCTAGTTTAAGCGATCAAATAACAGCACTCGTATACCGAGAAGTATATCCGATTCTGAGAGCATCATTACGACACGAAGGCAAATATTATCAGCGCTTACTTCAACACTTCAAAGGTTAGCCAACTGTTAGGCTTCAATTATCAATGTCAAAACAATCAATGTTAGCTTCCGAATATCGGCGGAATTCTGGTTGCAACGCCTGCTCTCTCATTGGTCATAGCATCCCCAATTTGTAATCTGAAGATCACATGACCCTTTCATTGCGTCAGAGTCCGGGCCGCGGCGACTCAACTTTTTAGACTGGACTTATTTCCATTGGCAAATATTATGATTTTGGCCTGGTAACTTCCAAGTTCCAATACCAACATGTCTATCAGCTCAACATCCACAAACATGTTCCGACGCGCGCTTTCCAGCGCTCGAGTCTCCAACTCCATCCCCAAGACCATCAGACCCGCCGCGTTCAGTCCCTGCAGGAACGTATCGAGCGCTGCTCGTCTGCCCACTATCACAGCCTCAGAGACGCGCCGGCGGCCAACACTAAGGCCCAACCAGCAGCCCGTGGCAGCGACCGGTGTGAACGGACTATCGCCGACAAGCAAGCGGACAATCTTCATCCAGACCGAGAACACTCCTAACCCTGATGTATGTCCCATCTTCTTACAGTCAACAATCGATGAGCTCAGTTCTGACTTCACTACAGGCCTTGAAATTCATTCCCAACCACCGCGTTCTTCCCGAGGAATTCCCTACCACTTTCCTTGAATACCTCACTCCCCGCTCCACTCTCGCCCCTCCATACCCATCCCCCCTCGCCGCAAAGCTCCTGGACGTTGATGGAGTCACCTCTGTTTTCTACGGAGCTGACTTTATCACCGTTACCAAGGCCGGTGATGCGAACTGGGCGCACATCAAGCCCGAGGTATTCAGTTTGATCACTCAAGCCGTGACCTCGGGAGAGACCATTGTGACCGTAGTCGAGAACACCGGTGAAGCCGGACACGAGGTTGAGGAGGACTCGCTCGCCTACAACGAAAATGATGACGAGGTTGTCAGCATGATCAAGGAGCTCCTGGAGACGCGCATCCGTCCGGCTATTCAGGAGGATGGCGGTGATATCGAGCTGCGTTCGTTCGAGGACGGTATTGTGATGCTGAAGCTGCGTGGAGCGTGCCGAACTTGCGATTCGAGTACAGTTACGTTAAAGAACGGCATTGAGTCTATGCTGATGCATTATGTGAGTTTCCCTTGGAGTTCTGTCTTTTTTTTTCATTTTTCATTATGTTGGACAAGATTACTGATGCGTTTATCTTGCAGATCGAGGAGGTCAAGGGTGTTGAACAAGTTCAGGATCAGGAAGAGATCATCTCGATGCATGAATTCGCCAAGTTCGAGGAGAAGTTGCGACAGCAGAAGGGAGCCAATGCTACGGCGGCGTCTTCTCTGGATTCGGCCCCGTAAATGGAGGATTCTCTTCGCATCTGGCCTGTACTATATTTCCCATACATACCACTTTTTTCTTTTCTAGACATGGTTGAAAATTGAAATACCGATGATGAGCTATTATACCCTCTGATAGTTTACAGATAGGTATTTGCCAACAAGCTATTAGTACATTGTGTTGACAAAGTCATTGAGAAAGAGATCAATTGACATGATGGATGCAGCCGGAAGACTCCCGCTATACAGTTTCCCATAGAGGCTGAAGGTCAAGACGCAAGTAAGCGAGGAGGAATAAGTGGGGCCAATGACGGGAAAGTGCTTTGTGCTTCCAATGGGTTTAAAGAAAGGTGATTGGTTGGAAAGGTTATGAAATGAGAGTCGAGACTAGTCTTCTATACATATCACGGGCATGACTAGTGTCTGATTCTAATTGCGGGGTAGTGGATAGATGGCTTTTCGCCTCTTGTTTAGAATCATTTCTCTCAGTTAAATTAGTATCAACATGTCAAAATTCCTTGCTTTTTTTTTGGAACTCCCACTGCCTGGTTCACGTGGAGTTTTTTTCCTTGAAAGAGAAATCCAGTGTAGGGTCAACCATGTCCAAATGAGAAATGAGCCGTTGCAGGGAAATCAACCCGGAGGCCCGGAGCGCCCGATGATTCGTGCCCAGACCACAACCTGACCTAGACCGTTCTCCCTTGACATTTTGGATTTTGGGATTTTGGGATTTTGGGATTGGATTTTTGGAGATGTGCACATTGTATTACACATGATTTTCTGTACCACCGGTTAGACATGGACACTGGAAAGAGTTGTCTTTTTTCTCATTTCATGGGAATTTTACGATTCCTTTTGAACCGAGGATCATCTTCGCAAAATGATGTATATAGCGGGGTTTAATGCAGGTTATGAGCTCTCCCCGCAAAAACAAGACAGATCAGCCCCTCTCTTGGAAGTTGAGAGCTGCTCCATTTTCCAATTCCCCACATATAGTGCTCGTATACACATTCCTTGACCGTATACCAGAAGTAGATGATTTCCGACATCAGTAACCCCCGCAAATGTGCAACCTTTCCATGGACCGTGCGAGGCTAACTTGTCTCTCTCTTTTCTCTTATTTTTTTTTAATTGAAAATGCACGGATTAAAAAAAAAAAGTGGGCTGACAGGGCCTGCAGGGAGGCTTTAATGGAGTCGCTCGCTTCATAAACCAGTTAAAATCCTCAAATGATCGTCGGCTTGGACCTCCTATTTTTTTTTCTTCTCTCAAGTGCTCTCTCTACATGTACTAACCTACACCATGAGATTTAGAGCCAACCGAGAGATATATACAAGTGCATTTAATGTATCACCGCGTGGAATCATCCGTTGATGGTCCGTGTCCCCTGAACGGGGCGACGTTGCCAATTCCGGTTGACTTCCCCTCTTCTTTATAGTCTCCAGTATAACCATTAGTCCATTACTACCTTCTGTAACCTTTCCCCCCCCCTTTTTTTTCTCTTTCTCTTTTTTCTCTCTGGAATCTTCTGAATTAAAAGAGAGAAAAAGAAAAAGAAGTAAAAAAAAAAACAAGTCAATTTCCCCTCAACCATGCATCGCTGAGGGGATTCTGGTTGCTCCACAACGTCATCCCGCAAGGTCACACGCTACCCCAGCTCCTTAAAAAAAACCTCCCGAACCCATTTCCACCCTTCAAACCCGGGGTGGCGATCATTACGATCATTTCCATCAACACTCGTGTTCCATCTTTGACACCCCCGCCCATCCCTTACCTGAACCCGCTTCTAAACGGCCCCATACTCATACCAACTTCACTGATTCCCACTTTCTCCCGTTACCTTGTGTGGAGACCCTGAGCGCGGAGTGATTCTGACGAGACCCACGATCTTCTTCACGGCGCTTCTGTTTTCCAAATAGAATTCTCGAAGATCCTTTAGACTTGGTGAGTCGGGGATCCTCTTCCTGAAATTCCGCGCGCGCGAAAGAGAGATCTTACCCATCGCGCCCACAGACACGCTTACTACGATTACGCCTACCTTTCCTTCCTTCATACTTGATTCAGGTTTCTTGCGACCTTTGCAACCTTTCCCCAGGCGTCTTGTGGGATTCATACGGGTCCAGTGTAGACGCATCCTAGATCTCTTCTTTTCTTTTCTTTTCTTTTGGCGAGGTATGTTGCTCACAAGAGCGCTTTCCCTTTCTCTCCCCCTACCACTCGCCACCACCTTTATCCCCACACGACCATTTCCCCGTGGAGCGCATAACCCTCAACATTTCTGTGAGCCATTGGGTCCCTTACACTTGATACTGCGCTTGTGAATTGGCATATTGAATTCGGGGGATTTCCATTCCCCCGCTTTTGTCATAATGAGCCTCAGTCATGCCACCCTCGACACGTGCCCCGCGCATCGTGGCCTGTTTCTGCACAACTCACCGTTGCGATTGCAATTTTCAATTCTGTTACCCCCTGATCGCTGACTTGTTCTTCACAGTGTTGCACATAGCGCATTCATCCAGTCGTCCACCTTCCTCCCAATCATCGAGATTGAACCCTTCCCTTTCCAATCTCGTCGAGCACGTGGGATCAAAGACTGCGGTGCTTTGTCGCGTGTCTATCGCCAATCCCGTTAGGCTCTCATACAGTGCAGCCTAGCAGCTCACTCCAAAAAAAAAAAAAAAAAAACATATCACAGGTCAGCACATTCTTCGATCTCGGCACCCAACCTTACTCTTTCTTCGCAACGGCCTCAGAGAGGATGGCATTGGGCAGAGCGAGTTTCTGGCATTCAATGTACCGGGATGAAATAGAGAGGAACTGACATTATCACAGTATCACCGGTAACTCGGACACCATGTCTGCGCCGAATCACAAACAAAATATGACCACCCAATCCAACACCCCGCCGGCGACTGCGACTACCAGACTTGAGAAGAGCCACCCCGGAGTGCGCCGGTCTACCCCGGATTCAGAGGCTCTTGCTTCGTCTGATGATGATGGAGACCATGCGGTCTTGACAACACAAAATATGGTTTCGTCCCCGATCAAGCCTCGACGTCGGACATCGTGGCTCAATGAGGTTCCTCTTTCCATCCAAAGGAAGCATTCTCTCACTGGCGGTCCCCTCTCTTCTGCTCCCTCTAACCCCACAAGCCCCGCGACTGACCAAGCACCTTGGGCAACAAACCCAAGCCCGGGTATCAGTGGCTCCTCATTCAACTGGAATCAGTCTGGAGGCAGTACCTTTCCTTGGGGAACGGGAATCTGGAACTCGGATTCACGCAAGGAGCCACCATCACGTCTCGCAGAGATGGTTCCATCTCCTACCATGACCAACCCCCCACATTCGGGTTCGATGGGTGATGAACTACTCAGCCCCATCACCCGTACTATCTCCGGCGAATCGCCTATTCCATTCTCGATTCCGCTGCACCCAACTCCCAAAACCTACCGTTCTCAGTCGTACTCTGTTGGACAAATGGACCCTGAGCATCTCGGAATGATGGCAAAGGTTGGCGCCGGTGCTGGTGCTGGTAGCCAGTATCCAAGTAGCCGTTCCCGAGGCCCCGGACAGACTTCAGCCGTCCAGCAGCGTGGACAGCGGCCCAGTGTTCTGGGTGAATTGGGACATGATACCGCTATGCTCGGTCGTGTTCGCGAAGACGAAGATGGTGATGAGATTGGGAATATCTCCGAGGGAGACTCGAGCTATTCGGCAAGTCAGGCCAGACAGATCGAACAATTGGCCCGTGAAAACGCGATTCTCCGCCAAGCTGCAGCTGCTGGCCAACTTGACAGTCGGTACCGGGATCGTGCAGCCTCATCTGCCTCGACTGCTTCTGCTCATCCACTACATCACCGTATTCGAGGTGGTGTTCCGGAGGAAGATCTCGTGGGCGAGGACCTTGGGGAGTTGCGCGGCTACGCGCAAATGCGCGGCAATGGCAGACGACGACTCTCAGAGCACTCGGCAAACCTAGAGCAGCAATTTTCCTCTTTCGCGGCCCAGCCTTTGGAGAATCGGCAACTTGAAAATGTGCGCAAGGCTCATTGGCAGACGTCGCTAGGCTTTGGGGGTATTCCTGAGGCCCCACAGAGCCGTCGTCATTCCTTTGCCGATATCTCTATGCGTCATGGTTCCATTGGTTCGGCCGACCCCCATAATGCTGCTGTTGCTACTCCTCGCGCTGGGCTTGCAGATCATGATGATGGATACGGCAACGTCAATGAGGGATATGGAAACACCAATGATTTTGTTAGCGCCTTGCAGCAGCAGCAGCAGCAGCAACAACAACAATACTACCCTCGTGAACAGACCTTGCGGGGCGATGGATCCTCTGGAATTCCGGCGGCTCTCAACCAGTACGCGATGTCTAATGCTTACGGCCGTCAACCACCTACGTTGTCTCATGCCCACCAGAACCAGCTCTTGTACATCGTCACGTTCAAATGCCATCGCGCAGACGTCTTTTACGTTCAAGAAGATACCGGGCTCCAAGTCAAGGTCGGTGATCTCGTGATTGTTGAGGCAGACCGAGGGACAGATCTGGGCACGGTGCAGCATGCGAATGTGTCTCTCCAAATGGCCCGAGAGTTGAAGCAGAAATATGCCGAAGAGCACTACAAGTGGCTCATGATGTTCTCTCGCCAGGGTGCGCTTGAGGGTAGTTCCAATGCGGCCCCTGCGGGCATTAATGCTCGAGGTGCTGCGGAAGGAATTGGCCCTCATGCGCATGGAGCTCCGGAGACATCGACCGAAATCAAACCCAAGCTCATTAAACGTCTTGCTCAGAGCCATGAGATTATGGCTCTACGGGACAAAGAAGCAAATGAGGCCAAAGCCAAGCGTGTCTGTCTGCAGAAGGTTTCAGAACACCGACTTAACATGGAGATCTTGGATGCCGAGTTTCAAATGTAAGTGTTTTCCCCCCTCTCCCTGGTTTGCTATTAGAATTGAAAAAAAACTGACTCATCATGCAGGGACTGGAAAAAGCTTACATTCTACTACTTTGCCGATTCATACATCAACTTTAACTCCCTGGTCACGGATTTGTTCAAGATTTACAAGACCCGAATCTGGATGTCCGCTATCAACCCTGCTTCGTTCGTGACGCCACCAACTGCTGGCCTTCCTGGACCCAGTCCAATGGCCAATCCACTCTACAGCCAGGATGCATCTCATGGAGATCGACGACACCAGCATGAACGGCCTTATGGAGGTCGAGATGCAGATGCTGGGCGTGAAATGGCCAATCCCGTTGGCATGCTCCGGAATGCCTTCACAGACACTTATCAGCCGTTCATCCAGTCATCTCGCCAGGTAGATGCCGGACAGTCCGATCCTTTCGCCCCATATTCCCCTACCAGCTACGGTCCCCTGGAGACCGGCTTCTCCGACTACCCTTCTGGTAATGCGCCTAATAACCGCATGCACCCAGCACAGAGTGAATGGGTTGGCCGTTTCCAGGGTCTATCCCTCAACTCCTGACCACCCCCATGATTATCATTGTACAATTCGAACTCCTTTGATCTTTCATTTTTGATTTTTTTCCCCCCTCTCAGTTTTCTGGTTTGTTGCAACGAAAGAGATTCACCTGCTAGACCTTTTTGACATGACGATCTTGCCCTGTCCCCCTCCCCCTCCCCCTCCCATATTTTATTCTTGCTTTGAGGGTTTTCCTCCCTTATTTCCCCCATGCACGCGTGTTCTGCGAAAGATTGCTTTCAGTTTTCGTCCTTTTTGAGATCTGCTTTTTGTTTTTTTCAGGATCATGTAACACCTTTTCTACGCTAGACATCATACCCCACGGGTTGTACAACCAACCGCACAGTCGTTACCTTGTTTTCTCCGATTTTTGGTTGTTGTTTTTTTCTGGTCGTATCGTTCGCTTTATCTAATAGACCCGGTTCTTACGACCAGACAAATCGTGTTGATAGTCAAGACTGGTATGCGCTGGCGCGCCTTTTTTTCGGTCTTTTACAAATTTCATTCAAACTATCAATGCGATTCTTTTTCTTCTTTCTCCTCAAGGCTGGACTTCCCTTACTTACTATTCCAGTTTCCTTATCAAGATGCGGGTTCCGAGTTCATATTTTCCTTTCTTTCTTGCTCACTATATCGCTTCTATGTTTAATCTTCATATTTCATCTTTCATGCTCATCGATATTGAATATTGAATATTGGTCACGCGTGGGATTTTTTTTTTTTTTTATGATTGTATGATCTTGATCTTCTCTCAATTTTTGCTTTTTTTTCTTGAGATGGGTTTCATGCTATACAAATTGTGGAAGATGATTACAGGATCAACGCAAGATGAGTCGGATATAAGGTTAGCAAATAGTCGAGCTTATAGTAATGTCTTTTATCCTACTGTATCCTTTTGGTTTCTTTCGCGGCTCTCGTGGCTTAAACGGTCATATCTGTTACTGATACCTAGTAGGTACTGTTTCTCACTGATGATGTGTTTCCCTCATAATCGCCGATAATATATGGCGTAGTTTTCACACCGTTACCTACTACATAGTACTACTACTCATAGATCTTATCCTCCAGAGCCCACAAAAGCCAATAGGTAGCTCTCTCCTCATATAAGTAGTAGATACATAGTACTTCAAACGTTGCAGCTGTCCATATTGGGTTCAAAATATTCTCTATAATTCTCATAACCTGTACATCCCACCCTTAAAAACACCAAAAAAGAAAAGAAAAGAAACATGACGCAGAAAAGAAAGAACCACTCAAGCAAACTTATCATGCTTCCCCTTAATCTTAACATCCAACATAGCCTGATGGAAATCTCCCTCCCTCCTCGCCCTCCTCAACTTCTTAACCTCCTCAGCATCCAACGTCCTCCCCACAATAGCCTCCAACTCCTTCTGACTAATCTTCTCATAGGCCTTCGACTCCTTCGACGCCCGAAGCCGCGGCTTAAACCGAGCCTGCATCCGTATCCGCACCCCAGTCTCAAACGAGATGTTCTCCGCATCCCCCCGAATCTCCACACCGGCAGTCGCCTTCCCATTCTCCTTCACGCACAGGAATGTCTCTGCGTCCCCGCCTCGCGTCTGCAGGTAGAATGTCCCTGGGATGTCGGGCGATGCGATCACGACGAAGGACTCGTAGTGTCCGACTGCCGACGCGGTCGCGCTGAATAGCCCGTGCTTGTCGCAGCTGAGGTATCTAGATCGTACAAGGTGGTTAGCAATGCATTGAGGTGAGATGAGCAACAAAACAGGACAAAATCATTCACTAGACACCAGATAATTCCAGTCTGCTTTCGCCTTGTCTTGTCTTGTTTTGCATTTTTTGGGATCTGATCCACTTACTTCCCATGATGTCCCTTAAAACTATACCCCTCCGTCCCAACCACCTTGGTAACAACCCAAACCTGCCGCACATCATGCGGCTCCGCCGTCCCCGCATCCCCCTCAACCACATTCTCCAGCTCGCTCGCAAACACCACGCCGTTCGGATCGCTCGCCACGCAAGCCGGGCGATCAGAGGGCAAGACAATCACGATTGGTCCGCCCAAATCACTTGGCGCATCCGCTGACACCCAGCTTGTGTCGTCGGGCGGGTTCGCGGCTTCGTCGTCCGGCGTTTCGGTGGTGGTTTTACGGGTTTTGGGCGAGCGGTCTTCGGTGTCGGGGGCCCGGCTTTTGCGCTTCTTCGGCTTGTCGCCTTTGAATGTTAGGGGTTTCACCATTTTGGGTGTTTGATTTGTCACGCTTGTGTGTGGGCGTGGTGGGGAGAGAGATGGAATTGGGGAGAGCTTCGAGTGGGAAGTTGAGCTTGGTGCTTGGTACTTATCGGTATCTTATCTTATCTCTATCTTATCGGGTGGGTCCATACAAAGAGTGTTCGTTAGAATTTAGTGCGAATACGATCGTTCGAACAACTTGGAATTATCAATGTATTTGTGTATATACTATAACTGTTCTCTCTCATGTCAAACGTAAATCATATGATCCCGGCAAATCTAGAATCTATAGTCTAAGTCATCATCCAATCACTTAGTAGTAATCTTCAATGTAGTAGTCAGAGGCAAATCCCGACTAGACGATCCAACATAGATCTTGTACTCTCCACTCTGCAAGAGCCACTTCTGCGCCGTCACATCCCAAGTGCTCAGATCACGACGGGCAAGCGTGAAAGAAACCTCAGTAGACTTGCCAGCCGGAATCGAAACCTTGTCGAATCCACGAAGCTGGCGCACCGCAGCACCGGGAATACCAACATAAAGCTGAGCAACCTCAGCACCAGCCTTGCTTCCGGTGTTCTTAACAGTGGCCGTAACAGTCACGATAGAATCCCACAGATCAACCTGACCACCCTGCTCAATGTGGCCGGTAGGGTACGCCGCAAGTCCGCTTTCCAGGCCGGACACCTTCAGCTCCGAGAAGCCGAAAGTAGTGTACGAAAGACCGAAGCCGAACTCGTAGCGCGGCGTGATCCCCTTCGCATCAAACCACTTGTAATCCGTCAGACTGCCCTCGGTAAAGTTGGACTGCGGGAAGAGCTCGTAGGGCGCAACGGCGTAATCGTGCCAGTAGGACGGGTAATCGGACTCGTTCTTGCCGACGGTGTAGGGCAGCTTTCCGGAGAAGTTGTCGTCGCCGTAGAGCAGGGAGGCGATGGCACGGCCGGAGTCTTGGCCGGGGAGATGGGCGAAGACGATGGCGGTGACGTTGGCGTTGTCAGCGAAGGACTCGACCATGCGGGTTCCGGCGTTGTGGATGACGACGATGGTGTTGGCGCAGGTCTTTGCGACCTTGGTCACGAGCGCGTCGGAGTAGCTGTCGTATGTGCCGGAGCGGTCGAGGCCCTCGGTGGAGAAGGCGTTGATGAAGACGATGCAGGCGTCCGAGGCCTCCATTACGCCCAGCGTGTTGGGGTTCACGCTCGTGTCCCACATCACGACGGTGTTGTCCTCGTATGCTCGCTGCTGGAGGGCGTCGAGGGGCGCGCTGATGTAGGGGCCTGCGTTGGCGCCGGAGCCACCTCCCACGCTGAGGGTGCCGTTGAAGGCGACCTGGTAGTCGTATGGCTCGTTGATGATGTCGGTGCTCCCGAGGAAGCCGGCTTCGGCGGCAAGCGCGGGCTCGTAGCCGTACTCCCAGGGATCAGAGGTGAGGGCCGTGTTAGGCATGTATGCTGGGGGAGCGGCAGCATCCCATCCGTAGACGGAGATGAGTTTTGGCGACTTCAGAGGGAGGGCGTTGTTCAGGTTCTTGACAAGGACGTGTCCTTCCAAGGCACCCTCGAAAAGAACGGGCTTGGCCTCTTTGGTGAGAGCGCTGACAATCTCGTGTGGAGCACTGAGGTTGTAGGGCATTCCAACGCCGAGGGAAGGGTAGCTCGATGAGTCCTGGCCCATCTGGTACCATGTTGCGATGATTCTGCAGGGGGAATTAGTTTAAGCTCATGGCTCAAATGTAGAGAAATTGTCGCATGTAATACATACCTTGTTGCCATGTCATCCAGTCGAGAGAGAGGGACACTGCCGTTCTTGATGGCTTCGGTGAAATCAGAACCCCAGAAGGTCAGGCCGGTAGGCATCGCCATGTCAAGACCGGCCAATGCAGCAGCCACACCAGAGTGTTGACCATACCAATCGGTCACGACAAATCCATTGAAGCCGAGCTCGGTCTTGAGCAGGCCATTGAGTGTCTTGCTGTTCTGGCAAGCGTAGGAGTTGTTGACACGGTTGTAAGAGCACCTAACAAAAAAGATATTGTTAGTTCGGCACATTTTTTTGTAAGCAACACGGTAATTGTGAACTAACATGATGTTTCCAGCACCGGCTTTCAATGCGTCTTGGAATGGCCACATGTATGTTTCGTGCATTGTCTTATCATCGATGTTGCTGGAGACAGACTCCACAGTCTCGTTGTCAGAGTTGGTGCTAGGGTTGCGGTATAGCTCTTGTTCGTATCCAATGAAGTGCTACGCAGAACCATGTGTGATTAGAGAGAATTCGATTGAGAGGATCAATCATCATGATGTTTCTCATAAACCAACTCACCTTGACACTTGAGATCACACCTTGTCCTTGCATACCCTCAACAGTTTGTGCGGCAAGCACACCACTCAGGTAAGGATCACTAGCAGCACCTTGAAAGATGTGTTAATAAGTAGTCTAGCACAACTCAATGTTTCAGATCTGCACATACCTTCCCAGTTTCTTCCATTTGTAGTTGTTTTTCCCAATGGCGCAACAACAGGGCCCAAAGCGATGTTGATACCCTTTGTCTTGAACTCGCCAGCCATGTGCCAACCACGGTCATGGGCAAGCGACTTGTTCCAACTAGCACCAACGTGGATTCCACTTGGGTAGCTGTTCACAAAGTCCGCCATGCGGACTCCATTGCCTGCATCCTGAAGACACATACCAGGGAACCCAAGACGAGTAATAGCTCCAATTACTCCCACACAGCTTGTACTAGTAGTGTCGATACCGTAAGTGAGGTTATTCTAGGAAACCCCTTGTCAGTTCAATACTTTTGCAGTGCGCAGTGAATCTGTTGAGCTAACCTTCTCCTCCAATGTCATCTGGCTAACCAAAGCATTAGCCTTCTTATAGGCTGCAGCCCAATCACCACTTCCCGAGCCATTTGCTATATTTCATCAGTAAGTCTTGCCTCGGAATACAATAGGGAAAAACATAGGGATGGAAAGGAAAGCATACGTGATGGGTACACAGCGGGAGAATCTCCATAAAAGTGAGTGTCAGAAGTAATCTGGCTCTCGGCATGACCAAGTCCACAGAGGGACAAAACGGCCAGTGTCAAGCCAAGCTTCTCCAAATGCATGATGGCCCAGAATCAGAGATTGTCTGTATCTTGACCGGATTGTTTCGTCCACAGGAGAAGGAATTGACTCCCACAACAGGGCTCCGCGCTCCTCTATATATGTGCGATCTACACGTTGATGTACCCACCCCGAATTTCTTTTTGTCCCAAAAAAAAAATTCATCACAGCTCGGCCACCCTCACCCCATGCCGTGAGCTCATGCCGTGAGACCCGGTCCGGGCTATTGCGATCTCCAAGACAAATTTCCTGTTCGGACAAGTCTTTTACTGTCCAGATGCGTTAGTGGTGCTCCACAGCAACTTGGTGACTTGGATGGAGAGTCTAAGATACCGAGAACCCCGCATAGTTGCCCATCGGCATCAGAAATTTGCGGTCTGTGGGTTAAGTTCAATGCCGGTGACGTTGTTTCGGCTCGAGGCTGGAATTCGGTTGGAGGCTGTGGGTAAACTTCGGGGAGTAAGAGGGCTCGGGGCCGTGTTGCGGGTCAGGTGAAAGTTTAGACTATTTCCAAAGCTGGTATTTTCTAGGATGGACTGTGCTAGGGAGTACATAGTATGTGTGAGGTATTATGTATATGAAACTTCAAATGTTCGTCAGATTCGCTTTAACTCTCACAAGTTAGACCAACATTGTACGGAATAGTAGTGAATTATATAGCACTTGAGAGGAATCTTCAGTCGGAATAAGGGCTTAACGGTTTGGATCAAGCCTTGAACGCATTGACGGGGAAACATGAACAAGCCTCCGGGAGAGGCAGAGAGGCAGAGAGGCCCGGGAATTTATCGGACTATACGAGGCGCTAATCCAAAAGCTCCTTAGTCTTCTCTTGCCCCATACTTGACCATGTGGAGGACATTTGCCGACTGACTTCACTCGTGTGCGCATGTGGAGAGAATGTGGGGCCCCATGTCTTTGAAATCCGGGGATGACAGGGATTAAAAGCACACAGTACAAATCAAGAAAGAGTGATGCCTGGAAATAGAGACATAATCTTTCGAGCATTAGTGTTTCTTTTTCTCGTGTATTACCATGTATTATCATGTATCTCATGTAGATCAGGTACTCATGTTAGCTTTGGGGATTCCAAGGTTTCAAAAACGCCATGCCAAGGTTTGTCAGAACTTACTGGAAGCTGAACTCCCCGCTTAGAGTTGCCCAATGACTCGGTGGATCCTGGGTATGGAGAAGTAGAGACTGTGTCAAGGTGTCAGGTGAGCGTCAGATGATCTTCAGGATTTTTTTCCTACATTTAGGCGGGGGCTTTGCATGGGCTAACCCTTGTTAGTGCTAGATACTTTCCACAAATCCTCTATGTACATAAAATTTCGGGGTTTTTCCAGCTGCATCGCACGGACAATACCGAAAATATGCAAATTTCAATGAAAGAAAAAAACTCTCGGTGGGAGATTTCATTGAAGCTAGAGGAACGATTTCAACCCTAATACTAAAGCAAAAGAAAACCATCAAGACACCAACAATGGTGCCCTGAGAAATCTAAACGTCCGAGATGCAATTCCCAAAAGAAAAAAAAAGGAAAGAGAAAAGAAAAGAAGACATACAAAAGAAAGGAAGATAAAGGTGAGGGGTTAGACAGAAAAGAAATAGCATCGTCGGCTGCTCAGCACCTGGATGACCCACCAGTGGGTGTTAACGGCCAGCGTCCATACTAGTAGTTATAAATGTTTGTTGAGAGTCCAACAGTCTCAGCACAATGTAGAGAGAAAAGAATTTATTTCAGGCCAAATCCTTCACTGTTCAACACTGCATCCCAGAGTAGCCTTTGGAGCTTTTCGCGTGTAGCGTATCGATACAGGCTCAGCGTGTTGAAACAAGTTCGTGCAGTAGGGTATCGAGGAGAGTCATCGCCCAAGCAAGCCAGTCGTATGTTCAAGCTAGTCGCCCCCATGGCCGGTATGCGGTCACTGCCAGTGATAAAAGATAGCATTTTCCGTTGCGACGGGGTTGGAGCAGTCTCAAAAATCTCCCAGAACCACTGCACCACAGGGATAGACTCGGGATGGGCGTGGGACCAGTTGTCGTAAGTGGCCACTGCGCGCAGCGAAACCACGTCAAGTGGCTCATCAGAGCCACGCACAAGCAACTCAATCTCTTCCGGTCGGAAAAGCGACAAGGCATTGCCACCACAGACTGTGAAGAACCCCCGTTTAAACGGTTCATACTGCCGAGCCACGGCAGTGTCCAGAAGATAATAGATATATGCATCGACAAACTCGCGCCGGTTTGCATTGGTGACAGGCCGCTTCTCGCCTCCTGTACAGAGAGGCACAGTGACTATCTCTCCAAACCGGTCGGTCTGAGCAACGAAATCATAGCAAAATGTTTCGGCGACATCGCCCTCGTAGTCCAACAGCATGCGCAGTCCTTTAGCGAGGGCTGGGCGGTACTCGGCAAGGTCATCCAGTGTACACTTGAATTTCGTCCGTGGGGTGGTTGACGTCTGGGGCGCTGTAGTTTGGGGCGCTGATGCCAACAATTTCCTAAACGCAAATGGTGGCAAGTCCACGTCAAGAATAGTGGAGTTATATATGGCAAGTCCAAGTAAAACCCCCACCAGGAAAAATTGTTCAGATGACTCAAAGCATAACGGATTGAAGTAGCAGTACTTGGAATCTTCATCATAGGTAAACAGGCCTGTCAAGAGTCAGATAAATCAACCCAACACAACCCATTCTTTGTTTTTTGGGGGGGGGGGGGTTTTTTGTCTCTTTAACTTACCATGATGCGGATCAAATACCTCCCGGACAAGCAAGAGGAACCATTCCTTGCGCAGACCTCCGGCGTCAATCCCTTCTTCTCCGACGAACTCGATTCGAAGGCCCTTCTTGATCTCCTCTTGGCCGGTGCCGACAACTTCGCTGACACCACGGAGACTGTCCTCGACTAAACATTCTCGCCGCACCTTCAAAACAAGATACTGGCTAACCGCTCGATGGTTAAGAATGCTATTGAAAAAGGCCTCGCGAGCTTTTACCTCCATTTGGCGGCGCGCATCATGCTCAAGTATATGGATTTTTGCCCAGATGCTGAGAAAGAAAGGGTACTGGCAGAAGGAAAACTTTGAGCCTCGTGACTCCCAGGTTTCAAAGTCTGCCACAAGATCTGAATAGTCCAGCAAGGTGTTGTAGAACGAACTTATGGGGACCACATATTGCTTAGCACGTCCAGAGCCACTTGCAGAGTCGGCCGGGCGATATACCCTCACATCTGGACCCGCATCAGGTTTGCGTGTCACTTGCGAAATATTTCCTGTAAATAGCAAAGACATGATCCTTGCCGATGATCTTATCTGCCAGTCTTCGGCGTATATAATAGGAGACTCCTGTTTCTTGGGAGGTGGCTTGCTGGGGTGGCGTCGATTGATAGCAGCATGCAGTTCAGCGGGGGTGTTTCCCGATGCACTTGCAAAGCTTGGAATCAATTCATTTCCATCTTTGGGGTTTTCACCACGCTTGCGACCATTTTGACGACTCAGGCGATATGTAACAAATCCTCCCACCAACTCCACGAGGCGTTCAAATTGACTTGGCGGGAAACGCGCAAACCAGGAAACAAAGTAGTGGTGACAATCATTGGGCATGTTTGACAATAACCCAAGAATCCGCTTTAATATCCCATAGTGATGGTTGGAGCTTCCAGAGCGAGCGACCGGCGCTGAAGCATCTTTCCGGGAAAACTTGCCATCTCTGGTTGTTGGCCGGGGAATATCCTGTGAATGGGACGGACGCCGTTCATCTCGGCGAGGTGGTTGGGATGGTCTGGATGATGAGTATGCTATTGGAGAGGACAGTAACGGATTCGCCAATAGAATGAGGAGAAACCGGCTGTCTTCTGGCTTCTTCAAAGGCTTCCGAGGGCGCTTAAGAAGATTCTCAGTGGCTTTCATTAATGTTCGCTGGAGATGAAGTCGAGATTCCATTATATCCTTTTCAATCGCAGAGAGCTCGACTGACTCCCATCTCTTGTACCTAGCCAAGTCGGTGCCCGGGCGTAGCGATAAATCTGGCTTCTTAGCTGCCCATCTCTCGTTCCAAGAGCTGCCCGCGGTCAGAACCAACTGGTACCAATGGTTTGCTTCGGTCCAATTTATACGAGGACTTCGAGATGATACTGAACGAGATTTGTGCGGGGTTCTTTCCTTGGGGTTTGGGAGAACTTGTCCCTCGGCCTCGGCCCACTCCGTCATCCACCAAGTCGAGTTCTCTGCAACATCCCCCAATAGAAGAGTTTTGGCATCAGGTTCGAACACTTGAGCGCTGACACCCGAATCAGGTACGCTTTTAGGATCAATCTTCATTTTTGGAGGATTGCCATTGCTGGCAGACCGAACGGATGGCTGGTAGACTGGAAATGATGCATTAAGAGCTCCACAGCCTTTGAAAGACGCGATGATGTAGTTCTCCAGTCGCTTGAATACTGCTGGCTGGTTTTCGCGTTCTTCTCTTTCTCCGGAATCTTTAGACTGCGTCACTGGTTGAGGTCGTTGTTCTCCTTTCGGGCCTTTTTGCAAATCAGAATGGGCACGGCTCCGAATGGGCAGTTCCTTCCCACCCTGTGAGAAATGATGTGGTTTCAGAAGATTGGGGTTCTCTTTCATTCCATAATTTAGGTCCCGCTGAGTAGAGGTAGGCGTGTCCAGGTTACGAGGATCTTGCGGTGTTGGAAGCTGCCCATGAAGAGGGCCAGTTGCGGGCACCATGGAATACTGCTGGCCGTTTACAGGATGAGCCCTTTCTGCGGGGTTGTCAACCGCCGTCGGCGCTGGACGGGGCCCGTCGAGAAGGCTTTGAAAGTACGTAGCAAGACAACCGTCAATGATACGCCTGGTATGGTAGACTGACAAAGGTTCATCTGGGCCTGGTCAACAGAATCCGGGAAAAGCAGAAATCCGACGTGAGTTACCTGGCTTTGGCTCGTGTGGTAGCGATGGTAGCTGAGACTCCGGCGGGTCTGGAGGCAATGGTTTTTGTAACCGATCTCCCAGCTTTGAATCAGCTTGACCCTTCGTTTTCTTCATAGTCTCCTCATCAAGGTCGATAACCATTAGGCAGGAAGTACAGCGGTATACCTGTAGGTGCCGTGGCCAGCGCACTGTTGAGTTGCAAGTTGGGCATTTTCCTTCCGCAAGATCACTTCCTGGATTTCCATTAGGGACATCCTTGCGGGGGCTCGTTGCCGGTGCCTTGTCTTTGGCAATATATGTGAAATCGTCGGAGTCAGAGTCCGAATTCCAAGCAGTGTTTTTGGGCACGGCCTTGTCACGCTTCTTTCCAAGTCCACTGAATGGAGAGGTAAATGGGTGGCTGAGAGAGCGGTTGTGCCCGCGATGGTACGAGCTTGCGGGCAGATTCCCATTCATTGACGGCATTGTTCGATCATTCTGAGTCTGCAACGGGAGGTGTATCACTGTGTTCTCCGAGGAGGGAGGGAGTACGGGAGGGTTCGAGGAAAAGGCAGCGAAGCCGGAATTCGAGGTTGGGGGATTCGATGGATTACGGCCGGACCGGGATGGCATAAGGATTTGTCTGTTCCAGTCAAGTTTGCTGGAATGTTCGGGATGGATCAGGCCAGGTAGTGAGCCAAATGGTGGAGCTTGGGCCTTGTACCGAACGCATACAGGTTACAACTTGATCGTGGGGAAGTTGACGATAACGAGGGACCGAGGACGGAGGGACTAATTTCTTTCGATCGGACTGAACTGTTAAAAAGGCTGCCAGCAGCTGACAGATATCTTGCCAAATTCAAGTTTTTGGGACGAAAAACATAAAAGGACAAAGGCGTGAAACAAAAAGAAGGTGTATGTTCATAGTCCTTGGACGGATTGGGAAAGCGGAACTAAGAGGGAACAGGGAAAGCGCAGGCACGGATTTGGTGCCTCAGGCGGGTAACACTTCTGGTCTATTTTTGGCTTGGGCAACGCAATCCAAGTGGGTTGATCCAATGATCTACTTTTAGGGGGTTTCTAGTTTTAGGTAACCTACTAGTTACCGAAAGTACTTACTACACTCTGCGCTAGTATCAGCAGTGGCTATCGTATAGACTAAAATGGAGATTAAAGCAAGACTTTCAACCTGAGTGGGGACCGAGATTTTTGCCGCAGATTTTGCGATCTGAAGATCAGGCTACAGGAGTACTACGACATACTAGTATACGACCAGGTGAAATTACAACTACCATGCTACCAATGGCAGTTCTACAAGACCGTGGGCATGGAGTTGAACCAGTCATACATACTTCGTTAATCAAGGGGGAATTCAACATAAAACAAAATGGCTTTTTGGCTAAAAACTGAGCCTTCCGGTCTGCATTAAACTCGGGCCCATCGCAGGTAATACTGCTCGGGTGAGAAATGTTTGAAAAGATAACCACATGCAGCCAATATTTTCCAGCCCATACCACAGTGCACTAGCGCACTTAACGGTAACGCCAGTAGCTCTGGGTGTTCTGGAGCTTCCAGGTGTGGCGACGACCAGCCTTGGTGTTGTTGTAACGGTGACCCTTGTTGATACCACGGGACTTCTTTCCGGTGGAGGTAAGACCACGAGCCTCGCGGTGCTGAGTAAAAAATTTTCATTAGTTCGACCGTTCCGTACGAAAGAATTTTTCTTGTTGGAATGAGAAAAAAATTGGAAACTCACCTTGTGGACGGGGTTACAGATCCAGTTGATGCGGGCATCACGACGGATGGCCTTGTGCTGGGGGTCGACGAGGATGACCTCGAAGTACTTGTAGGTCGAGTCCTGGTTGATCCAGTAGGAGTTCAGGACGCGCAAGTTGGCGCAGCGGCGACCAACACGCTCCTCAGCGGTAGCGCGGAGGGCACGCTGGTACTTGAGCTGGTTGATACCGTGGTTGGTGGGCTTGCCGTAGGTGGCACCCTTGGGGGCAGGGCGCTTGCGGCCACCGCGGCGGACACGGACACGGTAGACGACGTAACCCTGCTTGGCCTTGTAACCCAGGCGGCGAGCCTTGTCGGGGCGAGAGGGGCGCGAAGCACGGTGGATGACGTTCAGCTGGCGAAGCTATATTGATGCACTCTCAGCAAAGTTCAACGAGTGTATAGCAAGACACACGAGACAAAAAAGTCTCTTGCGTGCCACAACCATTTCCGCCGCAGGTTCGTTTCGAGCCACCAATACCAGAATTCAGGCATTTCCTATGGCTGTACGCAGACGAGCGCTCGGCGGGAATGTTAGGCAATCGAGGGTCGGGGGATTTTATCTCACCTCCCAGCAGCGAACGCGGAGCAAGAACCGAATGACATCGGACTGCTTCTTCTTCTGGATCTCTTCGACGTACTTGAGGGCACCCATCTGAGCGAATTGAAAGTCAGCGGTTAGAATTGAATGGGATCGTGTTGATTGATGATGGTAGAGTGGTGATAAATCATACCTTGTCGGCTTCGTCGTCGGTTGTCGTTTGTCGCAACTGCAAGAAAAGTTCCAGAGAGAAGAGAAAGAGGATTGTGTGTGGGACGCTAGCGATTAACCGAGAGTGGGCGATAAGCCAATCATGTTGTGTGACCCACATATTACCATTCCTGGAACACTTGGTGCCTCAGGTGTCTGCTCTCGGCCCTATCCCGGATTGGTTCCATAAACCAGATTTGCCTGCAAAAATATTCAAATGTTTTATGTGTATGGATTTTGATCATTCGAAGAAGTCATCTAATGTTGGAAACAGATTGCAATACATATATCATTGTGAATTTGTTAATAACATGTCCCCCGTCAGTCGATACAATATCCAAATGTTATGTACAAAACTTGGGATACCCCGATGAATGCTTTCCAATGCAATAGACAAATGCAAACCTGATTCCGACATCCTTCACCCTTCTGTATTCATAGGAGCGAAGGATATATCCAAAAAGACGAAAAACATATATATAAATGGCTCCAAACTCCACATAGATAGCAACCATGCTTGTGTTTTTTCGAAATGTTTTGATACTGAAATTCAGCCACTGCGCCGTGAAACATTGTCTTGACGAACCATATCGTTTGTCACCGGAATATCAATGGAACCCAGTGGCAGCACACTCTTCTTACAAAGAGGGCATAGGCTGCTATTTTCCATGAGGAATGGATCGATACATCCAGGGTCAAATATGTGGCCACACGGCAGTTCACGGACGGTAGATGTTCCAACAACAAAATCGTCAAGACATATGGCACATGTCGTCTGAGTGTGACTCAACCGATATGGATTAGGAGTGGGACTTGATGATGTAGATCGATCGTCGGTTCTTGGATTGATTACCGCAGCTTGTGGTTTTCGGAGTCCAGTTGGGGTTACTGGAATAGTTTCGCGCTCTTCCTCTGTTGATGAAGAAATCTCGCTTCGGGTGTCGACTTGCGCCATTTCGGTATCTACCTCTTCCTTTTGTTGCGGTGCTGATACATTCGGGTAGGTATAGAGAGGCATTTTTTCCACAATATCTCCAGGCACTTTGAGCTGATTCAGTGCCAGGTACTCAATGTCCACTTCGCCTGATTCGATTCGTTGGCGTAGGATCTGCCGTCGTCTACGTTGCATCATGCGGTAAAGGACGATAAGAATCAAAGTCAGGCCAAATATTGTTCCCAGGATTGCGAGTACAAAGCTCCAAAGACTCGGGGAGGAGGCAGGTGTTTTGTCTATGTTTTATTAGCGCTGGTGGTACTAGTACATCCCAGATATATTATAACTCACCCGTATCAAGCATCGTGAAAAGTCTTGTATCTGGGTCTCGTGACTCGTTTGATGAAGAAGTATGTGAGATATGTGAGATATTATGAGTTTGATTATGAATAGAGCCGTCTGAAAACCATGAAAGTTCGTTCATCAGTGTCACTCCAGCGGGGCCCGGCACGGCATAAATAGGATAATCGTTATCAATCATCCATTGATCGTCATCATGCAGGCTCCATCGATCGGAACTTGGTGGCGGTGGTATTCCAGTGTCATTACTGGAAGGCTGGAAGAATACGAGAGCATCGGTGCCTGCTTCTCGGGAGGCAGCTAGAAACGATTGGGTGCACTCTGGGGAGACCCATGGTGCCAGCCCAATAACGGGGTAGCCGAACTCCGAAACATCCTTATGGCGCGTCACGTTTTCTGGAATGAACGGGCTTGTGATGTGATGGCACGGATCTTGGGAATTGAGATCTGGGACAAATAGCAGACCGGATAAATGCCCCGAGTCTGGAAGCCCATGGTGGGAGAGCATCTGAACAGTGCGGTCCAGAACGAAGCGAAACCCAACATTCTCCTACATCCATGTGGTCGTGTGAGTATACAAAATCATGAAACATTCCAGGGGTAGGGCTGAGGCCGTTGAGTTTCTTACACTGACTGATGAGGAGGAATTGGAGGCACTGCCCGGGCCTGCAAATAGTGTGGCAACGGTGGCTTTGGAGTCACCCTTGGAGTCCGGGGTCTCCGTGCGAGACATGGCTGTGCTAAGTTGGGCTTTGGTATGTCGGCTAATTGAACCTCGTTGAATATTATCATCCCCAGGGCAATAGAATAGCAGTATTTGTGTGCTATCGACGGAAGAAAGTTATATGAAAGAGAAGAAAAATAAAATAAAATAGTTGATTGCAATAGATCTATGCACACCAAGGTATGGTTTTACTTAATAACTACTGGTACCATGGATAATTGAACGATCCCGGCGATTTCATGTTCAACTTGACCCTGGCCACCAATTTTAGATCGGTTACGGCTACAAGAATGCAAAGGCGAATCAGGGACAACACAAGAATGTGGATAGTACCTTGCCACGAGGTAAGTTGTTTATTGCAAGATATGTAATAAACATCCATTATGACACTAAAACAGAGAATAGAGAAAGTGGAAAGTTTGCTGAGAAAGGAAATCGCTTCGTCATCTGTGGAGTGTATAGTAAACAGAGAGTCCGGATTTGGCGGGCTGCTTGCGGAAGCCCTGGAGCCGCGTGCAGTATTGATCAGCATATTCACCCTGCAATATCCTGGTGTTATGTTCTACACCAATTAGCACTTGTTTAGAAATAACCAGATGCTTGAATTACGTACTTTTTTCAAACAATCTGTCAGACGCCTCACCCCTCCCAAGGTTTCTAACCTCATATGCTTGGAACTTAGTACATTGTATGTACATCCATATCAGATGGTATACATATACATTAGGATGCGCGCTGGCCGAAAAGCTTGGAAGAAAATGTATAGGTAGTAGGTATGTATGTCCACGGGTATTTATCAAATATTTATTTGAAGGATCCGAAGGAATAAGAGAATAAACTTATAGCTCAATACATTCTTACCGAATCCTACGAGTTAGTCTGCTATACATAGTAGTATACATTAGTACTAAGTTGTTTTTGATGTTCTTGAAGGTGTCAGGTGATGACCCCGGGAGAACTTCCCAGCCGGACCAAACATTCACCGCCCAGAACACCGCCTCACGTGCCCCATCGAAATCACGTGTTATCCCCAGATCGAGGCATGGGCGTCTCACAGCTTCAAGTGCTTCATCCTAAACCATCAAAACCATCCTGTCAGTCAGAGTCTTAATACTGGTGGCCTAGCTGGAGCTTCCTCTTTGTTATCGTTAGATTGGACTTGGCCAGCATGTGGCTCCTGATCTCTATTAACATCTAAGAATCCCTCAACCGAAACGCCAACCGACCCCGATCCCCTTTAACCCCTCGGAAAAGAAATCGAATTAAGACGATAAAATGCCATCGGCATACAAAAGCAAGGGCAAAGGCCGCGATGCGCGTCGATCGCAAAGCCGAAACCCCACCCCGTCCACCACGGGTGCGCCGACGGCCGTACCTTCGCTCCCAAGCTACCTCGAAAATGACGTGACAAAGCTCATTGATGTGGCCAATGGTCAATATACGGAGCTACTGGAGTTAGTTGCAGCTCCAAATATACCCGATTCCAAGACATTGGAAACTCTCGTGGAGCATCTGAACAATCTCAGCGATATGGCGGATACCCGTGGAGAGGTTTTTAACGCGGGGATGAGGGAAATGTCACAGAAGCGCAAGGAAGTCATGGAGGATCAGGAACTTAGTCATGAGGTAGCAGACCGCGCAAAACTGAAGCGCGAGACAGAAGACGATGATGACCCGATTCATAAAGGAAAAGTGAAGAAGCGCAAGGACCGCGCGAGCCTCAAGGAGGAGCGACCTTTAAGCCACGGAGCACATGAAATCAGCCGCCAGGACGGCGCAGAAACAAAAGTTGAAGGTGGTAAGTAAATCAAAATCTCACTTCCAAGGCTCCGACGCTTTGGTTGTGAGTTTCCCTCCCTCCACCTCCACTTCTTCCCACCTACTCCACCTCCCATCTTTCTTCCTGAAACCCCATCTCCACCCAAAATAGAGAATTGACAAATTTCAGCGGCTTCTCCAGTATCCAAGCATTCGAAAAACCCGGCTTCCGACGGGAGTTCCTCCCTATCCCCTCCCTCCATGTTGTCTCCAAACGGCGCCACTACCGGAAATGATGGCGCTGAGGCGGCTGATTCCCCGGAATCCGACTCGAGCGACTCCTCTCACCAGCCCGAGCCCCAGCCAGCTGTGCCAAATGTTCAGGTCTTTGGAAGCAATCCACTGAAATTCGATGACCCCACCATCTACCACATTCGAGACATCGTCCCCGGAATGAGCGATGACGAGAAGAAGGAAATCTACAGTGTCGCTCACTTTCCCAAGAGCGACCTCTCCCACATGCTTGGTGGTGTAGCCCCGGACAAGGACTTCAGCAATGCCAAGCCCACCAACCAAGTCAATGTCAATACTTTCCTGGCCTTCATCGAACCTTACGTTCGGCCCCTCATGGAGGAAGACATTGCTTGGTTGCGGGAAAGAGGAGATCGCGTGACGCCTTTCATGAACCCGCGCCGGGGAAAGAGAAGCTATCGTCAGGTCTGGGCGGAAGAGGACGGTCTATCTTACGACCAGAGCCAGGATGACAAAGACCAACTCCCGTTGAATCAAGGTCGTGGCAGTATCGAACAATTGACCGATGACAAAATGGAGAGCAACGAGGTTTCAATTGGACCACTGCTTAGTCGCCTGTGTTCCCTTCTGCGGTACGAGCATCGGACTCTTCCAGATGACAAGGAAAATGCAAATTCAACGAACGACGATACATCTGGCCTAGCAGGGCCAAGCGGGGATGCAATGGATCTAGATCAACTGCCCAGCGGGCCAGGGCCGGACATGGAAACCAAGCAAGACAGCAAAACTCTCCCACCAGCAACAGCCTTCCGCGATGCCAATCCCAATGAATTTAAAACCTCGGTTGCCAAACTCGACCACGCACAACTTGACGAACGCGCCAAGGCCGAATTGCGCTACATTGGATTCCTTGGACCCGAAGACAATCCGGATTACGATGCTCACTACGACGATGAGGTAGCCGAGCGCCTCCGCCTTCTCCAGGGCGAATTAAAAAAGCAAATCGTTAGCAACAATGCGCGCAAAGCCCGAATCCTCAAGATCGCTCAAGATCACATGGCCCTTCTCGAGTTCACAACCATTCAGGATGACCTCGACTCTCAGGTCCAGCAGGCCTACCTTAAGCGTACACGCACCATGGGCAAGAGCAAGAAGGGTGCACAGGCCAAACACCGGCCTGGTGGTGCAGGCGGTGGCAGCCATGTTGCTGCAGGTGTCTCACGGCCTGCTGTTGGGGATGCAGCGAAGATTGTTATGGATCGCCGCAAGCGCTGGAACGATGCTTTCCTTCCTATATTCGAGGATATCAAGACAACTATCCCATCGGAGGGAGAGACTATCTTTGATCCCTCCACCATGGCTGAATATGAGAAGGCCGAGCTGGAGAATTGGGATGAGGAGTAATTCTCATCTTCTCTTCGCACATTCTTTTCCGTCCCTTCTTATCCCTCTATCTTCATCCACCTCTGCTTCTCCTGCTTTTCCCCATTCTTACTTTCTCGGCATGGCTTCCGCTACCGTGTATACCCCTTTTTACATGATACGACACGACTACAATGATGGGCTGGTGCGGCGTTTATCGGTTTTTTATCTTATTTTCTCTCTTCGGCTGTCATGATTGCAACATATGCCATGGAGCTGGCAGTGCTACATTCCAGTCTCGATTGCATTGGGACGACGGCCTTATGTTGATTTGCGTCTTCACATTATGGTGGTGGCATCTAGTGACTCTTTACTACCTGAAATATCGTGTATCTATAATTCATAGCATCCATGAACTTGATTCCTAAATCACTTCTTTCCCTTGATAACGCAAAATATACACCACAGTGAATAACCTCAAAATGTAATTTGATACGAATATCAGGGTATCTAGACTTTATAATAACTTCCCAGAAAAAAACATCACCGGTGGATAATAACCACCTCCCCAGGAAACCTCTTCAAGCGTCCTGTCAGCTCTCGCTCACTTATCTCCAATTCTGTGCAGATCTGATCAAAACAATGTGTCCCATCAAGATACCGTCCAAACAACCGCTCATCGATACCATCCTCCTCGTCCTCAAACAACCCGCCCAACGGCGCATTCCCCACAACTCTCCCTCCACTCCGACTTCCACTATGAAAGCTAGAAGTCCGTTCATGCGACCCGTCCTGTCTACTTCCACCACCAGAGAATATCGGCGCCTCTTCAGCAACACTGGATGCATAAGGCGTATTGTTCCCTGTCGTAGTACGTGAAGAAGGCCCGGTAGATAAATACGCCGGCGTATTCGCCACACTTGTCCCCAGACCCACCCCGCCAGGACCAGAAACAAGCGGAGAAGGGTTTCGGGGTGCAGGCGCCGGTTGGCCTGTTGCACAAGCGTATTTGTGCACGCGATATAAAAAGCCCTTAATCACGCCAAAGGTAATGAAGCGTCGTATATCAATATTTGCAAGTTCGCGGCTATGTTGTCCGTACCACTGTTTTATACTCTGCCCTTGCTTCAGCCCGGCATAGAGTTCTACCATCCCCACGCCGTCCACGACAGGCGGGCCTTGAGGAATACTTGGATTCGTGCTCTCAGGGCTGTGTGATTTGTCTTCCAGATCGCCCAGTACCGGCCAGATTTCTTCTGCGTCGAAACGGGAGTCGTCGCGGGATAGACTGGGGGCTGGGCTGACCAGGGGCATTGCGCCGATGGTGGTGTTTGCGCTGCCGTTGCTTGTTGCGGCGACGGCGGCTGTTGGTGGGGGGAGGGATGTGGAGGGTGCCATGGGGCTGTGTGGTGCGAAGCGGGTATTTACGTAGCGGGCGCATTCGAGTTGCATTGCTTCATCGGAGGCGATGGTGCCGTTGAATTGGGCTGTTGGGGCATAGATGGCTGAGAAGGAGAATATGTCGAGGAGGAAGACACAGCCGTAGTAGAGGAGATGGCGGATAGCGCGACACGTCAGAGAGAAGTCGGTATCTGCTAGGAGAGATATGATCCGGATACTGTTGACACCGTTGATATGTGGAACGACCTGGGGTACAATAGTGAGCAGGTCATTTTCCTGTATGTTGGGGACAATTTATCATACTCGTTGCATGGTCAAGTCCCAATTCTCGTCCATGAAGGCCTGGTAACGCACTGTGAACAGTGGGACGTACCAGGCCTTGACAGCCGGTGGGGAAGGGTATATTGGAAAGAGCTTTATGTTCAATGTGTTGAGCTCGTCTGTTTCATTCATTAGTTGTGGTCCAAGTCAAGTCTGGAAGCTGGCAGACTTACCAATAGGAATCATGCACTCGCAATAGTTGTTGAGATCCTCCATTAGCATTTCACAGAGACTATGTACCTTCCCCTCGCCACTTTTGGAGAAATCGCGTGACAAGAAGCCGCTCTGCTCTTCCAGAGCGTGCATCAAGTCGGCCAACTTCCGCACCACGCTTTTGTATGTGCTGAAATCATCCTCTTCAGACAACACGAGACAAAAATTGAAGATAAATTCATTGCGATCATAACGAGCTGACTTCATGCAGATTGGATAGCCCAGAATACGATATCCATTTGTGCAAACCTGGAGCAGATTGCCGCAGAGCTCCTGGCGGGGAATCACGAAGAACGATATGTCGGAGAAGGTCAGGTAGAGGGGTTGTGTCGATGCGGTGGAGGAGGGAACAATGGCTCCGTCGGGGACTTGGTGAACGACTTTGGGACCTTGGGAAAACCATTGTTAGCATCGTAGTGGAATGAAGAGCTGGTCTTTCTTACCCTCTTGCGTGTCGAATTTGCTGTAGAAAATTCCCTTAATCATAGTGACGCTTGTGGGGACGAAGGCTAGGGTGGTGTTGCATCTGACAGTACAGAAAAACTAGAGCTGGATCTCGCAGACCTTGTGGCCACTTCCCTCTGTTTCCTCAAGAAGAACTGCACGTCATGGCGGAGGTGCGGGACAGACGGTGAAGTTGGAGATGCGGGAGTCGGAGTCGGAGTTGACGCTTATCGTTTATCAGCGGGTCCAGCTCCACTCAAGCCAAATATCTACACTTTACAGTACAGAATGAGTCTACATCATAGTCTATAGATGCCGAAATACGCGTTTTTCGTTCATGCATGCATTCGCACGCTCAGAGAGATGAAAAAAAAAGCAAATACTAGGTCTGATTTGAATAAGGAAATGCACTAGCAAAGCTGGGGGTATTAAAACGGAAGAGTATCGTAAGCCATCGCCCGCAGTAAAAGATCTATGCGTAGAGTTTTGTCATGGGAACTCCAGCGCATAGTAGGGATACGGGTAGCAAGAGTCTTCGAGTTGGTACCAGCCCACTTCGAGAATGGTGCAATTTGATAGTGCTGGAGGCCGTGAAAGCGAGATGGATAAAAAAAAATTGAGGGAAAAACGCCGAAGATGCAGCCGTAATCATCTTGTCTTTTGGTAGGGGTTTGCGCGAGGAAGTATTCGAGGTATTCAACGTGCTGTCCCTGAAGTGTGGTTTGAGGATTGAGGGATAACGGGACTTGAGGCAAACAGGTTGGAGGTTGAGTATAGAAATGTTTCTGCAGAAAGCGTGGTCGGCAAAAGTCCTTCGTCGTCAAGGCGAACCTCATGCCGGAGGGCAGATGTTGGGACCTCGGGAATGAAATTGAAGGCCTGGCTAGATCGAATCGCATGAACCATATCCCCATAGCCTCCCCGTTCCCCAGCCTCCTTCAGCCATTGCTCATAGTCCTCGTCCAGAGGAACATCGGCTCCTTGGTCGCGAGCGGCCATAGCCACGAGTAATCGATGGTTCAATGCCACGCCACAACTTTCCATTTCCTCATCGCTGGAGTCCTCTTCAATGAGCTCTTGGGCCCGGTAATCTGACATGACACTGGAGCTGCGGGAATTGCTCGCGCGCACTGTATCATCGCTACCGGTTTCAATGAATTGGTCATGGTCTTCTGGCCCGCAAAAGTCGTCATGTATCGTAATTAAGGGCAATGGTGTTGGTGATGCGGGGTGGATCGAATCGCCCGTTGTGTCCCGCACTGTGACCCCTTCCTCTTGCTCATATCGCGCCCGCGCGGATTTGGTGCCTTCCCAGCAACATAGCTCAAAGATTTCCTCCTTGGTCAGTCGCAATTCGTCAAAGGCTCTAAATAGTCGTTTGTGCCACGGGAAACGACCCAGTCGCATCCGGTGGGGGCCATAGGCATAGTCAAGTCCTGGATACTGAGCTTCGATGCAATCCAGGGGCCCATAGAAGATGGCGGTCTCCACCCGGACCTCAGTCACTAGGTGCTTAGCCACATGAGCTGCAAATGAAGATGGGTCATTGGAAGTTGGACGAGGGAAAAGTGTGTTGTACACCACCTGAGCGACCGAGGGTTTACGCATTGTTGTGAGGCTAGGGATAAAGGAGGTGGGGGAAAAAAAAGGAAAATGAAAAAGAAAATCAAGAACAAAAACACAAGGATATAGAGGTAAAATAGAGAAAGGAAGCGCTTAGAAGGCGCCTCAGCCACTGAGATTTGATTTCAGTGTTAAAAGAAAAAAGGGACAGAAACAGTGAGAGATGAGACACTAGACAACCCGCAGTGGGGAAATGTCTAAACGCGGGACAGTAAAGTATTCATTGACTTAATAGAACTCAATGATATAAGGAAGGATTTTCCAGATGGTCCAGATGGGCAGTTCGAAGGGAAGAGACGGAGAAGAAGAAGAGATTGGGAGGAGAAAAGAAAGGGTGAAGGCTAAATAATCATGGGATCGTGTCACTGTGAGTTAATGTGATGTGTTGTTCCTGCACGAACAGCTGGTTCAACTAAACTCCACTTCTTTTTTTTTTCTTTACTACTTTCTCACAACTTTGACCCCATTACCCCATTTCTGCTCCAAATGTCCACTTTTGATGGAATTGTTCCAGGTTCGCTTCTTCCTTGGGAAATGTCTTGAGGATCTTGTACTAAAAGGAATCCCCACGCCCAGAGTTCCCAGATATCCAGAGTATGTATCCCTGTACTCCTGTACGCCTGATCGGGATCACTCAGCTGAACCTAATATGCAGTCGATTACTTTCGGAAAAGCCCTGAGAGATCAGCTCCATTGGCTTGTTTTCTAAGTCATGTTCATAGCGACCATCTGCAGGGCCTGGAGTCCTTTCGGGCTCCTTTCATTTACTGCTCATCAGGAACTCGAGAAGTTCGTCTTTGTTCTCCCATGTCTTGGCAATATCTAATCCCGGTACACTAACTGCGGTACGTGCCAAACTATAGCTGTTGCTACGTATTGAAAAATATCCACATCGCATGAACTTCCAGAAGGGCATCCTCGAGTCAAGGCGACTGCATTACAAGCATCTAGCAAAAATTTTGGTTAGCCAACTCATATCGAGAATGATAATGGGGGAGGGAAAAGAATTTACTTAGCTTACTCCAATCAGCGCCCGATCCCGTTGAATACACCCACCGAGATTGAACTCACCCCGAGAAAGCATGTCCGAGTCACACTGTTCGATGCGAATCATTGCGCAGGGGCTGTCATGTTTCTAATAGAGGGAGCCGGGAAGGCCATCCTGTATACGGGGGATATCCGAGGTCAGCTCTTTCCTCATTGGACCTATCAGGGAATTAACATTTGGTAAAATTCGACAGCGGAACAATGGTGGACAAATGCCCTGGTACGACATCCAGTCTTTATCCCATATACGATGGGTCGGAAGCGACTGGATAAGGTATACCTGGACACAACTTTTGCCGCGGCATCTAACCCGCTCCGGGAATTCCCATCCAAGGCCCAGGGACTCGCGGAGCTGCTTCAAAAAGTAGAATCCTACCCAGATGAAACGGTCTTTTACTTTCGTGCATGGACATTCGGTTACGAGGATGTATGGCTAGCACTGTCAACTGCACTAAGGACAAAGGTAGAACCAACTCACTCACTCAATCCGACAGACAGGGGCTAATAATCGAACAGGTTCATCTAGACCGGTATCAGATTGGTCTTTATCGAGCCTTACTGAACAATCCTGGTAGCGCGAATGAAGCCACTGCGCTTTGCGGGTTTCAACTGGGAAATAGAAATGTGGAAGGCTGCTTGAGTGACAGTGAGTCCAGCAGGATTCACAGCTGCGAACCAGGGGTATCGTGCAAGGCTGCTCGGGACCCGAACACGGTCTACATTACACCCATCGTAAACCGTACCCGTGATGGTGCAGAAATTCCCGAGGTCGGAGCTGGTGGAGGCGGTGGCGACTTGTATCAGGTCCACGAGCTAGAGTTGCCAGATGAGTCCGCGCTAGCGGCCCTCGAGAAGCTCTGTGCCCAGCATATTCCCAATCAGCAGCTTCTTTTACAGACTCGGGATGCAATTTCAAAGGCATTCCGATCAAGAAAAAAAGTCCTGTCTCTTGACCAATATGACGTACAAGATGATGAGATTTCTTTGGAGCAGCTGGTAACAAAGCTTAGTCGGGGAAACGATCAGGGCTCTGTACCCAATCTACCGAACACTATTGTGAGTCTCATTTGTTCCCAACCTTGACCCTGGCTAATTCCATCAGCGCTTTCCATACTCTCGACATTCATCCTACGCTGAACTTTGCGCGCTTATCGCTGCATTGAGGCCTAAGGATGTCCACCCTTGTACAGTAGACCCATCCTCGTGGTCCGAAAATGTCTCCATCCGGACTCTTTTTGGTCACTTGTGCTCTGGAGAAGAGTTCACACACGATATTTACATGCGTGAGACGCTCGAAATGCGGTACGACGAAGAACGCCGTGCCAGAAAACGAGCCCGGTACGAGGATGACTCGACTCAATCTACACAGTCCAGCATATGCGAAGAACTCCCCTCGGATACTGGTAGAAAACGCCAATCTGAATCTTCAATCACTTCCAAAACACCAGAAAGAATTCAAGCCAGACATGAGGAAATCCGACAGGCACACCGCTACTTACATGACCACGCTGACCCGGAGGCATTGCAAATCGGCCCTCTCCCCTCCTCGGTGCCAACAAACGAAGAGGGAAACAAGAATGACTTCAGAACCATCGCCCATTCGCAAGAAGAGGAGGAAGAGGAGGAAGAGGAGGAAGAGGAGGAAGAGGAGGAAGAGGAGGAAGAGGAGGAAGAGGAGGAAGAGGAGGAAGAGGAGGAAGAGGAGGAAGAGGAGGAAGAGGAGGAAGAGGAGGAAGAGGAGGAAGAGGAGGAGTCGTTGACTCCGCGACTCCAACCATACACAGACTCCTTCGCCGACGATGGAATCAATTCTGACCCTCCACTACCCGTCAGCCAATCGTACTCTCAGCTTCCAGACAGTCAACAAACCGATACTCTCACCCTACCAATATCTGTACTAGCACCTTCTTCTCCCATTGACGTCGATAGTTCCCTGGTCGGAGACTCTCCCCCGGGTGGAGAGTCATCCGAATTAGGCCCAAGGGCGAGTGCCGGTCGACAACGAATCATGTCGCGCCTGCACTCCCGTATTTCGGCGTATATCGCTGCTTCAGAGGGGTCGTATTCGGCATGGGAGGATCACTCGCTCGTTTCAGCGGGGTCCAACCATAATGAGGAGGAGACGGAGCTGTGAACGTGCAGAATGATGGTGGGTGGGTGTTCGGATCTAGGACTGTACCGGACTTTTTTTGGACTCTTTTTATTTTTCTTTTCATCTATTTTTGCCCCTGCTATCTGTTCAATTTCAACATGTACATTCAAGGCAGTGGTTTTTTTTTCGACCGATACCCCAAATGCGCAGTTAGTGGCTTGGTCTATTGTTTCGGATTCTGATTATTCTTATCACATACTAGTATTTTGTCTATCTATACCTCGGCCATCCGTGATTGTTCTCTTATCTCTTTCAAGAATACTCTCCGAAATCTCGGACATAAGCCTATCAACCCCACCGGGGTATTTCGTAGCGTGGGGCCCTTGGAGCACATATGCCGGGGAAATAATACGTATTACGATGCGGCGAAGTTCGCCGGTGAAAGAACTAAACACCACACACAAGAACACGGGACAATTGATTTGGATTGGAAACTTGATAAAGGAAAACGGAAGACAGACAAAACACGTAACATTGGGGTTAATAGAAGAAGGAAAAGGGAAAGAAGTTCCCTCCGAACTAAACTAATAGATGGTGCTTAGGTAATAATCACGTCAGGCAGGTCTGCCTCAATCCGGAACACAAGATAATCGTACACATGATAATCATAACCATTCCCCATCCAGAATCCCAGTTCCATTCAATTTCTCCTCGTTTTCCACTCATTCCCGTCCCGGTTTCCATCCGTATTGTCCACAATTTGAGTATTCCCAGTTTCACCCGCCACACCGGGTGGGGTCGAGTTGGCCGGGCGTAACACATGCGATGTGTGCTGCCGTGTTTCGCAGTTCTAATATTGGGTATCCAAAAATAATATTTGAAATTTGTACAAATTACAGCTACTAGTATGTATGGTATGAGATATCTTTGGGGAACTTTGGAATAGGTAGAAGAGATAGAAAAGTCATCACTTTCGTTCGTAGCTAAGCTACCTAAGGTAGCATGCTCAAGTTAGATACCCTAAGCTACCTACATTATGCATAAACAACCCGCGTACATACTCTTCGCTATGACAACAACATGACAGGCATGAACAAAGACGGAAACAGAAATAGAGATAGGAGCAGAGCAACACAACACAACACAAACTCCTGGGGTAAGTTATAACAGCAAACGCTCGAGGGAGGTATATAGCCGAGACAATGCTGAGGGGGTGTGAAATCGGAAACAGACCAAAGAGAAGGGGGAAAGAAGAAGTAGGAGGTATAGAAGAAATGGTCAAAAAGAAGAGAGAAGAACCGGACTATTCGCATCCTCATCTAGAAGACGTAGTACGCCTGTGTCAAGGGTAGCTCGGTCGCAGGTTCGGCGTCACAGAGCATGTTGTCTGCTTCAACAGTCTATCGTGCCACATATCAGTATATATTATCTTGCTGGATGGATCAGATGCAGGGAACTTGGGAACACAACTTACATAACTCTCCGGGTCAACCTTCATCTTGGGCATGGAGTCATTAAACTTCATATCCTTCTTTCCAACAGTTCTGCATCCCTTGACTGCTTCAATACGTTTCTTAAGACCGTATGTCTGGACAATGCCTTCATCGATAGAAGCTTGAGAAACGAACATGACAGAGGTGCTAGGCACATGGACACCAAACATGGGTCGCATGACCAAGGGTTCAATAGTCGGGATTGAAGCGTTCGCATCGCCCATCTCCGACACGGCGATCATGCCGCTCTTAAGAACCTGGTAGGGCTTCGTACCGAATCTGCTCGGGTTCCAAATCACCAGATCGGCAAGCTTGCCAACCTCCACACTACCGATCATATGGGCCATACCCTGGGCCAGTGCAGGGTTAATGGTGTACTTGCTGATGTAGCGCTTGACACGGAAGTTGTCGTTGCCATTACCGGCGTCTTCGGGTAGAGGGCCACGCTGTTCCTTGTTCTTGTGCGCGGTATGCCATGTGCGCAGGATAACCTCACCACAGCGGCCCATGGCCTGCGAGTCAGAGGACATCATGCTGATAGCGCCGAGGTCGTGGAGGACATCTTCGGCGGCGATGGTCTCGGCGCGGATACGGCTCTCGGCGAAAGCGACATCTTCGGGGATGTTCTTTGACAGATGGTGGCAGACCATCAGCATGTCAAGATGCTCGTCGAGTGTGTTCAAGGTGAAGGGTCGGGTCGGGTTGGTACTACTGGGCAGGACGTTGGGGTGCTCGACGACACAAATAATATCGGGTGCGTGACCGCCACCGGCACCCTCGGTGTGGTATGTGTGAATGGTACGACCCTTGAAGGCCTCCACCGTTTGTTCGACGAATCCGGACTCGTTCAGAGTGTCGGTATGGATCATGCACTGCACATCGAAGTCATCGCAGACTGACAGACAGTTGTCGATGGCGGCAGGGGTAGAACCCCAATCCTCGTGCAGCTTAAGGCCGGCTGCACCAGCCTTAATCTGCTCCTCAAGACTGATCCGTCCACAATCATTACCCTTGCCCGTGATACCGATGTTCATGGGCAGGTTGTCGCACGCCTGCATCATCTGGCGCATGTGATTCGGACCCGGTGTGCAAGTTGTGGCGTTTGATCCAGTACTGGGACCAGTACCACCACCCAGGAAAGTGGTAATTCCCGAAGCCAAAGCCTCATCCACCTGTTGTGGGCAGATGAAGTGAATGTGCGTATCGAAACCACCAGCAGTAATAATCTTGTTCTCACCGGCGATCACATCGGTGGAGGCACCGACCACCAAATTGGGGTGCACGTTATCCATCATATCGGGGTTACCCGCCTTGCCAATTCCAGCAATCAGGCCATCCTTGATACCAATATCGGCCTTGTAAATACCAGTCCAATCGACGATAAGTGCATTCGTGATGACAGTATCAACACACTCGGAGGCCGAGCGACCAGATGCCTGACCCATGCCATCACGAACGGTCTTACCACCACCGAACGTACACTCGTCACCGTGGCTAGTCAAATCATTCTCCACCTGCACCCACAAGTTGGTCAGACCGAGACGTACCAGGTCGCCAGTTGTGGGACCAAACATGCGAGAGTAGGCTTCTCGTTCCATTGAGAATCCAGTAATCAATGCGCTATCTGCCATCGGCTCTGGGACATGCGCAAATCCAGCAGTCTGCAACTTTGTCACAATCTCCTCGGCGCGGCTCAAATCAATGGGTCCATTCGCCAACCAGTTACCTCCTCGAATAACCTTTTTGCCAGCAATCTCTACCAAAGTAACAGTCTTGGTATCACCGGGCTCGAACCGAATGGAAGTTCCAGCAGCGATATCCAATCGGAAACCATATGATCGAATGCGATCAAAGTGCAATTGCGGGTTCGTTTCAATGAAGTGGTAATGCGATCCAACCTATTTTTTTAATGAACCATCAGCCTTGGGTCAAACAAATATAAAACGGGAATGGAGCGGGAAAGGTGGCAGTCCACTGCGCATCGACGTACCTGAATTGGTCGATCTCCTTTGCTCATGACCTTCAACTTGATCCGCTTCCGTCCATCATTCAGATGCACCCGCGCGTTCTTAACAGCAATCATGGCACCTGGCATCTTCTCCGGCAAGAAGTCACTTGGATCCGGGTCGAGGAAGGCCTCGGCGGCGGGAACAGGCAGGAAACTTCCATACAGCGCACGCTCGAGATCACCCTCATCACTACTGATGGGGTGGTGTACGGTAACTAGGTAGGTACCTGAAGGGAAAGTTCCTTCGACCTGGAGCTCAATGAGGGTAGCAACAACGGAGGGAAGGACATGACGGCGACCCAGCATGGTCTTTCCGATGGACATCAAATCAGCGACGGAGTAGTGGCCATCGCGAATGAGCTATAAGATTCATGAATATGGATTAGTCTCATGTTTCTAAATTCACAAAACTGCAATGCGATTGGCTATTGCGATTTTGGATTGTATCTTCCGATGACCGGGGAAAGAAGGAATTGGAAAAAAAAAGTGGGGAAATCGTACCTCGTGCAGGACGGATGAGATCAAGGCCTGCAGCACAAAAAAATTAGCGTCGGGTCCTTGCACAGCACCTTGTATGTTGGTGATTTTTGATTTGTCGAAGAGTAGCGTACCGATGCCTCTACGTGATTCAATCGAACACCGCGGGCTAGGCGTCGTTGGGCCAGGAACCCAAGATTGGCGACGGTGAGCTTGTCAAGCTGTTGCCGGATGTCAGTGGAAGGCTTGGGACCAGTTTCAAGGTGCTTGGCAAAGTTGTACCTCCTTCGGAACTAGCATGACGCAGGTGAAACCCAAACCTCTGGCTTGGCGTGCAGGGAGAGGGTCAGGAAAGTAGAATGAATCTTCTGTTCCTGATATCAAATCCCCAGAAGGTTTGGGAGAAGTAAGGGAATGTGGGGGACGCGGTATATTTCAAGTCGGATGCCGTGGTGGTCATCTCCGATAACGACGATAAGAGCCAACTCGGTGGCCGATTGGATCCTTACATTCCACCGTTTTAGTCACGGTTTTGCTAATGGATTTCTGTCAGGGACCCAGTAGGGACAAAAGGGACCCATTCTGTTGTTCTTATGAATAATAGAATTTAATATTAGAAATCTTTAAATGTCATTCTAAAGCATTAGAATTGCCTGGACTCTGGTAGGTTCGGAAATACAAGTTTAAACTGAAGAGTTAAATTTTACCTCTCTGTCACTCTCCATACAAGCCCTATAATACCTACGATACACACAGTTTCTAAATCGCCCCGCAAATTAAATTTTCCTCCCTATCAGTTTAGTACGCTGACAGCCAACAAATACCGAATCACTAGTACAGATACGAATTACCGACTTTTAATATCATATTTGAAGAAAATAAAAAAAATTGTAGGTATTTGAATTGAAAATTTTGCATTCCGAATTTAATATGGGAAAAAAAAAAAAAAAAGCGAAAGAAATTACTTATATGTTTAAACATCGCTCTTGCGCTTCTTGCCCTTGCTCTTGGGAGTCTTAGCTTCAGCGGCGGCGGGTGTCTCTTTAGCCGCGAGCTCTGCCGCCTTACCCCGACGAGCATTTCTCTTAACAGGCGAAGTCTGCTTGACAGCGGACTCGGGAACTTCCTTCTTGGAATCACTGACACGTTGGCGCTTAGTGCTGCGAGGGGTCTTCTCCTTAGGAGGAGGCTGAACGGGAGAGGGAGAAGATTCGCGGGACTCGTCAGAGTCAGATGCCGCCTTATCCTCCTCTTCCTCATCAGATGAAGAGTCGTTGTCAGAGGCTTCCTTGGGAGCATCGGCAAAGTCAGCCTGCAGCTGGGTAGCAGCAGGGTCTTGTTCATGATCCTCGTCGGCCAATTTGCCGGCCTTGTACGCAGCCATATCAGCCTTGTACTTCTCATAGTTCATGAGGTAAAGCTCCTTCCAGACCTGCGCAGAACGTTAGTCACATGTTTTCAATGGCTGGCAAATTGGATTGAAGGGATTTGATTTGATTTCTTACATCCTTCTGGGGAGCAGGCATCTCTTGCCAACGACGGGTACCCTCGTCAGCGACATCCTTGGGCTTGGCAGTCTCACCAAGATCGGCAGCAATCTTGGGGCGGTTGCTCTGCATGTACAGGAAATAGGGAGTAAGAGCACGCTTGGGAGCGTTAGGGTCTGCGGGCGCACGCTTGCGCTTCTTGGTGGGCTCAAGCTTGGTGCTGGGGCTGCTGGGGCGCTCAAACTCGCCGAGCTTCAAACCAGTGGGGACATCGGGGATGTCAATGGTGGCGGGGCCACCGCTGATGACGCTGTTGGCATGTTCCAAGTAGGCTTTGCTCAAGTCGGCAATGTAACTTTGGAGGGCCATCAACCGCATGAGCATCTGGAAAGGTTGTTAGTACGATGTGGATTTAACGACATGGATTTGAATCACACGGTTAACATGTGAGAGAAAAGACATCGCGTAGGCATAACATAGAAATATGCGATGCAAGAGTAAAACAAGGACAATATCTTCAAGCTCTGAAGAGCATAATAACATGCGCATGATGTCATGACTCTTGGGAGTCTCGACACGTATGAGATGAATGGAATGTCTGAAGGCTTCGTTAAGTACATTAAAGTATTACGAAAGATCTTTCTGTGGTTGAACAGGTAGATCGGACACAATAATGTAGCTCAAAAACTCGCGTTGAGCTCCGACGCGTAGGAAGCGACGCGAAGTGGATGCACCGGAACATAACAAAAAAAAAATAAACCCAGGGAGAACTTGGTGGAAATTTTTGCAAATAGAAAATCGAAAAACAAAATTAGAACATACCGCATCTTTAGAATTGCGAAGCTCATCGACATTAACTTCGACAATTGCCGGGTCGGCCTTGGAATCGGTAGGAGCCATGGTGATGTGTGTGGTTGATGGTGATGGGGGGAGAAAGGAAGAAAATTTGGGGGGTGGGAAGCCTGTAGGAATAGGGGGGTCAAGGGGTGGGGGGAGACAACTAAATAGCCCAAACACTTGAGGGAACTTCCACAGCGAAAAAAACATTTGAACCCCATAAGCCCCCGGCATGCTCGGTTACTCGCTGCTTTAGGCTTAGGGGGCCTTTTTCATGGGCGCTCGGGGCTCAATCTGGTGTCGCCTCACCCGGTCATGCGGTAACCCTTGGGCTTGTGATGTATAGTATTCTCATTGGATTTTTACTATTCACTTCTATTCCGAAATTCTTCAAAAATAAAAAAATAGATATTTAGTCTTTGGATGCAAAGCTTCTATCATGTTTTTTTTTTTTATCTTCAAGTTTGGAACAACCATTAGGAGACATCTGGACTTTCAAAGTTGGGCGTTGGGGGCATGTACCTGCCCAGGTGTCAATGATATATTTCGGTACCCGTGGCCTGTCTACCCCTCCATATGCGATCGTGGGCAATGCCCGTTAAACATTGAACTCCGGGGCGCCAAGGTCGCAATGTGAACCAACCCTAGTCCTTTGATGCTTATTCGGACTCTGTTTGAAGTGCTAGAACTCATAGAAATATTAAGATGACATCTGGATATTTCTTGAATTTTTTCTTAAAAAAATAAATTTCCACGTTTAAACCCAAAAATTCTATGCAGACAAAATAGCATACATACTGTAAATATGAAGATGCCGCATTGAGAACAACGCTGAAAACCAAGGACACACATTAACCTACTTCACGGTCGCATCTGATTAAATATGTGCCGGTCTGAAAATTCTACATGTCATCTAGAACTTGAACACCTGCTCCTTGCTGTAGCCAAGCTCCTTCAGGATACCAGCAAGCTCGCCTTGGTCCTGGGGGCTGACCTTGGTACCGGAGATAGCCTTGTACAAGCCAGGTGGGCCACAGACGAAGAGCTTAATGTTCTCCTCCTTGGGTTCGGGCAGAACAGTCTTCAACAACTCCTTGGAGATGAAGCCCTTACCGCCAGCCCACTCCTTGGGGGGCTGATCCAGGACGTAGAAGGCGCGGAAGCGCTGGGGGTACGTGTTCTCCAGCTCCTCTAGTTCCTTCTTCAGCAAGATATCCTCCTCCTTGACGTTACCAAAGACCAGGGTCACCTTGGTGCGGTCATCAGGGTTCTTGAAGATCTGGCGGGCCAGCTGGTACATCGGGGTGACACCGGTACCACCAGCAATCAAAGCAATGTGGTTGTGCTTGTTGGCCTCCCAAGGGTACTTGACAATGGGGCCCTTGAAGGCCAGGCGCTGGTCGACAGCCAGGGAGTGGATGTGCTCGGACATGGGTCCATTGGGGTAGACCTTGACAACAAGCTCAAGGTAGCCGGGCTCCTCTAAGAGAGGGGGTCAGTATAATTGAACAACGGGGATTTTGAGATAAAAGAGGAATCATACCTTCATCACTGGTAGGAGTGTAGGGACGAATGGTGAACTTCTCCTTGCCCTCGGGCTTGAAGCGCGTGAGCAGAGCAGCTATGATATTGGAGTCAGCACGGAGCTCTTGTTTGACAAAACACTGGGAAGGGACTAACAGGCAACGGGAAGGCCAGCAATAGCCTCCTTGTCCTCAAACTCGAAGCGAATCTTCTTGGTGTTGTGGCTCAGATTCTCAATTGCGCCAACCTTCAGGTCCACCCAATCCTGACCGTTGAAGACCTTGGTGCGCTCCTTGGGCTCAGCATCAGCGGAGTTGGTGTAGCGGTAAACACCGGCGCCGAGACCAGCAAGACCAACACCAATATAGATGGGAGTCAAGTTGGACTTCTTCGGGGGAGGGGGAGGAGGGGTGGCCTCAGCGGCCTTGGGAGCAGCCTCCGCGGAGTACTTGCGGATGCTCTGAAACAAATTAGTTAGCTTTGCATGATGATGAGGGATGGGGTGAAGACAAACCTGCTTCAGGGGCTGCGCACAGCGGAAAGCCTGGCGAGCAAACATTTTGCAGACAAATTGAGGTGATATCGAGGGTTATGGAAGGGTAGGGAGCGTGTAGAAAGAGAGGGTTAAAAGAGGGAAGAAATCGGATACGGAAAGCGGACAAGGGTTGCTCGGCTCCTCAACGCATGACGCAATTAAGGTCCTGCAATCCTGAGACTTGACGGATATATGATATTCGCCATATTGCGTAACCGTCCAGGGGTGGATAACAAGGTCCCCGGTTTTTTTCTGAGAAATCGTGGGTCTTTTAACTTTGTTGTATTCAGAATGAAGGGCCCTAGTCCGTAGATGTAGGCCGTTACGGTTTTGTTTGGTTCGGAGGGTCGGGATCGGGCTCAGGCACACCAAAAACCCCCGGCGGAATCATTGTAACGCCCCCCGACAGGGCCGTCCCTTTTTACCTATGCCAATGCCGAATTCGTTCTGGCTATTTCAAGTCAAGAGCGAATCTAGAATTGTAGCGCGTCTCACCATATTTAGAATAGAACGGACAGCACGGACCACGTGAATTCGAGGGTACTTTTATTGGATTCCCCAATTACTGTTATACGAAGTGGAACCTTTTCATCAAATAACAGCCGAAGGTATCTGCTATGTCTCCATAGCCGTGGCCGAAATATCTCTTATCTATTTTATTGTAGATTGTTCAGCGGAAGATCTAAGATCAAATGCAGAATGGTCTACAAAGAACAGATGCAAAACGTGAACCCGATATTTTTTGAAATTTAACCCCAGATGCCACTATACGGGAGTAGAGACATCCCACCATCACTGGGTACAAACAGGCCGTAGCCGCGCGGCCAATATCTTTCATGCTTGCTATGGCCATAACGCAGTTATTCATCCACACTCCATCCCAAAACCCAGAAACATCACATTTAAGCAAAGGTAGAAGGGCGAGAGTAGGCGAACAGCTTCTTGCCGGGGTTGGCGGAGCGGTGGGGCAAGGGGAAGGCGACGTTCTTGCCGAGGAGCTGCTTGATGTAGGGACGGCGGATGCTGTCGTTGTCGGTGATCTCAACGACCTTGAGGACCTGTGGGGTTGTTAGAAGAGATTCCGGGAGATCGCGGGGATTGATTCGAAACGTACGTGGATGGAACCGAAACGGGCACGGTGACGAGCAGCCATGTCCTGGTAGAGGGCATCGACGGCGTCGGTGCGGCTCATCTCGCGGAACTCCTTGTACATGTTGTGGGTACCGGAGCGCGAGTCGTAGCGGAGCCAGATACCGAAGTTCTTGACCTTGAGGGGACGCTTCTCAGCGATCTAAATGAGGGAATCAGCAATTGTTCCCTGGATCCAAGTGAAAGAGAAAAAAAAAAACTCTATACATACCACGTTCAAGCTGACGATCTCACCGTTGGACTTCTTCAGCTTGCGGAGCTGAGCCAAGAAGTACCAGAACCGAGACTTAGCGACAACGGTGTTGGGCGCAAAAATGCGCATACGGTACAGCTTGGGCGTGGGGTTCGCCTCGGTGGGCAGGTGACGCCCGATAACCTGGTACTCAGTAAGACGCCCTGTGGTGAATCGGTCAGTCATGACTCCTGGAATTATTTGCGCTCAGCGATTCTCCTCGGAACGGTGTGGCGATTTGCGATGGTTGTTGTCGGTCATCCCTCGGCGAAGAGAGGGAGATAAGTCGTGGTAGAAATTTCAAGATTGTTACTTCAGCGGTTTTTGTTGAATTCAAGTCGACCCCAGCATATAAATTCCTCCATAATGATCATCTCCGTTGCATTGAATGTTGTTTCCTTGTTGAATCGAGACCCTTGTGTCATTGTTGAAAGGATTGTCGTTCCCGCCTGATATATCGTTCGACCGATCGCACACACCGTAACCGTCTTGAGGAGAACGCTGGAAATTCGAAAAAAAAAGTGAAACTTACCCATCTGGAAACGAAAGGTTAGCAATGACTTCGTCGGAGGTGAATATGGGGGTGTACTGACTGTGATTGTCGCTGTGGTGGTTGAGTCGTTAGTGTGCCGGGGAAGAGGAAATCAGGAAGTGTGTTGCATTGTGCTTAGGGCTATCGCCCTTCGGTTAAGCGAGTGGATCACATCGGGTTTGCACTAGCCCCGTTTAGGAAGGGACGGTGGCTGCTCCTTCCGCCACACCGATAGCACAGCCACATCCGATAACGCCCCACGTTTGCTTGGAACGCGCGCTAGTGTGATAGTGCAGTGAAGCTCATCCATCGGACTTCTTAGGTCCCTACCGCTTCTCTCTAACTCCCACAATCGAACAATTACGCAGGAGTCCAACATCGCCATGAGCACCATTGCGGCTGAATTTCGAACTGCCTACACCCAAGGATCCGGTCCTGGCCTCGCAGCGGTATTTACTCCGATCGCGACTACAACTAGCCCACATCGCTTGAGCTCCTTTTACGATTTCACCAATGCCGCTTACCTCACAAAAGATCTCGCCTCGTCCTTGTTTCACGGAAAGGGGTTGAAAGTGTACAAACCTGAGCAAAGCGCTTGGGTCTCAATCTTTGCTGCATACTGGGAAGCACTGGGAGAGGTATTGAAGTGTGAAGATGGTCATCCCGAGGCTAGCGCAGCAGCCATATTCAAAGCTTGGAAAGCATTGGCTTTGGCACTGAATAAAGGATACACTGACAACGTCCTCCCTGCTTGGACATTGCCGTGTATGTATACGATTGGGAAATTCTTGCGCACCTTTGCGATCAAGGCCGACAACGAAGCGGCCTCCCAAAGTTCGACCGGGTTTGAAGTTTTGGATGATGGAGCTGGCGATGTCGAGAAGAATGCCTTCTTGGAAGATGGAGCTCGAGTTATCAACCGCATGTTTACCTTGTGTTTGACTGATCGGTGAGTCCTCGCGACCAGTAGCAAATGGGCTCAATAGCTAATCAGACACAGTGCTCCCATCGAAGATTCCCGCAAGTGGGGAATCTACAACATTACCAGTCTACTTTTCAAGACCTACTTCAAGGTTTGTGCATATGTCGCGGAATATTTGGGTGTCCTCTAACTCGATCTAGATCAACTCGGTTGGCCTCTCGAAGAACTTGCTTCGCGCGATCAAAGCTCAGTCGCATGAACTACCACCACTGGAGTCATTCCCGAAATCTCATATCGTTACATTTGAATACTACATTGGTGTTATTCACTTTTTGGATGAAAACTACACCGAGGTTTGTCAAGTGCTTCTGCAACAAGACGCATTCAGTCGATTAACTTCTCGCAGGCTGAAATACATCTGTCCACTGCTTGGAGGATGTGCCACCCACAGGCGCTTAAGAACCGCGAGTATGTTTTATGTTGATGATATTGTTTGGTCTCAACTCACTGACTTGTTACAGGTTAATTCTCATGTATTTGATCCCATGCCATTTGGTAACGACCCATACTCTCCCCAGTCGACAACTACTCGCTCCTTTCCCGCAACTCGAGTTGTTCTTCCGCCCTCTGTCGAACTGCATTCGCAAAGGTGATCTTGTTGGCTTTGATAAAGCCATGGCTGCAGGCGAAGAGGAATTCGTGAAGAGACGAATCTATCTACCTCTAGAGCGAGGCCGTGATATTGCCCTTCGCAACCTTTTCCGAAAGGTCTTCATTGCTGGCGGCTTCTCGGAGTCTCAAGATGGGCAGCCACCTATTCGCCGCACCCGGGTACCCACCGTTGAATTTGCAGCTGCATTGCGCATTGGGGCACACGCAACGGCACGTACTCGGGTTGATATCGATGAGGTGGAGTGCCTACTCTCCAATCTTATCTATAAGGTTCGTGTCAGCGCATGTTATAATGGGCAATGGTAACTAACAAAAATAATAGGGTCTCATGAAGGGTTACATTGCCCGAGAGCGAGGGTTTGTCGTTTTGAGCAAGAACAATGCTGCCTTCCCCGGGACAGGTGTTTAAGTCCTACAAAATCCATACATAATACCACGGCCCCGGAACCTCTGAGAGGCTTTACAAATCCGATTGAGCAGGACCACCGGAGTTTAATTGGTCAGGAACCAAGCTTTTCTTATGAGATATGAATAAGACCTTCAATAGGACCAAACATATGATCACTTTCAATTTGCCTTTTCATCGGAACTGCATTAATAAATTGTACATGGGTATAGGAATGAATCACCACATCGACTGCGAAAAAAAGAAGAAAAAAAGATCAACAACAGCAGCAACAGCAATAGCAACAAATATACCAGCAAATCACACTCCAGCCCACAAGCAACCAGAGTTGTCCCTATAGCAAATACCTGTCAAACCCAACCAATATATCCACAAAGCCTGAACAACCAAACCCGATTACTCCCTTGCCGCAACAGAACTACAAACCGACAAAGCCGGAAACACATCATCCTGAAATCTGTTAGCCACACATTCAAAACACCGGAAAAGACCCGAAGGCATAGTCACGAAGCAGGAAAACATACCATATGGTTACACATAGCGACAAACAAGTCGAAAAACAATTTACCACCCCGTTCCATCTCCATCTGCATCGTCCCACTCCGCTTGAACGTCCCGCGACACCGAATAATCAGCGCAAGATAATGCGCCCGCAGCTTCGACTCCGTATCCGGCGTATTCGCATACGCGTATCGCGCACTCGCAAGAATGGTATTCACCGTGATACCGGTATGCAGGCCCTGTTTGCGAAGTGCGAGCCTTTGAAGAGCGGGGATATTGAATTTCTCGGCCGCGCAGCTAGGTAGAATAGACGTCAGTTGAAGTTGGGGGGGGGGGTGGTTGAGTTGGTGAAAACCCCTACTATATTACTATATATGATGCATCTGAAGAGAGGTGGACTTACTATATAGCTGTATCGCGCAAAATCACCTCCCCAGCTCCGGTGTGGAAGAGCGTTGCGCCTGGGCTTGTTCTCTCGTCGTCTTTACCGTCGTCTTCTTCTCCCTCCTCTAGCTCCCAGGTTCTGCGTCGCGCATTGTGGCGCAGTTTGGGGTAATAGTCGCCTTTGTAGAGGTACTCGAGGATGCAGGAGATTACTTCGGGCTGTTCGTCTGGGAGATTGATTCTTTTGCCTGGGGATTGGATGTGCGGGTGTGAGCGGGAGGGCGGGGAGGGGGTTTGCGACTGGCAGCGCTGGGCGAAGAAGGGCGATGCGGAGAGGATGGCTTCGTGCGCTGCGAAAAGGCGATTCTCTGGGCCGACGTGGAGGAGGACGATGGGAGTGGATGGGGGCGATGGGGAACTGGTTCAATTGACATGTTAGTATTGAGATCTGGTATTGATATTGACTGTCTTGGGCTCCAGACGGATGGGTTCCTGCTGGCTCTGAAAATATCTGGATGGTAAAAGGAAAAGAGCACTTACGATATATCTGGTGGACACGCCGGTCTTCGTCTCGGGTCTATCTCTATGCGCCTGGAGCTGCTCGAACTGGAACTATCTTTGACATTCCGTTTGGGTCTGCTCATTGACGCCTTCGTCGCTCGATAACGAGTGAAAGCATCAGACGGGGTCTGGGGAGGATTTCTTTTGGAGAGCATAGTGCACTGCGGATAAAATTTGATTCTAATGGGACACAGCAGCAGTAACGTAATCGAACAGGTGGTATAGATATAGTAGGTTCGAACAGAGAGACTCAAATCGATTCAGAGACGAAAATTCTAAGGGGCGACAGACTCCTATTTATACCCAAGTATCAAGATTAGCCCGGGTTATTCCCCTGGGCAAACGTGTAAACCCGGGCTTGGTCACAAATATACATGACAGGAAATGGACGGAGAAGCTGTGAGTTAAATACCAGTTTGACAGGGCCAATATTACCCGAATGGGAGCTTTCAAGACGTTCCGACGCGTCATGACGGGGTTCAAACGCGTAAAGGGGGTTGTGGAGAGTCGCCAAATGGGCGCGTGGTCACGGGGACATGAGGGCCAATGAAGACTTTCTCTAGCGTTGAAAGTGGGGAGGCGGAAATTAGTGCATTTGGATAAGTCGATTCTTGTTCAAATGTTCCCCTGCCAAGACTGGATGGAGAAGTGATAAAAGGTCCTGATAAACTGGGCTGGTATGAGTGGAAGGAATTTGTACCCATGCGCTCGGGAGTTAAAACTCGGAACCACGTATAGGAGCTTTGAAGGTCGTTTTCCATACTTTTCAAGTGCCATATATTATTAGTACATGGTACCTTCCAAAAGTTGTTTTTTGTACCAGTGGTAAAGGTTATGAATTCTGAACTGTATTTAGCAAAATTTGACTCACCAGATATGATGCATCCAACCAGCACGCTCAGGGGCTCGATGAGATTCGGAGTAGGCAAGAAGCGTCGTTTTTTTTATGCGCCCGGGCGAAATTGTGAGAGACACTGTATTAACATTGAAACCTTGGAATCTGCCGGGGACGTGCATATGTGGAATTCAGCGCTGGAGATACTGGTAGCCCTCTCATTCCCCACCTCCAGCTGGGCAGTGAATTCATACCTACTAGTAGGTATCGATCAATGTGCTGCACATCTGCCTGCATATATGGCTGAATGTTACTAGGTTGGGATAATACTTTAAAAGATAAAAGAGAACAGAAAAAATTCTTATTCCGAAACGCTAAGAAACCCCACTTGGACAGAAGATTCCCAAAACACCTCGCGCCGATGACATCGCAAAAAAAGAGCAAAAATAGATAAACCCATCACAAGAAGATCTTCCGAGCATCCTTGGGATGGCTTTCACTGGGGCAGTATGGGCACTTAAAGCGATTCCCCTTGCTGAGCCGACGCAAAGACTCCTCGGCGATAACATGCCCGCATGGCATCATCATTGGTGGGTTTTCATCAGTTGCTTGCTCCTTTGACACCGGGCAAACGAAGATGGAATGGAACAGATACGAGGGTGGCAACGAAATTTCGACCTGAGAGATTTGTTAGTATGAAAGGAAAAACCATAAGACGAATACAGAGAACACGTACCGGAAGCTCATTTTCACTGGTCCACTCGGTGCGCTTCGCCTTCATGATGGTCTGCAACTTGAGAAGGGTCGGAAGTGCAATTGCACCAGCAGTGGCAGCCACATACAAAGGAGAGTCGGCCGACAGGCCCAACAATGAGCAGAACTCGCGGGTGAAGAACTGGGCTACATCGTCCCAGGCAGAGGCATTGTTGAAGATGGTCGAGTATGGTGACCCTTGGAGGTTAGGGCGGTAAGCCATGGCGCCAACGAGCTGCTGAACCTCTCGCAGGTAGCGGGGTGCAAATGATTGGAATTCTCGTTGGGCATACTGGATGGCCGCTTGCCAGTCGCTGGTCCCTAGGTCGTGAGACCTGCCGTGGAAAAGCCAAACAAATTGTAAGCGAGAAAGTTCAAACTCAAGATTGCTGCCGCGGGCCTCCAGGGCCTCGCGGTTCTCCCGAGACCATTCGATGGCTGGGAGGAGATTATTCTTTTCTTTTAGTTCTTGCAGAATGTAGTACATGGAAGCAAACTGCTTCCGGATCTCGCTGGAGGGGACCTCATCGGCGTCAAGTAGACTCGTAGGAGGTTTGGGGGTGAGCGGGGTAGACTCGGGATTATCCATGGCCTTTTGGTCGGCGATCTCAGAAAGAAAGGTTGCAGCAACAGAAAATTGTCCCTCGCGGAGAAGGTGCATGGAAATCGCACGATTGATTAGGTTCTCTTGTTGCAAGAGGGCATCGTGTTCTGTGCTGGGTAGGGGTCGATCTTTGAATAACTGGAATATCAAAATTAGATGGGTGAAAGATCTCGGGAAATTCACCGGAGGATTTGTTACCTTGTCGAGAGATTTGGTGTACTTATTCAAACCGCTGTGGGTTTCTTTCAGGCTATCATTGATGGACTCAAATGACGACTTGATAGGATTCTGAAGTTTGGCCAGTGTGATAGCTGCCTGGTTTGGATCTGCAGAGGAGGGAATGAGGTTAGTTGAAGACCAGTCCAGCGATCATGAGCCACCCCAAGACTCATGGATACTACTAGGTTGCTGGAGTATGCGGAACTAACCAGAAGCTATAGTCTTCCGGGCCGACTGTAACAACTCGATGGTAGAGTCAACATTTTTTAGACCTTGTGAGCCCCTGAGCCTCTTAAGGAGCCTCTCGTGCTCCTTTTGTACAATATCCATGGTGTTTGAAGTGTGAAGTGTGGGTACTGAATGCGGAGGTGTGTGAGATTACCGCCCGAGTCCAGCGGAGGCCATATGCAGGGTGAGATCAGAGGGGCTCGCTTATGCAGTTCCAGAGCCCCAAGTACCCGGGCTATGATGGCATGAATGATTATTGTAAAGATTTATGGAAGCAACAGAGCAATAGCCAGTTGAGCAAACATCGGTACTCGGAAGTGGGACGTTGGAGATGTTGGATCATTTCCGGGTGATCGCCCTACGCCATAGACACGTGACCCCTCGAGTCAACTGATGATGTTTGTATTAAAGTCATACAAGCCCCTGGGTTTTTAGCTTGCTACAGGATCAACTTTCTGCCTTTCTGTGTTACTACATACTGTGAAATATCAGTATGATAGTATGGAGAAATAATACACAGGCATGTGCTTGGTGGTAATGGGGATAGTGAATTTCAAGACTCACTAGTCTTCTTTGGGAATACAAATGCAAGGGATGACTCATACAGACCCACTATTTAATTCACCGCCAATCAAACAAGGCAAAGGACCCACTCTCGCTTACGTTAGCGTGCTCGACTTTTGGGTATAAATAATTGACCCTCCCTTCCTCCTTTCCCTTCCTTTTTTCTTTTCTTCTTCATCCTAGTGCACGGGTTTTACACGCGTCAGTGAGGAGACATCCGAGACCGTGTTTTTGCTAGTTGAAAACTACCAAATTGACCTCTCCTTCTGGTCCCTAGGGATCGGAAGGGAATTTTTGAAAAAACAAGATGCCTCAAACCTCCTTGGTTCATCCATCGAGCGTTCTTGCTTGCAGCCACCCATCGGGTCTGCGCTGGTCTGTTCGCACAACTGCAACGTCCAGTATTCGAGTACTGTCTGGTCTTCTTTTCACTACTGCTTGCTACCCATGTTGGTGGCCTGTAGAGAAGAGATTTTCCTCGTTCTCCTTATTTATTATTATTCTACGTGTAGAAGGGTAGAGCGTGAACACGCGTTACCCTCTTGTAGTCTTCAATCCGTCATCCCATTCAGATCCACCTCACCTCCTCGTAGATTGAATGTCACGTATCCCACAGCTATAAGCTTGCCCTTGGATCCTGCAGCAGAAATGCTGACCATGATGCGGCTGGTCCCTTGAGTTAAAATCCCTGGTTTTGATGAATGCCTAATTGATCTTCACCGCCCAATCAGTGACGTCGATAGTTCTGCAGCGTTTTGAGGATCTTCAGTCTACTTACTACACTCTGGTAGTCTCCGACAAAAGTTTTCCACTGCTTTTTTTCTTTTCTTGCTGTTTTCTTTTGTTGAATGGGAATATGCATCAAGTGCTGGTCCTGCTACCCAGTTGCTTGGTAATTCCTTAATTCTACTCTAGTTCAAACACTCGGCGGCGCCTCCCTGACTTGGGCCGAGGCGTGGCGCCGAAGCTGGCGTGGATCAATGGTCTTCTCCATCATATTCACTCTCTGTTCTCTTGGACTTTCTTCTCGAGACGCCGTGTCTCGCCCTGACCGAAACGCGCCATGTCGACCAGCGCAGCCAGTGCGCCGACGCCGAGCCGTCGAAACTCCGCAAAGGCCTCCGACGGCCTTAAAGGAAACCCCGCTCCCAACACGAACGGTCCCGACCAAGTGATGCCCCAGGGTCACCAGAGACTGGTTTTCACTGACCCCGTCGCCCTACGATACCTTGAAGAAGATTCCTCTACCGATGTCCTCCATCGCCGCGAGACCCTACAAGGCTACGAAATTTATGTTGTCGAAAAATGGGCCTGCTCTCGCGTGCATCCGACCTTTGTTATCGCGACCTATACCGGTGACCCGTCGCATACGGTTGTGGCTGGGGTACTCAGTGTGCCAACAAATGAAGCCACATGGTCACCTCGACTGCGTATGTATTTCGATGCCGTCAAGAAAAATAACACTCGACAAAAGGAGACTCCACTTGGAATTATCATGGTCACAGACTTGGGCAATTTCCCGTCAGCCTTGACTGTCATTCCAATCCCAGGAGGCGATCTGAAAAAACACCGAGAGGATTTTATTGTGAACGAGAACTTGAAACGGCTGGGTTGCGCTGGGCGGGCAGGCCTCAAACTCCAGTATCCATTACCCGCCACCGAAGCAAAGTTTCATCAGCTCTACCGAACCAATGAGCGGGTCCGTCTTTATAATGCGGTAATGGAGCTAGTGAAGCAGTGTCAAATCGCCTTGATGGTTTTTGGCAAGCTAGCACCGGAATATGTGGATGGTCTCTTGTGCGATGTGACCGAAGCAGCCATCAGTGATTGGTGGGCGGATATTGGGTCAGAATTGTATAATATTGAACCAAGCGATGGTGTCCTGGGACCAACTACGGTGTCTGCTCTCCTTGGAACACTTCTTGGTGCTCGGAATCGACTGCACACATATGGAGCTCCTGTAGGGAAGGATGCTTTTGACATCGATAACCTCAAACGGGGTATTAGCGGATTCCAGAAATCCCAGAAGTTGCCCCGAACAAGGAGGCTAGACCGAAGGACCTTGGATCGACTACATCGTGCTACCACCAAGGCTGCCAATGCGGAAGGATGGACCGATGCTGTCAAGTCAACCATGGTAGAGCTCAGTGGCCAAGGTGGTGAGATGGTTATGGGAATGGTTCGCGGACGCGAGAAAGGCGGAATCGCTGATGTTGAAACCCTGGATATCGATACCTTTATCCAGTGCTGTTATGGATCAAGAGCGAAGTGGCTTTGGCTGGGGAAACTGGGAAAGAGTGGTCACGATCACCCATTCACACGTTCCCCGACATCGGACATGATGTTCACCACAGATGATCAGGGCGGCTATATTTGGACAAGCCGGAAGAAGCACTCTGGAGAAGACTTGCATGCCGAGCGGGTAACCTCTGCTCTCGATCGACAATGGAACTCTTCAGATCCTATAGTTGGCGAAGAAAAAGATCACCGGAAGAAAGGTGTAAGTGGAAGGGTGTCGGATGCTCGGGCTGGCCTGGGTCGTTTCAAGGACGCCGTGGGCCTGCCTGGACTGCGATCACATCACCACAAGCAGTCTCGAGACGGCCCAGAACTGATGCATGATATTGCTTATCGTCCGTCCATCGACAGTGATACCGAGCCTTCAATCACCAAAACAATGACTGGGCTTACATCGGACTCAAAGATTGACGAGGAGTCAGAAGCTCGTCTAGAAGATGACCAAAGCCAACCTTTGGCTCGGTCGGAATCGATGTCTGATGTCAAACCCCCAGAAATTCATATTGAATCTGCACCGAAAGATACAGAAACCGAATCACAGGTGCAGCAACAAGACCATCTTCCGATTCCAATGGGCCTCCCCGGGGTGGAAGAAGAATCCGATCTAGAACGCACTGCAACGCGGTCTACTGTCGCCTCCAGTGATCCTGGAGACCAAGATGATGCAAGGCCAAACCTAGCCTTGATGTCTCTTCGGCGTGCTCAGAGCTGTGAAGAGCTTCGGAGTAGCGAAATCGGGCCCCAACGCTGCGACGAGAAATGCCCGCGACATCTTTCTTTTAGTAACGTTGAAGAAGTGATCCACGCCTCCAAGCCGCTAGTTGAGCCGCCCAGAGTTGATAATTCGGCAACTTTAGACGAAGCAATTGCCCAAGAAGATATCTTGGCATCTGATGCTCGTATTTTCAGCTCCCGGATATTGGAGTTGGCTGAGTTCACTGCCCCTTGGGTTGAACGTCAAGTTGACGCCGTGGACAGCCTCAACAAAACACTCTATGACCAACACGAAGAACTCAACTCAGTCTACATAGATCGTTTTGGTGATTATCAACGCCTACGAGAAAGATCCAGTGACCTTTTGACCGACGAGACCGCCTATTTGAATGATAGTGTCAAGCGCGTCGAGCTGCTCGGCGCTAAACTGGACTATGAGCTCCATGTTCTAGAATCCAAAGTCGACGACATGGAGGAGGGATTGACCGACTTTGAGCGGCATATTGTCAACGTGGAAACCCGCGTCAAAGCCCTACTCCAAGGCGAGGAAGAACACAGTATCTCCTGGATGACGTGGGTACGACGGTCCTTTGGGTTTTCAGGTTCCTTTGACGTTTCCAACCCATTATAGTACTAATTCCAATGTGTGAACATGCATGTACGATATTAATCTGCTCTCTTTTCCTTTTGGAAATTCTCATGTTTTTCCATTTTTGCTATTGTACATAGATAGATCGGCGTTCCTCGCCAGACCCAAATGTGATAATGATATTAACGTGTCCCATCACTAAACAAAAACAAATCGACCTCAAATAAGCGAGCGGAACTTGTCGCAGTGTCCAGCCTGCTCTCTAGATGATTGATTCTCAGAGTGGGAATTCAAATTGTCCTCTATTTCCTCCTCAAACGCGTCAAGTTGCAAAGCCTCATAAACGCTTTACATGCCGAAAGCCTGCTGCTTCTGGGCAGCATCGCCCTGCATCTTCTCGCTAACCTTGATGTTGACGTCGAAGAACTTGGAGACGCAGCGGTCGAGGCAGACAGACTCGCCCTTGTTGAGGTCACCCTCGCGGTAGTCGACGGGGACACACTTCTTGGTGCAGGACTCGTTCAAACTAATAGCCAGTCTGCATCAGCACATTATTCCAACGCGTATATTAGAAGATAGCTTCTCACCGGTTGAACATGTCTGAGATCATCTCGACTTCGGTCTCGGCCTGAGCGAGCTTCATCTCCGAGGACATCTTGGGCTGACCGCCGAAAAGGAAAGACATTGTGAATATGAGTGGAAACGAAAAGAGATTGACTGAAAGAAGCACAATGGATTAGTATCTTCAATTCCCAGAATAAGAATAAATATGGGCTTTACCTTGATAGAATGGATGATGGTTGGTACTAGTCAGGGTCGATGCGGACCGGAAGTTGTCGACTTTGGAAGCTTGGGCCACCTTGTCTTGTCCGCCCGAGTTTTTCCACTTTTCCCGTTTCTTCGCACTTTTTCTTTTCTTCTTTCTTTCTTTTCTCTCAACCACGCAATGTGAACTGCGAATTGTTCGCAATGCAATCAATTCGCCCTTGGGCTTGGTCCCGTGGCTTGAATGTCCTAAGCTTCAGGTAAGAATAACTCTTGATTTCTTTTTTATTTCTTTCCACGTTATCTTTTATGATGAATTGTACCCTCTGCTTCAGAACCGCTGCAGTTGATACTCTCACGAGTATATGAACGCACGTACCAATTTCCTGATTTAACATTATTACTTCTACTTCTTGTTTTGAAATTGTCATTGAGAATTCTTAACTGACTCCCTTCAAGTGCAGGTCACCTCCGACAATCCCGTATTCAGCCCCTCATCCGGGCCCGACTAACACAACAGCCTACCCGGAATGGTAGCTCTGCTTCTTCTCCCGAAAAAGCTTTTCAGGAACGAGTACAGGAGATCAAGTCTGCTTGTGCAGACCCATATCCCCGTCTCGCGGTGGACAGCCGCACTCTAAGCTGCAAGGAGTTCCGTTCCCGGTACGACGGGTTAGCCAACAATGATTCTGTAGAAGACACGGTCGTTATCTCTGGTAGGTTACGCCTGTTGTTCTTGGCTTAATGCCTTCAAGTTGTCCTTGTACTTAGATTAGATTAGGTAGAATACGTACCTACAGGCTCGCAGGGAGCAAATTGATTTTTTTCGATATCATTCAAGATGGCCATAAAATCCAAGTCATGTGCAACAAACGCCAGCTCGAGGGCATCGAACCTACTGAGTTTAAAAAGCTGTATCGACTGCTTCGCCGTGGTGATGCATTTAGTATGTTCCTTCCTCTGCCTGAACCTGCGCCCGGCTTATAGTAGAATTTTGCCCACTAACTGCCGTTCTCCTCGCAGCCGTAACTGGTAATCCGCATCGCACTGGTCGTGGCGAGCTTACTATCAATGCAACACAGCTACCTCAGCTGCTTGCACCATGTCTGCATGACGTTCCCGTTCATGATAGCTCGCATGAAATCTCACCATACCCACGCCATGTCCAATTCCTGGCTGATCCGACGGCGGCGGATATCATTCGAACTAGATCCGTTCTGACTCAATATCTTCGTCAATTCTTCGTTGATCGTTCCTTTATGGAAGTCAGCACACCTATCATTGGAGCTGTGGCTGGTGGTGCTATTGCCCGCCCATTCATCACCCACGGCACTGAGTTCCCAGAGCGCGAGCTTTCGCTGCGTATTGCACCAGAATTATGGCTGAAGCGGCTCGTGGTGGGTGGGTTTGACCGAGTGTTCGAGATCGGACCGTCATTCCGTAACGAAGGTATGTCCAGCCCTTGCCCAGGTGAATCGTGAAGCAAGTAAACCAGAACTGACAAAATCAGGAATTGACAAAACCCATAATCCCGAGTTCACAACCTGCGAGTTCTACCAAGCATACGCCAACCTAGAAGACTTGATGCGCACCACCGAAGACCTACTGTCCGGCATGGCCACTCATATCCAAACCCAAAAAACTACTCTCCCACCCACCCAAGTCAACTTCACCGCACCATTCAAGCGTATCGACTTCATAACCGGTATCGAAGATGCCATCAACCAGAAACTTCCCGACCTCAACTCCCCCGATGCCCTCGATCAAATCCGCAACATCTTCCAAACTCTTTCTCTCCCCCTCCCTGAAAATGCAACCCTCCCCCGCCTCCTTGACGAACTCTGCAGCATTTACGTCGAACCCCAGTGCGTCGATCCAACCTTCATCATAAACCCTCCCGAATGTCTCTCTCCGCTCTCAAAATCTTTCACACACCCCACAACTGGCCAATGTGTAGCTGCGCGTGGTGAACTATTCATCCAGGGCAAGGAGTTGATCAATACCTACGAAGAGGAAAACTCGCCTTTCGAGCAGCGCCGCAAGTTCGAGGACCAATTGCGGTTCAGTCATGCGGCTGGTGAGCCTGGCGAGATTGATGAGAGTTATCTTGAGGCGTTGGAGTGGGGACTTCCTGCGACTGGTGGATGGGGATGTGGCATTGATCGCCTGGTGATGCTTTTCACAGGTGCGAAGCGCATTAGTGATGTGTTGGCTTTTGGAAATTTGAGGACCGTTACCAGACGGCCTGGTTCAAGTGAGGCATAACTGTACCTCAACCAAGCATAGCATAGCATAGCATTTGTCTACTGTACGATAGAACCTAGTAATTCATGTATCAACATCCACTCTCTGCTTTTACTTACTACATGATTCATTTTCTTATGCCCTATCGATTAGTTCCTCGCTAACATTTTAGTGCCAATGTACTAAAAAATCACCCGCTCTATCAAAGCCGTCATTAGCCGCAGCTTATCGGCCACTCCCGAGTCTCAAGGCGGGGAAAAACACGGCACTTCTTCGTTACTTCAACAAACATGGCTGTTAACCAGGCCCCTGTAGCCCAAGCGGTTACCGTAAGCCTGAAAGATCTCGAAAATGGTGAGTATTGCTCTCTTGAAAGCTACTATGGTGTAAAAAGCGGCTAATTGAACCCAGGCACTGTCTCCTTCGACACCCTTACCGAAGCCTTCGGCCCATCGTCCTTGGGAATTGTAGTTGTGAAAGACCTGCCCGAGAGCTTCATTAAGCTACGCGCCCAAGTTCTCTCAAGCGCATCTTACCTGGCAGCCCTCCCGCCCAATGAGCTTGGTACGTCGCACAGCCCATCCAATGGCAACTCCCAAAGCCCAAACTTAGGATTCAAGAATAAGAAAACCACCATAACTAACAACTCCCAGAATCCCTCGAAAGCCCCGAATCCAAGTACCTGGTAGGCTGGTCCTGTGGCAAGGAAACTCTTAAGTCAGGTCACTTTGATACGCTCAAGGGCTCCTACTACGTCAACTGCGCCTTCTACCAAGACTCCAAGCTAGACAGCGCCCCCGCAGATGGATTCCCCGATCTACCGCAGTACACGGCACCCAATATCTGGCCCTCACCAGAGCGTCTGCCAACCTTCAGACCTAGCATCGAGAGTCTCTGCTCACTGATCATCCAGACCGCGGGACTAGTCGCGCGCGCATGTGATCGGTACGCCGAGGCGAACATCGAAGATTACAAACCGGGCTATCTGCAGCGTGTTGTCGAAACGAGTCTAACCACCAAAGCGAGACTTTTGCATTATTTCCCCGCGGCCGTGGAAGATGCTCCTGGCAAAGAGACCGAGAAGGACGATGACGATTGGTGCGCGACTCATATCGATCATGGCTGTCTGACGGGTCTTACGTCCGCTATGTTCCTGGATGAAGCTGCTACGCCTCCGACTCTGGATTCTTCGGCTTCTCCTCTCCCTGAGCTTACGGCCTCCCCGGACCCGTCTGCGGGATTGTATATTCGTTCCCGGGCGGGAGAGGTCGTCAAAGTTAATATCCCCAAGGATTGTCTTGCGTTCCAGACTGGTGAGGCGCTTCAGTTGATTACTAGGGGGAAGTTCAGGGCTGTGCCGCATTTTGTAAAGGGGGCGAAGTGTGCGGATGGGCGGATTGCGAGGAACACGTTGGCGGTGTTTACGCAGCCGAATTTGGGGGAGGAGGTTGAGGCTGGGTTGACCTTTGCGGAGTTTGCGAGGGCGGTTGTACAGAAGAATTACTAGAATTATAGTGAGCTTAGCTGATGCATAGCATGTGTTGATACTACCAGGTCTACCAACAAATTCCTTGACCTACCATGGTAGGTACCGCTGATCATTCAAACAACTTCTCCATTGAGCCGGGAGCCAGAGACCCAGCGATTTTCCTTCTGTCGGGTGCAATAAACATCTCAGCAGCCTCCTCGCTGTACCATATTTCTGGAGAATAGTATACACTCCACAGCGCCTCATAAGCTAGAAATGAATTTCTCCGGATGAAGCTTTCAAAGCACATAGCTGCTCCCACGGGAGGGCAATCATCAATTGTTTGTTCACGATTCTCACGAGTCACGGCGGCCACCAACACCTGGATCCAAAATGTTTTGTGGGTGACAGAGCTCACTGGAGGGCCCGATATGCTCCACGCTTCCTCCAAAGCAGCCTTCCTTGACGTCTCATCTTGAGACTCAACATAAAGCTTTTTGTATAAGTAGAGTAACATGTGAGTGTGGGTCAAGATGACTGGGGAATCAGTCACTGGTGAATTCAACGCGACAGCTTCTTGGATAATAGTGATTGCGCGAAAAGAAAGATATTCTGCAGATGGAGACTCAGGTCCACGCTGGAAAATAGAGGTTTCCATCTGTTTGACAAGCGCAATGTTCTGTTGAGATGCAGATGATGAGATGATAACGTTAGGTAATGGTTTTAGATCCGGAGGAATAAATGCCATGCGCGCCGCGATGCTATTCCATACTTTCTCGGAGTAATACTGCTTCCAGGTACCTGAGTTCAGATCAAAGAGAGCGTTGAAGCTAGCTGAACTCAGCCTCGATACAGGGATATCGAGGATCGACCTGTTCATCGATTTGTCTGGAGCGGTATTGAATGACTGTATGGCTGCATGGACAATTTGAATCCAGAAATAGGCTTGGGTTTCAGAATATGGAGGCATGGAAGTATTTTTCTTACGCAGCCGTATTGTAGTAGCCTGTAGCGAGTCGAGTGCCTGTTTAACGACTTGGCCGCGGCGAGAACCGGATTTGACAGTATCCTGAATCACAGCAAAGGCATATCGAAGAAGTCGGTCGGGATCTTTTCCTTGCGCCGAAAATGCATCGTAGTTTGAATCCAATAATCCCGGAAGAGGCTGTAGATCTGGCAGGGACCATGATTCCCGGGCTTTTGTGCTGAACATGTGCTCCTTGGTGTAGTATACTGACCAGAGGCGAGTGTTGATGAGGGATGGCGTGTGGAGGAGAACTTCTTGGAAGTCAGTCCAGGATGGGAATTCGGATGTATTTTGGTGAGACTTGAATTGGATGATAGCATATTGTAGTTGTGTGAGCCAGAATATTGTCATCGTTCTTTGAAAGTCCTCGTTAGTATGCTTTAGGTCGTTGCAGGATATCATATTCCAGATGAGCTCCATACCGGTGTTCTGTATTTCGAAAATTCTCTGGCTTCGCCATCTTTAATCGTTTTAGATGACACAGGAAATCGTCCGCCATATAGAAAACATTGTCGCCATTTTTCAAAGATTTCAAGACAACAATGTAACCTGCCTTGAGGTGACTACGATGATTCCACTCCAGCAAATCAGCGTTGAGAAATGATTGCCAAAAATGCAAAAGAACCATCGTATCCTCAGCGCCTTCTTTCTTGATTTGAGCCCTGAGATCTGTATCTTTGTGCTCGATCTTTGCCTTCTGGGCCGGCTGCATGTGCGTAGTGCAGTGGTTCTGCGCTCTTTGCCGCGTTTTCTTTTCTTCTCCGGTCATCAAGGTAGATAGGTCATCTTTGATGCGCTGAACCCCCTCTCCAGTTTTGGTACTCACGGGATAATCAATCACCTTGCAATCGAAGGGAGTATCGAATATCTCTATTAATTTCTGGTAGTAAATCTGCCGTAAATACTCAATTTCTTGCGCAGGCGCACAGTCTCGCTTATTCAAGACAATCCAAATACTTCGATACCCCACGTCTCGCATGATTCGACCAACGCGAGAGAGCAATTCAAGATTATTGGGCAAAAATTCCTCTCCAGATGTAGTGTCATGGAAGAACAAAACAGATGTATCTGGGCTATGAAGGTATTGAACCCATTTAGGGTCTCGAAAGCAGCCCACTACGTAGATGTGGTTAGCGCAAGAATTCAAAGCTATTGAAACATTTGAATCGAGCATCTTGGAATAAGGGCAGACAGACTTCCAGTATCCCAAAATGAGAAAGTGCGTCGGTTATAAGTTATGGGGTAAAGATCGTGTCCCATGGTAGGGAATGTTTCCCAGGCATGGCCATGCAGTAGTTGAGATATAAATGTTGTTTTTCCAGTGCCGCCTTCGCCAATTAGGAGGACTCGGAAGTTGGGAGGCCCGTAGATCCATTTCGTGATATTTTCCATTGGATTGGTGAGCATTTTGAGATCAAATATGAGCGGAGGAGCGAGGTAGGTTTTTATTCGGGGCGGGGATTATGATAGAACCGTGCACTGTTCAAACCCGAATCGCGTACCTGATTCAGGTGCCAACTTGGCCAGTTGGCATTGGCTCAGCTGGTCGACCACGTGATCCATTTGCCTAGTAATTTTCAGGAGTTAGGTTTTGTGTTGCTATTATTTGTATTTTGTCTAGGCACCTCGAGTGCTGTGATAGATCAAACATTTGAATATACAGATAAATGGAGTCCTGGAGGCGAGAAATATACTAGGTATTGATGAAATCAACGCCGGGAACCTAAATAAACAGTCTCATCGGGAAAATGGGAGATTGGAACGCATGCACCTGGGCAGTATTGACATAAATTTCACGTTCGCATATGAAGTAGATCTCAGGCTCGAACCCAATGAACCCGACGTACATGCTCCTCCATATTATCCTTGCGACCGAAGAACCTGTTGCACGACTCCTCCGAACATTTAAACGAACGTGGAGCGACATGTTGTGTGTCGATGTGGCGCATCAAGCTTCCCTTTGATTGGAATGACGGTTTGCGGCAGTTGTCCCATTTGCAGATGAAAGTAGTGGTGCTTTCTCTATATAGAAATAGAAATCAGTTATATACATGATATACGTGTACATATATATAGATGGACATAAATTAATGTTTATACTTAGTACATAAGTATAGAACATAGAGCTTGCAGATGTGACAGGCGATGCGTGTTGAAATATGAAATGGAGGGCTTACCTATTGTTGTGTTGCCGGTCATGTATGGTTGTGCCCGAGGGCCGATCTCCAGCTAGAGTACTGGTAGTCCATGACTGAACACCGTTATGTGGCGGCGGGAGAGTAGACGTATGGTTAGAGCGCGGTGGGGCCAGGTTATCAAACATCGTATTGGACTGGTATCCATTGCGCATAGTAGATAGGAAGGGTTCTGTAGGATCATTGTAGACGTGGTGGGTACGGAATGGATTGGAGATGAGTGGATCGGAAGATTGCAGTGACATCTTGGTTGAAAAACGTTCCTGTGGCAAGTGAACTAGGGGAGTTGGTGGATCTATCAATAAATATCTAGAAATTGTTGAATGAGGCTCGAGCGCTTCCGAAGTGCTAGCGCTACTATGGAGTGACTGGGGCCTGTCCGATTCAAAGACATGAGTCCAATACTCAAGCTCAGACGCAGAGTTGTCTAGGGGAAGCCGATTCATATTGTATATAGAAAAAGCCGTCTCCAATAGCTTTCGAATCACAAAATAAACATGGAAGAACACAGAATATCCGAGGAGGGGATGCAGACTTATAAATGTTCTACTGTAGTAACATTGCAAGTAAATCCACCTGGGCAGTGTATACTTGTACAAAAGTTGTAAGTTGTAACTTGCGGTGTGCCGATAATGGCGCGCGGGATGGATGCTAACATTTTCAAATGGCACAAGTTGAAATGGTGGGCCATGGCGCACAGACTCCAAAAGTTATCATTCATGTCCGTGTTTCCAGAACGCTCCACGGTTAAACACTCTTCGCCCCTCCCCCTCCGAGGGTGGCCGGCCGGGTGGTCATGCTCACATGGCGGAGGGGTTTTAACCATAATGGGCCATGGTGAACACGAAGTTTCTGAAATACCCAATTTCCCTTGTTTTCTTTACCGTGACGAGATGATCGGCCGTAATATTATATCCATTTTAGGTGATGGCGTCTATCTTTCTCACGAATTGATACCAAGCATACTGAAAACTAGTACACAAGTGGTAACTACACTGGATTCGCCGTGGACGGTTGGACTCGCGACTCGTAAGGGTGGTGACGAGGATCGGACCACCATGCACGTATTCAATGTGGCGATACAGGGATAAATACATAACGTGGCTTTCTGAAAATTACCTACATCATTGGTCTGATGTCTTTGCACTGTAGCGTGTAATTGATTATTTCCGAGAAAGGGCCAACATCGAATCAATTAATGGCACATAGGCCTGGATTTCTCCCTGCCAAGCTTCAAGGTCTCTTGAGGCTCAAGTCAGTTGACAAAATTTAAGAAATGCGGCTCATGCCTCCCGTCCCCCAGCTTAGTAGGCAATAAACGTCAGCCAATAAATCTTCAAGAATCAAGAGCCATTACTAATAACGCTATTCTTCTGCTTTGTGCGTCATTGTACTGTCGACAATTACCAAAAATCAATTTGAGATCGCCGACTAGATCTTTCGGGGTAGTGTGAAAAACGCCATCTAACCGTTCTTCTGTTGTCGAGAGGTCCATTGGTGATGTAATGACATTATAATAAGATTGCAACATTGGAACAATTCGGCTAAGCCCGACAAGGCCACTAGATACCAGTTGACCAGGTATCAACCTCGGAAGGAATGAAAATGGAAGCTACTGAAAGTCTCTTTGGGGAGTTGCATTCTTTGATTGAATTATTCTTGCGCATTGGGGTCGTTAATCGTTTCCTAATAAGATAGACCCTGATGTTGAGCCCTAATCGTGGGATCTTTCCGGATATCATATCAATATTTCCATATCAATATTTGCCTTAACATCGATATTTCCTTTCAACCCGATCTTCAAGCTCATCCTTTGCGAGGATGATAGTCGCCGCCCTCACTTTCTTCCGTACCCCCACGGAACAAAACAGGAGCTGTGAGTTCTCGCTCTGAGAGACCCGCCTCAGATTCGCTCTCATACTTACCGATGACTTCTTCAGTAGAAGAGCCAGCCGAGACACCCAGTCCCGTCCTGACAAGTTCGCTTGTCTTCCGCATCTCCGTGAACTTGGACTTTGGAGGCCGCCCACGAGTCCGTGGTAGCTGGGCCCTTTTGATCTCCTTGTCGGCATAAGGGAAACGGAGAATTTTCATGATTGCGAGCCATCGTTCGGGGTCCGTACGCTGCTCCGCTCCCACTCCGACATCAACGCCATTAACCTTGACTAAGCCTAGAGTCTCAACACGATTATCACCCCAGAACCATTTTGAGCCCTCTGGAATCCGGACATCGATTTCGCCGGAATACTGACGTCCACTCAGAACTCCGTGAAGATCGTAGTCCAGTCGTGAGGTATTGAAATGCAACATCAAAGCTTCAGGCTCGTAGCACCGACCCAAGATCAATGAGGGCGAAACAATACAAGAACGTCCACCAGCAACACGATACCAGTCGCCGTAGCTGCTCATTCCGACCTGACGGAACGCGCCGAGCGTGTCGTCGTATGACATCTTCTGAAGCGGGTCTTTTGCAAAGGGGAGATCGCGGCTGAGACGGTTAGGATCGCGCGTGTACACTTTGCCCGAGATAAAAGGGGTGCATTTCTCGGCAAGGGCTGGGTCTTTGAAGTCTTCGCAGGGGTTTTTGAGACTGAGCCAGATACCTTCGACGACTAGCACGTCCACGGGGTCGACCTCAGGGTGCAAAACGTTGCCGCCCTCTTCCATTTCGTGCTTTTGCAGTCCAAATGGCTTCAGGCGGACGGTATCTCTGACCGTGACGAGCTCCGATCCGATGAAAATGCCTCGACTGTGAATCTCGGGGTTGGGCCATGTCCCACTGAAGCGGTGATGAGAGAGTAGACTCCATGACGCCATGACTGTCATGGCATGTTCGATGGAAGGATGGAGATCATCGCGCGAGATTCCGTGGAGAAACTTCTCCCATGAGTTGAACGGTTTGATGCATTTCAATGGAACGTAGTTGTATTGCGACGAGAATGACTTGTCTTCATCGTTGAGAGGGTCCGGGAGAGTCTCGACGCGGAATCCCCAATAGGACACAAGTTGGGAGGTCTTTGAGGTCTCAGTAACAATGTCCAAGAAGGTGGTTTCCTCCGTCGGGGTTTGGGTGACGACACCGGCACGCCATTGTGGAGCGATCCATTTATTGTTATCTTTGCGAATCAGGAAAGCCTTCTTTTCAGCATTCCACTCAAGTTTGCCGTCAATTTCGTAGGCCCAGAGAACCAGCTCCCCTCGACGTGGAATGAACGCTGCCTGAAGCGATAGTTGAACGAAATGATCGGCCAGGAGTTCATTGGTCAACACCCAGTCCATGTTGAGTAGGTGCTTGATTTTATCGTCAGACTGACCGCGCTCCTTCATCTGGGCAATATGGACCTTCCAGTAATCGGGGCCTTGACTGTCGCCGGGATAATCTGTTTCCGTAGTTTGCAGCATGCTTGTCACTGGAGTTGCCGTCGCTGCGATTTTCTTTGCTGCGCCTGCCCTCGGCCTTTTACTCGGGCCTGCTTGCTGTGATTCCGCGGCCCTTGCAGCTTGCATTTCAGCCTTCGTACGGCCTACAGAGCGTCAGAAATCAATATGACCCATAGTGTGGTTTTTGACTTACGCTTCCGAACCTTACGCCCCCCTGTATACCCTTGGCAAGGAACACATTCACAGGAGCCTCTTTTTCCGGTCATCAGCCACCAGAAATGCGGGAAAAAGGCCTTGCGGGATTGGTAGTAGTGGCCACTTGGGTGTCCATACAAGAAGACGTCCCGCTGCGAAAGAGGGTTAGATGATGCACAACCAAATATAGAAAGATAGAGAGACTCACAATCTCCCTGTTATTCCCTCGCGCTCTATCAAAGACTGCATATCCCCCGGGCAGTTGATCCAGTTTGTATTTGACATCTGAACAAGACCAGTCAGTATGTTGAAAAAATTATTGGGAGAAAGATGGGATCGCCAAGTTCTGGCGCAAGCATCCGCAACATGACACAAAGGGTGGGTAAGAGATCAATAGCCAGGGCCCGATAGATGGGTATGAGCTTCAGAATTCGAAGCAAGGCTTGCAGATTCTCTTCTTTTCTTCGAAAAAAAAAGGACAAAACAGAACATGGAAATGGGGTGCAGAAGCGGTTTACCTGTCTCTTTAGCCCCGGTCTTCTCGACCCACATATCACCAAGACTGCCCAACCATCGTGCATCGTCGGCCTGAGCCCAGTCGTGAGTATGGGTCGGCGATGGCCAAGTATCGCTTTTCCCGTCAGTCAGATCCGCATTAACAGGCAAGACAACTAAACTGTCATCGCTCGACATGTTGAGATAGCTAGACAGGAGTAACTTTAGACCACAAGCTATGGGGCTGGCTTCCAGCCCCAATACTTGAGATGATGAGCCAAAAAGCCCCCTATACGATTATATTTAAGTCAGACTATAAGGTATCTCGTTTTTGAAAATATTGAACTTGCCAGTAAAGTAGTAAGCGCCTTCGAGCTGATGGATGTCCGATTCGATGGAGATGATCACGTGGTGATAAGGTAGTCACGTGGAGATAAACGAAGTTGAGGCGGAGAGGAGGAAAAGAGATCGGGGGTGGGCAGAAAATTACGCGGTGAGTTGAGCCGCGTCGGTTACGATTGATTTGTACTGTACTCTCAACCTTGGATGTTGCTAATACTTTGTAATACATCGTACCTATAGTTACTAACTAGTAACTAGTACTTGTTATTTGTTATTTGTTATTTGTTATTTGTTATTTGTTATTTGTTATTTGTTATTTGTTATTTGTTATTTGTTATTTGTTATTTGTTATTTGTTATTTGTTATTTGTTATTTGTTATTTGTTATTTGTTATTTGTTATTTGTTATTTGTTATTTGTTATTTGTTATTTGTTATTTGTTATTTGTTTTTGTTTTTTGTCTCATATTTTTGATATTAAGTTGCGTTTTTTTTTTAAGGAAAAAAATATTCGAAGTAAATCCATTAGGAAATACTACAGTAGTAGGAGTTTACCAGTCCAAATCTCTAAATGCTTTAACAACTCAAAAATCCCTGTTAGTCTTTTTCACATATGTACTTTACATGTTCATCGTCTACGTATTGATAACGTGGTCAAAGTCTAGCGCCGGGTCTTCAAGGGTTGCTTTTTATGCAGTAGAACAAAACCTTGTGGAGATGAGCATGAGCGTATGGGGAAAGCTCTTGACCGGGGGTACTTCGGAAATACCGGAATCATGGGAGATTTGCTATTTTACAATTAGAAAACAAAGTATCAACAAGTATCCAAATCTATTTTTACCCGTGCATGATTATTTCCCATGTATTCACTATCACATCGTTAATTCACTTATCACAGGATTGGCTCTTGCATGCCAATTTCCCGCCAATAAGCACTCATTTCCCATCCCCTTTCTCCAGTGGATTATTCTTTAGTTAATTTGCAAAGAAAAAAAAAAAAAGGGAAAAAAACCCAGGAAAAAGGGGGGCACGATTAATTACTGGTTTACTTGGATTTGATCACCCTAGGAAGTAGATCAACATCAGTTAGAGACAAGTTAACTTCTGCAGTTCTTGTTTTGGCCCAGGCCTTTTTACACTAGTTATTGATCCATCCGTGCTCCGTACTATGGAGCTGGAGTCATGCCAGTCAAGTGGGCAACCAGCATTAAGAGGGATCCACACCAACACTAAACCCAACATAGTCGAGAATTGGTCGTGTAGCCGCCGAGGGCTTTAGTAGTGTGCTTAGTCGGGGAAAGCAAAGAAAAACAGAAAAACAGAATAGGGAAAAAAGGGAAAAAAGGAAGAAAAAAAAAAACAAGAGATCGAGTCCACATCACGTGACGGACCTCCTCTTTCTCGAGTTTCTCACGTTTGTTCAAGTCAATGTGCCTCTTCTTTTCAAAGCCGGTGATAAGTTGGGAAGTCTCAAAATTGAAGGCACAATCTTCATCTCTGTGACTCTTATTTTGCCCATATTGTATTCTGTATTCTGTATTCTGTGGGCTGGGGATCCGTCAGCCTTGGCGCAGTCCCTGAACGTGGTTGGCTCAACTTGGGGGCCAAAGGCGGTACGTGCGAACCTGAGCTTCCTTCCCCCCAAAAGCGAAAGGGCCCTAGGCGCTTGCTGATCCAGGAGGCGTGTTGACATCTTTCTCAGTTGCCGCGCTCTCTGCACTGTTGGAGGAGCTCTCCACTCGGTATTCTCGATAAAGCTCGTCTTCTCCTTTTTTGTGCTCTCTAGGGTCTCGGTGACCCTCGTCCCCCAAAGCTAAACTCCCGATGCGTGGAGCAAGCACGGGGCAAGATCCCTCTTCTCAAGCTCTCGAGTCTGCGGGCACAGCGCCTATGGATCCCTCGGGGAATTTGGAGGCCTCTGGTAAGTTCCTGAGTCGCATTCATTTGAATGCGCCTTCTGTTGGAAATCCCGCCCGTTGCTGATGTTTGTATTGCTTCCAGGTCCGGAATCGACCCCCGATCAGAAGGTCTCCGAGGCCGCTGAACCCCAGCAGTCCATTCCGGACGCTTCTACTCAGCAAGCCTCTTCATCTGTTGCAGCTACCTCCAATCAACCCGATGCCGAAGGCACTGACGCGCCTAAGAAGCGTAGTCTGTTGATCCCAATTCCGTCGCGCCGCTCTTCGAAAGCCGACAAACAATCAACGGAGAAGGCCGAGGAAACTGCCCAGGAGACCTCAACTCGCCGAAGTTCTAAAGTTAGTATTCTCAACAAAGTGCACCGTGATCGTAGTCGGGCAAGTAGCAGACGGTCACGACGGGCGACACAGGAGGCGGCCAATGTGGAGAAATCCACAGATTCGGCCACTCCGACTACCCCAGAGATGAATGGCCCTCCTCGATCCCAGAAGAAGAGCAAGTTCCTGGCTTTCCTCAGCTGCTGTTCCTCCCCTGGTGTGGATGGCGACGATGAGGCGGTTCCCGCAAAGAAATCCACCAAACAAGCGCCCGCTCCCAATCGCCTCCCGACCCCCGACAAAGCCGAAGCCCGAACGGGTGATTCAAGCGCCGCAGAGTCGAGAGACCCGGCCTACTTTGATAACGAGAAATCAGATTTGACCGTTAGCGACCAACCCAAGCAAGAAGAAGGGTCTACCGCCCAACCCCCACCTGACGCGCCAGGTGAAGGAACTTCCGCCTTAGCGAATCAGCCAGAAGTCACCGAAACTGGAAAAGAAGCAGAGAAACATACATCTACCAAACCCATCATGGCTAATGGTATTGCGCCCGAATTGAAGCCCGATGCCCCACCATCTGAGGAGGTCAAAACGCCAGAGGAGGAAGAACCCCCGGTTCTTGATACCATCTCCAAGCAACCTGTGAATGGCGAAATTGACGGTGATCACGAAGAGGACGTTACCGCCGAAGATACCTCGAACACCAGCGGCACATTGGTTTTCGCCCCGCCTCCGCCAGCGCCTCCTGCGGGTCAGCAGTGGTTGCTCCCGTCGATTCCTCAACACCTGCAGGGTCGAAAATGTCTTGTCTTGGATCTTGATGAAACTTTGGTTCACAGTAGTTTTAAAGTATGACCCCCTCGCCCCCAGTCCCATTTGGCCCGCAACTTACTCATTGCCTTGGATCCAGGTTCTTGAACGTGCCGATTTCACTATTCCAGTCGAGATCGAGGGTCAGTATCACAATATCTATGTCATCAAGCGACCCGGTGTGGATCAATTTATGAAACGAGTGGGTGAGTTGTATGAGGTCGTGGTGTTTACAGCATCCGTTTCCAAGGTGAGTTCATTCTCTTTTTGCTTGTTCTGTGACTCGGGATAAACACTAATCCAATGTGCAGTATGGTGATCCGTTGCTGGACCAGCTTGATATACACAACGTGGTTCACCATCGGTTGTTCCGAGAGAGTTGTTACAATCATCAAGGAAACTACGTCAAGGTTAGTCTTCTCTTTAACCCTTCAGCCAAAGTCTTCAAACACAGCCAGCTCATAACAATCATAGGACCTTTCTCAAGTTGGACGTGACCTCCGTGAAACGATCATCATTGACAATTCCCCTACTTCGTATATCTTCCACCCTCAACACGCGATACCCATCAGCAGCTGGTTCTCTGACGCACATGACAATGAACTACTTGACCTTATCCCCGTTCTCGAGGATCTTGCTGGGACTCAAGTCCAAGATGTCACCATGGTCCTGGACATCGCCCTGTGAATGTCTTGTCCGGAGATTTTTGTAACGCCCGAGATTCCCCTTTGAGCGCGTCGTTCCCTATGTTTTTTTTTACACTGTTGCGAGAAAAGCCTTTACTTCCCAGCATTTTCCTCTATCTCTTCGCATTTACCCCTAGTTCCCTGTTCCACTACATTGTCACTTCGCTTCTCGACGCGACCATGGACTCAAGATGGGAACTGGTTCCCTACCATGCCATGGTCCATCCGATGAATTTGTCGTTTCTACGGTTCTGGAAAGTCCAGTTTTTTCTCAACATCCGGCATTCATCATCTTTTTTCTTCTTCTTTTAACTTAGGCCTTCCTTTCCCTTCGGCATTGTGACCTTATCTGATCTTGCTCCGAGCGAGCCTCGTTTCCTAGCCCTGTCGATTATTCCCTGTCATGCCCCGATTTTTCCGATCTCCCTATCGTCATTCCATCCTTAGTCCGCATTCTCCGATGCATTCTGCAGGCGTCTGTTGGCTCTCATGTTGCCGCTGTAACCCCCTATGCGTTATTTGTTTCTTGCTTTATTGCGCCTCGCTATCCTGTCGGCCGGGTCGAGTCATCGCCACGGAGTGAATGTTGAGTCTTGGATTATTTCTAGATCACCATGGCACTGTGGAGGCACACCCGGGCTATTAATGCGTCCCTTGATCGTGCCACAACGTGCCAAGCTCGAGTTTCATTGTTGGATTGATTCCCCCACAAGCAATGTATGACTATCTGATCGATCGCGGCATTTCAGTACATACTACTCTTCTACACGTTTCACAGGAATAACAAATAGCGAAGCGTATTGTGATATTCATAATCCCTTTTTGAAGAATTAGTATGTGACTTCATAATCCACATAGAGTATTGTTCTCGACTACTACTAGTATGCTTTAACCATTTTTTGGTCATACTAGTATTGTAAGAATTGGACACGCTTACATTTGACTCATGATCTTTTTGATCCACCGCACTCCGAGTCGCGTCGCATGACTTGCATTAAATCGTCGCCGCATTAGGAACCTGCGAGGATGATCAAGGCTATAGTCAGCAACCAAATTACCAGCAAATGAGCCATAAGAGCTTCCAAGCCGAATTTTCTAGATTCAATTACATTCACCACTTTTTCTTCTTCAATTTCCAAAATCTGTGGCTTAATCTTATTCGGTCACCCACAGCAGCACCCCTCACGACCCACGAGCCATAAAAAAAGCTCCCCGCAATCATAATCGCAATCTTCCACCGCCCGCAACTTCCATCTTCTCTACACCTTCCTCTCACAACACATCCATCATGAAGAATCAAGAAGGCTGGGACGGCAAGATGCGAATGGAGCCCAAGGCTGTCATAACGAACCCTGAGGCGTTGGAGGATTCAGATTACTCCGATCCCGAGGCCCCACCAGTGGACAAGATTGATGCCGATGAAGGTACGGAATCAGCTTTGAGATGAAGCGTCGAGCTGGCGGGCTAATAACCTGCAGATCTACTGGAAGGCGAGGACGTTGATATCGAGGTACGATTTCAGTTGGAGTTCAGCCGTCTCCTTTGACTTGGGTGCTAACGCGTTCGTTCTTCTGCCAGGATATCGATCTTGTCCACTGTCGTATATCGTCACTTTCCGCGCTGCACTTGGAACGGTTTAACAAGCTCCAGGTAAACTCATCCTCCTATCCTTCCACAATCTGCACACATACCTTAGGCCCGGACTAAATGTCGCGGCGAATAACGCTTCGCGCGGACGGGCCGGTGCTGCAAACCCGCTCGCCTTCATTCACGGCAGTTGGCTAATACGGAGGGATTACTAGAGACTATGCCTGCGCCAAAACCAAATATCCCGCGTCGACTTCCCTTCCAATGTTGCCGCTACTTTGACCGAACTTGATCTTTATGACAACCTTATCGGCCACCTCAAGGGCCTGGATGAGTTTCACAACTTGACTAGCTTGGATTTCAGTTTTAACAAGCTTAAGCACATTAAGAATGTTGCTCATCTTGTTAAGCTGACTGAACTGTTCTTTGTGCAGAATAAGATCTCACAGATCGAAGGGTTAGAGGGTTTGACTCTCTTGCGGAATCTGGAGCTGGGCGCAAACCGGATTAGAGTGAGTTTATTTATTCATGAATTTCGCAGGGGGATCCTATGAGAGTTCCTCAAAACATGGAACCATGGAGCATTCGGCTGACTTGTATAGGAAATTGAAAACCTCGAAACCCTCTCTGCGCTTGAACAACTTTGGCTGGGAAAGAACAAAATCACCGAGATGAAAAACCTCGACAGCCTGTCCAACCTCCGCATTATCTCTATCCAATCAAACCGCCTCACCAGCATTACCGGCTTGTCCGCTCTCCCTAATCTCGAAGAGATCTACCTTTCTCACAACGCTATCACAGATCTTTCCGGTCTGGAGTCAAACACTACTCTACGTGTCTTGGACTTCTCCAATAACCAGGTCACTCATCTGGAGCACTTGTCTACACTGAAGAATCTTGAAGAGCTGTGGGGATCTAATAACAAGCTCGCGAGCTTTGAAGAAGTTGAGCGTGAGTTGAAGGATAAAGAGAAGCTGGAGACTGTCTACTTTGAGGGCAATCCTTTGCAGTTGAATGGACCCGCTGTCTACCGCAATAAGGTGCGCTTGGCGCTGCCGCAGGTCTCTCAGATTGATGCTTGTATGTTTCCCCCCAATTTCCGCCCTTTAATCATGATATATAAGTGCTAACGTTATAAACTAGCTTATGTGCGGGTCTGAAGTTTGCCCGTTGTAACGTTTATCTGATTGACTGTGCAGCTCGAGTAGAGCAGAGAAAGCCTAACAATAAACGAACCTACTAGGCCCTACTATGCCCATTTCAAGATCTTAATATACTCCGTAGTGTGGCCGACGGAACGAACTTGAAGGTGCAGAACTATTGGTACTTGCTTAAATGAATAGTTTTCTGCAGATGTCTTGAATTATCTCTTCAGCTTATATATACATGGCTTATATACATGAATTTTTTTTGCCCTTGTGACAATAATATTGTACATTACTAAAGAGGACTCTTTGCGTCCAATTCTCTCTCGTTATAGACGCATAGACCCCAGAGAAAGTAATGAATGCAGCTGCACGACCATCTCAGACCAGGCCCTACCAGCAGCGGTCCTCCGAACCACGAGCCCCAAGAACAAAGGGCGCAATCAAGCAGCCCTCGTTCCCCCTAGAGAAAAAGGAGAGATAAACCCCTCAAATCTTATGGGCCTCTCTCATATTTGACCTTAGCAGCCCTTTTAGGGTCATTCGCTTCCCTCCACATAGCCATTATACTCTCACCCCCAAGCGCCCGTCTGACCCCAGCAGCCTTCGCATGCGTAAGTAAAGTCAGCTTGGGCTTCCTACTCTGCAACACATCCCCCAGCGCGTGCAGCGGCACCCCTGTCTGGGGACTATTCATATCCTTGTAGACAGGATCTTCCTTATTCGGGTAAAACGTGGCGAAGTACTTGTTGCGCGGCATTGCGGTTTCATGGTTGTGGGTCGAGGGTTCAATTATGCATTTTATTGTGCCGGAGGCGACATTATCGAATATAGGGTCGTGGTTCTTGTATTTCTTTTTTGATTCCAAGGAAGACGAGGGTGGGGATTTGGAGGTTGCGCCTGTGTCTGTGCTTGTGCCTGTGCCTGTGCTGGTGCTGGTGCTTGGTTGTGATGTAGAGGTAGAGGGAGAGTCGAGCGTTACGATCATGGGGGAGGAAGCGAGTGCGCGCTGGGCGGCGTCGGGGGAGTCGAAGATGGCAATGACGGGCCGGTGTTGGTTTGGTGATCTGTTCGATTGATCATACTGTGGGTGTCAAGGTTAGCTTTGTGGTTCTTGTTCTTTGTTCTTGTTCTTGTCGCAGGAAGGCTCACCTTGAGGTTGCGGAATGTGGTCACTTCACCGAATTTTTGGAGCGCGGCTAGGATTTGTCGAGTGTCGCGTAGTTTGCGGGGAGTAGGGATCATTTGAATGTGAACTGTTGTGGAGGCGAGGCGGCCTAGGGCAGCTGGGGATGTCATTTTGGGTGGTTGGAGGAGAAATTGTGTCGGTGCGGAGATGGTTGATAACTACTAAGTTGGTATGTATGACTTGCGGTCCGCTCTTGGCGCGGTTTGGTTAGTTGGCATTTATGCGTTGCAGATCCATTGCAAACCACGATGTATCAAGATCAACACTTTATGCGTATAAAGTTCAAGCACATTGGCAAGTGGTCGATCGAATCTAGATTAATATGGATTCTTGAAAACATCATGAAGTATTGATTCAAAAACCTCAAATTTCAATACTGTTAGTTGTCTGCCATGAACATTGGAATATACTACTGCTTAACGCATTGCTTAGTCCGAAGCTTATTACAGAACGTGGTATTACAGAACGTGGGGGCCTAAGTTTCAAGTCCCCAACACGATTTTCAAGTTTCTGCATCTACAGAAACTGGTACTGTAGGGTTGGGCCTCATAGCCCACCCTAGAATCCCTTGACTTAATCACTACTAGTCATTTCACCTCTCTCTTATCTGAACACTCTGGCCGGTCTCGTCCAGAACTGCGGCCCTTGTAGCCACCATGACTTATTGTGGAAAACCATCAGCTAGCTGTGTGGCCTGTCGCACAAACAGACGTCGCGTACGTGAAAGAGCGAACGATATTCAAAAATAAAATAAAAAGAGATTTACCAAGGCTCATACATGACCCCAGTGCGATAAGAAACAACCGGGATGCGGCCAATGTGCCCGAAGAGGCGAAACATGCTCAGGATACCCAGATCCAAAGGCACTGCAGTTTCGGAATGAGACTACTCATGTTATTGGGAGATCCAGGACAAAGTGGAAGAAAGCCGAAGAGTCAAGGCATCAACGCGATTCCGGTCGAGAAAGAACCGAGCCGTTGAGTTCTGCAACAACGGACCAGTCTGCCGAAACGCCGGGATCCATACATGAACTGCAGGACAGCTTCTTGGTTCCAAGCCCAGACTCACAAACAGAAAACAGCACTTTGGATCTATCCCTTATATACACCGCTTCATATTATAACCATACACCGTCTCCTCGATATTCATTGCCGGACTCGATGGACGACCTCGGAGTGAATTACTTCATATCCACTGTCATCACGCCTCGCGCCAGTGACTCACGAGGATACTACGACTACGTCCCTGAGATCTTTCTCAGAGAAGAACATAACGAAGCCATGTTGCTAGCAGTTTCCGCCGTAGGACTCGCAGCCATGAGCAATATAAACCATGTTCCACAGTGGCTTCACCATTCACAAGCCCAGTACGCCAACGCAGTACGGCTAGTTAACCGCTCTCTCCAATCACCCACGCAAGTCCGTCGAGACAGCACTCTCGTGACAGTCTCGGTGCTCGGGCTATATGACCAGATCGCCCACAACAGCGACAGCAGACTGGATACATGGGCGAACCATGCACTGGGAGCCGCTAGTATACTCGCAGTGCGCGGTGCAGACCAAGTCACCACATCCCTGGGCACTCGGATATTTTCGCAGGTAATGGCTGATATGTTGGTCGCGTGTCTCCATAGACGTCTACCTATGCCGCCGCACATGGTGGCCTTGCGAGAGCTGTTGACACCCTCTGTTGATTCTGAGGATCTGGCGTGGCAAATGAGTGGGATTGAGATTAGCTTTCTCGATCTTTTGGTTACCTATGAATCGCTCTCATTGGTTGACCTGATAGACCGGGCTCTGGTCATCGATTGGCAGTTTCAGCAGCTTCTGGATTCACTGCCTCTGCGGGGTTACTTTATTACAATTCGAGACACATCTGTGGATCACTCGGAGGTTTATAATTGCCGCTTTGACATCTATCATGAGCCTCAGTGCGCTAAGATTTGGAACGGCGGCCGAATATATCGCAGCTTACTTCATCAGATCATACAAGAAGAGTTGTTGAAGGGATTTGCTGACAACACATCAGAAATGGTTTCGCCTCGCTTCACGCAACAACTACAATCTTCGCATGAGGTGATGTTGCAAATGCGAGACGACATTTTGGCTAGCATGCCTCAAGTGCTGGGTCAAGAAATTCCATTGTCGGTGTTGGAGACTGTTCCGTTCTCCGCGGAGAAGATGGCTAGCCTCGCTAATAATAGGGTTCCTGGAGGAGGCCATTTTGCCGTGTGGTTTTTGTACGTTATTGCCCAATTGCCAGTGACCACTATGTCTGATCGCATATGGATTGTTAATCGGATGGATGCTATCTGGAAGGAGAAGGGGATTTTCAAGGCGCGGGATCTTGCACGAAGGATTGAGGAGTTGGGTTCTGGGGCCGCCAAGTTCCTAAAGTAAACAGTGAACATTCCAGTTTTTAGATCTATGTATAACGTAAACCATTCAAATGTCTAAGCCGAATTTTACTCGTGATAATTTCTGTTTCATTATTCTGTTTATCATATAGCATATAGCATCACGAAAGCCAGATGGAACCCATCCAGCAGGACTCAATCAGTCTCATGAAAAAGCGTAAATGTTTAGAAGATGGGGATATCAAGGCCGTACTACAGAATAAGTTAGCAAATGAAAACAGATCTACCAGTGCCAAAGAAAGCAAAAAAAGACAGGGAGAATACTCACAGCAACGGGGTCATTGAAGCGCAGACCCTTGTCCAAAGCACTAATGGCCTCGATCTCACTGGCCTCCAACTCAAAGTCATTGAAAGACAAGTTCTGTGCCAAGCGAGTGGGACTGTTACTCTTGGGGATAACAGCAATGTTTCTCTGGGTAGCCCAGCGCAGCAGGACCTGGGCAGGGGTACGCGCATGCTTATCGGCAATGGTCTTAATAACATCATGCTCAAACAGAGGGGTGGTACCGTGAGCATCCTTAAGGTTCAACTCCAAGAAGCTCAAAGGTCCAAAGGAAGAGTAACCAGTAACGGCGAGACCCTGCTTCTGGGCATAATCGACCAAGCGAGTCTGGGTGAGGTAAGGGTGGTGCTCGATCTGGAGGGTAGCAGGACGAACGCGGGCGTAGCGCAGGAGGTCCATAAGCAGCTGGGCGCTGAAGTTGCTCACGCCGATGCTGCGGGCGAGCTTCTTGTCAGACAGGGACTCCATGGCGGTCCAGGTCTCTTGGATGGAGGCGGTGCTGAGCTCGACCTTGCCGTCGGCGGTGGTCCAGCTGGGTGGGTAGCGGACGGAGGGGTCAAGGTATTTCAGGGCGATGGGGAAGTGCACGATGTACAGGTCGAAGTAGTCGACGTTCCAGTCGGCGAGCTGCTTGCGGCAGATGGGCTCGACCTGCTCGCCGTCGTGGAAGCTGTTCCAGAGCTTGGAGACGATGAAGAGGTCCTCGCGCTTGACGAGACCGTCCTTAATGGCGCGGGTAACACCCTGACCACATTCGACTTCGTTGCCATAATCTTTGGATTGGGAGTTGGAAGTTAGTCTTAAGTTTTTAAGAAGAGAGGTATTGGACGGGTGTTGGCGGGGTATTTTTTTTTTGTTTAGTTACTTACCGCAGGCGCCGTCAAAGAGACGGTATCCGGCCTTAATGGCATTGTAGACCTGATCAGCGCAGGTGTCGTTGTTCACCTTCCACAGACCGAAGCCCACAAGGGGCATTTCAAAGCCACTGCTCAACTTAACGGTGGGGGTAGCCATTGTGATGGAAGTGTGATGGGAAAAAGATCTGGGGAAGAGGAGAGATTTAGTACTTTAGTACTTTAGCACTTGAGCACTTTAGCTCTTGGATCTGTACACAGTACGGGTAACAATCCCGGCGGAGTTGAACTTACCGGAAAATTCGGAGAATTACAGAAAAGAACCGAGCAGAGAACAAGGGAACAGGTGGCAATTATAGTCCAGATTGAAAAGACACTCATGGAATGTTTTAGTGCAAGCTAAAGGCTAAATGCGGGACATTTTCACAATTCTCGTATAGTAAAACGTGCAAGTAAGCAGAAGTCCGGGGGCCCCACTAGAATGCCGGCTAAAATCGGTTAAATGGGAATTTTAATGCAAAGAATTGTAAGGAATTTATCCATTGTACTGTTACAGTGTTACGTACACTTCGATTAAATTATGGAAAAAAGAAGTAAATCCCACACGGCAATCAGAGCCCGACTTCTGAAACACTTAAGCCACCGGACCTCCACATTGAAAAAAAAAAAAAATAAGAGAAAGTGAAGAGACAGAAAAGAAAAGGCAAAGAAACAAAAGGTATAAGAGTACATATAACCGCTCCAGAATAAAAATTATCATTAGAATTTTGTTTGTTTTCGCCCTGATTTGGGTCATTATACTGCATCCACAGCCCCATCATCTGGGTAGGTAGCATTGCTATGTTCAGGGCCTGCCCCGTGCATACTAGGACCATTAGACATGCGACCAACAAGCTTGTCCATCAAATCTTCAGGAATGCCATCGTAATGGTGTGATTGTTGCGACTCTCGCGAAACAGGACCTTGGTGCTCTTGGTATGGGATATGGTGATATCCACCAGCACTCATATCGCCAGGGATAGAGTTCGAATGGGAGCCCCAGGGAGCTTGGGCATGGCCAAGATCTTCGAGGGAGTGAGAACCTGATGCGAAGAAGCCATTAAGCACACTGTGGTTGTTACTGTCGTGAAGACTGACGCCGTGCTGTTGAGGTGGCATGTAGTGGCTGGTGTCATGGCCAATATTGTATCCAAGAGATGGATGAGAGAGTGGGAGATCGTGCATGTTCATCATCACTGGCCCCCCACTGGGCATGCTGAGGCTGGTTGGCTGCGATGTCTCCGGTGCAAGGCTAGTAGCGAAGGAGTCCAGCACGGAGGTGACGGCTGTCTTGTCACCGAGAGCATCTTCAGCTTTCGTGATAGAGGTCATAAAGTCAAGATGACCGGAAGAATTAAACATATTAGCCACGTTGTCGTGGGAAGATGAGTACATTGGCCATTGTGGCTGGGATTGACTTGGGTGGTGAATCAGATCATGGGCTTGCGGTGTTTGGTAGACGCTCTGCGATGGTTTGTTGAGAAGAATGGAATCCAAGGAAAGAGGGGGAAGGTCAACACCGGCACCAACACTAACAGCTGGCCGAGGGCTATTGGTTTGAGTACGGTCCGGCGGCGGAATCAGCCGGCGCCAAGTGGTGGTGCCAACTTCACCAGGTCGGGTTTGACGGAATTTCCAAACCAAGATAGCCATGCGTTCACTCTCATCCTGTTGGCCTTGGAACTGGTTGGAGAGGCGCCTAGAGCTGGGGGGCACAGCGCGGATCTCCTGTACTGCAGACAAAGAGCGTAGATAGCGACGAGTACGCTCGTCATTCGCAATAATGGATTCTTGTTGAGCAGAGTCTTCGGCAATGCGCTTGTCTTGGGTCAATTCTGTGAAGATTCTCGCCCACCATTGAGATTCAAAAAGAGGCTTGACCTTGGTTGACTGAGATTGAGGTTTCGGAAGCGGGTGATATGTGTCCCATTTCTCTCGACCGGCCTCATAAAGATGTGTGCTGCATGTCCAGTCTTCCATCTGGCCTACCATAAACACATCCCCGGCGGTAGGGTGTGCAAAGTCAAGGTCTAATTGAATACCAAGACGAGACCCCGGGGGAGGGAAGTCAGACATGAGCTGCAGGTTGACTTCAAGCATAATAATGTCGCAGTCGAGAGAACCGTCATTGATAATGGTTGATAACTCCGGGAATGATGACCGCCAGCCATTCACGTTTTCCAATGGCATCGGAGGAGCAGGGTGATTGAGATCGCCTTGCAGACGGGTATATGCATGCAGGGCATTGTCAACGCGATTGGCCTCCTGAGGCGCACTGACCCACATGTCAAAGCTAAAGCCATGGATGTTCTTGGTCCCAGTCTCTTGCATGCTTGAACCCAAAGTGTAGTGAGGTGGTGGTAGGTCTCCTGCGTAAGGCTGGATCGAACGCATCGGATCGTGGTAGTGTGCCGGAGCTCCGTAGTGACTAGACGCTCCATGATCCACCGAAGCTCTCCACTTGGGTGTTGAGGCTTGAGAGTGTCCACTTGGTCGGTCGGTAGACTGTTCGCGAACAAGTCGCTCCCCTAGAACTCATGTTAATCCCTGACACTTCGAGCTGTAAACGAGAAGTAGATGTATAGATCTTACAGTCTGGATCTCCTTTCAAGAACGAATCGAGTACTTGAAGATGACTCGAAACCTGCTTGCGAGTTCGTCGCTTGCCAGTCAAGTTGAAGATGTATTCGGCAATCAACTCATTTCGGCCGTATGACTTTCCCCGTTCGGACCACTTGCGTCGACCCATGGGAGGGTTTGCCTCAAGAGCTACACTCGAATGTTAGCTCCTTTTATATCGATAAAGTTATCAATTAGATTGCTCACCTTGCTGGAAAGCATCCTCCAACTCATCGGACCACACAGGCTCTCCATCTTTGCCAGTGTCACGTCGAGGACGTGCTCGATACTCAAGATACTTTTGGGACTTCAGGTAGCTTCGTCCGCGGCGAGGACCAACATTAGGCCCAACTGAGTGAAGCCGACGAAGCTTGCGGGCGTGGAGCCGAGCTGCTACTTGCTGGTGGTGGTTCGGGGCGACAGCGACTTGGTGGTGGACGGGAGGATGGGGATACTTGTAAGCCATCTGCTGGAGGTGATCATCCCGACCAGCGACGTCGTGTGTCAAAGCATCAGAGTATGACTGCACGTTCCCAGATGTATTCTGCAAAGCCCTATCTGAATGAGCCCCAACGGTATCGAGGGACGGCTGGTTCTGAGGCACAAGGCACTCTGGTTGCCAGTCAGCAGCCATGGAGCGGACCAAGGACGGGCTTCTCGAAAAGAATGACAGATTCCAACGAGGAGGGGGAGTTGAGAGGCACCGTCAAATGCTTCCTGCCTGGCAAAGAACGCAGCGGTCACAAACACAGCGACCCAAGAACGCAAATGTCTGAAGAGAATGTCAGAACCTGGGAAAGAGAATGTGAGAGCGAGCAAGAAGGTGTTTATAGGGAAGCATACTCCCCTGGGAGAGGGGTGCTGTAGTCCCAGTAGCAGCATTGCTCCGCCAGGTTTGCTTTGCCTGCACCACGTCCCTCGAACGCCAGCTCCATACTCCTACACAGGTCCAAGTCCCTGGGCCTTCGCGTCCAGGCACTGTGTGGGGAGCGCAGGACGGCCGCTAGCCGTCCTTGCCGCGACAAATCAGGAGTCAAGAAAGGGCATGATATGAAGGAAGTGTTGCCGAAGCAAGGGATGGGCCAACAGCACGATCCAGTGATGCGCGACTCGGAGATTTTGTGCAGTCCGAGGTGACCTTGGAGCTGCTTCGGTCGGGCTGATGTTGACAATCATCGACCATCATCAGTGGCGATTACAGGTTCGTGGAATGTTTGCAAGGTCAACGACGTCGTTGATTGCTCAGTTTGAGGAATGTTCAACCGCCGACTACCACCACTACCACCACCACAGGAATGTAAGTCAAGCTGATCATAAGTTTGACAAAAAAACAAATAAACACAGCAAATAACTCATTAAGACAAAAGATTATCCTTCAAAATCCATCTGATAAACCTGGGGAAAGGATTTTTTGATGTTGGAAGGAGGTTGTAGTACATTAGGGTTGGTTAGGGTTAAAGGAAACCTAGATAGGGACGGACATGTATGAAATGTAAAATGCAAAATGCAAAATGCACGAGCACTGCACGTATGGTGTGCATTGACAGCTGCAAGAACGTGTTCGGGGTATCTAGTTTACTATCTCGTAGGTAATCAACAAAAAAAAGGCTGCAAGTAATCGTACATCGTTTTTCCCCTGAAAGCAAGGGGTGGTCATCGGCCAATGGACTCGACGCCCTTCTTGTAGGGAGAAGGAGACTTAGCACCTTCATGCTTCGTCGTCCTCCTGGGCCCCTACAGTGAACTTTTTGCGACCCCCGCCCGTAAGCTGTTGGACCTTGATCCTGTCCGCCTGTTGGCCCATCTTCTTCTCGATCTTTGCGATCTCCTCTTCGGCATCGACAGCCTCTTCGTTCACGAATTCCAGCACCAAGCGACGGCCCAAAAGATGGGTGTTTTTCAACGCATCCATGGCATTTTCCGCCTCCCGAGCACTGATGAAATCCGCGAAACCGAAACCACGAGCTGTCCGATCGAACTTTTGAGGTACGCGGACTGAACGCAACTGACCGTAGGCACCAAACAGGGAACGGATTTCCTTCTTGGTTGCCTGGAACGGCAAGTTCTTGATGATGATCTTTGTGCGTCTCGCTGCAACCTTCTTGGCGGTATCTTCCCGTCTCCGCTCCTCCGCAGCATCCATGCCCTTGTGGGAGGCGCGGATGACAAGATCGTGTCCATCCAATTTGTAACCATCCATGGCTGCAAGCGCCGCTTGGGCCTGGGCCTTGGTTCTGAACTCTGCAAAACCGAAACCCATGCTGAGTGTTTGGCCAGGCTTCTTTGGATCGGGCTTGGTCTTGATGCGTCCGGTGACAAAGCCTTCCAATGGCTTGAAGACCTCCAAGAATCCTTGGTTGGTGGTCGAGAAGCTCAAGTTCTTGACGAACAGAGTTGATGTGACAGTATTTCCTTCAACCTCGTCTGCGGCAAAAGTATCGGAGGTAGAGAATCCCTGGCTCTTGCCCTGCGGCTCTGGAGCAGCAACCTGGCTGACTGTGCCATCGAACAAGTTCTTCGGAGCCTTTTCCAAGAACAGAATTGAATCGCCTACCTTGCGGTAAGCAAGACCCTTGAACGCCTTCTGGGCTTCATCAGGCCTTCCAAACTCCACAATCGCGATAGTGCCGCTGGGTGGCATCAGTAGTCGAATGATTGTGCCATAGGGTTCAAACAGCGACCTGAGATCACTGGTCTTGACACCATACGAAAAGTTCTTCACCAAAATAGCAGTGTTTCCTCTCTCACGTTCCTTGAAAGCATCAATGTTTACTCCGTTAGAGGCAAAGTAAGCCTTTGTCTCCTGGATAACATGCGTCTCAGCATGTGCCTGCTTGACAGCCGCTTCAGACGAAGTGGGATCCAACAGCTCGGCCTTGGAAACGCCGAGTCTTTCAGCCACAGAGGACATTACGGCATCAGTCTGTATGGTAATTAGCCTTCAGTCCATTGTATCGCCATAAAATGAATCAAAACTCACGTTCATGTACAAAGAATTCCAGCTGAATGAGGAAGAACCGGATTCCATTTTACGCTTGATCTGCTTTTGCTTCTTCAAAGGAAGCTTGGACAGCTCATATTCGTCAATCTTGTAACTCTTCTTGGCGGCAGCTGGGAGAAGATGCAGAATACGACCCTGGAAATGTTTTCCATCGAGGGTCTTGTAGGCATCGATGGCAGCATCAGCATCATGATACTGCACATACGCAAAGCCCTTGCTGGTCTCGGTGCGAGTGTCAAAAGCCACGTGAATCTATATTCCATTAGCACTTGATCGAATAACAAATTATAAATAGAAGGTTCTGTGCATGGAATGTTGTGTGCTCTTATCAGATAATCAAGAAGCATCTACTAAAATCTCTTGCCTGGTGACATCATTTGCCTTGGCATAAGATGTCCCTATCAGGACAGTCATCATTCGAGCACACCGCCGGCATTTGTACAGTAAGAACAAATGCTGGCATGTTGGAGAAGGGGGAAGGTGAAAAATAACGTAAACAATTACTGACCTCTTCAGTTTTGCCAAATGGAGAAAAGAGAGGATGAAGGTCCGCCTCTTTCAAATCATAGGACAGATTTCTCAAGAACAGACGAGCAGAATCGCGAATAAGCTCAATGTTTCTGGCCTGCTCAGGAGTGATTTCGCTTGATTCCTCCTCTTCCTCTTCTTCTGCTGGTTCAGCGACTGTCTCATCAATGTTAGTCTCGGGCTGAGGGGAAGGTGAAGGCTGAGATGCAATCTTTCCAATGGCCGCACTACGGGATTCATCCTTGGGAGGACTCCGAGACTTGACCGGCTCTTCAACTTTGCGCTCTTCAAACTCGGCCTGCTCATCCTCGTCCAGAAGACCTAACAGACGACTTGTTTTTGACCGCAGCCAGTCCATATCAGATGTAGGGGCAGCAGCCTCTTCTTTGCCTTGCTCTTCTTCAGTTGGAGTTTCCTCCATCTGAACTTCTTCACTGTGGTCAACGACCATTGGTTCAGGTTCAGATTCCTCAGTACTAACGACGGGCAAGGGCTCTTGGATCCGGGCTTTCTTGGGCTGGGAAGGCACTTCATCCGCAACAGTGTTGTCTTGGATTTGGTGGTTAATGACCGGTTTGTAATCCGCAGATGGCGCAGCCATTGTATCATCATTCGCCCATGTTCGGGTCTTCCCGGTTTGCATCAGAGACATGTACTCTTTCAGCTTAGGGTCTTGAGCCTTTTCCATATCCCTCTTGCGCTTTTTTATGGCACCCTCCGCAGAGTTGTCCGCATCACGGTTCCGCGTGGGATGGTCGGGCTTGGAATCAATCTACAATAAACCTTGTCAGTCTCAAGACCAACTGAATGGGTCAGCGTGCACGAAAAGCAGAAAAAGCAGACAAAAAAAGATGAAAGAAAAATGCAATGAACGATGCAAGAATACACATACCGGTCGAGCAATATCTACCGTGATCTTAGACATCTTTAAGAAGGTTCTGTTAAAGTACTTCACGGCCTCTTGAGCTGTCTCATGGCTTTTGAAGCCGACGAAGCCCATGCGGCGTTTAGGCAAAACATGGGCATCTGTAACTTCGAAGCGTGTTGAGAAATGGCTTCGAAGTTGATCGTTGGAGAGAGTGGGTGGAAGCCCACTGACAAACACCCGAGTATTTTCCATCTTAATTTGTTGTAGCTGGAAAAGCCCCGAGCAGGTGTAAAATAAAAAATAGCAACAGCGAAAAACTTTTTTTCTGTCTTTCATAGCACGCAGGGCGGTGAAGAGGGCGGTGATTTTGTCCATCCGGCAGTACAATGAATGGGGGTGGAAGCGGTCAACCCGTATTCCTTGACGCGCCCTCTCGGATTGCGCTGCTTCAATCATCAATTCACCACGTTTCTTAAAACAGACGACCCTACTACTCTCAAACCCGCCTTATTCGGAAATAGACCCGATCGCAACTATGACCACTGAGAAGAAAGAGAAGATGGAGGGTGAGTCGCGATCCCCCGCCAGAAGTTGTTTATATCGCTAACCCCATTACAGCGCAAGTCAAGTCGGTCGACATGGTATAGAATAACTGGCACCTTATACTTGCGGATCAAGATCTGATACATTCACCTAGACCGAGGATATGCAGCGAGAGGCCATCGACCTGGGTAGGGGACATTTATTATCCGGTTGAAGGAGTTGCGACTGACTTTCCCAGCTATCGAGGCTATGGAGAAGTACCACATTGAGAAGGTATGCGCGAGTTTTGGCTTATACAGATCAATATTCTTTTGTTCGATCTCATACTGACTTTCCATAGGATATTGCACAGTACATCAAGAAAGAGGTCCGACCCCGCCATCCTTATCGACCTACCCCTCCTCCTTTCCGACACTAACACACTCATATTATAGTTTGACTCCCGAAAGGGAGCTACCTGGCACTGCGTTGTCGGACGCAACTTTGGCAGCTTCGTTACCCACGGTCAGCATCCCACCGATTTCCTTTCTCCGAATCTATACTCATTCCATCGCAGAGACCAAGCACTTCATTTACTTCTACCTGGGCCACTGCGCCATCCTCCTCTTCAAGACCCAGTAATCGGATGGGTACGATATCGATGTGTGGCATTAATGGTCGGAGACTTTTGGTGTGGAAGTCTACAAAATGCGTTGAACAGCGATCTTTTCTTTATGTTACAGCTATCTGACATTTGATTCCAAGTTCTTTAACATCCATGTATGCAAAGAATTGCCGCATTATGTAAACAGGCTTTTTGAATACATACATACTCTCAATAATATTCCCACCATTTGAAGGTAACTTGGATTGTAATGTATTACAACTAGAACATAGGGACCTGTGAAAACGACACCGAAAATGACAGCATCTGGCGCCAGAAACGGCCTCCTTTCCACCCGTAACTTTGGACAGCGAGCCGCCGCTTGAACGCCCGCTCTAATGTGGACATACTTAGTAGGTTTGTCACCGAACTAAAGCATTATTAGACTCATACGAAAATTGTGGTCCCGGGATGGGCACGTTTACTCCTAGGAAGGGGTTTGAAGCTCTCAGGATCGCGGGTTAGCTTCCTAGGAGTGTAAAATCTGTCTCTGGGAACATGAACACCCATCATAGGAGGTATATTAATCCTGAAACACTAGGTTATGTTCCCAGAAACACTTCCGTCGATCCTAGGAACAGAATTCCTTCAAAATATGGATGAAGAAACTTTTGGGCTGCTTCATGAACTGTCCCCAATAAAAATTGAAGGTTCAAGGTTTCCATGTCTCCTTTTCTTGCGGTCCCCTAAGCCCCATTTTGACACGAATAACTGCTACGAGGTACAGGGATCATTTGCTGCGGCTAATAGTCATAAAAATACGACATATGATTAGCCTGAGACTATTGATAATACCATATAGGATTGTATGATATTTGCCTGTAGTTCATGTTGCTGGATCAATTCAATGTTGCTGATATTCTAACGTCTAAAGATATCATTAATATGAACCATTAAAATGGATAGATAATGGGATGATGGATATTGAAATATACCTCACACCATCTCATCGCGTTATTGGGTACCGACTCATCTTCCCATGGGTTCTTCTCGACTCGTCGTCCCTCAACAAGGTAGATCGGGGGATCACCTCGTTGGCGTGGTCCAAGCTCGCCATTCTCATATAGGCGAATGAGAGCTTCAACATTCACTCGCTGGGCTGTGCCAAAATCAGTCTGCAGAAAAGCTTTGAGTTGCTCTACTCGCTCCGCGAGGTGGAGGATGTAGGGTATCGGACACGCAGGACTGAACTGAGGATGTGGACCTGACATATTGAAAGGAGTTTGATCTAAACACACCCTACAGTGAGAGGTCGGGTCTTTTAGGTCAGGCGGATAGAAGTCGAGGTGACAAAACAGTGTATTGGGGCGCTAGGCCGGGAACGGCAAAACTAACCTGATGCAGTAAATCACAGGTCCCAATATTACATTACATATGTATATCGGTCCCGAGCCCTGGAGCTCTCCAGAAGGCTGATTCTAAGATTCCAATCATGTAACTGATATATCATAGGTCCAGATATGGCTCAATTGATATTCGTGCATTTATTGAGGTCAGATAGTTGCGTTCGATACCTACTAGATAGTATCCATGGATGTATCGTTGACTCGTACCTGATAGGCAAATGATAATCACATGGACTCACGTGCTTCCTGCCAAGAAGCCAAGCCACAACTTAAACAGCTGCCTTCAGCTCTGTTGACGTCGGCGCACTTTTCCTTCTCTTCACCATTCAACATCAATCATGGCGCTCTGTATTCCAATAACTTGTGGCACTCATGGTAAGCTTGGATTTCGGTTATTAATCCCCAGCGACGCCGGAGTGGGGGTCGGTGCTTTTGGCTGGTCCGAGGCGTTTAGCCAGTGGACCTTGCTACGCCCCATCTAGATCGTGAAGTGCTGACAGGGATGGTATAGAGTTCACCTCAATGCTCGAGGGATATGAAAATGTCCGCGCTTACTGCTACAATTGTATGTTTATGGGTTCCTTCGTTTGATGCTCTGGGCCTTGCTGATCAACGACCTGGATGTAGGCCGAAATTGGAATGGCCATTGCATCACCCGGTGGTATGTGGCTGAGCACCCTGATTTGTGGAAAGCCTGACTAACAACTCTGGATAGGCCTTTCTTCACAGTTTGCTTTGTTGTAAGCTTCTCATTTTTTTTTTCTATTCTATTCTTTGCGCGCTTTGTTTTCGCATAACAACTTGGATGATTTCTAATGTTTGCATTTAGCCCTTGATTCCCCTCTCAACGCACAAGTACAAGGTACGTCATTTTGCCGCACGGATCATTTCTGGAAATTGAATTCCATACTGGTCCCTGGACTCTGATTGAGATTTTATACTAATCCATTTGCTTAGGAGGTCTTGTGTTACACATGTCGCTTCTCGCAGGATCTTCGGTAAGACACTTCATACCAAACAGAATGTGCAGATGAAGAAAAAAGTTACTAACATGTCAAAGCGATCGGACTGACATAACACCTGATACTCGGCCGCCAGCAATGCCAAACTATCAGTGGGGACCTCCAGGTCCACAATCACCCCCTCAAGCTCACGGAGCTGCAGGGTACCAGATGGAAAGCCAGAAAGGCCAACCGCCACCGCAGCAGCAGCAGCAGCAGCATGGACCAGTTGACTACAAGTGACGGCAAAACAAAATCACATGTAGTCGTGTTTAATCATGAGTCACGGTGCTGCCGTCAAGCTGATTTGATTCCGAGAAAACAATTTCTTTTTATTGGCGCTGTGGATGACTTGACTTTGAATGTCCCAACCTTTTGAGGCATTATGTCCTCCGAGTTAGCGTTACCCGATGAGATTTATGAACCTCCCGAGTCTTGATTTAGTGAATTTCTACGCTTGAATTCTAAGGTTGCCCTTGAAATTAATCTTTAACACATTGAGCATTCATAATATAAATCGTATTCACAGACCGGAGAACGGGGTATAGAAAAAAAAAAACGTCCGACCAAACAAATCAAAGTGGTACCAGCCCAAACTTCCCAAAAACATCATACAAGGACATCAAACCCGCTATCTAAGCAGAAGACTCCGCCTCCTTAGCCTTCTCACCAAGAGTCTCCGTGGGGGTCGCAACTCCAGAAGCCTGCATCTCATCCGCCTTCCTGCCGCGATAAACAGCGGGCCTGGTTCCCATAGCATCATGCGCCATCATCCTAACAACTCTCACAATACTCTCACGGCCCTCATAAAGCGGGAAAATAACAACTCCACAAAGCGTACAGAAGAGCCACAAGATTCCGACAACAACCCAGCCCGTGAAGAACTTCTTGCTGAAAACGTACGAGGTTCCGTACATCGGAATCGGCCAGAGAATCAGCATCGCGAACGCCATGAACACCGTCAATGTGCGCGAGTAGAAAGCTGCTTTGTTGAGTTTGCGGGTTTCTTCTTCGTTTTCGGTCTCGCTGGGCCCGATCTCGCCGGGGACGAGTTCGATGTCGATGTGCGCGTCTGCGGCGACTTCTGTGTCGTCTACCTTGCGGATTTGGCGCATGGACACGTAGTCGTAGTTTTGGGAACCGAAGATCAGGGTTAGGACGGGTGAGATGATTACTGGGCTGAGGAGGGCGGCGACGTTGCCTGCTAGCATGGGGTAGCTATGGAGAAGATTAGTTGAGTGCCCTATTGAACGAAGATGACTGGTTGAAGATGAGGGTAAAAAAAAACTCACTTATCACCGGTGGTAGTCACAGTGAGGATACCATATTGCTTTTGCGCAGTCACCAACCAAGCAATCAGGGAAATAGCCAGTCCAAGAGGAGGGGATACAGCAGCTGCAATCCAGTTCTGGCCCTTCCAGAGTAATGTCATGGCACCGGGGAATACGGCAGATGAAATGATAACACCCATAAGCAGGTAGAGGTATCCCATGCCGACACCAGCGTAGAAGAGACCAGTTGCAAAGGCTGCCATGATAATCGAGTAGACGATACAAGACATGTGCGAGATCCAGACGAGTCGTTTACCCTTGGCTTGTGGGTTGATATAGGCCTGGTAGATATCGTACGTGAAGATCGAAGACACGGCGATGAGTTGAGCCGAGAATGCGGATGTGACAGCCATGAAGATCATGAGGGTTGTTGCGACAGCGCCGCTGTACCCAAGGAGCTTGACTGCAGCGAAAGGGAGAACTAAACCGGCTGTAACATCGTCACTGCTTAGACGTGCGTTGCCTTCCAGTGCCAATGCAGATATGCCTAGAGTGGTGGCGCAGAGCCAGGGAATGGCAAACCAGCAGAGACCGCCAATAACGTAACCGGGAAACGCGTGGACGGGGCTTGCAGCGATGGCTGGTATACAAGTTAGTTTAATTTTCTTTTGAATCATGGGACGCTTTGTGTTTTATCCGGATTCCACGTACCCTTGTTATAGTAACCATTATCGAGGAACACAGTTCCAAAGTTGCCTGTCAGATACATTAGTTGATAGTACGTTTGACTTCAAAGACAGCTTGTAGCGTACCGATCAGGTTGATCACCCAGAAAATACCACCCTCCTTCGATCGCATAGTCAGGTAGCTGCCCTCGGCATTACCCTCAACAGGGTGCTGCTTTGCGGCCTTGACCAAGGCATCGTAAACTTTGCCAGGCGAACCCAGCTCGGCATTGGTTGCATATGCCGAAAAAGCAAAGAGGAAGATGACCACCAGGATGACGACCGTGTGCATATAGTCAGTGATGAAAGTGGCCTTGATACCACCGAAGAGGGTATACAAAACAACGCCGATGGGAAGCAAGAAACAGGCGGCAGTGGTCGAGACTCCAGTCAACGATGTCATAACAGCCGATCCACCAGTCAGCAACATAGCAGTGACGAGGATGTTGGTCATCAGACAGAAGACAATGAAGACGACGTGGACGGTTGTACCATAACGTGCGCGGATGACCTCGAGGAAAGTGTGAGCATTGGGGGCTCGTCTCTTTAGCTCGATAGCCACGGTTGCGAAAAGGAGAATCTGAACCGTTGCGCCGGATGCATAGAAGAATGGGCCTGAGATGCCGTACTTGTATGCTACTGCGGAAGACTGGAGTAGTGTTGCTGCCCATGTCCAACTGCTTACTACTGCCGCTGCGACTAGACCAGACTTGACGGAGCGGCCAGCTGTTGAGAACATTTCGGAAGTTTGGACTTCATTCTGGTATCTGGTATTGAAAATTGAGGTTAGTACTAGTACTCGTGTAATTAAGGTTGTGTCAAACCTTGGAAACATACCGCTTCAAAGCCCAAGTAATAAATATCATGAGAAGAGCAAAAGCAAACCCCAGTCCCAGGATGATTCCATATCCGAATCCCTGGGACAAGGGCGCTTCAAAAGATACTGTCCCAGACGACATGTCTAGGGATCAGCAGAACCGATCAAAGAGATGGCAGCGATGTGCAGGTGAAGAAGCGTCCAAAAGAAAAATTCTTAAAAAAGGTAGGGCTCGAGGCGACCAATGTATGACGTTGAATAAGTAACTTCAAACTCAATTGAGAATATAGAAAACAGAACCAAACCCTAATAGTTCCGGGGTTTGTCAGGGAAAACAGATTGATTTAAATCGAATACATGCAAGGGAAAACCTGGGGAGCATAGTATTGATATAAGTAATGCACGCAGTGCATGCGCAAGAGACTCCGACCTCGCACACCTTAACCCCGGGGGTTGATCCCTGAGCTTAGATAGGGTCCCGTAACCCACAATCGAAGTCAAGATAAGAGTGGTATTGGTTCTCGTAATGGTAAGGCATGGCATGCTACCATTCGCAGCGACCAGCCTGAACGATGATTGGACATTGATGGGCGCTCCTGGCGGCACACCGTGTGTAGAATGAAGGGATCTAGCCCCACCGCTCCGTGGGCATTTTTGATCTTACCGAATGGGATCACGGATTGGAAATGAATTCACAATCAAAAGTACCCATGTTAGGCTCGTGCAGAAGCAACGGGGTATCAGTATCAGTGATCAATTGAAGAAATTGGTTGATTTCTCCCGGCTTATCTGTTTGCGAAGACAAGAGTGGATGTGATTGGTTGGGAGATCGAGATAAGAGCTCCCGGTTCTCGTGCATTTTCGGGTGGAGTCTGGGGCAGTTGGAAGGTGGGAGTGGGATATGCCCTCTCGGCAGAGTCCGTTGCAGATAAAGATGATACGCTTACTCGATAACTTATTGTCATTTGCGATTTCTAATACCCTGAGGCTAAAGTCTACTAACTAGTAGTCTGCCCCACATATCCAAGAAAGATGCAGGGCATTCATTTCAAGACTAGCATGTACTAGTACTAAGCATGGTGCTTGACTTTAATTTTTTTTAAAAGTTCGCCTACAGTTCCTAGTCCCTACAATGGCAGTGCCAATAAAGCATTTGCAAGATCTCGGAGATCAAGTCAATTAATTATTCAATGCAAGGCAGTGAACACATTTATCTCAGATATGGTACACAGCCTCGGACTACATCTCTGTTCAAACATCTCTACCGTACGAGGTCACCCACTTCCTCCAGCGCATCACATCGCAGGGAAGGAAGTCGGAAATCCAAAGTACAAATGCCAGCAGAGATACGCAGTCCAGCCGACCTACACAGCGGATAGGTCTAGGATGCTGATCTGCAGCACCCACAAAAACGAAAAACACCACACATGTTGAGAGAAAAGCTTCGAGTAAGAAAACAGAATTCACACCGGCCTAGCCAAAACGGGGGGCCCTGGCTGTTTTTGTGTGCAGCGGAAAGGACCAAATGTCACGGGGTATAGGAGAAAGGGTTGGGAGGTGGAAGGTGGAAAGGATGGAAGTGGGGCGGAGCGCAATCCATGATCATGCCGAGGATGATATGGGACATGTCATCAATCGTGCGTAGATAATATCATCGATGGAATTGCTTATGCGGCAAACTTGCGGGTGATCTTGGCGATGACTAGACAGCGCACAGACCGATCAGTAACAGATTCAATATCATTCAAATGACTCTTTTTCGATCCAATCGACACAAGAGAAAGTGCAAAAAAGGACTCACCGTGCAGGCCAACGACCGAGAAGATGAAACCCAGACTCAGCACCAGAACAACGACGGGGTCGACACGCAGACCGGGGCTCTCATCAGTGTAGAGCTTGAGCATGGTTCCAGAGGAACCGCCAGCACCAGCGGAACGAGTAGAGCTGGGGCGGGCATTGCGGAGAGATTCCTTGTGGTCAGCGGCAGCCCGGCGGCGCATAGCAGCACGGGGACCACCGGGGGCAGAGGGCGATGAGGGACGGCTGACGGAGGAGCCGGAGGCGACAGCGCCGGCAGCGCCAGCGGACTTGGACTCGGCGCCGGACTCAGCGCCGGAGGTGAGAGGGGAACCAGGACGAGGAGAGGCCTGGATTGATGGTTGGTTAGAGATGAAAATCAAGTGAGGTTATTGGGGTATCCCAATGGGGTATTGAGAAGAAAGGAGGTTTGGTGGGTGGGCATAAGGAGACATTGGATGGGGAGTTGAGCAATGGTTTGGGCAGCTGGGATCCTGGACGAGCTTACCATGATGATTAGTTAGGTGTGAATGATAGAATGAGAGAATGAAAGAGAAAGAAAGAAGGGGTTCGGGGAAGAGCGAGAGTTTGCGGAGTTGAATTGAGGCCACGATCACGCTTTCCTGATTGATACTAGGCGGTGTAAGGGTATGGTAACCATTCATACACAAGAGCAGTAATTTACTGTATGCGTTACAACAGACCCACCAATAAGAAGGGACTCTGAAAGTACAAGCTGCTTAGAGCTTCAGACTTTCATGTCATTAGAAAGATGTGGGAATAATTTCTCTTCAAATTTATTAATATTTAACATGGATTGGTTCCATAATATGAAACATATTGATTTCTTGATATCCTAGACTAAATAATTTCATGGTCATAGAAAAATTTGTTCCAAGACATGGGGGCTATCGTAAATGACATGGAAAAAGGTTAAAAAAACCACCGGGAATTGTACCCGGTTAACGCCCCTGGTGCACGCATGAAGGATATGTGAAGCAGGGCAGTAGTGTCACAAAGTTTTGGACAAAAGCCTGGTAGGGCAATTGGGCGAGAAGAAAAGAAAACAAAAAAATAGGAAGGTCGCTGGTGAGGTATCATAGGGCCCGAATAATCAAACGCATGGGCTTCAAAAAAAACGCTTGTCCAACAATCGTAGATGGAAAGAAGTAGAAATAAAAAGCTCGTGGCTCCAGGGGACATTACTTATGGAAAAGGATAGCCCTTGGAGATCAATCGATCATCATTCGAGATGGAACCGCAACACTCGCAAGGTTGGCGGAAAGTTCAGTGGTCTTCTCCTCGGGCTTGACTTTCTTCTTGCTGATATGTGGTTTCAAGCCTCGATGGAAGTTGTTCACACACATACAAGCGTTGATGATAGTAATCACAATCAGGATGAGCGTGATCACAGCAAAGAACGTCATTGAAGGACGAGCTGGGAGATAGTCGGTGAAGGTCGCTAGAGCATACATGCGGAAAAGCTTGAAGACAAAGTAGGCCATGGCGGCAAAAAATAGCAGCTGTGGTATTTGTTAGATCCCGAGCTGTTGAAATTGCGCATCAAAGTTGAGTCGACTTACGATGATCACGATCATACCGCTAGTCGATTCTCGACGAACAAACCAAGCACCGAAGGCAAGAATAATGATAGTCACGGGAACGGCGACGATGGTAAGGTAGAATTCGGCGTTATGGCTGGAGGACGAGACAACGACCAGGAACTGGACAGTGAAACCGAGGAAGAAAAAGAAATCAAACTTCAGCAGAGCGATATAGATCTAAAATGAATTAGTTATAATGCAATTGGCGGGGAAATTTGCCAAGTTTCCTACCTGATAAGTCAGATAACGGCGTTTCATGCGCAGATCCGCACTGATGTGTTTGTAAATCGTCCAGGCGAATTCGTCATACAATTGCCACGCCACAAAAGTCATCAAAACAGTTCCAAGAGCCACAATGCATGGAATGATAATAAGGAATGGCTCCGATTCCGACCAAACAACAGCACTGATTTTGCTGTTTTCATGCAAAATGTTGACAGCATTTCGGATTTGCTGCACCTGTACGGCGCCATAAATCAACAAGCCAACATTGCACATGCAAAGACCGATAATCTGGATGGTGTTCTTTTGTCGCAATGCATCATAAACCAATACTAGCTCGTAGAGGAAGCCGAAACTATACAGGGCGAGGAAAGTCGGAATGGTTCTGGACGAAGGACTGTCGTTTTCCACTTCCTGGATCTGGAAATTGGCGAAGATATAGCTATATGTCGTTAGTGAATGTGGTGGGAAAATTGAAGCAAATTGCACAGTTTCAGGGTCCATACATTTCCAGAGCGAGTGTCACTAGCGTTTGAACAAAAGTGACGATGGCAAAGCACCACGTCCATGTTGTATTAGGGACGTACATCCAGCTGTTGCGCGGGACGGCGGTTGGGGTGACATTCGTATAACCTTCTCGAGCGCGAAATCCAGCACCTGGTCGATAAGATGGATCATAAGAAGTGGCATCTAGGAGAGAAGCGCGCGATTCCCGAGATAGCACTTTGCCGAAATCCGACGCACCGCTCGGGTCCGCGGAGTGGTCTTGAGAAGACACTGTGGCGGCGTTGACCTCCTGGCGGAGGGGTTTTCACTTATTTAAGAGGGGAAAGCTGCAGGTTGGAGGGAAGGGACCGCTGGACCCTGATACGTGGGCGCCTCGAAACACCGGAATGCTCGTGTTGTTGTGCTGCGTGCACGAGTGGCTTGGCGGGTTGCACAAAGTGGTCGGGGTTGCAGATACCGAAAGAGGGGAGGCAAGGGCGAGAGGTTGGGGAACTAGACTCGAGTTCTTGTTCGCATCGAAAGAACACTGCGCATGACCAAGAAGAGTAAACGAGTGTTTTGAAGAAGAGTAAGGAACCGAGCCCCAATTTTTTTTTTTTTCCAACAAGGCGGTTCTTTGAGTTCTTTTGGGTCTGGCGGGGCGAAGTGCGGTCGGATCAGCGTGGCAGGCAGCAATGATGGAGAGGACCCTTCTCCAAGATTATGGGTGAAGCAGAAGTGATTTAACGAGAGCAAATAAAAGATAGCAGGGAAGCAAAGTAGATCTTCAAAGGAACAAAGCCTAAGAGGAAAAGGGTCAAGGGATGGAATTATCCGGGGTTCACTAGTCTTCCGGCAGATATTAGTAAATTACGCATAACTTCGACCACATACTCGGCTCACCGCGGCTACGAGTCAACAGGTTGAACTTTGGGGTTCGCTGACATAGCGGCAGAAAATGGAGAAAATAATGGACTCTCTTCTCGACTTGTTCTGGCCCTTAGAATCCAACGGCCCCCCTGAATACAGAAGGGGAAAAATTGAACCAGAGGTGTGCAATGTGGGGCGGAGCCATTTTGGACCCAAAAGATGCAATTATGCAATTCAGGTACGCCCAAACCCTGCCGTGGTCTCGAATTTGTCGGTGGATATGGGTGGATTTCCTTCTGATCGATCCCAATCTGTTCACTCCGAACCGTCATACGTATGCGTTTATTCTGCATGAACGGACTTGTTGCCTCCATGAACCTCCTCCATTGATTTCGTACACTTTCTTTACACATTTGTTGACAGCGTGCTTGCGGAATCAGGCCTTATCCACTTATGTGAAACCGCGGAACCCGTCAGACGTTAGGGGATCACGGCACACGACGTGGTGATCCACCGTCATGCTTCCCTGCTCGCCCCGCGAGGATTGACACAAAAGGGGCTGTGGCTCTTTGCCTCGTCGAAACTCTTCCCCAAACCGTGGTGGCTGGGGCCTGCAAGCCAGATTAAAATGATCACATTCTGGTGGCTGTGAACCAAGTCCAACAAGCCACGCTGCGGCTTTTGGCCCCCATTGACCAAGCCTACCAACGATGGTGTCATGGCCTCTACAGATTCCCTATTTCATGACATGTTTCGAGAGTCGTATTCTCAGAAATCATGCGCCACACTCACAATTGTCTCTTGAATCTCTTGAAGTCCGTTGGATTACATGAATTGCCATACATCCGTATTACCTACTCCGTACGAGCTCGCCGTACATCCCCCGTCCTCGTCCTCGGGTTCTTGCCTAGACGGTTTATTTAACGCTAACCCGGAATTGGCCAGTCTAGCCCAAACAGGAAATCAATAATCAAACACTACGAGTCTACGTAGTACGGACTACGGAGGACTCAGATGACCTACTGGTACTTAGTTAGTAGTAGTTACGTGACTCTGCCGATTTTTTGGCTTTCCGTTTTCGGGCTCTCCCTCTCGCCGCTTTTACTGAGGACATCTGAGCACATCTCACAACAGGCCTACTGCCTAGGCTACTACTAGTATGTACTACTTCGCCAAAATAATGCAGCATGTTGCTCCCGAAACAAGTGCAACTATAATCTTTAAACTCGACTCTTGCTTTGAGTCTTTCTGCTCTTAGACGATAAACAACTTCAACAAGTTTTGAAAGTATACTAGTTAAAAGAGAAGAGCTGGACTTGCCAGAAGTAGGGAGGTTAAAGCAAAATTTCACATAATCCTTCTCTATGTACTAATCTACTTACTATTTATTATCTGTTCAACCTCTCTCATCTCTCCTCTCTTCTACATCTCTCCTTTTTCTCTTTTTCTCTTTTTCTCTTTTTCACCTCTCTCATCTCGATGGAAGAAACCCACCCAACAGTCAAGGCTTGCCTCCCCCCCCCCCCGGCATCACAAAATCCCGCTCATCAAAGCGACTCATACATCAAAGTGAGTCATAGTATGTCAGTTTATTATCAGTCGATGTTAAATATACTAACAGTCATTCAAAGCCACCTGCCAGAACCTCTATTCGAAACGTATGGCAGCACGGCTGAGATCCCACAGGCCATTGCTGGAAGCCATCCTCCCTACAACCGGTCTTAACCAGAGCGTTATCAAATGTGTTAGACCCTTGGCTTGAAGAACTGAAGCATCTGCTTGAAAAGAAGCAGCAACAGGTGGAACAAATGACCGAGCTGCATGAAGTCCATCGAGACGCTGCTGATGGGCCTTTGATTCCTGGTGGTTGAATATTATGGAACTGCCAAAACATCTAGAAATGACGTACGGTGGCATACAAGACCGGCTCAATAAAACGGACACCTTTGGTATCTTGGTTGGCAAACAACGCCACAATTAGCCACGAATCCGGCTAACATATACTCAGGCCATGAACTTGCGGAAAGAATCAACAATTTCTCCCCCAATCAATTGATGTCGAGTCTACATCACTGCAGGTAGTAGTGGGCAGGAGTGTGGAGCTCATGAATGTGCATTCTGCCAAAAGGCTCATGGGCCATAGGCCTAGTACACCCGTTGGTGGATTGATACCAAAGGAAATCGTCTGCCCGCAAGGCTTGTGGCAGCTGGAGACAGGATATGTACTTATACCGCACCAAGTACGAGGATACGATATAGTTTCAGAAATATTTATTCATTCAATGTTTCTAGTTTTTCAGCAAGATTCCCTTGAACACTGGATTCCCTTGGCTCCTTATCTCATAGCTTAATATGCTTCCAAGGTTAGTTTAGAATAGCACCAGAAACATTCAAATGGTGAAAGCGCCAGCCCTGGAGATAAACGGCAACCAGGGATACACCTGGCATACTATCCAGAAGGCACGTCTTGAATTATTATTCTGACCCGTGGACGTCCGTAATGCCGGTCATCTCGTCGGATTTCCCTTTTTGTACCAAGCGCCAAGTGTTATCGTCTAGTCTCAACCTTGAAAGCCACTCAGTGCTTGCCCGTTCGCCTTCCCCGCACCAACCCCATTCGCGCCTGACTAACAAGTAATTTGCCTATCAAGATTCAATATTCCCCACCATACTAGGACTGCGCTTATCTTAAAATTCGGGGTCCGCGGGCTCAATCATAAATTTGCCATTTGGTACCTACTACGTATAAATAACTCGCGAAAAGATCGAACGGGCTTATCGTGACGGACAGATTACAATTACAACTTGGACGGCTTAAGAATTTGTCAATCCACCCCCTTGGAGTCCATTCCCAAAGATTTTAGCAATTACAACGATCATCATTTACGTTCGGGGATCTTAAAATGCTGTCGCTGTGGGTAGGAGTTCTAATTTCTCTTTCATATCTTGTGGGCAGTGGATTCTTGTCGCCCGTGTCCAAGATACCAGGTCCATGGTATACACGATTCACAAGCCTGTGGATCAAATACCAGGAATTTACTGCCAACAGAAGGGAATCAATTCACAAACTTCATCAAGTCTATGGACCCGTTGTTCGATTGGGTCCCAACGAGGTGTCTTTCACCAGTCTCGACGCTATCAAGGAAATTTATTCCTCGGGGGGAAGCGGATATGACAAGACAGAATTCTACACTCTTTTTAAGCAGTTCAAGATTAGGTCAGTCATCCCAAGTTGATCTGTTTTTTAATAACTAGGTATGAATTCGTGATTGACAACTATCAAGGACGATGTTCTCCACATTGAACAAAGACGAGGTAACAATACCCTCTGACTGTTGTTAGACTGGAGCTGATATTCTTCCAGCACAGTAAAAGGAAACGTATTTTTGCGGACCGATATGCGATGACAAATATTATGAAATCAGGGCCATTGGCTGCTATTAACGAGCGAGCAATGGCATTCGTGTCTCATTGCACCGAAGCTGGCAAAAAGAGTGTTGATGTCTATGTATGCCGTTCAAGATTGCTAGCCATTGTTCTTCTAATCAGGACGCTTACGTGTATACACTACTAGGTACTGCTCCATTGCTATGCCGTTGATTGTGTTACTTACTTCATGTTCAGTCCCGGTGGATTGAAATCTCTTAACCTCCAAAAGGATTTTGAGATCATGCAAGAACTCACTTATCACCAAAGTCTTCAGAGTAAGTAATTTCCCGTCTCCCCAAAATCTAGCTATACAAAACTAACCAAACTATAGAAAGTCTACTCGCATATTATCTTCCATCCTTGGAGCCCTATTTCCCCAATTTCCTTCACCCAAGAAGCGCCCCAAAAGCAAACCAATACGTCCTAGACATGGTCAGCCAGACCGAGGTCGAAAACTATACGCTGCTCGAGAAGCTCAAACGCAAAGAATCAAAGCTCGACGCTATGCACTCAGCAGCCGAATGCAAAGATCACATGGCAGCCGGAATCGATACAACCGGCGACGGGCTCTGTCTCCTGATGTGGGAACTCTCGCAGCCACAGAACCTGCATTTCCAACAAAAGCTTCACGAAGAACTTCTCTGTGCATCCCCCGATACCTCGCTAGATAGCCTTGTCTATCTAGATGCCGTCATCAAAGAGGCGCTGCGCTGTTCCCCGCCAATCCCGATGTCACTACCTCGATACGTACCTGAGGGCGGGAGGTTGATTGATGGGTACTTTCTTCCTGCGTATGCGATCGTAAGTGTGCAGCCGTATACGGTGCATCGCGCACATGGACATGTGTTTCCTGAGCCGGATCGCTTTTTGCCTGATCGGTGGTTGGCGGAGGAAGGGACCGTGGAAAGAAATAGGCATTTCTTTGCGTTTGCGACTGGGGGGCGAGGATGTATTGGAAAAAAGTAAGTCTTTCCAGGCATCGTATTAGTATTTATTTTCTGGGGATTTTTCGATTTGCTAACATGATGATTTGTAGCCTTGCGTTGGTGGAGATGAAAATGTTGCTCCGGGAGGTGTATTCGCGATTCCGGACTACGGTCTCTGAGGACATGGAAGGGTGTATGACATTGGACGATCAGATTATTTCGGCGAGGCCTAAAAGCCAGACATGTAAGCTGGTTTTTACGCCTGTATAGATATCTACTTCAATTGCGGATGCATAGTGGGGTCTCTTTTCCGCTGGAAAAGCCTACGGGGGAATATAAATGGACATTCTGTTCATCATTTGAATTGTTTATTTTTACTTCTCCTTCAATGTTTGGTAAAGAGAACCAACTCCACAAATGTGCAGGTAATCGTATGTATATCAGTGTAGCAGGAGAAATTGATCAGGAAACTCGAAGCGAAATGGATACTCCAGCCGATGCGGGGTGAGGGGAATGATAAGGAAGCGAATCAAGCGATAAACCTTCATTTCTGTTTACCTAAAAAAGATTGACGTTTACCTTCTGATACGAGTCTAAGAACGCCCGATCTATCTGATTTTCTGCTTTCCAGATCTCTCAAGGTTAGTTCGCAAAGAGCAGAAAAATCACCACAGAGATAAAAGAGCGTCGACCGGCATTACAATGACGGACGATACCCGTGCGGCTTCATCTTGCCGCTTTTCAACACGCATCTCGCTACGATGGCTCCCAGAGCCTGCCCACGAGACAACGGACACAATCGTCATGTCTGTGAAGGACTGGTACCTTGATCTACGAATGGATCTAAGATCTCACCAAATCGACTGGGCGATCGCAGGTCAAAGAATAGTTGAGAGCCAAGAACCACGTTTGTCTTTACCCATATCCCCAAATCGTGTTGTGTAGGCCAGTCGCAAAGTTGGGGGCTGATGTTGACTATGCTCTCTTAGTCCGGGTGTCATTCACCCACGAACTGGACTCGCACGATGCATTCGAGAGTGCTGATTGTGGCACATTTGTCACGCTTCCGAATGGAGATGACCTTGAGACGGGCTCTATGCCTCGGCCTGATCTTCCCGGTGCGCCAGAGACTGAATATGAGGAAATTTGGAGGGAACTGCCATTCCGGGAGGGACCTGAGGGACTGAAGGGGGGTCTGTCATGGGTTCTCGAGTCCGACGATAATGATTTCAGTCAGCAGGAGGGCGAGGGCGAAGTCACGGTGATGAAGACATTCTTGGGTCGGATCTGGGGAACTTATTTGGCGTTGCAACAGAAGCAGGTGATTGTTCGGCGAAAGGATGCATCTGGCAAGTGGGTTGTGAGTAAGACGGGGACCGAGGTTAGTGCTAGACGGGAGGAATGGGAGAGCTCCGGGTGGGAAGAACGGTATGCGGTCGGAGTTGCTAGTGGTGAGCTGGCTTCGATGATGACCGGGATACCCGGCGAAGGAAAGGGGCTCTGGAGGGTACCTGGGGAGCGGGTTGTTGTAAATGGGAAATTGTTCATCGTCCGAGCCTTGGAGGAGATCTGAGTGAGGAAAGATCTGCTCTATGTTGTTATAAATAGAATCTTATTCGACGCGTCGAGACTCCGAGTCTTCTTACCCCCTTGCGATGATCAGCCTTGTGGTCCTTGTGGTCCGTTGGGGACTTTTGGCGTGTAACTACGGAGTTTGTTAAGTAGATTACTTGTACTTTCAAGGTATTAATTACTCTCGGTAGACTAGTATAAAACATCATTTGGGTTGAAATTGGGCTATTGTGTACTTATACTAATATACTCTGTATAGTAAGAGAAGTGGGAACTTGAAACTCACGTGCCATCATCGTGAAGAGTCAGCGCCACAACGGATCCAAAATGGGGAAAAGAAAAGCCCCAAAAAAAAACAACGGAGACCCGGATACTCCGTAAATCAAATAAAAAAAAGGCGTTGTGGGTTTCAGTTCACTAAAAGTTACATTCGTATCATGCATACGACGCCGCAATGCAGATTGACCAATGACAAGTGACAAGATGGAAGAATTGATTGAGATTGATTGAAATTTCCATAATTAGGAGGCCTGATTACCCACCGTCAAGCTAGCAGAACCGATAGTGTCGCGTACCTCATCTCCCGTTTGTTTTCGACTCCACTTTATCTCTCCAGCAGTACGTAAACCTTTTTTTCCCTTGTCAATCAATCATTAACCATCTACATTGCTAGGGAGCTCATTTACAAGCTCAACCCCGACTTGTAAATCCCATGGCCTCTAGCCACCATGCGATCTGATGTGGGAGCTACATCTGTCTCCACCCCTATTCGATCTCTCTCTGCGAGGACCCGCTCCAGTGTTGCCTTTGCGAAATCCGCCTTCTCCCCCCACAATAACGGTCAATATGTCGAACTCGATGACTTTGGCGTCGCTACAAGTCCCATCCCATCTGTGAATGATGAGGCCCTTTACGATCGCTATGCCACTCCTCCCAAGCCTCGCAGCAAATTCTACTTTCCTCAAACCTTGTGGACACGTCTTTTCGCCCTCACCGGTATCTGTGAGACACTAGGCACAGTCGGAGTTGAGAGGTAAGTCGCCTTTATGTTTCTTCTTTTCTTTTTGCGAAGCACTTTACCTTGTCACTTTACCTCGTCAACTTTTCTTCCTTGAAAATCTTCTCGATCTAATCACCAAATCTTTTCTCTCTTATAGCTGGGTCTTCATCAGTATTTCCAAGCATTTCGACAAGACGGGGGACGAGGATGCAACGCTGCGCCTTCGGTCGTTCCTGGGTCTTTACATCTTCGCCCTTCTATATGAACTCTTACTCAGTTACGATGCGCTACGACGGAAGAATACTTTTCAACTCGTGGGACTCTGCATTTGTAACTTGGGCCTGTTGATATATGGCGTGATCCAGACCAAAGAAATCAAGGATACACTCACCAACCTAAGTGGGAGCACCGTCAATGCGAACGCTCTTTGGATCGATTATCGAATTGCCTTGATCCTCGTACCGGTGGTCTTGGCTGTCGGTACTGTGTGCATGTCGGTCGTGACATGGAAATTGCGCGCCGAATTCTCTTGGACTATCTACAAGAGTATCAGTGCTGATCTACAAATGAGTTGGCGATATACTACATATCAGGTCGGTCGCAATGCTCCGAAGTTTGTGCAATTTATAATGAATCCCTCACTAACGACTTACCAGGTATACATTGCGCTCCTGAAGTTCAATTTTTTTTTCATTTTCGGTACTCAACTCCAAATGATGCTTGCACTGAAAAGTTATACCGACCACGAGTTCATCATACAAGCTGCCGCGATCCCTGTCGCCGTCGTGAGCTTAATTCTTGCTGCTCGCTTCTGTCGACTAGAAAAAACCAAATCTCTGGTCTGCATTATGGTATCTATTCTCTCCGACTTCAACCTTTTCCCTTTTTTTTTGCATGCCTAATAACAGTGTTGATAGTTCCTTTTTGTTGTACTCATCGCCAGTTTTGTTAGCACTGTGATGCGGGTATTCAGTAGTCAAAACAGTAGCCAGTTGACTAGCTACAGAGTCTCCTTGACCTTGTTTGCCTCGTTGGCCATCCTGCTTCTCTGTGGCACGCTCGTCAATTCCGTGATGTGCATTTGCAACTTCAAAAAGGGATTGAAAGAGCATATCAGCAATGCCAGAAAACAACAGCCGACATCAGATCCAGAGAACGCCTGGACGGAAGACACGAAATCACGATTTGTATTAAATTAAAGATAGGACATGATTTAAATGTCTGGGATGTACTACAAGATGTTATCAAGATACTCAGGAGTTAAAATTGGACAAAAAAACTCATTAGGAAGAAATGCCCGGTGACATTCAGTAATCCCCGCTCCGAATGGATCTTAGAGTCCCAAAATCGAATGGATTCACGAAGCGACGGCAAATCCAGCCATTGTAGCCATAGATCCAATCTATTCATCCATATTCAAAACTACTATTTACTCCGTGTTACACTAGCAGATGTTCAGCCGTCGATCCCTCTCAAAGCGGAAATCCCCGGCAAAAAAAACTAGCTCCTCGCTTGACACACCTATTTAACCGGCCTCCCAACAACCTTCCCTCCTTTCCTCCCAAGTGCCACCCCCACCAATGCTGCGTTTCTTTGCTACACACGACAGGGTCCAACCCTGCCCTCGGACACCCTCCGAGACCCCCGCAAATGAGAAATTCGGAGGAATCTTCAACTACCAACCCGCTTCCGCTTCACTTGCTGAAGCGGAAGCCGGTACTGCCCGCAAGGGCCTGGTGTGAACTCACCTGCACTCGGCATCAGAAACATCGGGGCCACCCGGCTTGCCGGTCACTGGTTTTTTTCCCCTTGGGAGAGTCGGTGCGAAGATTGTGCTTGATAACACTTTAGTGCAATACGCGGCATGCTGATCTCCCCTTGTGGGAGACGGTATAATTCGATTCCGATTATTCTGGTGGGGGTGGCGCTTCACTCTTTTTTTTCATGGTGAGTTGCTTCTGCTTTTTTTGCCCACTACTTTGTGTGCCTGGCTTTTTTTTTTTGCTGGGTTGTGGGTATGAAAAGGATGGGTTTTTGGTGACTTTGCTAATTTGTGGGGTCGTGACTTCGTTCTCGAGGTCCTAGGTCCTAGGTGGTGGTGTTGTGTGTGTGATGTGGGCATTGAATTGTCCAGCTTTTTCATGATGAGAAAAATTGGTCCGTGTTTAGGAGGCGGCTTAAGACCCCGCTGCTTGACTACAACCCATTTGCGAGCAATCGTACCTCTGATCCTTATGCTTATGGCTTTCAATTGCGTGCATCACCATATATACTAGTAGTAAATAGCATTTATATAGAAGATGCAAATATGATGCACTGTTTCTGTTTTTAAATATCTCATCTTTCCATTTCTTAATTTATATAAGAACATTGCTCCGTACTGATGTAGCTTTAGCGGCTTGAGACAAAATTGAGAAATTGGTCATGTAACATTTAAAACTTTGGTATCCTTTTTATTCTAGGATAAATCGCACAAAAATAATAAATCATTGCCTCTGTGAGGCATCGGGTACTCTCCATTATCGTAGGGGGGGATCATTTTGCATTGCCTAGTCAGGCCACTACTCCTCGTCGCCAATCTGCAAATCACAGTTAGTATTACCGAAATCTTATTAATGAAATTGAGGGATCTCACCTTAGGGGCCAGGTAGAACCGCAAGTGGCCGCTGCCAAGGCTGTACTCAACCAGGAGTGGGACCTCCTGAGACAGGTGGAGGGTGACTGAGGTAGAAAGGTTGGAGGCCTTGCAGAAGTTGACAAGGTACTTAAGAGAGAAAGTGAGGGCCACGGGCTCAGTCAGGCTGATGGTGGTGTTCTGTTCTGGCTTGTCGACACTGGTGTGCTGACGAATAGTAACAGAGCCGTTACCAATGTCACCGGAGCAAGAGAACTTGACACCCTCCTTGCTGGCCTCAATAACAACTGAAAAAAAAAGAGATCAGCGGCGAAACGAAATATCGTTATTTCAAGTATGTGGCTTACCGGACTCGGAGAGAGCGTTCAAATCTCTGCAAATACGCTGGAACTCGCCAGATGGCATAGTCACGGAGGCAGCATATTCAGTCTCAGGAATAGCCAGGTGCTCCTGGTCAATGTCCATAAGCTTGATATCATACTCGCTAAGACGGTCGGTCTCGGCGCTCTCGAACATCAGGTTGACGGAATCGGGGGAGTCCTCCGCCTTCAAGGTGAGGATATCTTCATTCTGAGCGGCGCGCAGGACCTTGGTCAAGGAGGTGAGGTTGATACCAAGGGCGATATTACGGTCGCAGCGGTAGGGAGAGAAACCCTCGGCGCGGAGCAGCATAGAGACCAAAGCGACGTGGGAGTTATCCATTGCCTGGAGGGCGATACCAGAGTCATTGCAGTCGAAGTTGCAGTCCTGGACAAGGTCCTTGATGGCGTCGACAACCTGTAGACGTCATTGTTAGTAGCTGTGTAAAATAGAAGAGTGGGCTAGCTCTTGTAGACGTACCCGCTTCAGGAGGGAAGCCTGTTCAAGTCGTGCTTCAAGCACTGATTCATTGGGTTAGTCTGGGTCTTTCGCGTTTCGGTCTCGAGAGAGGCATTGTGGACTCACTGTTGGCGAGGGGTATGTGTAGTATGTGTGGGTATTAGAAAAGGTGGAGGGAATAGGATAGGTAGGAAAGAGTAGAAAGTAGAACTAATGTCGTGAAAAGTGGTGGGAAGGGGGATTGATGCAAGTCTGCTGAGGACAAAAAGTAGGCAGAAGAGACACGCCTGAATATAAAGCGAAATCGCGTTCGAGGGTTTAGAGTGGGGAAAGATACGCGTGAGCGCGTTTTTGGCGATATGCCCTAATTAGGCTAGATTGGTGCCCCAGGCATTAAGGTGTCTTGCAGTACTCCTAGTATGGACATACTACTGGTTTTATGAAGGCTTGATGATTTGAAACTGACCTATTATAGACTCTTTGAGATATTCTTATTTGTACTAGAGAGTATGGATAGAGGCTATATATGATACAAAGCCAAAAAAAAAAAAAATGAAGAAAAAAGAAACTGATAAAATGGAGAAAACCAACAAATGACTGGATGTATGTTCCAGATGATGATAAAAAAAATTGAAACATGCTATGATCCCGAGTGAAGAGAAAAAAAAATTCAATAAAAAAACCAGAAAACCCTTAAAAAACACCTGTCGCCGGTTCCTTCTATTTCCATTAGGGGGGTATCAAATCTTCAGCGGCAACCCTTTCAAATACTGGTCACTCGCTTGGAATGGTTATTCCTCGGTCGTTGCTGAATGACCATCTCCAATTCTTTCAACATGTTGGTATTGGCATCTACCTTCTCCCGAACGGTAGCTTGCCGGACTCGTTCTTCACGCACGCGTGCCAGTCGCTCATCTCGTGTGAGTGATGCGCGTTTATTTCGGGAAGTAGGAAGGACGACTGCCTCAAAGATCTCCTCGTCGTCGTAACTGTGCGTCAAGTCGGGCCGACCTTCCCCAGTCAAGGCTTTGAGAGCATCAGTGGGGCTACCCTCAACTGCGGTGGTTCCTCCAAGGCTAGGCGTGGGTGACATGGGGAAGCTGGTGCTTGGCGGTCGTGCATAGTCTGTGGCATGGAGGCGATCCTGACTGTTCACGATCGCGGCTTTACCAACTTCCCATTCTTCAAGTAGAGACCGAATGTCACTGCCGATAAGGTCGTATTGGGAGAGAAGATTTGATTCAAATTCACTGGTGTTGGGACGTTCGAGATTGGCATTAGTCTCCTCGCCGATAATGTGCATTTTGGCATGCAAGGCACGAACGCCTTGAGACAAGGAGTTCAATCTTCGGACCTGCGCGCGCAGATTATCCTTGCTTGGGGACGCCGAAGGCAACGGGGACGGAGGAATCGGAGCATCCCCTGGAAATAATCAGTTGATGTTTTTAGAGTAAATCTCAACAAAAATAAGAGGTACTTACTGTCTTCTTCGTTTAGAATGCTTGCCATCTTGCTCATACTTGTCCCAGTGACCGCAGCAAGCTCTCGCATCTCTTCCACAGCGGAGCTCCATCGTGCGATGTCAGATCCACCGCCATCGGCACTGAGCGCTAATAAACAGCACAACACACTTTTCCTAGCGGTATAAAGCTTTCCAAATAAATCCCGTAGAGAGCGCAAAGAATATTGGTCTTCTAGGCTGCGCTGTGACAGCGTTAACTCAATATTATCGAGGTCTTCCAACGCAATATCGTAGATGTCGTAATATTTGGCCAGATTGGCGTCGTCAGTGAGTGGACGCAGCGTATTTTGGGATCGGATATATCGTTCGAGCATTGACCAAAAGCATTCTGATACTGCTCTCCGAAGTCGTAGGCAACGGCGAGTCTGCACCTGATCTTCCAGCCGACTGATTGGGGGTAAAGGTGTGCTTCTAGAGACATGTTAGCGGTTTATTTTCGCTTCAGTGAATATGATGACATCTCACATCCGGTAGCCTCTGGAAACGAGCTCTACCTCCTGTATGAAGACCACGGAGGCCGAAGCAGCCGAGTCGAAACCCTGGGCGTTTCCAATAAAAGTACCCGCAGCCTCAACAGCCTGGTGCCGCAAGTATTTAAGCCATTGTCTCTTGGCAAAGGCATAAAATATGATCCCAAGAACGGGGACAAATATTAAAAGAACCCCCACTCTCTTTGGATTTATTCCAGATCCTGTCCGTGAACGGCCCCAGTTGAGCAACCAGGCTATGGAGAACGATGTTGTAGCCGTAACAATAGCACCGTGGAGGCCGAATGTCGTAGAGAGGGAGGGAAGGTCTGATGGTTGCGAGGCCGATAATACATCTGCGGCTGATGTGTAGGAGGGCGCGCTGTGTTCGTTTAATAATTGCGATGCGACGATAACGTATCCAAATTGTTCCAGAAAGCGTTCGTTATCCCCTCGTCCAATGCGTGCGTTTACAGCAGACTGTAAGGCAGATCCCATTAGCAGCGTACTTTCTCCGAGCGCGGTCAATCGCTAACATACTGAGCAAGCACTGTATAGTTTTCCAATCACTGCTCCCTGCCGTGTATTGCGTAGGTCGAGTGGCTTGGGTAGCTTATTGCGAACTCGTTCCTGAAATTTCGAGGCGCCCCGGGGGGCAAAATCGGGAGAGGGGTGGTCTGCTTCATCTTCCATGTGTGTGTCACCAACCGGCCAGCTTTCTTCCGGTTCACCTTCCCCTGTGACCAAATACCGTGAGTTTTGTGACAAGCGAGTATTGCGTATTGCGGTGTTATAGCACGAACCTTGAAGGTATTCGGCCAAAGGTGAGTTTTCATAGACAAGTGACTCCATGACCGAAGATCATTCCGCGGCGCGAAGCGAGGAATGGGAGCGGAGACAGATGGTTTCACGAAATGACCGAGGGACGGGCTTGTGCGGGAAGGGGGGGGGGTTATCAGGCTAGGCGCGCGCCTGTCATGTCGTAAGAACACCAACGCTCTCAGTAAATTGTGGTAGTCGAAATCATACAAGGGATGTTTCCAAGGTTCGATACTGCGTTGAAACTCGGCCACGTATCAAAGCTGCGGTCTGGGGAAAGGAGAAGTCACGAGAGTTTAATTTAAGATGGAGACCCACTCGCCTCCTTTTTTACAATGACATCGGTATGCACACACCCCTAACCCCGAGATTAGTACCTGCATTCCGAGATTATGATTGGTGGATTGTATAGCTAAACGGATTATGCAGAACATTAATTTAGCTAGGATTACTAGTAGTATTGTTGTAAAATTCCAGAATAAGAGGAGAAGAAGACACCACGATGATGTCTGTGTGAAGTTGATGAATGGATGTAATATACTTTTAAATCCCAATTGGAATGACAAAAAGAAAAAGCGTCAGTAGTAGATCATGTAGAAAGATGATATTATCCACGAGATCTGACCAGCTGAGCACGTCAACGGTCAATACATCTAAATGTACCTCTAGTAGGTACTAGTACCGAGATAGACATGTGACCGGTTAGAAAAAAGGTGTGAGAGAGCGCATTTTGGGTCGTGGTATTTTTCAAGTACATAGCTCGTTTGAATGATCCGACGTCTAATCAGCTCTACATGCCTTGTTTGAAAGGCAGAGCGGTAGCAGTTGTTCGGCTGTTTCGGCTTTCTAGGGATAAAGTGAGGCTATTTCTGTACATACGCTGTACATGGAGCTCCTGTCACGTGACACTTTGGGGCTTGAAACTTGAAACTTGAACCCCTACATCTGCAGACTGCGAGTGGCATAATCCGTGTCATAATTAAGATTGGATTCCAACCTTGGAGTCTAAAGTGGCGGGGTCGGGCTCGCTTTGAGCTCAAGGGACAAAATGTATGTTGTTTTTAGAGCCTTTTATATAGATCGCGGTCAGCGGTACATATAAATCATGAGCATTGAATAAAAAACATTCAGAACGATGATTGCAAGAAATCAATGGGATCTTATTCGGTTCCATACCACACGCGATTTTACATATATGCATTAACACCACACCGGCGAAATCAACGCCCGTAAAAATTGGCCAGATGCACGCGACTTTCTAACCTAGTACTAAGAAGGTTTTCTCTGGTACTGAAAACTGTGTACGGCACTTGCTGGCAATAACGGGCGATTCGGCGTGGCAATAGATCATCGACTATATGCATCAGCTACAATGTACCCGACACATGCAGTTACTCGTACCGCCGTAAATACTGCATAGTACTTCAATACCTAAGAACTGTCAAAGAAAAATAGTATGAAAACTCAGATTGCGGTGCGAATTCTGATATTGTTCTAATCTTACTCTTGTACATTGAGCAAGGAGTAGTGGGGCTTGTGGGTACCGAATACATGGTACAGGATGAGTATTTTGGGGGAAGCTTATTTATGGTGCCAGAGATCAGTGCCGTATTTGCCTACTAGCGCATTGTTGGCGTTAATGGGCCCGGAATTATGTTGGCCGAGCTATGCCAGAAGCCCTGGAGGTTATGATGGTTTGCTTTTGGTGATGTCCCTGGTCTTTCGTATGAGGAAGGAGCGATAGGCGAGCTGTGTCACATGACGCGACCCCGCGGTGTTGACATAAGCAGCAGTTGCCCTGGACAACGCGTCCTGTCAATAGCCACCATTTTTAGAAGTACATATCTCGGATAGAACGTTGACACGAGCGTGGGACGCGTTGGAATATTGATTTCCATACAGCGCGTTTGAAGCCTTCATCTTTGTTCCCTCCGTTATCGCAACTTTTTGTCCAGTGTCCACCAACCACACCGCTTCTCTAACGACAAAATACAAGAAGCTGCAAGGGAGAAAGCATATTGTTGCCACCTCAGGCATACTTACTCCCCTTTACCCATGCACCATTAGACTGCCCTCATCCCACCGTGGATCCAACGTCAAGATGTCTGGAATACTCGGCAACGCAATTACCCCTTGTCCTTCCAGGTCGAGGCTATTTGGTTACAGTTCCGGCGATCACAGCGGCAGCGATACATTTGACAGCTTGATTGACGGCGATACCGATGGCGATGCCACTGGGCAAGTTGATTTCACCACCGAGATTTGTATACCAACTATGACTGGAGTACGACCACGCCGTGCCGCCAGAGCAGGATCGGGGTTCCAAATCCATGATGAGGGGGCTGAGAAACTGCCCAGGCCAGCTGAGAAAAGACAAAGACCAAATGAAATGACGAGACTATCGTCCGACCGCAAATCATCTCTGCTTTCGCAGCCCGCACAGAGATTTCGAACTAAGGTTGACTTTGCTCCCAACCAATCTCATGATGCGAAACAAGAGGCGGAAACACAACCACAACCCGAAAGACGAGTCTCGAACCTGAAGACGCAGCCTCCTCGTGGAACGGGTCCAGTCCCAAAAGATACAGCACAGCGTCGCTTGGATACTGGTCTGAAGAGGAGCATTCGGCGAGACACTGTGTACATTCCGCCTGATGATGCCACTGTGCCTAGCGTTTTTATGGGACTGTTCAGTCCTCTGAAGAAGCAGGGTCTGCCACAGATCAGGGACGATACACAAGCCAATACTCTGGAAGCACGGATAGCAGATCGACAAGCCAGAAAGTCATTGACAGTGTCCTCACGAAAGCCTCCACTTCAACCAAGTGCAAAAATCAGACAAGAAGCTGCATTCAGGGTGGATGTTGCCGGGAAGAACGGCGGGAAAGAAAACATTCCTCCCGGTGCGATGTTTGACCTCGACAAAAAAACAAGTGCCCAATCTAAGCCGCCGCTCAATCCTCGAACCACTATCATACCGGCCTCAAAAACAAGACCAATTACTCGCATTAATAATACCGTTCCCGTCGCCCCCAAGCCACCACTCCCCAAGCGTGGCATGCTAGGAGAAAAGCAGAACAACACGAAGTCTTCAGCACTGCATGGTAGTCAAAGCAGAATGGTGGCGCCAAGAAGGCCGCTTCAAAGTGCATCACTGAACGCTCGCGTATCAGCACTGTCTGATCGGCGTGGCCTTTCTGGGTCAACCTGTGGTCCAAGAGCCCAGCATGCTTCTGTACAGTTGAAGGATCTCAACCACAACTACCCAAAGCTGACCGAAGATATCAAAAAACCTGCACTTTATGAAGACGACTGGCTCTCACACCAGGAGGCCGTGATCACTCAATTAGTCAATGCTTTGTTTGAATGTTCCAATGGCGATTCGAACCTTCCTGATCAAAGCTACCTTCGATTGGAGCTTTTAGAGCTTTACCATACCGAATTTTTCATCCAGCTCCACAAAAGACTTCAAGCCTCCTTGTCTTGCGGCACACTGAGTATTCCAAAGCATGCCCTTGTTCGTGCTGGCCGTCTCCGACAGGACCTTGGCCTCCGCCGCAAGTTTCTTGATATTTGGATCCAGTCTTACGATCACAATGCTTTGGCTGCGGCAGTGGAGACAGTCATTGGTCGAAATATTTCCAAAAGCCATGAATTCTATCAGCATGGAACTGAATCCGATCATAATGCAAAGAGCACCAAAGCCATGACTCGGAAGCTGGAAAACTTTTTACACACCTTTTTGTTACGAAATGAAGACCTTGACCAGCCATTGCTGTGCGCCAGCGAGGTTCTCGCCGAGTTTCAGGCCAAGGCATATCGTCGCACGGTGCTCCGGTGCATCTTACTAGTTGTCCTTCTAGACCAAGCGAAACAGTCTTTGGGCTCTACCGTCCCTCGTCAGCTGTTTGTACCGTCGTCTTCTTTCAAATCCTCCGAAAGCGTACTCCAAGCATTGATTCGCGTGGTGTTGCCTTCCTGTGGGGATATTTTGAAGCCATTGAGTCACCTCGGTTGCCGTTTATCTTACAAGCAACATCAGCTATCAGAGTACCACTATCAGATGGACAACATTGCTGTGGACTTGAGAGATGGAGTACGGCTCACCAAAATTGTCGAACTACTTTTCATCACATCCAGTCAGGCACGACGTGACAGTGGGGACCAGACCGAAGTCACGTTGAATACCGGGGAAGCTCTCTCTCTTTTGGGTGACCATGCAGACGTTCCTCTTTCGAAGCATCTGAAGTACCCGTGTGTCAGCCGCACAGCCAAAGTCTTCAATGTTCATTTGGCCCTATCTGCCTTGCAGTCCATCAGGGGCTCTAATGAGATTGTTGATAAGATTCGGGCCGAAGACATTGTTGATGGCTATCGTGAGAAGACTATTGCCCTGTTGTGGGGCCTTGTTGGAAAACGGGGGTTGACACGTCTTGTTGATTGGGATGATATCAGCAAAGAAATTTCCCGCCTAAAACGCAAAGCTCTCTTACAGCTTGGTCCCGATCAAGTGAACTGCGAAACTTGGTTTACTGGTGAACAACTTGATGACACCGACCAACATGAACATCTTCTTCAGCATTGGGCTGGGCTCTTGGCCGGTCTGAAAGGCCTCCAGATGAACAACATGTCGACCAGTTTTGCCGACGGCCGAATCTACGAGAGTATTGTCGACGAATATGAGCCCTACATTACCGGGACTCATGCTACAGTAAGATCAGAAACAAGCGGGCGATCTGCTTTCATGTATTTGGAGAAACGCCTCGGGCTCCTAGGCTGCAGCTCTCAGTTTGCCCACATCATCTCCCCTAGCTCAGCATCACACACTCTCAATCGAGACTTTACCCTCGGAGCACTCGCCTTTCTCTGCTCTAGATTGCTTTCGGGCTCTAAGCGCGCTCGTGCCGCAACTGTGTTGCAGCGCGCATGGCGAGTGCACTTGGAAGACCGCCACTACCTTCGCCGCACTATAGCAAAGACCCTTGCTTCACAATGTGCGGCCGTTGTTCAGGCCAGAAATCAGCTTCTGTGGGCAAATAAGGTGATCGCAAGCTGGTGGAGACAGATCAAAGCACGAAAACAGGCAAGTGCCGCGCGGTCTCAGTCTTTGCCCAAGCCTGTTGGCAGACCCCTTGGCCGCTCGTGATATGAGATCTCCTTCCCTACATATTCAACTCGCCACCCGATGACGATCCCATTGGACTCAATTCGTGACATCATGATATTACGACAGCGTTGAAACATTCATTTTATTTCCCCTTTGCTTCTCTTTACGGAGTTCATTGATATGGATGGAGATTGGAGCGTTCATCTTTGGATTCGTTATTTGTTTTCTTGCTGCATAATACCCTTGTTGTATCAACATGTATGACCTGCCGTTCTTTTACTGAAATTTCGGTTTTCAACCCTTTTCTGGCAACACATCCTTTTCTGGCTACAAATCACCAAAGATTTCAAGTTTTGAAGCAACATTTATTGTTAATCAGAATGAAAGGATAAGTGACTTCGGGAACTTGTACCAACCATTGGAATTGTATGATTGCTACCTAGTAGTAGAAATTAAACAAAATTAAGGTTTTTTAACCTTGGCCACATGGTATTTCATTCAACAAGTATGTTAACCCGCAGCACTATTGAAACACAGCTTGACAACAATTCCGCTCATATGATGTTGTCTCTCGTATAGATATTTGTTGGTATCGTTCATATTTACCAGCCACCGCCGCCGTGCTGTGAAAGTATTAGCCATTATCCTTAAACCTATCAAATCAAGAGGAACGCATACTTGACCACCGTGGCCGCCGCCAGGACCGCCAGGACCTCCGTGACCACCGCCAGGACCACCAGGTCCTCCATGACCACCGCCGGGGCCGCCAGGGCCTCCTTGGGGACCGCCAAAGCCACCTTGACCTCCCTGGCCACCTTGGGGACCACCGAAGCCGCCGGGGCCACCAGGGCCACCGTGACCGCCCTCATGGTGACCGCCACCAGGACCTCCAGGGCCTCCCTGGGGACCACCAAAGCCACCTTGGCCTCCCTGGCCACCTTGGGGACCACCGTGACCACCCTCATGGTGACCGCCACCAGGACCTCCAGGGCCTCCTTGGGGACCGCCGGGGCCGCCAGGGCCACCGTGGTTGTTCTCTTCGTGGTGGTGATGGAAAAGACCCATTGTGATATGTGTGTAGGTTGGGTAGGTTTTGTAGGTTCGTGGGTATGTAGATAGGTAGAGAGTAGTTGGGATTGATGTAATGGAAGTTGTAGATGATAGCTACAAGAATGCGGGGTGTAGCTTGCTTAAATACAAGGGTTGCCAAGATACTAGGAATAGGTTCTGGGAGCTTCGAGGGGTACGTGGATGATCGTCATGGTCCTCTTTTCCAGAACCTACCCTACATCCTCCTCCATGGTGGCTCCCAGGGTGGCAAGTTGGTATGTGCCAAGCCACACTTATCACCGATTCAGAAGAAAAGGTGTGATGCCAAGCTCACCCAGCACAGCAGAGGTGAAATCCGAACTAACGAATACGGAGGAGACTACTGTATTCAGGCCGAACTCTCGGCGTTCGATCCAGGGCTATAACTTTTGCCCGCTAATCACCGATTGTCGATTGACTTTAGGGTTGGATCGTGGCAGTGTTTTCGGTCTCTACACTTCCCCTCGAACTACATCTTCCTACACAATGAAGTAATGAACAAATCTTTTCTCCGATGAAGCATTCATCTCTCAGAAACTATAATTCTCCGGTGTGCAATTGGCAATGCTAGTCCACGCAAGCGTGAATTGAGCAGCGAATCCGGCACAGCCCTACCCGCAAAATTAGCTTGGCAAGGCTCCACTCAACATCCAACGTGGCGTTGAATTACGCGTCCATTTGTACTGAGCCACTGAAGCTATCGAGACTGTATCGAGACTATTGATTTACTTGAGCTCGAGTGGACTATATTCCGGAACTTCCGGTTTTATGGGGAGGGAGAAATGCCATCAAAGTTATCTAAAATGCACTTAGTGTAAAATGGACCCTTAAAACTTCCATTGCGGCCTATTTTCAGTCTTTTCTAGTATGAACACTGAAGACTCTATTTGAAACAATGGAAAATTGTTTCCAAATGGTACCAGAAGAATGACGGGTCTATCAATGAGAATACGTGGAACATTGAACACATGCAATATCCCAGTCCACCCCTACTGCCATGTACTAGTTACTTGAAAGGATCAGACCATTTCTCCAAAGACAACCCCCCTCAATTTGTGTTTCTGATGTCACTGATCGACGATCGAGAAAACCAAATCACATGGAGATCATATGGTGGCGCTAAATCTACGAGCTTCCATGCCTATTAACTCAACTTACTCAAGTACCCAGTATGCGGGGCGATTCTTGCTGGGCAGTGTGAGAGTTGGAAATATCGATCAACAACTATAACATGGTTCCGGCCCCGAGGGCGTCATGTGGCTGTGCAGATGTCGTAATTTGTGTGCGTTGTTTGCGGGAACTGTTGCGATAGAATGAATATTCAAGATCTTGCGCTGTCTCGGCAATCTCATGTAGTTTCTCCGTAAAGCTTCCTGGTGTACCGTGTAGGCCGCCTACAGAGTGTTATCGATTTTGCGCAGGTGACCGTCTTTGGTGGATGATTCCCACCCTCGCCTCCTCTAAGCGCGGATGTCATGCTCTGGTCATATGAAGATGCCTTCTCTATGTAAACTAGGGAACTGACGTGGAATACAAGTTAGTAGTCACCTGACGAGCAGTCACCTGACGACAGCGGATGTTGTCGCGCCTGCGTCCTTGACAGCCAAGGGCGGAAGGAATGTAATTTGCTAGGGCACGCCGCGTCCTTAGCCAGACAACCTGCTACGTCGTTTTCTGAGTTGTGGCACTGTCCGGGTATCTTTTGGAGACAGAGCGCGATTCCCGCTGCTTAAACCTCTGTGGCCGCTTAGAGGATCGCGTGGATAACGCGTTGCCCCGATTTGTTACCTAGCATCATGCTACCTTCTCGAGTATTCACTCGGACAACGTCCTTGTTTATTTCAACAAAGCATTTATCTTCACCAAATGTTCCGCCGTCTAAGTTTCACGCTCTGTATCTAAGTCGACATTCTTTTTCTCGACAACAATATTCTCAGATATCTACCACTTTGCGCCAAGAGCCATTTTCATTGGGTACAGTGCTCAAGAGTGACTCCGGACAGACATTCAAAATTGAAGAAATCCTCGTTGATCGCAGAAAACCCCTGCTATGCGTATATCGTGCTTCGTAAGTGCTAAAATATGGCCACCCGTAGCATTGCTGCTAACTGAGATGGATGACGGAAAGTGCAGATAAGCTCGACTTTATTGCAAAAAACATGATACCGGGGGAGTTCGAATATCAACTGAATTTGCAGAAAAAATTGGCATCCTGTCAAAATGTGCGAACGCCAGTCGACACTATTCGGGATCTCGATTTGTTTATCTACCCCTTTCTTGCGGGAGATTTACTTGGTCTAGATCAGAGAATGCTGAATCGGGAAACAAGGATTCATATCCTCAGATCGGCTTTACACGGACTCGCTTATATGCACGATCAGGGAGTTCTTCATAATGGAAAGCCCAGAATCCCTTTAAGATCGAGTCTCTCACAATACTAACTCTTTTTTAATAGATATCAAGCCTAACAATATCTTGGTCGACTATGACGAGAGCACGGAGGGTCAGTTCATCGTCAAAACTGTTCAAATATCAGATCTCGAAGATACGGTCTTTGTCCCACCAGGCAAATGGCTAAGGGGTCCGTCCCCTTTGCGGTAATGCAATGTGGAGGAGCCCTGAAAGCTGGTGCCGATCTCGTCAGAACCAAGCCTCGGATATATTTTCTTTCGGGATTGTTGTACGTCTTGTCCTTCTTACTAATGCTTAGTCCCCACTGAATACCTGACAATGTCTTTAGATGATATACGTTATGCTCAATGAGATGGTATTTCGCGTAAGCGATTCCGAACTTACTGCGGCGGACTCTTGGCGCTACATTATTCAAAGACACGTATCATACTTTGCCGACGAAGAAGGTCTCAACGGTTTCCTGGAGCATATAGGAGAAGAAAATCCTTTTCATGAGCGTTTTATCTCCATCGCCAGCAACTTTACTTTGGATAGCCCAAGACAACCTTTCGAGTGTTGGGATTACGTGGATCATGATTTCAGGGATTTAATTTGCAAAATGACGAACTTAGACCCGACGAAAAGGATCACTGCAGCGCAGGCACTTCAGCACCGTTGGTTCACGCCGAGTTAAGAAAATCTGTGGTGGAACCTGGAACAGCCTCACTTACATGGTGTTCGATATTTGAGCTTTTGGATGCTCACCATGCTGTTCAACTAGACGTGATGGTCAGTGTCCCAGATAATTCAGAGTTGTCGAAGGGCAATCAATCTATGCCACGTTTTTGTGAACTTTCCTTGTTGCACGAAGCCAATAATCATCCAACGCTGCTTTTAGTGACTAGTTTACATTTTATGATGGGTGGCATCGGCTTTCATGTGGTCGCGAAGGGCTTGGAGAAAGAAATCAAGGGTTGTGGCACGGCCCATCTCACAGCAGTCGAGTAACATTTGAATTAAAATTTGCACTGAATAGAAACTACTAGTACCATCCGTTCAAATTTTGAATGTCCGATAACCCTGCCCTATTGCCCTGATATGAGGTTAGTGAGCACAAATAGTTATCAAGATGCAATCCAAGGATATACCGATTCATACAATTGTTCTCCCTTCCATAATAGTCGCCGCGGTCAACTCACTTCCACAAAATCACTGCCGTTCGAGCGATTTCTGCCACAGTTTTTTGGACACTTGGAAGTCTACGAGAACAAAATCGATCATTTGTCTACCTTGAACCAAGATCACGAGAGCCGATGAGAAAGCGCGGCATCAGCGGTCAGAGTCTTGATAAAAAAAAACTGGTATCGGCCGTGCCGACGATCACCGCTTTAGCACTAACCTTTCACTTCTTCTGAGTCCTGACACATGGTCAAGATTCGTCTAATCCCTTTTAAGCACACAATCCAAAATTGAGATCTGGCTTCTCGAAGTGAAAATGCGAAGCAGGCTCACTGAAGATGGTAAAAAATGTTATAACTTCTTAAATACTGGTATTGCTCCTTGGATCAATTTAGGATAATGATGATTTGACGACCGAGCGCCCACGGATAGGGAATGTAGTGGTGGACTTTATTCCAGATGTCCTTCCGAAGGAACGTTCTTAGGCATGATCTCTTCTTCGGGATCAGTATTAGCACCAAGTGAGCTGGAAGTGAGGAGTCTAATCAGTTAGCGTTTTTCTTTTAGCTGTGGCAGTTTCACATGGGACATTGACTTACATCACGTGTAGTGGGATCTCCAACCCGGTAGGAATCAATTCTTCTAGTCTTTTCATTTTTAGCACTTGACACTTCGAAGAATCTAAATTTTATACTCGTCAACCAGGGTGACGGGATTGAATCAATAGCAAGAACCCATCAACACAGCTTGAGTAGTATCGAATCTCCAGGACTTCTTGATCTCAGAGCTGGGGGGCTTCAATCACTCCCAGGTGCCTGGTCTGCAAGCCCATGGAATGGAAAAATGCTTGGTTGTCCCTTCTACCCCTTGCATGTTTACACCGCCGTCAATGGTCCTCGTAGGGCACCAGGAGCACATGCATATCACGCTTCCAGGCCGATGGTAGAGATTGAGTTCATCAGGAACTCAGAATGGTGATTTCCAAGAAAGTGTTGCAGTTGTGAGTTGGCAATGAACGTTACAGCGAGATACGAGTAAGACCTCGGGGAACATGCAAGGTTGGGGGCGATGATAAATCAGCGGTGAGCGATCTATCAACGCATGACAGCCTTAGATCTGGCATAAACCTACTGATAAGACGGGAAATGATTGTCCAATATGAGAAAAAGAAAGAGAGAACAAAAAAAATCATATATATCATTGATTGTTCTTCCTTTGCACACCAACAGTTGAAGCAGCATTATCTCGCGATGGCCTCTACACCTGAATCGATATCAGTCCTTGGCCTTGGAAACATGGGTGCTGCTCTTGCCTCTGTATTCCTTGACACGGGCCACCCGGTAACCGTTTGGAATAGAACAATCGAAAAGGCGCAACCGCTTGTTTCAAAAGGTGCCAAGGTGGCCAAAGATCCAGCCGATTGTGCGCAGTCTGGCACTCTCGTGCTAATCTGTCTGGTTTCAGATGAAGTTGTGCGAGATGTTTTCGACAAAATCTCGACCCTCCTTGGCCGTACTGTTATCAACTTTACAACGAGTCGGCCGCAATGGGAGATGGGGACCGCGGATATTGTGTCCAACAAACTCCGTGCTTCGGGGTATTTACACGGGTGGATCAACTCGTTTCCCTCGGAGGTAAAAGATCAACAGGCGACCATCACATACAGCGGACTGAAACCCGTGTTCACACAGCAGAAACACATTTTGCAGCTCCTTGGCAAGGCAGCGTGGCTGTCAGATGACCACAGGAAAATTTGCTTGCTGGAGAATGCTGCTCTTCTCATGTTTGCAGGAGTTTGCGCGGCATTTTTCCAATCCCTAGCTATGGCTGGAGCAGCAGGTGCCGACACGTTGGATTTCACACGACAGGTACTTCTGCCCCCGCTGCAAATGTTTCAACAGTTTTTGCCACAAATGGCCAAACGGGACCAAGACCAGTCCTACTCATTCACTGGCGACTCGGTATCTGTCGGCACAATGCTGGGGGTGGTTTCGAATGCGCGTGAGACGGCTGAGGTCTCTGGTGTATCTGCCCGTTTGCTAGAGGACTTTCATGCTCTTTTGAGGCAAGCGGAAGAGTCAGGAAAGGGGCTCGAAGATATTTCTGCTATGATTCGGATGCTAAGAGCAGGTGTCCACCAACGCTAGATACGTAATACAGTTTCGTTCTGATATAGTATCGATGCCTTCAAAGTTCTGTTATCTCACCTGCACTAGTTATGACTAAATAATTGAAGAACATTGATTGATTGATAGAACCGTATGTGGGATTGACGCCTACATAGACACGAGTCATCAGGTAGCTTGAGAGCAGTACATAAGCATGGTCATGATGAAAATCATAAGAAACAAAAAGCTGTCTCGTGCCAAGAATTCTTTTTTTCACGAACTGTGCGCTATTGATCTATCATTCCTTATCTTAATTCTCTGGCGACTTGGTGAAACCTAAATTCATTTTGAATGAGCAAAACTAGGCAGTAAAAGCATCAAATTACCCAAGCTGAGGTAGACGCAAAGTATCCCAAATTGCATCAAAATTCGCGTAGTCAAATCAAGAGTTGACAAGAATGTTTGTTCCAGCATTTCCATCCAGACAAGGCATAATCTCGCCATTGGCAGATATGAGCAAAGAAAAATTGTACTTCTGGAAAGGAGAACTTGGCTTCTTGAGTTGTGGTTGATCATATGTACGAGGCTTTGGGAGAGGAGGAAGCCAGATCGGAAACTTCAGTTTGAATTTCTCGTGTGGCTCCAAGGAGTCTGGAAATCCGGATAAATGCAAATCACTTCTCGGTTTGCGAGAAAAAATGACGAACATGTCTCTGTACGACGGCTGGTCCTTGTCCATCGCATATACCGGGGTCACACTATGCTTGAAACTGTTGTCCGTAAAGAGCAATGTGTCTAAAAAGTCACGGTGCTGATATCGGCCCTTGACCAGCTCCGTCTTGGTTTCGGAGTGTTGGACGCCCGTTGTCTCGTCCCGACCATGAACGAAAGTAATTCCGGAGTCAGGAGTAATGTTGGAAGATCCAAGCATCACAGTCATGGTATTGTCGGATCCATCTTGGTGCACGCCTTCCAAAGCCGGGTATCCCTGAATTTCTTTATCGGTGAATGTGTGCACGTTGAAGACCTCGGTAAGTACCGTGTCCTTATCGTAGTCCAGACCAGGACGAGCCAGTACGGGGACATCTTGAGTAATCCAGGTTTTGAAAACGATTAGAGCCTGAATGACGGTGTTGTTCTGGTGATTCTCGTCAAAGTCACCAAAATCACGAGGGACATCGGAGTCGTGTCGTTTGTAGTTCTCGACCGTTGTCAGGATAAAGGGCTGTCGTTGGAGGCGTTCGATGGTTCCAGCCCTGGTATCCACCGAGAACCTTCCGCTTCTCAAGGTTCGATAGTTCACCGTTGGGTCTGGGTCGAGATGATGGCTGACCATCTTGAGCTTTTCAAAATCTTCTTCTCTGGCTCCAATCCCCTTTAAGATGGGAATCAGACGTTCTCCTTCAATGAAGATACAGCCATCGCGTAGATAAGCCTGTCGCAATTGCATAGCCTTTGCCACAGATCGGAAGAACTCGGGCTTTTGCGCTTGTTGAAAGATGTCAAGGCAAGCATCAGCATTGCACGCTGGCGTGATGCCTTGATTCAAGTCCTTCTGAAGAAAAGGAAGGGAAGTAGAATCAGCGAACTCATTGGTTATCTGCTGAGCCATATTCTGTTTTTGTAGTGATAAAAACATGCCGTCCAGAGAGTAGCAATAGTCACAGTGCTTTCGGTGGAGAGATTTTGAAAAGATAAGTTAAAATTAATGGTTTGTCCTTTCAATCGATGTTGTTGATGTGTTGAGAAGCTCTCAGACGAAGGGAAAGACTACTTATATAGGGATCTAGTTCTTGACGTACCAGGCAATGGGTGTAACTATTGTACCAAGAGCACAATCAAGAGAACTGCTACTTGCCTTGCCTTGACGTCTTCGTACTCACCGACACTTGGTAGACAGGGCATTTACAAGGCAACGCAGGAGCTGCATACTAGACCCAGATGTCTACAGCTCAACCGGTCGTCTTTTCCAACAAACAGGTTATGCATACATAAAAAAGGTTCAATGTTGTCTTCTCCATTTCATGGTCTCACGTACATGTTGCATGAGACTGTGATCGGTATTGAGTTTGGTATTACATGTATATGATATATCATTTACTGGGAGGATCACCGGGACATGATACCCTTGCTTCAAATGTTTCGATTCTCGTCTCAACTCTATAGATCCTTGATCATTGATGCAATGCTGATATCCTGTACCCTTGCCGCTCGATGACTTCCGATAGAGTATATGTCACCACAATGATCGGCCTGAACCTGCAGATGTACGCAGTGAGCGAAGAGCAAGCAATACAGCGAGAAGAAATTCCTTGCTTTATCGAGACTGTCAGCTTTGACAGGTGAAAAATGCAGTGAACCTCATCTTGGAGGTGTGTGGTCCTATAGGAAAGTTCCTTGCGTTAACAGTGCATACTGCAGTATGTTATGTTGGACTACAGTATCGGCTCAACATGACTGTGGGGGGTTTTCAACCCTTTTGGTGATCCAAATGAGACCCACGATTATTTGCTTAGGTTATGTTAGGAATCAGTCAGTTAAGACCATGGTCATCTTGCAGACTGGTGTAATGAAACTGGTGTGGCTAGCCTTGCTAAACATACTACAATAGTAATTGATAGTACAGTAGCATAGTAAGAGTTGGGGCATAAACAAGCAAATTCTCAAAACTTCAACATGTCATAGAATCCTACAAGGAAGAACAAGCAAAAGAATGAATATGATTGATTTGGTTGTTCGAGGGAAGAGAGAAGGAAGAAGCGAGACAAGGCTGCAAACTGGAACTAAGAAGGAAGCACTGACAAACATGGTCATGTGATTCCGACAACATGTGCAAGTATTAAATGATTTTGTAGATCAAGAACAAACAATCACTGCTACGACCATAAAAACACCCCGATGCCTCATAAGCATCGGAAGTCACAAGATGGAGAGAAGGCCTATATAAACATTCTCTAGTCCACCTAGCCCTTTCAATCACCAACTTAAAGGGCCCTCCAACAATATGCTAAAAGACAAACCTAATCACATACACATTTTTGCCCAATACCACCTCCCCCCCCCCCCCCCCCGCGAACTCAGCATAAGCTCGACAAAAGTTAACACCTCTCATAACGACCACCACCGCTGTAGACTCTCGAGATATAATTACTAGTACCGGTTTCGTCGAACGTTTTGTAGCATATACCAACAAGAGCAGTTCATCTCCATCCCGAAAACAACAATGGTGGGCCAAAACACCAACCCGCCATTCCAGGCCAAAGGGCCTGTGTGGTGCATATGAGCGCCCGATCCCAACGCAAGCACTATCGGAGCAAGAAGATTGACCCATCCCATTAATTTGGGGAAAATCGGGTCGGCACTATTGTCGCCAAAGATTGCCCAAGCAATGGTCCAGAATTGGATCCAAAAGATTGGCCAAGTCAGGAGGAGGGACATCCACATGGCATCATTGAGCAATTGGACCAATTCAGCGCTGTAGTCACGAAAGCTCAACAGGGACATGAAGATGGCTGATATCATCCAGACCCAGACACCGGCTGTCGCACTGGCGAGCTGGAGATCTGCAACGGCTGGATTGAGGGCGGGGATGAGTCGAAGCTGACTGCTAATTGCAGTGGCGTAAGGGAGAAAGAGAGCCCCGGAGATGAAGAAAAAGATACTCGCAGCTTGAGTGCCTTTCCGATATGTCGTATAATGGGTCTTGACTGTTTCGGCATCCCACCATGGTCTTGTTGGAGGGATATTTCTTGAGGCAGCGAGACTGATGACGAGAATCACGGCCGAGAGACTGCCACAGATACTAAGACAGAGGAGCCATTTTTTGTTGGTGAGGCCCTTTCCGAACTTTCGATCATTGGCTGCGGTTGTGGTGGGAAGCATCTTGATACTAATCTAGTTGAATGATATAGTGATGTAATATATCGGAGTGCCTCATGGCTGGGCTTGACAAATCCTTTATAATTAAAATAAGCGGAAAGCATTCCAGGAGATGGCATCTATGGATTTCTCGTCACCGTCTTGTATGCATTAGTTGAAATGGTAAGCGCTTATTGGAGATCATTGCAAAAAAAAAGAATATGCATCGAACTAGGATCTAGCCGACATACGCCAAGATTCTATTCAATGTTGGTACGAGAACGATGAGCGGTATGGTTTTAGTTAGGAAACACGTAAGTTGTCGCCTTACCTCCCTGCTGAAGTTGGGGGGAGATATGGAACTTGTGACGGGTTTAGAGTTCCAGAGCACCTGAGAGGTGCATTAACCAATTCTATAGTTACTTACTAGTCCAGAATTAAATTATAGGGCACGATATGTTGATTCTGTGGCTGAGGCTTGAGTGAAATGAAAGCTTCAATGTTTCCCAGTACTGGCCATCCAAACACCAACAATTATGAACAGTCTCAAGATTCCCAAGTGGGTCAGATCAGGTGTTTGGAGAGTGGGAAAGTCAAATCAAGAATTCAGATTGGTGTAATATTCAAGCGATTGTTTTCAATATTAGTAGGCTGTACTCTGAGACCCTAGAATATCGGTGTGTACATATATGGTGCACATGTGTGTTCTGGAGTATGCTAGTGGGTGGATAACATTGAAGTAGTCTGTAGCCCGAAAACCCCAAAATTGTACTAGTTATAGTTCGAGATCTCCAGATCTCTGCAGACCGCGCTGTCCTAGTATGTGACATCACCTACCATGTATGCTTGTATGAAAATACGGTCAATCATATGTAGTTCGCCACGGAATCAATCAATTGGACATTCCAAGGTTGTTCCTTGATTCTGGAAGTGGAGAAGGTACAGACCTCGAGTACTTCTGTGGACAAGCTTTTCTACTGCTCGGCAGAAACCTCCGAATTTCATACTAGCGTTCTGACTCCTGCTGAATCCTGCATGTGCTGCGAGCCTGCTGGAATCTGGATTCTGGATCGTTCCTTGCTTCAAATGTTGACAAAAAGTGGGGCTCTAGATCTCGTAAACTTATAGTTATTATCGGCGTGCACATGTGGGCCTGGCCGATCAGCTTGAGCAATACGAAGTCGGAAAAGAGACGAATAGAAGCTATCTCAATTCTACCCTTGCTTCTATATACTTCCACTTTCTACTGGAATTAATGTTTAAAGGATTTTATTAAGGTTTCTATACGAGGCGCTATTCACACATGCATGATTTTGATTCATTTAATCTGGATTCCTGGAATATACAAGGTTTCGGGATCTACGTGAAAGTCTAGTCTTTGACTCTTTTCCCAAACACTGAAAGAGTAGGGAAGAAAATTCAAAGTGAACACCGATCAAGATGGTTGAAAAGAGAGAGAATTACACTCGGATAAATCATAAGCTGTGTAATGTAAAATACATAGTGCTGGCCTAAGGCTGCCAGGCTGAACCGAATATGGGTCACGTGGTACCACTTGGGGTCACCTGACGTTGCTTTCTATCTTTTTGGGAGAATCAGCTATGGGTCACGTGTACAATCCCTCAGGGGCCTAAGGCTCAGCCTCAGGCCCTCAGAGGCTCAGATAGCCTCACTTCGTTCAACTATTATGGAATTAAGTGGTAAGATTCGCATTGCATTCATGTCAAATGTTAACTGATATTGGTATTGATAGGATCTTGATGATACCTCGCTCTAGTTACATTCTTGTGGCAATTTGGATGGATAGAATTCAGCAACGCGGAAATAGATTCAGGAAGATAATCCGAGAATAGGGGGATTTTCACTCCTTGATTGAATAGTAGCGAGTGGCTATCTCGTTACTGCCATCAACTAGGATGACGAGAATACATAGTAGTGAATGCACCTAGTACTCTCACTCGCTCCACAAGCAACCGCGCTCGTTTGCGCTTAAATCTTGACAAGCACTTCCTGCTTCTGCCTTGCTGAATCGTTGCATGTCAACGTTGTGATCAAGAACAGTTGGTTGTCCTTCTTCACAAAGTCGATGAATACTCGAAACTTTTCTCCTCTAAAGACGGGATAGTTGCAAAGAGAAAGGTCATAAAGCATGCTTGCTCCGTTGGTCCCTCTCTCAACAAAGAATTTTCCACTGTAGGAACAAGTTCTCCTTGCTGATTCGGCGAGTTCGGTTGTCCCTGCAGTCCAGGGCTCATCCCCTCCAAATGGAGCCTGTCCCGGAATCTCAACGACGCCATTAAAATACCCATCCGGGGTAAAAATGACTTGCCCGTCCAAAGCGGTTCCCCATGGATGAATCTTTTGGTTGCGATCCGATTTATCGATCAGGCTGAACTCCAAAATCTTCCAAACCCCGACAAGGTTGTCACGAATGGGTTTGGCGAGCTGGTCGGCTCTTTCCGGATCGATACCGATGCTTGGACCACCATAGATGCTCTTCTCGTCGTTTGCCTGATCTGGGCCGGCTAGCTCACGAGGGCCCACCTCTGCCTGGAACAAGGATCTGAAATGCCTATCGATATCCTCGGGGCTCCCGAAGTTTTCCGAAACGAGTGCCGTTGCTTCTTTCCTAACCGCCTCCAAAAGACGGCTTCGGAGAAGCTCCAACGATTTATCAGCAACGCGCGTGGTTGCCATGATAGCTCAGGTGGTGAAGACAACGTAAAAGCTCGTCAAGATATCGGAAATCGTGCTCAAAAGCCGGCCGTCCGTGTGAAATCTTCGAAAGAAGAGGGATATGAAATGAGATCTGAGGCAATGTGTAATTGATCGAACCGTAGGTAGCCCCTTCTTATAGACTGAATTCATATCCCAACAAGAAATCAGTCCTAAAATCCTTCAAAATTCAAGTATATGTTAGTACACTTACACGTCGTAGGACCGTGCGCTTCAATGTTCATATAGTGGCGCAGCTCACTTGCATGCACATGTGTGCAGGATTCTGGATTCTTTCACTGAATTTATGCAATAATTATCTGCATGCATAAAAGTGGGCACGGATTCTAAGGTTTGAGTTAGCAACATTGAAGTAAGGTCTTTTGGTTTTGTGGGTTTTGCATGGCCCAGATCTGTGCAGAATTGAGATGTACGATCGTCCTATCGTCCTATCGTGACCACATGATGTATTCACCGATCTTCATGCACACCTGACTTATTTACCGATCTTCATGTATTCAAATGTTACCGTAGTATGTATTTGACATTTTTCTAGATATCAGGATGGTGAGCACGACATTCTCATTGTTGAAAAATTATGGATGCAGTAATATTAGCTTTGTTTTCATCAATTGATGTTGGGAAACTAAGACCTCAAGATGTCACCTTGTAGATATAGCGAGCACTTGAGACATCTGGATACATATACATAATCATGACGCAGGGATAGGTTCAAATGAACATTTGAATGTTTGTTGGTCCTTCCACTACGAGTTTGAGTGCATTGATTAAGCACTTCACTTACTAAGACCAATGCTTTGAATAGTAATTGAGGTATTCTCGTTTCAATGTTCCCTCACCTTTCAATGTTATGATGTATGTAACTCAGGCATGCAGAAACCAAAGCAAGTGCTCCCTAACTCGGATTTTAAACCCTGACCGATATACCGCTTCGTAGGCGAGATGGAGCAGTTCTTAGAACATGCTAGTTGAATGTCCAAAGGACTGACCTCGTATCTGCGAGGGGATGTTCTGACCCGCCAGAGATTGATACATGCAGATGGTCATATGCCTTTCCTGTTTTTTTTTTCCGAAGAAACAAAAGAGCGGATCATGCTCTCCCTCTGTTAGCCGCTCCGTCTGTCGGGCCTTCATGACGCAGCTCGTGCCAAGAGAGTCGAGCCCACTTACCCATCTGTCTCTGCATTGACAACATGTAGGCGGATTTTCAGGACTGGGGCGTTGGATCCCTCACTTGACCTGGGCGTGGGCCTTGGGACGGGCTGAGATGTAAACTTTATTTGAAGTTGAAGGTAATGCTATGCGTCAAGGGCAGGAATCTAGTCCACGTGAATAGAGAGGAGCGGTCTGTATTTTGGAATCAGTGACGACAGAGAGGCATCGCTCATGCAAATATCGTATTCAACAAGGCCAAGGCTTCTGTGGATGATCTGTATGCGTCAATCTCTGACACCCTTTATGCAGGGTTGCATCTCATTTATCACACCCGAAGAGGGGTATAGCAGGTAGCTAAAGTGTCTCATAAAGATGTTCTCTCCAGGCATAAATACAGAAGCTTGGATGTGCTCCTGCCACTCTTGAAAAGTCTCACTTGAATGATCATGATGCGTACTTACCCCCCAATATCGATTAGACAGGATTCACCTGAATGTTCGGACAACCTGGGAAGAAAGAATTCATCATTGGATGTTCTTTCCGCGGGTCCTATCTCTGTGCTTCTCCCGTTACCGTCCTTGAGAGCAGAAACTGCAATTTTATCTGCCTGGACAGTGCTGTTGAACGGTTATTACAGTCAGAATCCAGTCTCATTCCTGATACTCGGCAGGCCAGGGAATCATGGGTCGCCTCATGAGTCTGGCAAGTTGGAGTCAATTTGCGTTGATCTTCAGCCAGACTGGAACGCGGTGGATCTGCAAAAGGCTCTACACCAACGCGCCGAAAGCCCTTCTGCCCCGGACCAAGAAATTAATGATAATTCGGACCGTTACGCCGTTTGGCTCGCGAATGAGGAGGACATACCGGCGGATGAGGGTCGAAAGGAAACATGTGGCCTGGAAAAGGCGTCTGAGGTAAGTCCATGTTCAAGAGGGGCCAAGAGCCAGTGCTGACCTTACCAGATTTGCCTTTTGCTGGTAGCTAAGCGGACCGGAGATGACAGTGTCATCCTCAATTTGTATTCCCGTCGCGCCAGGCCGTGTCATTTCGAATTATCCAATCTTCTGGATAGTTTGCGAAAGGTCTTGGACTCAGTGGTCTACTATCCTTTTCAGATGGTCAAAGATATTGAGGTCATCAGCAACTACGATCGCTTGCGCCTTCGCGGGTGGATGAAGGTCGATCCACCAAAACCCGCAACCACCGTTCATGGTCTCGTGAACCGGCACTATCGAGAAAAACCAGCGCATATTGCGATATCTAGCACTTCAGGAGACGTGACATACGAGGAACTGGGGAAGCGATCTGCTGCGATGGCGTTCCAACTCCGCAGTCTAGGAGTTGGGGCGGGAGTTATTGTCGGGTTCTGCGTGGAAAAGTCCGCATTATCGCTCATCATGCTGCTAGCCATTTTGCGAGCGGGTGCAGGTTATGTCCCCATCGCCACTTCCAATCCCGTGGATCGCATGGAATACATCATGCGGAGGGCTGGAATTCAGGTGCTGGTGACGGAAAGCGCCATCCTCGAGAGATTAAAAGACCACAATAGCTTCCATGAAGTTCGAACGATAACACCCTCATCTCTGGAGAAGGTGGAAGTCCTGGTCGATGGATGGACTCGAGAGCTTGATTTGGACCCTTCCCATGTGGTTTATATAATGTTCACGTCCGGCAGCACAGGGCAGCCAAAAGGGGTTGTGCATCAGCACGGTGCCGTGTCTGGAGCATTGGAGGCCGTTAGCCAGACATTTGGACTGGACCCCTCCACAAAGTTCCTGCAATTCGCCTCATTCTCTTTTGATGCTAGCATATGTGAGCTATTCGCACCGTGGGTTGCCGGAGGGACTGTTTGCATACCCTCCGAGGAGGAGCGCATTGGAGACCTTGAGGGGTTTATGCATAAACTCAACGTGACCGATGCGTCTTTGACTCCTGCCATTGTGAAGACATTAAGACCAGAATGCATACCAACATTGAGGAACCTGTACATTGGGGGTGAGGCACCCACCGCAGCCATCTTGAGCACCTGGGCCGAGAGTGTCAGACTGAGCAATATCTATGGACTCACCGAAGGTGGGGTCTGGGATACTGTCCAGTTCAATCTCAGGTCTAATGACAATCCCAAAGCAATCGGGCGCGGTATTGGTGCAAGATGTTGGATCGTGAATCCAGACAATATTCACAGATTGCAACCAATTGGAGTTGAAGGCGAGGTTCTGCTTCAGAGCCCTTATCTCGCGCATAGATGCCTGGAGGATACCGCACAGAGCAGCAACGCTTTCATTTCGCTACCGGAATCACTTTCGACCATCACTGAGCCATTTCACGCGCGTTGTTACCGAACCGGAGATTTAGCTCTCTGGCAGCCTGACGGGAAAATGATCTTCACTGGTCGTCGGGCCGGGTTCGTCAAAATTTGTGGGCAGCGTGTCGAACTTGGCGAAATTGAAAAGGCCATGCAAGACTGCCTTCCCGGTGGTGAACAGGCTGCAGTAATTCTGACCAAGGACGAAGAAGGGGAAAAAAGCCCGGAGCTGGTGGCTTTTGTGGAACAAAAGGATGGAGGAAATCGATCCTTAGCAGACCAGATGAGCGCAGACCTACAAAAGATTTTGCCATCATACATGGTCCCCAGCGCCTTCGTACCTGTCAAATCCATGCCGCTGACTGACTCCAAGAAGATCCACCGGCAACAGTTGATTGCAGATTGGGCGGCGATGACACTATCCGAGACTATAGCGCTTCGGCCTGGGGGCACCCTGAGCCATACATGGCCCCGTATTGATCCTGCTAATTTGTGGGCGATTCAACTCAGCGAAATTATTGCAGACCTTGTTGAAACAAGACAGCCATCGGCTGGGGAAGGCCTACGCGGCTGGGACTTCCCTTTGACCAGCGTTGGTTTGGATTCTATTCAAACTGCATATCTTTCTCGGGAGATCCGCCGGCGTTTCGGAGGGGCCACTCGAATTCAGGACCTGCAGCAGCCTGGGATCACAGTGTGTCAGATTTATCAGCAACATTCAGAGCGTGCGGGTGACAGATTGGATGGCTGGCCAGATACCAGCACCTCAAGAAATCTCCTTGATGAATTAGATTTGATCAAGGTTCCTGTACCTACCCTCCCGAAAAAAACAAAGAGAGTATTTGCAACATCAGTGACTGGATTTCTCGGCACCCAGTTGCTTCGGGCGTTGCTGGAGGATCCCAGTGTGGGCCACATTGTCGGCCTAGTGCGTTCAAGTAGTGAAGAGGATGCCCGAGATAAGATACGAGCCCATGCTCAGCTTAGTCAGTGGTGGTGTGATGAATTTGACTCTCGAATCGAAGTTTGGCTTGGGGATTTGAGTCTTCCAAGGCTCGGGCTTGACGATGCGCATTGGACGGACCTCACGGGTCGGATGCGCATCGATGGAATCATCCACAACGGTGCCCGAGTCAACTGGCTTGATGATTTCTCGACGCTGAAGCCCACAAATGTTGACAGCACTCGCACTCTCCTAGAGGCCCTATCCAATATGCCAACACCGTGTCCATTCACATACGTGTCCGGGGGGTATCTTCCATCGCCAACAGAAACTCGAGAGCAAGTTTTGAACAATCTCGCTCACGCATGTGGATACGATCAAACCAAGTATCTGTCACGGATGATGGTGGAGGAATACAATCGCCAGCTCGATCAAGGGTCGAATGCATCAGTCCCGCGGGGACGAGTGGTACAACCGGGATATCTGGCTGGCACAAGATGGGAAGGAATTGCCCATACCGAAGACTTCCTGTGGCGCCTGGCTTACAGTATTCTGTCTCTTGGATCTGTGAGCGAAGATCTGCGGAAATCACATATTCCAGTGGCAGGTGTTGAACAGATCACTTCCCTTGTGGTGAACAGTGTTCTGGATCCGCAGAGCAAAGAAGCAGTGAATTGCCACGATGGGGTGCTGATTGATACCCTGTGCAGGACTCTCAGCAGCTGCAGTGGTCGAACTATCAAGACCATGGACCACAGCAAGTGGATGACAGCGTTGAGGGCCGACGTCGAGACCAATGCCTTGGACCACCCTTTCTTACCCGTGATGGATTGGTTTGAAGCAAATATGGGGCAGTTCACGGGCCCTCCTCCAGTGAAGTGCTCCAATGCACTGAGTCAAAGAGACACAATTGCGGCGCTGGATAAAAGCACACGGTACTTGATTGATATAGGCTTCCTTCCGAGCGAAGATGGCAGTCGCCGGCCCGTTGAACAGAGCAATATCACTCGGTTTGTACGATCCAGCAAGTAAGACATTGGGGGTATGATAGCGCAACCGATATTCCTAAAAAAAAAAAAAAAAGTAGCAGTGTTCAATGTTCAATTTTCGTGTAATGAATTGTTGCAGATGGAGAGTTCAAACTTGAGATGGAGTAAATAGATCCGCCATGTGACGGGCCAATGGGAATTTCCCGTCCCAACCCATTCTGCCGCCTGATCACTCTGTCCCTGATCAGTCAGCATGGATGGCGACTCACGTGACGGTAGAGGAACGGTTGGTTCCTGCTGTGACGGAATGAAGAAGGCGGTCGATCCGGGCAGAATTACCGTTTCTTGTTGTTCTTCTTAGTTCTTAGTATATACGGAACTTTTCCCCTCGTCAAGCATCAATTGATCTGTTACCGAACTCAACTATGACCCATATTCATTCCTTCTATCAATAAATCCTTGTTTTCTATCTCTCCCGTATCGAGTTCATTCATTCCCATCTCTTTCCTGACGCCATTCAATTTCCAACTCAAATGCACCATGGTCTTTATTTCAACAATTTCTTCACAAAACAACTTGTTTATTTCTTGATAATTCATAGCTAAAATGTAAGATGCCATTTGATTGTTCTTTCGTGAAGTGCAGGTAACACTGTCTCAAAGTCAAGGAAAGGAAAACGCATAGAGGGTTTCCCATTTGGGAAAGATTCTTGTTTTTCCTCGTGGGATAAACAGATAAATAGTACTTTCATTTTCTTTTTTTCTCTTTCTCTTCCCTCTTCCCTCTCTCAAGTTTCTTTGCCTCTATTCTCTCCCCAGGGCCTCGATTGAAAAATCCATAAGTCAAGCATGCCTTCATCTAGCATGTCACCTGGCGTAACATTGTTCACCCTCGAGCAGGTGTTGACATTGGCTTCCACTATGCCCTTGAATAAACAAACACTGGCCATTGCCATTCCCCAAGGGTGAGTCCTGTTTCTTCTTTATGATTTTCTTGACGAAGCTAGTCTTACCTTCTTCCCCTTCTCCTCCTACTTTATTTCTTGTCCATGAATCCCCAATCCCCTGTCTCCACCTTTCCTCCCTCTCCCCCCTCCCCCCTCCCCCCTTCCTTCTACCTTCTTTTCTCTGTCTCTTTACCCACATCAGGCTCTTCCGTGTCAAGCTACTCCCTTTGTTCACCCTCTTCATATTCCTTCCAGTGCCATTCCTTCCATCTTCTCTTTCCTATTTTCCTTTGATGTCCAAATATTTACGCCCACGTTTCCTCATTTCTTTTCCACTTTCTCTACTTCATATCCACTATTGCCCTTCTATAACCAGCCCAAATTTCTGCCTGTCCATTATCATACAAGAATGTCTCAATTGGACTTGGGTTACGAACCATCCACTCTTATCTTGATACTGTCTAATCCTGCAAGCATCATATATGTATGACTAACAAAGATCACGATTTGTTTACAACACATGTTAACGTTTTTTAGTCCATTGACTTGATTTTGCCATTTGGTGTCTCTATTCAATTGAGCCAATGCTCCAATTTTGTGCTTGATACTCTGCAACAATCTGCCAACCTGGCCCACATGCATGAAATCAAATTTGTCCAAAGTCATCTCTCTGCTTTTGATGATGAATGATTCATGGGCACTCGTTGATCAACAATCAATTTTCTCTTCTCGAGAAAGCAAAAGAAAAAGAGATTCAACTAGGAAGACAAAAGCCTGCTCCTTACTATCTTCACAATATCTGGTCAATGGCGAAGAACGGCATGCAGCGTGGAGGCACAATCTGCTGGGCCATTGATCCTAGCGATGAAGAAGCATCGAGTATCCACTTTCCAGTCACGCTGACAATCGATGCTGGATAAAAATATGGTTCATAAGAAACGGTTCAATCTTGACATGTTCTTCCTTGCAACGATAATCTTCAACATGTTGATTACTTTGATATTTGGATCATCCAACTCCCACGCATTGTCAAACTGAAAATAATTCAACGCGAATACCTCGCAATCTGCGCGATACTGGCCACGAACACATGGTAAGTTGCCTCGGCCTTTGATATAAGATTTCCTCCTTGAACCCATTTTACTAACCTCATATAATTATAAGTATTTGTTTGGATATCACCATTCTCACATATTTCCAATGCGTCCTCATCCACGGCACAGATTTAACCTGGCTTTTGAACCTTCTGATTGTCCGCCCAAACATCGAACCGGCGTTGGCAATCGTCTCTGCGTGTTTAAACTACCTCGAACCACCTGCCAGACTCTCAATTCGAAGTGCACTGGGCAGCTGGGGTTCTTGAAGGGCAATCATGACAAAACCTCAGAAAAAGACCAATGTCAGGGTGGACTAGGAATGGGCTCCCGTGGTTTTTCCAGACCAGAAACCTGATGTTGAATTATTGGTTGGAACGAATGAAGGACACACATGATTATGAGATTCAGTCCAATTCTGTTTATTCTATGTACTTCGCATGCACCCCCTCTAAATTTGGGGTGGTTGATGATCAAAAGATGTCACATACTAGGCTCAACGCCTGACTGACCAAAGATTTGTACATCCGAAATTAGATACAAAGACATATTAGTTAGTGGCTTTGCTTGATTCTTCTTGTTGAACGAGACGAATTTCATCCAAAAGCTCCCGCCCACCAGCATCCTCCAGCTGTTTTGCAAGCAATTCTCCAAGCGCCTCCGCTTCACTATCGCTAGTCACATTTGCGACGGCGTGTTCCGAAATCTGGCTCAAGCCATGAGGGTGAATAATCGTACCTTCAAGTTGCAAACGACCCCCAGGAGAAACTGGACTATCCCCTTTCTCGATTGTGGAGTTAACAGCCACTGGGGACGAGCATCCTCCCTGGAGAGTACGGAGCAATGACCGCTCTGCCAGACAGATCCACCGCGTAAGGGGATCCTCAATGGCTTGCACGATACTCAAAGTTTGAGTATCATTCTCACGGATCTCAATTCCTAAAGCCCCTTGTCCAATGGCGTAGGGGAATTGAGATGGATGCAGATGTTTCGTAATGCGACTAGTCATATTAATCCGGTTTAAGCCAGCGGTTGCAATGATGATCGCAGAAAAAGGGCCCTCGGGATCATCAAGTTTTCGCAATCGAGTATCACTGAGGAAGTCAGTCTATACCATCCACTTTGATGCTCTCATGAGAGGACATATGCTGTTAAGGGAGTAAAGGAGGATATTAGCCTTACATATTGCCTCGACACTCCTGTACTTCCAGATGAGGGTATTTGTATCTGAGGAGTGCCTTTCGACGGGTAGAGCTGGTACCAATCACCGACCCTGCAGGCAGTTGGTCGAGGTCGGTATACTGTTCCCGCAGACTCGCCTTGACAACGAATGCGTCAGTGGGATCCTCGCGGTGAATGATTGCGCCTAGAGCACATTCGCTCGGTAGACGGGTTGGCATGTCCTTCAGGCAATGCACGAGCAAGTCCAACTCGCCGGCGCAGAGCTTGGTCTCCATCTCCTCTGTCCAGATATTTTTGGCTGCGTCGGAGGGTCCTCCGAACTTGAGGAACGGGCTTGTTTTGTCCACGTCCCCGCTGACAGAGATGGTTTGCCATGGGAATTGGATTTGGGGGTGGGCGCTAGATAAGGCTTTAGAGACTCGCTCAGCTTGGACTAGTGCCAATTTGGAATTGCGGGTTCCGATCGTGAGCTTTGAGGCATGTGTAGCATTTTCTGTCATGATTGAGGTGCTGGCGTTGGATATGCCGAGTTAAAGTGCTTGTAATCTTGTGGTGGTCACTGGTGGGGGTGTGGTGGGAAAAGAGGTGTCGACATCTGGATGGCGTTAGATCTTCGGTTAGATCTCGGCGTAAGCATCTGATTTGTTCAGATAATAAGGCTGAAACTATGCGCACGTTCTGCCATTATCAGATCAGTATTCTGGATCTTGGAATGTTATTCGATCGAAGGGTTAATCCGATTTTCAGTTGGAAGAATGAAGGGATATAGTTCATAGAAGGTTTTGCCGGAACATGCACATGTGCGTGTCTACGATAGCCTACTACCTACACGTGGCGTTGAATACTCCCTTCATCCGCACATGTTTCCCACATTCTTGGTCAACATATTTGGCTTTCCCCTACCTACAGTAGTGTTCTCTGGATTTGGAATTCCCTCAAGTGTGAATTACCGAGGTCACTGGCCTGGACGGCAGCAGTATGATTACGACGACTGTGGAGGGCTACATAAAAGGTTCAGCCACTTACTCCAATGAAATGAAAAAGACGATACCTTGCCCTAACCGATATCACCAGGACGGTCATACTGCATATTGTACACGTGAATCTACATCCACATGTGCAATGAGTCAGGGGCGATGCGGCTCGCGATGATTTCCCAGGAAAGGAGCCACTCTCGTCTCTACAGCAAGTCAATGAGGGCTGTGCTCATCAACCCTTCCAAGTAATAACCCAGACGAGCATCATATCAGACGAGCACCAACTCAGACATACTCTTACGCAATGTCAGGGTGTCTGACGCCATCTTCGACGACCCTTTGCAGACATGGTCCAAGTGAAGTACAACGCATATGCGAAATGAACCTATCCTATCGCTAGGTTGCTCAAATCCCCATGGTCGGATTGCCCACATCCGAGCAAGATTATCGGGGTAGCAATGGTCATCTTTCAATTCGCGACCGGACAAGCCAATGTTTATTCTGCGTCACTGCGTGGCGTGGGAAAAGACGCTCAGTCGATGCGGTTCCTGATCAGGAAGACGAGAGGGAATCTCCAAGGGTCACTGGGGACATAAGAAAGCGGAAAGCAGCGGTGAGATGAGGTTGAGGTCCTAAAAGTATAGATTCAATAATCATTAGATCTATAGATTAAGTGTGACATCACCAGAGAAGGTTAGCTACGACTCCCTGCATATTCTGTGACTAAATCCCTCAGCATTGAATTGTTTCCCCAGACCGCTGCAACGTATCTGAGCCCTACAGGTTGCACTGGGAAGTATAGATGTCATCCAAGAAGGCCCCAACTCACCAAGGATATGGCAGGTAGGCCAGACGAATCAGAAGGCGACGAGGAACCGTTAGCTAGAACCAATGGACCAACACCGGATTCAGTATCCCGCAGACCTACACATGCGCATTAGTCATTCGACCTTGTAATTATCACCGAACCAACCATTAATAGCTATCGACTATTATGTAGATACAGAGATCCGCAAAGAGCATCCGATAACCAAATAAAGTAAAGCCTCCGTATATTTCCAGCCAACAACACCTTTGGCCCCACTGGTGGCCACTTCGCGACAGATCGGAAATGATATCACCCATGATATCACGGGCCTTTATACACGCCACCACCGCCTTTACTGCCATTCAATTCCGAAATCCGTTTGTCATGAGATTAATAATAAATCAGGTGATGGGCGATTGCGATGGCAACAACCATGTCCCACGGATAGATGTAGTACGTAGTCTACGCAGAGACTATACTGACTAATATTTCAGAAATCATTCAGAATCTCAGATGACTATTCCACACAAATGACTTTGGCGCACTTCCCACCACGGTTTACATATGACGATGATCAATCATCACCCCCAGTTCTGTGATGATCCTGAATATCATGCCCCCGGCCTTATCCGAGGTTTATTTGTGTGTGTACGCGTATTATTTGTTCAAATGCTAGTGTTGTTGTGCTGCTGCGGGGATGCGATGTTGTTATTGGTAACTGGTTGCCGTCCGGGTGACCGGGGGCTGCGGGCCAACCATGTTTTTGTCCCTTTTGTCGATCGATAAATTGACGATCTCAAGTACCGGGTTTGGGGACTAATGCTGAGAGATGTTCATGTTTCAAAGGGCCAAAACACACTTTTGATTTGACATTGGAGGAAGGTGTTAGAATTGTTGGTACTGGTTACATATCTGATACGTTCGTGTTATTTTACATGTTTGTTCGGTATTTCGGGTATCAAAAATCCAACTTTTTCTTGTAAATCGTTCCTTGAAATCTTGTATTCGGGTTGATTGTGCCGAATGTATATGATGTATCCATGGATGCGGTTAGTACAGATCTGGACTATGAAGAGTCGATGCAGGGGCTATGTGGTATATCCCGTACAGTGTAGCTATTATACTACGACCCTGTAGTATCTTTGGCTACCGGGCGCAGGAAGCTTCCAAGTTTGGAAATCGGCAGCTCCATGTTATGCTCCAGAACTGGAAGGTTTGTCTATACCTACTGGGAGGCCTCATCCACATTAAAGGATGACTAGGTAGGCAACACCAAACCCGTACACAAGGCCACCATAATTGGTGCGATAACCCACAGTACGATGCAGGGGACGTAAACACCGGGCGCAGCAACCATAAGCACCCGCGATCCTGATACCCAACACCAACATACCGAGGGCCAAAAAAGGCGAAATCACCCTCATCCAAGACAACAGCTGCAGTGGCCCGTATCGCGCGATAAGCACGGTCGATCCAGTGTGTGTAACTACTAACTAGGACATACTGTACGGAGTATGTAGGTCATCAAAGATCTAGAGGCGGTAAGCATCAGCAGCCAACAACAACATTAACCCGACCGCAAGCATTGCTCGATCGGTCCGTACCGAGTCCCAAGGCCAAGACCAAGACCTGTAGCCGGTCGATCCCGAAGGCCGAAATAGTATCATCACACCTCCTTCCACTGCAAGGAAAAAAGCTTCACAGAATCCATCATCCGCCCCTCTGTTACCATTTCGCCGGAGTTGTGTAACCTCTTGGCGCCAACCCCGGTTCCCAATAGTAGTCCTCCTAGTTTCAATGCTCGCCAAGACTCCTTCCTTCCTGCGCGCAGGCTGAGTTAGATCGCCATGATCGCCCTTGGCGCAGCAGCATTTGAAATCACACTGCCGAGCCTCAGGCGCAGTCGCAGTTGTGGTGGTGGATGGGGAAATGGTGATGATGAACGGAGTATATGGAGGACTGGGTTGAGGTATGGCTTGGCGCCGAGAGGGTGATCTTTATTTCTTTTGAAACGTATGTCCACAATGGGTAATTGGCATTGTTATTGAGATTGGCGTTGGTATTGGCGTTGGTCGTTTGGGCATTGCCCCTAAAAAAAAAAGCCGAGATGTGCTCTGTATTGTTTCTCCAGATTCCAGAAATAGAAAATAGTACTCCGTAATAGGAGAGGAGACGATGTGGAGGAATCAAGGGGGAAGCCAAGAACTGGTGTTCGTCCACTTTCTTGACCCCAGAATATTTTTGTGGAGCTGAAGCATCAGTGTTGTTACTCCCCCCTTGTTCTTTTGATTTGTTTTGATTTGGGGTTGGGGGATCTGACACCTCCCATGGAGTTGTTGCATCGGGCGTATTTCGAAGCCTGGTCTGTTTTGGATGTGCAAGGCTTGGCAGTCAGGATTGTTGTTCTTGTGCCAAGAAAGAGTCTGCCAAGGGGGAAAAAAAGATGTTGTCCTTCTCTCCTGACTTTTGGTTTGATTATGGTCCTGTGTGATTTCAATGTTTGAATCATGCACGTTATTGTTCTTGGCAGATTAATGCGGAATGATCGTGAAGGTGCAACTTGGGTATTTCTTGAAATGATTGTTATTTTTGCTTTTTTTTTTTTTCGCTGACCGTGATCCGTACGCAATACAGAATATTGAAAATACCCAACATACTCTGTACACTCTGTAAGATACTAGTCGAGGTCAGAGAGTTCGCCTGGAAGATTCCAAAGTTTGGGCTTACTGTATGTAAGCTGTACCTACAGCGTAGATCAGGTATCTACTCCCGAGTTCACTGTAGGTACCGTTCGCCGCTCGCCACAGGATTACTGTGGCAATGGTGAAGGCAACTATGTATCTGAGATGATGCCTGTAATTCTTGTTTTCTCTTTCTCTTCTGCATGTGGGATTACTTGATTCCTGTTGGGCGAATGACTCAACAATAATCCAATAATAGACTTGAGTCTTGGTATACTGTAACGATGGAAAATTGTTAGCTTATGGTTACTGCAGCGCTGAGAAACGGGAAATTTCATCCCGTCTTCTCGGGGAAGCACAAAGGTATGACCAAGACAAAAGTACGATTGAATGTGGTTTTACTCATTTACTCCTCACGAAGTAAACGAGTGCAGTTGGGGTAAGATGAACTATTGGAGAATTAAGGAGAATCCAGTGGATAAGGGGAAAGATAAGGGCGATTTGATTAGCAAATGGAGCAAATCGTGCCAAATGTACAGTACAAAAGTCCAACAATAAGAAAATCCTCCTTAATCCTCCCCCAAAAGAGCACCAACAAGCGAGACAACCGCCTGTCAAATGATGAAACGTATGTCAATCCCCTTGGAAAATCGATCAACGTCCACCAACGGAGATCGAGTGAGATCCAACTGGCGAGGAGTTTAACCGGATCCGGCGTTCGTCGCATCGCAAGTGGAGAGGCGGTTAAAATGCCTCATACTTAGAGAAACGCCAACCCATGCACGACTATAACTAGACTATGACTACTGTACCTTAGCTTCTGCCAAATCAACCGCACGATCCCTAATACGTTCCAAGCTCGACTCCACTTCCCCGGTTGATGCTGCCGGTCAACAGTTGCCTTGTTCACCTGTGCAGCCTGCATTGCAGTTACTTAGAGTACTTCGTACCCTTGTTCCCCTCCAATTTGGCTCGCAGGATCGCGGACATCGTGCCGCTCGTGCCAGTCTCACAGTAGCGCCAGCCTCCACCTGCACTGTTCACACCTTATTGCACTATACACGGGTTTTAGTCTGTGTTGCGGATCCCCGAGGACGGCTTGTCGTCGACTTCATCAAATCCGTCGAATTAGTCGGATCCCCATGGTTTGACGTTGTGGATTTGTGCCCCGTTTCTGGTGCCACGAGAGCAACGACTGGGGCAAATGGTGAAGTCCACGATTTTGTTGTTGTGGGGGCTGATTAGGGACTCCGTTTAGTTCCCGGTGCTGTTTTTTTTTTTGTCTCGCTTGGCTCCCTACTTTTCCCGTTAGTGGCCTTTTGTACTAGTATTTTCCCCCCTTCATTTCTCTATTCTTTGTAATCATCCAACCCGGGCTTAGTTAGGACTAGTAAAATCCAGAGTGGAATTCGAGTAAAAAATTGTTCACGGTGCATAAACGAGATTGTGTATGCTCGTATTTCCGGCATAGTAACCGAGAGCTGCAATGAGACGTGAGCAAGGATAAGGAAAATAATCGGCTTGACCCCGGAGCTGTGTACTCCAAGGGAAAATAGTACGGCGTAAGGCAAAAAGAAAAGAAAAAAAAAGGCCCGACAAATCTCGTGGCACGATACCTAATACAGTACGGATACTAATCCCAGAGCTGAATTCCCATCTGATTACAGATGATTGAGAAACGTGGAATATAGCATGTCTGGTTGACAAGCTTTTTTGTTTCGCCCATGAATTTCCAACCTGTCTGCGCCTTCTACCTTCTAACCGGTTCATAGAAATATGCAGTCCAGTGAGCTTCCTCGATACCGACAGGGGTCATGCCTGCTCGCGACCGATGTGCTGCAGTGTGGGGTTACGATCCGAGGATTTTCATGAAGCTTGTCGCGATCTAACCGCTTGTTTAATGTTTCCAAGGTTTTGTGTGAGAAAACTTGCAGCTTTTCTTTCTCTTTGATCCAGGATCCTGGTTGACCTTGAATCCCTTTTTGTTTTCCTGTGTATTATTACTGGTGAAAGAATCTGCAGTTTACCCTTTTTTTTTTCTTTCTTTTTCTTTTTCTTTCTCGAGTACAACGTATGGAGTTACCTTGGCCATTGTTACTGGGTCCGCAGGTCTCGGGGAGAACCCGATTGCAATCGTGACTGACCGCTCCTCTACTCCAACGTGGTGGCCCGTCAGCTCCAACGCAAGCGATTGGTGATTTTGACCTATAGAAGCATAAAACAACGATTATGATGGTGAGGGGTTTTCTTCATGATTCATTCCCTGATTTTCATTCCAAGAGACCTTTTTCATTCTTATTTTTTTTTCCACCTTATAGTGGGGAGATCCAAGTACACGTTTCACCGCAGGTCGAGGGTACAGTGTAGGATAGAGAATGATTTTCGTGTTTTTGTTTTAATTTTATTTCAAATATCCATTTTCATCCTGTCCACGCGACTCGTGATGCATGTGAGTTAGGTACCTAGATGTAAGTACCTAAGTACCTGAAGAGGTTGGGAATTCGCCTCTCAGCATGACGACTCTTTCCACTCAAATTAGATCTCAATGGCTATGAGTTGGGCTGGTGGTAGATCAATAAAGAACGGTGCTGCCTTTCAAGACTTGGCATGCTTTTGGGCAGGCAATGCATTGAGGATCATAGAAAGCACAGCCGTATACCAAGACCGATCTACCCGGAGGTACATGTGTACACAGCTTACTATATGTGGGGGATATGCTAGAGGGTCGAGTTGCGTTGCTGTACGTATACACCCTATACAAAGGACTATCTGCCGTTCTCTGTACACCGTAGGGAATAATCTCCAAAGTAATCTCCATTACCAAAAAAAAAAAGTAAATAAAAAAAGATCCACTCTCAAACCCATTCGTTTAGTTGTCAATATCTACGTCAGAAGAAGATCCCCCAGAGATGAGCATCCGCATTAAGGGAGCAAGGCCTACCCCGGACATTTTTGAATATTGAATACTATTGATCAAAGCAGTGCCAAGAGGAAAGATTTGCACAAAGCGCGCAGAGCGCGTTTATAGTTTGAGTGTTTGGGGAGGAGGTTTGACTTTCAGCCTTTCGTTACCAGGTTTAGCTACGGAGTATAAGTGGATAAGAGGGAAAGCAGGTAAATGGACTAAATTGACTTAATTGGGGACTAGGGCCACTTCTAGGGTTCAGGCACAGGTACGAGCGGTGCGATACCGGTCAATACGGTGGATCGGCGCCGAGAGCGGTAGCCGGGAGAGCTGTGACGTGGAGATAACCATACGGTAAGAAAAAATGTATGAAACCATCGATTCTTTTTTACTGTTCTCAGAAAAATGTGAGTAGGAGAATAGTAATAATAGTAATAACAGTGACAATTCCGATCAGATTAGACCATTGAACAGCAGTAACTATTCATATCAAAGGTATGTTATAATGTATCTTCTTCTTCTTTTGTTTCTATGCAAATTCCTCAGAATCAATCTATGATGTAGTGTCACAGTAGATGTGAGTTTAGTATTGTAAAAGCGGCAGGTTTTTTTTTTCTGGAGCGGCAGCCCTCAACTGGGTTAGCCAGCAACAAAATCCCTCATACAATCCAACTTAACCAGCAACTCAACACACAATAGTCATCAACCGCTCCACCTTGAGACGGAAAATCAAAATGAAACCAATCGTGCCACGGAAAGCATAGAATTAAAAAAGGGCCCCAGCGGCAGATGAAGAAGGAATAACCAGTTGAAACAGTAAGAAAAAAAAACACAGAAACAGAAAATCAAAACCAGAAACCAGAAAGCATCGGAAACAAGAAGATATCCAGAAACTGTACTATATTGTATACTTTATTGTATCGAGTCAGTTATACTATTTTTATGTGCAGGAACTTGTACTGCATATTGGTGGGTCTGGTGTAGAATCCGAGTGGAAGGGACTTGCAGCAGTGGCGGGAAAAAAAAACCCAAGAGAAAACGGAAAAAACCGAAAAAATCGAAAAATTGAAATTTTTTAATTCGAAAAAAGGAAAATTGAAAACCAAAAAAACCGAAAAAAACCGAAAAAAAATTCCCCAAAATTCAACTTTCCACGCTAAGCCTAAGCCGATCGTGCCGCCCATCGTCACTCTCTCCCACCCTACTTCATTCCCCCCCTCTCCACTCTACTATACTATACTAATTTTCTTTAATCTCCCCTTCTTTCCATTCCTTTCCTTTTTCTCACAGTTGCTTGAACTTCATATCTATTCAGTTTCGCCTCAAATTTTCGAATCAGCAAGATTATCTTGGCAAGCCAAGACCTATTCCTGCCACTCCGACAATCATTGAACGCCGATATTCGTGAAAGCCATTCTATCGTTCTTGGCGCTGTGCTCCTCGTCATTGAATACTCCTTGATACTCGCCCCCCAAATATGTGCTGTATATCATGACAAGTTGTCCTGCACAGGACTGAAGTGTTCGCCGCCTGGGTTGATCATACTTGGTGATCGATATCAAGAGAGCATCTAATCTTCATAACCCCCAAAAAAAATCCCCATTTCGACTTCTTTTTTTATACCAATACTGGAAACAAAGGCAATCAACGCGACTTTCGAATGTTTTCTTGGATTTGGGATTGAAATCGACATGGCTCAAACTCGTGGAGATCGATTCTCCTTTCACAACCTACTGAAGATGCTCATAACACCGAACACTTCCAACAAACCAGCACACGACGAAGCCGAAATGGCTGAGGATCTAGACGAACCCCCTGATCACCATCATATCTTGCACTCTACTCCGATGAATGAGGACGTTGTCTTCACCCGGCCGTCTTTGGTCGACCGCAAGGAATCCCTGCTCACACGCGCCCTGAAGAGCAGTCCGGAAATGTCACCTATTGAACAACACCACACCTCTATGCACGACTCGATTTACTCCTACCGCTCCTACCCGCACAGCAACATCTCCGGACTTTCTACCGCCGAGTTGACCAGTGATGGCGGTCTCACCAGCCCTTCCCTCTCCAACACACCTAGTCCGCCACTTCCTCCGCAGATGATGAGCAAAGCCGCCATGGCCGGCAAGAAGGAAATTTCTCAGCGGGTAAAGGTCGTCGATACCAATGAGAACTCTGTCGAGGCCAACCTTGGACGTAAGCGTTGTATCAGTTTTGCCTGCGGTGGCAAGGCTCAGCAATCAGCCCAGCCCAAGCCCTCTTCGCCCCAAAAGACACAAATAACTACGCCTCAAAAGGATACCCTCCAACCTCCGAAGCGTCAATCAACTCTCACATTTGACTGCCCAAGTCGTCAGACTGTAATCCAAAGAGAACGCTCACCGGGTCGGAAATCTGCCTTCCGCAATCGGTGCCGTGGCTCCCCGGCTCCTGCCACCCGCAAGACTTCCTCTTCTTCATCCGCCCACGCCCCTGAAGAGACCAAGGCACCTATCGCGACTACGCCCAAGGGTGTTCCGACCAGTGGTCTAGGAAAGTTCGAGGAATCCGAAGAGACTCGGTTCCATGAGTTTGCTAGCTCTGTGGACGACGACGATGAGTGGGTCAAGAAGTCGACGGAGTTTACCGAGAAGATCACCTTGAACGACTGTATGAAGAAGGAAAACGCAATTCGCCGCCTTGCTGAGGAAGCCGATCAGGAAGAAGAAGATGAGGATGACGACATCGAGGATCTCGCCGACGATGACTCAACTGTTCACGACTTCTCTTCTGATGATGGCAACGAGTCAGACAACGAGGAAGGTTTTGCGGATTCAGATGACAGCGATGACGATGGCTCGGACTACGAATTTTGGGCTCCCTCTGCGTCAAATTCTGACAACAATGTTCCTTCCATCGATATTTTCCCTCCGACCATGGAACGTCGGGCTTCGAACACCTCCTTTGATTCCATGACCGACGATCATCAAAAGTGGCTGCCGGCGCCCGTGCAGAAACTTGGCGCACGTCGTGGCGCCACCAAGCCAATCAAGATGCGCCCGGGTACTCCTAATTTGCCCGACAGCACCGATTTCGTCTGTGGAACTTTGGATGAAGATCGCCCTCTCGAGGCCGCCTACAAATCATGTCTCGAACAGCGCCGCATTTCCAAGCGTGTTATAATTCCTCAAGACATCGACCCTAGTTTCCCCACCAGCGACCCCGAGGCCGAAGAGGATCTCGAGGATCTCTCCGAGGACCAAGAGGAATCTGATATCGAACCTGTCCGCGGTCGAACAGAAGCCCCGACTCGTTCTTCTCCACGACACTCTCCCAAGCGCATGGTATCCCCGCCTCCTCCTCGGGCTGGTCGCGCCTCGCCCAAACGCCTCAAGTCACCACCTCCTCGTGTTCGGGCCAAATCCCCCTCGCCTAAGAAGTGGAAGGAGATGCCGATTAGGGAGTCGCCTAGCGGTCTCAACATCAGCCACTTGGTTCAGCATCGTCAGCCTCTCGTGCGCACCAAGTCGTTGCCTCGTACACCCAACCCATTCTTTGCCACCCACCAGTCACATCAATGGCACGGAATTCCGCCTTTGTCTGAATCACCAGAGGAAGGCGATTCGCACATTCGCGAGATCATGCACACACGTGGCCCCATCGATATTGTCGAAGGCCTCGAAAAGAAGCGCCAGAAGCGAAAAGAAAAGTTCTGGCGCCAACACTGCCGGAAGCAAGCCGCCAAGGGACAAACAACCCAGCGGAAGGCTCCAGGCAAGGGAGCTAAACGGATGAAGGAGCTTGGCCTCGAAGTTGCTGAGAGGTGCAGAGCTTATGGTGTCGCCGAAGACACTCAGCTCGTCCTATCCGTTTAGGCTCTCTATACATTCAAAGGACTTAAAAGTGTCCTCCCCCATACCCCCTTTAACTGAATTGTACATACACACTTTTCACCCCCTTTCGCTTGGTCTGTGATCTGTGATCCAAGTCCTTCGCTTATATACAACTTTTAACCCAATTCCTGTCATCCACCTTTGGCTTTCTTTTCTTTCACTTGCTGTTTGCTTTCCACTCGGCTCTTTTGTTCTATTTTCTCTTCTAATCATCCTGGGGAGGACCTGTTCTTGCTTTCTTTCTTTTTTTGTTCATATGTTATTCTCCTGGGGGGCTTCTTTCTCTTTCGAGTTTTGCATGGTTACGGTATATACCCCTTATCTGAATTTGCTGCATTGTGGATAAAGCGGATTGGGTCGAATGAACAATAGATATTCAACAATAAAAAATAACAAATAACAAACATTCCGTACCTTAAATCATCTTTTATGTTTACCAGAAACCTTACAAAGCGACTAGGCCACGGAAATCAGGCTCAAGTGGCGTCTTAATCTTTTCTCTAACTCGTTTTCGTCAAGCCTACCATAGTTGGTGCCTTGCAGCCTTAGGCACCAAGATTTGGTTGATCCCGAAAACAACATCAACCTGGCTTCTCTTCTCTTCCCCCTCCATCCACAACGTCGCCTCCTCCTCTGCGATACCGTGCATTCGCATTAAACGATCCGATAACCTCATATACACCTCCCAGTTCTCCTGTTTCGCAATGTGGATTATCAACTGGTGTAAGTGCTCCCCCCGAGCCCGAGACCCTCGGCCCAACCACCTATCCGCTTCCCAGGCGTCGGCAAGAACCAAGAGAGAAGGGCTGGCTTCACTGGATAAGAAATTCGGCTTGGAATAACTGGATAGTGTTCTTTCAGTTCATGCCGGATAAGAAAGGCCTAGTTCTCGCTGGCTTTAAAATGCCGCGGTCCCTGTGCGGCCTGTGATTGATTGAGGTCTTGGAAGTTCAGCTTTACTGACCTGGTATTTTTCTTTGTGTTTACAGTCTACGATGTGCTCGCCTCTCTTGGCTTGCTGAACAAGCACGCTAAGCTTCTTTTCCTCGGTCTTGATAATGCCGGAAAGACCACCCTGCTCCACATGTTGAAGGTGAGTCAATCGTGTGATAAGACACCTGCGCCGATTGAGGGCGAAGTTAGAGCTGTTTAGAGCTTTTATTAATGGGAGCTTGGCGAATCTCTGACAAGAGTGATTGGGATACACTGGCTCGAAATACCGGATACTCCCTCGGCGCAGGACCTAGGGCATATGGCGTGATGGAACGTGGCTAACTGTGTTATCTCTCACCGGATAGAACGACCGTGTTGCTGTCCTCTCACCGACTGCACACCCTACCTCTGAGGAGTTGGCCATCGGCAACAACCGTTTCACTACCTTCGATTTGGGTGGTCACCAGCAGGGTAAGTTGAGCATCTCCGACCCGCGGAATCATTTCCGGGGGAATTCTCCCTATTTAGTGGAGCAGCTCCGCTAATCGATATGATTTTATTCTAGCTCGTCGTCTGTGGAAGGACTACTTCCCTGAGGTTAGCGGTATCGTCTTCCTGGTCGATGCCAAGGATGTCGAGCGTTTCCCCGAGTCCAAGGCTGAGCTCGACGCTCTTCTCGCCATGGAGGACCTCTCCAAGGTCCCCTTCCTTGTCCTCGGAAACAAGATCGATCACCCCGATGCTGTGAGCGAGGATGAGCTGCGCCACCAGCTTGGTCTATACCAGACCACCGGCAAGGGCAAGGTTCCTCTCGAGGGAATCCGTCCCATTGAGCTGTTCATGTGCAGTGTTGTCATGAGACAGGGTGAGTTTATCTCAAGTTATGATTTGTTACATCTTAATAGCACCCGCTGACATTTTTCACCAGGTTACGGCGAGGGTATCCGCTGGCTCTCCCAGTACGTTTAAAGTGACTCCGCTTTGTTACGTCTCAGAATCCCCACTTCTCACGCTTGTCTCACCCAACTTGGTCCCCCATTTTCCTCCCTTTTCACTTCACCGAATATGGACAGAAGGATAATGGCCTGGCTCACATAACAACCCCCCCCCCCCCCCCCCCACACATCTCTCCCAAATAATCATCTACCCCTCCCTCCACAATACCTCTAGATAGCTACCGCAATGGTACCTACCTCCTATCACCCTTCAACAGCTTGACGTCTTGATATGTCCTTCGACTCCGCTTGTACCCTCACTCAGTGCATGTCCTTTGGCTCAGTCTCAGCCCTTGTATCGCTTCCCCCTTGGTCTACGTTATGCTTTCCCACTTTTTTGTTTACACTGCTGCCAGTTAGCCGGTGAATTTCCATTTTTTTTTCTTCCTACGATAGTTCCAAACAGTGGATGGCTCTTTTATACCAAAGAAACCTAGGAGTTTCATACCTGGAGTATGCAGGCGTGGTAGCAGCAGTGTCACTTCGCCTACATATATGTATGTACTTACCCACTGTTCAAATTCAGTAAACTGTCTTGACGAAGCTTGAAATGCGATCTGGAACCTTAAAAGCCACAGAAACTACCTAGGCAAGCCACAGGTGCATGCCTGATGTCACAAAGTCGTAGTACGAATCCGGTAATAGCTAACATTAAAGAGCACCGCGCATCCGCGCGCGCAGTCCAAGTTCCAGGCATCCATGGATGTCTTTAGGCAGGTACCTAGTAACCCTGGGAATACCCGACCTTGAAGATGCACATCTCTTTAACACTGTTTTAAATAGAGCATCGTGGCTCAATGATATTGCAATCTCGCTCAGCTTGGAGGGCCAGGGACCAATACTGGTGATGATCATTAGCGCACTGATTGTATTGTTCTCGTTATCAATGGCCAATCCTCCAAATTTAGTAACGGAGGCGGGTAGTGGGAAGTTTTGAAGGCATTTGAGGATATTTGCGATTTGTGCAAAGATCTTCTTTTTCTCCTCAAATTCCAGGTCATCTAGCTATCTATCTAGAGGAATACCTGGCATGAGCTTCTGAAGAATCCAACCTTACTGTGGCTCCCCTTTTGCAGATGTGTTTCCAGCCCAGCTATACAGACGAGAGACAACGTCCCTAAGGGTTCGAAGGTTGGGTCTAGCACAGCCCCGGATAGAGTCATCATAGCAACCTCATTCTCGACACGATCCACCGCTCCCATGTCTTTGGCATCCGAGTTTGTCACACAGATAATCAGATGGATAGTGCCGGAGGGGATAGCTATATAGCCGGGCTTGTTCTGGCAGACATTATTTTCCCTCTCGAGTGGAGACGGCAGAGACATGCGATATACAGAGTTATCGTACTTGAAGGGGCATTCCGGGTCATAGGCAATTGGTTCAACTAGAGTATCTGCCTAGTGAGCTTCTTTAGTAGGGCTCATAGCCATGACATCTTCGAGCACATACTGGCAGACCGAACGTTTTCTTGAGTAACCCATGTATTCCGTTGATGAAATCAAGACGGGCTTGATAATTAGAGTGATTTCGACTCACTTCGTGTTATTCAGTGAAAGAAGAACTTGCCGAGTAAGTCTTTGTTTGTGATGAAGAGTCGTGGGGGGTCGACGGGTTGACTGTTCTTGCAAAGCGAAAAAGAAACTCCGAGAATGTTTCGTCACATTTTTCCAGGAAAAGGATTCCGTATCGACCTAAGGCATCCAGGAGCTTGGCTCTTATGTGGCTTTGAAGGCAATCTCAAATGAATAAGAAATTTATGCAAATCTCAAATGCTTAAGCCGGACTTAAGGGACTTAGGTTTAGGTAATAGGGTACCGGATTTAAGGGACTTAAGTTCAGGTTATAGGTAATAGCCTAATAGGGTAACCGAATCAAGGCAATATTGTGCATCGAGGTACTAGTATAAGATAAATTTTCTCAATGCTGTGAAATCCTGCTTGACTTGCAATCTTGAACCTTCCCTGAATTGGACGCATAAGCATTTCAGGTCAGGCAGTCCGTCTTCTTCCACCTATCTTCTTTACCATTCCTTTTGCACAACATCAGAATCATGGCGGAAACTGTTCTTCTCGTCGCTGATGTGCAGAATGGCGTCGTGGATCTGGTCCTCGGCAGTTCAAGCCACAAGGATGAATATCTTCGACGCATGTCCACTGCCATCATTGCCGCTCGCAGGGCTGGTGTACAGGTCATTTACTGTGTCATAGACCTTCGCAAGGGCTACCCTGAAGTGAAAGTCAACAGCGCCCTCCACAATGCCCTTAAATTTATGGGCAGGTTTCTCCAAAGCGATGGCTCCACCGACATACACGCAGACATAGCGCCTCAGGAGGGCGACCTGCTTGTTCATAAGCGTCGTGTATCGGCCTTTGTTGGGAGCGACTTGGAGATCATCCTGCGCAGCCAGGGTATCGAGAATCTGATTGTGACAGGTTTATCGACAAGTGGTGTTGTGCTGTCTACGGTTCGCCAAGCAGCGGATTTGGACTTCAACGTCACTGTGCTGGAGGATCTTTGTTTTGAGATGGAATCTCAGGAGGATACGCACAAGTTGCTGATTGAGAAAGTCTTTCCTGCCCAGGCTACGGTGAAGACATCGCAGGCCTGGATTGATGGCCTGTAAGGCAAATCAAGCTCAATCAGAGGAGGATTTATGAATATCGCGTCGCCTCAAATGGGATTAGCTTGCAAGACAAAGATTAGAAGACCATCAGAGGTGATCATGGGGAGGCATGACAACAAGGCATTCAAAATTCTGCGACCCATTGCCTTTGCCTTCACACATGTGCACAAAAAGCAACGCCAAAAGAAGGTGCAGGAGTCAGTTATTTGCTGTATGAAACTTTGATGATCAATTGTGTCGGAAGTCGGAAAGGATCATGTAGTTAAGTTAATCAGCTTCATTGGTCAGCCGCACAAGTTGCTTAGAGATTCGAGAGAATCATTGGAAGAGACAGATACATACATCATGGATGCAAGCTATACCATTACATGCTTTTCGACCCTGGCTATGCGTTCATAGAATTGGATGTTTTGGCGCAAAGTGAAATGAGCTCCCATAAATTATCAATTATGCATTATTCCTCATCAATCAATCAACGATCATTCTACAGTCTACTAGGTACTAGTCTGCACATCATGGGAGCGTAGCATTCAATCGTCTTCTGGTGGCTCCTGTAAAGCGCTATATACTGAAAACATTATTCTGTCCCTACAGTATACTATTACCTGAGAATGTCAAAATCGGAAAAGGTAATCTTGAAAGAACATGAACTATTGAGCAACCTCATGAAGCCCGGGAGTCATCTTTATAAAGTCCAAAATAAGCTCATAGTTAGGCCATCGACTTTCAAGGGTATTCCGGTCATTCGGAAATACCGTTGATTTGCACGTGCAGCACTAGAGTCAGTGACGCATGGACTTTGCCATCTCTAGGCCGCCTTTAACCATCATTAACCATAATTAATATCTACTAGCAGGTCTAGCGTCTTCATTGGCGACTACACGGAGCACAGACCCTTGGAAGAGCTCATCTATTTCTCCTGCCGCAGCGGGGGAAGCTCGGCTTCCCCGATCCCCTATGTCCGACCCAAACTGAACCCCTTTCAGGAAGTCAATGCGAAAATCTGGGGATATCCGAGGACCCTTCTTTGAAGCCCGCATGTTAAAGCGACATGCATCCACCCCCTGCTTCTGGTCATCCTCGCTGGATGAGTTCGCTTTTCCTACAAGTATTCTGCGGCTTATTGTATGCACATTATGGATACGCGGAAAGTCGAATCGACCCATGAGGAATATGCCCCCGCTGAAGAGGTAAATCCTCGACCGGTGGAAGATGAAGAGATTACAATCTACCAGGTGGGATGGCGGACAATCATGGCCATTATCGCTCTTTCATTTGCGAATAATTGCGCTGCTATCTCAAATACGGTTGGTCATTTTTGGATCGGTTGTACGTGATTCTTCTAACGAGATTCTTTTTGCAGACGAATACAATTATTACTTTCCAGATCGAGGATCTCGGTTCTGCGTCCCTTGCCTCTTGGATTGCTAACTCGAATTTGCTGATGACGCTTGCATTTGGTCCTATCTTTGTAAGTTGACTCTGGCTGCATGCTTTGGACCCCAGTCTAACTTTTTGCCCTTCTCTTTTTTTTTTTCCAAAGGGCTCCCTTAGCGATCGATTGGGAAAGAAATGGTTTATCGTTATCTGTAGCGTGATCGGAATCGTTGGCTCTGTCATATCAGGTACCGCGCATGAGACCAAGGTTATTGTCGCTGGCAATACTTTGACAGGATTGGCAAATGCAGGATGTGTAAGTCTATAACCTCGGTCATTTAAATTCCCTCTTCTTGCGTGAGGAAATGACTAACGTTCCATTTATCTGGTTAGATTATGGGAATCCCTGCCGCCCAAGAAGTTACCCCCAACAAGCTCAGGCCATGGACTATGGGCTTCTCTCAGGCTTTCGCTAGTATTATGGTCATTGTTGGTACCGTCGCTGCTGGGGCTTTTGTGAAATATGAAACTTGGCGCTGGTCCTACTACCTGAACGCCTTTATCTACGCAACATCCGCCTCACTGGTCTTTTTCTTTTACCACCCGCCACTGACTGGCATGCGCCGGCAGCAAGGTGAATTGCGTGAGATCCTGGCCAAGGTCGATTACTTCGGGATCTTCCTCTTTGCCGGTTCAATCGCCTCTCTTCTGATTGCTTTGACCTGGGGCGGTGCTACGTATGCATGGTCATCTCACCAGGTGATTGCAACTTTAGTTGTCGGTCTCGTCGGACTGCTCGGCTTTGGTATTTACCAGTGGCGGTTCACCTCGCAGGGCATCTTCGACCACCGGATGTTCGAGTCAAGAAACTTTCCTATCCTGCTATTCGTGTGTACTGTGGATGGAATGCTTCTTCTAGGAGTGAATGTTCTATACGCGCAGCAGATCGCAGCCATGTTCACCACGGACGCGGTGAAGATTGCAACTATCTTGATCCCTTACCTCGCTACGTCGGCATTCGGATGTCTGCCCGCCGGCTGGATCATGGCACACACAAAGTCTTACCGTGTCATGCTGGTTTCTGCGCTGTTATGGTGCAGTCTGTTTACCGGACTTATGGCTCTCATCACGCCTGATCGACTCAGCTGGGCCTATGCTTTTTCGTCCCTATTTGGCATTGGAACAGCAGTTACCACGGTCATTCCCGGTAAGAACTATATATCCATACTTTTATAATGCGGTTCTCGACGTAATCTAACCTTTGCATAGTTGTCGCCATGGGCTTATCTGTTCCGTCCTTCCTGCTTGGAACAGCGGGCACCATCAGCGTATCATGTCGGGCTCTTGGTGGAATCATTGGAATTACGATATTCACTACAATATACGATAATAAGATCGGCTCGGCATTGGTTCAGGATGTTGGATCCGTATTGATTGCCTCCGGTAACGGGAATCTTACTGGCAATGTCGTCGAGGCTCTTCAAAGCACCAACCCTTACGCCCTCGATCTAGTATCAGGTTTGCCCCAGTCACTGGTACCCGCCATCCGTGGTGCGCAGGCCGCCGCAGTGACGTATTCTTGGAAGTATGTCTGGATTGCAATCTGTGCTGTCGTGGCAGCCAATGCGTTGGTTGCACTTTCGTTGCAGTCTGTGGCAAAGAAAATGACGGACCATGTTGAGTCTGCGCTGGAGAAGTCAACAGTTCGTGATAAGCAGATGATGGTTGTGCATTAAGTGAATATGTTTGTTTCGGTTTGATTCTAGTGCGATTGATCTTTCTGGAAAGGACTTGAACGTTTATTCGAAGGAGTGGGTGGGCCGGTCTGGTCTTTGTTTCTTCCATGTTCTCATCAAATTTTAGGTAGTCGCGAGCCTAAACCTATATAATAAGTATTAATTTTTATCAAGTTCGGAACCTGGTGCATTTGAATGTTTGAAACCAGTAAAGGTAACAAAGACTCCATTGAATCTTTGAAATTCAGCCACGGGGTAATCGGTAGCAGATAGTATACCCGACTTGCCAGTGAATATCTACAAGTAAAAGCCTCAAGTGCTGGAAACAATTGTAGGAAGAATAGGTAACATTTTGCAATATTGTTGAGTATGTCCACGGGTACATTCAATGTTCTAAAGTCCGTAACTCATCCTCATTTCAACCAATCAATCTAGCTCTTCTGAACAGCAGCTAGAGCCTGCTCTTCAACATCCCGAGTACAATCTACATACAACCCCTTCAAATCCAGTCCCTTCCCAGCACAAAGCCACACACAAGTCCACGCAGGCAACGCACCCGCATAATGAGGTCTCTTTTTCCCAATAGCCTCCATATGTTCAATAACATACGGCGCCTCAACCTTCGTCTTCTCAGGAAACGCCGTCTGGTGCAAACTGGTATCAATTTCACCAGGATGAATACTAAACACCTCAATCGCATTCTCCACCTTCCTCTCAACCCTCTGCACCTGCTCCAACTCAATCTGCAGCGTCCCCGCAAACTTAGTAATAGCAGTCTTGGCACAGTTATAGCTGCTAGTCCACGGCAACGTCGCCGTCGCCGCGCGCGAAGAAGTAAAGATGATCGTCCCCGCATTCCGCGCCATCATCTCCGGCACAACGAGGCGGGTGATTTCGACCGGCGCCCGCACGTTAAGCTCCATCACGTCCCACCATGATTCCGCGTCCGTCAGGTGGAAGGGCTGGAAGATGTTGCTTCCTGCGTTTAGAATCAGGATGTCGATTTCGCCGAGCTGCGCGCGGACTTCCCGGATGAGGCGCGCTTGGTCATCCCGGTCGAGCACGTCGGCGGTAATTCCGATCGCTTTCCCCGCTTTCCCCGCGCGGGAGTGGAGGGCCACGAGCTCGGCTGTTGTGGAGGATACTTCGGTGGCGGTTCGGCCGGTTATGGCGACGTTGGCGCCGGCTTGCGCGAGGGCGAGGGCCATTTCTCGTCCGATTCCTCGTCCTGAGCCTGTTACTAGGGCATTTTTGCCGTGTAAGGATCCGGCGAGGATAGTAGGGGAGATGGCCGGGTACACGTCGGTTCGAAGTGTGAATGGTGAATTCATCTTGTGGGTGGATTCAAGACAGTGTGTATAGTATTTTTCAGGGTCCAACCTTGGGATTTTGGCTTTCCTGGTGTTGCCTTGTCACTGTGTGGTTGTGTATTTGATAGTCTGGGATGACATACATATATGCATGCTAGAAGCTTGAGGGATTTGACATGGAGATCCCAGAAATCGGAAATCCCGAAATTGCCAAATTGATAAATTCGGGGTATTCCAAGTTGGCGGGGTAAAGGGTCCAGCTGATATACCTGGACTTGGAATTGCCGCTATAAAGCTTGTTTGACTGGCTTTTGAATCCATTCAGACTCACACATTTTGAAAATGGCAGCCTTCGAGATATACATCCCCAAAAATCTGACCTTCGATGTCTACATTGCCATTGTCCAAACAGCTCGTGTTTGGGCAGACGGCTATGACAGAAAGGTACCAAAAACAACCAAGAGTTGAATTCCATTGGCCAACTCGGAAAACCCAGCTAACAACCTACAATCGCTTCAGGACATCGCTCGACTCTCAGCCACCCTTGCACCAGAAGTGATCGTGGACTATACACTGATTGTCCCTGGATGGGGAGAGAAGAAATATTCAAAAGACGAGTTCGCCGCTGAATGGACGTCCGAGGAGCATCTCGGAAACAAGGCGCTCGCAACGCAGCACCTCCTTGCCCAGCCTTATTTCAAGAGCGTGACCGAAGATGAAATCATTGTGGAGTGGCAGCAGATTGCGGCACATGGGAGGCGGGAAGACGAGGTGAAGGATTCATCTGGAAAGATTGGGGAGATAAGTGATGGGCATAGCTATATGGAACATCTGTTTCGACGAGACGAGGCTGGAAACTGGAAAATCGCGAGAATAACACCGTCGTTGTTGTATCAGACGGGTGATTTCCAGCGGGTTAGACGTCCGGTTGGAGCTCCATAGATTTGAGGTTGCAGGAGTTCAACCCTATGTCTAGCTGTTTATGTACTAAGTTCCTATCCCTTGCATTGATTGGCAACATTAGAACTAGAGATCATATGCGAGATTTCCATCCCCTCTGTTTTATTATCCGAACACTCTCTGGACACAAGTGATTGACTCTGAGCAGCTCACTCCGGCTGAGCCTGTACAGGGATTTGGTTAGTGGCCCAGCGCCTTTGTAGCCCAAGGCTAACTCATGGCTCAACCAGCGTCTCAAGGTACTGGGAAATACCCGACCAATATGAATACAAAACAATAAAGTCAAAAAAAAGGGAACATAAGCACACTCTCGCAGGGTGATTGGCTTCCAAGGTCGTGGGAAACGCAATGAAACCAATCAGTTCTACATGTCTATCGGTCGTAAAGCAGACGGGCGTAAGTGGCGTCCAATGAAAAGAGCAATGGGACTATTATGCGCTTTTGTTCCTGGCCAAGCGATTAGGAACGGATATTGGTGAGAACTTTGCGAGTACGAAGGGCTTATACAGGCTCTCTCATTCGTATTCTAAGCACTTGAGGGTCAAAATCTCGAACTTGACAAGGATAAGTGTACTTCCTCAATACTTCCTAAATAATTACAAGTCGAAGAGCAGTGTCCAAGACCTGTCATTGGTACGAAGTACTTTTGTTTCTCTTTCAGGACACCTAGGTGGAGAACATGGATCAATTGAATTCAGAACACAAGACCAATCAATAAGCAGAAACGAGATAAGAATAAGATGAACCAGGTCCCAACCCCCTTTCCAGGATGCCGAGGTACACATTCCGTCCAGATGTTAAGAAACAAAAGCATGAAGCGAAAAAGGGGGTGGAAAAAAAAAAGAGAAAAATAAATGGAGGCGAAGAAAAAGGGTGAAAAGAAAAGTAGAAACAGGTCAAGAGTTCCGCTCCGGAAGTAACAAAGGTCGCGCGAGTCGGCCAGGAATGATGAAGACGGGTTTTCGCATGTCGTACGGGGCGCGTCCGGGAGTCGAGGTAGATCAGGGGTTCACTGGATTATGGCGGAGGTTGAGGAGCGGGAGTGGGGTGTAATGGTATCGGCTGCCCCGGGGGTGAATGGGGGTTCCTCGTTCGTTCATCGCTTCGTAGGTCTGCGGAGGTCGTAGGAAGGGTTGATTGAAGGTCATATGGCGAGGGGGTTTTCTGTCAATGCGTTGAAATGGCTTATCTCCGCCCGAACCTGCTGCACACGGGGAAGCTCGTATCGAATTCTTTATTTCTTCTTTTGCTTTCGCTGTGGGGTGTTGGGTCCGCCGGAGCTCATGCTACCGTAAACGTACTTTTGTTTCTTTTCGGCTGGTTTCAAGATCTGAGGGGGAAAGAAAAAAAAGGATCAGTATCACCGTAATCATGGAGTGAAAAGTTGTGTTGGAAAAAAGGAAACTCACCTGGAAGGAGCAGAGCAAGCTCTCGTCGACGCTCATCATGGCACCCGCATTGTCGAATTCACCGCAGTAGTTGGGTGCGCTGAAAAGCGTAACCAGCTGGCGCTTGGAGAAGAATTCATAACCGTCCTCAACAACTTGATGCGCGCGGCATATCAAGTCCATATCGTGTTTCTGGAGGAATCGTGAAACCACGTCGGGTCCGAATGTGAACGAGACACCACGGTCGTTTTCGCTCCAGCCAGTGATATCCTTGTCGGGATCGGACCACAAAAGATCGCACAAGAGGCCGCAGTCAGGGATCTATTGATAGTCAGCGAATTTGGCTCTCAGCCGGATGAGCTCTGACACCAATTTCTGGCCACTTTTTTGAGTCCAACACAACCGCACATGCCAACAAATCCAAGCCAGAAAAGGCGTAAATGGAGAAAAGAAGGAAAGACTGAAAACTTACATCAGTGGGACGCATGACACGGCGGATCTGCTCCATGGAGTTCAGGTCGGGGCTCAGACCACCGTGCATGGTGAAAATCTTCTCATCGATGATGGCGGCAATGGGAAGGCAGTTGAAGCAATCGGTGAAAGTCTTCCACAGCTTAATGTTGTAGCGACGCTTGCACTCGTCGTAGAATCCATAGATACGATTGATAGAGGCGCATTCGTGGTTACCACGGAGGATGAAGAAGTTTTCGGGGTACTTGATCTTGTAAGCGAGCAGGAGGCAGATAGTCTCAAGCGACTGCTTGCCACGATCGACGTAGTCACCGAGGAAAAGGTAATTAGCCTCTGGGGGGAATCCGCCGTATTCGAAAAGACGCAAAAGGTCGTAGTATTGACCGTGAATATCACCGCAAATCTAAACAAGTGCCCGACGCGTCAAAAATCACAGTTTTACCCGTGGGGATGGAATGCTGGGGAGGCGGCGCCACATACCTTGATGGGGGCTTCAAGCTCCAAGAGAATAGGCTGAGAGATGAAGATCTCACGAGCCTTGGTGCAGAGGAAACGAATTTCCGACTCGAGCAGCTGAACTTGCTTGCCCGGCCGGCTGCCTCTCACCTCTAGCAGCCGGTCAATAATGGAATCCAAATCAACTTCCTGATCGGCCATGTCGAGCGGCTCTTAATGTAACAAATTAAAAGAAATGGAAAAAAAAAAACACCGAGCGAACCGGAAAAAAGCAGCACGCGCGGGGGGAGGAGGAAGGGATGGCTTCCGGAGCGGTCGAAGTTTTGATGACGCGGTAGTAAAGTTCTGCAAGCCACACAGAAATTAGCGATCAGTTTAAGAATGACAATAGAGGCAGTCCGGTTCTCAAATCCCGAATCAGCGCCAAGGGAGACAGGCGCGTTCCCGATGACGAGAAATTTTTTTCCACCCAGGCACAGATTTTTTTTTTCTTCAACCAGATCCACCCCCCTAGGTGAGAGGAGGTATCAACAGATATGAAAGGGCCAGACGTACAAATGACACTCTCAATGAGACCAAAGACTCAGGGATCTAAAGGCCCTGGCAGCCGCGAAGTGATAGGGAGACGTGAGTCTGGCTGAGATGGCAGTGTGATCAAGTCGGTAAAGTGCTCCCAGTGAAAATTTATGGATGGCCAAACAAAGAAAGATAGGTGGGTAAAACCGGTTCTCCGGCGCCTCGAGTGTGAGTGAAAAGAAACCACGAGGGTTGGATTCGAGGGGATAGGAGGGGGAAGATCCGGAAGCGATGAAGTTTTCCAAAAGAGAAAATATGAGCAGTTGAGTTCAATGGGGCGAGAAAGAGAAACAAAGTGCCTCACAAGAGTCGATGCGAAAACTGTGGACGCGATGATCAAGTTTTGACGGGATGAAGAGAGGAGAATCTTGCACAGGGAGAGAAAGCGGGAAGGCAAGTTGTGTTTGCAGGTGTTTGGCTTTGCGATCAACGCCATGACTATTTATATACCATTTTTTCTTCTAAACATCTTTTCTTTTGCATTGTTGTTTTTTAATTTCTTATTGCTTCTTTTTACTTGACCCTATTCATCTTTTGATGGTGATGATGTTCATGGAATTTTTTTCCTCTTTTTTCTTTTGCCACCATTCCGGTCTCGCCGTGGAGGGGTTGCGTTGCCGCCGGTCGAGACCCCATCGTATAAATAGCTAAAGTACCATGTACGTACCGTAGGCCCTAGCGTCACCCCTCAATGAATTTAGTATAGTATATAGTCTATGAAATGATCAGAATTTGAGCAGAAGCATTTGAGATCCTAAGCATAATGCCCATTGTTCTTGGCACCATCATGCATTGTTGAGATATCCTGGAAATACATTCATGCTTCCTATTGGACCAACTCCAGTCCACGCTGGTCCTCGAGTGACTAGCCTAGTAGGTAGTATCATCTTCCAAGGTTGAAACATTGCAAGTTACATGCAGTGTTGAGTACTAAAGGTTTACCATGCAGGAAGAGCCTTGGGGGTCTAACCGGGAGAAAGTCTAGGCTTTGGCACATAGTGAAAATTATGAACTGGTTCATAGCATCATGCTAAATACTCTTCATGAATAGAGAAATAAGCAGAAGAAAATTTGCAGAGACACACGCCCACCAGGCAGGCTCAGAGAGGAAACAAGAGGGGAATAAGAACATAAGACAAACCCGAGACAACAGAAAAAAAAATGAGTAAGAATCATACCACCAACGCCAACTTGCCCGGAAGAAAATAGAAAAGAGAAAAGAAAAAAGCATAAAAAGCATAAAATACACACGCTCTAGAACTCGGTCTTTCACAATAGCCTCCGAAAGGACAAAACGGAAAAAAAAATATGCCGCAGGGTCATTTTGATGGGAATCATGCTGCAAATCAATGAGAGAGCAACAAAGAAATTGACAAGAACTGAAAAACGCAAAAAAAGGCCGTAAATGTTCATACATCCAACCCACCATATCTCATAAGTCATCAAACGCCATAAACGATGCAAAGGCAGCAGCTCGGAAGGCATGCTCGGAGAATATCGATCCGGAAAGATAGCTGACATGTGTTGTTGATTAGTCTTGAGGCCTGGAGCTGGAGGGCTCAAGAGACCGATGAAGAGGATCCATATTTGGAGAGTAATGAGAATGGAATTTTTCCTCGAGAGATGTGGAGTGTGGGGGGGGTTTTTTTCACCTCTCGAAGGACATGTATTTATCCACCCAACGTATGGCCTGCGCTCAGAATAGCGTGGCTATTTGTCCGAATGGGGGTAGTTGGGAGTGGGGAATGATCCAAGCCAGGTCGAGCCAGATGGGCTGCAATCTCCTTTTGAGGACTGTCCCAAGGGTGGTCCCCCAAAACTGTAAGCCAATTTTGACCCACATCCTGTCGGAGAGCTTCCAGCTGCTGGCGACACAGCTCTTGATCTAAAACCCAGTCTTGAGCGGGAGGAAGTGCCGCTGCAGTCGCTTGCAGTGGAGGCGGAGGGGGGCTGGAGGAATTCCCTTGTTTCGGAAGACCCAGGATGCTGGAAGATCCGGACTGTGCGACACTGTCTAACTTCCACTGGTCATGCGGAACGACAAAAGATGGCTGAATCGGTGCATGCATTTGCTGGGTGGGAGAGATTGGGGGAACTGCGGGACCCGGACTACCTAGGCCATCCGTAGTAAATGGGTTATCCGTTGACAGATCCACGATTCGACGCCGTTGAATTTTCTTTCGGCGATTGGTACCATCCATCTCCTGCTGTGCCACAGCCTTTTCTGGTGGTGGTGACTCCGTCTCGTTATTAGGGGTCTTGGGCAGTGCCTTTCCCTGGATGATCGCAGCAGTAGGTTTTTGTACCACGGCCACTTCATCCGCTGCGCTGGAACGTACCACAGGAGCAGCTTCAGGCTCCGCAACCCGATCAACAAGTTGCTTTCGCTCAGTGTACCCGGGTCCACGACCATCGATTATGATATCCTCCGCATAGCCAGGAGTGCGGCGGAAGAGATTCATGATGACAACGCGGTAGTTGGAATGGGTCTTGACAAATGGGTTGCCAGACACCCAAATCTCCCGTATCTCAGGGAGACTGGTGAGGCGTGCCATTTCCGTCGGATCCATTAGGTTATTATCACGAAGGTCGAGTCTCTCCAGAGACAACAGACGCTCAATTCCAGCCAAGGAACGAAGACGGTTGCCACGAAGGTTTAGAGCGGTGATAGCCGGAAGAGGGTTGCGGGAAAGCGAGTGCATAGACTCGATCATGCAGTGAGACAGGTTAAGGGCACGAAGAGACATCAGGGATGAGAGGCTGTCTGGGATTTCGGTGAGAAGGTTGGACGAGAGATCCAAAGAATTCAGAGTAGTAGCCACCGGGGCCAGGCTCTCGGCAGAAATGGAAGTCAACGAGTTTTCGGGAAGGCCAAGGTGACGCAGGAAGCGCCATTTCGAAGCAGGGAGAACGCCCGGCAACAATGTCGCTGAGCTTCCAGCCCGGCCACCACCCGAGGTATCACTGGAGTTGGAGCTTCCCGAGCCGGTGCGTCGAATACGGGCCGACTGACCTCGACGGTGGCCGTGTTTTGTTGTCGGACGTTGCGGCGAGATACTTCCAGTCCGAGCCCGGTGGACCTTTGCGCCCTCAGACCCGGCTCGCATCATCGGGACGGACTTGGGGCTGGTACTGGTTGCAAGTGCCGTATCAGCGATGGGGGAACCGGGAGCAGAGAGGGAGGTATGATCAGATGCGTGAACAGGTTGGGTGCTGTTGGTCCAGCCAAGCGGTGGGGACTGCTGGGTTTTGGCGGAACGTCGACGACGCTTGTCCATGTCGTCCAGCACAATTCGCGTCAGTAGATCGGCCGGGTCATCCAGATGAGCCCGTTTGATCGACAGGGTGCGTAGTTGCTCGGACAGTCGGTCCCAGCCGTAGAAAGAACGATAATCTATATCAATGATCTCTAAAGCACTCAAGTTTTTGAAGGAATGAAGCGGCACCGCGGTGTCGAAGGGGAACTCCTCATAGCCACGAATCAAACAAGCACGGTGATCAGGGGCCAATCGCAAACAGGGAATCTTGGTGAAAGCAGAGTAGAGGTATTTCAGATCTCCTTCCAAAGCCAACTTGGCCCGTTCAGACTTGGAGGCCGAGTCCTTGGAGCCGAGGCCAAATGAGGACCAGAGGCCACTCATACCAGACATAACGCTACGCACACTGGATACGGAGTGGATAGAAGCGCCATCGCCACCCTTGGATCGCTGAGGTTTACTCAAGAAGGAGACATAGGACTGGGAGACCTCGGTATGGATATTCTCCAACCGAACATTCATAGGCCCCACGGCAATGGATAGATCTTCGAAACGAGATAGGAGGTAGAAGAGGTGATGAGGGGTGAGAGTGAGCTTGGCGGGTTTGATATTTTGAGAAGCGAATCTCAATGCCCCAAAGGAGAGGGCCGAAGCTAATGAAGATGAGGTAGAGGAGAAGGCGCCGGTGGTGGTCGCAGCAGGGGGCGGCTGTGGGGTTCCGGCATTGGACTGGCGCCGAAGTTGTAGAGCGTTGGCGAGGGCTTTTTCATGTGTACGAACGAAGCTAGCCAGATTCTAAGGGGAAAAAAATCATGTCTCAGTAACCACGCGAAACTTGTTCGAGTTGATGTTGTACGAAAGTGGGTCAAAGGGGGGAAAAAAAAGAAGTCAAAAAAGTCTTACCTTGATGAAGAGTTGTCCATCCTCGGTGTTCAGCTTCTCCATGGTGGGATGAGGGGGGAAAGGGGATTCAAAGGGGATCCTCGCCTGAAGAAACTCAGAAGATTCAACAGAAGGTACCAGGAACGGTCGACATTGTGCTGTTGCGACCAGAGAAGGAGTGTCGCCTAGGCGATGCGAGGAGTTAGCGCGGAGGAGCAAGGTGGAGAGAGTTCCAAAGGGAATTTTTTACCTGTAATGAATGAACAGACTTGACAGATCAAATTGAAGTCAAGTCACAAATTATTTTTGGAATTCCCTTGAAGGTGATGGGAAAGGGAAAGGATTAGGGGGAGAAAGGGAAATTGGTGACACGGGGTAACCGCTAAATAAGAACTTGTCTGATGATCGCAGATAAACCATACCATGTACAGTATTTTCATTATCAATCCAGAAAAAAAGAAAAAAAAAGAAAAAAAAAACTTTTATATTCCCCAAAAACCTTGGAAGCTCAAATTGATGATCTTTAATTCTTTTTTTGTGGTATTTTATAATTTATAATTTATATTTCTTGTTTCTTGTTTCTTGTTTCTTGTTTCTTGTTTCTCTGGTGTCTTGTTCCCTATAGAAAGCAATCGGTTGCATCCTGACAGTTCAACTGACTCTTTTGAAATTGGATAACATTGGAAACATTAGAAAATTACTACGATAACGATGCGAACAATACGAAAGGCAAAAAAGGCCGAAATTACTAAGAATAAGATACCTCGAAAAGCCCCCGGGCAATATTGGTTGCTAATTTCCTGCATCTACTAAACCCAGATAGGAGTAAGTGGCGACCCATGGAGGGGTTTGGGATTTGCTTTGATTTGCTCTTGGCCGCGTCTATCAGACCCTTCGGTTGGATCGTCCGAATCTCTCCTATGATAGGACTTCATTTTGGGGAATGTTCGATGAGATGAAATCCATGGTATTTTGTGGATTTGACGATTATCATACTTGAGTCGATCCCCGAGGCCCATCAGTGGGGCTAACTTGCCCCCCCCCTCTTGTTTTTTTTTCCTTTCTGATCGACATAAAAAAAATAATAACTTTGACCAGTGGTAAAAGAAAACGTATTCAAAAAAGAGAGAGAAAGAGGAGAAAGGAGCCGTAAAAGGCAAAAGTCGGAAGTTTTTGATTCTTTTCCTTTCTCTGCATTTAATCTATAAACTCGAAGCAGCCCAGCCGCCCATGCAGCCCGGGTGGAAATGCCGAGAATCAGCGTAAATGTTTGGAGTCATGTTCATTGCATAGACCCGCTTTCTGTAATTTTTTTTCTTTTCCTGTTGTTTTTTTTGTTTTTTTTTTATGCAATGCTAAAAAGCCCACTTTTGTTTTCCTGCTTCTTACTCGCTGCCGACTGGACTAGTTGCTGGATCCTTCGGTTGGTCATCTGCGACGGCTTTCTCTCTCGTGCAGCAGATCAAGCCTCTGTCGCCATTCGGTCATTTGATTGGTTCATGCCAAATTTCCCATATCACCGTAATTTCAAACAGAAAAAGAAAAAAATGTTAAAAAAGTGCAGGTCACGCAAGACAGAGAATGAAGACGCCGTTTCTGTTCCAAATGAACCATTGTGTCGGCCAATGACGAGGCGGGGCCAGTACGCTATCTTGGGATCTTCCGAGTCAGCTCGCACTGACATCTGACATTCCACTTCAAGTGGAGACTGATTTTTAGGATTTTATGGATTTCAGGAAGATTCTCCATCTACAAGTACAAACTCTACACAATGCGCAAGGAAATGACATCAGGAGATTTTCTCAGCTCTAACCTCCAGGGCTGATTCAAATGTTACTATACGAGATGCATTCTTTACTATATAGATGCTGTACACACCGCCTCCTTGACATTCCATGGGATTTGGCGTCACTCGATCCATGGTTCGACTTGACCCCTTCAATCTCGGAACATACACTAGTAACACTACTACATACTACTACATACTACTATTACTACTACTAAGCTTGACTGCATTTCTTCTATGAGACGTTTCAAAACAAATTAACATTTGAAAGATGCATCTATAACATGGATCCGTGTTTTTGTCTTAAATCATTGAAACATTGAATCACTGAATCATTCATTGAATGTTGAGATAATCGAGTAGTAACCTCTACCCCTCCGGAGCGGGGAGTTGTTATTTAGATAAATTTATGTGTAAATCTATGTGTTACGCATTCCTCACCCCCGGATGTTGCAGACGCTCGGTTCAACATAGGATCCTAGCCTTGCCTGCAGTTGCAAGGAGTTCGCATGCAGCCAACCTTGCAGGTTGGTCTATGCCCCTCATACGTTGTATGCCGTCCCTCAGCTGGAGATTTTGCGTCTTTTTTTTCTCTCTGTCCAATGTTTACTTGGAGCTTGTCGCTTCCCCCCCCCCCCCTCCCCTTAGATCTACACTGTATCCATTCGGCACATGGAAATCTTGGAATCTTGGAATTGAGAGATCAGACAGAATCAAGGAGGGGTCAACCACATGAGAATGCGATCGACCAAGACTGCCCCGCCTGGAATGCGTACGCAGGGGAACTCTCTTCCACTTTGACGTCTCTCGGACGTGGACCGGACTTTCTCCACTCCGTCGATCCAGCACGAGGAGACGATAACTGATTTAAATCGTGGGCGACATCCTCATTGGGTAAGACGCAGAGTCATTTGTTGCAGTGCCAAGCCCGGTGGCTTGACTGAACCTGCATCTTTGCTTTTTGACATCGAGCATTCACGCCACAGATACTTTGTAGCGATCTGCGGAGAGCCAAATCCAGATGGGGGCTAAAGGATGCGCTTCAACCGTCATACTCGATGTCTGTATTCTTTTTCTTTTCTTTTTCTTTTTTGTTTTTTTCTTTCACCAAAAAAAAAAAACTTCCTCTACGCGTCTCTTCGCTGCTGAATTATTTCCATTTTACCAAATAGTGCTTCAGAGGGTGACACTCGCTTCCTTCTTTAGCCTCTTTAGTGCTGATTGTCAACATACATAACTTAGCTAAGGCAACCTAAATGAGGCCCGGCGGCTACCGCGCGCACCACATTCTAATCAATGTCGACGCGTACCCATGACATCCCGTCACTTCTAAGCAATGTATTTTTGGGGGGATACGGAGTAGGAATCTGAAATTTGAAATCTGAAATCTGATCGGGGGTTAACGGAAAATATCATGCATGAAAGGGCTGGGGAAAAGAAAGCGATACCACCGTGTTTGCTTTTCTTTTTTTTTTTTTTTTTTTTTTCTCTCTCGTGTCAGCCGATCGGCATGATCAGCATCAAGGAAGATGGGATATAGAGACTAATTTGCTATTCTTCATGTACAAGTTGGATTAAGTCAAAGGCTAATTGGCCCCTAACCCGCACATCAGGTGATTCGCCGTGGTTCCGTTTTTCGTACAGTGTTTGGCCCGGGCGGCTAATAATGGAGCCTTTGAGCCCATAGGGTGCTTTCCCAGTGTCGCCTCCGTTCCAACCTTTAATCATGAAAAAAAAAAAAACTCAGCCTATCATCATCCAGATTCAGCCCTGTGCTACGAGATCTGAACGCCTCCCATCTAGCGGTGAAGCTCTTGCCGTGCGCCGGACGTTGTCAATGTCTATTTCCATGGAAATATCTGGTTATAGTTTCATCTTTCTCTGGTACTTATGGGGTATAGATGGATCATTTCGGAGGATCAATGGCATGAGATAAGTCAGAGTGGTTACACAGCCCGGTGTACTAAATTAACTTAGCGTCGTACGATCAAATCGAGGACAGATTTCATCGGAGACGATAGGACGGTAACTACAGACATCCCAGCAAGTATTGTCGGTTGAACGGGACCAAACAAGGAAGAGAAAATGATAATTGACTTTGACTGATGAACGGGAAAACCACTTGTTGATCTTCTATTGTCTATTGTTTACTCGAACCATGGATCCTTTTTCCTTATCTTTTGGTGGGGCAAGAGAGACCACTACATTAGCCACAGATCCAGCCACAGATCCAGCCACAGGTCAACCCCCACTCTAACAGTTAAACTGTGGCACAGGTCATGTGATGCTGACGTCGCCGTTGAAAGCTACCCCAACCGGATTCGGGGGGCCTCAACCTAGCTGTTCCTGAATCCTGTGTACCTCGTTCTCCCATCATGCCCTGAAAATGTCGTCGGAGAAGGCATCCCCTTTTAATCATGATCCAGCTGGACTACCGGATTTTGACAATGATTTTATTAATCCCGACGAGCTGGACTGCTTCGAAAGGGCCTTGAACGCCCCCGAAGCTTCCCCATTGGTAGCCATCAATGACTGGCGCCCGATTAACCAACGAGTACGCAAGACACGCGGTCGACGTAAGAATCCTAGGCGAAGCAAGGACGAAACAAGGGAAGGCGTTCTATACACAGTCCTCAAGTGGCCATTTCTGTTCACCGTGTTTGCATGGATCGCCTTCTTGAGTTGCGGCTACGTACTGGTGCGCGTGTACATCTTCCTATACGAACAATGGGTCACCTGGAGAGGGAAGAGAGAGAGACTGCGCCGAGAGCTGTCTTCCAAGACGAACTATCCGGACTGGCGAAAAGCGGCCCAGGCTCTAGACGCCCATCTAGGGAATGAGGAGTGGAAGCAGGCGGACGCCTACGCTTACTACGACTCTGAGACTATCACGAGGGTTGTATCGGAGCTGAAGAAAGAGAGGAAAAGGGCGGAGGCTGAGTTGGAGCTCAGGCGCCCGGGCGCTGCGGAGCCTTCGGCCGTCGAGGATCTTCGGGCTTTGTTGGAGGCTTGCGTGAAGAACAATTTTGCCGGAGTGGAGAATCCTCGAATCTACAGCCAGACGTACTCGGGAACAAAGGATTTGGTTCAGGAGTATATTGATGAGGTACATGCCTGCATCCAGCTGGTTCTGGATAGCAAGCAGATTGACCGAAATACCAAAAAGCAACATTTCAAGCAACTGGATACCAACTTTGGCCGCACCGCGCTCTGTCTGTCGGGCGGTGCCACATTTGCTTACTACCATTTCGGGGTTGTAAGGGCGTTACTGGATAACGATATCTTACCAGAGATTATTACAGGGACGTCAGGCGGAGCACTTGTGGCGGGATTAGTGGCTACTCGGACTGATGAGGAGCTGAAGCAACTTCTAGTTCCCGCACTAGCCCATCGCATCCGCGCTTGTCATGAAGGGTGGACGACATGGGTTCGTCGTTGGTGGAAAACGGGCGCTCGGTTCGATACATTAGACTGGGCCAAGCAATGCAGCTGGTTCTGTAGAGGTTCCACTACCTTTCGAGAAGCCTATGAACGAACGGGCCGCATATTGAATGTGTCCTGCGTCCCCTCTGATCCACACTCCCCGTCTATTTTGGCAAATTACCTGACCTGCCCGGATTGCGTCATTTGGAGCGCGGTGCTCGCTTCTGCGGCTGTTCCGGGTATTCTCAACCCCGTTGTACTGATGTACAAAAAGCGTGATGGGTCTCTTGCACCTTACTCTTTTGGGCATAAGTGGAAAGACGGCAGTCTGAGGACGGATATCCCAATCAAGGCATTGAATTTGCACTTCAACGTGAACTTTACTATTGTCTCGCAGGTATTATTGGCCAACAAAAACTCTTCCCCCTCCGAGATCAACTATTAACATCAATCTCCAGGTTAATCCCCATGTGAATCTATTCTTCTTTAGCTCTCGGGGAACCGTGGGTCGACCAGTCACTCATCGCAAGGGCCGTGGCTGGCGTGGTGGTTTCCTTGGTACCGCGATCGAGCAGTATATCAAATTAGACCTTAACAAATGGCTCCGCGTGCTTCGGCACCTTGAGCTTCTGCCAAGACCCTTGGGTCAAGACTGGAGTGAAATCTGGCTACAAAAATTCAGTGGCACGGTCACCATCTGGCCGAAGACCATTCCATCCGATTTCTACCACATTCTCTCCGACCCGACGCCGGAGCGGCTTGCGCGCATGATCCATGTTGGTCAGCAAAGCGCTTTCCCGAAAATACAGTTCATCAAAAATCGGCTGAACATTGAAAACACCATCATGAGAGGACTCCAACAATTCTCCGCCACTGGGCGCTCCTTATCCCCGATTCTGTCTCGTCGGCTGCCACTTCCAGACAATGAGGACTCACTCGTTGAGCGTTTGGACGACAACTTTCCCGAGCGCCATGACTACAAAGGCGATTCGACGGACGACGGCACGTCCCAATCAACCGTCTCGCGCCCAGAGTCTCCAACTTCTAATCCAAGGAGGGGTAGCCTCATGGAAGAGATGCGCCGCCAATCAGCTGTCTTCTTCGACGACGACCTATACGGAGATGATTACGCCGCTGTAACTTGAGAGTTGTTGGCGGCTCATGCGCCCCTTGTATTATCTAGCAACCCATGACGTCGGGTAAGATCTTACTCATTCGGGACTCCTGCATCCCCGCTTTCCGTCATGGTACTTCTCGCCCGATGTTATATTCGATATGACAGGCGGCTCAGGCTGATCGCTTTCTACGCTTACGGATACCCTCGGGCTTTCCTATTTCATCCATGGTTCTGTCGTGATTTTATCCTTTTTCCGCCCCCGCTTTTTAATACCCCCTTCTCGTGCCAAGGAGTTCTGTCAGCCAAGTCTTGGATGCACGTTCAGCCTTACGCTTTAAAAAGAAACTTTTTGTATTACCAAGACTGTTCTTTTACGATGTCACGACTGTTATCTTATCTCTTTCTTTAAGCTTTTTCTCGTGCGGGATAGTGCGGGGGAAATGCCATGTCATTACAACATTGAATACACATACTATCTTCATCCATTCAATGCTGCTAGCAGCTTGCTAGCGCCATAATTCCAAGGTTATTAAAATTTCAAGTCTCCCAACTAAAACTTTGTAATCAAAACAAGGTTGATATCATGCTCATCTATCAAGTAGGTCAATGCTAATTTGCATATCCATGGATCCGTCATCACACATACTTATTCCCATGATCGACACTTCCACACGCAGGCAGGTGCCGGGGACATGAGTGGGGACTTGGTTTGAAAGTCAATCTATTCAAAATGTTCAATGCGGGTGAATGTCTTATAAGACGGCCTACATGGCGAGCACCTGCCCAGATGGGCAATAGAAGACCAGATGACATCAGCCCATAACGTTTGACAACTAGGTATATGCGCATGCGCATCATTTTGGATGATCATCAAATAAACTAGTTGGCGCTAATATAGTTGGCTGCGTGATGCTGTCATCCAATGTATTTCACTTTTTCCAAATCTCCAGGTTTATAATTAAGCACCCAAGTCACCGCTTAGGTGAGCATTAATTGTCGTAAATTGATTGATTATCGGGCTAGCTTGACCTCCCACATAGCCCTTGAGTCAAGCTGCAAAATAGACGATAAGTTTTTTTATGAGTATATCCCCCTGAGTACAGTGACCGGTAGTTATTATGTAAATGACGAATGCGACCTCGGGAACCTCAAGAGGAAATCCATTTAGTACCAGCTACAGTATACACATGTGCATGTGCACAACCCCTTAGTTTGATTTATTGATGGGAACATTTGAACCTTGGAAGTGAATATCAATTATGAAAGGTATATACTCTGTCTTTCACATCCATGAATGCTTCAGCGAAGCAGTCTATCGTAGCATCTCCTATTATACACATTTTTCAACCATCTCACAATATACAAGCCGACATCTATCCATTAGGATGACTTGGGGCACAACCGTCCGTTGTTGTTCCACGAATAGGGAAGCGGATCAGTAGTCTGAACCTCCCAGTCCTCCGCACCGACGGCAGTAAGCGCAAAGAAAAGACCAGTGGGGTCATACTTCTGCTTCAGTGCATAGAGACGCGGGTAGTTGGTGCCGTAGAAGGCTTCCTGCAAGTTAGGCTCGAGAAGATCGGCCTCGCTCATGTAGGCGCCGGAGTCGGGAGCGATATCGCGGAGCACATCCATCCACTCGGTCACAAAGAGCGAGGAGCTCTCAATCACATCCCAGGAGCTGGTGAAGTTCCACTCAGAGCCCACAATGATGTGAGTCATGGCGTCGCGCCATGCGGGCAGCACTGCGTTGTCCTTTGGTGGTTCGACGGCAATACCGGTGCCACTGATGTGGAAGCCGGCAAGGAAGAGACCCTGTGATGTGTTAGAAATTGAATCAATGCAAATGGAGTGTAATTGAGTGAATTTAAGTGACATACCTGATCCACGGCGTCCTTGTAGGCAGCCCAGGTCTGGTTGCGGAGATCATCGCTTTGGAAGACGCTACGGGGGAGCAGACGGGAAGCGGTCTTGACGATATCGGTTCCGACATATTCTTGGGGGAAAGCTTCCACCCAAGCATCGTGGCTAAAGGGATATAGTGATTAGCTGGGGACTGAAAATACAAGCTTTAGGAACCGAGGGTTGGAAACGCACAAGTTGTCGGCATTGTTGTACCACGGAGTGTAGGTGACGTTCAGGCTGTCAAGAACATCGAACCAGGGAGCAATGAGAGCCTTAGTCTCGGCAACGCTCATATTGGGTGCAACGAAGGACTCCATGCGGAAGTAATAGTCAGTATCTCCTGCGTAGGCAGTTCCAATCTCAGCCGAGTCACCACCGATGTAGTAGTAGCCGTAGGTACCAGCATCAACAAAGGCTTCAAAGTTATCAAGGTATGAGCCAACCGCAGCCCAGAAAGCATCTGGGCCAGGGGTATCAGCAACGGTAAAGTTGAAGGTCACCGTGGTGGTCTCCAGCTTGGGCAAGGCCTTAACAACCAAAGAGGTAACGACACCGATGGTACTACCACCTCCACCACGGAGCATCCAGAAGACATCTGAATTCTCGGTGGAGCTGGCAGTGATGAAACGACCATCTGCAAGAACAACTAAGAACTGTTAATTGGGAGGTACTTTGGTGATTCAACGAAGTTATTGAGCAACTTACCTTGCATTGAAAGAACCTGATCGGCTGCCATTCCGTATAAACTGGACAGGGGAGAGTGACCACCACCAGCAGTATAGCCACCACCCAGACCGACGGTAACAGCCTCTCCACCGACAACCGAGTGGCCGACAGACTTGGCAAACTCATAAGCCTCCCAGACTTGGACACCGGAGCCAAACTTAATGGCAGGACCAACATATCCATTGGCGGCCCTGTAGGTAGGGAGATACTCCTTGTCCTTGAGGTAGTGAGTCCAGATGGTAAGGGCCCCCTTGCCAGAGGCCTTACCATTAAAGTCATGGCCAGTGTTCTTGACAACCAAGCGCAAGTTGAGGTTGCGGGCGTAGTTGACAGCCAGCTGGATCTGAGCCACAGTGGAGACGTTCACAGCGTACGCAGGGTAGGCACCTTGCTCGCAGGTGCCGGTGTAGTTGTACGGCGAGGGCATACAGGTGCGACCTTCGTACAAAGGCAACATGATGGATGTAGGGTCACTCATATGCAAGTTTGATTCAAGCCAATCCGCTGTGATGCTCGCACACATGGTGGCATCGTATTCGGGCCAATCTGGGTAGCAGTAGGCGGCCAGAGGAACAGTCTTGATCAGGCTGCCACCGAGAAGCAGATCAAAGACCTCCCAAATAAGCTTCGCAGGCCACAGCAGATCACCAGGTAGAGGCTTGCAGCTGTGCTTGACACTTCGCTTAGACACCACAGTGCTCGAGTTGGTGGTATTCGCAAAGTTGAAATAGCTAGCAACGGTCTGGTTCTGCAAGGTCTGAGAGACATCTTGGAGTGCACTTGCGGTCAACTGCAATGACTCATATGAAAACAAGGAAGAAGAAGTAACGGTGCTCTCTGCTGCCGTCAAGGATACGGTCGACAGCGCCTGGGCGAGCGACACACTGGCCACGAGAGCCAATCCACCCACGACCTTCATCGTGTGAAGAAAAAACAAGTACGGAATTGAGAGAGAAGAACAAGGGGAAATAGACTTTGGAGTGAAATCAAAAGAAACTTTCTCGACCCCTGTCAAAAACGTGGCAATGCATTACTTCTTAAATCTAGCGCCATCAAACAAGCACTGGACCGGCCACGCGGCACTTAACCTTTTGATTAGGACTTAGGACTTCTATCGGAAGCGACTTCGGGACCGGAGGTTTACTAGTAGATACTGAACAGGAAGAGTTGACGCCTCATTCAGGATTTACCTAGCGTGCAATGTTAGATGGATGGTGGTTGGTGGACTTGACGACTGTCTTTTACTTAGCGGCACATTAGCTTGTATCGCTAATTGGACTAATCTAATCTATGGAGAGAGAGAGAAAAATTCTTCGAATGTCTCACATCCATGGGAGGTTTTTTTTTTTCAAGCCTTAGTCTGTAATTGATACCGACCTATTGGATGAAGGAGTTCAAGCTTGAATTAACAGAATCTCACTTAACTCTAGATGAACCACGATGTCAATTGAGGTTTCACTCCATTCCTGTTTTAGATCTACTGCGTATCGAGAGATTTGTTGTCCTTACGGAACCTAACACCGATCTTCTTCTTACTAGTACCCACCAAGTCGGCTCCGACTGCCTCTGGAGAAATCGACGCTACTCCTGAGACAGAATCGTAAAATTCTCAGTAATGTTTAAGGCCTCCTGCAGTTGAGCATCGGACCTCGGGACCAATTGAGGATACCCCGTTACCTCCGAATCTAGAATTTCTTCTAGATTAACAGGGTCTCCATATTCGGTTCCACTATCTACGCTAGGAGGTAATTTGATTACCTTGAAGCTTGTAAGATTGGTCAAGTACAACGGCCTGTTGTGCCACCTATGATATTAACGGAGTTGGTTGTCTCTACCATTATTCAAATATGCTTTTATTACTGTGGCGGCAAGTCTTGGTTGAAAAGGTACTCAGACCATGAGCCAATTATTTCACTCGTTATTTTCTATCGTTATATGGTTGTATGTAGAAGATCGACATGGCTTCTTGCAAGTGCAAATGTTTGTGGTAACGGTCAGGTAATACGGATACCGCGCTAGGGCATTGGTAGATTAGCGCTAGGGGGCTTGTTTATTAGCAATTGCCAACTCTGCCTCGTTAGCTCCACTCTCCATATCTAGTTAGTACTTTTGGGATTTAATTTCTCTTACTCACGATCGCAACGTGGTACGGAGTAATACCGACAAGCCACAATATGGCACAGAAGAAACATTGCATGAAGCTACAGTAGTTGGAACGCCTGCTGCAGGGGTTTAATACTTAGCGGTGCAGCCCCCTGCTCAACAATATCATGTTTCAAGCTCTTTTCTAAAGGACCAGAGTATGTGGCCAAAGAGATGGGTTCCAGTGATAACTTGCAGCCGCAGGCCATTGGCCTAATCTTTGCGTTTCCAGCTCTTGCGACCTGTGCTGTGGCCCTGCGGATTTACAGCCGAACCTTGACAAGGACTTTTGGTGCTGGTTAGTTTGTTACTCTTGACATTGTTTTTTATACTCTACAAAATCTGACGTTGAACATGGAATAGACGATTGGTTTATTTATACGGCCTTGGTGGGTTTGACCCGGCGATCGCGCAGATCATAGTTCCAGAAGATTGACAGATTCGCAGATCTTGTATTGGGCGGAGACTTTTACATCGTACAAAGGTAAGATCTGCACACAACATGTTCGTCGGTGCGTTCTATATAAGGCTTACATATCTTCTGGCAGTCATCATCTACACATACATAGGATATAACGTCTGGGATATCCCCAAGGACTATCCGGCGGTCCTTGGTAACAAATATGCCTACGCGGTGAGTCGAAGTTACTTCCTACTACTTTCAAATGTTTATCAAATGTGTCGAAAGGGGGACCTTGACTGACATCGTTTATATCTTGAACACAAAATAGACCGAGCTCATTTACAATCCCATTTTGGCTCTCATCAAGACCTCCATCCTTCTCTTCCTGTTGCGTCTGACTGGCCAAAAGAAATCGGTGCGCCAGGCCATCTGGGGACTGTTGATCTTCAATGGAGTCGCTGCTGTCGCTACGTTCTTTGTGACGGTCTTTCATTGTGTACCAATCGCTTCCAATTGGGACTCAGCCGCATATCCTAATGCTAAGTGCATGAATTTTGCCGACTTCGTCACCGGCACAGCTTCGGTTTCTATCTTCACTGATATGCTCGCCTTGGTACTACCTACTTGGATCGTCTACGAGCTTCAGATGCAATGGAACCAAAAACTAATGTTAATCGGTATTCTATCATTCGGTCTCCTGTGAGTCACCTCAGATTCCTCAGTCGACCCCGTGCTAACAAACGCAGAACCGTTGCAGCAGGCGTCATTCGCGTTATCCTACTTGACCAATACGACCGCCATATCCCTGCAAACTACACTCATTCCGTCCTATTCTGCGTGTCCACTATTGAGGTTGGTCTAGCGTTTGTTGCTGCCTGTGCTCCCTCCTTCAAGCCCTTGATCGCGCGACTTCTCCCAAGGCTCTTTCGTGGCTCGTCGCGAACCCGGTACAACAATGGATCTACTGGTCGCAGTGGCCGTGCCCGAACTTATAACCTCGAGCACATGTCGAATTTTACCCGACGTACGCAAGATCACAATATTACCATTGTCGAGGCCGGAGAGAATGAACTGGGCTACAGCCCTACCGAAACAACCCCCAAGAATACTATCACCATGACAACACAGATGGAGGTGACTTGGGACCACCAACCTAGTGGCCAGGAACAGCATACTAGCAGTACTGAAAGCCTGGTTCATGCCAAGTAGCATGCATGTGCGCTCTGAGGTACAACTCAAAAATAATTTTCCTTATGTATATTACGTATAAACTCATAGATTTTGGGAAGTGGAGTCAGTCCAAGGCCCTGTATTCCCTTTTTCTCTCTCTTTTCTCCTATACTATAGGTTCCAAAGTAACATCGAATATGGAACTCTTCGCCGATTCGGCTAAAAAAAATATCGTTTTCAATACCGGCTCCCCTCAAACGCTCCATTAACCCAACCGAATACGAGTATCGCATCACTTGTATTGTCATCGCGTGCTCGGGTAGTTAATTTAGGATTAGCGTCTTCTTAGCGCCAGATGCGTGCCGTGCCGTTGTCGACCTTGGGAATTGAAATCTTCCGAGATTTTCCCGGGGCCGGACTATACCTCGGTAAAAAAAAAGAAAACACCGGACTTTTGACTAAAAACTCTTAGCTCTTTTTATGGCGCTTCATTGTTTCAGACTGTTGACTAATAGCGTTCTTTGAACGTTCAAAACATCAATAAATGGATAATATCGATTTTTGGCATGTCTCATCTCAAATTTATGATTCCAACACCAGATTTTCATCTGGATGCTACAGTTCTTTTGATACCTCCTGCACCTGTAAATCAATCTGAGTGACATCCTCCTCGTCCGATGATGTCGACAAACTTTTGGCTTCCTCTCGGCGCTGCAACAGATGGATCCCCAAAACCCACAGCACGAGCACCACACTACAAACCGCAGCAGCAGTAAAGCCAGGTCGAAAGCGTGGTGACTCGGCAGTCCGCCAGACAGCATCATCATACCAGATCATCATTATATAGCAAAACATGTTCGATAGCGCAATAACAAACCCACGCATTTCATGATCATGTTTCATCAGATCCGGAAACCAAGAGAAATATACACCCGGCACCCCATACGCAACCCACAAAACAAAGTAACCAAAGTATCTCGCACTCAACGGCACGTTCCAAACCAGCATAATGATAATACCCATAAAAGTTCCTGCTTGCATCACACTTATCATCTGCCACCGTCGTCCACGGAAAAGCGGAGAATCAGAGAGCATGCCAGCGGCGATCTGCGCAACAACTGCAACGGCCGATTGTCCCGTCGGGAGCACGTTGATTTTAGACACAGAGTAGCCCTCTGCCTTGAGCCATAATGCAAATGTAGGCTGCTGATTCGGACAGGCTGCTTGCACGATGAAATATCCAATGGGCAAGACCCACGCTTGCCAGCAGCGCGCGATACGGAGAATCTTCCACCTATCCCACGAGGATGTTCCCAGTTCCGCAAACCCCTCTCGAGCGAGTCTGCGGCGCGCAAGCTGGACCTCGTCGGCTGTAAGATAAAAAGCACGTGTTGTCTCGGGGAAATCGGGGTTGAAGACAAATCCCATGAGCGCACATGGTATCCCGATGATCCCACAAATAATAAAGAGCCATTGCCAGCCTGCACGACCGAGGTGTCCATTCAATCCATCATAGGCGCCTGCTTGTAAATATCCGCTGAACATGGTTGCTAGCGAGGTCGTGGAGTAGAATATGGTGACTCGTTTCGCGCGTTCGTTGGCCGTGTACCACGATCCGATCAGGTAGACGATACAGGGGAAGTATGCTGATTCGAAAAGACCGACTAGGAAACGAAGAGCGTAAAGTTGCTGTACGGTCTTTACTGCGGAGCAGCAAAATGTGCAGATTGTCCAGAGTAGTTCGCAGCTTGGGATTAGGATCGAGGGACGGACGCGTGTGACGAGAATGACGGCGGGGATCTGCCCGATCACGTAGCCGGCTGTGAAGACGTTGGCCATGTAGGTCAGCTCACTGCCGCCCATGTTGAGGGACTCTTTCATGCCGGACACGTAGGCATTGTCAATGTTGGCTTGGGCCAGGTTCTTGCAGAAGTACCCCAGACATGTGTAACTGAGTAAGAAACAGTCCAACTTGAACAAGAAGCGTTTTTCTTCGCTTGGTTTGTCGGGGTCATCCCAAACATATCGCTGAATGGTTCGCAGGGCACGAACAAAGCCACTTCTGGGCTTAGCTTGATGTGTTTCGGCCATTGTGAATGTTGGGCATAAAAATTCCAGATGTCTAGATATCAGCTTGTTTAAATAAGATCAAGGCTTGATTCGTCATTCTATGCATGTATTTGCTGACGCCATGGTGGCTGTTGGTGGCAATAGTGATGGCTTTTAGCCTTGTCCATACCTTGATCGAATGCAATAGAGAAGATAGACGGCATCAATTGATCTCGGTGGTGAATAGTCCATATTCCAAGGCTGTGTTTCTGGATAAGGATGACTATTCATTTAGTTTTCTGTTCCACAACAAAGTTAGTACGTAGCTTTTGAGAATTGACATTCGAAAAGGTTTGGAATTCTGAAAAATAGTTCCTACCCGTGGACAAAGCTTGGTATGCAAGTCAAAATCCGGTGTCTTCAATTAATGTTCCAAGGTAGATTGATTGGCTCTGAAACTCGTTCATAATGCCAGTCATGTCGTGATGCCCTAAGAAAACTCATCCCGCGCGCCGATTGCGTCAACCTGGGAACCTCGTGCATTCAAATACTCAGGCAATTAGCTTTTTCATAGTTCACCCAATAAGATTCCTATCAAATTAGCATGTCAGGTACAAATGCGGAAATTCGGAGGACCTCCGACTTTCTTGATGGACATACCCCTCCCAGGTCGGAAGACTTCCACTTACAAGGATCCAATGATCACAGTCAAGAAGATAATCAGATAACAAACCCCGCACAAAATGAACCAAATAATGCATCACTTAATCTTTTTATTCAATGATGCCATCGGGGCTTACCTATCCCCTATCGCAGAAGAAGAAACACCCTGCATGTTGCTTGAAGTCCGAACCCAACCATTCTGCATCATTCCAGAGACTTCACAACCATGTCTGTAACCTTTCAGCCTTTCAATGTGCCGAGATCACGTCAGGTATATGGGAATTCGTTCCCGTATGGACTTCGAGCTCAAGCCTCAGATGACGAGCCGACAACCCGCCCGATCGATGACTCGGTCGCTTCTCTTGCTGAACTAGCAGAATCTGGTCAAATATCGGAGCTCTTGAGGAAGCATGGCGCGGTAGTAATCAGTGGTCTGGGCCATGCATCAGGCGAAAGCTTCGCAAAGTTGATAAATGCAATTGAACGAGGTCGCGGCTCGAGACCGTACGTGCAGATCGGACTCGCAGGGAAACGAAACATAGTTGCAGAGAATGTGTGGACGGCAAATGAAGGGCCGTCAGACCGTCGATTCTATCAACACAATGAGGTTTGTTTCTCCGTGTCTTCATTTCTAATGTTTACCCTATACGATGTCAGCTAAGCTCCACATGGCGCTAGTATTCGCGGTACACTCGGTTCCCCGCCAATATCCATTTTTACTGCGAGAAAAAAGCACTTGAGGGTAAAGAACTATGCCGCATCAACTGTGTAGACATATGGCTGATATAAACCAGGTGGCGAGACACCCGTGGCACATAGTGCTCTTGTTTTCGAGAAGGTGAACGAGTTGATTCCTGAGCTGGTCAGGGATATTCAACAAAAGGGACTAGCCATGAAGATGGTGTTTCGAGCCCCAGGAAACGAAGGAAATGGCAATGAGTTTAATTGGGCCGGGAAGTATAGCTTTGGACAGGAATTTCAGCCTAGCGATGATCGTGCGACGCAGAAGTCGAAAGCCGAAATCCAAGTACAGAAATTGACACACGATTTTCGATGGGATGAGGAGGATACGCTAGAGCTGACCCAGTATATCCCTGGTATGTCTTTTCTTCCCTCGAAATTTTCACCCTTGGGTTAATCAAGACCTGGTCAGGCATTCGACGAACCCCTGCTAGCGGGCGTCCCGTTTGGTTCAATGGCTTAGCGGGCCGCTTTGGTATGACGCGTGATGTTGGGGCCTTGGATCCACCTTATGTTGGTCGCGATGGCATGAGCTGTGAGTTGTCTGAGAATATCTGGAGATCTTCATTGTGGGCTTCGGACTGATCTTGGTAGACTTACCTTGTGATTATGGGGACGGAACTCCAATTCCACGAGAGTATCTCGAAAGGCTTGATCAGGTTCTGAATGATCTTGAAGTAAATTTGGCGTTGGGGGAAGGGGATCTTCTGCTGGTTGATAATTTCCAAGTCTCGCATGGGAGAAAACCTTGGAAAGGAGAGCGCAAGATTTTGGTGAGCATGTGGGAGGGTGCATCTCCCATTGAAGCTTATTAACTCTCATCTGGTGCCATTGTTTGATGCCTTGAGTTAGGCAGATATACCTGGAACTTGAACTGTGCGGCGGCGTGCGGATGCGCGGCGCTGTCTGCTTGTGATCATTTAAATGCATACTAGTACACTGGTGGAATTGAAATTCTTGAATGAGATGTCTTCTCGGTTTCAAAATGTAACGTTATCGATTGGTCAGGATTTAATTGAAAATATTACTATCATACATTTGAATTTCATCACATGGAACATCTCATCATGATCGGAATTGCTGGATTAGATGACAAGCCATTTATCGGTGACAGCCTTTGCAGCTTTCTCATCACCGCCGAGTAAATGCAGGCATTGCAAGGCATAGGCAGCTTCACGTGTGAAATCCTCTACAAACCTTTCTGAAACCTCAGCCTGGTGTGCAGATTGATCAGCCTCACCCATTACCACATCGTTGTCATTTATTGAAGCAGATGCTTTGGCCTGTATTTTTCGGCCGAGTTGAAGCACTTTTTCATATCCCTCGATGGCAAGGTGGCCCAATCCAAGACCATGATATGCTCGTGCAAAGTTGAATTCCATCTCTTGCCGCTCTTGGAGGGTTTCTGTCTTCATTCTCACCTGTCGGTACTTGGCCATGAAAGAAAGTCCTTGCATAATCAAATAGTGACGGTTCTCAGACTGTCGCTTGAGAGAGTGGTGGATGAAGCAAAGCCCGATAGAAAGAAGCAAGGCGGGGTTTTGATCATCCAGAGCATATGCTCGGAAGAAGTAGTTCAGAGCTGGGTAGAAACTACCTCCCGAGTAAAGGATATGTCCATAAAGGATAAGAAGGGTGATGTCCAGCGAATCTGCAGGAATTCTCTCCCCAGATTCGTCCTTGGTTGTTAGAGAGGCACGCTCTTTCCAAAGGGATTGCCGGACAACACTGGGCTTGCCCGGATCGTCTGGGAGAGTAAAGTCCATTGCCTTAATCTGACGAAGCATGAACTTCATGTTTGCAGAATTGAAAAAGTGTGGCTTGTGTGGGTCACGAGACATATGGCTCAGCATGGCGAAAAGCCGATAAGTGTCAGTGACAAATTGGTACTCCTTGATAAACCACCGCGCTTCATATGCCAAGACGTATTCGTCATTGGCCCGAAGAGCACATGTAACCCAGCAGACATGAATCAAGCGCGATTTTGGCTTGGAGTGGAACCAGATACTAGCTACAGATGCAGAATCAAGTGCAGAATATGCTTCTTCGTGCTCTCCCTGTGAGGTCAGGGTCAGTGCGTACTGAAGAAATAGGTCGAGCCACTCGTCAAATGGAATTCCGTAGTACTCGTCGGGTATCGCATCTGACAAGGGCTCATCGGCACGATCATCGCCTATGGGATGGAATCAGCTCGGGACCGGGGTCAACTTATTGTCAAAAATTTTGGCCTACCTATGCTTCTCTGGATGCGACCGGCCAGCTCCTGAGCTTCGTCCAGTAAGGTGGCCCCCTTTTCTTTCTCTCTTTTATGATATCCCTGGAACTCTGTTTGTCGTGTCATGGGATAAAAGATTCGATTTGTTCGGAAATCACGAAGTAGAGCATCGGCAATGTCAAGCCAATCTTCAATAGCTTCATATACGCCTTCCTTGACTTGAGGTTCCAGCTCCTGGAGTTTTTGGAACAGGAAGTGGACATCCTCTATTCGATGAGATTCTCCCCCTGAAGGCGATTCTTGGTCAGGATTTACGGGCATCAGACCTGCAAATGCCTTGGTTGATTTTTGCGGGTCTACTCCAGACTCTGCGGCTTGCCTGAATTCAGCTGCAAGCTGCTCGATTCTGGCGTCTTGTCTGCGCCGGGATCTACCTTCCTGTCGCCCAAGTAACACGGCCTCGTTGATGTACTTTAATGCCTGGTCGCTCATGCCAAGGCTTTCATACAACTTGCCAAGTGCAATTCGCGATTCCATATGTCTCGAGTCATGCTCAGCAACAGTGAGATAGCCAGTTTCGGCCTCTTCCCATTTCTCGAGTTGCATACAACAATCGGCCATCGCCATGAAATAGCTGATATCTGCATGCTCCTCAGTCTCTTGGATCGGTGAGTAGAAGCGGAAGGCTTCTTCTGGCAATCCACAATCCTTCAAGGCATCAGCGACCTCGCGGAAGAGATCTCCAAAGTCGAAGACGCGGGCACCTTCCGAACTATCCTCCGGATTCAACCATTCAAAATGATACAGGGCTTCTTCGTGGTGTTTGTGGCCCATTTTGAGCCTAAAAATCCCCATTTTGATGCGAAGCTCGAGAGGGAGTCCAAGTCCATACGAGTCCAGGGGCCAGCGGCCAGGCACGTACCCGTTGGTCTTAATACGACGAGGAGAATCGTTCGAGTCCCATTCTCGATCATCGTCCTCAAAGTTATCCCAAAGGGAGTCATCTCCACGCCCCAGCAACCACCTTGAAATGGACTTTAAAGCATGGAGTCCCTGAACAGGTTGACCAGCAAGGCTGAAAAGCTCGACATAAATGTTGACCTCGGACCAGCTAAAACGGGTGTCCTGGGGGTCAAGAGACTTGTAGAACTCCACGCTATCGACCCAGTGGTCAATGGCTTTTTGGACTTCATTGAGGTCGATGTAAATTTCCGCCAGGTGACGAAGCGCTTTTGCATTATGTGGTCGATCTCTCAATATACGTTCATACTCCGCAGCTGCCCTGCCGTTGTACAAGAGTTCACGATAAATCGCAGCCCTCTGGTACCGAATGTTAAAGTTCCGGGGCTCAATATCCAACACGCGACTGTAGCAATAAATAACGTCGTGCAATGCCCTTTGGCGGTCTTCACCGGCGCGCTGCAAAATGAGTCGAGCTACCTTGAGCCATACACCGGAGTCCTTGGGCCGAGTGTGAGCGCCATTAAAGAGAGCGGCCAGAGCCTTATCTTTCTGACCTTGAGCTAGGAAGATTTCGGAAAGCAGGGAATGAGCAGGGAACATTTCAGGGTTGTTCTGGATTGCAAGCATCACCCGATCCATGGCTCGATCGTAGTCGCCATCAATAAATGCTTCCGTGGCTTCTGAGTGTAGTATCTTGAACTCTGGCCCAGGTTCCATGGGCTTGCGGGGACCTCTTTTAACGCCTTTCTGACCACGGGCTCCATAGCGGCCTGAGAAGCGTCCACCGCCTCGACGTTGGCGTCGACGTCTTGCATCAGAATCAGAATCATCGTCTAATGGCTCTTCGTCCTCGCTGAAACCGTTGTCAGTTACCAAGAATCTTGAGTAGAAACAGAAACAGAAACATACCTCTCGCTTTGGTCTTCCAAGACATACTCCGAGTCATCGTCTCCTTCGTCCGACCCAAATATGACAGGATTGATGTCGTCTTGACTCTCTTCGGAAATATCACTATCATCATATTCTTGGATTCGATTCTGGCGTTGGGGTGCATGTTCTGCACCCTGGGAGTGCACGTTACTTTCAAACAGTCGAGGATCAATTGCTTGGGCAAAGACATCCTCGGGGACGAATGACTGGGGCTCGTTTCCCTGCCATGGATAGTGTACTTCTTCATCAATTTCAGGGTAGGCAGTGTAATCATCCGAATGACCCATCGGGGTATCTGAATCTGCCATGGCGACCAATGACGCGAGGAATCAATCCACTAATGCATGTAACCAAAGCGAATGGGGAAAAATCAAGATGGTATTTCTCCAGCCTTCCTTCAATGAATAGCAGGGAGAAAGTGATAAATCGAAAATGTAGTGAAATCAATCCTTGGCGCTGGGACCATGGCCCAGACCACGCGTATAGAAGTCCGAAGCGCGCACTTGGAGAGCTCTCTTGTCGCGGGCGGTTCGGTTCAGATGCAGGGGTGAATATCCATAGTAGGAAAGCTCCACCCAAGGCGTCTAAAAAGGCAAAAAGATTTGGAGAGGTAAGTGAGAAGAACTGAATAGACCCTATTAGATAAAAGAACAAGGAAAATCAAATCAACTTGGTTTTTTTTTCCTTTCCCATTCCAGATTTCGCCGGGAACCCGTGATCGCCTTGAAACCGAAACACACTCGCTTTTTCTGCCGCAATTTCTCTTCTCTCTCCTCTTCTCCACCCCCATCTCTTTCTCGACCTCTTCCCCTTTCACCACGGTTTTTCTTTCTTTTATTCTTGGTTCCGGGACCGACTGGGCTTGCTGTGTTTGACACACTATTGCCTCCCTGGTCCTGACTTTCCTTCGTTCGGACCTAATAACCGCCAATCTCTCTACCCAGGTAGTGCCTTCTGGCCTTCCGCTTCCTCCTGAGGTGCAGCCCACTGGACTGGTCTGTGCCCCATTACTTGTCGCCTGGAACTCGGGATTTGGGCTTTGCGGATATCTGTCGAGTCCTTCGGTCAAGGATATTTGATTCTATTTCATTACGCAAACTCAGCAGGTGCTGCAGGTGTTTTGCAGTAATCTTTTCCACCCCACGCTGTATTTACATATCGGAATTTCCAACCAAAAGTCAGAAAGACTCCATTAGATATGGCTAGCCATATCATTGGAAATCGCAACAGCACCCCGGAAGCCGCTCCGAACTCCACTCTGCGTCCTCCATCGTCCGCTCGAAACCTCGGATCGCACCAGCTGCGAGCGTCAGCAGACATGTCCGGATTCCCTTCGCCGCTTTCCTCACGCAGTATGCGTCCATCCTCGGAGGTTTTCTTCAATCAACAGAGTCAGAATTCGACGGAGGATGCGTTGGACAGGGCAGCTCAACAATGGCTGGCGGATATTGATCAGAATGAGACCACACTCGAGGAGATGGCAGCCGCTACGCTGGACCAGGATTTCAAGGATGAGCTTAGTGCTATCGAGCAGTGGTTTCGCGTTCTGAGTGAAGCAGAGCGCACTGCAGCCCTATATGCATTGCTGCAACAGACCACCCAGGTGCAAATTCGGTTCTTCATCCAGGTTCTGCAACAGATGTCTCAAAGTCACCCGATGTCCGGGATTCTTTCTCCGGCTAACTTCGGCGAGAAGGGTATGACCATCAATTTTTTCTAAACAAAAAAATTACCTTGCCTGGCTGGAATTTACTTAAGCTAACGTTTTCTCCGATATCTAGATGCTATGTCTAGTCGCTTAAGTGATGCCATGTCTAAGCTTAACATGGACACATCACGAAACTCCCTGGGTCGGCCCCCACCATCTCCCGGCGCCAAACGCAACTCGGCTCTCGATCCCTCTACTATTAATGCCATGTTTCCGGATGCCGCGGCTGCGATTGCGAAGAAGAAAGCGGAATTCACCCAGCAAACCGGCAATGCACCTCCCTCGAACCGCAACAGCTTGGTCTTCGGAGAGCGTACCTCGTTTGTTGCTCCCACCATTTCGGCGCCTGACAATGACAGCCTGAGCCAGCCTCCGGCGTCTCCTTGGGCCCAACGTGGTGGCCTTTCGGACACTCAGCCCCCGATTGCCCGCCCGAAGTCCTCCTCGGGCCATCAGCCCATGGGCCAGTTCAGCCAACCCTCCGCTTCGGGCCTTCGTTCTCCCCTTCCTCAGACCGCCACAATTCCTGCTCCGGATATCGAGCCTCCTTTGCTCTCGCCATACAATGTTGGGAACCACAGTTGGGCATCGATGACCAACACCCCGATGACCGCAACCTTTGGCCAGCAAAGTCAAGGCAATTCCCAGGCCGATATGGTGGCCAATGCGACCGCTATGAAGCTGGCAGCTTTGTCCACGGTGAACAACCGTATTGCCCTTGATGATGCCCGCAAATACCGCCGGTCCCGGTCCAATGATGGTCAGGGACGGAACTCCGTTAACCAGGCCATGTCCCAAGGCTTGGCAAGTCCCGGTCTGCCTGGATCCAACCCTATGGCTGGACAGTTCCTGAACGCCCAGCAACTCGCCGCTCTGCAGGCTCAGCAGCAAGCTGCCATGGCGGGTCGGCGGTCTCGCCCCACATCTCCCGGCATTGCCATGCAGGGTGCTGGTGCACTCGGTGGCATGAACTTTACCTCTCCTCAGAACAACGGATTCCTCGCGGCTTACGACCCAAACAACCCGTTGATGGGCAACGGATTAAGCTCTCTGGGAATGGGGCAGTTCGGCTTGGGTGGTGAAGGTTATCTGTCTGATCATTCCGAAGTCACTCGTGGACGCTCGCCCCGTGGTCGCCGAGGCAGCTCAAAGCCGCCGGAGGACCCCACGGACCCTACTCTTCTGAAGGATATCCCCAGCTGGCTGCGATCCCTTCGGTTGCACAAGTACACGGATAATTTGAAGGATCTCAAGTGGACCGAGCTGGTTGAACTTGATGAGAAGGCCTTGGAGGACCGTGGAGTCAACGCACTGGGTGCCCGGAACAAGATGCTAAAGGTAAGACTTTTCCGTGTTGGATGTCCAAATGCAACAATACTGATTCCCTTTTTCTTTTTTAGGTTTTCGAACAAGTCAGAGAAGCTCAGACTGATGGCAAGCTTGAAAACATCATGTGATGACAGCCTTTTATGCATGAAGCATGGCATATGGTAACTATTACGAGCTTCCTGTGGAACCCACGTAGGAACCTATGCCCAGCGATCTCATGGAATTGGCATCTTTATTCCATCATTATGCTTACTTTTTCTTTCTTTCTCTTCCTTTTTCAAACTTTTTTTTATCATTCGTTCTGTGATCTTTTGATTCACCCTAATATGATGATGGATGTGGGATTCGGCATGTATCAAACGCAGTGATGTCAAGAAACGGATTCATGAGGGAAATTCGGGCTACTGAACATTGAAAATGGCTGGGGTAATCGTAGATATCTTCGAACATGGTTTTGTTCTATTGTTCAGTCCAATTATTTTTTTTCCGGTACATACTAGTAACGTCAATTTTGTTTTGTCTGATTCAAGTGTATTCTCTGGTTTGTAGCATAAGGAAAGTAGTACTCTAGGAGTCTAGGTGATAGTGGTCCGTGCACCTTCTAGAAAGCCGCGCCAAACCTCCGCTCCGACCTCATCTCTCCACGTCGACCCTCATCTCTCCCCACCAGCTCTGGACTCGCCCATTGCAACTTCAAACTTCAACTTGAAGCTGGGCTGCTCTTAGTGGAACCATTACATTCCATTATCCGAATCCACATTACCGCGTATAGCCATTCGAGCATAAGCAATTACAACGCCGATTCTCAAAGTACGACAACGAACAAAAAGAAACCCCAGAACAACAACCTTACAACGAGGAAGATACTCCTAGATCGCAAAAATGGCTCCTACAAAGCAGGAGCTCTCCCTGATTATCAACCCTCTCGTCCCAGAGGCTGTCCAGCATAACAACCGAGTACGTAACATTTCACCCCTCTCCCGAACCAACCTCCTTACACTACCACCCTTAAATCTCGTCGCTACGTTTGTTCCAAACCCAGTACAAAAGCTAACACCATCTAGGTCCTCTCCTCCCTCCACAGCCTAACCTCCTTCCTCCTAGGCCTCAGTGCCGGAATCCTCGCCCTCCAATCTGCGGGCGGCTTTATCTTCTACTTCGCCGGTACGGTCCTTGTTTCCGGCCTCTTCCACCTAGTCCTCATCCAGCGCTCCGGTGGTGCGGGAGCAGGTGCTTTCTTCCCCGGTGCCGGTGGCGAGATTGATGGTAGTATTGAGATGGATGCTAAGTCTGGTGTTGTGAGTATGGATCTTGGAGGGAGAAAGGATCGGAGGCGCTTTGTGCTGAGGAAGGGGGCTTGGAGGGATGTTTGGTTTGGAGGCGGTGTTGTTTCTGAGGCTTTGAGTGGATTTGTGCTTGGGTGGGCTGGTGTGGGCGGTGTTCTGAGGTGATTCGTCTTTTTGCTTCAAATATCTTTGCTTGTTTTTTTGTTCTTTGGTATGGATTGGTTGAGGGGATACCTACTAGTAGGTACTGGAGGAGGTATCATGGGGGTCTGTTTATAGAGAGATGAAAATGACATACCAATCTTTCCACGTCTGGCTTCAACGGCTGTTTGATTTTACCAGTAGGTACATATCAAGATCACACTTTTGTGAGTGAAACCAATCTTCCAGACTTAATTTGGAACATTGAATCGTTCATGCTACAGTGGTATTAGACATAATCAATTGATGGGCCATCTAGTCCAAATGATAACGATACGTGGATTACGCAGTACTGGTACATTTAAGCGCTACGAAAGAAACAATTTGAAATAATCAATGCAATCTAGTATTGTATTCAAGTCGAAAGGGTATCCCTAGTAAATATTTAACGAGGTATCTAGGCAGAAAAAAAGGCCCATTGTCCCGTAAATCCGTCCAAATTCCCAACCAAACAAAACGCCAGGGCATAAAAAGGCCGTAAAACAAAAAACAAAACATGTGTGGGTAGGGACAAATGGGGGGTGTATCAAGGCATCAAATGGGGTGGTGGTAGATGAAGAAAATAGAGATTAACAAGTCATAAATCCGGGCATATCATGTGGACTCCAAGCCAGGGACGGTCCGTGATTAATGCAAGACAATATGCAATGAAAAACATGTCGAAAAAAAAGTGTAGTGTGCAAGATTTCATCGCGAACATTTAGTGGATCTCCGGGATCACATCCGACGAGTTGGCAACGGCACTTTGCAGGGCGGCGGTCAAGTCGATGTGGAAGAAAGGTCGGTTCATGCCTTGGACCAATGCAACCTTGCGACGGCCACGGTAAGCCTTGCTGTCCTTGAGGTCGTGTTGCAGCTGCTTGTCCTCGGTGATGATACCACTGTCCTGGGAGTGAGAAGAGGTGGACTCGATGGTCTCCGTCTCGCGCTCTACAGTTGAGCCAGACTTGGTGATGTTGGCCTCGATATCGTGCTTGTGCAGGGCCTGTTCGCGCTGGTTGTTGATCATCTCGGCGTGAGCGGCGGCGGAGGCACTGCCCTCGATCTCGGCGACACTGAAGATGGGTTTCCAGCGGTGGAAACCGTCGCTGGAGGTCGGGGAGGGGAAACCGAAGCCGGCGGCGGAGAGGGCGCGCTTGGTCCAGCGGTTGTTGATGTGGGCAAAGTGCCACTGCACGGTACGGGGAGAGGCATACAGATCCAGCTGGTTGCGCACGTCGATGAGGTTCTGAACGGAGGTGGTGTCCACGTTGTTGACAGAAGAGAAATCCAGGATAACGGCCTGCAGGAGCGGGCGATCATCATTGGTCTCCTCGTGTTCTCTGCCAGGACGTGGGCCCGGGTCGTTCCAGGGACGGTCACCACGGCGAGCGTAGGCGTGTGGGTTTGTGCGGCGGGTACCCTTGAAAATGGTCTGGACCAAAGCATCTGTGTAGTGGTTGGCGTTGGGGTAGTTGAAGCCCTCGGAGAAACGGTAAATGAAGATACCGGGGTAAGGCTGCTCGAGCTCGATATCGGGGTTGGAACCGTCGGCATGGTTGACAGGAAGGAAAATCGAGCGGTGGTGGTGCTCGTCGTGGTCAGGAGGAGTGTTGTTGTTTCCAAGAGAGCCGTATTTTCCATCGTTGTCCAACAGGTGATCACCAACCACGGAGTGAACGGTAACCCGACCAAGGAACTGGCCACGAGCCTTGGCGGCACGGAACAGCAGCACAGCGACGGATACACAAACGGTGCAGTAGATACCATCTTCAATGGAAGTGAAAACAGTGACGAGAACACCGATGAAGAAGATCAAGACATCAAGCGGGGAGACACGCCAGAACTGGTAGACAGTGTTGGGCGAAGTAATCAAATCACCCACAGCGTGGATGATGACACCGGCCAGAGAGGCCTCGGGGATGTAGTAGAAAACCGCAGTCAGGGCGTAGATGGCCAGAAGCACAACAACAGCGGTAATCAGACCAGCCAGAGGGGTCCGCACACCGGCCTTGGACTTGATAGCAGTCCGGGAGAAAGAGCCAGTGGAAGGGTAACCACCCAGGAAAGGACCGAGCAAGTTGGCAACACCAATGGCGACGAACTCCTGCGAGGGGTTGATAGTGTAGTTGTTGACACGGCCGAAAGACTTGGAGATAGCAATGTGCTCAATCAAGAGAACGATAACGGCAGCTGGGAGCTGGCTGGTAAAGGCCTTGATAATATCAACGTTCATATCCGGCACGCCGGCACCAGTGAAACCGCGAGGCACATGGCCCAGCAAACTGAAAAGAGGCTTCTTGCGGTGCAAGTTGACAGCCGCACTGATCATGGTGTAGAACAGAATGACAAACACGGTGCGGAGAGTCGAGGCGAAGAACCAAATTCTCGCCTTGTTCGGGTACTTCTTTGCCATGTAGGTGCAACCGGAGCGGATGAGGTACAGCATCGCACAAGCGCTGACACCCATAGCGGCATCAAGACCCGCAGTTGGGAGGTATTTGAGGGTGTTAATGATCACCAGGTAGGTCGCATCACGGGTGGAGAAGGAAGCGGTCTCTCCAAGCATGGTCTTAACCTGTCCAGCGGCAATGTTGATGGCGGAACCAGTCATGAAAGCTGAGATAGCGGGGAGGGGAATGAAATCCACGATGAAACCCAGACGGATCATTCCAAGGAAGAAAACGATAGCACCCAGGATCACAGCGAGACACGAGGCAATCGCATGAGCGGGATAGTCAGGGTATGTGGCCTGGACCTGAAGCACAATCGTACCGGTCAGGGTAGACATGACAGCCACGGGGCCAATGGTAATATCCTTTGAAGTCGCAAAAAACCAATAGATCAAAACACCCATAAATGAGGAGTATAGTCCGTATTGCACGGGCACCTCGGCCAATTTAGCGTAGGCCATACCCTGTGGCACCACAACGGCACCAACAGTGATACCTGTAAGAAGAGAAAAAAAAGTTTTGTTAGACAATCAATTGCAGACGACACGATCATCACATGGGTTTAAAACGCTTACCAGCTACCAAATCACCCATAAGCCATTGCAAGTTATAGCGAGTAATCCATGTCAAGAAGGGAAACAGGCTGATAAAGTAATCGGCAACCTGCTTGCCAGTGGGAGTAATCTCGCAAATCCATTCAATGCTGCTGGGCTCTGGTTCGTTGTAGGCACAGGTATCAACGGTGCCGACGGAGAAAGTCGACTCGCCTCTAGTGACAGCGTCACTGGGGCCCATAGGATCTCTGTAGGCGACCTTGATACCGAGACCCTTGGCCAGGCCACGGCCAATCTTGTTGGCAGTTTCACCCATAATGAAACCACCGGGGTATATTAGGGAGAATAGGAAGATATATCAACCGAAGCAAGCAACGGTGACGGAAGTAAACCGGGAGGACCGGGGGGAAGAGTTGAAGGTTTGGGAGTGACAGATCGGAAAAAAAAAAAAACGTGGTGATGGGGTCGAGGATATAAATGTCAGACGAGATCAAGCACTATCCATGTCGACCATACACAAGCGACGTAAAGTTAAACTGGATAAGGGGCAAACGACAAAAGGTCGGTTTTTTTGGCGTGGGCTAGATGTGGAGGTGTTGAAAGGTGTGATCCGGGTGTCGATGGCGTAATATCTAACTCCCCAGATTTCGATCAATTTCAGTTGGAAAGAAGCCACGCACAGGTCGCTCTTTTAAAGTAATGAACCTTTTTGACAGGGATTATACGGGAAGAAAAGAAAAAAGCAAAGCTCAGAAAAGAACAGAAGACCGAAGCGTGTTTCCCAAGTTCCCACCGATGATCTCAAAAAAAGCCCACACGGTTTACCCCCAAGTGGAACCGGCTGGTGGACTCTTGGGGTCTGGAAGCGATGGTTGAATGACGAAGAAGCGTGGAGCCGGTTCAAAGGTTCTTCATACAATGGCTATTTTACTCTTTTTATTATGGGACATCAATTGATCAGATTATACTGTAGTGATTAGGGTTCTGTTTTTGGAGATATGCAGTGTGACTCTGGACGAACTCTTCCCAGATCTGATTATAGTATGTAATACGAATAGCCATCTCGAATGGCTTCCTACTCCAATTTCCTCTATTTTTTAATCATTTTTCTTTCTTTTTCTTTTTTTATCCTTGATTTAATTCTCTTCTTTTTTTTTTTCTCCATTTACAGTATGACTAAGGAAAGAATCGCATGCAGGGAAAATCATGACATAAGCTTCCCGCCAAGCCTCGGCGGTGACGAATCACGGCATCCACGCGGGCGTGGATGATCGTCCATGGGTCCCACAGACCAATCAAATCTCCGAATGATGGTGAAATCACCCACGCTGATGGTGACACCAAGATGAAATTTCGCCCAGTTCCACGTTTTGACAGACGACGAATGATGACTGCGACGCTCCCATTCTGTTCTTTTCCCTTCTCCACGGAAGAATCGCAATCCCTCCGCGTGGTGCGCGTGGTGGGTTCACATGGTCCATGGTCTTCCTGTTTGGTCTGGCCTTCGTATACCTGTCTCCGATGGGAAGAGCAAGGAAGTGGGAAATACGATGAGTGGGGCCCATAAAAATGCCCTAGTTGCCGCGTCCCTCGTCCGCGTTAGCTCTTTTGCCATCAAAATGGGTATCCACCCACACAACTCTCAGTCCGCGCTTGATAGGGGGGGGGGCCAAGAGGGTAAATGGAGATTGGGTTTACCGGTGTTTACTACTCTATTTGTTAGGTCCCTCGGACCACTGGGGGAACATGCCCGTTCGCTATACTGTACTAGGTATACCATTTTACTCTTTACAACTATAACGTGAATAGTACACAACAAACTTCTAGTTAGAGTCACTAGTAATAGCTTGTGCTAGATATACCATGTACCCCGTGCTTGGGACCCTTCCCGAGTTCTGCATAAGCTGGCTTATTTTAGCCTCATGTGCACTCAAAACTACACACTAGTACCTTGAATCTATAGCAATGATGCCCGATTTCCATATATTTCGCGCACACGATCGGCCCAAGAAGTTAAACCCTTGATCGGCCCACCTCGTAACGTCTTGGGTTTCTCTTTCTTGCCTCAAACTGCGTCAAATCTCCCGGGAGGAATCCGGAGATCCTGGTGTCTTAGACCGAACTTCACCTTGATTTGGATTCAAATGTTGTACATTTGACACCGTACAATTTCCGAATGGGCGTTAGTCTCTGTTAGATTGTTAGACATTTGTACGGATACTCCGAGGTATGCAATATGCAATATGCAATATGCACCCTTTGCCCCCCACTAGCAGTCTCGCAATACCGATCCAAATCACGTCATTTAGCTTATTACGGGCCCATAACCTAAAAGTAACGAGACGAGTCTCTGGGTCTAGTGCGTGTCAGGTCAAGCTTGAAGTTATTAATCTGGTGGCTGCTCCGAGATTTCATTACGCCCGACTTCAGCTCAGGCCATTCCGTGGCATGGTTCATGCCTCTCTGAAGTTTGATCTTTTTCTTGGATCATGCAAGGTCGATTTGCTTTTTTTGCCCCCTTTTTTTGCTTTTGATATTTTTCAGATCTCGTGTTCATCTCTCACCTCATTATACATTGAAATTGCTAATGTGTAGTCTCACCCAATCCATAACTGAAAGTGAACGGTTATATCGACCTCGCGCGATGTAGATCCCGCGTGGCTTACTCACGTGGGCAGTGTACATATTTCCCGAATAACCCAACCAATCGTACACGGGGAAGCCCAAAAAGCTTCAGCTATTGTGCCTTGACATACGAAGAATTTCAGCCATCCGAGACGCCATCATGTGCCTAGTCGGCTCGCTTGGCCGAAGCGAACTGAACACACCATTCGCCTGCTGCATGGCGTATATCCCGCTGCTATCGCGGCGAACTCGATTATTTCCAGATGTCGTGTTGCCTCTTGCGCAAACCAGGGTCTTTGCGTCTCCTCTGTTCCTGCCGCTGCTGAACTACACGTCAAAATCTACATCCTGCCCACAACGCAGCCTTTTCTCTTTGTTTGCCTCTTTTCACTAACATCATTTGGCTCATAATCTTGCCACATCTTTTAGATCACTGCAAAGATCGGACATTCAATCACGAAATCACTCATGTACCTACCTCTACACAGACCCCTCGATCCATCGGCCACCTCTCTTTCCCCCCAAAACTGATTCATATTCGTGCGCCGTGATGTCAGCCATGGCCAACTGATCTTGGTTCGATATTATCCTGTATTTGCAGGGCCAGAATACCAGACTTCCTCGTTCCTCGGGGGCGAACAACCTTGCGGGATTATACGATATCGCCATATCTCATTCTACGAGTGCCAAGCATGCACTGTTGCGCTGTTAGAGGCGATTCTCTTTAAGCGATCTCCAACATGGCATGGATCGGAAATGAGATTGTTCCAAAAAGTCTGGATCTGAGATACAAAGTGGCAACAAAGGCAAGAACAGGTATGCGGGGGAAGGGTTTTAGCGAGATGAGTTCATGTAGGGTGCAGATGTGCACATAACCATCCAATCCTATGTTGCACCTGTGCAACAGTAGCTCTTCCAAATTCTGGAGTATTGGGCCTTTTTATTGGTTGCTGATATCTTACTTTCTTGATTGGGTCTAGTCTTAGGTACTTTTAATCTATCTAGGCGGTTGCGACGAATATCTCTTGATCACGAAATTTCGAACTTGGAAATTTCCGTGTTTTCCAAAGTGGCAAAGGCTTCCTTTTACCATGGGAGGACTAGTTGAGAAAATACCAATGACCACAATCATTCTATTTCCCGATGGTGACGTCTGGACAGGTGGACTGCTATCACCCACCCAGGAGAAGGGAAGAACCAAAGGCCTTGACGAGCCCTGTTTGAGTGAAAGAAAGCAAACTCAGAATGCAATTCCCTGGTGGGTTTAAACAAGACAGAACTTGAGCAGAGAAGTGTGGCTGTTTTGACATGCGTTCAAACCTCAAAATGCTCACGGCTTTTTGAGCTGCTCAATATGGATCACACTGTATATTTACTACGGCCTTCGACTCGAATATTACATAGACAGCTATTTAATGTATATAACCAAGGAACATTGAAAGTCATCTAAGATGCCATTTTTTATTAGATCGACCTTTGATCATTTAGACACATCAGAGTGGAGGGAGTTGAAATGAGAAAGATTACAAGGTTCCACACTGGTTGGTGTGTTATCATAGGAGGTGTGGTTAACCTTAGAAATGATCTTATACATACTACAGTCTGACACCTCACAGTTGTTGTTCTCTTCTTTTAAAGCTTCTTCCTTCTATCTACCTCGCCAACGGAGCCTTTCTATATCAAGTCCGCCTGATAGGGAAAATGTACTATTTACATACATATATGGGAGGGTACACCACCAAGGTCAGTTCCTGTCCCAAGGGTCCTCTGATTTCACATATGTACAACGTCTGGGACATTATGGATTCCGAGAAAGTTTTGCATCTTCTTTTCTATAACCTTGCCAACGTCAAAGCACTGGTGCTTATCATCCTATCCTCCCTGACCACTGCCCCATATATCGGAAAGACATTATTCGAGATATTTATTGGCGACATCCATGGATGCACCCACACACATATGCACAATGGACGAAGGAGATTTGACTGGGCCTGAGACCTCGATATTGATACGGGCGGCGTGGACATATCCCGTCACCAAACACCTACATGTATACCCATTGATGTATTTATACCTAATAGGTATATTTCACGTGTAGGGCTGTTACCAGGGCTCACCAGGTGTCTCTCAACCTTGGAAATGTTATCATGTACACATAGGCAGCCCTTCTACCTACTACACATGTATGTAGCTTGAGGTATTCTACCTTAACATTTGAAGGGTACATTAATGTTTACAGTTACTACTTGGTTTGAAAGCAAGGCATATGCTAATGAACAATGCATTCAGGTCAAAATCCACGCAAAGTCTATTCAGGTCATCATCAGTGCAGGCTAGAGAAAAAAGAAGACAAAAAAGAAAACCCATCATGAATCACCCAAAGATCCCGTTCAAAACCGAGACCGAAATCATGGAAGAGAGAATGTGGGAGAGACAAGGCAACAAATCTTTTTGAGGGCTGCCTTTACAATCTGGGACTGCTGCATCATGGTCTCATCACACCTCTTTATCTTGTCTATCGCATCTCACCTGTCAGCCTGATTTCTCAAGACAGAAACAGATATATGAGCGCGAAAACAAGAAATGAAAAGGAGAAGAAACAGAGTATAATGGATGGATGAAGTTGAGGTTGAGTGTAAACAGGGGAGGTAAAGATTACACATGACACAAAGAGGAGGGGGAAATAGAGAGAAAAAAACAAAACACAGAAGATACAGATGAACCTGTGCCATCTTCCAAGTCTCGGGAGCAAACGCCATCGCAAAGCAAAATAAAAGATAAGTTAAGTCGAAGAAATCTCTAGGAAGATCGACTTGTGATCAGGTAAGTACCACCTATCCCCAACCCCTTCGCATGGTATCATAAGCAAAGTTTCATCAGAGGACCTGGCATTTTGACCTTGCCCGATCACGACGTTTTGTGGCCGCGCATTTACTGGGAAGCGCACTGCACGCGCTCAGCACCGCCGGGAACGTCGTCATCATCCTCGTCCATAGCACCAGCACCGTGGGCACGGGCCTGGGAAGGCTCGCTGCCATCGATACCCTCAATCTCAAAGTCCTCAACCATAGCATCGGCTGGGGGTTGGGTCTGGTGGACACGGGGAGGGAGAACCTTCTCGAGGAGGTCGAGGTTCTGCAACTGATCCTTCTGGGGGAACTTGACGTCGAACTTGATGTACAGGTTACCGTGGTCGTGGTGACGGAAAGAAGGCATACCCTGACCCTGGATAACCTTGATGGCATCTAGAAGAGAATCAATAATCAGCAAACTATCTCACGGAGAGGTTAGGAGAAAAGGGGAGACATACCGGGAACGATAACCTCGCCGGGGGCGATGTTGACAGTCATCCATCGCTCGTCAAGGTGCTCAATGTGGATAGTGCCACCGGCAAGCGCGGTGAGAAGGTCAATCTCAGCCTGGTAGAACAAGTCGTCGTTCTTGCGCTGGAAGCGGGGGTGGGGCTTCTGCTCAATCTCGAAAACCACATCACCGGGAAGGACACCAGGCATCTGGTCACCCTCACCACGGAACTCAATCTTGTGACCGTCACGAACACCCTTGTCAACGTGGACGTGGAGAACCTTGCGCTCGACAATGGTCTTCTTTCCGCTGCAGCGCTTGCAGCGATCCTTGTCGCGGATGATCTCGCCCTCACCGTTGCAGTCGGGGCAGACGGTCTGGAAGCGCTGGATCATGGGACCCATCTGGCGCATCATAGTCTTCATACCGGAACCACTGCAGCCAGTGCACTCCTTGACGGCACCATCCTTACCACCGCGGCCATCACAGCCGGCACAGATAACGGACTTCTGAAGAGCCAACTTCGAAATCTTTCCCTTGTAGATGTCCTCCAGGTTGACCTTGTGAACGTGGTGAATTGTGCGGGCCTTCTTTGGGCCTTGGTCACGCATGCCACCGCCGAACATGCCGCCGAAACCACCACCGCCGCCACCGAAGAACTGGGAGAACAGATCCTCAGCGTTCATACCACCGCCACCACCACCTCCGTGCTCAAGACCCTCTTCACCATATTGATCGTAGACCTGACGCTTCTCGGCATCGGACAGAATCTCGTAAGCGTGAGAAAGCTCCTTGAACTTCTCAGCGGCATCCGGGTTATCGGCGTTCTTGTCTAAAGAAGGCAGAAAAAAAAACGAACGGTCAGTTTAATATTTCTTGGTGCAGGTTTTGGGTGACTGGGCACATACCAGGGTGGAACTTGAGGGCACCCTTCTTGTAGGCACTTCTCAACTGAGCCTCAGTGGCCGTGGGAGCAACCTATCAAAGCAAAGAAATTTGGTTAGTCTTCACTCGCATCAATCGAGAAAAGATTATATTTCGACGTACGCCCAGGCAATCATAGAGCTTGGTATCTTGAACCATTGTTGTAATGTCGTAGGAAAGATAGAGAGGGGTCAAGAAATCTTCGGGATCAAGTATAACAGATTATTGACCCAAAGGATAGAACACAAATCAACACAAGATGTTGAAGATGTGGGGGAGGGGGATGGGAGATTGGTGGTCAAGGAAGATTGAATATCGCGGGATAAGAAATCAGGAGCCCGACTTTGGCTGAGTAACTTTTTTTCGAATTCAGGTACTGTACAGAGATCGTAAAGTAACCCAAAATAGATTACCAGGGCCAGAAAAACAGAAACTTTGGTTGCAGGGCGATTATAGATTCCAGTAGTTCTAGTCTAGATGAACAGACTGAGTATTTTTTCCCCCTTTCAGTCTATAAATACCAGTTCGTCTATTCACATTAATACCTGCTACATTCCTCTTTCTGACGGTTTTCAGGCTTCCTTTGTGAAATGATTTAGGCCCGAGCGTCGAATCGACGGAATTCTGCGGCCTTCTATGTGCTTCCGTGGATTTCCATGCGTTTCTGCTGTATTGTGGCTGTAAAAAATACCGCTGAGTAAGGCTGGATTTATGACAGGGCCATGGTTTGCCAGCGCCTTAACAAAGAGAATCACAAGCTGGAAGGCGAAAAACACATGAAGACCCTTAACCCCGTTCCAAGGTTACTAACTCCTAAGGGTTTTTCCAATGGCAAATCAACATTGACTTTTCAAAGATTCACAATACTAACAAGTTTGGTTTCAAGTGGAATAAAAATTAAAAAATCAGACTAAATTTTCAAGGGCCAACTGTTATCCCCGCCACATCCTAAGCCATAGAAAAAGCCACAGTTCTTATCGATAAGCAGGAGGGGAAAAGTTCTGCGATCCACTTTCAAATCCTCAATCGTCATGATAGAAAGCGGGACTCGCCGCAAAGGAAAAAAACTTTCAGTAGATAGCGTACAGATAAAGTCAATGTTCTCCTATAGTTCTCCAATCTACTCCGCATTAAATTTCCCTTTCCCATCCCTTTCATAACTATAATACCACCATGGAACAAGATCCCGGATTCATTGCTGCTGTGGAGGAAGCCACTAAGGGCGCCGCAGATGGCGGTGTTCCCATTGGTGCTTGCCTGGTCTCCAAGGATGGCAAGATCCTGGGCCGCGGTCATAATATGCGGGTGCAGAAAGGAAGCCCCGTTCTGCACGTGAGTACTATACCCTCATTCTATGGATGCTCATTACTATGTTCTCCATACTAGACTCTATATTCGGTCTATAATATAAAAACTCCGGACCTATATCAATGCTAATCGGGAACCTTCGCTAGGCCGAAATGTCCGCGCTGGAAAACTCCGGCCGTCTCCCCGCATCTGCTTACGAGGGCGCTACCATGTACACCACCCTGTCTCCATGTGACATGTGCACCGGAGCTTGTCTTCTCTACAAGATCAAACGTGTCGTCATTGGCGAGAATGTGAGCTTCATGGGTGGTGAGGAGCTGCTGCGCAGCCGTGGCAAGGAGGTGGTCGTGCTGGATAACCAAGAGTGCAAGAATTTGATGTCCACATTTATGACGGAGAAGCCGGAGCTCTGGTAAGTTTCTGTCCTCTTTTTAAAAATCGGTTCTATCGTCTTCCAAGCAGAAATAAAACCTTGGAATGTGTCTGTGCTGGAGCTATGCTGATTCTGGATTGTCTGCTGTACAGGAACGAGGATATCGCCGTCTAAGACTGCAAAAGTTGCATATAAGTAGCCCAAGCAAGACTTTGGAATTTATGATTAATCCGACAAGACTTTCTTCCCGTATCAAAACATTTGAATCAAACAGGATATATCAATCATGTATCATGAAATTTTTAATGCCCGCTGAAGTGGGTAGGAAGCCACTGGGGATAATGCGAGGATTGTTTATTTGGTAAGGCGGTGGACCTCCTCAAAGAAGAACTTGAGGTGCTCCGGGTCCACGAAGGGAGTGACACCTATTCAGAAGATGATTAGCACGAGGGGAAGTAATATGATATACAGTGGAATATTTCACGTACCATGTCCGAGGTTGCAGATCCAACCCTGCTTGCCCTTCTTGAATCCCTCGACCATCTTCTCCACGGTAGGAGTGATAGCCGAGGGTCCTCCGTAGAGCATACCGGGATCGGCATTACCCTGCAGAGTAACCCGGCCGTTGGCAATTCGCATAGCCTCCGCAGGGTCCTGCAGCCAATCCAGGCCCACGACATTATAGCCAGAGTTGCAAAGGTCGTCCAGAGCGTACCATGCACCCTTGGCAAAGACGGTCATAGGGACGGGCTCCAGGCCCATCTCCTGCAGACGCTTGGGCAGGTTGGCGGAGATGTGGCGCAGGTAGGGGAGCGAGTGCGAAGCGAATGTGGCAGGTGACAATTCTCCAGCCCATGAGTCAAAGACTTGGACCAGCTGCGCACCAGCTGCAACCTGGAGGGCCAAGTATTCCACACAGATCTCGGCAATCTTCTGCAGCAGTGCTTGCGACTCCTTCGGGTACTTGTAGACCCACTTCTTGGACTGGATGAAGAGCTTGCTGCCACCACCCTCGACCATGTAACACAGCAGAGTCCATGGCGCACCGCAGAAGCCGATGAGGGGCACGCGTCCCTTCAGCTTAAGCCGTGTGAGGGTAATCGCCTTGTAGACGTAGTCCAGCTCCGCCTTGACGTCCACCTTCTTTGCCAACACCTTTTCGTACTGTCCATCGTCCGGCGATTGGAGGGGCTCGGGGAAGTGCGGGCCCTTCTTATCCACCATTTCCACGACCATACCCATAGCCTGTGGGATAACCAGAATGTCGGAGAAGATGATGGCCGCATCGACGAGACCGTCATAGCGGTCAATGGGCTGAAGGGTCAGGGTCGATGCGATTTCAGGCGAACGGCAGCATTCGAAGAAGTCTCGACCGCCCTTGGCTTCGTGGTATTCGGGGAGATAACGACCGGCTAATTTTAGGGATTTCAAGTCAGATGGCAGGTCACAAACTAGAATTGCAAGGGTGTTCAACTTACCCTGTCGCATCACCCAAATTGGAGGACGCTCAACCTTCTCGCCTGCGATTGTTAGTAGACTGTGGAGACAAATTAGGGGGGGAGATGCAAGTACCCCGAGCGGCCCTCAACAACAGATCATTCTTCATGGGTGCAAATTGTTCCTGCATCGTGGTGGTTGAAAGCAGGTTGGAGGAGGGGAAGTGGGAGACTTCGGAAACCGCGGGGCCGCCGAGAACCTTGACGGACTCCCGAGCTATCACGCCGCTCGGAGATCATGAAGACTTGGCATAAATTTCAACAGGAACATCAATGGCTTTTTGAATTCGGAATCGGAATCGAACAATCTTCGAGATTTCTTGGAACCTACTATTTCACGAGCCAGCGTTTAACTTTTGTCATTTTGACTAACTCATTCGATTTTTAATCAATATCCCGAGAGCCCGGCACTACAGCATTTATAGAGTCCATACGCATTGCCGGGGTCCGCCCTCCCCCTTTTTTTTTCTTTACTCCTCATGTCCCGATCTCTTCTTCATGTTCACCAGATTGTATAAGGAATTGTTGAACTCCTTCTGCTTTTTCTCGTTCAAGTCAGCAGCGATGTCACTGGTACCGAACGAGTTGATACTGGCGACCACCGAGTTTTCAGCCGGAACGCACTTCAGCCCGTCAGGCCCAATGTTAAGCCGGAAAGACTCTAGAAGGGCTCCAGAGCTTGACTTCCAGATGTCAGTCGAGCCAACCTCGCGGACTGTGTCCACAGAGGCAATAACGGAGCCCTGTGATTCAATCAAACCAAGCACGTTTCCAGAAAGCTTGATGCTATCTTGGGCCCGAAGAGTATTGTCTTCCACCGTGTAGCACAGAATTTCCGAAGATCTGTTTTGTGTGTTAGATCAGGGCTAAAAGAATACGAGGTGTTGTACATACCCTTCCAAGCTGACCAGAATTACGTTTGCTCGGCCCGAAGCACCTGGTTGCTCAAGGGAAACATCCCAAATTCCACGCACCACAACCTCTGATTTCATGGACTCCTCTAGAGAGATAGTCTGGTGGATCTTCGCGGTCTTCCAGTCCCACACGAACAAGTTACCATCAGCGTCACCGGAGACGAGGAGGTGAGGCGCCCACGAAGGGACACAGAGCTTGCTAACGAGCGATGTATGACCCAGGCAAAGTTGCTCGATCACATGTGCCTGCGGAATACCACGAGACACACGAATGTGCTCATCGCGATCCCCAGTTAAGATATAGCTCCGCCCAGACTCAGTTATGCAGACCAGGTCCGTGAGTACTGAAACATGACCAATGATGTTATGATGCTCAAAAACAGGTGCGGTTTGTTCTTGCTTTGTATCCTGAGCTCGCTTCTCGGCAGAAAGTTTCTGCATCTCCAGAGTTCGCAAGTTGCCCTTGGTGTGTACAGTAAGAGGCGTGGCAGCAGGGTGAACAGGTGTCTCCACGATTTTTCTCACATACTCGCCAGGAATCAATGGCAATGAGTAGACATCACCAAACTTGTCACCACAAAGAATAGTCTGACCATCAGAAGTCAAAGCAAGAGCACTTGGCCGCTTGGGCATGGTTCTATGTATAAATCAGTATTCGCAGACCGGATCGTAAATGAAACGAACTCACCGGGAACTCAATTCCTTCAGTTTTCCATCATGAGTCAATTCGAAGACTCGAATGGTCTTGCCTTCGCCGGTCGTTGCAATTACATATTTCCCATCCGGAGAAGTAACCATGAGGGGTATGGTACTCCCCGCTGGGGGCTTGCTGCCCGCACGGTTCGTCTCCTGTTGAGACAGCTTTCTTCTTTTTTCGGGGGGTGCATCGCCCTCTGGAGTGGGCACTGCCTCAGGAGCAGGCTCCACAGTCGACTCTACATCATGAGGCCAAACGTCCAGGCGCTGGCCATTGGTGGCATCATAGGAGTAAATATGACGGTCCGCAGCGGCAACCAGCAAGTTTGACAAGCCCTGCGAGTTGCGCTTGGCGTATTGCAAGCATTGAAATGGGTGTTGTAGGCTAGCCATGGCGTAGTTTGGGTAGCTAATTTTACTTGTATGATCTCAGGGCAAAATTTTGTCAAAGGCGGACGGATTAGTAGATATGCGCGGCGGGTCTGCTAGTTGCATGTAGCAAGTCAACCACCACTCATTTACGCCAACTTTGGACCTTTTAGAACGATGAATGAAGAGGGGATATGATGAAATATCCAAGTTCAGAATAAAAAAAAACATAAATTACATGCTACCAATTCGTTTTTCGCCCGCAACTGTCAACTTCTCGCTCTAAGGCGGTGATCCACTCTCGAAGCTCACGTGACCCACTAGCGAACGCACCGAAAAAAGAAATCAAAATCGCGGAACAGTTCTTCTCCTTTCTCCAACTTCACAACAACCATTTGCCCTTAAATAACCTCTCTTCAGAGACGTAAAAGAAGAAATGGGGGGCAGATCCGATTCCAAGGCCGCTTACTTCGATAAGCTCAAGGGCCTCGTACGTACCTTTTCTCTCGCTTATGCGACTGCAGGATTTTTTTTGGATCATGATGCTAATTTTTCACTCTTTATAGCTTGACACCTACAAGACCGCCTTCATTGTTGGTATTGACAATGTCGCCTCCCAGCAGATGCACGAGATCCGTATCTCGCTGCGTGGGGAGGGTGTCGTCCTGATGGGAAAGAACACCATGGTTCGCCGTGCCCTTAAGGGTTTCGTCGCTGAGAACCCCGAGTACGAGCGTTTGCTGCCCTTCGTCCGCGGTAAGATAACCCCATGTTTACAAAACAACAATTTCCTGAAGCTTAGAAGATCGATTGACTAACGTAAATCTTTAGGCAACGTTGGTTTCATTTTCACCAACGGTGACATGAAGGCTGTCAAGGAGAAGATCCTGGCTAACCGTGTCGCTGCTCCCGCTCGTGCCGGTGCCGTTGCTCCCAACGACGTCTGGGTCCCTGCCGGTAACACCGGTATGGAGCCCGGTAAGACCTCCTTCTTCCAGGCTCTTGGTGTCCCCACCAAGATTGCTCGTGGTACCATCGAGATTGTTTCCGACCTCAAGCTCATTGAGGGTGGCAGCAAGGTCGGTGCCTCCGAGGCCTCCCTGCTGAACTTGCTGAACATCTCTCCCTTCACCTACGGAATGTCCATTTCCCAGGTGTACGATGCCGGCCAGGTCTTCAGCGCTGATGTCCTGGACATTGATGACGAGACTCTCCTGAAGTCCTTCTCCCAGGCTATCGCGACTGTCACCGCCATCTCTCTGGGTGCCAACTTCCCCACTGTCCCTGCCACCATCCACTCCCTCATCAACTCCTACAAGAAGGTTTTGGCTGTTGCCATCTCTACCGACTACACCTGGGAGGGTATTGAGGAGCTCAAGGACCGCATCGCTAACCCCGATGCTTACGCTTCCGCTGCTCCCGTTGCCGCCGCCGCCGCTGCTTCCGGTGGTGACGCTCCTGCCAAGGAGGAGGCCCCCGCTGATGAGGAGGAGTCCGATGACGACATGGGCTTCGGTCTCTTCGACTAAACGCCTTCTCTTCAAAAGGCTACGATCGCCATGTATTAGATTTTTCTCTACTTGACCCAGTCCTGAAACGGATGGGTAATGAAAATGACTATGATGGCCACGAGACACTTATGTGTTCTTTTTTCAGACCGTAATGGACGTAGACCTACGATCCATTACTTGTCTTGGTTTCAAAGAGTGAGTTTGAACCCCCTTTTTTCGCATGCCTTTTGTTTCATTTTGTTTTCCTTCATCAATCCTGGCGGATGATTAAACCTTTTTAACCCCGAGCAAACGGTCTCCGCGACCGCTTTGAAGATTAAAAACGCAACAACAACACTCTAATTTTTTGCTGACGCCATTACCCTACCTTACTTTTGTCTTTCACTTCACTTTTGATCTTGTTTTGGAAACAATCGCTAACGTTTGAAAAGTTGACAGATCATTCTTCCAAGAACACAACCGTCGTAGATAATCGCGTAGATGAGATCTCTTGACATGACTCTAGCCTTTCGTACACAATCTTGTCTCACACCGAACGACTTGGAATGTTCGTGGACAATCCCTTTTTCTGAAAATGCAGATTCTGGGCTAAGGTTTGAACTAACACAATAGGAGCGGAAGTGCAGTCTTTGGTTGGGCATTTTGTCAAGCAAGACCTGCATAATCTGTTAGTCAAGCACCATACAATCTAGTTACTTCCTTCGACCCTAGTTTTTGTGATTGACCCCGTAAGAGCTCGCTGCTAGAATTTGAAGTTTCAGACATTCCTTACTTGATGGGAATGCTGTCACGGTCAGTCTACGCAGTCTACGCAGTCCGTTCCAGATGTTGCGGTGTCCTTGACGGCTGAAGTGCTACGCATTTCAAATGTGAATCTCGAAGTGGCCATGATACCTACCCACTCTCATACCCTATGCCTACAGCTTTCCCTTTGTTGCGCCTTCTAGTATCTTCTACTGAGCTCATCAGACAGATCGTGTGTCATGCCGCTAGAGACCGCCGTCATTACTACATGTATGTACTCTCAATGGAGTCAATCCAAGGGGAACGTGACCGAGTTCATTCAAACAACGACATAAACCAGGCTAGAGAGGCAACGAAAGGGAAGGGGAAACTGCGTGGCCATGTAAGCGCCACACCAACGCAGCCATAGTAGTTCCCAAAACCAGAACCACGCTATTCACAACAATGGAGAAGAGGTCCCTTAAAGCAGATGACTGATACCATCAATTTTGAATATAATGAATTCTAAGGATCCGGGTATTTCGGCCCATGCAGGCCAAGTCTGATGCAGCGCAATTTTCATCTCCTCCTCACTTCCCATGGCGAAGACATTGATTGGATGGGGGGTTTGCGCAAGGACTTTATCAGGATACTTCATCGTGGGCCACACATGCTTGTTGTGATTGTTAATCACATCATACAGCTTGTCGATCTGTTGCTTCAATGTGTTGATCTTGGGCGAAAGATCTTGACCATCTAGAAGGTCTGCCCGTGCACGGATCGCAGGGCTGGCAAGCCCTCTACCCCGAAAATCGGCAAGGAATATTTCCATCAGCTGAGGAGCAGGGCCCTCGAGTGCACCACTTTGAATTTCGGCTTTCATCTCCGTGATCTTGCCCTCAATCTCTTGGAGTTTGAGCAAATCGATCAAGAACTTGATTTTCAACAGCATCAAGGAAAGAGTCATTGGTAGTTCACCGTGGCGCTTTGACCTGACAAAGTCAACCGATTCGAGTATGTCTGCGTTTTTGATATCAAGGAATTTCGCATTGTCGTCGTTTGCTCTGGTTTCCCACCATTTGAGAAAATCGTAACATTCCTGGTCCTTATTGAGTCGTATCATGACGGTTGGAATGGACTCGCGGAGGCCCGTGTCAATATCCGGGCCGAGACGTAGCATGTCCATGAGGCAATCGAGCTCAGCTTGCATCGAATCCGCATGCTGAATTAGTTGAATTGCACGTATCAGCCTTGAAATGGACATCACATAAGGGCGAGTTTCAGGGAGTCTGGAGAAATTGCCAACGTGGTGCACAAATGGATTGTCGTTCAGGAAAGTTGGGTTGTTGATCAAGTCTTGTTTAGCCTGGTCTGATACTTGGCGGGCTTTCTTGACAGCATTACAGGCAGATTTATGTGCTGACCGATGTTGGGTCTGGTGGTCGCGACCGCAGTATGTGAGCACTTTACATGCTGAGCAACGAAGCAGAGTCTCTGTTTTACCACATACTGCGCAACCCTTTGGAAGAGTTGCTGTGTCGTCTTCGAAAGGTACCATGGTGTGACAAGCGAGAATGTTTGAGCTGATCAATCGATGAGGGTATAGAAAGATGGAGAAAAAATGGGAGAGAAGGCCTGATTATTGGGGTAGGGTAGCCAAGAAAGCGTGTATTGGCGTTAGGTATAAGATAGAGATTGAAGAACACAACATTGAAAGAATAAACTAAAGCTATAAACTACACTAGTCCTAATCTGGAGTAGGGTGTATAGGAAATGAAGCCTGAGAAATAGGGCATCCAAAAAAGGAACTAAAGTAGTACATGTTTCCCGTTGATATCACAAACATTTGAAGATACCTACTACTATGTGGACATTACTACAAGGATAATTCCTCAATAAAATATATCAAGTAAGAGGTAGGTCAGTTTGTATCATCCAAATGGATTTTATGTATGTAATTTGTCCGCGGGCTGGTGGCATCCAGCTCCAAAGTCGAGTATATAATTATGGACAACTTTCAGGTATAGTTCAATATCTTGATCGCACCTCAGGCCTATTCATCTGCACCACGCCCAAACCGACCTCCAAACCCTCCCAAATCACGACGGAAGAACTTGCCAATATTTTTGAGATTCTCGTTCAAATTGGTCGCAGCACTCGTCTCAGACGGGGTGTTTAGATGGCTGGCTTGTTGGCTCGAGCTAGCTGGTGCTGGCGAAGACGTACCAGACGCACCTGCCCCACCGGTGGACGCTGTCCCTGTAATACCAGCTACACCGGAAGCCAAGCTGGGATTTCCGAATCGGTCGACGCCATCCTTGGCCGCGGAAATAAGGGCTGATCCGAGCATAGAGGCGTCAAAGCGGGATGGCATTGACGAGGTGCTGCCTAGACCAAGGCCCTGGGATACAGAACCGGTTGTTGTGGTAGCCGCGGGCGCTTGAAGGGCAGTGAGTATTGGGTTGCTTTGCTGGAGATTAGCGGCGTAGCGGTCTGAGGCGCGGTGGAGCTGAAATAGCTCCACGAGATGATTTTGTTCTTGACGATTGCGGATACCCTTGAGATCAAGGATTTTACGGAAGTTGGTATTGTTGCGGTCCGCAATGTGAATTAGGTATGCTTGTACGAGGGCCTCGGGTGGAGATGGTCGGACTTGGAGGGTTTTGAGGAGCGTTTCGATTTTGTAGAAGCTGGCGTTCACTCGCTTGACAAAGCCTGCCGGCGCTGGCGCGGGAAGGAGGGATGTGAGGCCGCTCTTAAGGGTGAAAGAATCGAGAAGCATCTAGGATAATGTTAGAAATGGCACAACGAAAAGGATGGAGATGATGTTGCAAATCTACCTGTTCAGCACCAGTTTCTGCAACTGGTCTGCATTGGAAGACATTGGTAATGAACAAGCTTGACATCAATTCTACCAAATGATCAGAGAAAGCACGCGCATATTGCTGCTTATGCAGCAGCAGTAAAATCTCAGCTGCCTTGTCTTTCGTTCGAGAAAGCAATTCGCCCACGTAGGAGCTCTGGTCACTGACAGCCTCGATCTTACTCCATGGCGTGTTGCGCATTTCGCGCCAAGAAGGCTCCAATTCGACCTCCACTTGGCGGACGAGTCCCCGCACAGCTGCAGATGCAATCCCCATGAAAGAATCCGCTTGGCTCTGCAGATCTACTGACTGCTTGAGGCTCTCATCCAGTCGACCCTTGATTTTTTCTTCCAATTGATTACAAGTAGTGTAACAGTAATCAGCAGTGTTGAGGACAGACACCAGGTCTTCGATTGAGGGTACTTTGGCCGGAATCTGACCAGCAGGGCGCTCACTTATATACGCGAGGAGAACTTGCTGTGCATATTGATCCAGGTATTTTGCGAATACCTTTGCCAACTCTGCAAGACTAACCCCAGTGGAAAGCTTAGCGCATTGTTGCAGTGCATGGCGGTAAAAAGTAAAGAGCTCAGTCGACGAGGAGATCACAGTATGGGAATTGAATTCATCGTCCGGAGGTCTCAGTGGTTGTTGGCGGTATTTGGGTAACAGGGCAGCCAGCTGCTTGTCTTGTGCTTCCACCCAGACGCTCAAATAAGGCTCGAAAGCCTCGGAGATAGACTGTCCGAAGGTGGGATTTTCCGTTGAAGCAAGAGTGTCCGTAGATGTGCGCGAAGGAGGGGCAAATCGACGCTCGAGGGAATGTTCGAATTCAAGAGTTTCCTGCAAACAGGAGAGTAACATGTTTACATCAATTGTTTGGCCACTGCGGACCGAACGAGACAAGATCCCCTTGTAGTCATCCCGGGTACCTTCACAGAAGACATTGGCCAGGAGTTCATTGACACGCCACGAAGTGGGAAAAATTGTGGCATTCTCTTCATCATAGATCTTCAGAATGCGTCGGAACCACGCGTATCGTCGGGAAATGTTGTCCAAAGACCCAGCCTCTTCATTATTTCGGAATACCTGACGATACTCTCGAAGTTGAGTATTGCAGTACCAAGTGACCAGCCTCGACCGCGCATGCTCCCCCAGTGCATCAATAACCAAACAAGCCTCAGAAAGCATCCCCCGCTTTTGAGCGACTTCGTTCTTTGCAAAGGCAATCTCAAAGTCTTCACAGACTTGCTCCAGAAGATCTCGTTGAATATCCGCCACATTCCTACTCAAAATCGCAATCTGGTCGATCGATCGGTACGACTTGAAGTGGGCCATGAGCTGGATCACCGCCTGAAGTAGCTGTGCGCAATCGCGGTACTGTCGTGTTCGGCTGAGGGCTTGGAGCTGATCGTAAGCAGTGGTCAACATCTGGAGCCGCTTGAGCGCCGTCATCGACAAGGTCAGGTTCTTCTTCGCGTTGTCCAATTGCTTGATGTCGGCCGTCATGTCGGTAATGGCTTGTTCGGTCTTCATTGCGCGCTCGCGTACGTCATCGATCTTTTTAAACAGCTCCGACAGGTCTGACTTGGCGGTTTGGATGCGTTCCACACTTTCCGCATTGGAGGTGACCTGCTCCTCCACCAGGGTGCCGATATCGTTGTCCAGTTCATCTTCGTAGGTGTGGAGGCTGTCGGAGATCTGAGAGACCGAGGCGAGGGTGGATGGATGTGAGAATATAGCATTTAGGTGGTCGATTGGATCGTAGTCCACTAGAGAGATCTGGAATCAGCATCTGTGTTGTGGGTGTTTAGAAAGCACCGTGGGTTGGTTCCCCCATACCTGCATCCAAGGCGTCGAGGGGCTCCTCATCTGGCGGCATATGACCGGCGGTCGGAATTGTAAGTGCAGTCATCCCATTAGTTCATCAACTTCGTCAAATTTGTCCTGCAGCCAAAAAAGGGGCAAGTTCGTGCAAGGCGCATTCGAGGGATGTTCACAGGACGAAGTTGACGCGGGCCGCATCTCCCGGGTCTCGGGCCAGCTTGGCGTTTTACCCCAACACCGCCATTCCGCTATATGGAGCTCCAAAGTGGAGCTTGGTTACCGAATAAAGGTTGGAGAGTACTAGGTAACAAATGATATTTCTACGGAAATTGATCGGGCCTGAGCCTGCAAAGTTGTTTAAATGGCCATCAAAGCTTTCATATGGCTAGTAATTGGTTAGTTCTTGCGGAGGGGTGCAATGGATGGTCCCCGGAAATTGATCAGTTGATGAGAAATACAAGTCCTGGGCAACACCTTTTATGATGAGTCCTATCCAGGATTCCAGACTACTGCCTAACTAGTGGTCACAGGGTTGTACCGAAACGAACAGGTGGGATTGTTTTGTAAAGGGAAAACAACCGTGATATTTCTAATGGTTAGCCCAGCGATTAACCTTAGAGCACACTCAAGATCATTGGGATTAGATTCAGCTGAGCTCCAGACAGAGTGTATACTACTTGGGGCTCTCCACCTTCTTAACCATCAACAACACCCCCATTGAGCCGCCTCGAATGACCTCCTTCCCTTCCTCTACCCCGGCCTCATGTAACAGCTTCTCTACAGCTCTACGGCAAATTCTAACAACATCCCTTTCAGTCCCCACGGCATCAGGATTCGCCTCTCGCCAGCGCGTAACGGGACTTCCGACCCCCATCATCTTCTCCACCTGATCCAAGCTCAACACAGGCTCTCTATCGAAAAACCCCTCATCAACACCCCACTCTTTCCGAAAGAAAGTCTTCTCATCAAAAGCCGTAATCTGCCCATCCAGAGTCCACGGAAGCGGAAAGTCGGTATACCGATTCCGAGTTAAGATGTTCCCGGCCTCATAGTATGGCGCGAGGTACTCCACCTGTATCTTCTCCATTGCCGCCTGGATAGCAGATGCATTGGGCGTGGAGGGGTGAATAACTGGGCCACACGGGGCCCAGAGGGCGACGGTACCACCTGGCTTGAGGACCCGGGCAGCAGCAGCCCAGAAGGCTGGGATATTGAACCAGTGGGCTGCGTTCGCCGAGATGATGAGGTCGACGCTGGAATCTTGGACCGGGGGCAGGATGTCTGAGCCTAACGTTTCGGCGGTTGAGATCTCGAACCGCAACTTGGTGGCGGGCTTTTCTGCACTGTGTGCGCGGGCTGTTGCTATCATGCCTTCGGATGGATCGAGGCCGATTACCTGGGAGAATTTTGGGGCGAGAGCGTGGGTGGCGATGCCCGGTCCGCAGCCTATGTCGATGAGGAGATCAAGATGACCGCTAGTCTTGGTGTGGTGATCTATGATCATTTGGTATATCTTGGGGTGGTATTCTGGGCGGAGATTGGCGTAGGCTTCGCCCTGGGCTTGGTTGTACTTGCTGAAAGTCTTTTCCGGGGTGAAGGGGGTCTTGGCTGACATGGTGGATATGAGTACTTTGGGAAGTGAAAGAGTAAGAGTGGATTGAATTGTGAAAAATGAAATGATGCCAGGGAAAATGTGCACTTTTATACCAGAACTTGCAACTTGCAAGTAACTATAGTCTATACTTATTACTACCTACAGTACCAATTAAGCTTCATAGGGCTCCACCATACGCTAAACCTAATCGAGGCTACGACTGCGAATCCCGAATCCCGAATCCCGAGCAAGTACGGCATTTACAAAATCCGTTCTCGACAATCTCACATCTGCCATCTGGCTCTTCCTGTACCGCATAGACACTCATGAATCCCGGTTCATTTCGCTATGGTCTATTACGGCAAGATCAGCCTTGGCTGCCAGCGCTGTCGCCAGCGAAAAGTCAAGGTATGTCATACTCCCATTATCTACTTCATTGGGAGTACAAATGAACTCAAACACTTCCACCCTAGTGTGATCAACGGAAACCAAGCTGTGTAAAATGCGAAAAGTCAGCTTTGAATTGCCCAGGTTACCGCAACGTAACCGATATTATATTCCGTGATGAATCACAGAGAATTATTCGTAAGGCGCATCGGAAATATCACCCCCATTCTACTATAACTCCGACTACTCATCTATCTGCTCCAACTATATCCAAAAATAGCGTGTCGGTCATCTTGCCTCCGCTCTCCCTTTCCATAAGTGAGCTAGGAGCTTGTTTCTTCTTCACAAAGTACCTTCCCAGAGAAACAGTCGTTTCTAGGAACTTTCATGACTGGCTCAGCCAGGTATACTCATCCCAAGACTCAAATGATGCTCTGAGAGCTGCTATCCAAGCTGTTGGAATCGCTGGTCTGTTCAATATTTCACCGTCTCAAGGCAATGAAGTTGAATCTCAGAAGTTGCATTGTCGGGCTATATCCGCTTTGCAGAAACTCTTCAATGATCCCGTCCATGCAACTTCAGATGCAACTCTCACAGCTGTGATATTGCTTGCTCTTTACGAGGTGTGCAATTCCCCATCTTACTTGCCGGGCTTGGTTCGTTGTACTCATATTCAACCCACAAATAGATCGTCACCTTCCAGACGCAAGAGGATTATTGTTCAGAGTCCCTACTCCTGACATCCATGTCTTTAACACATTTTGAAGGAGCTATTGCTCTTCTCGAATCTCGGGGACAGGCACAGTTTACCTATGAGCGTGGAGGCCACCTACTGGGACAAGTATGCACAAGAATGGTAAGTCTACACAAATGCGATCAATGCTCACGGCACACCGTAAGCTAATCCGGCCAATGACCAGCTGCCCATGTGTCTACATCAAGGTCTCGCAGTCCCACCAGCCCTCGTCAAGGCAACATATAACCTTCACACGAGCCCTTTGTGGTCTCTACGGTCCTCACATCCAGGTTCTCTGACAGAGATTGCCTTTCGACTGGTCAATCTACACGCTGCCGTCAAAAGTGGCTATATCACCGACCAGCTAATAATTTGCAGCATGTTAGTCGAACTAGATCACGATCTTGAAGCGTGGAGAGAAGGGATTCCGCCAGAATGGGAATACATGATAATGCATAATAAAAAAACTCAAAAGATTAATGCATGTCTTGATGGAAAATACCATCTTTATGCTAATCATCGGATTGCAGAGACGTGGAACAGTTGGAGAATTCAGAGGATAGCTATTAACCAGATGATCATGCAGAGTGAGCTTTTATCTGAACCTACCATTCTATCGCATACCGCGATACTAGCTATTCGACGGTTTTCAGAGGACATTTGCTTATCGATTGGGTATCTCGTGGATTCCCCTCGTATGTTTGGCCTGTCTTCTAATCTATTGGTTATACCGAGATTACTGAGTTTTGTCAAGTTTTACTAAATGATTGCAGGCAGCTTCTCGCTTGTTCAACCGCTATACATTATTTCGATCGAGGAAGTGAATCCTTGTGGTTTACGTCTTTTTGCCATCTCCGAGCTGCGCCGCATGAGCATCTCGATGGGGATTCGACAGGCCGGTTTATTGGCTCAGAATGCTCTGAAGAGGATTAATATATTAGATGACAATATTGGGAATGGCTGCTCTTCACGGTGCTGACAAGAATCGTCGACGCAGTCTGTATTTTGATAACGCACGATTGATTTACGTACAAGGAAAATTTTAAGAAAAGAAAATCAACAGTGGCCTTCAATGATTGTAAACAGACTCAGTACGCCAAGCCAATCTCCCAACTCCATTAATGTGCAATGCAAAATATGAGCGAGGGATTTGAACTCCCAAAAAGGATATCAAGGAGGGGGGGGACCGACGTAGTCCGCTGTGGGATCTAGATCATCTAACAGGAACGATGCAAATGTGACAAAAAGAGATTATCAGGGAATGGAAAGGATCAAGAGAAGGTAGGTAAAGAAATTGGGGGGGAAGGGGAATGAGAGATGCTAGTGATGCATGGCGTTGGGGTTGCTGGGATACAAGCCGGGCTGGGTGTAGGCTTGGCTTTGTTGGTAGTTAGGCGGAATATGGGGCGCCTGGTTCAACTGACCATACCAGGATTGACGGCGAGGTTCCTCGGGCGCATGGATTGCATTCCCTTGATGAACAGAATCCCAGGTGCGGTTCGCACCAGCCATGTTGTACATGGGACCTGACCGGAAATGCGGCTGAGGCTGGGGTTGAGGCTGGGGCTGAGGAAGCTGCGCCGAGCCATAGAAACGGTTATCAGCCTGCTGGTGCATCATGTGTTGCTGGCGTTGGCTGATTGCATTCTGGACCATCTGGCTCGACCTTCCATCTCGTATCTCACGCCTCTCTCGTTCACGCATGTCAATAGTGGAGACCAAACCTCCGGGGTTGACGGAGGCCGGTGGCCGACGGGTGTCTTGTGACATATTGAAAAATGGGGACCCAGTAGCTCGTGCAACCTGCTCCTGTTCCTTGGCGGAGAGATGATTTGAAATGTCGTAGTTGAGCATGGGGCTGGTGCCCCGTGAAGAGGGTCGGTAGTTAGGGTCCCGGTTGTTCATACGGGAATTAGGACGGGCATGTTGGGTCCAATCTCCTGATACTGGACGCTGTGGTGGCGGCGGGGTATTATTAGACGAAGATCGGTTGTGCATGTGCACTGGGGGACTAGGTGCAGCGCGATGCTGGACATACTGCTCCGCGGTCAGACCTCCGCCAGGGGTGGTAGGACGGTTGGAAGCCATTCCAGGCTGCCATGGCAGGTTCCGTCTGTGTTCCTCCTGGCTGGGGGTTCGGTTATGTCCAATCTCCATAGCGTTAGTCGGTACAGAAAGCCTGTATCTTTCAGCTTCCGTGTTGGTTCTGTGGTGAGATGGCCTGCGTAAAGCATCGCCCGTACTCGGGCGTCCAGTGGTGGGCATATAAGTCAACGTAGGTCCAAAATCAACAGAAGGAATGTCCGGGTTGGCTTCTTTAGGTTTGTTGGTCGAATAACGAGCATCGCCAATAACGAAATCGCGTGGAGCAGGTTCTCCCACAGTCTTCATGACACCCATTCGCGGCTTGGTTGACTTTTGGGACTTCTTGCTATAGATCGAGTCATGCGTGCTTGCATAATCAGGCGAGACAGTAGAAGCAGCATCGTCATAAATGCTTTCTTCTTCTAATTCCCGAGTTTTATTCGGTGACTCTGGAGATGCTACGGGAGGAGCAATGCGATTGAGCGCATCTTCGTCCAGGGTGTGACGAAGATCATCGAAACTGGGCTCCTCGGGAGACATGGCCTCTCCACTAAAGATCTGTCTTTGAGGAAGTGGCTTCCGTTTCAGCGACTTGGATGAGTCAATTTGAATTCTTTGTTGCGGCGAGGACTTCGTAGAGCTGGAGGTCGTAGGCCGATCTTCGGTATTCAGCGAAGCTCGCATCGCAAAAGCAAGACGGATCGCTTCGTCGTTAGAGTGTTGGGATAGCTGTGGGCTCGGCGAGCTTGTAGGTTCTACAAACTGCACAGCCGGGGTGAGAGTCGGCGTCTCGGAGTTCTGGTTCCGAGGTTGTTGATCACTGGCCGGGGATGGGTAGTCCTGTGCAGCGAGCACGTTTCCGCCCGTTTGGCCAACAGATGTAAGCTGTGTCAAAGTCGCATTCGACATGCGATTATTGGCCAGTCGCTGCGCTGTAGTGGCATATGGGCGATTAGGCGGCATCTCTCGAGGGCCGTGTGAAAAGGCTGGAGGGCTTGCGACAGGAGACGGTGGCGTCCGCGGTGGAAGCTGCTCATCGTTGACCAGGGCAGGGTGGCGTTCCATTGCAGGGCCGTATTGTTCTATTATAGGACCTGCCAGAGCGGCTTGTCTGCTACGTTGCACCAGATCCTGGGAGGATGAGTCAGGTGAGCTTTCTTCGAGGGATGGATAGCCAGGCCTAGGCCCTGTCTGCATGCCCGTGATGTCTGACATTCCGCGATTATGATAGGGAGGAGGTTCGGCTCTAGGAACTTCGCGAATCACCGCTTCTGTAGACCTGTTAAGCTCAATCTTGCCCTCCGCCGGGAAAGGCCGCCGGGGGGATCCAGTCGGCGTGGAGTGATTAATAGAGACACTGGAACGGTATCGTGGCTGAGCGCTGTTGACGCTGTTGGTTCTGCTCCGACCAGTGGAAACTCGCTTTTGGGTCGCCTCTTTCAGTTGCCGCCTCCACTCGGCTTCACTCCACCCCTGGCTGCCGGGCGTTTGAAGGAGGGTAGTAATGTCCATAAGATCCAAGTATCCAAATCGGCGTTCCTGGGGGAAAGCGAACATGATGCTTTTGATATGATTGGTATCGGCTACAAGCCGAGTCGGGCGGCCATATAGGTTAAAGGTATCAAATGTCGGGAACAGGAATCGCAACATCATTTCAAACCCAGAAACTGCCGCATGAAGCTCTGGCATGACATACACAAAGCCCTCCGTAGTGTTTTGGTTTTGCGTATGTAATGTGATTCGGCCTTCCAATTTCACCAAGCTAGATTGGTCAATCAAGGCCTTCGACTGTGGATAGATCGCATAAGCCGAATAGACATGTGTCATTGTCGCGATTGGAACGGCCTTTTTGGTCTTTTTGGTTTCGAAAAACTGAATATTACCTGTGACAGGGATGGACAAACGGTCGTATGCTGACTTCTTCAATGCCTTCCGAGCCTTTGCTATCTCCCTTTCATCCGGTGGGTTGATCACAAACCAGCATCGTCTCCACGGAGTTCCTGCACCAAACCGCACTCGCGCCCAGTCTTCATGTCGGAATTTGGCAGGGGCCAGGATTGCTTGAATTCCATTGAGATGTTTTCCTTTGGCCGCGATGAGAGAGCCGGTGTATGCTTCGTATAGGGAGGTGTGCTCGTACATGGCAAGGCGAACTGCTGCAGTCCACTCGCACATGGAATGGAACGAGCGGAAATGAAGTAGGTATCGGTTTTTTCCCGCAGAAGATATACTGAGGACATTGTTTAGCGGTACTGCCGCGCCATTTCTGATCGGCAATGTTTCAATCTATATAAAGCCAGGCACATATTAGCTTCCACAAGGTTCATAGTCAATTTCCTGATTCAATTACCATCTTGATCGACGCATCCGCGACATTAATAAAGGTCGCCGGGACCTCATTTCCGCCAGCTCCGTCCAGCGCAGTGGCATCCCATAGTGAAAGAACTGTCCCCACGAGTTGAGCATAACATTCTATCCATTGCCGATCAACACACGGTCGCCCATCTGCATCAAGCCTAGTTAGTTTTATATATTTCCCACCCCAAGTTCGAGCCATATTTCACATACGGTTATCCTGATCATTAAGCTTTAAAAAATAGCCTTCGTGGTATACTTTGTTGGTGTGAATATTGAGGAAGGAAAAGATCGGCGATAGCTCCGGTGGGGTACCATCCGTCTGGGTCATTAGTGGAGGGTTATTTGAGAAGATCATCGAAGCAGGTCGCGATCCAATCTCGTCACCCCTTGGAGTTAAGCCCCCTGCTGGAGAGAACTCCGAGGGTAGAGTTGGGGTATCAGGCGAAGGTGTCTGCCACCGTGGTGGGGTTTCAACGGGGGCATCGTTAGAAGAGGATTTGCGGCTCAGCTTTCCGGAGGCATTATTTTTGGGACCTCCAAATGTCGAGATAAACGAACGAACTAAAATAGAAGACGCAAGGGCGAGGTCAATCCAGATGTTCCGTGTTTCTGCCTGTTTCCGTTATCCCCGAGATTGACTTACCACGTGAACCACCCATGACGTCGAAACGCGATCAATCACTTCGCTGCAGCAGTGGCCGATGGAGCTGTGAAACGTCTCGCTGTTGCAGGTCTTGCGAGAGAGAGAGAAGTTTTGGAAGGACCAGGGACACTTGAGTTAGGGGAAAGGAAATCTAAAAAGAACACGGTAGGGCAGTGCACGGGGTTCCGCTGTGGAGTAGGGTTGAAACGAGGGAATAGGCCACAAGGACTTTGGGGAATTGGTGGAGTTGTAGGTTAATCCATGGGGAGAGCGTCAGGTGTATCCGAGACACTGGGGGGGAGAAAAGAAAAGATAAAAGAAATTCTGGTAAGGGCCGGACACAACGGAAAGGTTGGCAGGAGCACAAGAGCCAAGTGGGTTGTCACTCGTGGATGACGTTACGGGGATTCTCCAAGTGGAGATTGTCACTTGATCGCCTACTTAGTAGTAGTTAATGTCAGATTGGTGTTATAGAAAATAAAGAAAGAACTGTAGAGTAAGGAAGATTTGGAAAAAGAAAAATCAAGGGGAAATGATAGAAATGATAGGAATGTTAGAGCGACCTGGACCGTGGGTCTTCACCATCTTAGTCGCATCTGGCATCTCCAGAGTTTAAGCATCACACACGCCATTGGTATAACCTATACTTACTAGTATGAATAGCATCAATTCCAAGTAAAAATCTCAGTAAAATCTAACCCCAAACAGATACACAGATACAGTACAAGTTACATGTCACTTTATGTGTGTCGCCTAATTGATTAGAGAGAGAAAACAGCAGAAGCAAAAAAACGAGGCAAAAAATGCAATCGAAAAAAAAAACCCACTAATGTACTCATGGAGAGAGTCTGCGTCATCCCGGACCCTCTTAGGTACGTGTGATCGTCCTTTGTCTCAATCCAAATTTAGCACAGAACTGCTACTTATGGGTTCACTTGAATTGACTCTACTATTATAGTATCATGATTCTTCAAAGTTGTTCTCATGCGAATATAACATTTCTAATTTATTTAGTATATTGCTATTTGCTTTGCCCCTTGCCACTTTTACTTTATATTGAACTAATTTTAGTGCTTTTCTGCCGCGTACACTTTAAACCCTCAATATGGAACATCACACCGCTCTCATTCAAAAAGCAAAAGAAAAGAGAAAAAGAAAAGCAGCAAATAACCAGGTTGTGTAGATTCATGTGCAGATCTCTCTGCCCAGTCCTGTTGATTCCGGTTTTTTCTGTCTTGAAAGTCTTAGAGCCTTGGACTTGTGGCGGTTCAAAGCATACGTACCCCTCTGACTCGGCAGATTTAGGCAGATTTAGGCGTGCCCCGGTTCTCAGCCACAAGGCAATCTGAACCCTTTTTAACTCCTTTCGGTCACGCTTGCCAAGGTCCAACGGCAACTGGGCAAGGATGCAGGAGTTAGCACTGATGGGCTCTTGATATTTCAATATTTCAATATTCCAATGGTCACAACTCGCTTTGGAATGTACGGTGTGCTGGCAACCAGTGGCTGTGCATTACACCCATACATAATGCATACACCCAGATATCAATTGATCCAGATCCCAATATTTAAATACTTCCAGGGCCTAGGGTCAAGGCTCGATCAAACAGGAGCAATCCGGACATGTGGCCATTCAGGGTCAACCCACTCAACCCCCGCAACATCGAACTTACCACACTTGCACTTAGAAACGCCACGTTCCTCCCGTTCTAGTTAGCCTGTCCTTACAAGACGGCCACCCATTTATTTCAATTACTAGTAATTTTAATTCAATCCAACTGAGACATGGCTGCTCAATTCCAAAAGTGGAAGACAAATCTGATTTTCTTTCTGAGCTGGCAAGTCCACTAGATAGCGTTGCTATTCGTACTTTTGGTCTGAACCCGACACCTCCATTTCTTCTTGATTCCCAAGGCATCAAGAGTCCCAGTTTATGCGCTTCCCGAGCAAGTGTTTTTGGTCACGTGGATACACCCCAAGGTACAATGGACCAGCCAGCGGACACAACACGCGAAACATCGGGCCACATTCCCATGGTGCTGGACAACAGTGGCCGTGCCCCGCTCCAAGTTCCAGGCTTCGGAGAGGTCCCGATTGATTATGAGATCCAATGCGATGCCCGCTTTGCACATGGAATGAATGAATGGTGTCAGCGCCCTGCAGTGACAGCTCGCGAGTTAGCAATGACAGCCACCATGAACAACATTACTGATCAGCCGGGGTGGCATGTTGATGTCTTCAATGATCAAGTTGTAGCGCAGTGGCGAAAAGAGGCCGTTGAAACAAGCTCACTGTTGAGTGATAAGGCGTGGAGCTGGTGCTTAAAGGAGCTGCGTGATAAAGCCGTCTACTTACGTGAGAACCAACATATCCGGGTCCTAGAAGCTGGCTCATGTGTGTGTAAATCGGATACGACAACTTCACACTCTCTGAGTACATTATTCAGGTCAACAACTGCCCCCTTGATTGAGCAGCAGCAGCAAGAGCAGGAGAATGGGGACCGGCAGTCCGATCAGGTTGTAACCCTTGTCGACCCTTCATTATTCCCATTGGTCTACGGAAGAACCCTGGTTTTGTCCCATGGGGGGCAAGTGGACCTGCAGGATGTCCTAAGATCCTATAAAGATACTACAATCGCTCCACAACATTTCGATAAGCGGCAGGATTCTGCAGAATTGGAGGAAAGAGACATAAACAAGTACGGCCATATCCCGGGTCGGGGCATTTCCCCCATTCACTCATGTTCAGAGGTCTATCGCTGGAGTTCAAATTACCAATGCCTTCCCTGCGAGGTCGAGTTTCTGAAAGATTCTGGTACCGAGGTACAGATTACCTCGTACATTAATAATTTGCACCCGGATCATCGAAAGTTATACAACGCCATCGAGAAGCTCATTTCAATGGCAATCAAGCCTTGGAACGAATGTTTGGTTCAAGGTCGGCATGGCTGGGATGATGAGAATAATCTCGGGCAAATGGGGCCCGTCCCGCTAAGAATCATTACATTCGGCATTGAATGGAAGAACGAGCTTCTAGAATGGGCCATTGCTTTCAATGTACCTGCACAATCTTCAAAACAACTATACCATAAAGTCCAAGAACAACTACAAAGCAACAGGAATGACCAAACGGAAGAGGGCAGGAAAAGATACCTCAAGGCGAAAAAGCGTCTTTCTACGAGTCACATACTCAGAGCTGTGGAAGGGAGAGACAATATGCAGTTGCCTCCCCCGGACTCGGACTTATGGCAAAAGGCTAAGAAGTATCTTGAACTCCCCGAGCGAGACTCAACCGGCCCCGTCAAGGTCCCCGACGATTGGGCAGAGGGTGGTGAGGGTGCTCCATGGATCGCTCTAGAAGGGAAAATGAAGCGGGCGCTCCACTTCAAACATCCGGAGCCGGGAACTGCCTTTACATACGAGGACTGGAAGACTGGCCAGCATAAAGATAAAGCGATTATTGACCTCTTTCGTGGGCAAGAGGGTTTGGATCCTTGTTATGCGCATGTTAAGCCAAAAGTCCAGCCCCATACTCCCTACACAATCACCCTGCAAGACACATTTCGGAAGCACGGTCTGCAGATCATTGTGAAAATGGATAATATCGAGCTCACCCCAGAAACTCCCGCATATCCTGGCGATGATTGGCATCTTGAATACCAGTTGAATGAACATGTTGTGGCTGCGGCTGTCTTCGCATACGACGTTAAAAACATCACTGAGCCTCGTATCTCATTCCGCCAGTACACCCTCCTGCACGGTATTCATTATCAGTATGATGATAGGACTCGATTTCATAGGGCAGGGGGCAAATGGGAAAATCCACCCGCCAAACTATATGGTAAATCCTATGACGCCACATACGAGGCAATATCAGAAATATTGGGATTCCAAGGTCTGGACCTTTCGCTTGATAATTTTGGGTTCCCGCCTTTCCAGAATACAGGCTCGATCGCCACACCACAGGGTCGATTAATCACGTTCCCCAACCTTCTAGAGCACCGGGTCGAGCCGTTCAAACTAGCGGATCCGAGTTGTCCTGGACATTATCGTTCGATCAAGCTGTACCTTGTCGATCCACACTACCGTATATGCTCAACCCGTAATGTGCCACCACAGCAGCATCACTGGTGGGCGCAAGAGGTGGAAAAATCCCTTGCCATGTCTGGTCTGCCTTGTGAGCTGTCGGACGAGATTTTCCAGGAAACAGGCTACTGGCCGATGGGGATAGAGGAAGCGCGGCAACACCGACGGGAATTTATGAGAGAGCTTCGTTGGAATGCGACTACGCGGCTTAGTAGTATGGGTGGCCCTGGGTTTTGATATCCTGATAACTTGGTTGACAGGAAGATGTCGGTGCCCCTTAATCCTTTCGAACCTACTCCTGCGGGACTTCCGTGGCCGACTTTGGGGCGAAATAAGGGAACCCCGCCGCGAAAAGACAGAACTAGACCCTTAATTTAATTGAAGTCATGTCTGACGGATCCACTACAAGGCCTGCACGTATCTGTGTAAACCAAGGGGTTTCGGGGTCATTAATACGACGTATGCACTTGTAATTGTTTTGTGCGGGGCTATATGTACATGTATGTACCCACCCCATATAATACATCTCTACCGCTGATCTTGCTGTATGTGAATACTATGCTCACTTAACTCACCATGGCCATAGATTTGGAAAACCTCGTTGTCCAGATCATCCGACAGCCAGTTCTTTGGAAGGTCATTCCCTTGGGTCTATTATGGACAGCCTACCGGGTTAATAGATATCTCAACCGTCAAGCTTTAAATAATGGCGTTCATCAGGGCGCTCAGGGCCGTGCTCAGTTTTACTCAGTGAGCGAAAAGCGGCAAGGCTGAGCACTAATCCGGAAGTGGAAAGTCAAGAGTTAGGAGTGGAAATCAAGTACGTAGGTATAATCGCGTAAGGTATGTCTTTCAAATGTTGAAATAATACTCGAGACATCTGAACCTTGAACATTTGAAAACCCAAAGAGAGCACGAATCGACCCCAGAAGAACAAATTGATACATTCAAATACATGAATCAATGGCACCACTAGGCCGTACGTAGATAAGAGTTAAAATTCGGAAGCAGCGCGTCTTTCAAAATCAATTGATAGAAAAGAAAATGATATATAGGTATAAGTTCGCTATAAAATTTCGTCAAGTCATTAAAATTTTTGCCATTTGCCATTTGCCATTTGATTTCAAGTCTCCATCAAATGGTAAGCCAAGACAGGGTCAATCATTGCCACCTCGTTGTGGTTGGGTATAATATTACCAGCATCGTGATTTGAATCCATAGGGAATGCATCTTGCATCATGATATCAGAATCGGAACCTGCTTGTGGGGGGAGAGCAGAGGCATTGTGGGACTGGAAGGTAGTTCCCTGCCCAAGAGTCGATTCATGTGAAAAGCCCAGGTTGGCATCATCAAACTCAAGTCCGTATATCCCAAGGGAGTTGCCCCCTGGGCCAGACTGGTCTCCAAGTAGGGCACGTTGCATGAATAGACCCTGGACTTCGTCCTCGGAGCAACCATGCTTGGCAGTCATATGCACCCACAAGTCATAGTCACGGTGAAATCGATATTCGCAGGTATCATAAATGCAGGGAATTTGTCGACCAGACTCCTCAACATAGCCTTGCCCAGTCAAAGCTGCCAACGTGGACATTTGATTGTTAACACAGGCCTTCTTGCTAAGACCAAGTCGCTGGCGCCGTTCTGCCTTGGCATTTTGGAAGCCCAAATGAGCTGTGCGGATGTGTTCTTCAAGCGCAAGTTTGCTTCCGTATCTCTTTCCGCAGCCAATTCCGTCCCAATCAGCGACTTTCTTCGAGGCTGAGAGGTCGGTCTCGCCACATCCAAATCGCTTCTCTCCTTCGTGAACAGTTCGAACATGGACGGTCAGATTACCCTTTTTGGTGAAGCTACGATCGCAGCCGGGAAACGTGCAGTCGAAGACCTTCCTGTCCTCTAAGCTCGCATCTCCATGAGCAACCTCAAGATGACGTCGTAGCTCTCTTGATGTTGAGCAGACAATAGGACAATGAGGACATTTTGGGGGATGGACAGTTCGAATATGCTCTTGCAGGACAGCATATGTTGGGAAGTAAAGAGCGGCACTCTCCGCGTCCGGTAAATTCTCCGTGCACTCAGCACAGGTAAATCTTTTCTCGGCATGGACTCTGCTCTGGTGAGATCGTAAATGACCAGCAGTCTCAAACGCCATTTGGCATTTTTGTCCGGTGGTTTCGTCAATGTGTGTGCAGGGAAAGGGTTTTTGGTGCAAGTGCACAGTCAGAACGTGTTTCTGCAGGGTCGAGTGTTTTCGGAAGGTCTCCTCACAGGGTGGGTATTCGGTGCAGCGGTATTTGTCTCTACCATCGTGGGCAGCAATGTGACGACGAAGTCGCGAGCCTGTGACAAAACTCTTACCACAGTCTGATCGGGGACACACATAGTCCCGAGTTCCGGTATGGGCGCTCTTGACATGGTGGGCGAGATGAGAGGTCCGTAGAAAGGTTTTGTCACATCCGTCATGGGTACATTTGAAAAGCCGTTCGTTGTTGTGAGAACGAATGTGTTCCTGAAGTCGAGCCGGGCGGTTGAAGGCCTTATCACAGCCTTCGAATGGGCAACGATGGGTCTTCAGTTCCGATGGGTATCGAGCAGAGGTGGTGGAGAATGGTGTGGCCGGAGTGTCGTTCATGTCATCACTTGCCAGACTAGGCGTCGCTAGTGCAGAGTACTCCGCATCGGAATGTGCTTCTTCGTAAATGGGATCTTTGAAAATCGGTCAGTATGCTTCGATTGTGCTATCAGGGTCGCATAGTGACGGCTCACCATCGCTATGTAAATCGCTCATGTGGTGCCGTTTTGCTGACAACCCACGATCGGGGGAGGCTTTTCGCTTGGACGCCATCATGCAGTCTCCGCATGAAAGGAAAGCATCCACCAGAAAAGCGAAAGTTGCAAGTAGGAAAAAAAGATGCGCTGACGTGAATTAAAATTATTTTGCCGAGATCAAAAGGCGGTCTGGACGAAGACGGACTAGCGTGGTGGAAGATTTTCCGCTTTTTTGCATTCGTGAGTTCAACAACTTCGGTCCCGCGCTTTGGGTTTCTCTCTATTTGGTTCTCCCTCGGTCTTCATTTACAGCGAATCATCATGTCTGACTACGGCGGCGACGATCACGAGCCCGAGACGTAAGCTTCCCAATGGCGACAAGGAGGTCGGCGCATGAAAAAGCTTGAAGGTCCTTGGAGATCTAGAGCTCCCGCGCATCACGACCACTCTACTTTTGTGAGGATAAGCCATTCTAACAATCGATTTGCAATACAGCTACGACTATGAGCCTCACGAGGAAGTTTTTGATGACGCCGAGCCCGAGGATTTCCAGGACAACGAGGGTCTCGAAGGTGACGATGGAATCGATGGCGAGGCGTACCATCCGGCCGTGAACGGCGAGAACGTCATCGTCTCCGGTGATCCCAACTCTGCACAATCGGCCAAGTTGATGGAACAGTCACGCGAGAAGAAGGTCCCCACTGAGCTGCGAACCACTACCCCGTACCTCACCAAATACGAGCGCGCTCGTGTGCTGGGCACCCGAGCTCTGCAGATCAGGTACGTCGCCACGGGGGACACATTGCGCACGCATACTTGAATATGGTGAGACAATTGGCTAACCATTTGTGTAGTATGAACGCTCCTGTGCTCGTTGACCTTGAGGGTGAAACCGACCCCCTGCAGATCGCCCTGAAGGAATTGAACCAGAAGAAGATTCCCCTGATCGTGCGGCGATACTTGCCTGATGGATGGTAAGCTAACTTGGCGGCCAAATTTCAAGTGGACTGCGGACTAACCTGATATACTAGGTACGAGGATTGGACTTGCGAGGAACTCCTGTAAGCAGGTTATCACTCGTCCATCTGACAATTGGGGGGTTTGTACATCTGCTTTGGGATGGAATTCAGCATAGCGTTCGGAGTTTGGGACATTGAAACCGCGGCTCCAAAAGAAAGAAAAAATGGCTTGAACCATCTTGGAAATCTCCGAGGACACGGTCTAACTGTAATGATTCTAGACAGACCAAAAAAACAATAATGACGGTTTCTGCAATAATATCAAATATCAAGGGTTCTGACGTAGAATTCATATAAGAAAACCATATCTCAGTGTCTGTAAAAAGCTACTTATAATGCATAGAAGTAGAATGTTGGACATTCATGCATTGCTGGCGTATACTTCGGTAGGGCAATGCGGTGCCACGTGAGTTTATCTCCGGGATCAAAATCCTCCCCGAAAGTCCCACTTTTATGCCCGGAATAACATTTAAATGGAGTTTGAACTGTCCCCTGCAATGCGATTGCCAGTGCTTCACAAAGCACACGTGCACGCATAAATCCTCGCGCACAGATACCATCCTTGGCCAAGCTCGCTTGGATAACCGGCACACCTCGTCCTGTTCTTTATTGGCTGCCTGTCCTCTGCTTGGTAACATTTACAGAGCTACGATATGGTTCTGACTCAAGGATCCCAGTGGGTGCCAGTGGGTGCCAGTGGGCCCCGCCGTGCCCAAAACATGGCTTGAAATTCGGTCTCTTCCGCTAGCAAGACCCCGCTTGCTCGGCCTTTGGTCGTGGTTTATAATCAGTTCAAATTTTTCTTTTTTTCCTTCTTGAATGTTGGAGATTTTTCCCCAGCCTGTTTATACTCCACTTTGCCTAGGCCTTGGAGCGCTGGTTTCCTTTTTTTGTTTCAAGCTTTCCTCCAGTCTGCCCGCCACAAGTGCCTGAGCTTCAAGGATGGGTTCCACTAATCCAGAAGTAGAGCAAAAGATCCTTGCCGATACACCGGCAGTTGCAGACGAGGAGAATGTGAATGACTCTGCGATTGAGTCTCCGGCGGAGAAGCCGGTGGACGACTTTATATTCGATCAAGGCCTTGTTTCATGGCTCCAGGTTCTGGGCTCTTTCTTTCTCTTCTTCAATTCATGGTATGAAATGCACTCGGGATCCACAAAAATTGAAAAGACATGGCGCTAACATTAAATTCTCGAACAGGGGCGTGATCAATACATGGGGTGCATATCAAACTTACTATGAGTCGAACTTACTTTCCGGGACATCGTCGTCTACTATCGCATGGATTGGATCCCTTCAATCGTTCCTGTTGATGCTTGTGGGAGTAATCACCGGTCCATTGTTTGATGCAGGTTACTTCCGAGTCATGATTGGCGCTGCCAACATCATGCTTCCTTTTGGTTTGATGATGACCAGCCTTGCCACTGAATACTGGCAGTTGATTCTCGCTCAAGGTGTCGTCATTGGAATAGCTGCGGGGTGTCTGTTTGTGCCCTCGGTGGCCCTCCTGCCACAGTATTTCCGAGATAAAAGAGGTTTCGCCAACGGACTAGCCGCTAGCGGCAGCAGTATTGGCGGCGTAGTATACCCCATCATGTTTGATCAACTGGAGAAGAAGGTCGGCTTTGCTTGGGCTACTCGAGCAATTGGTTTCCTCACTTTTGGAACAATCTTCATCTCATTCAGCATCATGCGCATCCGTATCCCGCCAAGAGAAAAGCGTAAGCTCTACCAGCTTTCTGCTTTCAAAGACCCGGGTTACTGCATTTTCTGTGCCGCCATGTTCCTGGGTTTCCTTGGGTTCTACAACTTCCTCTTTTACGTCCAGTCATATGCTATTGACACAGGCATCGTTGATGATAACCTGGGTTTCTATTTGCTGTCCATTCTTAACGCTGCCTCCACTTTCGGTCGTGTTGGACCAAACTTCCTTGCTGATCACACTGGCCCTCTCAATATGCTCACCCCGGCGGTGACCATCACTGCAATCTTGGCCTTTGTATGGATTCGTGTCCACACCATCCCTGGTATCATCATTCTTTCTGTCATGTATGGATTTTTCTCCGGTGGTTTTGTGTCGATGCCCCCGGTTGTCATGGCATACATGACTCCTGACGTGCGTGACCTCGGCACTCGTCTTGGTCAGGTCTTTGCTGTCACCTCTATTGGTCTGCTGATCGGTACTCCCATCGGTGGTGCCATTCTGAGCAGCACTGGTAGCTACCTTGGCGTGCAGCTCTTCACGGCCTGCTGCCTCATTTCTTCCGCTGTCCTTATGGCGACTTTGAGATTTGTGCGGTCGGGCCCACATCTGATTTCTAAGACTTGAGTCGATCCTCGAGCCCGCCTGAGAGCAACTTCATCCATTGAGGTCATGTCCCCTAAGGTGATACCCTGCACAGCTCCAGACAACCTGGCCACCAGTTTAATCGTCCGCTATCCGATACCCTCCATCTTGCCTGTCCTCATATTTTAAGAGGGATCAGTGCTTTGCATTACTGAACATTGACAAGGGCGGCATACACCATTGTGGTGAATAGCCTAGCTTTTGTCATTTGCAGCCTAAAAGTTTTTTTGCATATAGAGAGGCGTTCTCCAGGTCGAGGTTGAAATAGACCTCCAATGTCTTCATTGTTACCAACTTTATAAAGGCAAGACCATTACCTAATTTCAAAATCAATAATTTAATACATACAGATATGGAAATAGAACAAATGGTATTTCTTCTAACCAGCCTATGCACATAGTATCCGGTAGGTACGCACGCGCGATATGTAGTTGATGCACCAGGTGTTTTCAAGTAGTTACAAGTCGGAGTAACTTTGTCCAATAAATTAATAGATGATGCTTGTGTTCTTTGCTAATATATGCTCATGACTATCAACTGCATCATTCAAGTCGACCTCGGTAGGGTTATGAAACATCCTGGGGATGTACAGGGAAGTCTTCGCCCTTTTCTCGTACATGTTCCAGCTTTTTGTCTCGACTGCATGGCTTTCGCATATCAAACGCATCCTCTCCACTGTCTGACATGCCCGTTGGGTCGTCACTGTAATAACTGATCACTCGCCTGAAGACCGAGTAGCTATAGGATGCCATGTTAGCACGATTTTGGGATACCGCGAAATGCTTGATATGCACTTACCCCATTCCTTTGTACATATCTATTGCCACTTTGTTACCTGCGCGGACATAGAGATCCACGAACCAGGCATTGTTTATATCCGATCCGCGCTCCAGTTGCTCAGTAAGTGCACTTGCATGGCCCATTCGGCGCCAGGCGGGTGCAACAGTTAACACTGTAATATGACCGTGCCATGGGGTATAGTGCTCAGACTGTCGCATATGAGAGGGTTGTTCTTCAAGCTTGCCCATAACTGCAGCCAATTGGTTAGTATATGATGTCCTCTTTTTGAAGGAGAAAAGACCAAAGTACTTACTGTAGCCAACAACGCCTGCATCGCGATCTTTCACCGCGCTAAACAGTGACGGCCATTTTGTGAGGTAGTTCAAATAAAAGCCGAGGTCATAATTCTCCGTCAAAGGGTCCAGGTTGGTAAGGTTCAAGGATAGCAAGTCCAGTGGGGACATGCGTGTAATAGCGCTCATCTTGAATCAGCCACCAAACCACGATATCGAGGGGAAAGAATGTGGGGTTTGTTGGTGATTGCGATTGAAACGTCTTTTTTTCTGCCGAGGCGGTGGCTCCACCAGTAACGCGAGACTTTTCGACATTACGCTGTATATAATCCGACTTAACTCGCGGGCTGAGCTGGTCTGTGTCTGTCCTTGCTTTTCTGCTCCTGCGCTGGTTTGCTTGTGTACTACTTTACATATGCGATGACGCGATAGACTTTGCTTTCCAAGACATCTTTCGGCATTGAAACAACAATCACCTCCATCACCGCCCTAGGACCCCAATACTGTGTGTTGTTGGTCTACTTCTTTCTTTTATTCTTATTGTCTTTTCTGAGGAGACTACCACTCTCATTCATTCTCTTCTCCAAAGAATACTTAAATATCTTTATATCTCTCGTTTTATCTGGAGACTCAGAACTCCTGTCCTTCCGATGCCCCTCCCTCCGTCTCCCCTGAAACTCGCTCACCGCTACCCCTCCAACATGGACGACTCTCCAATCTCACCAGGGGCCCCAGGGGTCAATGTTTTTGCCCCAGAGAGCCCTACGGAGCCCCGAACGCCCCGGCACTCGGCGCCTCCATCCCCAATCTTGTCCCGCCAAACCCTGAATGGCATGAATGGATTCCATCGGGAATCGGTAGATTTCTCCGCCGACGCAGGCGGGAGTGGTCTTGGGAATCTTGCCGACGAGCTAGCGGATGCATGGGAACAAGAAGAAGATGGTTACGGATATGCTTCCGGGCAGGAGAATGCGACTGGATCCCAACGAACGGACCAGAGCGACGGCGAGGACGCATATCTACAGTCGGTGCGCGACATGCGCTCCCAGTCACCTACAGACTCTCCAGCCAGAAACAGGTTGCGAGCCGACCAAATTCGACAGCATCGACGGCAGGAATCCCAATATGACGGTTCAGACTATGGGAATGATTCAGATCTCGAAGAGGCGGCCGATCTCTCCCCCGCATTGGAAAGCCAGATGGCCGATATCGAGAGCCTTGCGCGACGCGGTATCGAGAATAATGGCAGCGAGAATGACCATGTCATTCAAAGGACAGTAGAGTCGCTGAGGGATCTAGGTGGACAGAGTGGAATTGAGAACAGTGCCATGAGGTATGTGTTCCTAGCACTAAACGACAATGGCATCGGAACTCGCTGGATCTAACCATGGCTATTTTTTAGGTTGATCACTGCCCATACATCTATCACATCTCACCTTACTCACCAAACCCGCATTCTTCAATCTCTTATCCACCCACTTCTATTTTCTTCATTTCCTCTCCTCACCGACGACGCCATTGACTCCCTTATGCCTCTGATTGACGAGGGCCTCTTGCCCAACCTTCCCTATCCTTTCCCCGAACAAATCCACCGGGACTCCAGACCAGCCACACCATCACAAGCATCCGCCAATCCGCTTGCATCTCTCCAAGCTCTTATCTCTCAAACCGCAGACATTACCCACTCCCTTCGCGGTCTAAGCGACACCCTTTACGAATCCCGCCAGCTGACTTCCACGGCATCTCGTCGATTAAGATCCGCGCGGGAACTCGTTTCTGATATACGGCGCGAGGAAGAAAGTCGAGAGGAAGGTTCACGGTGGATCGAACGAGGGGATTGGGATCGTCGACTTCAAGATCGCGAAGCTGGAAAGGAGTGTCGAGATGTCGTCAGTGGCTTTGAAGCTGTCTGCGGTGAATGGCGTGAGAGACTCTTTGGATCTGCCGAGATGGCAGCCGCATAACCCTACCATGGACATCATTTTGTGTCATTAGAATGGCTTGCAATGTCTCTCTAGACTGCCATTAGACTGTTATAAACATTATTATTTGGGTTCGCCTTTTTTCTTTCTTCAAATGTTGTCAGATATCCCCTGCAGTGCTGTGTTCTTTCTCTACATTTTGTCATTTTGTTCGGCCCCGGGTGGCTTGTTTATATCCCTGATCTGTCAATCAATATACCTGTATATACCCTCGGGACTATCTAAGTATTTTATATCATTTGGATTCAAATGTTTGTCTTATCTGAAATTTATAAGTTGGCTTTTAAACCCCGTATGTATTTGATACCCTCTTGGAACGATGCTTGAAAGCAAATCGAACGATTTGCAAGGTTATAATGTTTTAAAAGTCAACATTTTGAACTCTACTAAGCAAGAACAACAACTTTCTTCGCAGAAACACCCGCTCTCAAAACGTCATAGCCCTCCTGGATGCCCTGCAGTCCTCTCGTCTCCATAACCAGCGGTTTTGGCTTAGCGTGATATCTTCCATCCTTAAGCGCATTGGGCAAAAACTCTCGCCACAGTCCCAAGATAGTATCCTGATTGCCTCCAAAAAGCATCTTTGCTCGGACGCCCTTTGGAACCACACCTTCTTGCAGCGGCGTAGTGGTCACAACAAAAACATCAGCTTTGAGCAAGCTCGCAATCTCAAGCACAGGACCCAGAGATGCTGCAAACCCGGCTGCTTGGATTATACTCACACAGCCTGAGCGTGCGTTTAATTCGGTGGCAATGAGAGACACAACATCAGAGGCCGTGTAATCGAAGACCATATTCGCACCAAGCTCTTTCAGACTCTCAAAGTTTCTCGGCGACGCGGTGGTCAGAACTTCCAGTCCCATCGCAACAGCTAACTGGATAGCATTGCTCCCAACGGAAGAACTTCCGCCCCAGATCAGCACACATTCCTTCCCTTGGTCCCCCGGAGCGGTGGAAATAGAAGTGCCAGTCCTAGACCCGGGCATCTCCAGCCCAAGATACTCCTCATTTGCAAGTGCATGCGCGGCAGTCGAAAATCCCAAGGGCAACACAACGCCCTCCTCGAACGGCATCGAATCGGGAATCCGGCAGACCAATTCTGACTCTATGACGACGTATTCCTGGAATCCGCCCATAGCAGGACCTTTGGTTGCACCCTGCGCGAACCCGATCACACGGTCGTTTAGTGCAAATTGAGTTGCATTTCCAAGCGCTACTATTGTGCCAGCGATGTCTTCGCCCAGGATGACGGGGTAGCTGACGAAGGCTAGCTCTGTGTCTTGGAGAATATAGTCTGCTGGGTTTATGGCCCATGCGTGGACTTTAATGAGGACTTGGGTTTCAGAGAGCGTTTCTGGGTAGGGTGTCGGTTGGATTTGGAGGGGAGTGTGGCATTGCAATTGCCAAGCGGCGTGGTTTTGGGTCATTCTTGGTACTTTCAAGCACTGTTGAATTGGAATAGAATACAACGTTTCATTAAGTGAAGGAATTATGGTGGGTTTTATAGCCTTGGACCTTAGGGGGATTAATGGGAGAGGTCATAAAGTTCCGAATTGTGTATAATACTGCTTCGGAAAACTTGATATCCATTTTGAATATTCTTTTGCCGCGTAGTAACTTATCTCCATTGTATAATGCTCGCATGTACGGTATCTATTTGAATGCTGCATTAACTTCTGGTTCGGTTGCAAGATTCCGGCTATGAAGGGCTGGAAGGGCGTTCTACACCTGGGCATAAAGATAAATTTAGCCCTAAGAACATTTAAGTCCGTTAAGTCCGGATGCAAACTCCGCTGTGGATAAAGCAGTACATAACAGAGCAGTACAAGGCTGTACCTCCAGGGCATGTGCCGTGCATTCATTGCAATAGGACATGAAAGAAGAATATGGGGAGTATAATATGTAGGCACTAGTAGTTCAAAAGTCTAGAAAAATGATTTCAATCCTATTCACTGGATCCCGACCATTTCGGGACCAAAGACATGGAGCAGAGCATGATATTGGCATCACGGATGACAAGGTGATCCGAAGGGATAAAGGAAATTAAACTGGAAACGCGAAAAACAATCAATTGAGAAAGCCAAAGGGCTCGAACAGAGCCAAAAATGGCCGATGATACAGAGTCATTGCGAGAAGGGGGTTCGTGAAAAAACATGCGCCGGATATGAAATCAGAAAAAAACATCCGATGCCACTTTTTGATGCCCTCCCTAAATTTGTAGGTGAAAAGAAGAAATAAATGTCGTCCACCCATTAAGCCGCTTATTGCTGCTGCTTCCACTTCGGCACCCAACGGCCACCGGCGGCAGGCTTAGACTCCTCAGGCTTGGAAGCCGGAGCAGAGTCCTGAGCGGAGGGCTCACGCGGTTGACGGGGCGTCCAGCGCTCAGAGGGGGCATCACGGGGCTCACGGGGCTCACGGGGCTCACGGGGAGGTGGGGCGGATCCAGAGCTAGCGGGAGCTCCAGAGCGGAGGTGAGGTGGCACGTATCCACCCTTGCGGGCAACGGGCTCTTCACGGGCGGCAGGAGCAGGTGCGGGGGCATCTGCGGAATCTCCCTTGGCAGCCAAACGGTCTCTCCAGCCGGAGCCAGCAGTGGGACGAGCAATGTTGAGACGGGGAGCGGTACGTTCGCTAGGTGCTTCGTAGGCACCGCCACCACCAGTCCTGCGAGCAGCCAAGCGTGCTTCGGCCTCTTCCTCACGCTGCTTTTGGCGAGCGGCAACCTCGTCGAGCTTGCCACGCTCCTCATCGCGACGGACCTTCTCCTCTGCCAAAACACGACGGCGCTCCTCGTCACGGGCAGTACGCTCCTCCTCCTCACGCTGAGCACGCTCAGCCTCCTCCTGCTGGCGGGCCTCCTCTTCCTCGCGCTCCTGCTTCTCACGACGACGGCGCTCCTGGACATCCTTGATGCGCTGCTTCTTCTTGGCCTCGAACTCGCGCTCAGCGGCCTTGCGGCGCTTCTCGAACTCTTCGTGACGCTTCTCAGAGACTTCCTTGCGGAAGTTGCTGAAGGCTGGGACGAGACGACCAAGACGGTTCTTGAGGGCAACGGCCTCAGCGTGCTTCTGCTTACCCTCCTTAAGGGTCTCGGCCTTCTGAGCCTCGTAAAGCTCCAGGTCAGTCTTCTTCTGGGCCTCGTAGTCGGCAGGAACGTGCTTCATCTCCTCACGACGGAACGCACGCTCCAAGTGGTCGATACGCTTGGCGGTGGTGCGAACACGGTCATTCAGCTCGTTCTTCTCCTTCTCAAGCTGAGCAAGTTTGATAGCACGCAAGCGGTTTCCATCCAGCTCATCCATGTCGAATTCGCTGATATCAATACCCTTGACACCGGTCTTGAGCTCCTCCAGCTGCTTCTTGAGCTCCTCTTGGCGGATGCGGTCCTGCTCGTCCTTAATACGCTTGCGCTCACGCTCAAGCTGCTCATCAGCCAAGCGCTTCTTCTCGGCATCCTGCAACTGCTGAGTGCGGATACGCTTGCGGTTCTCCTCCTCACGCTGCTTGCGGTTCAGGGCGTCGGTAGCAGCCTCCTTCTTCTTGTCGATAATAACACGACGAGCCAAGGTCTGCTCGTGCTCCTTGGCGGTGCCAGCCAAGGCGCGGGCCTGGGCGGCTTGCTTGGCCTGCAGACGAGCCTCGTTGTAGGAGGGGTCGACGTACATGCAGGTGGTGTGCAGGGTCTTGGCCAGGCGAGAAAGCTGGAAGCGAGCAATCTCAGCAGGGGTGTTCTGGAGGCGTTGAACGGAGGCAACATCGGACTCGGCGGAGCCGGCACCGCTGCCAGCGTGCATGGCCTTGGACGAAGAGAAAACGTCGGAATCGAAAGTGAGAACACCAGAGATGTGGTCCACACGGATGGCGAGGTCACCCTTCTTGCAACCGTTCATGATAAACTTCTCGATCATAGCGGGAGTGATCTGGAAGGGGTCGGGGAACTGGGCGAGCTCGTAAACGAACTTGAGCTCAACGGACTCGTAAACCTGGGACAATTGCTGGAACAGGCGGGTGAGGATGACCTGCTGGAGAGGGACAATGTACTTCTCCATCTCGGGGTCGGCGCCAATTTGCTCGAGGATGGGGGTGATCTTCTTGCAGATGGAGAGGGGGTGGAAGTCGACCTCGAGGATGTTGTACAAGTCACGGATCTCGGGGCGAACACGCTTGAGGAGACCCTTGTTCAGGGCATCACGGAACAGCACAGAACGGGTGGGGGGTTGAGCCATACCGAGCAAGTTGGTGAGACGAGTGTTCTTGTTCTTGCGAGCCTCATCCACATCGACGAGAGCACCACGCGAGCGGGTAGTGCTGATGACGGGGATGGAAAGGGCGGAAAGGAGCACAAAGGAAGCAGCCTTGGTCACCTCGGCCTCGGTCACGGAGGGGTTCTCCTTCTTGGTGCTCTGGCCGGTAGCGAGGGCCACGGTGGAGAGACGGAGCAAGTTGTAGTAGCGGTTCCAGGCGGCAGCGTGGAAGAGGTAGTTCTCGCTGACCAAGAAGATGCGAGCCAACTTCTCGTAGTAGTTAGCCATCATAACGTTCTTGGCGGGGCGCTTGCTCAAGTTAAGCAGGGTGTGAATATCCTCAATGCTGCGGAAAGCCTCCTGCCACAGTTCCAGCTCGACGGCAACGTTCAGCTGCTGGAAGCGAGTATCCAAGTGACGCTGCAGGGTGTCGGCGTCGCTGAGGTTGATGGCGTGCATCTGGGTAGAGTACTTGGCAGCATTCTGGACGTGGTTGCGCAGAAGCTCACACAGACGACGGAACTCGGTCTTGCGGGCGTACTTGAGGCAGAACTGGAAGGCCTGGAGAGCGGTCGACTGGTACATAATCTCGAGACGGGCGTTGTTCTTCAGGATCTCGAGGACGGTACGGTAGGTCTCCCACAGGAACTTGAGCCATGGAGTGACGACGGCGCGATCGGTGCGGTCCCGGGACTGCTCACCGGAGACGGTGGCAAGCAGAATAGTCTCGGGGGTCTCGATAGCCTCCAGATCGTCGACATTGGCGGAGGGAGCAGCGGACTCGAGGGAGGACTGGATCTCGTCGGCCTTGGCCTGGGCCTCGGTGACCTTCTGTTCGGCGAGTTCGATGAAGCGCTTCAGGACGACCTCGATGGTTCCGACGTTGGTGTTCTGGGCGATGTTCTTGTACTGGTACAGGCCATCCTTGGCCGCCTTTCCCTTGCGCAATTCAACAGACAACTCGACGAAGAGGAGCATAACCGGTTCGAGGGAAGCGATTGGGCTGCTGCGGGTACGCTTAGAGGTGACATGTTCGTGCAGGACGGTCAGGGCAGCGGGAGCCTGACCGACGGCGATGAGTTCCTGAGCTCTCTGTTCAAGTAAGAAGAGAAGTAAGTATACAAAAAGTTATGCTGATATCTTATCCAGTCGATCGTGATCACCAACCTTGAGAACATTCTCAGGCTTGATATGCGGTGGTGGCGGCATTATGGGTAATCCACCCCTTGAGGGTTTTTCCGGGTTTTTGGGTGGTTTTTGGCGGAAATGAAAATGGTGAAATTTGAGCAGCGGTTTGCACACGGGCAGGGGTCCAAGAACCTAATTAAAAAGCTGCCACGCGAAGTCCCGATTGACTTGGAGGGGAAGGGAAGGGCCTGTTGTGCGTGAACCGAAAATTCGCGGGTGACTGTTCCCACCTGGGACTAAGCGATGGGGCAGTCACGTGAAACAGTCCAATCAACTTATGGCAGTCGATGATCGACACCTTGACACCTGAAAGATGCGTACCTGTAACGTCAATAAAGAAGCTGTTGGATAGGAGTATACATCGTATTATAATATAACTACTACATAACTAATACTGTATGTTCAATTATAGTGTTTCGAACTCACAAACTTCACTAAATAAACCAAGATTTATCAATACACGTGGAATTTCGAATTTCACTTTCTTTACAATTCCCCAAAGTGAACAATTGCTTTTCGGGGCCGTCTCACTCCAGCTGTACTCTGTACGGAGTACAGCGAGAGTACAGCAAAGTACATACTTGGATGGGTCAGATTTAGGGTGCGGAAGTATCAGTACTTATGACCTTACTATTGAAGATACCCGTTTAATAGTGTGGGAAAAGTACCTATACCGGGATGAATAAGCCACACGGACCCCAGTTAACAAAGAGTAGAAAAAATAATAACGGAGAAAATCCCTCTTTGAACGATTTCTAACGACCTCCAATCCCTTCTTTTGGTCCTGCAGCCTCCTTAACTCATTCTCTCTTTTCCTTTCCTTTTCTTTGTTATGCTAGTGCAAAGCGCTTAAAAAAAAAATCCAACCAAATTACCTACTGGACCCCCCTTGTGTGGACACTTGGCCCCCCCCCGTACCCAGTTTACCGGTTTCTAAGTCCAACCCCCTCTGATCCGAAAACCCCCCTTTCTCTTCTACCGCGAACCTACCTCCCATCCACCATCCCACACGCCGTCACAATGGCCGCCTACGAACTGCGATCTGGGGGTGATGTCAAGAACAAAAAGCAAAGTGTTGCCGACTTGAAGTACCGTCGATTGACTGAGCTGAATGCCCGTCTGAAGGAGGATCTGGACCGTCCACGGGTCAAGGTGTCCGAGGCCGCGCTCTCGTGAGTTGATAAACCCCCTTTGTCGCAAGCAGAACCACTCAAATCAAGTACCCCCTCCCCTTCTAACATACCTTCTTTGTTCCTCTAGTCTCATCGCCTACTGCAACAATACCCGCGACTTCATGGTTCCCTCCGTATGGGGTCAGGTATGCGACCGTGCTTTTTCTTCCCCGGGCGCACACGCGCAAATCGCTAACCGTTCCACTTGCTCCAGGTCGAGAAGCGGGAAGATCCTTACGCTCCCCAGCAGCAAGGAAATGGCTGCTGCACCGTCATGTAATGGTCTTAATGACGATATCCTTCTCATCGCCACGACACGATTTTCCCTGTTCCTCTCTTGATTCTTTCATTCTTCTCACCCCCAACCTCTTCTTAATCCCCGGATCTACCGCCTCGCCTCCTGATGATCGCCTTTTTTTTTCTCACCCCAAATCACCACCTTCCCCCCTTCTTTGGATTCGCAAAATATCTCAAAAGTTGCGATCGCTTAATCACTGGGTGTCGATCAGCGGACCCGTGACGCTCTCCTGAAGAAATCGTCTGCTGGCCTTGCACGACCACTTCGACTGCACCGGGATCCTACGGGCACATCAGCTACTTTCTTGGCTACTTAACTTCATCTCTGGCCACAGCGGCGCGTGACGATTCGCCCTGTGTAGCCCTGTCTCTTTTACTCTTTCTTCTTCTTATCATTTTTTCGACTTTTTTTTATCACAACTTCTACTTCTACTTCGTCTCTTCTACCGCAACATTCCCCCTTTGTCGCCTCTGTTTTGAAGCCAATTTCCTATGTTTCTGGGTTACTCAAAATCATCTTTGTCTGAAAAGACAAGAATCGGTTGCCATTCGTGTATCATAGATTCGATTTGCATCCAATGACCAATACAATACCGTTCTAATTCCCAGTGTGCATTCGTAACAGTTCTAGAAGCCTCAAGTGCTGTCTTGAAAAAGAATATTGCAAATCCAGAAAAAAAAAATCGACCTTCAATTCTATCTAGGCCTTTTTTCAATGGATTTAAGCCTCATAGTCATATAAGCTACTAGATTCCTTTGCATGGGTTAACTGACCTCACAACCTAGTCTACTGTCAGGACCCGGGGAGATGCAGCGCAAACCCATCCGAATCAGGCAATCCATTGCCAATCCCCGCTGACATCACCCCACCACCAAATTCATCGCTTGACCATCAGTAAATCATTGACGAAGCAAGTCCAACTAAAGATTGAGCCTTGACCAATCCGCCTTTTCCATTTTCTCTGTTTCTCCGGACTTCACACCTTGGATTATTTCGGTTACATATCTAACACAATCACCCCTCTCAAACTGCCTCCGATTTCACAACTTTGATACCAGCTTCAACATGACTGAACCAACGTCGGCCAATGCTGGTAACATCGTGACTACAGGATTGACTAAGCCTGTAGCCAAGCCTGTCGCGGAGCCTGGACTTACATCCCTGGAACATGTTCATCTCCCACGCATCTCTATCAAGTTCTGTACTCAGTGTCGGTGGATGCTACGGGCTGCCTATGTAGGTGACATGTTATACATGCTTAGTACTTTGCATACGCAACGTGCCAGGCTGTTTGATGGAATTCCATGGGTTAAAGTCATATTTGAGAACTGACTTATACATATCATATAGTTCGCCCAAGAACTCCTCTCAACCTTCGGCACAGATCTAGGCGAAGTCGCCCTCGTCCCCATGACAGGTGGAGTATTCACCGTGACGATCTGGCATGCGGAGACAGAAAGCGCCAGCGGAGGTGAGGCCAAGACTCAAGAAATTATTCTTTGGGATCGCAAGAGAGATGGTGGATTTCCTGGTAAGTTTGGATATGATCTAGAGACTACAAATCTATCAACGTCGTTCAGAAAATTTTCATAAACTCCGAGACAAAAGCCTGGACGTTTCATTTCCAAGGTTCTATACTAACTGGTTACTTCTTTTTCTGCAGAGGTCAAGGCTCTGAAATCTCTTGTGAGGAATGTTATTGCCCCGGAAAGAGATTTGGGACATACAGATCGGGCGTTGAAGCAGCAAGCGGAGAAGGAGGAGAAGAAGGAAGAGAAGGAAGAAGAAAAGGAAAAGCAGGTTGCGGGAGAGAAAAAGGAAGTATGTGAGGATTGCGTATGAGGTACTAGATCTTCAGTACCTCAATTTACAAAATGCAATATTAAATATTCTATGACCTTGAAAATAACCAGAGGCTTGCATACATAAGATTTGTAGTGATCGGCATTAGTCTACGAGCATAAGGGAAATTCAGTAAGAATATAGACATGTATTGGGAAAAGATATAAGAGATACAGGTTTTTATCTCAGATCCCACAAGCGTAAAAGGTCCTAAGACAGAACAATCAACGCCACCAGCCCCGGATCCAAGTTCTAAAATGACCACCCAAAAGCCAATTGTAGCCTCCAAACAAACAAACCAGAAACAAAAAAACAAAGAAAAATCCAAAACGTCGAGCATGTCCATGATCATCACATAGAGAAGCGGGTAGCAGGGACCCGATGCAAAGTACAAAGTACCAAGAGGCGAAAGCCGAAACAAGAAAAAAAAAATGAAAATGAAGGAAGTAGAGGAAGAGAAAACAAGCCGCCAGCGCCGGATCCGTAAATAGTACGGTCGTCCACTATCATTTTAACGAAAAAATGTGCGATATAAACATCCACTGGGCTTTGTCTGTGACTGTGCATTTCAGACAAGCCCATCGCATTCGCCATCTTTTATCGGAGCCGAGGCCCGACGTGATCGTGCCAACAATTCCATCATTGATATCATTTGGATCGTAGGAATAGGAGGGGAAAGGAGGGAAAGTAGACCAAAGGAGTCTGGTATATGCCAACTCATATATCACAACGGCATATACCCGAGGACTCCCATGGCAGAGTCGTGAAAATCAGCGCGCTTCACCAAAAGCAAAAAGTGAAAAAGCAAAAATAAGAATGCACCGTTCATGGAACCATGACCGCATAATACAGTGTAGAAGCAGAAGAAACGACCAGCAGGATTTAAGGAGGGGAGGAAACGGAAATTAGCTTTCGCCGTGGACTTCCTGTTGATGGTGATTGCGGCGTTTCCAGAATGCAAGACGTAGTCGACTGCGTTTCTTCGGAAGCCGGCGCGCCCCATTGCCATTCCGCTCGCCACCGTTTCCTTGAGCATATTGCTCGTTCTTGATACTTTCGCCGGTCGTAGTAGACTGTGTATGGCTCGGAGTACCATTAAGAGCAGCATGGTAATCCTTGCCATCCTCCGATCGGGCGATCCCAGAGCTATGACCGGGGCTATAATTGCTGTGTTCAAGGTCTTCCACGTTTGAAGCATACGACGTGCTAGGCCGGGTGCTGCTATCATCTGGACCACCAGCATCGCTTTGGGGAGCACTATCATCTGAGATGCGCTGCTTGCTCTCGTCGCCACTGTCCACTGCTAAAAAGCTAGTAGCGTTGGTTGCGGGGGAGATAGGAGTCATATTGTTGCTGTAGGCACTGATGCTTTGGGTACGTGTACAGCTATTGCGGTTGGAGCTAGACGGCCCAGAGGTGCGAACAGAGGAACTGTGGTGGGCGTGGTGCTGGGAGCTTGAAGGGCCTTGGCGGGAACTGCTGGGTCGCTCGGTACCCGATTCGGCTACGTTGTCACGCTCGGTGGTGGGTAGCGAAACAGTACCGGGATTGGACAGCGAGTTGGCGTAATAGACGGCAGCTAGAACCGCAGGATCTGTTGAAGCATCACTCGTGTCTGCAACGGGAGGCTGATAAGTGGCTCCAATGGAAGCCCGATGTGATTGAGCCGCTGCGACAGGGCGAGAGAAGTACGAGTAATCCGGCATGGCATTGGAGGATTTTCGAGACGACATGTCAAGGGCCATCGGAGTTCCAGTGATCTCAATCTGCGGGCCGGGAGTATCAGGAGAAACAACTGGCTCGATGGTGTTCTCGTTGTAAGCTTCTTGCGACACCGTCTCCTCTGAAGATCCCGACGGAGGATCCTCTCGACTTTCATCTGATTCTGCCAAGGCCCTTACGGTATCGTTGGAGTTGGTTGGTCGGACGGGGCTTGTGGAGCGAGGAGAGACCGCCGCTGAGACAGGACCATCAACCGATAGACCCCGCTGCTGCAGCTCAGCATTGGCAAACTCCTGCCACTGGGCTTGGTTGCCGCGAATATGATCCGCAGTGAATTGCAGTTGCGGCAAAAGGTCGGAGACGCCCTCGAAAAGTGGGAGCGCGAAGATTGACATGAAGCCAATCTGACCTGTGGCGAGCTTATAGATGTTGCCCAACTCCGGCGGCCCACCAAACAAGGCAGTCTCCATGCCGACTTCCTTCTCCATCTCGCCTTGGTTGGCGAATTCCTCCTGCAGAATCTGAGTCCATTTCTCAGCGACACGCCAGGGTCGGGCGACGTTACTGATATCGGCACATTTGATCAAGAGACCACAAACCAGAGTCTTATACATCTCAACGTCCTGAAGTTTCCAGAGATCGACGGACTTGCCACTCTCATAGTATTTCTCCTGTAGCGAGCCCATTCGCTGCATAAACTTTTGGTGAACACCCATGTCAGTCGCCAGAATGGAGCTGATGAGCAACTTTCGGAGCTGCTTATCCTTGAAAGCAGCGGGCCAGTGACGACGAAGAATTTGGGAGAAAGCTGCGCAATGGAATGCTTCGAGAACGGAGTTATCGTTGTATAGTTGTGCCAAAGGAGCGTTAAGTTTGACAAGGAAAAAGTTGTTGACACCTGGGTGGCCGACGTCGTGTCCAATAGCGGAGATGAGTAGAGTGAGAGAATCGAAAGGAGAGAGTAACGTGGCAATCGGAGATTTGTCTTCAACAGGCGGACCAGTAGATCCGTAGGGAGGTAAAGCCCCGATCTGAAGCAGGAAATTAAAGACCGATTGTAACACATCAATGGCGTGGCGGAAATTGTGATAGAGAACAAAGGAGTTGTAGGCTGCACGGCATGCTAGTAAGAAAGTCTGAAGTTCACCCGGTGTCAAGTACCACTGCTCCAATCCGGGGAGTTTAAAGGCATGTTGGAGCATTTTGCACGCCGCATAAACCAATTCATCTTCAGAAAAGTCATGGGCGGAGAAGTTCCACTGGCCTATTTGCTCCTTGATGAAAATTGCTCTCTCCGGCTTGATAATGAGATCTCGTTCCTGGAATTCATCGACAATCTCCTCGGGGTTACAGATTCCCTTCATCAATTTCGCCACCATGGCCTCTCGCAGGTATGAATAAGGCTCCTCATCATGTACACCTACCCAAGACAACTTGCGTAATTTCTTTCGGGCCAAAAATCGCGACATGTCCTTCTGTGCTGCGCGACGGGTACGATAAGCATGTACTACCAAGCCTTGAATCCGAGACCGGTCGAGCGGGGTGGTGAGGACGTCGATAGCACCGGCATCAAGGCACCGAGCGATCTGCTTGTGTTCCAATGTTACAGGGTTTCGCGGTTGGGGTTCACTCGTCGGGTCTGATGGGGCTTCCGGCTCTGAGGTCGAATCTCGAAGGATGGCGACTGGGACGACCAAATTGGGACCGTCCTGGACTTGGATATCGTTGGAAACACCGGAGAGTAGTCCTAGGCCCGCGGCCTCGTCGTTGTGGGAGGAAAAGGTAAAGGTACGTTGAATTGAACCGGGTGATGGGGGCCCATTATCCATCCACGAGGCCCGACTGGCCTTTCTTCGGGCAAGATTTAATTCGTCGCCGCCAAAGTCGATACCAAAGAAAGCGAATATCGGGGTGCAATCGCTGCCTGAACGGTCGCTGAGTTCAGCCAATTTCGTCGCAAAGGAGGATCCGCTCTGGCAAAGGTAGACTTGATGGAAATGTTAGTTGGATTTCTTTTGCCCCCCCCATGCGACCTGGGGCGAAATTCTTTCTTGGGGAGGGCATCAGGGGGAACGTACTCTTCTTGCAGACATCTAATAGTTGTTCTACATCGGCCTGTAAGGCCTCGGGTTCTTCGGGCACATTAAAGGACGAGGCTTCAGACACGGTCGAAGTTGCGATGGAGTTGCGGCGCACCCATCGCTCCGACCGAACCCGATCGTCAATATAAACGCCCGAGCATTCCACACGGTCCACCATGATGTTACAGAGAACCGGGGAGGCCACCAGCGTCACAGGAGCGCAACCAAAAAATAAGGGAAAGGGAAAGTGAAGAAATCCAACCTGGCCTGGTTTGCATATGGCTCACCGGGCGGGGGGAGGTGGAAAGAGAGAGAGAGAGAGAGAGAGAGAGAGCGAATAGAGATAGGATAGTAGTTGAGACGAAAAGGTTCAATCAAAGAAATGGCAGATGTGTGATAGGAAATCAGCGGTTGAAGGATCACGGATATGGATCGTCGGGGTCTCAGGGAAAGATGTGGAAGAGGGGGGTTGGTGTTGGACGAGAAGAGAGGAAAGAACGAGCGGCGAAAGAGGGAAAGAAACGAAGTCGAGAAGCCGGGATAGGTAGCGACGCAGGAGAGTTAAGCCCCGTTAAGAAAGAACGACTAGAAGACGACTAGAAGGGCTCTAGAAAGCGAACAATGCAGTTGTGTCCTGCAGCAATGCCGAGTCGCGTTGGCGGACTGCACGTTCCGAGACAAACCCCCAACGTCTTGCGCGCGTCGTTCAGGGCCGGGGGTGAAAGGTAGGAAATTGGACGCCACGTGAGTTGAAGGGTTCGTAGAGTAATATAGGGGAGAGAGAAAAAGGGAAAAAAAAAGAGAAATGAATTAAGACGACATGATGTGTTTCAAGTGGATCAAAGGGAAGATGGGGAATTATGGTGTAATGGATTCTGGGCTTTGGGGCTTTTTTTTTTCTTTTCCTTCTTTTCCTTCCAGAAGGAACGGGGTCTTCTTTTTCCTTAAAAGTGGGAAGTGGGAAAAAAGGGAAAAAAGGGAAAAAAAGAGAAAATGTGACACGGGATCTTCGTTTGGTACTTTCTTTTTTACCTTGGAAATCCTCTTCTCTATTCTCTATACTGTCGACTTGATCCTTTCTCGTTTAATCTCTTTCACAAAGAGCCTCGATCACTGCCTACGGTGGATCCCGTGACGCCTCTTTCTTTCTCTCTCTTTTTTTCTTTTTTCTTTCTTTTTTTTTTCCCTTTTTTTTCCCCTTTTATTTCCTTTCCCTTTTCTGTTCTTTCTAGAAGGCCCACTTCTTACCTCAGCAAAAGTCTCCGGGATCTTCCTTTTCTCTGATTGGTTAGAGTGACCTTGCAGGATCTCATTCGAGGCTCCGGGGAGTCCGTCGGGGGAGATTAGACCATATACTAGTAACTTGAAAAAGAAAAAGAAAAAAAAAGGTCCATATTCAGCTGAAAAAGTATATCTGTGGATGCATTTGACTTATGCACTGAATGAACTAAGATTATCCAAACATTTGAATATTCAAATCAAGCATACCCACGGAAAGAACCTTGGAAGTTCTGGCACTTGTAACAGGTGACACTATGTCCTCTTTCCAGGCCTCTTTGGAATGAGCTTCCCAACCAGCCATTCGTATCATCAAATTAAATGCAGATTGATCCGAGAGCAAAAGACACACTGCGACTTCAATTGGACTCCCAAATCATCACTAAACAGGCCAGTCACCAGTGATGATACTCGAGACAGGAGAAAAGATGATTGGTGTAGCAAGTGGGGATCTTCTAGCATTTGAAGTCAGCTGAACCTTGACCGCCTGCCAATTTAACCTCAATACGCAGTACCGAGTAGTTACAAGTAGTTACAGGTTCCAAGGTTACGAAACAATTACTAAGAAACTAAGAAACTAAGTAAGAAACTAAGAAAAGCTAAGAAACTAAGAAAAGTTCTTGCAGATCGAATCACCAGCTACGTTGAATAATTGGCTTCTTCACTCATATAGGGGGCAAATGCAACGTGTGAAACGGTACAACTTAATCTAATTCTACATGTGGGGTCATCTCCACCGGGGAATATGCATGCCACACTGACCTGTGATCTCATTGACTCCCCTATTTTGCCCAATCTCGTCTTAGTACTGTTCTCTTGGAATCTCTTCAAGCTTTTCCCTCTTTTTTTTTTTGCCTTTTGTCTTAAGCTTCAAAGCGGGGGAAATCCACCGTTCATTGTCGATCAGGATGGAGGCAAAATCCATATGCTTTGTTCATTTTTATCTCTTAGCGAAAGACTAGTATGTAATTCAATGTTTCTCCCGTTTCGTCAGTACTAGTACTTTCTGTGGAAATAAGTCATTCCCTCCGTGCGGAATACAGCGGAATAAGACGAAAATCGTGGCTTTTACTCAAACACACAGATAATCTTTCCCTTGGTCGTATTGCTTTCCAGCAATTGATGCGCCTCCGCAATCTTTTCAAATGGCATCACCTTCTCCACAAACACCTTGAACGTTCCATCCTCGAATTTCGGCAGCGCATGCTCAACCAAGCTGTCCCGAAGCTTCTGCTGGTATGGCAGATCCCGACTACGCAGCGTAGACCCCTCCACCCGAACCCGCTTAAACAGCAACGGTGCAATGTTCACCCCCTCCGGCAGCTTACCTCCTCCCATCAGCCCCAGCAACACGACCCGACCATCGCGCGCCGCCACGTCCAGGTTGCCCTGGAAGTAAGTCGCGCCGATAAAGTCCACCGTCAGGTCCACTCCGGTGCCGCCCGTGACCTTTTGAATCTCCGCGGCCCAATCGTCGGTGCGGTAGTTGAACGCCTTGGTTACTCCCAGCTCCTTCTCCAGGAAATCAATCTTCTCCTGAGATCCCGCTGTGGCGTAGATCGCCTTGGCCCCTTCGGCCTTGGCGAGCTGAATGCCCGAGATGGAAACCGATGAAGCTCCGGCGTGCCACAGCACTGATTGGCCCGCTTGGAAGTCACCAATCAGAAAGAGAGCTTGGGTGGCAGTGATCCAGGTCTGTTTGGAGCGTAAGCAGGGGGTTTCCAAACATCTGACCTTTGAATTGTAGGGATATAGTAGGAAATTATCTGTAGCTTGGAAAACATACCTCGGGAATTCCGGCAGCCACTTCCCACGACAGATGAGCTGGCTTGTGAACCAGCATCTTGGTCGATACAACAATGTACTCCGCGTAAGCACCTATTATATCACCCCACCCATAATCAGTATTCCATCCTTCCTTGGCATTCTGAAATCAAAGATTAAAAAAAATATGAAAAATCAACAATCACATACCTCCATAAGCAAGTCCAAAGACCTCATCCCCAATCTTAAAATCACAAGCTTTACCCCCAACCTCAAGCCCCTCCACGACTCCCGAGAACTCGACACCAAGGGTAGCAGGGGCCTGCGGCGGAAGAGGATACAGTCCCTCACGCTGCAACAAGTCCATCCGGTTCAATCCAAATGCCTTCACCTTGATAAGCGCCTGCCCGGCCTCAGGGACCGGCTTGGCGATTTCATCTACGAAGAGAGCGGTGGCGGGGCCCTTGCCGCCTTTCACACCTAGTATACGTGCGTTAGCGTAAATTTGTCCATCGCGGCGATGATAGCTTCATTGGGATTTGGATCGCCGTTGGATAAATGGCATGACCATGTTCAACCGCCTGTTCCGAATTGAATTCAAGCCAAATCGAGACTCTTTTTTTTTTTGGTCTCTCACCATGTGTAAGATGTAGATGAGGGAGGGGTTGAAGTGGGGCACGGGTACGTACCGATCGCGCGCATTGTCGACATTTTGGGGAGCTTGGAATGGGATTATGGTTTGATGTGATGTGATGTGATGTGAGGTGTAAGGAGTAGAAGAATTTTGGAAGTCAAGTTGAAGTTAGGGATGTAGGTTTTTTTTTTCTCCTTCTTTTTTCCTTGTAATACTTGTCCCCGCTCAAGACTTGTGGAGCCTTCGTTTTCACACGTAAGAATTGATTGTCTGCAGTCTGCAGAATACGGTGGATTAAGCATGCATTTGTCAGCGGAGATGATCCACCCGTATTACCCATTAGGCTATTTCTTATGCATTCTTGTTCCACTATTGTGATTGATACGGTTAATCGGCATCGACCTCCAGGGCTTGGGAGCTGTTGAATTGTTCATAGCAGCTATGAATGATATGACAATGATTCAACATCTTCCTGCTGTATCTTTGGCCCTACCAGCATTCATACCTCCATCTTGTTACTCGAATAGACCAGGGAGGCACACCAAGCGGCAATTGAGCAGAGTATCTCGATCCAAAAGTGGAAGGATCTACTAGAGCATGAAGTTGGAGAGAGGTGAGGGGAATCTAGAACATACTAGTACAGAATGTAAACATTCTTCTACTTGTGAACAAAGACTGTCAACTTCCTGGATACCCTACTGTATCATGGAATTGTCTTAATTATGATAGTGAAGTCTTCAATGTTGGAAGCTACTAGTAACTCGCAATTATAGACTGACAGAGAAACAATACAGTCAATTCTTCTAACCATGAACAAAGGGGGAATGTAAATCATCATAAGCCCAGCCCACTCCATGCAATCCATTGATACGATTCCTTCCATGGTGCGTAAGCATTCGACTCCGCAGCTTTTTCCGTAATCGAGACGCCGAGATGACAGAAAGAAATAGAGGCATAGAAAGATGAAGAGGTAAAAGAAAAAAAAAATTGAAGAGGACAAACGGTAGGAAGTCATAACAACAAACAGCCTAAATATGGCACCCAACCCAACCATTGGGGAACATGGATTGGAAACATGCAGAAGAGAGGGAAAACACCCCAAATAAGTGTTCATTCCTAGACCGCGCATATGCAAAAAAAGAAAATAGTGAAGAGAAACTGGAAGAAAAGAAAGGCATAGCTATCATACAATTAGGGAACCTCGGCCCCGGAATCATTAAAGAGGAAGAAGAAAGCATGATGAGGTCCGCGATCAAGAAAGGAGATTCTTGAGTGATGGACTTGCACTTGCACCCGAACCAGCGCTTGTGCCGTTCACTCCTGGGTGTCGACTGGCACTGGTAGGTCCCATGTGAGACGGGGGTGTGTTCTCCGGTCGAATAGGCGGCGTAGGTCCGCGCGGGTCAAGACGGGCCTGAGCAACGGGTGGCGAGTGAGACGGTGCACCTAAGCCACGATCGACAGAGTACATGCGTGGCGGCGGACCACCATTCAGCGCACTCAATGAGGTTTGTGGCGATCGATTGATCGTCGCCTGCACAATAGGCGGGGATGCAGAGGCTGCTGCGTATGATCGTGGAGGAGGCTGTGACATGTGCGGGGAGCGCGCTGGCATCGGTCCATATGGACTCTGATGAGTCGAATATTGTTGTGATGGAGGCCCGGGGGGACCAGGATGCGGGTAGTGTGATGGAGAAGGGACCGGAGGATGATGGTTTGAGGGATGAGCAGGACGAACGGGGTGAGCAGGATGAGGAGGATGAGGAGGATGAGCGGGATGAGCAGGATGAGCAGGGTGAGCTGGATGGGCAGGGTGGGAAGGATGGGGAGAATGGGAAGGGTGGGAAGGATGGGCAGGATGGGCAGGATGGGCAGGAGAATAGCTCCCCAGATGATGTGGGGGTGGAGGCTGAGGCACAGCAGAATAAGCACGAGGCGACATGCCATTGCGCAAATTCGGATCGTTTGGTGGCGGTCGCTGCTCATATCGCGGCGGGTATCCTGGGATAGCACCGTGCGAGTGGGAGTGAGCAGGGGGATGAGGCCGTCCGAGAACACTAGCTGGAGGAGGTGGATGATTGTGCTGCACAAATTGGTGAGGGTGGGGGGCGCCCATCGGAAGCATAGGACGTTGTTGAGGTGGAGGCGCAGGCTGTGTTTGAGCTGGTGCCGGAGCTGGAGGTGGTACTGGAGCCGGAGCCGGAGCCGGAGCCGGAGCCTGGACTGGAGGATAAGGCGAAGGCCGGGGTTCGGGCACAGGTTCTGCTGGCGTGGGGTTCTTCAAATGGCATTTATGGCATTCATATGTAGACTCTCCAGCATCTCCATTGACGTGCGGGAACGGAGATCCATGTGCAAAAATTTGGAAGCTCGGGTTTGCTCCCACTCCGTTCGCCAAAGTTCCTCGGTGGGTTGGGTGTCGTACACTCGGCCACCATCTGGGACTGAAGTCACTTGCACAGCGAACACATTTGCGTGCGGTTGCTGCAGTCGCAATCCCAGAAATCGGACGTGGAGCTGGCCGTTCCTCCGTGTCAATATCCATGTCATCGGGCCCAGGCTCAGTTGGCGTCGGCTGTGGCTTGTGGGTATCCCTGGGGGTTGGCGGCAGCCCATTGCTCGTAGAAGCTCGTCGCGAGGCAGCGTTTACTGCAGAATGATGTGGAACGGCAACCGATTGCTGGACGTATGCTGCCTTTCTAGATGTACCGGTGAGCGTGAGATCTGCCTGCTTGTATGTTTGAGCAAACAACTGGAGAGCATTGAGACTATTCTGTCCGGTCATTTCGCCGAGGTCGTGGAGGGTAGAAGGCGCGGTGTGGCTAGGACAGTAGACAACCGGGGTAGCTACACCAAGCTCACCGCCAAGACGAATGGTTTGGGGGCTGTCTTTCCGTGAGCCTTTTACGGGTGCGACATCAAGACCAAATCGGTATTGCGCTTGGAAGGCACAACCGACGTGGAAATGAGCATGACATCCAGAGGAGTGACATGGAATGCAAGCGCCCTTTGAAGACTTGCAAATCTTGCACACCTGCCGCCATCGGTCCTTAGGGATAGAACCAAAGCCCTCAGCAGGCTCCAGTTCTCTAGCATCCCCAAACTTGACCTCCGGGGTCAACAATGAACATAAAACGTGAGCCCAGTTGTTGCCAGCCGTGCGTTTCAAGGGTTCACGAGGCCCGGTAGGTTTTCCAACTGCTTCCTGTCGCTGACGATACAACTTGATAGCTTCCACGACCATTTCTTTCTCCAGTCTTTCTTTCTCCTTGTCGCGGTCTGACTTCTTGCGGCTGGTGTTCTTGGTGGTTTCCATGAGTTCATGTTCTGTCCAGGATACGGGACACAGCACACATTCATAGGTCGTTGAGATCGAAGGACTGCGGTCGTTAGAGCACATGTCGCAAAGCCACTTATTACCGGCCCAGGTGCCTTGCACTCCATAGCAGTTACGGTGAACAGTCAAGCGGCAATCACGGCAAGAAACATGCTCCTCCCCAGTGGGCTCAACCTTGTTGCAAACAGCGCATGGGAGAGTCTTGGCTCTGGGCGGATCGGGGACAATTGGTGGACCTTCAGAAACCTTCTCGACAACCGGCTTCTTCTTTGGCGGCATTGGCTCTACAGATGATGTTGCTGTAGAGGTTGCAGGTGTTGGTACATCAGGACGGATTGGCTTCTTCTTGGAAAGATCCAGCTTGCTCTCATGCTGTAATTGCGGATTACTATCCACGGCGATACCCATCGAGGTTGCGGTAGCAGCAGTGGTACTGTTGATAGTGAACGGGGTTTCGGTAGCTAAAATTAGCTGAGCCAGTAATTCTTCGTCAATGCGTCGTCTCCATGACTTGTTGCCACTGGTCGCAATTCTCTTGCCAAGTTCGTCGACATCCTCGTATTGGATGCTGTACTTTCGCCACAGAAGGGCGCATCGGAGGCAGAGAGCGACGGTCAGCAAGGGTCCTTTGTCCTTCTTCGCCGAAGGGTCGGAGGGAACAACAGTTCCAGGCGGCACAAGAGGGGCGCGCCGCCATTGTCGAGAATGACGTGTCGAGCAGAACTTGCACTGGAACCCCTTCTTCTGGACCACTGCTTTTTCGTTGTCGAATGCAGAGTCGTCATGGTCATCGGCGACATCGTCAACTAACTTTGATGAGATAACGCTCTGTCGTCGAACCTCCTTTTTCCCGCGCCTCCCTTCGTAGCTACCCCAAATCTGTCTTCCGCGAGGAGTCTTCTTCCACATGTAATAGAATCGTACAATGTGGAAAATGTGGACTGTTTTGACATGCTTTGCGATGTTGCGCCATTCAGATCCGTATTTGGCGACACCTTGTTCGAATAGCTTCAACTCCTCCGGTTTTAGCTGAGGCTCATTGAGATCCTTGTATTTGTTAACTTTCTTCAGCTTTGCAAGAGCTGTCTCCACGTTGAAGCTCTCAGAATACAGAAGTTCCAAAGCTTTATCCAAAAAGTTGGTGGAATACTTCTCCACTCCGAGTTCAGGAGCCAGCTCCTTCGCCTGACGCATGTAATCGTCAATGAACTTTTCCCTGTCCGCGTCGCTTAGATGGGCGCCTGGTGCATCGTCTTCGCCGCGGGAAGAAAATTGATCTGCTGTCGGCATTTTGAATAACATTTCGGCAGTACGAACTTGCTTTCCATTAACGGTCACAGGCTCATCTTCACCGCGTGCGATATATCCTGGGGGCTCATCTTGAACCCACTTTGGTCGGGTGGCACGGTCGATTTTCGCAGCATCCAGCGCCGCCTGAGATTCCTTGGTAAGCTTCATGACACTTCGTCCACCCGCTACCTTGACGGCCTTCTTTTTCAGCTCTGGAGGTTTCACATATTCGACGGTGCGGCCAGGCCAGAGGTTGACAATCGCTTGGTGTCGCGGTCCAAGGCGCGAACTTGCACGGGGATAAATTCGATCATCGTAGTCCAGAGCATCCTCCACTCGGCAATGAATTCCCAGATAGCGATAAGGCCACATTTTCGCCTGTGCCATCTGTTCTGCTGTTTCGGGCTTCGGCATAAAATCCTCCGCTGCAGTTGGGGTGCTGGCGTCAGTCCCGTTTATGACACCATTGGCATGGTGCTCCTCTTCCTCCTCCTCCACGACTTCCTCCTCGCCTTCTGCTCGCGTCTCGTTCATGTGTGGGGTATTCCGCGCCTCAAGCTTGCGCTCTTGGGCACGGCTGCAAGCGGCACAGGCCCAGGCAAATCCTCGAGCTGGTTTTTTGGTCAATGCAGGTCGCACACAGTGCATGTGATAAGTTGAATGGCACACAGCACAATCGACAGACTCGGAATTTGCCGCAAACTGGCGACATCGCTTGCACGTCTTAACAGCGCCAGTCAATTCCTTGCCTTTGCCCATCTCAACCAAAATGAACTTCCAACGATCATCAAGGACCTTCTTGACATTTGCGGGTACGTTTATCACATCTTTTGTCGGAATTACATCGTACAACCGGTGGATATATCGGTCAAACATCTTGTCATACCAAAAAGAGTCGCGAGTCTTCTTGTATGCATTAATGTCGTCAATTTCTGAAACATGGCGAATTTCACATTTACCGCGCAGGGAAGAAAGCGGGCAGGTATCTGAATGCATGGACGCGTACACAAATCGAGTGTCTGGGCTATGTCGTTGAATGTCTCGGGGACGATAGTACCAGTTGACTCTCAACGCTTCAATAACACCATCGCCCTTGGTTTTGGATGGCAACAATTCCATGATGCGAGCCAAATAGTAGGGCTCGCCCGGGGGTTCACAGATCAAATAGACATGATCTGAACGATGTTAGTGATTCCTAGTCTCATACTTCACTCGGAATAAAAATGATTTCAATGAATTACACGAGGGAAAAAATAATAAAAAAGAAAGAAAAAAATTAGGGGAAACGGACCATTAACAGCAAATGTGGTACCATCATCTGCTTTTATTTGACCGTCTTTGAGATATGGTGTAGATGATTCGAAGCTGACCATATTGGTAATATAGGCGCCATCAAAATCTCCAGGGGCGGTTGTGAAGATCTTTTTGGCAGGATTGCCAATGGAAGCCGAATTGGGAGTGCTCGCGGGTTGCTTCCGCTTCCTCAATGCAGATCCATTCTCCTCTGGTCTTGAAGAAAATGACGAAGTACCTGGAATTGACTCCTTGGGGATTGCATTGGCACTGGTGGCATTGGGGGTGGCATTGCCGTTAGTCGCGGTGCCATTTGGCAGGGTCTTGCGTGGTTGGGTGGGTGAAGCTTTTTCAGCGTCTGGTTTGGCGCCGTTGACGATGTTATTTGAGCCCACGGCACTGGTGCGCTTTGCATTCTTTGGAAGTGAAGGTTCATACTCCACTTCGATCTCCCGATCTTCTGCATAGTTAGGCCGAGGAGCGTTGCGACCTCTCGATCGCGTGCCATAAGGGGCCGCGGCGGAGACGCTGGCCGGATCGGCCGCTTCCTCCGGGGAGTTGGTGGTGGTCATGAAGAGCGACCCTTAGTCATCCAAGGAAGGCATACAACAAACAATCCTGAGGGGCAACAAGCCCTGGGATAGTAGATGGGGGGTGAGCCCAATATAGGTAGAAATGGAGAAATGCTGGGTGGGTTGTCAGTTAGAGAAAAAGTCACAAGGAACAACAAGTGGCGCGAAGCATGTACGTGGATAGTGTGTGGGTTTGGTAAGGTGGAAACACTAGGACCCGCGGGGGGCGAAAATCTCACAGGAACGGGTAAAGTGGGAAAATTGGCAAGTGGACAAATGATATGGAGCAGTGCCGAAAGGGGTTGAACACGAAGTTGGAACACGAGGAAAATATTGGAGAATGGGGGGAAAGAGAGATGGGAAAAAAAGGAAGGGAAGAAAAAGAAGTGGATCGTGTCAGATCTGATGATTGACTGCAGGGGTTGAGAAAAGGAAGAAGGGCGGGATGGGGCAGATATCAAGGTGGTTTTTCCAGCCCAAATCTTCAAATGATAGGGGATTGACTTGATGCAAAAAGCAGGACTAAGTCGCGGGACGATTTGCTATAAAAGCTGCATGGAACACACGAGAATTGGAAGAAAATCAAAAAATTGACCAAGGAAAGTTGAAGATACATACCGGAGAGATTACTTAGGAAACAGGAAACAGGAAAGCAAAGTGTGTGTTTTTTTTTGTCCAAAGGTTTCAATCTTGGGAGAGGTGGAAGGGGGAAAGAGGAAAGAAGAATGACGAGAGGCGAAAGGTCTGGAAGCGCGAAATGGGCGAAGGGGAAATAGAAGCGCAACCGTGCGAAACAAAACAAGCGCGCAGCCACCCGGGGGAAACAGAAAAGAAAGCCCAGTTTACAAAGACCTCGCCAAAACTTCACGGGGAATTGTGGATCTTCCAGATGTCCCAAGTTTTATAGAAAACGTCTATACTTTTTCACTCTAGGATGAAGGAAGAAGAGGAAGTTGAGGAAAGGAAAAAAGCGACCCGAGTGGTGGCCCCTAGTCCCAATATGTTAATATGACGGATCCTCAGATTGGAACCAAGGGAAAATACTCCTCGATCCGATTACTCCAAGAGAAAATCCAATACTGATCATTGGTCCTTGATGAGATCCCTGCTGATCTTGACGGATCTCCCATATCTAGCACTGCTAGCTTTTTTATTTTCTACTGGGCTTCGATTTCTATATTTCTATCTAGATCCAAGGGAAATGAGATGAGTATACAGGAAGAAAGAAGAAAGAGAAGAGAGAGAGAGAGAGAGAGAGAGAGAGAGAGAGAGCATGATAAAATAAAATAAAAAGAGAGATGACCTACTCTATTTAAAAAAAAAATTTGGGCCGGCAACGGTCCAGAGTGATGAAACTCTTGTAATGCCGATTAGGAATGTTGTCACGGTACAGCACCCAAGGCGCGTATGGGACAGATAGATGGAGGGGGGAAGGGGGGAAATATAATGGGAAATAATAGCCCAGTTACAACTTATCTTGCAGGATGAGAAATAAAAGTCCTGGAAAAGAAAAAAAAAAAAAACCACCCACACAAAAAAGACTAGTTAATAGTGATGCACGCCTCTTCAAACAGCGAACTTGTGTCGATTCCTACTTGGGAAATCATGTTGTGCGAGGGTACTTTGTCTTTGCAAAGGTTACTTCCCCCGTATCGACTCAGAAGTGGAACCTCCCGGGAGGATTTTCGAACAAGATTTGGTTTAATAGGGAGACCTCAAACAGTTCATGATATCGGAAAGCGTCTGTGGTAAAGGTAGCGTGGTTGAGGAAACATTGAAAAGGGCACTAGTAGCCGGACTCCACAACTCCATCCACGATCCCTGTGGAAAGATTACTGTATGGAAACCGTACTTTGGGTACACTTCACCTTTTTTTCCCTTCCTTTTCCGTAATTGCAAGTGGGAATCGACCACGTTTTCACCGTTCTTTAATTGTTCTTTAATAACACGTATTCTCTTCAACGAACCATTTGCAAATTATGATAAATTCTGACCTTGGAATTTCATTTGCATCATAGATTTCAGGATGAAAATCGGACTTTTATATTGGGGGATCATCATTTCAAGATGATGTGGTCCCAGCGCGTGCAGTAAGCAGAAATCCGGGGCGAAAAAGAGACTATTTGACAATATTGCATACCGCAGCCGATGAGTCGTCAGGATTCATTTTGCATCCGAAAAGTAATGCAAGGGAAAGTTTGTTAGACCCGAACAAAAAAGACACGGTATAGTATACATGGTACAGTGACTGTAATAATAAAAGAAAAAAGGAAAAGAAAAAAAAAAAAAAAAAAAAAAAACCTCCAAATCTCTAGGTAATTTAAACTTCTACCGGTCCAATGACGACTCAAGGAGCCGAGAGATGCCCGCAGTTGGCCGAGGATGATTTGCTCCCGGCGGCTGTTGCGCATCGCCACCTTAGGTCTATGCTCAGAACGTGCCAACCCTTGAACCTACACACTTTCAATTTATATGTCAAATAACCAGGTTGGCATGTTTTTTTTTTTTTTTTTACTTGATTTGCATGAACTGTTGGAAAACTAATTGTATTCATCGGGAACCTTCAAATGTTACCAATGTTTACTTTTCACTGTATTTCCAAGGTTTGACATTTCAAGTGATCGCCATCCGACCTCGGATCACTGCATATATACTCAAGTGCTCATACTATCAACTGAATACACTGCTTAACTCCAGATGTCCTTGAACACACGATCTCCAGATGTCCCAAGGTTCTCTGTTCCCGAGATCAAATGTTGTACAATTTCTAAGGCTGCCCCTGTCAGATTTTCCGAGTCAAAATTTCCGAGTACATATATGTATAGCCCTGGAGATACCTAGTAGGTATTCACATGCATTGATGCATATGTACCTGGTCTCGTGATAAAGTTACATACATACTGTAGGTATATATTATCCTACCAGTACACATGGGTCTTCAAAATGTCTCGATGAATCTTCAAATGTTGGGATCAGAGCCCTGGAGCACTTGAGTCCACTAGCACTTAAGTCAATTTTCTAGGTACATCCTTGAGCGCTACATCCTCATATGTACCTAGTACTCCGTGAGTAGCCCCGGATTGCGGGATGCCCACCTGGGCATGGATATCTCACATTCCTGACAAGCACAATCAACCAAATTCCAGTGCGCCGATCTCATGTGCAAATGTTATGGAGGTTGACTTTTTACCCAGTGCCTAAAGGAGCTCTGATTTCCTAGTTTTGTGGGGACTCAATATTTGGTGCTCTCCAGGGCTGTTCTGTTCCCAAACGGTTTCGGCACTTGACATGCAATCAATTCAATGTTGGTCCTGGGTAGCTACACATGGCGATTTCTTGTCCTACAGCAGATACAGATAACATTTGAAGGATTACGCCCTGTTCAAGAAAAACAAAGTAGGCAATACTGACTATACACAATACCAAGTAAATGTTTCAAAAATGTTCATTTTCAAGAAGTTTGTACCGTTGAAAATGAAAAGTCGGACTCGCCACCAAATCATTACGCACTCTTTATGGTCCACCCGACCGCCATTCAGGCATGCGCAATCCTACCACGATTTCCCATGTTCCAGATTCGGAACTTGGAATATAGGCAACAGCCACAATGAGAATACTTTGAAATAGCGATGTTTTTGTATTTTTTTTTGTATGATACCTGGTACTTAATAGTAGCCTAAAATTGACCTTGCTATCGCCTCACTTTTTGAATATTGACCACCTATGTAGATTCGCTCACCCTAAGATTTAGCATGTACCTAAACCTAGGTAGCGCTTGACCGCCGCTATTCGGAGAGATCGTCTGACAACCCAGCTGCACAGGGTCGCACTACACTCAACTCGACGTGAATTGTTGGCTATGCCAGCTTTTTCCATGCACCTAGAAATACGTGCATCATGTACCATACTTGAAATTCATTGAAGTCCCTCACGCCACGTCTCTTTGCGTGCATAAGAATTAATTCGTCCCGCAGATGAACCTTACATCCGATCAGGAACCGGGACTAATATTGCTTATGTCATATCGATGACGAGAGATCTGGTTGCCTCAGGTGTCGAGGCTCGACCCAAACGCGGTAGTCGCGTAGTAGAAACAACAAAGGCACTAGGCAAGATGAATAGAAAATAAAAAAAAAACTGCACACGATCAAAACACTTTTGAAACTCTTCCATGATCGGCTCTCGAGCTTTGGGACCCATGACGTCGGAATCATGTCGACCAAGTCTCACCGGGTTGAGACCTCGATGGACGTTGCGCGCCGACAACAATACCATGTAGCGCAACTAGCAGGTCATAAAAGGCCCGCTAACGCGCATGAGCCAACAAAGCCAAAATCCGAACTTACTAAATCTTCGGTGCCTCTGCACCAACCACATGAAGAATTGGACATCCTGGAATCCACCCCATTGGAGTCGCTGGGGGCCCCTCCAAACCGATTTACGGCAAGCAAGATTCACTCGGGCCCGGGCGCAGGTACAGCTGGCCCAGAAGAGGAGCAGCAGAAGACTTCTGCTTCTGCTTCTGCTTCCACTGCAGCGCCAAAGTCTGGCCAGAATCCTTTTCTTTCACTGACCCATCCAAAGTATGGGCTTCCCCCAGCCCTGACCGCAAATTTTGCTGCGTTGGGAGTCAAATCTATCTATGCGTGGCAGGCTTCGTGTCTGCTTGCCCAGGGTCTACTCTCCGGCGAGCGGCACCTGGTCTACACAGCTCCCACTGGAGGAGGAAAATCCATGGTGGCAGACGTCTTGCTGTTGAAGCGTATCATTGAAAACCCTACGCGCAAAGCCATTTTGGTCCTGCCGTATGTGGCTTTGGTTCAAGAAAAGCTGAAATGGATGCGTCGCATTGTTGATGGTGTGGGAAAAAACGTACCGGACGATGAGGACGATAATGAAACTTCGACCTACCCTCACAGACGATGGAAGAAGCTACAGAAACAAATCCGTGTGACTGGATTCTTTGGTGGGAGTCGAACGACTACTACCTGGGCTGACACTGACATTGCGATCTGCACGATCGAGAAGGTATGACGTCTGTCTTTGTATGACTGCAGAAAGATTTTCTGACACAAAGACTACACAGGCAAACTCATTAATCAATACCGCCATCGAGGAGTGCAGTATTGGAAATCTAGGTGTTGTTGTGCTTGACGAACTGCACATGCTTGACGATGAACATCGTGGATACTTGTTAGAGCTTATGGTCACAAAGTTGCTTTTGCTACAGCAAGACATTCAGATCGTTGGAATGAGTGCCACGCTTTCGGTTTGTCCATTGACTTCTATCAATGAGAATTACGCTAACGTGATCAGAATACCGAGATGTTGGCCGATTGGATGAATGCGAGGTTTTTTATCTCAAATTACCGACCGGTCCCCATTGACGAATATATGGTGTATGAAAATGCGATTTATCCCGCCACAACATCCCGACAATTGTTACAGACAGCCACTAAGCTGGTTTCGACGTCAGTACCGCCCCTCAGAATCATCGAACCCTCAACATACAAAGAGCTTGGAAATGCCGCGACCAATGCTATGGTAGCATTGGCAGTGGAAACTGCTGCGGCAGGCTATGGAGCTTTGGTATTTTGTGGAAGTCGCAATGCATGCCAGATTAATGCTGCAACGATCGGTGAAGCTATGCCGCATACGCAAGATAAAGAAGAGCTGAATCGCCGCTTTGATTTACTTGCCGATCTCAGGAGCCTCACATGTGGCTTGGACCCTGTTCTCGAACAGACAGTCGTCAAGGGAACAGGCTTTCATCGTGTGTCTACATGCCCATGGAATTTATAACCGAAAAACTAATGCCTTCTAGATGCCGGGATGACAACCGAAGAACGAGAGCTGATCGCAGCGGCCTATGACTCAGGTGTACTTAAGGTACTTATCGCCACATGTAGTCTTGCTGCGGGAGTAAACCTTCCTGCGCGGAGGGTCATTATCAATGGAGCCCGTATGGGTCGAGAATTGGTCGGCCCCGCTATGCTGTAAGTTTCATACGCCCCATGGAATCAAATTTGAGACTAATATTATATAAAGGCGGCAAATGTGCGGACGGGCTGGTCGCAAAGGCAAAGACGATGCTGGCGAGACATACCTGATATGTGTCAAGGCTGATCTGGAAGCCGTGTGTGATCTATTGGATTCTGACATGCCTGCCATAGAGAGTTCTCTTGTGCCTGAAAAAAGAGGCCTGAAGAGGTATAGCCTCATAACCTAGAAAAGTCATGTTCAAGTCAACTAACAGATTCCAGAGCTTTGCTAGAGGCCATCGCAACGGGCTTGGTGTCCGGATTAGAGGCGATCAAGGAGTACGTACGATGTACGCTTCTATATCGTACACTTGACAAAAAACTTGCATATAGCATCATGAACTCCGCCCTGAAAGAATTGGTGGATGAAGAGCTCTTGCTTTTGACGGAAGACGAAGCATATGGCGCGACTCTCATAGGCCAAGCCGTCGTCGCCTCGGCATTCGCCCCCGAAGATGGTCTTTTCGTTTACGAAGAGCTCAAGAAAGCTCTTCAAGCTTTTGTGATGGATGGCGATATGCACATTTTCTACATGTTCACTCCACTACAGGTGGCCATGAATACACCGATCGATTGGCCGATATTTCGCGATAAACTCGATCAATTGGACGACAGCGGTATTCGTGCATTACAATACGTCGGTGTTCAGCCGGGCTTTGTAAATACCATGTGAGTATTATTTCCCTTATCATTGCTGCCCACAAATAAAGCACTAACATGGAAAAAGGGCCCAATCCGGCGCATCATTGAAAGAATTAACGCCCGAACAGATCCAGAAAGCTCGCATTTACAGACGGGCGTATACGGCTTTCCAGCTTCGCGATTTGAGCAATGAAGTTCCTTTGGCAACCATTGCCCAGCGCTATCACATTCCCCGTGGTACTGTCCAAACACTAGCACAGCAGTGCCATGGGTTTGCGGCTGGAATTGTCAAATTTTGTCAGCGCATGAACTGGGGCATGCTAGCCGCTGTGCTGGATCACATGCGCGATCGACTCGAGGCGGGTGCTCGCGCTGACCTACTTGAGATGGCGCAGGTGACTTTTGTTCAGAGTTGGACTGCAAGGTTACTAAGGGAGAATGGGTTTCGGAATCTGCGTGCCTTGGCCGAGGCTGATCCGAAAGACCTAGTGCCTGTGCTTATGATGGTATGGATAATAATTACTCTTCCATCCACGATGATTTAATGGAAACGTTAACTAAGATTTCTTATCTAGGTCAACGCACGCAAAACCCAGAAAAACCAGCTCTATCCGACGGAGGCAGAGCGATATGCTGCAAAGTTATTAGCAAAGGCCGAGACTATTGTTGCTTCTGCAAATAAGATCTGGGGTAGGTGCTCTGGATTTCTACACGTGTCTTGAAATCGGTTTGCTGACAGTGCGGTTGGATTTAGAACGCGAAATTCAGGTAGAGGTAGATGCCTGAGCCCTCCTGTCCGGTCTCTATGCCCCCGTGAGGGGCCTTGGTGTAACATTTCCCAAACATACTAGTAGACACATGATGTCTAATACTGAGCATATGCATTCAAGCATTGATTCCAATTACATATGTACATGACAGCGTATGACTTTGAAACAAATCTTATTGTGATCGTAATTGGTATCAACTGATTTGCTATACTGTTCTCTATTTACGAGGTAAACCCATTTAAGTCGTTCTGTGCTTCAATGACCTGCCCCTTGTCCACAAAATCCGCCAACATCACATTCGGAACGTGATCCCACAGCGCCTCACACTCCGTTGCCTGAGCTCCCAGACTACCATCTCCCGTCGCAGCGTTCGTGGTAGCTGCTGCTTCGCGGGCTGGAATATCAATACCAAAGATATCCAGGTCTAGGTAGTGATTGACGAGGTACATTCGTCCCGAGGCGGAGACGCCAGCAGGTCGATCAATACTGCAGTTTGAAAAGGTAGAGTCTGTGACATCGTATGGTGTTTCGAAATAGTAAGCGAATTCATCGAGGATGTAATCTACTTTACTTGTATTGGCACCGTAGTCTGGATAAACATGTTAGCCTCTTGCTTGTCCTCTATCGAAAACAAGAAGAAAAGAGAGTAGAAGAACATACCGAGGAATGCAACTAGTCTCTTTCCGCTGTCAATCAGATCGCCAAGCGTAGGCCAGTCGGCGTACGCCAAGGGCTCAGAAGAAGGCACAAATGCATAAGTATCAATCCCAGCGCTGACAAACGTGCTCCCGAAGATAGAAATATCTAACGAATCCCCGTTCGTCAGCAGGACCGTCACCACTTCGTTGGGATTGTCGTCTAGCCAGCCCTTGATAGTAGCAAGATATGCCTCAAGTGATCCTGCGTCCTCGAGCAGACATGACGTGTGGCAAAGCTCTAAGACGCTGTCGTCGAGCAGCGACTTGTGTGTTTGCGCCTGCAGATAACGAATACCCATGTCGAGCTGCGCAGTGATGTTGATGTTCTGGTTCTGCTGAGGGAGAGATCCGACAAAGGCTGAGTCGTGCGAGCCTATGAATGTGATGTTCGAGTAGGGGCGCGTACAGTACTCCGTTCGGCCGTTACAGGTTGTTGCTGCGTTGGCGGCTGCGGTAGTAGTTGATGCGGCATCTCGCCCGAAGATCTGAGACAGATTTGGGACTCCGAGTACTGGTCGGAGCAGAAGACTGCTCAGTACAGCCCGCATTACGCTTTGATTGATCAGGCCCATGGTGATTGTTTGGGTTTTGGTGCTGTATCTTGAATCTCCGAAGGCACAGAGATGACAGACGAGGGTTTGGGCCAGAATGGAATAAATAAGACAAACCACTGGGAAATTTGTGGCTTTTCAGGAGGCCCAATAGGTTTTTTAAATCTCCCGATTCAACGTGATCACTCATCCACCATACCCACGGGGCCATCCAGATCGATACCTAGCAGGTATATGGGTGGGATGGTCAGCCATGCAGGGCAGGGACGGATATGCCACTCAGAATCATAACATTCCACACGTTGCCGATCGCTGTCTAGAAAGGATAACACAAGACCGATCCAGATGATGGGCTCATGCTTGTTTCACTCACATTGATAGGACGTGCGATAGCATCCTTGTGACTCGATGTAACCACAGCCCCGCACTAGCAGGTTGCAGAATCATCCAGGAACCAGGGGCAATTTTTTTTCTCTGCAGGAGAAGATTTGTTAGAGCAAAGCCTATGCTGCTTTTTGATTCGTCCATGTCAGCAACTCCGAGTCCTCTATCACATTCGGGCTTGCTAGTTCCCGCTTTTGATGGCATTTGTTATGATCGGGCGGGAGGGGTAAAATGTACTATGTGTGTAGTATACATACTAGTAGTATGTACTTTGAGATTTGCCGGTCATGAATTGATTGCATGTGTATTTGGAAAGCCGATGAAGCTCAGAGGATTTTTTCTTTTGAGCTGTCAAATTATAGTCAGCGAAAAGTTTCAAATGTTAATAGGGATATGGGTATATTCTGACATCTGGACTACATATATTTGTACATGGTCAAATGGTGATCTCGGATGTACGGAGTACTGAGTATTATGTAGTGGTGAGTAGTCATGACATGCAGTAAGCAAATAATCTTTGTTTGGATCACATAGAAGAATGACAGAGTATCGGATGAGATTCAATAATTTTAAATAGTATAGTAAATTAATCTTGAACTGTGAATAAAACCATCCTTTCAAAATTAGATAAGAGTACGTACTTCATAACCTAATAAGGTACGGAGATGGTGTTGCCACAGTGGCTGGAGGCTCTCCAGCCCCCAAAACGGGCCGATCCAGGCAACGGAGCTCATGAACTCTTGTTATCTCCACATGTATATTGAGCTCAACTCCAACCTCCAGAACCACATCCGCATGAAGTCGGTCTAGTAGCTAGAACGCATACTACCTTCCGATTGAATCTCCCGACTAGATTTACCAAACTCGGAGCACCTTGCTGGTCCGGACACGCCCCCCTCCTCCTGACCCGCCGCCAGCAATGATCATTCGAGGACGCTCATGAGCTCGATGGCAGAGGCCAGTGAGGATTGGGAACGAGAGGATGAGCTTGATTTGGGCCCGGAGGATGACGATTCCCAAATTCCCGACCATGACGCTCTCCACAATCCCGGACCTTCCCAAGAGCCACTCGAAGAATTGGACACAATCGACACAATAGAAGAGCATGCGCAAGACCACGTATCAGAGAAGACGGTCCAGGCCGTCACTGATAGTCTGCCGCAAACTCCCCCAAACCGACACACCGAATTCAATGGAACACCTGGGAGCTTGGATGAGACAGCTTCGACCCCAGATGACTCTCCGTCGTTACATGTGAGTGGTGCGATGAAGCGCGCATTGACGAGACAGCTTTCTGATCGATCGCAGGATTCAGTAATATCGTCGCAGGGCAGCAGCTCATTTCTCCCCCGAGGCTCCCCGCGAGTTAGTCCCAGCCCAGTCCATCGTCCGTTCGACCTCCGCTTCCAATCCCGGCTATCATCCTCACCTCTGAGTGGATCGCGACCGGGCTCGCCATATCTGGCCCATATCCATTCCCGGCAATCATCGCTCACGAGCCAACTATCGCCACCACCGGAATCCGAGCCAGAATCGCCTCCGAACCCGTGGGATGTGGTACGATGGACAAAACTGCGAAAGATTACGGGCCAGGCTTTTTCGGAGATCGGGAGGCGCAATTTCGGGCGACCAACCTGTCTGGCGGTGTCCACCAGCATTGTGGTTGGTACCTCCAAAGGTATCATTCTTGTCTTTGACTACCAGCAAAGTTTGAAAACAATTATCGGAACAGGGACAAAAGGTTGGTCAATTACACCGGTTCGCTATGTTTGAATATGCTAATGAGGTATTAGCTGTGGAATGTGGCCCAATCACTTCCCTAGCGATATCTGCAGACCATTCCACTGTTGCAGGTGGTCATGGATCTGGCGATATCTTCACGTGGGAGATATCCCGCTCCGCACGACCTTTTCTTCACATCCCTCCAATCCCATTAGACCAAGTGGCGACTCGAACCTCTGATGGACATATCTCAGGATCTGCTGTCATTCATATTGGATTCCTAGGAACAAGGCGCACCGCGATCGTGTCTGCAGATACAAGTGGAATGGCATTCTCCCATTTGGCAACACGCGGGATGGGAGCTGTTGCGAGAACAGTCAAAACAACTCGAATTCTTGGCCGATACCCTCCCACTGCTATGGAGGAAGCACGTCCACGGAAACCCAGCTCAGTCTTGGCATTTTCTCCTCTTCCCTTGGGAAATGTAGAGCAGCCGTCCGACTCATTAGGCCTGGTTGCCATGTTGACACCCTATCTACTGGTCATTGTATCTACCACACCTGTCGCGCAGACCCAACACAAAGCGCCGAGACCAAAGGAAGTTCCGGCTCATAGCGCCATGACTGGCGCTCTTGCTTGGTTCCCAGCAATCCGACTTAAAGGAAAAGACAGCCAAACTTCCAATACCAAGCTGGCTTATTGCTGGTCGAATGTGTTGACTGTGCTGGAAGTGACTGAAGCAGAAACAGACGAGCCTGTGGACAGATCCAAGCCGCCAAGCCTGGTTTTCAACGCGCGCAGCAGATGGAAGGCGGATGAGCCAATCGTGGCAGTGCAATGGCTCAGTCGCTCGGTCCTTGCGGTCCTCACCATCACTCAGCAACTCCTTATCCTTGAAGATTACCCTATGCATGTAACAGACTCCATCGATCTTGTGAGTCGACATGTCTACCATGCGGATTTGTTTTCAACCCGGCTTCATGCTTTGGTCGAGCAGTTGGACGATGAGGATAGTTCGATGCATGGCGTAGTGGCAGATGCATTCTATATGAGCTTCCGTGCCTACAAAGGACGGCTGTTTCTGCTTGGGTATAATGAAGCTCTGGTTGGCAGTCTTTCGAACTGGGCTGATCGGCTGCTGGCTCTAATGGAAGCGGGTGATTTCATTGGTGCTATTCGACTAGCCACGTCCTTCTATACAGGCGCTTCAGATAAGTTAACAGTCGGTCTGCCCGAAGAGGATTCTTTAAGACAACCGATTGTTCAAGAGAAGCTACTAGAGATGATTTCCGCTTCCCTCAAGTATGCATTTGGTCGCAATGCCGAGGCTGATACCGGGAGACTGGAAAACCAGCAGCTGGAAGAATTGGCTGATGTTTCGATTACGGCGTGTGTTTACATGGCAGATTATGACTTTCTCTGGGAGGAAATCTTCGCTTGGTTTGAGGAGAACGACTCAGCAGGAATTTTTTTGGACGTTCTTGAACCACGCATCATCGACGGGACGACTCGTTCGCTTCCTCCGACTGCGGTGAAAGCCTTGATTAACCACTTTGTTGTCACTCACTCGCCTGGCCGTCTGGAAGAGATTATCTGCCTCCTTGACACCATTTCGATGGACATTGACCAAGTCACGACGCTTTGCAAGCAACACAATTTGTACGATGCGTATATATACGTTTGGAACCGATGTTTACAAGACTACGTGGGTCCCCTGGAGGAGCTTCTACGAATGATTCCACTCCAGCCCGAAACTCTTGTCAACGGAGATCACGCCAACGAAGTGACCCGGCATACGAATGCAATGAAAATATTTCCCTACCTGTCCTTCGCCTTGACAGCTCGCATCTACCCAACCGGGGACGAGATGGAGGAAACCGAAGCTTTTCGTGCAAAGACCTCCTTGTATCAATATCTTTTCTCAGGCCAACTGTCTGGCACAGTGCCAAGCAATGATTCTGACAGTGCTGACTCATTCTCTTCGCTGAGAGCCATGCTGAAGTATGATGCATCAAGTTTCATGAGCATGTTTAACGAAGCATTTGAAGACAGTTTCCTGAACGAGCCAGAGTCCGAAGAGGCTCTTACCTCAGGTGCGTCGATTAATCGACAATACCTTATTAGTATTTTGCTTCAAGTTATGGATGCATCGTCCTTTTCTCCTTCTGATACCATTTACTTGGACATGTTTGTTGCGCGCAATCTTCCCAAATACCCGCAGTATATTCTTCTTTCGGGCACGACTCTTCATCAAGTTCTCGTCCGACTGTGCCAGTATCCCGAGTCGGACATGGCCGAGGACTGCGAGCTGAGTGCGGAGTATCTGCTCTCTTTCTATCATCCACCAGACGTTCAGAGCATGGTGCCCTTGTTCAAGGCAGCTCGTTTTCACCGCATCCTCAAATCGACTTACCGCTCAGAGAAGCAGTATCCAGAATGGATATTAGCGCATCTCAATGATCCAAACAACAAAGAATCCATTTTTACTTCCTTACATGACTGTCTACGTTCAGGCTCTTCCCTTGGAAAGAAGCAACGAAATGATGTGATACAAGTGGTGAAAGAACATGCCATCGAGATCGCCGACATCGATGTCAAACAAACGGCACAGACAATGCAAGATCTGGCTCCTGAGACACACTCTACGTTTCTACAAGCTCTGGAGCAGAATACACACAATCAGTACCAGTATCTTCTGGTGCTCGTCGAGCCCTCTGCTTCTGCCCAAAGCGGAGCAACTCGAGCTCCACCCCCTGTTGACAATTGGATGATCGAGCGCTATGTGCAGCTTCTATGCAAGTACAACCCATCCCATATCGCAGACTTTGTCGATGGGTTACGCGTCGGCGATTTACATCTCGATCAGTTGCTCCCAGCCATCGAAGAGAGTGGGGCGATCGATGCTGCGGTGATTTTACTGGCACGACAGGGCCAACTCCGAGAGGCTCTGAATCGTCTAGTCGCTCACCTAAGTACACTCGAGTCTGGGTTGGTTGGGATCCTCCAGAGCATAGGCGAGGCTCCAGATTCATCCAGTGCGACCGAGGCCATTGACGACCTCTTGGAATCGCTAAAAAAGTACTCTGACGTTGGAACGTGGCTCTGCCAAGGCCAAACCAAAACTGCTTTGCAGTCCAGACCGAGCACTAACGGCCAGCGCGGTGTGCCTCCGCTTGAGCAACCACTGACCTTTGACGAGGTTCTCTGGCTTGATCTCATCGAGGCCGTGGTTCGGATCGCTAGCAATGTCTTCACCGTGATGAGGGAGCACCACATTGAGGAATCGAAGCAATCCCAATTCATCGCTGTTCCAATCGGCAAGAATGTGGGGCCGTTGACAATCGCCTTCCGAACTTTGGTCCAGCAGGTATTTACCTCCTTGCTGGCCAGCACCGTGAAAAGTGGTGGCGGATCAAGTAGTGAACGTACTGATATGTCCTTCCTCCGTATCCTTCGCGCATTTCTTGCCCAAGCAGCTCGCTGGTCACCATCGCTGCTTGAGCTGCGCGCGGTGCTTGCGTCCGTCTTTTCAGCGTATTCGTACGAGAAGTCCCTGTTGACTCTCGCCAACGGTATGTTGGACCGCGACTTGTTCGTGCATGTGGATGAGGTCACTCGCCTTCGACAGCAAGGATGGCGTCCCCGCGGGCAGGTCTGTGAGATCTGTCGTCGTCGGATCTGGGGTCCCAGTGTTGGCTCGTCGCACTGGACATCCTGGCAGACAAAACAGGCAGACGACCACCAACGTCGTATCACTAAGCGTGTTGAAGAAGGTTCTGACCCGGCGACGGAGCGGGGTAAAGGGAAGGCTGCTGCAGGTCAGCCGGTTGTGGCTCATGGCCCCCATCATGTCGACCCCGGCCCCAATCACGAGCATGGGCACGAGTCTGATGCAGGGGCAGAGGAAAGGGGTGGTCCGGGGTTAGATGGGCCGCCCGAGCCGATTGTAGTATTTTCTTGTCGACACCTCTATCACCGACAGTGCGTTTTAGACGCAATACCTATCCACGGCCCCATCGATAGACCTCAATATCGGCATGACCGTGCCGACTGGTCTGGAGCCGACTTGTTCTGTTTGGCTTGTACATAGTTGACGCTAGTCTTTTTCGTCTCTTCCCTGTCCTCTTTTTTTGATTTCTTTTTTTTTTGTTTCTAGTTGTGAGACTGAGATTCTATAGGTGGTATCTTGCACCATACCCTAAGACACGTGTCATATAGTATTCCCCTTACGGTCCCTTTCATCTCCGATAACTTTTGAATCTGTAACTATCTAGAGTCCCAATTTCCGACATTTCCGTGTATGGTGGTATTGTGCCATGATGTTCCTAGTCTTTTCTATCCCGCTCATCCGGCTAGCCCCTCCGCTATAACCCCGTGCTAGGTTGTAGATATACTAATGATACTAATGCATGGCCACCCCTGTTCGAACGGAAATTGGTTTTTTGGTTCTCATCTCTATCTCGAGGACAAAAATTTCCAAGTTGGGTTGGGGGTGTGTGATCAACAAGTTCGCGTGCGGAAGCAGCATGGGCGTGCCGTGCATAAGCTGCAGGTTACTCCCGAGCGGGTGACTGATTTATCTGTAACACTTGTGTGTGGGGTCACATTGGAGTATTGGGGAATATGTAGAATGGGTATTCTACTAGTTAGCTCGTGGAGTGGGTTTTTGAACGGCCATGAGATTCTACCAGATAATGCTCGGATGGGATGGGCCGAATGGCAGTTGGACAAGTACCGGTATTCAGTGCCCATCATAGGCCTAACTCCCCCTGAAATCCAACCATGGAATAGAGTAAAAGGAAAAGAAACTTCCTTCTAGAATTTCCCATTCATCATCCTTGTTACGCAGCTCCGAGCGAACCGGGTAGATTTTTTTTTTCTCCCCTCGGTTTGTCAGGTAGATACTGTGTAAGCAAAAAAAAGGGTAAAAAAGTGGTTCGAAGTGGAACTGGCAGGGAAAAGCTTAAAAGTCCAATGGGCGCGTACTACGCGCCCATTGGTTGATCATTTGCCACCATCAACCCTTTGAACCAACGGATCACAATGATTGGATTGATTTAATCCACCAAAGTCCATGACCCAAACAAGCTGAATCTCATATTCAACCAGTGAGATCTCGTTGCTTCCTTTTCCTCTACAAGAAAGCCTTGTACCACTTGTTGCACATCCGTGGAGTCGTCAACCTGACGAGTCAGCTCTGTTGCTTTTGGCTTTTCCGTCTTTTTTTTTTTCTCTTTTTTTCCCTTCTTCCCCCTGATCGTCTTCTGTTTCCGAAACAGCCTGCGCAAAGTTTCTTTCTTCGGTCTGGATTCGAGAGCTGATTCGTGGTTGGCTTCGATTTCGGCTTGCCGCCCTGAAGGGATGTCAAACTGGATTTGGAAGAGATTCGAATCTTCAAAAAGAAATAGAACGAGTTCAAAGAAAGAGCTATAGATGAAAAAAAAAAAAATTAGAAATCAATTAAAATAGATTGTTGATCAAAGAGATAGATTCCAAAACAAAAAAGGGAATAAAGGACTGATACAACGTTGATGATGACCCGTGTCTGGATGTGGTAAGCGCCGTTGGCCTTGATGCCTCAGTACGGGGTATCGTAGATTCTTGTTTAGTATATGCACTGCGACTCTGTGATTGCCGCGTGGACGATCCAACTGCTGTGATGCTGGGAGGTTTTTTATTATTTTATTATGTATTTTTTTGTAGCCATGAACTCGGCCAAAGACTCCTAAAGCTGATATAATTGAAAAAAAAAGATCAGTCTGGAACACTGATTTTCAGGGTTTGGTTCCGGACTCCACTTGTTCTATGGTTCTTTCAACCTTTCAAAGTACAGAGCGGGTATCAACTCCCTGGATAAGGTCTCATCCTCTAGACCCATCGTTCGGCTTTACCCCCTGAGAAAAACGCCTTTTTACGCCTTTCCCACTTCCCAAGATTCCGCTATTTCCCCGTTTCGAATCTCTCACATGGGCCCTGTCATCTATGTCCCACTGGAGTCGCAAGATCGGGTCTGGTGGATGCCTGCCCGCCACCGCGTGGATCACTTTTTTTCACTGCAAGCCCCCAGGGATATAAATCATGCATCGTGTCTCTCCCCTTGTGTCCTTTTTTGTTTCTTTCTCCCATCCGCCCTAGTCTTTCTTTCCAAAGTGCGTTAATTCGCCGTGACTTTCTCTTTCTCACATTCATTTTGCAGGCCAAAATACAATCCTTTAAGCAAGGCTAGATCCTTGCCCCAACCATCCTTTTTTGATTCTTTTTTTTTTTTCGAAATTGATTTGATTTAACTTCCCTGTGGGAAAAATATCCAATTCATCTCGAAGACCGTCCTTGACAGATCAGTTCCAAATTTCCAATCCTTTGATATACATATCAACGTCTTTGTTGTTTTTTTTCTCCGGGGAGAAAAATATCACGACAATCATGCACGCACTTTCTACACTCATTCCGACCTTGGGTCTCTTTGCCCAGTTTACTACCGCAGCTTACACACTGCTCGATGACTATGGCACCGACGAGTCGTTTTTCAACAAGTTCGACTTTTATACGGTACGGGAAACCCTCTTAACCGCTTTTCACCTAGATCTAGAAACGGGGCGCTAATCTGGATTACCTCATATATAGTCGACCGACCCCACCAACGGCTATGTGAACTATGTGGATAACTCGACCGCCACTTCTGATGGCTTGGTCAGTGCCTCGGGTAGCTCTGTCTATATTGGCGTTGACCACACCAACGTGGCCAGCGGCAACGGTCGCAACAGCGTCCGTCTGACTAGCACCAACACTTACAACGAGGGCCTGGTGATTCTGGACTTGGAGCACATGCCCGCTAGCGTCTGCGGTACCTGGCCAGCTTTCTGGATGCTGGGCTCTGACTGGCCCAACAATGGCGAAATCGATATCATCGAGGGCGTCAACCAGGGTACCACCAACCAGATGACCCTGCACACCAGCGACGATTGCTCCATCACCAACTCCGGCTTTACCGGTACCCTGGACACTAGCAACTGCTATGTTGAGGCTTCCGGCCAATCCGCAAACTCCGGCTGCGCTATCGTCAACAGCGATACTTCGTCTTACGGTGATGGATTCAACAACGCCGATGGCGGCGTTTACGCGACCGAATGGACCGACAGCGCTATCAACATTTGGTTCTTTGCCAATTCCAGCATTCCCTCCGACATCACCAGCGGTAGCCCCGATCCTTCGGGCTGGGGTACCCCCGCCGCCAGTTTCTCCGGAGACTGTGACATCAGCTCGCACTTTAAGAACCTCCAGATCGTAAGTTTTAATTACCAAATCCATATGAAGAGGAAAGAAAAGAAGGAAGCAATAAGCTAACCGCATTCAAATAGGTCTTCGACATCACTTTCTGCGGCGACTGGGCCGGCGACGTCTGGTCCAGCAGCGGTACCTGCTCCTCTTATGCCAGCACCTGCGACGATTACGTCCAGAACAACCCTTCTGCATTCGAGAGCACATACTGGAGCATCAACTCGCTCAAGGTCTACCAGGACAGCACCACCTCCAAGCGCGACGAAGTTCCCCACGCCCACGCTGCGGCCCACGCCAACTACGGTCGCACCGCCGAGCACATCCGTTCCCCCCACCGTCCGGCCTGGAAGCACCGCCGTGACGGTTTCAAGCATGGGTCCGGATTCTAGATGGAAAGAGTAACTACTACTATAACCATTTGGATCTTTCAACTTGGGCTTGGCTTGACTTGGCTTGGGTTTTCGATTCAATTGATTTGAATCAACGATACGAATGACCATCTTGATTGATGGACTGTATTGTATCCAAGATCTGAGATCTAACTTCTTGTTTTATATTTTTTATATCTTTCTTCCGCTGGAATCGGTTGTGACCTGTTACTTTTTTCGTGTTTTTGCATTCACGCCTTAGAGCGATCTGCTGTTATGTTGATGTTTGATGACATCTGGTTCGATTGTTGATGTGATGTTTGTTTTGTTGGAATACCCCCTTACCACTCGTTCAGCCATTGTTTGCAATTAAATAAAAAGTTCTGATAAAAGTATCCCTCTGTATAAGAATTGAAGTAGTTGTAGTCAGTAGTATACATATTAGTTAGCCACCACATAGTTAGTTACCGTTCATTTGGCTGACCAATTGTTATTCGGCACACTCAAGTGCTTGTATGTAGTTGAATCCTCCGAATGTTAGCTCTATTTTCACCGATTGATCTGTTTTAGACTGCTCCAGATACGGTTCTTGTTGAATGGAAAGACACTTTCTTATCTAGTAGCATGTCCTCCGTCCTGCCTAAGTAATTGTCTGAATGTCAGCTCTGATAACTTGACCTACCCATTCCGTGTTGGAATCGGATGCCACGGATGAATAGAAGTCACAAATATCTGACGTCAACTATGATCGCTAGTTGAATGATATTCAACCTTGAATTTAAGGCACACGGTCCATGGTCGACGACTCGACGTTGAGCGGTGTATTCGGGTTTCATGTAATAAATCTCAGGGCCAAAATAGGAAGGTTATTGCAGTTTATTACAGAAAAGTCTCGTCACAGTTTAGCTCCCGGTAATCAAAAGTTGAAGATTCGGAGATTCAAGCACGTGTTTTCTTAACAGATTTAACAGATTTAACAGATTTGCCGGGAATTCTTCATTTGAAATTTGGTTCAAATGTTGATTCTTTACTTCAATTGATAAATTGGAAATACTAATATTCCCTACATATGTAGACATCGTACTCTGTTCCACATCAGGAGAGCACCGGAACCACTTCCACGGGGAGCAAAGTGTCAACCGCGGCTCTTTTGTGGGGTATACCACGTAACCCCATTGACTTTGTACCTGTTTACACCTTTGTCTACCTGGGGATCAAAAAAGGATAGGGAGCTGGATTTATATGCGAATTGGCGAATATGTTTTTTTTTGTCTCTCAAAACCTCAGGGCTATTTCCTCAGTTCCCAAGGATTTTCACGAATCGAAAGGCAAAGTCCCGTCGTATTGGCTTACTCCATCGCTAGCAATTCCACCATCTGACTGGGGCCAGTTCCTCGGTCTTTTCACGAGGTTTGAGCGCAAAGCAGGTAATCCGACTTATTTTTATTTCCTTCTTGTTTAAACCAATTACAATGGAATAATAAACTGTGTCAGGCCTAGACCCACGGACTCACCGATAAGGAAGGACACTAATGCCGTATTAAGTCCCAATCGCGATTCTTTTAATTATGGCGCCATCACCAACGTACACACGGGTGAGCATAGATGATGGGGGAAAAAATCTCAATCAAATTAATCCAATGATGTGACCTGGAAAAAAAAAAGAGATTAAAAAGCTACCTGAGCCTCTCTTTCTCACGTTTTTAGCGAACTTTCACTCTAACCCTGCAGGGTCCAAGACTCCAACTTCTCTTCCCCTCATTCCTTATCTGCTCTATCTGGATTTCCTTATCGCTTACACCCAACTCTCGCCATGGCGTCCAGAATTGTGGACATTGAGGAGAAGAAGCAAGGTGGTTATGCCTTGGGAACAGAGGTGGATGAATCAAGCTCGTTTGATACGATCAACGCGCTAGTTGCTGAAGGTGTGCGCTCCATTCAAATCCGCCTACGGGATCCTCGAAAGAAGAGGCTTGTGGTCCGTGGAACTAACCGCGATAACAGACCAGCAACATGACATCAAATTGCGAACCATGTCATGGCAGAAAACAGCCGTTCTCCTGGCTGGAGACCAAGTCTGCTTGGCTATTATGGCACAGTCGTGGTCTCTCAGTGTGCTCGGTTGGGTCCCCGGCATCATTACTATGGTCCTCTCGGGCATTCTATTTTGGATCACCTCCATCACCATGCACAAGTACATCATGAAGAACCCTCAGATCAAAGATATTTGTAGGTGGCGGGAATCATAGCATCACGTATGAGAGAATCAATGCTAATGTTTTCGGCTTCTGAATTAAGGTGACTTTGGATACTACGTCTTCGGACAAAGCAAGGCCGCCTACGTCTTTTCTGCTTTTATGCTGTTGGCAAACAATATTCTCCTCGTTGGATTCCATATCCTTACCGGCGCCAAGGTTCTCAACACCTTGTCCGGCCACACCCTGTGCACTGCAGTCTTCTCGGTTATTGTTACAATCATGGGTATTGTCATGTCTACACCACGGACTCTGCGCCACGTCAGTTTCATGTCCATGTTTTCCTGTGAGTTGCTCTCCGAATCAATTGATCACACTATCACGATTCAATGGCTTGTGAGCTTAAGCTGATGCACGGATACGTATATAGCTGCCTGCATGGGAATCGCAATCCTCCTCTTCCTCGTCTTCGCCGGTATCGAGGCCGCTCCTCTCTACGGATACTTCGGAGACTACCCGACAGATGGAGCCGTGAGAACATATGCATTCCCTCTCCCGGGTACCACCTTCGTCCAATGCATGAATGCCGTATTGAACATCACTTTCCTCTGGGTCCCGCAAATTCTCTTCCCATCGTTCATCGCCGAAATGGAACGTCCCCAGGACTTCCCCAAGGCTCTGGCCGTTCTTGCCGGCATCTCAGCCATCCTATTCATCGTGCCCCCCGCCATCGGATTCCGGTATCTGGGACAGTACGCCACGGCCCCGGCCTTTGGCAGTTTGGGCGTTGTCTCGTACAAGAAGGCGTCCTTTGGCTTTGTGATCGTCCCCACGCTCATCATCGGTGTGATCTACGCCAATGTCACGGCGAAATTCATCTATCTCCGCCTAATGGGCAAGTCAAGACATGCACACAGCAACACCGTTATTGGCTGGGGTGTCTGGGTTCTTGTTATGGTTGTTATTTGGCTGATTGCGTTTGTTTTCTCCGAGGTGGTGCCTAGCATGGGTGATTTCCTGTCTCTGCTGGGCGCGGCGTTTGATTCCTTCTTTGGATTCATCTTTTTCGCTGTCGCTTATTGGCAGCTAAATCGGGGAAAGCTGTTTGCTGGTCCCACGCAGACCGTTATGACCTTGGTTAACGTTTTCATCTTGTTTGTCGGGTTGTTCCTGTTGGGTCCCGGTCTTTATGCGGCTGTCGAGGCTATCATAAGTGATTACTCGGGGAGTGTGACGCCCGCCTTCACTTGCGCTAATGCGGCTATTTAATGAATGATTGACTTGGCCTTTCAAAGATATAAGATAGGAGTATGGGATTTTATGCTTTATCTAGCTACAGAACGATTATAATGCTGTCTTTTTTTTTAGAGTCCATATCGTTCTCCCTCTCTCCTGCGGCCGGATGATATTATGGCCATCAATTGTTGACAACATTATGCGTATAAAAATTCCAAATTTAAGGTACTGGAGGCGAATTAAAAAAAAGTCTTTTCGAAAATTCAGGTAATTTTCAAGGTTTCACCTGAACCCTGCATGATCAGCTGGTTTGATACGGGGTAGTCGCTTGAAATGTCAGCCGCCATCTGTCGATCCTGCAGGATCTAGTAAGCGGATACGAGACCCATGAACGAGTACGGTCGGGTATTAGGTCTTCAGCGCTGAAATATTTTGAAAGGAAATTCATTGGTCGTCGAAGTATTGTACAAAACATTATCAAATATGAGACTAGATCATGGCTTAAAACCCAACTCTTCTCTTTGGTCATCGGTTAGACGACCCCATTCGAGGAGCAGGCGGAAGAAGTAAATCTCCATGTCCTCCTTGCGAAGGGCAATTTCGGACCACTTTCGCCCTTGCTCCGCAATCCACCAACCATCCTCATCGTGTGCCTTCATCCCTAGTTGGCCAGTAGGGGAGGAATGATCATCTAGTGGGCCTGAAATACCCGCAAAATACGCCAGCGTACTCCAGAACCCATGGAAACGGATATCAACGGGTACGAAATGGAACCAGGAGATGAGCCGCGAGTCAAACCATTGCCGGAAAAGACCGGTCTTGAATGGCACACTGTGGCTCTGCAAGAAAGGTAGAAATCGACCACTGAAACCAGCACCATCAAGATCGAATAGGAATCGATAGGTCCAGTGTTGTTGGAAATCAATCTTCTCACTCAGGCCCAGTTCTGCTTCTTGCTCATCACAGTCTCCGCAACGGGTGATTGAGTCCGCAAGATGGACATCGGCGCGGAGACCAAGCTTTTCTGATGGGTCGTTTCCGTTCATGATCTCATACTTGTAAAGTTTCGGGCCTGTTTCTAGAAGTACAGACACTTTGTTGTCGGTATTGTTGTTGATCAGATGTGCGAATCTCTGTCGTGGCATGCCCTTCCATTCTCCAAAGCGGCTCATACCTTCAGATGTTCCGCCAATCCAGTACAGCGAGTTATCCTTATCATCATACTCTGGATCAGGATGCTCATGAGTTGGCGCGTACTTCACTTTGTCCATATAGTTCCATGGACTGGGGAAAAGAATATCATTAAACCCTTTCAGTGCGCTTTGGCTGAAAATTGGTACCAAGTCCTGTGACACTTTGAAAGAGGCAGGGGATATTAATAGTCCATGAAGGAAAGCTAGGTCAGGTTGGTGACAGATGTCTGACGCAACCTCGAAGTGTTTTGGAAACTGGCCCATGCTATGAGGATCCACGCAACTCAAACATATGTTGTGCCGATTCCAGACTCGACGAGTGCGTGCCTTAGATGAAGGTGGACAGAGTGCGCTCACATATGGATCGAAAACACCCCGCCAAGCGCCATCGGTAAAGATAGTTTGATTCGTTGAGTCGGCCGGCTCAATAGGGCCCCAGCCATCCTTTCGGCTCACAGACCATGTGTCCACCACACCTGATTCGGGATTGAAATTGAATTCCATTTCCTTTGCCGCGCGCTTCAGTGGCCATATTTTCTCCCACGGCACTGCGACCCGAGGTTCATCGTTCAAGTTGAAAACAAGATCCATATCTGGGAGGTACTCGGAAAACTTTTCGATCATTTGAGCTGCACCTTGGACCATCCACGCATGTGTTGGCTTGATTCCCTCTTGAACTCTTGGCTTGCCATCCCGAATACTAATACCACCAAGGTCGTTGAATGGGTTGGTTGCTAACTTTTGGGTCATTTCGCGTAGTTGTTGAGGTGGAACAGATCGGAAAGGAAGAAGATTTTTGTGAAGCTCATCAAAATCGTCGATGACCACCGATGATCGATAAGTGGCATACTCGTACCACTTATCAAAACCTCTGGGCACGCGTTAGTAAGAAAGTCATCACTGGTTGGAGAACAGAATGCTTACGGAGGTGGATGTTGGTTATATCGGTTTCGATACTCAACAACAGCTTCTTCTAAAGATGTGCTTTTGGCAGCTTCTTCAAAAAAGCGATCAAACTGGAGGGTCGCCTTGTGAATCAAAAGGTCGATAGGATGAGTCTGTGAGATATGGTGCTTGGTAGATGCGAATATGAGGCCTATGATGCAAAGAACGATGAATGTAATCTGCAAGGCAATGTTGGCACGATATAATGACTTCGCCTCCTCTTGGGAGAATATGCGTCCCAAAAGAAAGAGTACCGCCCCAGCTGTAGATGCGATGAGGGGAAGAGAAGAATGAGGCAAAGAGATAAAAGGAAAAGGCATTTGTCGCAAAAATAATGTCGACGCGGCGGGAAAGTAGATGAACATGAACCCGGTTAGAATAGTTATCCCCAAGACACCGTACGAAGGCAACTGAAAAAAAAGAGTCAGTTCCCATATACACGAGACGAAGAATGACAAGTACCACATACCATTTGCCAAGCTGATACAATGAAAAACAGAACCAACAAAGCTTGACCAAAAGCACTGCGTGTGTACTCTAGATCCAAGAAGGGCTGGCCGCTATGTTCAGGGCGGCTCTGTTCGACAAATATCGCGATGATTGTCCAAATAAATGCAATGGCCTGATGGGTCTATGTCAGAAATTATATTTTGCAGAGGTGTTGTATCCGAAACTTACGAGCAGGCCAGCCCCTAATGACATGAGCGCTCGTTGATTCCTCCGCGCTTCAGTTCGCTCGGCAAATTCGAATAGCTCAGCAAGTCCCATTAGAATAAGCGAGTCGAATAGCAGACTGAGGTATCCAATCAATCGCATCCAAAATGCAGCATGAAGACTGAGTGGGCAAATGTATGTCGATTGGCTACCAGCCAAAAAGGACGAGGCCGAATACCCACCGAGAGAAATCAAGGCCGCGGCGATGACGCCTCTGAAATGGCTCTTGGTCAAATAATAGAAGCATCGTCGATAGATCGACTCAGCCACCTGAACAGGGACACTCTTAAACCGATGCGACGAGACATATTCTTCTATTGGCAGCAATCGCCGATACCGCCAATAGTCATAAAGGGAAACGGTAAACGGGAGGGCATACTAATATTATAGATTGTTAAGTCATATTGCACCCCAAATAACAAGGACTGTGTAATCTTACCGAATATCCGGCAGGCGCGCATTCACTGTTAAGGCTAATTCGGCGAAAGAGTTCAACCCGGAGACAGCAAATAATCAGCAGGCCACCGAGCTTGTACCAATATCCCGACCGAACATCAAGTGGTGTTGGTTCATCGAAGGCCAATATTGGTGATGAAAAAGACGAGCGCGATGAGCGTGACGAGGATGGCGATGCTAGTTCAAACTGATCGGCAAGTGGGACTCTAGATCGTTTAGATATGGGCGACGAGGGTCGCGATGCCGACGGAACGAAGTATCCAAATACCAAGAACACCGCTCCTGTGAGAAAGCAGATCAAGACAGTCGTGTTGATCGGGCGATCTGAAGGCTCAAAGTCAGCGTATGCGCGCCACCCCACTTGGAAAGCCAACTAACCAAAGGCAAAGGTCGTGTTGTAGGTCGCGTGAAGGAAAAAGGAGGAAAGAAAGAATACCCTAGTAGATAGAATGCCGCCGTTAGACTGATTTCCCTTCAGCATGGGGATGGCATCGATAGCAAAATACTTACCCCAATGAAACCTTGAGCCCAGTATCGGCTGAAAACTGAAGCATCGTGCGACCAAATCGTTAAATTAAACTCGTAGACTATTACTACCCATTGCGCCGCCTAGGGGATGAAAGTCGGATCGCAAGGGAAAGCAGCTTTGCGCGCGCAGAAACAAGGCTACAGGAAAGGAGGGTCCGACCAAGACAAGGCGAGGGAACGAAGGCCCCCAGGGCCCTGAATCCCCGGTGGAGACTTCGGGAAATTGACAGTCCAGCCACGGGCTGGATCCCATGGCTGAATCAGGCTGGGAGGGGGAACAGAAGGCGCCAGGCCTCACGGCCAGTTAGAATGGAGCCTTCCTGGCGATCCTGTTGCGTCAATAGTGGATGGACGGTTGGATTTTTGGTTGAGCACGCAACCACGGTCCCCTTCGTGTACACGATACACATTGCTGCAATATCGGCCAATGATGCGGGAGCCGATCTGAGCAATTTTCGTCTTGGGTCTTTTGCGCCCTTGATTGCACTCCGGGCATGCCTCCCAAGACAACAAGATATGCCGGAGCGATCAGCGCCCAGAAGCAGGACTTGGCTCCCGCCCGCTCCACTTAGTGCAGCGTTCTGACCACCGGCCATCGTCATATCCAAACTCGATTTTGCTTGGCCCTACGAAGTATAAAGTAGCCACTCTGCAAGTATAGTAGAGCGCGGATAAATTTTGTATACTTGCACCACAAGTAGATCTCTTCAACCCAGAAGCCAATGAGACGTCGTAGTGTAACGAATGAAGTGCTCATCAATTCCATCAAGTGGAGTCGTTGGCTTCTCGAAGCGGATATGAGGGCTTTCTACGGGGGCCAATAGCTGCCACTGTGAACAAAAACCCAGATTGTTCAATGTTTGCTGTTCACCGTCCTTAACATACCTCCTTGTATTCTCATTCGAATTTTGTTGTTTTTTTTGGATTATATCATATTTCATAGGTGCAAATTGACCAGAGTTGGATTAGAAGATCAGACAAGGCAAATTAGGTGAAAATCAGATAAGTAGTACATTATTCCAGCTTATCGAAAGTACATAAAACTTGGAACTTGGAACTTGGCAGTAAATCTCTTTCTGCTGGAAGTTTCAATGTTCAGTTTCTGAATTGCCGTAGCTCTCCGTCCGTTCCCATTTGGGAAACAATCAACAGGGCTGGTCATGTGACCGATGGGCCACGAGCATGGATCATGTGACTTTCCCAGGAGCTTCAAGGCGGTGATGGATGCCAGAAAAACAGAGTAGGCGGTATACGCCAGCAATATGATTTTTTTTCTCATTGCGATCCGCATTGTGAGTGTAAGCGACTTGGAGGGTTCTTTTTGTCTCTAATCACCGTCTCAATTTATCAGATAATTCAGTGAGAGGCAGGAGAGTTTAATTCTTCATATAAACCCAACAAATCGCCCAGTCTTTTTTTTGGGAACACGGGCAAATCGACAACAAGCTATCAACCCTCGAATTTCCTCGCGGCCAGCTCCGCTCCCTCATCATGCCGCGCAAGGCGATTGACTCGCGTATTCCCGCCTTAATCCGAAATGGAGTCCAGGAGAAGAAGCGTAGCTTCTTCGTGGTGGTCGGCGACCGCGCCAAGGATGTAATCGTGCATCTCCACTATATCATGTCCAGCGTCGATGTGAAGCAGAACAAGTCTGTGCTGTGGGCCTACAAGAAGGATCTGCTGGGCTTTACCAGTCACAGAAAGAAGCGCGAGGCAAAGATTAAGAGAGAGGTCAAGCACGGTATTCGGGAACCCAACCAGGAGGATCCCTTCGAGTTGTTCATCACCCTCAATCAAATCCGCTACGTCTACTACAAGGAAACCGAGAAGATTCTGGGTAACACCTACGGCATGTGTATTTTGCAGGATTTCGAGGCGATGACCCCGAACCTTTTGGCGCGCACGGTCGAAACAGTTGAGGGTGGTGGTATGGTCATTCTACTACTCAAGAGCATGAGCAGTCTGAAGCAATTGTACACTTTGTCCATGGATATTCACTCTCGGTACCGAACAGAGGCTCACGACGATGTCGTCGCCCGCTTCAATGAGCGCTTCATCTTGTCTTTGGGAAGCTGTGATTCCTGCTTGGTCGTGGATGACGAATTGAACGTGCTGCCCATCTCCGGTGGTAAGAGCGTCAAGCCGCTCCCTCCCCCCGAATCCACCGATGAGTCGAGCTCCGGCACAAAGAAAGAATTGAAGGAAATTAAGGAAAGCCTGGCTGACGCGAAGCCTATTGGCCCGCTGGTGAACCTTGCTAAGACTGTGGATCAAGCGAAGGCACTTTTGACATTTGCCGATGCCATCGCTGAGAAGACACTGAAGAGCACCGTTACTCTGACTGCCGGTCGTGGACGAGGAAAGTCTGCAGCTCTTGGTGTTGCAATCGCAGCAGCCATCTCTCACGGATATAGCAACGTCTTCATTACTTCACCAAGCCCCGAGAACTTGAAGACATTGTTTGAGTTCATTTTCAAGGGTTTCGATGCCCTTGGCTACCTTGACCACGTCGATTACACCATTCTCCAGTCAACCAACCCTGATTTCAACAAGGCGATCGTCAGAGTCAACATTCACCGCAACCACCGCCAAACCATTCAGTACATCCAGCCCCAGGACGCACATGTCCTCGGACAAGCTGAGCTCTTGGTCATCGATGAGGCTGCCGCCATTCCCCTGCCTCTGGTGCGGAAATTGATGGGACCTTACCTGATCTTCATGGCCTCCACTATTAACGGTTACGAAGGAACCGGTCGTTCGCTCTCTCTGAAGTTGATCCAGCAGCTTCGTGAGCAATCTCGAGGCGGCATTAAGTCTAACGACACCGATGTGGCGGACCGTAGCACTGGTAAGACCGCAAAGAACTCGGACAAGAACCTCGGTGGCCGTTCTCTTAGAGAGATTACTCTCGCAGAGCCGATTCGTTACGCCCCTGGAGATTCCGTCGAGAAGTGGTTGAACAAAGTCTTGTGCTTGGATGCAACTCTCCCCAAGTCTCGTATGAACACCCAAGGCTGCCCTCACCCGTCCAAGTGTCAGCTGCTCCAGGTCAACCGAGACACACTTTTCTCCTTCCACCCTGTTTCCGAGAAGTTTTTGCAACAGATGATGGCACTTTATGTCGCTAGTCACTATAAGAACACTCCCAACGATCTTCAGCTCATGAGTGACGCACCAGCTCACCAACTTTATGTACTTGTCCCTCCAATTGAGGAGGATGCCGCGAAGCTTCCCGAGCCTCTTTGCGTTATTCAAGTTGCTCTTGAAGGCCGAATCAGCAGACAGAGCGTTCTTAACAGCCTCAGCCGTGGTCAGCGTGCCGGTGGTGACCTCATCCCCTGGCTGGTCAGCCAACAGTTCCAAGATGAAGACTTTGCCAGTCTCTCCGGAGCCCGAATTGTTCGTATTGCCACAAACCCCGAGTACGTTGGCATGGGATACGGTTCGCGCGCTATGGAGCTTCTTGTTGATTTCTTCGAGGGCAAGTTCACTAGCCTGGATGAGACCATGACTGCTCCTCAAGAAGAGATGGTTCGGGTCACCGATGAAGAGCTTGCCAACTCGAGCCTTTTGGATGATAACGTGCACGTCCGTGATATCCGCACCATGCCTCCTCTGTTCGGTAAGCTCACGGAGCGCCGTCCCGATGCTCTGGACTACGTTGGTGTCAGCTACGGTCTTACACCCACCCTCCACAAATTCTGGAAGCGTACTTCTTTCCACCCAGTCTACCTGCGTCAAACTCCTAACGAGCTGACTGGAGAGCATTCCTGTGTTATGCTTCGCACTCTGGCCGCTGGTACCAATGATGCTAGCTGGTTGGGATCTTTCTCCCGTGATTTCCACCGTCGATTCCTTGCTCTGCTCTCTTATCAATTCCGCCAATTCCCCTCGGTGCTTTCCCTCAGCATTTGTGAATCTGCCAACGCCGGCGCTAAGCTTGACACAGCTGCCGTGCTGCGCAACTTGAAGAAGGCTGATCTTGACGCCGCTTTCTCGCCCTTCGATCTGAAGCGTCTTGATAGCTACGCCAACAACCTCTTGGACTACCACGTCATCTTGGATATGATTCCTCTCATCGCCGAGTACTACTTTGCCAACCGCTTGGCTGGCAAGGTGAGCCTCTCGGGTGTGCAGCAGTCCATCCTTCTTGCTATTGGTCTGCAGCGCAAGAGTCTGGATGATATTGAGAAGGAGCTGAGCCTTCCCGCCCCTCAACTCCTTGCCATGTTCCTCAAGATCATGCGTAAGGTTTCTACTCACTTCCGTGGTATCGTTGAGGGTGCCGTGGCCGAGTCTATGCCCGCAGAAAAGGCCCCTATCGAGCCAGCGGGTGGTGCTCACGATGATGATATCATCGAGGACCGCTACAAACCGCTGGAAACTGGCCTGGATGAGGAACTTAAGGAAGGTGGCAAGCAGATCGACGATGAGATGCGTGAGAAGCAGCGTGCGCTGATTGATTCTCTTCCCTTGGACAAGTAAGTCAACGCCTATGTTCATTCTCTTTCAACCCTTGCGAGGTCCGAATGAACAATAACTGATTTCTAGCCTCCAGATACGCAATTGATAGCGGCTCTACAGCCTGGGAAGACGCCGAAAAGCAAATCCGCACCGGCGGCGCTGCTACTGTCAGCGTGAAGTCTAAGCCTTCAAAGCGGAAGAAGAGCGGTGAGACCGCTCGTGAGATCTTCGACAAGGAGGTCGATGCCAAGAGGCAGAAGATGATCAAAAAGGGCACCGAGGGCCGCAAAAAATAGAGCTGGAGCTCTGATCGTTTAATGGCGTTACTTTGCATTTTGTACGGTGTTTCTGCGGCTGTTCCCTTGTTCATTTCTTTCCCAAAATTCATGTGCAATGCTTGATCCTTGTATATATTCAGATGTATCAATATGACCAGCCTGGGTCTTGTATGCAAACTATCATGGAGCCATAAAATTCCGCTTCTAATACCTCACCCCACTTGGAGGTAGCCTGCCTTCCAACAAACCTCGGTCTCGTAGGTAAATATCAAAGTCCAACCTGCAGACTTGTTTCTCGATTCACCGACCCTTGCCAGGGTCACGTATAAATAACATGTAGTACCTAATAGGTAAAGATCGAAACGCTTCGTCGTATAGATGTTCAACAAAAATATCCTCAAGGGATCAAGACACCCTCGTAGCAAATTTGATACTGCACTTATTCTTTGGCCGACAAGTCAGCTGCTCGTTATAATCCGGAACCGGAGGCCCCTTCATATTTTCAAGTTGCCCATCAACCATCGACAAGTCGAACCTCAACATAAGAGAAGCAGTCAAAAGCTTCATCGTCAACATAGCCAGTCTTTGACCCTTGCACGGATGGTTGCCCAAGCCCCACCCTATGAAGGGCATATCTTTCTGGAGCAACCGGGAAGGATCCCAGCGCTTAGGATCGGAATGGTATGATGGATTCAAAAATGTATCCGAAAATGGATACGCAACGAACGCCCCGGAGGGGATGGTGAATCCTCCAGCAGAGAAATCTGGACCTGTGTTTTTGCGAAGGGCTGTATGTGGTTGGGCAATTCTCATCGTCTCTCGAATGCAGAGATCCAGCTTGGGCATCTTTTTTTCCCATGCTGTGAGGGGGATTTGAGATAATGCTCGAGTGAGATCTTGCTGAGAGAGGGGTTGTGGTAGAGAGACGTTGTAGAATGATAACAGGCCTTCAACTTCTTGGCGTACAGCTGCAGCCCAGACTGGATCAGACGAGAGAAACATGATGAGCCATTTCCCTATGTAAAGAAATTAGTTCTAGAGACTGGAGACATTCGTTCCAAGAGAACGGTTTGACACGTACCAATTGTGCCTGTCGAACGACCCCCTGCTAACGGAAGAGCGATCATAAACTTGCAAAGAGTGGTCAGCATGCATTTGTGAGACTAGTAACCATCGAAAATAAAAGAGTCTCACTTTGATCGTATATCCTTCAGTCTGATTGCTGTCTATAAGCTGCTGAAGCGCATCTGGCTTTGCAGCTCCACCACTCGTTCTCTCCCGAACAATGCTTCTGAAAGTCAGGTAGAGATTCATAGAAGCCCAGAGCTTTCGGAACGTAGCAGGACCGTATATCCAAGGGAAGTAGACTGAAAATGGCTCGGTGGATGAATCAAGAATATCAAACCATCCCTTTAGACGCGAAACAAGAGCTAAGTCGTCCGCAATGTCGAATGAATTGAGAACCCGCATGATCATGACAAACGTGATCTAACAAGGAAATCATGTCAGCGTCATGTATTATAACATTGCTCGTAATCAGTCGTTGGTCCACATGGTAATCCGATAAATGACCTACATCATAGATGGCTGAGCAAGGATCCACCAGACCTTGGCTTCCCCATGTGTCCATTTTGCGCTGACAGTCTGACAAAAGATAAGGGATCACTAGTATTATATAAGAGAAAGAATATGACATTGTTGGGAAGGGTTGTGAACTTACTAAAGCTCAAATTCTCGGTCTTCTGCAGACCCAAGAGGCGTTTGTAAAATGAATCGATTTGCTGTTGATGGTAGCCCTTGGGAACCTTGAGATGGTTTAGAACATTGTGATAGTTGGTACATAAAGCCAGTTGGTCCCAAGTGGGAGCTGTCTCTGAGATATGTGTGCAGGTGAACTTACGGATTCCAGCACGAGTTGAGCTCCTTCGTAGAGATCAAGGCCAGGCTCTCGTAACAACATCTGTCGCCCTTCTTCTCCAGAAACGGCGATCACCTGGTGCTTGAGTATGTTAAACTGAAATGCCCATGATCCCGTCTGTTTGAAGCCATTTCTCAGAAAGTCAAAGCGCCTCCTGTAAAACCCTTGAACTGATTGTGATTTTGAGACTTCGAGATGTGGTGGCTCAACATCGGATTTGAGATTGGGGAAAAGTCGCCCTTTCCATAACGAAGCTGGGTAAGAAAATGAAAATAGAAAAATTATTGCGGCAGCCAGTGTGATGAACTCTCCGAGGCTTCTGGAGACACAGACCGGGGCTATGTAAACTGAATTCAAAGTCAACAACGTCATTTTGGAATTGGCAGATTGAAGTGAGATTGAAGTGATAGAAGTAACCACGTGCTTGAGGGCGATCAACCTTGGACTTTGGGGATTTTGGGCAAGACCAATTGATTGATGGCAAGAGCTCAAGTATTCTGACCTCACATGAGCAGTAAAATGGAATTGATCTTATCCTTGAAATACCACAACGAGCACATGAGAATACGTCGCATTATATACCTGCCCGATACAACCGTAGACATGGCTGTGTACTAGTATAGTATAGCCTGGGGGCCTGGAGCCTTGGAAGTCACCTGGGCGTGTTGGTTCGGGTGGATATGGATGAAATGCCAAGGGTGTGAGGCTGATTAGACCTCGGGTCCTGTATGGTGCGCTGTAATATCTACTGGTATGTAGTGGTGCACTCGAGATTGACACATACGCCATGATTATGCTCATGTGGGATCTATGCGCCATCCTTACTCCCATTCCAATGCACGAGTGTCCAAAAAAAAGCACTGGTGGCATATTTTCAACCGATAGAGAGCTCAAGTGCTTCATTGCTTTTCAACCTCTGGACAAAGAAACCAAGAAATCAAAGGTCACTGGGCTGCTAGTCATGGGGCCGGAATAGGTGCCCAGGTGCGGCACCCAATAGAAAGATGAATATTTAATCTATGACTGTCGAAAGTCATCTCAGTTGAATCTAACACATATTGCTCATGCATGACTATAGAAGGATTCTGGAACTTCTTTGTCGGAACTTAGGAAAACCTCCGGTAGTGCTGACTATAGCGTATGGCGTACTTGTACACTATGCTGAAAAGAGTTATCGGGGCCTCTTTAGTGGATGTAAGCCTCTCGAGTGGATTGATCTAAAGCAATCCTTTCCATTTTAACCAATAGCAATCAGTTTACAAGGGTTTGGGTCCTTCCGTATCGAACGTTCGCCTCGATCTCATGCATGTGCGGCTCCTCTAAGAATTCGGAGCTTCTACCGGAGTTTGGAGTTCTGCAGGTACGGCTGAAAGTAGAATAAAGAGCATATACCCCCTCATTACTCATTGGGTTACACTTTCTGTATGGATTCAGGCAGATTATCGGCGCCAGGTGCGCATTTTTTCATTATGTCGGTGTTCCTAGCGTCGCTTGATGGGGCTTGGCAGGTCCTAGCAGACATAGCGACTACTTGGACTACTCCACTCGTATGCATTAGTGAGTGCAGAAACAGTATGATTGGCAGCTCATACACTTATTATTCACGGAACTTTGAAGCTATACTGATTTACGTATTGAGCTTCTGAATCTCGCTTATATCCTACCAAAAAAAAGTCTGTGCGTCTGTGTCAACGTATTTTCATCTCATTCTCAATAGCAGTGTCAAAGGTGCCGTTCTCTGTCTTAGCTAAGAAGTGGCTATAAATTATCTATCCTGGCAATTGTTGGATCGCACTTGCTCCAAGGTCATGGACGGACTTTGTAATTGACCGGAGCACTTGAGCAGGAAATGTTTAAACAAACATTTGAATGCATGAACATTTGAATCAAAGGTACGGTTTAAATGTATGAAATTCAAGCTTTGGAATTGATTTCAAATGTAGTCCCACATGTGCAAGTTTGCTCTTCAACTAGTACATGTATTCAAATGTTATGTACTAGTAATTCTCAAATCGGACTGGTACCTAGCACTTACAACCTTGGAAGGTGCCCACCTCCAGGGCTGGATCAATACCAGGCGCACTGCCACGGCGATATTCCAGATGTCAGCTTTGACTGTTTTGGCCCCATTGGTGGCTTATACATACCTAGCGCCAATTACATCCATCATTTGATAAATTCCAGGGCTTACATACGCGCACTATTTAGGGGCTGGGTTTAGAACTTGGTACAAGGTATACTTTCAAGGTTGATTCAATATTGATGATTACCCACTTGAGTGCACATGTGGATCTATGTAGCACTCAAATTGATGCTACCCAAGCCCGTATGTAGGCATCAATCTAAATATACATCCACATAAAAATTGAAATGTTTAAACATTTGAATGCAATGTTCAACATTTGAAAGCAAAGAGTCTCCCAAGCCCTGGTAATGGTCCATACCTACATGTAGTATGTCCTGCACATGTGGGTTGAGGGCATTTCTTGATGGTGCACATGTGGGTCTCTATGAAGGCGTTTGATCAGATAGAAATCGAGGGCTCTGGTGGGTACTTGACATTTGAACAACCAGCATTGGCTCTGGGATAATTGGTTATGTTCCTAGGCATTTCAACCTAGTCAAAATTCATTAACCGCTCGGGAATGAGGCAATCTTCACATGCACACAGCCTTTCGTCCGATCTCAGGAAACGAAGTCAATTCCGGGAAAACTCACGACGCGTAACCACATTAAATAGTACAATAGTCACGAATGTCAACAAGGCAAAGGTTAAATGAGTCAAAAGAAAAAAGATCAATGGACGCCTCAATCTGCCTGTAGAAGCCATCGACATTGATAGGGCTGGGCGGTGTCCGGGTAGCTCCGCGTACTTTTTTGAAACAAGCCCGTACAAGCCCGGTAGTCCGTCTTGAGTCTTGACTCTTGACTCTTCTCCCCCCGTAATAGCGCTCGTAATAGCGGAGAAGATTTTCACGTGGATTTCCTATGACACCATTACACTGCCGCGCTTCTTCGCGTAAAATCGATGCCCAACGTGGGAGAACTGGAAAAGAGAGCCTGGTCGGGTTTCCTTGATGTGAGGGAAATATTCCAAACATGAAAGCAGCCAAATAAGCTGGCCTTACTATCTCTTTGTGCTCGAGCCCTTGCCTTTCAGCGGGATACTAGTGATCACGACTCGCCATGCAGTATAGCGGCGGATTCTTAGTGGTTGGATTGTTAACTTTGGCCGTTACCCGTGGACCTCAGCACAAGACCAGATACTCCATTCAAATGTCTGCAGGCCTCTAGGGTTACTATCATGTGATGGTCTAACCTTCCAACCTTGAGGTTGAAAAAAATGTACTAGGTAAATAGTATTTCCCTCTCAGTAAATACATGTGCTGCGCACTGGCTACAAGATGCACTTAAGAGCTTCTCCAGACTGAGGGAATAATCAAATGCAACTACTAGATAACATAATATGAAATACACAGCTTTAACATTGAATGACTGCCAGGGAAGAGATGCGCGAGAGTCTTAATTGATTCAAAGCCAGCACATCTTCCACTTCTCGGAATATTACAGCTCATCGTGCTCAACTTCGTCGGGCTTTTCGGCCTCAGGCTCGGGCTCGGTCCCAGCTACAATACCCTCAGGCAACTTCTGCTTAGAGCCCTCGCCGAGTCTGATAGCGTCAATCCAAGATTCAACGGCGGTGACGCCGAACTCTCCTTCGCCACTGTACTGACGCCACCAGCCACGACGAGCGTTAACGGCAATGATCTCAACGTCCTGGCTATCTTCAAGTCCCAATGCAGTGCGCAAGGCGTGGGAGGCGGTGTTGGTCTCGGGAACGGCGTACACGGGGAAGATATGAGCGCCACGCAGGGAGTGTTTGTGCGTGATCTCGGCAAGACTGGACAACGCGTCGGTGGCGGTCGAGGAAAGCTCTGCGTCTGACTCGCTCGTCTTGGGGAGAAGGGCGAGCACACAGGTATTAGACTTGGCCCCCAGACAGGCAGACTCGAGGGCTTCGGGAGTAGCCAGGGTGGGAGCTGGGGGTGCAACGGGAACCTCGACGGGCTTAGATTCCGGAGTGGGAGTGGGCTCCTCCGTCTCATCGGCGACAGATGTTGGCTTGGTCTTTGGCTTAGACTTGGGCTTAGAGTCTTTTGCGGGTGCGGCCTTTCCAGTAGCGTCGGGGTTTGGCTCGGCAAATTGACTCAGGAACTCCAGGATAGGCTGTTTCTTCAACTCGCCCTTGTATACTGCAGGTTCCGCATCGCCGCCAGGGACCACGACAAGCGCGGGGAACTCCTCCACGCCGAACTTCTCCACAGAGTTTGTCTCCTTGTTCCGGACCTGGGCCACATCAATTGCGCCGAGGAAGTCAATCGCCAGCGCGCGGATCAGGGTACTGGTCGTTCCCTTCTCTGTGAAGAGGATGGCTTTGGGTCGCTCCTCATTTTGTCCCAGCCACTTGTCCAAATCCTGATCCGTTGCCCGTTTCACATGGTTTGGGATTCGATCCACTACCGCGTCAACAATGCCCTTTGCGCTTCGTGGGCCCTGGTAGTCCTCCACACGTGGTTTTCCGGGTTTGTTCGAGGGGGTCACGATCTTGAGGGTCGGGAAGCCTTGGACACCCATTTGTCCGCAGAAGGGCTTGTTCTCGTCATCATCGCAGTTAATCGCCGCGACCTTGGCCAAGCCATTCAGGTTTTGCGCAGCTTTTTCGTAGGCAGGCTTGAGGTTTTTACAGTGACCACACCAGGGGGCGTAGAATCTGGAGAGTGCTCAAAGGTCAGCGGGAGAGGGTCTTGGAGATTATTTGTTGACGGTGCGGGGATGGCTCTTACTCGACGATCTAGAATAACGTTAGCGCATCCAAGAGAAAACATGATTTTCGATAGCTTTGTAAGAGATCTTCATCTCACCGAAGTGTGATTTGAGTTCGCAATGAGCGATCCATAAGTCTTTGGGTTCAGCTGTAGCACCGGGGACTTTTTGGTGTAGATACCATCGGCGTTGGCGGAAGCTGCCAGCAACGAGGTAACCAACAAGAAGGAGCTCTTGGGCAACATGATGAAGATGATTCAATAAATTAGACCAACAGGTAAGCCTCTTCAATATCAATAGGGCATTATATAACAAGGGCAAGCACTTGAGAGAGACAAAGAAGCCAGATTGATTGAAAATCGACAAATTACGCAAGGTGTCCTGAAGCTCTTGGCATGCGGAGGGAAAAGCTTCTCCAATGAGAAGCTTTCACCTCTCTACTAGTATTCATTATTTCCGTTATTTCGCAACACAATTATGATCACACAGCCTTACACTTATATGCAGAATAACAAGGATCTGGTCTTTTTGCCTCGGGATATTTTCTGGTTGATTCTAGCCTACTTGTCCCCCGCTGATCTCGTCCGTTGTCGCCGTGTCTCTCGGTCATGGAATGAAGCGTTCAGCAACCCGGACATCTTGGTCCCGCTTATGAGAAAGCATTTCTTTTGGACAGAAGAAGTCAAGAAATTACCAACTAGTTTCATTGACACAAATGATTATGGGGTTCGCAGTCTCTTTGACCAAGTCGCAACCCGATATCACCATCTGGAACACGGGAAGCCCCGCTCCATACAAAAGTACCGCCTGTGTGACGACTTCGGTGGTGCAGGGGACCGCGAATGGTACCAGGTGCAGCCGTGGGAGTCGCACGCAAGTCATGTCAGGCAGACTGTGGATCGCCTGTTCTCCGAGGCGCTGTGGACATACGAGGACGGGTTGCTAGTCTACCCTAGTGCTCATCACCAATGTTTGGTCCTCATGGACTTGAACAATGATCGGCATTTTATGGTTCCGTTTATCGTACACGGCAGAGTTGTCCGTAGGGTGCGATTACAGAAGCGGTTACTGGTTGTTGAATGGGCAGAACCGAAAGCTTTCCACTGGCTCAATGATAGTGACGGCGTGCATCGCCATTTTGCTTCGTCGTTCGACCTAAAGCGCAACTCCGACAATGGATGGAGTATCGTTCCGCGTAACCAGTGGAAGATCATGTTTCTAGGACATCCACTCAGCGAACGAGATCGATTCTTCTCCGCGCACAGTGATACCTATTATGTGACTTATATCTGGCAGCCCAACCGCAGCTTATACACTGCCGACGAAGACGCCCCTATCGAATCACTGTTTGTATGGGATATCTCCAAGCCATCTTCATATCAGCCATCATTGGACCCTACTGGACGCCAGACAGGACCAGAAGTCGACCAGTCTCCATTCATCGTGGCTCGGTTTGGTTTTCGGGACCTTGAATTTTTTGGTGTGCGCCAACGTGGATGCCCAAGCATCCAACGACTCGAAATTACCGACGACGGCGAATCTATCATTATAACAGAGAATTTCGACTCCCGTATTATAACGCTTGATCCCTTCGAGCTATCCCAGGTCATAATCACCAGCATTCCATTACAAGGCTATGGTCCCCACTGGCGACAAGGAAGTAATCTACTCTTGCCGCCCTACCGTGGTAACTGCAGTCTGCAAACACCACCTCTGAGCTCTATGGATCTGTTTGTCGACAGTTGCTACGGCATCATCACACAGGTAACAGATCTGAATGCCGGGCTCAGCTTCTGTTTGCATTTTGATCCAATTCAGTGGGATTCGGATGGAAGAGATAATGAACATAAGGACCAGACAATCTATTTGTCGATTCAGACCATAGATTCAAGAGTAACCACCGAGAACCAGGATTTCACAGGCCGAGGGAAGATCAGTGGTTGTGAGAGGTATTTGATAGGCGAGAATCGTAATCGTGAACTAGTCATCTATAGATTTGATCGATAAGAGCACATGCATATGATGGAAGTTATATCTCATCAGATCTAGTATTATTGAACGCATTCAAATGACCCCCCCCCCCCCCCAGTTCAGCATTCCAACAAATCTGATATCATTGAATACCCACCAGTGATGTAGGGTATCAGGGCTACTAGTAGGTAGTAGGTAGTATTCAACTTTCAAACTCATTGATGTCAAGATCCATGGATCCCTCATTCCCAGGTAGTTCCTCAACCTTGGAATCGGACCGATGATTTTTCACAACTCCCGAGGTCTCCTTACCAAAAGTTGTCTCCACATTCGGATACCCCTTCTGGCAAGCAAGCTTCCTTATCTGGAGAAATCTGATCTCCCGGGGCAGGCTTGGAGTTCACCCAAGGGTTCTCGTATTTTGGCTCGGAGTAATTGCAGGGCTTATCCCTCAATTTGCTGTCGTCATCAGAGATCGAATAAAGACTCAACTTCTCATCATATAGGCGGCGGCGTAGGGGATCACAGAGAACTTCTCTCGCTTCCTGGATCTGAAGTTTTTAATGGTCACAAGATTTAAACAATTAATTGATGGAGTAGAAATGCTATCATACCTGGCAGAAGGTATCAAGTGAGACTTTAGCATTGCCAGCCTTGTCAGGGTGGTGCAATAAAACCAACCTTCTGTAGGATGCACTGATCTCTTTGGGAGTGCAGTTTCGCGGCAGTTCAAGAATGGTGTAGTAATTTACCGTTTTTGACGATGTCGACATTTTGGCGTCTCAGTCCAGACACTGGAAACTTCAATTTTGTAATGAAGTGAAGTTTGTGTGAGAGGTTGAGTGAGGTGACTGACGACGAGGAAAAGTGGGTAAGTGTAGGTAGATATGAAAAGTTGATCAAAAGTGAATAGTGAACATTGAATAGATCAAAAGTTTGCTTGGAATAGAAATTTAGAATAAGAAGGAAATAATCAATTACTTAACCTTGGAAGGTTCCTACGAGAACATGTCAGATAGAAGCCCATTACAACCAATATACTTACAACGTTTGAAGAAAGTTAGAGTCAATAATTACATAGTGCGCATGGATGCCTACTATCTAGCGGCATTATGCTACAACTGCGTGAGATTTGAATCGAGCTTTCCAGAATTCATGGATGTTCAGCAAAGAAAGCTAACCGTGAGTAGAAACTGATGCTTCCAGCACTCAAATGTTGAGTTGTGAATATTAGGGTTGGACTTTGAAAGTAACTCCACCCCTGTGTTGGTTACAAGGTTGTATAGGTACATGGACCGGGTTCGAACATGATAAAATCCTAGTAAAAGTATGGTAATTTCGAATGGATTCAGTCTAAGATTCCACCTGAGCAACATTTGAAGATTTGTTTAGGTCTATAATACCTAGTCAGGAAGTCGCTGTCTTAAACAAGGTGCATACTAATACCATTCTTAACTCCGGATGCCTATTCAATCCCATGTCCATCCATTCGGATCCACCTTTCAAATAGCAGTGAATTCGTGCCAACGATAGTGGGCGTTTTACGGCAGGGCATGCACCTACAACCTGCACTGTAGATTCCAGATGAGCGTAATCATACTGAAGTATGTAACTTTTGGTACACATTTACCTAAGTAGATGCCCTGCTTCCAAAATTTAGAATCCACATCTACTACTGCCAAGTACTAGTGACTTGTACAGGAAGAATATTGCATGTGGGGAGGCAGCAAGACTTTTGCTAAAGAAAGGTACCTAGTTGATGTCAGGTCAGGGGCTAAGGCTGCCGGGAGCACTTGACCTCAGGTTCAAACTCTTATGTACTAGCTAGGTGGGCAAACACTTTGACAATCCCAAGGAAGGTTGGAACCTAGGGAGATTGTAAGATATGGAGTTCGAGTTTTGGAACGTTGATGGATGCTGAAGTTGAAGCTGGCTGTCAATTTTCCCAAATGCGCATATGGTCAACTTCAATAGAAAATGGGCTACGGGAATTAGAGCGCGAAAGACGTATAATAGGTGAGGCCGGTTATACCGGGAACACATAGGAAAATGGAATGGATTGACACTGATTTTACACAAACGGAAAGTCGATCTAAATATCAACAAAGTCCACGCCGAAGGAGACTGCATCCCGTAAAAGCCCATGAGGCTCTTACATATCGGCGGAAGCGGTGGCACCGGTAATAATCTCAACCAGCTCACCGGTAATGGTAGCTTGACGCTGACGGTTGTACAGAATCTGGAACCTGTTGAGGTTGTTAGCATCAAGTAGTGAAAGATGTGGACCTAACAGAAAAGCTTACTTCTGAATCATCTCACCGGCGTTCTTGGAGGCGTTCTCCATGGCGTTGCGACGAGCCTGTATACAGTGTTAGAAAAGGACGCTATATTTATTGAAGCTTGAGATATGGGTGGACATACAGAGATCTCACAAGCGTGACCCTCAGCCATAGCCCAGAAGATGTTGTTGGCCAGAGCGTACTCGCGGAGACCGGCAAGAGCCTCGTCATCAATCTCGAAAGCGGAGATGTTGGCTAGAGATGATATCAGTATTTCTGAGCTTTGAATGATTTATAGGAGCGGGTCGAAAGCGTACCGGACTGGGTGATGGCCTCCTCGGAGTAGGCCTCGATGACGGTGGCCTCGTAGGTCTGAGCGTTGACGAACTTGTTGTAGATGACCTTGACGCTGCTGTAGTCGGTAGGCAGCAGGGCGATCTGGTCGGCGACGGCCTGAGCATCGGCAAAGGTGGGGATGTCCTTGCAGACGTTGGAGAAAGAGAGGAGAATCTTCTCGGGGGCGAAACGCGACAGCTGGGCCTTGCCCTTCTCACCAAGAATGACGAGGTCGGCATCGGGGTTGGAGGCCAGCATACGTTTGGTGGCCTTGCTCAGGGAGGAGTGGATACCACCGCAAAGACCCTTGTCGGAGCTAGCAACGACGTAAAGAGTCTTCTTGTCCTCCAATGGCTTGGTCTCGGCCTGCTCGAAGACAGTGTTGGAGGTCTCACCGTAGACGCGAGACTCATCCATAGCTCTCTGGGCGCGAGTGAGACGGGTGGAGGCAACGACCTTCATGGTGTTGGTAATCTTCTGGATGTTCTTGATGGACTTGAGGCGGCCTTCAATTTCACGCAGAGTCGCGAAGTTGGCGGCATTGGGCGGGGCAGTGCTTGGGTGGAAGTCAGTAATGGACGAGGTATCGATTGGTTATTGAGGCGGTTGAGCTTGGGCCCTTTGGAAAGCAGGACTTGTATTGGTGGTGGTGAGGTTGAATTTGGCGGGTGAAGGACCGAAACACCTCTCAGCGGGCATCGGAAGAAGACTTACCGGGTGACAGCAGCACTGCCAGCCCTGAGGGCCGGACGGGCGGCACGGGAGAACATTGCGAGGGTGGGATTAGGAGGGGGTTACGAACTGGAGAAGTTCGAAACGGGAGAGGAGATATAAGAAAGGAGCAGGGAATGCCAGAAGACCTCACTGATTGCTGGGAGTTGCGATGGTCGGGAAGTGCGAAGTTGAACTCCTGGCCGTCCCATGTGCGCTAAACCGGAATGGGGAAGAATCTACGGCGTGCCATTCCGGCTTCCGGCGCACTTCGATGCCTTGGTGCCTTGATTATGGGGCACTACACTGCCATTCCAGGCCTCAGGCAGTCCATGAGGTAACGAATCTCGTTTTCCATTCCATTCCCTCCATTCCCCCAAACTTACCCTCTCTCGGTGAACTTTGGGTGCTTCTCATTTCTTCCTTCCCAATTTTCTTACTTGAAGGTCACCACTTCTTTAAACTTTTCCATCTTCCTCGCATAATTGATACATCACTTCTCCTAACATACGTTAGCCTTCTGTTCATTGGTCAGAATTACCCTCAGTTCGTCGTTCTATCAAGCGGCTCGTTTCGCCCGAGTCGGCGCACGAGGACACCTGCCCTCGATTATCCCTCGTTTCTTTCATTCTCGCCCTCGTTTTCCTCTTCCCCTACCTCAACTCGCCATGAGCTCCTCAGAGGACGAAATACCTCTCGCTCGCGCAAATGGGCGCGCAAAGGGTAAGTCTGCTCTGCTCCCGGGTAATTCGGTTCCATGTACTACATCCTCGGCTCTTATTCTCTCAGTCGAGGACTTTGTGCTTTCCTCGGAGTTCATCAACTTCTCTTCTCAATCCGTCGATCAGACTTATACGTCGATCTTATTCACGCTTGCATTACTTCTCTCTTTGTCTTTCTACGTCGCGCTTACCTAACATTGATTACTCCTAGCTTCCTCTGCCTCTGCCACACCAAACGCAAACGGTAACGGTGATCTGGCGAGTGGAATCTCTGTTCGATTCGGCACCGTACAGGACAAGGACGTGGAAATGGAAGATGCGGATGCGGCGCACGGCGCGAGTAAGCGCAAGTCTCGTACTAGCATTGGCCAGAAAAAGTCATATGTCGAGCCGCAAAGTAGTGAGGAGGAGGACGAACCCCTGGTACGCCATACCCTGCTCCGATGAGCTTGTTTAGATCGCGACTTTTTGTCGCATCTGGTTTCAGCGACTGACCATTCGACAGAGCAAACGCCGACGAACATCGGTCAAACACGAAGACCCCGAGTCTGATGCGGACGTACCCCTGGCTTTGAACGGACGAAAACTTCCCAAAGCATCGGAAACGGCTATCGGAGAGGAATCTGACTCTGATGTTCCCATTGAGAAGAAACTCTCTGCACAAAAGAAGAGGATTGAGCAAAAAGCCGCCAAGGAAGCTCGCACTGCCCGCAAGCCTGCTCCGAAAAAGGAAACCAAGCCTGCAGCAACCAAGAAACAGACTAACGGTGTCAAAAAGGAGCCGACCGATGACAAGTCTACCATCAAGAAGGTGAAGGCCGAGTCGGCCACCCCGAAGAAGGGCATCAAGGTCAAAGCGGAGAGTGAGGATGCGGACGAGAAGGCCGACGAAGATGAAGAAGAAGAGTATAAGTGGTGGGAGGATACGGCAAAGGGCGATGGTACCCAGAAGTGGACAACCCTTGAACACAGTGGTGTTGTTTTCCCGCCACCGTATGAGCCCTTGCCAAAGAACGTCAAGCTCATTTACAACGGAATTCCAGTCACTCTACACCCGGAAGCTGAAGAGGTTGCCGGATTTTTCGGAGGCATGCTCAACTCCACTCATAACGTCGAAAACCCTGTTTTCCAGAAGAATTTCTTTACAGACTTCAAGGAAATCGTCAAGACGACCGGTGGTGCCAAGGATGCCCAAGGCAAGAAGGTGGACATCAAGGAGTTCTCCAAGTGTGATTTCAAGCCCATTTTTGAGTTCTTTGATGCCCAACGCGCGGAGAAGAAGAACCTTCCGCCTGCCGAAAAGAAGCGTTTAAAGGCCGAGAAAGATGAGCAAGAAGCCCCTTTCCAGTTCTGTATTTGGGATGGTCGCAAACAAAAAGTCGGCAACTTCCGTGTCGAACCTCCTTCGCTTTTCCGTGGACGAGGTGAGCACCCCAAGACTGGCCATGTCAAGACTCGTGTGCAGCCAGAACAAATCATCATCAACATCGGCAAGGAAGCAACTGTGCCACCACCCCCACCTGGCCACAAATGGAAGGAGGTGAAGAATGACCAAGAAGGCACATGGCTTGCAATGTGGCAGGAGAATATTAATGGCAACTACAAGTATGTCATGTTGGCCGCCAATTCCGATGTCAAGGGTCAAAGTGATTACAAGAAGTTTGAAAAAGCCCGTGAGCTCAAGAAGTATATTGAGAAGATCCGCAAGGATTACCAGAAGGCCCTGAAGCATGACCTAATGGTAGAGCGCCAGAAAGCTACGGCCGTCTACCTTATCGATCAGTTTGCCCTGCGTGCAGGAAACGAGAAAGGCGAGGATGAGGCCGAGACTGTTGGTTGTTGCTCACTCAAATATGAGAACATCAGCTTGAAGCCTCCGAATACCGTCGTCTTTGACTTCTTGGGTAAAGACAGTATTAGGTTCTATGACGAAGTGAAGGTCGACCCTCAGGTTTTCAAGAATCTGAAGATCTTCAAGAAGGCACCCAAGAAGAATGGTGACGAGGTGTTCGATCGATTAACTGTATGAAGTGCTTCCCCGGACATATGAGGTATCATCGAGCTAACAGCGCACAGACTTCTGCTCTCAACAAACACTTGCAGAACTACATGGCTGGTCTTACTGCCAAGGTCTTCCGTACCTACAACGCCTCTTTCACCATGAGCGAGGTGCTCAAGGAGATGAAACCCACTGGTACGATCGCTGAGAAGATCAAGGCCTACAATGATGCCAACCGGAAGGTTGCTATCCTGTGTAACCATAAGCGGACAGTCACTGCTGGCCATGCCAATCAAATGGAGAAAATGAGTGAACGGGTAAGTTCAATCACGTCCAATTCTAGGCTGCGCAAGAAACTAACCCGCTTTTCATCCCACAGATCAAGGGACTTCGCTATCAGAAGTGGCGTTTAAAGCAGCAGATGCTTGATCTAGAACCCAGTCTGAAGAAGAAGAAGGGTGCATCTTTCTTCGAGATAGATGAAGACCTTACCAAAGAATGGATCAAAGATCACCAACAATTTCTACTTCTGGAGCAGGAGGAGAAGATCAAGAAGAAGTTTGAGAAGGATAACGAAAAACGCGTTGCTGATGGTGAGAAGGAGATGAAAATGCCCGAACTCACCGAGCGCCTGGAGCCCGTCAAGGAAATGGAAAAGAAGTATAACAAGGAAAACAAGACCGGCAAGGTTGAAGCTGAAGGCAGAGGTCCAACTGTGGAAAAGATCGAAGCGGCCATTGGGAAGCTGGATCAGCGTGTTGAGACAATGTCCCTCCAGGCCCAGGACAAGGAAGATAACAAGGAAGTTGCTCTTGGCACCTCAAAGATCGTAAGTCTTCTTTCAAAAGCCTAACTTCACGGATGCTGACAAGGATTTTCAGAACTACATTGATCCTCGCCTTACTGTTGTCTTCAGCAAAAAGTTCAATGTCCCCATCGAGAAATTCTTCTCCAAGGCCCTGCGTGAGAAGTTTGAATGGGCCATCAAGTCTGTTGAAGAGGATTGGGAGTTCTAAACGAAGTAACGCCCCTTATTCCTTACTCCTTACTCCAATCCACATCTCCAGCTAGCATACATCGCAGTTGCTATGGAACTGTGGCTTTCTGTTTTTGCGTTATCTGAACAGCTGCAAACATCTGCTTTTCTACCTTGCGTTTCTGGCATTTTTTTCTTTTTTTTTTTCAAGCTTTTTCCTTTTCTCTCAAGTCAGCGTATGCAGGCTTCGAGGCATTCGTGCATATAAGATGGGATGACATCGGCCAATGGCTCTTTCCATGAACTTACACCGAAAAAAAAAAAAAAAAAAAAAAAAAAAGTGCGAGATGGCCGGAAAGATGCATTCTTACCGCTTTGATCTGCATCGACGATCTGCTCTGTTCCCATCTACTTTGACATTGTCAATATAGAAGCGATACAGGAATTAGAAGATCACACTGTATTCTATATGTTTTTCAAATTTAGCTATTTCCACAATTCTAGAAGAAAAAACAACACGTTTTCCGAATCAATATTAAGATCCACGTATTTTCCTTTGTTATTATTTGTAGATGACAGTTCAAATATTGAATAAACCCATGGAGCTCGCTAATAGGAATATAGTGCGGGGTTATATCAAGTCCGGAGTTCGCGTGATGTTTACTATTTCAAGTTTTACCTAATTAGGAAGGCACCCAGCTAGGTAAGCTGTAGTTGATCTTTAGCCGCCCAAACGAGTATATTATGCGACTATCATGACGTGAAACGAGCTGCGAGCCTCGGAATAGCCTCTTTGGGATCCGAACTATTTGTTGTTTTGGCCGAGATTCGTACTTAAGCGCGCGGTGCTGCTTCTTACCTGGCTTCTTATTATTATCACGATGACCTCTCCAACGCCCACACCCCGCCCTTCTGTCGCTAGTACCCATTTAGTCTCAAAAGCACCCTCCAATATCCTGCTGTCTTCATACTAAATGCATCCTCAATCGTTCTTCGGCCCTCCCACCTGGCCCTTCAAAATGTTGCGATACGACTAAGTCGATACTCAGTCACGGTCCAATGATCTGACAACAATTCTCACCAGCAAGCACCATTTGAAAGAAAAAGAAAACTATTGGAAAAACGGAGCATGTTGTTTCAATAAACGGATTTTAATTCATATATACAGTTGATCATTCACACATTTAGCAGCGAAATTCGTACCACAATCTACCGTGGTGATTCTAACACAACTCCCCATTTGCCGACGTGGTCCAGCCAAAGCCAGCTTCTAATTTCATCAGAGACTCTCTCGCAAGGTTATTGACATCACTCAACTGCCTCAAACCAATAATCAAATTCTGAACACCATCCTGCCTGTGACCCGCCGGGTTGGCAAGCTGAGACGTTGCGATCGTCAAGAACTGAGCAACGAGGCATATTGAGTTTGGAAGGAAAGGGTGCATCTTAAAGAAAGCAACTCGGGGCAACTTTTGGATTAGATGAACAACATCATTCGCAGCTTGGTAGGCTGCTTGCTTATATGCCAACGCAAGCATCTGATCATTGACGTTCTGCCATAGTCGTTGTTCTGCAGTTTCGCTGAGCGAGATTAATGCGCTGTAGGCGAGGATGTGGTTGAAAAAATCCATTGAGTCACACTTCAACGTCGAAGTCTCCCGTTTGTTGGGCAGTGTCTGGAGGGGTGTCATTGTGGCTGCTGTGGCTGCCGAGGCTAGCCATTCGTGCCTTGTCCAGAAGTCTTGGGATTGTGACTCCGAGCCCGGGGGTAGAATAGTTTGTTCCATTCGTCGGTGTGCTAAGCAGTGGCCGTATAGGTTTGCCAATACGACGCACTGGGCGAATGATGGCAGCGATGCGTAGTCGTTGGTATTACTCATTGTCTCGGGAAGGAATCCCATAGGAACTGGGTAGCGACCTCCTTGGAAATCTGTCTCGGGCATTGGGAGACGTGTTTGGATCTTGAAACGGACAATCAGTGACAAAATTCAAGGAGCCTATCTAGGGGCACAGGAGAGACTCACTATTTCTTCATGCAGCATCGCGGGCCGATCATTGAGCATACTGGACAATCGGTCGAAAACAAATGCGGCCCATAATGTCCGTCGCTTCTCCTCGGTCTCCATCCAGCTTTCATCCGGTATGCTTTTGGCCATATATGGAGGTGTACTTGAATTTGAGCTTGCGTACTCACTAGGTGGCGAAGCTTCGACATTCGGCATATCAAGTTCAATTATGTGGGAGAACTGAAGAAGCGTGAAAGCATGTCCGGCTGTGAGAAGAGCTTCCTGCTCTGATTTGCGCATGAGTTCGCAGTGAGCAAGGAGAAGCCATGCCTGGATGAGCTCGTGCTCTACTCCATTGCTGGAATCTCTAGACCCTGCCATCCAGGGGAAACCGGTTTCGGTTGGTACTTCCTGCATCTCTAGCATGCGCCGGGTCCGCGCATACAAGGGCTCGGTGAAAGCACAGAATTGAGAGGACATCGCGGCGGCAATAGTGCGCATGGCTGATCGTAAGCAGATGCGAGAAGGTGAAACATTCTCATCATTTGTCCACGAAAAATACCGCTCCTTGTGAATCATGGGAACGATGGGATGCACTCTTTCGAAATACAGTAGGTCTCTATTGACGTATTTTTGTTAGCATCCGTTTTGCCCCTCTTTTTTGGGGTACACGTTTTGGGGACCACCGTACAAATCAGCCAGCATTAAGTCTGACATGCTCAAATCTTCTCCAAGGGTCATCTGAGTGATAGGTGTCTGTGCAGGTGACATTGGTGACATGACACCTAATTGGAAGTTATGCATGTTTTGTGGGTTAGAGGCAAAGCTTCCATTTGCAGTCCACGAATTTGCCCGACAAGACGCCAGCGTCCAGTCTGATGATCGTTTCATCTCGGCTGCATTATCGATGGAAACGGAGCGTGGTGGCATTTGTGGCATTGGCGGCATTGTAGTAAAGGTATCCACGTCAATTCCAATCGGCACATCGTAGGAGAGCTCCAGCTCACTCGGATCCTCAAGCTCTGGAGTTGACATGCCGTCATCAAGTGGACGATCCTGGCTAATCAATCGCTGTTCAATTTCCGCTGTAGGAGGCCCTGCATGTCAGCGAAAGACTTTATCGCTGGGTTTGAAGACTAGGGATACCCATGACTTACCCACTCGGGACCGCAAATCCTTCAACTGGCCCTTCTTAGGACCTCGGGGAGCTCTCTTGTCCACAAAGACACATTCCCGACCAGCATCAGCGCAGATTCCGCATTGAGGGCGTCCACGATCGCATCGTGCCTTCCGGCGGCGACATTCCTCACAGGCCAGCCCCGGTTGCTGCCTTGCCATGGCGTCTGAATATGGATTAGGTAGTATTCGGGTTATCGATATGGCAGTAAGCAATGGTTGAACGAAGTTCGTCTTTCGTCTTTCGTCTTTCGTCTTTCGTCTTTCGTCTTTCGTATTCACGAGTTGTTTTTGCGTGTAGTAGTAGGTGGCAAGGTGCGTATCAGCGTATTTGCAGATCGGCATGGTAGAGGGAGAGATCTTATATTCATGCAATAATTAGAAAAAACTCTCACTATCTGCCGCGTGGCAGCGAGTGGATCGGAGATCGCCAGTGCCAACCCCCTTCTTGTCCGTATATTCTAAGCTTCTGGGGCGCTAAAGCTAGTATTGGTCTAATGCTGCGACTGTTTAGGGGCCGAATACATTCATGCATTGACTGTAGATCCACCCAGACCCCCACACGAGGATTTCCAACAGTTGGAAATTTGTCGGAGTTTTTTACGTTTTATTTTATTTTTCTTATGAAAATGATATGAAAATAAACATTGCATACTAATAATAATGTCGAGAGTGTTTAATCAAGTTAATATGTAATTTTGGCAAGCCTCGTGTTGTTGCGTGTCTAGTTCCCATACGAGCAAGTTGAAAATTATTACACTGTGTACTATACTACACTACGTCCTTTGAATGACCTCAACAAATACTAATTCATATTTAGTGTTGAATAAATCTTGATTATTTTGTGTCTAGTTCTGACGTAGTAAAAGCCCACTGAAATCTCATAACAGCCTCTTACAGTTATGTCATACGTATAAGGCGTTGATTCTATCGTAGCATTGGACCCTGAATGCTGTAATGAAAAGCTTCCACCCCCAATATCTCACTCATAACCTTGGAATTCAATCCACAAGCCAAAAGTGGCAAATTTCAGGCTACCTTATGTGGGGCAAGGAATCCTGCTGTTGACTTGTTACAGGTCATCCTCGGGGCCAGAACTGTATCACTCTCCCCACAATTTGGCCCCCGACTCAACCAGTAAAGGGAAATGCTCGCGAGATACTCTGCACCATTGGTCACTCTACATGATATGGCTTTAATCTCCTACCTTGCTTAAGGCCGAATCTGCTTACAGCATCTATCAGCTGATCCACTGGCGCAAGGACAAACTTTCTATACGGAAGACCACGTTGTTCAAACCGTATCCTGAAACAACCTGTCCTAATTTTGAAAACAGTCAGCCCGACGTTATGTTCAGCCCCTCAAGGCTTGAAGATGGCTTAGCTCCGCTGGACTATAGTGGATGGGGAAAAGAAGCGCCAAACTACTGTGCAATGTGGGCTCCAATTTCCTTAATCTTCCATGTGGCATGCTTTGACCTTGGAATGATCCATTGGAAGTATTCTAGAACACCCATAAACATCACTAATATCACTTCTGGGGCAATAGAGGATGGTTTATGCACAAGACAAACATTGAACATTCCAAGGAATCCGGTGGATGTACACCCACACAGCCCCGCTATCATCAATAGCGATGCATACAAGCCCCGCGGTCTAATTGGCTATATGAGGCCCGGAAATCAATAAGCATGTCCAAAGTCGAATCCTGAATCCTGCGTTCAGCTTTGCGGCAACTCAAGGTTGTACTCAAGGGCTGTAGGCAGTACTGCCGGTATCGGGAGAATATACACCATAAGCCAGACTTTCTAATGAGGCTGAAATAAGGAAACCCCCGGGTGGAAAAAAGTTATCTGTGATCTAGCAGGGATGAGAGAGAATGCAGGAAATGAGAACCATAATTAGATTGAAGGCTTACAAGTGTTTAGAACCAGGGGTGCATATTGCATAGTATTCTCGTCCGTTGGAGAAGTTGGAGTGAAGAGGAAGTTGAAGCCAAATATGATCGGCCTTAGCGATAACACATGGGTCAATGCATACTACAAGTTACAGCTTCTCCATTTGGGTCCGGAGTTATTTGACATTATTTTTTGACCTTTTTGACCTTTTTGAACTTTTTGAAGCGTTGGACCAAAAGATAATAGTCCCCCTGTCTTCTTGATTAATATCCAAATGTTACACATTTGGGAGATTTAAGCTTAAAACAAGAAGTACAACTGATATGGCCTCGAAAACAGAGAAAGATTTCTAAACCCCGAAAATATTGTAGATAATCAAATACTAGTATTCAATGAGAAGAGAGCAGTCCCACCAGGCTAATAAGTCAATAGCCACATTTCTTCACAAATGAAAATAAAGCATCCGAGTCTTTTTCAGCCCCCAGGACTATGAATGAACGACTGCAAATTTTAACGTTCACCTGGCAAGACACTAAACATGCAAGTGCTTCCAAAAATATCAATACAACCTGGTCATCTTCACCCAATCAGATCAACGCATCAGAATGTAGAGTTCATAGCTCCTCCCCGATACAGGTCCGTCATTCGCTTATCATTTGGCAATTTGTTGGTTTATTCACGCTTGGGGGCCAAAGGATCCCGGCCATTTTGACCCCGGTCCATGCATCCAACCACTTAAAAAGAAGCTTCACTGGAGCTTCAATCATCGGCCTAAAAGATGAAACAGCCACAGACGTCTTACCGTCCAAATCATTCACCTCCTTAAATAGGACAGGGGGGGGGGGGTGCTAATCGTTCGGCGATGGATCGGCAATTACCCTGCAACTTTGTACGCTAAGCATCCTGCACGTAGTGCTTCATGCATTCAAGGTCCCAGCGAAGCAACCTCAGGCGACAGGGCTTTTTTGGCCCAGACATGAAACAGCCACCGGGATCCGAGGCATGTCCTCTGAACTATTTTTCGCCTTGCATCGGCGAACCCCGTGGTTGTACTCAGTACCTGTACTTGAACACGACTTGAGGAATCCACCCAGTCCCATCTACTATCATCAGTGACATTTGACTGGAGACAATCTTTCAAATGTTACGTCTCTTTTCTACATAGTTGGATGAGTATCTTCAGCCCCTCGGGAGGTGGACCCCTCTTTCCGTCCTCACCACACAACTTACAGCGGATTTGGATATGCACCGCGGACTTTACATCTCAGGGCTTGTAAATTGCAGTTACATTGGGATCCTAGAGTCCCTGAGGTTTGAACTCACTCCTGTAAGCTCGGGGCTTTTCGGTGAATCGCAAAAGAACTTGAATTAGAAATGTAAACATTGAAATTGGCCTAAAATTACGGGATCCACTACGTTGGGCTTTGTCCGTGGGAGTTATTTTGGTGGTTTGGTATTTCCAGAACTATAGCCGCTTCCAAGGCTTCTCTACACTGTGTTTAGTGTTTACTTCGCGATTCAACTTGAAACTTATCTGGCCCCTCCTGGGTATCGTAGAAAGTTCTGGTGATGGGTTCGTAAATATAGAACCATGCATGCGTTTGCTATGATGAATTGTTTGCGGCACCTGGGGGAATCGTTAGCACTTGAGGGGCGAAAAGGGTCAATCTGGAAACAATCGCTAAAGAAATTTGAACGCACTATGTCCCGGGATTAGTATATGTATACTACATATGTATTCAACTTGATATGAAGAGACTGATAACATTTGAAGGGTGATTTAGCTGTCAGTGATCCAAATGTCTATTGCTACCAGTTGACCAGACTCGGATCATCCATTGGTCTGATGTCTATGGTGATACTAGCAACTGTCCGATAGTGAATAGCGGTCCCAATGTCATTAACATTTGAATTGGGTACTTGACAGTTGCAGCTGCCATCTGTAGATTCCTAAGTAAAACTTTACGTGCTTGATTGAGACTGCAGTCTGTCCAGCAAGATTTAGGGCGTAGTAGCATCTTCAATGTTGAAAGCCTTCCAAGATTGGTCACCGGAAACGATCAATTGCCTACATCGATCATAGGGACATTGTTCCTACATATGATGTTGGTACTTACATAGTACTTCCAAAGGTCCAAATGTTCAAATGTTCAAATGTTCAAATGTTAGGTCCACACTACCTAAATAGCACTTGAGCTACGTTTGTTTTCAGGTCAATCTTGGAATTTCGTGCGCCATTGATTATTTTGAAGTCAACATTGCTTAGATTTCATCAGGATCCTTGGATTTTTGAAGTCTAAAATACATATTCAATAAGGGTGTGCTAGCATAAGCCGATGCCATTTCAATGAAGGATTAGAAAGAAAGTAATATAAAAAAAGGCTCATAATGCAAGTAAGATGCAGACTCAATTGAACGAAAGAAAAGGTGGGGATATATGCATAAGAATAGAAGAAAAAAAAAAAAAAAAAAAAAAGAAGCCAAAGAAACCCACGACCAGAGGATCATTACAGTACGGAAACAAATCCAGTCAGCTGAACTGGCCTGTCAAACCTCAGAAGAGATGGCGATAGAGATAAAAGGTAAGGGGAATGGGTTCGGAGAAAAAGGTATGTAGGAGACTTGAGGAATCGTCATGGGTCGTTGGGTTGTGCGGCACAGAATGTAATGCGCTGCAATGTCGAGGATGGGGAGCCTCCCAAAAAAGAACCGTGATCGGTGGAGAAAGAAAGAAAAAATGAAGAACGAGAAAGAGAAGATTGGGACTGATTCCCTTTTATGTTGCGAATTGTGGAGTTCACGGCCACCAACCCATCCGCTTATAACTCTCCACCATCTCACGGACGCTGTCAGCGTCAAACTTCTCATACTTGGGCTTCCAGCCCGTTGTCTTCTCAAAGAAGGAACCATCGATTGACATGTCCTGGTCCTTCAGGACGTCGAGCTCAAGGAAAGGACCAATCGGACCGGGGCGCTCAATCTTGCTCTTCTCAATCAGATCCGCCCACTCTTGCAGACTGACTTCGTTCATATCGTCGACCGCATCATCCAGGTTCATTTTAGCCAAAGTTGAAACAAGAGAGCCCACAAACTTGACCTTGAGGTTGAAAACCTCAGCTAAGGCATTGGCCAAATGCTCCTGTTGTGTATCGTTGTGATCCACCACATTAAACGCCACAGGCATCCTGGGTTCCTTCTTGAACAACTCTGGCACCTTTGGGTCGTTCTTGTCCAACTTGCCAACCGTCGAGCGCCATTCTGCCGCCTGCCACAGGGCAGTGGCGGCATCCCGCACATGCAGTGTGTTCACCTTGACATCCTTGGAGTATAGTAGCTCAAGATCCTGTCCAAGTTCCAAGTGTACGCGAGCCAAGCAGATGGCCATGGCGAAGTAGCCAGAGTTGTAGTCACCATAGACGTGAGGCAAGCGCAGCGCGCAATACTGCAGATCGGGGATCTTAAGCAGTTCCTCCGCGGCCTTCAACTTCCACTTGGCCAATTTGTGCCACGGTTGCATCTTGTCAGTCTCTTTGCGCGGAGACGAGCCGCTTTTGTAGACATGTGCGGTGGAGGTTTCGACGTAGGCGCGGATTCCGCGTCGGGCGCACTCTTTGCCGAGGGTAATACTGAGGCCACAGCTGCGTGCTTCGTACACGTCGTCTGGTTGAGAATGGCGGGTCTCCCCGCCACAGTTAATCACATAGTCGAATTCTTCACCATTGGGTCGATCGAAGATTCGTGGTAGGTGTTCTATGCAAGATAATTATCAATAAGAAACCGGTTTTTTGGGGGGGGGGCTTTGTTTTGTGCTGGGAACCATTCTCTTTCCGGGGAGGAGGGGGGAGACGAAAGCGCCACCTACGTTCACGACTAGCATCGGCTTGAACAAATTTGTCTTGAGAACATGCCTCTTCGAATTCGGGGGCAAGACGGGCCAACTGGGGGAGGACTTTATCGACCAAACGGACTTGGGAAGCCAGGTTATTTTGATGGATGTGCAGCGCCAAGTGGCGGCCGATGAAGCCTAGGAAGGTTAGAGCGGTTGACCGATGAGGGGATGTTTCAAATACCGAGACCACCAATAATCAACACGGTGGGCTTAGCGTCGGCCATAGTGACAAAAAAGCCTGAAGAAAGTACCAAAAAGGCCAATTGCTTTTAAGGAAGGGGGGGGGGGAGATGAGAAAAGGGAAAGGGTTAAAAAAGGAGGGGGGGAAAGAGACTCTCTCCACTGTTACGGATAGAAAATTCGCGAACTTACAGATCTCGTTTCCCCTGCCAAGCCATAGCGCCCTAGTGACGCCGTTGATCTATAGTTCCTTATTGAATCTAGTGGAGTTTCTATATCCTTACTAGTTTGAAAAAAAAAAAAAAAACATATATAATCGCTGACGTCGTGGAACTTGCTCTATCGGAGGTCCACGGAAGGCGCCATGGTACTGGGAACTGATCGCCCCGAGACCCATTGTTCAAATGTTTGGATTGTTTGGATTCTGGGGTTTTGATCATTTGCATTTATATTCACATTCTGTGCGCTTTGCTTTCTTTCTTTTCTTCTTTTCTTCTTTTTTTTTTCTTTTTTGTGGAACACCTAATTCTTTGTGCCTTTGAACAAAATAAGCGAACGCTTTCCCTGCAGGAATTCCTCCTAATTCGAGCGCTGCAGACAAAACTTGCCCAACAAGAGATATAAGCCAAAACAGATCCTATGGGTATCATCAGTATTCGTCTAAACACAAAGCAAAACGCACGTGCAATGTCATGACTCACACCTCGTCATTATCAGGGTATTTCCAGGTCTCATCGTTAGCAACCAGCTCTTCAAGGAGATACTGATCGCCGTTCTGTTCGCTGCCCCAATATTCATCGCCATAAATATGCAGAAATCGGACGGCACATAACCATCGATGGGCTTCTACCTCCAGTATCTGATCCCATGAAGAATACTCGGTCACCTCGGTTCGCAGTCGCCTGCAAAACTGGGTCCAGAACTCATCTTTGATGCCGAAGAATTCCCGGAACTGCTCTGTTGGGCTTGTGATGGCGAGAGGCCCATCGGCAGGCAATACTCCTTCTTCCATCCCAAGACTTGCTTCATTCTGAACTTTGCTCCAAGCTTGGGGCGTTTCAGTAGCCATGGTCGTAGTTAGTGTGTAATTAGTGATTGGAGTGGATGTTGAATTGATGTTGCGGATATAGTATGAAGGTGGAATGAAGAGGAAAAATCTTGGAATAATTGGGGGGGGGGGGGGGGGGGAGCTTGGATTAAATACCCCCAAGGTCACTCCCTAGTACCCCAGTAGGTACTAGTATCAATGGGTTCCGAAGACTAATCAAGACGCCTGGGAAACCTTGGGAAATGACTTGAACTAATCAAGACGCCGTTGGACTAATCAAGGCAATGAAACTAGTAGTAACCACCCGACGACAAATGCAGCGTCATTCAATGTTGTAATGATTACCTATACAGTAGTATGTAAGCTACAGTATACATTCACGCTACTGGGAATAAAATAATAATGTCAAAAGTAAAGAGTCTCCGGCTTCAAGTCAATCACTCTACTCCGAGGAATTTGAGAGAGGCTTTCAGCTCCTTGATCGCCGTTTCCACGTCATCAAATGTCAGAGCAGAGACTGCCCACCTGGCGTGTTTCTGAGCAAGGGTAATGGAATTATCATCCACGGAGTGAGAAGGCTGGCTGGAGGCAGCCGGTGCCGGAACTGCAGGATGGTTAAACGAAGGCGGTCCTGAAGGAGCAGGGTTATGAGCAACGGGACTCGGTGGGTCGTAGAACGAGGCTGAATCGGGTGCGGCGACAGAAGCACTCGGAGGCGGGAAGGACTGGAAAGCATTGAATGACGAGGCCTTGTTTGCATTAATAGAGCCAGGGGTATCGGGTAGCTGCGGCAAAAAGGTGGAGTTTCCAATTGTGCCCGGGGTCGAGGGAAGCTCAAGATCACTGGAATGGTCACCCAGCTCCTTTCTCTGCGGCGGGGAACCCGGCGCATTTTGTGGAACCGAAGGAATGTCGGGTGTTGAAGTAGAGGTGGGTGGCAAGGAAGATGTTCGAGAAGGGTGAAGAGACTCATTCAGCGATGATTGGTGGGCCATTTGTCGTCCAAGGCGATCCGCCTCGTCCGGAATCTCCTCCACAGATGCTTGTCTCGGCCTGGCTGCTTGTTCAGCCACTGACTCGTCGAAGGCCTGTACGTCCGAACTCTCAACCTGGACCTCCTCTTCCTCTTCTTCCTTCAGTACAGGATTTGAAGCATTGGGGTCTTCTCCTGCTTTAATAGCTTTCGTTATGCGGATTGCATGGTATTTGGCAAATTTGATGCGCCCGAGAATATCTGGGTCGCTATCGCCCCACGTCTGACACAGTTCAAGGAAAGTGGCCGCAGCTAAAAAAGTATCACCTGTTTGCCTGTAAGAGCAGAGAATTAGTGTTTTAATTGTCGGATAGAGCGCCATAGATGCTCACTTGGTGACCTTGTTGGCAGTCATGGCTGCCTGGGCGCGGTTGAAGACTTCAACTCCAAATTGCTCCACATATGCACTTGCCGCGACATTATCCGTTACTATCTCATTCTCTAGGTTTTCGGTTTTGAACTATTCCCCCCGGTAGCCACAATGAGTACTAGAACCCAGCAGTGCGAAACGTAGAGTGGGGAACTGAGATTGTGCGACGAACCTGTTCCAACTTGTCCATTAGATCAGCAGTGTATAACTTGACTTCATCATCTGAATTGTGAAGTCCTCGGGCAATTATCTGGTTCACGATATGGTAGTTACCTGTATTGACCATTGAGGTTAGCTTCGTGTCTACGTGCGGGGGGGGGGGGGGGTTAACACTCACACCAGTATGCGATGACCGGCTTTGCCTTCTCGATTTGCGCAGCACGCAGCGCAAAGCGCCCGATGTCCGAAGATCGCACGCCAGCTGGAATACTGCTAGCCATTGTCGAATTTGCTGAAGAAAGGGGAAAGGGAAAATGGGAGTGGGAGTGAAAGTGGGGAAAGCAGATGACGTTTGATGCTCGGGACAGTCCTCCACCGCCCACGGTACTCGTGCGGAGATAAAGCAGCTTATCTAGTAGTTCAAGCCATGCTGCCATACATAATAGTAACTGTACTACTAGTAGATACTAAAAATGTGAGATAGTTAACATTACTAGTACGCTTCTGAAATTTTAAGTCATTTTTCACCCAATACCAAGGTTTCTTTTTGGCTTGATTATCTTTTTCCTAAGTCAAGCATCTTCCACCATCCATTCGCCGATTTCCACGCGCTCCTCAGCAAGCGCCTCAACCTCGAAGTGGTCTTCCACTTGGCCCCCGGGTCCTCCAATTCTTTCAATGACTATCCATACCCTTTTTTGGGAGTCAGATAGATCAAAGTCATCGATTCGGACACCCGAGGCTGCATCGCAGTGGGTTCCATCTTCCGAAACGGCAAGAGTCTCTTTGTAAGGGCCCTGTCCACGTTCCACTGTCATCAACACCGGCGAAGGAGCGACAGATCTAGAACCGATCGCTGAGCGTTTGTTTCTTGCAACCAGCTTTATCCGTGTAAGGCGTGATACCTGGAGCGAAGCCAGCATTCGGTCTTTTCCTGGAAAGAGAATCCCGACTTTGGACATGGTAACCCGGCGACCAGCAGATTCTGAGGCTAGCGGTTGTACCACGCAGGGAATATCCGACGAAATCCAAAGTGTGAAATGGCCGAGTTGGTCCGGAGCAAAAGTGGAGCAGACAACAGTGTATGTGCCTTTCTCGAGGGATTTCGTTTCTGCCAAAGCACATCCTCGACAGTAATCCCCACTATCAGCGATCATGTCACGGCTGCGGACTCGTGAGATGCGCTGGCCATTGGACCAAAATATTTTCACATGAGTTGCAAGCTCAGAGCTATTGGATTCCAAAAGAATGGAAATATCCGTTCTTTCGGAAACCTGAAGACTGAATTGTGGATTTGATGAGTATCGAGCTGACTCTGCGTTGCCGCCAGCGGTCAAGGCATTCCAGAGGCCACTTGCTTTATTAAGACACATAAACCTGTCTCTCGAGGGTGCAAGTGACACAGGAGATATTGATAGCGCGGAGAGGGTGAAATTTTGAGAGGATGATGGCAGAGATTGTTCCGAGACAACCACCGTATAGACTGTTCTTGGGGGCATCTCTAACCTCATGAGAGTATTCGGTGAGTCAACATATGGTCCGCGATGAAGCGCTCCATCACTGAGAGACACCCGTTTGCCGTCTGCCTGGAATATGTAGATGCTAATAAATCCATGGCTATCTTGTCCTCCCATGCCCTCAAAGGCTTGGTGATCGGCAGTCTTGAAATGTTTCCCTAGCAGAAGCCAAACCTTGCCGCCAGTTTCACTGTATATTGAGAATTGCGGGTTCTTGATAAAGCATCCTGCAATGACACGACCTTGAGAAAGATCCCAAGTGAAATGAATGTCCTCGCGACACTTGAACTGTCCCGGATTCCAATTCAAATAGAGATGCTCGAAGTTCTGCAGAACTTGTTCGCAGTCCATCCAGAATGTGCCTGGTGATAGAGGAGAAGCTGTACTGGTTAAGTTCGTCGAAGCGGTGCTCGTACTCTTCATGGTCGGCTCTGCTCCCGCCCAAGGGTTCTTCAATAGGAACTGGCGTCGTCCGTTGACCTCTTTCATGTCTAGAATTGCATAGTCGTGCTCGCTCACTAGGCCTAGACCTTGCTGCTCTAGCTCGGTCAGCTTACCAGTTCCGATGGTCAACACGACATAGCCATTGGAAAAGGGCGAGTACACTCGCCCCCAAATCTCATCTGGAGTAGCCTCATCTTCATGTAGGAAGACTTGTTCGGGAATCCATCCGGTGAGTACCCAGAGATCTGTGCCTGAGTTGCTTCCAGGAAAGTCATAACCCCCACGGATCTTGAGATAGGCTTTCTCTACCAGGGCTGGCCACAGGAAATTGGGGTTGTTGCGATCAATTACATGTAATGATCTTGCAGTGTTGGAGGACGGAAGCCGGTCATCAATGACAACTCTTCGGAAGACTCCATTGAAGTAGAATGAAAATATGTATTTGCCAGATGGTGATAACTTGGGTGTTCCCGTGTCACTTTCACATGGATACACCACTGGAGAGGCATGCTAGTTTCATCAGTATAGGTCCATCCAATTTCGAAAAGTGGTACATACCATACCCAGACCACGCTCTGATTGGGAAGTTGTTGCGCAAAGACTGGCAACTACGGAGCAATCGGTCAAGACATCTTGTACTAGATCGGTTGTCTTTGTTACTGCCATGACAGGTTGAACCGGATGAGACTGATCTGTCTTTTGTCTTGTACGAAGCAGATCTGTCGGTCTCCTCCATCCTGCGAAAATACCGTGCTGGCATTCAGATAGATGCAGATCGGGTGAATCCCTGTAACTAGTCAGAATTGATTACAGCGAGGTAATCTCGGTACACATACGTGAACGGACCACCCTCATCTACCAGAAATTCCTGGGGAAGTGGAGGACCCTTCCATGGAGGGAAAATAAAGCCGTTCAGCTTCGCACCCTCCAGAATAATAATTTCTTCGCGGGTGGTGAGTTTCCGATTGGACGCGGGAGCTCGTAGACCGGGGATGCTTCTTGCGCGGACAACTGCTTGCCAGTTCCCCGCAACTTTGATCCTTTCAGCCCGCGTGATGAGCTCCTTGCATTTAGAATCGAGGATCTTTTTGTCTTCTGCCGACGCAAGGTGCAAAGCCCTCATGTAATGTTCCGCGGCATTGATGGCAGCCTCGAGTGCCGCCTTTTGAGAGGTCGCGGTAGCTATGGCTCCTTCGGCCCTCTAAATGCCGGTTAGCCGATCCGTAAAGTTACAAACAACTCAAGGGGCTCCAAACCCGAGCTTGTGAGATATGTGAGCCCTGTGTTGGGCCACCGGGTCTAGACATGCTGTATTTTCGGATCGAACGAACCGATCGAATGAAAGGTTGCGTGAGCTTGAGTTGTGGTCATAAGGCAGACGCGCGCCCCGCATATTCGGGACCGTTACCGGTCCACTCTGTCAACAAAGCCTTATCGAGCTCTTACCATGACCACTTTACCACATGCCGTTTGCATCTATCCAAGTTTAAATACTTCACAAGTACAGCATATTGTGTCATTTTATGGCAATGGATTGGTGTGCCTACTACTATGTACTAGGTACTAAGTAACTGTGTCAATACAGTATTCTTGCTACTAGTCAAGTACACACATAAAACTGGGTACTTACTAATAAGTAACAACACGAATGCTTTAAAATTCAAGACTACTAAGATGACAGCCACCTGCAATGATACTCTTTCACCAATCAATCAAATCTACTTCAGAGAATACTTGTCATTTGAAAGTTCGTATGGAAGCGGTAGAAGTTGGCAGATCTTTTAAAGTCCATAAGCCCCGGCAGAGAACTTCGGCTACAGAAAATGTAGTGTTTGAGGCTATATACTTGGTGAAAGAGACTCTAAGCTTCCCTTCGAGTGCTTCAAGTAATAGTGATTTCGGCGACTACAAGCTTGGATCATAATATCTAGGTCTCTCCGAATATGCATCATTCAATACTAAATCCATTGGCTTCAATGCCGGATTCATTCCAAGGTTCACATTCAAGATCAGATAATTCAGTCCGCATCCACAAGGCAATCTTAGTGCCGGCTGACTAAGGAGCCGAGTGGACCTCGGCTCGTTGGTCGTTTCGTCACTCTCAGAAGCACCTCGGCGCTGCGCGGTGACCTTGTGTCCGGTTATCAGGGTCGTGCATTTCGGGCATCGTCGGTTACTTTGTGCTAAACCCTCAATATTCCATGATCTTTTTGCGAACCTCCGATCCTCCGAATTCCTCGACGCAACTCCCCAATATTCGATCTCACCGGTCTTCGGACGGAACAAGCGTGGTCTCAGGTCCATAGGCCCCGCCCGGTCTCCCCTTTCACTCGCTTCGAGCTTGACCGTTCTTTTTTCTCTTTTTTTCAACCCTTTAATCGCCTTTATTTCGCCCCATCGATACAAGATGTCAGGTCAATCAAAGCTTCCCCCGTGGGGCAGTGCCGTCGCAGGTGCAACGGGTGCAGTATTGGCGAATACCCTTGTATACCCATTGGATCTGTAAGGAGCAATTCTGAACTCGGTGAACTCAATCGGCTGACCCCGCGATTTTAACAAACAGTGTCAAGACGAAATTGCAAGTCCAGGTCAAGGCGAAAGATGGGGAGGATGACGATAGTGAACACTATAAATCGACTCTGGATGCGATCACCAAGATTGCGGAGAAGGAGGGTATCAGTGGCCTGTACTCTGGGATTGCAGGCTCACTCCTAGGCGTTGCTTCCACCAACTTTGCCTATTTTTACTGGTACAGTGTCGTTCGAGCTTTGTACATGGCCTCCAACAAGACACCGAAGCCCCCCGGAACAGCCATCGAGCTTAGTCTCGGCGCCGTCGCAGGCGCCGTCGCCCAGATCTTCACCATTCCAGTCGCTGTCATTACCACTCGGCAGCAGACACAATCTAAAAACGATAAGAAGGGTCTTATTGAGACCGGTCGGGAGGTGGTGGAAAGCGAGGACGGGTGGTCTGGTCTGTGGAGAGGCCTAAAGGCTAGCTTGATCCTGGTTGTCAACCCTGCTATCACCTATGGTGCATACCAGCGATTGAAGGATGTATTTTTCCCTGGAAAGAACAACCTGAAGCCTTGGGAGGCATTCTGTGAGTAGCAATAGTTGGTCTGTATCCTTTATCTATGCAAACTAACACAAATAGTCCTCGGTGCCATGTCCAAGGCTCTTGCAACCATTGCTACTCAGCCTTTGATTGTTGCCAAGGTTGGTTTGCAATCTCGCCCTCCGCCTTCTCGCAAAGGAAAACCTTTCAAGACCTTTGGAGAGGTGATGAAGTATATCGTCGAGAATGAGGGTGTGCTTTCCCTGTTCAAGGGTATTGGGCCACAGATCACAAAGGGCCTTTTAGTACAAGGTCTATTGATGATGACCAAGGAGAGGTTCGTTCTGTCTTGGTTTTTCCGCTTGCGTTGTATACAATTTATCTAACAATACTGCAGGATGGAACTGGCCTTCATTGTCCTCTTCGCCTATCTCAAGAAGATCAGGAAGGATAGGTTGCAGAAGGCAGCACAGGTTATTGCAGAGACGGCCAAAACAAGCATGCCTGCAACGCTGAAGTAAACCTTATACCGTTTAATATACGCCAATTTCTCTTTCTGCGTGTTTGTCTCCCTTGTTTCTCTTTTACTTTCTATCTTTATTTCTCTTTTTTGACGGCGCGATGGTTCTTCTTGTTTCCAGCGTCTTTGGATCAATATTGGATAGTCTAGACATCTGTTGGTTCCCGTCTTTCAGGGGCTGTTTCTCCCACCGATATTTTATGATAAACTTGATTGTACATACGAAGTGCACAGTTTGACTTGGTTCGACTTGGTCTATAAACTCATTGATGCTTGCCTGCAAGATTGCACTTCGAACTAGTAGAGTCTAATTTCAATACCAAATCACAAATAGCACTCGGAAAATTTGCTATTGTAGCTATTTTCCACTAGTGAAACTTGCCGGTCTCCACAATTCCATCGCATGCATGTGGTCATTCCATAGTAAGGTTCATCCCGTAAAGTTGACTTGAATTGAGGGTATGACACGGACACGCACCTGATTACTACCCAAAATACATGGTCTGTAGTACACCCGAGTACATCTACAGCACCATGGCAATCATATGGGCCTTTTACAAGCCACGTGTCTGATCTTGAACACGAACGGTCGTCAGATCAGCTTGAATTTTGATTTTGAAGGTCCTGGAAAAAAAAAGATATTTTCTCGGCAGAATTGTATTCTTGGCTAGTCAATCATGCCGTTGACGACTTTGGCGCTGCATCAAGCAGAAGTATGGCACTGAATCCATTTTGGGCAAAGGGGCCCATTAGGTATCCTCTCTGTCCACATCAGGTAGTACATATATCTACTACATAGTACATAAATACCTAATGGGTCTCTCTCGATCCTCCTTTTCAGAGCTTGGACTTTAGTGGAATAGTAATACGGATGATGGACCATGGCTGAAGTGAATTTGCACTGGGAAAGGTGCCTATAGGCTGGAAGGGGGTGGGGTCCGACTGAAGAAGGCGTTATCTACAATTGCGAATTTTCGATTGTCCAACAATTGTGCAATACCATCGGATACCATCTTCGGGTTCCAAGGTTCCGATGAAAAGGTCTTAGGTTCCGTGCCACAACACGTGATTCCTGCCGAAGCCTGAAACTTGCCTGAAAAAATAAAATAAAAAAGTCAGAAAGTCACCGCCTTCCGGTTTGAATCTGGTGGCGTCAAGAGGCGATCAACGCCATCAACACGATTAATAGATTCATCGCATCAGCCCAATCATGGCGGCGCTAGGCAGTTGGCCGATCTACTTCGTATTGCCGGCAGAAGTTTCGGTGCGGTTAAGGGGAACTCCGTGCTTGTCAGTGAAGAGACGCCACCAAGTACACCAATTCGAACGCTAAGTCGTTCTAGACTGACTAAAAATTTTGATCTTCAGCCTTGGCGGCTCCGTCTACTCGCGTATTTCGCCAGGGATAAGCCACCTTGCAGGGCTAGTGAGAAATGGTCGTGGGCCCTGCTGCTGGTGGTAATAATCCTGTTGTCGATCGGTGTCACCACTTTTTGGTTCCAAGTTTCGACGACGCGAGTGGAGGCTCAATCCACTCTTTCTGATTCGCCACGGCTGACTTCCGTTCAAAATTGACAGCAAATCAACAACAGTACCATTGTTTCCTCTCCAGTCTAGCCTATACAAAACCAGTCATGGTAACCGACGCAGCTATCCGGAACTTTTTTTAAGGTTTGCAAACTGCGGATTTCCCAAAGCTATATCTCCATGACTCCACCCGCGTCTTGACGTTATTATTGTTCTCCGTTTACTACTCCGTTCTGTTCTCCATAGTTACCTGAAACAGATTTAGTGCAACACACTAGCTTCTGCTTGGTCAGGGGAAAACCTCCCTGATCAACAACAAAAAGTCCACAACACCCCCCACTGACTCATGTCAATGTTTTCAGACGTTGGAATCGGCCGTTGACATCGTTTGCAATCTTGACACAATGACCATCTACGGGGATGCTGCTCCGTCTTTGGCGGGCAGCACGATCATGTTAACTGTCTTGGCTTTGATAACCTACGGTTTGCGAGTTTATTGCAGATTGACCCGCAAGTCATGGGGAGTAGAGGACTGGATTATGACAATAGCACTGGTGAGGTTTTTTTTTTTTTTTTTTTTTTTTTTTTTTTTTATTAGGTAAATCTCAACGTCCCGACTGACATGAACATCAAAAGGTACCATTCGCCGTCCTCGTAGCAGGATGTATTGGAGGAGCTTTCAATGGAATTGGTATTCGGGATTCGACCTTTGCGGAGCCTGGTAATGCAAAATACGAGGCAGAGGGAAAGAAGGTGAGCAAATTAGATACTTCTCACGTTGGTCGAACATAGCACTAATTGATGGACTAGTTCTTCTTGGTCTTCGAAGTCGGCTATTGTTCGGCTATCATTCCGATCAAGCTCAGCATCAGCTGGATGTTGATCCGAGTGGCAGGTGGCCGGAAGATATATCTTTACGTACAATACGCCGTCATCGTTACATTCGTTATGATGAACATTATCGCTTTAATCTTCATTCTGACCAACTGCATTCCCGTGGAAGCTGCCTGGAGCGCCAAAGCCCTCGCGAATGGAGGTCACTGCAAGGCAGGCTACGTTCTTGCTGATGTGTACTACGCGTGTACCGCTGTCAACATCCTTACCGACTGGGTGACAGCTTTCCTGTATGCACTCGTGACCTATCTTGTATAAAGATCATGATCTAACTTCCATATTAGGCCGGTACCTCTGCTCTGGAACGTGCAGATCAATCGCAACACTAAAATCTCAATCGTCGCTTTGATGGGCCTCGGTGTCTTGTGCGTGTTCATCTCGTCACCTGTCACCTTTTGTTCGAAGCTAACATACATTTCTTCTAGTGCATCGATGTCAGCCTGTGTCCGACTCAAGTACACTGTCGCCCTCACCAACCAGGAAGATTATCTCTACCAGGTCGCAAACGTGGTCATCTGGGGATTTGCAGAGAACGGCATCGGCATGATCGTCGGAAATGTGGCAACCCTCCGTCCGCTTCTCCGTATCCTTCGCGATCGCAAGAACTCTGATTACAAAGACTACCACCAATCCCCCGGATTTAAGAGCTCGCACCGCAGTCAGGGAGTTATCTTCTCCGGAAACTATGAGCTTGCTGATCACGAGAAAAATCAAATCACCAGCACCTCGGTCGCCGATCACACAAGACGTGGCGGCAGCCTCAGCGATGGAGACAGTCAGAAGGACATTCTTGAGAACGGTCAACGACCTGGTCAAGCCGATATTCTCGTCAGTCGACAGGTCGTTGTGGCTTACGACTAGATTTTTCTAGACTGGCCGACCTCAAATTATCAACCTTGGAAGGTTCCAACAAGTATATTCTACATTCATTTCTTTCATCTAATTACTACTAGGGTTTATTCGCATCATGGTTTTGGTTTTCATTTTTTGGTCCCCCGATATTTCCCTTGCATATTTTTTTCTTTTTTCTTTTTCTCTAAGCGTCCACGCATGCACATGTGGGGTGGAAGGCTGATTTCCTGTATATACTGGTACTGGTCAAAAGACTTGCCAATGCGGCATTACGAGTCTTGACATCTGACATTTAAAAATATCCATCTTTTTGTGCAGAAACAAGCACATAAACATATAATGTAACAATAACACTACAATCCAATTTCGAATTTCGAACTTCAAATGTTCCAAGTCCAGTTCAACCTAGATGTCCTCGAGACGAGTACCTGTAATTTAATTTCCACTTGGCGGAATTTACCGAAATGAGGTCTCAGTGTGACGAACCCTAAATACCGAACCCAAGGGTCACGTGTATTCCAGAATGTTGTTGAGGTCTCGGAGAAGCCCGTTCACTCCATCGGCTGTGGCTCATTGATCGACATTGAAAAGGGGGGGACCCACACCATCAGTGCACGTGTATTCCCTATGTATGTTGTAGCATGTACATAGTGTACACCATCGTACGTACCCTCTTCCTGATGAAGCCATCTGGGTCGTATATGTAAAACGGACAGTGGACTGTTGCCAAGAGAAGCACACCTGCGGAGCAAATCCATTAATATTGTGTCTAGTCCGTCCTTTATACAGAGCACTTCAGCTACAGCTATGCTGCAACTCTCAAATTTCGAGTGAAAATAGAAAATACTCCAGATGCTCACCGTGCGACGTATACTCTGGCAAAACATGAATAAGCGGATAAAGGTGCTGTCTCACATAAACAGACGGCATACATCAATGATCCGATCGACTGCGATGTTGATCGAAATTTCGGCTGTTGTCAGTATGTTACACATCTTTGAGGCCGCCACTCAGTCACAATTGCTACTATGTACGGAGTAGTAGTTAATACATATAGGAATTGAGTATATGTAGTAAATCCAACCTATAACATTTGAACTTTGTGATCTGCAATTGATTGATGGCATCGAATCTGCCAATAAAGTTAGCCTTTTGACTCCGCCATATTAGAGATCTGAGCTTCAATGTTGGATCCAACCTTTTTAGCTACGTAGTAGGATTCGCTTTAGACACCATCACGTCCAATCTTCCCCCATGAAGAGCCTTGAAACCTTGGAAGATGATTCTGACCGACGTCTGCCTCCTCCGAGCGAAGGGCCTACAAGTATGTACAGGAGTCTAAAACCGGGTGGAACTACTCAAAATTTATCCCGAAGACCATCTCCCTAACATCATTGGCAGTACAAGTCACGTTAACCAGTTAGTTATGTCAACTGGTACCTTAAATGCTGAATAAGCGTCATGGTCTGGTCACCAACCTACAAATGTTGGAAGCAACCTTGGATCCCCAAAATGATCGTACATAGTGCATATTATACTATGAAGGAAACATTTGAATAGCTTCTATGCTCTGTTCGCACGCTTGGTCTCAATGGTTACTATCAATAAGATAAAGCTGCGGTATCCATCCCGATATGGAAAATCGCGGCCATGGTATACAAAGGCGCGTATCTACGGCAACGATCGCCGAGGACTGCAGGCCCTCTAAGCTTCCCCACGGCGATCATCTTGTCCCCAACAACACTCACCTTTTCCACTCAACATTTCAACCTACTCCCCTCTCTGTTCCAAGTAGGGACATGGGCCGATATGCGATGGCCCCCATGGAGTTCCAAGTCAACCAATGACGACGAAAAACTACAAAATACCGCTTCCACGACCACGACCACACCGCCACCCCAAACATCTTTTCTCGATTGGTCCGACTTCATAGAACCCAGAACCATTGCGCCTACCATCCTCCTCACAAGTGGTATCCTATTTGCTGTCCGTCTACACCGTCGCTACCTCCGCCGCGTCCCCGACGCACCTAGCATCTCGCCCTCCTGGCTGCGCCGCCGCACGGTGTTCGGACAGGTAACCCGGGTTGGCGATGGCGATAATTTCAGGATTTATCACACACCTGGTGGACGCCTAGCTGGCTGGGGCTGGTTGCCTTGGAAGAAAGTCCCTACTACTAAAAAGGAGCTTAAGGACAAAACGGTTCGTCTGTTGTTGACACAAGGCGCCACCTGGCGCCAAAATCTTGCCTTGCCTAACAAAAAGCTATCTACTCAGATCCACATTCGTCTAGCTGGCATAGACGCTCCCGAACTTGCACATTTCGGTCGCCCCGAACAACCATTCGCTCGTGATGCCCACTCCTGGCTTACCTCGTATCTTCTCGGTCGCCGCATACGTGCATCTATCTACCGACAAGATCAATATAATCGCGTTGTAGGGAGTGTGTTTGTACGACGTGCATTCGATTTTCCTCCCTTCCGCCGCCGAGACGTTTCATATGAGATGTTGAAACGGGGACTCGCGACGGTTTACGAGGCAAAGGTTGGGGCTGAGTTTGGGGGTGCGGCGGTGGAGAAGATATATCGCAAGGCTGAATCGCAGGCCAGGCTCAAATCCAAGGGCTTGTGGAAAGATTACAAAAGACTTGGATCGGATTGGGAGAGTCCGAGGGAATATAAGAATCGGATGGGTATGGGGGATGTGGATAACTCAAGTAAATCAAAGTAAGCCACTCATGCTGGTGTTGCTTTCCGATGTATATGCATAACGACTCGATATGACTATGTATAGTGTATGTGTATGGAGAAAAATATGGTTTTGTTCCGGGGTGTCCCACCTTCCGAGGTTGGACCTAATCTGAGTGTATGAATATATGGTACACGAAATGGATGGCTGTACAGAGTGCTCCAGTCGGGCCCGGGAGCATAACAGGGTATATCGAAGCCCGAAATAAACCACGAAACACGTGCGGAAATTAAAAGGCGGGTCAATAAGAACATGAGGTGATTGTTTAGAAGGTATCGGCTTGCGTCTTAGCAGAACCGCTTCTCGACCTCAGCAAATAGTTGTGGAGAAATCTCGTCACTGCTGTTTCCTTCGACACGCCACACACAGCCGCGACCTTCATAATGCTCAAGCAAAGCGCGGCTTGTCTCCTCAAACTTGCGCAGTCGTTGCTTCCATGTATCGATCGAGTCGTCGTGTCGTTGGGTCAATGGTTCCCCAGTGACATCGTCTTTACCGGGGACCTTGGGCGGGTGGAAGTCCGTATTATATACCCGGCCAGATGGTTCATGAACCCAGCGAGATGCGATCCGAGAGAGAATGACAGAGGGAGGAGTGATAAGTTGGACGACGAAGTTGACGGGGACTAGCGTGTCGAGGCTGGATGCTTGCGCAGCGGTCCGGGGGAATCCGTCAAGGATGAAGGAAGCGGTGGGAGATAGTGTTTGTGAACTATTGGAAGACTGTGGGGAGGATGAGGCAGGCTTAGATTGCGAGGAGGGGGCTAGCCAGCCCTTGGATGTCAATTCCGAGGAGATGAGGTTGAGTATCATCGAGTCTGGGACCAGGTTGCCAGACTGCATTGCGGCCTCGGCGTCAACGCCTATGTGATAAGAAAAAATAGTTAATACCCAGTGAGCCACGCGAAACTCAGATACAGAATCAAGCTTCTACTTACCTAGTGGTGTTCTTCGGCGAACATTTTCTCGTAGAAGATCCCCGGAGCTAATGGAGGCCAGCTGCGGAAACCGGGACAGCAAGCGCTCTGACTGTGTACCCTTTCCTACCCCAGGTGCACCAATGAGAATAATCCGAGCAGGCCTTTGAAGCTGCCTGGTTGTGTGCGACATCCTGAAAAGTATCGTGTGTAGTAGAATCTGCGGTTGGTGTTGTGATCTTTTGTCTATATAATTATACCGAGCGTTCCTGGAACTGCCGCGTAGAAGACAGGATGCCGAGGAATGTTGAGTACAGCGAGATTCAACCAAAAATCAAATGCGCTATCGCAGGTGTATAACAGGGAGAGAGTGTGAAGGTCAACAGATGCATGAACCCAAGCCAAATTATCTAGCGCTTATTACTCAGATCCCCCAATTTCCCCAATTTTCCGAATCTCCGGTGTGGGGGTTGCTGCGGTGGTATGCAGGGTTCCTGTCTTTGGTTCCCGGTGAAGAATCAAGGGGATGACCTCAAATCGAAGATAAATCAATATATATATACATGTATAAAATCACGAGTCCTTAGGTGGGGGAGACGTTGATTCGGTATTTCGGCTTAAACTCCAATTCTCACATGCGTTTTACTTGAAACCAATGGAAAGCAATGACTTTTGTTTGCCTCAATCGAGCCTGAACACCGAGGCTTCAACAAAAACACCTTAATTGTCGATCACGTGACATTTGTCGCGTGGAGCGCGTCGCGTCTGCACCAATTTACTGATCGCGATAAGGCGTGGGTTCTCATCATTACTACTACCACCTGGACATACATACACATCCAGGCCTGCGTGCTATTGGCATCATGATTCGACAACCCGCTCACCGAATCGATCCAAAACGTCGGGCTATCATCGATCCTAAAAAGAGACAGTTTGCCGCGCCCATCTACAAGCAACACGACTACCCGCATCGTCTGAACCTGTACGACACGCCGCCAACGGCAGAGATCACGCTCGAGCAATTTGAGCAATGGGCAATTGACCGACTTAAGGGCATGTTTGTTCTATATGGCTGGGGATTTCTTTTCTACTTGCTAATGTTCTCATGCAGTTCTGGCCGAGATCGAAGCATGTTCATATCGTAACAAAACCCCCGCGGAGACCGCAACGCACATCGGCCCCCTTCTCGACAAATATCTTCCCCTCAGTGCAAACACCTCAGCTTCCCATGGTATTGTGGACCAACGTCTAAAAAATGAGCGCCAAAAAGATCACTACTCCCATTTTATCCTTCGATTGGCATTCTCCGCCACCGAGGACCTCCGTCGGCGATTCGCGCGCGCCGAAACAATGCTCTTCCGATTCCGCTTCCAACGAGATGACTCCCGCGAACGACGAGCATTCGTCGATAGCTTGGACTTAGACTGGGAGCCAGTGTCTGATGAAGAGCGGAATGCGCTGGCCGACAGCTTGATAAGCTCAACCCCAGGATTGCGTCGGTTGGATGAAGAAACGTGGTATAAAGTAGACTGGGAAAAGGTTCCTGAACTGGTGGAACGTCGTACTGTCTTCTTGAAGAAGGGTAAGGCCTATGTTCCTGCAAGAGAGCAACTTGCCATGATTATGGCCGAGTTCACCGCACGCCTCGAACGGTCGCTTGAGGTATGTCTGAGTGTTTGAATGGAGATTATGCACAGAAAACCGGACTTACAATATGATGTAGCTCACAAGCCGAGCCCTGCCGCGTTTAGACGAGGACGACCGCCTGACCCCCATCTTGAACCACCTTTCCAAGAATTTCGGCAGTGCTGACTCGACATTCACCGAGGGCGAGGGACATGTCGATGGGACAGCAATTACAGCCAGCTCCATCGATCAACTCTCCCAGCACTTCCCGCTATGCATGCGCAGCCTGCATGTCAACTTGCGGAAAAACCACCACTTGAAGCATTTTGGACGACTACAGTATACGCTCTTCCTCAAGGGTATCGGTATGTCATTAGAAGAGTGTATCCTGTTCTGGCGCCAGTCCTTCCGAGGAAAAACGGACGACGAATTCAACTCCCAATATAAGTACAATATTCGCCACGCTTATGGTGATGTCGGTGGTGATGCCCGTCGGGGTCGTGGATACCCGCCCTATTCTTGTCAGAAGGTTTTGGGTGATAACAACGTGGGCATTGGTCAATCTCACGGATGCCCATACCGCCATTATTCTGTCGATAACCTTGTTGGCCTGCTTCAGTCAACGGGCGTCGATGATAAGGGTATCTTGCGTGAGGTACGAGAGGATGTTGGCAGACAACGATATCATATTGCCTGCAATCGGGTCTTCGAGTTTTCGCACAAAAATGAGATTAAGAAGGTCAAGGAGGATGGAACATGGAGTCAAGCTGATCTGGACACCATTGTGCATCCCAATGTCTATTTCAAGCGCAGCTACCTGTTGAAACAGCTCGCCAAGGCCCCTGGTCGAGACTAGCCAACGTTTCCTTCGCGGTCTTTTCATTTTTTTTCATGACGTTATGTCGGCCTCCCATCGCGTCCAAGGCTGTTCAACAGGAGTTGCTGGCGTCGGAATTTGTACACTGTCATCGGGCAAAGCATCTAGGTAGAACTGTTCTTTAATAAGAGGGAATTGAGAGCGTAATATGCTATACGTTTTATTCATTATGATTTCAAAATAAATTTGCTAATTTAAGAGGAGAGTGTGACCACAGCTGATTCCCAATAAATCCGAAAGGATCAGAATGACCTTTCAAAACCAGGTGCCCAGCAACGGGTCAAGTCGATCTCCGCTCGACGCGAGGACAACTTCGTCATTGAAAGACAGAAGCCGTTGACATGAATGCCAAATTTTGTCGGCGTGAAAATTTTATGAAAAAGGAAAGGAGAGGGAGCGGAGCTTCGAGAATTTAAGCACTTTGCTTCTGGGGCTTACTAAGCCAAATGAGGTGGTTACGAATTCTTGCCTGAGGCATAAGTTGATTGCGGCCCTCGTGTTTGTACGGGCAACGACAGCAACCAGTAGCGCTGCAACCTGGCCTTAGTCGGGGAACAGCCACTCCCTCACACAACTCCATCCACCCATTCGATCATCTTCCCGAAAACTGACGTCGGGGTCTTTGTTATTGGGATCTGGGTTAAGCTCTGGTGTGGTCTTTTCATTTAAAATTTCCTTGGTATTGTCCCATACCGAGGTTCTGTGCGCCTTGATTTGCTCTATCTAGAACAAACCCCCCCCCTCTCTCCCCTTGGTCAACATCGGACCCCCGAATCCACCAACCTCTTTCCCCACCATGGATTTCGACACTTTGAAGGATCAATGGAGTGATGTGGAGGACCGTGATGGTATCCGGCTCAGTTGGAACACCTTTCCGAGCTCTCGTATGGTGTGTTGATGGATCGGAACTTGCTCGCCCCTCTATGTCGCGCCTCTCACACTAAACCCCGGATTTAGGAAGCCTCTCGCTTGGTTGTCCCCATCGCTGCTGTCTATACACCCTTGAAGGAAAAGCCCGACTCTCCATTGCTCCAATATGAGCCGGTCACTTGCAAGCAACCCTGCCGAGCTGTCCTCAACCCATATGCGTAAGTATCCGCCGTCATGTTGATCCCCAGATCGTGCGTGAGATTGACCCAATCCCTAGGACTGTCGATATTCGCGCGAGAATCTGGATTTGTCCCTTCTGTCTGATGCGCAACCCTCTTCCTCCTCACTATAAGGATATCACGGAAAACACAATACCCCCCGAGCTCCACCCCTCGAGTACTACGATCGAATACCAATTGGCACGTCCGGCTCCTGCTCCCCCGATCTTCCTCTACGTTGTCGATACCTGCCAGGAAGATGACAGCCTGCAGGCGCTCATGGATGCGCTCATCATGAGCTTGTCTTTGCTGCCGCCGAATGCGCTGGTCGGTCTGGTTACCTACGGAACTATGGTAGGGCGAAACACCTCTAATATAGATGCATTTGTATATTGACCCGGAGTTCACAGGCCCAAGTGCATGAGCTTGGCTACACTGAGTGTGCCAAATCTTACGTCTTCCGAGGAAACAAGGACTACACCGCCAAGCAAGTACAAGAAATGCTAGGCCTCGCCCACGGTGTTCGTCCTGGTGCCCCTCAACAACAACAACAACAACCAGCTCGCCCTCCACTCCCTCCCGCCGCGCGCTTCCTTCTGCCTGTTCAGCAAGCCGAGTTCCAGATCACCAACGTTCTCGAACAATTGCAACATGATCCCTGGCCTGTTGCAAACGATAAGCGTCCCCTTCGCTGTACCGGTGTGGCTCTGAGTGTAGCGACTAGCTTGTTGGAGAGCTCTTTCCAAAATGCCGGTGCCCGTATCATGAACTTTGTCAGTGGTGCTGCTACTGAAGGACCCGGTCATGTCGTTTCACCTGAGCTGAAGGAGCCTATCCGTTCTCACCACGACATCGATCGCGATAACATTAAGTACTACAAGAAGGCTGTCAAGGTGAGTCTTGTTGAATTTTGACGACCTGCTCCAAGTACTAACCCGCTTAGTTCTATGACAACCTCGCGAAGCGCGCTGCCAACAACGGCCACATTGTTGATATCTTCGCCGGATGTCTTGATCAAGTCGGTCTTTTGGAAATGAAGAACCTTTCGAACTTCACAGGTGGTCACATGCTGTTGACGGATAGCTTTACCTCATCCCAGTTCAAACAGTCATTTGTTCGGGTATTTGACAAGGACGCCAATGACAATCTTCTTATGGGCTTCAATGCCTCATTGGAGGTTCTCACAACCAAGGAACTCAAGGTTACCGGTTTGATTGGTCACGCTATCTCTTTAAACAAGAAGTCGAGCGCTGTCGGTGAAACTGAATGCGGTATTGGAAATACTTGCGCGTGGAAAATGTGTGGTATTGACCCGTCCTCAAGTTATGGTATTTACTTTGAGATTGCCAACCAGGGCGGTCCCTCTGCTGTACAGCCTGGTCCTCAAAGGGGCATGATGCAGTTCTTGACATACTACCAGCACTCTTCCGGTCACTACCATCTACGCGTCACTACCACCGCTCGTCCCCTGAGTGGACCCGCTGGTGACCCGACACTGGCACAATCCTTCGACCAAGAAGCTGCTGCAGTGCTCATGGCCCGAATCGCTGTCTTCAAGGCTGAGGTAGATGATGGTCCAGACGTGCTCCGCTGGGTGGATCGCATGCTGATCAGGCTCTGCTCACGCTTTGCCGACTACCGGAAGGATGACCCGACATCATTCCGGCTGGAGAAGAACTTCACTCTCTACCCCCAGTTCATGTTCCACTTGCGACGAAGCCAGTTCTTGCAAGTTTTCAACAACTCTCCCGACGAGACTGCGTTCTACCGTCATGTCTTGAATCACGAGGATGCCGGTGACTCCCTAGTCATGATTCAGCCTACTTTGGACTCATATTCTCTAGAAGTGGAGGGTAGCCAGCCCGTGCTACTGGACTCAGCGTCCATTCAACCCCAACACATCCTTCTTCTTGACACTTTCTTCCACATCCTTATCTTCCATGGTGAGACTATTGCCGAGTGGCGGAAGGCCGGTTACCAGGAGCAAGAGGGATACGAAAACCTCAAGTTGCTTTTGCAGCAGCCAAAGGAGGACGCTCGGGTTCGTTGTTCTAATTTTCAAAGTCTGCCATCTTTTTGGATAACCTTATTGACTAAATTTTCAGGAACTTATTGGCGAGCGTTTCCCCCTGCCCCGATTCATTGTCTGTGATGCAGGTGGATCCCAGGCCCGTTTCCTTTTGTCCAAGCTGAACCCATCGACTACCCATACTACCGGAGGATACGGCGGTGGCGTATCGTCGCAAACCATCTTCACCGACGACGTCTCTTTGCAGACTTTTATGGATCACCTGATGAAGTAAGTTCTGTCCTCCTGCAAAGATAAAGTCACCTCAATTGCTTCGAAATTCAATACTGACTATAAATTAGACTCGCGGTATCTGGTACCAGCTAATCGTGTTAAGATGATAGCCATGAGAGCAAAGGGCGGTCGCCGACCCCTCGGGTCTTGTGTATGTTTAGCGGTGATTTTTCAAATTTTCCAATTGTTTGCTTCGATATAGTAGTAGATTGAATGGATTGATACCAAGGTTCAATTGACACAAAAACCCCCAGAGAAAGGGGATACTAGATATTTACACGACCAGTCACTTCTGTACTCCACTTTATGTAGCCAAGCGATGAGCACAAGTACTAATTTGCACTCCGTACCAGTAATCAACATGATCAACATTATACCCGAAATGGCTAGAAGCTCAAGACCATGGAAGTGAGTCACGTGATTGGAGGAATGCTTGCCGTAGGGTTTGCCCTACCTTCCTTTTTGGGACACTCGCTTACTAGCCCCTGTGGGGCCCCTTCGCGATAGACTTCTTCGCTCGTTCGTTCCGGAAATTTTCTTTCCTTCTTCTTCATCCAACCTTTCGACAACCCAAGGCAGATCGACTACCTTTCGCACTAGCCATGCGTAAGTATCATCACCTGGGTCAGCTATTTAATAGCGGCTAACGTAAATTTCTACTTACAGCTCCCAAGTTCGATCCCAATGAGGTGAAGGTCATCCACCTGCGTGTGACTGGTGGTGAAGTCGGTGCTCAGTCCGCGCTGGCCCCCAAGATCGGTCCTCTCGGTCTGTCTCCCAAGAAGATTGGTGAAGATATTGCCAAGAACACTGGTGACTGGAAGGGTCTCCGTGTGACTGTCAAGCTCACCATCCAGAACCGTCAGGCTGCCGTCTCGGTTGTGCCCTCTGCCTCTTCCTTGGTCATCAAGGCCCTTAAGGAGCCTCCCCGTGACCGCAAGAAGGAGAAGAACATCAAGCACACCAAGTCCATCCCTCTGGATGAGATCATTGAGATCGCCCGCCAGATGCAGCACCGCTCCATGGCCAAGAGCCTCCAGGGTACCGTTCTCGAGATTCTCGGAACTGCTTTCTCCGTCGGCTGCCAGGTCGATGGCCGCAGCCCCAAGGATGTCTCCGATGATGTCAAGGCTGGCGAGATCGACAGTATGTTTTATCCTACCCCCCTTTCTCGGTTTCTGACCACTAACCATTGTCCAGTTCCCGAGGAATAAATTATCCTCTCGAATGGAGGGAGGTAGCTGCCTTTTTTTGTGACGGTGTGGATTTTTGCGTAACAGCGGTCCTAGTTGCAGAATACGAATGTTGCCTCAATCATAACAAAACAAAAATGTTCATGAGTCATGACTTGATACCATTTTCTTTCGCGCTCCTGCGAGTGTTCCAAATGAATCATTGGATTCCTCGCATTCCGATTTCCTTCCGTTTGTACTGATCCAATCTTTCTTCCTTTATTCTCTCCCACCTCTTCATTGCATTTCCTCTCGCTGCATTTCAATAGCGACGAGGATGCTGGAAGCTTTCTAGATCATCTCGGCGCAAGCCCCATTTTTTTCCGGAACCCTCTGATACACTCTGGCCCTTACCGTTCTTTCCTTACGAGGTCTGAACATTACTGCGTGGTATAGGCTTATTTTAAGCAGAGGAGAGCAAATGACCCATTACTCACCGCGGGATTCTCGGTTGAGTCGACCTTGTGTCGATTCCCTGTGGATTCAGTGGTCCATTTCTTGGGTCTACATCTCAAAATTCAGACTTGTCTGGTTTTGATGTAGACTGTAATCGATTTCCCATGTGGATTGTAGACGTTACCGAAGTCACATCTGGACAAGGATTAGTGACTAGAATGTTGAACAGAAGAAAAATCAAATGAAAAGAAAAATTTGAATATTTACAGAGTTTTCCAAGTATGATTCCTCCCTGTATTCTTTCGCAAAATTATTGCCAGTTCCAATTTGGCGCTTCAATTCCAGGGTCTCAAGGTTGTGACTGCGCCGTGGATCTGAGCTCTTTCGCGCCTACTAGCCCGAGATCTGCCAGTCGACAGGGATTCTGTAAACATTGGAATCTCAAATCAGATACAGGAACATGCACATGTGTAGCATTATTCCCGGTTGGCTGGTGTTCCATGCCTCCGATGTCCACCGTGTATGTCCACGGGTACCCTTGTTACATTTCAATTTAGATGTCGATCGTCTGGCATTCATTGGTCTGGTTGCATGACCCTCCCGCAGAATCAGATCAGAATCAGAATTATGTTTCACACCCGACTCTCTCGGCTGCAGCAGCTCTGGACATCTGGACATCTGGAGAATGTATTTTCCGAAAATCAGCAATCCATACCTGTATGTTCCAACCTTGGAAGGTTGTGTATCAATATCAGTTCATGGGTGCTTACGCGCAGTATAGGCAGCAGTGTTTTAACACCACAATTGATATATTTAAAGGTTTGGGCCACTGGAGGCGTTATGCCAACCTTGGAAGGTTTGAGTCTAGTGCACATGTACACAGCCCCCGAGTGCATATATACTAAGTACCTACCTCCTACACATGTAGTATGTAGATATACCTAGGTATTTTGGGACTACGCCAGCACTTGAGTGGATTCAACAGCCGCCCGAGGTCCTGGGCTTCAAATATATTTCCCAGGTGGAACAGTATATTGAACATTGGGAATTGGTAGTATGTAAACACTGTCTAAACATTGAATGTCTGAAACACCGAACGGTCGCTAACACACCGCTGGACTCCTTTAGAGTCCACCTGCACATGTGGGCACATGTAGGACGCGCGAACCTCAAACCACAGCCTCGTTCTTTGGTTTGAATAATTGGGTCTCTTTATGGTTGACTTAATGTTTAATGGTTATAAAATAACATCAATGATTCTGGGAATAGTTTTTGAATAGCCAATACCTAGTCTAGGATAGCATTTTCCAAGAACTCATGCAGAGTACAGTGCGTGTCCTATAGTGGACCTGTCAGCACAGCACACCGAAGGACTGCAGCACACAGGGGAGCTCCTTAGGCACTGGCCCCAGCAGGAGGTCCACCGACTCCACCACCCCGACGATCATTGCTGGTTGGCCTTGTTAACACATAGCGGATGATGTTCGTTGGTCCACCTAGGGAGAGTTTGGTGGAGACGAAAGAAAAAGCAAAAAGCAAAAAGAAAATAAAAAAATTCCAAGGTTGGAAGTTTGAAATGTGTTGATCAATTCCTTCAACTATTCAATGCTCAAGTAGTATGTAGTGAATGCAGCTGGGTAGTTACATATGTACAGTTCTACTTTTTCTTTTTCCTTTCCCCAATATTGAAAAATAAAAAAAATAATTAAAAGTAAGAAATAAAAAATAAAAAATAAATCAACATCGAAGTAACAATTTTTTACGTGTACCTACAGTATGTATCCTTAGGTACTTTTTGATCGGGTCTGGTCGGATACTCACATACATCTGGAGCCATGTAGATATCTGAATGCTGAGATTGCTTGGAGTTATACCCAGAACCGAGGTCCAAGGTTGGAAACCCAGTGATTTTCTACTCCCATGCATTCAAATATTAAGTATATAGATATATCTGAGGTTCTTTGACCTCAAGCTTGAAAAGTCCCCAAGGCTGAAATGTTTTGATAGTATGATCGGGGGATATTGACTGTTAGACAGGCTAGAGTAATGATGTATATCAATTGATAGTATCCAATTTTTGGCTTCTAACCAGTGTGTGATTCCGCTTTCTGTACTACCCGACCCGCATGCCGGTTGTTGGAGTGTAGGATGTCACTGTTCGAAAATTAGGATGATCGGCGGGGAGAGCTTGCCGATCATGATGTGCCCAGGTGAGAATTTGAATAAATTCTCAGGTTAAAAGAAGAATATCTTACAGAACCAGGACTTGGAGGTAGAGTAGGTATGTACTCAAGTGCTCCGTACATACTGTATAGTACCTACATGTTATGTGCAATATATCTGTAGTATGTACAGATGTGATTTCTTGATTATTCTCCAGTGCGACCATATCCTTTTTCGCTATGGAGGCTGGAGCATATCAAATCTAATAACCTTCCTGGACTATACGAACTTCCCGAGACACGAATGTATGGTTTCACTAACAGTTGATCTCTAAAAAAAGGAAAAAAAAAAAAAAAGAAAACAAATCAAGTAGATTAGGGATATCCTTGTTATACTCAACCCCAGAATTGACTGAGAAAGGAAAAGATCAGGCGCGAGGCAGGGGGACTTTGCCCCTCTTATGTTTTGATTTGAATTTTCTCTTTGTTTTCTTCTCTTGGACATTAATGTGGCTGATGTCTTTTCTTTCAGGGGTCTCGTCTTTTTTTTTTTTGGTTTATTTCCATTCCTTTGCTAACATAATCTGGTTAGATACTAGTACAGTAATAACTATCAGAGAAATGCTGGAGTTGAAGCACACAGACCAGAGGGCTCGACTCGATCATCACAGCGGGGCGTCACCGATCCATGACTAGTCCACCCGAGCGGAACCAATGGTCCACTGACGTTGGCCGCTTGATGGAGACGGTAGGTTCAGCCGTTGGATCAAGTGGGTCAGTGGAGCTAAGAGTCAGATAGAAAGTGGGAGAAAAAAAAAAGGGGAAAGAGGTATAAGAGTGGGAAATAAGAGGAAAAGAGATATAGAGAGGGAGATGGAAGTTGAAAGTTGGAGATATACTAGTAAATAATAGGAGTTGAAGAGCCATAATAGTACTAGTATATACTAAGAAAGTACAGCTGTGCAGAGGAAGTTCCAAATCGCAAAGGGACCAGGATCCGCTTCCTTAATCCATTTCCAACTCCCCCACTCATTTTCTTGGCTGAAAAAAGGCCCCAGTGTCCACTCTACTATACTCCGTTTTCTTTCCTGCATTCCCCCTCCCTTTTCACTTTCCGAAACTTGAGCGCTTCAACTCCCATCGCACAATACTTGCCAAGGTCGCCCTTCATTGGCCCCGATTCCACAGAGCGCCCCCTTCTCCCTTGCGTCCACCCGCGATTATCTTTAAAACCACTTGGCCTTTGACTTATCACCGCGTGGATTCAAAAGTCCCTCGATGACGATATTACGAGCCTGCTGAATCTTCATTCAGCAACTGCTCTTTCTCGCTTTGCGCCCCATAATGCGGTGTCGGAAACGATACAAGGATGCTTGTTGATTTTCCACGAGTTTGAATTCCCTCTTTTCATCTTGATGACCTCGTGGTCGTTCAAATACCCTGTGTTTGTTTGTTTTTTTTCTTCTCGCTTCTTTGCCTGCCCATAGGGAGTGAGCAAAAGAGAGAGAGAGAGAGAGAGAGAGAGAGAGAGGGGACTGTGGTGGTTGAGGAGGTTGAATCAGAATCGAAGAGAGGAAAATACCCCCAAACCACAAAGATTGGGGGAGAGGAGAAAGGAAGGAAAGACAGAAAAAAAAACACAGCAGGGGAAACCAAATCGTCAAAGAATCCACCCCCCCCCCCAAAAAAGATGTTTCCGACCGTCGCGCCATTTCCTCCGGTTCAGCCGCACCACCTTCACCACTATCCTACCCACGATGCTCTTCACCAGCCCCCGTACGACCTGAATGACCCGTCCTTCCCCGCCCGCAACGACCCCTCCAAACCTTTCTTCAACCCACCCCGATCACGTATCCAACTGCCACATCCTGTACAACGCCCCGACGCCCGCGATGCCGTCGGCTCTAGCGCAAACGTCCCTGGTGAACATGCGCTTCGAAGGAAGACCCCTAATGGCACCCTAGCCGCCGGCTACGATGGAACCCTCGGTGAATCGACTTTGCAACCCGCGACAAAACACATCTTGGTCTCACCCTTGGACTCGACTCAATTCTTCTCCCCCACGGTTTGCCGATCGATACTTGGCAACAGTCCATTATCGACCCTTCCGCCTCGAAACACATGAATTTCCCTCCGGTCTTCAAGAACGAAGCGGGAAACCCTATTGCAGCGGGAGAGGTAGTGCAAGATGTGAATGGTACTAGCTGGGTGCGCCCGGTAAATTACCCGCCAGGGATCGACTCGATGCTCAACCAAACCTTGCCTTTGCATGCTTCACATCGGTTTCTGTTACAGAATGGTTCCTATATTCCTACTGTTCTTCCCGCGACCCTCCAATCATGCGTGGGGCCGACCGCGTCCGCAGGCACGGGCCCATATGGACCATATTGGCCTGATGGGGCTTATATTCCATATCGCCCTGTGGCTTTTCGGGAGCCGCGCTTTGGAACGCCCGATCCGAACGCCCAGCCTTTTTATGATCTCAACCAGCCAGCGTTCAATCAAGCTCAAATCCCGCTCGGTAATCGGGCGGACACAGGCTTTGCATGGGGTCAGCCCCAGCCTGGAATGCCTTCCCAGGACCCGATGATCAAAGCTCATTTCCCTCCACGTCACTCCGAACAATTACCTTACCATACCCGCGTTAGTCGACCTGTGTCATCTTACTCATCGAATACTTTACATAACGAACAAGTCTCATGGAAAAACACCCGCCCGGCGCCTATCCAAGCTCCAGAACAGACCACTCCGGTCAATAATTCAGAGTTCAAGGAGAAGATACTATCGTGGGCTCACGGGGTATATGTCGACCTTCTCGCTACCATTCATCAGGCTCGCCGCAACAGTTTATCAAATGGCGGTGCTGATGGCCAGAACTCACGCTTTTTGAAGCCCAGTATTTATCCGAAACCCCCTCGTCAGCCTGGGCTTGATTTTTCACAGAACCCTCCTGAAATTTCCCGCCACAACAGCTACCCATCTACCCAACATGACCTACAACGACAGAAATTTGGCTTTCAGAGAATGCATGATCCTAATCTTAATAATTTACTACCAGCCCATGGACAGAATCGACGTCCATCATTAAACAAGTTCGGGCAACACTCTCGAACGTCAGACACACGGATGCACGACGCCGGGCGGTTCACTTCGACACCGTCACGATTTTCGAGCTCTCTTTTTAACGATGGGTCCCCAGTTACCAACGCCAAGTCAGCTTTGGAAATGCTATCTCACCTGTGTCATGAAAGTCACTGGCAGTGGATTGATGGCATGCTGCTTGGAGGCTGTCTGGCCTATGGATTGGGTGATTATCACAAAGCCATGCGGTGGTATCACAGGATTATTGTCCGAGATTCATCGTAAGTATATGCTGTTCAATTACTCACGTATATACTATGATACTGATCTAGATCCAGACACGTGGAAGCTATCTCTAATCTAGCAGCAACTCTGTTCGCCCTTGACCGACGTGATGAGGCTCAAGAGCATTGGCTACGTGCTGTCAAACTGCGCCCAAGCTTCTTCGAAGCCGTTGAACATTTGATAGGCCTCTTCTGCAGCAGTCATCGTGGCAGAGAGGCGGTCAATATTATCGATTTTGTGCAGAAATCATTACGCTATCCCATGGATGGAGATTGTTTCCAGACCGATGAGCATGCGAGCGACCCGGAGAGCGATGCAGAGAGCAATGTCTCTGATGTCTGCATGTACGACAAAGCATCCTTCGACTATGACGATGACATGGGACGTGTCCATAATTTGAATTTGGACTCTCCCGACGCAACAACCCCAGTTGGCTTCGGATCTAGTGGCTATGCAATCCCTGGCTCAGACAATGGGCGGATGCTGGCATTGGTACACGCGAAGGGCAATATGCTCTATGCTCTTGGTGATAATGTTGAGGCAGCTGGTGCCTTTGAGGATGCGGTATTGATCGCCGCCGGTAGGAGACGGCATGGCATCCAAAGTCTCATCAAACAGATATTTGCTGCCTTCTCAAATGGAGCAGGCACCGCATACCAACCCGAGGAGGCCGCCGATAGCGTCCTTCTGTATCCGGATAGAGCTTTACAGACTGCAAAACTTGTCTTCTCTGCCAATGGAGCACCGCCTGGTCTAAAGTACGTGGCAGAAGGGATCTCACGAAATGCGGCTGTTTCGACTACTAGCAACTCCTTGCTTTCCTTGGCAAAAATTTACCAGGATGGCATGGCGATGGTGTCATCTGGAGCGCTGAGGTCTGGTGTAAGAGACATTTTGGCTCTTTACTACCTTTCACTTTCGTTGCAACCCAGTCCATCAACCGCGAATAATGTTGGTATCTTACTCGCTGGTATTCAAAACAATCCCCCGGCTCGTGGACTTGTGCGTCCGAACGGTGAAAGCCAGCATCCAGAGATCCCAGGTGTGATCCCTGGCAGCGGTATCTCATTGGCGTTGGCATACTACAACTACGGATTGCATCTTGATTCCCGCCATGCGCACCTCTACACTAATCTCGGTAGTCTTCTGAAGGATATTGGTCAACTCCATGCTGCCATCAAAATGTACGAGCAGGCAGTCCAGTGCGACGGAAACTTCGATATTGCACTGGCCAATTTGGCCAACGCTGTCAAGGATTCCGGCCGAGTCAATGACGCAATCTCTTACTACAAACGCGCTGTCAAGGTGAACCCAGAATTCGCCGAAGCCGCTTGTGGTCTGGCCAATGCGTTGAATTCGGTGTGCAATTGGATTGGCCGTGGCGGCATTGTAAACGGTCGTGGATTCCATGATCGATGGCATGTTGATGACAAAGGCATGCTTCGGGATGCCCAGGCCCATGACACGGGCGCTGGTTGGATCAAGCGTGTCGTGGACATTGTTGACCGGCAACTCCGTGAAGGTGAATACTGGGGACGGGGTCTGTTGACTCAAAGCACGACTGAGCAACTGTATGCTCAACTGGAGACTCTATTAGTCTCGGATTTTGCAGGGAATCGGAGATTGGCTCTGGCTAAGGTCTTCAAGTCTTGGTCAGGATCGAAATGGGAAGGGTCTCGCATTGTTCGCCTTATTGAACGTGCGATCCGCTCCATCACGTGGCAATGGTACCAAGATCGCTATATTCACGGTAAAGACTACCCCGTAGCCAAGTACCGTCGGCCTCAACTTCCTGCTGCTTTGACAGCGCCAAATGCGCCCACCGTCCTACCCTTCCACACGTTCACCTGTCCGCTGTCCGCAAAACAGATCCGTCAGATCTCACAGCGCAATGGTCTCCGGATTTCAACCTCAACTCTGCGGTTGCCTTGGCTTCCAGCCACAGTCTACCGTCCTCCCGCTCCACCGAACCCAGCTCTTCGCGTTGGCTATGTGTCGTCTGATTTCAATAATCACCCTCTGGCTCACCTCATGCAGTCGGTCTTTGGGTTGCACAACCCAAACAAAGTCAAGGCGTACTGCTATGCCACCACTGCTAGTGATAAATCTGTCCACCGCCAGCAAATTGAAAAGGAGGCACCAGTCTTTCATGACGCTAGCACATGGCCGGTGGACCGTTTGGTCCAGCAGATTGTCGACGATGGAATCCACATCCTGATCAACCTAAATGGTTACACTCGTGGTGCTCGTAATGAGGTGTTTGCCGCTCGACCTGCACCCATCCACATGTCATTCATGGGCTTTGCGGGAACCCTTGGCGCGGAGTGGTGTGATTACATCCTTGCGGACCAAATTTCAATTCCCCCAGAGACCCTGAGTCCTGCACGGCGCAAGACACGCATCGAGGATCGGTTCCTTGACGAAGACAATGGCGAAGATCTTGAGAACTGGGTCTATGGCGAGAAAATTGTTTTCACACGAGATACTTTCTTCTGCTGTGACCACCGACAGAGTGCCCCGGATGCGAGAGAACAACAGCTCTCTTGGGATGATGAGCAGATGCGGCGTTGGCGTATGCGGAAGGAATTATTTCCGAACCTAAGTGATGATACTATCATTCTTGGAAATTTCAATCAGCTGTACAAGGTAAGATTCGTTTCTCTTCCTCTCTGTCCCTCAACTCACTTTGGGCTTTCTTTGCTAATCAAACCTAGATTGAGCCTACCACGTTTCGAACGTGGTTGCGAATTTTGGCGCGCATTCCGAACGCCGTTCTCTGGCTGCTACGATTCCCCGAAACAGGTGAACAGAACCTGCGGGACATTGCCAAAGCATGGGCCGGTGAGGAAACCGCGTCACGGATTATTTTCACAGACGTGGCGCCGAAGAATACACACATTGCCCGGGCAAAGGTCCTGGATCTATTCCTCGACACTCCCGAGTGCAACGCGCACACCACAGCCACTGATGTCCTGTGGAGTGGCACGCCAATGCTCACATACCCGCGTTACAAGTACAAGATGTGCTCCCGCATGGCAAGCAGTATCCTCTCGAGCGCACTCCCAGGCAACGAAGCCGGAAAACGGGCCCGAGAGGAGCTGATTGCCTCTTCTGACGATGACTACGAGAACAAGGCCATTCGGCTCTGCATGGATCTGCAGTACGTTAATGGTGGTGGTGGGCGAGCTACCGGTCGGCTGGCCAACATGCGACAGATGCTGTTTTTGCAGCGATACACGAACAAGCTCTTCGACACGGCACGCTGGGTGCGTGACCTTGAAGAAGCCTACGAGGCAGTGTGGGCGCAATGGGTGAATGGCGAAGAAGGCGATATATGGTTATGATGTGCAAAGCGATATACCCCTTGAGCGATTTTTGTTTCCTGATTTTGATTCTTAATGGTTTTTGCATCACATTTACATTTGTCTTGTGCTGATCTTGTTGGTTTCATTTCATGAGCTTTGTGGGTTTTCCTTACTATTATCTTTTCTTTTATCTTTTTTTTTTTTTTTCTCACGACTTGATTTTTTTCCTTCTTCAATTTCCATTTTCCATCTTCTCTTTTTTCCAGTTTTCTCTTCTCTTCTTATCTCCCCCCCCCCCTCTTCTGCTTCTTTTACTCTTGTGCATGGAGCTAGACATGTACACGTACACGTATGCGTTGGGAATACGCAGGAGTTTTGCGATTCAGATAGATTGGTAGGACTGGCACTGCCGTGAATACACTCGTTCTGTTTTGGCGATATTGGAAGTCTATACTACTGTCAACTGGTTGTAGGTATGAGTGATACTATACACAGCTTCACTCTTCAATCATTGTCGGTCACTTCCGGACTCAAAAAGTCATTGACTCGGGATATCCGTACGCATTGACCAGCTCCAGACCCAAATCCCACGTATACCTTTCCCAAAATGCGAACGGCTCTCTCCACAGCTCCACATCCCAGTGCCCAAAGGTATGAAAAAGGGACCTCCTGAATTCACGTTCCAAATACCACAGATCTCCCGAAAGAACACAATCGGTTCGTAGCCACCTTCTAAATCTAGGTAAACGCCGCGTCAACCCGAGAACTTGGAAGCTGGGATCTACTATCTATTTGCTATTTCAGTGTAGGGGGGGGTTTTTCCCCAACCACGTTCCTCACTAGTTTGTGTAAGGACGTTTCAGCTTAAAAGAGAGAGCTCAAAAATTGGACGTTGTGGGGGTTGGTTCCATGTGGACTCAGGAAAAGAACCAATGCAAAGATTTAAAGCATTGTGGAATGTTCAATACCTATCCAAGTTTGAAATACTCTGTTGGACTGTACGGCAAAACCTTGGAAGTCTCTATAGCTTGTTCTGGTTCCATGGTACGGGAGACCGTTTTGGGGATACTTGACTGGTATAGTCAACGCCACTGGAAATCGAGAATTCGAAGGCTAATCGCAACTTGGGCTGCGGTAAATTCAATGTTGGGTATCTAATGCGAACTAGTAGCAATTGTGTAGCATGGGGATATTCAACTACGTCATAATTTGAGCCAACTTGACCCAGCACCATAATACATAGGTAACAGGGGCTCCGTTTAAAGAAAGAGCAAACAAGAAAAAAATAAATAAGAGAAATAAAAGAAATAAAAGAAAGATTCCCAACACCATAGTTCTTTGACCTTGAAAGGAAGTGGAAACAAACTATGTAAAAAAAACAAAACCAAATTATTTGTGACGCTCAGCTGGATCGATCGGATCTGTTGATCTCGATCTGACTCGAGATTTCCCAAATTTCCCAATTTTTCCCGTGCTCTCATCCCGACAGACTGGTAACGTCGGCGCTAGACCAAAAAAGGGATAACGAGAATCACTGAGATTGACACCGAGATTTGCCGTGGACCAATCAATGGGCATGATCATTTTGGCCTGAACTCACTGGAAATGAAATCCTGGAGCTTGTTTGATCTTGTCTTGGATGAGAGGTATCAGGTTGATTTCAATCTTTCGAATGTTTGTTTTGATCTCCTATTATTAGAAATCATTGAAGCATTCTCTTTTTACTTCTTTCTTCTCCTTCTCGCTTGTTTACGTCATTGTTTTTTTCCAAAAAAAAAAAACCAGTCGAAACGTTCCATTCCTAATGGAAAAAGTTGCGGTGGAACATTTTGGCTCCAGCTCAAAAATGGGGCTCGCGTCAAAACTGCCATGTCGGGCGAAGGGAGACGTCGATCGCAGGATCCGGTGGATTGGGACAACGGGAGAACCACTGTAGAATAAGAGAGAAATAAACGAATAATAGAATTAATACCTTGACTATTCACTCCGTAATTGTACTACTGTATCTTCTAGACTGTATAGTTCCGAATCTACTACCGAGTATACACATACGGAGTTTCCCCCTGATCCTTTCGTCGGTGACCCATGGTTATGCCTATAATTTTCATTTTAATATTTCTATATATTTTTTTTCTCATGACTCAAAGGTTTAGAGCTTACTCCACATTATCGAGCCGTTGCCTGACCGTTTTTCCCCCTTCTCTTAACCCCCTTTTTTGTGGCGTTTAGACCTCCTGAAAGCAAGTTCCCTAATGTGGTAGCGAATTCGGTACAGTGTGTATCTTTTGTTCTGTGGTGTTTCCCCGTATTTTACTGTATTTCCGTTTCCGTTTCTCTCTTGGCGCCCGTTTGTTCTTTTCCCGTCGCCAGTGCCGATTGTTGGTCCTGGCAGTAACGGAGTATTCCGTGACACTATGCGACACCATGTGGATTATTGATTGATTCTAAACCATAGCTCTGGGTTTTCTTTTTTTCTTTTTTTTTTTTTTTTCTTTTTCTCTTTGTTCCAAAAAAAAAAAAAAAACTTTCTTTTCCTATTTTCACCATTTCCAGAACTCAGGTTTTGATTTCCTCATCCCGTCTCTCGGGTCCACCGTTTCCATTCTGATCCTTCGTGGGTTTTGATTTTGATTTTGATTTGATTTTATCTGATGTGCCGCTTTTCTGGTGGGGACCCGTATTTCAATACCGGGTATTTAACACACATTCCAAATCACTTGCTTCGCTAACGCTTTATAGTAACTCCTGTACTCCGTCAGCACTCTACAACCTGCGAGGTGCACGGTTCGAGATTTATGCGTTAACCTGAGCTCCGATCTACTATTGACTATTCGTACATGATGATCAAGGTCCTCTTTGCCAACCTGATTCGACCTTCCAGGGTAGGTTACAATCTCCCGGGAAAGGTCTAGATGTCTGACCTGACATACCTGGTGGCGGCTATCGCCATCAGCTGAAAAAAAGGAGCACGTTGGTTCCAATGCGTGTGATTTATTATTGAAAATTTACTATTTTTATTTATTTGTTTATTGCTCTAACTGACCTCACTTTATCTTGTTTTTCTTTTGTCCATCGCATATCATATTCGCCTTATTCCATATTTATTGATACTCAAGAGTTGTACGCTCAGCGTACACCGAGACCGAACTACTCCGTAGACTATCTTCAGCTGACCGGCACGAGATGACTGCATGGATATCAAGTTGTAAAACAAGGGTTCATACCCAGATTATATTTGAGATCCACCTCAGCCGTAAAACATACACCGTTGAACCAAAGATCAAGCCCGAGCCGAGTGTGCGGCGTACTCCGTATAAGAAAAAAAAATGGAAGAGACCCTCGGAAGTACAACTCCGCCCTTTGCCCTTTGCTAAACGGTGGATCCCACACAAAAAGTAGAAAAAGAAAAAAAAAAGAAAAAAAAGCAGTCGTTTCTAAAATGTCATAGAAAAACAGTTAAACATAGCATAATGCCATGGGCCACAGTATACATGCATCAAACTATACTTTACCCCTCTTAACATTCAGAGGATTTTTTTTTAAAAAAAAACTATCTCCGGCCCCCCGGAACCCTCGTCCCGGGGCTTGCATGCACGAACACCCTCCACGATCCTCCTCAAAAAAGCCCCGCCGTTCATTCCGTCAGACATGACCAGTCCGATCGATGCATCAGGCTATTGGTTGGGGTGGCGGGAGAGGGGAGGGGCACCACTCACGCGCAGATGGTGTCACATCGGTCAGCGATCGGGGGCTTCTGGTTGGCGACGGGACCGTTGAGGGTTGATTCTCATGCAAGAACGGACGAACCTGTTTATTAGAGTTTGTTAAGTTGAAACTGGGTATTAAAGTATTCTTGTTTTTACACGATTCTTCTTTATTTATTTTCAAGGTTTTTGTTTTTTTTTTTTTTTCCCGCAATTCACAAGTCAAATGTATACGGATCCTCTTAATTAGCATGACTTTAACCGAATACATGCTTTGTCTTTCTTTCCTTTTAGACCTTTGGATTCCATGCATAAGATGGAACCTTATACACTGTATTGGATGTGCAAAGTACCGAGTGCGTAAATCACTGGTGGATCGTCATTCGTCACTGTGCAGCCGAGGGGGCCAAGAACACTTTGTATGAAAGAGGCGCCGTGCAGATACTTGTGGGTCCGGGTGCCTCACTCTCTCTTTCTCTCTCCTCTTCCTGAATCCTGTGGAAGAACCTGCAAAAAGACGTTTTAGCTATCCCTTGCGTACCGTCCTCGTGAGTGGTTTTTGGGGGAGGGGAGTCTGTTTTATGTAGCACGCGTTCCTCGGAAAAATAACCCATGGGCCCTCGAGGAAATACACAATCTGAAACGAAACAATCAAGTAATGAAACCAACATTTGGAAAAAAAAATTGAGGGGGGTTTTGACCAAGAGTAGTGGAAAATCTGACAGATGAGATTAGGATGGTGTGACCTCAACCAAACTTAACCGTGGAGAATTGGGGAATTGTACAACTTGGATGCTGAATTTGAAGTAGATCGAGGTCCATTGTACCATGGTTAGGATTATTGGGCGGAGCTGATGTACGACCTTAGGGCTTTAATCGATTCGATATGCTGGTTTCTACATACCGAAACTCCTGTGTACATAAGTCAAGTACAATCCGTGTACATACTATACCTAGAAGTACAGTACACCAGTGTTGAATCCTAGTATCAATCCTATCATCAATCCGGGCAATAATTAAAAATCAGGATCAAATCAAAAAATTTTGAACACATCAATTCCTATAGCAGCAGGGGTATTGTAAATAAAAATAAACTAAATGCTAATCCAGAGAAATTGCCCATTGATTTTTTGTGCTTCTTTCCCATGTTCACGTTCACGTAAAATAAAAACTCCCCCGGGGACTTTCCAGCGTCCCTGAAAACCCCAAAAAGAAAAATAGGAAAAGAAGAAATTTCAGGTAAGAGACCCCCAGAAGATGAGAAACCCCTCCCCCCACATTGACCCGAAAAAAAAGGGGGAGAGAAAGAATAATAACACCCAGGTTTTTTGAAGATCTGAACCGAACCATGGTAATACACATTAGGACAAAGGAGAGACGTCGCCAGCAAGAAAAACGAGCGAAAGGTGGGGGAATTTTTGACACATGTACAACCTTGCAGGGCTGGAATTGCCCGGACAAAGGACGGAAATAAAGTATAGAACAGAGAAAACCAGATTCAAGGAAAAGGTCGTACAATCATGATAGGAGATGAAAAAGGAAAATGAACAGAGGAGAAAGGTGGACATAAAAAAAAGAAAAAGGGAAATGCTAAAGAGAACACGGTCGTTGTGTTTTCTTTAGTTGAGGAGGTTGTTGACTCCCATGCGAGTATCACGGGGAGCCTGGTGCGTATAGCTCTTGGGCAGATCTGTAGGCTGGTGCCATGATGCCAAGGTGGGTTGGTGCTCCATCCATCGCCGTTTCGAGGCAATATTGGAGAGAGATTCCAATGACCGAGCGGGGTAGCTGGGGGAATCCTCGACCACCTGAACGGAGATCACACTGGGACGACGGGCGTCATACTGTCCTCGCACATCGACCGGCAAAGGTAGTAGCTGTGGGGAAGGAATGGTGCGCGGGGAGGAAGAGCAAACGGAGTTGTGATCCGAGACCATGGAAGGGGGCTCGACGGAAGTGGCATTGGAGATATCAGAGAAAGAAGGCGAAGTCAAGGGGGCTTCGATCGACCGGTTGATGGAGGGGAGAGTGTAGATGGGGGAGAGTTGACGAGCGGCGTTGGTGGCCATGGATTCCCGACGGGAAGGGAATGCATCGGAGGAAGCGGTCGACTCAGTATCCCATGGGCGAGTGCTGAAACGAGGTCGGCTGGGGCTCACCACGGAGGCGCGGGCATAGGGAGCCTCGACACGGCCACTGAAAGTGCGAGTGACGGCTGTCGGTGTTGAAGAAAGACCACGGCGTTTCCGGTTCATGCTACCATTCCACCAGTTCTTGACGGCATTGTCGCTGCGGTTCCCCAGTCGGCGGGCGATCTCAGCCCAGCGCTTTCCCATTTCGTTAACCATGCGCTCGATCATGAGCCCCTCATCGGAGGAGATGGGCTCCCGGTTCAAGGACGGCTTAAGGTTTTGGTGGAAACGTTCCCGACATTGTTTTGGCGAGCGGTAGTGCATGTGTTGAGAGATGCGAACCCAGTTATTAGGACCTTGTTCGCGGACGACTTGCAACAGCAGTTGATCTTCTTCGGGGACCCAAGGGCCACGGCGGTGAGAAGGAGCCATGAGGAAGATTTCTTGTGTTGTATGTGTTGTATGTGTGTATGTGTGTATGTGTGTATGTGTGTATGGTGAGTGTATACAAGGGTGTAGTATGGTTTGAAGTATTGGAGAATGTTTTGGAAGGGGGATGGGTATGTTGATATAAATGGGAGAGAGAAAGTGACAAAGGCAAGCCACAAGAGCAGCACGGCGAGAATTATATCTGCACCCAGGGGGACGGGTCCAACGAAAAATGACCAGCTCCACCCGCACACGCTATGGGAAGAAGATCACGATCCAAGATCTCGGAGCTGACAGTTCGGAACAATACAGGTATTACGAGTATTCGTATTGATTTTAATTTGATTTTTTTTTTTTTTTTTATTATTATTTTTCTCTTTTCCCTTTTCTCTTTTCTCTTTTCTCTTTTCTATTTCTTATTTTTCTTATTTTCTTCATTTGTTTATTTTACCTTATTCTATTTCTTTCGGTACCGTACACGTTGTTCTTCCCTTTTTGGTCTATGAGATCCATGGGTTTGGAAGTAGAAAAACAAATAAACAAGAGAACTGCACAGCTATCAAAACTTCAACAATCCTCAATGTTTCTCAAATCAAAGAAAATTAAATAAAATAATCAAATCCAAAGAATAGTTCAAAAACAATAACGAAATAATCATCATCATAATAAAATAAAAAAAACTAAATAAATGCTCCGGCGATCGTCAAGTACGACCCGGGAATCCGGGCTGAGGAAATACCGTAATGATCGGAGGGATCGACCCTGAGCCCCGTTGCTGGAATTCCAAATCATCGCCCGCGCTAAAAAGGAAGCTATTTCTTTTTAAAATCGTCTGAGCACTGTGCATAGACCCAAAACACCGGTTCAAAAGAAAGCATACCATATTTCTTTTTTTTTTCTCTCTCTTCTTTCTAGACCCTAGTCTATACGATAAGCGTTTACCAGGGTAGATACGTGGAGGATCTGAAATCGTGGAATCATCCACACATGTACGAGGCAGCCACAGATTTTATATAGGACCTTGGGAGAGAGGTGAAAAATATGGTTTTTTTTTTCTTGCTTTTCAACCAGCCATACTGAGATATGTACTATGTACTTAATTCTGTACGCATATCAGTAAATCTCCAAATCCCCTTGAGAAACAAATCTCAAATAACCCAGATCTACGTACGACCTAAACCCCCTGACGGCACTGACTTCCCCCTCATTCTCCACCATGAACAGACACCAAAAAAAGAAAAAGAAGGAGCCAGGGGGCAAGTAGATCGATGTCAAGCGAAACCAAAAAGAGACGCGGTAAAGGGTCAAAGTGAATTCCTCCCAATCCCTCAGCCAGCCATGCACGACACTTGCTCGATCGTGACCGATCTATATGCAATCGGTCGGAGATGTCCGCTCATTGGCTCAATCGGCGGCTCTGCACCTCACGGGCAGGCTTAAGATCTCCACTATTGCAGTGGGTCCAAGTATGTACAGTGGAGTTCGATCGTGACAAATTCCCTACAACCGGGTCAGTTGAAGAAGGCCATTGGAATATGGGGAAATTTTTCCAGCTCATTAATGAAAAACGGGAATCAGATCTGACAACCGCCACTCCGTGCTAGCTGTTCCCCTAACCCCCTTTTTTTGGTCTTCTTGCTTTTCTCGTTTTATTGTCTTTTTATCTTTTTTGTTTTTTATTTATTTTTTTATTTTTTTGGAAGAGCTTCGACCCCGAACAAATCCGACGTTGTGGTGCCTGACGGGAGGAATGTGGATCACCATAACTCCGTTACGGACAGCTCCGTACATGTACAAAGAGGGTAAAAGTCAACAGTAGCCCTGTACCTTGCAGTCGTCCTTGTTTTTTTTGTTTTTTTCTCTGCCCCCTTTAATCAACTCTATAGCCACAGGCTGATTTGTAGCTTTGCAGCTTAGTATGCTCTACTACTTCCTAGCTTTAATACTCGGTTACAGCAATTCGATTTTGATCAGTAACTTTCAAAGACATTTTGCCCAGGTGTATACTCTGTTACCAAAAGACTCCATGACTCTGGTCCCAAATAACGAAAAGAAAAAGAAATAGTCCCACGCATGGACCACCTGCCACCTGTCACGGACTGCTGGGGCGATCCCGGGGAGAGACCGTGACGTGATGGAAATTTTGGATTTTGGTCGTTGCGGCACATCGGGGAGACGATCACTCGGCTGCAAGCTGCGTGCAATAGGATCAGAGAGAGCCCCTGGTAACCAATCTATTTCCCGTGTCTGTTTCCCACTATTTCCACATTAACGCTTCAAGTGGACCAAATTTGACCTTCTCGATGAGGTATCACATCGAAACATCCTTTTTCTTTCCTTTCGCCTTCGATCGGGGCTAGTGGGGATCGCCCTACAGTAGGTTTTTAATTTTTTTTTTTTTTTTTTTAGTTTCTTAATTTACGTAGTTTACGTAGTTTATGTATTTTACTTTCCAAATTTTTTTTTTATTAATTTTTTTATTTCTATTTCTTGGAGGTACTACTCAGTTTGGCGTCTTGCATGATGGATCCCTCCCCACAAGTGGAAACCGTTGAACATGCCGTCGCAAGCCACACCTTTTTTGCTTGCTTCTGCTTGGGTGTTTTACCCCTCGTATCACCCACACGCTACTGACCCACTGTGACGAACCTCTTCCTGTCATGCTGATTGGCTCCCCAGGTATTTGTCATTGTTGGGCGGGGCCTTTGATCTACTTTTGGCAAGGATGTGCTGGGCGGTTATCGACACTCGAGGGGAAGTACAAATGGGAATACTTTAATCTATTCCAGACGACCTATACGGCCTATCCGAATGGAAGATGGGGTCTGTACGTAAACTATTTCCAAGTAGTCTATCCCATTCAAACATCCAAGGACGTTGGAGAAGAAGATATAGATGTGGAGCTGAGGTACACCTCGATATTAATTATCGCCCCCTTTTATTTTGGGATTGGGGAGCCTTTTGACTTTTCATTATTCCTGGTTTATAAAAAAAAGTTTTTTAAAATAGAATAAAAAATGAAAGAATAAAAAACATTAAACGCAAACCAGAATCAAAGAACCAGGAACAAGGAATAAGCATCAACTCATCAAGGGTAGAAGAAGATCCACGGATACTGTAGCAGGTAGAAAAACTTGCAGAACATGGTTCAACTGTTTCTTCAAATCTGTGTACCAAACAAAGCCATGAGATCAAAGTCTCCTCGTGTGGACCGATCGATTACCATACTCCTGGGAAACAAGAAAGCCGTTGTCGACCGGATGAACCCGTCCTGGGATGCAACATCGACTAGGGTAGACCCGAAAGATATGACCTGTCATTCTTTTTAACATTTCTGCACCAATGAACAACGCGGCAAGTATTTGAGATAAATCCTTGTAGGTTCCGCAGGGATCATCGCTGATCGCGCCCGTGCACGTCCAGACCAGAATTCCTGCCGTCTTTCACTCTATCAGGTCATGTTTGAAAAGAGAAAAGAGACCGAAAATAAACCCCCGTCAAATTCAATAGTTCAGACGATGTAACCAGGAAGCTGGGAATCTCGATGAAGATTCCCCTCTATTCTCCCCCCCCCCCTTTTTTCCGTCTTTGTTTTTTTTTGGGTTCTCTTTTGCGCCAGGTCTAGTCTCACAAAGAATAAGCGTTTGTTTGTATTTTGTTGAGAAAAAAAAATAAAAATAAAAGGAGCAGCAAGAATGAATCCCCATCCAAATATAAACATATACTCCATACTGGTATCCTGTCGGGTCAACAGTCACGTGTAACCGGGGAAGTACCTACAGTACGTAAAGTAGCATACCCACCTTCAGCTTTGGAAATATGGGGATTTCTCTATAATCCATGAAATTGGACTTCAAATGTTTGGTACACATGTAGAGCAATCAAAATAACCAACATTTGAAGATCAAATCAATCAAAGCTCAGTGCAAATAGATCCCGAAAATCAGGATAGACTACAATCACAAACGGAATAACCTTGTTCGTGGTCCGTGCCTTCGGGCTTTAAAAAAGTTCGGGGACCATATGGTTCCCGATCTGTGGGAAACCGTTTTGGCACGCGCTTTTTCGGGCTTTTACTTTTTTGGTCAATTCCTGGGATTCCAAGCTTGGCTTTTCGATTCCTCCCCCTGTCCCTGCCAGAATACCAGATATCTTGTGGTTGCAGGGATCCACCTGCAGCCGTTCTGACGGTTTTACTGTACTCTTGTACTCCATACATATGTACAGATGGAAATGAATTCATACACAAAAAAGAACCTTGGAAGAATTGGTCAAAAGTTCCAAAAGTTCTGGTCTTTCAACATCGTCATCAGACCTGACTTTCACTTACCCATCTAGGACTTTACCTCCGTTATCCCTTCCCGCCCCTCTGTCCATCTCTTTCGTTTTCCCGCTGTACAGGAGTAACAGGGGGGGGGGGGAGTGGTCTTCTAATTCGACCCTGACACATGTCCATTATTATCCCTGTGCCGTACATTACAACGGCTGAACCGTCCCAAATTGGATCCAATAACGGACTCCTCATCCATAATATGTGATGACCTTTGGAGAAAGAAAAGGAAAGGAAAAAAGAAAAAATTTAAAAAAAAGAGGGGGGCGAACGGGAAGAGCTCAACCGTTCTGGACCTGGACGATGGAGAACGGGCCAGCCTCGCCCCGCTTCTTGACGGTCACCGTCTACCAGTACGAACGATGACTGGTGGAGTGGTGCTCAACAGATGGGTTTGACAGCGGTCCCACGAACCAGTTCGCTTCGAAGCTCGATCCCTGTGGCGGGAAATTCCCTGTCCTATGCCACAAAACAAGGTTTATCGGCCTGACAGATGGCTTTAGTGAAGTTTATTCCCCATTACTGGGCCCTGTTTGTAGTGTATCCCGTCTTGGTTGGGGAGAAACACAGAAAAGAAGTCGGTCAGGTCGAAACTGATTTTTTTTTCTCCAAACACTTGCCCTTTTGATCAACCAAAACCTACAAAATAATAAACACAAAAAAAAATCCACATTTGACAGGCGAACTCGCCCACATACACTTGACTGTTCTGGGTATTGATGGTCTATGAACGGGGTTCTAGAGATGGGATTTGTCCAACCACGTTAACTGTTGCCTTTTCCGGCTCAACCCTATCTACCCGGTCCAAACTCAATCGGAGTGAACTTCTAATATTTACCCTGTACTTTTACTGTACTTTTACATGTACAAAGGTAGAGATTTCTATGTATTCCAAACCCTATTTCTAATTTTTGCACTTGAAATCTTGACAAGTATATGAAAAAAAAAATTCCAAAAGAGAAAGAATCCCGATCAAAACGTTCCCGTTAAATAAAAAACAAACCTTGTTCTTGGTTCTTTTGGTTCTTCTGCCGCCAGGATTTAGGTCCTACACCTTCGTTTATTTATACTCCACCTGGGGCGAAAAGAAAAAAAAATTGAAAAGAAAAAATAAAAATAAAAATAAAAATAAAAATCCAACAAGCTCGTATGTACAGCTTGTGCTTGGTACATAAAAGGGGTGAGTGGCGGGTGGACAGGGCGAACAGGGCGAACAGGTTTCATGTGGAGTTGTAGGTGCGGAGAATGCGGCAAATGTCATTAGCAATTCCAACCGATCCATGCTCCATACCGTTTTCCTTATTGGTATGGGTACATGATGTATACGAATGTACGTGTTGAATCTTTTCTCCTGGTTTAATATATTTTGGTTTTTCATTTTTATTTCTCTCTGTTCTGATTTTTACATCTATTGTATGAGAATGGTATCACACACGGAAGCAACGGAGGCCAGCCGAGTATCTTCCTCCTCATACACCCTGGTCTATCCGAGCTAGGTAGGTCCGTAATATGGGCCCCTCTTTCTCATCCACAATATTGGAGCCGCAGCAGTCAGGGCAGTCAGGGGTGCACCCTCTCCGGCGCTTCGAATTTCAGCAATGCCTCATATGCGTATGTACTCCGTAGTGTTAAAGTCGTCAGATGATCCGTGCTTCTTGGGCAACCCGAGTAGGTAGGTGGGGGGGAGAAAGCTTGCGACGGTACTCCGTAACAGTAACCGGAGCTGACGGGCGCTTTGATCAGGACAGGGTTGCCGCAGCCCATGTTACAGGTTTCGATAGTCTCTGGAGGAAAATTCCAAAACTCCCTTTGAGCTCCTCAACGGGTTCCACATCAGGCCCCATCTCTGTACCGTGTCTTCGGGTCCAAACCACGGGTCGAAGCGACCGCTCTGATGTAATCAAATCCGCCGAGGTAGAGATTTGCATTGCTCTTTGTTTACTCCATTGGATCTAGCGTGCACGTGAGAGAGCTATCCCTATGTAGTCCTAGTGCGGTTTCAAGGCTCTAGGGCTCAGTTCTAGGGCAAGTTTCAGCTATTTACAATGTAAAATTGCCAAGCCGGGCTGAGCTTGGGAGAGAAAGGACCGTTTTTTTGAGGCAACATTGTATTATAGACTGACAGGGTTTATCTCAACATTTGAAGGCTACATATGTAGAAAATAGCCTCATCCTTGGATTATCCAAACTTGGAAGGAGTCTCATATTGTTTCTATTTCTGTATTGCAAAGCCGTTTTCCCATCTTCGCTTATTCATTTCAATGTTTCCAATTGAAGTTCCAAGCGCAGTTATATATATACATAAGATGTTATTGACATCATGTGTATACATTGTACATATATTAAAACTTTACATATGTTCAGATTGTACATACCTACCTAACATTTGAAGGTACCTACATATGTAGTAGGTCTGGATCCTTGTCGACCCTACAGACCAACTTCCGACCTCCAGATGTCGGGAAACATTCATTTGAATACTTTGAAGCTGCAAATCAATTGAGAACCAACTTTGAACCAGTTGACATTTGAACCAGTTCCAAGGAGCCCTGGAGGTCAACTGGTTGATCTTCGAAATTGAATGTTGTCACCTGTCCAGATCGCAGTTCCAATTATGGATAGATGAGTTGACCAATGAGTCGAACAATCAACATTCGAAGCGCAAGCCTCAAATGCTTGGAACTTCGCTGTGCAAATTAAAAAAGCCCGCTCGGATAACTAAACTCTTTATAAGCGACTAACTATTTATGTAAAGACCGATAAATCGGGCGCCATGCTATCCAGGTGCCACCAGTGGCGCTCAACCTTGCACGCCACACCAGTGAGACCGCAGCATAGCCGAAAATCATGCTGCCACCCTCCACCACGACTTCAGCCATGCTGTGCATCTGCGAAAATGACACCGCACATGGAGAACCTGAATTCCTTGCTCGTGGCCTGAAGACCCGACACAGCTGAAAATTTAAATTAAATATAATTTTTTTTTTAAGAAAAAAAAAATTTAAAATAAAAATAAAACCAAGACAGAAACGAGGGCGTTAAATGTTCATGCAAGGGATGCATGAATTGACAGGGGCGTCGATCAGGAGATCAGGAGATCAGGTAAATGCAAGGCTTGAAGCATTAGGTTTGCGTTTTGACGTTATTGCTTTTTTTTTCTTCTCTTTCTTGGTTTACGCAGCATTTCGACTCATTCTCTTTGTGATACTCTGTGCCTCGTTCTGGCGTTCTGGCGTTCTGGCGCTGCTCCTGGTTGCTCGGCTACCTGGGTATATCCTTGGACCTTGATGCAACTGAGCTGACTTGCTTACATACCCCCCTGACCTCCCCATAACTCCCCTCTGAGAATCCCATGCTCACGCCAAATTGGAAATAGCTGCCGGTTTTCTTTCAGATCAAGTAGTTCCCGAATTCCTGGACCCCGGATACCGTGGTTGCACCATGTGGCCCGAAACAGGGAACTTGCAGTTGATCCAAGGACCACGGGATTCGGCTTCTGGCATGTCTCAAAACAGATCTACCCCTTGCAACACATGCTCATGTATGTAATCATGTTGTCTCGTGCAGGCACACCCGGATATACCCCAGTTTTGTGGAGAATGTGTGCCTGGTCGATTGAGTTCACTAGAAGGATTGGGAAATAACCAGTCGAGTGCAGATACTAACCCTCATCGGATCATTGTCTCTCAGAAGATGACATCAGAGAATCCGTGTTTGGAAGGAGATTTTCTAGTACCATGCAGTACTGTTTACCATGCATGCGTTATGTCTGTTGTCGTCTGTAACATTGGATGGACTATACTTGATTTGTCCGAAATCTCGTTTGCACTACACACCATGAGACAGAGTAGGCATAGCCTGGATAGTACATTAAAAACCACAAAAATGTATTGGCTCATAATACATTACGAATATTACGATTATCGGTCGGACCAGTTCGTCAAATGGAAAAGAGTCTCGCCTAGATTTTCCTTCCTGGGAAAGCTCAGCTGAGGCCATCTTCGCAGTCTCGACGTAACTCCATCAAGCCATGCACGCCTTTCAATGATTGACTGGCTATCGGTAATTCCATCATCATCAGCTAGGTAACTCCATTGCCATCTATTACGTTTACCCAGATACAACATGACAGTGCCTAGGTGGGTATGAACTCAGATACAATCGACAACCGCCTAAATTGGATCGTATTCGCTGTCTTAGATGAACGGACGATGGAGCATGGTTATATCAGCGGCTGCTGTCTCACCTTTACTCTCTAGCTCAGCCATTTGTGAATTGTCTCACTAACGGTTGAAGCTAGGACTGAAGCATGAAAACCCGAAAATGTCGCTTTTTTCGCTGTATTAGACTTTTTGCCTCACTTGTAACTGTACTGTGTATTTCTGTACTTTTGAGGGATTATCCCTGGCCTATACCCGTTGACCGAATTAGGGATACCGGATCTATGCTATATCAAACTATTCCAAAAAGGGTTCTCACAAGACCAACAGGCTTAAAGATACTAGGAATTTAGATATATGGAGATCCATAGACCAAATACCTAGTCCGCTGTTTGATCAAGGCATCTGTTGACGACTGAGTGATATTGCAAAGAAGGGACATCCTTTTAATCTTGCCTGATTGGTCATGAGAGAAGCTTAGACGAAGCTGAAAATCCAAGAGACCCTGCGCCCTATTCTGATTTGGGCGAAGCTGAACAAAAAAAAGTATATGTCGAAACCAATTTCTTTAAGCTCTTTAACTAATTGTTGTATCCAGTCCTATAAATTTAGGTATGGGATAAAGGAACCATCCCAGGAAATCATCATCCGGATCAAGTCCACCCGAATCAAAGTCCGTTTCATCTGTGTTTCAACCCAAATTTAGGTAAAATCATGGACCTGAGACCCGTAAGCATAAATGAAACAAGCTTCTTCAACCTTCTTTAGACCAATATAAGGTCCAATGGCGTAGATCACGGGGCTTAGGAGAGTCTCCGCAGTATTAAAAAGCATCAATGTGTGTAGGGCTGGATGGAGGTCTGCGACACTAGCAAGACAAATAAACTAAAGAAACCCCTTTAAATAGATATGGTCAATCCAAATGTACGCTTAATTTGCAACTAGTAGATTAAACACCAGCCTTATCTGTTTAGAATCGTGTTAGTGCATCAACGGTTGTTTCGAAGTGCTACCCTGGAACACGGAGCAACTCCCGATTTGTGATGATCACTGACACAGGGACTCAATCCATATACTCACCGATAACCAGAACGCTAGATATCCGAGCAAATTGATTGAACAATGCCTTTTTTCTTTGTTTCTTTTTTTTTTCTCGCAGTTTTAGAATCCCCCCTATGCACCAGGGGGTCAGGAGTCCTGCACTTGAGGATATAGACGCCAGTGACCTGGGTACTTGAACCGAATATTTAAGAAAAAAAGAATCTCCACAAGAACACATTTGACAACAAGATATTGAGCCGGCTGATCTTCCACTCATATCACCATGCCTTCTCTGAGCCAAAACCTCCTCTTCGCGGCAACGGCGATTGGGTCTGTGAGCGCTGCCTTCGGTCCTGCATTTAGCACTGGCCCTACTTCTTCGGACACTTACATCGCCGAGTCAATTTCCACACTTGTACTGCCTCGCGCTCCAAGTGGCAGCAGTGGAGATCTTTCGCTGTGGGTTGGAATGGGTACATCGGCTGGAGACCTTATTCAATCCATTGCTGATAACTACCAATCTGACTCCTGGAGTATCTTTGCCTATACATTGAAAGAGACGAGTGGTCAGTTTCTGTTTCATAAGAACGCGATCTAGACACATGCAGAGATACTAACGTGGAATATAATGTAGCCGATTCACAAGAGGTTATCCAAGGACCCTCTTCGACTGCTACACCCGGAAACCGTGTGACCATGCACTGTAAGAAACGAAATCCATAGATACCACTTGAATCCCGGAAAAAACACATCTAACTCGTTCCAGACAAATTCATCGAGTCTTCCGGAAATTATACCCAAACAGTCCTCGTCAACAACAAGACCGTTTCGACTCTGTCAACCAGCGACGGAGTGGCCCTAGGCTGGGGAAGTGCGGTGGAATGCGCGGCAACAGACTGTGGCACTGTGGATGCTCATCGTAAGTTGCCGGCTCGGTGATCATGCATCATGAATTGAGGCTAACGTGTTGATTTCCAGATTGGATCAACACCAAGATTATTCTCTCCGCCGCAGATCCAGATTACATTGATACATTGGCTTTGGGTGATGGTGTCACTGCTAACATGACCACCTCTGACAATGGCAAGACCTGGACTGTCCCCAGAATCGATATTCCCGAGTACACTTTCACGTCGTAAAGGCATGCCAGGACAGATCTTGGTATGCATTTTTGTTGCATGTGACTGTAATATAGGGGAGCTTTGTATTTATTCCAATTTTTTTTTTTTTTTTTTTTTTACCTTGCCTGGCTTTAAGATCATGTCCCACGCTCGTTGCGTCGCGCAAGCAGTTGATTATCTGGTCGTCAATGTTATCTCGTTATCACTGTCTGTTACAAAGAAAGTTAAACCAAGTGAAGCTGATTTTATGTTCAAAGACTTTCAAGCAGTATGCTGAGGGATAGAGATTCATGGCAAATCAAGCACGGAGATCTGGCCGCGTTCATTTAGGAAGGTTTCAACCTAATGGCATTTGTACCCAGTCAACCCACCTTTTGTCATACTTCAAAGATTTGTGCGCCTGGCAAAGTAAAGATAATCCATACCAATTTCAAGCTTCCTTCCTGAAAGTAGTCTCGCCTCGTAATCCTCGTCATACTTGCAATTCTGGAACTGTGCCCCCCCCCCTCTTCCAAGTCACATCGTTTGATTGACTCCTCACTTCATAAAAAGCAAAGAGCAAAACACTTCTTCCAATTCTAACATCCGTCAAGAGAATCCCGAGATGCTTTCCGCGGAGGGCAATAAACTTGTTTTCCGCTTTGACGACCACCTCCTTTGGATCCAGCCATGGGGCGAAAATGCACTGCGAGTGCGAGCAACCAAGCTTGCATCTATGCCTACCGAAGACTGGGCCCTGACTGATCACCCAGCGAGCCCCTCCATAAGCATCGCTACCCCCAAGGATCAAGATGCGACCATTATCAACGGCAAAATCAGGGCCACTGTATCCCAGCGGGGAAAGATAATCATCTACAACTCAAACGGGACCAAACTACTCGAAGAGTACGCTCGAAATCGACGTGATCCCCGCGATGCGAAATGCAGTGCGCTGGAAATTGAAGCCCGGGAACTGCGCCCCATACTGGGGGGTGATTTCCGCCTGACTACACGTTTCGAATCATTAGATCCAACGGAAAAAATATTTGGGATGGGCCAGTATCAGCAACCATATCTGAATTTGAAGGGAGCCGATCTGGAGCTTGCACACCGCAACTCCCAAGCTAGTGTGCCGTTCGCAGTCTCCTCTCGTGGATACGGACTATTATGGAATAATCCGGGGATTGGACGAGCCGTGTTCGGATCAAATATCATGAGTTTCGAGGCGTACTCAACACGTTCGCTTGACTACTGGGTTGTAGCTGAAGACACACCGGCGGAAATTGTCGAGGCTTATGCAAAAGCCACAGGCTATGTCCCCATGATGCCAGAGTATGGACTCGGGTTCTGGCAGTGTAAGCTCCGCTACTGGAACCAGGACCAGGTGCTCAATGTTGCACGGTAGTACCGTCGTCGCGGGGTTCCTCTCGATTTGATCGTAGTTGACTTCTTTCACTGGAAACATCAAGGTGAATGGAAGTTTGATCCAAAGTTTTGGCCCGATGTTGGTGAGTACTATCTAATTCTCCTCTGGGTTTGATTTCCAACCCAATATTAACAAGAAAAATACGGGTTAGATGCCATGGTCAAAGAACTCCAAGAGCTTAATATAGAGCTTATGGTATCTATCTGGCCGACAGTTGAAAACGCATCCGAAAACTATTCTGAAATGCTGGAACGCGGACTATTGATCCGGCATGATCGCGGAATGCGCGTTGCAATGCAGTGCGATGGGGATATCACTTATTTTGACGCCACGAACCCAGAGGCGCGAGAATTTGTCTGGAGCAAAGCAAAGAAGCACTACTATGAGCTTGGCATCAAAGTATTCTGGCTCGACGAAGCCGAGCCGGAGTATTCGACGTACGACTTTGATATTTACAGATACCACGCTGGTAGCAATCTTCAAATCGGTAACATATTTCCCAAGGAATATGCGCGTGGCTTCTACGAGGGAATGCAGAAGGAAGGGCAAGAAAATATCGTTAACCTATTGCGTTGTGCCTGGGCCGGCAGCCAGAAATATGGGGCCCTCGTCTGGAGTGGTGATATCGCGTCCTCGTGGAGCTCGTTCCGGAACCAGCTGGCAGCCGGGTTAAACATGGGCCTCGCTGGAATCCCCTGGTGGACCACTGATATCGGTGGGTTCCACGGAGGAAATCCAGATGAACCTGAGTTCCGCGAACTGTTCACCAGATGGTTCCAATGGGGCACATTCTGTCCTGTGATGCGACTCCATGGAGATCGTGAGCCAAAGCCCGAAGGGCCAACTTCCAGCGGAGCCGACAATGAGATATGGTCATATGGTGAAGAGGTGTATGAAATCTGCAAGCGATTCATCGGGGTTCGCGAAGAACTTCGCGAATACACCCGGAACTTGATGAAGGAAGCCCATGAGAAGGGGTCACCTGTTATGCGTACACTGTTCTATGAGTTTCCAGAGGACAAGCAAGCATGGGAAGTTGACACGGCCTATATGTTCGGGCCCAAGTATCTAGTTGCACCAGTATTTGAGCCTGGGCAACGTAAGATCTCTGTCTATCTTCCTGCTGGTGCTTACTGGACCCTTTGGGGCAAGGTGAACATCCAACGTGAAGCAATTCCCAAAATTTTCCAGGGCGGCAACACTGTGGAAGTGGATTGTCCAATTGACACAATTCCGGTATTCTATCGCGTAAATTCTTGAGCCCATTTTCCCGTTTCTTCATCAATCACATTTCTCGATCTATCATAAATTGTTAGCTAACCAGCATCTGACTTTGCATACGTACCGAGGGCGCCCTTGTCTTGCCATGGGTATGCCTGACGGATTTTTATTTTATTTCCACAAGTCATGATGAATCTCACTTTCCTTTTGAATGAAAATAGCAAAGACAAATACCTTCAATTTGCAGACTTGAGAAATCCAGTGAACTGTCAGTAGATCTTCCTACTAAAATAGGATTAAAGCCACAGATTCAGGTCAAGTCAAAGTCCCCCACACACTAAACCCGATCAGGCAGTGAATGCGGGAAGCTCAAACCCGGGTTTTCCTTTCTCTTGAGTCTTACCAACCTCACTTACTCTTCCTCTTAATCTCATTTTTGCTCTGTTTCCGTCAATTCATCCGTCATGGCGGCTGTGCCCTTGGACTCTACAACTCAGGCACCCACCGACGCCATCATGGACATCGATATGGATCTCGACCTAGGCCCGGAGCCCGAACCCGAACCCGAAATCGAGCTCATCCACACCGTGAGTAACCCCCCACCCAGCTTACCGAATCTGTGTCAATCAATGCTGACGTATTCTATCTCTGGCTTCAGGAGAACACCGTGCAAGAGACCTTCATCGAACCAAACTCAGAAGAAGCCGTATACGAGAAAGTCCACGTACGCGGCGTGGACGAATTATCAACCGACAACATCAAGCAATTTGCGACCAGTCACTTCGAACACGAAGTACCTTCACGGGTTGAATGGATCGATGATACCTCCGCTAATCTCATATACTCCTCTGCCGATGTGGGCCTTCAGGCCCTCCTGGCTTTGACGCAGGTCAACGAGGAAGAAGATGCTTCCTCCCTGCCACCTTTACGTCTCCGGTCGGCCAAGCTCCTCGCAAGCCATCCAGACTCCGTTCTCCAAGTGCGATCTGCCGTCAAATCAGACCGGAAGCAAGCACGTGCGTACGAAAAGAGTCGCTTCTACCTCATGCACCCCGAACACGACCCGCGCGAACGCCTGCGAGAAGAGCTCACGGAGAGAAGGCAACGAGGAGACACAAATGATGGCGATTATAGGCGTCGTCGATTCGACGACAAGGAATTGGGCCGACGACGAGACCGCGATGGCGACGACCTCTTCAGCGCCAACATGTATGATGACCAGCCTGAGAACCGCTCGGACTTGGGGCATAACCACTCCGACCGAAGACAGCGAGGACAACGGGAATTGTTCCCAAGCGATGACCGGGCGTCCGGACGACTGCGCAACCGCAGTGCCTCTCCTGGCAGAGATACTCTCGAGGAGGGCAGCCGTGTCGATCGAAACCCCGACACTCGCAGAAGATTCCGTGAGCGATCGCCCCAGCTTGGACGTCAGAATAAAGGCAAGGAGCTTTTCCCAGCCGAGGCCGGGGCCCGCGAATTGTTTCCCAACAAGCCTGCGTCGAGTTATATCAAAAAGGAACTATTCCCCAGCAAACCGAGCGGCCATCGCCGATCTGATGCCTTTGATGCTACAGACGAGTCTGCGACTTCTCTCGGACGAAGAATCACCGCTCCCCAGGCCGATTCTGACTCCGACCAGCGTATTCGTAGAATAGCCAAAGACGAAGATCAAGGCTTTGCGATTCGAGGTGGTGGCGGAGGCATTCAAATCAAGGGACGAGCCGCATCAGTTCGTGAACTGTTTCCATCCAAGTACCAAAACCAGGCGGATCAGTCGGCCAATGCAGGAAAGGAGCTTTTCTCGGATACACTAGATGGACGCGGAGGACGCCGACGAAGGGCGGAGGACATGATGAACTGAAAGACACATATCCTACAAAAATGTGCAGCTACACTGGAGGTTGGGCGTTGTCGTTTGTTTTGAAGCATACTTGATTTGGCGTTATATGGTCTGTTTGGATAGGGGTTTTCATCTAGTTTATTTGCATATGAATTATACCAGATACCCTTATAGTGGTGCAAATTCATGATGTCTTGTCCTTGGAATAAGTTATATGAGTACCGACTGGCAGATACTGGAGGTTAAACATTCAAGAAGGTAGGACCTCTCAAGTGGCCACGATTTGCCTGAAAACCCGCCTTACCTTGATCCAATCCATAGACATCTTACCTATGTTGTGACCTATATAGTTTGCGAACATTGAAGGTCAAGACATTTATGTAATATCAGGTGAATCAACGATATTAACTAATTAACATTTGAACGATGCCGAGGTCCACGCGATTATATATCAGAAGAAAAATTCAAGGCTGACATTCTCATTCGCCAATTCGCTTTGAATTCTCCCAACCGACCCACATCAACATGACAGTGTCAGCACCGGTTCCCAACAGAACCTCCAAAAAACCATATAGGTTCTTCGCGGAACCGGATGAATTACCAGATTGGGTATCTTCCTTAGATCCTACCGCACATTGATACTTTCATTTCCTGCTATAAGTCCCGAAGCGAAGACACGAGTGGTGCAAGGGGAAGCGTCAATTTTTTTTTTCTACCCCTGGGGAATTAGCTACTCGCGCTTGCCACAGGTTGTACTGCAAGATCCGATAGTCTCCACATATCGAGCTACTCTAGTCTTTACTAGCACAATGGCTCCGAAGCCAGTGTCATTTCCCGGCTTCACGCCGATATCAGATCGAGTTTATCTTCGCAATGCCCTCAAAAATGCCCCGCCCGCTCCAGCAGACGAGCCCACTACCATTATTCTCTTCGGCTGGGGTGACGGCATGCCTAAACACGTTTGCAAGTACACCGACGGGTTCCATGATCTGTACCCCTCTGCCAGAATCCTGGTCATCCTATCGGGCACTTTCCAGGCGTCAAATCAACCCCTAGATGCCAGGATCGAAGCCATGATGCCAGTCATCGACACTGTCTTCCCAACGCCCACAGGCGATGGGCCCGAGGCAGAGCGCGTCCTTCTGCACGCCATGTCGAACACAGGTGGTATCTTCTTAGCTGCTGCTTTCGTTGCATACCAACAACGACATGGCACTGACAAGAAACTTCCGCATCAGCTTCTGGTCTGTGATTCCACCCCTGGCAGCTTGGACTTTGCTTCTCAGGTTGGACGCTGGTCTCGAGCTATGGCCGTGGGTAGCGCGAAATACTTTCCTTGGCCGTTCATTGTCACCCAGGCCCTTTGGTATGCTTTCCTGTGGGGTAACTGGGCCTGGGAACGTCTGCGTGGCTCTGAACCATCCGGTGTCTGGGCTACACGGATTTGTATGGATCATGACATTTGCCCGGTCGAGACGACTAGACTTTACCTTTATTCCAAGGAAGATGAGATTATTGGATGGAAGGACTTGGAGGAGAATGTTGCGAACGTTAAGGCCGATGGATTTCCGATTGAACTTGAGATGTTCGAGGGCTCGCCGCATGTTGGACATATGAGGCTGCACCCGGAGCAATATTGGAATAAGATTGCTGCTTGCTGGAAAGCGACACAGGAGGGGAAGTAATTCATGTGAGATACCGAGGGATTCTTGTATAGATAGGTAGTAGTGTTATGGATAGATTTGTATATAGTAGTACTTTGACCCATTTTTATTAATTGATCGTGGTTTGCTTCAATGTTGGGGTTTCCCCTCCCTTCTAAACCCGTAGGTGGTTCAAGCATACTACATATTTTAATTTGTCGGCAATTGTAAGATGCATAAGCAATATTGCGCTGTGTTCTAATTAAGATATAGAGGGTTGTAGAAGTATACTGCAGCTTCGGAACTTGCTCTCACTGCGATCTACTCCGCTGCAAATATTCATGCAAGTCTGGTGCCCCACTCCTTTTCATTTTGACAACTCCCAACTCGATATTCATGGCGTCCTCCACATCCATAGATGCGCTAGCAAGCGCCATAGTTGCGCGATTCCTGCGAACTTACAATTATACAGAGACCCTCCAGGCCTTTGTTCGCGAGGCAGATCTTCCGTTGGACGTGGGGCAAGCTTCTGGTGACGACACGCACAATTTGACCATCCAGAGCTTATTGGAAGAGAAGAGGACATTCGATCAGACCGTTAACTTTGAGAGATATGGCAATGATGGTAAAGAGAATGAAGGTTGGAGTATTCCTGGTAAGTTCACTCTGTGCTGTTTTCCTACATGATTACTGATGCGCGTCTTAGCACCTTCAAAACCAACAGTGATCCAGACACCGACATCGTCGAATATTCTCTCGGCATCAGTAGAGCTATGGAATAGATCAAGCTCTGAGGCAGACGCACCTGATCCGGCAAAGCCGTTGATTCTTTCGACCAGCGCTGATAGACAGGCACATTTATTCGAGACGGCGTCGGAGCATGCTTCTCTTGCCTCCCTGTCTGGCTTGTTTGATTCACCTGTACTCTCGTATGTGTCAATCCTTCAGGGCCGATACATCCTGATGGCAAACATGGCCGGCAACCTTCTGCTTCAGCAAGGAACTCGCGTCCTAGATACTAGGAAGGACCATGCCAAATACGTGGTCAAGGTTGTTGCCCATGAGGATCAAAGCCCGTCCAGCACATCACCGGCATACTGGGTTGCCACCGCTGGCTGGGATGCAACTGTTTTCTTATACCGTATCGAAATCCCAGAGAACGCTCCACCGGTCATCGGAGAGCCTGTCGCGCACATCAAGCTGGCTACCAATCCTGAATCGCTACTGTTCGTCCCTCATGTCGATTCTGGCGAGCTATTCCTGCTCGTCTCGCGCCGGGACTCGACTTACATATACTACCACGAAGTTACATCTTCCAATTCTGAATCTCGCCTTCTAGGAAAACAGAATCTAGCCCCTCACTCCAATGCTTGGGTTGCATTCTCTCCAGCGTGCATGGCGCTTAGCCCCCATGACCCTGGCTTACTAGCTGTTGCCACTTCAACCTTGCCGCACTTAAAAGTGATTATTGTGCGTCTATTGTTTCCGTCTGTCGAGTCCCTTGGCGAATCCGACCCTGCAGATGCTGCAGTGACGCAGGCCTCCCAGGCTCTTGCAGCTTTGGCGCTTTCGAATCGCGAGGACGCGGCTATCTTGCTTCAGGCGAATACCTTTGCGTCGCAGACGGCGTACTCGACTCCACAGGTTGTGTGGAGACCTGATGGGTCGGGAGTTTGGGTCAATGGGGACGATGGACTGGTGCGGGGAATTGAGACGAAGACCGGCAAGCTGGTGGCTACATTGAAAGATGGCCATGAGATTGGCTGTAAAGTGCGGAGTATTTGGGCGGGTTATGTGGATTTGCCTGGTGAAGATGAGAGCTCGATCCAAGAAGAATGGGTGATTAGTGGTGGATTTGATAAAAGGTTGATTGTATGGAAAGTGTGATGGTTTCAATTTGATTGTATATAGTATATAAAAAAGTATAACCTTGGAACCCCAGAAGGCTTCAATGAATCCTGCATTCAAGTACTACTGCAACCATACTACAGACTACGAGGTTTGTAGCCGTCCATCCTCGCACCCTTTCGACCACTGAGAAATTCGAAAGGGTGATATTGAAAGACAGGGGCTTGTGGGGTTTTGTCTTGGCACGTTGATAAAATCCTTCAGCAGTCGCGCATAGAAGAGCACGTTGCTGTACACACATATGCCGGGAAACGAGAAATCGAGACGACACTCGAGGAAAAAGAGAAAAGAAAAGAAAAGCAAGCTCCAAAGAAGCTGACACGTACGAAGCAGTAGCAGCGGTCGAGCAGAAAACAGAAAAAGCAAGACGGAAGATGAAGGAGGAATCGCTGCCCCGCTCTGGGACTGGCACCGCTGCGTGGATATCGAATTTAAGCCTGTTGATTTCTGTTTATCAAACAACCCCGGACGTGCTAGCGCGCAAGGAACAAGCAGAAACCAGGCCTATTCGACACAGCGAATGTTCTTTGATCATCGCACGTTATTGTAAACCCCCATGTCCTTGCGCGCACTGGTTTCCTCTCCAGTTTTCATTTTTTTCCCGTTTCGAAAAACATTTAAGCGCTGGCCTCCTTAGCCTGCTTGGCCTCCTTCTGTGAGGTTGTTAGTATTCTGAAATTTGGGTTTTGGCCTTGGCAAATCAACGTACCAGGACCTTGGCGGTACCGTGCAGGGCGTGACGGTGGTTACGGCGGAACTTGGCGTCAACACCACGGAGGGAGGGGTAACGGTTGGTCTTGGGCTTCTTGATACTGTTGGAAGGGTGACATGTCAGTCATTCGATTCTCTTGGATATGTGGTGTGGGCGCAAAGTAGAGGAAGATTCAAGACGCTTCCAGTCGGCTTTTGAACAGATGGCCCGACATGTTCGGTTTCGTCCAAATTTATATGTGTGCGTCATGTCCAAGCCAGACCGTTCGACCTCGAATTTCCCCGTCCTTCAGTCGGAATAGATTTGTCGAGTTGCAGCAAAATGGGTCGAGGATTGGAGTGTTCAAAATCGGTGGTTTAGGGGGGTTACGCACCCGTTACGGTGAGCCTTCTGGCTGCGGTGGTGCTGGGACGCGTTCTTGGACTCTGTGGAGCGCAGGCCAGGTCAGTGATCGGAATTTTCAAAAAGGTATCGATGGTGCCGACCAGGCGAAAATGTTGGGGTTCACATACTGGCCATCTTGACGAATGTTGTCGCTGATTGACGTGGACGGGATAAGGAGAGTAGAGGAGAGCACTGGAGTTGGACCCAAATGAGACTCGGCTAGGGCTTTGCTTCTGTGTGGGATCTCGCTTACCGCCATGGTGCACGGACCTTTTATATTGATACTACATACTAAGCTCCTCTGTACTCCAGCTACGTCAGTTCAATCCACACGATAAGCTTAATGAGATCATGCTCATTTTCATAGACATGTTATCAGTTTTCCTGAGTATGTTATTATTACTACACATCTTTTTTACGATGTTGAGGACCTGTTTTGGCGGTGCCGCTTGGCCATCAAGTTATGTACAGAAAACGGGCAAAAAAAAAGTCAACCAACCAATCACGAATGATGACATAACCATGGATAACACGTGATGAAGAAGTATGGATCTTTGAGCTGGAGGGAAGATTGAAGGCCAATACCTACACTGAATCATGACCGGATGCTATATAATTTCATATATCGAACCTTATAGTGAAGAAAATTTCATTGAGCATTATGAAACTCCGGAATTAGCTGACTGGGAAAAACCCGACGGTGAGCGGTCCGATATCGCACTGAAGAAAGGGTAATATTGCATGGTAAGAGAGAGAAAATAGGATAATTTGATAGAATGTGAAAATTTGATTCCAATCTAAGAAAGATATTTCACTGGTTTCCCCAATGTCCTTTATTATTATGCAATATCAAAAGACAGTAGACTTGACTGGCATGCCGGGTGGGCTCACCACGTGACCCGCACTAGGGAACAACCGGCGTTCCGTCTTCGACCTTTGCACGGCAACTTCAAGAGGGATCACCCCCAGTCTTTGCATCCTCCCAACCCATTGCGACCATGAACTCCTTCCGCTTTGCTCGTTCCGCTCTGCGGGCTCGCCCCTCCATGTTCAGCGCTCCCGTCCAGCGCCGTGGATACGCCGAGGCTGTCGCTGACAAGATCAAGCTGTCCCTGACTCTGCCTCACAAGGTATGTCGAACCCGTCCCCGGCTCCGACCAATCCTACCTAGCTTGATAGGCCCCGGACTAACATCCTTTCTCTTTGATAGACTATCTACCGCTCCACTGGCGTGTGCGTTACCTTTCTTGTTGCGCCCGTGTTCTTCGCGCCCTGAATACTGACAACCCTTTTCGAATACAGGACCCAGGTCAACATTCCCGCCGCCTCCGGTGAGATGGGTGTCCTCGCCAACCACGTTCCCTCCATCGAGCAGCTCCAGCCCGGTCTTGTTGAGATTATTGAGGAGAGCGGTGCCACCAAGCAGTACTTCCGTACGTCCGATCCTCACTCCCGAAATGCATATCGAAAAAGCGCCTTCAGCAAACACGAGAACATCCGCTAACATCACTTTTTCCCTTTGCGATAGTGTCCGGTGGTTTCGCCGTTGTCCAGCCCGACTCCCAGTTGAGCATCAACGCCGTTGAGGGTTTCGCCCTGGAGGACTTCAGCGCCGAGGTAGGTTGCGTCACTTTTGCAGCGCTAGCGCGTGCGATACTAATATTTGATGCTCCGAATTTAGGCTATCCGCGCCCAGGTTACCGAGGCCCAGAAGATTGCCAACGGCAGTGGCAGCGAGCAGGACATTGCTGAGGCCAAGATTGAGCTTGAGGTATGCATCTAGTACTTCTAACTTGAATTGAGATTTGATAACTAACCAGGTATTCGATCAACAGGTTCTTGAGACCCTGCAGGCTCATGTCAAATAGATGTACATATCCACTCGCGCACCATTTTAACCTGTAGAATTATAGCAATTCTTCCTTTTGTCGATTGACACTTCAAATTCGCGCTCCTTCCTTTTTTATTTTATTTCGGTAGATGGCGGCCGTCTCTCCCCTTTTTTTGGTAGCTACTTGTTCCGGTGACACTTGAACCTCAATCCCCCGCACCTTTCAGCAATGCGGTCCATGAATTTGCCCATGGGCAACATCGACCCTCGGGTGATGATACAATCTGATCCTTCAGTAGATGCCTTATTTTCTCCTTCGTTTGCATCGGTCCTCGCTTTCGATGAGCCGGATGAACAAGGGTTTCAAGATCTCCCAGCACTCGACGAAGAATACCATTGCGAGCACAACATGGATTGGCAAGGCCAACCTGCACCCAGCAGCACCCGTGAATCGTCTCTTCAACAGGGCAGTGTCAAGCGATCTCCATACCCCCGACTTGAGTTGGATGTTGCCATGGACAGATATCATGCTCTTGATGGACCTGCAGAACTATTGATCCCACATAATACTCCCGAGTCAGCACATGGCAGTCCCAGAGAAGAACGTCGAGGTCACAAAGCCGAGAACCTACGTACACACTCTGCTCCACAGCCACCTGTACTGACACTCGATTGGCTTGAAGATAGACGCCAGGCAAAGAGACACCGTCTCTTCATCTCAGATGAATCGCGTTCTCCTTCACCAAATATGCAAGGAGGTGCCTACTTTCCAAACGTGAATTTCACTTCCATTGAAGACTTTGGTGAAACTGTAGCTACGAGGTGCGTTCGGTTCTCTCCACCGGAGTCCCCTCGTTCAGGTTCACGCCCTCTCCCCTCCGTGGAGCGAAAGCAGGACTATATCTCTCATTACCGACAGCAGAAGCAGCATGAGAAGTGGAAAGTGGCTCGGCGGGCCTCTCCGCGTCGCAGCCCCGCCAAAGTGCAACTATCGACCGGCTTGGATGCTAAACCGGAAGTTCGCTTTTCTGGTCTCTCTAGGATGATCTTTCGGCAGGATGATCTTGCAACTTCTCCCAAGAGCAAACATCGGGTGCAGGCCGCAAAGACATCCCAGTCCATACTGAGAGACATACATGAAGAAGCTTTGCCACGAGAACGAGTCCCTGCCGTTATTGCTCTCAACTTCGGGTTATACCGACCTCGAGACCCCGGACCTATCACAAGCGTTTCAAAGTGGGCGTTGATGCGAGTTCGAATGAGCCATGGGCTTGTGCCAGTCCACAGCTTGTTTGGGGAACCACAAGGTCCGAAACAAATTGTATGCCCCCTACCATCAGAGGATTTGCTCTTGCATTTCATTATCGTTTTGCCATATCTTGTTGTGCGCATTCCTCTTACTGCACTCGCGAAAGCAGGGCGATTTCCAACATCACGAGCAAGCCTCACAACTCTTGATATTTTCAGAATCATCTGGGCTCTTACGTTTGCACTCGTCACTTTCGTATTCCATCAACTGTGGAGCTTGAAACCCGGCCCCAGTGTGAAAGCCGAGACCCAGCACCACGAGAAAGCTCGCCGACTTTGATATCAATTTCGATCAAGACCCTCAAAGTACTGTCAGTGTTTCTGTCTCCCTGTCAAACGACAAGGCCTATCTTTACAAATCTGGCCCGTTGTCACTTGCCTTCAGCCTTCCATGCTCCGCTTTTGATATTTGTATGTTAAACACAGACGGACATGTCATGTATTGTATCAAAATTGAAGGGCAGCGGGAGGTGTTCAGATATGCATTATAGGAATCCTACCAAGTTGAAGTTTCGTTCCATCAACCGCCCTCTAAGAATTTATCTATACAATATCTCCGTGTCTCCACCGCCTTTGAAATACATGAATGAAGAAGATAGTGGAGCCTCTCTCTCTCTCTCCCCAAAAAAATAATGAAATTACAAAAAGAAATGGCGCCACCCGGAATCGAACCGGGGCTAAATCAGATTCGAATGTGTTTACCACAATGATTCGTCATACCACTAGACCATGGCACCTTGTTATATGGAATTGTCAGATAGTTTGGCTTTATAGCTCCAAAGGTCATTACCATGCCTTGAATATGAGTCTTACTAAAACGCCTCTTGCCTGGCATATCAGGCCACAAGTCCCCATCGGGTTAGATCAACCTCGACCTCACGCTAAAGTCCGCTCTTAGTCCGCCTTCCTCTACAATACTGAGTCTATCCAGCTGATGTTTCAGTACGCCCCTCTCGCTTGTTCTTGTTCTCACCACTCTCGGAATTTCTCGAGAAGCGCGACCTTTTTCAAGCTTGATACCCCATGAGGCCACCCCTGGCTTGTCAGAACTGTAGGACGCGCAAAAAGAAATGTGATCGCGCGTATCCTAAATGTTCACATTGCCTTAGGTCGGTGTCACAGCAGTTTTGTATAATATACAGGGAAATTACTGAAGTTCCACAGGACCCATGATCACTGTCAATACAGGGTGTTGGGCCATTCAACTCAGCCTCCGAGCAGGGCTGTCGCTTTAGATCAATTCCATGGGACAGATAACTTGCCTGTTACAAATGTCCGCACCGCTGCTGCATTTCTGGGCTATCCATACATCCAAGCCATCGTTTCATCAGATCCTGTAGACAGACTTCTAGTATCAAAAGATCTGCAAGATTTTGTCACCAACGACAACACCAATGACCATCTTTCTCGATTTTTACAGACTATAAACTTTTGGCTTCCAGTTATACCTGTGCAGTACATGCAGAAGAATCTGTCCCAGCCAGTCAACTTGATGAGGAATGAAGAGACTCTTCTTCTGGCATGCATAAAGCTTTTGACTCACCACCAACCTGGAGATCATCTGTCTAATCGACATTACTTAGCTGTGAAAACAAGCGTTATGGCCTTTGAAGTGAATGGTCAGTTGTCGCTTCATCTATTACAGGCCCAGCTTCTCGTACTCACCTACGAGTATGGTCATGGTATATACCCATCTGCCTATTTAACCTTGGCAGCTTGCTCGCGATATCTCACTGCTCTTGGAGTACATGGGCCCAAATTACTCCAAACTGCCTCTGACTGGATAGATGTCGAGACCCGAAGACGTTTGTGGTGGGCATTATATGTTATTGAGAGGTTTGTTACCCACCTAAGACTGTTCATGCTAATATTGAACATTTGAATGTTACAAAAAGGCTAAAAAATGGATTGCTTAAATCTCTTCAGGACCATGGCTATTGGCCGCCCATGTGAATCATTGCTATTGGCAGAACCCAATGAAAATGACCCTCTGCCTTCCGATGACACTTCATGGAGCCAACAAGTATGTTTTCCCTCTTCGATTAAAACTCGAGTCATGCTGATTTACGTGAAATAGAATCCAACCCTGGACAAAGAACTGACCTTGTTGTCACCAGTAACGTCCCGCATGGGGAGTTTTCAACTCCTAGCCCACGCATCATATCTGCTCTCCAAGGCCATTCAGTGCGCATCTGAGCACCAACAAGGTATACAGATTCTTGACGAAAGATACATGCAGCTACTTCGCACAGTGGAAGCCTTGATGACTGTACTGGAAATCGAAAGACAATCTGCAATCGTAGCTGTTGGAATGCCGCGTAATATTCTTAATAGGTTTTTTGCTTCTCCCCTTCAAAATTTGCTACAGAGCTGACCCGCAATAGTACCATTTTCTTGATCTATTCGCTATTAAAGGATAGTCAAAATCCACTAGTGGCAAATCTTGAGCATCAACGCGAACTATCAGCTGCTTTTTTTATCGAACGCACACGAGATTTCCTAGATGGGAATCTCGGGCATGTCAGTGTAGCTCCGCCTTTTCTTCTGCAGTGGGGCTTCCGAGTGATTCAGTTTTACTTTGAAAGATACAAATTGGAAGGGCACGATGAGCACCTGAAAGCTATTCAAGATCTTGGCAGATTCTTCGAGATATTTGATCAGAGGTGGAAAATTGCTGGTCTGTCGGTTTCAACCAACTTCCTTCGGAATCACTACTAACTTAATTTACACCCCAGGAGTTTACATGTTACTTTTGAAAGATATCTTATGATAGGAAGACAACTCAAGGTAATAATGACCAAGGGACTTATATGATACGCAAAACCTTACGATTGTTGCAAGCAAATCTTGGAAGTCATCCTTGTAACAAGCCGGCGGAAAATTGACCTGTCAAAGATTTGGGTGAGCACATCATGCCTGCTAGTTAGTAGATCTATTGAACTTCCAAGACTGAAAAACCGCTAGATAAGTGGGCAGACTAAGAAACGTGAATTGCTTCGACCAGGAAGAATGGGTGTTTGGTAGACATAATGAATAGCCTTCAAATGATACTAACTTAATTTTCGTACGGAATTTTATGCAAGACTAAAGCAGGTAAGTACATATGGGAATCAAATGAAACGAGTAAGTCAGATACGACTCGAACGAAAAAAACCCGACCGATAATCAAACCCATGAAACTCGCTCGCCTTTCACAGAATGAAAAAAAATACATAAGGAACAAAAAAGACAACACCTACCTCAAAGTTCGTGCATAACAAAGAAAAAAAAAATCAAACAGACATGAAACATCAACATTTAAAACATCAACAAGGCTCCATACCAGAAGACATTTTATACAGGTCGTAAAAATCCATCATGAAAGAAAGGGAAGAGTAATGAAGAACAATGAGTATTGATTCCGTTATCACTCAAATTCGACTCCGTGCTGCTGCTGCCTCTCCTGCCGCGTTCGGGCTCGCTCTGCTCGTCTGCGTCGACGATTGTTTGCGTATGATCCACTGGCTTCGGTGCCTGTCCATGTCTCAGGAGGTGAGATCACACTGCCATATGCCAACCCAGAAGGCACAGGAGCTGCCATGGGAGGAGGTGGCAGATGGCTAGCTTGAGATTCGGCAGGCATGGAGAATGCAGGGACGCTGCCTGACGGTGCCATGGAAACAGGAGCACCTGCTGCAGCTGCCGCTGCCGCTTGCCGCCGTGATTGCTCCTCTTGTTGACGCTCCAGTTCCTCGACACGACGCCAGCGATCATGGCTCCGTTCGTCACCGGACAGGGAGCTGGCGCTGCCTGCACGGCGTCGCGAGTTTCGTCGCTCTCGGCGTCTTGCTTCACGGCTAGCGGCGGCTTCTTCCTCTGTGAGGCGGCGGAGGGTCACATGGCGACCGTCGTTGTGCATTTTGACTTTCACGGAAACAGGCGGGGAATGGACGCTGTCATCGCGGCGTCGAGATCCACTTTGGCTGCGGCTGTTACGACGACGACTAGAAGCTGCGGCGGCAGCGGCTGCTCCCCCTGCAAATCCTGCTGCAAGCTCACTTCCGTCGTTAGAAGGTGGTAACTCTGACACTGAGTCACCGGAGAGTTCGTGGTGGACCGGAGGTCTGGGAGGAGGTAAATCAGAGAGAACCCGACCAGGAACAGCGCCAGATGCCATGGGTTCCGCCGAAAGGAGGGATCCGTGGGAAGGATTTCGAGGAGGTCGGGGGGTCAATTCGGTTGGTGTGAGATCACTCTCGGAATATGAGCTTGGCCGGCGTCGTGACGGGTAGGGGCCTGGCCCGGGAGGGTTGTTTTGTCGTCTTTTGCTGTTTACTCTTTGGATTCGTTCATCTTCCTCCTCTTGGCGACGAATATCCTCTAAGCGCCTCTTTTCATCATTGTCCTTGTTACGACGACCGCCGAATATCTTCTTCAATCCAGCAAAAGCGCCTGCACCAAGCAAAGCATCTCGGATACCATGAGATGGACGCCTCTCGGTTTCGGTGAGATATGTACTGTTGTAATAGTATGATGAGCCGGGGCTTTGTGGTCGACTAGGTGGTCGGCTTGGGGGGCGGGTGAGTGGAGTTTGATGAGTGGGTTCTGGTCTTCCATCTTCTAGTCGACTGAGTGATTCTTCAGAGAAGCTATCAGTGCGTGAGTGGGCAGGGCTATAAAGCCCTGACTCGGCATCGTCTTTGCGCTGTTTTCGACCGTCCCACCATTTCTTCGCAAGCATACCAGCCCCGGCAAGAGCTCCTATTTCTAGAAGTTTCTTACCCCAGCCACCACTCTCCTTTCGAGAAACGTGGTCGGAATACTTCTCATCCGAATAAGATGTCCGTGATTCCTCATAAACTTGACTTGTATGGCGGCTCTTTGGTCGACGTTTGAACATAGAAGCAAGCGCTGCAGCCATCCCACCGGCAGCAAGAGCCTCCCCCAAAGCCCCCGCCACCGCCGCCATGATGGTCATCTTCGACAACAGATGGCCCTGTGTAGTGGCTGTGACTTAATCGACTACCGCCATGTTCACTTGGGACATGATAACCTTCATCATCGTATAAGTAAGACAGGATGAAAAATGCTAACAAGTAAGCGAAGGCAGCCAGCGAGAAAAGAATGAACAGCACTTTAGGAGAGCCATATAATGTCAAGCCCAATGGAATTTGTACAATTCCTAGGATAGCGGTTGCACGGCCGAGCCATCGGTGGAGCTGCATTGAAAGTCAGTATGAGTATACCATGAAATCTTTTGAATCGCAACAAACCACTAGTTTCAATGGAACACGATGTCGCATCTTGTTTCTTTCCACCTTGTGCACAAACCAGCCCCACAGTGCTTGGAAAATGACTAACACGTAGATTGCTAGACCAATTCCGTGGTGCGGATTGGTCAAACTTCTCTCTGGGCCGACGGCAAACCAACCCAACACAAAGATAACCGTTGTCAATAACAATGTAAGAACCTGAAACCAGGCGTGAAGCTTAAATGCCCAGTACGGATTCCATCGGGAGTAGTATCGGATGATGAGGGATGCCATTGGAACGAGGCCCAAGAAAACAATCGCCGCAATAACGCCATGTGCGACAATCATCGAGTGGTATCCAGTCATGTCCTTGAATCGGTTTCCCATGCCTATCCACGTCGCTGTCAGTCAGGCTTGTAATGCACCTACTATAGGTATGTTTTGACGCACCATTGTATCGCATAGTCTCAAAATTTACTCCCATGAGATTGGGCAGCAAGAATGTGTCGTCCTGCGTATCCCACGTTCCATCTCCTACATGCAGCGTATTTGAAGAATACGTGCTACTCCCCGGATCTGTGAGCCCGGAGACTGTCATTTTGTCGATACCCGTATCTGTTCGTCGGTGGAATGTCGGGATTTATTGAAGGAGATCTATTGAGATCCCCCGTTCCGAAGAATGCACCATGCGACGGGGATCGGCAACTCGAGTGGAATGCTAGGTGACAGGTTCGCAGGTGATGTATTGCTGTAAGAACAAAGCAATTGTCTTGAAGAGGATGCTGGGTTTCAGAGGGTTCGATGTCGTGGCGGTAAGCGTGAGAGCGGTCGTTCGAAGTCGTAGTTGTCAACAGAAGGGTAAACGTGAAAGGAGAAGAGATTGCGCAAAGGTCCAAGAATAATTCAACCAAGTTCCAGCCTGGAGAGATTGGGAAAGCAGCCACGAAAATGCCAGTACTTAGGGAGAGCGACAGAGAGGAGTCGTACAGGACCAGACAACAAGTGAACTGCGCGCACCGAATCCATGTCAACTTTCTTCCTGATTAGGTTTAGTGTGCCAGCTCATAACCGGGACAACCATGGAAAGTCACGGGGTTGACCGCCCGAACTTATCGATAAGAACCAAGATAAACACACTGTCACCTGACCTTATCGCTTATCGGTGACATGATTCTCCCCCAGAATGATGCCTTGATCCCCCCAGATATCCCACCTCATTCTCTCTATCTTCCTTTGAATTTTCAGTGTGATAGGCCAAGAAAGCTTCACAAAACAACACATTAGAGTGACATGTGGATTTTGAGCTGAATTCGCTAAACGTTGAAGCACTATGGCTTCATCTCAGCTCGATATCTTTATTCGGGCTCTGTCCCGGTAGGTGCCCGTGATCGTGCCCCTAATTGGCAGAGTATTGGGATTAAAGCTGACAAGGCACAGGCTTTTGGGCTGGATATAGTAGGTGGCATCCATCAATCATGCTCCTATGAAGCTGACATACGATACAGTACGGCGTGCTGGTCAGCATCCTTTTATCCTCAGCCCATCTCCAATGTTAAGCGGGGCTCGACGGCAGGCACATCGATCGATTTCCCCTCGATCAATTGTTTAGGATTTCTATGCTACACCATCTACAATGGTGCTTTCCTGTATTCGCCCGTGATTCGCTCCCAGTATGCAGCCCGGCACCCGCTGTCGGAAGAGCCGACAGTCCGCTTCAATGACCTGGCCTTCGCAGTTCACGCGGTGATCTTGAGCGTCGTCGTCTATACGCAGTTCTGGCCAATCATCTGGGGTCTGCAGGTCTCCCGGTTTCAAAGGATCAGCAGGCCCATGGCGGGCCTGTTTTGGGGGTCCGTCTTGGCACCAGTAATTGTGATTTGGATCGTTCTGTCCAAGAGCCCCGACGGGGGCTATGACCCTTCGACTTGGGCGTGGATCGATGTGGTAAGTTTCAAATCTGCAAAGCATTCCTTTGAGGACTCTCGGGTGGCGATCTAACGCAGGAACCGTTCATTTGTCAGATCTATTCATTCTCTTACATCAAGCTCGTGATTACGGTTGTGAAGTATATACCTCAGGCGTGGATGAATTACCGGCGTCAGTCCACCTTGGGCTGGAACATCAACCAAATCTTATTAGACTTGGCAGGTGGTGTACTGTCGTTACTTCAGCTGGTCATGGACTCAAGCCTCCAGGGTGACTGGAGCGGCATCACCGGTAATCCGGTTAAGCTTTTCCTGGGGAACATTACGATCGTTTCCGATCTGATCTTCATAACCCAGCACTATGTTCTATATCCGGGGGCTGAGTCTAAGCCAGTGATTGGGACTTCGGATCCCAACTTGATCACTCCTCTGCTGGCAGGTGAAGATGAGTCAACTGAAGGCATATGATGTCGGGCATACAAACGAATTGTGATAGAACATCTTGGAGCTGGTATGGAAACCGCAGAGCGGAAATGAAAGACACCGTAGAGAAGGCTGGCTCAGACTATTTTTGTAAATCACAATGTTATATGAGACCTCCAACCTTTCTCCAAATTCGGCGTGCTCGGCAGTTGGCCCACCTTGCGTTGAGACATTGGGGGCGGAAGGCTCGAAATTCTTCCACCATCTTCCAGTCTCGGCTAGATCTGGAGGGGGCGCACGCGGCATGTCTCGTGTGAAATCGGATCGGATGGCTTAGCAATTCATTTTTCTCAATGGGGATACTGTTCAAGAATCTTCCAATGTTGACTTGAAAGAGAGGGAATCCGTGTTCAGCCCTATCCAGCTCGGCAAAATATTAAACCTTAGTGAATTACCGGCACATCAGCAACGTCTTTTTGTTCATTGATCTTACCTTTTCACATTGTCTGTATCAGCTTCGGTTTACTCCGTACCGACGACCCGATCGCGTGGCCACATACCAACGAGTCTAAGGCTTCGGAGATTCCCCAACCTTGGAAGACTGCAGGAGTCACGGAATTGACTGCAATGCAGCCACATTTTGCGGCTCATGGACACCGCTTCTCGCGTTTGGGGAGCTTGCCCCACTCCATGACAGAAAAGGAATGTGAGTGGTCGATGGGGCTACTAAGCACTAAGTTTTTGCGAACTGGCGAATCAGAGGAGTTCCAGGGGTGGTGACGGGGGGCTTGGTGGATCCTCTCCGGGTACTAACCGTCGGTGTCGGCCTCAGCTGACCCCCCATTCCCACCTTTTTCTTTTTTTTCTTTTTCTTTTTTTTCTTTTTCTTTTTCTTTTTTTTTCACCTTCCCCCCGGACCATATTCTTAACGCATCGTTCGTAATCCTTGCTTGTTTCAGGGAGGGATCTTCGGCGTAACATGATTGTCTCAATATGAGCCCTCGAACGGCTAAGCTGGTCTATACGATATACCACCTTTATTACAAGGCTTGAGTCAAAAAACTCGATACTACCTTTATGCTGCCGTTGCGTCGAGGCGCTCCCAGAAAGGAAAATGGGGTTTAGATTTGTTTGAATTATTTTATTTTATTTGAATATGATACGGGGTACATTCAAATGTTGGTTTGTTTTCAAGATTCTTATTTGTAATTCAACTTAGGCGAGAAGAGAGATTAACTAGGAAGAAATTCCTGTTCATGATGCAACGAAATAGGTATACCATTCGTAGTGTACGGAGTATAGACGTTGATCAAAAAAACAAAGAGCATACTACATCTGGGTTAGTAGAAGCTCCATAATTGCGGAAATGGTTTTAATTCTTTAACATTCAGTCCATTGTAATGTACAGAGACGAATGAGAGTGAAATCCCCAGGAATAGGAAAGTGGCTTTGCACCAAAAGTGGGCCCAGTAATGGATAAGCCGCTTGACCTCAAAGGGTTTAACGCCGCGACGCATTCCCATATTGGATTTTCTGTTGAAATGGCATTTTGGGCATTTTGGGCATTTCTCGTACCCGCAAGAAGCCTATCAACTGCATCCTAAATTCTTCTTGGCCCAGCATTTTCAGCCCCGACAATATGGCTCACTGCGTTAGTTGGCTTGCTCAGCCCTACTCACTTCAACCAATCGCTGTCTCTCCAACCCTACTCTTTTTACACCTCTTACGTCGATCACCTTGACTGCCAAACAATCGTGCATAATGTCCCCCATGCTCCGGGCCCCGGGGTCTGGGCTTGATCTGATTTGGTTCATGGTTCTGGGAGTTCCGTGGGGCTAATCTCATCGTCACTCCAATCCCTACTAGTACTCGCCCCCTCTGATTCCATTGAAGTTGTGGAAAAAAAAAAAAGTCGCGAACTGCATGCTTCATTCTGAGTCAACATTGATGCAGATCTCTCTTCGGTATTCTTTTTTTTAATTCCTAATTCTGTTTTTTTATTATATTACATGTTACGGGGAAGACCTGGTTCCAGAAAAGCACTGCCTCCAACATTCTTTTCTTATACACAGGTCAGGCCTTCCGTCGCGGAATTTATGGTTCCTGAATAAAACAGCCACGTTTATTCAACCACTTCTATTCCTTGCTGGAAAAAGAAGAGGAAGAGAAGAGAAGAAGAAGAGAAAGAAAAAAAAAAAACAATAAAACCTTATAACTCCCGCTTGGATCGGATCTCCGCCACAGGATTATCCATCTATCCACCACAGACCTTCATCTGCTCTAGTCTCCTTACTTGTCTTGGACTAAAGCTGGACAGATCCCCCACAGCAGTGCACACTTCTTGACTGTTAATTGCTATGCGGGCTACTTGTTCTCATTCAAATATATTATTGGATTTGGAAAGAGAAGTTGATTTGTTGTCATCTCTTGCGGACTGTGCCTCTATCGATCAACGTGAAATTCCCTTGCCTGACATGTCCAACAAGCATAACAACTACCATGTCGCCGATCATAACGGTCTGACAGCAGCTGGCAGTAGCCCGGGTAGTCTCCCGCCACATCTGGTAGGCCTGACGAGGATCCCTGTCAGCTCATCGTCATCACCCAGGCATTCATCTGGGCTGCAGCCTTCTTTAGGCTACGGACCTGTTCCCCCCGAGTCCACAAGATCTTTCCTAGCGCCAGAAGAATATTCCTCAGAGCAACGAGCCTCACCCGTCAGCGACGCCATGGGTTCTTTGTACACTTGGTCTAGTGCATCTGATGCAGAGATGCTACGACCTCCGGCCTCAATGGACCCTATCATTTGCTCTGCTACTTCTTCGCCCTTCATGCAGTCTTACTTCACATTCGACTCCCCTCAGACCTCTCTAGGTCAACTTCTGCCACCAACATCTGGCTATACCCCCGAGGACATAAATCAGTGGTGCATCAATAGCCATTCCACAGGCACCTTCCAACCAACAGCATCCTACCCGCATTACCATCAACCTGGAACACCAGAAATGCCCCAGACTGACTATGCATCTCTTAACGATAACATAAACACCTCCACACAATGGTTTAGTGTCCCAAACACCGACGGCTATCTCTCCCCTCACTCTGTCCCTGCGGTCCCAATCTCGGTTTCAGCCCCATCTTCCGCCCTCGATACCAACTCGCTATTGGGTACCTCTCCAACCCCAACCACTATTTCTGACCTCGACACCCCAATACCCAATCTTCAGTATAACTCTCCACCGAACAACCCAGCCGATCTAACCCGCTATGGAATCCCAGCGGGTGATGGTACTTGGCGCTGCGCCCACCCGGGCTGCACGTCTCGGACCTCCTTTCGACGTGGCTGTGATCTGCGTAAGCATTTCAACCGTCATCGGAAGCACCTATTCTGTCGACATGAGGGTTGTCCACAGTCTAGACAGGGCGGGTTTTCTAGTAAGAAAGACCGCGCACGTCATGAAGCCAGACATAATCCCGGTGTTGTCTGCGAATGGGAAGGATGTGGTCGGGTGTTTAGTCGGGTGGACAATATGAGAGATCATTTGCGGAGGATTCACCGTCGGGGTGTCAGCGATTGATCCGAGTTGAGTCCTGCAGGGCTGCCTTTTACATTCTCGATTTTTTGTTTTTCTCTGTTTACGGATCTGTATACACATAACTCATGGGCTAGCGGGGACGGTGAATTTTTTTTTTTGGCGAATTCAAAGACCTGCTTAGAGCAGATAGACTACTGTTGGAAAGGGAGCCAAAAGAAGAAGAAAAAAAAGGACAATGACAAATGGAATGGTGCTGAGGTTTGGAAGTACCATGCTTGGGAAGTATAACGGCTGGCCGGTTACGATTTCCAATTTTCTAGAATGAATCTCCAACTCAATTTGTTTTCTTGATGATTATATTCCATGATGATATTCAATGTTCCAAGATTTCTATGGTTGACAAGTTCCAACCTTGGAAGTGTCTGTAGTGTACTCATACTACTAGTAGCGTATAGATTCCATACCCTGACCAATCAATGTTCAATGTTGTCGGTGCCCGTTCCCAAGTAGATAATAGGTATAGTTGACGCAATTTGAACCATGGAAGTGATATACTCCTGAAGAGATCTAAAAAAGGTTACATGCAACGCTATTTTGCTTCAAACTAAACCCTCTAGTCCGATTCCCAATCCCGCGGAGCTATACACCAGCTCCCCTTGTGTACTCTGCGCCCGGTCAGTTTCTCCACAAGATCACTATTTTTGTTCTTGTTCTCTAGCCCCAAGTCAACATCTCGGGGTTCTAACCAAAATAGACCCTTGAATCCTACCTTACATTCCATTCAAGTCGGCTTAGTCAAGCAGAATGCGACCCAATCTGCCTTTTCAGTGATTCTAGGCAGGAAAGCGAATTCAATTGAAAAATCAACAAGGAGCATGGTATTAGACCTATTCCAAGGTTTGGAGATAGACGTGGGCTTGTCCTTGGAGTTTATGACGTTTTTATTCTTTGTACCCATTTTCCTTTTATGGTTAATCTTCTTTTTTTTTTTTTTATGGCAAACTGGTTTACATTTATAGCAAGTTCCAACTTTGGAAAGGCACTAGGTCTTATCCACCAACTTTTTTTCATAACGATTAGTCAGGACCGAATCACCTTCCCAATTTGAGCCTCTGGAATCCTGGATTTCAATTCGCTTTTCAATGATTTTGACTTTGACTTTCCTTCCGCCATATTTTAGCTTTAGTAGTTTAATCGGTTAAAACACGTTTTAGTGTAGCGGGTTCGTTGGGACCACGTTTACTACCAAACTTTCCCTAAAGTGAAACATTTCTGCATTTCTGGACTTTGCATTTAGGTTTCTCCCCGACAATCTCTTAAATCGGTAACTGCTCAAACAATGATTTCTTAGCTCTTGACTCAATTTCCAGAATGGGCGAAAAGAACAAAAAAAAAGTAAAATGAAAGAAGAAAAAGAAGATCGAAAAGAAAAAGGGATATCCCAACAACATTGTGGAAGCCTTCACAACGTCTGCCGGCTTGTGGAACCCTTGCACTCTATAATGCATGATGACTGTACTTGACAGTCTGTACAAAGTGGGGAACTTGAGAGTTCCCGATAGCTACTGGTCCACGCCGTTGGGCAATTGACCCTGATGCTTGAGGCACAAGAAGACCCGTTTCAGAATCGATGCCTGGGATTTGGGTTCGAGATTGAGCCTCTTATCGGGTTAGTCATCCTGGAAGTAGTACACCTTGAGAGTGGACCGTGAAAGAGCTGTAACATTTCACGAACCTTTCCATGTTCACGACTCACGAGACTCGAGTGCTTTATGCTTCCAGATGTCACACATTCATGGATGCATATGTGTATAATGTTACGAGGCTGCACCCTGTCGTATTCCATTTTTGGAACATTTGAATATTATCCACACCTCCTAAGACGAGTTCATAGGTTCAATGTTTACTACCAGTTGACCAGCATCAATTGGAAGAGATGAGTTCTCGACCAGGAGAGTTTAAATGTTTCCACGTGCACATGTGCATGTGGGTCATTCAAAATTAATGTACTTCACGGTTAAATTCCAAGGTTGACGATACCAATATCAATCAATAGCCGCACATGCATGTCTTCAATGTTAATGAGTTCTATTGCATGGTGTATGTGTAGCGTATCACAATATATCTCCGAGGCCGCCCCGCCAGGCAACATTTTGAACATCCAGAATAGGTTTCTTTTTCTTGAAAAAACCCCCAACCTTGAAAGTGCCTTTGTGTAAAATGTGAAATTGACACTTCAGAGTTGGGATAAGCCTTGACGTTTGGAGTAATGTTGCATCGCGGCGTTTGATTGATATCGCTTTGGCTTTCCACCGTGAGTTGTTTGCAATTTTCCGGTCCTAGGGGTCCCTGGTGTGTTCAAATGTTTCCCAAGGTGGTCATTTGTGCAATTTGGCAAGATCTAATCAAAATCTACATATTGATCAATTGGCTCATGTCCAGATGGATATGTCTTTTGATGCGAGCTGTACATGTGTACTCCGTATGTGCGGGGTGTGACGGCAACCTCGGGAGAAACAAAGGGATATTTTCCGAATTCATGTGTTACGGCAGGCGGCTTCAATGCTAAATCAATATGCTTTCTGCGTCATAAGTCAATAGTACCTACTACAGCAGGTAACTGATGTCAATACTATGTAAATCATCGACGCATATAGTTTGTAGTTAATTAATTGATGCCATTAGTGTGATATTAGTGTTTCTTATTTTGGCAGCCGCAGCGCGCCATGAACACAGTACCTACTATGTAGTTAGTAGGTTGTTGTTGGGGTTGTGGTGGCGAGGTGGTGACGATTCCCCCACTTGTACGTAAGTGGCGCCAAATGGATCGACCGCTATTACTCCGTGTACGGAGTATATCATCGGGAAAGCAGATAGCCCTACCGCTAGTTGCATGCAGCCTGATGCAGGTCAATTCAATTCAATCTGCTGTATACGCTTTTTTTTTTTGGGCAGCGCATGACATGCGGACTGTTAATTACGGTTGGGAAAGATTTAACCAACTTGTTTACTTTTCCACAATTTAGTTTCTAAAAAACAAAACAAAAAGAATTTACAACTTGGACACGAAAGGTTTGCTTCAGGTATCATATGTTCATTGAGATACGTAGCAAGGACAGGCACAGCCTATAGTACTATATACAGTCCATTGAATTGAATTTACCAACCACCCTGTGCCTCGTCAATGTGCTGGCGAGCCTGGCGCTTGGCCTTCTCACGGTCGATAAAGTCAAGACCCTTGGTCTCAGCCTCACGGTCAATGAAGGCACCGGCGAAACCGGCCATGAGCTCCTTGGCCTCGGCGTGGCTAGCGGGCTTGCCTGTTATGCCTTGTTAGTATATTTATCCCTTAGAACTGTGGCGTGGATAGCACAATTTTGTTGGGGGGAGGGGGAGACAAAAGGGCGGGTCGAGTGGAGTCGTACCGTTGGCCTGCTCGTGCTTCTCGTAGGCCTTAGCGGCCTCGTAGCTGGCAGCACCGGCGATCAGCTCGTGGGCGAAGCTGGCCTCGTGTTGCTTGGGGTCACTCTCGTTCCACTGCTGGTGGCTGGAAGCCTGCTGGGAGTCGTCTGGAGAAGCCAAGATTATTAGTCAATGCTTAGGAAGGCTTGGGACGCTTGGCAGAGCGCCTTCATGCGGGTAGAATGAATATCCGAGGACACTTACTGCTGAACCAACCCATTGTGATAGATTTATTTGGAGATTGTGAATTGAGAGAGAGATGTAGATGTTGATGGAGAGAGAATAGAAAAAAGAAGAAGAAGACACAGGGGGTGAGGAGGGGTTCATATAGGTACGAGATCAGGGGGGTGCTCCACTGAAGATGCTGATCATTGATTTCACCTTTGCCCCTCTACCCTGAGCGGGGTCACGCCACCGAGGCGGGTCATTACAGGGGAAGGATCGATGAGATGGACAATGAGTACGCAACAGTACGACTTAGATTGCTACTATATGTCCTTCTATTTCCAAGGTCCTTTCTCATGATTCCTAAACGAATGATTTGACTCTTGATTGCTGTGATCCTACGGTGGACCCTGTTCATTTTCCACATGATGACAGAGGAAGAAAGAGATAGAGGAAGAAAAAAGGGAAAAGATACAAATAGAAGACGGAGGAACAACGAGTGGACCGTTTTACAATAGCGGTGTCAAGCATCCACAATAACCAACACATAACGAATGGCCCGTGTATCATCATGCTTCTAACAGTGACATGTGGTATCATCGAATAGAGTAATAAAATAAAAATAGAACAAGCTGCTCAGAACGAATCAATAAAAAGGTATCGCAAATGAGAAAGTCATTAATTCGTCAAGGGATCGAGGTTGCGAAAGGTTGCGAGAATGGGGCTTGAAAGGTGGGCTGTCGTGATATGATATCATATATCCATCCCCCATTCTCTAGGTGGGTCAAAACACTAAGGTCACAGAAAATCGCAAATCACCAAGGAAATGTCATCATCCATTTAGCCGCCTACGACGGCCTCGTGTACTGCCAATAGGGCGCTGGGCAAGAACTCCCCGAAGAACGGGGTCGTCTTTGCTTTTATCGACGTGATGGACTCGGACATGTCTGTTAAACCGACAAGCGGCCTCACAATTAGCCGGACTGACACGAAAGACGATAGGTAGAGGGGGAAAACCCTCTCCTTTTCTTTTTAGAGAAAGCCTTTCCACGTACCGTTGAAGATTGTCTGGCCGAGGATATTTATGTTGCTGATCCGGGCAAAACGGACAGACGTAGCCAGGTGAGTTGTGCACTAGGCCATGCCGCATCATCTCATTTTTACGTTTAAACCCTTTCCCACCTATACCACGAGGACAGCCATCTACAGGACAGAAATGTGGTCGATCTGAAGAGTGCACGTTTGCATGGGAGCTATTACTTGAAAATTAGGAACTTGGGTTTTTTTCTTTGGGTTCGGTTTGATTTGATTTGATTTTTTTCTTTTCTTTTTTTCTTTTTCGAGTAGGGGGTGGGGGGTATGTTGCCAGAGGGCGAGCTTACTTGAGCAAATATTGCGTTTGGAATGGGGCGGCAGTGCACCCAGCATGTGTACATTTGTAAACACCTATACTCGTGATTGCCGTACCGTCATCCGGTGAAGGATGTGAGCTGAACGAAGTGCGTTCCTCACCCGTGGGGGGCACTGGCTCGATGGGGGTAGGATAGCTTGTGGCTGGACTGGTGGCAGTCATCGGAGATAGCTCGTAGTGGTGACTCCGAGTTACCGCTGGGGGCGGAGGCGGGCCTGGGGGCGGAGGGGGAGGAAGCTGCGGCTCGATTGACACCGCGGAGGTCGGTGTGCGCCAAAAGCATGGCTGCGAGGCGGGAGAAGCATTGTTGGATATATCTTTGGTGCTTATAGGAGAGAAATGAGAGAAGGGACTGGGCGGGATCTGCTGTGAAATACTAGGTAATTGACGCTCATGCGGGGAATCATTACGCGACGTAGTAGACGGTGAGTAGGAGTAGGAAGGGGGAGGAAAGCCATTGATTCTCGTTGAAGAGAACTCGGATTGGGATAACCCCAAGGCGGAATGGATGGAAGGGAGGCTTTGCGTGTTATCCGGGGAAGCCCCGACGCAAGAGTTGGCGGGCGAAGCCAGGGATTGAAGTGACGGAAGAGAGATACGGGATTTCAGGTCTGCTTGGTTGGAGTCGGGGGAGAGCCCCTCGGCGGTTGAGGTTCTTCGATGCGGTGCTAGATGTAGAGGCGGACCCGTCGGGGGAGCGGTGAGAGACTGGAGACGGGGACGTTGTGGGGGGAAGCACGGTTTGAGATCTTGCGACGAGACGGGCGGAGGGAGGGTACGGAGGGGTGACTTCGGAGTGTCTTCTTTAATTTCCTTGGGTAGTTTGGATTCCTTGACGGGCGAGGAGGTGATTGTCGGTGGGCGAGTGACGGATTTTGACTCGAACTTGGCAGGCAGAATGTCCTTGGGGAATCGATCCAGATCTTGAAGTCGGCCCTGTTTCGGGGACCAGTCCAGTGGGTTCTCCTCAGCATGTTTCCTCACATCGAGATGGTCTGGTCCCATGAATCCGATCAGCACACCATCGCCGTAACGGGTTTCCGGCTGGTGCGGCTTACGGGAACGATCATGCGTTCCCTTGTCGCAGTCGTTTTCGGCGAACGGCGGCGGTTCCTCCCCGACCCCATAATTGATCTTTTGGGGGACCAGTTGTGGGGAGCGATTCATGGCATCGTCCGAGACGTAGATGTCGCACGTCATAGAGGCGGGTGGGGGTGCATGGACATGAAGCGATGTGATGTGTAAGGTGTCAGGAAGCCGAGAGCAAATCCATCCGGAATCACTTTGATCTGAGCCAAAAAAAGGCGTTAGCTGAAGAACCTTCCAAACTTCCCCATTGTATATTAGTAGATATATCCCAATAAGAAAGTTTCAGAAAGTGGATATATATTGGGGGAGAATTTCATGAAATGCGAAACAGCCATTCCAATACCCGGCGCCTAAAGATGTTTCCAAGTTTTGTGTGTCAAGCAACCAAAGGGAATTCGTGTCGTCACACGGGGGGGGAATTACCACACTAGGGATTGAAGAAAAGGGGGAAGTTATAAAGCAGTTTATAGAATCAATAGCAAATGGGTCGATAAAAAAAACCAAAAACCAAAAACCAAAAAAATAAGAATCCAAAGGGAAATGAGGATTAAGTTGGGAGATTGAAAAGAGGGGAAAGCTGGGAAGCAAAGTGAGGCTGAAAAAAAAAAAGGAAACAAACTTACAGGAAAAAGAACGGGTCGGGAATGAGGCTCAACTAAAGCAGCGGCTCCGTAGGAAAAAGAAGAGGAAATGGGAAGGGAAAATCTCAGGGAAACAGACGAGTGATATGGAAATCTAAAGAGAAAAAAAAAAAAACCGAAGGACATGCGGCTCTTGCATGGAAATTCCCAGTGGGTCGAGGCTCCAAGGAAATTCCCCGCAACGAAAGCATTTCCTAGTATGAAAAGTAAGAAAGTAAAATTAGAAATAAGAAAAGATTAGGATTTCATTTATCTCCATCTTTTATCTTTACTAGTATATAGAGGGTCTTCTAGATTTCTCTTGAATTTAAAGGGGAAAGGGGAGAAAATGAGCAAGTACGTAGGCAGTAAGTAGTAGGGAAAAAAAAAGAGAGAGAAAAAGAGGGGGAATAGCAATGGGCCCAAGTTGTTACACCCTCTATCCAATTTTTTTTTTCCCTTTTTTTCCTTCCTCTTTTCCTATAAACAAGGCTCCACAGTTTCTTGCTCATATCGGAATCAATAACCGGGGAGTGATAGTCCAGCAAATCCCCTCTTTCCCCCCCCCCCCCACTTTCTTCCCCCGGTTATAGACCAACTCTTGGACCTCTCAGAACCTAGGGAGGCTGCAAAGTGCAGCTCCACCTGGCTAATTAAAACCATTTCATTTCAGTCGTGGTACGTATGTCAGATTTGGCGGCTTCTATATTTCTAAACTTGCCTTAGTTTTGTATTGTAATTTTTTTTCATCTGTATTTTTGTATTTTTGTATTTATTTATTTTCGCTGATTTCTCCTCCCCGGCTTGTGCTTCAGTCAGCAATGATGTTCGGAGTAACGGAGTATTAAAAGGCCAAAAGACCAGAAAAAATGTAATATAATAAAATAAAAATAAAAATAAAGACGAAAAACAAAAAATAAAAACAAAAACAAAATAGAAACAGAAATAGAAATAGAAATAGAAATAGAAATAAAAAAACACAAGCGAAAAAGAAATCTCTCTGCCAGCTCACGTTTCAGGTCCAATACCAATCACGCGGCCCGCGCCGAGTGACTCCTTAGCGACTTTTCCTCTTCTTCTGCTTAGAGAAAGTGGGTTCTTCACCCTATTTAGGAATGGGTTGGATTTTCTTCTTCTTCTTTTTCTTTTCTCTTTTTTTCTCTTGTATCTTCATCTTTTGGAATGTATTTTTAGTATTATTCGTTTTTTTTTTCCCTGAGCACATGTGTGCATGTACATATTACATATTACATATTTTACTGGTTTTTCTTCTTTTCGTTTTCGTTTCCCGAGTGTCTGGGTCAGCCTCACCACCTTTACGTAGAGCCGCAGGGCCAACGCAGCCTCATTGCCCCCGCTTTCAAATCTTCCCTCGCTTTCTGCCACATTTCAAATGTTTCAATTTTCAATCTTTTTCTCTGGTAATCACTTGAATTCTACCCTTTACTCTCTATTTCACAGAGAAACACAATATGTCAAATTTAAATCATAAATTGATCAAAAACAAAGTTCTGCAAAGGGCACACAGACGTGACGAGGGGTGACGAGGTGCCGCAGAATTACGGGCCAGAATCAACGTGGTTAGTGCTGACACGCCTGCACGGACTCGAACTTACCGTCATTGCAGACGAAGCCAATCCTGAAGGACTCTCGTCCCGCCTCAAATCATAGGATCGACAGAGTAAAACAAGCCAAGGGAAAAAAAAAGGAAAAAAAAAAAGAAAACAAGAGAAAAAGCAAAAATATCACACACCAGACATGTAGTACTCCGTACTCCGTGGAGTCCGTACTGGGCAGACATCTGCAGATATCTACCAGTACTAGTATGCACCGTCCAAGGTTGGAATCTAAACCTTGGAAGACCGACTACATGTTTGTTATCCATGCATTTATCATAAGCTTACACTACTCTTTTACAGAATCAACAGATTATCGAGTACGGAGTAGAAAGTATACTAGTAGTAGTATAATGGACAGTAGTATTCAACCCCCGTATATCCGAAATTCATCTCTCTCCAACCGTTATAGATCCCACCCTCCTTTCCAAGCTTCCCAACAAAGCCTTGGTTGTTGTTGTTGTTGTTGTTGTTGTTGTTGTTGTTTTCCCCCTTTTATCTATTTTTTTTTTCACAATTTGCCTTTCTCTTGTGAAAGTTCTTGCACCCGCTTTACCCGCTCCCACGCTCCCAACGCAAAAGGTTTAGCTCGTTTAGCATACTCTCCCGCCCGGGCACTACTGGCCTGACGCCCTGCAAACCGGGCCGCAATGCCCTGCATGATGACGGAGCCTCGGAACGCGAAGAAGGCATCTCCCCAAAGAATATCCTCTGCCGGATTATACCCGGCCACCTCACTATACCAGCGCATGCAGTCCTCGCGCGTCGGTAGTCCTGCCACCCGCCCATTCTGGAACGCCTCCAGCTGCGAATCCGCTCCTTCCATGATCCAGGGACTGCTCAAGTTGCAAAAATCTGACAGTGGGTGCCCAACCGTCGCCATCTCCCAGTCCAGAATTCCAATTACTCGGGGCTCCGTCCGGTGGAAGATCATGTTATCTATCTTGTAGTCTCCATGCACCAGAGTTCCACGGTCACGCGGCTGCGTCGACTTGCCCGCGAAGAACCGGACCATCTCGTCAAAGTAAGGGAGTTCACCCACGGGCTCCTTGGTATCCGCGTCCACTACCGCAGCTTGTGCTTTGGAGATGGTGTTGAACGTGGCAATCTGACGGTCGAAGAAGTTCGTTGGCTTGCCGAATCCTTCTAGCCCGACAGAGGAGGGCACTACCGAGTGGAACTTGGCGAGTGTCTGCACCGCATTCTTCCATCTAAACAAAAGATAAAACAAGACGATGTAAGTCTTCACTTCATTCATACTTTCCCAAGCAAATAGGGAAGGGGGGGGGGGGGTTCAAGTGACAACACGTACAATGCGTTCCTCTCCTCCGCACTGACTCCAGGCATCGACGGGTCGGTAAAGTGCCGTCCATCCAGAAATTCCATGATGTAGAACGGTGTCCCAATCACATTGTTATCCTCACACAAGCAAAAGACCTCTGGCACGGGTACATCTGTCCCACCCAACGCCTTAATGATCTGGTACTCTCGCTCCACGCGGTGCGCTGTCTTTGAGAGCAGTTTGCCTGGAGGCTTCTTCCGTAGCACAACCTTCCTACCATCGGCGGTGGTAAGCTGATAGGTGGGGTTGGATTGACCGAAACCGAACTACCGTTGTCTTAGTACTCCCGGTTTTTTCCTTCTTCTTCATCTCTTTTGAGAATGTCTCAAGTTGAGCATCGATGACCAAACTCACCTGTTTGATATCCAGTGGTGTCTTGAGAACTGGTACGTTCTGGTCAATATACCGCTCCAACGAGGGCAGGTCTATGGGCTGTCGCACAGCTCCCGCCATGATTGTAGATAAAAATGTTCTTTTTTAGGCTCGAAAGGGGATAGAGAAATCAATAATGCAAGAAAGTGCTTCTCATTCGCGACCAAACTCGAATTCAAGGGATATATACAAGTGGCAAGTCCAAGGTGTTCAGTTGCACTGCCGTGTACCTCGGCAGTAACCAACTTCCTTAGACCCTCGGCGTTCCCCAGGGAGCGGGGAGAGCTATTCCACACCGCCTACCTGATCCGGGATTTCCCTGGCACTTCCACAATGGTCTCTAACGCCCGTAGTAACTTGCACGCGTTAAGTTGAAAACGCGTCAAAGCGGTGAAAGTGGAAAGCGCAAGGGACAGAAGATCCCCACACCGACACCGCAATTTCTAGAAAAAAAAACCAATTCGCCATTGGACTCATACCTCTACTCCATTTTTCCCACTTCTCTTACTCCTCATTCAAATTGTTATTCACTCCCCCCATTGATCTTATTTGCATGCCATGACCAAAGACACCACCCCGCCACCTACCGAGACCACCACTACCATCCGCCAACCCCCCTCTCTCCCCAACTCTCCGCTCCCCAAGCGCACCAAGATCGACACCATGACTACCTCCGATGCCCCCGCCGTGACTTCTATCAAGCAGTCTCTTCCCCCCCTGCTGGTGAAGAAGCTTGTTGCCTCCGCTCGCGCGCCGACGCGGGGCTCTGCCTTCGCTGCGGGTTACGACATGTACAGTGCAAAGGAGACTGTTATTCCGGCCAAGGGCAAGGCGATGGTTGATACTGGTATTGCTATTGCAGTCCCTGAGGGAACCTGTACGTGAATTGATTGGATCCATTGATCTTGCGGCGGATTTCAAGACTAATTCGGATTTTGTTTTTCTCTCCCGGGATAGATGGCCGTGTTGCTCCCCGTAGCGGTCTTGCCTCTAAGCACTTCATTGACACCGGTGCTGGTGTTATCGATGCCGACTACCGTGGCGAGGTGAAGGTATTGCTGTTCAACCACTCCGATGTTGACTTTCCCGGTATGTGCTGTCTCGATTCTTTCCCTTTCTTTCCCTTTCTTGCAAATTCAATTGCTGATTCATGGTTCCGGAAACTAGTCAAGGAGGGCGATCGTGTTGCTCAGCTGGTTCTTGAGAGGGTGAGTTAAGCTTGATTCGATATAATTCCAGATCCTCGAGTGTTGTGTTCTAACTTTGCTTCGTTCCTCAGATCTACACTCCTGAAGTGACCGTCGTCGAGGAGCTCGAGGAGAGCGTCCGTGGTGCCGGTGGATTTGGAAGCACTGGCATTTAAATTCAGACCTCGCATTTAAAGAAGAAATAACGGGTTGGAAAGGCATGAAGTGCACACTTAGTGGGAAAGCTTTCCTGGAAGATTTAATGATTTATATGTCGACAAACGACCCAATCAAAGATAAAAGAATTTATCACCTGTCAAATTTGCATGCCTTGGTCTAATGCGATATGCGATCTACTATGTATATACAGATTCCGATAGTCCCACCACGAGACTGATGCCAAGTCAAATGTTCGAGTGGTTTTGTCTTATTGGAAAGGAGTGGGCATATCCTCCTTGCGCCACTCCTGCACACCAAACTGAACCAGTGGATCCCGCAGGAAACGTGCGTTTCGCACCAAACGAACCTCTGCTGCCTTGGTGCGGCGCAGGTGATCTTGCTTCTGCTGCTCTTCAGGTGTCAATCCCCCGTTCTGAGTGAAAGCAACCGCAAGTTCTGCATCCCGGGCTTCCATCGTCCGCTCCAGAACACTGTGCATACTGGAGAGGACCTTGAGAGTAGCTTGTGCTAGTGGGAGATTACTAGGTATCACGTCATCTGGCGAAACCCAAGAAGCGGTGTGTCGTAGGTCTGGGCTGGCGGCGTCGACGGCTTCCCGGAGTCGGGCGACGGTCAATGCAGCGAACATGTCGCCTGTGCCACTGAAGAAGCAGTCTAGTGCGGGGACATCAATGCGGAAGAGACGTGGAGATCCATCAGATCGGGTCGTGGAGCCGATCACGGTTAGATAGTTATCTGGTGGGTTCGGAGTGGAGCCTGACTGGGACAACTTGAATAGTTGTACTGAAGTGATTATGACGTGAGGAACGGAATAAATGCGGTGAATGGCGGTGATGGCTTCGGCTAATGTCGCTAGAGAGGTGATTTTGACACCAGAGAGGACCCTAAGAGAAGTTAGATGAATGTTTGCTGTGGCGTATATAGCATAGCGCTAATGCTGGGTGAACTGACTCGGCTTCGAATTGATTAGGTAGAATCAAATCTGCATGATGAATGGTGCTTTTGTAGGCCGGTACAACATCGTCATTGACATAGAGTCGACCTTGGTCTCCCATTACCGGGTCCAATACTAGATTAATCATTAGATTTGCATTCAGAGATCCTTCAATAACCCCGCTCCCTCTCGCCCTTTAAGGATTCACAAACACTCACCCCAGAAAAAAGACCCAGGCTTATGCTGAGCCTTTTTCTTGAGATCGATTCCAATTGCGCCGACGGCTTCCACGGCAGCTGCACTTGGGGCATATCCAGACAGCATCACGTCAAAGTCAGTGAGATTACTCTGACAGAGACCCTGGTATAAATCTGTAATTTCCTGTGCGGTGGCGCGAGTGCCCTTGAATTGCCGATATCCAAGGTGGTTGCCTATCAAAAGCCAATTAGCTCTGAATATGGGGCATTTCATGCGGCGATACTCGGATGAGTCAACCCCATTGACAATGGAAGGAGACGAACGCACTGAAATGCACAGTATTCAAGGCAGCCACGTCACAGCCCATTGACTGCATGACAAACTCGGCCATTGTATTGCCCACATTGCTAGGGAGATCAGTTTGATGTCGCATGACTCTTATCATCCGAGTGGGATGTCGACGTACCCGTAGACCACCTGATCTGCGTTAGTTTCGGACCGATCAACTTGGGAAATTCAACTTACATGGCTGGCGACTGCCAGTACCCGGGTTTCAGGTACGAGCGATTCAGACATTGTGAGATCGAGGAGAGTGAAGGTGGTTGTAAATTGTGGGGGTTTTGAGACGGGGAAGTCACTGACATTCCTATTACCTAATTCTCATTGGCTTTCCGGTGTATGGAAGTCCCGATAAGAGAATTCAATTGCAAGAAAACAATGTACGCAGTAGGGCTGTGGAATAGATTCAATAGAACAGATCGTAATGAGATCTTTTACATTTGAATACCCCACATGTCTCTCTTTTGATTCGGAGTTAGTAACTTGTGTTTGGGCTCCTTGCATGGTGCGCAATGCCTTTAATTCCAGCATCATTATGTACTTGAATAACACCCCGGTCGCCATGAGTGGATTCAATTTGACAATTGATTGATTGATGTAGGTACATATTTGATTGGAATTGAACTCAGGCCAGGAGCATCAACATTTAAATTAGACAACTTGCATCATTTGTACCTCTCTAGCATGCAGCTACATTAAGTTAGGTAGTAGTAGTCGATATGCTGGTGGGGCTTTCTTAGTCTAGATTCTACAGTATGGAGAACAGCTGCCAGCTTGTTGATTTTTCAACCGTCAAAGAAAGGGAAATTGAGTAGTGGATTTTCATCACGGAGCTAAATTTTAGTAGCTTCCAAGGGTTTATAGTACATTCTATTGTTCAATTGATTCTTTATCAAAAATTAAGTGAAACAATCAAGCGGATTTGGATTCTGATAATCTGATCACGGGAAAGTCAGGTGAACATCGATTCAGAGGAGAAAAACCCCGTTAGTGATCAACTCCTATCAACTCCTATCAACTCCCTAGTTCCCTAACTTTTGGGGTCGAATCTTCTTGCTTTGAACTCTTCTCTCCAGCTAATCCCTTCTGGGCATTTGGTCCTTAGCAATTGGTCCATGCACCCATGCAAGTGCCCCTGAACCACACTAATCACACTCTTACCGGGATACGGGATCCACAGAACGATCTAGTCCTACGGACAGTGTCTTTTCTTGGTCTTGGCTTGGCTTCTCATATGACTTTTCTACTTTTCTAAGATTAAAGAAAACAACCGAAAACAGGATCAGTGCGGTGCTCCGTGCTTTGCCGGATTCCCGCTTATACATTTGCCTTTCCTCGTGGGCACCTTGACTTGGTCGAAATGACTTGATCCTCTTGTTCGTGCTATTGGGGGCGGACCATTGTGAATGGCCATGTCGAATTGTTAACAGCGTTTAATCGCGTCTCTCTCTCTCTCTCTCTCGTTTCTTTTGCCCGTTCAGTGGCTTGTCACTCGTTTTCCCCCCTTTCTAGCTTCCTCGTGGAGGCAATTCTTGGTCTCGCGCGCTGCAGCCGGAGTATAGACCGTTCACTCTCTATGGATTCCATTGGACCTCGCCGGTCGCAACCCGGTCAAAAGAAAAGCCTTGCTTGCCTATTAATTCTAATTCTTATTTTCTGTTTATCGACATCAACGTTGGCTCACCCTACTGCAGTCACGGCAGATCTACAACCGAGCATCCCGCGATCGACCTCTAACCCCGGTGGAGAAACGATCGTGGATCGTCAGGATTTGCCCCCCGGAGGTCGAGGAGACACAATTTTGGACACATTGAACCAGGATTCCGTGGCGGAGTCTCTGAAGCACGATGCGACGCACGGTCTACAACGGCGAATTCTAAATGCCAGCACGGAGACTTCAGCAGCGATGCCCGAGCCCTTTGACACGAGCTCGAACAACTTTGCCAACGCTAGCTGCGTCAGCTTCTTCGATAGCTTCCTCGCCAATTCTACGGTGACCAAATGCCACGCCGTTTCACTCCTTTTCGAGAACTCGAATGGCTTCTTCCATGATTTGAGCTCAGCAACAACCACCGCGCGCGTGCTGGATACTGCCTGCTCCGAGCCAGTCATTGAATGTCAGTCGATCATGAATTCGTTAGCGACCAAGATGCTGGACGGGAGCAATTGTGGGCCCGACTATGAGGCAGGCAACTCAGTGGTCACGGACACCTATCAACAACTGATGGCCTACGAGCCTGTATACCGAGCTACTTGCCTCATCAACACCCTTACTGACGACTATTGTTTCGTCGATGCAGTCACAAATACTACAGCTGCGAATGATTATAATGTATATTTCATTCCGATTGGGAACACGCTTACCAAGGGAACACTCACCTGCAACGAGTGCCTTAAAGCGACCATGGACATATATGCTGAGTGGGCCAAGGTGGATGGTCAATCACTCGACTCAACTTATCTCCCCTCGGCGAAGATTGTCAATGAATACTGTGGCTCTGGTTTTGCGGACACCAATATCACAATCGGTTCCGACAGTGTCACGGCCGGTGCCGGACTCACAGTTCCATTACCCAACTCCCGACTTCCATTGTTTATAATCAGCGTCACAATCGGAGCTCTATCCTGGGGGATGTATTAGTTCAGACAGAATACGTCAAGTCTGCTATCTGCTCCCTTGGGAGTTCTCTGGTTTTTATACATGTACATCCAAGGATCTCTCCTTCACCCACCTCTCTTTTTTTTTTTTTTGGAGTTACGGTCACGTTTGATGACAGCGAATTTCCATTATATATATACATATTTTATAGTATCTTGTTTATTTTTAATCAGACTACATATCAATAACACAAATGAGAATTGACGGTCCACCTTCAGGGTTGAGGCAACCTTGGACAACGGGATCTACAAGATCTGCAGGCTCTATAAATAGCGGTCGCTGTTCCCTTCCCAAAGCACACCCGATTTCCCCTGATACATAAGTTCAATGTTCACATGTGCAAAGTCAGACACATGTACCACATTTGAGCCCGTGGACATTCCCAAGGTTGAATCCAGTTGGGAATACCTGTACTAATCTCTCCAGGAGATTGAATCTCGAAGCAAATGTTTGAACTGCGATATCCGCGTCCCTTATCCTTACATCATTCGTTCATGCCCGGACTTTCGGCCCCCAACCCGTGCGCGCGGGCCAGTCCTCGAGCCATCCAAGCCTCGATTACCGAAAAAAAAGGCAAATTAACGTGAATCCCTAAAAAAATTTATTTGTACCGAACAAATAACTATACATACAACTCGTACCACGACCCTGGCAACCATCAGCCTTACCCCCTTACCTGCATCGGACTTTCATGATGGTCTCGCTTCAGGCGCCCCACGATACAACAGCCAACATTGAAGTGGCTGATATCTACCCATTGGCTGATTCACTTTACCAATCCACTCGCGAGTCACCCTCACTCGTGAACCAGGCTACCAACGAACTGGATTTATTGCTTACTGTGCTGGACTTTACAAGGTCATACGCGGCCCTGTGTACGAAGACGCTACCGGTTCAATTTCCGGAGATTTTGAGGCGTTGTCGTGGAGTTTTGGTGGATTTAAGGACCTTTTCGCTGTACCCCAGTAGAGTCGGGTCACATCATCAGATTATGGAGATTCGATCGCGACTTGGATCCATTACTTTTGAGCTGAGCATGATGAATGCTAATATGGCTATGTAAGTCCTTGAAGTTTGTTTCTACTGTCATTTTCAAATTTTCAAATTTTGTTTTTCATTCTGATATTTACCATAGAGCTTCGCAAAAGAATGTTAGTATGGCCACACGGAGACTTATTGACGACATCCAAACTGGCAAACGAGACCCTTTAATTGTTTCTAATGTACTTGATGTCGGCCAATGCAGCTCTGAAATCTCAAAAAACGAGGCATGGCAAAGATTACAGACCGAATTAATCGAAATCGGTATTGGTCCGGAAATATCAAATCAAGATCACGAATTCATCATTAGTACCCTTGACAGGGCCGTCAAAGATGAAGATTTGCTACGAAGCATGCGGCCAGAACCACACATTGAGGTCAATAATGCATCACATCCACCAGTAAACCATTCTCATTCACCACTCAACGATCCCCCTTCAAAACAAAACATGATCGAGACCGACACAGACAAGATAGCTCTGCCACGAAATTCTTCAGACTTGCCTATTCTCACCGCAACAGAAATACAAGGAGATTCCGACAAAGAAGTACTACCCCGAGAAAACTTCCCGGAACCGGTACTTTCAGCCAGATGGAGTCCAGGCGATGATGCAGACAAAGAAGTCTTTCAAGAGAACTTTCCTATCGCCATTGAGACTGAGCTGGGGAGCTCTACAACTTTCTCGGGAACTCAATCAGATGCTAGCTCGTCGAGAGGAGAAAGCTCCTCATATACAGCGATCGTGCGGGGCAAAAAGCCTAATATAATGCGGAAAATGAAATTCAAGCTCATGAACAGTAGCGACCGATTTTTTGAACTTGTTCGACAGGGTGATCTCAACACCGTCCAAAGAACACTGGATAAAGGGGCTCATGTGAACACGATGGATTTGCACGGTCAAACGGCGTTGATGTATGCTATTCAGTTTTCCCATATGCACCTGGTTGATCTATTACTGGCGTATGATGCAAATGCCGTGCACATGTCAGCGAAAGGGGATACTGCACTGAGTATTGCGGCTGCGAGAGGCTCCGAGAAACTCGTTCGGATGTTACTGGAGCGAGGCACTTTGGTGGATGGTTCGAAGAACATCGGGAAGACGGCGCTCTCCCAGGCCGCAGAGTGTGGTCATGAAAATGTCGTTCGGATGCTGTTTAATGCGGGTGCGGATATCAACGGACTTTCGCATACTGGTGATACTGCACTTTCAAAGGCCGCGATGAATGGGCATCTGGATATTGTTCGGTTCCTTTTGGATAATGGGGCTATACCAGATCATTGTGGGTATCCTCGAAAGACGCCCCTTTACAAGGCTGTACATAATGGCGAACTGGAAGTAGTAAAGGTGCTGCTCCAACGAGGGGCGGATCAAAGTTGTCCGGATTCCAATCGAGGTTGGACGCCATTGACACTGGCTGCCATGTATAATAGGACGGAGATGCTTGCTATGATGAACGGTCGTGGTGCAGGCTTCACACCCTACCAACATCAAAATCGGTAGTTTGTGCATGGAGAATAAGCAATAATTCCAAGTGTTTCCAAGGTTGCTAAGTTAATCAAGTTATGGCGTGAGGCTTAGGAAACGTTCCAAGGTTGTTTCACTTTTGATTCGGTTATATCTGATCATTGAAACAAACGTACCCAGAAGCCTTGAAAAGAATCCGGGTCATACATGCATGATAGGTAGTATATTCGGTTCATAGAGTTGAAGATGCGAGATCGTACATAGTAGATAGGTACATAAAAATCCGGTGTGAGATCTATGGGAATTTGTCAAGAAAGTTGATAGATTGTGAAGGATCGAGATAGATGGGTTTCAACTAAACGCCAGTAATGTATGTCCAGAACAACAATAAGCGACAAAGCGCCAATAAGAAAATATGAACAGGCAATAGGTATGCAATGAAGATCATGCACGTTCGGAAGGCAAAGACATGGCTCTTGTCGTCGTCAGGAAAGGGAAGGAAGATATGTGCGCAAGACAGAATAACGAAGAATCGCTCAAGTGACGTGAATCGAATCTCAATGTGTTCAGCTCTGGCGTTTGAAGCTATCACCAAGAGCAACACCAACGAGACTCTGTGGTTCACCGCCAAAGCTAGTACCGGTGTGTAGCGTGGGAGAGGTAGCACCGGAGCCAGCACCGGAGACAGGACCCGAAACAGGACTTTGAGCGGCATCACGGTCTCGTTTAACCCGGAAGTAACCCAGCTTCGCGAATCGACTTAGATGAGACCAGAAATGTCGCCCAGCTGGATGTGCGCCGATTCGTTCGAGTAAGTCGCATGTCGCTTCGCGGACGACCTGGTCCGGATGGAAAAGACCCATACTGAGGTAGAACAGGCCAGCCTGGTTCTCCGGGGCAACTGCCAGCAATTGACAGATGCCAGCATAGTCTTTTACTGCATGGGAGAGAGCGAGGTAGATGGCACCCGCATCCGCATGGGATAACTTCAAAGACCGCAATCGGTCGTGGTGGTGATTCAGGTCAGGTCGCTGAATAGGGCGCGCAGGCCAATACTTGGCTGCAATATCCTGAATGTAAGAATAATATGATCGGGTGTTACGCCAGCCCTCGATTCTGGAAACAGATGCCGACAGCTCACGTTGCTTAGCAACTTCGTCTGACCATACGTATCCGTGGCCCCGAAGGGATGATGGGTCCGAAGCATCTGTTTGCTGGCCCGTGGGACTGTCAGGGGATAGTTCCTCGCCAGGGCCAATGATATAAAGATTGGAGGCCCCGTAGACAGCCTCCTCAAAGGCTGCAGCGACACGGACAAACTTCATAATGTAGGCCCGCCATTTCGCCCGGATCGCATTCTCACCGTGACGTTGGCTAATGCTACGGAGAATGTCCTCCACGAACAGATTATCCCCCGTGGGATCTTGGTTGGAATTGGAAGCCTGGCTGGGTAAGAGAGAATTCTGTTGTTGGAAGAACAGAAGCCCCTCTGTTACCGGGGCAGGCTCAACATGACTGGAGATCTTCATTCGACCGGTTGGTAAATCACACAGCACATCCCACCATTCTGGATGATTTGCAAAAGTCGGATTTGTCACCCCAGCAATGAAACCAGGAACTTTGAGAAGATCATCGATCTTAGTGAGATCAGTGTAAGGGAAGGCGTGGCGCGTGAATCCACGCAGAACACCGCCAGATGCAAGAGCACAGGCTGCTAGGACTGCCTCAGCTACCTCTCCTGACGGACGATTATGTCCCAGGAATACCACCCGTTTCTGGGTAAGAATGGCGTTGACGAGGACAATGACCGGATGAGTGAGCGGGCCACTCGTAGTCAAATGGGGATGGCTCGGGAAAGGTTGAGGAGAAGTGGCATGGGGTCCAGCGAAGGTCTGAATGAGTTTGACGAGAGAAAAGTCTCCAACGGTCTCGGGCCAAATTACTGTGGGGATCTTGACAGGAATGGGGATGTCGTTATAGACCACTTTCGACTCGAATTCGTGGGTGTCCCGTGGAAGAACGTATCGACTCATTTTCTTTGGCGATGGAGGGACATCTCCGTTCTCTACCGCCTCCTCTTCTTCCCGCTGGCGCACCATTTGTTCGAACTTTTCAATGAACATCTCCTTTGTGTTGCTGGACTGTAAGATGTGGCGTTCCAATAAGGACATTTTGGGCATTAGCGAGAGGTCCATAGAGTTCACAGCATCATAGAGGGAAGCAAGGGTCTCGGGAAATGGCGATTTGAAATAGTCTTCGAGTGCGAGGAGTAGAAGTGGCTTGGAAGGTCAGTTTGGGCCCTTCAAGGTTTGACTGAGGGGGGTGGGGGTACCTTGTAGATGTGAAGGAACGAATGCCTTGTACAGATTGCCATGGCCTTGACGACTGCACCTCTGTTTTGCCGTTAGTGACTGTATGCTCACATACGGGCCGACGAACCTACCTCCGAACTGTATTATCTTGCTTGGTATTCACCAAGTTCAGGACATACATCAAAGGTGGACCTTCTCCGCCCTCTTCGTCATCACTGCTCTCCCCTTCCGAGGTGTCATCAGGCTGTTCATCTTGAAGGTGGGCGGCTTCCTCGTTGGCGTGGTACTTGGACTTGCGTTTCTTCTTTTTCTTGCCGTCTTCCGTCTCTTCCTCTTCTTCACCGCTAGTGTCCTTATGCAAGAAGAAAATGGTCCAATCCTGGCTTCGCACGTGCGTTTGATCGGGCAGCATCAGCTCTGCCAACATGCTCTCGTCACCACTGATTGCGGCGGGATACTGATGCTCCATAATCGGACCCCGATCAATGTGGAAAGACGCCACCAGGATATACTCCACATGGCGCTCCGACGAGTCTAGCGGGTATTGTGACTTGCATCGGCGCTGCCTGTAACCAGGTGCATTTTCGGTTGATGTGCGTCGAAATGACATCTGGGAGCCGCTCGGTGATCGGCCGATGAAGGAAGGTGAAGGGGAGAGTCGAGGGAGGCCATTGGTTTTGGGATTGGAGGTGGAGAGGGAGTCATTTGACGGTCGATATGGCAGCGTTGTGGCCATCTTCGGAGGGGTAAATAATTGAGACGGGAGCTCCGGGCTAGGCAATGAGATTGAATAGCATGCCTGATCTTAGCAAGTCTGAAACTGCAACAAGAACGACAAAAGCGAATTGTGAGGGAAAGGGAAAAAAAGTGACAGATCAAGGAGTCGAAAAAGTGTGTCCTGCAGGCCAATCACTGCAGGCCCGAGCGACGGTTCAGGGGTCGATGCTCAGAAAATGGAGGATCTCCACAGCGGGGAGGCGATAGGCGATAACAGCTGCAATACTTTAGTATACATGCTGAACATTGGATATATATAAGATCCTTTTTTTTTTTTTTTTTTTTTTTGAGGATATAAAAAGGAGATTTACAAGAAACATATTCTACCTTACCTGATCAAATTGATATATTTGAATTTTCTTTAAACCGAGAGCTTCACATAGGACTTGTGTTCATGGTATTTAACTTATTTATCGGTTTGTTATCTACTGCACTCCGCACGTGCCACAATCGGGCCGACTGTGTTGCCGGGGCATTGTTTACTTGCACTTTCGTCACTTTGATCTCCGCATTCAACAGCTCTTTGATCAAAAATGGTATGATCAGAAGTGAAATCGGGGAATTCCATATCTTGCTGACTAGCATAATACAGGCAAATAATCCAACATTCAAACCTTCACCTCTGTCCTTTGGTGGACAGAGGGCGTCGCCCTTCCGGCGACCCTCCACGCCCAATTCCCCACCGTCAGCCCCAGGTCGTCCAGCAACACCAGGGAGCTCTCCGAGTAGGGGGTACACCCCGATGGTGTCGCCAAGCAAATTAAACCAGACATATACGGTGGAAGATAGGGAATCAGTCTCTCCACGGGCGGAACCTATCCCGCAACCAAAATTCACTCGTGAACTTCCTCCCTCTCCCACCAAAAGAGCGCGATCACCTGGCCATGCGTCGCCAATAATAGGTAGAGCTAGTGGGGCAGTTGCTACAACAGCCGACTCTTCCTCAAAGATACCACCAGCTCAACTGAGAGAGATCCGCGAGGCATTTCAAGTTCTCGATAGAGATAACGATGGGCTCGTCAACAAAGATGACGTCGCTGATGTTTTGACAAACTTGGGTAATTCTTTTTCTTTTTCTATAGGAATTTGTCTGAGAAAAAATTCACGAGTGCAATCAATATAGAATAAGTCACTGACTCCAAATCCTTTTTCTAGGGCAAGATGCCAACCCTTCAACCCTTTCACGATTCTTCCCACCTGGAGCTGAACAAAAGATCAACTTTGCGACCTTTTTGAATACCTTATCACAATTGATGGCCCCGATGTCATCATCCCAGGACCTTCTCAACGCCCTGGCGGCATTCGATGACGAGGACAACGGTCAGATTGACGTGGCAGAATTACGTGACGCTTTATTACACACGGCTCCGGAAGATGGAGGAGCTCCATTGACAGAGCGAGAAATCGATGAGGTTTTAAATGGGTTTACTGGACGGCGCGCGTTTGGAGGTCGAAGTGCCAAAACAGGTGGAATAGGTAAGAGAGGAGAGGTCTTCCAATACCATGACTTTGTTCGCAGCATAGTTGGAGGAGAGAATGGCAACAATGGCAAGCGAGAGGCCGGTACCGCTCCAGCTTGACATGCATGATATCCTTAACATTCGACTGTGGACTGGGCGTTGGCGGTGTTTTGACTTTGTTTCTATACTTGTATTTGCGCAGGCACTTTAACCAAAACCAACAAATTTACTACCTATATTTTAAACCAATCAAAGAAGTACTAGAGTGCGCCAATTAAAAAAATGAGACTTTTAAATGTTTCAGATCTAAGCAAATGCGTAGCTGATTGGTGTATTTGACGCGTGTGCTCCAGATTGATCCTCCCAACGGCAGAAAATCATCTCCAGCCACCGCGGCAACGGCAACGTGATTAGTACCATCCTAGCCTGCTACACAACCACCACTCGGGGCGTGTACTGCCCATCAAATGCAGTCATCACCATAACATGGCTCAAAGTCACGCTTCTTGGGCCTTTGAAGGCCCAGCCGATGTTCCACCATCGCCACAGACAATGCGCTCGCTACGAAAGATCAGATCGCATCAAGTTTTGACAACTTCGAGTGCCCTGATTGCACAGACTCAGTCAGCTCAATCTTCGGGAGCTCATGGCACCGATAATGAAACGGCTACAATTCTCGGCGCTACAAGCATGCGAACGCCCACCCACCGTCGAGCGCGATCAAATAGTGACGCTGCTGCTCGCATGGCAGCTCTCACCGCAACAGCCCCCGCACGACGTCCACCGCGCAAGACTGGGTCAGGGATAGGAATTAAGAGGTCGCCCCTAGAAACATTTTTACGTGATGGTCCACAGAATGGGCAAGGCCGGGAAGGGCTACAAGAATTGAGATTGTTGATTCTATCGTGTAGAGTGGACGCAGACGGAGACGGCATGGTAAGATCATTATCCATTTGCTCCAATGCTGGTCTAACAATTTTTCGCAGTCAGCCTACAGAATCTACCTTTGGCTGGTCCTTTTCAAAATCCCCCCTGTTCCTACCGACGAATATCTTGCCTTCATTCACCGAGGCCGTTCCCCAGCCTACGCCAAAATTCGCAATGACACATTTCGCACTCTCGCCACCGATCCTCTGTTCAAACGCCGTGTCACCGAGGCAAGCTTGATCCGCTTATTGAACGCTGTGGCCTGGAAATTGCACGACTCGAGACCCAAACGAAAATCCCGGCCTTCTTCCAGACGACGCGATTTGGAACTCCTAATCAATACACCACCTAGTATTGAGGAGGAACCCGAACAACCAAATTCTTTGAACAGCCCTCCTATCGGTGAAGCTGCCATATACGTGCAGGGAATGAATGTACTTTGTGCGCCCTTTCTTTATGCTGCCCGTAGCGAGGTTGAAGCGTTTGCTCTGTTCCACTTCTTTGTCACGAAGGAATGCCCTGGTTACATCCGAGGCGCAATGGATGGAGTACACAGGGGCCTTCGATTAGTCGATAAGTGCCTGGAGATTGTAGAGCCAAAACTCGCTGCTCACCTGTTCTCCAAGGGAATGTATGCAGAGCTATATGCTTTCCCATCCGTCCTCACACTCTGCGCTTGTACACCACCTCTCCCCGAGGTTCTTCACCTCTGGGATTTCCTCTTCGCCTATGGTTCCCACTTGAATATTGTTTGTATTGTGGCTCAATTAGTCCGCATGCGAGATGCACTTCTTGCAAGTGATAAGTAAGTACTGCTTGTTCTGTTGGAAATCAATAATGCATGGCTAACAGGTGAACTAGTCCAAACAAATTTCTTCGAAGCCTTCCTCCCCTTAATGCCAAGGAGATCATCGCTCTGACGGTACTCCTCGTGCAGCGAATTCCCTCAGGTGTCTATGCCGAAATGGTCACCCATGCGAAATGATTCCTCGACTGTCTCCTCCTGCACTGCATTTTGTACTGCATTGTAATTTTGTTGTGCTTTATGATTCTCGGATATGGCGTTAATGCGTTTATTACTATTGATGTAGCGGGTTAGGCATGAGATACGATAAATGTATCACCACGACTTTAAGGACATGTTTACTTCAATGAAATAATGATTCTATATGATGGAATGCTCTGTAGATGCAAGGCCTAGAGCTGCCAGTGGGTATGCTACAAAATTATTTTCCAAAGTTGGTACAAGTTCATGATTGAAAGTTTCTTCTTCATCCTCATCTACGACCGCTGTTTTACTCCGCTTGGCCATTGGTCTTTGATACAGCAACTTACAGCCTGACTGGACTGCTCCAGAAATTAATACGTTCCGACTTCTTACAGTCGTTCCCCATAAACATCCTATCAGGCCCCAAATGGGCAAACTCGTCACACAGAGAGAAGTCTCACTGGATAAGAGATCCAAAATACCAGCAGTTGAACTACTGGCCCCTCTCACGGCACGACTTTGGGGTCTCTGGCTCCAGTCATCGTCAGCGACAGACCCAAGCCAACCGAGATCAAGCTATTCACAGCCCTGATCACCCTTTGCTAATGCTACCCTAACTTTGTACCCGTTATTGACGAGGCCGAGGAGCTGAATGGAGTGGAATATCAGGTGAGCTACAGATATCGAACTACGGATATTTTCCCAAGGCTAGGGTCCAGAGGATTTAAGATGACGCGACGTCAAGAAAGGCCAGACAGTCTGAGCTGGTTCACGAGCATATCAAGGATGATTGGTCTTCAGATTTTGTTATGCCGAGGGAGCATCAATAAACCAATGAATTTTGTTCTGTTCACACCGACCAAACTCCAAACCTTCCCACATAATACATTATATCCATGATGATAGTTACATCCATATTACCCATTCAATCAGCCCACCAGCCTATTTTCAAGTCTAAACAGGCGCAGAGGTTGACAACACCTCTAATGACGAGCTCTGACCCGATCCATCAACAACAAGTGGCCTAAAAAGCTCCACGTCCTTGGAAGAGGTCTCCTGTCTAGCCTTGGCAGACTTGGATCCCATCATCCTCGAAGTGAGCTCCAATAGATCCGGATCTGAGGGCCCCATAGACCCATCCCAGCTCCCACTTCGTGTCACGGTAGGCCTGGTATCCATCTCCACGCAAATTCGTGAACCCATGAACATCATATTGTTGAGCATCGTAACAGCCCTCCTCGCCTGCTCGACATTATGCATAATTGCCGACCCGTGTGCCTGCGTTTGGCTCAGCTTTGCATCGTAGGTTACACTCACATTGCACTGTTCAACTATTCCGACGCCCTGGAGAAGAGTCTCGAGGTCAAAGGCCGTGGTCATGGTGTGGAGGTTCTTGATATCCACTGCTCGCTGAGCGAGATCCGGTGTCAAAATGGTGGCTGAGTCTTTGGCCCAGGGTTGACGCGGGTGTGGGAGGGAGTACACGTTGTCGGTCGACTCTGGGAGTTGCGGGATTGGAGACATGGGGTATATCGGATACATAGGCATCATGTTCCAGGCTGGAGGATCAAACGTGGTGCAGTGCATCATTGGGGATGGCGGGAAGCATTGTATGGGCTGGCTGTGAGGATCTGGCATCATGGGAAAGAATTGATGAGAGTTCATTGACATGGGACTCATCAGGTGACCATAGTCACAGGGGTATGAGAAGGTCGTGCTCGGAGATTGGGTAGACCTAAATGGATTTTTTTTAGTCTTGATAAAGATAGAAGGATTGTGTCTGTGAGGTCTTCAAATGTTTGGGAGACATACTCGGGTGAGATTGGCGACGGAGGCATGGCCACACTGCCCGGCCGAGGTGGAGTCGAATGGCCGGGTATAGAGCTCTGAATCATGGCCGGTGGGCTTCTGGTAGGACCAGCTATGGCCTTTGTAGGAGCATTGGTCCGTGCTAAGGTAACGACCAAACTTTGGCCCTCCCATCCGTTGGTTGATAACCGGTCTATATCTCTGTCAGCATTTTGGAGACGGGGCACATTTGGGGAGGCCTTGGAGCAACATACGATAAGTCCGCCACGCCTCGTCTTCGTTCTTGACTATGATTTGACCCAATCCAGTAGGGAATCCGTGGCTGTCATCGTATACCACGGCTTGTCGGATATGCTGCGCAGTTTGGCGCACCAGGTCTTTCAACTCTTGCCAGCGGCAGTGTGCGGGGATCTAAACCGGTTAGAATGTATCATTTGGAATATTCTTGGAGATACAATTCTCACTCCTTGGAGAAACACGACGAATTCATCGTCTGACCTGCGGGATCTCGAACTACGTCCTTTCTCTCGTCCAAGGTACGGCATTGTTTATAGAAAATGATACACGGCTTCTGGTGGGGTGATAAAAAAACCGGATTCACGATAATTCGAGTTTGCGATTGAAGTTTTGCGACTGTCGACTTTGGATATAGAATTGAATTCCGATAGTAGATGTTGCAAAGCCGCCGATTTCGACTTCTCCGACCAGGGTAGTTCAGTCGGTACTGTAATCAATTGGAACAATGGCTTTGTAAAGGTCTCTGCAAGCAAAGAAAAACCCCCCAATTTGCCGATTAGCTTTGAGCCATTGGAGCTTGAGTTTGAGAACAGGGATTGCTTGTAAGCCAGCGTTTTAAACCAGACAAGATCGAGTCTCATAGCCGACTATCGACTTCACCAGAGATGAGACGTTGGCAGACAAGAAATTGTACGGTTACTGGGATACAGACAAGTAAGGCAACCGGACGTACCTTGAGATAATTTTTGTTTTTCAAGCGAATGCAGGTTGAAGATACGGTGGATGAAAACAAACCAGGAGTGAGAGTTGTCGAGTGTATTATATGGGTTGTGAAATGTAAACGCGAGAGAAAGGGAAAGGTTTCTGGATGTTTCACAGAGAATCTCTCTCATTGTAAGATAGATAAATCACGGGCGACTAGTGAATAAACTGGAGCATTGGTCATAATGGACAGTCTGCAGCAGTTAGGGGAGGCGAGACCCAGAGCGGCAAGTAACAAGGGCCCAGCAGGTACTTTTGGCCAATAACGAGTAGGAGTTATGGAGAACACCTGTCCGTGATGCTGCGATATGTCATTTCTGTCGCGAAGACGCCCGAGCTCAGGCCGAGCTCAGCTCCTTTTTCATCCGCCAAAATGCAATAAATCATGCCTCCCGTACCACCCTGGTGGGAATAGTTCCCAGGAACAGGAACATATACACCTGTCAACTTTTTTTGCTCTGATTTTTCTTTCTTTTTTTTTGGTATTGCTTTTTTTCCTTTCTTTTGCATCGCCAATGTGTTTGTCTCCCTGGTCATGGATTGACCAATTGTTGGATTAGAACTTACACTTGCACTGTAGGGCTCCCAAGGAAAGTCGTACACCCGTGATAGTGCACGGAACACCCAGATCTGCTTGATGCAGCGCTTAGCATGTTTCGGGTTACACCGCTAGATCCGATCGCATTATAAAATTGACCATATCAGCTTTTCTGTTTACCCTGGAATTCGCCAAAAAAAAAAACAAAAAATAGAAAGGTGGAGTTCAGCGGAGCGGGCCATACCGTATCAATCACATTTGACTTTTCGATGCAGAATCATTAATCCATTAGTCGTGCAGAAATCATCAAAAGGTGGAGTTTAGGTGTCATTAGAGTCAGATCCCCGATCCGATAATCTTGAACTTGAGATTAAAAAAAAATTGGTAAAATTGAAAAAAAAAGAAAAAGAAAAGGAAAGAGAAAAAGATAAAAAGAGAAAAAAAAAAGAGAGGATCGACGGGGATACCCGATTTCCAGAGGAACCTATTGAACCTCAAGCAACATGAAATGCACGCCATGCGGGCCGTCAAGTCGATAACAGATTGCTTTTTTCTTCTCTTCAAATGTTCTCTCTTGAAAATCACCGAATAGATCAACATTAAATGTGGTGAAAGACCAAGTACCTTGCAGATCCTATGATCGTGGCTGAGAAATGCAAGAGTTATTATATTTTTTTTCCCGTCATGAATCCATTTGAGATGGAGCTGCCATGCACAAAGATTGAACATTTCAATATTTCCTCATCACCCTTGGACTCCGGGTCTCGCAACTGCAAATCCTTTCCAACCAGTTTACCTTGGTTTGCACTGGTGGGGGGAAAATATAAAATCAACCAGCTCCCCCAATGTGGCGGGATCAAGGGTCCGTCACACTGCAGCCTTGCCCCTCCATTCCTCAGCTTGGATTCCTTTCTTTTTTCATTTTTTTCATTTTTTGCACCTTTCACATCTTGTCGGGCCCGAGATTAGAGCGTCCAGTACCCCGTGGAATCTGGGAGCCTGCGGATCCGCCGACATAGGGATCGACATCGGTTCTTCGTGTGTGCCGATCTGACGATCTGAGGAACCCTCTTGTAGGGCGAAGGACCATGATCAAGACTCAAGTGTACACTGTGTGACTGAGAAAAGAAAAAAGAACCTGGAAAGTATATCTTGCCATTCCAAGGTCAAATGACGCAGTGATCAGATATAGTCAGAATGTTGAGCACATGGTGCACGCGACCGTGTATCCCCAAGGGACCTGAGAATCTGGGAATAAGTTGGATGGTAGAGTAGCATTTGAACCAGTGGAGCTCTAAGCACTGAGCTGTACATGGCCAGTGGCGCTTCCTGAAGAGGAAATACACCTTCAAATGGTGTGTAGACATGTGCAGGAGATTGAGTCATTAGCGCTTAACTGCGGACATATGGACATGTCGCAGGGAAACTTGGAATTGGTTTGTTATAGCAGCTGAAGAGTTCCAAGGCTTGGGTCTAGAGCATGTTGAATAAAAATAAATTTTTTGAATCATCCAGGTACTCCGTAGATATTTAAGTCTGAAAATGCTCTCTCTACATGTAGCCTAAGTTGTAGTTCACAGGTCGCAAAAATTGCAAAATTGCAAAAATGATGGCTCAGAAAATGCCAGCGACATTCGAAAGTGCGAGTTTTCAACGCGTATGCAATGCAGCACCAAATGTTTTCTTATAAAAAAAAAACAAAAACAAAAGGATATGATACAGCAACATCATGCGTAAGCCGAGGTCCATTATCTCGGTCTTTGCTTCCCCGTTTCCCGTATTTCCCCCTCTCTTTTCCCTCCCGTTTCTCCAATTCCATTCGTGCATTCCTGCACTTCCATAGTGTTGGCATGGTGAATTTGCTGGTATAAAGGATCGATATCTCGGATAGTTCGATCCAATCGGGAAAATAAATTCCATGATTCTGTGACCAGGAATCGGGATGCGACGGAATGGCTGTGTCCCGCACAGGCCCTTTCACAAGGGGTCAGCCGGTCGGCGAGTCGAAATGAAGGTTTGTCATCGAAGCGACCGTGAAATGTCTTGGTTCATTGTTCATGGTGAACAGTTGAAGGGGACAGCAGGCCTGGCCGGTGCGGTGGTTGGGTATGTGGAGGTATATGGGTGATCTGGAGGATTATCCGAAGGGTATGCATATGGTAGATATCATCATTCGTTGGTATTTTCTATTCGTGGTCTCTTGCGCGATAGATTTCTTCTTCACCGAACAAATCCAACCTTGGATGCGCATCGGTTGCAGTAGTAGGAATTCATGCCGAATTGAACGGCCCCGCTGGACTGGGTCCCTACGCTGAGGGATTGTTGACAGCGGGAGCAACGAACAATGTCCAGGGTGATGGGAGATGAGACGGTAGGACCGGGAACGCCAGTGGGCGAGAGGGTCAGTGGTGCATCCATGGCTTTGGTTGGATCTTGAAGGAAAGAGAAAAAGGGAAAAGGAAAGGGGTTTTATGTTTATCTTGGAGATGAATATCCCTTTTTGGCCCTTTAGGCCTTTGTATACTTCGAATTCGGTAAAGAAAAGCCCAAATACCACTAGAGCAGCCACCAGGTCAGAACCTCCCGTCACGGTCTGGTAATTTAAGGTAACGTTGTAAGATGCCGATATGGAAATCCGGTTTTCCAAAGAGTTCAAGTCCAACACACTCAAGGTACTGGTCACCAGTCTTGTACTTTGCTATAGTCGTTGGCGTCACTCGAGAATCTTCCCATTGAAAAACCAAAAAAGACTTCGATGTGTTTCCTTGGGGGGGGGGGAAAGAAATCACAAGAACCCACCACGTTTGATCGGCATCCCCCCCTTCCCAACGCTTATCTCACTATTGTTTCACACAGCCTCTGGCCCCCCCGGAGTTTGGGGCTGAAGTGATTTTCAAATGTTACGATAAAATACCAATACGACGATCTCCATAGATTTCATCAGATTTCCTTCAGTTTTAACGATTTCGTTCATCATCTTTCCCCCCCCGATTTCCCCCTCAACTTTCATCATAGCTCCCCCCTACGCTGCATGGTGTTGTCATGGGCGGGTCGACCAGATGCGTGGCGCCCAACTGGGGCAGCACGGTTAGTACCTTGTCTACGATCTAGCGAATGAACAGAGGAAGGGGGTTAAGTAGTTGGTCGATAGAGTGCATTTCAAGCCAGAGTACGTCGATCATGTCCGTATCAGGTAAAGCCCCAAGAGTTCGTCATTTGGTAATTCAGTGGTCGACGTCATCTACTTGCGACGATTCAATTCAATGTTGCGGGAAAAACCCTGGTATTACATATGTACGGTATCGGAAAACGGTCCTAAGATTTGAAGATTATACTGCATATGTGTAAGATCTTGGTTTAAAAGGTGGATTTCCATGGTACTCAAGTGCTTGCAAAGGTTAAAAAGTACTTCAAATATTCCAGCAGCACTTGAGTGTAAGTTCCAGCATTTATATATAGATACTACTAGTAGTATGCAGCACTTGAGAGTATGTAAGCCCTATGAATTGGGTATTCAATGTTAGGTCCAAGTACACATGTGCATGCACATGTGCACATGTGTACGGGAACACTTGAAGCACTTGAGAGGTGTAAACATTGTTTCCGAGAGTTATTCCGCATTAATCGTCAGATCCAATCAATCGATGTTTTTTTTCCCCTCCTTTTCTTGCCGAGCAGAATTGGTGGTTCATGGACATTGAAAGTGTACCTAAATTTACATTAGTTGTACGGAGCACAACCTATAATATAACTAGTGGTTTAGAACTAGTGGTTCGGCTTGTTAGTACGGATATTTAAAGTAAGTCAAAAAATAAAAATACAAAATATATAAAAAATAAAAAATAAAAAAAACCCCCATGATCCACCGGCTGCTTCCCGATAACCCCGTGCGTGACATTGTTTGGGATCGACGCGAACCCGGACTTTTTTTTCTTTCGCCAACGCAACTCGACATATTGGGGAGAAAGTTCCCAAAGAGAAAAATTTCAGAACACGCAAGATGTGGCTTTGAAACCTAACCATGCCCATTCCTACCCGTTCGGCCTCCTTGCGAGAGCCCCGTCAGGTTAATTTCCCGGCAGATCCTAACCCCCCCCGCCGCTCCCATTCATTCCAATGGCTAAAGTGCTGCAGACCTCCCACATCGCCCGTCTCGCGCCCGGGACAAAGGCACCCGCCCGTCCCACCGCTTCCACCCCCTCGCTGGTCGACTCCTCGGCCAAAGATATTATTACCTCCAATCGGGCTCGAACCTTGCTGCCGCAGCGCAGTAACACCGTGCGAGACGATGGCGCGACCGCTCGACTCCCACCAACCGAAAGACGACCTCGAGAGACGTCACCCAGGAGACCCCAGATCCCTGAAAAGCAGGGAACGCCCTCGACTGCAACGCCTTCGACCGGCGCCACGGCTTCTGCTCGTCGTCAGAGTCTCATGCGTCCCGTAACCTTGAAATCAGCTTCAACTCGTAGCAATGTCTCGGCACCAACAAAGCCTGCGACGCCTACCTTTACGCCGCCCTCTCCGCGCAAGCCGCCCATGCGCTCGCCCACCCAAGTCTCTACGGCTCCCAGACCTCCATCCCCAAAGAAGGCAGAGATGCCACCACCGCCTCGGCCAGCACGTTCATTCTCATTGCGGCAGCCAGTGAAGACCGACCCGACCGCGGTGAAAGGTCACGCACGACACCGCAGCCAGATGATCCCATCAAACATTAAAACAATACCAACGGATTCGGCTCAGAAACCACGAGCTGGCTTTTCATCCTACCAACAACAGTATGCGTCGAAGAAATTGACCAAACCCCCAACTCCGACGCCAGGAGATACATCTGCATCGGGTGATCACCTCATTCCGACAACATGGCCGGATATTGCGGCCCTGCAGACGGAACTACTCCAGCTGAGCCTCTTTCACTCGAACACCCTGGAAAAACATGCAGAGTGGAAGATGGAGACAGAATCTAATTTACGGACCAAGTATGACACTGTCGCGGGTCAATACCGCTCTACACAGAGAGAGGAACAGATGCGACAATCCAAGCTCAATACACAAACTCTCGGATCCTGGTCACAGAACTGTCGCGACCATAATGGGCCACATGGATTTCCAGAACAAATTCAAATTCTGTCTCAGATCCTGCAAGAGGTGTCGGATCTTGATTGTACTACAACCGGGCGGTATGCACGCGTAGTTGCTATATTCGAGGACTGGATCGACCGTGCGGAAGATACTCGGAGCCGTCGCCAGACGGCCCGCGTCCTTGATGGGATAGATTTTATCGAGCCGTTGGATCCAAGGTGGAAAGAGGAAGTACGAGGCTTGCAGGCCAAGCTGGAGTTATGTGCCCGCCAGCTTCAAACATTGGATATTCTTGGCTTTGGTGAGGTCGAGCGTTTGGAGCAGTCGGCTCTTACCCGAGTAGCCCGGGGTCTCGTGGAATCCATCCAAGTCATGATGCAAGAAGTCCGCGCAATGCAAACGGTTGAAGCTGAGATGGTTGGCTCTGAAAGAGAGACTGTGGGCCGATTGGCGACACAGTTGACCTCAATTCCTACGGGCGAAACTCGGACACGGGTTGGTGTCTGGCAGGCCTAGAATGACGTGTATGACTATCTGTAACAGGGCTAAACGTTTTATTAATGTAATGAATATGTAATTCTTAATGGATGACTGCCAATATATTATGAATGTAAATAATTTCCACGTTGCACCTCACAGCAAGTACACATGTGCAGTACACACGTGTAGAGTGCTATGTATTATGAATGTCCACGAGTCTTGCCAACGAAGCCAATATCAACCTCGGAATCTTAACCTGAACAATGAATTGAATGTATTCAGCACAATTGCTATAGCCATCATTGATAGACCGTCAACGTACATATTCCGGGAGATGCTTTGATGAGTTGGATGCCACTGACTTTGGCAAAATAGTACGGCCAATCAACCCATATTTCCAAAGGGATTCCATCCACCTTCGACCATCTCAACTGTCCGCTTCGTGGCCTCATCAAGATCTTCCTTGGGCAACCCAAGGGTCTCATTTGCCACCGAAAGCGTAGAAGCATAATCACTCTGACTGTTGTCCACCTGAAAGACCCCTCCATACAGCATTTTTGCAAATCCGGTGAAAATCCCTTTAGCAAATTCCTCCGCTCCATCCTTGATGCGCTGAGAGACAGGCTCATACTTGATCTCCCAGTCAGAGTCCTTCGTGCCGAGTACTCTGTGCAGGCTGTCCAGCATGTCGCGCTGTGAGACTTGAAAGCTGTAGATGGGGACATCCTTGAAGTCCCTCACGCATGGGCTGTGACCAGTCTCTGGCAAGCTGAGAAAAGCGGCGAATGCACGTCCACATTGATCCCAGGTACTGACCGTTAGAGTGCGTTTCCCGTCATCGAAGAATGTGACTTTTCGGTCTTTGATCGTAAAGCCGAACCACTGCTCACCACTCGCCAGACTCCACTCGTACCAGAATCCACAAGAAAGAGTTACCCCAGAGGAAACGCCATTGTTGGCATCGTTCAGCCTGGTCAGAACAGCCTTCCCGTAAACGTCATCGCTATCTGGGTTTGCTGGATATCCGTAGGCGTTGGGCATGATGTAAGTGACTCCAGCCTTTCCAGCAGCGGTGGTGATTTTTGCGTGCAAGTCTTCAGGAGCCCGAACCCCGAGGGTAATGGCAAGAAATTGCTGGCCATTGAGTGCATTTATGATCGAGTCCTCGTCGTTGTAGTCGACCCTGATGACGTGAACTCCTTCGGGAAGTGTGGCTTTGCTCTCCTTCCGAACGAGGACAGTGACGTTGTGCTTTCCCGTTGCCGAAAGGGCTTTTGCGAACGCACCACCGATGCGGCCACTAGCCTGTGTACGATTAGAATTATGACATGGTCAAAAGGAGGGAGGGAGCCATATGTACTTACACCGACGATTGCAACGTTCTTGATGGGCTCGATAGACATAGTGGTCAAGAGAAGACTGCAAGGGTTTGAACAGAATGAGTCGCGACTCAAAGGAAGAGTTGGATTGAATGCTGATCTGAAATGATTTTTCAGTTGGAGGATTGAGGACATTGTCTCTTCATTTATACATTGATTATTTAGCATGGAATTACCAGTTCGGCATCATATATCTTGTTCAAGTAAGCGGAGTTAAGACGGCCGACACGGGGTTATGATGGAATACGAACGGAGGTTAGCGCAACTTGCAAGTTCCAACCCATGGATTTCACTGGATATGATCGGGGCTAACCTCGACTCGTATTCTGTCCACTCTTATGTGATAGGTAGTAGTATCTTCCCAGTAGTACCTACCGGCTCCAAGGAGATATACCAAATCCTCGGGCTCGTGATGAAAGAGAAGAGGAGTCGCATCTTTCAGGAGTTACCCGTGGTTCGGAGATAGCTTTTCACCGAATTTGATACCGTTACAAGAGGATTCAGTGAAAGTAAGTTGGATTCAAGAGTACCCAGAGAGAATTAATATTTTCAAGCAAAGATAAGCGCCCTTTCTGATCTAAATGAGGTCCAGGGATTTGACATTTGAAGGGGCAGTCAAGATTGAATTTCACTCTGGAAATGCATCCAGCTTTCATCAAGTCAAACGGGCAAGCCCAATTGAACATTTAAATAAACATACCGTATGTATATTATTGACTTGTTGGGGCTGTTTTAGCTGTCGAAATAAAAGTCCAGGCGCTTGTTTCCCTGATCGGTAGTTGTCTCCAAGTACACAGCCTTTTCTTGGTGATCCATTTTATCCCACTGTGTCTTCTTCCAACGGTTCCGGCTGACATAGTAGACCTTAGCAAGAGCATAGGCTATAATGGCAGCGACGTTAATTGCAATGAGCTGCCTGTTGCCTCGGCGATATAGCGGCTTGTCGTCTGACCGGTAAATGTTGGAAGACGCAATTCCAGAGAGTTGAATCATAATATTGAACAGAGCAGCACTGACTGCTCTGGTTCGAACTGAGTTACTCAGACGGGAGCACCATCCAACTTGAGCAGCCTGTGGATTTGGCCACCCCAGTAGAACGAACGAAACCGCGTATAGACCCCAGTGAGATAAAGTCCCCGCCGAAGTATAGAGGATGATGAGGAACGGAAGGGACCAAAGTTGGGCGAAGAGGCCGATAAGGGAAATTTGATTCACCCGCACACTCAATTCCGTGATCAAAAGCAGGTTGATTGCAGCAAAGACGGTGACCGGGATTGTCAAAAGAGTTGTTTGGAAAGTGGTGAATCCGATTCCGGTAAGTGAAAGAGTGAGGTATGTCTTTGGAGGCGACGTGGGAATTTCGAAAAGAATTCCAAGGATATAGACGGGCCACAGATCGAAATCCTTCAAACTTCGCCAAAGCATACCGAGTGTGAGTGCTTGTCGATTGTGCATATCTCCCTTGGAAGGGTCGTCACGCAGGACCCGGTTCACAATGATGGTTTCCTCTCGTTCGTTGAAGATTCCCTTCGGATTCCACCATGTCTTGGTTTGAGTCGGACCGGGGACCAAAAATAGGAAGCTCAGGAAGCCAATGACAAGACTGATGAGTGCCTCGATCAAGAACAACCATCTCCAGCCCTCACGCCCATCAACACCACGCATGTGCAATACGCCATATGCAATAAAAGATGCGATCACACCGGACATGGAATCAGTAAACCAGAATAATGCGAGACGGAATGGCATTTCAGCCTTCGTATAGAAATAGGACAGATATAGAATGGAGTCTGGAATGAAACCACCCATGAAGAATCCCAGTAAAAATCGACACGCGAAAAACCCAGCGCGATTCTGCATGAAGAACTGTCCACCTGATGCGAGGCTCCACAGTATGATTTGAACAGGAATCCAACGATCCGGTCCCAGTCGTTTCCCGACCATCTGCGATGGGATCTCTGCGATCAAAAATCCAATTCGGTACATATTTTGTGCGTTGTTGTAATCGTCGGTGGTCAGCTTCAGGTCATCAAGCAGGTTATCGGCAGCGGCGTTTGCCAAATTGCCTCGGTCAAGATTGAGACCAAAGAACATGACGAGAATCCAGAGAAGAATTGTCCAGTCAGCCTTTCGTCGAATTCGGTTTTCTTCGCGATATGTCCATCTTGCCTCGGGATCGAAACGGTGCAGGTTCTCGTAACCAGGATGGGGCGTGTAGAATTTTGCCAAGACAGGGTCATCAAACACGCTGCGAGTTGTGGCAGTGGCATCGGGGTCGTTCTTGGTGTGGCGACGGCGAAAGAATGAAAACAATGACTGAGATTCATTGACAGGATCAGCTTCAGCCAGATTCACGAAACCCCCTTGTTTGAGGGTTTCTTCTTCGTTGGAATGCACTTCAGCAGGTGCTGGACCCGAGGGATGAAGATTATTATCCATTCCCAAAGTCGGGCAGAGCCAGAGTCGGATGACCGATGGTATGAAGGTTATGTGGACTGGGTCTTGTTCTCTTATTCTTTTCATGTGGCCATTTATTCTGCTTAAATACAACCACAATGTTAACTCTCCGAGGTGCGTGATTGACAGAAATGATGGTGTGATGATATAGGACCTGGTGCGGATAGTGATGTCCAAGTGCGATGTAGCTCAAACCAGATTGATAACTTCTGAGAAGTGTAGTAGTTACCGTGGTGGCTTATGTTGGCTGGGGACCTTTCCATGTTGTAACACATATCCGCATTGGTCACTTCTTCGCCATGCAAGTGCGGATGGCATCAGTTTTCAATACACCAATTAAAATTCCTAATGCATGCAGTGTTAATCTGTTGATTGGCTCAATATGATTAGCCTAATTTGGGGGTCTATAAGGGCTGGCCTAATAGCAGAAATGACATTGGTGGAAAATTCTCTATCAGCAGCCAGATTTAGAGCGATGGATATCTCGCTTGCCAGTAGGCAACTTTAGATTGACTTTCTTTTTTGTCTGATCGGTTATCTGGGAAATAACAAACTGATGACTATAGCAAATAAAGAAAGAAAAAAAGAAAAAAACCAATATCTTCCAACCCGAATAGTCGTCGTGGCGCTTATCGATCCTATTGCGTGACTGGTGATCGAACTGTAGAGAGCTGCCGGTAGTGGGATAATAACCGATTCTCAAAATGAAAGAAATGAAAGTACACCCGATATAGTACTAGTAGTATGCATGGGATCCAGCCCAGAGACTTTTTAAAAAAGGCTTCTGGAAGTGGTAGTAGTATGTACCTGCTAGTATATTCCAAGGTATCGATACATGTAGTCTTGGCCAACACCCATATCTCAGGAACTCAGGAACTCAGGAACTTAGGATGTAATAATGAAGCAAAATGATTCAGCTTCATGGAAAGTCCCTCGGGTAATGATGTTCCAGAGTGTCAGCGAGAAATGTAATATCCTTTGAAAAAGAGAGAAAGAAATGTCATTAATTACCCGATCCCAAGCACATCATTTTTAGGGCAAATCACGCTTTTTACATGAACATAGCATCACTTCTACACACACGGAGCTTAATCTTTAAAATATCTGCCAAGGAGGATCTAGCACATATTTCATTAATCCACCACTATGAGGTGCTTCGCTTCGCTTTATCTGCAATAACGACATCTGAGTGTGGTTGTTGCTGAGCGGGGTCACCGGGCCACAAAAGCCCCTCGACTCATCCAACTCTTACATTCTTCACTTCGTTCATTGGTTCCCATCGGTTAATTCTTTCAACTTTTTTTTCTACTTCTCAATACTTTGATTCTTTTGCGCTGTATCGGATCATCACGTCGCCATGAGTGAAAGCAAAAATGTCCTTCTGCTCATAGCGGATGACCTTGGAAAACAACTGAGCTGCTACGGTGCAACGACAATCCTCACCCCAAATATTGATCGACTTGCTGGTCAGGGTACTCGATTTGACTATGCATTTGCAAGTACTGCTTCGTGTAGTGGAAGTCGTTCTGTCATCTACACTGGCCTTCATACCCACCAAAATGGTCAATATGGACTCGCAAGCCATCGGCATCACTTTGTCACATTCGATCATGTCGAAACTCTACCGCAGCTACTGAATCAAAGTGGACACCAGACGGGAATTCTCGGCAAAATACATGTTGGCCCGTCGAGCGTTTACCCTTGGAAAGAGACAAAGGAAAGCGTCACTCGGGATGTCGCTGTAATTGCCGACCAAGCAAGATCTTTTTTTCAAGATGTCAAAAAAAGCCAGCAAGCTTTTAGTTTGACGGTCGGATTTCACGATCCCCATCGCGATCAAACACGGGGCGGATTCGGTAATGATTTGGCATACGATCCTCGGATTACCACAGGGAGTTATACCGCAGAGAATGTCGAGGTTCCGTCTTTCATCACCGATTCACCCGGAGCTCGATCTGAGCTATCCGAGTATTACAACTCGATTCACCGTCTGGATCAGGGCGTTGGCATGGTTCTCGATGGTTTGAATGATTCAGGCTTGGCCGAGTCGACTCTGGTGATTTTTGTGAGCGACAACGGCCCACCGTTCATCAATTCCAAGACAACTCTGTTTGACGCCGGAGTCCGACTACCTTTGATCATCAGGGATCCTCAATCTCCACCAGCCGTTAGCACAAATATGGTGTCATATGTTGACATCCTTCCAACTATTTTGGATTTTGTCAATCACCCAGGAGTCAAGGACACGACAGGAAAGCGATTAGGACGCTCACTTCTCCCAATTCTGGGAAACCAGGCTGAATTACCAGGCTTCGATCATGTTTTTGGATCCCACACCTTCCACGAGGTCACCAACTACTGGCCGACTCGTTTCATACGGAACCGACGATACAAGTATCACCGGAATCTAGCATGGCGCTTAGACTTTCCATTTGCAGCTGACCTATATGGGTCACTCTCATGGGAAGATATTCGAAATTCCACGGAGAAGGAGATCATGATCGGTGGCCGAAGATTGCAAGATTACTTCTTTCGAGCACCCGAAGAGCTTTATGATTTAAAAAACGACCCAGATGAGGTGAAGAATCTGGTAAAAGACCCAGATTACAAAGAGATTCTAGAAAGCCTGAGGTCCAGCCTGGAGAAATGGCAGCGTCGCACCGAGGACCCTTGGCTGTATCGTGATGGAGTTTCCTTGTGGTTCATACGTAACCACATAACAAATGGATTAAAGGTTCCGGATAGGCTGGACTTTGATAAGGATCAACCAGGGAACAGACAAAGCGAAGGTTTTGTCAAGGAGACGCGCTGGGGGGAGCATATACTAGAGTCTGATTGAATCCGTTTTCTACTACATATCACGGGTTTTTCTGGATCAATGTTATATCAACAAAATGATTTATTTCAATGTTTCACGTGTCCCCTCAACTTCTCTCACAGCTCCAAGAAAGCATTCCGCCGAGTCCTTATCATAGCCCCTGTCTACTAGGTATGATCTAAAACCCTCTCATATATCTCCTGGGCCATATCTCTGCTCATGAAGGGGCACACTTTCGGGGCTCATATTGATCCCGATGCCTGTTCCACTGTCTTTATTCCTTTCATCATGATGTCCAAGCTCTTGTGCCATTTTAAATCCAAACTTTATTGCCCGACAAATCTCCATCGGATTAAAAAGGGAAACCAAAGCGCGCATACCTAAAACTCCTCCCTGATAATTGGAAATATTCCTAACACGGGGGACTTTCTGGTAATTGCCGATTGCCCCTTCCTGGAAGCCGAAGTCGTGGATTTCATCGCCTTGCTTGATTTTGTATGGCCCCACGCCATATGCGTAATAGAAAAACACAGAAATTGGCACCATCTGTAGGCAGATCACCAGATTGGGAATCCCAATGTTGACATCGGCGTAACTCAACGTTGAGCTGGGTTTCAGTACATTGGTGGACTGCAAGATAGTGAAGATAATCTGAAATCCTTTGTTAGAATACTGATACAATTACTCAATCTAGATACATAATATTGCATACCTTTTCGAGAAATGTCAGACCCACAATCAATTTGAAAGCCAGGAGCTTAGCAAGTGGCTGATGGCTGGCCAAGTGGGATTTAAGCGCTCGGTAGAAAGTGAGAACTGAGATAACCGCGAACGCCACCGAAGCCTCGGTGATGATAGTCAGCTGAAGATAGTAGGTAATATGTCAGTCCACGAGCGAATGTCACCAAGCCAGGTTAAAACGATGGGTTCATGTTTCGGCTTACCCAAACATGTGCAAAGTACACTTTGCCACTTTCAAGACAGTAGACGCCAGCAATCTGGGTGAAGTCGGTTGCCAGACTTGTCAAAAGTGCAACAACGGGGTATTGAAAGATGGCAATCCATTGTTTCTGCAACAATGGTAAAAAGAAATATCAGCAACTCCGTAAATTTAGGTGCATATATGACGTTCTTTACTGACCCGAAACCATTCCAATCCGCCGAGAGAGGGTTTGTTTTGCTTTTTTTGAGGCGCTTGAAAGGCGGAAAAAAATACATCAATTTCGGACTGACTGTCGCGTGAGATGAATTCGCATAGTAGCAGGAAAAAAGAGCCCAGGGCGACAGCCTGGAAAAGTTCCAGCCAGGGGGTGATGTAAACGTAAGCATACGGCTTGCATATAGAAAGGAAGGATGTTATCGTATAAAGAGGAATCAAAAGGCTGATTCTCAATATTCTATATACAAACGTTCTGTCAGCGCATTTCCAAAATGATAGGTGAATTGTTCCGATTACACGTACTTGATTTGCTCTCTCGGATTGCTTAGATGAATTGCATGCCAGAACATCAAACTAAATATTGCAATGCAGACAAATGCAGTGGAAGCACCGGATATAATCATGTTGAGGCGATGGAAAGAGAGGTTTTCGATTATATTCTGCTCAGCAACTGCTCATCTTGTTAGTTCAAAACTGTAAGCCATGCAATACCTATCATATGCCCACTTGCAGGTATGTATGATATGAATTGGGATAGATGGGATGTACTAGGTAGTAGCGTACCAATGGCAAAATGTTTGGGCATAGGACATGTGTGGTTGCCTTTCCCAAGATTACTGAATAACCCCATTTTCGAATGAATACCGGAATTTTCCAAAAAAGAAAGAGAAAGAGAAAGATGGTGTTCTGTTGCAGAGAAAGTGTCCCACAGTAAGGGAATCTGCCCTCCTTAAATATCAATTCCGCATAACCCAAGTCTTTAAATCTGGCAAAGAATCAATGGCATAGCCTTCTATGTCGATCCGCCCCATACATACCAGAGCTGATTCAGCTGAACATTGTATACATAATTTGTGATCCACGTGGCGTATACTAACCCAAACTGGCTAGCCTCGAAAGGGATATCTAAATCTGGTTAGCGTGCTTATTGAATCTTCTCCACAGCCATCGGGCATCGTCCAGTGAAACTGCCCAGGTGACATGTGACATATCGTCTCTTTTTTTTTCGCGAGGTGACAAGATTATCATCTGAGTCAAGGCATAAAAGTGGCTCAAGGATCAAATACGAATCCAAATTACTTTGCCAGCCTGTTGAAGGGATGGCTGGCCTTGAATTTGGGGGCCAATTGCTTTGAGATCACACTGGGTCTCTCCCAAAGCATTGATCCCGACCGGCGAAAGACCGACCGAATGCATCAAATCTCTTGATAGTATTGAAGATAGAGTTTGGGTGATGAGATTATTGTCGCATCTCATGGGGGCCGTGTAGTTTGAATGTTTGAAAGCAAGTACCCACCAGTCAAGGGACTCAAGGCACTATCTCAGTTGTGTCGTCATTGTTCAGAAAACGTTGTGATAGTGGAACTTAGAATCTTGCTTCCATTCTAGCTGATGAATCCTTCCAAGGATATAGAGGCAATGTGAGTATGGGTCTGCTGTTTTCACTCATGAACAACTGAAAGATAGTGAGTCGAGAGGAAGCGAGATGAGTATTAAGCACTGCTTTGTGGGATTTTCACAGGGCCATGAAATGAATGTATGCCATGGACCTTGACAGGCGACATATGAGGAATTTAGACAGTGTCCGTTTCCGTTGATGATAAACTGGCATTGAAAAGATTGGTAGAAACAGGCCAAGAATGCCCCACGACAAAAAGCAAAGTGATGAGTGAAATTTCCTTCAACTAAATCGCTCCACTGATTTCGTTCAAAGTTCCGCACAATTTGCTGACACCCGCTTTGGATTCAATTTGGTCTCCTCATTGAGGATTAACACCGGACACCACGAGAAGGTATGAATCCCTTGTCCTAACAGTTTGGTAATAACTGTTGCCCAGTGCGAGCCCACTGGGGGCAAAAAAGATTGCTCCGAAGAGACTTGGAAAATCCAAGTTGCTGCGAGGCATTTGCATGCAAAGAGGCCAAGCAAGGTGTTTCAAAAATTACTCTCTACTAAAAGTGAGAGAGATGATCCATAAGTGTCCAGGGCGGCGGCACAGTTCGTCGAGAGGAATCGTTTCGTCCTGCCCCGGTGATTCTGAGGCTGTCGTCCTTAAAATCCACCAGGTCCTCCTGACAGCCATCTCCCTCCCCAGGTCCAGAATCCAAATTTGCCCGGCGAGTCTGATGTTGTTGGTTGACCTCGGTGAGTCTGAGGATTTTGTTTGATTGCCCGGTGAATCTGGGTTTGTCGTCCATATCCACCAGGTCCCCCCAACAGCCATCTACCTCCCCAGGTCCAGAATGCAGATATGCCCGGCGAGTATGCTTGGGTTGTTGATTGACCTCGGCGTGTCTGAGGATTCTGTTTGATTCCCCGGTGAATCTGGGATTGTCGTCCATTTCCACCTGGACCCTCAGCCACTTCTCCCCCGAAAATCCAGATAGCCCCGGTGAATCTGGGGTTGTCGAATCCCACCCACCCTCCTCCTTAAGTTCCTCTGCCAGTCCGAGGTTGTTGTTTAATTTCCAGGTGAGTCCGGTGTTGTTGATTGACTCTGGAAAATCCGAGGTTGTCGCGATTGAGAGCCAAGGCTGGCGTTGATGTCTCAAGGGAGGGGCGGGGAAGAGAAAGAGAAAGAAGAGAAAAGGCAGAGAAGGAAGAGAAATATTTATAGCTAGCATCTCTCACTTCAAGATACTACTAGTACCCCACCATTGCTGTTCCTACTAGTATCATTGATCTTCTCGTTCCCAATCCAGCATTGGTAACCACCTCATCATTGCGTTCAGTTTGTTTTGATCATTCGCCCATTCTCTCTCTCTACATAACCCTTTGGCCTAATCCCAACACATTCATGATGCTGCAAATTGTTGCGCATCACAAAATCTTGCATGGCTGAGTGAGAAAATACCTATCTGAAATATTGAGTATGTTGTATATACTATACTTCAAGGTTGAATAACCCTAGGGCTACTGGGTATGTGGTCTCTTCCAAGGTGTCAATCTCCAAAGGTTCCATGGCTGCATAGTAAAACCCTGCACCTGTGAATACTCGGCTCACCTTTCACAATATGCACATGTGTAGCATAAAATCCCTAGACCTCTATTTCGCTATAATTGTGCACACGCGTCAACTCCACGAGTATTCAGAACCATTTGAATACCCCACCTCGGAAGCTTGAAACTACGTGCACGTGTGGAGTTGAATTTGCAAGAGAACAGTGAAAGTTAACGCAATATTGAATAGAATGAATCAATTTTTAAGCTTCAAAGGGAAGTTGCATTGATTCAAATCAAATGTTCAAATTACATGTAGTGAGTTGGTTGGATAAAATAAGCCCACTGCCTGCATGATTCCCCCTTCGTATGCGATTTTCTTCAACGCCAGGCTTGCTTTATTCTTGGCTTCGGGCGCAGTTGCAGCAGATCCGAGTATCATCCTCAGAGGCCATGTCATCCGGAGAGACTCTGCCCAGCTTGGAGAGGTAGAACCATAATCTGGGAGGAGATATGGCAAAGTGCTCAAAATTCGCGCTGCCCGAATCTGTGATTCCTCAGAAACCATGTCTTGAAGATGTGAAATGCGTTTGGCAGAGCGCTCACAGATCTCCAGTAGATCCACTGTTTTGAATAAAAGCTCCAGAGATATCGAGTGCATGCGAAGTATGCATGCATCAACATGATTTCGCCTTCGCAACTGTCCGCTTTGGCTTTTTTTCATTTGGTTCACGCTCGCCTCCGGTACAGAGATGGGGCATTCATCAACTGAGGCATCCAACAGAATTTTCAGGTGATCACAAGCATGAACTAAGGTGTCAACAGCTGTAAGCTTTGCGGCTGTAGAGGTAGCTTCGTTGAAAAATGAGATTGCTTCACGGCAAGCTCTTGCAACTTCATCTCCGTGGAAAAAAGATGGAATAAAAAACAATTGATCAATGCTTGTACGGGACTGGATGGCATTGAACCATTCTCTAGATTCCGGTGCCGGGTCTGTGATAGATCGCAAAGACTGTATTTGCTTTTTGAAAATCAGTATAGCCCACAAGAAAAGAAAACGAAACTAAACCAACAATGTAATGATAGGCAAGCTGAAAAAGCTGACGACCTGTTGTGGTATTAAATTGTTCAAAGCCTCTCGATTTCAATAGGAGCCCAAGGGCTCTGCTGTGAATATCCCAATTCACTGGCCCCCCGTAGGAACCACCATCTCCACTCATGAGCTTCTTGAAGGTGAGACATTGAGCTGGCTTGTGGAAATCAGAGGAAACTCACCTCATATAGACATGCAAACCATACTGCTAGCAGAATTGAGTCTTCCCTTCGTCGGGAAGAGTGCGATAAATCTGCTCGTAGACTGAGCAGAAATCTCCCGTAGAGCTTTTTATGCAAAATTGCTGATTCGACTGACTTGGCTCGATTTGCAAGATAGACATGCCCTACCGCATAGGCCACTAGATGGAGAGTAGATCCCGCTCTGGCTTGAAAAATGAGCTGAGAGAGACCCTCCAATGAACAGTGTGTGTGACTGCCCTGTATGGTGGGAAAGGAAAATTGATCCACAAGCAATGGCACAATATGAGCATCCCAAGATTCAATGATCCCGCAAGAAGGGGGAATGAGCTCATACATTGACAGAAGGATCCCATTCACATGACGATATTTTGCGTTGACACCCGACAAAGCTCGAGCATGAGATCCCTGAGAGGCCAGAGACGGATTCGCAGGTTTGTTGCTTACTGGTTGTTTCTTCGATCGGGTCTTTCGACTGGGAAAAGTGGTTGGGGTTTGAATGAGAAAAGCAACCTCCGGCTTGTTCAAGTCTCGATAAGTGCAAGTGCGACCGACACTCTGGCAGCGGCGACAAGACGGACGAACGAGGTCGCACTTTTTTTTCCAACAAAAATTAGACAATTTTGTGCTTGAAGCTCAAAATATCTCCTTCTCGACAGACGGACCTTTACTCGGCGCTGGCGGCACGTTTCGCAGTCGCGACTTGGCATACCCGTGTTCACCATGATTTGGAGTTGCTGGGTAATATTGGGGGCGGTTTTCAGCCCTGCTGCGGATTGAAGATTCGGTGGGTCAAGACTCAACAGTCAATAAGAGTCGAAAGTCTTCAATGTGTCATCTGTAAGTTTAACCAAGGATCCGATTTTGTATTCCAAAGCTTTATCCCGAGGATCAGTATACTCTGGGTCGACTGGAGGTCGCATTGTGAAGAAGTAACGCTGCGCAGAAGATGGGGGGTTTTCAAGTTGGTTGCTGTGAGTCGTGACTGGTGAGTTCATGGCCCCCAATGGCCACGGCGCGACCTGCACATGTGGGGAATGACTTGAATTTCCGTGTGGCTGTGTAGGACTCAGTAGGAGTAGACTGTAATGGATTATGTAAGCAATAGACGGCTCAGCTTATGTAAGCTTTGTTCCTACATCTGTTTAAACTGTTTTAAGTAATTTAGTGTCTCAATTTCCCAGTGTCCGAGTTCTAAGGCTCTCACGCGCCGTGAACCGTGTGCTCTAGATCAGGAAATTATTCGACAAAGATAGTAAATGGTAAAGGTATGCATGGCCAATTGACGTATCGAGGAAGAAGACGATTACCTAGCTCGAGACGATGCAGACGCACATAATGATAAAGAGATCTTGGACCGAGAACAACTGATACTATACACCAACATTGAATGTTGTTTTATTCTGTCCTCAAGAGTCAAGATTCAACACCCGTATGTAGTGTTTGACTTCCGTTTTCAAGCAAACCATGATACACAGACTGATACAAGATCGAATCAAACTCATTTGCTCCACTTTCCATCTCCATTACATAACCATTATGGCCACCAAGGGGATACGATGGAAGTTCGGAGGCATTGAACAAAGAGCTACTTGTGTCGGCATGATCAAGGTTCGGCCAATTTGAAGATTGATGGACCATGGAGTGAGGAGGTCTCGGGTCAGATCCAAGATCGAAAAAGTCAAGATTGATCAGGTCCAATGAGACATCACCTGGACGCTCGTTTATTCGATCAGAGTAGGGTCCCTGATACCTCGTGTCAAACTCAGTTGCCAGATCATCTGTGCCATGAGTCAAGTCTTCATAAGAGTTGCGCAGACCTTGCTGGGCCTTTGGTAGAGTATTTTCTAATACAGAACCTCGGGTAGTCGATCTTGAGTCCTCGGAATCTGGCTTTTCATCGACTCGCCAAAGCGGAGGAAATGTGTGAGATCGGTCATTCAATAGCCAGGGGAGACGAGACATTGAGAACTGATTGGGAATTTCTCGGACGAGCGCTGGAAGGCAGTTGTCATACGGTAAACGCCCTACTGACAAGCTGTAGTCCACAGATGTCGAAATCAGGAGATAGGCACGAGGGCATTGGATAAATGCTTCAAGCCAGTTATTCGCTCTGATGGGCCCTCGCGGAATATATGACATTCGGACCTGGTTATGTTCTGCCGATTTATTAATTCCTACTGAATTGAGCCGTTCACTCGGATGGCGTTTGGTCGACGGCGTTTCTTTGGGAAGAAAAAAATTCTGGGTAGTCACATATGCCAGCTGAAGTATATGATTGGTTCCAGCTGCAACATAGTCCGTCACATCGTATAGATCCTCAGAATGTCGGATGATGTTACTTAAGTAGTCTAAACGCCTTTGTCGAGAAGCCGTCTCGGAACGTGAAGGCGAAAGCTTCAAATCTATGGCGGCTAGAACAAGCGGCATTCCCACATATGCAAGTCTAGAGAGTATTGTGTTAGTCAATCACTCAGTGTAACAAAAATAAAAGAGACCTGTACTTACACACTGAGCGGAAGGTTCTCCACGTGTCCTGTGAGACTGAAATACTCCATAATTTGTGTCAATCCATCAATTCCGGCTTTCAAGTCTCTTCCAATCCCAGCCATTGTCTCATGATACCTGTGGGCTGGAAGGGCAGGATACTCCTCTATTAATAGGGCTGCATATTGTGCTAGATCCACACTGGCTGTGCTGTTATCACACTGATTGTCAATTGCCGACAAGCAAAAAAAAAGGCTATGAAGGGATATCGGGGTTTACTTACTGGTAGTACATGAATGTCATATTCTTCAACGCGGTGCATGGATGAGAGCATCGATTGCTCTTGGGATCTGGGCGATATGTAGCCTGAGAATGCCACTGAGTCAATGATTCCTTGATATTCTTCAGAGTAATCATTTGACTTTCAAATTCGTCCTTGGTATATGATGTTGCAGGAGCCAAGCGAGGGTTAAAGATCAACGTAACAAGATCTGTCAAGAGAACTGCCAATGTGCATTGTTCCTGAAGAGCGGAAAGGAATATAATCTTATTCTGGTAGTCATAGACCTTCGAGGTGTGCATTTCATCTTCGAAATCTTCCTCTTGAAGCCAGTCTCGACATCTATGAATATTTATCGAAGTGATTTGAGGGCGGCGACGGAGGCCAATACAGAGACTTCTATCTCGAAGTAGCAGCGACCACCATAGTCGTTTTTTCATGGCCTCGCTGACTTGATCATCCACAAGAGATGGCTGAGCATCTATGAGCATGGCGTTCTCGATAGAGCTTGTTAGCCATAAGCTTCCGGCTAGAGGTGCAATTGCTGAAGTATGATGGGTGAGGAGAAGTGCGCCCTGTGCCTTTGCCGATGGCTTCATCTCAACCTTGAGATCAAAAAGAAGCTGATTTAATTCTCTTGTTAGCTTATTGCGGGGGGGGGGGGAGGGAATAGCCACCTAACAGCCAGAGATCACACATACCTTTGCTCTGTTATACAACTGCTTGCGCGCATCGCGTTTGTCGGCAAACCCACACTTGTGCAAAGTGTCAAGACTCATGAACTAAGAAGACCTCGCATGAGCTTCTTGAATTTCGTCTGCCTCTTAACAAAAAGGTAGTTCTTACCGGTGAGATGGCAAACATGAGAGCCTGGAAGACAAATATGGATATCTTCTCCACGGGATTCCCCCCCAACGCACTCCAGAATTGGGCTTCATTGAGGACTGGAAGCATTGGGTGCATTTTTTTAAAGTACTGATGAACAAAATCCCGCGTCAAAACAAAGTCCGGTATACTCAAAGATCCTTTGATCCACAGGAAGTTGATGTCTTCTGATGGCAAACATCTCAAGTTGTCGGTGCACAAGAAGCCCTGACTATCAATGTCGACTATTGCTGGGTGATTTGAAGCAGATTCTTGGTTCGAGTCCATCATCTCCGCGAATCTAGGCCTGTGATTTGGTTGGATGATCTGAGCTGGACGAGTGGCTTCGTCATGAGCGGTCAGGCCAGTGGGCTGTTCCTCGGGAGATGAAGTGTCTTCTGCAAGAGAAGCAATCCCAGTCGGTCTTGATCTAGTAGCTTCCAAATGAGTATTTACAAAAATGGGGTTATGCAACAAACTGAATGACATACTGCTTTGGGAGTTTTCGTCGGAGAATACAGTCGGTTCGACCATCTTGTCGGCAACGCGTACAAGGCGAACCAGAGATGGATGCATCACAGCGTACCTATCCGAGAGATCAGCGCTGCCAAGAGTGACTTTAGTGCCGACCGTACCTTGCGGTGGTGGCACCACCCGCAGGCAGTGGGTGCCCTTCGAGTCCGTCGCAACATCTATCTGGAACGTTGGAGGTGAGGCAAAGTCCTGGAGCGATCTCTTGGGAAAAACAGGGGCCAGTAAGTTTTTGTTTTTGTTTTTTTTTTTTTAAAAAAAAAAAAAATGAATCTCAAATTTGAATTCACAGAGAGGATGAAGAGATGAGGCACTAGGATGCAGATATTGCGAAGCCTCCAAGGTCTACACGAGGGTCACCTGATTCCTGCACAAAAATGTGAAAAAAAATAATGAAAATCGCAACGTTTGAATCAATGTAGATCTGGGGATTACGTCAGTTCTTTTTGGGCTTGAGGTCAAATGTTGGCATTGGAGTAATTCCGAGTCTAGTGGTTTATAATTTCTCAATGCCGACAGGATCAATACCTGCATATCCTTTCACGCCCCTTTTTGCCCTCTTTGGCCTTTGGCTCTCAAGTACCTTTTTGGTCATTTCGGTTAAATTCCCTACATCCAAGGTTCGGGATGTTACGCAAGCTCATGCCAGTCAACCGAGCATGGGCTACGCCTCCGTGTTTGATCGCACCCAATCTGGGCAAAATACGAGATTAAATAAACATGGTGTTGCCGGAATTTAAAGCGCAGGAGCCACTTCTAAGGATTGTGCCAAATAAGATTGAGAGACAATAACAGTCAAATTTTCCAAGGTTCGAGGTTCTTCAAGGTGACTGGTGACCTGAGATGAGCCCCGCCTCCACAAAATCACTGCGGGGCGTTTCCCCACACAATTTACCGCGGAACTCGGTTACTAGATTCAACCTTAACGGCTTCTTCAATATAACCGGGGATCATATACACGGCATATCCACTCATTGGACTAGTTAGAGGGCGCTTTGCTATTTACAGGCTCACACTAGTCAAGACGGAGAATAAAGCTTCACGGGATTTACAATTTCTGAATCATAACACACATGTGGGGTAAGCTAAACAGCGGGAATGTAAAGTCTTATCAGCCTTAAAACGTATCAACATCTCGTATACTGGCGTGTGAATAAGTTAAACAAAGCATCTGGAGAATGGAATCAAAACCACGAAAAGAATGAAACACCCCCCGGTCCTCTAGTGAAGTTTTATTCAACTCATATTGTTAATTCTCCGCCGCATGTCCTTCAAATAATAGCGCATGGGATAAGTTCTAATCACACGGGGAAGAGCGGGGTATGTGACCCTGGTCAGCCCCATGAGAACTCGGTAGGTTCCTCTTCGGACCTTAGTTGACTTCAGCCCGTAAGCGTCACGGATTCTAGGGGGCAACATCTCGGCAGTTGTGAGGCGAACTATAGGAAGAACAGCCCGAATCTGAAGGGGTGCCTTCTTGTTCCACAGTAGATCATGGGCTACATTCTTCGCATTGTCGGTGATCTCAACCGTCGCAATCTTATCATCCCAGTACTGCCAAAATGCAGCACGCGTAGCGGGCCACATCCCTGCAGGGACACGAAGAGATGTAGCCAAGATCGAGTATTCTTGGTAGATTTCCTCAGCAGTTTCTTGGCTCATTGGTCCAAAAACGCGTTGATAAAGATCAATGCCAACGGCGTAGAGGGTTGCCGCAACCCACAGCTGAAGTCTGGGATCGTTGGCGGAATAGCTTGGTCCCTTGACGGGAGCATGAGCTCGGTGAACCATCTCTATGACGGATTTCTTCTCGGCTCGAGTACCGTATGCCATACAGTAGATATAGGTCATTGTCGTGCGAAGACGGTCGAGGGGCCTGTATGCAAAGTTGCTGTGCCTATCGACTCCTTTTCCGACGCCAGGCTCGGCAACCTGGAGCAAGATCGCGACAGCACCGCCTGCCAACAAAATGGCCTCTTGTACAATTTGGTGAATTCTTTGAGGTCTGTCAAGTGCGTCCAAAAGCTCTGGGTCCGTCTGATCATTTCTGGGCTTCTCATCCACCATGGACGCTGGGCCGTTCACAGGAACGGTGGCCCCTTGCTTGGGCGAAAGGTCGACTTTCTCGTCCATATTTGTCTCTTTCAAAATAAATACATATGTATCGGATGTATCAATGATTTAAAGACAAGTGGTGTGTAAAAATCAGGATCTTTGAGAGTATAATATCCAATTTTGTATCCTGCTTTCAAGAGTGGAATAGAGAAAACACAGTACTGGATGCGGATCAAGTTGACTTTTAAAAGGAATTATGCTTTCAAGATTCAAAGACTCCCATCATTAAGCTAGATACTTGACGTGATTTCTACCATAGTAGTACCTAGACATATAGGAAACTGCACTATCATGTGTCTTCTATGGGCCGCGGACCGGGCGGTTCCTGGGCAGGGGGACTTGCTTTCAAATCTCCCCTAGCTTTTCCTCTGATCCCGACGGCATCTCTTACCGCGGACCGTACCTTTCTTTCTTCCAGAGGCTCGGAATTTACATATGAAGAGAGAAGTTTTCAAGCGTAAGTTTCTGACAGCAAGGGTGGGGTGGGCTAAGATCGCCGTCTTTCTGGGGAAAATGGGTCTATTCTCCCCGGATTCCAAGCTTTTTGTTCTTAGGCCGCCATGACTTTTGAGCAATGAGAGGAGAACTGGTGAAGGTCGACGCCCAGTCATAGCATCAGTAATTGTCGACGTATATGATGGGCATTTATATAAAGTAGAACTGGTCGATGTTGAAAGTCTCTGAGCGCTATTTCTCAACACATTATTCGGACCCTGCGCAAGAAGAGAGTGATCAAAATATTCAAACAAGCGAGAACAAAAATCAAACATGGGCTCAGCAAAGAATGGTAGTTCTGTAATAGGTGCCGACAGGGACTTGCCCGATCCGGAAAAAATCAGTCATAATGCAAAGGCCTTTGACGGAGAAGTTGACATTGCCATTGAGCGACCGAGTAGAAAGCTGCAAGGACGACGAGAGAAGCTTCAAAAGCACTGGCGTCGGTTTTGGTGTTGCTATCTAGTGGCTGCTTTCATTTTCTTGGCTATCGCTCTCCCAATTTTGTGAGTTTGTTGTGGCTCAGCACACTACTATTATCATTCTAGGCCAATTACTCATAGTGATTCAATAGCTTTCTTGTTATCATCCCAGCCATTGCACAGAGAATTGTCGACAATACCAGTCTTCCTATATACTCAGCCGAGATTCTCAACCCAACGGCTGATACTGTATCTTTCACGCTTCATACATCTTTGACTGTGCCCGCGGGTCTCCAAATCCGAACGAGCGCTTTTAATCTCAGTCTTTTCAACAGAGGTGTTGAGCCTTATGAGCCATATCTGACAGTGGGGCTGCCGTCCTATAGTCTGAAAGGCCACACGGACATGATTATCACTCACAACAATACCTTCATACTGAATCAAGCCCAATTCGTGGAAACTTTGAGTCAAGCTGTTTACAATGAGCGCTTCACCATGTCCGCGAAGGGCAAGACGGTGGGGCATTTGGGGGTGATCAAGGCACCTGTCACCTTGAACAAAAACATAGAACTGGCTGGTAAGTTCAGGTCTTGCCTCGTTTCCTCCACTAAATCATGTTAAAAGTACTGCAAACTTGCTTCAATCATTCATTCAAGCTAATATCTTCCTCCTCAAGGTTTGGACAAGCTCAACGGATTCTCCATTGACACTGCACAACTTCTCATTCGAGAAGAGGCTGATGGCACCAATCTGCTTGGCACAGCAACTCTTCCGAACAAAAGCCTTTTCACCTTCGCTTTGGTATGAAAACCAAATCCTTTACACTCTAAAACCGAGTACTCGTGTTTTCAATGATAGCTCACGTTTTATGTTCTTCTTCCTAGGGTAATGTCACACTGAACCTTCGAAGCTCTGAATTATTGGTCGGACAAGCCACTATCACCGATGTTCTGCTCAAGCCTGGAAACAATTCAGTTTCTATGAGAGGAACTCTTGACATTCCCACCATCATCGATAATATTGCAGGAATTATCTCCTCTCAGCAAACCGCGTTACTCCAGGGCAAGCTTCAACTCTCGGCCTCTGGTAATTCTACTATCTACGACGGCGTTCATATCTCCTACTATGAAGAGGTGTTGAACAATCTGACCATAACAACACAGGTCCCAATCCTAGAGGTCTTGAGTGGGACACTGCAGAATCTTGTGTCTACAGACAATAACTCCACCCTTGCCAACATTGTGAAGAACATAACCAGCATCTTGGGTGATATTTCCGACTCGACGGATTTCAAGACGGTCGCTCGGTCTCTCCAAGCCCTTGTTTAACGTTAACGCCTAGCCCTTTTGCTCTTTGGCAGTACCAAACAACTCATGCAATGGATCCAAGTCCAAGTTCACATATGGTGATGATTTAGTGATGAATCTCTTCGCGTGCGGGTATCTCAGTCCATGGATGTTTACGGGAATATTTGGAGATTAAAAAATACTCCAATGAACATTGAATGGACATTGAATGGACATACGTATATTGATTGTTTGCTGTCGACCCTATAAGTATTAACATATACCGAGGAGAATACCGACGTTCAGGATCACAGCTCCTCATAGTTTGGGCTTAATAATGCCAGCCTCAATTTCCTTCTTTGCATCCTCTCTGAGGACTCGCTTGAGAATCTTTCCGCTTGGGTTCTTTGCAATAGACCCAACGAATTTCACTCCACCCGTCAACGCCTTGAAACGTGCCAGTCGCTCCAACACAAACTTCTGAACATCCTGCTCAGTAAGTTCTTCCCCTGCACTTCCGGGGCGTCGCACTATATAGGCACGGGGAAGCTCGGTATTATCAACCTCTGGGATGGTAATCCCAATCACTGCCGCATCAATGATCTGAGGGTGGGAAAGTAGAACCGCCTCTAGCTCAGGTGGTGCAACCTGGAACCCCCTTACCTTGATGAGCTCCTTCTTTCGGTCAACAATGTACCACTTTCGGGTGGCTTCATCGCAGTACGCAATGTCCCCCGTTTTGTACCACCCTTCCGAGTCAAATGAGTCAGCGTTCGCTTCGGGATTCTTGTAGTATCCTGGCGTGACTGTCGATCCTCGTACGCACAGCTCTCCGCGGACGCCATAGGCAGATATATTGCGACCTTCGTCATCAATGAGCCTTGGAAATTGTCTTCGTCAGTAATGAGCATTCAAATAGAGTGTTCTTTCTTCGAATCATACTTTGCTTCCAGATTTGGGATCAATCTCCCAACCGACCTAAGTAATCCGCGAACATTAATTCGCCATTGCTTCCATATATCATCATGAACGCTTACCCAGTATCATCATGCTCTGGATATGGAAACATGGTCGCAACACACGATGTTTCTGTCATGCCCCATACTTGCACAAAGGGAGACCCATCTCCGATCATTGATCGGAACCGAGCTTGGACATCTTTATCTAGGGGAGCCGCTCCGCAGGCCGCCGCCCGAACCTTTTTCAAGAATGGTCTTTTCTGCGAGATGGGAGCCATCAAAATTGCAATGACGATGGGTGGTACCATTGCAAGATCAGTAATGTTGTACTTTTCCACAGAAACCAAATACTGCTCGAGGTCAAATCTTCGCATCATGTAAGCCTGTTGTCCTGCCTTCAAGGTGGAGATATGGGTCACAGGGGCTGCCGATGCATGGAAGACAGGAACAGCGATGATTCGCGAAATCTGATCACTTGTTAGTCAACAGAAGTATATGCCACAACATCGAGGCACCGAAGTTCATTATGATCGCTTACCTGAAAATCACGAGGGTGAAGTCCAATGACAAGCTCGTGTTGTGCAATCAAATTATAGTGGGTAATCATGGCAGCCTTTGGTAGACCAGTCGTTCCACTGCTGAACAGTCTCGCAGCGGTAGTCGTCTCCGCAATTCTCAAATCATTGAATCGCACCCAGTCTTCTTCGCCGTGGTCCATTAAGGCCTTCCAGGATTTGTGGCCGGGCGGGACAGCTTGTTCCACATTGTCAAATATCCACACGTTTTCCTTCTGGATACCTACTTTCTTGGCTGCTGTAAGAAGATTGTGTAAGATTTCTGGCTCGGAGATCAGAAATTTGCATTCTGCCGCTTTGACATGATGCGCAAGTTCATTGGGCGTGTACGCAGGATTGGAGCCGGTGAAGATTCCACCTGCACCAATAATGGCCAGCACCAAGATGCTGTAGTTGATCTAAGACATGCCATCATTAATCTTGAGGGCTCACCCTTGCATTCCAATCAATTGTCTCCATTGGACTTACGTCATTGAAAGAGTGAATGAGAACACAATCCCCTCTGCGAAGACCAGCAGCTCGTAGACCGGCAATGAGCTTTCTGATCTTAAGGCGCGCTTGGTTGCAGGAGATTGAACGACTCGGGTTTTTCGCATCGACATAGATCTAGTTTTGGTCTCGAGTGTAAGTTTCTACGCGTCTATAGGTACAGTAATCTTTCGATCTTGAAGTGTTGAAACCTTGGAACTTACTGGTAGGTCTTGGTCGTATGGTGGATCATCAAAGATGAAAGACAACAGGTCTTTTGTAGGGAGCAGCACACGCTCAGCTGGTTCGAAAATCATTGTGGTTTGGCTCGCGTGGAGGGTCGGGAGTGTAAAAATGTTTGTGATAAAAAAAAAAGTACTCTTAATTTGGAGGCCGTGAGGTTTTAAAAGGGGGGCAGTGTTGGAAAGAGTTGTCAACACCAGATGTCTGATGGTGCACATTTGACCGCTTCCCCTCAGCGCAGAGAGCTCGGATCTCGGTTGTGGGGGAAGTGCATAAATGGACCATGGCCCCCACCCAAAACCGGTAGGATCACCACATTGCATGACAATGAGATTCTTTCGGCCCGCGCTTCATACGTGGGCGGTTGAGTTGTGCGCGATTTCTCGGCTGGTACATTTTGCATTGATCTCGTTTAATCTCGAGTAGAAGTAGCTCGCAGACAGGAGTCAGTACAAAGATCAGAGAGACTCTTGCCTAATTGGGGCAGATGGGTTGCCTAATTGAGGGGATCCTCAGCTCCACATCGGACGCCCCGCTTCGTTTATAGTAATACATAGTACTAGTTAACTACAGAAACATTCATCATCCAGTGTCTCTTTTTTCTTTCAAATGTTAGTTTCTGTCTTTTTTTCTCCCTCGCCATGCTCTCCCCAGCCAAAATTACATGTAACCCTCTCATGACTACTCCATCATTTAAAATAACATCGTCTCCATGAAATAAATCTGATTTGTTGTACCGATTGAGAAAATCAATGACGTCACACAGCCGACCCCTTTTCTTTCAAATGTTTTCTTCTTTTCTTTTTTGGGGGCCAATTTGATCCATTGATTGAGCCCTACAGCCGATCTATTTGTAGTGTACCAGCTAGACCTGGTAGTACATGACCCACATGTGTGGGAACCATGGATTTTTTTCAAGATATGTATCAACAAGATTTGACATTTGACATTTGACATTTGAATGTGCCAACATTTGAATGGTCCAATGTGAGATTGGTGCTCAATCTATGTAGAAGAGCAACGTTTAGATATACATCTCACCATCGTGGAAGAACTTGAGGTCGATTCAATTGATGTTGAAGGTGCAAATAACATTCCTTGAACCCGGCACTGGAGCACTGGAATTGGCGTTTTCCCTGAAGGTTGACGGAATCCTTCAGGTTTGAAAGTCATTTCCTACAGCATGAGCCGAAACATAAATCTCCTGCTGCGTGACCATTAGCTGCCCCGGTTCTGGACACCTGGATGATATAGGTATGGAGCGGAGGGTAGAATCTAATGCTCAACTTACGATTAAATCGCTCGGGCTCTTTGGCTTTCTGGGGTTTGAGACTTCTCTCTGATCTGTCATGCATGTTTGTATCAGCAACGGCCATGAAAGTCTGAAGCTTCGGGGGCAGACCACAATTCATTATGAATGTCATGATGCTAGAAAAATTGTGGAAGTATACATACGGGGACACTAAAGTGATCTCAGAATCACCATCCGATTTGCAATCTTGGGAGTTACCCAGAGCCCGAGAGAAGATGCCGGCAAACCGAAAGCGCCGCCGTGGGCTGTCAGGCTTCCCTTCCATGTTGTCTGGAACCTCAAAATGCCTTCAATGTTGGCTCTCGATGATATGACTCGTCAAGGTGTAAGACCGTGTCTCTGTAGAAACGGGCTTTCCTATGTATTTTCAATGTTAAAGCAGATATAGTGCGGGCGCGGGATATCATCAAGGTGCTGATAGTATGAATCAGTCATCAGCTATATGGTGTTCACGAGCAGCAGCCCACGAAGTCTTTTATATTCGTATCCTGCAAATTCTCGGCGGCCTTTTGCACCGAGGTGTGCTCTGGATTTTGATTTTTTCTTGTCTCTTGTCTCTTCCAAAATTTTCCAAGCTTCTAATTTAGTCATGAGGACTTTGATCTCATCTCATTGATTGTACATACTGTTCGTGTGACAACTTTGGCCGACGGAAGCCGATTTTGTCAAAGCCGAAGATTCGTCATATCAAACACGATTCTTGTATCAAAAGTTAGGATTTGAAATTTGAAAATGGAAAAAAATGAGAATCAAAGGATGGATTGAAAAGTTTTGATTGGTTGGGAAATAGTTCTCCAGTTGCAATCGGCCAATTGGAAGGCTTGGCTCACTTGAGATTTGCCCCGGTCTCGGCCAACTCGGCCAACTTCGCCGAACGGCCAACTGAGCTCTACTTATGCACTCCACTTCAAAGTATTATGTTAAGGTACATTGCCTGCCTTTATACGCGTCTTCTTTTCGCCGATCCCCTGCCAAAAAAAAATGTCGTCTCCTGTGTCTGTTCGCCCATACCGGTCAAAACGTCATCGACCGTGCGACCAATGCCGAGGTCGGAAACTAGGATGCCAGACTGCCGATGGACTTCCCTGTCAGCGTTGTCGGGCGTCCAAATTGGATTGCACGTTTGATGAACCCCCGCCGAAGCGAGCGCGTCTCTCACAGTCCCTTTCCACAGCCGATCCAAACGTCGAGGAATTGCCAGTGACGACCGACGCCGATGTAGCGATCTTTGACCGAACTGCCTCACCAGAAAAACGCCCACTTGGGAACGCCGAGCCAATCTTTCCCTCTCTAGAATTCGATCAAGTCAATGTTGCATCTCCAGCGTCTGGAATTCTACTCGCCGGTCGGTCGCCGACTCAGTTTGTGCAGAGCATCGACAAACTTGATCAAGGATACGCTGAACTATTTGGGGCTTCTTCTGAATCAGATCCATGGCTGCTCAGACATTGCCGGTTTGATGACTCTGGCATGAAACACTTTTACAAAGTCCATTACCGAAATGCTGGTGGAGTTCCCACTGCCCAGAGAATACCGGTGCATTTTATGATCACCTCACCAGAACTCTCAACGGCAATAAAGCAGGAAACACGTGCAGGGATCTGTGAAGGACCACGAGAAATCCGCGAGCGGCTAGACAGCATAGTTCCCCCAGAATACGGCAGAAGATTAGTTGCACTGTGAGTAGGACCATCGCTATATCCCCTCATCACTGCGCATTGATAACGACTAATCAACTTTCAAGGTTCGTGAAGTATGTTTTTCCTGCCCTACCGGTCATCTCACGCTCCCAACTAGGGCTGAACACGACTTCAAATCAGCTTCCAGAACAAGCAACCCTGTCTAAAGTTCCGGTCCATCTTCTTGCTGCCATATATGCTTCTGCGTTTCCATTTGTAGCACATGATGATTACTTATGCGTCTTCAGCACCTATCATGCGTCACCTGTGCAAAAACTGTGGCGCATGGTATATGAGCTCTTGACCGTGGAGATTCATAGCCCTCATCTTGCGGTTCTGCAGGCCGCTTTGCTTTACGTTCAGCAGCAACCAACGGATCAAGCTCGATATACTACTGCCGACACCCCCTTCGTGTGGTCATTTGTGGGTCAGATTGTTGGCCTCGCCTGTAGTCTCGGGATACACATCGAATGTCGCATGTGGGGTATACCGGCGTGGGAAAAGCGCTTGCGCCGCCGGCTGTGGTGGGCCGTCTATGCGGAAGACAAGTGGAGAAGCTTGTTAATGGGGCGCCCTCCTTATCTCTACCCGACCGAATGGGATGTCAGTGATCTAGACGAGGGGGATTTCCTTGTCGGTCCTAGACAGGGATTTTCTACCTCGTCTTGCGATATCGACATACCTTTCCGGTTTTTGGTAAACCTTGCCCGGATTGCAGAGGAAATTCAGTCAACGTTTTAGTAAGCTCAGATGGGTAGACGCGATATCCCAGGGACACAGCTAACTGTCGACAGTACACTCCGAGCATCTCAAGTTCTGAACGCAGACTTTGATACTTCAATTGCTTTGGGCAGAGAGCTATTAGAAAAACTGAACTTGTGGTGGTCTTCTCTCCCCGATACTTTTCGCCTTCCAAATTGGAGCAAATCCGTTCATGGGCAAGCTCCTTACCCGACATCTATCCATTTTGCATATCTTCTACTTGTGGTTTATGTTTATCGTGCCATGCTCCGACCCATGGCACGATCTTCAGAACCACCAATGATATTTGATTTGGAGGAAATGGCTGCTACGTCTCCGCTCCCCATAGATGACCCGTCCTTTGATTTTGCAGATCTTTCAGGACTGGACGCCATACCGGACATCTCCATTCCGGATGTATCTGGGACCAGTGAAATTACACTACATGCAGCAGAGAAATGTGCAACGATTTTAGTCAATTTCACACGGCGCCTGACGCCTAGTGACTTCACCGGATTTTGGTACTCATGTGGGTTTCTTCTTTGCGGTTCCACCGCTAATATATACTAAACCTCAGAAGCTGACATAGTCTAGGGTCTCGTATTGGGTTCGCGACTGTCTCGAATTTCTTAATGTTATTGCTAGTTCAGGCCCCAACAATAGCTCACGCGATGCGAGGAAAGTCTTTGGTGGATTCCTGGTTGCAAGTACTGCGATGTCAAAGCCCAAGCTTCCCCCTGGTCAAACTGGGCCTTGCGCGTCTTGATGCTTTACATTGGGGTGGTCTAGCGAATACATTTGTGCTCCCGCCGCATGTCCAAGACGTTGCTGCCAATGCGAACGCCAGCCCTGACCTGACAACCTGACAGGAAACTCAATAATAATCATAATACAGTATTGAACGACTATTGATACATGGCTGAAGTTGAGTCGCTAGGTATATAAAGCTCCATGGAGTGCGATACTCTATATGGGTTTCAGTAACATTGAAAGATCCGGGCACATGTGCAGTGTCGACTGGACGGCTTCGCCTTCGGTAGAAGATTTGATGATCGGCTGTGATTTAACATTAAATGTTCACACCGAATGAAATTTGAATGTCAATAATTATATGTATCAAAGATTTATTAAAGATTTTTCATTGTATCATCTTCTAGTTGTGAAGGCGAATCCCAAATCTTTAGAGCTATAATCGGCAACTCGAACCACCACCCCTATCCTCATTTTCTACTCTTCCATCGGTTGATTCATGCATGTGCCTTGGGAAAAGAACGCCAATCCCTGTCTCTACTGAGCCCGGTACCTCCAACATTTGAAGTTCCACCGGATGAGTACGTGGCAAAGGCCCGACCGTCCTATCGGCATATTCTTTTGCTCGTGCATAATGCGGGGATTTTAACTCGGCAGTTCGGTAAAAAAAAAATGCCCAGATGTCATTCCTTGACATTTGTCCTCTTGCCCCTCTCGATGACATGATATAACACAAGCTGAGATGCTTTTCTACAGACATAGCACGGGACGCACATCTCTCAAGCCAACGACTTTTCAACATGGGGACCCATCAGAAGATCGATATAAAGACATATGCCGACTCCACAGGGGTCTTTGAAACACGTCCTCTTGGGACCGACAGCATAAAAAGAGTGACAGAGCTGTTGAATATGAACCACAACAACTATCATATCTATATTCACAACCTAGGCTTACACAGTATGGAAGTCTATATCATTTTTCATCAAGTCAAACAAGTGTTGACTGAAAATATTTGCCAGATCACATTCTTCACCATTTGTTAGCCATTCTCTCGCTAGGAGGCACTGAAAGACAGCTTTCACAGGCTTATGAACTGGCCGTCAGCTCTCAAAGGCCGACTCGTCCACCTGATGCTCGTCGCGTATCGGATATCTCCGATCCAGAGAAGTTCAAATTATTCTTGGGGAAAGGTAAGTATTACGATGACTACTTTGCATACTTTCAAAAAGAGATTTCTCATCATGGAGTTCCGCGAACCGTTCATGAACATCTCTTCAAAGGCGACGAAAGAGCCGAAGACATGCTGCAACGCTTCTTCAGCGGTCAGTTAAATAAATTTCTGCCCTTGGGGTATTCGCAAAATAAATTATATTATAGTATTGACATGATGATTCTTCCAGGATTCCTTCACTCTCCTATTCATCTAGCATACGCGATCGAATTTGAACAGCCACTGGTAGTGGCCGAGGCTCTTGCTTTGACAGCTATCCACGACTCGTCCTTTGGTCAAATTTTAGATCAAGTCGAGAAAGTCGATCGACATTCCTCCACCACCAAGAGCTTAATTGATCTCCAGAGAGAGATCCATGGGAGTGAAAAACTTCGCAAGGCCATGGACTATACACATGGCGTGTCGCAAATTCAAGACGGCTTGTTGGTGAATGCGAGAGTAGAATTCCTGAGCCTAATGGGCGCGTGGAAGGTTCAACCGCAAGAACTAGAGGAGAAAACCGCCGAGTCTCTTAATGCTACCTGTAAGAAACCACCATTCACTTGTCTTATTTTCCTTCAAGCTCTAACAACAACTCACTCACAGTATACTGGACATCTCTTGCTCAGCGGCCTGAGAAACAAATCCGATTTGATTTTTTCCTGATGCATTCTATCACAGCTGGGTCTCTTTGGCCGGTTTTCAACCACGTATCTTGGATTAGCCCTGAAATGAAAGGTCGATTGTTAGAATGGAAAGGTCGTGCAGATCTCATGCTCTACTGCCAATGTGGCGCGCCGGCCTTAATTAACGAGTTGGCCACTTACCAGCCGCGACTTCCCTCGGGGTGGTCGGAGATCTTCCGACGGGCCTGCGATTACAAGGACGACGGCCATTTGGTCAAATTCATTCGCGGCATTGCTACGGCTGAACTGATTAGCAGAAAATTTGCTGCAAAGCCCCACTTCATGCTCAAGAGTGAGGCGGAGTTTCTTCAGATTGCACATATGGGTAGGTGAAGACAGTATTGCTTTGGATTTGCCATTTTCCATAATGCATAATGGTTACTAATCTTTGTTGTTAGTGATGGATTCTGCGGAACGATTTAACCTGGAATCCGCCGATCAGGAGACTGAGATGATATGTGCCAAGTATGGGTATCCTCGTATTTTGCCCACTGAGATCCAGCGGGTTACTGCCCGCTGGCCGCGCCATGTGGGGTTTGAGGAGTCTTGGTTCCATGTGCCAGCACGCAAGTTCAATACTTCCCATCTTTGAAATAATGGTCGGGATTGGTTATACTGTATTCCACTCGCAAAAAAGATTATAAAGAGAGAGAGAAAGGGAAGACACATGAGCGAGTTTGTACTAGTTAGTAGTGTGTTTTTCTCCCTCTCTCTCTCTCTCTCTTTCTCTCTCTCTCTCTCCCTCTCTTAGTGCAACCGTGCGCTGGTTTTCCAACTTCTCCCCACAATCGGGCTTCATCCCGCGTTCTAATGTTATCTCTCGCAAAATAATCGCCGCTCTTTTCCATCAAGAATGTAACGCTGCCATTGTCCATTGACGATCCAAGGCATTATGCAAGGGACTGTGCCCCTTGCTTCAGTCTTTTAAAGTCGAAACTTCCTGTTCCCTCAAAGATCTGCAATGTCGTACCACGATGATCTGGCACACTCTCCCCCTTGCTGCGCTTACACTGACTGTTGCGGCTTTACAAGCTCTTCCACCAGTCGAATTCACCCCAGTGCAGATTGATCAGATCTCCAGCGCGGAGAAGGGCTTCTCATTGGCAACGGTTGACCGGGTTATCTATGTCCAGGATGACTTTGCGTCATGGACCGACCAAGACGGGCTTACTTTGATTCCTCCGTCTGTTGAGCAGTTCGCGCAAACATTTCGTGATGATCTTGAAGAACTGACCGATGTGTCTTGGAGCTACCAAACGGTCAAGAAACTCCCGATCGCTGCCTCTGGAATTTTCCTTGGGCGTTCAGATACTCCCGAGGATTTTACATACGAGGATGGCACGGCGACAGAGGAGGGGTACGAACTCGTGGTTGAGAGTGGCCGTGTATTCATCTACGGCTCAGGGGCACGAGGGATGTGGTGGGGAACACGGTCGTTGCTTCAACAGATCATACTCCATCCACACGCTACCCTTTTCCCCGGCCGTATTACCGATACACCCGCCTACCCGACGCGCGGGATGATGCTTGATGCAGGACGCAAGTGGTATTCTTTGGATTATTTGAAGGATCTTTGCACTTACGCATCATTTTTCAAACTTTCCGAGTTTCACTATCATGCGACAGATAACTATCCTCTCACTCGAGGCCCCAACGTGACCTGGGAAGACGTCTATTCACAGTTTTCCTTGAGACCAGAAAACCCTGAGCTAGCACCTTTGGTGCAACGAGTGAATGAGACACTATCTCGGTCGGAGTTTGTCGAATTTCAACAACACTGCGCGCAGCGAGGAGTGACTGTTATTCTCGAAATTGAGAGCCCCGGCCACTGTTTGTCAGTCACGAAATGGAAGCCCGAGCTTGCTTTGGAGAGTAAGGATCTTCTTAACTTGACACATCCTGAGACCCTGCCTCTGGTCAAGTCTATCTGGTCGGAGTTTTTGCCTTGGTAAGTTTGGTCTGGTCGCGATAATGAGCAACACATAAAAAGATCTTTCAACTCATTATTTGCATCTCCAGGTGCCTTTCCAAGGTTGTACACATTGGAGCAGACGAATACGCTTCCGCCTTTGCCGATGAGTATGTGAATTTTGTCAACGAGATGTCCGACTTCATATATGAGACTCATGGTAAGAAAATCCGCATTTGGGGAACGTATGAGCCCAGTGCGTTGTCAATCAACCGGAATATTACCATCCAGCACTGGCAATATGGACAGTCAGACCCGGTCGCACTGGCCGAAAATGGATACCAGATCATTAATTCCGAAGATTGGTGGGCATACCTTTCGTTGAAAAACAATCATGTCCCCATCACACCAGCGCCGTATCCTCAGTTTTTCGACAACGATCGGTTGTTGAATTTTGGTGATGTGAAAGGCTGGCAGTGGACACCAGATCTCTTTAATCCTGTCAACACGACGGATCAGCCTGTCAAAAATGCCGTTCGCGGCGCCATCCTCGCCGCATGGAACGATAACGGGCCTGATGCGACGACACAACTGGAGGCGTTCTATGCTGTTCGAAACGGCATTCCTGTTGTCGCATCCCGCGCATGGTCAGGATCCCGTGGGCCCCTTTTGGATCAATCCACCCTCGATGACTCTATCTCCATTCTCACGGCCAATGCAGTGTCTCAGAGCCTTGATCGAAAGATTGGCAGTCAACCAAGGGGCCTCTTCTCATGGTCCGATGCTCAGCATCACCAGATAGGTCTGGGAAGTAAAGGAATGAATTACACATTGGAACTGGAGATCAGTGGTCCTTTCTCTCTACAATCCGATGACGCTGTTCTATCCCTTTCCGCTGATGGCCAACTGGTATTTTCTGCAGATGGATGGCCATATCCTCTTCGGTCCGTCGCAGAGACCGATGGCTTTGATCCTACTGCGCTGGGGCGGATCTGGGCGAATAGTACAACATCCTCACACGATATTGTGAATGTTGCTTATAATGCTCAAATCACGATAAAAACCAATCAGTTTGAAGGCAGCCGCGTGTGGATTGATGGACAGTTTGTGGGTCGTTTCGAGGTGTTTGTGTATGGTGGCAAAAACCAAGCTTTCTCATGGAGCCAGATGGCATTTGTTGCACCACTGGACTGTGTTCTGGGCACTGGGCTACGGAAGATGGATTTGTATGAAACTTGAAGGTACATTTCCTTAACAGTTCTTGTCTTCCTACCCTTCCTTTCCTTTCTTTTTTTTTTTTTTTTTCATTTTTTCTTTCATTGGATTTTTTCCAGATCACCTACGATCTTCATGGTTTCGGATTTATCTAGAAAGCTGAGATTTTGAACAAGCGCTCCGTTTCTCAAACATTTCAAGCCACATGTTGTTTCTTGATTTTGAAACCTTGAGCTGTACGGAGGCTCAGCTCGCTATGAGTTTTTTTTTGCGTTCTATTACACTTTGTGATCGTCATTGATTCTTGCCTTGAGCCATAAACAGCGTCGGCCACCGCGGGACAGTTGGAGAAAAAAAGACACGCACATGAAAAATGCAATTTCAACTTTTATATTTCCTAACTTGGTGATTCAGTTTACTTATTTCACAATTTTTCCCCCCTATTTCTGAAAGAATGAAAATCGAAAACTTGAAAACCACAAATGACGAAGAAGAATTTTCATGCCAAGTGACCCCAGCAGGGTCAACCTCTGAGACTATTGAGAGTTCGTCATTCATTCCACTCTGTGTCGTGAACTTTTTTTACAAAATGGAGTGTGAAGAAAACAGACTTATAGGTGAACTGACACCGCCAGCTCTTGCAAAATCCGCTGGTGAGTATCTCATCTCGCATGCCTGGATGAAGATGAGGAATTACGAACATGCTTAACCATAATAGACCACGACAGTGGATCGATTATGATAGCGGAGATCGAAAATTTACAAATCTCTATGGCCAGCTTGAAAAAAAGCTGGACTATTATGAAAAGGCGGCGAAAGAGTCGCGAGAGGCGGAATTACTCTCTAATGCGAAGTGTCTCCAACAGACCGAACTTCTACAAGACGCCCTTGACTCAGCGGACGCAGCGTTGAAGCAAAATTGTGAGCTCAGAAAAGAACTAGACAGAATTGAAGAAGGGTTAATACAGGTGGATCTAAGCGACGAGGAAGCAAACCAAAAGACAAATCAACTATATCAAGGTCTCGAGCATTGGATCAAACATCACTATGAAGCCTCACAACTATCCAGCCCAGCAACAGATTCGGATATCGAATCTGACCAACCACGAATAGTTTGGTGGAACATATATGCAGACTTATCACATCGAATCTTTCATGTTATATTAAGTCGCTTCATGGTTGGTACTGGCAATCCTGGCATGAACCATGCTTTGCGAATGCTTGATGAAAAAGTACACGACATATGTACGTCCCTCCGCTGCCTACATATAACGGAATGCCGCAATTCGATCTCCTAACCAATCTATAAAGGCCCCAGGCACGTCGGCCGATATTGGCGTTCTGGTACAAGTAGAGCAGCACTAGCACTTGCAAAGCCCGAGCTCGAAGTCACCCTTGATCATATGGTTCAATCATTTGAGGCTCAGTATTCTCACCATGCGATATCAAACAGCTTCGCCGAGCGAACAAAAGAGCTCAAAGCCTTGCTTTGGAGATTTGTGGATTGGAAAAGCAGATTGGAGCGTCAAATTGGTTTATTTTATTTCTGGTGGATCGTTCCCGGATTGCCATTTCGAACAGAGTATATGAATAGTCTCACTGGAGAGGACCACTTCATGCCTATTGTTGAGCAAGGCCTTTCGCCAATTCTCTACAGGTTGTTGCCAGATGGTTCAGAGCCCACGTTGGTACGCCGTGGACTAGTTCAAATCACCAGTGGACCTATTATCAATGGGGGCCAATCGCAAAACGGCTGTAACGAAAAGGCATAATTGCAGTCTCGGGTTCACAAGAAGATACGGTTCATGTATGAGGATACGAAGTCTAGCTAAGCATACGCTGTGCAATCTGATTCAAATGGTTGATAAATCCATGTTCAGACACCATCCTCGAAACCATCGCCGCCTGCCTCAGTATCCAACTTGACTGATTCCATCAGTCCACAAACTTCGAATAACTTCTTTGGTCCAAGACCTTCTGGCGTTCCAACCACTCCTTCGGTCTTGAGACGCAGAAACGCTGCTCGAATTCCCATGTATGCAGGCACAATCGACGCGAAAGAAAATATCATGATGCGGAATCCCATTTCCTCGGCCTCTTTGGTCGTCACAACGGGAGAGGCGCCATTCTCCACCATGTTGAGCAAGAGTGGCCATGGTGCAAGATCCTGGACTGCTTGCTTCATTTGGTCCCTTGATGTGAACCCCTCGAGTAGCCCGACATCAGCGCCGATATCGCGGGCTGCTTTCAGGCGAGTTATACACTCTTCGTATCCATGTTGTTGTAGGGCGTCGGTTCGAGCAATCAGTACAATGTCCGAGTGCAGCCGATCTTTGGTCAATTTGGCTGCCCGGATTCTTGTCAGGTATTCATCCAAAGAGACCACTCGCTTGCCTGCAAGGTGACCGCAGCGCTTGTTTGAGATTTGGTCTTCGATGTGGAAGCCTGCAACGCCAGCTTGAATATACTGCTGAACTGACTTGGCAACCATCAGAGGGCCTAAGTTCTGGTGAGTTTCATATCGCAAGCCATGTCCCTGTATCATTTCATGGACTTACCTCCATAGCCTGTGTCCATGTCTGCAATCAGAGGTGCCCCAAAAGGGTCGAGGTTTGCAATCATCTCGGCATTGGTTTTCATATCATGAAGCTGAGCCAATCCGAGATCTGCCATTCCAAGTCGCGATGCTGTCGTTCCTGCACCGGTCTATAGTTGCCATTAGCTCGCGTGAAACAGTTTTGATCAACACTCATTATTTACCATGTACATTCCCTTGAAGCCCAGCTCCATGGCAATGCGGGCAGAAAGACCATCATAAACACCTGGACAGACGATCATATCCTTAGTGTCCTTAAGCATCCGACGTAACTTGGATGCCGCAGGGATGACATAGAGGGAGACAGAGGGCTCCTGCCTCATGCCGTTCACTTCGTAAAATCCATCCTTCTCAACAGTAATTGTGATAGTCATGATGAGTTTCGAGATGTTAGAAAGTGAGACTGATTCTAAGTTGGGAAGATGGAACAAAGTCGAGGCAATACCTCATTTTTATACCTCCAACTCCGCTCGTCGGACAAGGCCGTCCCACGAGGGAACGGAATTTAGGGTCCGATACTCCCCAGATCAATAGGACCAGCATCAATTCACGGACAATTGGCAGTTCTTGGTATTTTTGGGATGCAACATTTCACCATGTGCCAAGACCAGACATGCTTTATCTGTAATTCTTGGGTCGTACCAACTTGACATGAGAACCCGAATGACCTTGATGAGCACAGGCTCCACAAGCACCTAGACAATTGATGCTCTGTCTTTGACATGGAAAGTCGGAGAAACTTCTCAAAGTAGTGGTGACTCGTAATCTGTCTCCACCACGTTTTGCAAAAAAAAAAAAAAAAGAGAAATTCCATGCAAAGGTCAGGGATCTTGATAGGGCATACGTGTGACTGCCAAGAAATGTGCACTCTCTCTATGTCGAAGTTTGATCAGTCTGACAACATGAGGCCCGGTTCGCCTGTCATTCAATGTTGGAACTTTGAATATTATTCATCTCTTAGCTAGGTGTCTATGGATCGCTCGGCTTATCATGTACATATGAGTATTAATCAGACATTCAAATATTAAATGCATGGGTAGGGGATTCACACAACTTCAACGTTTTAATCATTGAATATGCCCGCTCGCTCTTGTCGCTTCAATGTTTCAAGTGTTCCAAGATTTGACTGCGTATGCATGCACATGTGTGCAGTACTTGTCTACCTAGATGCATAGTGTGCAGGTGGGAAATTCCCCGATTGCCCGAATGAAGTTTTAATATACATTTGAATCCACAAACGGAATCGTACTTGGGCAGAGAGATAGCACTTGAGAGTCGAGACTATGTTTAGAATTGACAATAGATTCGACCTCTGGATTGAATACTTCAAAGGCCGACAGTCCGTAGTGAAGACGAGGCACAAAGTCTGTAGTCATCAATGTCCGCGTATGCCATGCCCACCCTTTCATGAACATCCCAAGTGCGCTGTTATAGGATGGTCTGCAAGATCGGGGTTGCCGAATACAGTGCACAAATCGGGAAGAGGGAGGAAAGACTTTGTGCCAAAATTATAGATGTGCATCATCGGCGCCAGATGCGCCAAGCAGAAAATAGATATCAGGCCAGATAAGTCCGGATTCAAAAACATTGCAGGCACGATCATAGGCAAGTATAGGAATGGAAGGCCAAATGGACGACGCTATGTCGTACAGTAGCGTTGAAGGGCGCGTTGTATCTGGCCGCATAAGGAAAAGATCGGAGCAATTCTCTTGTCATCAAATCTCCTCGATTGCCTGGCTTAGCCCTCCCCCCTCCCCCCGGCGCTCCATATTTTTTTCATCTCTCAGGGCTGCATATGATCTGCAGAGGTCACAATGCTGAAGTACGCCAAGTGAATCTGCGCCAGACTAAGTGAGAGTAAATGGGAATTCAAGGGCTTGGCCCCAACATTTGAAGAAACCAGGCCCCAAACATTCGATGCAGATACATATATGTATGTACACGTGCGTATAGATATATCTCACCTTTGTTGGAAATCGTACATATGGAATTGATCAATAGCTGTGCAGCTTCCAGATGTCCAGATGTCCGAGGGAAATCGGCCCAAGTGTGAAGATGATATGGTCAAAACTCACAGAGCTCAAATTGTCGAACTTCAAATACATGCCAATTGTATAGACTCTAGTGGGCTACGAAAGTTGATGTTCTAGCTTGTTGAGCTAATACTGCGAAGGTACCAGTTGACCAAAGCTGCGCCCGTTAAAATTGGGCCCACTCGAGGCGAAAAGGGTCTGGGTTGCTGAATGGAGGATTACGTGCATGGACCCAGTACATGTTCTGCAAGATACCAAGTCTGTCTGTAATATGCAACCATCCAACTTTTGTCCCATCTGGTTTACACGGACAGGGATCACTTACAGTGATGCATCTTGTGAAATGAAGGAATTTTTCCCTCGCCGAGGAAGGCTCAAAGTGGCGTCGGACCGGATCGGACAAGTGACTCCGTGCAGAAACTTGTTAAGTGGAGAGATTCGGCCTTTCAGGAGCTGAAGGATTCATAGCATCCGTAATCCGTCTCACTCGGGGAGGAAGAACGCCCCTGTTCGCCAAGCGCTCGGGAGCATCATTTTCGGGAGATCATCAACACGCCCAACCCTTGGAAAAAGCACAATTTCAGCCCACTGAATTCCTCCATTTCGGACACTCTTCCTTCTTGAATATGCCTTCGCTTCACCGGTTCCAGTAGCAATACAAGATAGAAGACGGTATCATGCGCTGGCTGAGCTTCACAAAGACTGAAAACTCAGCCCCATCCACGGGACTCAGAAGTTAGAACGATGAATTTATCCATGGGATTGCCCCCGCATCGCAATCATTATCTAGTCCCATGAGCGACGAATCATGGAAATGAATATCTCCACCACTGGATATCCACGTACTTTTCAGAGTGTAACATATTGACGCGCTTGTGGCTGATGCCGAGCGGTCTTTTTTCCCTTGGGATCAATGCCCAGGAGCCGGCCAAGAGTGATTCGGGACGAATTTGTGCCATGCCGAGCATCTTGGCGCCAATATACCTCAAGTGCTAGTTCTCAGCTGCACATCATGCCGTCAATTTACCGAACAAGACGCCTTGTTGTGATTCTTGGCTTGCATTTTGCGTCTTGGATTACGGTGTATCTAGCCAAGCGAGAGGGGAAGAGTGATAAGACCAAAATGGTTGCGACCAAGTATCAGGATCCGTTCCCTCAATCACCCCCTTAAAACCACCAAAAAAAAAAAAAACGAAAGAAAGAAATACATACACACAAGAGCAAGAAACTCCTATTCAATTCAACTGCACTTTTCTAATCCTACTCTCGTTGGCTACCTCGATGGACCAAGAAAAAGGTCGCGTGGCAGAAATATCGCGCTTCTTGAAAGAAGAGGTCGTATCACGACATGCCGACTTGCTTTTGTTTACCTGTTGCTTGACCTCTGGTCTTATAGACAGTACAATCTACAATGGTGAGAACTACCAAATCTACATTATAGATTTAGAAAATCTGACCTGAATAGCTTACGCCACATTTGTCTCGATGCAAACCGGTAAGATACATCGGTTGTTTTATTTTCACAACATGACTGCCTTTCACACAGTGGTTATACTGATGATCCCGGTAGGAAACACAATTTTCGTCGGACTAGGCACATCAAATCAAAACTCCAGCCCATACGGTTGGGCTCGCTCATTGACATCTATCGGATGCTTTGTATTGGGAGCATTTTTCTTCGCTCGGCTCAACCAGTGGACAGGAGCACATAGGCGGGGATCCCTTATGCTGTCGTTCTTCATCCAAGCTATCCTAGTCATGATCACTGCCGCCCTGGTACAAGCCGGTGTTATCTCAAGCATCATGGGCTCAAGAGACTCGCAAACTACCACCAAGTGGGACTCAGAGGTGCCAATTGTTCTCCTCAGCTTTCAATCCGCAGGGCAGATCGTCGCTAGTCGAGCTTTGGGGTATAATGAGATTCCCACCGTCGTGATCACAAGCCTCTTGTGTGATCTGATGTCTGATCCAAAGCTATTCCTCCTGCGTAATGAGAAGCGAGATCGGCGCCTCACAGCGTTTGTTCTCACTCTAGTTGGGGCTATCATTGGGGGCTGGATCACTAAAGCGACAGGGAGAATTTCACCAGTACTTTGGCTGGGATCGGCGATTAAGTTCTCGGTAGCACTGTCCTGGGGGTTTTGGAAGAGAAAGAAACCTGCATAGACCCGTCTGGGTGCAATGTACATAGATCATGGAATGCTTGAGAGCCCTGGAATTCAGATAATAATAGGTATGTAGGTAGATGCATGTGTATATCCAGAGGGCTTGTTTCCCTAAGCTGGGGCGATTTTGTCTGGTACTTATGAAATTCAAACTCCCAAGCTCGGTCGCAGCGGTCGCCTCCAAATTCTCTTCTGACTGCCGGGCAAACAAGACCGATAGAAGAAGTGCGATATGCAAATCTGGAATCGGCTATCGAGAGAAACATGATGTCCTATTTAGTTAGTAGGTTGCAAGGGTGCGAATAGGATGCATCTTGTGGAACACGTTTTTCGGGTCGTACGTGGCTTTGACGGTTTGAAGACGTTGAAGATTCTCTCCGTATATATTCGGAACGACCGAGTCTCCCGCTAAGTTAAAGTCTGGTAAGAAACATATTTCATCTTCAATGGCTATTATTTCAAGGACTTACGCTCTGCATAATTGATATACTGTGGTACCTCGCCTTCGTGGCGGTCCTGTCTCCTCACATCCAGTTCGGATTTCCACTTAGCTTGGATCTGACGAGCCCAAGCGCGGTGTTCCTCATCTTTGGTAGGGTCGGTCCATCGGAGGCAGATGATTCCATTCTGAGTCGAGTTGCGACTTGCAAGCGCTGTTTCCGATAAGGGGATCTCACAAATCTTTCGCATATCCATGAATTCGAGAATGATGGCGGATTGCATCAAATCGCTGTCGCTCTGAATCTTGTCTATAAAATCCTTGAATATTGTTTGCACAAAACCAGGATCTATCGGTGGTTCATAAAAGATTCCCTTGAAGGATTTGCGGTCGCCGTAGGTGGCCTGCGGGTTTTGAAGGGTATTCACCATCGAATATGGAATCATATCCAAATTATTTAGAACGGGCTTCAAGTCAATGAGGCCTGCGAAGCGTGCGGTGCCCATTTCCTGACTGCCATTGTAGAAACAGATGACTATGATTATCGGACCGGAGCCGTTTGGATCCATGGCGAGAAAACACATTGCCCCAGACCGGGAGTCGGGATGTGCGAGGCTAGCATTGAGTTGAGCAAAGACGCCGTTGAGCTTATCTGGAGGAAATCCCAAAATGCCGGAGAAGACCATTTCTGCTTGGTCGTATGCCTGGTAAGTGAAATCAACCACAACGCCAAAGTTGTAGCCTGCTCCACGAAGTCCCCAAAACAGCTCTGGGTGCTCTGATTTAGAAGCAGTCACAAGTTTACCATCGGCCAGCACCACCCGGGCGGATAGAAGATTATCAATGGTGAGACCATATTGCCCACTCAACCATCCATACCCACCACCCAGAGTTAGTCCTCCAACTCCTGTGTGATTCACAGTGCCCCCAACCGTTGCCAGACCTTGCGCTGCACCCGCTTCATCGACTTCTTTCCACGTCGCACCCCCCTGTGCAGTGATTATCTTCCTGGCGGGATCGACCGTCACATCTTTCATGCATGAAAGGTCAATCACTAGGCCACCGTTGCTTGAACTGGTTCCAGCAGTGGAGTGGCCACCCCCCCTCACGGCGACTTCAATACCATGTTTCTGTGCCCACAACAGTGCGATGCCGATATCTGCAGAATCGAGTGGTTGAACCACAACGCCCTGTGCTCCAAGTCAGTAAACTGGGCTCTGTCACTTCTGTGTCACCCTTTTTGTCATTTTACCGCGAGTTTAATTCCCGTCTCCGACCATCGGATGAGACTGGCTTGGTAACCATCTGATTCCGGAGTCAAGACCCAAGCTGTCTTGAGCTGACTGCGAAGAGCCTGGATGTATGTATCGCTGAGCTTCATCGCTTAGATGGTTATGAATTCACGGCCTAAACGTTGCTTGATTTTTCAGTCTGCGCATACGAAGACCTTCGATGTCTCAATGCTGGGTGGGGGTTTACGGGAATAAGACGGATCGACATCGCGGGGTCAAAACGCACTGCGCTGTACAATCGAAACTCATTATACTACATTTAATTGGGCCTTGGCACTCTGAACTCGTCGGAATTTATTACCTGATTTTCAAACTAATAAATCCAGCGTAATTAAGGAAATGCTCCAAGATTAGCCTTAAGGTATCTCCATCAGCGATTGGAATGAAAGTGACGGATTTCTGTATATAGATACTTTGCAAGGACTTCCACATGTGCGTAACGCCCGTGGACACCGAGGTCAAGCTTCAGTCAATCAGAATCAAGGTTAAGCTATTTAGCGTACCCCCGTCGTTCATTCTAGTCTCTGCTTAGAGTACTTGGTATAGAGCTCTGGATACCACCGCTGCCCAACGTCAGGATGGCTTAGTATTCGATTCCTTAGATGTGCCTCCCCAAACTCGGAATAGTTAGATGATATTATCTCTAAGGATCGGAGTAATAATCTAACTCACGCATGAATAAAGTGGAGATAGAAATTCACTGGGAACATCGACTGTTTGTTTCCTTTGGTCGTCCGAGACAGGAATTTGACGCACAATATGAGCCGCAGACTGTTTCAGCTGCTCCAGGGTCAAATCCAATCGCACACCCAAGAAAAACGGGATACTATATCTGGTTCTTGATGTTGGGGCCTAGATAGAAAGTCTTTTAGTACAACACCCATCCATACAGTGCGACTGATTTCATACAATAACCCGATGGGTGGTAGCGGCACAAATGCCTCCGGTGATAGCTTCGAATCCTTGTTGAATGTTGATCACCAGGCTTCCCTCCACAGGCGGAACGTCCACCCATTCACCATTTTTGTTTAGTACTTGCAGCCCACCAGCGTTATCTTGGGAAAGGAATGTGAAAAGGCCAGCAGAATCCTTGTGAGGCCCGACTCCTTGTGAATTGGCGGTTGAGGGTGGGTATTTGACATATTTCAACCGACTCATGTTACCCTTGAAGCGATCGAACGTATCAGCAGGCAGGGACAAGCATTCGGCCACAAAATGCACGAATGACTGCGCCAACTCGTCCATTTTGAAGATATAATCTTCTGTAAGCCGCTGTGAGTCTGATTGATCTGGGTACTAGATTAAATGTCAGTGAAGAAGACCAGGAGTGGTTTTTGCATTTATTGCTACTACTAATACTAGTTTTACTATATATGGTAGAGGCATACCTGATTTGGCCCCTCCAATCTCTGCCAAAATGGATCTCCTTGGGCCCATTCCTTCACGCCCGGTGTCCCAAAATCAAATTGCTAGTTTCGTGTTAGTGGGGCTTTATAGTGAAGACAGGCGGCATTCACTTCGCGGAGATCAGTTCTCGAAGCCGTAGTCTCAGCTCCGAGACGGGTGTAACCCAAAAATGATGGTGAATTTATCATATTGCTCTGTTCTTTCACTCTTGTGGGTAAATCGAAAAGGCGCGGTATGGCTTCATGAGTGCGGTGAATGAGATCCTTTTTTTTATCAGCACCGATTATTGGTATTAGCGGGAGAGATAATTCACTTCGAGTCCTGTATTTGTGAGGTACAGAAAGCCCACAAGAAAAATGGCTTCTTTCAGTTTGACGAGCTCGCCAGACTTTGTTTGGGGGTCGACCAGGCGAGCAAAGTCAACCGTTGGTACAAATGAGAATGACATGGGTTCTAAGCTCAAGAAACAAGAAGACGTGAATCTGAGAAGCTGAGAATTCGGGAAACGGGAAACTGCAGGTGTGGGACAAGTTCAATGCGTTAATTCAAATGTTGATGGTTGGTTTCCCCGCATGACAAAATCCGAGCTTGATGGCAGGTATTACTCATCAATCTACCTGACTTCACTAGTTAACTACCAGATACATAAGTATCTTTCCACGGGTTCTTCTCCTCTCCGACCCCTCACTTACCAGGAAAGGGATTCTACCCAATCAACAAGACCATTAAGGATCTGATATCAGAGGTTCGGTTTGAGAGGACGAATGAAAAACTTTTATACGTATATTGGAGTATATTACACGACCATGCACCCTGCCTTCAATCAGAATCAAAGATTTTCCGGACACCCCATTCATGCAACCCAGCCGAACACCAGAACCATCCAAGAAATGCAGAGCGACACAAATTTATACGGTGTGCTCTTTCAAAAACGAATGCAAGCTAACCAAATCGTCACTTGGAGCAGGGGTTGGGAGAGTAGTTTGGGCTGCATCAAACTCCCATGCGGCCTCACGTTCATCTCGGTGGCTGCGGAGAGACCGCGGGAGCATCCATTCCTTGAGGCGGTTCTCTAGCATGCCCATGTCTCGATGTCGATCCCACATGCGACCCGACTCCTTGAATGCATGGTTGATTTTCTCGCGACGCAAACTCTCATAGGCATCAAAGACCTCAGAAAGTGGCTCGGAACGATAACGGGCCAGTAGCCGTGCAAATAAGATGGCATCGTCCAACGCGTATGCAGCGGACTCGTCGCGTGGAGGCATCTGTATTACAATGATTTCATAGTTTAGAAAAACTCCATATTTCGAAGAACAGGAAGTATGAGAAACTCACCGCGTGGGCTGCATCACCCAGAAGGATGACGCGACTCATGCACCATCGTCCCCCGGGACGAACCTGGTAAACTGGATAGAGCATCCAGTCTGCTTTGCTAGCTACCATTTCTCTAATACATGGTATTGAGGACTTTGAGAAGCGATCTTGCATTTGTCGCCGTAGAGCGCTGCGGATTCGATTTTGGGTCGCCCAGTCTTGACCCTGCTCGAGCTTATGGTAGCTCAAGTCTTCCTGACTGAACTGCACAATGGCAGCGGCAAAGATCTGCTCCTGATTGCGATCGCAATAACTGGTCAGGATTGACCCGTGGCGTGAAAGGTTCATTGCTGATGAACGGAAATGAGCCGGGGAGGACAATGTTTGTGAGGGGATGGTGGTCTGTAAGAATGAGATGCCTGTATATTGTGAAGGACTGTCAGGGTCGACCCAACGTGATCGAATTGCGGAATGGACACCGTCGCATCCAATGACTAGATCTCCAAGGGCTTCTGATCCATCTTCAAAATGGACCACGGCTTTTCCTTCATGCTCCTCTCCGCCCACCACCTTTTTTCCAAAGACAATGTCAATGTTTCGAGTTCTCTCCACCACTGTTATCATGGCAATGGAAAGCATGATGCGCATGACTCTGCGTCCTTTATATCCTCCAAACCCATTACCGTTATGATCGACAAAATCGATGGAACCAATCGAGCGCCCGGAACGCATGGAGTAGAGCTCAATGGCATCCACCTCAGCCCCACCTTCAGGCCCCATGCGGTCCAGCTCTTCCAATACGCCCAGCTGAGCCAGATGACGCTGAGCAACGGGGGTCAAATTGATTGCACCGCCGGAAGTGGACAAAATGTCATGTCTTTCGTAGATGGTAATAGTCAGGTCCGGTACAAAGGGAGCCAGTTCCCGGGACAAGGCAAGAGCACAGGCGATACCTGCGATGCCTGCCCCGACGATGATGATGTTGTGAGGCAAAGAATCCATTCCAAGGTTTCCGAACTCCCTCGTTCGCCTGCGAACTCGGGTGCAACCGACGGATTGCAGGGGTTTCAAGTCTCCTTTGGAATGTCTGGAGAGCCTTGGAATAATTTCAACGAATCAAGTAGCCCTGCACTGTTTATTTAAAAAAATTGATTTTTTTTCCCCAACGTCCAAGCCGTTCAGTGCGAGATGATTTAGGTATAAATCAAAGTTTTCTAGAACATTATTGAATCTGCTTGACAATCGACACCCTACCCCTTCATCCACTTGGGCAAATTACCCAATATATGACTGACAAGGAGAAAATCGAAGGAAAACAAGGTTTTGGCGACCTTTTCCTCGGCCGGAGTAGGCGATCTTTCGGCCAAGGATACTCGATTTCAACCGTTAGTGGACCCCCGGAAAGGCAATGCCTTCTCCACACGGTTAGGTGACTCTTGATGCATCACAATTTTTTTTTACCTTGAGTTTGGACTTGTAAACGCGACCGGGCACGCGCGGGTGGAGACGATTGGATCGGGGAAGTTCAGTGGCTGAAAGTGCGGTCAGTGTCCGGGAATCAAAGAAAATTTGTACTTAATCAGTACGCGTAAATTGTTGACTTCTTTGTCTTCATTCTACAAAAAAAAAAAAAAAAAAATCCTCACCTTCATTCTAATTTCTAGCTTGTACCCGTTGGGAACCAGTCAACGTGCCGGGTAGCTCTTCTGGCTCCCGAGACTGGAGGCGTTACTCGGTCCGTCTCTTGCCGTTCAAGTCCCACCTGTTCCACCTATGCCTGAATCTACGAATAAAAGCAGGATTGACTACAGCCTATGGAGTAATCCATGAATACAATGATCCCGTTTCCACCTACGAACGAATCGTCGAGTAACGGACTCGTTCGCCAAGAGTCCGGCCAATATCCATTAATCAAAGAAGGCAAAAAGAACCAAAAGGACTAGGTCTGGTGGTTTCTTTCATCGCATGGAGCCTGGGAGGATGACCCACGCCACCGGTGACGAAAACTCTTAGGGGATGCATAGGGAAAGGGGTGGGAAAGAATAAAGAAAATAGAAAATAGAGACAAGAGACAAGGAACATTTGAAAGGCCGCAAGACACAACATTTGAAAATGGGCTGTTTGGCTCTCTCCAGGGCTCCAGTTGGAGGCGCCTGCAGCCACCTGAGCATCTGACAGCAGAGTTCTCCGGGCGTGCGACATGTCGAACCAGTCTTCCTTGCGGACATCAGTGGAGTTGATGGGTTATATGAAACAGCCGTCCACGGGTCCTCTTCCTCCCTTACTCCCTAATCAATATGCACTCCATCTAGCTTCTAGGGCTAAGCCGTAACTGGGCATTTTTAATATATCCCAAGGTTTTACGCGACTCGGACTGCCTTGTCGGAACGCTCGGTTTTCACTTCCTCACTAGCCCACTGACGGGATGCCGAGGCACGGTGGATTTCAAGTTCCAAAACGCAAAAAGGGAACACATAGTGCATATCCCCGCTAATGCAATATTAGTCTCCAGCGTGGGTCTGAAGAATTGAAACAGGGGGGGGTCAGCGAAACCAACCTAACACGCAATTCATCGCGTAATATCCGATTCGTTCGCTTAGCGTTCCCGAAAGAATGGGCCCGACAAAGGTCCCAAGCGTCCAACTCATTCGGGTGACAAACACCGCCCTGGTGTATCCTTCACGTTTGCCGAATACTTCTGGGTGTTCAGTCTCCAACTCGTAAACGGCATCTGGAAGATGGAAGATTAGCATCTTTAGTGCCTCCGGTTGACACTCTCACAGTCCATGGACTTCACTTACTAGTGGCTTCCATCATGCCAACCCCATTCAACAAGGACATGGAAACTCCCGCTCCCATGACACCTGTTACGTACAAAATCTCGTCTCGACTTTCACGATTAAACCACGGGAATTTCTCCTCTCCTGGAATACCTATGAGCCATAACATTATGGCCAGGATAGCGAAACCAAAAGTCGTTGGATGGCGAGTGCCTATTCGTTTCTTCAACCATGCTACTGGAACGCCAAGAAACGCATTCGGGCCTTGGATTGCTCCAAAGAGAAGCCCCGTCGGCAGACTTCCCCAATTGAAAACATGACGAACGTGTAGGGGCAACGTGGTACTGAAGCTTGATGAAACAACTGCATAGCAGATGCTACTGACGATGCCTCCAATATACTGGCTATTCCTGAAAAGATAAACGTACAAGGTCATGTTGAATCTCTTCCAGGAAAGCAGACCTTGTATCTCGACAGCATTTTCGGTCACGAGTGTTGGTATTAAGGGGCTTTGTTCATCAACAACAGATGCTTCGCTGGAATTTTGATCTGCTGGCCTCGGCCTACCATGCATTTGAGGTTTCTTTGTGTCTACCATCAGAAATTGGAGTCCAATGCCAACCAAGCTTGCAATGAATGCATAATTCCAAGCTCTCCAATAACCCGCCAGCTGAAGAAGGGAACCCGCAATCAAAGGCCCAGCAGTTGAGCCCATGGCGAGGGCAACGGTGATAATTCCATTTATCTTGTCCAACTCATCTGTTGATACCTTTCGTGACAGGCTGGTCAATCCAAGTATTCCGACGCTTGTGTTTGCGACCGCTTGCACAAAGCGACCGGAGAACAGAATGGATACTACATTGTCTTGTCAGACTGCAGGTAACACCAGGGGAGAGAGTCTCAACTTGACATACATGAATTAGCAGAAGCGACCGCCATAGAACCAAGCAGCTCACCGATCAGGCCGGCGAGCAGCCAATTATCATTTTCAAGCCGGTCAACATGGTGGTGAATGAACGGGCTAATTGTGAATGAAACCAGCGCGCTCTCTGCGAGCAAAGCAAGGCTGGCTTTCTGGACAAGTTGAGGGTCCAGAAGAAGGCGATCCTCTAGCAGCGTGGGAAGATCCTCTAGCAGCGTGGGAAGAATTGAAACCAAAAAATCATGCAAGAACATGTCTACCGCGATCAGTTCTTGCCTACCACTGGATGGTTTCACACCTCATACCTGTTAACATGGTCGTTGCTACTGCTGCGAGTATAAAGGTCTTTGAGGATCTCCATCCGTATCCCCATGGTAAATTTCTTGCTTTTAAATCCCTCATCCTCTGACAATCCGCCAACTTCTTGGATTTGAGGGAAGGAGTAGATGGCCGCGAAGCAACTGGGGAAGCTCTCAAAAATTTGTATCACGATCGATGCTATGGGAGTTGGGGTCGCCTGAAGAAGAATACTCCGCAGGGCTGTTACCATTATGTAAAATCTGCAGACAAAAAGCAATAGATGCCAATAGTTCTGATTTGGCCAGTCCCGAAAAGGACCCGATCAGCCCCAGAGCTCATTTGGGATCGATCACGGTCCACATGTACTAGGTTGTATTCTATACCCTTAACCTCCGTAAGCCTGGGTTGTCACTATACTTTTGTTTCACTATTATGATTCTGCTTTTTTCTCCTTGTTCCTTTCAAAATATCCAACCAAAACGAGAGGGAGAGACTGAGATGGGCATTCTACGGGATTAGGCATTGGTCAACTTGGAAGCCAGGCGGTGGGAAACAGTTGGAGGGTGGATCCATCACTTTTTGGGAGAATTGCAATGTCAAGACTCAAGAGGTACTGAGTAAGCAAGGAGGCGGTTCCTAGTAATTTTGGGGGGTCGCCCAGACAACATTTGCTGGGAAGGACCAAGACCGTCTTATTCCTTGAACCAATTTGATGAGAACCCTAGAGCTGGAGGGAAAAAGGGGGAAAAGAAGAAATATTCGACTGGATAAGCTTGGATAGAAGTCCAATCAAAAGTAAACGTTTAAAAGTAAAGTAGGAATTCCGGATGCGCGCTAGTGCCACGGTTCCTGAATCCTGCAGGTAACTTGTACATCACTAGTACGCCATGTACACACGTGAGCAACTTCATATGAAGTGCCCACTAATAATACCAGAGTCGACACTGCCGAGGTCCAAAACAAGGAAGATATGTGATCAATTGTATTCTTAACTAGTAGGTAAAGCTATTCGTACAGGAAATCCTTCTATTGATCGCCTATCTCTATCACGACTAGAATATTCCGTGATTCGGCATGCTCCGACAATTCACTTGAATCACCAAATAAACGATAAGCACTGCGTTCAAGACCCACCTAGATTACAACGAGCCACTCACGGGCACGCGGAAGATAGAGATTGTTTATCAGGTACGGTCGAGTTAATGGAGCTTGACCGATTCAACGCCAATCAGAGAAGCAATCGCTATAGGCGACCAAATCTCGGCTGGGTTCTACGTAGATCTCTACCTGAATGGGCTTGTAGCATATCCACTTTCGCATCATAGCCGTCTATAGCGCGAAAAACGCGACGGAAGAGAAATCTTGCACGATTGGCTTTTAATTCAGTACTTATTACCATCGGTCATCCACGTTGGTCAGTGGGGTACTGGAACAAATCTTCTTCAAAATGTTGGTCGGTCGAACTGGTCTGATTGCTTCGTTGTTGCTCAGTGGCGGTGCCCTGGCTTCAGTACACGCACACCATGAAGAGAAAATCACTCCCAAGGTGTTCATTGTGTCGATGGTATGTGGAAAATTGCAAATCTGACTGAAGAGGACCTGCACTAATCGCTCACCGTCCGCAGTTCGAACCTGAGGGCGCAGCCTGGTGGGACATTCCCGAATTCGACCTCCTTGCGCACAACATCACGGTTCCTGGTCTGTCGCCTATCTACCCCGATGTTCACTGCACCGAAAATTACGAGATCTGTCAATTGATCACTGGTGAATCGGAGATCAATGCTGCAACCACCGTTGCTTCCGTCGCCTTCTCTTCGCTGTTCAATCTGACTCAGACATATTTCTTCATTGCCGGTATTGCTGGCGTTAACCCTGAACGGGCCACCACTGGCTCCGCGACATTTGCACGATACGCGGTCCAAGTTGCATTGCAATACGAGATCGACATTCGCGAATTACCCAGCACCTACCAAACCGGATACTTTCCCCTAGGATCAGATTTCCCCAACCAGTATCCCAGCAGCATCTATGGCACCGAGGTCTTCGAGGTAAACGACGACCTCCGGAAGATCGCTGCCAAGTTCGCCCGTCAAGGCAACTTATCTGATTCAACTACTGCCCAAGCCTACCGCGCACACTACGCGACTTCTAGCGGACAGTACAAGGCTGCCACTCTCCCACCGTCTATCGTGGAGTGCGATGTCGCAACCTCGGATGTGTACTACAGCGGAAACATCCTTGGCAATGCATTCGCCAACACCACCAAGCTATTCACCAACGGTACCGGCGATTACTGCACCAGTGCGCAGGAGGACAATGCCACCCTCGAGGCTCTCCTTCGTGCTGCCGTTCACAAGCTCACTGATTTCTCCCGCATTATTGTGATGCGTACCGCTTCGGACTTTGATCGTCCCTATCCTGGCTCCTCTGCCACTTACAACCTCCTCTATGCTGAGGCCGGTGGCTATGAGCCTGCCATTGCGAACATCTACCGTGCCGGTATCCACGTTGTTCAGGGTATTTTGAACAACTGGGAAAGTACCTTTTCTTGTGGTGTGGAGCCTTCCAACTACATCGGTGATATTTTCGGTACTCTGGGTGGTCAGCCCGATTTCGGCCCTGGACGCGCCGAGGCTCTGGTGAACAGCGGAGCTTACAAGAAGCGAAGCATGGAGAACCGTCTTCGTCGCAAGTAAATCATTCTTCGCGGCCCAATGTTATAAAAGTTAAACTGCAACCTCGGAAACAGTTGATTTTTTGTTGTATATACACCGCACTCATATCTGCCTCTGGGTCCCTACATATTATGCACAGATGTCATTTGTAGCTATTTATTTTGAATGTATGAGTAATCTCTATTATAATTCCGAAAAGGACCGTCAGATCCTTCTCTTCACTTAATCGACCAAGTCGAAACATTTGAATAGATTTAGGATAACTGGAGGTTCAAACAGACGAAATGAGGCGCTTTTTAAACTTCTGATGTTGATTGCTAATCCGGCACTTTGCGGAGTAACCTTGGAAACCCCTCACGGCTCACGGCCCACGGCACCGAACAATGTTATCCTATAACTCACTTCCCAGCTTTGGCATTGCATCGGTGGCTCTCGACAAAAAATAAACATTGCAACCCTTGAAAAAAAAAGAAAAAAGAAAGAAAGAAAAATGGTTTCCGTCATCCAGGCCCAGAAAACCGCCCTTATCACTGGAGCCGCCTCGGGGGTTGGATTTGCCGTGGCAAAGCTCTGTCGGAGCAAGGGCATGCATCTTGCCTTGCTGGATATCGATCAGGAGAATCTGGCCGAGACAAAAAGAGTCTTGACCGACCTTGATCCATCTCTCAAGACAGAAGCATATACATTTGACGTGGCTGATGTTGCCGCGTGGAAACAATCCGCCGCGGAGATCAAGGAGATCTTTCCTGATATCGACCTGGTGGTTTTGAATGCGGGAAAGGGCTACAAGCCTAAAGAATCCTCTCCAAATCGCCTTAATCAATGGCTGGATGGAGAATACTGGCGGAAGGTCAGTCATCAGCTCCGTGGACATCCTCAATCGTATGCTAACGTGGGCCAGACTCTTGACACAAATGTATACGGTCCCCTGAATGGTTTAGAAGTTCTTCTCCCCCTGATCCTCTCGTCGAAATCTCAAGCACCCAAATCTATTGTCGTGACCGGCTCCAAACAAGGCATTACGAACCCACCCGGTGGATCCAACCCGGCATACAACGCGTCCAAGGCTGCAATCAAGAGTCTGACCGAGCATCTTGCCTACGACCTACGTTCTGATCCGACAACTGCCCATATATCCGTTCACCTCCTGATCCCCGGTTGGACATGGACCGGACTTATGGGGAATGTCGGTCCGACTGATGAGCAGGAAGTCAAGAAGCCAGAGGGGGCCTGGTATCCTAGTCAAGTGGCCACAGAGCTCTTGCAAGGGCTGGAAAATGGATTATTCTATATCGTCTGTCCTGATGGTGAAACCGATCGCGCTCTAGATCAAGCGCGCATGAAGTGGGGTAGTGAAGATGTCGTCGAGGGTAGACCGGCACTGTCTCGTTGGGAAGATAATTGGAAGGTCCGTGCAGATGAAGCGATCCGAGCAGATGCAGAGGTCCGAAGAAGTTAAACCGGCCTCTTCCTCTTCCTTGGGAGTCTCTCAACATTTGAAAATCTCTTAAGAGTTGTTCAAATGTTGACCTTGGTCGATATTTATGAGATGCTGCCAAGCCCTCAATCAAGCTTCCTCGTATACATACATCAATGCATCAGGTTACAGGTATATATTATACTATGATGTACATTTTGTTCCCCTTGAGAGTAAAGTCTGGTCGATCATCGCGGTTGTTTTTTTTTTTTTTTTTTTTTTTTTTGATCTTCAATTTCCAAGGCGAAGGGGTCCGGTTCTTGCTCTTCCTTTTTTTTTTTTTTTGTGGGAGACGTGCTCCTCAATACCTTAAGAGAGTGAGGCGTCAGACTCGTCAGAGATGCAACCCCATCTGCCGCATTTGGGTAGACTCGGCCTAGATCTTGATCACGATTCACGATCTTTCCCAGCTTTTCTTTTCGTGAAGCAAGGCTTGAGAGACCATGAAAGGAAAAAGAAAAAAAGAAGTCAACCTCTCAGAAGGGGAATTCCACGCGTGGAAGATGACCTTCCATGATCCCTGAGCGGAATGCTGATCCCCATCGCCTTCGCGCTTCCTAACCTCGGCAACCACCCAATCCGATAATTTTCCCCGCGAATGGACCGCTTGGACCCTGAGTCTAAGATGCAACCGTCAATTACACTCAGAGTCGATCAACTCCCCTTTTCTGTGCGCTATTGTGCGGAGAAGCGTGGGGGTGACATCTCGATGCAACATTCTTCTTATCTAATGAGCAAGGGATGCCTACAAATGCCATGATTGATAACGCACCACGCCCTCGAAGCTCTTCAACTTCTACGAGCAACCATTGATGGAAAGAAGTCGGTCAATTTATATTCTTCCCGCTAGTATCTACTATTCCACGGTTTGGTCATGTCGGCACACTCTCTGCAACCACCCTCGGTGAATGATATCGCCAAAACGGCATCGTTCAAAGCTGTCGACGACCCCAACAATTTACAGGGATATGCGTCCGCACCTGGGGTGATTGACGAAGTCACTCGCGTGGTCGACCACAAGGCCGAGCGGCGTCTTTGCCGACGGTTCGACTTTCGTCTTCTCCCTGTTTTAGCAATCATGTGTACGTCTCTGAGACTCTGTCTGGCAAAATCTTTTATTCAGCTGAAGGTTTATTAACAAAGTTTAGACCTGTTCAATGCCCTCGACAAAGGCAACTTGGGAAATGCCGAAACCGCTGGAATGGCCGACGGTGAGGCTTACAGATCATTCTACGTTTGCTTTGATGCTAATTTGGCCTCCAGACCTTCACTTCAAGCCCAATCAATACAACCTTCTATTGTCAATCTTCTTTATACCCTTTGTCATATTTGCACCCCCTTTCTCGATGCTCGGGAAGAAGTTCAGTCCTGCTCGAGTGCTACCAATCCTGATGTTTTCCTTCGGCTGCTTCACTATGCTCTCCTCGGCTGCGAACAACTTTGGTGGTCTCTTCGCCATACGGTGGTTTTTGGGCATGTCCGAGGCAGCATTCTTTCCCTTGGTGATCTATTACTTGACAACTTTCTACCGACGTGGTGAACTTGCTCGTCGCCTGGCTATCTTCTATGCTGCTTCTAACATCGCCAACGCCTTTTCTGGTTTGATCGCATTTGGCGTCTTCCAGATTAAAGGATCAAGTATCCCGAATTGGCGTTATCTCTTTATCATCGAAGGCGCTGTCACCGTCGTTTGTGCAACCTTTGCTTTCTTCTACCTTCCCAAGAGTGCTGCCGAGGCGAGTTTCCTGTCGGAGGAGGAGAAAGCTCTAGCTTTCCATCGTATCCAGGTTGACTCCAGTGCCGTGGTGAACGAGAAGTTCAGCTTGCGGGAAGCTCTTGTGATTTTCAAGCATCCGACAACCTATGTTTTCCTTTGTATTGAAATTTGCTTGGGTGTTCCTTTGCAGGGCGTCGCCCTTTTCATGCCCCAAATTGTCGCTCGGCTAGGTTACCCGACCGTTAAAACCAACCTCTATACTGTGGCTCCGAACGTGACAGGCGCAGCTATGCTTCTTGTCCTGGCCTTTCTCTCCGATTGGACACGGTTGAGATCCCCTTTCATCGTCCTCGGTTTCTTATTGACTTTTTCCGGATTCATGATCTACGCATCGATCGACGATGTCAAAAGCGAGTTACAGCTGGCCTATTTCGCCACTTTCATGATGACCTGGGGCACATCAGCCCCTTCGGTAATGCTAAGTACGTGGTATAATAACAATATCGCCCACGAAGGCCGCCGTGTACTCCTGACGAGCATTGGTGTTCCATTGGCCAATCTCATGGGACTAGTCGGCAGTAATGTCTTCCGCCAGCAAGATGCGCCCAAATATATGCCCGCGCTGATTACGGTGTCAGCATTCGGTGCAACGGGTGCATGTCTAGCAGGTCTTTTGGCATTGTATATGTTGTTAGATAACAAGCGACGCGATCTACGTGACGGGGTCACCATTCGAGCGAGGGATATTCCCACAGAGCGAATGCGAGATGGTCCTGCATCACCCGAGTTCCGCTGGTTTTTGTGATCCGGTCATTCATGTCTTCAATGTTTACATATTCGTATTGAGAGTCCAATTGTGTCCATACAATGTACATGTACCTTATCTCGTCCCTTATACCAGGCTAATTATGCAAAGGTCACACAGTTTACTTGGTCCAAGAGTCGTTGAGTCCCCAGCCCTAGAGTCATTTGACACAATCGTCGGGACTTGGAAGGTGATTTACTATCTTTAAATTCGAGGACGTGAATATAGTACTAAGTACCTAGAATAGAGTACCTGCTAAAGCTCCAACCTTGGAAGGGGAAGTTCGCAGCTCCGTTCTCCCTGGAGATGGCCCAACCCGTGTGTTGTATTGGACTGACTCGGAAGATTTCCTTCAGCCTAGATACTTGACCTTGGAATTTGGGAAATCGGCTTATGCTGATCGTGCATAGTGTGTGCATATTGCTGCAGTTCACACACCTATTTGCCCCTCTTTTGCTCGGTAGACCCCTCAATGTACGTATTCATTGCATGCGACCGATATGGACACCGAAACTGATGGAAACTCGCCGTAATTGCGAGTTTGTGAGGATTGTGTGACCGCACATGAAGAAAATGAGGGGTCAATCAGCTTAACAGCCTGCATGTGCTCCAATCCATTGGTCCCTTAAAAGAGCCAGAGGAAATTCCCTTTCCTCTTTCTCACACCTCCTCTTCAGATCTCAATTGAAACCCTGCCCTTGAATCACAATGACTGCCTCTCGAGACCCCTTGGATTCTATCGGGCGCAACGAGGCCCCGGCTCTTCGGCCAGTGATCACACACATCACCGGTCACAATGCAGAGGGTAAAGCTATTTTACTCTCTTCGAAGGAGTCACCTCGTTCCTTTCACGGACATGTCACTCCAGGCCAGTCGCACCGGATGTCCTTCAGTGTGGCTTATACGACTTCGCAGTTTCCACCGGATTTGAACAATGATGCCGATTTAAAGGCACATAGCACGGTCGTTGACTCAGGAAATTTGGGCTTAGTGAATCCTGGAGGATCAGTCTTCCGCATTGTGGATTTTGCACCGAATAGCCCCGCGGCGGTTCACCGGACCCAAAGTCTTGATTATGGGATTGTATTGGAAGGTCAGATTGAGATGATCTTGGAGGATGGAGAGCCTGTTTTGTTGCAGCGGGGTGACCATGCTATTCAACGTGCCACCATGCATGGCTGGCGCAACCCAAGTCCGACCGAGTGGACACGCATGGCTTTTGTTCTGCAAGACTGCAAACCCTTGACTGTTGGGGGAACATGTCTCAAGGAGGATTTGGGTCCCATGGAAGGAGTCATCAACTCTAGTGGGAATGACCAATAGAGCTCTTGCAGATGTCCACCTGTTTTTCCGTTATGTGCTTATCTTCTTTGGTTGTGACTGGTATTGAATCGGAATACCAATGTGAAATTTTCAAATATTCGATCGACAAATGTTGAACCAGACCCTCGGCCAAACATAATTACTCATGATACTTTGTTCAATCATGTGTGTTGGAGGCGCAACGCCGAGACCTTGAAATATTGAATCAACATATTGATGCTCGTTCAAATGTTCAATGTTGCAACGTGCTTTGCATGGATCCCAATGTTCCAAGCTTATATTTCATCCCGATAACATTTAATATAAGAAACATCCGGGTAGGTATTGCTATATACTATGACTGGACTTTGATAACCACTTTTCCAAAATGGCTGCCACTATCCACAAACCTGAATGCTTCCTTGGCATCGGCGAAGGAAAAAACTCGGTGAACCACCGGATGGATCTGGCTTTTTTCATAAAAGCTAATCATTTCTTTAAAGCGGTCTTTAGGGCCGTTGATGATACCCTTAAGAGTTACAGTGCGTCTCAGGGCCAAAATGTTCACATTCAGTCGATCGTCGGCCGCATCTACTTTGCCTGATACGTAACCAATGCAGTCGATCAGGCCGCCAAACGCAATGCAGTCGAAGCTCTTCCTGATCGTTTGGGCTCCACCGGTCTCAAGAATAATATCGGCGCCGTGGTTTTTTGTGAATCGCATCACCTCTGCTTCCCAGTTTGGGGTGGTCCGGTAGTTGATTGTAAAGTCGGCGCCCAGCTCTTTGGCTTGTTCCAACTTTGCATCAGACGAAGATGTGATAATTACTATAAAGTCAGCACTAAAAGGTCATTCAATATTATCCCCTCATAGCTGGGGCCAATGACTGCTGTCCTCGTAACACACCTATGGCGCCAGCAGCCTTGGCAATTTGTAATCCTGCTATGGCTACACCTCCGGTACCTTGAAGTAGGATGTACTCATCCTTTCCGCCATCTTGTCCCATTGGTCGCATTCCATTGATGGACATCCACGCAGTCACCGCTGCAATGGGCAAGGTACAGGCTTCCTCGTCAGACATGAATGCAGGAGCCAAGACCAATCCATGTGCGGGGAAAATGCGGTGAGTGGAAAGGACCCCGTCCAAGGGGAGACCTAAACTTCCAGCAAGTTGGCTCTCCGAGACTTGGCCAGTTTGGTGCTCAGGTAGAAAGGTGGACAGAACACGACTGCCTACGGCCCACTGCGATACATCGGGTCCAATGGCAATGATGGTCCCGCACATATCCGAGCACGGCACGATGGTGGCGTCTTGCTCGGCACTTTTGTGGTGCTTATATTCACCCTTGGTCACTAAAGGTCGTTAACTGTTTAATTCATCATACAGTATCGGAGGAATCTAACTCACCCTCCACATCTCGGTAGTTTAGAGAAACTGCGCTGATCTTGACCAGTACCTCTCCCGGGCCTGGCGACGGCATCAGGTCCTCGATTTGGCGGAGGCTTTCTAGCCCCTGAAGGGGCGTAACCCATTTCTGAACAGCCATGACTGGAACAGCGGAATAGATGCTTATACAAAAAATCGAGTCCTCATGAAAGCGAGCCTTGAGATAGTTTATTTCATCCGCGAAAATAGAAGTCGCTGCACCCCGCCTAGACAACTTGGGAAGAGTGGGACAAGGTCACAAGATTGGAGTAAAAGCTTAGTCATGTGGATTAACCCTCCTAAAGTTCCAACTTCAAACTCCCTTGCCTCTTCGACAACCTGCTGTGATCGCCATTGCTGCAGCGCTTTCGGTCTTATTGGTATATTCAGCTAGATCATGACGAGACTCTGCGCAGTCCCACCACAATCTTCTGCTTAAAATAGGGAGGCGCATGATGAATAGAGCGGGACAGCGGAGAACCCCTTAAATCCGCACAAACTCCGATTCAAATAAATGCGTCGTGGCTCGCGCTTTTTTCAAGGTTCTTATTCAAAACTCCTGAAGTTTGGACAGCTTCTATCAAACTTTGCATAATGGCGGATGACCAAACATCTCTGCAAGCAGATATTCCAGGTCTGCGAACATATCACGTTGTACTGAGCTGAGAAAGTCCGCTGATGTGTCAAGTTAACAGCCCACTTCTTACATTCACCAACCTCACAAGATGATTTGCATTTACCTCAGACTATCGCCCATCGCGGGTATAAGGGCCAATACCCCGAAAATACCATCTGCGCCATTGATAAAGCAATCACAGCAGGAACGCATGCTCTTGAGTTAGATTTGCACCTCTCTCGGGACGGAGTCGTTGTTTTGTCACATGTGAGCATAGCCATTCAGACTTGAGAGAAACATACTTATCACAAGTAGGATGTGCTATTGCAACGTTGCTTTGGTATCAAGAAAAGAGTTTCTGACTGCGACTGGGACTACTTGAAAACTCTTCGTACATTGCAAGCACCGCATGAGCCGATGCCGCGGTTACTAGACGTCTTAGAATATCTGCGACAACCCGGCCGTGAAAGTGTCTGGGTTCTGCTGGACATCAAAGTACGTTTAATGATTACTTGGTGTTATTTTCACAACGTGATCGTGCCTAACTCTCCACTAGCTTCAAAATGATCCTGCTACAATTATGCAGGGTATCGCCAAGGTGGTCGAGTCAGTGCCCATTCCGGCTATAGGCCCAGATTGGCATCGACGCCTTGTTCTTGGCTGCTGGTCAGCCCGATATCTACCCCCTCGTGCCAAGTATCTCCCCCGGTACGAGATGGCGCTGATATGTGTTGACTTGAGCTATGCTCGCCAGTTCCTGCACGTGCCTCGCATTTCATTCAATATCCATCAAAAAAGCTTGATGGGTCCGTTAGGTCGTGGGTTCTTGGAGGAGGCGCGTGCGGCTCGTCGTAAGGTGTATCTATGGACAGTGAACGCGCCAAATTTGATGAGATGGGGTATCAGACACCAGGTAGATGGTATTATCACAGATGACCCACTGCGGTATCAAGAAGTCCGCGAGCAGTGGGCGTCGGAACAGAGGAAAGGAGCGCTTGCCTCTTCCAATCCAAAGGCAGATCGCCTGACCTTGGGACAACAAGTTGAGATCATTCTAGTGGCGGTTTATGTCCTCACGTTTGGCTGGTTCCTCAAGCGCAAATATCTTCCAACGGTGGAGCGTGTACGCATCGAGGAGCGAAAGATGGCGTGAGGTATAACAAGTGGTCCCGAGGTCTGAACTAGATGTTATAGGCATGATAACATCATTTCGGATTCCTTCAATAGGAAATTATATTCACTCAACACTACACGGATATGAAATAATAACACGCCAATATTTGAACACCAATCCGATGAGGCTAAATGGGGACATGCATGTGCCAACATAAGTTGACTAAGCAGAGAAAAATTCAGTTGATGGATGTAAATCACAGCGCCAAATGTAATGGTGGGGAGGGGCAAGTATTATGTATATTAATCGAGAGAGTGCATATGGAAATCCATAATAAAATATAATGAACGACAAACACCGGTTCGGCGGTAGCTCAGGAAATGGAATGCGTCAGAGTCAGATATAGTATGAAGGGTATAGTGCAGCCCAAAAGCAAAGGATATTTTAGGCAATAAAATGGCGTCAAGCTTGGCGATGAACGGAAAGCAGATAAACAAGGGGCCCAGCTGAAAGCAAGATAGATCTCCGAATGGACGCCGCACCGGGCAGGTCAGAGGAAAGGTAAAGAACACGCTTTTTAAAACATCATGAGCTTGGTCGTTCGTCTCTCAGGGAAGCGTCCGGCACCGCCAGGGGGAAAGCGGGGGCCCGGGCGAAGGCCCTGATTAGGCGTATGTGGAGGGTGTGGGTAGCCGCTCGGGGGAGGATATCCACCGGACTGGGCCAATGGTGAAGATCCGATCGTAGGTCGTCGGCGGCCGGGCGATGGTGGGTGATAGGTCGCTGCTGCGCGGCGGGCATCTCGCTCGCAATAGACCCCTCCATTCCACTCAAAGTAGTCTCCTTTCAGGAGCATATGGCAAGTACGACACTGTAGACAGCCAGGGTGAAATCGGCGGCGATCAGGTCGGTTCTGGTTCCGCTCTACGGTCTCCAGATACTGACCCTCGATTCCACAGTGGCAGGTGCCACATAAAGATCCGTTTCGCTCATGGTAGTGCTGTGCACAATAAGGGCGGTTATTCAGAACATAAAAGTCTGCAGTTTGGAAAGGCGAGGAACACTCAAAGCAGACAAAGCAGCCGCGGTGGTATCTTCCTGTCAAGCGACCATCCGAGGAAGAGACTGATTTGCCGGTGATTTCCTCGCCACAGCCTTTGCATTGACCTTTGCTCCGGATGGTTGATCGGGTCGAGTGTCGGGGAAGTGGCGCCGTTGCCGACCGCTGCACGGGTCGAGGGGAGGGAGGCGCTTGAGATTCAATTTCCAGCTCAGGTTGAGGTTCTTTTCTATCTTCATGGACGTTGGGCGCTAAGGATGCTTGAGGTTCCTGAGGCTGTGAAGTTTGCAATGGCTTCTCTCGTTTTTCAACAATCAGGGATAAAATTCCTCGGTTAATAGCAGGATCAGTGGGGGAGTCTGGACTAAAAAATGCCGCTGGGATTGTGGGCACCTCATCCATTGTACTGCGCACACGACCTGGTAATTCCATAATTGTTTGTCGTGTTCTTGCGGGCAGCTCTTCGACCAAGGGGCCAAGATTGAGCGGATCCGTAGCCTTGTGTCGGTTGAGACTCGTGTCAGATGGAAGACTAGACATGGAGCTGCCACTGTGGGTTTCTGACGCTGAGGAATTAGATGACAAAGAGCTGTCTGCGTCAGGAACGAGATCGTCTAACCCCAGAGCTCGCGCAAAGCTTGTGATTGAGAGAGCGCTTTCGCTTGCATCCGAATTCTTTCTCGGTGAATCGTATACAGACTCGGCCGCGGTTGGGTGTAGATGATTCTGCGAGAGTATGCTGTGCTCATGCTCGGGGCTGTCATTGATATCTGTGGGAGAACCTTCCTCCGGGAGATCATGCAAAGCCGTGGACTTCGCCGGGAGGTCGAAGTCAAACCCGCTATAGGTTTCCCCACTTCGCTCACTTCGATTCGATGAGCGCACCGATAAGTGCAAGTCTTGGGAGAACGATGATTTTTTAGGTGTGCGGAGTGGTGCAGGTGGCAGCGGAGGGGTGTCATCTATAAAAGTGCGAAACCCTCGTGAAAAGCTGTTTGTTGACGATCTTGCTGTTGAGCTTCCATGGCGACTGCTTGACAAAGACGTGCGATAGCTGCTGTGGCTGGCTAGGGAATCCTCCCGTTGGTGGCTCATCTCTGGTGTCTCGGAAGTTGGCGGAAGAGGACTCGCTGGGAGCTGTACATTTTCTGGCGCCAGGTCCAGGCCGCCTCCTAATCGTGGAGATGGGGTTGCCACAGATCGAGATGGTGCTAGACCTAGCAATGCCGGGGTGGAGATACGAGCCGGCGATCGATTCCCTGGCATGGGGAAGGAGAACACCGAGTCCAAATTGATCACAGATTCATCGTCCGGGGATACCTCGCCATGGGGGGATGACTGAAATGGAGAGCGAGGCGCCGACGCCAATAGAGGCGATGGCGCATGCACACTGCTCGCCGGTGTTGGTATATTCGGTTGTAGGAATGCACGATCTGGCCTAGGCATCAGTCACTAGTCCCTTTTTTGGTTTTTCATTTGTGATCACATACTTGCGATAGACGGGTCAATTCGGGGGGAACCCCAGACCGACCAGGTTTGGCAGCCATGGCAGCCGTTAATCGGTCTGGGGAGTCGAACCCCGCAGATGGGGGTGGTGATGGAGGTGCAAAAGGGGCTGGTCGCGTGTCAGCAATGAAGACTATATGAATTCTATGTGATATCATAGATATGGAGATGCGAATGGCTTACCACGAAAGACCGGGGCACACACATGGTCCCCCATAGAGAAGATCTCAACATTGTTCCCACAACTAGAGCATTTAATAGTGGGCAAGAAGCCCATATCCATTGCCATTTTTCTAACTCAAACCACCAGGGTCATGGGAATCTGGGCCGGTAAGCCCCAGCTTCATCCCTCGAATTATTAGGGATAGATTTTGCGTATAGGATTTCAAGATGTAGGGAAGATTGATTTTCTGGAAGGGGCTGTTTAGAATATGGGCGTTTGGAATGGGGATTTGGACATAAAGTGGAGAAAACTGGGAAATTGGACGATCGCCTATCGTGAGAGAATGCAATGTGAAGAGTGGGAAGCGGGAACCAGTTGAGTGTCCCCATGCACCACGCTAGTCACGTAGCGTCTCCAGTGCGGATGGAGTGACTCGTAAGTCCTCACGTTCTGCTTTTTCAGGGGTAAAATAAGAAAAGATTGAGGAAATAAATAAGAAATAAGAAATCCATACAACATGCACAATAGTGGTATTGTGTCTTGTGCTTTTCTCCTAGGTTTAAATGTTAACTACTTGGTATGGCTTCATTGTACAATATAACTTCGAAATCTATACTCCGTACAGCCTACAATGTGGCAGATGTGGACATGATGGCTCAGGGGATAAGATGGAAAACAACATTAAAAGCCGTAAAAAAAAAAAAAAAAAAAAAAAAAAAAAGCAGCCTGGGGTTTCTCATCTCTCGTGGCGTAATTGGGTAGTAAATATGCCAGTGGTATCTTTTTCAACACACAAAAGGGTCCTCGGATCCTCGGACTGGCTCCACTTGCCAATGCTTTTTGTAATCCAATCATGCTTTAATCTGAAGTCCATGCAGGATCGGTGGAGACACTAACCACCACAATTCCAAGGAGGTAAACCGTAAACTGCAAAACTCCCCGATCTAGATCGAAAGGACGCTGACGTGACAGCCTACAGGGCAGCTCAACCCTCCAAGGATTGATCGGCGCTTGACGCCCTCCAATCTCTCTAAAAAAAGAAATGTGACCGTCACGGTACGACTCAAACCATGATGTGCTCCGGTCGGCTGCTTGCACTTGCCCGCTTTTTGAGCTTCCCCCTAAATCATAAGCTTCCTTCTCATGCAGGTCAGCAACAAAATCTGTTCTGTACCCTAGGTGTTACGAACTTGCCACTCCAGAAAATGGGTGGGCCAACCGTGTTGATATGATGCTTTTGGTTAGGATTTGGATGAACCGGTTCTGTTCCTGTCGATCTTTGATTCCATTGCGCCTCCGTTAACTTTCCCCTTTTTGTAACTTAAAAAAGATATAAGCCATACTCCGTACACCCGACAACTATGTATCGTAGAAGGGACTGAAGGATTTGACAACGCCACGCCACATATGGCCCACACCCCCTTACGGGTCTGGCACTACGTAGGGACATCAGCGACTAAGGTTCACCCTGACATCCTCCAAAAAGTTACTTGCATCGGCCTGTGCCTGCGCAATTCGTTTACGACAACGGCCCTGCCGTCAGGATCCCAGGCTTATGCACAGGAATCAATATCCAAGTGACTTCATTTCATTAATTTCCGATCGCTAGGGATGCACAATAAGTCAGACTCAGTCACTCTTGAAGGGAGAGCGTCTTGGTGTCGGCAGACTTAGCGTGCCAGGGAGAGCTAAATCTAATGCCAGTACAATTGATATTGATGTGAGAAAGCACTTGAGCTCAAGTGCTACATACTCATTTCGAGACTGGACAGTTTTTTCTAAATGTTCCAACCCCACTTTTCAAGTTCAAACCAGCAATCCTATACATATATCAATTCAATGTTGCAGGTAGGTACATATGTATAATTTAAATATATATCAATTATACATAAGGTACCAGCACTGAACTCAAGGGTACCAACATTCTTGATTCAATGTTTGCGTTGACCTTAGAACATTTGAAGATTCTACATGTCAGTTGACTTTGAACTAGTATGTACATAGGTACACACACCGCACTCAAGTGCTATGTGCACTCATCAATCAATTCCAACCTTAGTACATATGAAGGCTGGTCTAATCAATCAATCTCAAGTGCTTCAAATGCTTAGCCCTTGGGGCCACAAATTGATGTTAAATTCAATGTTTTGATTCTTGCGTGGCCCTCTTTGGTTTCCAAGGTTGTCAAGTGCACAAGTGGGCTCTTTCTTGGATTCTGGAAATAACATAGTCCAGCCCCAGATACACCCGTGTTTTTCAAATATTGTACAGGTTCCGAAGGGGGTAATGCTGTAATATCATGCGCAGATTGACTTGAGATAAACTATCAAGAATGTCAGATTAAGTCAAAGGGGCGTCTTCTAGAAAGAGAAGTCAACTTTTGCCCATTTCCCCCTTTTTCTTGTGTGCTTCTCTTATTTTTACCAAGGTGAATTAATCCAATCATCTCACGCGCTAGTAGAAACTACTCTATCAAGGAATCTCTTGTTGAGAAGAGAACTTTCGGTTATAAGACGCGACCTGGAAACTTGCCCAGGTGGTATCTTGAAATCGAAACCGTCGAGGTTCAAGATACCATATACTTAAATATTGTTTCCAACGCAAAGTTACGTAGGCAATCTCTACTGCCTAGGGAACATACTAAGACTTATTTGCTTATCCCAACTGCATTAATTCTTTCAGCCTCGGAGGCTCGTTTCCCATGCAATGATTTTTTTTTCTTCTCATATCTTCAAAAGGCTTCTGGAATGAGCCCTAGAGTACTCCGGCCCACCTAGGTAGGTACATAGTACCTACTTTTACTTCCAATGTACCCACCTACTAGTAGATACCTAGGTTTGCATGCAGACACTTTCAAGGCCCTGAAGTAAGAAGCACTTGGGCACCTGTCAAGCTGACCTGGATCTTTGAACGGTCACTGCTGTCAGGGAAATATAGGTGCTTTTCTGCTGTGCTTCCCCATTGTCGCTTTCTGTCACTTTGTCCAGGATCAGCGTTAGCAGGAACGAGCCTGTTGCCCTTCTGCTTTATATAAAGGTCCAGACTGCCGCTTCTCCTTCCCCTTCTCTCTCCAGAGGAGCTCAACTTAGTCAATTAAGCCCTCGTTCGCTTGTCGTCGTGCTCCTTCGGTAGCCCTCCAGGAAAAGCATGGGGCATGGTTGTGTATCTATACGGTTCATATCGCACATGCATGCCTTTTTGAGGCCATGTCACTTGAATCGCTTGTTAGGTGGACCCAGTCAGACGTGAACGGACTCTTGCCGTTGCGTCCCAAGGTCTCCGGTCCAGATGTCATCATAGCTGGCGCTGTCGTTCTTGGAAATGTTCGTGCGATCTCTCACTCTCTTTCGCAGATCATAAGAGTATAGTACCTAGTATGCACCTCTCTACCACTAAACTGGTCATGCTGGCTGACACCTATGGTATAGACATTTTCCAAATTATTCCGTACCTGGGAGAGTTGGTTGCACTCTGGATGAGCTATAGGATTCGTTTTCTTGAAACAGATGGCTGATGCCGTATCTCTTTTTTTTTTTTTTTTTTTTTTTTTTTTTTTTTTACCTTGCTCGATTGGACCGGAAGACATGGCTGCAGATCGGGATCCTCGGAAGGATGGGGGCCATCGTTGGGATTGCTGTACTGCAATGGCACGCTGAGCACCACCCAGATGACAGAGCCAACCACACAAAAAATCATGTTTCTATAAATGTTCTATGTGTTTTTCAACACCAGCTGGAGGGTTGGATCATGGACCTATGCAGAAGAGATCTTCCTTGGGTCTATGCGAGCAAAGGGTAATGTTCTCATCACGGCATCCCTTTGGGTGGCATTGATGATAAAGTTGTATGATGGCACAGGCAAATTCGCAGATTGGGGATGTCATTTATTGCGGCTTGCGGAGCAAGCTGCGATCAAGATGGCAGCCGAAGAACACGTGGAGGATATGGGATCATCCCCCGGATGATAGCACAAGCGTGTCGGTGTCATCTACTAGAATCCATTGGCAAATTCTTCAAAGTTGGCGTTGCCATTAGGTCCTAATATTCATTATCCACTGGTGCAGGCATTAACCATACTCGGACCGCAACCTACTGTTTGATTCTGTTTCTCTATTTCTCTCGCTAATGTCAAAACCCTGGAAGTGCGGTGTGCGTGGGACAGTGGGACAATATAGAGTGGGGCGTGTCCAATATTACGGGTACGCAGACCGCTTGATTTTCCCCTTGTTTTCGCCCCGCGCGGGTGCCGAGTGGTCGGCATGTTGTACGAGGCACGGTTCACCTCTTGGTGCGAGACCGAGGGGTAAGTGGATGATCTGCTGCACCAGCACATCCATGGCATTTCAATATGGATTACGGAGTATGCATTTATTACCTTCAAGAGAATCCGATGTGATTCAATCAAGAGTGTACAGGTTACTCCGTACGGGGCACGAAATTCCAGAGCGATAATAGAAAAAGGGGAAGCCCGAACAACAATTGACAGCCGAGTGCGGTCCCGGGGTTCCCCAGCTCTAACATTACCATTGGCCCATGGGGGACATGAGGACTCGTGGCTCCCGGGAAGAGCTGTATCGGACATATACGGAGCCCACTGGTTTTCTCGTCTTTCTTCGTATTGTCGTATTTCTTTCGTTTTTTTTTCTTTCTGCTTCTTTTTTGTTTTTTGTTTTCGGTGCTCTCCATTTACTTTATTTACAACTGATTTCCATTCTCTTCAAGTCAATATGAGAGTAGTTTCAAGTTTGTACGGAGTACATTATACCGGAGAATCACTAGTTGCCCAACAACTCTCACCACTGGACCCTTTTGGCTTTGAAAGGGTTTAATTCGGCAAGATTAGCAAAAGTAAAAAGCACGCGAGATAGTGAAAAAAAAAAACACTAAAAAAGTTCGAATCCACAAACCCCAATGGAAAAAAAAAGGAAATAGGGGGGGGAATCGTGCCAAAGTGTACTAGACTCAGGACACCCGGGGTCTGATGTGAACCCCGGAGCCCGGCGGAGTCTCACGTGCGGGCAATACTATTTAGTATTTAATTCCAGGTCCAACCCTCCTTCCTTTCTTTTTCCTTCCCAACAATCCAATTATCTCTTTCCCCCTTTCTACCTTTACGGTTCGTATAAGCCTTATCAATAGGTTCGATCACTTCTCCTCGAGACGTGATCACATACTACCGGCACCATTTTCTCCACACATCTCAACTCGTAAGTGGCCCCCTTATCCAGGAAAAGGAAACCCCGACGGAGCCCATCTATATGGCTTCAATGGCAGAATGATGGCCTCGGACCAGACAATTGACCTGCTCTCTTTCTTCAGGCGCCACCACCCGTTCAACGGCCGACGCACCTCCAGCCGCGGAGGAGCACCGGATCAACCGCTTTACACGCAATAAAGCTTCCGCGCTCCAAACCAAAGTTCATCTTTCTAGTTCACCTTTCTCAATCTCGTGAACGCAATGGCTCCTCACGCTAGCTCAGATGGTGCCAACGGCTCCGTGAACGGGTCCACTCGTCAAGACGGCCCTCTGTTTACAGTTCAGTCGCCTAATGTTCAGTACACGGCCGACGAGATCAAGAGTCAGTACGCCTACCAGACCACCGAGGTCACTCGTACCGCCGACAACAAGCTGGTGGCAACCCCGAAGGCCACCAATTACCACTTCAAGGTGGACCGTAAGGTGGGCAAGGTTGGTATGATGCTGGTCGGTTGGGGTGGAAATAACGGTTCCACCGTCACTGCTGGTATTCTTGCCAACCGCCGCGGTCTTTCCTGGGAGACTCGCGAGGGTCAGCAGTCCGCCAACTACTACGGCTCCATTGTCATGAGCTCTACTGTCAAGCTGGGCTCAGATGCCAAGACTGGCGAGGAGATTAACATTCCCTTCCGTGACTTGCTTCCTATGGTCCACCCTGACGATCTGGCCATTGGTGGTTGGGATATCAGCAGCTTGAACCTGGCTGCGTCCATGGACCGTGCCCAGGTGCTCGAGCCTAGCCTGAAGTCCCTCGTCCGCAAGGAAATGGCGGAGATGACCCCCCTGCCTAGTATTTACTACCCGGATTTCATCGCCGCCAACCAGGAGGACCGTGCCGACAACGTCCTTGAGGGTACCAAGGCCTGCTGGGCTCATGTCGAGAAGATCCAAAAGGATATTCGGTAAGTCGTGGAATCGATTTCATGGCCGCATAAACGTCACTTGCTAATTCTGGATGTAGTGACTTCAAGACTCAGAATGGCCTGGACAAGGTGATCATCATGTGGACCGCCAACACGGAGCGGTACGCGGACATCATCCCCGGCGTCAACGACACCGCTGAGAACCTGATCAACGCTATCAAGACCGGCCACGCTGAGGTTTCTCCGTCCACTGTCTTTGCTGTGGCCGCTATTTTGGAGAAGAACACGCCGTTCATCAACGGCTCTCCCCAAAACACATTTGTTCCTGGTGCCCTTCAGCTTGCAGAGCAACACGGTGCCTTCATTGGCGGTGACGACTTCAAGTCTGGCCAGACCAAGATGAAGTCTGCTTTGGTTGACTTCTTGATCAACGCCGGTATCAAGCTCACCTCCATTGCCAGCTACAACCACCTGGGCAACAACGATGGAAAGAACCTGAGCTCGCAGAAGCAGTTCCGTTCCAAGGAGATCTCCAAGTCCAACGTCGTCGATGACATGGTTGCTGCTAACCACATCCTCTACGAGAAGGATGAGCACCCTGATCACACTGTTGTCATCAAGTACATGCCTGCTGTCGGTGACAACAAGCGTGCTCTCGATGAGTACTACGCCGAGATCTTCATGGGCGGCCACCAGACTATCAGCTTGTTCAACATCTGCGAGGACTCGCTGCTGGCCTCCCCTCTGATTCTAGACTTGGTTATCCTGGCTGAAATGATGACTCGTGTCAGCTGGAAGACTGACGCCGAGGATTCCGAGTACAAGGGCTTCCACAGCGTGCTCAGCATTCTCAGCTACATGCTTAAGGCTCCCCTCACTCCCGCGGGCACTCCTGTGGTCAACGCCCTCGGCAAGCAGCGCTCGGCTCTGATTAACATCTTCCGTGCCTGCGTTGGTCTCCAGCCCGAGTCTGAGATGACCCTTGAGCACAAGCTGTTCTCGGCTTAGGTCCTCGATCACCTTTACTACACAATGTCTTTAGCTATCCCGTTACTCATCCCACTTTAGTCGCTCCTTTATCAATTCAAGTACTATGGATAACATATTCTTATTTGCACCCTTGGTAACTAGTTGAGTACCTACTACTAGTAGTAATCCATGTTCCGTACAAAGCATTCGCAGCTTTTAGTACAAGTTACATTGCTTTTTTATTATTCTCTGCTTCTCCGTTCATCAATTCCGTGCATTTATTCTTTGGTCGCGCCAAGTTCCGAATACGCATTCAAGGCCAATTGCCCACCCAAGTGTGCATACAACACATTGCTTCCTTGAATCTCACCACGCTTAATCATATCGACCATGCCGGCAAAACTCTTGCCCTCATAGACGGGATCAGTGATGAACGCCTCCATCCGAGCAGCATACTGGATCGCATCCCATGTCTGACGATCGGGAATTCCATATATCCCGGCATGGTACCGGTCATCTAGAATGATGTCGGCATCCGTGATATCATCCGCAGTCAGACCAATCTTACTGGCGGTGTTACGAGCGATCCGAAGGACCTGGGCTCGCGTAGCATCAATCGTAGCCGAGGCGTCAATGCCGATCACCTTGCGCTTGGGGTCGGTCGGATGCAGACGCTCGAGCAGCTTGAAACCCGCGATCATACCCGCGAAGGTCGAACCCGTTACAGCGCAGACAATCACTGTATCAAAGAAGACCCCCTGCTCCTGTTCCTGTTGACGAACCTCAAGTGCCCATCGCGCGAATCCCAACCCACCAAGCGGATGATCCGATGCTCCTGCCGGTATGTAATAAGGCTTCTCACCCTTCGCCTTGCACTCTTCAACAACCGTCTGCGCGGTGGTCTTGTGCTCGATACCAAACCCCGAGGGGTCCAATCGCACATCTGCACCCATAAGACGAGATAGCTGGATGTTGCCCACGGAGTCATACCCCTTGTCCACCCATTCAACCCAGTGTTCCTGTACCAGGCGGGCCTTCATACCTGTCCGTGCAGCGACAGCCGCGACTTGACGGGTATGGTTGCTCTGTACACCACCGATAGAGACCAATGTATCACATCCTTGGGCTTGTGCATCCGCAAGGAGATATTCCAACTTGCGGGTCTTGTTGCCTCCATATGCGTACGCGGAGTTCAGATCATCTCGTTTGGCGTAGATGGTCACTGGGGGGTAGGCGCTGTCACGAGCGAGATCGGCACTGATGCGGGGAAGGGGGTGAATCGGCGAGGGACCGAGAAGGAGGGGAGTCCGTGCAATGGAAGCGAATGGCTCGGGGAGAATAACAGTGTCTTTGGTCATCTTTGTGTTGTGAGGCGTAAACAATTGGAGCAAGAGAAGTACTAGTAGCAGTGATTGTATGTGTCAAGGCTGCTTTGACGAAGGCCAAACAAGCTGGCTCTTACTATGATAGAGGAAAGGATAGAAGAATCTATGTAGAAAGAAAAGCAAGGTATGATTCAACTCGACACAATCAATCCACCTGCAAAGGGGTGAGGACACGTCCTTATAAGATTCTCGTTCGCCCTCTCCCCTTCTCTTTATCCTTCCCCCTACGGACACTGTCCGTTGGATAATGACATAGTGCAACTCTGCACCGTGAAGATCACCTTATTGGGGATATTCCTATCACAGGTGACAGGCCGCCCCCGGTGTTTCACCCGACATCGGGCAGCTTATCGAGTTGCTGCGGAGAAAAGGTGGAGAAAACACGGACTCTGCCCGCCACACCTCAACTGGCTGGAAGATATGCGTATCTTTGAAAGATCAACCAAGTGGGGTTTCAGGAGGGGGTTTGGTATCATTCAATGTTTGCAATCCCGGTTGTAAGCGATTCCAAATGTCTGGCCATGGGGTGTGTGGAATCCCAGAGGGGGAACGCACACTTGACACTTGTATGAACAACTTCAAGAAGTTTAGGTTGCCGTTGTTGGTACTTACATAGTCAAACTACTGGTGTTGACTAGTTCAATGTTACTAGTAGACTCGAGCAAGACGTAAGCACCCACAAGGTACTGCGGGGTTGGGGACCTTGAGTGTTCTTCTCAGCCTTACAAAACTCAACTGAAGCACTATGAATGCAGGAAATATATTTCTACGACCTACAAATTTATCAGGAATAAAGCTTCAAGGACACCACAAAGAAAATCATATTTCACATCAAGTCTTTTGAGGATCGTCAATCCACTATATCAACACGTTTCCAAATTTATTTCATGTCCACCACACAGCGGATGCAGTCGCCCTGCTTCATCTGCTCGAAGGCAGTATTGATGTTGGCAAGAGGCTCACGGTGAGTGATGAACTCGTCCACCTTCAGCTCGCCGTTCAGGTAGTCGTCGACCAGACCGGGGAGTTGGGTGCGACCCTTGATACCACCGAATGCACATCCCTTCCATACACGACCGGTGACCAATTGGAATGCTATTACAGAGTATGGATAATGATTAGCAACAAAATTAAATGAGAGGGATGAAGGCTTCTGCCACAACTTACGTCGAGTGGCAATCTCCTGGCCAGCGGCGGCCACACCGATGACAATGCTCTCACCCCAGCCCTTGTGGCAGGCCTCGAGAGCAGCGCGCATGACGCCGACGTTACCTGTGCAATCGAAAGTGTAGTCACAGCCACCGTCAGTCATCTCAATAAGGTGCTCCTGAATAGTCTTTCCAGACAGCTTGGTAGGGTTGACGAAGTGGGTAGCGCCGAACTTGCGGGCCCAGGCCTCCTTGGCGTCGTTGACATCAACAGCAATGATCATACCAGCCTTGTTCTTGACGGCACCCTGCATGACGGAAAGGCCGACACAGCCAGCACCAAAGACAGCCACGTTAGAACCTTGTTCAACCTTGGCCGTCACGACGGCAGCACCGTAACCAGTGGTGATACCACAGCCAAGAAGACAAGAGCGGTCGGTGGATATCTTGGGAGTGACAGCGACGACAGAGATGTCGGCAACCACAGTGTACTGGGAGAAGGTGGAGGTACCCATGAAGTGCAGCAAGTCCTTGCCGCGAGCCTTGAAACGCGAAGTGCCGTCGGGCATGACACCCTTACCCTGAGTTGCACGAATCTTACCACACAGGTTGGTCTTGCCAGACTTGCAGAACTTGCACTCGCGGCATTCCGGTGTGCTAAGCTGGTCAGCTCTTGTAGATTCCCTTGTCCCAAAGACGGGGAGTGTAGAGAAAGCGAGGGACTTACTAGAGAGCGACGACATAGTCGCCAGGCTTGACGGAAGTTACACCCTCACCAACGGACTCGACGATACCGGCACCTTCGTGACCCAAGACGACAGGGAAAGCACCCTCTGGATCCTTGCCGGAAAGAGTGTAGGCATCTTCATTTGTGTCAATACCCTTTTCGTTTTCAAGTGTCTTGCATGGTGGGGCTTAAGAGGTAAAGCGGGGCTTACCGGTATGGCAGACACCAGTGTGGTGAATCTGAATGCGTACTTCGCCGGCGCGGGGTGGCAAGACCTCTACGTCCTCAATGGAGAGGGGCTCGCCAGCACCCCAGGCAATCGCAGCCTGTCAAACTGAATTAGTCATTGCTTTCTTGCTTTTCTCCCCTGGACATTGCTTGAAGTCCTTGGTGAAGCTGGAAATTGTTGATGTTCCAGCGCGGGGCTAGGCGACGTCATTGCCGGTAGGGATCCAAAGATTGATTTGTAGAAGCTCAGAAGCTCTCTTACCTTGCAAGTGATGGTCTGCCGGGGGTTTTTTGAGATTAGCTTTATGATGTGACTCACGGAGAGAAGGGGAAGTATTTACCTGTCCTACTGTGCTAGCCATGATGTCAGATATCAAGTAGTTGAATCTCACAAAGCTGAACGGGTGTTAGTAAATTCAATATTAGTGGGGAGGGTGGGCAAAACGAACAACGATGGTTGACGGGGAAGAAGAGGGAAAAAATGGGTTTTTGAAGAGATTCGACGAGTGGAGCCGGGCAACGTGAGGGGAGTGGGGGTGGGCAGGAGAGGAGAAGATGAGGAGGATGAGGGGCAGCTTTTTCTTCAATATTAATCTTATCCCGATCTCCAACGGCTCTCGGGGCCGACGCTGCCGGGAACTTTGGAAAATCTTGGAATTGCCCGCGGAGCTTACTAAGTACTAGTAGTTAACTATTAACTAACTAACTACGTAACTATAACCTTGGAAGCACTAAAAGCACTAAAAGCACCATTTTCCTACACGGAGGACCCGGCCCAATCACCCGATGATAATGAATTTGAGAAATCAGCTGTGATGGAGAATGGAATGTAGCATCCAACGAAGAGATTAGATATGATATACATACTACTCTATCAAAGGTACAAATTAAATTGTGTATGTAATATGAATGTTGGAAGCCATCCATCGAGGTTACCTAGTCCATAGTACTTTTCCAACCTTGAATGTCTAGAGGAAATTTCAGTAATGCGAGAGCTCGGTTGTAGTACATACATATATACATACATGCGTATATACCTAGTAGGTACTAGTTGCATTCACAGATCAAATACAGGAATACACGACGGATTTAAATTAATTTTGAATGGGTGAAATTGATTTCGTTCTCCGGGTCCATCCCGTGCCAGAACATTAAAATCACTATGGTACATGGAGAGAGCCAGAACCCAGGAGAATGACCTTGGTCTGCGGTGGCCGTTTGAGGTTCATCTATCCAAACTAGCTACTTTCAGGAAGAAGAAGAGAGGGGGAAAAAAAGAAAGGGTTTTCTGGAGCACTTTCGTAGGCGGCTCCCGTCCCTGCCTGTTAGGGCAAATCTCATCCAATCCAACCATTGTCCATTGACACGTTGCTTTACTGGCTACCCATCTGGCCACTCTGCATCATAGCAGCGTTCTGCTCCTGGAAGCGCTCCTGCAAACGGGCGGAGCTCTTCAGGTGCTTGTCAACGCACCGCATGACACACTGCTCCTCACGGTTGATGAGAGACTTGGTGGTGAAGTCGTGGACACAGTCATCGAAGCAGCGTTGCACCATCTTGGAGTACATCTGGAAGATAGAAGAGGGTGAGGTCAGTTGGGAAGAGTTGTAGTGGTGGATTGGAGGGTTGAAGGGTTGGCGGGTTGACGGGTTGACGGGTTGGTTTGACGGCCTTTTCACGGGCAGCATCAATCGGAGGGGATGGCGAGGGGTTGAAGTTAGGGCCGGGTCTGAACACGTACAGTCATAAACTCCTTGAGCTGCTTACGCTCCATGCGGTTGGAGAACTCGCGCTGTTCCGCTGCGTTGAGGCTAAAGAGATTCGGTCAGCTTCAAATCCTCGGTGAACTTACCACGTCTCTCAACCAGCGTAAATAGCAAGCGAGGAAAGGGGGGAGGATCATGACTTACCCTTCCATTATGTAGATATGTGTGTTGGAGGGGGGGAAGTCAAAGTTCGAAGTAGAGGGATCGAATTGAAGACAAAGAAGTTGATGGGGTCGTGATAATAATTGCCGGAACACGCCTACAAGCTCCGAAGCTGTTTCTTTCGGAGCCGCAAGTACATTCATCCGTTCATCCGTTTGGCGCTCATTTAGACACGTGATAATATGTCACATGATTGGATTATTTCCCAAAGTAGCAACTGCTTACTAAGTGGCCTGTGTTCACTTGTGGAAATCTGAATAAGCCGATAAGGTCACATGACCCAACCGTTTGCGTCAAATCATCTATGATTCCAGTAATCAGCAATGAACAGTATATTGCATGGAATGCATTTGACTCCGGGGAATCTTTTAATTCACTACAATGGTTTGACGGTTCAAATGATTCTCGAGGTATTGAGAGAAGATATTTAGTGTTACCGCCATGTATGATCATGATTCATCTTTTATTGCTTTTCATTGGTAGATTAATTAGAATGTAGAGGGTTGAATTGGTGCCTGACTCCACAGGAGAAAAGGTACCTCCCCCAGTATGCCGTCTACCGAGGGAGATCAGGTACCTGGATCCGGGCACAGCTAAGTTGACCCTAAATTAGAACAATTGAAATCGAATCAAAGGCCCAGACAAATTGACGGAATGTGATGAAAACATCTTCATGTTAATCTTTTCACAAATCTCAAAGTCTGAAACATTTGAACTCCAATTTGTCTCCTTCAAGTTTCTTTCCACCTGTATACTCTCTCAGCCTACCCCCCCTGCGCCCTCCATGAATCATCTCCCGGCCGCCACTCTGATCTATATATACCAAAGTGACAGCCGACCCTGACCCAGTTTAACCCAGTTTCATCCCCGGCCACGAACCTTGGGTCTACATTGGATGAACTCGACATCTGTTTTCTCTGATCCCCCCCCTTTCTTTCCTCCGTTTTTTCTTTTCTTTTCCCGTTTCTTCAACTTGGATGAATCAAATATACTTGCTTACTGGATCCTCTCCACTGGACACTTACAAAGAAGAAGAAGAAGAAGAAGAAGAAGAAGAAGAAGAAGAAGAAGAAGAAGAAGACACAAGAAACCAAAAAAAAATAGAGAGAGAGAGAGAGAGAAGGAAAGAGACAGAGAGAGACAGAGAAAGACTCTCTGAAGAAACCGAGGAGCCCAAAACGCCCTTGGCTCGTGCTCATCCACTCCCCTCCCCCATTATTGTGATTTGATTCGAACCCTTTCCCTTCCCACACCCTTTCTTATTCATCCCTTCGTCCTTCCCCTTTTTGTGGATTAATTATTCTGTTCTTTTCTCCCCCCCCTATAACCTCCACCTACATCTCCTGCCATTCCTCCCTGTCGCGCTCCAGTCTTCAGTAATCGACTTCCATCGATCTTGGGCCCAGCCCCAGCATTTCCTACGGGCGGTGACGTGCACTTCGACATTCCCGCGATTTCCCCCTCCACACCGTTCCCTGAAAATCCTCATCTCCAAACCTCACAAGATCTCGCCGCTCAACCGAATTTCGCCGCCCGTGCCAACGCTATTGTCCCCTGAGCCTCATCATGGTGACCGGCAAATCGCAACCGGGCGTCGAGCCGGTCCAGCTCCCCGCGACCTCCCCCGAGCCCGTCGGCGCGACCTCCCCACCGTCGAAGCGAGACCTGGCATCCTGGTGGAGACAGTTTAAACGAAACACAAGGAAGGATGAGCTGAAAGGTACGTTGGTTATTTTGGGTGTTTTCGGTCTCCTATGCATATCCGCAACCACCCCCAGGGAATTCCCTATCATGTCGCAGCCTGCGTCATCGGTTCCGGGCGGCTCTTTTCAATCCCCACCCTCCCTTGGCCATCCACATTCCCGCGCACCTGAGAATCCCCAGGACGGAAAATGCTCCTCTTTCGATCAAATCGTATTCAGTACCCGCGGTCTGCCGCCGGAAACAACGAGCTAACAGAAGTCTCTACGAGATAGAACCGCCGCGGGGCATTTTTGGCGTACCGCTCAACGAAAGTATCAAGTATGCGAATGTGGCGATCTCCCTTACAAATGAGCATGGCGAGAATTTCATATATGGATATGTCCCAATTGTCGTGGCCAAATGTGGTGTTTTTCTAAAAGAAAAAGGTACGCTGATCGTCTATAACTTCCCCTCAAATCCTGCTCGTTGCAGCTGACCGTCGGAACCCAGCTACCGACGTGGAAGGTATTTTTCGACTGAATGGATCTGCAAAGCGTATCAAGGATCTCCAAGAGCTATTTGATTCCCCCGAGCGATATGGAAAGGGCCTGGATTGGGATGGATATACAGTCCACGATGCAGCCAACGTGCTGCGTCGGTATTTGAACCAATTGCCAGAGCCCATCGTTCCACTGGAGTTTTACGAGCGTTTTCGAGAGCCCCTACGAGCGTATCAAAAGCAGGTACAAGATGAGATTCAGACGACCGATGCAGAGAAATTCGACCATGCCAATGCTGTTGAGACCTATCAAAACTTGATCGTCGAACTGCCACCGTTGAACAAGCAGCTGCTGTTGTACATTCTCGACCTTCTCGCCGTGTTCGCTTCGAAATCAGAACAGAATCGCATGACGTCGGCTAATCTTTCTGCAATTTTCCAACCGGGCATGCTTTCGCACCCACAGCACGACATGTCGCCTGAAGAGTACAAACTTAGCCAGGATGTTCTGATCTTTTTGATTGAGAATCAGGATCATTTTCTAGTCGGTATGAATGGCACAAAGGCCGATGAACAAACCATTAAAGAGGTTCAGGCTGGCGTTCAGCCCCGAGTGGTCATTCCTTCTTCGCAGCCTGTTGCTGCTACCAAGTCACCGAATTCCACCATCCGGCGATCTGCCTCGAGCGCTAGTGGGAGCACAGAGGGCCATCGTAAGCTCGATACATTGCGTCGCAATGCCTCCGTCTCATCTCGAAACTCGCGTACTTCACGCGTATCTAATACGGTTCCAAGCCCCGGCACTCCTACCTCCATGTCTGGCAGTCTTCATCGAAGTAACACTCTTCCTTCTAAGATGGGTCCCGTCGTTGCATCTGCCCGATATGCACGGGCGGGCGAGAGTGGCTCTGCCAACCCATCTACCCTCTCGGTCTCCCATGCGAGCTCTCGTTCAGCTAGTCGAGAGCCATCTCTGCGCGAGGAAAATGAACAAAAGCCGGAACAAAGAAATGAGAGCCAGCCCGCATCCACAGGTTCGGCCTATGTTCATACCTCGACCCATGGTCCTATTCCCCACGCGGCCGCAGCGCGTCTCAGTATTAATGACCTTCCCCATCCACATGAGAATCTCGGAACGCCAACCTCGCCACCCCCTCAAATCCCACCTCCCCGAGTCGTTACCCCGACTCGTGAGCGCAAGCTCTCTAACCTCTTTGCTAAATCCCCACCCCCGGATCGAGACAATCGAGACCTACGTCAACCCAATCGCCTGAGGAAAAAACGTATACCCGGTAGTGCAAGCATAAGCGCCCAGAGTTCCTCGAACTCTCTACAGGGGCCCTCGTTTGAGCACTCCGTGGAGGCGGTCTCAGAGCCAAGGCCAGAACGGCGGTCTGTTGACATGACAGTCGGAGATGCCACACCAAAACCCCCCAACACAGCAAACCTGATCAACTCTGATCACCCAACAGACTCTCATCTTATGTTAGCCGAGGGAACTGCACCCCCGAATCATACCGAGACTTCTTTGCGACCGCACAAATCACGGACACCATCCATGAATTCTCGATCCTCCTTCACCGATGCCTCTGACTTTGAGCAGAACGACGATGTCAGCCGTGCTGAGCGCCGCGATCATCGCCGTAGTTGGCGATTCAGTCGTTCTGCCAAGCGCAGCAGCGAGCAAGTTGGCCTTGGTCTTGCATCCCCACCTCTTGGGGCGACTCACCCTGAGTTCCAGCAAAGCACCAGCTCGATCGGAAGTGGCGCTCACCAAAGTAACGACCCCACTAATCAGCCCCTTAGTTTGGATGCTGGGATCCAAACCAGTTCGGCGTCGAGCGCTGAACCAGAGAAGAAGAGCTTATTTGGGAAATTCAAAGCCAAGGTGGCCCAGGTGCGCGATGGTGGTCATGACCGCGAGCGGGTCAAAAGTCCTAGTCGCTCCGATAGTGATCCATCCACGGTCAATCAACCACTGTCTCCCACAGCTATTCCCACCAATGGCAACCCGACCAAAGAGGTGCCAAGCGAAGTGTCCAAGGAAGACCCATTACGATCCCCAGCATCACCATTGCCAGGATCAGGTCTGCCACCTTCAATTCCCGAAGAACCACATAGCCCAGAGATAGCGTTGTCTGCACCTGTTCTTGATACCCACAAGGAATTCCCCACGACTGTCCCAAAGCCCACCGAACCCTCAGCTGTTCATGACTCAAACCAGGAGGCCTTAGCTTAAGCTCTAAAGCTTCGTGGGTATATCTGGAGTCATTGCCTTATTTAGAGCCTTTTCTTTCCCGTCTGATATCCTGCACTTGCTTTCATCAGCCTTCCTCTCATGCATTAGCTTACGATTGATTTTTCTCGAACTGTATCTTGGTTGCGCCCATCGCCCAAATTCTTGTCCAAAGGACTTTTGACGTTTAGCTGGCAATCGCTTACTTAAGCCTTTGGTCCCTCCCAACAGCTGTTTGGTGTTTTCTTTGTGACTTGTGAACCGTACAAGTTCTTTCTAGCTATTGCCGTATCCCCTCTTATCCTTTATCTCCTCTCTTTACCCCCCTGTGCATCCTTCCCCTTTAGCATGGTGGTGTGGCTTTAATCGATACAGTTGCCATGCGGTATGACTGCCAAGATCTTTGTTGTGTGACAGCCGAATTAGGTTTGCATTCCTTGGTCATTGTTCTCCTTGTCTCCTTGTCATGAATACTGAGCATCGGGTTACCCAAGTACTAAAGTTCGATGCAGACCATTCGGTCCCACAGATTTGGCCCATGTTGCCACCGTTCTCCTGTATGTCTTTTGTTCCTCTCTCTCTCTCTCTATACAGTATTGATATGAAAGTTGGTTCCGGCATGAAGGGTATTTTAATATTCAATAAAACTCAGTAGTACTAGACTGTAGGATTATCTTCGTAGCCCGAATAAACAGGTAAGAAAACCCTTGCTTATGGCTTGTTGCCTGAATTATGAGGCTCAGATTTGGTGATGCAATCAAGGCAAACATAACAGCTCTCCCCTCGACCTTTTTATCCGCGCGAACCGGCAGAGCTTCATAGAAACAAGGAGCAAGAAGAAGAAGAGAAAAAAACCTCCCCTCCTTACCGGAAGCACCGGCGCCATGGCCTCTTCCCACTCCCATGTCTCTTCAATCAATCAACCAAGCTCGCTATCCCAGGCCCCTGTCGAAAAACCCTCGGCACCGCCCGTCAATATCCTCCATTCCCAACTTGCGCAGGCCTATTCATTTGTGCACCCGATATTACTCGTGGCACTATGTGCAGCACGATTCCAAGCATTGGTTGCCAACCCAATCCAAGAGCTTCTTGCTGACATTCCCTGGTTGGCCTTGCTCCAGCTTTTCTATGTGATACTCTGTCTTCCGCCCTCCGGATCATTAACACCTTATGCGGAGAACTCTACAAGTGATGGGAAAGCACCACGTTCGCGGCCAGTGAAGCCTAGCTATCGCCGTAAACATTCTGGAAAGAATGCCTGGGCTGGACTTTGGGCGAAGTTAATGGTATGCGGGACCCATCGTCTATGACTGAAAGTTTTGGGTTGTTTAATTACTGACAAGACAATGCAATGGTAGCCTGCCTTACTCTCACTAGGCCTGACCTCCTTTGTCGCAACCCCGGTTATTTCCGCTCTTCTCGTCCTGTTCGGCGCCCCTCTCACTACCCACAACTACGAAACTGTACTCTGTGCAGCCCACATGGCGCTCCTTTCCGCTTCTCCCTTGATATACGTCCACGGGATGGATGGCTCCATCTGGAAGGAGGTTTGGGGAATTGCTCGGCCCGCAGACACTGTTTGGGGTAGTGCTCTAGGCACAGGTTTGGGTGCCTGGTTTGGCGCTATCCCAATCCCACTTGACTGGGATCGCCCATGGCAAGCATTCCCCATCACTATTTTGGTCGGCGCATACATTGGCTATGCTCTGGGAGCATTGATCACTCGCACACCTCTGCTGTATGGTAAATGCATTCAGTTCGCGCCCGAATCAGAGGAAGAGGCCGAGAAGAAGAAAAACTAGTGACGCTGAAACATTGCTTCAGAACCCCAAGGGGTCTCGAACCGATCACTTTGGTATCAATCGACGTCATGCTCTACCCAAAGTTAATGATGCGAAAATTATGGACATATATCACTATCTAGGTATGCGTATCATGCATTCGGAATTTAACCTATTACATCCAATAATCCATTCATGTATAGTTATGTACCTAATTTATAATTGAAAACCAACATTATGTATACTAATACTATATACCTATTACTGATTCACATATTTTTTCTCTCCCATCCATGCACATGTGTTGTAAATGCCGTTCAATCGTGATTAGAGAGCAACATTTGAATACTGGTATGTATTAGAAGCAAAAACATCGGAAGATTCTCATGTGAGCACATGTGCATGACCGGGTGTCTACATAATTCTGGAAGACTAAGTTGAATTTTTTTTTTGCACCGATTTACCTCGGCTCGACACCCCCACACTTTGATCTTCTCCAACTACCTCCGATCTACACCATGTCGAGTGCATGCATCATCTGCCATAAGCGTAAGGTAAATTATCGTTAGCCTTGCATCGGCGGCTCACTGGTTTACTGATGGTGCTCAGGTGCGGTGTGATTTCACGACCCACAACCCCTGTACCAATTGCATCAAATCTCAAGTGGAGTGCAAGTGAGCGGACCTGTGAGCGTGGAACGGGAAAAAATCAGAATCCGCTGACACATCACATAGACCCTATACAAGAAAGAGAAAAAGATTCACCAACAGTCTTTCGCCGGAACGAAATGCGCCAGCATCGGATTTTGAGAGCCGGCGCAGTTCCAAATTGCCCACGGATCCGCCTCCTGAGAGTGATATCGCACCAAGGTCATCTTCAAGGGAAGTGACTGGAGATTCTGTCGTCATCAACGAGACCTTGAATTCAATTGAGAATAATGTGACTGGGCCATTTATCAAAGAGGAGAGCTACCGAGGTCGAGGCGAGTATTTGGGCGGCAGTGTTCCATTTGATGAAAATATGGTCAGACCCGGCCATGAGACCACATATACCAGCCCAAAAGCCTCTGCAGCAGACCTCCAGATGCTACGTGAGCAAGGAGCGTTTGAACTTCCTCCAATATCAATTCAGAAACAGCTAATGGACAGCTTCAATAAGTACTGTGCTCCATGGACGCCTGTTGTTGACCCCATATGGCTGGATGGAAGAACGCCACCCTCTATGCTCCTATTGCAGTCCATGTTTCTAGCGGGAAGCAGGGTCTCAAAAGCACATCTGGACTACGGATCCAGTGAAGTATTCTATCGACGCGCAAAGCTACTCTTCTTCTTTGGTGGAGGCCATGGATCACTCATCTCCATTGTGGCCGCCTGTCTCTTGCATTGGTATAACCCTGTTGGGCCTGAAGACGTTTCTACGGACACCAGTGGATTTTGGATCCGAACAGCGGGGGCAATGGCTTTCCAAATTGGCTTACACAAGGAACCCTCTCCGAATGCTAAAGATCGGGGACTTCGTCGGCGATTATGGTGGTCGTTGGTGGTGAGTGTGCATCTGGTCGGTCGGAACAATGCCTCAACGGAGTGCTAATTACAAAAGATTCGAGATAATGTTATCTCCGTCGGAGTGGGAAGGCCACGTACAATAAATCTACGTGACAGTGATGTACTGCCCCCATCAGTGAAAGATTTCCCAAAGAAAGACTTTCAAACACAGCTCTTCTTAGCGTACTGCACAATATCCTGCCTTCTGGGCGATACCGTTGAGTGCTGTTTACGACGAGAGATCTCCAGACAACGACGGGTCGACCTCGAAAACGCCGTTTTTAGGTGGGCCAAGCAGGTGATTCCAAAGCTGCACTCATCTGCGGCGATTCAGGAAGACACCATGACCTGTCAGCTTGAAGTGAAGCAATTGTTGGTGATGTATTTCGTTGCACTGACAATCTTGCACCGTTCGCCGACACCAAACAGTGTCCCACCCGCTGCATCACTAATCGCATCGTCATTCATCGCCGGTATCTACGAGGAGTTTCTTTTACGCGATGAGCTCCGCTATCTTGGTCCGGTATTTGCATTTTATCCGCTCTGCGCAGGTCTTTCTCTCCTCTCCTGTTGTCGATATCCGCAACTAAAAAGTGCCGCCGAGCATGAAATGACTGTCATGAAACTCTCACTCCAAAAACTATCCGAAAGGTGGCTTTCTGCGGTTGGCCCATTGAGAGCGCTGAATAAATTGACCGAAAAAGTCCGCAGCCTTGAACCATTCGACGCTCCCCCTATTTTGGACTTCGAAACCGCTGCGTTCTTCGACGGATTTGATGTTAAGATGTGCAAACAATGGCGATTGATTGGGCAGTCTTCCGAATCGGAGAGCAGCGGTACCATTACGACGACTTGTACGTTGGCTGAAGTACAGGACCCCGAAGCTACGCTTTCACCGTTTGAGACGCGACAAGAAGACAACCTTGACAACTACAGTTTTCCAGCTTTGGATACCAATATGGAAATTTTTGGCACTGACTGGGAAGGATCTGGGTTTGATTGGAGTGGTTCTTGGTTACTCAACGTATAGACATTCTGTTTTTCAGACGATATGCGTTAGCAAATAGAACGGTTTTGTTGACAACATGAGATCCATACCAGCCATAGAGTCCAAACCCTTGAATCATGTCAATCCAATGTTCTAGAGCTACAAGCTACCTACTAGATAGTAGGTGCTACCTACCTATCTATAAATGGGTTTCAACATTTGAAGTTCAAATGTTCCGATCCAGAACTGCCCAGCCCTGGAGGTGGAACCAACTCTTTGAAATCGAAACATGATAAAATGTTACAAAGTTTAGTCTCTACAACACATGCACTGAAATCATATGACTTTCATTCAAACTCACTACTAGTACTATCTCCTGCACTTGTAGTACAGTTTGTACTAAGCACTACTAGTAGTGCTAGTAGGGAATCCACGTGACCGGCTCATATGAGGGGTTTCGCGATTCTCCGCGGTAGTCACGACATCCCGAGATCTTACTCTGCCCGCGTGGGGTCACTTATCACTTAGATTTCTAGGGCCCTGGAAATTGAAATTCATTTTGCAAGGAGATCCACCGCTTCTTTGTTTCCGTTCGTGCTTTTGGTTTCCGACGCCCATCTCTATACTTGATACCCACCAAAACAACCTGGGCATCCAAGTTTTTCAATGGAAGCCGATCAGTTCAAAGTCCGGAAGCGCAGCCCAAAAGCCTGTAGACGCTGCCATCGTCGGAAACAAAGATGCGTGGGGTATCCGGTATGCATGAACTGCGAGGCTGCAAAATCTTCGTGCACGAGATCTGAAACCCCTGCTTTCCGACCTGCATCTGAAAGATACCATGGATTATCAAAGGATGCTCTGTTTGACCGCATCGAGGAACTGGAAGCCCAATTAGACGCAATATCCAAATCCAAACCATCCCAGGCGCTAATTCCATGTCCCCAATCAGAAAGCCCAAAGCAACTTCCTTTTGATAACGTACCCGACGTTGGCCATTTATTCGATGTGATGGAGTATCTGACAACGGGGCAAGTATCGGGCCAAACACCCATAAGAACCTTTTCATCCTTGGGGAGCCTGATCGCCAAAGAAATGGACCAGATCTTCGAAGATACGGTCTTAGCAAGCGGCCATTTGGAAAATACCGACATAGAGCATGAACCAGTGTCCACCGATGACAACCAGCCAGCCACGCCGACCGATAATGAGGGCTTGAAGTACATCCAAATTTACATGGAGACCATGCACAATCATATGCCATACCTGGACAGCGAAGAGATATTCCGGATGCACGACCAAAGACTTCGACCGATTCTACCGACACGTTTGGCGCGTTGGAAGTTTTCTAAACTATTCATGGTTTATGCTATTGGGGCTGCGACTTACAGAGTCACAGAAACCCAGCCCAGTATTTCGGCCAATGATCTCTTCCGCACAGCATTGCGCCTGAAACCTTCGGTTACTGAACTTCGTTCCCTTCAAAATATCGAGGCAATGATGCTACTGATCATGTATAACCTACGGATCCCGAATAGTTCCAATATTTGGTATATGATAGGCCTGGCCATGCGAACGGCCATCGATCTTGGCCTGCACCGAGAAGAAAACTATCATCAATTGAAGCCCGATGAGGCCCAGAGCAGGCGACGTGTGTTTTGGAGTGTCTATGTCATGGATCGAAGTATTGCGCGGCTCCTTGATCGACCTTTCAACATTGCGGAGCATGACATTGATGTTGGATTACCTTTCGATAACCAAGAACCTCATCCTATATACTCCAATGAGAGTGCGAGCTTGGGAACCAGCATAGCGGCGTTCATTCCCGTCATCCGACTGACCCGTCTAAAGTCCCAGATTCAAACCAGAGTGCATAGAGTTGACAAAGAAATTTCATTGTTGATGCCCGAGATCAGTCCTTTGTTCTCTGCCCTGGAAGAATACAAAAAATCCCTCCAGTCCGATCTCTCCCCTACCGATCGGGATTGGATCAACATGCATTGGAATAATGGCATTTTGATTCTGATTCAGCCCTTCCTGCAGGAACTTCCCTCGGACCATGAACTGATTCGTACTTGCATGAGGGCATCTGGGCAAACGTGCCAGGTGTTTAAATCACTGCATCAAAAGGGGTATATTGGATTTGGATATTTTCTTGTCAGCACCTTGTTCAAAGCTGGGCTTACATTATGGTCGGTTTCTTTTACCCTGAAACTCTATACGCTTCAGTATTTACTGATATCGAATACGCAGCTATTGCTTAATCAGATCTTCACAGCCTTGCTCAATTGATGTAGCAAATGATCTGGGTGCTTGTTCCTCAGTCTTGTTTGCTGTTGCAGAGCGTAACAAGGAACTGGAAAAATATCGTGATACCTGGGAAGCCATCTTAGCGAAAGTCATGGAACATCTTCAGCAAGTATCTCTTTCCCACCAATCACTTCAAAATATCATAAGGCAGCCCGCTCTGTCATACCCCTTCGCCTCGTCATCTATGGGCAATTTTGGTACTCATTCATGCCTCAGTGGCGCTGAACTCACGTTTCTAAATAATTTGGATTTGTCTTCAAATATATTGTGCCAGGGTGAATTGGGCATCCAAGGATCATTCCCTTCGAATCAACGCGGATTGCTTAGTACACCTAAGCATCTTTATCCTGAGTGGCAAGAAGACACAATGTCACTCCTTGGATTTGATGATATCTCCAAGTTTGATGAGATAATATCTGGAACCATGTCAGAGCAGAGGAAATGCGAGACGCGTGTCTTTGATGAATAAGGTTGTTTTGTAATACAGAATGAATCAATGAGTCCCATGTTACCACTCGGACATATTGAAGGATGCGCTTCAATGAAAGAGATCCAACTAGGTATGGATTTCATAGTAGGCACCTGGGTATAAAAACTACAGTGCCCTGGCCATCAATCACTCGACATTTTATACTACATACTTGACATTCAACAAATGTTTGAAATATCTTTCAAATTGAGGTCGATATCACCCAACCGATGCTTACATGTACATATTGAATGGAATCACTTTCAATTAGTAAACTTTTGACCGTGCGGAACCGGTCTATAGTCTACTTCTATCTTTATTGACAACCTCCATATTGTAGTACTGCCTGAAATGTTCCAAACATTCGGGATTCGCGACAGTGCTGCTGATGGTCTTGGGTAGATATCCCGTAGACACGACTTGTTTCACCAAAGTCTCGATCTTTTTGCCATTTACAGTCATAGGAACCTCCTTGACACCTATAATGAAACGAGGAACATGCTTGCTGCTCAGCCCCTTCCGAATAGCATTCTTTATCTCATATTCAATCTGAGAAGTGAATGATTGATTGGCCTGCATCACCACAAACAGGAATACTGCTTCATCTGAATCCTGCGACCTCCGTCTACCAACGCATAAAGTGACGGAGACCACCTTGTTAAACAGAGCAGACTCGGTGATAGAATAGATATCGGAAGATCCAAATCGTATCCCCTGAGGATTTAGCACACCGTCGCTGCCAAAGGTTTCCATTAGAATTGGTGCTGGGCTGCAATCAGGTAGATTTGATCTTACCTTCTGCCATGTATTTGCCAGCCCATGGTGTGAGGGTTGTAACTCGCCCAATCATGCTGGGCCCAAAAGTTGGGAAATTTGGCAAAATATGTGGTCTTGTATTTTGATCCGTCTTCATCGCCCCAGAAGAATACAGGCATAGAGGGAAAAGGCTGACGGCAGACAAATTCACCATGCCCACCGGTATGTTTGATGGACTCTCCCGTAATTGGGTCTACCACATCCACATCCTGCCCTAACATGGGCAATTGTATCTCGCCCGGATAGACAGGACCGGCGGGATCCGTACCAATCCAAGAGGTTACCAGATCCGTCCCACCGGTCACACTTGTGAGATGGACATGTAAAGGGAACGTGCGATAAAACCAGTGGTATTGGTCCTTACCAAGGTGGGATCCCCCGGTCTGTACCATTTTCAAAGAGGAAAGGTCAAACTTACTCTTGGCTATACATTGTGTCATCTCCAGTTCTTGTAGGTAACGGGGAGAGCATCCCCAGTAGGTCACACGATGATGCTCTGCAATCTCAGCCATACGTTTTGCAGTGGGCCATAGTGGTGACCCGTCATATAGAATCAGAGTTGGCCCCACAGACAAGTGACCAATCATGATATTCCAGAGTACCCAAGAGGTACTGCTATATTGAAAAACAACATCATTCGACGTGAGTGAGTTATGCAGCACAGAGACTTTTTTGTGCTGCAAGATAACGCCATGGCTATGCACCAGACATTTTGGTTGTCCAGTAGTCCCACTAGTGTAGAGGATGTAAAGTGGATGAGAGAAAGATAGCCTTTGAAAATGAAGAGCATCGTCTGGATTGGAGCTTGATAAGAATTCTTCCAGGGTGGAAAACACACCTTCATCGGCACCCGATATAGGGATTAAAAAGACCATAGGCCGGACTTGTATAGCCTTGACTATATTCTGAATCTTCAGGACATTGGATCGCATGGTTCCTTTATATGTCGACTCAGCATCTGCAAAGAGCAAACTCGGCTTGACCTGACGCAAACGTGATATACAGCCCTTGTCCCAGTAGTCAGCGCAGGTGTTCGTTTTGAATTTTGAAGGAAGCCCTCACCTCATCGCCCAAATCAGGTGCAATGCTTGTCCATATTGCACCAATGCTTGCAGTTGCCAAAAATAGGCCTACTGACCAGACACTAGTGGAAATGATCGCTGCCACTCGGTCTCCTTCTTGAATTCCTGTTTGTAATAAAGCGCTTCTCGCCTTTCGAACATTTTCCCACAATAGCCCCCATGTCCAGACTTCCCCACTCAGGCCATGACCTTCACGTATTCCAACTAATGCAGTCTTCGTCGGGTCTCTGCCACTGATAACATTTTCGGCATAGTTTACAGTGGCACCACGAAAGAACTCCGGAACATTCTCCATCGGCACCTTGGCATCAAACGCCTTGGTGATGGTCGGTGGCAAAGGAGGGATGATTCCGGTATAGGAATGAAGGTCCATCCAGAAGTCTTGGAGGTTTCGAATAGACCAGTGGTGTAGCTCTTGAGATGAGCGCAAATCCTGATTGAATTTTTTATTGACATGTGCACGATATATGTTCATAGGGATCTGGTCATGCGGGACAGTGGGGATCCAGACGGGGCTGGTCATCTTCAAATATTTCAAAGAGAAAGATTCCAAGGTTGATGTGCTGTGGACTTTGACCCAGGGGATGAAAAAAAAAACGATTTGGCAAAGGGTTCAAAGATCAACTTTGAATGACGGCAAAGATTAGTGCAGATAGAACAGTCGAATGAGCATACATATCTAGTATTTGATGAAAATCCAAAGTTCTTATGTATTACTAGTAAGTTATGTAGGTCCTCGGAGATCGGCACTCCTCGGTGCTCTCCCCGCACGTCTTTCAAAACATCTGGGCAGACTCGGCGTTTATTGGAAAGACTTTCCATGCCCACAAGCACTTGAGTAATGATAATCGGCTATTTTCGGTGATATTGCTCGGCATTAGATCCTGTTCCAGGGTTGTCGGCTATCGTTGGACATCGCAACATTTGAACTTGGAGCCCCGCAAATGAGAGGAAACAGACAGGGCATATAAGATGTTCGACTTCGCACCACTGCCTTTCTGCTTCCAAACCTTACAAGTTGAAACATTGGAAGATAAAATCCTCCCAAGTCGTCACATATTCTTCCAAAATTGTGTTTCATCAATTGCCAACAACCTTGGAATGGCTCAACGCCTATCATCATCATCGGTAGACAAAGGCTTCATTCTCTCGCCAGCAGCCCTGCAAAACCCGGCGACCTCTGATCCAGTATTCCTGCGTATCCTAGAATGTATGTATTCATAGGTAGTTATTCTTCACATTTTAGTATCTGACATTTATCTGCTACCCTTCCCTCCCATGTCATACCGAGGTGGTACTTACTTCCTTTGACGGCCCAGAATGTTGCTGATCGGATGTATAGGGTATTTGCCGCAGGACATACTCGAAGGTATTGCCCCCCGCTTAGAAAAGTTTGGGTCTGAGGCAATATCCGAAGAGATCACTGCGCTCATTGGCAATGCTGAAAGACAGAAACCATACGTGAAAACAAGGAATGTCTGGGGTGCGCGATATGATTCTGACCGCTTGGTGACGAGCACTGGCTGGAAGGAGCTAGGAAGATGGGGGATCAAAAACGGGTGCGTACTCATGTGTTGCCCTGTATACTAGTCAATTGGTGGAACTAAAACTCTGGTTTAGCGTGGTGGGCCTTGCATATGAGGAAGAATTTGGATCGCATCGTCGAACTGTCCAGCACGCCTTGTAAGTCTATGATCCGTTGGTGACTCTGGGTTATGTATGTGGATGTGCTCTGATAAGTAGTACCTTTTAGTAACTACCTATTCTCGGCGTCATCAGCAGCATATTCCTGTCCTGTTTCAATGACATCCGGGGCAGCACGATTGGTCCGACATCAGTTAGCTAGCTTGGCCCCAGAACATCCATTTCACGAGCTTTATGCACGTCTGATCGCCCGCGAAAACAATTGGATTTCCGCCCAATGGATGACTGAACGACCAGGGGGAAGCGATGTACGCAACAGTGAGACTTTCGCGGTATATTCGCCGTTGAAGACAAAATCCGGACCTTTTGGCACCATTGAAGAAGGTGATTATCTGCTCTCCGGCTTTAAATTCTTTTGCAGTGCCACCGATTGCCACATTGTTTTGCTGTTAGCCAAAATGGAATCGGGTGAGATATCGCTCTTCGTGGCTCCCACTGCGAGGAAAGTTATCAGTACCGATGGAACGATGAAAGAAGTCTCCAATGGAATCCGAATCCATCGGTTGAAGAATAAAATGGGAACGAAGGAGCTGCCTACCGCCGAGGTTGAACTTCAAGATACGCGTGCGCACCTTATTGGTCCGAAGGATCGTGGCATCGCTACTGTTGCTCTTTTGTTGAATGTCACACGAATGCACAACTTTGTGACTGCACTCTCCTGCCTGCGGCGGGCACTAGACATTGCAAAGAATTTTTCCAAGGCTCGTGCCACTATTGATCAACCATTGTGGACATTTCCGATGCACCTTAATATTCTATCTCAACTGGAAGTCAAGCACCGCGGATGGATGCAGCTGGCTTTCTTCACTTCTTCGCTTCTCAGTTATGTTGATAATGGATTTCCTGCGCAGACACCGGGGATGTTTTCATTCCTGTCAAGATTTCCCGATGCAGCAACGGTGGTGCTACGGGTATTCACTTCAACAGCAAAAGCTGTTATCTGTAAATCTTCTACTCTGGCTTTCCAGGAATGCCAGGAGGCGATGGGTGGAGTTGGCTATATTGGTAAGTCTAGCCGATATTCCACATCGTCTCTGATATTCTAACATCACGTCTAGATGAGCCCGAGGAGCCCGAGTTCAACGTCAGTAGACTTTGGCGTGATACAGCAAGCAATAGCGTCTGGGAGGGAACTACAAATGTCCTGGCCAGTGAGACTGTACGACATCTGACCAAGGGCCATAATCTGAAGTTGTTTGATACTTGGATGGGGAGCTGCATTGACCAGATCTCAGATCATGTATTTCAGACAACTTTATCGATTATATGGAAACAGCTCAGGGCGAAACTGGCTGTCGGTAAGAGTGACCATGCGCTACCAGGTCTTCTCAGTGTTGGTCGCCAAGTCATATTTACCTTGGCATGGCTAGTTTGTGGCATATTACTGACCCTAGATGCCCAGCGAGACAATAATGATATTGCTCATGAGATTGCCCGAAGATGGGTGCTTGATGGACAGGGCGTGCCCGGAGAGTTCGCCTTTCCAGATATGATCTATCAATACTCAGCTAACAATCGGGTGGGCAAGTCTACAGACGTGGAGTGTACGAATTGGGATTGTCGTATAGTTTGGGGCATGGATCTTCCGGCAAATCCTTCTGTGGGATACAGAGTGTCCAAAATTTGACCTCAGCCTGTATATACTTGAGTATGTAGTAGCTCAGCCTTTGTCGTCTATGAAGAGCGTCCAGATGTTGTCTTCCAGTACCTTGATAAACATCGTGAGATGATTTTTGAAATATACATAATTGAAGCTCAAGCTAGTAAGTGATCTGAGACTTCCAAGACTCGGGGTATGATTTCAGTTTTGACTGGATTGGAATCTGACCATCAAGTTCCAATTGATCACTTGAGGTTTTCAACATTGAATAGAGCTCAGGTAGAAAAAAAACCTCATAGGCAAACTTTTGACATCAATTACAGGTTCAATGTTATGATATGGCTTAGGCACGAGATACTACTACATCCATAATCAATATATGCTTGAAGAACGAGACTGCCATTCTACCCAGGTACCAGTTCAAATTTTCGAGTCTGCCTTTTGAAGAGATCGATGGCCACTTGCACGCTGTGATGGGAGCTCAATACCCCAGGCAATCCTGCAGTCCCATTCAATATGTTCATCACTCTTGCAGAAAACTCCTTGAGCTGTAACAATATCATGAAACACCATATCTCCAACCCCACCCTCGGCCTTGAGGATCCAGCGACGAGCGATCTCCTTACTGACTGGATCTTGATCACGTTCAGCATCTAGAGCCAGTAGTGTGCCACAGATGATCCAGGCCAAAGTAAACATATAGCGACGAGCGTCGGCCAGAATTTCAGCAGGGGCATGGTTTTTTGTTGAAAGTCGGCTTTTCAGATTTAACCACGCAGTGGCCAACGTTTCGTGTAAGCTGGTAACCTGAATCAAAGCCAGTGTACGATTGAGCCACGCATCAAATGTGCCCAAGTTGTCAGCTTTCAATAAGAAACGAGCCACTTCGCTCGCGAGCACATTGGTGGTTCCCTCCCAGATGGAGTTCACGGCATTATTGCGGAATATCCGTGATACATTGAATTCAGGTTCATCAGGCTCATCCATGTAGCCCACACCTCCCATGGATTCCTGACATTCTTGAATTCCCGCCACGGTCATTTTACTAACCACGGCCTTGGCGGTGGCCGTCAGGATACGGAAAACAACATTTGCCTCTTTACCAGGGTGGGGCAAGTGTGCAAGCGCAGAAGGCTCCGAGCCTTGGTTCTCAACTTGCCCCATGATCGCAATGGTAAAGAAGGCAAGATTCATGCCACCACGGTGCTTCACTTCCAAATCTGCCAGAAGTCGTAGATGCATAGGAATCAACCATAAAGGCTCACCAACGGTAGACCTGGCTCTAGCAAAGCTCTTGGTGATACTGATCGCGCGCCGCCAGCCAGAGAGAGAACCCACGAAAGTGTGAATACGAGTCACATTGAGAAGAGGTGCGATGGTGACAATTCCCTGGTCCAGCTCGCCAACGAGATGAGCGCGCATGTCTTTCAATTCAAGTTCTGCGGTTGGCAACTCCTTTGTTCCCAACTTGTTCTTCAAACGATGAATCCTCACGCCATTCGAGATCTGCCGAGAAGTCCCATCCTCGTTCATAACTGTTCTTCGGAGGGGCGCCAAAAATGTACTCAATTTTCCCGATGGAGATTTGGCAAGTAGAAGGGAAACATTCGCATCTGTAGCAGATGAGAAGAACTTGAACCCATTAATTAAGTAGTCTCCATCTCCAAGGGGATCGGACCCCGAAACCTTGTGCAATGGGGAGTACGTCGCCCATGTCTCCGTATTCTGGACATCGCTGCCACCGGCCCTCTCAGTCATCCATTGACCCGAGGTCCAGTGATCCTCATTTTCAGAAGTAAGGCCCTTGAATACGGCATGAAATGGGTGAGTTGATGGTAAGCTGCCGATCTTTGAAGACAGGATAAAGGCGGCCCCATCGGTCATGCTAATTGGGCAGGAATAAAGCCCTGAAGATGGTGCATAAAGGTAGTTTCTATAAGCAGTCAGAATGCTAAGATCCGCGTTTGCAAAATCTGTATGATGTCTCACAATGCATATTGAACTGTTCTTCTGTGCGATCCCAAGGCAGGGTCGTACCCCGCCGAAACAACTCTATGCCTAGCTCCCCAATGTCCGAGCTGTTTCCAGCCTTCGGTCGTGATAAGGCGGTCATAGTCATATCGCTTTCCCCAAACGTTATGGCTTTTCACGTAAGGTTGATTTCGCTCTGCATCCGCAGTCCACTCTCGGACTTTTTCAGATACTGCTTCAGCCCCAAGCTGGATAAAATGGGGCTCCACTGAATTCAATAGCGCAGACGGCACATACCCTTTAGGTGCGGTCAGAACAGAAAAGACGAGCGCATATGATCACAGGTAGGCTTACATTTCAATGACCGCTGAATACTTGAGTCTGATGTATATGTGTTTTGTAGTGGAGCTGGCTGTGTTATATATCCACTTTCTGCCGTTGCGGGGCGAGACGACTCAGACGAGGACGGCGACATGTTAGTAGGTATGGAAGGGCTCGGGATGTTTTCAAATAAAGAATCGCGAGGTGAAAGCAAAAGGTTTTAAGGTTACTCCATGGATCTGGGGTAGGCCGGGTATTAAAACAATGTTGGAAGTGAGAAACAACATTAATGGGCAACATTTGAAGAGGGGCGTTGCCAAGGTTTCTTTGAGGGGATCGACAATGGACCTCGGCGGTTCGGCTTATGGGATCCATGAATGCCAGATGCCATGCCAGGCCTCCCGAGATTCCGCCGAGAGGCAATATACTATCTTCTAGGTACATATGTACCTAGTAGGTAGATAGAAGTTTCAAATTATACTACTAGTATGTATAGGCAGTAGGCTGTACATGTGTGGTGCGATCAGAACTTTGACCATGATGATACTTAGTAGTACCTAGTAGATATACGTACTCCGTTCTCTCGAGTCTCAACGGAACCCATCAATGTTGGCATTCCATCATAAAATTCCAACTTCAATGCCGATGCTATTCTGTATCCTAACTTGTCGCCTAAACTAAACTACATGTCATGCAGAGTATTGTATCCAGTCTCAATCAGGCTTCTAGGGCCACGAGAATCAGAGCAAATGTTCCAATAAAATAACCCTCCCAGTTTAGTGGTTGTCACCATCTGTGCTTTTTGCTGAACCGTTGCAGGGACATCATACGTAACGAATCCACCATCTCCACCAACGCAGTATGCAGCACCAACCTGGCTGTCCAGAATTTCCTGTGATCCTGGACGTGGAAGATCACAATAGTCAAAGACCCCGTCTTCGCCACCGCATCCTTTGTAATCTTGCCCTGGTCCATTGCTTTCAAGGAATGATCGTCCATACGTTGGAACTCCAAGAATGAGCTTTCGTGAAGGAACTCCTTGTGACAAGACACAGGAGACCGCTAGATAACATGAGGTGGGAGTTCCATAGAGTTGGGCTTGGTGACCAGTCTCGGCGATCCAAGGTCCTGAAAAATCATAGGCCATGAGGTTAATCATGTCGAGATGCTTCTCTGCCGCCGATAGATCAATGTTTTGAAGTGCCCACTGGCCCGCCGGCAGGCAAGTGGCCAGGACGTATTGGGGAGCGGGCAAGACTTCTCGCAGATGACCAAGAAGACGAACATAGTCTTTACCTTCTTTGGCATCGCTCGGGTGTTCCCAATCAACTGAATGATAAATCTCTTGGGTCAGAATCTCGATCCCAACGATTCTCTTCAATGTTCGAATGGGCCACGAAAGGAAGGATTTGAACAGCCCAACTCACTATCAATGCCATCTAATCCGTATTGATCCACGAGCCCTCTAGCTGTGCGCACAAAGGTCTCCGCCTTGGAACGATTATGAGCAACTGCAGCGAAATTCTCACTACCCTTTCCACCGCCACCAATAGACAGTATCACTCTCATTCGGGAGTATTGTTGTTTTAGCTGAACAAATGCTCGTAGGCAACCTTCGGTGCCGTCTACTGGCATCTGTGTATCAGCCCACTCATCGCTCAGCTATGTCAATTCCGTTAGCGATGAAACAAATGAAGACAGCGGGCAAAACCCATTTGACCGTTTTGCTACGGATGATATGACATACATATACGGTACCATCTTCCTTCACCCTGCAAGGATACCAGATCGAGATTAGCGTATCGTTTATCTCTACCTCTAATCGACGGTGATTGGTTAGTCACCTACCAAGCAAATGCGTAGAACACGTGCGAAATAAATCCCAATCGCAAAGAAGAAGGAGGTTGCTTTCGGTAGATCCTCCAGTTGGGGTAGTATGCGGCATTTGTGTATAATGGTACCTCATACCTGTTGGAAGAATCGGAAATGGCGGGGTCAGCCACAGTTGCGGGTCGGCGGCGAAAGAAGTTGGTAGCAGCGGAGAACATGATCTCCCTTCCAACTCACCCAGGGTCACGTAAAGTGGAAAATGGAAGAAGCAGCCAGCCGACAGAGAGGTAATGGAAGGCTATGAAAGCAATACTGTGACAGAGCCGGGTCCATTGAAGTAATAAAACATTGAAAAGCCCGGGAATCTCGCTGCCCGGTGTGTTTCCTGTTCGGGAAGGGGTCACGTGAATGCAAAAGGGTGTCTTGGCCTGTCCAAGATTCTCTTATGGTCTTGGAATTTGGGACTTTTGGTTATGCAACTCGCATGATTGGATAAAACCGGTCAAATGTTGGCAACAATTGGGGATTAAGATTCGTAACCGCACGCGGTTACGTAGAACATTGAAAGGAGCCCCCTTTATGGCGGCCGATAGAGGCCACCCAAGGGTCACGAGTCACACGACTCACATTACAATTTCAACTTTCTGACCGGCACATGCAGAAAGTAAATTACGAGTAATCAATTGATTCCAAACATTGAATTTATGTTTGTTTTTGAACTTCATTATATGCAGCGCTGCACATGTGCATTATGTATATATTGAATCCTTAAACTCCGTTATATATTATTGATCAATAGGGCTATAAATGTTATATTGCTTCTCTTTCTCCAAGTAAATTATCACAGCACTGCAGTTGACAACAACTGGCAAGAAAGATTTGGAGCCAGACATCCAGATGTGCTAGTCATTACTATGTATAGTCCATTCTCAAGTCTACTAGTATTCTATTCTATTTGAAAGTGACCCGTATTTAGATCGAATCCCTTACGATATTCCTGTATGTGATAAACATTGAATACAATACGGGCGGGAAACAAGGCGGTGAAGTTCGAAATTGAAATTAGGATGTGACCCTTGGCCTCTATCGGCCGCCATACCCCCTTTCTACGTAACCGCGAGAACGATCCGCATCACCTGAATATATTTTAAAGATACTTTGGTCCTTGATGGGTGCGGGGAAGGAGTTTTGGGTTTAGATAAGCGCCGACTGGGGAAAAATTGAAAGAAACATTGAAGTAAATAAAAAACAAACAAACACTTGAACGAAAATGTTTTCCAAAAGAAGAAACGTTCGAGATTGGAGAACTTTTAAGTCCAGTATGGCAAGTGCTCACTGGAGATCTTACTCTCGATTCAGCTATTGACGCTCATACTCTAGGCCGATTTGCAGATACTTCCAAGAATCCAACTTTGGAACCACTTGTCCATATAGGTATGACGTGCGGTGAGATTTACGATGGTTGATGCTTGTCAGCATGGTCAGACGACCTCCAAATTTCAATTTATCGGGGCACGTGTGTACACAATGATCAAGATTCAAAAGTTTCGCACATGTGCACATCATGGCGCTTGACCTCCAGGCTCCAGGGCTGCACGTCTCATTTTCGGAGCTGAAACTCTCTCCCTCCCTCTCTCTTTCCCCCCAGGACTCTGATCGCGTGCAGTGGACGGTGATTGGCCAACACTCTTACAGGATGAGGCGGTGCTCCCCGGAAAATGCGCCAACCCCCTGCTTCCCCGCGATATGTTTCATGCAACTTGATGCAAGTGACACCCGAGACAAGTGTGTCGGGCAGCGAATCGAATACGAACCGATGTAAGCGCGGTTGGCCCATACTAGGACTAGGCACCCCCCTTTTCTTTCCCCTAAGATTCAACCCATCACTGTTTCCTCAGATGCCAGCACACTGAGGCTTCTTCATATAAGGCCACCCCCAACATTTGAAACTTTCAATTCTTTTTTCTATGTGCAACCACTGAGAAGTTTTTGTAGCCACTTGGGGCGGAATTGCACTCCTTGGGCCTTGGGGCTCTGCCACCGTAAACTTTGTCAAACCCTTGGGGTCTCTGCTGAGGAAATTCCACCCGCACTCAAAACCATCTGTCACAACAGAATGTTGAGATTTGGAGTGTGGTTTCGCCACTCGATGTGAGTGGAGAGGTGTGCCATGCTTGCCAGTGGCTATGGTACATATGTTGAGACAAGTCAAGACTCCCACCGACCGCTCCAGCAATGAGTGCACCCACAAGTGCGTCACACCACGTACTACAATGCATGCCTGTACTAAATAGACTACATACAGACCTTAGTATGGGTTAAAAAGGGTCGAAAATGGACAGATCACCAGTACTTACTCTGGAAACAAACAGGTGTGTACCCACGAGGTGCATTCGACGTTTCAATGACCACACAAAGCTTCAAGGCTTAACCCGGGCATAGATGCAGCTACTACTATAGCTGAGAAGAGTATTTGCCTTAAAGGTAGCATGCTAGTCAGCCCGGATTATTACGTCCTGGAGCCTCTCAGTCAAAACGAATATTTAATGTCCGCTCTTCCAGAGAGTTTTCTTGCTAACCTTGACAAATATCAGAACCCCGGGCCATGATCTCAACTTGACTTGAATCAATTGATCTTGTCATAAAGAAAAAAGAGTTCGAGTCTAACCCTTCCCCCATTCAAAGGGCTGGCTCTTAGAAGTCCTTCCCTCCTCATTTTTCTCTTCTCAACCCCCACTATCATGGGAGAACTGATCTTCATCACCGGCGCATCTGGGTTTCTTGGGAGCGCAACTGCCGTGGAAGCATTGAGGCAAGGATACAAACTGCGGATCTGTCTTCGAGGACCGTGTAAAAAACTGGAGACCCTGCTTTCAAGATACAGCACTGATGTGGAATTTGTCATTGTACCCGACTTCACGAACGAAGCGGCATTCTCAGGGCAACTTGACGGGGTGGACTACATCCTGCATCTGGCCTCACCCGTTCCCCACGGCACAGAGAGCGAGTATTATTTCGTCGCTTCAAAGATAACGACTAACGTGCTTCAAGAGGCTACCAGAGCCAGGAGTATAAAAAAGGTCGTGGTCATGTCATCTCTTGCATCATTGCTTCCTGTTGGAGTACTCATAACTGATAGCATTGTCAAAGGTCCGTGACTACTCGTTGAGTCCATGTCCCTTGGATTGGATAGAATTCCCTTGACTGATGGAATTGAAAGAAAGCTAAAACATTTTATTTTAGAGCATAATCCCTGGAACATCACGGTGGATGAGGCCGCAGACTTCACTGTCTTCAAGGACTCTACAACGACAGCCATGAATTTATATCATGCTTCCAAGTTACTTGCTAATAAAGTGACGTGGGAATTTTGGAAAAATCGGCGCCCGCATTATAGCCTAGTGGTATTACATCCAGGCTTCACATTTGGACACAACCTTATGCAAACAAATGCCGAGGAAATCAGATCAACATCCAACGAGGGTTTTTGGCAGACAATCACGAGTGGCACACAGGCCATAGGGCTCAACTGTGTCCATATTCGAGATGTTGCCGAGGCCCAGATTAGAGCCTTGAGTCCGAATGTAGTTGACGGCTCATCCTATCTTCTTGCGCCAAACAAGTCGACGTGGAGGGAGGTCGCGGAGATTGTCCAACGAAATTACCCAGATACCGATGCAAAAATCACAGCTGGCATCAAGGAAAACCAATCATTGCCTTTTTTGTCAACCGACTGTAGTAGAGCTGAAGTCGAATTGGGGATGAAATGGCGGTCTATGGATGAAATGGTGCGAGATGTCATAGATCAGCAGCTTGCAATTTCCAGACATGTCGGATAGGAAATGGAAATCCGATATCTGATGGTCCCCGACTCCTTACTAGTATTTAGTTGCAAATTGGGGATATGCACATGTGTGGACGGTATCTCATAAAACACTGTCTATGGAACCGATCCTCCCTAGAAATATCCATTTAAACTTGGAGGGGCAGCCGCGTTGGTAGACCTTGATTCCTTGATTCCTTGGATTTTGAATTTTGAATCTCGATTCTCGATTGATAGCTAGTAGTTAGTTAGTTAGTTAGTTAGTTAGTTAGTTACTAGTTAGTAGTTAGTTAACTAGTTAGTTAGATGGGGGCCGCCAAGATGCTTACTAAGCGATAGTTGATCAACGGGTGAAACATATTAGGATCGCGGTTTCGATTCTATCCATGGTCTTCACTCTTTTCTTGCCACATCACACAACGTTTGTCATCATCGCGAAGCTTCCATTGACTACTATTGAAACCTGTTCCATAAACAATCTCACCAGACCAGAGCCCCTGCTCTCTCTGCCAGGTCCCTCTCTACCAGATCGTTATCTACTAGTTTACTCAGTCTACGGCCTTTCAAGATCACCATGATAGCCGACATACGCAGCGTCGCTGCAGGCGTTCTATCCGCTGAGCCTACGCGTGACCCAAGCTACGATGATTTTTCCTTCACCCCCTTCCTACGAAAGAGCTTCGGATTTGGCCTTGCCAGCGACGTGCCTGTCTGCAAGGCATACGGCGAGGGACATTGTCCACTGGGCCCAGCCTGCCCAGACCGACACCCGACTCCTTCTCGCGTTACCACATCCACCACTACCGCCTCTGGTCTGGCCCCATCTACAACACACGGGTCTTTGGTGTGTAAACATTTCCTGAAGGGTCTCTGCAAGAAGGGGGTGAAGTGCGAGTACCTACACGAGTACAATCTTCGCCGGATGCCCGAATGCCAGTCCTTCTCGCGGTCCGGTTACTGCCCCAACGGTGACGATTGTCTCTACCAACACGTTCGAGAGGAGGCCCGACTCCCGCCCTGTGAACACTACGATCGAGGATTCTGTGAGCTTGGATCTTTCTGCGCCAAGCGCCATGTTCGCCGACGTCTCTGTCTGTTTTACTTGGCCGGGTTTTGCCCAGAAGGCAAGGCATGTCCTGATGCGCATCCTCGGTGGACCGAGAACCTCCCTCGCCCTACCATTCGAACGGAAAAGACGGAGGAAGAACTTGAGCATGAGCGAACACTTATCCGGGAAGAGCAGGAGCGAGAGAAGGAAAGGGAGCGCGAATGGCGCAGTGAACGGGGTCGTGGCGGTGGATTTATGCGAGGGCGGTACCGCGGACGAGGCAGGGGCTGACGCGGGGGTCTTCAGAATAGAAAAGAGACGGAGAACAATCACATTCGGTGGAGTTACAAGGTTGTTGCATTTGCCTGGTGTGAAAGGTTCGATTTCATTTCAGATGAAATTTTCATTTTTTTTTCATTTTCACATTAGCAGTCCCTGGAGTTTTTTTTTTCGATTTTTTGGACTAGTTTCCTTCGTTTCATCCAAATATCATGATACCCCTGCGCAGTTGAATTATATAGCAGAACTTTTTTTTTACCTTAATTTAATCTGATTGTACGGAGTATGTGCTCAGCAGCCCAAGTCATTGGCCAAGTCCCTGCATGCCCGTTCTTAGGTAGTATTGCGCTACCATCCGGGTCCCTTCGGCTCTCAACGACCCCCAATTTTATTTTAACTTATTAAAAAAAAAAGAAAAAGAAAAAAGGTACTCCAAAGATGTATTTCCATCATGATCAAAGTCAATGACATCATGTGATTGTAACGGGGTCTTTTCTTTATAGCAATATTGTCACTAAAAACAGAATACATCAAGGAGAAATTGATTATCAATAACTTCCAATGGCAGATTTTGCGCTGATCCTGCGCTGATTCAACAACGCATAATCACACTTGTTGGGGGTGATTAGCAGTGATTATTGTGTCATTTGTCAGAGATCGGTCAGACTCGAGTAAAAGCCCCGTAAAGCCGAGTGGAGCCCAGACTGAACCAATGAAAGTCTCTTGCTGCTCTGTCATCTATGACTGATGGGGTTAGTAACTGCAATGGTGAAGCTTTACTATGCTGCTCATTGGTACCTCCTGCGCCATGAAAAACACTATGGCACAGCATGTACTCCCCAGTTGAAGCCGTTTCTCGTCAGACGCGGGGTCGTTGGTCTTATAAAGCTTTACGGTTTCCCCCTTCCAATTGATTTTAATTCCCATCCATTCTTCATCCCATTACTCCAGAGTCCTGAATCCAGGTTTCTTTTCTTTTCTTTCTTTTTTTTTTTAAAAAAAAAACATCCAATCTTTCACAATGGCTCCCAAGATTGCCATCGTCTTTGTACGTTTTTCCCAATCACAAGCTTCTTCAATGACCTTTTTGAAAGGGAAACCACTGACCTTGCCCTTTCTCACCAGTACTCCCTCTATGGCCACATCCAGAAGTTGGCCGAGGCTGAGCAGAAGGGTATTGAAGCTGCAGGTGGTCAAGCCGACATCTACCAGTATGTGTCGCCCAGCTGAGCACAAAAAGGCCCTTTGGTCTTCACCCCCCAACCAACTAATCATATCTTTAGGATCGGTGAGACTCTCTCCGAGGAGGTCCTGACCAAGATGCACGCCCCTGCCAAGTCTAGCTACCCCATTGCCGAGCCCAACGACCTCTTGCAGTACGATGCTGTCCTGTTCGGTATTCCTACCCGCTACGGTACCTTCCCTGCTCAGTGGAAGACTTTCTGGGATGCCACTGGTTCTATCTGGGCCACTGGTGGTTACTGGGGCAAGTACGCTGGTCTTTTCATCTCCACCGGCACCCTCGGTGGTGGCCAGGAGTCCACTGCCATTTCCACTATGAGCACCCTCACCCACCACGGTTTTGTCTACGTTCCTCTGGGCTACAAGCACACCTTTGCCCAGCTGGCTAACCTGGAGGAGATCCACGGTGGTAGCCCTTGGGGCGCCGGTACCTTTGCTGTAAGCACTTTTCTCACAATTTTGATTACCCCTTCTCCCCAGAATCCACCTACTAACAAGCCGTTTCTTAGGGTGCCGATGGTTCTCGTCAGCCCACTGCCCTTGAGCTGTCCATTGCTGAGGCCCAGGGTAAGACCTTCTACGAGACTGTCGCCAAGGCCCACCAGTGACTGCATGGTAGTGGCCAGTCGAAGCCCAAGACCTCGACCCTTGCTGTGGATGATGCTGCGAAGAACACTGAGCAGTCATCCCAGGGACAGCAGGGTACCCAGCCGGCTGTGAAGGAAAAGAGCAATGAAGGACCATGTGGTTTGCCTAAAAAGTGCGCCATCATGTAATTGGAGACTAATATCCTTTTCTGTATCCTTCTTTTCTTTCACTGTGGGCTTCTGCGGGGGCGTTTACAGGGCGTTTCGAATTATGATGACATGGATCTATAGCCTCTACTTTCTATAGAAGGGCAATTTCAGCTTTAGAAGACATGTTTGTTTCAACTTGTCACCTGGGAACATCAAACCATTTCCTAATATTTACACATTCAATTGATAGTACGTATTAAGCTCTTTCAAGAGTATATTTTTCGCTGTTCGCTGTTCGCTGTTCGCTGTTCGCTGTTCGCTGTTCGCTGTTCGCTGTTCGCTGTTCGCTGTTCGCTGTTCGCTGTTACGTAGTATGTAGTATGGATATTCAATATTGCCCAAAGGTACATACTAGTTAAAAGTATCGGGCGGGATTCACTGTGTACATACGTAAATACTACCAGTCTATATAGTAGTAAATATATCAATTCAATAAATATAAAATTCAACCTTCAATGTTCCAGTCGAGATGTCTTCAAGAAGACGACCGACCAGTTGACTTGAATCTAACTGGAACTTTTTTTTGACGTCTATTCCAATCCCCTCCCTTCCAGCTGTCCCAATAGTCCTGGTGAGCATTTGATTCAAGCAGGGGAGTACTCTTATTACTATGCAAAATTGCAATTGTGCATAGAATTCCGACTACTAGTACTACCTTGTAGGCGCTTGACTTTGTAAGTATAGAACAAATCTTACCGATACGTTCCACCTTTTTTTTTTTTTGCCCAGGCGTGCGGGGACGTGGAGTATGGTTCGCTGATAACCATACCGCCCATACCGCCCGCTGACTGTGACGTGACATGCAGGACAAGCTCCAAGAACAGCTGGGACTTGCGTTCCACAACCTTCTCCAGCTTTGCAACGCCCCCTCGACAAGCATCCACCATTTTTCACTACTCCCCATTTCTCATTCGTATTAGATATGGCTACTCGGCCAATCATCCTTCGATTTGAGAGTCGGAACGGTCAATTTCGAATCACTGTGAAGCCAGACGATCTCTTTCCTACCCTTCACCAAAAGGTGCGTATGGCCAATCTCTTGCTGTACGTAGTGCATATGGAACTAAACGCACTTTTGATCTTTTAGATCCTTGAAAATCTGCCATCAGAGGCAGACCCGACCTCCATCTCCCTCTCAAATAAGCACATAGGCGGCGGTGGTCAGGAAAGACAACTACAAGACCTGGACGGAGTTCCGATCGGACAAGTTGGCCTCAAGTAAGTCTCTTCACGTTGTTGCAAGATCTGAAGAGCTTTAGCTTACCTCTATAACTGTCTTCAGACATGGAGATAAGCTCTATGTCGGGTATCAAGATCGCACCTCGCAAAATGGCCCCTCCAACGGACACCAATCAAACCCCACTGAGCGTCGACTAAATGGCACGTCCGTCCCTCAGGAACAAACTATCCCTATCCGCACACAGCTGGCCTCACCGACTCTCACTACCAAGAACCCCTGGGACGTCGTCAAACAGTCTCCGTTGGATAACCTGCTTGATAGAAAGGATGGCAAGATCAAACGAAGCCAGGATCTCCGCATGTGCAAACATGGCCCCCGAGGCATGTGTGACTACTGCATGCCCATAGAACCATACGATGCCAAATACCTGGCAGAAAAAAAGATCAAACATCTTTCCTTTCATTCGTACCTGCGCAAAATCAACGCTGCTACCAACAAACCCGAAGCTGGCAGTTCCTTCATGCCTCCACTCAGCGAGCCCTTCTACCGGGTCCGACACGACTGTCCGTCGGGACATTCTCCATGGCCCGAAGGAATTTGTAGCAAGTGCCAGCCCAGCGCCATCAGTTTACAACCACAGGAATTCCGCATGGTGGATCACGTTGAATTTTCGACCCCAAACTTGATCAACTCATTGCTAGACTTTTGGCGCAAATCCGGGGCTCAGCGCCTAGGATTCCTTTATGGAACATACGAAGAATACGCTGAAGTTCCACTGGGTGTGAAAGCAGTCGTTCAAGCGATCTACGAGCCACCTCAGGTGGGTGAAGTAGATGGCGTCACACTCCATGACTGGCACAACGAGAAGGAGGTGGACGAAGTGGCTCGTATGTGTGGCCTGCAGAAAGTGGGTGTGATTTTTACAGATTTACTTGACGCTGGACAAGGGGATGGTTCCGTGGTGTGTAAGCGACACATTGACTCTTACTATCTCTCCTCCCTGGAGATTGCCTTTGCTTCGCGCCTCCAGGCTCAGAATCCCAAAGCAACCAAATGGAGTCGCTCGGGACGCTTCGGCTCCGACTTCGTGACCTGTGTTCTGACTGGTGATGATACTGGAGCAATCGCTGTCAGCTCATACCAGGCAAGTGTTTCAGCGGTGGAGATGGTGCGAGCCAACATCGTCGAGCCTTCTGCCGATCCCTCTGTCATGCTGGTACAGTCAGAGGAAGATGAAGATGTCGGCAGCAAAACCAGATATATCCCAGAGGTTTTCTTCCGCCGTATCAACGAGTATGGTGCAAGTGTGCAGGAAAATGCCAAGCCCAGTTTTCCAGTTGAGTTTCTGTTGGTGACACTCACGCATGGTTTCCCCACGGAGTCTGCACCCGTTTTCACTCACAGCCGTTTTCCCATCGAGAATCGCGAGATTATTGGAGAGAGCCAAGAGTTACGACATGTAGCTGAGAAGCTCATGTCTCATGGTGATCCTGACAAGGCGATCCAGGGTACATCCGACTTCCATATTCTGTGCTTCCTCCATGGGCTTTCTACATTTAATAAGGTCAGTCTCATATCAGAAATCAGGCGAACCTAACAACATTCAGGATCATTACTAAAAGGCTTTGGAACAACAGGATGAAACAGATCTTCTCTGCCGAGTTGCCACGACCCACTCCCCTGCCGATGGAATGCAGCTGCTGAATACCCCCGGGTGGGCAACCTTGATGACGATTCTTCAAGAGAGTGGTGAGCGCCCCCCTAAGCGCCCCTGGCCCTCGGCGGCCAACCTAAAGCGGTGGCCCCACTCATCCGCCGTTGACTCCCCTCGCTCCGTTTCCCCCAAGTCCGACGGTGAACAGCTTGCTAAAAGGTTCAAGGGAACTAGGCTAGATTGACCGCTTTCTCTCTCTTTCTCTCTCTCTCCCTCCCCCGCCTCCACATCCGCCATTAGGTTCCTTTTACCCTATCCCCCTTGCTCGATTTCGGTTTGTTATGTTCACTACAAGACCCATGGTCACTTGAGAGAATTCAAGTGTACCCGTCGAAGCACAATCTTGCGGACAATCCCTCGTTACCTCGAAATGAAAAATATTCCTCGGACGGTGCCGGCTTAAATGGATGCGGTGGGAGTGTAAGGAAATGCGAGGCATGCATGGATGGCAGCGTGGTGCTTTTCTATTTTTATCTATTATTTTTAAGATTTTTTATTACCATATTGACAGCTTCTCATTATAGTACAGTAAGGGGTAGCTTTTGACGGAGAGTCCATGATACCCGGGGGTCTAAACGCACTTGAAGGGACTAATGTACAGTACCACGTCAATACTTTACTGGGTGATTGTTCATTCAATTCAAAGTATAACGACAGTGACATGAACATCCCGTATCATGTCCGCTTTTATCAATCCATACATTCCTGCCAGTAACTACTGAATTCCAAACTTACAAGGTTCAATTCTGCTGTAAAGGGAACATTGAATTGGTATGACATCAGGGCTGCTACCAAAACGATGATTCTCCTTAAGGCTGGAGTATTTTGCTTTGCTTCAAAATGTCTCGCAGTCTACGTTCCAAAACTCTTCGACCCTCCGCATTGGCCCATATCTCATGCGGAGCATCATGAACAATATCCCAGGAGAGAAGCCTCTTCGTGATATGAGAAAGATCTTCTTGACGATCCGCCCACTCCGGATTGTTGCGAACCTCCTGCCCAGAGCTAACCACCACCAACGGCGTTGTCCCCATTTGAATATGGCGAGCGGATTGAACTTCAGTTGCGGTCATTGTGACTGCCACTAGGCTTTCTTGTAACTTGGCTTTGATAAATTTGTCCGATTGGTACGCAGATCGCCCGCTTATCCGATCTTCGCGGGTACGGCCTTGTATCAAAGCGCCAGTCAAGCGATCAAGTCCTAGTGGAGAGATGACCCCTTGAAGCCACAAGGCAAAGCCCCGATCAGCCTTTCCAAGGTCATTTAAGTAGGCCTCGTGCAGTGGATCGATGAGAAATATGCCGCTCACTTCAAAAAGATGGCGGCTTGCAAAGAGTCGGGAGTACAGACTGCCGACCCCAGCAGAGACAACAACCCAAGGGCCAGACTCATCTGCCAAAGCCAGGGCCTCAGAAAGGGCATCTATGGCCATCCCTGCAGAATGTGGAGAAGGGGCATTGTCTGACCAACCTAACCCTGGTCGATCCCAATAACAATACCGACTTATAACTCCAGTTCGGTATACATCTTCGATGAACGGTTGCAATCCATGTTCAACGGGATCGTAGTCGCCCTCGAGCAAGATAGTAGGTTCATTAGCATTCTTAGTGGTACGATTACCCACACATGCAATATGGACCTGGTATGTGTCGCCATGAACATAGTAACGCTGACCAGGAGGCTCAAGTGATGCATCAAGAGAACGGAGGGTCAAGGTTGCGGTGATCAAGACGGCGGCAACCGTCATGACCACCATGACAAGCATCTCGACCAGCACAGCTAGCCACTCCCATAGGGAGCGGCGTGTCTCTTCCCGTCCGGTGAGTCTCTCTTCTTCTTCTCTTTTACCCCACGCCACGGTGTGGTTCTGGATGACTTGGTACAAGGAGATGGCGGCTGCCCAGGCAATGGATGCAATGCCAACCCAACCTTCTTCAAGTCGAATCCGTGGCATGGCCAAAATAACAGTCAAATCCACCAAGAGCAATACAGTCAAGATACTGCCCCATATAGTGATTGGCTTCGAAGGTACTGCAAAGAAGAGCAAGCCGAGTACCAAATACCCCGTCGCAAGAGTAGTATATGAAAATGCGAAAAAACCCGAGCCACGAGTGTGCATCGTTGGTGTGCTAACAAAGATGGATATTAATAAAAATGTCCACCACATAAAGCTGATCGCAAGGGCTAGTAGAGTCATAGCACGCAAAGCGCGCACACTCCACACATTATAAGGTGACACCTTCAAATGAATATAGACGTCTCATATTAGCTAGAGATTCCTCCAAGGGTTGACTGTCTCTCTCTGCCTCTGCCTCCGTCTCTTGTTTTTGTTTTTGTTGTCTGGCTTCGAAGGAGTTTGTACTTACTGCTGGGTCATCAGGGCTTAGGTATCCTTGATCACGGCTTGCTGCAAGTAATCCTGTACGCTCAGTTGGACGTGTTTGATCATCCGCATTCTGGTGCTCTTCATGCTCAGAGCTTGGATCTGGCTCTCTATCGTTATGCCTGTATCCCCATGTGGAGTCCATCGTGGTGGCTTAATAAATTTCATCCTTTTTGAAAGATCATGATTAAAAGAAACAAGTTATAAACAAGTGATACAACGTGAAAGTACAGTATTTGGACCTCATATGTCTGACGTCATACATTATTGATGTCCCAATAAGCAAGAAAAAAGGATGAAGACATTCAAATGAAAAGCTTGGAAGTCGTCATGAGATTGAAACTCACCAATAAGATGATACAGATGTAAATGATAACCAGCAAAAGGTTTGTTCCAAGGTTAGTACTAGTTAGTAGTTAGTTAAGTTACTAACTAATGTTGAGTCTTGACTCTTGACTCTTGACTCTCTGTTCTTAGTCAGCACCATCGCGGGCCCGCGGCTCAGTCAACTTCAGTTAACAGTAGTACTTTACTACAAATACAATAGTGCGATGTGAATGATTATTCTGGCTTGCATCATTGTTGATATTCACATGCACCTTGAAATTGATGCAGCTCCTCTCCAATCTATTACCCCATCACCGCTTTGACTTGAATCGCGCTTCGTGGTTGATTCGTCCTCGGAAGCCCCAAGTTCAAAGTTGTTGACCTCTTCGATCCATTCGCCCCGCGCCCGATGAGCGAACTCCAAAGATCCTTTGCCAAACCCAAATTGGCCAGATCGCTCTCAGAGGTATTAATGGCAGAACAGGTTGGTGTACTGAATGAGAGCCCAGATGAGGATAGCTCTTCGACCTCCTCATTATCATCCACGGGTACATTAGTTCCGTCGCCAACGAGACATCTTTTCGCCCGAACCAGAAATATGTATGTCAGTCTATAGGACATGTGTGTTTTCACTCTCATACAAATTTTGTCGCGCAGCGTGCGTGGAAAATTGGGATCCAACATCTTCGAGCTCTTACTCGCGGCACCGTGAAATCTTGGAACATTGAAGGCATTTGGCTAACATGCACCTCCAGACAACCAAGCCAATCCCTACAATGGACAGACTTCTTTGAGCAAGACCTATTCTTGACTCAAGAACTGCAGAATCTGCATATCATCCATCATGTCTACCTTACCTCGCCAAATCCTTCAGGTCCACTCTTCGTGATGCATCACGGTGCAGGCTCCTCCGGCCTCTCGTTCGCAACATGCGCAGGGGAGATCCGGAAAATCCTCCCGAAGGCTGGCGTCCTATCCATTGATGCAAGAGGTCATGGTCGTACAATGATGATCTCCAATCCGGGAGATTCTCATACGGAACACCCCTCTATCGCGACAGCTGCGGAAGCTGAGGCCGCAAGTCAGATTGAACTAGATTTGAGACTTGAAACATTAAGCCGGGACCTCGTCTATGTGATTCGCAAGACCCAGGAGCGAATGAGATGGGAAACATTACCAGAAATCGTCCTTGTTGGTCACAGCCTGGGTGGAGCTGTTATTACCGATGTCGCTAAAAATGGCGAGCTGGGTCTGAGTGTCCTGGCTCATGCGGTATTAGACGTAGTTGAGGGTGAGTTTCTGGCTCCTGAAACATGCTTTCCATACACTGAACTAGTAATAATGTATAGGCTCTGCCATGGATGCACTGCAAAGCATGGAAAAATACCTTTCGACCCGACCGACCCGCTTTCCATCCCTAGAATCGGGAGTTGAATGGCAGTATGGACTACTTCTCTATAACACCCCCCTCTTCCGTTTTCAGTAGCACACTAATGCTAGCCCGTGAACTGAATAGCACACGATCCCGTACAATCCGAAACACCACCTCTGCTCGGGCTTCTGTTCCTTCTTTAATATATGAAGAAGTTCAACCAACCGATCCCTCTCGTCCTTGGGTCTGGCGCACCAATCTATCTGCAACCAAACCATTTTGGGAAAATTGGTTTATTGGCCTGAGTAGGAAGTTTCTCGAGGCGAGGGGTGGAAAACTCTTGCTCTTGGCAGGGACAGATAGGCTGGACAAAGAACTAATGATTGGTCAGATGCAAGGTATTTTTCACTCATCTATGCCTTTGTGCAAAGTTAACGCTCAATTCCTTGAACAGGAAAATATCAACTCCAAGTTTTTCCGGACGCAGGCCACTTTTTGCAAGAAGATCAACCCACGAAGACAGCACAGGTCCTGGCAGACTTTTATAAACGCAACGATCGCAGTGCGTTAGTACTGCCGCGAAAGGTAGCAGATATGCAAGCCACCTCTGCCATGAAAAAAGGAGTCGGCGCTTCATATTGGGATAATACTCAGTCCACAGGCAGATACTAGTGCTAGTAAATAGTACAAGTAATCCATACATGTATGTTGAGAAAAGGGGTTTCAAGTTAAAAAAACCCCCCTCGACCCTGTTTCGAGCTCTTGAACTCTTGAGATTAATTATTTAAGGTGCAACCGCCATGAGCCTCAGGGGCAGAGTAGCACTTGTAGCGATAGTTTGAGTGCGACTGCGTCAATTCGTAACATGTGTACAAAATTTGATCTAGGGAGACAATGTGGGGATTGCCTAAGCTTTGTCTGCCCGTATTTACTCAACAGCTAATGGCGATCATCACATGACTTTCGTGTGTGTAGTTGTAGAAAAATCGGTAAAAATAATTATAGGTATGCAGTAGAAAGAGAGGCTACACTGCAATAGCACTTGGATTGGCGACTTTGGATGCCGCGGTAAGATACATGGAAGCTTTTCAAAGAAAGAAAATGACTGTGAAAGAAACCTGCGCCACCGTAGACCATAAACGCCAGATCACGTTCGAGACAACACCAAAATCTCGAAGAGGATGAAAAAAAAAATACTCGATGTAATAAAAAAGAAGGGGCGGGCGAGCAAATGAAATAGGACATGCAGTGAAGAACCGGGGGTATCTGCGCCGAATAAAACGGCCATGTGGGACGACGGGACTGCATAGTAAAAAGTAGCCTTCGATGCGCACGAGCTCTAAGGGAGGTAGGCACCACCAGCGACAACCAGGTTCATGTTCGTGAACTTGACTTTGTACAAGGTGGTCTTTTTAGTTGGGAAGGCACTTATCTGGTCAGGAGTCACCACGACATCCTTGCCTTTCTTTTTCTTATTCTGAGCGGCAGCGGCCCCCGCCGTGGCATTGGTAGCATCAATTTTGGCTGCGCCAGAGCCTTCACCAGTCGTCCGAGCCTGGGTTGCGTCTTGGGGACCAGTAACGTCCCAAATCCGGACAGTTCCATCTGCGCCACCCGAAACCAGCACAGTCGACTCAACACTCCAGCTGAGGGACCAGATCCCACCCTTTCCATGTCCACGCATGCGCTTCAGCAGTCGACCAGGAGCCAGGTCCCACAGGAAGATTGATCCTTGATCGTCTGCAGAGGCAAGGATCTTTCCATCCCGGCTGCATTCCATGGCAGTGATGTTGCCGGTATGCCCGGTGAACATGCGCACCGCATTTCCAGTAGTGACGGCCCACATCCGCACGGTGTGATCGCAGCTAGCAGTGAAGATGTACGCAGAATTAGGGTGAAAGCAGACGCAATCCACATCTTGGTCGTGACCAACAAAGATGCGCTGTTGACGGATATGATCTGTGACCCAGAGACGGGCAGTCCGGTCAGAGCCCCCTGAAACAAAATAGTGGCCAAATGGTCCCCAGCAAAGGTCCCAGACAGGGCGATCATGACCTTTGTAGACAACCATGCATTGCCAAGTATCAAGAGACCAAAGTCGAATGGTCTTGTCCGCAGAAGACGAGAGGAGGAAACGAGCATTGGTAGGCACATAGTCATCGGGGGCCATATTCTCAGCGCGTGTAGCTGACGGCTGAAAGGCAACCGCATAAACAGGGCCAGAGTGGCCAATCAAACGACGGGAATTGGCAGGGGGCTGGTCATCCAATTCTGGATAGGCGGCTTCAATGTTATTGCCATCAAGAGTCCACACACGGATATATGAATGCTCGAAACCAGCAGCCACAAGGACGTTGTCATCTGAGAAATCAAGGCAGTTCATCCTGGTGGGTATGTTAGTACACCAAAAAGAAAAAGAAAAAGAAATCACGTTGAGCCCAGAGAACTTGCCCGTCATAAGTGTTGTGGAAAGTGAACATGCACACGCTAACACCAGGGCCCACGCCGCCAGTGCGCCCCTCAATCTTGTATCGATCCCGGTTTTCCTTCACCTTCATGGTCTCGATACGGACATCGCGAGCAGTGGAGGGCGGGAAGGGAATATCAGCGCGGGTGGGTGCCTCGTCATCTTCCTCCTTTTTGATCATCTGCTCAAACTCCTGGACAAGCGTGTTACGCCCGGCGATCGGGGGTTCTCTGGCATCCTCGTCGGCGAGTTCAGCCCGCACGTCTTCTTCCATCACTGGCTCCATGGGCATCTTTCCCAGGCGAAGTCGTGGCAGGGTGCCCGCCATGGCAGGGTTGTCCCCAGTGTAAGCCGAGCCGGGATGATGACCAGGTATACCTTCATCCTCGGCAGGAAACGACTGACCTGCTCCAATCTGACCCAGCATAGTAGCAAAACTGAACCTGTCATCGGCGGCGCGGTCCATGGTCTTGACAGTGCAGAAACTGCTGAGGATTGCGTTCATCACGGATCCTCCTTCTTTTTCCTTGTTTTCTAAGAATTGCAGAAGGTTCGTGTATGCGGGATTGCTGAGAACGACTCGATATTTGTTAGTGCGGTAGAGCTTGGCGACGGAGTTGCTCTGAACATGCTCCGGCAGACTGATTGGTTCAAAAACACGGACATCATCTGTATGTTCCGGTAGGAATATGTTTTTGTTGGCCTCAAAAAACTGCTTTGCATCCTGTGGGTAAAAAGAAGTGATCATATTCAGGAAAGAGTAGACAAAGAGTGGCCACAAAACTCGGCGAAGTTCCGGCTACATTGTTGTCAGAGTGGTTTGGGACTCGAGAACTCGGACATTACTAACCTTGTACAGATCAAGATTTTCCTCGACCCATGTCTTCAGAAGATCTAAACAACAGGTCAGAATGTCTTTCTGCCACGGGTGAGGGCCGATGATAGCTTACCAAAACCCTGTTTAAACTTAGGGCGAGCATCCTCGCCAAGAGGAGGTAGAGGGCGGCCATCAATTTCTTGATTTGCTGATTCCATCCGCAGCATGGCCTCTGTGCGGCTGTAGCCCTTCTTGGCTAAGTAGTCAATGACCTACGTAAGATCATTTAGTCAGTTGTGAAACTTGAATTGTGGCAAATGCCATGGAACAGACAGTCTGGCTTTCAATGGGGTGTTGAGGCAGGGGAGTGGTCAGATCAGGGCTCTGTCCAGTTGGAATGGCCTGTGTTGAATTGGGCTGCACGGGCTGTGATGTTTGCAGATGCGGGCCAGCATCTGAGGACCCCGCTTGATCAGCAGGCTCATAATGTTGGGGTGCAGCAGTGGCTTTTCTTGTTTTGGCATTAGGCCTGGACCGGCCACTTTTCCTTGGGGCCCGTCGAGCCATGTCTTCAAGTTGGTTGGGGGACGATAGATGAATTGCCAAATTTGAAGCCAAGGGCACGAAGATGAGAGGATGAGAGAAGGAGGATATCACAGCAGAGAGGAGTTGGAAAGAACAAAATAAAGTGAAGTTGAAGGATCAATCTTCGAACGTGAACGCGTCAGAAACAAAAGCGAAGCCAGTCTACTACTCAAACACGTGTCTGGCCAAAAAGCACACTTGGCCGCTTTCTGTAGTTGAGATAGACCATACTTGTCACTAGCCTAATTTCATAAACACCAGGCTATCCCAAAGGCAATCTCTGTTTGGATGACATCAAAGCCCATACTCCAAAATGAACATTACTATCCGAAGAAACAGGAGGTGCAATATGACACAACGAAAAAAGAAAAGAAAGAAAAAACAGATCAGAATGGAAAGTAAGAGTATGATATTTACTCCCACTTCAGCGATTCAAGGGTAGAATGGACGATGATAGTACTGATATATGGAGATATCACTCACAATTTGGTTCAAATTCTGCTGAGACATCGCGCCACTCTGAGGAGGCGGCGGGCCTGGGGTCGGCGGCTGATGTACTGGTGTTCCAGACAAGGGCTGCTGGGAATTCATAGGCATCCCACTGCCATTTGCACCGGGTCCCATACTACCGCTACGCGGCACAGGGCTAGGGGCGCCGCCAGGGGCGGACATGGTGGTTAATTGGAGAGGGGCAACAGTGGGCAATAGGTAATAGAGAAACTGTGTTTTTAACAGAGAGTGTTTATAGCTCTATAAATTGGAAAGAAAGGATGAAGTCGTTGTAGATGAGATGCAGAGGTACACGCCGGCAAAGTGAATTTGATATCTTTGAATGGATCGTGAACGCATCTGGCATTAATTCACCGCCTTCTTCCCCGCCAAGAATAAGATTGATTTGTGCACGTGATGACCCGAGCTTTTGAATCTCGATTGTTTGATGTAATGGGAAATGAAGCACTGACTTTAAATCGGACTTGGAAATCCCTTCAAGAGGCAAAATTCCCTCCAGTTCTCCTGTGGCAAAACCTGACAACAAGATATGGAGTACCCAGTGCAGGCAGAAACCCAGACACAGACATTTAGCTCTGCAGATCGTATCCGCCAGCTGAACGATATTGACAAGGTACATTTGAGCTTCCCAGAGATTCAAAACCCATATACTAACTCGATTTTGCCAAAAACAATACAGGATGTGGCAAAGTTGATTCACTCTGCTGGTCTTGCAATCCAAGCTTTAACAAATGCGAAGCCAGACTCGCCGTCGCCTGCCCAAGACGGCTCCCTCGATTCACATAAAACCCAGTTCAAGGAAGCCACTGCACAGTACTTTGCTCTCCTATCCTCTATCGATGTGCGCCTTCGACGCCAGGTCTACGCTCTAGATGAAGCTGCAGTTCTTGGGCCTGAGGTTAATTCCCGCACAGGTGATGCGACCGGGACGGGCGCAGGTGGTGGAACTGGGACTACTGCGGGATCTGGTGCCGCTGCCAACCCTCTGGACATCAGTTGGCTGAACAGCCGGAAGGACACAGTTGGGAAGGATAAAGAGGCAGAACTGTGGGCATCAGCTCGAGAGTTTGTTGAGAAATTGGACCGCTCTTCGGTTTCAGCTTCGCAGAGCTCCGGCAAACGTGATGAGGTTACCGAGGAGATGCAGGTCGACTGAGTTAGGAGATTCCCATTTTCCATTCCAACTCTTGGCTTATCGAGGAATGATTAAGGAAACATTTGCGTCTTAAAATGATACCCCCAAGTTACCAATACGTTGCGGCCTAGCATTTCCACCTATCGTTCTCACACTGGAAGTGTATTCACTAGAATAATTCGGATCAAGCTCCAAAGATTCATTTCGCGGATGAATATTGAACGGATCATATTCGTGAGACTAAAGCGATGCAATTACACTGGGAAATGGAAACCAACAAGACATTCATCGCAGGGCCCTCGGAGGCATTCAACGCATTAAGATTGGAGAAGAGTTCAATGTTCTATTTTTGCATGGACTTGATCATCTCCAATTGGGTTGCGCGATCTTGATTCGTCTTTGAAAGTGGTGTTAGGCCTAATAAATCGATGATCACATTAGCACTCCCGCTAGAGCAGTAAATGAAGCAAATGGGGGATGGAATCACTTACTTCGAAGCTCACCCACGACATCCTTGGCTTTGCCAAAGTAAACCTCCTCTAAAATGTCGTAGCTATGTCAGCAACCTGAAAGATTTCATGCATGCATAAAAAGCAACTCACGTAGCAAGTTTCGCATCTTCAATTCCATATCCTCTACTAATCTGCCCACATTTGCGACATGGCTTGCATCCGATTCCACGGCCAGATCCACCTCGACTTGGCGGGTCATGTTCCCGCTCAGGTCCATCTCACCTAGGGCCGGACTGGAGTTGGCAAGATGCAGGATGACCGTGCTGGTCAGTTTGTAGTGGGACATGCGAGCTCGATCGGTGGCCTCGAAAACGTGGATGCTGTCCCACGCGCCCGAGCTCTGGGAGCCGGGTGTTACCCCTGGGACATGAATTCATAAGCTACCGGACATTTCACATGTGTTTCCTTCCGCTGTCCAAAAATCAACATACCCTTCTTCAACAGAACCACCCCCGCAAACCCGTCATCTAGATCCCAAAAGTAGACACTGCCGACACCGCCCTCGTAGTAAAGCTCCCGGTAAACATCAAAGGCGTCATTGGCAGCGACCTCCAACTTGCGCACACGCTCACTCGGGACAGTACCGTCATCAAGCGGGGGGTCAAATTCATTGCTCCAGGGTGACCGGTAGCTATCTCCGTCGCGATTGTAGTCGCAGAGGAGGTAGTCCCGGTTCGTTTGTTTGCATCGGCGAATCTCCAAAGGCTGGTCAACTGAGGAGAGGAGATCTTCGGTGAGATCGGGGACAATGGTTGTAATGGCTTGGAGATTAGCCTTGGTATCGCGGGGGTTCAGGCGGCGAAGGAGGTCGCTAAGGAGGAAATGGTCAGCTCAGTGCACCTAACATGCGGGGGTTGCTGCAGGAGAGCGAGTTGCGGAGCAAGGCTTTGGAGTAACTGGCCGTAGATTATCGAAGAAGATGGAGGAGGAATGCATATTCGTACTTACAGAGCACTGTCAAACTGTGCGTCGGCCATAATGAGGGAAGGAGTTGTTTATGTATTTAAAGGTTCCAACTTGAAGGTTGACAGGTGATGTTTACCACTAGCTGCGGATGCTGATTGAGAGGAGAGGTGCGTGGGCCCTGTTAGGGTAGGCCGTCGCAATACGATCCACCGCAGACTTATGATCTCCGATTCTCCGATCTTTATCCTTCGCCTGTAAATTCCAAGGTTCCAAGGGAACGGGGAATTTTTGAAAAGAACCATTTCACGTTATAGCATCGGAATGCAAAAGAAGTATCTCAGGACCATCTGAACAAAGCAAAGCCTCGTTACCAGTACAAGGTGTTGGTACTAGTACGCAAAACATAACATTCAACTGGAGTTCCACTTCACCGCCAACGCCAACCATGTGTTTTCTGGTACCCCACTTGATACATCACTCCCTTGTGAAAAGCCATGCCCCGAGGCCATTAGCCGTGAGTTCAAGCCAAGTTTCCACACAATTAAATTATCCCAAGGGGCGTCAATGATAACGAAATCCTGCAGCGAATAAAGATTCCACTTGACTCCAACGTCTATTATGGCGGAAATTAACCCGCAATTTGAGAGTCTGTACGACGACATGTCCACCTTTGTGGACGCTTGCATGTCAGGCCATGATCCCTCACATAACCCGCCCCATGTACACCGGGTGGTTAAGCTCGCCCTCAAGATCCTTGATTCAGAACGAAAGTTAAACCCAGACACACAGTACTCTGAGGCCGTCGTCAAGCTTGCAGCCTTGCTCCATGATATTGGAGATCGGAAGTATTTGCCGAATCTATCGACGGATACAGCCGAGCCGGGCTCTTTGAACCCGAAGACAATGGTTGAACACGCATTGCTGCAGCGTGGTGCACCGGCAGACCTAGCCTCCCGGGTACAGACCATTGTCTCCCACGTGTCATATTCCACAGAGTGCAAGGATCCCTCTGTGATCCAACGACTGATTGATCAAGATGGGCTGGTGGAGCTTGCGATTGTTCAAGATGCTGATCGACTGGACGCAATAGGGGCCATTGGTATTGGTCGGTGTTTTACCTTCTTGGGTGCTCAGGGCAAGAAGTTTGCTGGCGAAGGGGGGTGGGTCATGGATAATGCAATTGAGCATTTCGGGGATAAACTGGAGAAGCTAGAGAAGATGATGAAGACAGCGACGGGAAGGAAGATGGCTCAAGTGCGGACAGAAAGATTGAAGACCTTCGAGGGATGGTGGGCAGAGGAGATGGGGGAGTCAGCTTGAGCATTTGACATTCAGGTAGTGGTATGTATAGTGCTATATAATTTATATTTGAATAACCTTGGAACTTGAACATTTTGAATATGTACACTCAAGTACTCTGTGCAAGCTACGACCTGGTAGGTATGTGTAGTAGGTTTAACATCCTGCATATTAACAGATTTTGAACATCAATCAATATGCAGTTGACGTAACTTTGACCTTTCAAACATTCAAATGTTGACTACGTTGATAGATATATGTAAATATACAAATACCAGTCTATTGATATTGATATGCACATGTGTACCACTAATCTCTGCACTGTGCAGATATCAAGTACTAGCTTGAGCACTTACTAGTAGGCACTACAATCAACATTTGAATGTATACATATATATATAGCACTTGAGTATGGCCTCAAGCCCTGTTGACTGATATGTGCATATGTACATATGTATATGCACATGTGTATCAATGTATACGGTGACTGCACATGTGTATGACCTACTTCAATATGTATTGTTTATGTATGTTGAATCATTGATATAAGGTCCCAAGACATCTGGAGGGACTTGCTTCAAATATATTAATGTGCATACTAGCTATTAATTCCGACCTAGAAGGAGTGATAGATCAAGACAAAAGAACCAGAACTACACATGTGCACAGTTTAAAATAAAAACACCAGGGCACGTCCAAGTGTAAAAACATGACAAAACCTCCAGTCTATCAAAATGCAATCGGCATAAGTACAAGTTTGGGTATTTCGGTTTCTGTGGGAGCAAGTGGGAGATCTCAAAAGACAAGTCGCGAGACGGAGCAAAAAGGCCGATGATACAGGTTTCGGAATCCATATGATGCACTTCATGAGCATGATCAATCAACAAAAAGTCAGCAAAAAGAAAGAAAGAAAGAACTCGACTCCGGGTGTAGTTCTCAACGCCATAGAAAAGACAAAAAGGTCTAAATCCCCGAGAGTAAAAAAAAAGCTTCAAAGTAGTAGAAAAAATAGGAGAGAAGGGGAAAAAGAAGTGGAAAAAGAAGTGGAAAAAGAAGTGGAGGTCAGACTCGGTCTCGTGCAAAGTCCAGAACTTCACAGTCGTCCTCGAAAAATCCATCATCGGTCTTCAGAGGCACTGATGATTTCTTCTTTCGCCGGGTGGTTATAACAACTTCCTCGACGTGGCCAGTACTGTTAGCCAAACTGATTAGGTTTTCCATATCCCCCCCAGCACCAAATGAATGCCCATGGACCGCAGAGTCATCCTCTTCATCATCGGCATTGTCATCAGCACTATTATTATACGATCTCACATGCACCTTAGCCGTTGGAATATCGCCTCCAAAGACCCACTGTCCACCAGGATCCGCCATGGTTAGATCAGCTTCATTGCCATGGCAAGAATAAACGTGCAAGCCAACCCGCTGATCGGTATGGAAAGGTTGATATGGTGTGTTTGTCTCAATCTCCGCCTGAGAAAGTGGTTGACAGAGGGGTCTATTCCCACTAGAGGAGTGTGCGCTAGCAGATGGCAGAAGGAGTGTTGCGTTCACTGCTTGCTCCGGATCGTATGCTTTAAGAGGTGCCGGCCCACAGGGGGTTTGCAAACTAGCAGGTAATTTGTATTGCCTCTCCTTCCCGCCAATCACAGAGTGAAACTGCCGATTCTTATGGTTTGTTGCACCCCGCTTGAGGCGATAGAGCTTAAAATTCCCATCATCAACCAAGCCCAGATAAATCAAACCTTTGTTACATATCCATGTAACACGGGATGGTGCAGGATCTCTTGCGAGTCCAGTCAGATGGAGCCGATTTTCTCCAACGTGTCGGAGAGTGTGAACAGTACCAGTTGCCGCGGCGCCCATAGATTTGCTGAGCCCTGCCGCGACTACCTTCCCGCCTTTGATGCCGGCTGCAGCTGGCAGAGCGAATCCACTTATGTTCGGAAATGCAGTGCCACCAGTAGAAGGAACGCGACCTCGGACAGCGGAAAAGAAGGGCTGTGTCTTTCCTCCGACCAACTTCATGGCTGCAGACAACGGATTCCCAGCAATTGACTGCCCTAACATTTCATCACCCATCGGGTCGATGGTTGGAGACTTCTTGGGCGCAGGTCGAACTCGGCGAAACGGAGGCCATTGGAAGGCACTTTGAGGAAGATCAAACACATGGACGGTTCCCTTGCGCGTAATAATCGCCAATCGATCTCCCACTGGTGCGGTCCATATCACGTCAACGATGCTTGATGTTGTCAAGCGAGTATATCTTGCTACCTGGCGCACGTTCGGATTTTGATCGGCCAAGTCATCAGCCATGAATGCCATTGCCCGGCAGCTCTTCAGCTGCATAAGATCCCAGACATATTGGACATCGCCTTTCTTACTGGCAGTGAATAACATCAGTCCATTAGGCGACAGTGAGAGAAAGCTGCAGCCGTTGGGCGCCTGAAAGGTTGCCACAGGGTGGAGGGAGGCCATCTTCAGGTCCATACCATCGTCAAAACGTTGCAAATCAATGATTGAGACTGCATCGCATGCAGGAGAGGCGACCGACTGTGAATCCTGGGCATGGGTTGGAGGGAATGACCCGTAACCAGAAGCCGGGGAATCTGTGCCTCGACTTGGGCGTTGGGGAGGCGTGCCAGCGGAATTCTGGTTGTTCCAATAAGTATTCCAGGCTTGCATCCCCTGATCTCCCATCCAGCGGGCACCCCTGACAAGCTCTTGGGTGACACCTCTGGCAACCTTGTCAAGAAAGCTTTCGCCCTCCCCAACATCTGTTGCACAATTCACGGACGCCATGGTAGGAGGACTGCGAGTCTCAAGCCCTTGGGCTCGACCGTGTATCAGAATTGCAGGGACTATTCCTTGGATAGATCCCCTATATGAGGTGGACGGATGCACAACCGCAAGCCATCTTCCCTGCAAGGCTAGAATCGGACGTTCGGATAATGATGTGCGGGGTAGATCGTTGTGCGAGCCATCTGGGTCGGTTGAGCTAGAAGACGTGGAGTATCGTCGACTTTCTCCAGTCTGCACATTTGTCCAGGTTTTCCCCAGGCACTGGTAGGACCCCGAGAGAGTTTGTCTATAGACATAAACTTCACCACTGATTCCAGAAGCTACAACGATATGATTCCCACTAGTCATGAGCTTGAGACTGCCCACAGGTGAGGGTGCTAAGGAAGGCAGACCAGGAATATTCTCCAGAGAAGGTGTGGGGTTGGTTGCAAACAGTGTTGCAACATGATCCCCAGACCGGAGAGAGTATACCTCCACCCGAGTTTGATAAAATTGTAGATCCTCTCGACGGGTGCGCCTGTCACTACTAGAATGACCTCGCGCCGCGCCAGATGTGCCTTCATTGGCTTCGGAGGCCGTGGAAGACACAATACCGTCATCCTCATTTGATGCTAATGGCCCGTGAACAATGACTACCACGCGAGCCTGGGAAAATGCAGATAGCTCCGCGGGGGCGTGACTAGACACAATCTTTGCCTCGAGAACACGACCATTTAGACCAGTGAGCTGCCCAATAAGACGCGTCCGATGATCCTCAATGGCCTGGATTTCCACTCCACCGTCTATTCCTACCACCAAAACATTCAGGGTACCTCGTGATGTCTTTGAAGGATTTGGGAGCGTGTCGAACCCACAAAAGGAGTAGGCTCCCTCCGCCACTGGGCGGGTGTGAGATGGGATGTCGATTTCCGGTGCCCCATAGAAATGGGCCTGAGGCAGGTGGGGCGGGGGCGCAAGATTACTCATGGGACTTCCATAGGAGTGGCTCTTGCGTCGATCTACAGACTGCTGCCGAGATGGCAGGTTGCTTCGGTATCCGCTGCTGTAACTGAATGGCCGAAGCCGGGTCGGAGGAGATGCCGAGGAAGGTTGACTGAAGCCACCCCGTTCTTGGATGGTAGGAAAGTTAAGGGAGGATTCGTGAGGAACCTCGCCATCCATGAGGTCAGTTGGAGGGCTTTTCCCAAAGGGAACCGACTGGGCCCATGTATCAGTACGACTTGTGAGATCGTTATCATGATTGTCTCCCATTGACCCGAGTACGTCGAGGACGGGCGAAGTCACGGCGGGTGAAACATGGTTTTCCAGAAGTGGATCTGGAGGAGAGGATGGCTCTGGCAGCGAAGGCTCCGGTGATTGAACCCTTGAGCTAGATCATCAGTATTTTCAGGAGTCAACTCGAGGGAGATTTCAGAGGGAGTTCTTACACGTCATTTGGGGGAGTCTCTATTTCCGTCATGGCCCTGGTCGCCGCCTTGGCCTTTTTGCCATTTTTCTTCTTCTTGCTTTTCCCACCACTTGATTCATGCTCAACAGTGAGGCGATTCTGATCAGTACTATTGAATGATGTGTCGTCTTCTAGCGATCGGCTTTGCTGTCGGATCAAATCGTCAGGCGCGGCCGGGGGCATTCAACTGAAGTGTGCCTCAAGGGAGACACCGAACGGTTCAAAGCAGAGGATACCGCCCTCAGAACCTATGGGGAGGTCTGAGAACGGGGCAAGGACGGTCTGGTTTGACCGTGCTGGTGAAGGACAAGCTTGGGGGTAGGAAATGAGGGGCTTGGTTCTAGATGGCAGCAGTCAGAACAGTTCTTGGTCTTTGTTCATTGCTTTGCAGCTGCAGGGGGAAAAGCCGTTACATGCAGCGCAGATTTGATCTCACTTACGGATTCGGTTGATCGAGGTGAATGGTAATAGATGGTCGAGTTTGGAGGGGTTTAGAGAAACCAAGGCGTATCTAGAGCGGAGTTCGCTCTGGATACGCGGGGAAGCTGATAAGAGCGATATGTGGTTTGGACGAGAAACGCAGCACCCACTGGGATAAATCCAGTCAGTGCCCAGACAAAGCGGATTCTGGTTCTTAGAATAAAAGATACTAGTATACGAGATGTTTGATTTGATCCCAAGTTGGATGTAGAAGGAAGGAACAAATGATGAAAGCGGGGGAAGTAAACGCGGTGCCTGAGTCAGAACCGTGACCAAATGACCCCTCAGCTGTTCAGCCGGGCGACCCAGCTGGCCCCCTTTTTTTCTTACTATGACTATTGATTACACTAATATTAACGAACAACCCGCCCGTTCCCAACATGGGCAAATCCTGACTTTGCTTTGGTTTCCAAGGTTATTTGCATTAGACTTTGGTCATCAATGATTGACTACATCCTTATATAAGCATGGCCACTTGAAACCCATGGTACTCGTCATTGCCCCCCGATCGTAGCCGTTGCCTCCACCCAGAAATGGTGGTGAAATCCCCCCCGCAAGGCCGCAAGGGATAATAATACACAGGACTTTGGGTTGCGTATGATGGAGAATCGGGGGAATCGGGGGAATCGGGGAATCAGAGGGGTCACGGGGGCTAGAGCAGTGACGCGCGATTTAACCTTGGAAGTTGCTGACGCTGATCATTCAACGATGCGCCGTTCCTGTTGACCATCTCCGATCACGCTCAATCCGGAGATAACCACACCTGCGCCACGTTTTGCCTCAGGTCTATTCGCCCGGGCCAATTTAACCGGGAAATCAAAGAAATTAGCCAAGGAAAATAGAGGTGCCATGGAATTTGACAAGAGACAGAAGCAGAGTGAAGGGGAGGTACGGAAAACAAGGACAGAGTTCTTATGATGGTTCTATTAGATGGGACGAGACTGCAATAGCTGGAATCTCCGAGTCGTGGCTAGTAGTGATACAGGGCCCATGTGGGGCCGATAGTGGTATATGGATATTCCCCTGATCAATTCCCAAGGTGGTTCAAGTCTTCTTCTTTGCCGCAGCAGCCTTGGCCTTGGCAGCCTTCTTCTTGTTGCTGTTGATCATCACAATCCCTATGAAGGTTCCTACCACAGCGGAGCCCAACAAGGCGAGGATAACAGGAATACGGATGGCCCAAACACGAGCAGGGAAGAGGTCGTGAAGAGGGTGTCCAGGGTCAACGAAAGGCTATTGAAGGAACCGGAGGATTCAGTATAAGGCAGATCAATGGAGAAAGAAAAAAGACAACTCACCATCAACAGGGTCCACGCGGTGTAGTAAAGAAAGATTGCTGTAGCAGCCAAAAGCATGGCGGAACCCACGAATTGGCCCAGCTGTGTTTGAAGAACGATTAGTACGAATGTACACATTTGCAGTCCAGGGGGAACAGAACGAACCATTGTTATCAAAGGAATGGTCGCTATATAAAGGTAAGCTTGGGAAATCCAAGGGAAGAGAGTGAGAGCCCTGGAGATGGTCACGGTTGTTTCCAGGAGCTCCACGTTTGGAGCGACTTGGCCTCCGTGCACGTGACCCAAGAGCTTTCACTTTGGGAACGCGGATCCGAGTGAAGACTTCAAGGCTCATTCAACCCCGTTCTTCACTCCTCCTTTTTCCGAGGTCTTTTCACCACCTCGATAATCCGAACTTCGAATTTCGGGTCTTCTTGAGGCTCTCACCATGGACGACCCGGCTGTTCTCCAGTCGGCGGTGCGAGTACCCACTCCCCCCCGGGCGCGTTGTCGCCCAGCGCAGCTTCACGAAAGCGTTCGCCACCTTCCAGATCCCCCTCCCCGAACCGTCGCCGCTCTCCACCAGGAGACTCTCTCCGAGATGATACAGATGTCTCTGGCGTCGACCCGGCCCGGACAATCGAGCGGGAACGCCAGCTCGCGGATCGGGTCCGCGAACATGAACGCCAGGAAGCCGCCCGCAAGCCGCTGACCGAGGAAGAGAAACAGGCCTCCGCAAAGGCCGAATATGAAAAGCTTCTCAACATGCGATCAGGTGGTACCTACATTCCCCCAGCACGCCTCCGTGCACTGCAGGCACAGATCACGGACAAAACCAGTAAGGAGTACCAGCGCATGGCATGGGAGGCATTGAAGAAATCGATCAATGGTCTTATCAATAAGGTCAATGTCTCCAACATCAAGTATATCGTACCAGAACTGTTTGGAGAGAACTTGGTGCGAGGCCGGGGCCTGTTCTGCCGCTCGATAATGAAAGCGCAGGCGGCTAGTTTGCCCTTCACCCCCATCTACGCTGCCATGACTGCCATCGTCAATACCAAGCTACCCCAGGTGGGAGACCTGTTGCTGTCCCGGTTGATCATTCAGTTCCGCAAGGCGTTCAAACGAAATGACAAGGCGGTCTGTATTTCATCGACCACCTTTATCGCGCACCTTTGCAATACCCAAGTCGCGCACGAAATGCTTGCAGCTCAAATTCTACTGCTCCTGCTTCACAAGCCCACGGATGACAGTGTGGAAATCGCAGTGGGACTGACTCGAGAAGTTGGTCATCACCTGGAGGAAATGAACCCCCCCATTGCGCTGGCTGTCTTCGACCAGTTCCGCAACATCCTTCACGAAGCCGACATCGACAAACGAGTTCAATACATGATCGAAGTGCTCTTTCAGGTCCGTAAGGACCGCTATAAGGACAATCTTGCTGTCAAGGAAGAACTAGATCTTGTGGAAGAGGAGGACCAGATCACACATCGTCTTGGCTTGGATGATGAAATCGAATCTCAAGACATGCTCAATATCTTCAAGTTCGACTCAGAGTGGGAGGAACACGAGGAAGCTTACAAGAACCTCAAAGCTGAAATTCTTGGCGACGACAGCGACGCGGAAGACGACGACGAGGATGACAGTGAAGGAAGCTCGGAAGAGGAATCGGATTCTGAGGAACAAAAGATGGACATCAAGGATCAGAGCAACACAGACTTGGTCAATCTACGCCGGACAATCTACCTGACAATAATGTCCAGCATCGACTTTGAAGAATGCTGTCACAAGTTGATGAAGATCAATCTTCCTGCAGGGTTGGAGCCAGAACTGCCCTCCATGATCATCGAATGCTGCTCTCAAGAACGAACATTCTCAAAGTTCTATGGATTGATCGGCGAGAGATTTGCCAAGATCAACCGACTTTGGTCTGACTTGTTTGAAGCCGCGTTCGCCAAATATTACGATACCATTCATCGCTATGAGACGAACCGTCTCCGCAACATTGCACGCTTTTTTGGACATATGATCAGCAACGATGCTATTGGGTGGCATGTTTTATCTGTTGTCCACATGAATGAGGAGGAGACTACGTCAAGTAGTCGGATCTTTATCAAAATTCTATTTCAAGACCTAGCGGAGCACATGGGCCTGCCGACCCTACAAGCCCGTTTCCGCGACGATATTCTGCGGCCAAGCTTCGAGGGCCTGTTCCCAACAGAAAACCCACGACACACTCGCTTCTCTATCAACTACTTCACGAGTGTCGGCATGGGTGCTTTGACGGAAGACATGCGGGAACACCTCAAGAACGCACCGAAACCTACATTGCCTGCATTACCGGCTGGAAGATCTCCATCTCGTTCACCATCCGTTCGGTCCCACCCAGCATCATGTTCGACATGCACCCCTCGCTCATCCCGCTCTCCTTCTCGCTCTCGTTCCCGTTCCCGCTCATATTCATTATCGCGATCTCGTTCAAGGGGTCGGGGTCGCTCTTACTCCCGTTCTATCACACCTTCCTCGCGGGGTCGAAGTTACACGCCCTCTCGCTCCCGCTCCCGCTCCCGCTCCCCCTTCCGTCGTGCCCGACATGGCTCATCTCCAAACCGATCAAAGTCGCCATCTGTTCGATCACGATCTGTCTCGCCTGCACCTCTTCGGCGCTCTCGCGCTCGCTCTGGCTCTCGTACTGTCAGTCGTAGCCCGTACCGGGCTCGACGGTCCTCATCTCAGTCTGCTACGCCGCCACGACGTGGGCGCAGTTATTCGCGATCACCCTCGCGTTCCGTCACGCCTCCTCGGGGTCCGGCATCTAAAGTTGCTACACAACCATCCAAATCCCCTCGCCGAGCACGCGATCATGCTTCACATACACCCCCGAGACGAAAAGATGATGTGCGCAAGCAAACTTCTTCCCAGACCCCCCCTCGACGACGCTAGGTGATTGATCAACTGTATGGGCATGGGGCTCATAATGAGATTGTTATATGGATCCCAGGAACAAAAGGGGGAATCTTCTGTTTCATGATGTAATTCCACTTGGTGAGGTTAAGGTTATTGGACTGGGCAGACCTCCACACACGCTATGCACTAGACATTATGCAGACCCGCGGACGGCTGCATTTCAAAGATTCTAATTTTTTTTTTACTTGACGACTTCAATAATTCCATGCCCACCTTGAACAAGTTCCAAATGATCCATTGCACATGTGGATTTATAGATGTAGTCAAAATCAAGTCTATTAGGTATCTTGATAACTTCGCACTTGCGAAGGTCTAGTACCTAGTAGTATGTACTATGTAATCTACTAGTAGCTTCACCTCAAGGGGCAGCCTCTTAATTGTACATACTAGTAGGTAGTCAGTCAAGTAGTTATACATATCCTTTTTACTAACACTCGTGTGCCTCCCAAGCACATCGATCACACCGACAGTTTCCACCCAAAGCACCGCACGCCCACTCTCTGCGCTGCTGAACCGGCAACGCAATGTCACAGTAGTGGTTCAAGATTTCAGCGTTCTTTGGAATACCCCCGTTCTTGGCATCCTTCATCTCCACACTCCCATCGGCTCCAGGCCTTGTCCAGAGAGCGGTCTCCTCGTTATTCCGCGCTCGGAAAGTAATCTCTCCGCCCCATTCCCATCGGACATTGGGGTCACAGGAGTGGTTTGCCAAACACCAAAGTGGGTGCACGGCACACAGCTCAGGACCACCGTCCCACGTTGACAACCGACCAGATGCGGTGCCCCGGAATTTAGCATACAAGGTATTCAAAACCCAGGTGTCATAACGGGGGAGCGACTCATATGGATCGATTTCCATTTCTTCGAGGAAACGCATTGGCTGTAGGATGTTGAGTTGGAAGGAGAAGGGCAGGGTGGCCACTTCAGAACCAGATTTTTCGATATCAAAGTCATGAAAATCACCCCAGATGTACTTGACTTCGGGTAGGTCTAGAGCGTGGATATCTTGTGTCGCAGACATGGCTAGCGCACGGGCAACCAAAAGCAAATACAAGTAGTCTGCCTTATCCTTCGGGTCAGGAATATCTTTGCCAATAGATTGCAGGCCATCTTCGAGGCCACAGATTGCGCCGTGGTAGACCCTCTGCGCAGTGTCATGACACGCCTGGGTACAAAAGATAGTATCTGCACAGCCTTCCTCGCACGCGACTGGGGGTTCGGGAGCTGAGAGGTCAGGCAGAGGCGCATTACAGGCATCGCATAGATCGTCATGGAGACGATTTGTTGCCGTCAGAAGCGACGACTCGCGTAGAATGATTTCGTCGGGCGCAATATCCTCTTTGGCGAAGAGACCCAGTTGAACCGAGACCTCGGTCTCGTCATCTGTAGAGGCGCTATGAAGAGCCGGTAACGCCACAGCGCGGACTTCACATTTTGGGGCCACATCCGCTAGGCGCTGGTTAAGAAATTCTAATTCCTCCGGAGCGCAGCGGTCTGGCTCATGCTCATTCCAGGGATACAGAACGCGGCGAGCAAAGCCCTGGGCCGGAAGGACGGCAGGGTCAATAGAATCTAAGTTCACATGCACATCGTTGTTGAACTTGGCACGAGCTTGATAAACCTTCTTCACGTGGTTCATCTGATCATGCAAGACAGCGGATGTGGTGGTAGAATTGACCTTGTCTGCATCTAGGTCCCCAAGCAGGCTGATGCCGCGAACGCCAAACTCATAAGCATCGCGGTAGCAGCCACAACGGACCAGACTACACACCAGGACAGCATATACCTCTCCAATCAATGTATTGTACTCCTCCTGCGTGACTGGGACAGTTCTTGAATCTTCATCTTCATCTTCATCTTCCTCGTCGTCTTCATTTTCATCTTTCTCATCTTTCTCGCTTCCATTCCCTGTGGACTTTTTCTCTGCAGGAGTGCTGGTGTTTTCAAGAGTGGTCTCGACCTTGCGTTTCGCATGAAATTCACACCCATCAGGGTCTATCACCGATTCCAACAATGAGAGTGCGCGGTAAGCGTCGGCGGCGGCCAAATCGGGGAAGCCAAGCTGTTCATGGAGGCAGGCTCGTTCAAGGTAGAGGTGTGGGTTATGGGGATCCTCATAAAGCTGAGCGGTTTTTTCCCTTCGGGCCTGCATTGGCGTGGCCATGGTTGCCTTGCAAAAGTGAAGATAGCGCAAGAAGATTTTGAGTAATAACTTGTCGGAGCCCAAAGAAAATCTATTTTCCAAGTTCCGAGGGGTTCTACCCGTGGACGTGGGGCTCCGCGGGGAAACCTTGAAAAGCCCTAAATGTACTGTCAACTTTCAAGTTGTACAGTTCAAACATTTAGTAACAACATCAGGGCCTTAAACGTTCACTAGAGCAACCAGTTGACGGGGATACATGTTGAATTTGCTAGAAAGGATACGGATAGTATATAATAAACTTTTGTTCATTCCCAACAGTCGATGGATGTATCATGCCACCATGGCCATGGAATTCAAGAAAGAAAAAAGGAAAGAAAAAAAGAACCTTTCGCACCTAGTTTCATGCAATCCCTCAATCATTCTGTCAATTATTAAAATTACGGAAAAAAAAGATGAAAGAAAAGTGGGAAAGGGGAAAGGAGAAAAAGGACAGGATAATACGTGGGGAGTTGAATGTCACATCACCTGCGATAATGTTAGGAATCCATATAGTAAAGCCTATCAATCACAGCTGAGTCGCCCGGGTTTTGAAGAGGATGTTCCTCCTAGTAAGAACAATACATACCAGACAGTTTTCATCGAGGACAACAGTGGCCCCCTCGCCTCCTTGTCCACCTAGACCCTCAATGCCTTCTCCCAGAGCCTCGCCGAGACTCTGGCGGCCTCGGATAGTGGCGGCAAGACGGGTTAGCATGCTTCTCTATAAAAAATGATCAGTTTTTCTTTCCGATATTGTCATTATTTCCACGTACAGTGATGTGAGCTTCACTCATACCACCTCGGCGTTCAACGTCATTCTGGTTTATGATACGATAGCTGTCGTGAAGTCGCTTGCGACTGGAGAGTCCACCGAGAAGAGGACTTTTTGGATTATCAGGGTCAAGTATATTGATGCCTTGTCTCGCTTGCTCTTGAGCATTTTGATCTGGGTTGAAAATCTTGATAGTGTTGTCGATGCCGGATACGGCCATAGTAGGTTCATATGGGTGGCCTGGGCTGGTTAATAGGAAGAAAGCTCGGCTATAAATTATCGCCACTCACCTTGCACCACATTGACGACCTCAGTGTCCCCTTCCAAAATATTCACCAGATTACCAGTTTTTCGATCCCACATGAAGACATGGCCTGAATCACTGCCACTTACCACATATTCATCATTTAACCCGAAAAAGTTCACGTCCTTGACAGTTTTGATATTGCAGTGTCCCCGGTAAACTTTCGTATGAGAGGAGCATGGGGCGTTGATCTCAACATCCCTTCGCCGTCTCCTACGGCCACCGGAACGCAAAGAAACAGGAATTCCCGTGTCGGACTCTTCTTCACTGTCATCATCGAAACCCAGGGTCCATTCATCCGGATCCTCTTGGTCAATATCGCCCTGGTCACTCTCATCAAACTCATCGATCTCGTTGTTGATGCTCCCACCTTCATCGCCAGAGGACTCCGACGAGAGAAGAGCTTCCCTGGACACGTATGGCTGATGAGAGCTCGAAGTCGGCCCGTTTCCGCTAGAAGTGACGCTCCCATTTGACCCGGCGGCATTGATGAGGTTAATTGATCGTAATCTTTCTTCCGAGTCGTCGAGATTGATATCTTCCTGGGACTCTTCCAGGTATCTCTCCAGCTCCAGATCGCTGTCTGATTCATCCACTTCGGGTTGGAGCCCCCCAAAAGCGCGATTAACAAACGCATAGTCGACTAGTTTGCCAGTTGTCAACAGAACGCCCCTCCCGACACGTAAAGCCCAGAATCTAAAGGCTGAGGCCCGGTCTAGAGAGCGAACATGCGATGATGAGTTAGACAGGCGACATGTATCAATGCGAGCGGCAGTTGTTCCAAGGTTCTCGAGTGGCAGCTTTACGGCATTCCCAAAAGCAATCACAGCTGCGCGCTGGGTTTGGAATAGTATGCGAGTCCTATCGTGCTCATACGGTGAAGCATCCACGTTGACGATTGGTGTATCGGCTGCCAAAGTATGAAGATAAGGGATGAGGACTCTTTCAATTGCATCCTCAGCGTCATTTTCCTCGATCGGAAACCGTCCATTTTGTCTTCGATGGCAGGACCCACGCTTGAATCCGGCGAACAGGTCTTGTCGGCCTCCCTGGAACCAAAGTAAAATGGCCTTCAAAAAATCATAGCCAAACTGGGCTTCCCGCTCGATGGATTCATCTTCACTCGGTGCGGGAATAATCTTTTGGAAGCTGGGATAGGTCTCTGGTCCATTCTCTGCGATGTGGGATGAGTTCTTCATGATGAATGCTAGAGTCCCTGCAGCCTGAATGAATCTCCAGGATTCTTGGCGGTGGTGACGAAGTGTTTGTTGAACAGCCACAACTTCATGGGACGGATTCATAGGATACCTCCACTCCCGCATAATCGAGTCCATTTGAGGCAGTATGGTGGCTGCTATCGTTAAAGCTGCCCTGAAAGACTCGGCATCGGGCGCAAGATGACTATCGTCCGAATTTGATGCTGTTCGAATAGTTTCTTCTAGGGAAAACATCGCCCGTCGGAGCTTGACCATTCCTTTAGAAATATCTCTGCTCGTGCGTTGCTCATCGTTCAAGACGGAATACCTTGCGTGCTCTAGCATGTTTTCGGGCGAATCTTCTGAGATTCCTGCGATGGGAATATCCGATGACTCCCCATTCTCAAAGCGAACTCGAAGCGTATTGAGGTCATTTGATCGACGTCGAGAGTGATGTCGGTCTTCACTTTCTTGGGAGGACATCGACATGGGTTTTGGGCGCTTACGTTTCCGGTCCTGGGACCCGTCTTTCAAACTTTTCCTTGTAGCTTTCGATAGTGACTTCTCCTGGGGTGAGGCAACTCGAGCGTCTGGGCTCTGAATAAGATCGAAACTGTAAATGTGATCTCCTGACCAGCTGACCACCATTTCGTCTGGGTTTGCATCGCTTATTTTGCAAGCGGTGATGTGTCCGTCGTCGAGGTGCCGCACGCGATGCTTTCCACGCGGTGCAAACCGACGAACACATCGAGTGGCTTTGCCCATCAATTCATCGTCGTGAGTGCCAGCGGTTGGAATGGAGCTGCTAGGCGTCCCTCTTTCTGCCATCATGTCACGACCAAGCATACGCCGATCGTGAAGGAAACAGTGCATGTGCGCACCGCCAAGGGCAATGTAATGTGGTTGAGAGGGGGAGCAGGAGATTGTGTTGAGATCTAGATTAAACTTCTTGTATGAGATGAGAGGAGGAGGAACATTGGAGTCGTCATGCTCTTGCCCAGGCCTATATGCCATGAAGCCCTGACCACCATTTGGGGGAGGATATGTAGAAGCTGGCTGGCGCAAGTCCCACTGTCGAACCTCCCCATCTTCTGAACAAGTCAAGAAAAGATAAGGGGAGGACTCGACAACGATTCTCTTCACACGATCAGCATGACTGCGGTAAACCCTGGCATTTGTGTTGCCTTCACTCAGATAACGTGCGCCCTCGAAAAAGTTGTTGAAGCGGCGACTCCGAGCCGAAGCTGCGAATGCAGAGGTGGCAGCGACATTGCCATTGCTACTGGAGTATTCAATGTCGAAAACGCGCACCTGGGAATCACCGGCACAAGTGACTAAGGTTCTGTCGTTCGAATGGGGCATGAACTTGACCGAGAAGATGTTGGCCTTGTGGCCGGTACGCACGGTGGTGTTTAGGGCAAAGGGGGCATCGGAGGATTCGGGTTGGTAGGAGTAGATATTCAAATGTTGATCATCCGAGCCCGAGGCCAGAAGGCGTCCTGAACGGGACCAACTACGACCGTGTTAGCGGGATTCTGGCAACGGCGGAACGAGATTCCTGTTAGCAACAAAGAGAAAGCATACCTGAGGGCATTCACGCAACCTGTGTGTCCACCAAGCTGGTTCACGATGTCAAGATCGCCGACCCACTCCTTCGAACCATAGATGTCCCGAACGCCGGCACGGGCAGATAAATCCCCGCATTCTCGACGCCAAAGGCGGTCATAGAGCGAATCTCTCATAGCGGGTGAGTAGGTTGACCACTTTTTGATTTCCCAAACTGAAACCTTGAGTGAGTCTTGACTACTTTAGGGGCGATCAGCGATCATTCTGAGTTGCAAGAGCCGAGGCAGAGATGATGATGCAGATAGGAGTCGTCTCTTATCTCTCTTCTTCTTTTCTCCGGCACGGCCCACGGGGAATCAGTAGATGACGTCAAGAGCGGGATCGCGGGGGAATGCGGTGCATAGGCAAAGTAAAGAACTAGGGAGTTATGCAAGAGTCTTGAAAAGGGAGGGAAAGAGTTCAAGTCAATCAAAGTGATGGGGAAATGTAAGTAAGTCGGAAGGAACTACTAAGGAGCTCAGAGAGAGGAGATAGGCCATCAGTCTGATGGCTGAGAACCTGTTTCTCAAATGGTCTAGGCCGAAGCTGACTCATCCGTTGCAACCATCTTAATCGACCTAACTACGAACTTAGGAACTAACGAACTAAGTACTACTAGTACTTAGTTAACTAGTAGTTACTTTCAAGTTGCTTATTCTGAGTAGTTGTGACCTTCATGCTCATATTCGGGTATTTCAAAATTCAGCAATCGTCATTCTTGAGGAACTGCTCAGCGTCAATGTAATTTTGCAATATTTGAATCAGGGCATACTTCATGGTGGGCAATATTCGCATATATTCAAGAGAGAAACGCAGGAGCATTCGCAGACAGAACAACCTTGGGGATTTCCACCAGCACTGCACTAGGGCAATCCCCCCGGGGTGAGATAAGAAGAACTTGAAGAGAAGAAGCACACGCGTGTATATTATTCTATTACTCACCCTAAACAGTAATTAGAAAGTATTCTTCTCAATACCGTCGCGGAACAACGATCCTCCGGTATGGGCAATTTTGCCCGGGCGGTAAAAGCCGGGCGGTTTTTCAAACAATCCAAACTGGCGCGCTGCAGTTGACTGCCTTGTACCACATAGATCTTTGGGTGCACGGGCAATAAAAGGAGCCGCATTCACGGCTGTCGGTCTTTACTCGAGACAACTCGGCAAAAAGCAATTCCGGCTACTCAAGGTGAATTGGTGTCCATTACCAGGAAAGTAGTAGGTATGATGAAAAATCATCCATCCACGCGCCCAGGCTTCCGCAGTAACAAAGTTGTTGGACGAAACTCCAGTGCGCAATATGTCAGTTATGCATCTGGGTACCTACCCTGATAGATTTCCTTGGCCATGATTATTCAAAGAAATGTGCAAGCGCGAGTTCTTCAAGGGTTGCGGGACCGATAGGTTTCGAGGAAATTAGATGTGGCTTCAAGGTTGCTGCTAAGAACTTTATTGAAATATCAGGCCAGTTCCAAAGCTCACTAAGATGCCATTTCTCTGCTGTCAAACTTTTTTAGCGCGGATTTCCAGCTCCTAAATCTGGGTCAACTTTCAATAGTGCGGGACTGCCAAAACAAAAACAAAGGATACCACTGGCATACTACAACTTCCGCCCACTTGGTCGTCAACCGTCCGCTTGTCAAAGCGCCAGTTCTCCCAAATTGGGTCATTCGATAGACCTGGTCCACCTGGTCCATTGACTCCCCTGGATGAGCTGCGCCTCTCGTAATTTGACGAAAGCCAACCCTACTCCTAATCAAGTTAGATATCGGTGGGTCCGGCCCGATGTATCGCTGTTTCGGCAATCCAGCGGGTTTCACGGACACGGCTCTGAAACTTTGAATCCTCAGCAGATTTGACACTCCAGCTTTTTGATCAGCTTCCTACTCCGGTCAACCCCACGGATCATTTGCATGGACCTCTCTTCTCTTTAGAAACCTACCTTTGTCAAATATCCCCCTACATTGCACCATGTTCCCTCGGTCTCTCCGAAAATGATTCCTGACCTCCTATGACGGGTCAATGACAGATTCTCCGACACTTACGAATCCTTCAGATCAACCTGGGAAAGCTTGACCAAAGAAATCATCAAAATGACCACCCCTATGCCCCTCGAGGGTCGCGGACTCGCTATCTTTACCTTATCGGTCGTTTTCATGTTCATCTGCATTTTGACAGTGTCGTTGAGATGCTTTGTTCGCTCGTACATTGTCCGGGCCTTTGGGTGGGATGATGTTCTCATGCTTATTGCACTGGTACTCTTACCGGATCTATTCAATTACCCATAAGAAGACAAAAGTCTGACATGGCTTTAGGCTCTTTTTATCGTACTGGCGATATGCTGTATGATCGGGACGTCAAACGGGGTTGGTCACCAAATCACCGACTTTACCAGTATCAGCGTTTATAAAACAGCGCTCACGGTATGTCTCTTTAAAACTTGAACAAATGGAACCCCAAAGTTTGGAATTTGAAAGTTAACAGATCTGAACTCTTCAAAGTGGTGGTGGCTCAGTCAAGTATTCTATATTTGGTCATCTGCTATCGCCAAAGTTTCAATTGCTGTTGCACTGCTTCGATTGACCGTTAAGAAGACTCATCGAATGATTCTTTGGGGTACAATTACTTTGACAACAGTCATTGGTCTTTTATTCTGGCTAGTCCTCCTGTTGGACTGCCACCCCATCTCCTATTTTTGGAATCAGGCGGACGGCGAACATACCGGATCATGTCTATCAGTGGATATATTGCTCGATATCTCCTACATCTACAGCGCCTTCACCATCGTATGCGACTTCACTCTTGGCACGCTGCCCATTTTCTTGGTTTGGGACCTACAGATGAATCGAAGGACGAAGATGGCTGTTGGAAGTATTCTCAGCTTGGGGGCTATGTATGTCTAATGTGAACATTCCATACTTGTGAAGGACGTGGAAGCTGACGATACCCAGTGCAAGTGTAGCTGTCATTATCAGGATTCCATTCCTCCATTATTATGCCGACGAAGATTTTTTATGTTTGTGACTCTAGCATGGTAATGTGAAAGGGAGGTTTTAAGGCTAACACCTTTCTAGATTCCACTTATCAAATCGCTATCTGGACTATTATTGAGACCGGGCTCGGAATCACCGCTGGTAGCCTCATTACACTCCGCCCTCTTTTCCGCTGGCTCCTCGATGGAAGCATGGCATATGGTCGAAATGGGCGCAACCCGGAACACACCTCAGGACGGTATCGCCTGTCTAGTCTGAAGGTTGATGGTGCGAGGCATTCTCAAGACCCCGGCCATTGGCGCCCCGATACCGATATCAACAACAAAACTCTGGTAGAAATCGGGGCGTCCCCTCGGTCGCAAAATTCCAGTGATGCCAATAGCAGCCAGGAAGCTTTGAATCCTGTACTGGATCGGCCGAGTCACCGCAACGGAGGTGTGACTATTGAACGTAGCTTCATGCAGGTGGTGTCCGAGCGAGATTCATAATCTTTGGATTCATTTTCAATTAATCAGTACCTAATAATACACATAATGCATGTGTGCCTACTACTACTACTATTACTGCTACTGCTACTGCTTGTCAACTGGTAGATACATATACCTACATCAATACATTGATATACAGATATTAGATTTTCTCCAAAGTATCTCGCGAGCGTAGCATTCAAACAATGTTACATATGTAGCGGGGCAAGTTTACCTGGCAAACCTGCCAACATTGAAGAGCTGGGTCGAGTAGGATCGCGGGAGGCCTTACATACTTTAACTGGTTGACCGTCAAATCAAACCTGGTTTAATTATTTCAAAGTTCCCTGCATACGCTGCCTCCTTGGGGCTCTGCACCATTTTTCAAACATTTCAAATGTTGAATGATCTTAACCAATGTTAAGTTGATAAGTTTATTATCCAGATGTCACTTTGGTAATTGTTCTCATTACTCATCGACAGCCCTCAACTCTCTCAATTGATAGCAATAAATTCACTTCAGATCGCCGGTCTTTTTTAACTCAAGCTCCGCTAATTTGAGCGCATGTAAGGAATTATGTAAGAAAAGGTGTCAACCTGGAGCTTCTCAATGTTGGAAATATCTTCAGAATGAACGTCATCATCAACATTTGAATTGATAAATGCAGACCCCGGGACAGCTAAAAAAAGCAAGATTCAAAAAACACACCCACGACATACCCCTGTTTAATCAATTGATGTACTGTTCAAATGAGTAGGTAGGAAAATTCAATGTCAATGTTGCAACATACTTGATTAAGATTCCGTTAAAAATGACAGTTTTAAGAGTACTAGTACCAGTCCTAACGTAACAGTGCTTGCATGCACACGAGGCGCCACTGCGAGGGCTCTGTTACATATGTATATGGATCTATTCAAATGTTCTGACTTATTGTGGTTGAGAAATGAAGTTGTAATTTATATATCGTATCTACTAGCTATATGTTTTGAGGGTGGCTGACTTAGTACACATGTGCAGTGGCGCTTCGATATATAACTTTCGGATGGAGAAACCTGTTTCAATACGTGACTGTCAATTCAATGTTGATTACGAGACTTGTTGATACCAGTACAGTAACTTACGGCTCGCAGTATGTAGAAGTTGCAATAAATACTGCGCAGATCTTGCCTAACACGGTCGGGCCGAGCGCGCTTCAACTGCAATATCACCACCTGGGCAGTACATATTCCTAAGTGCCTTTGTTTGTCGGAAAATTCCCCAGGATACGATGCAATTAATACATAAAACCATCGTATTGAGCTGAAGTCCTACACACACGAGTATTGTATTTGTAACGGGCAATCATGTGGGTTACGAATGGAGTTCATATGAACGGATCAGTCTCGGCATTACACCACTTATCTCCGCATTTCAACTTTCTCACTTCTTCCTTCCCCACACTTTTGGCCGCTTTTCTTCAGGTCCACACCGCAGGACTATTCGTGATTTTGACATCTCAACTGAGTTGACTCTCTATGCCTCCACAACGAGAACATAAGATATCCCTGGCTTGTATCTATTGCAGGAAGAAAAAAGTCAAGTGTGAGTGGCTGATGGAAAATGATCAAATGGCCACTAATTTCTCTTAACAGGCGACGGTGCACTACCGTGCGGCAATTGCTCAGTATGGCAAAGCTGTACAACGCGTTACAGTTTATCATGTTAACATTCAAAATAGGACCACAACCAGCAATGCAGGTACCTTCCATTGCAGCGGAGAGGTCGAAAAAGCCAAAACGGACACCCAGAGCCTTCGAACGACTGTGCGAGTTCGAAATCCGGGCCTCAGGAATCCAATGATCGAATCAGACAGGATATAATCTCACCAAGAACACCCCGTATTCCTCATCTCTTTGCAGTTCCTGAAACAGCGCAGTCGCCAATGTGTTCTCGATCAAATGCTGGCGTAGCAGGTCGAGTTACCCCCCATGAGGATAACAGGGCCAAGGCGGTCAATGCGATGGCAACGGTGGGAGCAGCAACAACCCCGAACTCTCTAGGAGGAGGTTTATCCATGTTTGCTTGCAACCGTAATACCGAGCATCCCAGTCAAACAATCTCGACTCCTCACACTTCTGAGGTTGACCGGGAGGAGGCCACTATGGACCTCCAAGCCGTACGTGAAAATCCCCACCTTTGGCTCGTTTCTTGCTAAAATCAATTTCAGGTCAATTGGGAGCATCATGGTTAGTGGACGAAATTCCCATTTGGAGGCACCATCATATTGACTCAAACAGGACCTGGCTCATGGCTTTCCATATGTTCACCCCCTGGCCTGCAGTGGGTTTCGGCCAAAACTGGCACCACTCGTTTCCATCAGATTGCCGAGACTTTAGTCATGGACTGGACTAACAAATTGACCCTCAGTCCAGGCAGGAACCGTGAAAGAAGCACGGAGCCTGGGACTAATCACGCATGGGCGTATGTATCGGGTGCGTAGATTCCCGCTGTCACTTATTTATCATACTAAATTTACATTCAAAGCCTACTTTGAAAGATCCCAAGATCGAGTCTTTGGGGTGGTTCTTCGCTCTGATTTCGAAACACGGCTACGTGTTCATCTACAAAGTGGGAGCAAACCCCATGAGGATGCCGCATGGTATGCCTTGCGAAATGCCGTGTATGCAATAGGCTGTCGAGCCCTATCATCCACAGACAGATCAAGAGACTTTGCCGAGGTCCAGGTGGACTCCTTACGATATTTTCACAATGCATTTTCCGTCTTTTCCGATCTATTGTTCATGCCAAGTGGATTAATGGCCGTTCAGGCGTTAATCGTGATGGTATTCATAGATATCCTTTCATGCTTCGTGGACCAATTTCTAACGAGATGCTCGCTCAGACTGCCTTCGCCGAGCTTCTGGGAAGCCCGGCTATCGAATACATGCTCTGTGCATCTGCAGCCCGACTTGCACAATCGAAGGGCCTTCATCGACAGCCATCAAAGACCTGGAATCTTCCAAAGTCGGAGATGGTTCACAGGAACTGGGTCTTTTGGGCTGCATACTACTATGATAAGAATATTGCATTGCGATCTGGCCGACCGCCGGTACGTATGCATATAAAGAACCCAACTCGGGATGTTTCATAATTCGTTTAACCTTACTGACCTGGATTCTTCAGGCATTTAACGATGATGAGATAAGCTGCGAAATACCGAGCGAGCTCCCCAATGGAAGCACGACAGATATTAATGTCGTGACATCTCTCATAGAACATGCCCGGATCTGCGCCAAGATAAGCAAGGAGCTTTTGTCTGTCCAGGTATTTAATAAGTCACCGATGTCATTGCTTGATGTCACCGAAAAGTTGGAGGAGATTTTGCAGCTTTGGAAAAATTCTATCCCAAGTCACCCGTCACTCACAGACCACATCGACTGCAACCTGTCTAGCAAGATTTACCCAAATCAAGAAAATACGACACGGCTACATTATTTATACTGGGGAAGCATTATTTCATTGCATGCAAACTTTCATTATCCTTGGATATGCTCATTACTCACTAATCAAGAAACTTCGTTTGAATCTTCAATTTCAAGAAGCTCAACTCGTTCCGCTGAAGCATCACGCCAAATATTATCCATTCTCGATAGCTCCTGGTTTGATACCTCATTTCCATCACCGTGAGTCATCTCCATTGGAATGACGGCTAAGATTTGAAGCTTCGATACTGAATCATTAGTATTGTTTTCTATTATCCAATGCTTGCGGTGATCAATTTATTCATTTACATCCTCAAAGCGCCATCACTTGATACAGTACCATCAGACTTGGCGCTCCTTGATCTTGCCGCAGGTCACTTCGCAAGAGTGCATTTTTTAACATCGGCGCAAGTATCATTCACCTTTGCAAGGGAGGTTGTTGGCTTGGCAAACAAGGCAGTCAGGAGGACAGCGTTGGCGGTACCTAATAACAACAGAAAAACGCCGAATGTTTACACGCCTGATATCTCACCAGTGAATATCCCTGGAGATTCTGTATGTATCTTTCCAACAATCTGCTGGTCATTTCGGATGTCTATTTATACTTTTCCTACTAGTTCTCAGTCTTTGACTCAAATGCCAGTTTCGAGGATTTCAACACTCTCTCGGCGGAATTTTTCGAAGGTCTTTCAAGTGCAGGAGACATGATAATCTTTGAAAATTACGATATGTAGCTTGGATTTGTCGCTGTATATACTAGTACTGGTCAATCCTTTCTCACGCTTTACTACATCCGGTGCGAACAAGGCCACTAGTGGACACTGGACGTACAGTCTCAAACCTTCACCACCACCGCGGAACCACAATCTCCCGGTAGCAGTATCTCACAACATTGAAGTCACACGTAATGATTTAAGAAGGGCCAAGGCATGAGTTTCCCGCTATATCCAACATTGAAATTTGTCAATGACTGAATCCGTTCGGGCCGGCTACCGCCCCACTAGCCGACCTAATGGGGTAGTACTAGTAGTACATAGTCTCATCAGATTCCAATTCCTACATGACAAAGCACTTGAGTACGACGTATTGCAGTCAAAACAAAGAAAGATAGTGTTTATCGATTAATCGAGGATGGACTACCTATGCTGATTCGGTTTAGTGCAGACAACTTTGGGTGGTGAACATAGTTTCTCTTCGATCTTCCCGGAAGGAGCGGAAAGTACATCAATTGATAGCGGCAGACCCTGTGATCGCTTTTAGTGCAAATCGTATCACGGTGACCAGCATATTGGCTCCCATTTTGCATTTCTCTCTCTCTCTCTCTCTCTTTTATCTGTTTCCTGAGAAGAAAAACCCGGCATCCCACCACGAACTTAGATTCTTCCCTATACAGGACCCTTGTCTCTTTTCTTATTCTATCTTGACACTCTTCACAAGCCGTAAGTTTGGCTGTGATAGATGGAAGCCTTCAACCTTCAATTGCCGGACGGTAACAATATAGCCGGCCGTATATTCATCCCTCGACATGCAGCAAAAACGACGAAAAGTTTACCTTTGTTGATCTGCGTCCACGGAGGCAGCTATGACGCGGAATACTTTGATGTTGATCCGGAGTATTCTGTTGCGCACATCGCTCAAACTTTCAATCTCCCTGTCATTTCCATCAGCCGACCGAGCTACGGTGGAAGTACCCCTCTTCCGGTGATTGGTGATGGTAGATCATGGGGGGAGCAACAAGGGCAATATCTGAACGCGTTTATCTTGCCTGCAATATGGAATGAGTTTGGTACACTGAGTGGTGCTACATGTATCGTTTTACTCGCGCACTCCATTGGAGCCATGGTGGCTACTATATCGGCTGCCTGTCATATTGGGACTGAAGGATATCCACTGGCAGGATTGATCACTTCAGGTATCGGCATTAAACACGTGGAGCACTCCAGGGAACAAATGATTGGACTACTACATGGCCGGACGGAACCTGTCATTTTTGACCCCACCATGAAGGACGCAGTGATGCTCCAGCTACCCCACAAGTCCCTCGTGGACCCAAGGTTATGCATTCACACTGGCCGTCTAAATCGGCCGGTACCAGTAGATGAGCTCCGTGACATTAATCTCATCTGGCTAAATCACTGGCAAAAATACTCCGGAATGATCAGCGTCCCTTTGATGTATGGACTTGGGGAGTTCGACGGACTTTGGGTGTCTACCGAGGATACTGTACAGCAGTACAAGTCGGCCTTCTCAGCCAGTCCAAAAGTAGAATGTACGATCATACCTATGGCCCCTCATTGTATTGAACTGAGTTTTCAGAGTGAGAGTTGGTTGAATAGATGTTTTCTATTCGCCTGCGCATGTGCTGTTTTGCCGAGGCTCCATTTTGAAAGCTAGAACATGCGCGCCTCGGTCTTGTTGTCCATTTCAATATTTCAGTGAGGCATATTGAATCAATTCATCGAATAAAAGACTCAGATTTATCTACAACGGTTGAAAAATCCGAGTCCAAAGGAGTACCTGAGTATACATACAAAAAATCGCAAAAACACTGCAAAAGATTAACAAGACACTATGTACCCACCTAGGTATTTAATTCAACTAAATAGAACTACCACCTGGACACAAAAGTTTCACCCAAGAACTTGCTTGGATGAACAACCACAAAGCTTCGAAAACTGAAGGGGAAGGTTGCTCAATGGACAAGTCTCGCCACCTCAAGCCATAAACTGATCTAGTTCAAGCAACATACGCGCCACAAGTCTAAAGAAAGCCATGAAGCACTGTTCCAAGTGAATCAAGAATGGACCGAAATTGCAGGTCAACAATGCAACCAGCAGATTGTCATTCATCTATTAAGAGATGAAGAATGCCCAAGATGATGCTCGGAGTACAATCTTAGATCTGTCGAGAGGTTGATGTGACCCCTCAAATGCGTGCAGCGTATACGGTAGTAGGCTTTATCAGCGTTCCCTCACTTCGTATTTTCTCTCTTCTTTCCTTCGCTCAAACCACTTCATTTCATTCAGAACCCATCTCATCATCATAGTTATTCTGTCAAAGCGCAATCAGCATTCGCACACAGCGAAATGTGCTGAATAGTGGACATGCAGAACAACCGCCAGCATCCGAGTGCTAGAGACAAGAGAGGAGACCTAAAAGTGGTTATAGAAGGAAGCATGGTCTGACTTATTATCCCTTGCGTGTGGGCGCCTATGTAGCTAGATTATCTAATAAGTACTAGACTACTAGTTGTCAGAGCAGGTATGATCAGGAGAAGATACGATCCGAAAGGAACAGAGTGGATTGAGAAGAGGACTCGGAATAATAGAAGAAGGGAAAAGACGAAGTGAGTGAATTGGAAGGCCCTCAGACTATACATGCCGGACTTTTGGTCCTCGACACTAATCCTATACCGCTACTCCCTACATACTATTCTAGGTAATCTAAAACGGACTTATGCTAACGCCTAATTTCATATGTGAAACCAATTTACTTCCTTCAAGGATCGGTGCTTATCGATTTTGATATGGGGAGAACAAGCGGTGTTAATGGGTAGTAAATAGAATGTTCATACGTGCCTGAGTATGTTGTATTTCTCGTCAATCATATGGGTATGAACGGAAATTACCGAAGTAGTCGGTCCGAGGACCTCCGACTCAGATGGGAAAGGATCCATTCCCTTGATCAACAACAAAAGAGTTGTTTCTATCCACTATCCAGTGAATGCACTGATTCCAGAATACACTATCTAGGAACGTTCCAGTTCAAGGAAATTTTGAAAGACGTTTGCGATCATTTTGCTCTCGAAATGTCAGCTTGGACACATTTGGTGCGCTTTATAGCCGTGAATGATGATAAAGTCCATTTGGGTCAACTAGTCGACCCAACGTGTGATGTCGGCCTAGACTCTACCAATGGAGTCCCCATCTATGTATATGAAATAGAGGGAACAATGTTTAATGGCAAAGTAACAAAAAACATATTGGAAGTCCGCAAGGTCTGTCAGACATGCTATCTATCCCAGAAGGCTTTGCATAGACTGAGATTTCGTCACAGCTACTCTCACCAATTATTCCAGAAGAGTGTCCCTACATTCGTTGTGTTGGTCTTAACTACAAGCTTCATGCACAGGTACACCCTTAACTTGAACTATAATTCCATGTATCAATTACTGAAATCCGGAATTTGGAGGTGCTGAAATCAGACAGGAGGCCAGCATGAAAATTCCCACCGTCCCGGCAATTTTCTCCAAGCCCCGTACCGCGATCACCAATCCGTACCCGACCGCAATCAACATCCCGAAGATTGCTCAAGATGGCTCAAGCGACTACGAGGCCGAGCTGGTCATTGTGATCGGAAAGCCTGCCCGGGACATTACAGCCGAAGAAGCTCCTTCGTATATTCTTGGGTACACAGCCGGGAACGATGTCTCAGCGCGGGATGAGCAGATGAAAACTCCAATGCCTTGCTTCTCTAAGGGTATGGACTCTAGCTGTCCATTGGGTGAGTCAAACGTCTTACAAAAATGTAAACCTTCGGAAGAAATATTGACACGTCGACATTACTAGGCCCCGCCTTGGTCTCCACAACCGCAGTTCCTAGCCCCGAAAACTTGACAATCAGGGCAATCTACAATGGGACAATGGTTCAGGACGGCCATACCAGTGACATGATTTTCGGAGTGGACCGCCTCGTGGCCTATTTGTCGCAAGGAACTACGCTTGAGCCTGGAACGATTATCCTGACAGGGACACCACCGGGAATTGGATACTTCCGGTCCCCCAGAATCTTCCTTGGAGATGGAGATGACATCCGGGTTCATATCGAGAAAATCGGGACCCTGATTAACAAGGTTCACTACGAGTAGTCTCAAATCCACTATACTTTCGACATCATATTTTGCCTGAGACGTGACATGTGGAAGACACTTCAAATGTTCAAATGCATGTACCCAATCAATGATTAATTTTGGAGGGACGTTGGAATACACCACTAGATACTATGATACGTGGTGAGAATTTCTTCACTAGGGGGCAACAGTACATAAGCACCTACTATATCATCCCATTTTAGTTATCTAGGTGCACGTTATGGTAGGCGGCCCGAGTAAGGAATCCATATTCTGTGGCACAGCGCCGTGCCCTATGCATTTAGTTCGTCTTGAAATTCAATTCTCCTCCCCAGGCCCTCAACTCCTTCCCACGGAATTGCAACAAAATGATAATAGAAAAGGCAAAAGCACAAATAGCTGCTTGGATGCCAAATGTCGCCTCTGCACCAACACGACTAACCCATTTTACCTGAAAATAACTGATAATAAAACCCCCGGCAGTGCGCGAGAAATTAATCCACATGCCTACTTCACCACTGGCTTCCGGGTAAGAATTAAGTACATACATATTCACGCTGGCGGAGTTAAGAATCATGCCAAATGTATAAAGGCCCCAACCCAGTGCGACGAGCATGTAGTGGTAGTGGCGCTGCAACGCAAAGCCAACTATTACCAGACCCGAGAGCATGAACGGCATAGCGAGCCACACGATTATAAGTCGCGATTCGGGGTGAAATACGCCGTTGTTTCTTCGGACGTAGAAGTTTGCTAGCGCGTCGTGGAGCCAGTGGCCTAGGGTATATGCTATTATGGCTGCGACAACGGGAGCAAAGTACATAAAACCTGCGGGAAGAATCGCCATGTGAGCACGATTGTAGCCTTTGTTGGGGCTAGTAAAAGAGTAGCGTGCTGGAGAGGGCACACACCGATCTGCTTAGGTCCAAATCCATACAGAGAACTAAGGAAGATGGGAAGCGTCGCATTGATAGCGACGAGCCATGCAAAAATGCAGACGTAGTAGAGGTTTGTAAGAAGAATAACTGGTTTTCCAAGGACAAGCAAAGACCGTGAAATGGCTTCGATAAATGGGTTCCTTTGAGAGCGGGATCGCCATTGTTCAACGCCGATTAGCCGCAGAGATCGCGATAAACGGGCTGGCTGCTGGTATGGTGGGATTTGGCGGTTGTAGAATGTTTCCTGGCCGCAGAAGATTACTCCCATGAGAGCGAGGCCCGTTAAGATCGTATATAACCAGAACGGCCACCGCCACGATAGGCTGATGGTCATGAATGATGCGAGGAGAGGGCCAAGGAAAGGAGAAAGAATCACACATGACTGCCAAAGGTTGATTTTGCGCCTGAAATCAACTCATCAGTGAATTGCAATGGTTTGAAAGCTCCGAATTGACTTGACTGACGCCTGCTCGTGAAGGAAGAACAGATCCTTAATGAACATCAAGCCGCCCTAAATAAAATTCAAAAAATCAGTCAACTGTACACTATGAAGTGGATTTGGATATGTAGAACTGACTCCTTGCGCGACTCCCGTGAAGAACCCGTTCATGACTCGTGGAACAAAGAACCCTATGAAACCATTCGAGCCCGCCTGGCCAGCAGCTGTTGCAAAAGCCGCAACCATAAACCAGAAAAGCACCGGTAGACGACCGAAGTATGCAGACAACATAACAGCAATGATTCCTCCCGCACCGACCATGAATTGGTTTCCAGATTGTGAATGATTGACTAAGTCGGGTGAGATGCCGTATTCTCTGAGCAGTTCTCGTGTTAATTACCTCTTTGAATTTCGACGTGTAGAGCTATTGATGGGAGTGAGCTTACTCTGCTTGCAGTGTCAAGGTTGCAGCACCGGTGACACTGCCGTAGTCGGGTAAGAAAGAACAAGCAATAACGACTGCAAGAACGGCATGTTTTCTGCTAGAGCCCCAGTTCAACGGATCCTGGGGATCGTCTGACGGTTGGGGGACCAGTACATCATCATGATCTGTAGTGACATTTAATTCCCCCAAGTTGCATGACTCAGGATCCAAAAAGACGCTTTTATCATCCCGAAGGTTTTTCTCCAATACATTGTTAGTCTGATCTTCTGCGAAGTCTATATGGTGAGCGTGGCATTCCGCTTTGGTGCTGGAATCCATGTGGGCAATTTGTAGTGCTTCAGAGTTCGGATTCTTGGGATTTGCATAGATTGCGAGCAACTGTCTAGTTTTTATGCAGATTCGGTGACTACTCCGTACCCAAACTTACTGAAGGGGCATCTCCTTGAGCAAAACACCCCGGATTGACCATTTGCCCCATATGCCCGCAGAGACATGATTCCGAACAGGCTGGGTTTAGTTAAAACTTTAATATCACAATCAGCAAACCTCGGCGGATAGGGATTTTGTTGCACCTCAACTCCTATTACTAGAGCTCATATCCGGCGAGTCCCCTGAGTGCCATGGTGTGGTCGTGGTGTTTCACACAACTTTGGAAGTTAAGACGCCCACGTTTAGCGCCAATTTCAAGCTCGGTTGCCTTTTAAAAAGCTTTTTGGGCCTTTTGATCTTCCTGGTTTTCTCAAATTCTAGTTTTTGCCCTTGAACTCTGCTCATCGATATAATACCCACGTGTTTAGCAAGGCAGAGTCAAGAAAGCCAAAAGGGATAGGCCGAAGGAGAAATAGCCAACTTGTTCGGCGGATTTCCACCGGTACCTACATCCAAATCTCTCACCAACAGCAGCCAAAATGGTAACGAAGTAGAAAGGGGCGTAGAAAGTCTATTCTTCTTGTTGGGTTGGTACAACGTTTGTTTGAAGTGATAGTGGGTTGGGGTCGAAGAGAAAATCAAATGTACTCAAGTGCTGAAGGGCTGAACATTGAAGTATGTAGCTTTTGGTTATTTGAATTTATGTAATACACACTAGTCAAAGTATTACCACATGTGCAGCAGTGTTGAAAAAGAAACTGATATGAAAGAATTATGAACGCACAGAAAGTGCTCGGAATCAATAGATCAATGTGTATCAATTATATATACATCGTACTACCTAACTATTAGGCACGGGTAGACATCTGGAATCAAAATATTGATGGGAATAGAGGTAGGTATTCAATGATTTCATGGCATATCCACGTAACGTGTAAGTCCGCTCGGTAACTGGGCCAAAGTGCTTAGAGCTTCGCCTTGGAATTCTCCTCCCGGACTCCTAGCAACAACTGATCCATCGCAGTTTCCAACTCCTTGCCCTCAAGACAGCTCTTGTAGATCGACCTCCAGGCGATCATGTTATCGGGTCGAACCAGAATAGCTCCGCCGGTCTGGATGCCTTTTAGTCCATTCCATCGGTCGTCGTAGTCCCGGTAAAGGGCCTTATCACCAATCTGAGCCACAGCAACTTCAACTCCCCGGTTCTTGGCGATGTTATGAGCTGCAATTGCCCAATCACCACCTTCACTGTCCGTAATCAAGGCAAAGCCTGGCCTTTTTGGCACCAGGTCATGGGTAGAGATGACACTATTCCCTGTCTCAATCCAGGCATGAGGGAGACGGTGGCCAGGCTGTGTGGTGGGGTAATACTTCAAACCCAAAGGATCCCGTTCTATCGGGAGACTTCCGTCATGCAGAAGAATGCCCTTGGTGTATCTGAAGCCCAGCTCAATTCCATGTGCACAAAATTCAATGGCTTGGGAATCAATGATGCGCGCAACTTGAGCCCGGAAGCTATGGCCTTTATCCGTATCTTCGAAAAGCGAGTGGAACCGGACTTGGTTTGCTTCTCTTTCCCCCGGGATGAGCCCAAGGGCAGTATTGATTACAGCGGAGTTGCTAAATGTGAACAGACCCCAATCGCAGTTGATCTTGCCAACAGAACGTCTTTCCTCCTCGTAGCTGTCTAGAATAGACTCGCTGGCTTGTCCTTTGAGGACCATGGCTAGCTTCCAGGCGATATTGAGAGAATCTTCGATCGCGGTATTGAGTCCTAGACCTGTCGTAGGTGGACGGCGATTGCCGGCATCCCCGGCAAGAAAGACTCGGCCAACCCGATACCTGTCCGCAAGGACTTTCTCGATCGCCCAGTGACTGACTTTATGAACATCCATTTCAAGGTCAGGGATCTTCAACAGCTGGCGTATACGCGGAATTAATGCCATGTCGTTGTGTCTACTCTGATCATCCATCGCAAATCCGCAATGAAACACCCATTCCTTAGAATGCTTGCCCCAGTTTGGACCCATAGGAACGATTGCACCGCTCTCGAACACGGTGTTGCACTCGCCGTTGATTAAGTGGCAAGCAAAGTAGCGGTCATCCCAGTACTCAGAGAGATTGGCACTAAAGTGTACCGAAACCATATCGGTGATGTTGGTTAACCCTTCCATTTTGATGCCCAGCTTAGGGCCGATGGTCCGGCCTCCGTCTGCAGCAATCAAGTATTTGCACCGATATGTTCTTTCTATGCCGCCTTCGTCAGATGCTCGGACAAGAACGTAAGAGCCCTTATCGGTGAAATCCATCAATCGATGACCAAATAAGACTTTGTCGGGGTTTCTTTGTTCCGCTATTTGTTTCAATATCGGCTCTAACCGAAAAAGTGGAAGGTTTCCAGAGCGGAGTGGAGCGTCGTGTCTGTATGATATGATCAGCTTCGATATTGGCTAGTATTCACAGTAAAGGTGATCTTGCTTGTAAGATTGCGTGACCTGAGACCCATCATGTCCACCGAAGCATTCGAATTTAGAGATAACCTGGCGATCAAACGGGCCGGAGCCACCTAGCGAGGTCTGCCAGGCAACCTGACTCATGTGACGAGGGGGGCAAGTCTTCTGCAGAATCTTTTCCACCATGTCTTGATTTCGGAGTGTTTCCATGGTGCGCTGGTTCAAATAGTGCGCCTTGGGAAGGATCGAGGTTCCTGTATGCTTCTCAAGAAGGACGTGCTCAACCCCATAGTTGGACAAGAAAGCTGAGAGGGTCAACCCACAGCCCCCACCCCCAACGATGATAACTGGGATCTCGATTTCTTCGGCCATGGCGACAGAAAGGAGACGATGGACAAAGATATTTTAATACTGTAATAGTCTGATCAGTCAGTCATGGAAGGCTTCAAGAAATTCAGGTGCCATGGAAGACCGAGGCATGGATATGAGATTATAAAGTTGGCTTGAACTCGAGTCAATATCCAAAGGTTGCGACAGAGCCCATTATTCCCTCTTTGGGGCGGAGAAATAGCCCACGCGAGGAAAGCTGGTAGTCCGGGATGCGTGTCGGGGACTAAGACCTCGGTACCTCCCTCCGAACGTATATGCGTGTGAGGGGAAACCGGGGTTATGGTGAAAGCTGAAGCTCTGCATGTGTGGAATCTACAATCTCGGATATCCGGAAACTTTATGGAACGAGCCACTAGTCTTGGCTAATTTTCGATCAATTATTGCGTTCAAACGTTAGACCTCTTCAACTGAATAGCAAGTGGGTTGAAATTTTGTCGTCTTTCAAAGGTAGTATGCACCTACATCAGATAAAGAAAAGAGAAAAGAGAAAAGAGAAAAGAGATAAGAGATAAGAGATAAGAGATAAGAGCTCCAGTTGACAGAATCACTCATCTATCGGTCCATATGTCCAGATGTAGAGGGTAACAACATTTGAAACATTTGAACATCTAGAAAACAACATTTGAACCGGAGCACATGTGCAATTTAGGTACAAATGATATGTAGGATGTGATCGCGGGTTTTGGTGGAGAGTACAGGGCATAGTATATATTAACCAATCTAGATGAAATCCGTATTCGCCTCACATGTGCAAGCAAAGATACGATCAATTGATCAATGCTTGGTACACTTGTGCATACATATGTATACCTCAATATGTATATATATTCCCATGGGTTTATTGAGGTGTCGATGTCTGACGGTCATTTATACATACACATCAAAGAATGTTTTTCCGACTCTCCGCATCATGTATGTAAATCAATCAAACTGCAGCAGGAATATCCCGTCGAACACCAATCTCAACCCGTACTTTCAAGGTCTTCTCATCCACACCGGCTTCCAGTTGACGAAGGAGCTCGTACGCATCAATATCTGTCCCAATAGGATTCTCCTGGAAGAATTTTGAAGTCATGAACGCATTCGCCTCCTCGACCGTGTTGAAGTTATCCACCTGAGTCTCGATCGAGTTTCCATCGGGGTCTTTGTAATAGATACTAGTTGTAGGGCCATGGTTGACACACCAGGTCGGCTTAATATCAAACTCCCCTCTCAACTTCCAGGCCTTGAGGAGAGCCCGAAGTGTCACGTAGGTAAAGGACACATGATGCATTCCCGCGGCGGTGGTGGAGTGAGGGCCCGTGCTCTCGTCATTGATGATAGCGATGCGGTGATGTTCCTTGTCATAGCGGAGAAAGGCAATGAAGTCGTTTTCGAACACTCGCTCCGCGCCCAGGAATGTGGCCCAGAATTTCACCATGGTTTTGATGTTGGCCGTTCTGAAGACGACGTGGGCTAGCCCGTCGGGACGAAGGATTGAAAGGTCCGACATAATAATGATTGCTTTGTTAACTCTGAAACCTATTGATCTGCAGGCCAAGTGCTGGTCGGGTTTTTCCTGAAATCTTATATGATCGAGTTTGTGGAATCATAAATTGATGCAATAGCTTTCATGCATCAAGTCAGTTCCAAGTTTGTGTACAAGTATGGGGGTTACGTCAAGTGGTCCTCCGCAAAATACAACATTGAATTTACAATGTTAAACAGTTCGCACCGAATAACGTACCGAACAAATGTGAGCGTTCCAAGATTTTTGCGCTATTCCATTTTGATTCGGATATTTGTTATATATCCATGACGGAAGTAGTATGTACGTGGGAGCCTCGGAAAGGGTCTGGAGATCTAACTAGACAAAATATGCGCAAATTAACCTCGGAAAGAATCAAAGTGCAGACTAGGTAGTTCAGAATATTGAGTATGGGCCACCTCAGCCTGGTCGCCATTTTCTCCAGTTCTAGTGCCGCGCGTTTTGTCCGACAATATGCTATCGAGGCTACGAGGAGAGGAACGAACAAAATTGAAATATTTTAAGAGGAAGAAAAAGAATGGAAGTAGTCTCATGAAACAACCGGATACGGGAGAGATAGAAAACGAGGAATAATGGATGGAAGAATGAAGTTGGTTCAGATAATGAATTTAGGTAATGGTTGCTTGAGTTTGACAGGGGGAAGTTCAGGACTGAGAAGGAACAACAAGTGTTTGGTCAGTTGTCATGTGACCTGTACTCTCACTTTATCTTGTGTACTAGTAGATAGCTCGTTCTCTTCTTCTATTATTCTTCTCCCTCCCTTGCAGCCTCCAATACTATCGTACTATCGCATTGTGCTCGCCCTCGTTCCTTGTTCATAGACTCGTTCTTCGTTCTTTCAACAATAACGGGCAATCCTGCCCGATTCCACCGCTTTCCTCATTCTACAGCACCGCTGATGGAGACTGACTCAGACTGTCATATGACCGTGACGTCATATCATGACATTTGCACATATACTACTAGTAAAGATGTGCGATTGCATTTTCTAGATATAATATAACAAGTACGACTACGCACAGCGGTTAGGGAGATTCAAGGGCTCCATCACCTTCTAATATTGGAACTGGAATCGTATCAAGGTTGTTTGTATCAATAGGGGTTGGTTTTTTCTATCTCGTTCACAAGGTGATATACAGTGACCGACAATTGGTTAGGGCCCAGCGGCCCATAAAATCATAATTATCTAGTGCAATCCAATACCAATGGCTTCCATGTTCTCTAAGATCTCGCTCACGTGCTGGGCACATCGTGCGACTGAAGCACCGTCAAGAACTCGATGATCCGCACTCCAGCTGAGAACAGCTTTCTCACGCTTGGTAACTGATATATCGCCTTCCTCGTTGTGATTTTCGAAGACCGGAACATCTTCGGTCTTGCCTAATGCAAGAATGCAAACAGTTGGAGGCACAATGATAGGGTTCACCACGGAACCTCCAATGCTTCCAATGTTACTCACAGTGAAGGTAGTTCCACTCATGTCTGACGGGGTAAGACGACCTTCTTTTGCCAGTGCACTTAGTCGTGTCAGCTCAGCTGCGATGGAAAGAATGGAAAGATTTTGAACATCTTTGACGACTGGAACCAGAAGCCCACTAGCCGTATCCATCGCAACGCCAAAATTGTGAGACGCTTTGACAATTAAGTTGGGCGTTTTTGCAGCCACCTCTGTTTCAAGATGGGCATTCAATCGGGGGTGTCGCAGAAAGGCCCGTGAAAGAGCCTTGAGGACAAATGGAAGTGCTGTTAACTTAGTAACCCCGTCTTCGTGGATTCCCTCAGAGACCTCCAGTTGCTTGTTGAAGTTCCGACGGAGACTCGTCAAAGTAGTAAAGTCGACAGAATGGCTATAACCAAAGTGTGGGATGGTGACGGCACGAGTCATGACCTGAAACATATGAGTCTCAATTGCTGTCAAAGGAACAGGTTTGTCTTCCACCAATGTATGGACTTGGCCCGCCTCCCTTGAAGAGAACAGCTCCGGAGCTACCTTTCTTGAATTCAAATACCTTTGAACATCATCCTTTCTCACTGTCCCCTCCTTCCCACTGCCTCTAACATCATCGATATTAATATCGTGCTGCTTTAGCATACTTTTGACCGCCGGGACGATCAGCCCGGAGTTCTTTGTCTTTTGTTCGGGATCTGCGTCAGGCAAATTTTGTGGCGTATTGATGTTTGGTGAGGTTTCCGCTCCCCCAGCAGTCGCAGTGGTCGTATATTCAGACAAAGACTGCTCGGGTGCTGACTGTGGGGAAGTCTGGTTTCCATCGGATAAATTCTCGTCGACGTCAATATCGAGCAGAGGCTAGTTTCAACCAGTCTAAATCAGTAAAGTCCCGCAATTGATCTCTGGGTGTTCAAGTTAATTACCTTCCCCACTTCGGCTATCTCATCTGTCTCGTGGTGGAGACTGGCAACGACTCCATCATACCGGGATGTAATCTTTTTGGGGTCAATGAATCCACTCAAGACTGGTCAATGGGAGCATTGCATACCTCAACTGACGCTTTGTCGGACTGAACCTCACAAATGGCATCAAACTGGCTGACTTGGTCTCCTGGCTTGACGAACCATTGAACAACCCGGCACTCCGTAATACCTTATTCGATCAATAAATGCCTTCAATAAATAGGTGCTTGCGTGACTTACCCTCGCCGATATCAGCCAGTAAATATGGTTTGATGGCTTGCCGTGAAGGCGTTGTATGGAAGTAATTCTTCCTCAGTCGAGCACTGACACTGCCAGACACTGGGAGATGTAGATTCGATAAGTTCACCAACTGCAGTGAGCGCCGAAGAATGGAGATTGGCATCTCTTCGGGTTCTTTTTGATTCGATACAAGAACAACCGAAGCCCCGAAAAAGTGAAGATATACAAAAGTTCAATTCATAGGGAACAACCCTAGAATTAAATAGCTAAAAAAGCTACCGTGGTGGAGATTGAGAAATATATTATTTTAATACCAACGGGGTACAGCCTTCGAATTCTACATGTATGGATACCAGGTATCGGTCATCGAACATTGCTCCTTGAATAGGCGAGAGTGAACATGGCCCATGATCACAATCATGATCGTAATCTAGTGCTGTTCCCAGTGCTTCCTAGCTCGGAAGCTAACCCGATCCACTCGGCCCCAGATTTTGTACCCAGGTCCCGTTCGCATACCCTAGAATAAACAACCCGGGAAGCCTGCAAATCATTTCAACCACGTATTCTAATGTGTTGAAAAGATAGGCGATGATAACCGCTTCAGATTTTGTAGTAAGAAGGCATGTTCCTAATATGTCCGAGAGTTGTCTATCTATGAGGTGCAGCAATTCAGAGTTCCCGAATCCCGTCAACAAATCTATTTGAACACAAAAGCACTATCCTTGTTTCTAAACACCCTATTATTCTCGAAATTGGAAAACTGTGAGACGGGACTCTGCAATATGAAGAAAGCGATAAGTGGACCCATGCTGCCTTTGTTTCGCAGGCCTCAATATTTGCGAAGAGGTAGTCGCACCCTTAGCACCTTTCCTAAGCGTGCAAGTTCAACATCCTCGACTTCTGCCTCCATTTCGTAAGGGCTCATTCCTTGCTCTCTTTCGATAATTTGTCACTAAATAAGCATTAGTTATAGGTCATTCCCGGGTGCGGCGAATAGCCGTCTCACCAACAAGATGGACTTTCTCAACCCCGCAGAAGTGAACCCGATCGCAACTTACCATGTGATGAACACCGATAGTTCAGTAGCGGATCCTAGTCGAGGACCACCGGATGTCACCGACGAACAGGTTATTGAATGGTACAAAAACATGGTAACTGGTGGGTTGCCAAACATATTTTCATTATGGCGCTTTGTGCTAACCATTTGGAACAACAGTGAGTATTATGGACAGCATCATGTTCGAAGCCCAAAGACACGGCCGTCTCAGTTTTTACATGGTAAGTTAGCCTTGGTTGGGTTGCTTTTTGATCTCAAATTTTCATGACACTGATTAATTCCAGGTCTCCGCCGGAGAAGAGGCAGTCATGATTGGCTCTGCAGCCGCACTGAGCCCTAAAGATGTTATTACTTGCCAGTACCGGGAGACCGGAGTTTTCCTGCAGCGCGGCTTTGGGCTGAAAGATTTCATGAGCCAATTGACGGCCAACCATAACGATCCTGGGAAGGGACGAAACATGCCGGTGCATTACAGTGGCAAGAACAAGGTCAACATCGTAAGTCTTCTTTCGCCGTGGTAGGAGGTTTTGAAAACTCTGAGTCTCTGACTATGAAGCGAATCCTAGCATGCCGTTGCGTCAACCCTGGCCACACAGATTCCACATGCGACCGGTGCTGCATACGCGCTAAAGATGGACGCGCTGGAGAATCCTGACCAGCCTGGCAATGTTGCGGTGGCCTACTTCGGCGAAGGAGCCGCAAGTGAGGGAGATTTCCACGCAGCACTTAATGTAGCTGCAGTGAGAGAATGCCCTGTCATTTTCATATGCCGCAATAATGGCTTCGCAATCTCAACACCCACTAGTGAACAGTATATCGGGGATGGGGTTGCTGTGCGTGGCATGAGTTATGGTATTGAGTCTATTCGAGTCGACGGAACGGATATCTTCGCTGTCTATGAAGCAACCAGAGAAGCCCGAAGAAAGGCCCTGGAGAAGGGAGGACGGCCTATTCTGCTTGAATTCATGAGCTACCGCGTCTCTCACCACAGCACTAGTGACGACAGCTTTGCGTACCGTGATCGAAGCGATGTTGAGGCGTGGAAGGCTCTCAACGACCCACCTTCCCGACTCAGGCTGTGGATGGAGAAAAAGGCTCTCTGGGATGAGGAGAAAGAAAAGGAATTTCGATCGACAACCAGGTCTGCTGTTCTTCGGGAACTATTCGCTGCTGAAAAGGAGAAAAAGCCGGCTCTTCGGGGCATCTTTGATGATGTTTATGCTGAGTTGACAGAAGAGGCAAAGGAACAGAAGGAGGACTTACGGAGGCTGATGATGAAATATCCCGAAGAGTACGATGTAAATGACCATGTAGAAGGAATTCAAGGTCTGTAAATCTGGAGATACATAGAGCGAGGGAAATCCCATGTTGAGCGAAAAGGAAGTGAGTGTATTTTATTTTCGTGTCCATTTCCGAACATTAGAACGTATTTCAATTATTTGACCAAAATGCGGAGTTGGTCACTCAGATTAGTACGTAAGATAATGACTGGGGTAATTAATTGCAAGAATGCTTTCTTTAGTGAGGGGCTACATTCGAAATGACGTAAGCTAAGTAGCATGTACAGAATTTGGGTCTGTAATAATTCAACAGATTTGTCTTGTAGCTATCCCTAGGAACGGAGTGGATTGAGAACAAGAAGTAGAAGGGAGAGGGAAAAACCAAGCGAGGGAACGTCGAAAGAGCATATCCCATCATCCTTGACAAACTTGAAAAGCGAGTTTAGCCCAACCCATCAATATTGAATAGCCCATGGTTGCAAGTTTAAGCCCTGGATCCATCTTTTCAATTTGGGTACGAGTGATGTAATAAGTTAGAGAGATGAGGCCTGTAAGAAGTGACACTCAGATCTGGCGAATCAATATAATGCCATAGTAAATTTCTCTGATCTAAATGATATGCAGCAGATTTGAGATATAGTTATAAAGCAAGAACAAATCCATCATTTCCTGGATTTCAGCAAGTCCCTCGATGTCATCAGTTGATACACAACCTCCTCCTGTCAGATTCGGAATAACTGCTTCTCCCATCAATGACTAAGCTTTCAGCATCTCGTGGATGGCATCGTAAACCCCTGCAAAAAGTCCAAGGTTTTAATCGGGTGATCAGAAACAAAGTTTTCAATGGTTGGAAACTTACTTGTAGTGTCAGGAAGAATGTACTTTTCCCAGGCAAGCCCAGTGTGGGTGGTCCATCCAGCAACCCGCTTGATGGGAGCTTTAAGATGGAAGAATGCCTTCTCCTGAATTGTCGAGGCAACCTCTGCACCAACGCCAAAATTGACCATGCTTTCATGAACAATCATAGCTCGACCGGTCTTTTTGACACCTTCAATCACGGTCCCTCTATCCCAGGGATATATTGTTCGCAAATCGATCAACTCGATTGAGACACCCGGCATATCCTTCTCGGCAGCCTCAATCGCAGCTTGGCAGGTATAAAGAGGTCGCCCGTATGAAATGATTGTGAGATCGGCACCTTGCTTGAGGACTTCAGCCTTGCTCAGGGGTAGCGTGTACGGACTCTCTGGCACCTCTTCGACGGCAGCACGATACAGGATCTTAGGCTCTAGAAAAATGACGGGGTCTTTTGATTCGAGAATTGCAGTCAAAAGAAGGCCTTTTGCTTGGGAGGGTGACCGCGGCATCACGACTTTGAATCCTGGAATGTGGCAGAACAGACTTTCCGGTGATTGAGTGTGGTATCTATGCAATTTCAAGAACCAATATTAGGCTTCCGCCACTTGAAATCTGTGTTCTGACAGAGTAGGATAGACTCACAATGCACCATGCCCGACACCTCCGCATGGCATTCTGATGACCATTCCTCCAAGGTTGCCCCCAGTCGCACCCTCTCGGTAGCGGAACTTACTGGCTTCATTCACGATTTGATCAAATGCAGGGAAGACATAGTCGGCAAATTGGATCTCGACGACCGGCTTCCGTCCTTCCGCCGCCGCACCAATAGCGGCCCCGACAATGCCTTGCTCCGTCAAGGGAGTGTTGAAGACTCGCTCGGGTCCAAACTCGCTTTGAAGACCACTCGTGCAGCGGAAGACTCCTCCAAAAGCAACGTCCTCACCGAAGCAAAGCACGTCTTTGGATAAACGCAGCGCAGTCGCCAAAGAAGAATTCACTGCCTGGCAAAGATTGAGTCGCTTAGATTTTCCTTCATCAGGAATTCCGTTGCTCTGGAATGTCTTTGGGGAGTGATGTAGCAACGGGGTAGTTTTGAAGTCGATAGGGACGTTAAGGCGACGCGGTTTAACCGTTGTTACGTAGCTGCGCACATTGAGAAATGATAATCCAACGGAGGATATATGACGAGCAGTCATTTTTCACAAGATTGGCTCAGTTTTGAGAGATACGGAAATTGATTTGAGTATGCGAATTGGTGAATATCTCTCAGCTCAATCTGCATTTCATACTCCGAAGGCTCTAGCGAATGATATCTCTGCCGAACAGATGATCTCCCTTTCGTTTAGAAACGGATAACCTCGTTCCAGCTCGTTCGAGAACTGGCGACCCAGGAACAAACGCCTTTTCCGCGGGTATCCTCATTTTGTCAGTTCTGAAAAAAATTCTTTTTTCGATACCACGGGGTAGAATCCAACCAAAGTTGCCAGTGCTTCCGAACAAAAACGGCAAAGTGTGGAGTGAATAGGCCGAGTTCGGAGTCAGATACATAATGCCCCATAGCCGTATTTTACCAACCCCCGGAATGTTTAGTTGAGACGTATCCTCGTCATTATAGACATTCCTTTACAGATAACACCGAATTATAATTTTCTTTTTGTCCAGGGGCTGTGGGAAGGTTGCGCGTAATACCGGGGATTGGGTTTGGCCTTTCAATCCAAATAATTCAGTCCTTCAGTTTCATTCCGAGTAAGGGAAAATACCAGGCCGGCTGGCGCAATCAACGGAGTACTAGGTCTAGTACTTATCAATCAACTTTCGCCCCCCTCCCCTTTCAACGTTTTGAAAACATCCTCTGGGCGATTCTCAGATTGACTCTGATTGAGCGATGTGGCCAACTTCCCAGCCCCCAACGGAGGTGAAGCAACTTGTTCATCGCTTCTTCGCTTTGGTAGACACCAATTCGGAAGATGTAGGACAAACCATAGCGGATGAGATATTCACCCAGGATGGGTTGATGGTCACGGCAAATGCCACTTTTCAAGGGGCTGCTGGTAAGATCATGTTTCCGGAGCTTCTTCTGAATTTGGTTCACTAAAGTATCCGTTCAGAAATATCGCAATCCAGAAAGGGCGCCTGGGAGACGGTGAAGACTCGGCAGCATAGCATCTTGAAGAGCTATGTGAACAACGCAGTTGGTATGGATCTCTTTTTAATCGGCAATTTGAAAATGGAGGCATTGGACGGAACACGGATAAACATGGAGTTTGTTGCTCGGATGAAGATCTCAGAGCTACAGTCAGGGCCCAGAATAAGCAAATACCAAGTTGTCAGTCCAGCTCCGCAAGTCATACGGCCACTCATGGAAGCTGAGTGACATTTGGAGTGACATTTGGAGTGACATTTGGAGTGACCTTTTTTTAGTGAATCTTTTTTTTGTGAATAGTTTAAAGGATATTTAAAATATGCCCAGTGTAGATCTGGGAGAACGAAGGGGAAGAATCCAAGCTGTGATTGTATTTCTTCACTATGGGGGATGGAGGGGAAAGGAAGCAGAGAAGGAGGAAGAGAAAGAGAAGCTCTCACTTCTCCAGACTGACTACCAACACGAAAACCAACACGCGCTGCACTCAGACGTAAGTTCAGGAGCAGGCCATGTGACCAGAATGGGTCACATGGTTCACTTCTCCTAACAAAGTGCAGGACCGTTGACTTGGTTATCTTTCTTGGCTATGTCAGTCGGGTTCGATGAAACAAAAGTCACTACTGAATTTGACCCCTCTTCCGACACCAATCATTCCACCTTTTCCTCCTACCAAGCCGTTTGAACCCATATATCCTCTAGTGGGCTGGCGGGTTAAGAAGCTACTAGTAAGCTAGTAAGTTGACAACAAAAATAACCTGCTCGGAATCAGAGAGGAAACCAGAACAACGAACCTGGTGAGTCGAGTAACATCAGTTACCTCACCGTATCCTCAGTTCATACCAACATACACATACCGACAGCGTAGCTTGCTAAGCCGCTCGCCCTTCCGCCGCTTCGTTCAGTGAATTGGGCTTATACCTGGTTAAATTCTTACGTTGATGAAGTTTTTATGGCTGTTTTCCCCGGATTTTACTTCATTTTTTGACATAATTATTTAGATATGGGATTTGTTAGTTGATTGGATGAGCATCCGGTATGATGGGTGTGTGATCACGATTCACATGAAATGTGATCCCTCGTACTTTCCAGTCTCACCTCATCTTGCTTAGATAGTTCTCTTCCTCTGTTCTTCTTCTTTCCTTCCCTGCTGCGCTTAACATAAATCATTGCGTTCGCCCTCCTTTCACAGTAAGATCCTGTTCTACTATCAATGATGATAAGGAGTTGCAAAGCTCGAATCAGGGGGCTCACGAGTGACGAGTCACGACCTCGAAAAACCGGTAAGTGAAAACACTTGAGCCCTATATTTGCTTCGGCGCTTCTATATCCCAGCGCCCATTTATGTTCCACGGTCTAATTGAGGGGTGCATTCGAAATACGGGGAAATGGCAGTGAAGGGCATTGATAGAGTTTAGCGCCGAATTACAGGAGCGATTGTGTGTCACTTAGCGCCTAATTCAGTGTCCAGTGAGAATTTCTGGATTTTGAACGAAACAACAAAAACCTTGCCCTGCCCTCTCCCTAACAAAGTTGCTTCCCCTAGGGCCTACATGACGCAAAAATTATGAAAAAGCATTCACCTGGGCGCAAACTCGTATATTTATTCTATTATAAAATTGAGCAACTATAGATATGATGAATACGAACATACTGTTGAGTAATTGTTACTAGCAGAGAAGTTTCCTTTAGCGCTAGGACATAGTGGCCGATGAGAGTATTTCTGGATTCTCTGATCACTTTTTGAGTATATGTGGAAAGTCCCCTGCCAATTGAGCCGCTTCTCCATGTAATAAGCACGGGTCTTTTTAAGCTTACGATGTTTTTAAATAGTGCAGGCGGTCACTGAAAACAGGCGCTTACGAACATTTAACATTTGAACGCTTGTATATTTGGCTGATATTTACATATCCACTCCCACCTATGTATTTAACAGTATATTCTCGATAAACCATCTCAAATTGAGAGCCATGGCATCCTGCGACAAACAACCTTCTAGCCCCGAGTCGTCAGCGAAGAGTATCAATCTCATTTCTTGATTCAGGAGACTTATAGTTTCACCTAGTATGTATGACGGTTGATGTATCATTGTAATTATGATAAAGCAAACATTAAAGCACTCAATTTAAAAATGTTCTATAACTGTTCAGCTGACAGGAACAAAGCGCAACAGGTGTCATCCTTACCTGCTATGGCCCACAGATTCTGCCTATCCTTCTGACTGATCGAGACTTCTGCAGCTCAGGCAGCGACCTTTAGTCAGAATGGGAAGGGTATGAAGCAAGCAAGAATGGCATTTTCCTGGGCGGCGTCCACCATCCCTGCTATCCCAGCTGCCGCGAGGACAATTTGTACCCCTTTCAATAGCTGGCCCACAACGCTCAACACCGTCACTGCCCACATGACCACACTCCGTGTAAGTGTAGGTAATATGATCGCACATCTGGACTCTGGAGTCACGCTTTAAATAAGAATATTTCCTATATCATGCTGATGTTCGCTTGGTACATACCGTAATAATGTGAGTTGATTTTATCAGGAGATGAAATGAAATCTTTGCGTACAAAATGTTTGGGTCAAGTGCTGTAGGATATAATTATCTTTCAAGTTATCCTATGGCAAGTGCCTCATATTTATACTCCACTTGCTTAAGGTTAACAGTCAACACACTTGCTTGGTAATTCTAGAAACTGATTGCTTTTTGCGCGATACGCTGGACCCGAGACGAAGCGCTTACGTGCCGTACTAGTGTGTCAGGAGTCAGGACTCAGCGCTTGAGAACGGCGGCTAGAGCCAAACCAATAAAAAATCTCCGGTCGTTATTCTTTTTTAGGACAGGGTTCGACTCAAAAACGTACACGTAGCTAATATCGCGTGAAAAAAAAAGGAGCTTTCGGCGCATTGAAAGAAATACGAGGAAGATCATAGTTACTAATATGCTATAACTAATGGTGATAACTACATGACATACCATTTTTGGTATAACTTTATTGTCAATTCTGTTATAAATACCAATCCGACCTAAAAATACCGCTTCGACCAAAAAGGCGCACGCTTCAGTAGATGTTTAATCACGTGATATCCTGTCCGACAGTGGCTGTGGTCCTGTGGATCACCTGATCATAACACCACTTGCAAGTTGCGGCCACACTCCTGAGTCCTGCTCATTAACCAGGGGTGTGGTACAACTCATTTTCTACCAACTACGTCGGTGTTTTTATCAAAGATTCTCAACCTTTCTTTCATATATAATTCAGACTTCTAGCAGGAAGTGATGGATGAAACACTCCCAGATAGCGAAGCTATCACCGCCCCAGTCCCTACTGCGGAGGTGGCAACTGAGTTTAGGGTGTTTAGGGTTTAGGGTGT